GAGGTCGCCCCCCCCCCCCCCCCCCCCCAATCGATTAAATAAGGAATAGATTAAATAAATCGAATATTGCACGAAGAGTATCTCGACTCTCTATGACTTTGGAGGGTTAGTATCAATAGCGACCGTGTCCTCGTATCATTGTCTCGTCTAATCAAGCACAACCTTGCAAGAATCTGAGGCACCGGTGCACAAGCCCAACCTGAAGCATCTACCATCGATGGCCAACAAAGAGCTTCGTAGTCGACCCACGCTTTTCTTAGTGCTACGTCTTGGTATTCCGAGGGGGCCCGACATATCTTAGCTCCGAGAAGAATAGATGAAGTTATACAGACCCTTGAATAAGCATTCACAACGCCATCAATAGTACAGGTCCCTGGATCATTAAAAACATCGAAATCTGTAAGTACTGTACCAAAATTACGTTGGTCCGTGGCATGGGCTTTTTGTCTCGGCACAATGGGTCTCGTTCGGTGCACATAATTGGCACAAAGGATCCATGTCTTGAAACGGCACGGTATCAAAACAGCCCGACGTGCATTAGCTGCGAGTATTATTGGCCGAGACCAGGCACTAGTGTCACTCGCAATCTTAGTAAATTACCACGTATTAATTGCATAGTACATAGTAGATACTAATAGATAGGCAGCCAGCTAGTGACCTGCTAGTACGCACTTGTACGACGCAATTACTGAGCCACCCGGGTCACTAAGTGTACCCTATCCGCTCGGCGTGCAAGTCTGGGTCAGGGACGGGAAGTCATCCATTCTTTCCTTTGACATTCCTCTCACCAAGTCTTCCTTCCCTATCGATGCAGTCCACCTCTCAGGCTTCAGGATCCTGGCTCAGTTCCCTGTTGACCATGTCATTCGCTTAATTGATTTTCTGACTTCTTTTCTTTCTCTTTGAACTTACAACTTAATCGATTTGTGTGTTTTCCCAACTACATCACGTTCTCTTCAGATTTCGCTGCGCCCTGAAACTCGTCTTAATTCATACAACCTCAAAACAACAAATTTTCCAGCTCCTTTCGAGAACTCTGGGTTATCGCTTAATCAAGTACGTTGGGTATCGGTGCAAAGTAATCATCTTCGCCTGAAATGATTTTTCGTCACTGCCACAGTCCAAAATAGTAACAGCATCACGCATTTTTCAGATTGCTCCCGCCTCGTTCCAATAACATTCCTCACGTCCTCGCGTTCGGCAAGCCGTTTCTACAAAAGCCACTTACGCCTCCTCCCTTGACACCTTGTCTCTGCGAATACGATCTTATCGAAGAGATAATCCTATCCCCGTGCGTTGGACAACCGGAGTTTGATCGGTCGTCGCAACCTACACAATGAGGGCTTCCTCACTGTCTAGGCCTGCGACGGCAATTGCTGTGTCTGCTCTTCTCAGCACTTGGCAATTACCGACCGTCAATGCATTCACAGCTACGCCCGTCTCGCAGCCCAACCTTGATCTATCACCGTTAGGAAGAGTCGCGCTGACCGGCAACTTCGACTCAATACAAATATATTCATATCTAGAAGAAACGGAATCCTCTCCTTCGACCAATGGCTCTCAGTCCTTACTCACAACCCTTCCTAATGGGGACATCACCACTTTATTGTCCGCCGACGCAGATATTTTAGCAATGTGTTCGTGGACGCGTAAAAATGGAACTTTTGAAGGCGTTGTCGTTGGCGGTAATTTCACAAGTTTAGGAGGCATTGAAGCCGAAGGCCTGGCATTGTACGACCCGACGTCAAACAGCGTGCGGAATATATCTGGGCTGTCCGGTGTTGTGCAGGCTTTACTGTGTGACCAAGATTCCGATTCGGTCTATGTTGGTGGAGATTACACTGTTGACAATTCGACGAACGCGATGATTTGGAACGGTACCACTGGCTGGCAAGCGCTTCCCTTCGAGGGTTTTAATGGCCCTGTTTCGTCCATCGTCAAGAATTCAGAAGGACATATCATTTTTGGTGGCAAGTTCGATAGCTTAGGCAATGTGTCAACGTCGACCGCGACAAACAGCTCTCAGGTGGTGAACTTATCCACGGCCAACATTACGAGCGATGCCCAGACAAGTCTTTCTGGCTTTATCGATCCTCGTAATATCATTTGCAAAACAGGCGATGCAGACAGCTCTGGTAATACTTGGCTACTCGCAGACTATTCTCCTGGTTTTTGGGAGGCGCAAATGGGCTTCACTTTCTACCCGAGCAAGATTCGCTTATACAACACCCATTATCAGGGAAGAGGCACCCAGTCCTTCCGCTTCCAAGCTTTGCCAGATACAGGCATCATGAACCTGACTTATACTGACCCATCGACTGGCCAAAAGGCATTCTGCGACTTTGAATGTCCCCTTTCTAATGATACGTCGGAAATTTACCGCGATTTCGAATTGGTCAATCCTGTTGGCATGTCTGGATTCATGATCCAGGTCATGAGCTGGTATGGCCAAGGTGCTGGTCTTGATGGCATTGAGATCTTTCAGTCTCAAGTATTCACATATGCTGTCAACGACTTTAATGAGCCAGCATGCACTGGCATTGAGTTTCCGGCTACCTCCAACACAACAGGTACCTGGGCAGTGACATCCGCTGGCGCCTCAACTGACTACCTGATTGCCAATGCTTCTCAGTCTGATGTTTCAGTCACCTTCAAGCCCGATATTCCTCAGTCTGGTAACTACTCAGTCCTTCTGTACACCCCTGGCTGCTCGGATGCGGACTCCTGCTCATCTCGGGGCATTGTCAACGTCTCAGCGACTTTCACGTCGACTGAGCCAAGCGCGAACCTCGACACGTCGATAATTTACCAAACTAATGACTTTGAGAAATATGACACCATCTATTCCGGCTACATTGAGGCAAATAGCGACAGTTTCCGGTCGGAGATTACCGTCACCCCAGTCGCAGGACAAGGCGATATTCAAATTGTGGCATCTCGTGTAGGATTTCACCTACTTAACTCTACTACCGGAAACCTTAATGGTCTTTTTGACTACGACCCCTCGAATGTGACAGACACCGACTTCTCGTCCGACAGTATCGATACCATTGGATCCAATCTGGATGATGGGGCAACTATCTACAGCCTTGTTCAATCTGGAGATGTGACATATGCAGCAGGAAACTTTTCCAGCTCTTCCTTGAACAACATACTATCATTCACATCTAGTGGCAATGCTACTTCCCTCAGCGATGGTGGTTTGAACTCTTATGTGAAGTCCTTGCTCCTGATTGACAACACGCTTTACACGGCAGGAAACTTCACCAACACCGCCCAAGGGAGTGTGAAAGGCTTGAATTACGTTGCCGCCTATTCTCCGTCTAGCAAATCCTGGTCTCCACTAGGAGCAGGTGTCAATGGGCCTGTCACTTCTATTTTGTCATTTCCTTACAATTCAACAAATGGAACGACTGAGACAACAGTCGCAATTAGCGGCTCTTTCGACCAGATTTTGGCGTTTGGATCCAATGCATCTATTGAAGTATCGGGCTTTGCCGTATGGGTACCGTCTCAGAAGAACTGGTTACAAAACCTAGACGGTAATTCGATGGCCTATCTTGGAGAATTGATGGCAACCGCTGATGCTGGAAACAACACTACGATACTTGCTGGATCTCTTATATCTGATGGCGTATCTTCTAGAGGTGCCGTATCTCTTACAAATTCCGACGGCCTAGCAATCCAGCCTCTCCCCGTGGACATCCAAGAAGCACAGACCAGTGGCTCAGTATCGAAACGGGATTCAGCCGCTCAAAATTTATCTGAAGTCCTTGTAGGCTACTTTGATACCAGTAGCGGAAGAAACTTGACAATCCTCGGTGGACAATTTACTGCCAAAGCTACTGATGGCACCACTATACAAAACCTTCTTTTCCTGGACGGCTCCAAAAACGATACTGTGACAGGCCTTCCTTCTGGAGTAGACAGTAATTCTACCTTCACCACTCTCGCGGTTTACAAAGACACTCTATTCGCAGGCGGATCGGTCACCGGTACTGCTGGATCCTCAACTCTTAACGGCTTTCTAGCTTACAACCTCTCGACATCTGAGTTTGCTTCGACACAGCCTCCGGCATTGACTGGTCAGAATGTTGTTGCCAACAGTATTGTTGTTCGTCCTAGTTCGACTGAGGTCTACTTTGGCGGTGTCTTCGATGCCGCTGGTGCCTTGCCATGCCCTGCGGTATGTGTATGGGACACATCCGATGGCCAGTGGAGTCGACCTGGTGTAGATATGCAAGGCTCAGTGATTTCGCTTCAATGGGCCAGTGACAATCAATTGATCGCTGCTGGGAATTTGACTATTGGCAGCAATCAAACAATGGTAGCCACATACGACACTAGCTCCCAGGTGTGGTCTTCCGTTGATGGTGCTTCACCATCTGAGATTCCTGGTGCGATCAGCGCATTCGGTCCTGCCGCTACAGATATTTCTTCATATTGGATAGCGGGACAAGCTTCAAACGGCTCGAGCTTCTTGATGGAGTATGATGGGTCCAAGTTCAACAGTGCAGGACAGCTCTTTGGCGCGTCCACAACAATCCTCGGCTTACAAGTAGTCGGCCTAAGTACCAATCATAAAACTACCGATTTATTGAATGACGACCAGATTCTACTCATTACTGGACAGCTAGTCATTCCCAATTTTGGAAATGCCTCTGCCGCTCTGTACAATGGCACTGCATTGACGCCTTTCATTCTTTCGTCAACTGCAGATGGAGAAGCAGGAACTATCCGGGAGATGTTCACAGAGAAGCAAAATACCTTCAGCGGTAAAAGTAAGTACAAATTGTGTGATGACTAGCTTATTTGGTCTTGAAACTAATCAATGCATTACAGAATCACCACGTCTCTCGGCAGGACTCGTGGTCCTCGTTTCTTTCTGCATTGCCCTTGGATGTGTCTTTTTGATCGTTGTGTTGGGCATCATTCTCAACAGAGTGCAACGATACCGACAAGGATATGTACAGGCGCCAACGGCATTCCAAACAGATCGACCGACAAGCATGCGAAGAGTACCACCAGAGTACCTTTTCGACACGCTAAGACAGCGCCATTCCGGTGTTCCCACACTATGAAATCGCACTCTCTTTCTCTCTTTTTGCTACCGCTTCTGTGAATAGCGAGTGCAAGTCTCACTCGGCTGGTTCCTATAATCTTTTGCCATCTAGCGTTCGACATTGTTGCCCACTGAGTTTATACCCTGCTATTGTTGAGTGATTCCATTCTGATCGGGCTCTCGCTGTGAATACTGCTCGATCCGTATTTTGTTAATTGTGCGAGTTTTACCGTGTACATATCTGGAGTATTGTCGTTGGTATAATGATAGTAATGCTAGATCAGTATCTTAGTCATTTCCTAGTTCTTAATTCTTGACAGTCTTAACTCCTAAGACTTTTTAGTGCGTGCCATATTAGCGCGGCATGATCACGGGGTAAGCTAGCGTGCGGAGTAAAAAAGTAAACAGGCTTCTTGGCGCTTGGCCAGACCTTTCTCCCGAGCGACTCATTCTCTCACCGAATTTACATCTTGTCTTTTGGATGATCAGCAATTGTCTGCGCCCTCATCGCAACTCAGTCCTGCAAATGCACCGGTAGTATTCGTGGTCTATCGACGGTCGGCATGCGATCTCGAACAGGTTGGTGAGTCTAGCAAGCTCTATCATCAGCGCCCCGCTTCGGGGTTAAATATCTGTAGCAATAGTTCATTTAATGTACTAATCAAGATACTGCAGCTTGACATGCCGCGCTAGAAAGTTAAAGTGCGATGAGCAGTACCAGGCAGTTGACGATGGAGATGGAAAATCGAAATTGCAATGTACGCAATGCCGCAAGGCATCAAGGGAATGTCGACCCAGCGAGGGGATTGTGTTTCGGCATCAGCAGAATGCGTCGATGAACAATAAAGCTGTTGACGAAGATCGTGGTCGCGATTCTTTGAGGGGCTTTTACAATTATAAGAACACATTTGGGGAGGATAGTGTGTGGCTCGATATTCCGAAGAATGGTATGAGACGGTTGCGACTCAAGTGACTGTTGTCGCTGACTGATTGATAGTCATCTTCGTGGATAATACAGATCCTCATGCAGAGGAACTGGAGGCATCAATGCTCGCAAGTGATCGCAGTAGCCATGAGGCAATTGCCAATGAATGGAATCAACGAAACTCAATGTCCACCCCCAACGATACCGCTCTGGGTCTGAATGCCTTGTCAACTGCTGCCGCTGCACAGCAATCATATTTCCTTCAGGGCTCGTCTGTGGCATCACCTGAGACCCCCGGTCCACGCCATGCTTCCACCAGTAGCGACCTGCGCATCTCCTCGACTTCGACAACGCTTCATTCCCCTATCAAAGCTCTTAATGCGTTGCTTCCTCCGACTTCTCCGCCATTGTCTATTACTTCTTCCTCTAATAATAATAATAGTAATAATAATATCAATTTCCTACTCAATCCTTCGGTTTCCGGTTCGCCTCCCGTCGACCAGGGCTTGTCGACATCAATTGGGCGCAAGGATTCTACGTCATATCATTTGGGGACGGCGAGGCATCGAAGTGCCTTATCAAATGCACGACTGAGTGCGAAGGTAGAGACTGACCATGAGGTTGCTTTTTTGTTGAGACATTTCGCCGAGAATCCAGGATATTGGTAAGTAATTTACTTTACAGATACAGACTATGAGAATAGTACATTCTAAGTTTACAGGATGGACCTTTTCGATCTTGATTTTTATTTTTCATCACTGGTCCCCGTCAAAGCTCTATCAAACCCGCTACTCAAATACGCGGCCTGCGCCTACGCCGCAAAACAACTCAACCGAGTACGAGGCGCGAAAGCCATCATGGGTGGCAATTGCTCCAAACAAGCCTCCATGGAATTATGGCCCGATGCCGAGAATGTAGATTGGGAATGGTACGGCGCAAAATACTACGATAAGGCTATTCAATTACTCATGAGAGAATTGCAACATGACGCTGGAAGTCCGGCACCGTTGAGTACACCCGAAGCTTTCGGGCAATGGCAAGCCGCTGAACTGTGTGATGATGGTGGACGGGCGCGGAAAAGAAGGAGGCGGTTTTCGAATAGTCGCTTTTCTAGTTCTCATTCTGATGAGGTTCTGGCAGCAACGGCGATTCTTTCGGTATACGAATTCTTAGATGCTACTGGCCCTGCGTGGAATGGACACTTGAGTGGAGTGAAGTCTCTGCTTGACATTGCGGAAATTGGCATGATGCCTTTGGAACAGGGGTCTTCTCCGGCGGACGGTGTACTACCACTGAAGAGGCCAGGTTTGTCGCGCGCTCGGAGGGCAACTTTCTGGAATTTTGCCCGACAGGATTATATTTCTGCTTGTAAGATTTCCCTTTCATAATTATAAGCCTGGCCTGTCTCTAACACTGCCATCTAGTCATCAACGAAGGCCAAACACGACTAAACCCAGAAGATTTACTCCTCTGGACCGACGCTGGACTGCAACTCGATAGTAACGGATTCGTTGTCCCGAGCAACACCGACGCAGAAAGTACCATGAAGGAAGACATGATTTCGAATGCGTTGATATGGCTTCTATCGAAGATTGTCAATTTCATCGACGCCGGTGATCAGATTCAAGTATCCCCTGCCGGTGGTCCAAGCGAACAAGGCCCGATTGGCGTCTCACAAAACACCTTGTTAGAGCGCTGGTACAGGCTACACAGTGAACTAGATGCATGGTACCGTGGACTTCCGGACACGTTCCAACCATGCGCAAGGCTCGAGCCTGATCGACGCCCACAATTAGCCCCCGGCGTCGACGATGACTGTCCCTTTGCCGAAGTATGGTATAGCATGCCCATGTGCGCCTCCACTATGCAGCACTACCACATGGCCCGAATCATTCTCCTTATCAATAAACCGCACGAATCCACCGCTCGTCGAACGACGGTCACGAATAGATTAAAGTCCTATCGCTCGATCGAGAGTGAAATCAGGCTTCATAGTTATGAAATTTGTAATATTTCCATGTCGAGGATGGACGCTTCGTCGAGAATTCATTCTGTGCAGCCGCTTTTCGTCACGGGACAGTGTCTCACGGAGCCACGGGAACGGAGAACGATTTTCAATCTGCTAAGAGGTATAGAGGCGGATATGGGTTGGGCGACGGAGTACAGGGTGAAGCAGCTGTTGAAGGAGTGGGAGTGGGACGAAGCAGCCACCATGTCCTAACATCGAGTCGAGTGGAGCGACATTTCGATATGAAACATCAGTAACGACACTCAGCAAAGGCCCTTGAGTGCTGAGGTAGCTTGGCGACGCTTTCACAAGATCTCGGTCCTCGCATCGAGTCCAAACGCAAAGCGACAGACAAAGCGAACCCCCGAGGAATCCCTTCAATCTTTTGTAAATATTTTAACCCGAAACATAGATCAAAGACTGCATCTGACTTTCCATCTAAAGTCTATCTTTTCAATAATCGCCCTACCTTCTATATTCAATTCTGCGGGTGCGGAGATTCTACCCCACGCTCACCTTTCCAGGTTTGGTTGTGGAGATCCGCCAAACAGGAAAGTATGCCGAACTGGATCTTATGGGTTGACAGACTCGATAGCCACTTTGTCATCTTCAAACCTTGATTCAAGATACGCATAGCTACATGATAGACATGCGTTGCAATTTGCGGGGAAATGGCCGAATGGAGTGTGTCCCGCTAGACTTGCCCCAACTCTATATTTAAGGTCATGAGGGAGTGTACTTATAGAGGGAATCTCATCGATGGAAGCCCAAATCTCATCTTCAAATTCTCGATTTCAACCATCTATTCGTTGAGTACTAGTCAACATGGAACTAGACACAGACGTCCTCATCCTCGGTGCAGGCATGTCCGGCCTCAACTTCGCCATCCGCCTGCAACAAACCTACCCTTCAGCCTCCTACACCATAATAGAATCCACTGCCGACCTGGGCGGAACTTGGTCTGTAAACACATACCCTGGATGTGGCTGCGACGTCGCTTCCCATTTCTACTCATACTCCTTTACACTGAAGCCGGACTGGAGTCAGAAATTTGCGCTGCAGCGGGAAATATTGGATTATTTCCGGGATGTTGCGAGTAAGTTTGATGTTGTGAGGCATATAGAGTTTGAGTGTAGTGTTGAGAGGGCTGTTTGGGATGAGACATATGGGGTGTGGGTTTCTGATGTGCTGGATAAACGGACTGGAGTCACGAAAAAGGTTAGGAGTAAGGTTGTCGTTTCGGCGGTGGGCGCATTGTCGATACCCAGAGAATGTGAGATTGAGGGTGCAGACACTTTCAAGGGTGCTTTGTTTCATTCAGCGAGATGGGACCATGAGTTCGATTGGGGTGATAAGGAGGTCGTTGTCATCGGTACGCCTCTGTCTGTTCCTTCTTCGTCTGAGTAACAACACAACTAACGATGAGCAGGCAACGGCTGCAGCGCAACACAATTCGTCCCCATCCTCAGCAACGGAAGCACAAACCAAAACTACTTCAAACCACGCGCCCCAGTCAAAAGAGTAACCCAATTCGCGCGTCAACCGCACTGGCTCGCCGAACGACCCAATCCCATCTATTCCAGCTTCTTCAAATGGAGCATGCGGTACATCCCTCTCGCAATGCGCATGTACCGTTTCTGGCTATACGCAGACATGGAGAAAGATTTTTTCGGCTTTGATCTGCTGAAAGGTGTAAAAATTCGCCGGGATCTGACGAATGAGCGATTGGAGTATATGAAGCGCGCCGCACCGACAAAGTATCATGCTGCATTGACTCCGAACACGGAGATTGGATGTAAACGCAAGGTCAATGATACGGATTACTTCTCGTGTTTACACAATGAGAATATGGAGTTGGTATGGGATGATCCTGTTGTTACGGTGACGGAGACGGGTGTGCGTACCAAGTCCGGCAGGGAGGTTCGTGCGGACGCGATTATATTGGCGAATGGGTTTCAGACACAGAAGGTGCTGCATCCGTTGGATACGGAAATTAGAGGTGAAGGGGGTGTTAGCTTGGATGAACACGTTAGTCCCCTTTCTTCCTCTCTTCTGATTACAAAGGGATGATGTACTAACTGATAACAGTGGCAACAAGTCTCTAACGGCCATCCACAAGCTTACTACGGAACTTGCATATCACAATTCCCCAACTTCTTCGTCATGATGGGCCCCAACACCACCACGGGGCATCTATCGGTTATATACTCGACAGAATGCCAAGTAAACTTCAGTCTCCGCGTGCTCAAGCCCATTCTCCAGAAGCCTTCTTTACTCTCGCTATCACCAAAMCCCGCCAGTGTCGCTGTAACACTCGCAGCGGAGCAGAATGATAATACCTGGATTCAACGCCTGTCCAAGAATCTGGTCTGGTCCTCGGGGTGTACAAGCTGGTACATTGATACCAAGACTGGACGAAACACCATGCTCTATCCTGATTGGCAATTCAATTTCTGGCTGAGAAGTATCTTTGTGCCTGTTAAGCATGATTTTGTGTATAAGCAGAGCGCAAAAGAAGTTGCGCCTTCGCCATCTACCCGGAAGAACAAAAGGCGGAGTAAGCTGTTGTGGAACAGTGCGGTATTAGCTTCCCTTGTTGGGGCTGTGGGTTTGGGCGCTGGTATTGTGAGGGGGGATATCAAGGTCGATGAGATTGATGAGCTGGTAAAAAGGGTATCGAGCGAGTTTAGGGGGGCGAGTGGGGAGGTTCATAACTTTTTGACTTTCAAGGTATAGACTCCTAGACTAGCTTTGGTATAATTGCTTTGTTCTTGCTCTCATAATCGTGATTCATCATATTCAAGTCTATATGAGCATGGCGTACATAACAGTATTAATGCAACCTCCTCAGAGCCTCGATCATCTTCTGCACCGACTCCAAATCACCACTTCCAACAACGCCTAGTATTTCTTCTTGAACGGCTGTGTCGCAGTCCAAGAATCGTTCAATGAGTTCTCCATCGACAAATCGGAAGGGTTCCTCGGCCTCGCGCACAGTCGACCGGAAAGCTCTGAACTTGTTGAATGGCATCGATCCTGGAGAATCGACGTAGGCTGAGATGGCTCCTTGAAGTCGCATCAGGAAGTCTTGATGCTCTGGTCGAATCAATGCGAAGAGATATATTGATCCTTCGACCTATAAAAATTAGCATCATCAAATTGCCTGTTACTGGGCAAGATTTACCGTTCCCAAGAATGCTTTTGGAGTAACCGCCATGGTCGATGTTTGAGGGATATTCACTGGTCGAATTCGGTTGACCATCTCGCCCAAAAGTAGCTCACTAGTCACTTCTAGTCGTCGCCGATCTTCCTCCGTTATACCATCGACGTTGCGACGAAGGACGATCAGATTMCCTTCTGCATCACTGACAAGCCATTGATTCAATCCGATATCTGCCACAGCCGTAGTCCATACAGTCGCAAAATGACGGGCGACTTCCTTTGCTTCAATCGTCAGAGCATCAGTTTTTTGAGCCTCAACAATAGATATACTCTTCATCAAATCGGCAATCACGATCGTTTTATCGGTCACAGAAATATCAATAGGAGCGGTTGATGTGCGGTAGGTGGCAACTTTCTGTAGTGAGTATCTTCCTGTTTGTGGTTGCCCTTTTACCTCGAAGATGACCACCTGCAAATCATTAGTTTACGTACATGTCCAGTGCTGGGGTTGATTCACGGTTTTGACAAGTGCTGCAATGATATATTCACCCATCATAGCCAATGCTCGACAGGCTCCCTTTAACGAATGCTCCAGAAACAATGATAGTTTCCTATTGGAATCAACTTCAAAAAGCAGAATACGGCCACGTATCGACTCTGCTGTCTCCTCGTCCACATATACCGTCCCGACAATAAATCTATCTTTGTAGATAGGTTCATCATACCTATCCTTGCCAACGACCATTTGAGCACGGATGACACTCTCAACAAGCTCGTCCTGCTTCAAGTCGAACGAATCTAGCTTTCTGAACATGATCTCATCAGCGAGCACAAATTGGCTTTCAACAATTTCAGCTCCGTCTTCTAATCGACGTTTGATACTACCAATTCCGAACGCCTGTTCTGTTGGGGAATATGCTATCCTTCGGACAGTTGCTTCGATGGGTAATGTTTGGATTTGGGTTGTGCGTTCTTTGTCGACAAGAGCGATCTTGAGATCTTTTGATGTTGCGACTGCAATAGCATCTGGATAGGCCTCCGCGTTGAAATGACAAACACGGGAAGCACCTTCTGAGTTCACGGCCGAGTAGATAATCCGCCCTTCAGAAGCATATATCAAACTTGGGTGTTCGGATGTGGTAAACACGTTGTAGAGTCCATCACCTCGAGGAAGTTTCTTGAATGTCGGCTGCTCTGATCCAAGAATCAACTTGTTCGTACCGATCAGAGAATGTTTTTTGGAATCATAAGAGAAAGTCACGACACTGCCATCCGCCATGGAAACAAACAATGTCGAAGGACTGTCTGCGAGAATTTCTGCTAAAAGAACGGCTCSCGGGAAAGCTTCACTAGCGACGCCCAGCGATTGACTATGTAGCTCTTCGAAACCTTGTAATGAGAGAACGGCCACTTGGGCCTTTTGTGGGAAAGCGGCGATGCAGACTTGCGATGGTGCTGGTGGAATGGTGACTCCTGACACTTGGTTGTCTTTACCAAAATCCTTCTGGGTTAGGACCTTTAGATCACCAGTAATATCTAGAGTGGCTAAAACTTGTCCACCAGTCACGACAACTAGTCGCTCATCATTGCATGCCGCAGAAGTAATCATCTGGCCATCTGGTGACCATTTTGATGTGACCATGCCACTGTCTGTATCGGCTATGCTCACGCCACTTTCTGTAACATGAATGACACGGCCACTGGGCAAGTTGCTCGAAAGAAGAGTATTTTCTGCCAGATTCAGACCAAGGAAATCATCCAGCTCTTCCACCTCACCATCCGAACTGAATCGAAAGACTCTGGTCTCGTTGACGAAGGTGACCACCAAGGTGTCTGAAAAATCACCTGGGCTAGAAATCTGCAATGCCCACATGTCCGTAATATGTTCCATCTCGCCTAAAACACCTAATTCTTCCATGCCTACGCCACTTCGAACACTTCGCAGAGTGCCATCGTTGAAAGCACCTGAACCCGTGACGATACGAGCTTGGCCTGACGAGAATTCATGAGTATGATTCTCGCCTTCGCGTGTACCGAGGTCCATGATAGTGAAATCTAAGATTGGAGCAATATTCGATATCGTCTGAATAATCTCAAAGGAACCCTCACTGATTCGAATGACCTGAGAGTCGCCTTGATGCGACCCAACAAAAGTCATTCCAGCGCCTAAATAGATGAGAACAGATGCCCTTGACGCCTCGCCAAGATAGTCCAGCTTCCAGCCTTCTACTTCGTTTTGAGAATCCAGGACCAACATCAGGAAGAACAAACGACCGTAGTCGTCGGCTAGGAGCCATCGCTGACCGTCCACTTGCACCCATGCAACAAAGATCGTAGCTTCATCAAGCGGTCTCGAAATTGTTTCGTTCTTAGCGTCGTCGATATACTTAATGCACGTCTCCCCGAGAACCAGTAATCCACCTATATTGTCAGTAAAGCCCGCCTCACTACCAAAGGACAACAACTCACCCAACGGAGCAGGAACAGGAATCAAATGTGACGCTCCCAGATCCAACTCCTCCGTAAAATCCTCAGTGTCCTGAAAAACCGGTTCCGCAGACGCCTCAAAAGACAATTCCCGAATCTTCAACTTCACTTTCCGCTGATTATTCTCATGCAGTAGCGCTAATCGAGGATGTGCTTTGCTCTCCACATGCAAGAATGCCGACGACCGAACCATCAACTCATCTATCCGCGTCATCATGGGTTCACCCAATTCTCCGATCTGCGGCGTAGGTTCGTCGGGGTTACTGTAATGCGACGTTTTCAAGACGGGTGGTTTGCCTCGTTTCTTGTGTGGTTGAATGATGGGTAGAACCGTGATGATACCCTCAAAAATCTCTAGCGTCATGTATTTCCCACTCGGATCGATCAAACACCGGTCACCGTTTTGACAGGCTCGTGAGGCCTTGTCAGCGAGATCTACGTAGCTTCGCTCCGTGCGGACTCTTCTCTTCTCGCTGTCCCATTTCAGTGTAAAGTATGTGTTTAAGTCTGTGCCGACAAAGAGATGGTCTGTTGTTGAGTTGGCGGGGGTCGGTAGCCGGGCCAGCATCGAGACTTTAGCGTATAGAGCGCGAGAGGTGGTAAGTGCGAGGCCATCGGGGGTTATGGAGTAGAACTCAAGGCGGGCTCCTTTCCTACAAAGAATATATCAGTACGGCAGGGCAAGTCGGGGAGAATTGACAGTCATACGCGACAACGAGACAATCTTCTTCTGGCTCGAGAAAGTTGAGCTTCAGCGCGTGCCGCACGCTGCTGGCACGATGAATTGGGACGACGTAGGCCATGACTGAGATATAATGGCACTGATGAGGACTAGATCAGCACTGTTCGAGATTGATGTGTGTTATTCGTCGGTCTGATGTCGAAGGAATGATCGTCTATCCTGTACTGAGGACCTAGGTCACGTCGTGAGGCCTTACCAACGCAGCCCGCAGCAGTGATCAATCTGGTGCCAGTAAGAAATAGAATCGAAGTTCCTGTCAGACACTCGATGCGACAAAAGAAAGGAGCGTGCTAGTAGAGTTGATAAGCATTGAAACAGCTGGAAGGTGCTAAGCAAGTTGTTGCACGGAAGGAAGACTCCGCCGCTAAATTTACCATGACGTTCGCTCCACTCGTTAACTCCGAATCTTTAATTTCTATAGTCTTTAAATCTTCCCGGGCGATATGAACAAAAATAAAAATCAATTTGACTATAAACTGCAAAGCTTAATACAAATGAGATGTGCAAACTCCGATCCAGTCCATCGCCCAATGCACGCACTAAATGCCCGAAGAAAAGAAGAAACAGCCAATTTTGAGACCAAGGATGTGAACATCGTTGTACTTGAGTGACATCACCGACGAGAAATATCGCTCAAGTACTTGTAAACAACCGAAAAGTCCTTTCCAGGATGAATATCCTCAACGGCCTCGTATAGACCGCGTGCAGTAGCAGCCAATTCCAAGGGCGCGCCTGATTCTTGGGCGGCGTCAATCGCAAGCTTCAAATCTTTGCGCATCAATCCAATCCCAAATCCGCCCTCGTAACCACGGCTAGCGGGGGACTTCTCAACAACGCCAGGAACGGGATTGTTGACTTCACTAGGCCAGCAACGACCAGTCGAGGAATTAATCATCTCAGCTAGCACTTTCGGATCCAATCCCCATCGAATACCGAGATTCATGGCTTCGGCGACGGCAATATTGTTGATTGCGAGGATGTAGTTGTTAGCCAACTTGCCGCTCACACCCGTTCCTTGCTCACCCAAATGCCAGGTCTTCTTGCCCATGAGTGCGAGAATGGACTTGACGCGCTCAATCAGAGCACCTGTTTTGGACGAGGCGCCGAACATGAACGAAAGAGTCCCGGCTTCGGCGGCAACTACACCGCCGGACATAGGCGCATCGACGAAGCGGCCTTGCTTGGGCGCTTGGACGGCGTAGGCGACTTCTTTAGAGGTGACGGGGTCGATGGTGGAGCAGTCGATGAAGAGACGTTCTTGTTCAAGCTGGGGGAGAGGACCTGGCTTGAGGATGGAGTGGAAAACGTGTCGAACATGGACTGGCTGCGGGAGACTGGTGATGATATTTGTCTGCATTGTGTCAGTAGGAGCTTTAAGTCATACCAATGGTGTGCAATAGGCTTACTGATTTTTCAGCCAATGTTCTGGCGCTGTCAGTAAACTCGACAGGACCGGTGCTAGCTGTCTTGGCCTCGTCGACGAATTGGCGCATAGCTTGTTCATTGACATCGTGCACGATCAGGGTATCTGACGCAGGTATTTTGGCGCGTAGATTCTTTGCCATGGGATAGCCTATTGTCGTCAGGTATTCAAGAACTTGACTATAGTAACGCAAAAGCGATCAGATAAGCGCATGAACATACCCATGCGACCAAGTCCAATAAATCCCCAGGTAGCATCTCGTTGCAACGAAGTCGAGAAAAGTCGTTGCGCGCGAGAGGCGGTCTTGATAGATTTCCCCAGATGGAGAGCACGTGCGGGGGTCATTGTGTCGTGTGAGACTTTACAATCATACAGAAGAGGAATCTATTCAAGATATAGGTGTTGAGAGTGTCGTCAAACAGTGAGAATTGGAGAAGGAGGGAAAAGAGCTGAGAAAGAAAATGGGGAAAGAGAGAAGGAAAGAGCAGGCGACCACACGACCTTTGTAGCTCACGTCCGTCCTCCATACATTACTACGATTACAGCGCGGGGACACCCAATCACAAGTCAAATATTGCATAGATTTCAGGAACCAAGATTTCCGATGACTCTACCTTACTACTTTCTATCCTAAAACGGGTATAACAGCCTCGGGCATCCTTGAAGATATTGGCTAATTGCGAGTTGATGCGGGGACAGGCGCGGGTCAGTCTGCTCCGTTACTGCGACTGTCAGTACGTAGTTCATTATTATGAGGGAGAATGATAACAGACATGGGGTTTCCGGTYCCTGCCGATACACGGTTTTCACATGTACGGAGAATAGTTCAACTGTTGATAGTTTGAGTATAGTATCAACTAAAAATAATACGATTCGTAACTTGAATTTCAATCATTTCGTAACTTGAGAGGATAGTATGCGGGGATTCCGGAGAAGAAGTTGGGGATGCGGGCCTCACTGCCTCAGGCTGCCGGGTTGCTGCCTCAGAGTTCAGGCCACGATGGGTAGTGTCGGCTGGACGCGGCTATGCCTCGGACCGGAGGAAGAGGAACATACTGAATAGCATTGTGATATATAGATATACATGAACGCTCTCATTAATACTAATACATACAGACAGTACACCTATTATATGCACAGAAATCTATTCAAACATCAAACAATCAGAAGAAATGGGGATCTCAGGTCTAAATCTTCTGTACATTAATCACGCTCCATTCGTCATGCTCCTCCCGGTGCACCCGCCTGGCCCGGAGACGTTGGACTACTCACAGACCCCGTAAGATACTCTGCCGGGACCTTCGGTACCCTCGGCGAGTTCGCTGTCTGCGCAACTGCGCGCTGGTGAGCGCGTAGTAGATCTCGCTGTCGCTCCTTTTCGCGGCTTGAGGCTGTGCCGCCGGTGAGACGCCGCATGCCGCTGCGTATCATAGATTCCAAGGATGATGTCCCCTCCGAGCCTTTTCGGGCGAGACTTGTTGCCTGTGTGCTCCGTGATGTTGACGGGTGTAGACCTGCGCGTTCATCGATGTCGGAGAAGCTTTCTTCGACTTCGCTGTCGGACAATAAAGTTGACTCCATGATAGGATGAGGCGACAAGCTAGTAGCTGACAAACTCGGGGTGTGATTGACCAGGTGGTTGGCTGGTGACGTTACAGATCGACTGTGCATCACAGGTCGCAATGCGCCACCAGGTGCAGAGGTAGGCGCCGGACCAAGGGCAGGCGAAGTCATTTGAAACAGCCCGTCAAGTCTAGTCGGTGGTCGTGATGTCTCAGCAAGACCATTATGAAATGACGACGACGAGGGTGTTCGAGCAAGAGACTTGCGAAGAATGGGTGCCGTCTGTTGATCGTAGAGACTGGCCGATGTATCTGCAAAGCTACCAGGATAGCCACGCATCTCAGAGAAAGAATTCATGGACGGTGTTTGGAACCCAAAATCGTCCTCATCGAAGAAGTCATCTAGGCTGTCCAATCGCTGAACAATCTCACCCATGTTCCCGTCAGTCTGCGTGTCAATGGACTTCATAGTATCTGTCCGCATTGATGACGGGTAGAAGGACTCGCTATAATCCTCAGTACTAAACTCAACATCCGGGGTCGCCACTCTTTGCGCTTCCATACGATCAGCTTCTGCGCAAGTATAAAACACGGCGTGGACATTGTGACGTGTAGTAGCTGACTGTGCAGCTGGTATAGGAATAGACCATCCTGTAGGTTCTGGGATACCGTACAGGCTCTGTATCCGCTCGTATTGCTTCCTAATTGCCCGAGAAGATGACGACGACGCCATACTCATTCGCAAGTGATGTTTTTCCATTGGATTACCTGAAACAGTCATGATATGATCCATGACTTCAAGTGCTTGAGGGCATAACTCCGTCTGGAGCAATCTCAAAAGGGGAGAAATCAAGTCTGGACCATGCGAAGTAATCTCGGTTCGTCGCATGTCCATCTCTGGAATCAAGACACTCAAAATACTCAGTGTCTTGACTCGAAACCACTGCGTAGCATTCGTCAAGCAGCCCATCACGAACACTAGACTCTGTACCTCCTGCGCAGGGAAGTAGTACGAGCATATTTCTGAAATGATATGCTGGAGAAAGTCTTGTTCCTTTTTCCACTGCGCGTTAGCAAAGCCTACCAAACAGGCAGCTAGTCGTTCATAGCCTTGTCGATCAGCTACTTGACCTAATAGATTCGCTCTCTCCATAATCTTCGGATCATTTGATCCTGCATCGAACTGATGAAGAAAATGCGGTATATTGGCCAGAATCGTGAATAGTAAACGATTACTCTCGCCCACAAGTACATTATCCGGCAGAGGCGTGAGTCGGTGCAGCAGACTCAAAGTTTCGTTAAAAGATTCTGAAGACTTCAGACCCTTGTAAACTAGGTCCTGAATGCCAGTAAATGCTCCCTCCCATCGAGGAGGCTGCGCGCCACTTAATGTAGCCACGACGTTGGGATCACCCATGTCAATTTTATCGAGCAGTTTCTCAAGCATTCCAATACTTTCCATGAACTCAACCTCGTGTATAGTGTTCAAACAAGCACACGTAGTCCAGAAGAGCTGAGGATATTGCATTAGATCAGCTGGTGCCAACGATTTGATTATGACCTTTAAGGTGGTGAGTATCTCCATGGAAAACGTCTGATAGTCCGTTTCCTCATCGGCTATTGTATTGGACAGCCGCGCGAGCATATCTGCCAGCATCTTTGAATCCAAAGATTTCGAAATGCATCGGAAAAGCTGGAAAGAGCGGCAAGCTAGATGGCGGACAGGACACGATGTGGCCCAATTCAAAGCTTCCTTGGACCAGTGATCACTAATATCCTCGTGAACGAGGTTCAAGAATTGCACAACCTGTCGCGTCACGAAAGTCATAGCAGGTGGAACGCGAGTACCATCGTCTTCATCTTTACCATGGTTATCCTCGTATTCCCAGATGACCGATGCATCGCTCTTACGGATTGAGTCGACAAAATGCTCAATGGCTTGTCGTGCTTCGGTGGATACCTCATCCAGAAGCTTAGAAGAGACGAGCTCGTGAATGAGGTGAACGAGCATTTCCCGAGCCTGCTCCTGCACCGTGAAGGTGTAATGATCCCATAAGATTAGGACAACGTGTAAAAGCTTGATCACATCTTGTACGGCCAGATTAACAGGGCCAACGATCAAATCCACCAGGAAGATCATCGAAAGCTGTCCCATCGATAAGCCAGCCTGAGTTTCTTTGTTAGCAACCAATATTTCTGGTATAGTGCACGTCGAATATCTTACCTGCTTATTACCAATTGGTAAAATCTCATTCAGGTTAGCGACGTAGGGTAGTCCTCGGCAATCTGGCGTTGATTCAACCTCATCTTTCCGCTCTTGTATCATATACTTTGGTGCGACGTGGAGCAAGAAGAATTCAATAACTTTGGAGCCTGCCGGAGTGGAAGACAAGAACACAACAATTTGCTTAGCATATTCAACAAAATTCTGTTCTTTCCGTTCCAAACACAGATTGATGATGAAATCAAGGATAACTTGGACATTTCCTCCATGAGGCCCGGTAGCCAGTGACTGCCAAAGAGCTTGCACTTCGTTAGGGAGGAGTTTGCATCGGATGATAGTGATCTCAAGCATATTGACGAGAAGCATATACGACCGCGGAGTAGGTTGTTGATTAGGGTCGACCTGCAGCTCCATTGCTTGAACCCAAGGCAGGATCGCTGTCACGACGTTTCGTTGGTCATCAGTTGACATGGTTTGGGTGAAATGCCTTGAAAATTCGGAGAATATGAGAAAGCCAATATCAGAATATTGCGATGCGAGCCGCTTCGAAATCTCAAATTGAGCGAGTTTGTAGACCGCTGTCGTCTTATCAGAAAGACTGATATCGAAATCTTGGAGCCGAGAATTCTTCTGCTGGCGTTCTTCCAGAATGCGGATAAGCTTTACTGCCTTCATGCGAATATCCCTCTTCTCATTGCCCAGCATGTACATGACAACCGCAACTATTCTCCAGAATGCCACTGCATAGTCAGTTTCCTCTATAAGGACTTGATTGACAACTTCGAAATAGCTTTCAAGAGCCTTGTCCCCAAGACGCCTGTCTCGGTCAACACCGTAGCACAGATCTATCATGCGTTCGAGTAGAAACGGATACTCTTTGTTATGAGTAATGAGGTTTTTCAACGCCCGTCGACCAATAGCATGCAGCTTGTCACTGACGGTCTCGAAGATACTGCCGATCCAGACCAGCATTCGGCCCACATCGAATTGAAGAATTGACCCGCCTTCTGTCGTCGTGCTTATTGGTCCAGCCTATACAAAAGTTAGTTTCTTCGACCAGATCGGTTTAATGGATTTCACCTTACACATAACGACGACATTGCGCTCAGCGCCGCAGATTGGAGGTTCTTCTTCTCAATTTCTATCAAGGCTGCCGGGTTTCTCAAATCATTTGGGTCGTTGTGTTGCGCAATGGCAAATCGTCTCATACTGTCTTCTCTTTGAGCAATTTGGGCCTGACTTGGCGAGTAACCGCACCAGCCTTCCATCAAGGAAAAAGCAGACTTCCGAGACTCGAATGGCATCCAGCGAGATGGTTCTTTAGTACGGTTGATACCTTCAAAAAGCTCTTCCATCAGTCCGCAGTAATGATAACGCAGGCGTTGAAACTCCCAGTCATTCTGTACTTCCGCGTCGCTAAGAAATAGGCGCAGGTCTTTTGAATAAGTTACCAAATTATTGACGATCCAATCGTCATTGAATATTTCCGCTTCTCTGAGAAAAGTAGACGTAAGTTTATACACATGGGTGACCTCAGTTCGTAGCCGATCTGTCTTGCGACTGCGACGAGGACTGCTTGGAGTGCGATTATGAGTGCCGATGCGCAGTTTTGCCTCTTCGTTGCATGTCGTCACTGCATATTGCAAAGATTCAAGAAGAGTCCTATATAAAGCCTTGTTGATCGAGCCCAGTGCTGCAACAATGGCTTCTCTTATCGAATCAAGTGAAGCAGAGAGTAACGGGATCACAAATGCAAAAAGGGCTCGAGCGGAACCGATTTTGTCCTGTGCGGTCTGGGTTCCTTTGGACGTTCTGCGTGCGTGTTCTGCATTCGCTAGTTGGCTCTGAGATTGGGCCCCAACGTTGCTCAGCGTGGTACAAGCCATCAAAAGATAAAGTTTCCATTGCTCGATCATGATCTCCGCCGGCGATCTAGCTCGGCCTAAAGATCGTCCTTGTGCCATGTCAAAAGTTGCATATTGCTGCAGTCGTTGGCTCTCTGCTAAAGCAGTTATGTTTCTGTGCATCTGTACAAGCCTAGCGCACACGATTTCTCGAGCGAGCGTGACTGCAACAGGACACGTATCGAAACTGACACGAATGATATTTGGAAACACCTTGACCCACAGGCTGGAATCGTAAGAAACATCGCTACTACACAGTTCGATCAGCGTGTTTTGTGAAGTGCTTCTTCGCTTCCCTTTTTGCAGACGACTTCGCTCTGCGACTGTCAAGTGTTCGTCGTTGAGGTCCATAATATGATGCGAATCTGCTTCAAGGATTCGAATTATCCTAGTGTTTTCCTTGCCGAGCGCACTGTCAAACTCTGTGACGAGTCGAAGCACGGAGATAGCAAAGCGGCGGACCCTGCGAGACTGGGAGCACAAGAAGAAAATACCGTGTGCTTCAATCTCCTCGACGTAGGCTAGTACGCTAGAAAGATCGAGTTGCAAAGCCCGGGTACCGGAGCTAGCACTATTTTCCGCCTGGTCAGTTGCGATATCTTTTGTCTTCTGCTGGATTTCTTCAATCCAAATATGTAAAAGCTCAACATATAACGTCAAAGTAGATTCGATATGACCCGGTCCAAGCATTCCTTCATCCGACATAGTCGAATACCGGGCATCAAAGTTGAATATGAAACGTGCAAATCCGATAGTGACCTGCTGAGCATGCATCTGCCGTGCTATTGATTTCAGAGACTCTGCCGAGGATCTGGCTATATTGGGCTGCACGTGTGCCGTTCCTGTGCAAAGAAGGTTGATAAGAGAGTTGAAGGGTATATGGTCGGACAAGCATCTAGGAAGTACTTGGACAGCAACATGAAGGAGATCGTAGAAGCTTTGCCTTTGTTCAACGAGGCTCGCATGGTCATCGCGTCTACCGAAACTAAAAGCTTCCGATATGGGAGTCTTGGGTGTAGAGCCGCTGAATTTTTCATCAAGAGCTGCTTGTCCACCAAAGGTATTGTCGCACAGAATGGTAATTTTACCTAAGATCTCACAAAATTGCACGTAGTAGTCCTTTGCTACTTCGTTGAGTTTGGAAACATCGACTGGGCATGATAAGTTTGAAGGGTCCGAGACGACTGCGCGAGGTTTCGGATCTGCTAGGAGTTGTGGCCGAGGTGGAAGTAAGAAATTGGGAATATCGACAAAGTGGGTGGAAATAGGACCAGCTGGAAAAGGCGGGTATAATTGGTCGCCATTTTCAAGATCGCACATGATTGAAAGAAATGATCGAATTCCTACCACCATTTTCTCTGGCTCCATTTGTTCTATTTTCAGTTCTCTTCCTGAAAGGAAAAGATCTGAGTTTATAAGAGGAAATATAATGTTGCGGAAACATAGATCTGGGAGCTTGAATCCTATCATTCGAATCAGCTGGATCAAAGGATCAGCCACGGAGGGCTCTGTTGTAAGGTAGGTCCTCCTTCCTGGCGGCAGCGCAACTCGAATGACTTCGTCGACTCGTTTGAGGGTGATATTAGGGGAGTCTGGGTATCGAAAAAGATATGTCCATAACAATCGACATAGAGCTTGAAGTGCCAGACCTCGAGTCGGCCGATCTCTGAGACGTGCCGGCAAATTCAGTGCAATGGAAAGCCACTGATTAGCGAAGGCATCCTTGGAAGAAACACAGAGCAAGATTGTTTGCAAGGGGAACGCAGTCATCCAATGCCGGGGTTTCGCAATCATCTGTAAAAGCCGTGGACTTATTATTTCCAAAAAGTCCTTCCACAGCGGATGGCCCACGTCGCATGCGGGATTGGCGGCAATAGAGATCAGAACTTTCTCAATGATATAGCAATAGGCTTGTTTGACTCGCTGCCCGTGGGCGTTGACAAACAGTCGGGCCAAGGACCTCATGTATTCGCACGACCTGATCCACGCCTCTTCAGGATATGTTTTGATACTGAAATGCCGCATGCCCAAGATCAACAATTCTGCCTTCGCATCAAGCTCTCTCGTCTGACCTCGCATGGCAGCATCTTTCTGATACCGTTCAAGCTCATTGATGAAGCGCGTCGTGACACTAGTGAAATTGATCTCACTCATCTTTCCCAGCAGTTGGCCGTAAATTCTCCAATTTGCCATACGTAGCGGCGAGGCTGCTATTTGTTCCGGATCAACCGCCTTCAGTTGCCCGAAGACGATATCTTCCAGGCGCTCTGTCATTTCAGTGCCGATCGCCTCGACAGTACTTTGGTTGAATATCTCAATCAACACCCGACACACGAGGTATACCGAAACAGTTGCTCGACGCTCGAGTAGTTGAACCCCATCCTTCTGTATAGAAGCCGGCGGGGCGTTCTCTGAACCCAGATCCGACTCCGAGGTCGCTGGTTGAATGGGCTCTGTGTTTCGACGAAGAAGCGGTCCATTTTCGGTGCTTTGCAGTTTCTATATCGAATTCTATCAGTTTTATTTTTTTTTTTATTGCAGATATCAATGATATCATAGTTAAGGTCGTTACCTGAGGATTCTTGGCTAAAGTAGCGGCTTCGCCTTTGGCCCTCCGCCATAGCATAATAGTATCAATCAGAGGTTTTGGTTTGCTGCGCGCGATGTGTCCCAAAGCAGAAATGAGCTGGTCGAAAACAGGATCTGCACCTTCCCCGCAGACCTCTTCTACCGGTGTCTCGACTTCGCCGACTTTGACGATGCTTTGGTTGATTTTGTTGTCCGCGTAGGCGACGAACTATTGCAAGCGATCTCATCAGCAAGGATAGAGGTATAGTCAGGAGTTATGGACTTACAGAATTAAAGAGATGATGCAGAGCATATTCGCCAACCGTTTTCGCTTCTTGATGATGTTTCGAGTGTGCGCGACTGTGTGAATGCTCTCGTCGCAGCTTACTATTTGACGGCATCTTCTTGTGGATAGAGCTGCTGCTTCTCGTCACCGTCTGTCCCAGCGTCAAGAGTTCATCGTCATCTTGAATGGTACTAAGACCGCTGGCCGGAGGCGCTGGGCCATTATTTCCATTGGCTGGGAATTTCAAGATGGGCTCTGAGTCTTCGGCACGGTTGGTAAACATGTGCTCTGATCCCAGAGATATACCGGCCATGCTACCTGATCCTGCAGACGCAATAATTTCCGGGCTTAAAGGGCCCGCGGACGTCGGTGTATAGCTTGGGCTGCGCGAATGTTGGATGCCATGGACAATCGATGTTTTGCGATGATGGCCGTAAGAGGATAGAGAAGGTTTGCGCTCGATAACACCGTCTGAACGACCGGCATTGGATTCAGGACTTTTGGATTGAGATTGGCCGCGACTGCGTGATTGTGGTTGAAGCGTCGTCAGACCGCGACCGGATGTATCGAGAGGTCTTCCCCTAGGACCCGAAACAGATGAGTCCCTACTGTGCATACCGGCGACAGCGTGGGAGGAGACATTTCTCGGCGTCAATCGATCTGAGGGAGGGGTGGGAGTATGGTGCGACGTTATAGGAGTCTCATCGGGACCGAGGGGTATGGTTGTCTGAAGTGGCGCGGCTGTCCGACCCGGTTGGGGAGCTGTTCAAACATTAGACCAATCCATCGATATATATCTGTAACAATGTCTTGAAAGGATGTGAAATGCTCGATGGAAGCGCGACGTTGTGTACGCGCGATGAGATCACACTCTGGACGGAAGAAAGTCGTACGCACCGTTAGGCTGCTGCATATTCAAAATGCTTCAAGCCTCTCAGCAGAACCGAGCATTGTAGATGGGGCTAGATTTCATAAGCGACTAGCATCCATGAAGCAATATTGAAGTAAAATAAAATCAATATGAATTTATTCAGACCAAGAAGGAATAGTTCTTGTCTTGGGTAGTAAGACGGAGTTAAGGCGGCTAGGCTCGCGGTAGCTTCGGGCGGTGGGTTGGTCGCCGCAGCAATAAGCTTATTTAGCCCGCTCACCTGTCTACGATCTCACCTCTCATCAGCTACTGTAACTACTTGTATGTTGATATCAATTCGTTGCCTTCGGTGTCTTTCTATTTTGCTTGCTTAAATAACTGATTTTTGAAACGATATGGGTTGCATTTTCAGCTCCTCTGTGCTGCTGTGCTACACGAAACACTACTAGGGCTCTGGAGGGCCTATACCACGCCTATCGTCTTAGCTTCACCGCCACGTGGAAACTGCATGTCCAGAGCAAGCATCCCTGTCAAGCCTGCAGCCAGATTGTTTTCACATCTGCCATTCTGATGCTATCTCTTAACAGTGGTCAATAGCAGTGATTTATGGGCTTCACCTTGCACGCACGTTGGAAGGGAGCCAGCATCAACCTACAACTACCTCGGAAATACTGGGAGTTAATACGACCTCGGAGAATTTATGACTTTCTTATCTTCAAGCTTCATTGTGATACATGATACATGACTTTCACTCTCTCTGGCCTAGATATGCAACCAGCGTGCTTTCACTGCTTCCGCCTCGTTCAGGGCAGACACTGAGAGTACCACTGATTCTCCGCTTGACAGGTGGAACCCGCTGCACAAMCCGTCGCGCCAGTCCAGCCACTTCCGCCGCATTGCCCGTAGACGGTCTGCGTAGCGCCAGCTGATGTCGATGTCGATGTCGACGTCGACGTACCCGTCGATGTATGTGTAGGAGAAGTCGAAGATGAGCTGCTAGAACCACCTCCGCTTGTCAACCCAACAGGCGTGACATCCGTAGCGGTTTCTCCATAGCACACGCACGTTTCCCAATCCGAGGTCGCTTGTCCAGGGCACGCAACAGGTTCGAAGTTGACTACGACGTTGTCGCCAAATATTTCGCTCTGTGCCATGATATCGAAGTGGTAGCTATATCCGTACTGGTTGGTGCCCCCGACCTGTGGACACCATTGCTGGTTACCATTGTATGGGCAGAGGTTGGTGACCATGACGATGATGCTCTCGCCAGCCACACCACCAAGGCCACAACCATTGCAAGGCGAGCTGCCTGTTGACGTGAGATTATAGCATTTTCCGCATCCAGCGCCGCACCAGGTAGCACCGGCGGTATCGTAGAGGGCTTGGGATCCAGCAGCAGTGTACACACCGCTGCTTATCCCGAGCTATGAAGTGTAAGTCAGTTGGAAATAGTTCAGGTCTTTTGAAAGCATCGAAGACCAACCTGCCACGAATCTATGCCGGAGCTGGTGCCGCAGCCACAAGCGCCCTCTTGTCCATCATAGTAGCGCTTTACCTTTGTTAGTGGAGATCCCGCTATATTCATGGAATAAAACACTTGCAGTTGTTGTCGCTAGATATGCGTATGCCGTCCCTACCAGCGCAGGAAGAAGTGCGAGATAACCCAGCTTCATTTTGATCGTCTATGTAGGTAATTTCTGACTTGAGCCGAAAATTACTTCAAGAAACGAAACAGGTTTTCAGACGGTAAGAGGTAAAGCATTGGAAGTTGCCGAAGTATTTAACATGCTATATATCGATCGATAATATAACAAGTCTGGGGAAAGCATCGCGGAGTTCATGCAATATTTTGTCGTCGATCCTGAGGTACGATATTCCCCTAGCGCGCATCCAAGCGGAACGTCGGGAAAGACTCATGATTTTCTTCAGCCACAGATCTTGTCAGCAACCCCAGACTCTTTTTTGACATACTAAGACTATTTGGTGTTGCGGTGATCAGTCTGAGTCCCATAGCATCTCAAACAAAAGCTATTCTGCAGGAATGATGGCTTGCTCACTTACATCATCTGCGTCATTATCTTCACCTCAACTTCACATCTTCGACGTATGTCTTGGTCTTTCAGCATTATGAATGTTGGTAGCACTCGCAGATTTTATAGCGACCAATGGATTTTTCCATATATCACACATGTTTGACGGTATATGCCATCCTCAAGTCGAAGTCACGGGTTCCTCACCTTCAAGGCTGCCACTCGTCGCCAGACCGGCCCTCATACAACCATTCATGCCAAATATTCTGTCCAATCCGTGCTATGACCCGTCATAGCATCAACGGGCTGAAAGTTTTAAAGTGCGACTAACTGGGCATATGCCACGATGCGATCTCGGTCATCGACGAAGGGTACGTTCGTACGTCGATCACATTTTTGTCGTAGATTAGTATACCTACTCCATTCTGATCCTTGGTGGGTACTGCTACCATACAGAATTGCGTCACTCATATATGCATTGTTATCGACTCGTGGTTGTGAGTGCTCTCAAAGGCGTTGCTATTGTAGCGCGCTCTAAAGATACTTGTATTCAACGACCGTATCAAGACAGGTAGGTAAAAGACAGGAGCAGTCAATTGTAAAGGGACCGATTTCGTGAGGTCTAAGCGACGTCAGACCTAATGCTGCAGTATGTAAGCGGAAAAGGGACAGCATCCAATTCTGTATGTCTATCATCTATACTTTATATTATCCAACACGTTGAGGAACCAGACAGCAAGCTATCTGGCCTCCAAAAAAGTATCCTCCACGCACCTATTGACTTCACTTTGACCACCCAAGCTTGGAGTAGTTCTTTTCAACCGAGACACCCCGCCCTTGATAACGAAGTATCGCTACCCGTGGCATGAGATAAAACGAAGAGGAATAGAAAGTGAAGTAGTTGATAATTAAGATCACGGTCCAGCCGGCTTGTAAGTATTGTTGAGCCCCATGTCTGTAGTATAGTCCAGCACCCGGTAGCTGTATATTCAATGCGAAACGCCGTCTTAACTCCAGGTTGTGCACTTATTGTATCCGCTTTCTGCCTTGCATAGATGTCGCCAAAATCTCAAGGTCGTCTAGACACGAAGATTGTCCTTTGGAGTTGTCCTGTGGGGTGTCGGATGGTTCGCGATAGTATTCAAGTAGTCGTTTTCTGGTTGATCTGTTGCAAAACCCGAAGATGCTCCTGCTTCAAAGCTTTGAACTCGTCGTCCAACTTGTTGTGCCATGGATATAAGACGAAGACTTGGAAGGCAAGTGCCGACGAGGCGACGGTGAAGTTGACCAGTGATATACCCCGTGTAATCCACATAGCGATGTCTTGGGCTTCTTAAAGTAGCAGTATGACGTGGGTAGGTCGAAGTACAAGGAGCTTCGAGCTGAATGTCCACGATACGAAAGAGCTGGGAACCTAAGGTAGGGAGGCAACAACGTCATGTATATATGCTTCATATGCCGGGGAAAGCGGCAATACTCTTCCTATTTTCTAAGGTAAATACACTTCGGGTGTCAAGTTGTATACAAGAGTAGCCGTTCGGTCATCTGTCCGATGTGCCTCAGAAATGCCGAGATTAGGGCTACGGGATTGGTTCGGCGATGGACCGGAGATGGGTCGGCGAGTTGAGGGATTTTCGTCTCTTAGCGGTCAACTAGTAAGATGAAAGCTGAAGAACGATTGAACATATGCAGGGACAGGCATGTCTTTCTCAATCCTGCCGAGGAATGGAGATCAAGGACCTGCGAACTCTTTAGGCAAGATTGGGTAGGAATGCCGACAAGGCAAACCCTATATAGATACTAGATGGCGTAGCGTCGATGAGAGAATTAATAGCAGCTGTAAGAGCTTAGGGCAACGATGCTTAAATATGACTCGCAGCTTGTTTCACATGCTCCGAGATATCGCCGTTGCGGTTGTTGAAGCTCATTGAAACCCTAATTCTTGGTGCTAATTTGTATGAAAAATATCCACCGAGTTTTGACCGAGCAGGTTTGCCCTCGTTGGAAATTCGTCAGCAGGGTTCTACCAGTTACTATTTTCGTGTCTCTTTTTCTCTCTTCTCTAGTATTCTACTATAGCATCAGATACTTATAAGCTTGTTGGACGTCAATTGTTGTTCTGATTTCGCGATTTTATCCCCATGTTATCGCCATTACGAACCTCCTTGAACACTATCCGCGCAGGAATCACCCCGTATTCACCACTGAAAAAACGATCACACATCGCAGCCATGGGTCAACGACTCTTCTCACAATATCAACAACAAACACCAACCCCCACCTACAAAGTAGAGCCCATACCGCGAGACCTGATACCCAGTCTCGGCCAATCAAAGCAACAAATCTTATGGCTCGGATGTTCCGATAGCGGGKACGAAGAGACGACGACATTGAATCATCTGCTTGAGGATGAGATGATTGTGGTGCGAAACTGGGGCAATATGGCTCTCAGTACGGATTTGGCTTGGGCGAGTGCTGTGCAGCATGCTGTTGAGATGTTGGAGGTGAGTTGCATCTACATCTACTTATTTTATGTGTCCCTGGCTTACAAATTATAATAGGTCAAGCATATTATTGTCTGTGGACACTATGGATGTGGTATCGTCAAGACAGACTCCGCCGCAAACTCGGCATACCCTTGGCAGAAGTATGACTCCTTTCTTTCTTCCTTTAGATGTCCTGTACTAAAGACACGAAAGGAAAATAAGCAGCCTCTGCTCAACACACCAACATGAGCTAGAGAGCCTCGCAGATAATGACCGAAACAAACACTTGGTGGAATTGAACGTCATCAAGCAAATGGAAGGCGTCAGGGACCTACTTGATATCGTCAGCCCGGAGAAGAAACGAAGAATAAATGTTCATGGATTCATATACGATCGCAACGGTCACAGGGCAGACAGGATTCTTTTGAACTGATTACATTTCTCATACATAGTATCCAGACACTCTGTCGAGGAGGTAGATAGCCTTGGACACTCCTTATTTCTCTTTAGGTTATGAGCCGATTACTGGTTGAACCCTGGAGCACTGGCGAAAGTCGAATACCCAAATTGCATACATTTAGCTGTACATAATCAATTGCATACTCACACTTTATTCTTTTTGACAACTACTTTGAGTGAAACAGTAAAGCTTCACGAAACCGAGGACATCGTAAAAAAAAGACAAACAGTAGAGCTCAGTGAATTACAAACCCTGCGCCTTGAGGAAATCAAAGATCATCTCAAACGCTTGAGGAGCAACCTTGTGCAGGTTAAGATCATGACTATTTCCGCGTCAGTATCAGTATCAACTCGCAAAAAATGACTGAAGCAACATACCCAGCTGGCAAATCATCCACAGTCTCAACAACCTCCGAACCCGTAAACAGCGCCTTCGTAGCATTCAACAACCCAACACAGTTCCCACCACATGCCGACACATCATACTTTCCCTGCAGCACTAGTACCGGAGCAGTGATATTTCCATACTCAATCTCCGTAGCCAACAACGACGGCAACTCACCCAGCGCAAAGGGTTCACTGGCAACCCTATACGCCCATTCCGCCACCGAATGCTCAAAGTACGGTTCCGCAAAATAGACATAACTCTCAGCATAAAGATCCGAAGACGTCAGGTATCCAGCGTCAAGGTCACTCCAGCGTCCGGGATCTTGAAGATTTGCGATCCGAAGCCCTGCGCCTGCGAGGAAAGGGTCAAAGTATGCAAATGTGCCACTGAAACCAGTGAGGACAACAGCGTCGACGGCAATTTGGCTTGCTGATGCGGCTGAGATGTATGAGCCATAGCTGTGCCCTATAAGCGCGATTTGGCTTGCGTTGGCGGTTTGGCGGGCGKAGGKGATGAGGGTGTTGAGGACGGCGGTTTCGACTTGGAATTGGGCGTCGGATATAGAGTTTACTCTGGAAGAATCTGCTGCATTAGCTGCGTTCTCAGAAGAGTGAATATGATGATTCTAGGGTCACCGACTTTGACGAAGAGCCAACTCCGATTCGGTCATAGTTGAGAACGGAATACCCAGCAGCAACGGCGGCGTCTACGAAGCTATATGTCTTTGACTGATGGAAGGTAGGTTGCCAGTATCTACCAAATGTAAGTATTAGCATAGTCCCTTGACTGGTAACGCAATTTTGTCGTACAGCTTAGACTCAATGATCCCATGCGTCAGAACTAGCATGGGACCCCCCGATCCACAGAGCGTTGCTCCAATGACATAGGTACTTTCAATTGCAGAAGTCATATTGCCAGATATTGGAAGGGGATCAGTTGAAGTGTTGAAGTCTCTTCTGGTCAGATTCAGTGTGAGTGTTGCTGCGTCCCAATTATTGTTCACAGTCGCATTAATGGCGAAGCGAGGGACTGATACAGTAATTGGAACTTCGATATCTTTGCATATTGATGATGTTGTGGAGGGTAGGGAAGATGCAGTTGCAGCTAATGCGAGAATGGAGGTGAGCAGGGGAGTGCGCATGGTGGCGATAAATACTTGTAAGCTTGTGAACTCCTTGCTAGGTAAGGATTCTTGAAAGGTGGTGAGATTGTGAAATATTGAAGCTACTTGAATGGGGGCAACCATGGGGTCTTTAATACCTGCATCACTGCTAGTCAACAATTCAGATGCTGATAAATCGGCTGCTTGGAATACGACAGATACTAGAGCGTGCAAGAAAACATTTCTTCAGCCAGGACCCATCCTTGAACACCTTTTAGTAACTTCCTTCCAGATCATAGAGCTGTTCCAGTAACGAGCTTGCATGAGTATGATGGAGATCAAATTCCCTCTTTAGGTAGTATTCCCATCAATCTAGTCTACATTTTGCTTGTGCAAGGACAGAGAGAGCCAATCAAACCCTCTCATATGAGGGATTGCGGAAAGAAGTAGATAGAGATTATCATGTGCTCACTTCTCAAGCATGTAGGATGATATCTTGTCAAACTGCCGTATTCGGCGAGCTCGGCGAGCTCGGCGAGACCATCTGCCAACGTGTTGCTTCTCAGCAGCTTATTCTAAGCCTCTTATTATTATGAACACTTAAACTGGCTCTAGTCTCGTTGATACCATGCGACATGTACTTTCCTCAAATCAGTCCAGGAGATACGTAGGCTTTCGATCACGTTAACGCTAAGATGCGACATGTAGCCTAGCCCTAAGCCCTGAGCCCTAGCTAGTGTCATGTAAACGAGGGGAAATATACGTAGTCCTAGAAGACCCAGAGTCTAGATATGTAGAACATTCTCGAAGACCGCACATCATGCAACTTATTCGATTAGCACCTGGTATTCCTGCATTTACCGATTCCGCAACGAACGAACTCATACTTCGGAGTCCGTGGATGCGGGTCGATTGGCGCGCTGGGTGAAGTATGGGGGCCAGACTTCGCCCTTCCTTTTGAGAAATAGAATGCATCGAAGCAGACCGCGCAATGTAATAGAAATTAACGAAACCGAAAAAAAATGGATAGGTAAACAAAAAGTAGAAGTCCGACGCGCGACTCGAACACGCAACCTTCGAGGAACATATACAATGTATAGAAACTCGATACGCTACCATTGCGTCAGCCGGACCTTGATCTCAATTCCAATTTTTGGATTTCACATATAGATAGTTTCAATGTTGAGAGTCTTCAAAATTTCATTTCTCTTCCAAACAGATCAATTCCGATGGCGGAATCAGTTCGGAACTGGGGTAGACAATAGAGATGTAGCGAGACGGAAAGCTTCCTTTCCGTCCCCGATATTGGTCACGTGACCCCCTTCGATTGCACCAGCCCAATTACTCCTTTGAGAAGGGCCAACTCTCGATCGAGCACAATTCGGAAACTTTGGTTTGGTAGTTTTAGTTGTTCGCTTGATACGTACTCCGTGCTTACAGATACAGTATGACTGTGGGGTGCAGAATGCCACTTACTGAGGCTTTCGATTACTCCCACATGCCTATTTACGCCACTTACCCGTCAAAAGAACCCAATAGAACAAGCAAGGGAATATTCTGGGGATGCCTTGACCAACGAGAACTGTGTCTACCTTTGCAGAACCACAAACCTCTTAAAGTAAAGCCTCCAGGCAAGGAGAGCAAATAAAATAATGGATCAAATGAACAAGAATCTGATAAGAGCGGCGATTCCGCACTGAAGCCAGAACGTCGGCCGAACCGCTTGCCTAGGTTAACAACCATCGCGGATGCATCGCCCGGCACTTTGCATGTTGTACCTTATATTGATGTCTCGCTGAGAACAGCCTGGTTTTTGATTTTTCTTTCGAATAAATTTAGAAAGTGACATTCCCAAGCGTACATCTTCTCACCGTCACCGCCATAGCTCACCAGCCCGTACAGACTAGTTTAACAAAGAAAGTGACGATTCTCAGCGCAATTCAGAACAGACTCCGGCGCCGGGCGGTACCCGCGATTTTCTAGCCGGCCGCACTTGCGCTTAGTGCATGTGATTGGCTGCATGCCGCTATTAGACCACCTGGCATCGAATCTTCCCGCCTGTTTCCCACCGAGTGCCAATCCCGATACTCTCTCCGTTCCTTGTGCTGTGTCGTGCAATCAATTCTTATCTCATAGCTCCTGTCTTGCAAATCTCTCACTCATTCCACTCATTTGATTGTGTTTGTCTGTGTGAGAGAAGGAAAGAGAGTGAGACAGACAAAGCGTGAAGAGGAGGGTTGCTTGTGAACTCTTCCTATTCGCTTCTTATCTCCACTGGCCGTGGCTGGTCACGCTTCTGTTCCCCAGATCAACCAACATCCATCACGATGGCGCAAATCGACACCCTGGACCTGATCGTCCTGGTTGGTCTTCTTCTTGGAACTGTTGCTTACTTTACAAAAGGAACCTACTGGGCTGTTCAGAAAGACCCTTATGCCGCTGCCTCTAGTGCCCTCAATGGGGCCAAGGCTGGTAAGACCAGGAACATTGTCGAAAAGTTGGTTGAAAACGACAAGAACTGTGTTATTTTCTACGGCTCTCAGACTGGTACCGCCGAGGACTATGCCTCTCGTCTCGCCAAGGAAGGCTCCCAGCGTTTTGGTCTCAAGACCATGGTGGCCGACCTGGAGGAGTACGATCTCGACCTTTTGGACACCTTCCCCGAAGATAAAATCGCCTTCTTCGTCCTTGCTACCTACGGTGAGGGTGAGCCGACCGACAACGCCGTTGAATTCTATCAGTTCATCACTGGTGAGGATGTCGCCTTTGCCAGCGGTGCTACTGCCGACGATAAGCCTCTCTCCAAACTCAAATACGTAACTTTCGGTCTCGGAAACAACACCTACGAGCACTACAACGCTATGGTTCGCCAAGTCGACGCTGCCTTGACCAAGTTGGGTGCCAAAAGAATCGGCAGTGCAGGTGAAGGCGACGACGGTGCTGGTACAATGGAGGAGGACTTCCTTGCATGGAAGGAGCCTATGTGGACTGAACTCGCTGCTGAATTGGGATTGGAAGAGCGTGAGGCCCAGTACGAACCCGTCTTCTCTATCATTGAACAGGAAGACTTGACCCCTGAAGATGCCGCTGTCTACCTTGGAGAACCCAACCTCAACCATTTGGAACATGCGGGCAAGGGACCCTACTCTGCTCACAACCCGTACATTGCCCCTATCGCCGAGTCTCGTGAATTGTTTACTGTGAAGGACCGAAACTGTTTGCACATGGAAATTGATATCTCTGGAAGCGGCTTACACTACCAGACCGGTGATCACATTGCTGTCTGGCCCACCAACGCTGGCCTTGAGGTTGACCGTTTCTTGAAGGTCTTCGGTCTCGAGTCCAAGCGTGACACTGTCGTCAAGATCAAGGGTCTCGATGTCACTGCCAAGGTTCCTTTCCCTACGCCCACTACCTACGATGCCGCTGTTCGTTACTACATGGAAATTTGCGCTCCCGTGTCTCGTCAATTCGTTAGCACCCTCGCCGCATTCGCTCCCGATGAGAAGGCCAAGGCTGAGATGGTGCGCCTTGGAAACGACAAGGACTATTTCCACGAAAAAATCAGCAGTCAATGCTTCAACATCGCCCAGGCTCTCGAAAGCGTCTCGTCTACTCCTTTTACCGCTGTTCCATTCTCGTGTCTAATTGAAGGTATCAACCGCATCCAGCCTCGTTACTACTCCATCTCTTCTTCCTCCCTCGTCCAGAAGGAGAAGATTAGCATTACTGCAGTCGTCGAGTCCGTTCGCATTCCTGGTGCCACTCATCTCGTCAAGGGTGTCACCACCAATTACCTGTTGGCCCTCAAGCAAAAGCAGCACGGAGAACCTAACCCCGATCCTCACGGTCTCACCTACGCTATCACCGGTCCCCGTAACAAGTACGATGGAGTTCACGTCCCTGTTCACGTCCGTCACTCGAATTTCAAGTTGCCGTCAGATCCTTCCAAGCCTGTTATCATGGTCGGACCCGGTACCGGTGTCGCTCCCTTCCGTGGTTTCGTCCAAGAGCGTGCCGCTATGGCTGCTCGGGGTGATGCAGTTGGACCTACAGTTTTGTTCTTTGGATGCAGAAAGAGTACCGAGGATTTCCTTTACAAGGATGAGTGGACGGTACGTTTTCCCTTGAAAATCTTCACTTCCTATGATGGCTTACATAAGCTAACGTTTAATCTACAGGCATATGAACAGCAGCTTGGAGAGAATTTCAAACTGTTCACCGCATTCTCCCGAGAAGGTGCCGAAAAGGTCTACGTCCAACATCGTCTACGTGAAAACGCAGCCTACATCAACAAGCTTTTGGAGCAGAAGGCTTACTTCTACGTCTGTGGTGACGCCGCACACATGGCTCSCGAAGTCAACACTGTTCTCGGTCAAATCATTGCCGAACAGCGTGGCTTGACACCTGAGAAGGGTGAAGAGATTGTCAAGCACATGCGCAGCAGTGGAACCTACCAGGAGGATGTATGGTCATAAATGTATGCACAATCTACGAAACGACTTTTCTTTTCTCTTTCTCTTATGTCTCCTCGGCTTATAGAATGATTCACTTCTCCATGTTCATATGACGAGTGCTTTCAAATGCGGTTACTGAACATCATCCCTTTTCTGACTTCATCTGTGCTTCATTGTGCTTAATTATTAATTCCTAACTTTTTAAAGTTGTTCATATTCAAAGAAGTCAAACGGGGCTCATACAGCTCAACAGGAGGCGTCATGTGTGTACGTGGGGTGTTGGTGGAATCTCCTCCTTAATGCCGTCGGTGTGAGATTGTTTCTTTTCTATTTTCGATAGAATGGTCTGAGTAAAAAATATAGCGAAAGGTACTTTTTGATAATATAAATACACCAATTTCTTGCAGTCCGTGGACCTTCATTTTTTCTCTCTACACTGGACAGGAGGTTTGAATATGCGTCCCCAACACCAAGTCCGGACGTCTTTATGGAATCAGAGACCCTTCTGTTAAGATCTATGAATCACCTGACTGGCATGTTGTCGTGGTTGCCCTATTATACAGGCCCTCTATGCATGATGACTTTCATACAGAGAGGGTAGGCTCCTTCCTTTGCAGTGGCAGTCGTAATAAGCTCCCTCCTACCTTTTTAGGAAATCCTACCATCCTCATCCTCTTCCTTCCTTCTATGGTCCCAAACTTTCCAGTTTCTCTCTTGTTCCCCTTCTGTTCCTCTTTTCTTTCATCATCCTATTCCCTTTTTTCATTTCTTCTCATCACTTCAGTTCCCATCAACATCCCAATCAACTTCAGTCTCTTGTCGAAATCCATTTATTCGCCTGGTCAATCTACTCATACTCTTTCTGTTATCTCCTTTTCTTATCGCTTCACCTCGATTCCTTCTCATCCCAGCTTCGTCTGATCCAACGACTTTGGTCGGTCGGGTTGGTCGATACTGTTGAGGAATACGAGTGTTACAACCGCTTATTCTCTCGTTCAATCGTTCAGTGAAATTAGAGGTAAGTTACAATTGTGCTTGCAATGCATTTTTCGCATCGCTCGATCAATCCGCGGTCGCTCGCTCGACATGTTTGAGCTTCTCAGGTTGAACACTGACATGACCCTTCAGATCACTATGACTCCAGTGGTTGCACCCCCTGAGATCAAGAAGGACTCCATCTACGATCCAGGTATGATAACTACCTCTCAATTGTAAGGCTCTCGCTAACACTCGCCAGGCAAATACATTCCTCCGGCTGGAAAGCTGAGCTTGCCTCTCCGTACTCGCCACAAGGGTGCCGAAGGGACCAATGGAGCTCTGCATCATCCCAACTCCGACTATGCCAGTCTTGCTCGAGATACCATGTACAACGCCCCAATTATGGTGGGTGGGATGAATCCAAATGGTCACTTCAGCCAACGTCAAGTCACTCCTCCCGGTCCATCTATGGCCGGAATGCCTGTTCCTCCAACTGTATACTATCCTGGCTTCGTTGGCGGTGCACCTATCACCCCCGTGAACTTTCCCTCTATGCCATGGGGAGCCCAAGGATCCGGCTTGAGCCATACCCCTGCTAATTCCTGGTCTTTTGAGGAAAAGAATCCCTTGAGCGACTATTCCGGAGTCAGCAATGGCTACCATTCGTATGGCTCAATTATTGATCAACGCACTCCGTTGGGCCCTTACCCTATGTTGCAAGGCATTCAGTTACAGCAGCCATGTCTTCAGTACCAGATGATGAAAACCCCAAATGGCTACATTGTTCAGGATCTCGAGCTGCTCACCCAGCAGGATCCTCCGATTCCTCGGGCCATTCCTGCCATGTGGACTAACCAGTCTGACCTAACTCTTGCCAAATGCCTTGAAAACCGCGAGGGCATTACAAATGTCTACATTCGTGGCTTTCCTCCTGAGACAACCGACGAAATGCTTCATGCATATGCCGCTCGCTTCGGAGAAATCGATCGATGCAAGGCAATTGTAGATCTAGACACGGGTCTCTGCAAAGGGTGGGTTCTCTTCTCTCTTGTGTCTCATGGAAACTTTATCCACTGACTTAGAATACAGATTTGCATTCGTCCAATTCTACAACTTTGAGTCGTGCGAGAATTGCATTCGCGGATTCTACTATCTTGGCTATCAAGCCTCTTTCGCTCAAGTGTGTGGTCTTTTTTGACTTGTCAGAATTAGACTAATATCTTCCAGAAGAGTCGTAACTCTCGTCTCAAAGATTTGGAAGACAAGAACTCCACAAACATTTACTGCACCAATGTACCAATCGAATGGTCTGAGGCTGTAAGCGAATTCAAGTAGTTGACCAGTCCAAGATCATAACAGGTAGTTAGGACCTACGTCGCCACTTTGAGCCCTATCGAGTGGTGTCTGAGAAGATCAGTCGTGACGAAAAGACAGGAGTCAGCAAGGAAGTTGGGTTTGCTCGGTATTTGATCCTGTAGAGACCAAAACGAGTCTCGGCTAATTGTATCTTCAGTTTTGAAAGCCGTGAGATTGCAGAGCGCGTGATCGAAGAGTTCCATAATGTCGCTGGCAAGGACGGACACAAATTGCTTCTCCGCTTTGCTGATACTAAAGCCCAGAAGATCTTGAAGCAGCAATCCAACGAACGTCGTGCTTATCGTGCTGGAGAGTACAATTACTCCGTTGAAGTGGTTCAGGGCTCAACCCCGTCACCCGCGACTTCCCGAACCTTGGGTAATGAACATGTTTCACCCCTATCCTTCCAGTCTCCAGTTGGCATTGGTCCTGCATGGACTCCTGCTACAACAATCTCTCCTTCGTGTGTTGTCTTAATCTCTGGCCTGACTGAATAATAGCAGCTGACATTAGTGAGTAGGATTCCCGTGAAGAATGCTGGTGTTCGTCGTGCATTGAATGGAGTTCATCCATTCGGAGTTCGTCCTATAACAAACGGTGAAAATACACCAGCCTCTCGTGAGAGAGTTGCTGCGGCTGCTCCTAGTGCATTGCCGGAGAAGAGCGCAGTCATATCGCCTACCAAGCCTGGAGTCACCGTGAACATTGCGACGCCTCACACTCCTACCAAGAAGGCTCCTGCATTGCGCAAGTCGAGCTCCGTCTCTCCTGCTGCTTCCCGAAAGAAGGTTGAGAAGTTCTCTCCAAAGTCTGCCGCTGCTTAGTTGTAGCACGTAGCTCTTCAGCTCGCCTTTTGTCTTCTTTTCTTGCAACCATTCAGTACTCTTGTGGAAACAGATATTATTCCAATATGGTATACGACACCGACTCATATACTTTGCAGAGTATACGTATCATCTTCAGTCCAGCTCTGAGTTGGTTCGTGATTTACTCGCCGATTATATCTATAGGACTTCCAGCCACTGTATCGTGGTTCCACGCGCTTGGGTTTCGTTCTACGATTCTCAACCAGGTCAGTCTTGTGCCGACTTGTTCGATTTCTTTGCCCTGTGTTGTTTCTGACTCTCCTCGCAGATTTTCGAACGTTCTGGTGTGTTTGTTGACAGGTCATCCAACTACCAATGGTATAATTCTACCGTGGCAGCTGTATATGTTATGAGAATAATGGAGCGATCAGCAGATATATGATAATGTATGATATTACCTAGGTAGTCAATTCGGTACAATTAAATGCGAGCCATTATACCACAAGTCTTGGTACAAGTGTCAATTGATGATTATTGTACTGATGTCGGCATTTTGATGGTAGTTGATACACTATGGTTGGTCTGCCTGAACGATCGGGCCGCCTGTTCCCAACATACATCACAAACCACACCTAAGATGGAAATCGACTCCGAAATCAACTAATGCTTTCAGTACTGAACCTTGATAAGAAGAAAGAGAGGTAGTAAGGACTAAAATAAATTTTCTAGTCGCAGGGGTGACAAAAAATGTAACGCCCGATGTGGGGCTCGAACCCACAACATTCAGATGAATCTTTGAAACTCAGTTGTTGACAATGGTCATAAAAGTCTGACACTCTACCATTGAGATAACCGGGCATGCTTGGTTGACATGGGTGTTCTTAATTTACTATATAAAGCAGACTGCTACATTCTTCTCGGAAGTGTGAATCCATCCTGCACTGATGAATAATTCTTTTCTTCTTTTTTTCAACCTTTTATCATTTCTTTGCTATATGCATGTCTATATACAATGTCCTGAATGATCCACACAGCTTAGAATATGGTAATCTTCCTTCTTAGTTGATTGCAGAAATCAGCTATCAACTAGTCGTCAATATCGTCAGAATTCGCTGTATTACTTGACCCGACAGCTTTGTTTTGTAGACTTCTCGGACTAGTCTTACATCGCTGTGTCCTTGGACAGTGTTAAATCGACAGCTTGACTCGATCAACGTATTTCAGGTGGGAAAAACATTCATTGGGATCGTCTATAAATGATAGCATGATTGCATGAATTTACCCTCAAAATAACTCACTTCACATGTAGTGTCTACTTGCAGATAGCTTCTATCCATTCATGGTTACGCTCTGTCAAGATATGAGTGCAATTTCTCATGGATCGTATCTTGTATAGAGTCCTGAAACAAAACAGGTTTACAGCCTTTCGTTTGATCAATTAATCTATAAAATCGTCATAACGTCATGCGTAATGCTGTGATCTTCATGAACCATTTCTATCCCAAAACCTTCATTTTCTTTTTCTTCTTTCCCCCTTCTTTATCCTTTGATTTCCCCTTCTGCCAATCCCTCCAACTACCTATCCTCTCATCCCTTGTAGCCTCCCATGCCTGATCAGCATCCCTCTTCCGTTTCCGAGCTTCTAGCTCTTCCTCTTCCTTCTGCTTTTCACGGCCTTCTTCTTGCATTCTCGCTTTCATCTGCCGCCTCCTCCTTGCCTCATCTTCAAGTAACACTTCAACCGTCTTCTTGCGCCATTCAACCTTGAATTCGTCGGTCTTGAGTTCCGGCGAATCGAGGGTATATTTGTGTTCGCGGATGAGCAGACGCCGCGCATCGGCGATACATTCATCGAGGCGTTCGCGGGCCTTTTCGTCGAGGAGTGTTGTTTGCGCCTTTTTCAGACGGTCGAATGCGTCAGGTGCGAGAGGGTTTTGGGTTTTGTCGGGGTGGATGAGGAGGGATTTTTTGCGGTATTGGAGTTTGATGTCTGAGTCGGGGACGCCGGGTTGGAGGTCGAGGACGGCGTATCTTGTCGCGAGTGAGTTGAGAATATAGATAGGATTAATGAGGGTAGGTTGACTGACGCATCTAATGGGAATGCCTTTCGGATTCGATCAATCTCTGCATCCTGTAATCGAAGCTTGAGTCAGTCACAATCCCTTCGCGGAACACGGACAATGCGGTACGTCATGCCTTGTCGAATTCTTTGGCTTCTTTTTCTAGCGCATTGAGCGCGGCCAAATCCTCGTCGGCCATCTGTAGACTATTGATGCCTTGCAAGGATAGGTAGAGGAATTGGAGAAGACGTGGGTCACGATTGTCGCGATAAGCCAAACGTTAAGGCCTGTTTTCTCCGCAAAAGCTTATCGACGCCGATAGGATGACTAAGCGCCCCGCCCAGAGAAAAAAAAAATAACACATGCAACAGAAGTACGTACCTAGTGAAATATACTTGCAAACATCATTTCAAACAGCCATGGCGCCGGCTAAAGATCACAGGCAAACCAAGGCCGCTCGAAAGCCCGTCGAGAACAATCGAACTCTCAAACGGAAGCGCAATGAGACAGAATTATCGACAATCAAGCAACGAGTTGAAGAGCTCGATCCCAAAGTTCGACTTGAGACCTTTTCCGAACTTCCACTCTCAGATCCTACAACATCAGGTCTTGCCGCTTCACATTTCAAGTCCTTGACTGATATTCAATCCCGATCGATTCCGTATGCGTTGAAAGGACGAGATATTCTGGGTGCTGCGAAGACCGGGAGCGGAAAGACATTGGCGTTTCTGATCCCTGTTCTGGAAAACCTTTATCGCAAGAGTTGGACGGAATACGATGGACTAGGCGCTATTGTGCTATCTCCCACTCGGGAGCTGGCGATTCAGATCTTTGAAGTTTTGAGAAAAGTCGGTCGCTACCATACATTCTCAGCGGGTTTGGTCATTGGCGGGAAAAGTTTGAAGGAGGAACAAGAACGTCTCGGAAGGATGAATATTCTTGTCTGCACTCCGGGACGAATGCTTCAACATCTCGATCAAACGGCCGAACTTGACGTATACAACCTTCAGATGCTTGTCCTTGACGAGGCAGATCGGATCATGGATATGGGATTTCAACAAACCGTGGATGCGATCGTTGAGCATTTGCCTAAAACACGCCAGACTTTGCTGTTTAGTGCAACTCAGACAAAGAAAGTTTCGGATCTTGCGCGGTTGAGTCTGCAAGATCCTGAGTACGTTGCGGTGCACGAAGCTGCAGCCAGCGCAACGCCGTCGACTCTACAGCAACATTATATTATAACGCCATTGCCAGAAAAGCTAGACACATTGTTTAGCTTTATCAGAAGCAATCTCAAGTCCAAAACGATTGTTTTTATGTCTTCCGGAAAGCAGGTTCGATTTGTGTACGAATCGCTACGGCATCTTCAACCTGGTATTCCACTACTACACCTTCACGGTCGTCAAAAACAAGGTGGACGTCTCGACATTACAACCCGATTCGCCAATTCCAAATACGCGGTCCTTTTTTCGACAGATGTGGCAGCCCGAGGATTGGATTTCCCTGCTGTTGACTGGGTCGTTCAACTGGACTGTCCTGAAGATGCGGATACTTATATTCACCGTGTCGGGAGAACCGCTCGTTACGAGAGAAACGGACGCGCAGTGCTCTTCTTAGACCCGAGTGAAGAAGAAGGGATGCTGAAACGTCTCGAGCAGAAGAAGGTACCCATTGAACGAATTAACGTCAAAGCAAAGAAACAGCAAAGCGTCAAGGATCAGTTGCAGAACATGTGCTTCAAGGACCCGGAGCTAAAGTACCTCGGCCAGAAAGCTTTCATATCGTACGTGAAATCTATCCATGTGCAGAAAGATAAAGAGGTCTTCAAGGTGAAAGACCTGGCTCTCGACGCTTTTGCAGCTAGTCTTGGTCTTCCTGGTGCTCCGCGAATCAAATTCATCAAGGGAGAGGATAGTAAATTAGAAAAGAATCAGCCCCGGGCCTTACGATACATGTCAAGCGATGATTCTGGTGAAGAGGGAGGCGAGAAGAAGACGAAGAAGAAAGAGGTTGTTCGTACCAAATACGATCGTATGTTTGAGCGACGCAATCAAGATGTGTTGGCCGACCATTATTCGAAGCTCATCAACGATGATGGTACGATGGTTGACCAAAGTAATGGTATTAATGGTGATGCGGACGAGGATGAGGATTTCTTGTCTGTCAAGCGACGATTTAATGCGGGCGACGATGCTCTTGGTGGTGATGACTCGGATGACTCGAGTTCGCCGGATGTCCCATTAGATGAAGGTGGCAAGCCTAAATTTGGAGGAGAGGTTAAAGTGGTCAAGCTTTCTGATGCCGCGGAACCACTCATCATTGACTCCAAGCGCCGCGAGAAATTGCTTCAATCGAAGAAGAAGCTTCTCAAGTACAAGGGCAATAGCACAAAACTCATCTACGATGATGACGGGGTTGCGCACGAAGTTTACGAATTGCAAGACGAAGACAAGTTCCGAGCTAGCGGAGATGCACAAACCCAGCGAGCCAAGTTCTTGGAAACAGAAGCAGAGAGGAACCGGGTGGCGGATATTGAGGACAAGGAGCTCGCGAAACAGAAGAAACGAGAGAAAAAGGAAAAACGAAAGGCAAAGGAACGAGCATTGGCCGAGGGAGAGGATGGTGTTGCTGTTTTGGCTGGCGATGAAGAATTTGTTGATCCGTTCCAGTCAGACGATGGCAGTGATGCTGAGTCTGTTGCTGATGAGGCGGTGCCGAAACTCAGCAAACGCATGAAACACGTTTCTGTTGAAGAGGAGGAAGAGGATTCCCGCAAGAGTAAGCGGACTAAGAAATCGCACAAGACGGAGGAGCCACTTGAAGTCAACACGTTGGAGGATCTGGAGGCCTTGGCGACAGGACTTTTGGCATAAGATTTTCTTGCCTGGCAATGATTGTATATGTCTACGTGGTAATTTTTAGTCTTTTAGCCTATATAAAATAGCATTCGAGGCGTTGAGTCTTTTCGTTCAAGCTTAGTTCTTGCATGCCATCACCTTCCGTATTGGGACTAGCCTTGTTTTTTGGGGCTCTTCCTCCAGTTCGTCTAAGCAGAATGCACGCCATCTGCAGCCACGAAGAACCTCAAACTATATTACCTGCCTAGTTACTCTACACCTCGAAAATGCTTTCTCCTTATATACCCGTCACACCAACAAAGATCCATTCCGATAGTAGCGCCCTTAAAACGGCGACGTACTGGACCCCATCGCAAACTCCCGCCGGCCCACAGCAGATCTTGGGAGCGTGGTTGACGGCTCCGCTGGTTGGTCGCTCGCCACGAGCACGCAATAGATTTTATCAAAGAGAAACTGAAAAAATCTCGTCTGGGGCCGAAGTCACTGCAACGACAAGGTTATATGATTATATCCGTATAAAGACTAGCTTTGTTGCTGCGAATCCTTCGTGCACGATGTCGACATTTTATTTCTCTCCTTTCTTTCTTTTTCCGCGACTCTCAACAGTCGTGATGTATCTTGAGAGCTGACGTTTTTCTAATTTCGCAAAAAATGACTGCCGACATCGAGAAACGCCCTCGGCGGTACGAGCTTGGGCCGGATGACGGCGTACCTGTTCACGATGGAGAGGACTACGCGCCTCCCATCATCGTAGCCAACAAATTGAGCCGAAAATTGTCTGCTCGTCAAGTGCAGTAAGAAGCTTCCCCTATGACAGCTAAAACTCGGTTTCTCTGTATCATCTGACAACTGTAGGATGATCGCCATCGGCGGCACCATTGGTACTGGTTTATTTTTAGGAACGGGCAATTCTCTAGCCAAAGGTGGTCCGGCATCGATGCTGATTTCGTATGCGATTGTTGGTGCAATTGTGTTTGTCACGATGCTTGCATTGGGGGAGATGTCGGCTTTTATCCCTGTTGCGGGATCATTTTGTACTTTTGCTGGGTAAGTCGACTTTCACATCGCAAGGCGCCAGAAACTCAGTTCTAACAAGCAATAGTCGCTTCGTGGATGATGCTTTCGGTTTTGCGTTGACCTGGAATTATTGGTTCAACGATGCCGTGTCAACCGCATCCGATCTTATTGCGCTCCAGCTACTGTTGCAATATTGGACGGACAATTTTCCTGGTTGGGCTATTAGTCTGATCTTTTTGTTTGTTGTCATTGGGCTTAATGTTATCTCTGTGAGGGCCTACGGCGAGGCGGAATACGTTCTCAGTATTTTAAAAGTTGTTACGATTGTGGTATGTGCAGTACTTCGGTCTCTGTCTTTCGGTCACTGACCTTACCCAGATATTCATCATCCTTGGGATCGTAGTCAACTGCGGCGGAAACACCAGTCACCAATATATCGGTGGGCATAACTGGCATATCGGTGATGCTCCTTTTGTTGGCGGTATTGGAGGGTTCGCCTCGGTGTTTGTTACCGCTTCTTTTGCCTAGTGGGTTTCCCTGAGAAGACGAACATAAGCTCCAAGTACTGATTTTGATACAGCGGAGGAACCGAATCCATTGCAGTGACAGCCGGAGAGACCAAAGATCCAGCCAAAAATCTACCTCGCGTTGTGCGCAACGTCTTTTGGAGAATTTTGCTCTTCTATATCCTAGCAGTCTTGATCATCGGTCTCAACGTACCATACAACTACCCGGGTCTGAGTTCCAAGAACAGCCACACCAGTCCATTCACCATTGTTTTCGAGCAGGCCGGAAGTAGTGTGGCTGGTAGTTTTATCAATGCGGTCGTCATGACGAGTGTGATTTCTGCAAGCAATCATGCCCTCTTTGCGGGCTCACGTTTACTCTACACTTTGGCTACTGATGGGTACGCCCCGTCATTCTTTGGCAGACTCAACCGACAGAGAGTCCCTTGGGTGGCGGTATTGGCTACATCGGTCATTAGTGGACTCTGCTTTGGCGCAAGTTACATTGGTGCCGGTCAGTTGTGGACATGGTTACAAAAGTAAGTCGATTTTCTAACTAAGGCAGCTGATCTGTGACTAATCAAAATCCATAGCATTGTCGGTGTTTCCAACCAACTTTCCTGGATAGCCATTTGCTTTGCCTCTCTTCGTTTCCGCGCCGCCGTCAAAAAGCAAGGTCTCGAACACCTCCTCCCTTTCAAGAACTGGACCTACCCCTGGGGCCCCCTCATCGCCATGCTTCTCAATATTGTCCTTGTCCTCGTCCAAGGCTGGTCATCCTTCAGCCCTAGCTTTGCCGCCGTCGACTTTGTCAGCTACTATATCGAAATTCCTGTCATGATTGTCATGTACCTCTTTTGGAAGATCCTGAAGCGTACACGGTTTGTCCGATTGGAAGACATGGATCTTGTATCTGATCGGTTTGATGGCGGATTGAGTCATGAGGAACGGACGCAAGTGTTGGAGATTGCGCGTCGAAGTCCTTTTGCGCGTGGGCAGCCGTGGAAGGAGAGAATCGGAGGAGTTGCTACGTATCTGTTCTTCTAGGGTTGTTATGATTGTAAGCAATCTACAAATATTTTTTTACTTGTGGGTAGAGGCCATGCGCGTCGTGGTGTCATAGGTCCTATGGCATCGATCTATATGACTCGAGAAAATGATATGATATATAAAAACTTTATGATGGACCGAAAAATACATACATAAATGCAGCCGGGAAGTACAGAAGGTACCAAAAATATAAAAACCCAGCGCTTTTGCCTTAACTAATCAAGCGTGGCTCGCATAGGAGGGCAGCTGTCGACCACTGACATACACGGCCATCAGAAAAATTCCCGTTTCAAATTTATCGTAGTCTTTATTACAATGTAAGGCATCTATCGTAGTCTGTGATCTCTGATTTCCACACTCCAAAGGGCAGGCATGATTATACGTATATTGGTTTCTTATGGTCAACCCTGATACTATCGCTTTGGCACATTTCCGTGGAGCGCATGTTTACTACTCGAATAAATTGAAAAGCTAGCAGTAACTAACCAGAAGTTTGAAGTGGTCATCTCAAAACCGTGCGCCAGTCGTGGGAGGAGAAGATTGGGGATGTTACGGCGTATTTGTCTTCCTAGGCTTTGACCCAATGATCCTCAATGATCCTACTAATAATTCATGCGACTCTTGTATAGAGGAAGAAGCACATCGCTTCTTTGATCCCTAAATTAGAGATTTTGCACCGATGTATAGGTACAACGACGTTCAAAAACAGCATCGAAACCACAAGGCCCCGACTAAAAACTAAACAGCGAGTCTAGACCAGGATCATGACTACGTTCGATTTCAAACATAGCTAATTATCGTCTGCTGACAGCCACCGTACTTCGATGACATCAGAAGACTCGGATACCAGTTTCCTATCGATCCAGAACAGGCTCAACACAGTGAAAATTTTGGGCTTCAAAATTCCATTATGGCGGATATAGACCTCGAAAAAACATATTTTTCTTCGGCTGGTGGTTTCACTTGCATCACTAGTGTAGCCATCAAGTAGCGTGGAATTACATGTCGCACAAACACCATTCTCATACCTGGTTCATGCATCCCGCTTCTGGAAATTATTGTTGTATCCATGTCCATCTATCAGAGAAGTAACGCCAAAACCGAGCATGCCCAGAATATTACACGGCCCTTGTCAAGCATCAAGCACCGTTGCGTTGTCCCAACCCGGCTCCCAAATGATATTATCTGGTAAAGTCACAAGGCCTTATGTTTCTTTTTGAATCTAGACGAAGAAAAAATTCATGGTTGTGATAATCTAGCCCGATCACTAACAGTACATCTAGTTGTCTACTAATGGTTCATCGAAAGTCCAGGGATCCTCGTCGACGGAATGCGTGTAATGCATGAACTCGGCCAATGAGATTCAAAAAATGGGTATTTTGAACTGAACACGAGTCCATTTCTTTAGAACCGGACCTTGATTTACATTTCGTATATTGTCCGAAGCTGGGGTCATGGGTCTAGATGGGTGATGAGGTACCTGAAGTATGGTATGATGTTACATGACGCTGTGGTACACTCATATGGACCCGTTGACCCTACCCTAGGTGGTGCGAATGTACCACTTGACACAGGACAAGAACTTACTTAGTTACACAGCTTTGTCGGGTGTAGTATCGTGTAATTTCTGCTGTTAGAATCGGGATCTTCATGGTGGACGGTCATAACAAGCCCTGAAATTTGTGATGTACGAATGTTCACTCGTTTATGGCCTGTTCACCCTACTCACCCATCATGATACTTACGTTTCGAGTCATTAGTTGATAATACGTCTCCATTAATAAGCGCATGTAAAGTTATTGGTGGACCGAACCAGCTGGAACCAACAAGCTAATACCACCTCTTCGCGAAACAGGTAGTACAACATGTAGCAAGGTAAGCCCGACCTTCTCCCTCGAACTTGATCTGAAGGAGAAAAGACTGCTATCTCCATAGCTATTGTTGAGTGCATTTTTATGTTTTGTATACCTGGTAGTAAGTAGCTCGTAGTCATATCTTCGCTTCAATGGAGCCTTTCTCATCCGGATTTAGTTTACTATCTCCATGGTTACTGTTGAGTCCAGCTTTGTATCGTATGAATTCGATATACTGAGACAACTCACCGACGTACATGAAGTATTGCGAGCTGGCAGGAACCCTCGCATAAACCTTGACGTTGTTATATGGATTTTCGTCTCGGCATATCAGATATTGTTTTCTTGCATGTACATCTAATTGCGTCGGTATCTACGGTGAAGCTTGTTATTATTCGATTTAGAGCGTAAAGCAATCCGCTTTTCTGACATCGATCCGCTCTAAATAGACGTTGTCATGGATACTTTGCGAAACTGTTTCAGATGAGTTGCGGAAGTATATTGGAGATAAGTCTCAAATTCCGTTGTGTCACGTATCCTGGAAGCCGTTCAGGGCCAAATTATGTAGTATAAGACGATCAATAGTCTCCGTTGCTTGCCACTTCATGACAATGAGCGGGGTTTGGCCAGTTTCTTGCCTTTCGACGATGTCTTTGTATGACCGACGTGACTGATCAGGAAGACTTCATCAGCATCAAATAACCCGATAACCCCGAGATCGAGCATGTAACTTCGTAAAAGTAACGCTGGTGGGGTACGCATGTAGATAGTTCAAAACATCCAACATCGCCATATCGAGATCTAAGCCACAGACATTCGTCAGCAGCAGGTCAGGTTGCATTGTTTTCCATTCGTGACCGCATTTCAAGATCGAGGGAATCGGACGATGACGGAGGGATGGTATCATGGGACGCTGGGCAGGGAAAAATTCAATAAAAGAGATGCCTGACGATATTCCAGGGCATTTTCTCCATCACGTAGCACGTAGAGCGTAGCACAATACTTGCTCTGTGCTACGTATTACTTAGTTGCCTATGGTACCCGTCAGTCCGTGATGATAATATCAAAGCAAGCTGACCGCTGTCTGGCCTGCTGCAGCCTCAAGTCAGATCAGCTTCAAGTCTCGACGCAAGGTGTTTCTTACCATCTCAAGGAACCAATGACAGAAGAAGTAAGCTGAGCTTCGCCTCGAGCAATTTCGAGATCGTTGGTTTCTTTTTCTTGCTTTTTTCTTTTGCTTCTCGTCCACTCCATTGGCTTGGTAGTATCGGGCTCTATGCACGTCGTTGACCAATGTTTGAGTTCGCTTTTCTGAGTACCCATTTTTGGGGTCTCTTTCTTCGCTCGAGGAATTGAGGAGCCACAATATAGACTTCCAGCTGCTTTTGTCGTGGAAACGTAGACCTCGCCAGACTTGTCATATCGATTATTTGCCTCGTCGCAAATAGTTTGTAGGAGTGAGGTTGGGATTAACGTAAGGGAAGGAGGGAGTGTAGCTATCGGAAGGGACGACCCGTCGTGCAAGTCCACCGTTGTCCTCCTTCCCCGTGACTTCCTTCAGACGGTTTCCAGCTTCATCTTTACATCTCTCACCATTCAAATACAAATCGTCGTCTATACACAAACTCATGGTTGCTCATCTAATACACTTTCGTGCCGCCCTTGAGCACAGAGCCCCAAGCATGGCTCTAGGCTACTTAGGGGCAACACTCAGCATGAAATTGTGTTGCTGTACTACCAAGCCCGCTGTACTCCGTCCTAAATGCATACTAACAGCTTAGAAATCATTGGTCTTCGCCCGGCCACCAGTTGTGGCTGTGGTTGCCGAATTGTCCAGTGTCTGTTTCAACCAGTGGCTTCACCGTTCCATGGCATTGCAGCGGCAGCACCCCTTGCTACTTGCGACGCCGTCCCATGCTTTGTACCCAGTCGGGCCCAGTGTTATGAGCCGATGTTATAGTACTGTACGTAGATAGTTTGACTTTGCCTCTTAATGAAGGCTCTTATGGTTTCCCACGCTTCGTTTACCAGGTTACTAGATTGAGAGTGCTTGCAGGCTCAAATCTCAAATTGTCATTTGAACTCAAAAGTGATCCACTTAATACCCAATCAATCTTAAGTTTAAGCATCGTGGAATTACGCAATATCGGGTTAAATTTCCTCTGCGCATGATGCTCGGAATTTTTCTCGTCGTGTAAGTTGTGCCTGTCTTCGACAAGGTTGTTCCCTGTTTCTGCCAGACCTTGTGATACAGTTCTCGAAATGTTTCGTCTCGGAGCTAATAACCGACTTAGTCACACGGAATAGAAATGCTTGTGTGCCGCTGTACAAAAAAAAAGGTTCATGGCATTGACCTACGCACAAACTCGGAAATCCTCCCATCTCTAGCGGGCCAGATGACACGGCTCCTTGCGCAATGACAGAACGTGGCCGTGATCCAAGCATAAGACGGGTACAATGTGAACTCCAGATCGGGAAAAGTCTATAGTATGCTTTTTGATAAGTCTTGAAGAATGGTACAATTACGAGTAATGTTGCTGAGCGAACAGACGTCTTTGTCAAATTCGAGTGGAGTCCTGCAAAGAAAATCATCTAACTCTTAAATCGCGTATAAGGCCAAGTTGACCGCAGTACTAGTACGCATTTACCATTAATCTTCGTTCCAATTGCTCGGTGAATCTGGGGATCCGCCTCATATTGCTTTTCCCTCGTGTTTAGGACCGATGCAGTGCTTACCATGTACAGAAAGCACACACTACTGTCGGACTCAGCAAAATCCCGACTCTCCGAATACACCTTATCTCGCGCTAAAGCGACGATCGTCAAGCCAAGGCTTCATCTTTTTGACAGGAACGCTCTTTAGTGGGGTGGTTGGGTTTAGTTGACTAGTAAGTCTGACTATGGGCGCAGAAATGAGAAGTCATTTGACTTCTAGCCCCGACTAACCGGACTCGGTTGGAGTTTCACTGGAAATGCAGCTTACTCATAGTGCGCTCCCACCTACAAGGGTTTACCCTGGTCAAGATTTCAATATTGTATCAACATGAACACCTGTCGGTCTGTTCTGGTCAAAAGGCGGCGCTGCAGGCCAGAACAGACAACGTTGGCAACCCCTCCAGTTCGAAAACCAAGGGTCTTTTGAAAAAGGGAAGCAAGAAATAAAAAGTTTGAGGAGAAACCGGAAAAAGGAATAATAAGAGAGATTAAGTTCCCCTCTCTGGTCTTAAGTCAAAGTGACAAGATGTGGGCCGCTTTAGATGAGATGAAGTCTGCACCCTTAAACTTCGGGTCAAGCGTTTTTCAAGTGCCGGATGAGGAAAAAAAAGATTCTCTCAAGGCGAAGATTCCTTCTAACCATGAAGTGGGCATCCCTGAATTCCTGGTCGCCTTATCAATTTTCAGTTGGGTTGGCACCCTCGGAAGAAAAACAGACTATTGGTACGCATATTGAAGAGCAACGTTCGGAGGTAAAATCACCGGATAATGAGAAGGGCTCACGGATGTTCGGAATATTCAACCTAATCATCCACCCGACAAACTATTACTCCGTAGTCGAAACTCTCCCTGGTGCCGGTGAAATCTAAAATTCTCCAATGGACCTTTACCAATGCGTCGGGTGAGCTTTCGTTAGGATTCAAGTATGCACCCAATGCGGACTGGCGGGCGGGKGKTCAGGAACATATCACCAATAGACTGACAGTCAGCAGTCGGCGGTCACATCGTAAAGTACGACCGTTCCAGGAGGACTATCATTCATTAGTTTGCGTGCCTTGTTGGATCGCTCAGATTCCAAGGATCAAGGATTAAGGAATTGTGGGGATGCGGTCCGCGATCATGGGCGCCACGCTGAGCCCATTTCTCCGTACCCTTCACATGCCACTGATGCCAGGGTGGTTTCATGAGTACAGGAGCCGAAAAAGGAATGCGAATGACAACATTTAATTCACATACCAGCTACCTATGGGGTATTTACGTACTGTCAACAAGTTACCAACCACAGGACCGAAACATGGTGTTATTATACGAGACTGCGGAGCTTAGGCAGAGCATTACTCGGCTGTACCACAAGCCAACATTCCGTCGCCTTATGTTAGTATCCTTCTTTTCTCCTTCTGCTGCTAAATCGGGATTCGGGACTCGACATTCCTCCTCATATGACAGTTGAAAAACTATTGGGTAATTATTGACGAGCCCGGACAAATTCCAGGCGAGCGATAACGTCGATCCGCCAAGTACAGTACCTCCTGCACATGTACTCATAGTATTCAATACTTTTCAATGTTAGCCTTGGGGCGTGGCCAGTCAAGTACTGGGTACTTAGGGAAGCTTCCGGCCAACAGTAGGGGCTCTCCGATTCGCTTAGTGACAAGTCTCAAGAGGACGCCAAATAGAGACAGCTCTCCACTACGTTCAGTTCCTTACTAGCGACACACTAACGACCAACTAACCATTAGCTTAGCTTTTAGTACTAGGGCTTTTTAATTGAACTCATGTTCGAGAGCTCGCATTTCTCCACAATTCGAGTCCACTTCCAGCCGTCAAGAAATCAAACCCATGTCTATGGGCCGTGCGCTACATACCTCTTTAGGCTAACAACTAACTCTTTTCGGCGCTTTCTGGGCCAGTTGACCCTGTTCAACAATTCTGGCTGACAGCGGTAGTCTTTCTGTCACCTGGTGAGCGTTCAGCTACTGCAAGCCTGACTGCAGACCACACCCCCAACAGGATAAGATCAGAAATAGAGATTATCAGACTGTCCAATCAGATTCGGAATTTTCGGGTATTTTCTCGTGCGTGTTTCCTAATTAGTTTATTGGATTGACTCACTATTAACGACGCACTTATCCATACTTAAAAATTCTCCAAGACAATAGCCCCGTCGAATCACGAGCCACAAGACGTAAATTGCTGCCCCCTCTCCCATACGAACCATGGACAAATTAAGGGGACTCGAGATTAGGACAACCCAAACATGGCAAGTACGTAGAGCAATGCGAATTGTTCCATTCTTCGCGTCACGTACACACTGATGCACATAGCGCGCTGTTAAGCTAACTGCGTACTTGCAAGTGGATCTGTCCGTTATGAAGATCGGAACAAGATTCAAGGACAAAAGCGAAAGGAGCGGAACGAACGATGTGATAGGTGAGATGCGATGGGGTGCAGCTACCAGTAACAACAATGACAGAAGCACGGTGAAAAAAGCGAAAATCAATAGCCGCAGGACTTGCTCTTAGCTAACTAGCTGGCTGTTTGTAGAGAGGCAGAGGGAGGGGCTTATTTTCCTTTTCCGGGCTACGGCCTTACAAAAGTTCCAGGCAAATTGTCATGACCTGCAGCAGAAGGGGGATCACACTAGCTACTGATCATCCAGCGCGTTCTAAGCTTTGCAGATCCCGGGCATTGCTCAAATCCTTCCCTCGTACATAATTCGTCATGGGCTCTAAAACAAAAAACATCTGTGGGCATGCCTACGTTACTGATTATTAGATGCCGGCAGCGCCCCAGTGATCCACATATCCTTTCTCTTGACTCCATACGTATGTATGTAGTACGTACGACTACTCCGTACTGAGGATCTGTCGGATCTTAAGACCTCTTGTGATGGGCTTGAATTTAGATCTCGATACGTTGCACTTTTCCCCATTCCACCACCTCCTTGGGTCAGGTCTGCGACGTGTCATTCATTAGACTCGAGCTGCCTAGACGCCTCGTCGATCCTCCATCATCTTGACAATGCACCGGATCTCGTTTTGGAGGAATTGAAACGAAAGGGAAAGGAAGCAGGGCTACATACTACACACCGTGCGAACTGAAACTGATCTATTCATATTTTTCCCTTATCCGATTAAACAGCGAATACCCCTCGCCGACTCACGCTGTCGTTGCAGGGCCAACACGCTGATATCGGAACTCCAGCGCGTCTTTTCTGCAGGACCAAGATCGCGCGGTGAGTTACCGGCATATACTGATTGCCAAAAACGGCAGAAGTCTACCCAGAAAAAGGAGAGATCAAGTAGAGGAAAGAACAAAAAAAAGAAAGGAAAGATTTTCCTTCTGGATGATTGGTAGTTATTGGATTGCTTTACTGGGCTATACCAGCCTGAAAGCCTATCAAAAATCTTAGAAGCAATTCGTTCAAACACCAATCCTGCTGTCTCAACTTCTTCTTGATGTCACCGCCACTACTGTCTATCGAGTTGTTGTAGCTGTGCTATACAACCACCATCAACATCAACAAATTCCGGTTTAACAACTGCGAAATCATACGGCATCACTCCAATGCAATCTCTACTTCTTCCAGCTCCGTGGTTTTCCAAGACTCATTTTGGGCCGCACAGATTCGATATCGATCCTGGCCGTGTATCCGTCCACTTGCGGCCACCGTCATCCACGGGGCCGAGGGCCAGTCTTAGGACATCTTATTCGACTCTCCCTATGTCTGGCATTGTGCCAACGGGCACCCAGGCACCACAAAGTGCAGACACCAACACCAGTTCGACACAAAGAGAGCAGCAGGGAGTGGAAAGGGCAGATATTTCGACATCAGCAAATCAAAATCGCTCAAATCTACCCCCGAGGTTACCGACATTGATTCCCACTGAAGGACCGGGTGTGGTATCTACTCAACCACCGAGGTTTCTATCTACCGAAGAATTACTAGTCAACCCAACTACTCAGGTGCCCAGCATCAGCTCCACAGTTTCATTATCGCAGGTTATATCGGGATCTCCTCAACTTGGACTTCACGATGTGCCAACTTCCGGCGCCATACGAGCTTTACCACCGAGGTCTACGAGACGTGCTAAGGCGCATGTTGCTTCAGCTTGTGTGAACTGTAAGAGGAAGCACTTGGGTTGTGACTCTGCTAGGCCTTGCAGACGATGTGTTCTGTCTGGAAAAGCGGTATGTTAATGCAGGAAGAGAGACTGAAACTATACTAACGGTCTTATAGTCGACATGTGTAGACGTAACACACAAAAAGAGAGGACGTCCGCCTCTCAAAGCCGAAGAGACGTCCTTGAGGGCCGTACCTGCTCTAGACAGCTCGGTAACTCCGCGAGAACAATTCCAAACGGCAGCGACTGCGCGAGGACCAAGTCACCACAAGTCATCTTCACGGGAAATTCGACCAGTGACTGATCTACAATATTCCCGACCGGAGCACGGCCCGGCAGGATTAGGTAGTAGTATAAGTCCGCTAGCTGCATCTTCAGGGAGATGGCAGCCGTTTACATCGCCTCAAATGCTTCCATCCGGTCACAATCAACGACCTATATCATCTGCGGGACCTTCACCCATATCTGCTGTCAACTATGCGTATAATAATCCGTTCACACCTTACCATATGACGGCATTCCCACCACCACCACCACCTCCGGGGGCTTCTGATATGCCAACGGTGTTGAGCTATAATGACCGTCTGCCTACTACCACGCCACCAACAGTGTCGCCCCAACAATATCAACAGCATTTTCCTCCGGCATTGCAATCACGAATAAGTCCACAGACTCCTAGTCGCGGGTTGGACGCTGCTCCAGGCCCTTCCTCATTAGGGTTCCGAGAACCCTACACTGAGCCGGGTGTTCGTCTACCCCCTATCCTCCCTTCTCCGCCCACATTTGCGGCTCATACCTCGACACATGCACATCGAAGAAGCGATTCATATCCTAATATATTCACCTATCAACCTATGGGCACCAGTCCTCGACAACAGCAGCATGAACCACCTTCGTCCTCCTCATCGTCGCAACAATTCACCCGCCCTCAGGAGTCTCCGCGCTCCATGTTTGAGCTTCGATCGCCATATCCCCCAGTTTCTGGACCTGCTGTCGGTTCACACGAGACAAGCTCACCACCATATAGCCATCAGACTCAACAACGTCCACATAGTATGGTCATTCCACCAACATATAATGAACGACGACGAAAGAGCACGGCAGAGACCAATGAAGAGAATCCACAACCGGCGAAAAGACGACGGATGGCAGTGGACGATATCGTGAATGACTAGCCAACGACGATACATACCTACGTCAAAAATATACTGTTTAATATTTATTCATAATATCTCTTACTACAACCTGCTCACCTGTTACATTGGAGCTGGTACTCCATGGTGAGATCGAAAGGTCTACATTAAAGACTGCAAGTGCCGCCCTCGAAGGGTTGAGCTCGCAGATTAATACATACTAATTTGCGTCTGCATTTTCGGGTTTACTGCAACAAATATCCATGCTGTTAGAGAGAACGATTGATTTCGCTTTGTCTCTCTCAATCTCTTTCTTGTCTCTTTACATTGCTTACCCATTTGACTTTTCTTCTTGATATAGACTTTGTCTGATTTGATCCGCTTACAAACTGTTAGAGTGGCAAAAGTCATCACATCGTTACATTATACTATTTCGACTTTTATTCCTGTTCATTATACACATTCAAGGCGCTGTCGTGTTGTTTTCTATATAGCATAGCGATTCCCCCTCCTTCGTTCTTATTTTCTTTGCATTCTATTATTGCTTGATCATATATCATTCACTGGTTGTAATACTCCTTCATTTCTCAGCGCATGTCTGGCCTACACATACCTTCAATCAAAGCGTGTTTTTGCATCCTATCTTCAACTTGACTAGATATCTCGTGTACACTAAGATGATACCAGGTTCATCAACCCGGAGAAATGGCACACACATATGCAAGATGGCATATGACTGTTCGAGACTAGTATTATAATGAACATACACGAGATCAGCATACATAAACGTTCACATGCTCGATTCAAAGATCAAATCATATATACATAGATACATGTATGGACAACGAGGACAGCAGACATCTTTATGTGTACCAGCTAGGTAGTTCAAGCAACATCGTTCCTCTTTCTTGCTTCCTCCACACTCCTCTCCCAACTTGTCCTGCTCAGGAAGATGATCTCAGCGAAAAATACCAGTCCCAATGCGATCGCCACGCCCGTCCATAGACCTGAAATGCCCCATCCCAACCCGAAAGCTGTCCCCATACTGATTGGCATCGCCACCACATAATAACAAAACACCTGCACATATCCACCAATTTCTTGCCGACCAAGTCCACGCAAGATACCATTACAAACCGCCGCTAGGGCGTCAAAAAGCTGGAAAGCTGCACAGATGGGTAAAATGGCAGCGACCATTTCGATGACTTTCTCGTCTGACGTGAACAGGCCGGCGAGCGAGTATCTCAGTAATGAGAGAAGTAACATGTTGAGAAGTCCGACGATCACGGCGCCGGTCAATGCGACTTTGGCAGCTGTTCGAGCGGCATCGACCAGTGTTGCACCAATCAAATTCGCAACGCGAGTGCTACCTGCGATGGCCACGGGGAACGGAATTTGGAAAGTGATGCTGCTGATTGTGCTGAGCACGGATTGCGCAGCGAGGGCTTCTGTTCCGAGGTATGACGACACCAATGTGAGAACTTCGAATGCGAGGCATTCGGCCTCAACCATGATCAGACCCGGTAATGCAAGACGAATCATAGGGCCCCAGTTTTGGAATGCCCTCCATGTGAACCCGTTCCAGCATTGGAGACCTCCGATGAAGTATACGTACAAAAAGAGGAATAAGGGAAGAAGGTTCTCTGTGATCGCTACTGCAATGGGTGCTCCGATAAAACCCATTTCAAGCTTCCAGACGAAGAACCAGTTCATGAATGCGTTCAGTGGCGCACAGATTAGGAGCACATACAAGGATGCGGTGAATATGCCTTGCGCTTGGACGAATCGCTTCCCGCTCTCGAAACAGGCATATCCCGGTGCGCCCCAGATTAGAACCTTGAGGTACCTTGCGGCAAGAAGTGCGACCTCTGTCTCCGGGATGAGAGCCACTAGGATTTTGTCGGCAAAGTACCAAATGATGGCAATTGGTATGGTGACGACCCACAGAAAGAACACCATTCGTTGCATTTGTAGACCAACGAGTTTCTTTCTCCCTGATCCATAAGCTTGTGCGCAAAGAGTATCTAAACTGGTGGCAAGACCCTGATAAACAGCCGATCCGGTGATACTGACGGTCATACTTGCCAAACTTACTGCTCCTAACTCTACAGTCCCTAAGTGGCCCACTGTGAAAATGGATGCTACAGTCAAGGAATACTGAAGAAGGAAAGTAACAATAAGTGGCAGAGAATATTGCCCAATCACGCGCGCTTCTCGCTGCCAACTAGATTGGATTAGGCCAGCAGCGACTGCTTCCTCCCATTTGCGGTCAATCTCATCGTTATCAAGAGGTCGGTCTCCCAGTAGAGCCGATGTCTCATTTGGAGCTGTGGCGGGGGCTGGTGGGTTATCTTCATGTCTCTGGCTCGCAAAAGATGCGCGCCGTAACCCGGCATTCAGCTGCTTCGTAAGGTTGCTTATAGCGCCTCCTCGCTTTGAGGTGTTAGGCGCAATGACATTGTTGTCGCTGAGCAAGTCTATTTCTTCCGTATATGCACGCTCTAGTTCCTCCGTCGTGAGATGTTGCTCTTGACCTTTGCCATGCGGCACAACAGTTCCACGTGGACCGGCCGTGAAGTGGCCTGGACGACGATAGGAACCAACTAGAGAATGAGGCGTGGTGCCTAAAGCATTGCTTGAGGAGCGCGCCAGTCCGCTAAAATCATTATCATTATCATCATCGTCATCGTTGTCATCATCATTGTCATGGCTCGCTCCATTCCGAGAACTGTAAGAAGCAATATCTCGCGCAATTACAGTCTGAACAGTTGACGCACCAGACGTCAATGATTGACTGTCCAGATCAGTGCGAGCAATCGCAAGAGGAGCAGAATTGTTCAACGCCATACCGAACGTTCTTCTCGGAGTACCAGTCTATCAAATGTATCCGCTGGAATAAGCACCACTGGCAAACATCACGAGAACAGAGAGAAATGAAGACTTTGATCTCAAGTCGAGTGGATATCCAGTGGACTCCGCAATGAGAGTATGTATGCGACTAATCAGTGAGTCAGAACTGGGGCTTATCAATCCCTAGCGTCCCCGAAATTTGACATCGTAGATGCTTCTCCAAGGCTTGGTCCAATTCTGGTAAAATGTCGTGTGCTAGACGAAGAGTTGCGTACACAGCATGGAATGTAACACTTCGAGTATCTTCACGAAATAAAGATGTAAGTTTATGTACGTTTTTATGAAAAATGGAAAATTGGAAGAGGCGAAAGAAGAGATAGGGAGGCCCCGCGGCTGAAGAAGGAAAGTCCTTGCGATTGACCAACCACGTGCCGCAGTTTTTAGTCCGCTCCATTCTGATTGGCCAGATCGAGAGCAGATGATTAAATCAAACATCCTCTTCTTCTTCTTCAAGGTCGCGAGAGACTTTTCATAGAGGCTAGTATCAAGCATCAAGCAGTCAGTACAAATGAGCCACTCACTCAAATCAATATCGCAGAGAACGAAACATCGAAGAGAGCGTGATTCTGGACGAGGTAGCCATCAGCTTCCACAACGGGACTAGCTCCACGCCCCATCTTGAACTAAGTTCAACTTCAACTTCAACTTTGGAGGTCAAGTGATTGATCAATCTATCAACGCCCGCTTAAGCTCCTTCTCTTACTGTACAGCTCCGAAGCTGATAGCTGGAATTGCAACATGATAACTCGGCTACATTGAGTGTGAAATGGACACTATTCGACCACGCACGTACAATCCGCTAATCAACCCGGTTAATTCGAGGCCGGTTCTTGTCGAAAAGTATGGTAGCTCTTCACAATCTTTTCCCTAGAAACGAATCTCTATGTCTGATCAACCCTTAAACATGTATTTACCGGCAGATCTGTAGTATAACCCGTTGATGAGTCGAGCCGGACATGCATTTGGAACCACATGCATATATTCATACTCTACAAAATCTCAACTAACCATAAAACCAGTGAATTTTCATCCCCAAACCACATATTCCTCGCCCGGCCCTTATTAGGCCCCCTCCTCTTCGAAAACGCAGCATCCGACGCTCGCGACCACCTCGCCAACGAGCGCACATTCCTCTCCTGGCTCCGACTCGCCATCTATCTCGCCATAGTCTCCTCCGCAATCCTGATTTCATTCCATCTTTCATCAACACCCACTCACCTCGAACGACTCATTGCCTTACCTCTAGGGATTGTGTTTTGGTGCATGAGTCTTGCCTGTCTTGTGAGTGGGTTTTCGCTGTATGTCTTTACTGTGAAAAAGTACAGTCGGAAAGCGGCGTTGGTGCAAAGTGGATGGAAGACGCAGGCGATGTTTGGGGTCATGGCTTCTGTTATTATTGGGTGTTGTATTTTGTTTTTGGTTACGCAGTCGAAGAATACCTGAATTTTTTTTAGGATCCTACTTTGTAGGCAAGACATTTTTATAAGGAGAGAAATGTCACTATTCCTCGACATTGATTTTTTACTGGTTATCATTATACAAATTGAGTATCATCATCATCAATCAGTAGCAGCATACAAGCGCCGGTAGATTACAGTGCCTCTAGAATCCACATGTGAATTCAGATAGAGCCCATGTGATAGACAATAAAACATATTTTCATCTTTCAAAACTCCAGAATAGCCCAGGTATATTCGTCCATTGTCGAAAAGATCAATCCCGCCGATAACAGCTCATCGCCCGCCTTGACGACCTCCGTGGATGGTAAGCCCAATTTGGCCGAAATGTTCTGCATATGAAGGCCTTCATTGCTCTGGGGTTCGTTTTTGAGCAAGTTATACACTCGTCGTGCCGATGCCGACATGGGTGGGAGAGGTCGACCGCCGGCTGCAGCACCGCTGTATTCGTCTCCTCCTTTCATGTCACTGGCAGTATTACCAGCAAAGCCAGGACCCGACGCGGCTCCGTTGCCATCAGCCTTCGGTGGAGGTCCATGTTTGAAGAAAAGATGTGTGGCCGTCGCTTCCAAGAGATGCACATGTACCTCATTTACATCCGACACAGGTCGCACATTATGCGCCCCAAGGAACTTCTTATTCCCGAACACTTTAAGCTTGCCAAACACCTTCACATGACCGTGCAGTTCCACTTTTTTGCGTGTGCTGTGCTTGACTCCCTGCCCATCCACATCCATGTTGTCCTCTATACGCGCCGTAGTCGAGTCGACCCATTGTTTGGCGTCAATTTCACCTGTGCCGTCGTCGAGTCTGTATGTTATGTTTGTGCTTTGTGTGGAGATGTTGCGGACTTGACCAATGCAGAAGACGGATCCAATGTCTGCGCCGTCGATTTGGAAGGGGGCTTCGGGGTGTGTTTGGGTTGCGTCGAGGATTTGTTTGATGGTTACTGGTCTGAGGGTTGGGTTTTCGCCTTGCTATAGCCAGTGTACACAATTAGACAATCTGTCGTCAATGAGACTTTTCAGGAGAAGAACGACATACTCTTCCACCAGCAGGACTGTTCGTTTCGCCTGGCATAAAGCCTCCTCCTCCCATGCCACCTTGCCCGCCATATGAGGTGGTTGAGTAGTTTCCGAAGCCGCCGTCTGTTTGATTAGCACAGTTCAAGATAAGCATAGAGTAAAATAATAAAACACACCCATTTGATAGTTTGATTCCTGATGCTAACGTAGTGGTAGGGAGGTGTTGATTGAAAAGTTCAAGTGTTGATTTTGCCATTTAAGCTGTTTTGGGTAACATCGCGGGGCGGACGTGTCGCGCGTCGTGGATCGCCTCGGGCGGTGACAAGCAGCAGTTTTGATTATCTCTCTCACCGCCTACGGGTATCGCTCAATTTTTCTGATAGCGCCAAAAAAGTCTGGCCGCTATACGTCCTGAGCATCACCATTGTGCCTCGGAGCAGAGAAAGCACAATGCCTCACCGAGCGGCCTCCCCGGCCTTGTCAGAGAACGAGTTTGATATTTCAAGTTCTCTATTCAAAGGCAATGCAAATTCTGATTCCGAAGATGGGTGGGACTCGAAACCAAACAAGAAGCAAAATAAAAAGCAGCCAGTGATCCCGTCTTCGAGTCTGAATTTACTGAACGAAGATAACGACGATGTCGAAGGCGAAGACGACGAGGCGTTTATTGCCGCGACGCAAGCTGCTGCGAACCGAAAGGCTTCCAATCTGAAAGGTCGTACCGTGAAAAAGGGCGGTGGTTTCCAAGCCATGGGACTCAATGCTCAACTCCTCAAAGCTATCGCGCGCAAGGGTTTCTCAGTCCCGACTCCGATTCAGCGAAAGACGATCCCTGTGATAATGGATGATCAAGATGTTGTGGGCATGGCGCGAACAGGTTCCGGAAAGACTGCTGCTTTCGTTATTCCGATGATCGAGAAATTGAAGAGTCATAGTGGTAAAGTCGGCGTGCGGGGTTTGATTATGTCGCCCTCGCGCGAGTTGGCTTTGCAGACTTTGAAGGTTGTTAAAGAACTGGGCCGAGGTACAGATCTAAAAGCAGTCTTGTTGGTTGGTGGTGATAGTTTGGAGGAACAATTCGGTCTGATGGTCGGCAACCCTGATATTGTCATTGCAACACCTGGTCGATTCTTGCATTTGAAAGTGGAGATGAACCTCGATCTATCTAGTATCAAATATGTGGTATTTGATGAGGCCGACAGATTGTTCGAGATGGGTTTTGCTGCACAGCTTACCGAAATTCTACACGGATTGCCTGCTACTCGCCAGACTCTATTGTTTTCAGCAACTCTTCCGAAATCACTTGTAGAGTTTGCCAGAGCGGGTCTTCAAGACCCGACTTTGATTCGTTTGGATACTGAAGGCAAAATATCGCCCGACTTGCAGAATGCATTCTTCACCGTCAAGACAGCAGACAAGGAAGGAGCGCTACTTCACATTTTACATGATGTTATCAAAATACCCACCGGTCCAACCGGTGTCAGATTTCGATTCAACGAGGACGATGAAGAAGACGGAAAGAGATTCAACAAGAAACGCAAGCGTTACGACTCCAATAAAGCTGGAAAGCATACCGAGTCGCCTACTAAGCACTCAACAATTGTCTTTGCTGCCACGAAACATCACGTCGATTATATAGTTGGTATCCTGCGTGAAGCTGGATTCGCAGTCTCTTATGCATATGGTTCTCTTGATCAAACCGCGAGAAACATTCAGGTCCAACGATTCAGGGCCGGAGCCACACATATATTGGTCGTTACAGATGTTGCTGCTCGTGGTATTGATATTCCGATTCTCGCCAACGTCATCAACTATGATTTCCCTTCACAACCGAAGGTATTTGTTCACCGTGTAGGACGAACGGCACGTGCTGGACAAAAGGGTTGGAGTTATAGTCTTGTCCGGGATGCAGATGCTCCTTACCTACTTGATCTGCAACTGTTCCTGGGCCGAAAATTGGTTCTTGGGCGACCAGAGACAGAACCAAACTTTGCCGAAGAAGTAGTAGTTGGAGGCTTTCCACGAGAAACTCTGTCTGGTCACTGTGAATGGGTCACAAAGACACTAGACAACAACTCCGACATTCAAGCCCAGAGAGGCGTTGCCAACAGAGGAGAAAAATTGTACATGCGAACGAGAAACGCTGCATCTTTAGAAAGCGCCAAACGAGCAAAGGAAGTTGTCACTTCCGATAAATGGACAACGGTGCATGCTCTCTTTACTGAAGAAAATAACCAAATGGAAGATGAACGCGAAAAGATGCTTGCTCGATTAGGTGGTTACCGACCACAAGAAACTATTTTTGAGATTGGCGGTCGTCGAGGAGGTAAAAAGGGTACTGATGTGGCTTTCGAGACGATTAAGCGAGTGCGATCTGCTCTGGATAAGAAAAAGAAMCCMCCAGCCACTACGACGGAGACTGCTGATGCTGCTGCCGATGAGGGAGAAGACGTCGAAATGAATAATGGTTTCTCCGACGATGACGAAGTCCCTCAAGATAATCTCGATAATATGTCGATGGCATCCGAATCCGATCTCGAAGTCACCTTCTCACAGTACTCTCAATCCAATAAAAACAAATCCAAAAAGAGCTTTGGCAACGATGCCACCAACTTCCAGAACCCAGATTATTTCATGGCATACACTCCCGCCGACGCATCTCTCGCCGAAGACCGCGCATACGGAGTCCACTCAGGCTCCAGTTCCAACTTTGCCCTTGCCTCACGCGATGCAACCATGGACCTGACCGCCGATGAAAAAGCCGGCTTTGGAGAAGCACAATCTTCAATGCGTTGGGACAAACGACACAAGAAATACGTCTCCCGTCGCAACGACGAGGACGGATCTCGTGGCGGCTCAGCGCTCATTCGCGGTGAGAGCGGTACCAAGATCGCCGCCAGTTTCCGTAGCGGTCGCTTCGATGCTTGGAAAAGAGGTAAAAGGATGGGACGCATGCCTCGTGTCGGCGAGATGGAGAATACCACGCTATCCGGTGATCTGAATGCTTCCATATCCGGAGGACGGAAGTATAAGCATAACAAACAACAGGCACCGAAGCAGTTGGATAAACTTCGTGGCGATTATGAGAAGAAAAAGAAGAAATGGGATGCGGCAAAGGAGGCTGCTGATGCTGCCGCTGGTAACGAAGGCGGCAGAAAGCCGAAGAATGAGATTCGCAATAACGAGGATATCAGAAAGGCGAGAAATCTCAAGGAGAAGAGGAGGGAGAAGAATGCTCGGCCGTCGAAGAAAGGGAGAGGAGGGTTCAGAGGGCGGCGATAGAGACAATCTGGTAGATAATAGGGACAGCCACAGGCTACGAATATCAAAAGCATTTTACATAATCGAGAGCATGGTTTCTCATTCACGGGTATATTACATATTAATACGAAGTAGCACGTAAACGTGCTCTCCGCCTCAAGTCACCAGTTGACCTTTGACACATGATGGTTTCACGTGATATACATAGGAACTGATTGTATATTATACTTAAATATATTAATACTCCAAAATTATACAGTTGACTACTCTCAATACAGGGTCAATGTCTCCCAGACAACAATGGTATCATAACGAACGGTATAACAAAAAAAGAATAGTAAGGGAGAATGTGACCTGCAGATATAATTTATAGCTCGCTCACATCCGGCGAATCTCCTTCTCTAGCAAGTATTTATCAAAAGTCTCAGTGCCAAAATGGCTCCACCACTCAAACAGCATAGTGTTGCAGATCAATTTGAACCAAGGAGTGAATTTGAGCTCAGGGTTGGCGAACATGCTCTTGAGTTCTTCGGGGGTGACGTATTTGGTATCTTGGACTTCATTGGGGTTTGGTACGACGTCAACGTCGGCTTTGATGAAGAGGATGTAGTCAACTATAGAAGGCAGAAATCAGTATTGATCGATTGATCGATTTCGTAAGTAGAGGCAGGGGTTGTGACTCACTCTCGTGTTCGCCCCATTTCCCGTCACTAGGGGCAAGATAATGAATTCGAGTTAAGAATTTGAATTTGTCGATAGGGACCTGCTCGGCTTTGATTCCTAGTTCTTGGTCGAGCTTGCGCACGGCGGCTCTCTTGACTCCTTCAACGGCAGCGGATAGCTCTGCGCCGGTCTCGCCTGCGATTCCGAGGGGGTGCTACACGTTGACGTATTAGACGGGGGTGTATCGACCGCATAGAGAAGAAGAAACTCACAGAGCAGCAGGTATTCGTCCACAGATCAGGGAAAGTAATCTTTTCAGCAGCTCGTTGTTGGAGCAGCAGGCGGTTTTGAGAGTCGAACAGAAAGACGGAGAACGCACGGTGCAAAAGTCCGCGGTTGATGTTTGTCATCAAGTGGCCTATGCAGATGGATTATTAGCAAACACACTTCTATGAGGCGCATAAGGAACGCAGAGATAAGGGCAACGTACAGGTTTTCTTGCTTGCACTGCCGATGGGCTTATCGTCATTGTCCAAGACAATACAGACTTCCTCCATCAATCTGACCTGCTCCTCATCGTAACCCTCGAGATCACCACCCTGGCGCACGGAGGGGTCGTTCGAAGAAGGAAGGATTGAGCGGGCGAGAGACGTATCGACATCGGGGAAGAGAGTAGCGACGTTTTCTGCCGTGATGGCGACGGTCTCGGTGACAGTTGTTGTCGACATTCTGCTTATAGATTGGGCAGTGTTGCGATACAGCAGGTAGTGGGTCGTTATGATATGTTAATAAGAAGTAGAAATGTGAGAGGCGCTCAATTGTCGAAATTCTTTATATCCCTGTTGAGGGGTTTCGGAGAACTTATTTCTTTGTTCGGGGTTAGGCCTGCCCAATTAGACGTAGTCCGCCACCCTTTCAAGCCACATTGTACCTGGTCGCTGTAGAGACTGTGGCTAGACTTTTGATGCACGTGACCTAAGGTTATCGACTTTCCTTTTCACTTATTACTCTTCCGCGAGACGACTTCCATTACAGCGGATGATATTGGCAAAAGCGAGATCTACGCCTTTTCAAACTGTATAATCAGTGTATTGCAATACCTCGTCGATGTTATCGAGCCAGCAACAAACGACATGTCTCCGGTCTTACAGCCTTCACAGACTCGGAGCCCGACACTTTCCCCTTTTAGAATGAATTGAGATGGGGACCCAAGCATGAGAGATAATCTTCTATCTTGCAACACGATCAGTCGAATTACTGCTAGTATATATCTTACACTCTATATCGAAATTAACGATCGATAGGCCATCTTACTGCCACATCCTACTCACTCTTTGCACACACAACATCCAGAACCACAACCGAGGTATACTATCCCCACAACTTCGTCTGCTTTACCCCTAAATGCCACGGGGACTGCGGACTCCGATACACCGTTTACCTATTTATAAGACGGCGTCAACCCGAATCAAGCACGGCAGCCCAGAGCAGGGATCTTTCGGTTGGTTCTTAGCTTCCTCAGCTTTCTTTCGGCCCTTTTCGGACAGTCGCATAAATTGGCATCAGCTTCTCCAATATCGTCAAGTTGATAACTTGATTAATCCCTAGGCGGTACATCAACAAATCAAATACTCCCCGAGTCAACAGGACACTGACGTCGAGCGATGTCATGAAGTCTGTAGTCCAAGCTTTGAAAGGGAAATGAACAGTCTGGACTCGCTGCTGGAGCTGGGTGGCGCGAGTTTAATTTATGCACGGTCAGGGATCACGAGAGGATAAAAACTGAAAATGGTTACCACTCGATCACAATGAGCTTCTATCAAATTTTTTTTCCTTCTTCCTCTATTGAGTTCTGGGCTCTGACTCGGTGTTCCATGCATTAGTTGGTTAGGAAGACAGGCTAAGAGGCACTTTGACGCAACTCAAAAGAAGCTTGAATGGAGGATCTCGGGTTCATCGAGTTAGATCTGGACTTTATCCAACCCGAATGCGATTGACGCGCCCGCGTTTACTTTTTTTTCGCCTGTCTTCAATGTAGCACAGAGAACAAAAGGCACGCGCGTCCCCTCAACATACCCTCACGATCATTGGTAGGGAACAAAAGTATTTGAATATAAGCCGAAGAATCAACCAGTAAGATGCAAAACAATTATGATTAACCTGAAGATCGTCAATTTCATTCCACCCAATAGCATTCGAGTGGTATCTGTAGCACTGCACGATGTCACCTCGGAAGCACAAGATGTGCCTTGGCTATGCAGCCGTTATCACACCTCTCTAGTCCACATCCTCCTTAGCAGCTCTAGTCTTCATTTTAGCTGAGCGAGATACGTAATGCCTAACGGAATGACTCGCCATAAGCCAGGAAATATTTTGCGTACCATTCGTGATTCGGTAAACCTTGTAATCCATTCTAGGAAATGTATAGACCATGTGCAAACCCGTGAAGATCGCGAGTCATGGCATGCACTTTTTTTCGACTGCTTGCTTCCGTGGTGCAATAAATAGACTTGCTTTTTTCCAAAATAATTTACAGTCCATTGAGTCCAAGGTAATTAAAGGCCTCCGGAGACATTTCTTACTGGCTAGTTGCCGCAGAAATAAGTAGTCCCCCCTGTCTGTCCCAAAGATTCGAGCCGGGAATACCAGGATTCGGCTGAAAGTTTTTTGGGAACAGGACTAATTTTTCCGGGAATACTCAATGCACTGAATGCACAAGTAAGGAGAGAAATAAACAGGAATAAAAAAAAAGCGCTAAACGCGCTCGCTGATTTGATGTCGAAGCGCTCCCCCGCTTCCTATGAAGTAGTAGAAGTCAATAAGGGCAGTTGATTTGGCTATGTGGATTGCCTTGTTGATGATCCTTTCATTCTAGACTGTACCATTCGTCTGATGCAGGAAATTGTACTGATCGACATCATGTGTCATCCCCATTGGTTATGGTGAAGAAGAAAAAAAAAAGAAGAATAAGACGAGCGGTTAATGGAATTTAAGTACTACATACGTACGTAGCTGGGTCTAATTGAGCGAGCGCTTACTGATATGGCATGCTCCCCCTAAGTATGAGGCTTGTAGCACCCGACAATGGGCTGCTAATTTGACTAAACGTGCAGGCCTGGGTCTCATAGCTAAACTCGACACCGGGCAAATTTACCCTTTTGAGTATCTACATCGTGTCGAGACAGAATCTGGGTAGGGCAATCGCGATATCGGGGTATTATTGTTTGACGCGTCTGCGAGCACGGAATAATGCATTGGTGAAATGTTTGATGATATATCCTAAGATCGCTATGAATATGTAGCTAATACATGCAAATGCTGCGTGATATCTATCTATGATGTAACAAGTCCGGAATCAGATCCGACTTTGAAGACCAGCTTCAACTTTCCCGCTATGACGGGCGTGCCATAATATGTGTACACTTGGTGCGAAAAATGAAAAAGAGACATAAGAAAGGGGTATGTAGGAAACTCAGAAAGCAGAAACGTCAACGTAACGGACCGCCCATTGCTGCATGAGATGAATACTAGTTCGTCAATAAAAGCTCCCGAACCTCCCAGTCATAACGTTGGTAAGGACTCGTCAAAAACGGTCCCAGTCACAGGGAATATAATGGCGTGCTATCAAAGCTCAATACCTGTACAAACGCTGTCGTCTGCTGTCGTTCGCTGTCACGAAGGAAATTGCTGAGCGTACTGAAGTGCAAGCGCCGAAGACCCGTGTTTTCCAGTCTTCACTCTAGGCTTTCGATCTCGACACCCATCTTTCTGGTGTCTAAAGACATGAATTAGCGCACTTTGTCTCTGATATGAAAGAACTTGGGAAATCTACCTGTGCATAGTATCAAGTCTACTATATTGTCGCCCACATATTTCACACGTGAACCTTTTCTCCCCGTCATGAATCCTCTGTCAAGCGTGGTCAGTAAAGTTGTAAGCATAGCATTGGTGATGTAGGATAGACGCACTGTTGAGTAATGTCGCTTCAAGTCTGTTTTCCGGCCAAAGGTCTTCCCGCAGCTACTGCAAGAATGCGCCTGTCTATTGCCTGGATTATGGCGCTTTACATGCTCCCGGCAGTTGGAACGTCGCGTGAAAACCTTGTCACAAAGCGGGCAACGTAATTCGGGGTCCAACTCAGCTAGGGCCTGGCCTCGACTAGCCGATTTCTCCCTGCGGCTTGATCCGATCTCTGTTGCAGAAGTCATGGGGGAAACAGATCCATAGTAGGACCTTTCTTGACTGGTTACCGAACTAGATGTTTCGGTTTCATGTGAGGGTGATCGCTCAAGAGATTCAAAATGCGTTCTTGAGACAGAACTGACGTTCTTGCTACCCGTCCTCTTATTGTTCTGCGCATTCTCGTCCGAGAGTATCGGTGAGGGCCACGTGTTTTCTGATGGACTGGGATGTTGTGTTCTTTCAGGTGTTCCGATGTGGGATTGAGGTGTCATCGGCCACCTCTTTGAAGCAATCTGCGCAAAGTCTTGGTGGCTATTCTGATCGACACCATAGCCTGGCTGATAGTAGAGCGCTTGGACCTGCCCGCTACTCGTGAAAATCGGATATTGCATCGTAGCCGAGTTGATCATGGGAGGGACTGTGTATTGTGGCTCTTGGTAGTAAGTCAGCCCACTGTAGTCCGGTGCGCTCACTGCAGTACTGTAGCAAGCCGTTGTGCCCGGTATGGATTGATCTTGCCAGCCGTGCGCGGAAACCGAAGGTGTGAGTGGGAGACCATGGGCCATCTCATAAGGAAATGCTGATTGATGCGCATAGTCTCGTGGTTCTGCTTTGACTTGCACCGAGTCAGGCGATGTCATGTAGGGGTCGTTGAAGCCGAACATGCTCGCAGAGGTCTGCCGCCCTCGCTGGCCAGCGGCAGCCGATCGCTTCGCAGAGTCATGCATTATGTCGGAATCAGCGAATTGGCCGCAAGATTTTGAAGGCACCTCGTTGGTGGCGTATATTGAGCGAGGGAAAGAAAAAAAATAACAGTCGAGAAAGACGGTATGGAATTGCGCAGCTAAAGTGTTCGATAGTCGTGTTTGCGATATCAAGTCGTTGAAGAATGGATGAAGTGATCCGAGTGCCAAACAATCTATATTTATAAGTAAAGTTGAGCTAAAATGATGAGGTGCAAGACGAAAGGCGGGATCCAGGGTTGGAATTATATGGCACTTGCAGCAGTAGCAACAGGTGACGACGCCCTGGATAATTAGACTGGTGCATGTCCAACTGATGGTGCCATTGCAAGGGCTAGCAGTGAGTCAAAAAGTGCAGCATGACAGCGTACACACAAGGCAGACTCTGCATGAAGGAGGTTTTGCTGAGTTTAGGCGTTACTCTTGCATCGGTCAAATAGGCGCGACTGGTACATTTGGTGCCATGCAGGATGGGCTGGAGCGGTGCGATGTGGCAGCAGCAGTACGTATCGGCACTAGAGCATTTTCCAGCGGGTCCTGGAGGGAGGGGACAGGGCTGGAGTGTCGATGAACGCACAGAACTGGACTAAAACAGAGGGGTATGATGAAGATATGTGCAGTGGGAGAAAAAAGAGCGTCAGCTCAGGGCCACATCCAGGATCAAGGGGGGGGCGAGTGGGAGCCAACAGATTGTTGTCGAAAGGCTTGAAATGGGCAGCTCACGGCGGGCGGAAACACCTGTCGAGCAGGGCAGCGACGGGGTGTGACTCTCATTTTCGAAGGCTTCTTGAAGCAGTTTAGTCCGGACCCGACAGTCTGGATAGACTAGTTAAACGAGGCGGCTGTGTGTCTGAATGGCAGAGATTGTCGTGCTGGACTGCCAGCGTGCATCACTAGTCACTGCCCGGAGGAATGAGTGCAATGAGACGCTTCTGTTCATACACTGATAGGTCGAGCTGAGCATATGAAGGTGTGCCACTTTCCTAAGCTGGCTCTAGCCTGCTGTTGGCCATTCGGCGCTAGAGAAGAGACGAAAAAGAAAGAAAAAAAGAGGATCGAGGGGAGAAGACAAATTAAAAAAGAAGCAAAGAGCGAAGATCTACGCGGGAGTCATGAAGAATATCAAGGAAGTGAACAAGGAGGTTGAGGTTGAGTCGTTGGTTTAGTCGACTTTTTTTGTATGCGCTTAAGCTACGGCATGGAAGGAAGGAGGGACGTGACCCTAACCCGCATTCCAGTCGTGCCTTCCCCATTTGTTCCGTAGCTTCTTTCCGTCTACCAGAGCATGCTTTTATCGCTTTCTTTTCGGAAACAACCAATATACTCTCATGCCACACCTGAGACGCTTCGAAATTCAAACACGTTTTGAGGTTGGGTACTTCCTGACAAACTGAGAGACACTGCGTTGCGATACGTCACAGCCGGCGTGGAAATTAGCGCTTCCCCTCCTCGTCCCAGCTGCTCAGTCACCAGTCAACCTATCCCCCAGTCTGCAGCACCATGCCCCTCCGGGTCAGTTCTCTTTCCGACTTTATTACCGTTCCTTATTCCCTGACGTTGCCTCTAGACTCACGCTAATACGTGGTGGTAGTAGGCCGATGCATGGGCTCAGGAAACACGCATTAACATCCTGGTCTCGGTGTAATGACTTGAATTCTTGGGATACGGAAGCATGGAGCAAGCCTTTTGAGTGCATTACTCCATGTGTACAGAGCATACAATACACAGATCTCGTAACGAAGCTCTCTACGCGGTTGACCTTTCTTAAGCCAGTCCGTTTAACAATTTTACCAAAGCGTTCTCGATGGGCGCGAACAGGCACGACCCACACGGCGCGGAACGGTCGCTCGATCGCAGTGTGACGGTCCCTACGAGCGCCCAATAGGCGTGCTGCCGGGACCCCGGAGGCTATTGCCGGCCACGAAGGAACAAATCTTGGAATGGAGTTTAGTGCAGATTGGCGATAGCGCAGCCGACGAAGGAGGGTCTTTGCAAAAACTCTCTTCGGCCAAGTCGTATCTTGACTGGTTATACTGATGCGATCAAAGATCAAAGTTCAGCAGAAAAGATTAACTTCAATGCGGAATTTACTCGGACGGCGTACTACGTTGTCTGCAAATACCAGTTAACCGATTGGATTGGTACAATTGGATCATTTATGCCAGCGGAACAAGGCCAGCCATCGCTACACATCATACATCATACATCAGCAAAAAGCACTTTAACCGGCGGCAGCTAATGATTCCGAAAAGTCAATCAAGGGTCTGATCTTCAAGTAGCGGCCGCGCTGGCTGAACAGTTGATAGACACTAAGCCGTGGGTGAGTCATGGTTCGAGCGCAATCGGTCCATCAATATCATGTCTCACACGCACTCTGGCCGCAATTGATGGAGGCAAGCTCGGTCATTGCAATCTCTAATCAAGGAGAAGACAGACATTGACGCGAGGCTCACTCCTACAAGAGCTGTCTGAACTGTCCACAATGGCGAATCAAAGCAGAAACAACCTGCAAAGGAAAATTCCATAGTTTCTGGTCCACCAATTGACCCCGTACGCTTTAAACTCGTCCGGCGGTTGCATTCGGTAAGAGCGCTTCGCCTCACCAAGTGTGGGACAGTAAGAAGACTACAAGTACGACAAACTTTTGTTCTTCTCACCAACGTGACCGAAAGGATATGCGACTTTCCAGTTGCTCAATGTTTGTGCCAAAGCAAAGTGCCACGATGTGCTTGATGGGCTAGTCCGGCAACACGCGCTAATCCACAACGAGATGCGGGACTCAAAGAACTAATTTAGACTGCTTTAAAAACTTGCATCGACAGCCAATCGATTCTGGAAAAGCCTCAAAAACTTGACACCGGACAAGTAACAGCCACACTTTACATTGTGAATGATGTACTGACAACCAACCGATTGAGCCACCTGAAAATCACTTCAAAGGGTCTCTACTTCAATTTCAAGAAGGCGGTGCCATGAAAAGCATTGCCGAGATGTGTCGGGGCCGCCGTCATGATAAGCGCTGCGCGAGATATCTGAACACAAATATAGTGGTTCATCGATATCTCCTGCAGTGCGCATGGATCACGAGGTTACCAGTGGACGTGGATAAGGTACAAGGATCAGCAAAGGATGCCCTCGTCTAGACCGCCTTATTTTTAGTCCAGGTACGAATGCTCGACACAGCCTTGATAAACGTCCTGACTACCGATCGACAATTAGCTTCAAAGTGATATCATCCGCTAGCGTTCAGCACGTTACTGAGACATGGGGGCTGTGTCAGACGGCAGAAGACGCAAAGAAGGTTCTTCGAAACAGGGTTCAAGCTGAGAAAAGATAGTGCCATTATCAGACCGCATCAACTCCATGTTTCATGCAGACCCTGAGGTGGAGGACAGCTAAATCCAGCGGTGTCCTCAGTTGCCCCTGAAGCTGAATATAGCACACCTATCGGTGAAGCCGGGACGAAATTTCAGCTGCAACAATCCTGAGGTGAACCCTGTGCTATGTACATACACGCCAGATTGATCCTTACGCTATGAAGTCTGGCCCTAGAATGATGAAAGAAACATGCATTGATCAGCCAAGGCAGACTCATAACTCCCAGTGACTCACTGGAAATGACAGTCATGCTATCAATTCGACCATCTGGACCTCGAGGCTCTAATTCCCCTAAGTCGAATCATAGCAGAATGGAGCATGCCATTGACTAACCCCAAGAGTCCTCTGTGAGTCATTTCCAAAATTTTCAGATTCTCATATCAATTTGACTAGTTGGGCCATCTCTCTCGAGGCCTTAATTCAATATCTCTGATACACAAGGACAAATGGCACAAGGAGACTGCGGAGGTTATTGGCTCGTTTTGATCGTTTCACGCAATCTCTAACAGGTAACTTGATGATAAATATAGGGAGTAATACTTTCTAAAAATCAGGGCTCATTTGAACAAATATTGTCTTTTTATCGAGACTCTTGAGATAATGCCATCGTTCTTGTTCCTCGATCCTCGCTCAAGTGTGCAGGGTATTGTATGTTTCAGTCTTTACGGGCAAAAACCCTTGGTTGTGATAGTCTTCTGAGGCTTGATGATATGACTTAAATCAATGCTATGAATATGTCTGTCTCAACCAAAAATCCAATGTCACTCGCCTCAGAGATCACCGTCGGGGTAGATATGTCAATAGGAAGATCTTTGTCCTCGACAGTTTGAGCAATGGAGCTACACTTTGGCACCTACTCAATGTCTATCAATTTGTAGAATTAACATCAATAATAGAGTTTGCGCACAGTTATGACATTCTTTCAGTCTTTGAGCTTAGTTTCATTACAGGCTGTCCCTGAATCATGACACATCGCGATGGCATTCTAGTTGTGAATCACTTGAAGTTGACCAGGACAGGAGGAAACCGATAGATTACTACGGCTCATATGATGAAGTGACTAGATCATCAAAAAGAAGATCAATATATCTATAGAGAATATCCATCGTATCATGGGAGCAAATTTGTATGTATATACTTCGATGGGCCGGCAACCAATCAGAATGCTCGGATCGCGAACCGCAGGCAGCGCCTGACGTCTTGTCTATTCTCCACCGACGCGGAACGACCTCATGTCAATAGCAAAGACACCGTCCCCTTGAATACTGGCAACAAATCTTTACAGAGTAAAAGCTCATCAAGTGTGCTCGTACAGAAGTACTCGCTTCGCATCAAGGTTTTGGCTGTTTGAGATGATGTGTGCACACCAAATATGATCTTGACGATGACATCGATCCGCCTGTCTTACCTTCCCGACATATAACCACTGCTTTTATAAGTACTCTGCTTCCTCTCATAATGGGCCAGGGTTATTCCTTGACAACATTGTCGGCCGGCTCGGCCGGTATCGATGTCCCCGAGCTTTCTGATATGGTATACGAGAAATCTCTGGGCTCCGCGCGATTCATGAAAAGTATTAGAGCTCGGCAGCGGAATGGTCTCGCGTTTGTCAAAGTTATTATGAAACCTTATCCGAGCATGCAATTGGACCCGTACGTCAAAAAAATAACGCGTAAGTCAAGACTTTTGGGCATCTTTCTGGCCAAATACTGATTACTTGTCCAAAGGCGAAAGGGAACTGCTGGCCAGTGTCCCGAATGCTCTCGCTTATCAGCGAATTATTGAAACAGGGACTAGCGGATATTTGGTTCGCCAGTATATTCACAGCTCTTTATACGATAGACTGAGGTGAGTCCGGGTTTAGACTAAATTGACAATTCACTTGACCGACGAGTACAGTACGCGACCGTTTTTGGAAGACATAGAGAAGAAATGGATTGCATTCCAACTGCTTTGCGCACTTCGAGACTGCCACGCTCAAGAAGTTTTTCATGGAGACATCAAAACAGAAAACGTCCTCGTCACTTCTTGGAACTGGCTCTATCTATCCGACTTTTCATCATCCTTCAAGCCTACATTCCTCCCAGAAGATAACCCCGCAGATTTTTCTTTCTATTTTGATACCTCTGGTCGACGCACCTGCTATCTTGCCCCCGAAAGATTTCTGGAAGCAGGCGAAGAACCCGGAGATCGACAAGTCAATTGGGCAATGGACATTTTCAGCGTTGGCTGTGTCATCGCCGAACTCTTCCTTGAAGCTCCTATTTTCACTCTCAGCCAGCTTTACAAGTACCGAAAAGGAGAGTATAGTCCCGAACATAGCCAGCTCTCAAAAATTGAAGACTCCGATGTCAAAGACTTGATACTTCACATGATTCAAATTGATCCAGAATCCAGGTACTCCGCAGAAGAATATTTGAACTTCTGGAGACACAAAGTCTTTCCCGATTATTTCTACAGCTTCCTTCATCAGTACATGTCTCTGATAACCGAACCTGCAGCAGGGAGGGCTCAGGTAGATGCCGAAACCGGAAATTTTGGAGAATCTGATGACCGAATCGATCGACTCTATCTTGACTTTGACAAGATATCCTACTTTCTAGGGTCTACTCCAGTACCTGTCAAGGATGGATCGAAATTGACATCAGCCAACCTAATCAACCAGGTTCTACCTGTGCAGCTGGATTTACCAAACTCACAGCACGAGACTTCGAATTTGGAGCCTCAAGAGGGTGCTTTGATCTTCCTCACAGTGGTTGTCTCGAATCTAAGGAATACATCGAAAGCCTCTGCGAAAGTCAAAGCCTGCGACTTGTTATTGGCTTTTGCCGAACGACTTCCGGACGAATCGAAACTGGACCGTATACTGCCTTATGTGATGACTATGCTTAATGATCGATCCGATGTAGTCAAAGTGGCTGCGATTCGCACTCTGGCACAACTCTTATCAATAGTTCAAGTGGTATCACCAGTCAACGCATACATTTTCCCGGAGTACATCTTTCCGAGGCTGCAGCCATTTGTGCCTGACTCCTCATTCAATCCCAGTGCTATGGTCCGTGCCGCATATGCTTCTTGTATCTCCTCACTGGCGCAATCATCTCTCAGATTCTTGGATATGATTCAAGCTCTCCGGACCGATACACGGCTGCGCTCAGTCATACCAGCTGGCTCCGAAGCTGACTGGACGGAAGAAGCAACCTTTCATAATCTCTATGACGTGGCGAGAGCCGATCTTCTGGAGTATTTCGAAATCCATACCAAATCTCTCTTGACGGATAGTGATCCCTCCGTTCGTCGCGCTTTTCTAGGCTCTGTTTCAAGTCTATGTGTCTTCTTCGGCAGTGCAAAGATCAACGAGGTCATTCTGAGCCATTTGAATACTTACCTCAATGACAAAGACTGGATCTTAAAGTGTGCATTTTTTGAAGCTGTCGTTGGGGTTGCTGCTTATATTGGAAGCACAAGTCTCGAGGAATTCATCTTGCCCTTGATGGTCCCGTCGCTCACCGACACTGAGGACTTTGTGGTTGAACGGGTGATACGATCCATGGCAGCCATGGCAGATTTGGGCCTGTTTCAACGGTCAACGACTTGGGAGCTGCTCAATATAGTTGTGCGGTTCTTTGCGCATCCAAGCATCTGGATCAGGGAAGCCTCTGTTTACTTTGTCGTCACATGCTCCAAGTATCTATCATTTGCAGACAAGCATTCCATACTCACACCACTTATACGACCATTTTTAAAAACCAACATCATCACCGTGACGGAGGGTGAAATACTTGATGCTCTCAAACGCCCCTTACCAAGAGGTATATACGACATGGCTATAATATGGGCTCAAAAGACAGAAAAGGGCAATTTCTGGAAGGCGGCTAGCCGAGAGAGCACTTTTAGTCTGACTGGCAGCGACGCCATTATCGGTAAAGGCTTTCCGAAGAACGTATCTCTTACCGCAATATCGAAGAATGAAGAAGATTCACAGTGGATATTAAGACTGAAGAACCTTGGTATGACACCAGAAGATGAATTCAAGGTGCTCGTGCTGCGAGAATACCTATGGAGGGTTGCTATGAAATCGCGCAAGACATCTGATGCGACGGAGCCGACCCCATTGAACGACATTTTGAGTCTCACGCAATATGGAATTACACCCCAGACCGTATTCTTTGACAAGAATCAGGACGTCAAACAGCGAAAGGTGTCAGCGGATAACGTGTCTACAAATCAAGAGCCGAGATCTCACACAATAGCTGACGCACTTCTTGATGCGTCGACGAATGTTGATTCAGCAGCACGGCGAAAACATCAGCGATCGGCAACGCAACGACCGAAAGATAGCAACCCAGCACGAAGGAGTTTGGCGATCGCGGGAGGCATGAGAGCCGACTCTGAGGCAGCTTCTACTTCATCTTCACCGACAACTCAGCCAGCCTCGCAGGATTCATCGGCTCCGAACTCGGATATAGAGCGAGCGACTACCAAAAATCCCGCGGAAGCGGACAGGGCATCGGATCGGAGTAGCGTCATGACGGAAACTGGCTCACTATCACGGATCAACTCCTTGAACAGAATTGAAAAGAAGACCAGTGCTATCAATCTACTGAATCGCAAAGAAACGGCCAAAGCTTTTGCTGAGACTAGCATGAACTCGATAAATGCATTTGGAAAAGTGGATGTACATTCTCAGCAGGCGAGAGCACCTGGATCGCCGTTGGCGATGGCAAAGGACTTGAATCCAGTTCAGCAGCCAGTGACACAGCGATACCGTGCCGGACATTCGTACAAGGGTCGTGACCCTCGAATTCTGAGGCTGCTAGATGATGTGTTTGCCGAAAACTACCCCACGGATCTTTTTGATCTCGGTCCATATGTCAAGGAGATTGATTTGCGGCGTCCAATCCGAAGAGCTAGTGGCGAAGAAAGTGATAATCCCTGGAGGCCTGAAGGTGTGCTTGTTGCTTTGTTTGGTGAACATACCGGACCGATCAATCGGGTAGTAGCTGCGCCAGACCATGCGTTCTTTGTGACCGCCTCCGATGACGGCACAGTCAAAATCTGGGATACAACGCGGTTAGAAAAGAACTTGACTCCCAGATCGCGACAAACCCATCGGCATGCTCCCGGGACAAAGGTGAAGTGCTTGACGTTCGTCGAAAATACCTATACATTTGTTAGTGCTGCAACGGACGGTAGCATCCACGCTGTAAAGGTTGACTACCAGAGCGTCAACGAAACAGTACGATACGGGAAACTGCAGGTAGTCCGACAGTATCAGCTACCAGTAGGAGAAGACGGTTCGGCTGAGTACGCGACATGGATAGAACACTACCGCTCCGAAGCTCAGTCGACGTTGCTCATCGCCACCAACACATGTCGCATCCTGGCACTTGATATGAAGACCATGTTGCCACTGTATTCATTACAGAATCCCGTTCACCATGGCACGCCGAAAGTGTTTTGTTCCGACCGTAAACACAGTTGGCTTATAATTGGCACATCGCATGGCATATTGGACCTGTGGGACTTACGATTTAGAGTGAGGCTGAAAGCGTGGGGTCTTCCAGGAGGCACGGCGATACACAGACTGCAAATTCACCCGACCAAAGGTCGTGGTCGCTGGGTCTGCGTGGCTGGGGGAAGTGTACATGGCAGTGAAGTCACGGTTTGGGACGTGGAAAAAGTTCAGTGCCGAGAAGTTTACAGAGCAGCATCGGCATCGACTGTTGGAAACAGCCCGTCAACACCAAACGGAACTCCTAGTAGTCATCGAACGTCGGTAGTCAATACCTTGGCTGCAATGAACACTGTCACCAAAAGCTACGAACCATGGCGAGTAGATGAGGACCGGCCTGAAAGCATGCTTAGTCGTTTCGCCAATACATCTACGGCAGGAATTGAGCCGAACGCAGTATCAGCGGCGTCTCCGGGCGTAGGTGATCCCAACGGTATCTGTGCCCTGCAGGTAGGCTACGACATGCCAGCCGATGGTAAGGAAAGTACTAAATGCGGTTTTGCGATCTCCGCCGGATCAGACCGCAAGGTACGATTCTGGGATCTCGTTCGACCCGAGCTATCAAGCATCGTCAGCGGCTTGGACGCTTCTTCCGCTGAGGCCGGCATAGCCGCCAAACCGCGCTACGAGACTGTGCAACCAACGACAAGTCTCACGGTCACGACGGAACAGTTCCCCAACCTCGCCAAAACAACTGGGAGTAGCGCCGGCGGACGGAGCGGAACTTCATCGTCTGCCAAGAAGGGCCATAGTGCGAGCGCATCGCGTCCGCCGCGTAGTACAGTGATCAGTCTGCAACAGCAGCAGTTATTGAAGAGTCATCTAGACTCGATTCTGGACGTAGCCATTCTCAGGGCGCCGTATGGGATGACTGTGAGCGTGGATCGGGCTGGGATGGTATATGTGTTTCAATAATGTATTCGAGGTTGAGTAACAAGCATAGACTAATCAATACGCATAGAAGAGCTGTTTGAGAAGGCTGGTACTTTAAAAAAATAAATATAGATGACTTGCTTATGGGGGGTTGTCATACTCGAAGTAGGGTTAAAGACAGAGAGGGTAATGCAAAAACATGACAAGAAAAACCTTACGGGTTGAACTCTCGCTGACTTGATCAAAAGAACTGTCGAAAACCGGAGCAAAAATGTCACGTATTTCTACACCATGTCAAAAACAGTAGTTCAACCACCAGACTAAGACGCTGTTGTACTTGTATCGTGTGTACTCGGCACTTGAGGTTAGGTGTACGTATATTCAAGTGATCATCGCTACTTGCTGCACTTTTCACAGTGGTATTATTGACGAGAATTGATTTAGTATTGTGATGGAAGAAAAGGACATACGGACCGGTGATGGATGACTCGTTGAAACGAAACTCACAGGCTCACACCGCCTGACTAGACATCCGAATCTTCGAGAAATGTTGTACGTCCTACATAAATTCCGCGGATAAAAACCCCTTGCCACATGCCAGTTTGGGTTCCGTCCGAGTCATTGAATTTTCGTAAAGTAGCCCCTCGCTACTAGTACTGCACCATGCACATGTCATGTATGTACTGCGGCATACTAATACTAGATGCATGCCCGGCGATGGATGCATCGAGTTTGTGATGAATCTTATCTGCTAGGGGGTGAGTGATGGGACGTGTATGGAATCCAGAGCGGAAGGCTTCGATGCATCGCGTCGACGGCAGTTTTCTCCAAGGATAAGGATATGAGGTGTTCTATCGCTCCGAGGACTTTTTCTACTCTCCGTGCTAAGGTATATTTACCGTTATCACGTTTTTTCCCGCTGCGAATATGTCTTTCGGCCGTGTTCAGTTGTAGCCCCTGGCTCAAGTGTGTACCAATCACCCCGCAACTCAGGTAGGATCGAGTATCTCCTCGAGTTCGCAACTTCGCCTAGCCAGGTACCAGCCGCACTTGTACGACAGGATCAAGAAGTACGCACCCCATCGACGACTAGACCGTCGATCCTTTCTGTTGGAGGACAGCTATGGTGGGACCGGGACGGACCTTTTTCTTGATCTGAGAGAGTAAGACTATGGATCTGCTAGACGGATCTTGAATTCGTACATTTACTTTTTATGTCTGCTTGTACTACGTAGTATAAGGGTTTCAACTGAGAATTAACTTTGTAACGTATCCGTGCCAGCAAATACGTACTGGCAAACAGACATTGAAGGTCTTTTTTTCTCCGGGGGTGACAGGCCAATCGAGTCCGTGGCTGAGCTCTAGCGGGGCCGGAAAGCCGGGAGCTTGGCGCGCTGCATTCATGGTTCGCTGGATACGTAAGAATACTGGAAAATACATAGTATGGCCGTGGTACATAGTACGTTTCGGCGGGCACGCACTACGGCTGGKGCTAATATTTTAGCCTGCTATCTGAAACACTGCAGGGACTCCTCGTATCTTGTCCGTATGTACTACTACTACTACTACTACTACTACTATGTAAGAGTTTGCATCGATCGTTGAGAGACTCTTGTTGGCTATGTATGATTTCTTGATTTTGTTTGCGATTGCAGTTGTTCCTGCAATTCGATGCATCTCATCTACGGCCAAATAGTGCGTAATAGCAAGGAAGTGCCACCTTGTGCGACCTACAGCCCTGGTCGAGACAACAACATTGTGTCTGTTCTGCATCTGCATGCGAAGGGATACCTCGCTGAGAGCTCTGCATGGCCGAAAAGAGATTGAAATCGACAGTCGAAATCGAAACAACCGAATGTACTCATCGATCCGCTTGAGTCAAGAGCATCTAACGTGTCGTCCCAAGTCGAGTTCAGTCTCGTCTCAGTCGTCTCGTCGTCTTCTCGGGTCAACTAGAGTAGTCCTGCGGGACTAAAGACGCTACTCTCGGCTACTGCAGCGCCAAGTGGGCTGCCCTGCCGTCTGCCAATCAGCAACCCTAACCCCTGAGCAATCAGCGCGCCTCCTTTGTCCGCGCCCACTAACGCTAGACCTATGCAGGCAGTCTTAGCTGGCACCTTTTAATGAGCAAGACTCCCAAGCGCATGGCCATTGGCTGCTTCCTCAACAGTTCACACGCTAGTGTAGCAATTTGGGCTAAGCTGCCAAAGTGCCAAAGGTGAAAGGTCTCCCTCAGGTACCAGTCCCGCTTTCAGTCTCGGTCGGCTCTTGTTCTCTGGCACTGACCCCGTACCACTTACTCCCTACTCGGTCTGTCTTCGTGCTCTGCTTCTCATCATTTCTCCTTCTCTTCCTTTGCTGTATGGAGTATCCGTTCCCTACATAGTGCACAGGATAGACAGACCGACTCTGTCCCTCGTGGTGTGCCTCGCTCCTCACCCATTGATATTGATACCGCCATCATTTTTCTCTGCTCCTCTCGCAGACCCGAGACTCATCCAGGAGATGTGTGTATAGCCTCACGCTGGCTGTGAAATAGGTTGCCCCCTTTCGTTGGAGCGTCTACTGGATCTTGTCAGAAATCAAAAAAAGTCCCCGATTTGAGATCACCTTCATTTCTTGTCTCCCGAATCACCGACTACGACTGCCACTCTTTCTCCTATTCAATTAACACAACCAATGCAAAATGGCTCCCTCACTGAGAGATCACTCATCCTTCGTCCGCCCGTCCACTCGGGACCGGCCCGTGACTAGAGACCAAGCCGACAATTCTCTTGTTATTCCCAGTCGCACTTCATCTTTACACTCTCGTATCACCCAGCCAATTCCCTCGACTTTGAACCTGAAGCCCGCACAGCGCACACCCAAGACTTTGACCCATGCCTATATGGTCTGTGGTGTTGGCCGAGAGCCATCCCAATGGGTCAAGGCGCCTGCACCGATTCAGGGGAAAATCCAGCACATGAAGGGCGCCGTTGGCCAGTTCTGGTTGCCCGAGATCCTTGGTAGCAGCCCGCGGTTGGAGCAGGATAATGAGATTGCGCGGTCTTTGCACGCCGCCATGAGGGTAAGATGCCTCGTCTCGTGAGCAATGTGAAATTGATGATATATTCTAATCCTGATAGGCATGCTTTCCCCATGATGTTGAAATTTGCACTGGCAAATCACAGCCCCACTGCGTCCACCACTCATTTGTTCTGCAGCAGGACTCATCACACACCCTGTACGGTATTGCACTGCGTGTCTGGTCTCGCGCCGACGAGAAGCGTGCCGAAACCATCCGCGACCTACGCAAGAAGACCGAGTCCGACTACTATGACAACCCCGACGAGACCTACTGGATTCCTTACTGCTTGAGTTTCCTGTCTCGTTATCCTCTTTATGATCTTTTAGGAGATTACCTTCGTGGCATGTGGATTCACTGGAACAAAGCCACCAACCTGTTCCATGCGGAAGAAGTCTCTCGTATCCTCAGTTTCCCAGCTCCGCGCCTAAACGACTTGGTCCGAATTGATATGAAGGATTACGCACTATGCTATCAGTTCCCTTCCTCTCCGACCGGGTTCCAGAACTTTTCCATGTGGCCGCTCTTCAACTGTCTCTCCATTCCCAACATCGTAGGCGTTATCGAGGCAGCTGTTTCCCCAACTCGCCGGATCATCTTCGTCAGTCACTACCCCGCCATGCTCACCATCGCCGCTGAGACTATTCGATTCTGCGTTCGTGTATATGAGTGGAGTGGTCTTTATGTTCCTGTGGTGCATGCCCGTCATGCCAAGGAGCTCGTCGAGGAGCCCGGTCCTTACATTCTCGGTATCTCTCCTGAGTGCCGTTCCTTGTTTACCGCACCATCGGACGCTTTGGTTGTCGACCTTGACCGAAACTTCGTCCTCACCTCCAGCCCACCCAACGTCCTTTCCCCGGGCCAGCGTACCAAATTCATCAACCGTCTGACACAAGCCTTGAACGGTGAAGTCACCCCGTCCGGCGTACCACAGCATTTGCGTTCTGCGTATGGCGGTGGCAAGCTGATCCCCGCCGGGCAGATCATCGTGATGAAGGGTGAAGTGGAGAGTGTTCAGGATCCTGCTTGGTGGAACCAAGATGCGATCATGAGCGTCACCGATCACGTCTGCGAGAAACTTGTAAGTCTTCTGATACTTGTGGTTTTTGGTACATGCTAACTAGTATAGGGACGCAACACGGGTATGAAGGCCATTTTCGGTGGCTCCGTCAAGAAGCCACTCATGACCAAGGTGTCGATGAGACACTTGAACGAGATTGTCCGCGAGCGCAACCAATACTCTCGCGATACCGTGGAAGCCTGGCAGGATTTCATCAACCTCAAGGGACGCATGGACACCGAGCTATCCAAGGTCACCAAGCGCAACAATTTCTTGGTCGAAGAGTTGGAGACTTGGAAGCAGCAGGTATGGTTCGACTTGATCTCACTTTCATGCTCAGAACTGACAATTTTTAGTTCCTCAAATTCCAAGCTTTTGCTGAGCAGCTTACCAAGGAGACCTCCGAGCTCAAGGTCAAGATTGAAGGACACAAGCGTGAGAACCGCCGTCTCACTACCCTCATCGACACACAAAAGGATGACATTACCCGTCTTACTCTTCGTCTTTCCGGCACTGAGAAGCAACGTGATGATGCCTTGGAGGCATTGGTTCTTCAGCAAGAAATCGCCGAGGAGCTTGAGCGCGAGCGTAAGCGCAACCAGAAGGAGCTCTCAGCTATGGAGCACCGTACCTCGACTCTCACTCGTCAACGTGATGAGGCTCAGAGGATTGTGGTGCACTTGCGCAGCTTGATCGATGGCCAGACCCACCACATGGAACACATCATTCGAAACCTCGCCAGCTCTACTGACCTTGGTGAATACATCGACCAGGCCCTAGAGAACTCAGCCCAAGAGTCCACTTCAACATCATCGCCCGCACGGTCAATGACTGAAAGTCCCAAGTCTATGAAACGCCTATCCCGACCTGGCTCTCGCGTTCGTCTCTCTGGTGCATTCAACAGCCGCTCCAGCAGTGCAAGCGATAACATTAGCCCTGAGATGGACTCTGTTATGGACAAGGCACAACGACGCCTCTCTCAGATGAGCATGCCTGATGTGGCTGACCGCTATCTGAAGGACAAGACCGATGCTATTGCGGCTATCATTCGCAACATCAGTGAGCAGTGTGCTGCTGCCGTCGAGGGATTGCACCTTGCTCAAGATGCTGAGAACGAGGAGGCAGCCAAGGACGAGACTCACCTTGCGCCTTCTAACTCTGGCACCCGTGAAGAAGGCAGTGAAGCCGGCGAGAGCGAGAGCGGATACCTCCACGCCGACAACCGTGTCTCCAGCATTCCACCAACACCAGATCTCGTGCACAACCGTTCTAGCACGTCCATGTCGATGGTCAGCACATCAACCATTGCGGAGCGTTCCAGCCAGCAGTACAACCCTGGAGAAATTCCCACCAAGATTGTGGAAGACGAAGATGAGCACCTCCACGAGACGGAAGGCTTCGTTGACCCCAATGAAACCCCCACAGTCTCCAAGAAGCCCAGTCAAGGCATGATCAATGCCCCGGCCTCACGTGTCATTTCTTGAAGCGACTCAAAGCTCAAGTTGTACTCGAAGAGAACGAATAACGCGATCGCAGTGGCAACCTCGTGGTAGTTGCAATTTTCTAGCTACTTTTCCAGGCGTAGACGGTTTTTGCTCTAGCTTTGTCTCCTCTATTTCCTTTCCATCTTCTCTTCATTTCGTGTTACATCTCTTTTTCTATTTATTCCCCACAGAAAGTCCTTGTTGACTTTTTCAGGTTTTGTATTTTGATGCCAGAGTTTGAAGAATACATTGTGGATTATTCTTCGACTGATTCTGACGATGGCCATTGCCAGATATTCCTTTGCCGTCTGTCTACCTATTACCTCTTTTCCCTCTCCCCGCTGTGTATATGTGTCCGCATGCGTTCCTCAAGCGACATGTCCTTTTCTGTACAGAACCTCCTCCTTGAACTCAGCTGCACGAGTGTAGGCCAATGCTGTTGCAGTTTATAGGCGATACAGGATTTATGTATCGCAGTGTTTGTCAAAATGTCTGTTTCTATCTTCAACTTTTCAGGCGCCTAGTGCCTTGTCTTGACTGCGTGTCAAATCTCATATGTGTATGTATTTATTGAAGTCGAGGGACCAATTTGAATGAAACTTCTGAGGATGTTTACCATTTACATTCTTGTATCTTAATTGTGGTAGTGAGATGGAAAAATACGTACCCCATATTCTAGAAGTCTAGCCAAGGATTAACCTTAAGCAAGGTCCGAATAATACCTCGGTTCCCCGCAAGATACCCGCTTAATTAAGCCCGGAGATCCTTTGTTTGGGCTCGCCCAATGTAACATCCATCGATCGGATGATCTGGCTGATTTAGCAATTTAAAAACACCTTTCGATATATTCTTATCTCTTATTTTATAATATTTGCATTCATCCGGAACAGTATATCTTCTTTACTTTCCTGGCATCAACAGCTAGGTTGGGAGTACTCAAATGACGTCGTCTGCTAAACGGCGCCTGCAAGCGCTCAGCCAGCAGCTTGTCGAAGGGATTCCGGATGCTGGCACATTTGAGGGAATTCCACGGATTCGTGCTGTGGCTGGAGACTCTGTTGGACAGTGAGTTCTCCTCGGGTTTTGCTTTAGAAGCTACAAGAAGATACTGATCAGTCAATTGACTAGACGGGTTAAGGACAAGGTTGTTATTGTGACTGGTGCGCTTGGCCATCAAAAGTTCGGTTCGCGACTCTTTTTACTGACTATATATTGTTAGGAGCAAATTCCCCCATCGGAATCGGACGAGCAAGTGCCCACCAATTCGCGCACAACGGGGCCAAAGCCGTCTACCTGTGCGACTACGACGATACCTACCTCCCTGTTCACAAACGGGAAATCGAATCCTTGTACCCGGATGTTGAGGTACAGATTCGCCAATTCGATGCGGGAGATGCGCCTTCCGTAAAAGCCGTAGTTGATGACGCAATTACTCGTTATGGGCGGTTGGATATTATGTTTGCCAATGCGGGTGTTGTTGGGTCGACGAAGCTGTTTACAGAGATTGAGCCGGAGGATTTCATGAAGACTCTCAAGACGAATACATTAGGGTGAGTCAGAACAATCCCTCACTTTGCTAAAGAAAGTTGTTCTAATGGAGACGGGCAGTGTGTTCCTCGCTGCCAAATACGCCGCTCCCGCGATGCAAATAACCTCTGCCTCAAAACCCTTCCCCTCCGGCTCCATCATCTGCACCGCCTCGGTCGCAGGCATACGCTCCAACGCCGGAGGAACGGATTACTCCGCCTCCAAAGCCGCAGTCATCAACATCGCGCAGACAACCTGCTACCAACTCGCGGGCACAGGGGTTCGAGTCAACGCAATCTGTCCCGGTGTGATCGAGACGGGCATGACAAAAGTCATGTACGACGCTGCGCGAGCGAGAGGAACGCAGGATAAGATTGGACAACTCAACCCCTTGCGCAGAGGAGCGGTGGCGGATGAGGTTGCACGTGTAGCTCTGTTTTTGGGGAGTGAGGAAAGTAGTTATATGAATGGGCAGGCTGTGACGGTTTGTGGGGGGTTGAGTGCTGGACATCCGTTTGTGCCTGGGAAGCTCGGTTGATTTGCCTGTCGTACACAGAAGCGTAGTTTGTATATATGAATCGAGCCATTTACCTGCTTATCTAAAGTAGCCAACAGAGCGATAGGACTGTGTTACCCGATTACTATGAGGCAGCAAATAACAGAAACGAAAAATATTGACGTGTTGTAAGCGGGGAAACATGTGACCTGCAGGCGGCACGTCATTTTGTGTATTTCGGCGGGAAAGAAGCGGCCAGACTCGCAGCTGCTTTTGGGCGACAACACACCTACTACCTCCTCAATCTACAACATGCTAACTGACAGGGAGAGTCTACGCGTGCATTCCTAACGTCGCTCATCCTCACTACTCTTCTCGCTCGACCTCGTGGAGTCTTTGATTCTTCTCTCGCAGCATCTCGCCATCCCTTCCCATCACATTCCTGATCCTTGAAATCTAGACGTCACACCTCTCCTCTCGACGAAGTCGTCGCTTCAGCTCTCTGACCCTTGGAAACGCTTTTTCTCAAACTGATCAACATTCGGCTCCCATGAAGTTTCACAAATCCTGCCTTCGTTCCCATTTCTGCTCCCAGTGCCTTGACCGCCAGTTGAGTCATGGCGGATCCGACATTCACGCCGCAACTACAACTACAACCACGACGCTCCTCCTCTCAAACCTCCTCCTCCTCTCACCAAAGCCAAAGGACTAATGGAAATAACAATAAAACTGCAGCCGCCGCCGTTCGCCCAAAACAGACTACGAAACGGCTCTCGGCGGTGTCCATCGTGTCCTCGAATGCAGCCACACCCGGGATCCCCGCTGATTTGACTTCGTTTCCCTCCCTTTCACCGGATAGCTCGCCTCGAGAATTGCGCGGTCAGCCTGATGTGGACTCGGTATCGGAACAGCAGCAAGACGAAGAGGAAAGTCGTCGAGAAGTGAAACGAGGTAGACAGGCGGCTCTCGAAAGGCTCACATCTTCACTATCACAAGGATCGGGTCGTCCTGCTTTATTCGACGACTCATTCTCGACATCAGAGGTACCAGGAGCATTACACCTGGTCGACACTAACCATATAGAACATTTGCTGGAAAAGAACGGTGCGGTGAAAACGGTCAGACAATTTGCGCGCGATCTTGCAGTCAGGGATGCCGAGATTTCAAAGCTTCGACGGAGGGCTGATGCTCGAGAACGGGAGCTGAAACGCATGCTTCGAGATGTCGGGGTATCTAGTCAGGATATTGAAAGGCGTCTATATGACATGGAGAATCCCTCGTCGAAGGATACATCGCCTGGGGAGTCGGACGGTATTCATAAGCTGGTTACGAAGTCTAGTGTTGGAAATCTTATGGGCCAGGCCATGCTAGACCCTGTCGGTGAGTTTGATTCGGATGATACAGATCTGCAAGCGACTCTCCGACCACATCGAAACGATAGCGACGCGAAGTCGGGATCCTCGAGTATCGAATCCGGCACTCAGCGAAAACAGGGGACTGTCCGTATGCTGCAGGACTATATCTTTGGAACCACCAATGCTAGTCGTAGGACTAGTCGGGGTAGCAGCGTGTTGACAGATGCCGACGATATTGACGAGATTGCTGGAGCTCCTCGCATTGCAACGAATAATACAGCTTCTGGGCGTCGGAAAGGTTTAGACGAGAGGCTTTTTCAACCTCCTCTGAGCCGTGCAGCTTCTCCGGCAGGAGTAAAGCTTTCAAAAGCTACAGAAACTTCCAGTCTTCATTCACGCAAATCGTCAAAATCTGTTACATCTTGGACTGTCAAGCTATTCGCAGGCGGCTCTCAGAACAAAGATACACCAGGCGGCTCCAGTGGAGATCGTAGCCGAGCATCTTCGTTAGGAGAAGAAAAGCTCAAAAATACTGCAAAAACATCAAACCTCACTGGGAAGAATGGACTTTCCGCCGTGGCTGCTTTGAAGCGTATCAACAGTTATAGCGGAGTCAATGGTCTTCCCAACACTTCTACAACTTCTGGCCCTAGTAGGCTAGGTCTTCAACGGCGTACCACCGGATCGAATACGCCTCAACCACCCAACGCAGACCGCAGCAACGGCACGGCAGCAACTAATCTCGGCCCTGTTGAGATGGATGCTATTCTTCCCATGGAGTCTCGACCACCAGCTTTGAGTGAACTCAACTTCAACTACCAATCAGGCGGCTTGTTGACGGATCGCTATGGCTTCATATATGACCAACGGCGGAAGAAGCGACAAAAGGAAGCTGCGTTGTTGAGAAAAACTGCCAATAGAAACAGTCTGACCGAAACCATCAACAGCCACCGCAGCGGGGACCTAGAGGAAAGTTATGATGAGGACGATCACCAGACAGGCCTCGGATTGACGATTCCAGATCAGTCAGACACACCAGTCTCGGCCGAAGAAGCTGATAACGAGGGTTTAACGGCGAAGCGCTGGCAGGACTATCTTCGTATCGCAACACGGCCAACAGAGTTATTATCTCATACTCCTTCAGCCGCACCGATTATTGGTGTCTCTACTCCCGATGAACCTCCTAAAAGAGTGGCATCTACAGTTGCTCTAGATAAAGCTGGAGCACCGTCAGTTAGTCCGAGTTCACAGCCTACAGCCTCGACTTCGGCAATTGTAGCAGACACGCCTGAATTTGCCAATATACCAGCTCGCTCACAGATGACGACCGCAATCAGTATATCCAACGAACAAGAGCCGGTCAAACTTCTGCTCGAGCAATTGACAGAGCTGCACGACGTTCTCCAACGCGAAAGAACGACCAGGTGGAATGAGTTTCTTCGTAAAGTCCGTGCTGAACGCCGCCGAGAAGGTGAAGCAGCTGCAGCGCAGGACCCTGAACGTGCGAACATGGCACTTAACATGCCCGAAGCTACTATGGCTGATGGCGAAGTTGTTGGCATTGCCGGTCTAGGCAATAAAGGCAAGGTTGGGCGGAATAAGTGGCGAGAATTCCGGTCATTAGTGCTCTCTGGAATTCCTGTCGCCCACCGCCCAAAGATCTGGGCAGAATGCAGTGGTGCTTCGGCGATGCGTATCCCTGGCTACTATGACGATCTCGTGAATATGGTTAACGTCGTTGACGTTGATCCTACTATCGTCGCTCAGATCGACATGGATATTTATCGCACGCTTACTGACAATGTGTTCTTCCGCAATGGACCTGGTGTGGCGAAGCTACGAGATGTCCTTCTAGCTTACTCACGGCGCAACCCTGAGGTTGGATACTGTCAAGGAATGAATCTCATTGCAGGCTCGCTTCTGCTTACTACACCAACGGCCGAGGATGCATTCTGGATCATGACCTCGATGATTGAGAATATCCTACCTCAGCATTATTACGACCACGGCCTTTTAGCCTCTAGAGCAGACCAACAAGTTCTACGTCAGTATATCACCGAAGTGCTTCCTCGACTTTCAGCCCATCTGGACGAACTTGGTATCGAGCTAGAGGCCTTGACGTTTCAATGGTTCTTGTCTGTGTTCACAGACTGTCTATCTGCCGAAGCTCTTTATCGTGTATGGGATGTTGTATTGTGTCTGAATGTCACAAGCACGACTCGCGAAAGAGCGGGATCAACGGCTGTTGTCAATGGCCCGAAGAAAGACCCAGAAGAAGATGCCGCAGCTGCAAGTGGTGGCGGCAGCACATTCTTGTTTCAAGTCGCCTTGGCTTTGCTGAAGCTCAACGAGCAGCAACTCTTGACAACCTGCCAGACACCTGCTGCAGTATATACATATGTCAACCATCAAATGACCAACCATGCAATCAGCATTGATGGCTTGATCCAAGCGAGCGAGGCTCTAAGGAACGTGGTTCGCAGAGAAGACGTCGTTGCGAGACGAGCTGCCGCCTTGCGATCGATGAAGAACGATGGCCACTCCTACCAAAGCTCCACCCATTCAGATGATTAAGTCATCTGCACTGACGACAAAACAATTCACTCAATACACTCCTTTTAAAAAATTCCTTTTGTATTTGCAGACTGAGGCGCAATATACCACCTTTATTCTTCCTTCATTTAGCGTCATATCATTTGCATCAGGCGGGTTCGTTCCTTTTGACGAGATGGGAAGTACATGCAAAGCATACAATGATACCCAACTCTTTTATGCTAGAATTTTTGCCTTTTTTTCGATTTTGTGCATTTGGGGGTTGTGTTTGTTGGAGTCAAAAGATTGCAGCATTTTGGGGTGCAATGTCATTACATTTAGTCTGCTTAGTCTCTCCGGTTTAGCATCAATGAGAAATAATCAAATAAGTTGTCTCCCTGATAGACTTTTCAATAATTGGCGATACGATCGATTTTTGTTGATATTAGTCACGTGACCTACATCATCAGTTCAATCGACGTCACCGACTTCAACCTACCCAGTCAACCATCTGCTCAGCTACTCAATCAGCGAAGACAGAGATTGATATCCATTTAATCGACACGAGACAATACTCGTAAGTTTTGACGATACTACTGTTTGATTGACGGATCACTGCACAGCTCAAGATGGCGTCGTCATCCAAGCCATCCAGCACCCTTCTATAGTAAGTTCTGAATACTGTCAATTCCATCCCAGTATCTGACAAGTCAACGGCAGTTCCTGCATAGCCCATGGAACCACAATATTAGCCGAGCATTCCTCCCCCGGCGCCTCGTCCACTTCCGCCTCGTCCCTCGCATCCATCATCCTCCCCAAAATCTCACACGACAAACCCCAAAAACTCACCTATACGCACGACCGCCTGTTTGTACATTACATCGCAGACTCACCCTCCGGCGGCGATTCCAAATTCTACCAAGATGGCAACAGCAAAAGCCCCATTACTAGTAGTAGTGGAGAAACAGATTCGCACTCCTCGCTCAGCTACCTGGTCGTCGCAACAGCCGAACAAGGCCGACGCATCCCCTTCGCCTTTTTGCTAGAAGCCAAACGCAAATTTCTAGCTGCCTATCCACCCTCCACAACCGATTTCGCGGCTTTACCGGCCTATGGCTGCGCCGCGTACAACTTCGAGCTTAGGGCGTTGTTGCAGCAATACAATACCGCACCGCCGGCAGACTCGCTCGCCTCTGCGCGCAGGGAGATTGACAATGTGCGGGATATCATGACAGAAAATATTGAGCGGGTGCTGGAACGAGGGGAGAGGATTGATTTGTTGGTTGATAAGACGGATAGGTTGGGAGGGAGTGCGCATGATTTCAGAATGAGGTCGAGGGGGTTGAGGAGGAAGATGTGGTGGAAGAATGTTAAGGTCATGGTTTTATTGGTTGTGGTGGTTGTGTTTTTGATTTATTTGTTCGTCGGTATGGGGTGCGGGTTGCCGGCTTGGGGGAGGTGTATTGGGAAGTGAATTATCCTCGAGTACCTACCCAGCTAGAAAGAGATGTCGAGGATAGTGTATATGTATATCAAATTTGTCTGGTGAGATAGGGAGTATTTACTTTGCATGGCGTGAAATCCAGTATCAAATTGACATGGTCCAGATGTCTTCAGTTCCTTCATTTCCTTCATGCTTTCATATTGATTTTCCTCGCGCAAAATACTATCTAGGTGCGATGCTAAGACATGTATCTCATCATCAAACCCGCGATTATCATTGAAGATTCTCAAGACGAGTCTGCAGATGAGCCAGCAACAATTGTGATTCATATTGTAGTTACTGGGTGTTCAATCTACGCCAGCCGTATACCTCATAAACCATGAAAAGTGATAGGTCAATGCGGAGATATTCTGGCGTTTCTCTCGAAGAGAAGGAAGAAAAAAAAGCAAGAGGGAAGAATGAAATGTGAAGTTTTTTCGATTTGATTCAGCTGTAGGAACGCCGGGGTTGCCAAACAACTATGACATTAGAATAGTCTCGCAGCTCCCCATGCTCGAGTCCTGATGATAGCCTATCTCACTGGATAAACCCATCGGCCACGTGATTTCTTTTTTTGTGAGACTCAAATTCGCGCCTTTTTCCCATTTCATGACCATGTAGCAGAAAAAAAAAGTATACGCACAACACACACCCTATTTCCATTCCGTCTGTTTTACCGGAACGACATGATGGACGAACAAAAAGTTGGAAGGTAGAAAAAAACTTTCAAATTTTTTCATTTCTGCCGCTTGCTAACATAAATCATGCTGAAAGAGCGGCCTTCCTGGTCTCACGACCCTTGCCAACGCGCTCCAAGAGGTTTTCACGGTCCTTGTCCAACTTAAGCTTGGTGATGACGACCTTGGAGGGGTGGATGCCGAGGGGGACGCTCTGGCCGTTGGACTTTTCGCGGACAACACGCTCAATGTGAATGGAGTACTTGAGGCGGTAGACGCTGGTGACCTTGCCCTCACGACCCTTGTTGGAGCCACGGACGATGGTGACTTCGTCGTCCTTGCGAATAGGGATGGATCGGACCTGGATAGATTGTGTTAGTCTTGTCCTTTGATACTGAAATATTCGTAGATCTTTTGTTCGTTCCATCTTTTCAACAGAAAATGTTCCGTTTAAAGTGGTGCATGTCTTGGAAAATCTCGAGGGACATCGCGGGATAAAGGACGACTCGTACATTGTGCTTTTCACGGAGCTCTTTGCTGAGAGGAGCGCTCATGATGACTCGTCGCTCGCTGGAGGGAGCGCTGAAGTGAGCCTTGCGCGACTTGCGTCGCGAGGAGGCGACGGCTGTTGTAGAGAATCTCATCAGTAACTTGACTCCAAATCGTGCTCGTCCACCACATCGAAATCGAGGAATATCCTAACATATCCCAACAACGATATGATCCACGTCGAGAATTCGCTTGATTGATTCATATACATACCGTGATATGTCTTGGTCATTTTTGCAGAGCCGGTGTCGAATGGCAAAAAGGGCTCTGTAAAAGGGTGTTGTCGTCTGCGTCGTCGTGATCGTCTGGGATCTTGAAATGTTAGCCGAAAATGTGCGCTTCGATAGTTGCTCTGTGTGCGTCACATGACTACGCTAAGCGGAGACGTGGATTGGTCGGTATAGACTCCATCGCGCTTGACTATTTTTGGGAGCGCCAAGCAATTTGTTGATGTTCCGCGTTTACATGGGACCGCGGCTGCCATTCTTAGCTATGTCAACTTTGATGCCCTCAAGTCTTGCGTTCTTGCTTCGCAAAGACCTTATCTCTGGTTTAACTATGATAGAATATAGGTAGGCAGCGCTGTGAGCGGCCAATCTTGTAGAGATAATGTCGTCATATCCCAATTACAACTCATTTCAATATCCCAACAGTCAGAACGAGCAGAACTCGAGAAGAAATCGCCAGCCTGTACAGCAACCACAGCAGCAGTCTGTGCAACCTCCCCAGGGTTATATGGGAGGTAAATATTCTTGGAACAATCAGAACGCGAACAAGTCATATTCGGATACCAACGACGGGTACTCGCGCACCCAAGATCATTCTTCGAGCTTTGCGCATACACCTGCTGCGCTCGGTAGCTACGCTCAACAAGGTACGCGCACGGATGAGAATACGCAGAGAAGTACTGGATTGAATAGCTTGGTTTACGCTTCTTCGCTTCATCAGAATACGGGCCAGTCACAGTCAAATGTTGGTACTCAAGGCTCGAATGTATCGAATCAATACCAGAGTGCGACGGGTTCGTACAGTTACCCATCTCAGTCAAATTCAGCAGCGAATACCCAGGCGACCACAACATATAATCAACAGCCACAGCAGGCCTCTAGCACTGCTTCTTGGACGTCCTCGACCTCATATACTACATACTTGAGCACTTCGGTCAATAACGATGACCTAAGACAATATCATACACAACCTGCGCATTTGTCACAACCAGAACGGCACCCATCGCCGAAAGTGGACCAGCGTGGACAGCGAAGAGCAAGAAGTTACAAAAGCCCGCCTGTTACAAATTCCTCCTCAAATGCACCTTTGAACGCGACCTCGTATTCGCAAACGTCTCACGGATATAGCTCATATACTGCCCATACTTCATCTGTGGCCAACCCCGGTCATACGGCGACCTCCACGGATACTGTGCCTACTGTCACACAAGATTATCCTCAAGTCTCAGAAACCAGAACTACCGATCAGATTTCGCCCTCAAAAGTCCAATTTATCAATCCTACTGATTTATACACCCAGCAGTATTTCCTCACACAGGAACGTGCTAGAGCAGAAGAAGTAGAGCAAATGGCGGCAGAAGAAGCTCGAAGGAAAGAAGCCGAAACTGAGGCCCAAGCTCAGGCGGAGGCTGTTGCACGGGCTGCAGAGGAAGCTTCGTCAACAAATGCGCAAGTGACGCCTACAAGCACTGCTAAAGGAAATGCAGCCAAATCTTCGACTGCAAAGAACACATCTAAAAAGAGAACATCGGCGAAGAAAAAAGCTGCCGAAAAGGATGTCGCTCCTGCAGATCCATTAGATGCAGAGAATGACGATGATATGGCTCTTGAAATGCGAATGATGCTAGAGAAGCTCCGTGGCATGCGAAGCAAGGATCCTTCATTGTTTGCTAAGCTATGGGACGACTTCAAGAAACCGGCTGCAAGTACCCACACAGCTGCAACTACAGAGCAGCCAGCCACAGGTCCGAGTCGGTCGACGACCAAACCGTCTCCATCTACCAAAACCCTCTCTACTAATACTCCCAGTAAAAAGCCCAAGAATCAGGGCCCAGGCGTGAGCCAGGAGAAAGAAATAGATGGCTTACCAGACCTGGGAAGATTTCCTGCACAGCGACGCAGAAGAACAAAGAAAAGTGATGCTGCAGAAGGTGTTGCTGCCAACGCGCAATTAGATGCTACTGCATCGGTCGCTCAAGTCAATGTCAAATCCATGCTGAACCAACACCATCAGCAATCTCCCGCGCCCGTCTCCGCACCCGTCACCAAAAATGCAGCCGCAAATACGCAGCAGAAAGCATCAACTGCAGCTCCCTCAGCATCCAAGCTTAAGGCAACGCCAGCACAAGAGGCTACCTGGCCAGCGGCAACTCAACAGAAGCTAGCCAAGGCTGCGTCGGAGTATTTGAGCAAAGATGATGCAAATCAAGGCAAAGAATGTTCGGCAGAGTCTCTCATGCTTCTTTTACGGAATAACCCGACCTATCCTGATCTCTGTGCTCTATTGGAGTCTCGAGGTTTCGTCCTTGACAGACAAGCCATGGCCAGGTTTCTTCTTGCAGCGGTTCCTGCGCTACTTAGCGGTAACAATGGGCAGGATCAGAAGAAAGCGGAAGCAACCCAAAATACTCCTCTAGCACAGGCAAGCCCGACTMTTCCTCCAACTACGACGCAGCCTCCTCCACATCCACTACCTCTGCCACTTGAACCACCCCAACCAGCCCAGCCAACTCCAGTATCTCAACCAGCCCCGCCGACTCAATCTATAATACCGCCTCTTCCTCATCTTCCTCAAGGGGTACCCACATCTGACTTGGATGTCGTTTTCTACCAACCTGGAGTACATGCTCACAAACCGCGTGCATCTAATCCAAACTCAAGTACAGCTGAGAAAGGAAAAAAAAATTGGCAGCGGCCACGGAGATCGGACGGGGCATGGATTTCGAATACACCTGTTGGGCCCAAGGCTGAGATGGCCAAGAAGAGACTGTTTTCTGAGATTGTGGACATGTCACAAGTGAGCAGTGACGAGGAAATGCCAAGCGATTATGACGATGATGATGAAGAGGGGGTTTCCAATCGTCCGATGCCTAGCATGAATATGGACATTTCTCAGCCTCTGAAACTCCAAGATCCTGGGCTAGATCCTATGGACATCGACACAGACTCGTCACATCTAATCGAACAAAATCGACCTGATTCCCGTGCTGAAATGCCAGAGCCTGATATCGAATTCGACCCTGATGATGAGTTTGTCCTCCGCGAGATCAAACGTATACCGAACATTTGCAAATCTTTGAACCCATCAGTTGCATTGAAACGAGTCTATTATAATCCGAAAACAATTGCACGGGATATCATGCTTGCTACAGGCCGTCATCCGTCTGAACGGCCCCTGAACTTCCACTTGATGAACTTCACACAAACATTTTTGGGTGTCACCATGCGTTCGGATCTTGAAACGTTCAGATGGGATCTTGTTGACCCGGGCGGACCATCCATGCCAGTCGTTGAACTCGAGGACATTCTCGTCGAGCCTCCCCAGCTTACTCGTAAAAAGCGCCGCCGTGACGAATCACGTGATGATCCCGACGTCAAAGGCCCCACTTCCGATAGTCGACCTCAACCGAGCCAAACAATTGCTACACCTAGACAACCGCTTTCTACTTCTCTTTCCACACCTCACGGTGCACGCGATTCCATGGCTGGTACACCGACTACTGGTCAGAGGACTGGTCGTCGCGGTCGACCGCCCGGTGCCAAAAACAAAAACCCTACGAAAGCTGCGTTGAAAGCTCTTGCTAAGACTATTGCTGGGTCCTCAACGAGAAACGCGCAACCCACTGTCCCTGCCGCTGCTACCTCCGTTCCTGAGCCATCATATCCTATATTTACGTGTGAATGGGCGTCCTGTCCTGCGCAGCTCCACGACGTGCATACGCTGGAGCGTCATGTTGTCAAGAACCACATTGCTGGTCAGCAAACATGTCTATGGCAGAACTGCCCCAACTCCGCGACAGAGTATAGCGGCGAAGGTCTGGAGGAGCATTTGGCAAAAGCACACATCCAACCTCTGGCATGGAAGTATGGAGATGGACCGTCCGTCAACGGTACTGGTGAGACAGAAATTACCTCGCAGATTGCTGTTACTGTGTCATGAACAAATAATTGAGGATGAACGCTTCTTTCTTTTATCTTCGTATTAGTCAATGTTAGTCTCGATCGTTTCTTGATTGCCAATGGCTTGATTGTCACACCCGATGCTGCTACGGCGGGCGAAAGCGACACCCTCATTTTCCCGGTTGAACCGACCCCGATTCGCGCATTCAACAAGTTGTACGGCGACCAGAAGCCGACCGAGCGAGCGCAACAGGTATTGAGGGCAGTGCAGAAACGACGCAAACGCGTAGGTATCGGTCTTGAGCAACAAGGTTGCGAGTTTTCGACGCCCGTGCGAAATAAGCTATTCGTGAACGACGAGGAATACTACGAGGTGGTTACTGATGAAGAGGAGGGGACCGACGATTGGTTTTCGCAAGCGCAAAGTGATAATTTCTAGGGCGGATATCCTACAATATAGATTTTTCTGGAGTTTGGCAGGTCGGATCCGCTATGGGGTTCAGGGATGGCGCTGACGGCATGGAGTTATTGAGTAATGGAAGGCTTCACAAATCATCGTAGAAAATGCGAATACAGTGAAAAGATTTAATATTTTCATAGCAGAATATTGAAGCATAACTCAATCTCTTGTAATCCCGACCTCACATCAATCAACGACAAAGTATCATTTAGGTCGTCTTCCCGGCACTGCCCCTCGAAGCAAGCGCAGCAGCAGGGGCAAAAACAACGGGGTCCGCACCGACGGGAATCTTCTTGTCTGCGGATGTCGTGGGGGATGTGGAAAGAGAAGATTGTGATTCGTCTTTGGCGTTGATTTCGAGGAAGTGGTAAAGGACAATGAGGAGCATGGCGCATGAGCCGAGGAAGATGGCGAGGCGGAAGAGGTCGTCGTCGGAGATCATTTTGTTCTGAAGATGTTGGATTTTAAGGAGTGGAGAGTAGTTTTATGTGTTGACGGAGGTATGCGTGCTGTGTAGTGGTGTTAGTTAATTGTTGCAAGAGAGCTGCGTCTGGCCAGCTTGCAATTGCGGATGCCGGCCGGACGGAGTGGTCGCGCTTAACGCACCTTTGTCACCACCCGCGAGAAGAAATATAAGAGAGGAACGATTCGCAATTTGATTGTGAAAGAGAGGAAATTGAACGCGCCTCTGAAGTGGTCAGACGATGTTTGCAGTGGTCTTGGTGGTGGTTGAAGGTACTCCATACAGCGTGGCGAGCTAAGACTAGTAGACGTAATCAATTATCGCCATGGACTAACTAGATCCACTACGAAAGGTATCGATCGCCAAACTTTCATGTATTGGCCATAGGGCACTATTAAACTCTAGATCTCAAAAAAGGAAATCATATCAATGTTATAAGCTAGTCGCATAGTACTATAGTAAGCATATCGCGAGAAGGTCGAGTCGAGTTGCCTGTCGCATTCCAGGCTGTAAGAACCGAATGATTACCAATTGCGACAGCATTACAACAATACCAGAAAACCGTTTGAGTGACAGGTCAGTTTATATCCATACAATTCATCTATCTGAGACAAGTCGCAACGGTCAAGTGGCGTTGCGAGATCTGCAACGGTTTCTCGTAAGCTTAGCTGCAACGTTGTTCCAGTCCGTGGTTCACCGTATGTCCGTCCGACTTTTCTGCTAACCGGTAATCGATCTAGATCTCGGCTCTCTTCTCTTCTTCTCTTCTCTCGCATCACCTTCAACACTTTCATCCTCATCAATCATCATTTTCATCGACAATCCACACGGCCGTAACTTCGGATGCCCCTCGTCAGTGTCACCCTGCACGGTACCACCTACATGTGCTTCCGATCCTCTTGACGACCACGAACACTCATCGACTTTCGCGCCCCTCTTTCTTCGCATCTTGCTGCCAGTTTCTGTACAGATCGTTCGCAACCAGAAATTAGTAACGCGCCATTGCCAGTCTCCTTACCGGCCGGACATTCCGGGTCAGAGCATCTTCAATTGTGACGAATGCAAGTGTCTCTATAACAAGGAGTAGGCTTTCACATTATCCGCTCGTATCGTCGTGAAACGACCGTTCGATCCGAGTCAATAGTGTTACTGTGCCTTACATTAATATTGAAGGCGATATAACGAACTCTACACATATTGCAGCATTGATCTATGATACCGTCACCATGAATCCAGGCGCATTCGCTTACTCGATCGATCCGAACGTCTACAATGATTTTACTCCAACCAGCATCACCCCAAGCAGCAACGACAATGGCGTTATTGCGATAAATGGAAACTACAATGATGATACAAAAATCAACGAAAATTGGATTGGATCTGTAAATGGAATGACAACTTCCAATGGAAGCACCAATCAGAAATCTGCTGGTCCTTCGCCGTTGGCCTGCTTAGCATGCCGACAAAAGCACCTCAAATGCGATGGCAGACAACCAATCTGCGGTCGATGTCAGTCCGGAGAGCTTGCTTGTGAATACACTCCGTCACGACGAGGGTATAAAGGTCCCTCAAAGAAACGTCGTGCTAATCCTCAGCCCAACGAACAACAAATTGCAAATATTGATCAGCAGATATTTAATCTAGATGGTCGTCCCCTGGAGATCTCGCCGGATTGGCACATCCCCAGCATCGTTGGCTCTGTACCTTCGTCAGCGACACCGGCTGGKCAAGCGGTCACCCCTCCAGATATGCCAGGAGGTGTGATATCGACTACTAATACCACCGGTTCTGTCGGCTATGCTACCTCAACTACACCACAAGCTGGAAGAATGCAGTCACCATTGACTCCTGAATCGCCTCCAACGGCAATGGGGAGAGATGGATACTTGGTTGATGTGTTTTACTCTAATTTCCATCCCGCCCACCCAATTCTTCCTCCGGCGGGCATGCTCTACAAATATTCTCCACCCCCTTATCTCGAACTAGTGATTAAGTTTATTGGTGCTCATTTTACGCCAGCAGCATCTCCAGAGCCATATAGACCGTCTGTTGTGTCCGCAACCGTCGGCCAAGATCCATGTCCTGAAAAGGTTCAGGCATTGCTGTTACTCACCATTGTCCTCCATTCGCGCAACGAGCGTCAAGAGGCTGGAGAACTTTTGGCGCAAGCCGTGTCTTTGGCGTACGAACTTGGCATGCATCGCAAAGAGTATGCAGAGAACATGGCAGAAGATCCCATCCGACGAGAAAGCTTCCGCCGCACTTGGTGGGAACTTTTTGTCATCGAAGGCATGTTGACCGCGCTAGGCATGCGCACTACCTTTACAGCTAGCGAGGTTCCCCCTGAAGTGCCGCTTCCATGTGAAGAGCGCATTTACCAGGATGGCCTAGCCCCTCCGCTTTACCCGCCTACAATCAAACAGTTTGATGACCGGGTATTCGCCGAAGAGGACATCACCTTTTCTTCATTTTCTTACCGTATCGAAGCTGTCCGAATTCTGGGTAGGGTGGTGTCTTTGTCGGAGTCTGCATCAGGCCAGCAGCAACAGGAAGAGGTAGAATCAGTGGATGCGCGAATCGCATCATGGCATCATCACATTCCAGACTCGAAGATGGAGCTCATGCGGCCAGACGGAACGATGGACGAAATGATGTTCCAGGCGCGAATGGTGATCAGCGGTGCATCGATCTATTTGAACTTCCCTCGATCGGATCTCCTTTCGTCACCGGCTGTAGCTGCAGAGGTTATCTGCGGTCATTCAGGGGTGTGTTTGATGCCTGCATTCTCGCACCATGCGCACGCCATGAGGGCCCTCAACGCGGCAAGCGAGATCTCGACTCTGGCAGCGCTGCGCATGCCCGTCACAAAACACACCCCGTTCTTCATATGCGCCCTGGTCCTGAGTTCGATTGTGCAATTGGCAGGATACTCGGTCAAAGCCGGCCAAATGCCGGATCCGCGACGCGATCGCCTCACTCTTACAATCGGCGTGTTCAAGTCTCTAGGTCGGACGTGGGCGATCTCGCAATCGGTCATGAGGCAGATCAAAGCCGTGGCGCGCGATGTGCTCGAGATTGGCGTGCGGCCACAGGCTGATCAGAACAATCTTGACTTTAGTGCGTTTTTGGAGGGGAGTCAATTCTGGTTACCCAATATGCAGCCTGCATAGTTGTCTGCTTTCGAGTGGGACGGATTAGGACTGGATGTACAAATTACTTTACGAGATCATGATAATTTTTGACTTTCTGGATATGCAACACACTACATATAACTAAATTGCCAACAGATTTGGTACTATCAATCACCTCTCCTCAGTCTTCATATGAATGTGTACGTACGTATATGTTTTCCGCGGTAAACCGCCCATTCGGGCCATTTAGGCTTTGGTAGTACAATACAATACAATCCAATACAGTGTCACCGCCCACTAMCCCCGCCGTTATCAGCATCGCCGTTCAGATTATCAGCCCAAACTACTACAGTATGTACCTAGGCCGCCTATTAAATCCTTATCTCTCGGCAACGTTTTCAGCTTATCATTCTGTAATTTTTCGTCTTTCTCCGCACGACATTACCATATATTTACCATACCTTACAATCAGCGTATGTTTCCCCTCACACAAAAGCGATTTAGATTACACATAGAAATACATATCAAGGGGGATTTTCCCATTATCTTTCTTTTCCATTTTTTCTTTCGTATCGTCGAATCGTGACACTCGCGTCTTTCTTTTCAACAGCTATATCCAGAGGCTGTATCAATCAACTTGATATTTCGCTTCTTCTGGAATATTGCCTTGTACGTCATCTCTACCTCTTTCATTACCACCCTCTGTGAACATAGCTTATTCCGACGACAATCGTTCTAACGCGCGCGTATTGGATCTAGACAGCAAGTTCACTCAATCTACCAAACATATTCCTCAGAATCTTGAAACAGAGGTCCAACTACAAGAACATACAAAATGTGCAGAAAAGCTACTTGCGCCACTTGCCGTGCGTCCGCTCTCCTCCCACCCGTCATCACCCCCTTCTTATTACCATTTTGGGAAGGATTTGGTCGTACTAACATCTGCAAAGACAAAGCAACCTGGTGGGGTTGCGGGCAACACATCCCCGTGGTCTTCGAATCCATCCCCGAGAACGACTGGTGCGTCTGTGCGCCCAAGGTCACCGTTGAAGGCAAGGAGTATCCGCCCAAGGGCACGGTTGCGAATTGACTAGCTTCGATGTTTGGGTGGTGATGCCAGATTAGTCTATTGGCTTGATGGAAGAGTTTTGTGGTTTCGTTTTCACTCAGCGCGGTGTTTAATTTTGATGCTTTCGGTGGGAGGATTTAGTTCTTTTGTTTGATTTGATATATTGTCTGTGTTGTGGATAACTCAGAGATTCTGCCGATTCACATTGAAACTGACAGCAATATCCAAAATCTTGACGAGACGTCTTGATGCGTATTTATGTACACGTAATCCACACAGTAAGCTAACTAGCGTTCTTAGGCCACATTAGTACGTACATGTAGCTTGCCATGTGGTCTACTAAACTAACGTCTTACCTACATTCGGGCGACTATATTTGGGCGTATGCATGTGTAGATCTCAAGTAAAGATTTATTAAGGGGCTTATTAAGTACGGATCATGACCGCATACCCTCCACATCAGAAAAACTCCCAATCGTATCGTCATCATCATCATCATCGTCGTCGTCGTATTCGTCATCAAAGTAATCAAACTCGTCCTCAACGGTATCATTCATTTGCACATCATCGTCGCCGCTCACCACAGACCCATTCACACTCCTGATATTCAACTCGTGCACACGCCCGACAAGCTCAAAGTCAGACACCGAGGTCGCCGCAGATACGACTGTCGTAGAAGCATGGCTGTCCGTAGCTTCATGTGAAGCGCGATGTACTGTACTGGCCGCCTCATCGGGACGGATAGACTCAAACGAGTCCATGGAAGCAACCTCGTCCGGATCCTGGACGCTACCCAAATGCACGGAAGGACCTGCAGTTGAGAATCCCCCTTCTTCCAGAATTGGAACAGACTGATCGTCAAAGACGCCGCCGGTACCATCATCAAACCCTCCGGCCCATAGAGGCAGAAACTTGAATTCATCCTCTTGTAGACATACAAGTGTATCGACAATATCAAACGGGACGTCGAACATGGACGAGGCAACCTGATCGTATAGCGGAGGTCCAGCGATACGAGTCGTTATTTTATCCAGATGCTTCTTGATCGCCATTTGAAAGATAACAAAATCGGCCCAGTTCATACCCACCGCTTTTTGGAATTTCGTAAAGACTCGGTCAACCTCAAATGGTGATATAGGACGGATCGCGGCAAGGTCCTGATCTTTGAGGTTCGGTATGCCAGGTGCCAAGCAGTCTAGCGATGAATGAATCCAGGTATGTGCGTCCGTCAGCACGGGAAGGTCTGTAGAGAGGGATTTCCAAAACCCGCGAGTGAATATGCGACACAAAGGGTGCATGGTCGAGCGGGCGATGTAGTAATTGATGCCTGGATATTCAGAAGAATCATTTGAATGAAATCTAAGTTCCGTGTTTGGTGTAGATGGCTGCATCAGGACCTGATATATCTGGCAGCGAACATACAGCTTGCAAAAATCGAAGAGCTCCTCAATAGCCTGTTGGTGTTCTGTGTAGTCAAGAAGAAGCCATTTGTCGAGTTTCTCCTTTACCGCTTCTTCTACCCATTCCATTCGGGTACCAGCGAGCTTGATGAATTCGTTCAATATTCGGTCAAGGAAGACTTTGCTGGCGTACTCTACTCGCTGTACTTCTGTATCGTCCAGTGGTTCACGGTTGCGGCCATGAACGGTGAGAGCCTTCCGTTTGGGCACTTCGCCCTTTATCGATGAGTCCAGAAGTAACAAGCTTTCCTCTCCAACCAGGATTGCAAATGAGGTTTGACACAGAGGACGGCATTGTAAACCGCACCCAATTTTGTAAGCTAACTCCGGGTTCACTTCGATGAACATGGTGTTCGTCCGGTTATACAACCAGACCAATACGTGATCGCCGACTGCCGGGTGTGTGGCGACTTGTAGGATCTTTGCCAAAGCAAAGTATGTCCATAGTTTCGGCGCTGTATCGAGCTTCGGATCAAGGCCTTCAAGAGCATGCAGGAAGCGCTCCAGACATGTTCGATGTCGGGAGGGCGAGTAATCGAATGGGAGACCTGGTATTTTCTTAGTTTTCTCCTTTGGAGATTCCGGTTTTTTCTGCAGCGGGGCTGCCTTCTGGTAATTATCTTCGCTTTCTTCGTACGAAGGAGGCGGATCCAAGTCAGCTCGTAAGGTGGGCAGATTTCCCTGCAAATTCATAATCCTACGAGGCATTTCAACACGTTGAGGTTGATCAGCCGTTTTGGCTTCCTTCTCTGCTTGCTTTCTAGCTTTTTTTGCTTCTTTCTTATCCTGCTTTCGGCGATCTTTATCTTTTTTGGTTTCGTCATCTGCGTTAACAATTATGGGAGCAGGCGCCACGTCGTCCACAGTTCTGATCCATTCGATTTCATCTTGTCCGCTCACACAGGATTGAGGAAGAGCCCATCGTGATTGCATTTGTGCCCATTTCCGTACACCCATTGGACACGACAGCTCCGTCATGAAGATGACTGCCTCCTCGCCCTCGGAAGGGGGAGTCAGATCGATAGCGTACTTGACGCCCAGGGGCATGTCGTTGGTGAGACCATAGCGCTTGCGGACGCGTGCTTGATTACGAGGCCTGAAGAGATCTTTTAGCACATCTGATCCTGTATCGAGCAGTTTCCGACTGTGTATTCGGTGTGGGATGGCTTGTACTGTTGTCTGTGTACCGAATACCCAGCGATGGGATTGGTGACTATTCCCTTCACCTGGTTGCGCAGGACCGGGATCGATGTAGACAAGTGTGTCTGCTTCGTCGTCGGTAAATAAGAGCAGAGGCATGCTTAGATTCTCGTTGAGAAAGTCGGCGCTTCCTAGAGGGACTGTGTTTGAAGTGTCCTGAGGACGGCCGCCAATAGTAGCTCCTTGAATCGAGTTGTGCATATTGGCGATAATTTCAGAGTAAGTTGACATTCTTGTGGTGGGACGCCAGCAAATATTGGGATTGCTGTCAGATGTCAGTCAGATAAAGATCTCAGGTTTCTAAGTTCAAGTCACACCCTGCTTTATGACATATGAAGCAGTACTACCTTGTCTTGAATCATCAAGTTTTTAAGAATTCAATCAGAAAGAAACAAACAGCAAAAGTTTGTCTGAACAGTTGCTCAAAGGTCTTTCATGCGGCTGTGTCGCAAGGCTGCAGTGCAAGCATTCTGCCTAGCCTAGACGATCAGCCTCTAGGCTAGCTGCATGATTTTGCCCCTCATTGGCGTTGCTTGACTAGGATATGTTTTTACTCATCGACGTCTTCTAAAGGTCATGAAGATGAGTCATACGGCGCCATTCGTACTCTTGATTTGTGGAGGATGTGAAAGATAGCAATGGGTTGCGGGGTTGATTTTAAGGCCGCGATGTTGTTGCCTACTTATTTCTTACACTCTGACTCCTCAAATACTATAGCTATACATCTTTATTATTTGCTATTTTATATGTGAAATCGAGAAACACTCTCAACCTTTCTAATGAGCTCCCTCAACGCAGCCATATCCTTCCCCTCCTCCTCCCCAAAAGCAAGACAAGCACGAAGATGCTCCGTATCCTGCTCATTAACTTTCCCCCCATGATGATACTGATTGAACGCCCTATTATCTAGGGGTAGCAATTTCGCATCTATATCCGCAAATCTCTCCGCCATCGTTGCCTCTGTGGTAGACTGTGCTGCCTGTTGACCTAGCTCTCCGTGAATGCTCAGAGCTTGTATTTCCTTTACAGCTGCGACCGCAAGACGCCATATTTCTCCTTGCGTATCAATATCTTTGAATCTAGGCCAGTCGAGGATAGCACAAGCGGCGTATATCGCAAATATGGGGTTCGTGTATGACCCCGCCTGCGCCTTGGGCGTGATGCCGCAGGTCGACACACCGCTGGAATTGTACAGTTTCGCAAACGCATTTGCGACTTTGGGAGCACTGTCGTCGACACCGAAGCCATTTCCCAGATTATCGATCCATGCGAAACTGGCTTTGGAGAGTAGCTCAGGGTCTGTGGGTGGATGCAAAGGAAGCGTGATGGCAGCAGTGGAATAGGCACGGATCGTGATCCAGCCGAGCGTCACTTTGTCCTCTGGCAGGCCAGATACATCCAGGAACCAAGAACGGATGTTGAAAAACACTGTTCCGAGGACGACTCCCGTGTGTTTCGATTGTCGTACAGCGGAGCCTATGGTCCTGACTAGACTCTGGCCAGTCTCGTTCTTTAGAGCAGCGCCGTCAAGGGTAATTACGATAAAGTCGTATTCCTTGTCGAGAATTTGAGATGGGTAGGTGAGGTACGTATACTCCTTGAACTCCTTCAGTGAATTGTCATTGTAGTAATAAAGTCGTTGGGGATGGTTGAGTGCCTCCGCGCGGTGCGGGCGAACGAGGAATGTTACTTCTGCGCCGGCGAGATGGAGGATGAAGCCTGTGACCATTCCCATGGCGCCAGCGCCGACGATGAGGACGCGGGATTTGGCCATGAGGATATTTGAAAGATCTATCCTCGATTTTTTTGACTATGGCAGTTATCAATTGATCCCAGTCAATGTCGAAAGCTCTAGAGCCCTGCAGTCGCTAAAATATATAAACTTATCGTGATCCCTTTCTACAGGTAGGTACAATCATTAGTAATTCGATAAGTCAGAATCAAGTTTTGAGCTACTACTCATATACTAGTCAGTTACACAAAACACAGACTTTTTATTTCTTTGTTTGCTTTTTAGCAATTCGATCCTTATTGGCTTCTTATGAGATGTATGGGGGCAGCTATATACTTGACCCCATTCTCTACTGGCTCTCTCGTCAGATTACACATCCATCGAGGTATTGTTAATCAAGGGGATTGTTGGTCAATCAAGTAAGATCTTTCCGCTATAGATGCCTATCATTGATACGTTAAAGAGACGAGCGGTAAACAATTAGTAAGCTGAGGTGAATTGTCCTACCTGATTAGGCCCCTTAGGATTTCCTGCTCGGAAACACGGCATGGATCTCAAATCATGGAGAATTGAGATCCAGATCAACCCCACTAAAATAAGTGGATATCATGTGAGGGATATATAGAGCTGATGCGTTATCAGGAAGCCCTGAAAGAAGAATTAGGGATTGACGTCAGGTCGACATACACCAGGATATTTGAAGGCGAATAATGAGAGGGATGGCAATTAGAAATGAGTAGGTACGTAGATGGCGATATTGATCACTCGAGCTCAGATCTTTCCTCTGGTATACTACTTTAAATGAAAATCAAACACTATTGTATGAACTTTGGAAAGCTCAAGAGATACAAGAATTTTCGCAAAACTTCATCAGAATGACGCTCGCCCAAGAAGGACTCCTAAAAACAACCCGAAGAGCCATCATGACGTGCGACCCTTTCTTAATAACTCCCCCATTATCCGTCTCGTGCTGACATACGTCTTTCTACAGGAGCAGTCGCAATATGGCTGTCATGACCACCGTCGGCGTCGTAGGTGGCACAGTGCTGTTCTTCAATTATCTCAAGGGCGGCCAACCAGTTGCACAACCCGAGGAACATTATGCGTACAACGGAAGGATCGCGGATCCGAGTGGACAGACTGATCAGGGGCCGGCGAAGGCGGGGAGGGTGAGGTTGAAGAGTTATAATGAGCGATAGATTATATATATCTGATGAGCTTGTTAGGAGTATTTTCAGAAAAGATAATAGATTAGAGTGATTGCAAGTCATGCCGAGAAGATAGTGGTAGCATCAAACAACAAATAACATAACATAACGCGTGGGTATCTAATGCAATAGTAACAAATGGTACAAGCCCTTAATTTTTTCAACCAATCCTCCTACTTTATCTTTTTTGGTCATTCTCTCGATTGTCACATCTCATCGCTAGCGGGCTTACGGCCCGAGTATCTAGACTCGCGGGCCGGCTTTCCACGTAGATCCTTAACCTCTTTCAGCACCTCCCGAAAACCTGCCTCTATATTCTGCATACGCGACAACACCAGCCGCCCAAGGACGTCGTTGTCGGTGGCGATCTGCGTGACCAGACTCGACGGCAAGAGACCAATGTCGCCCATATCAGATCCAATTCGATTAAAGTTAGGAACTGACATGTAGTTTGTCCGTTGCGGGAGAGGCGGCCTTTCCGTCTCTAGCTTCAATGGGGATGCAGAAGACGGGCCAGGCATGGCATCGTCCGTACTGTCGTCAGCATCGCGGGGACGATTGTGTAGGACTGTGACGCTGGAGGTATTGCGGGCATGTAGATGGCTCGACGCTGGACGGTGTCGGGTCGGGCTATTTTTGCGAGAGTTGTACACTGCAGTAGAAGGCCGAGAGCTGAAAAATCTTGGAGTAGACTTGCTGCTAGGTCGAGGCGTTTGACTAGCATACTGTGATTCAGGTATCGATTCACCATGATCTTCATCTGACTCATCGTCATGGTTCTCATCGCTTGACTTCTCGTCATCTCCCTCTATATCTGTTGCATGAGATGCATGCCTTCCCAAGCGTGTCTGAGTGTTTTCCACAATAGAGTGTTCTGGGACCGGATGGAGATTCCCACGGGTCATAAACTCCTCCGGATCAGAGGCTGCAAAAGATCGGGTAGTTTCAGTATAGTTGCGGTGTGACGGCGAAATCACTCTCCGCAGCGCACTGGGTCGGCGCGGCGTCATCTCCTCTATGGTTTCCATGCCCTGCATCCAGTTCGCCACCATAGTCGATTTCCGGCGTCCATCTGGACTTTCCGTGACATCTTGCATAGATTGCTGACGGAATGGTCGTCGAAAGAGTTCCTCCAACACACGATCCTGTTGATACGTGGCGATGGAGGGCTCCCGCGCGAGACGGTGAAATGTATCAAATCGAGTTTGTCGTTCGTCTCTTGCGCGCAAGACTGCTGTTGACCGGGCACCCAGACGAGTAGTCCCTTCGACTAGGTCAGCTGGATCAATGATACTTGGACTCAATATTATCTTCTCGTAGAAGCAAATCGACCACAAAATTGGAAAATGTGTAATCTTGATAAGAGTACGATTGAGTTTCACAAAATCACGAAGCGGAATGCAGTACCGCAATGGAGTTAGTATCCAACCGAGAATATTCGAGGGAGCCACGTAGGAAAATAGTGCATCCGATTTGACCATGGAAATGGTATTGATTGCAAACAGGAACTGGTGCTCTTCGTGTGCATTCTTTACGATGGACATGAAAGAATTCGTCAATACGGTGATCAGTATTGTAACGACCACGAAGTGACAAATAAAGAGGAAGACAGTCAAAATGATCCGTCCTAAAGAGTTGTATTCCTCCCAAAGACCCCATGCTGTGGGAGTGAAGCCCATTAAAATCTGAAACAGAGCGTAAATGACCTCCTGAGGCGACTGAGATGATGCGGAAGAAAAGGAGAACGCGACCAAAAAGCCACTACAGGCAACGACAATCAAAAGAAACACAGCCATCAGGTCAGCGGCCATGATCCGGAATGCGATGAGTAGTTGCGAGAAGTACTTGTAATGGTCGAGAACCGAGAAAAGACGTGGGAACAATAGAACAGCCCCGGCAGACAAAATATCATATGCTTGGTTAGCAGCTGCCAGTTGTCGAATGTCAGGCATAGCCATAACATATAATCGAAGTATCGAATAGCTAAAAAGTAGCAGCAAGATTCCCAAGTCGAATAGATTCCAGAAGCTCATAAGATAAAGACTGAAGCCTTGTTCGTTGAAGCCGACAATCTCATCCAGCATGAAACCGGCACCCCAAAACCAGAAAACAACCTCAACTGTCGTGATATGTAATGATCTTTCAATAAGCACCGCGAGGTAGAGACACAACAGAACCGCGAACGAAAGAGTTGAAAGGAAGTGTCGATAACGAGGTACCCGTAGTCGAGACAACTTGAAAAGAGAAGCATCTCTTGGGTCGTAGAGAGTTACAGTTCTACGTGGATTCTCCTCTAACTGGGGATCTTGCCGACTTTTGCCGTAGTGGTGCTCTGCCGAGTTATTTGTAGCACCAAAGCGCGGACCACGGCGTGCTGCGGCATTCGGACGATGTAAATTGTCGGCAGCCGAGTGAAAGACAATGGTGCCAGCCCATATTGCTTCTAAGTGCTGGACGACTAGAGGATGTGCGATGAAACGCTTGGCCTGGGCTCGAATGGCAATTTCCAGACACGAAATCCGCGTAGCCCCGGGGGCATTTCTGCTTTTCGAAGATGTCTGATTCCAAGTTGAGGCGCGCAAACTGGCGGCGGAAATAGGGGCCTGTCCTTGAAGCGGATAAAAGTCGTATGATAGCGCATCAATTAACTCTCTTGTAGTGTAGTCTTTGAGGATTTTAATCGCCAAAAGCTCACTCACAAGCGCTCTCGTCCGTGATGTTCCACTATTTCCGGGATTGTAGTCGGCCTCCTTATTGAATTGAAGACAATTGGCCATCAATGCGTACAGAGTTGATCGATTGAAATGAGCATCTCGAATTTGCTGCTGGATAGGCTTGAGAAGGAATTGAGATATCTGCGGAGACCGTAACTGCTCCCATGTTAAGCTCGTTTCGCAACGTGACACAACGAGGGACCGTATCGAGTGTGTGATGGTGTAGACGGGGATAAGATCTGCAGGTAGGAATCGTCAACTTTTCGTGGCTTCAAGTCAGTGTTGCTGATTGCTCACCTAAGTGTGGTGACGAGAATATGGGTAGGAGATCCCCCCCGTCACTGTCGTCATCGTGGGGCTCGCTTTCTTCGTCACCATACAATGGTTGCCCATCGTTGTTTTCATCTAGATAGTCGTCGGGCTCGGTAGGTGCGAGGCTCTCATCTTCGCGCAGGAAGCTCCTGAAGAACGGGGTTGTCTCGTGAGGCGAAACAGAACGATGAACAGGCTGGCGCGATTTCCTCGGTCGAAGCAGTGAGGCAAGCATAATGTGCGTCGAGTATGCGGGGTGATGTCACTGCATTGGGACTTTGAAGTTGCCAAAGGAGAATAAAATGAGAAGGAAATGCTTGGAGATACAAAAACGCTAAAGCAAGAAAAACACTATGCCGCCCGAACAAAATGCAAGAACGACAACGCCGAACCTAAGAAGGATAGGGTCAGTATGTGGAAAGAGATAGGCCCGAAGGTTGGGGAGATCCCTACTGAGATTATAAGAGGAAGACTTGAGGTGTGTTCGCGATAAGAAGTGCTCACATGAACACGAGGTGAATGGAATGTTGCAAGATGCGACGCTGATTGGCCACGCGACTCGACTTTTGTACCGCGCAAGTACTGGAAGGCCAGGCCAGGACTGACTTGGCTAGTGCAATGCAAAAGACAGCGCATGATTGGGTTGAATGGTACTTCCGAAGTACGGACATTGGGCTAAGTGTGCAAGGAGCGCGCTGCAGAGAGCTTGGACCGCGTTCTCTGTTCACTTCATCGTCAAACAAGGTTTGTGGTTGAAATGCGCATACGTATACGGATGGGTAAACAAGATTTCGACAGTCTCATTGCCAGACACTTACTATGTACAACTCGAATTGTATGTGTCACCTGATTCCTGGAATGTATGTACCAACTATGCCTGTAGTTTACTGTTGAGTAAACGCAAAAGGATGTTCCTGCCGGGAAGACGCCAAGAATGATGTAAGAGGACCGATATCGCCAAGCAGCAAATCTTATCTCGGCCTAGATCCAGCCTGCATTTCGACACAGGAACTACGTATGTATAGACTTCAAGTGTCAATTTGAGTCCTGTCGTAATGATCCCGGCAGTTGTAAATTTGCAACTGGACCATGCACGTAATTCCAGTCCATCAAGTCAATTGTCAATTGTCAATTGACCGCGAGGGTCCAGAACGTGAGAGACAGCTGGAGAAAAAGAAAAGAAACAAGCGGGGGAGGAGTAAAACATGGTGTTTTTCCCGTTACCGCGCTAAGCTTGCATACGCAGGCGGTCAGAGTCAACCCTGGCGTTAGCCACAATTGACTGGGGAACTGCTAGACCGCTTTCTGGGAGTAGCCTCCAATCAGAGCGCGCACTCGGCAGATCTCATCCCACAACAGCGGGTCTGCACGTACAAAATTTTTATTCTGCCGCTCGGCGGTAATTTTGCAAATTACCTAACCATCGATCGGTTTTTTTTTTACGCTGCATTTTTTCTTCCCGCCTCGTACCTGCTTACCTTGCTGCAACTTTTTTCCTCCTCTTTTTTTCTGCCATTCAATCCTCCAGCTATCCTCTCCCCCTCTACCCCATCCTCATACCCCGTGCAGAAGTGACAGTCGAGACAGATCCTTGGTCTTGGAGGTCGCTAATGCTTCGGTAGAGTGAATCTCATTCGACTTAGTCCCTTGGAGGACCTTTTTGAATTGAAATCACTTCATACATACACACAAGACAATGTCGCAGCACGAGGCCACCTCGCCCCGCGCTGCTCGCGTGAGCGACAATGCAGCTCCCTCTAGCCCTACAAGCGGAGGTGTTGCCTCATACCAGTCGGCCAACAGCTTGCAGCCGCTGCCTGCTATGCCTACAGCTAGCATCGGCGCCTTCATTCCTGCCGCAACCTCCCCCATCGTGGGCAACTCCGAAAAGAAGATGGCTCTGGAGCTTGAAGACGGCACTGTCTATCAAGGATACAGCTTCGGTGCCGAGAAGAGTGTTGCCGGTGAATTAGTCTTCCAAACCGGAATGGTGGGCTATCCCGAGTCCGTCACTGACCCATCCTATCGGGGACAGATCCTCGTGATCACCTTCCCCTTGGTGGGCAACTACGGTGTGCCTTCACGGGAGACAATGGATGAAGTGTTGAAAGAGCTTCCCAAGCACTTCGAGTCTTCGCAAATTCACATTGCGGCCTTAGTCGTAGCTAGCTATTGCGGCGAAGACTACTCCCACTTCTTAGCTCAGTCTTCCCTCGGTCAATGGCTCAAGGAACAGAATGTCCCTGCTGTCTATGGTGTCGATACCCGATCCTTGACCAAGCGAATCCGAGAGGAGGGTAGCATGCTCGGTCGTCTGTTACTCGAGTCTTCTCAAGTTCCCAATGGCACTGAAATCACCTCCTCAGCCGAGTGGAAACAGCATTTTGAGCAAATCGAGTGGGTTGACCCCAACAAGAAGAATCTCGTTGCTGAAGGTATGTTATGTTTGCCTTAGGCTTTTCATTTGAAATATGCTAATTGGGATCGTCTCAGTGTCCATCCGAGAGCCCCGACTCTTTACTCCTCCAGAAGCCGTTGCGTTGAAACATCCCTCCGGTCGTCCAGTCCGTGTCTTGTGCTTGGATGTCGGTATGAAATACAACCAACTTCGATGCCTATTGTCACGTGGCGTTGAAGTCTTGGTCATCCCTTGGGATTACGATTTCCACACCCTCGCTGGAAACGAATATGACGGTCTCTTCCTCTCCAACGGTCCCGGTGACCCAGCCACGATCGCCGCTGCTGTGCAGAATATTGCCAAGACTGTGCAAGAGGGCAAAATTCCTATCTTCGGTATCTGTTTAGGACACCAACTGCTCGCCCGGGCTGTCGGAGCCAACACTATCAAGATGAAGTTTGGTAACCGAGGCCACAATATCCCTTGTACCAGCATGATCTCTGGAAAGTGCCACATCACTTCCCAGAATCACGGATTCGCGGTTGATGCAACCACCCTTCCAGAGGGCTGGGAAGAACTCTTCGTCAACGCCAATGACGGCAGTAACGAAGGTATCCGCCATGTTAGCCGTCCTTATTTCAGTGTTCAATTCCACCCTGAAAGTACACCTGGTCCTCGTGATACAGAATACCTTTTTGATGTCTTCATCAACACGATCAAGTCTGTTATGGCTTCATCTGAAGCTTTGACCAAACCCGTTTCTTTCCCCGGTGGAACCATTGAAGAAAACACACAGAAGGCGCCGCGCGTATCCGTCAAAAAAGTCCTCGTCTTGGGCAGTGGTGGTTTGAGTATCGGTCAGGCTGGTGAATTCGACTACTCTGGTAGTCAAGCCATCAAGGCGTTGAAACAAGAAGGAATCTACACCATTCTTATCAACCCCAACATCGCCACAATTCAGACTTCAAAGGGTCTTGCCGACAAAGTCTATTTCCTTCCTGTGAATGCCGACTTTGTGCGCAAGGTCATCAAGCACGAGCGACCAGATGCCATCTACGTCACATTCGGTGGTCAAACGGCCTTGCAGGTCGGTATTCAATTGAAAGACGAGTTCGAAGCACTCGGCGTAAAAGTGCTCGGAACACCTATTGAAACTATCATCACCACAGAAGACCGAGAGTTGTTCGCACGAAGCATGGAATCAATTGGCGAGAAGTGCGCCAAGTCTGCTTCTGCCTCCAACATTGATGAGGCCATGCGAGTCGTTCAGGACATTGGTTTCCCTGTCATTGTCCGCGCGGCGTACGCTCTTGGTGGTCTTGGTAGCGGTTTCGCCGATGATCCTAAGCAGTTACGAGAGCTTTGTACCAAGGCTTTTGCCGCCAGTCCCCAAGTTCTCATTGAGCGAAGCATGAAAGGCTGGAAGGAAATCGAATACGAAGTCGTCCGAGACGCTCAAGACAACTGTATCACTGTCTGTAACATGGAGAACTTTGATCCTCTTGGCATTCACACTGGCGACTCCATAGTCGTTGCTCCTTCTCAAACCCTCTCGGATGAGGACTATAACATGTTGCGAACGACTGCCGTCAATGTCATCCGTCACTTGGGAGTTGTCGGTGAATGTAACATTCAATATGCCCTCAACCCATTCTCCAAAGAGTACTGCATCATTGAAGTGAACGCGCGTCTATCGCGTTCTTCCGCTCTTGCTTCCAAGGCAACCGGTTATCCTCTTGCCTTTATTGCAGCCAAGCTTGGTCTCGGAATCCCATTGAATGAGATTAAAAACTCAGTCACCAAGGTCACCTGTGCCTGCTTTGAGCCCTCGCTCGATTACGTTGTTGTCAAGATTCCTCGCTGGGATTTGAAGAAGTTTACTCGTGTTTCTAACCAGCTCGGTTCATCCATGAAGAGTGTGGGCGAAGTCATGAGCATTGGTCGGACTTTCGAGGAAGCTATTCAAAAGGCCATTCGCTCCGTCGACTACCACAACTTGGGATTCAATGAAACCAATGCGTTGATGTCGATCGACACCGAGCTCCAGACGCCTTCTGATCAACGTCTTTTCGCCATCGCCAACGCCATGCATAGCGGTTACTCTGTTGATGACATTTGGAAGTTGACTCGTATTGACAAGTGGTTCTTGCGCAAACTTAAGGGTCTCAGTGACTTTGGCAAACATCTTTCCGCCAAGTACAATGCTACCAATGTTCCTGTCAATCTCATTCGCCAGGCCAAGCAACTTGGTTTCGCTGATCGTCAGCTTGCCAAGTTCTTGAGCTCTAACGAATTGGCCATTAGGCGTATGCGTGTGGAGGCCGGTATCATTCCAGTTGTGAAACAAATCGACACCGTCGCCGCAGAGTTCCCAGCCTACACCAACTACCTCTATCTGACTTATAATGGCTCGGAGCATGACATTTCTTTCAATGACCATGGTGTCATGGTTCTTGGATCCGGTGTTTACCGAATCGGTTCTTCCGTGGAATTCGATTGGTGCTCAGTCAGGACCATCCGTACACTCCGTGAACAAGGCCATAAGACAGTCATGGTTAACTACAACCCAGAAACCGTCAGCACTGACTACGACGAGGCCGACAGGCTCTACTTCGAGAACATCAATCTCGAGACTGTTTTGGATATTTACCAGCTCGAGTCATCCAGCGGTGTTATCATGTCCATGGGTGGGCAGACTCCCAACAACATCGCGTTGCCATTGCACCGTCTCAATGTCAAGATCTTGGGAACCTCTCCTGAGATGATTGATAGCGCCGAAAATCGATACAAATTCTCCCGAATGCTCGACCGCATTGGAGTGGACCAGCCCGCTTGGAAGGAGCTGACCAGTATCGAAGAGGCCACTGCTTTCTGTGACAAAGTTAAATACCCAGTGCTCGTTCGACCTTCTTACGTTCTTTCAGGAGCTGCTATGAACACTGTCTACTCCCAGGACGATTTGGCAACCTATCTGCAACAGGCAGCAGACGTTTCACGTGAGCATCCAGTTGTCATTACCAAGTACATCGAAAATGCCAAGGAAATCGAAATGGACGCAGTTGCCCGCAATGGTGTCATGGTCGGCCACTTTATCTCTGAGCACGTCGAGAACGCCGGTGTTCACTCTGGTGATGCCACTCTTATCCTACCTCCTCAGGATTTGGATCCCGAGACTGTCAGGCGTATCGAGGATGCTACACGAAAGATCGGAAATGCGCTCAACGTCACTGGTCCTTACAACATCCAGTTCATTGCTAAAGACAATGATATCAAGGTCATTGAATGCAACGTTCGTGCTTCTCGTTCATTCCCATTCGTTTCCAAGGTTATGGGCGTCGACTTGATTGAAATGGCAACCAAAGCCATGTTGGGTATACCATTCCAGGAGTATCCCCGTGTCAGTATTCCTAAAGACTACGTCGGTGTCAAGGTGCCACAATTCTCCTTCTCCCGTCTCTCCGGTGCAGACCCTGTTCTAGGTGTTGAGATGGCTTCTACTGGTGAAGTCGCCTCTTTCGGTCGTAACCGAGCTGAAGCTTATCTCAAAGCTTTGATCTCCACTGGCTTCCGTCTCCCCAAGAAGAACATCTTGCTCTCTATCGGTTCCTACAAGGAGAAGCTGGAGATGCTTCCGTCTATTCAGAAGCTGCATAAGATGGGTTACAACCTGTTTGCCACCGCCGGTACCGCTGACTATATCAAGGAGCACGGCATCCCCGTCAAGTATTTGGAAGTTCTCAATGGAGAGGAAGAAGATCTCAAGTCCGAATACTCCCTTACACAGCATCTTGCCAACAACTTGATTGACCTGTACATCAACTTGCCATCCAGCAACAGATACCGTCGTCCTGCAAACTACATGAGTAAGGGTTACAGGACCAGACGTATGGCGGTTGATTACCAAACTCCTCTGGTTACCAATGTCAAGAATGCAAAGATCCTGATTGAGGCACTTGCTCAACAGTTTGAACTCGAGGTTCTTACCATTGACCATCAAACCAGCCACCGTACAATGGTGCTACCCGGTCTCATCAACATCGCCTCTTTCGTTCCGGGATTGGTCACTTCGGGTTCAAAAGACTTTGAACAGGTGACCAAGGCCTCGGTTGCTGCAGGTTTTACCATGATTCGTGTCCTGCCCGTCGGCGTGGATGCCTCTGTGACAGATGCCGTTGCTTTGAAGGCAGCCCAACAAAACTCCAAGACTGGATCTTACTGTGACTTCAACCTTTCTGTTGCCGCCACAGCTACCAACGCAGAACAGATTGGTCAAGTCACTGGAGAAGTCGGAGCTCTTTTCATTCCTTTCAACCACCTTTCCGGCAACATTAACAAGGTTGCTGCCGTCACCAGCCATTTTGGAGCCTGGCCCGCCACTAAACCCATGATTACTGATGCCAAAGCCACCGATCTTGCGTCAATCCTTCTTTTGGCAAGCTTGCATAACCGCAACGTTCACGTCGTGAACGTCTCTTCGAAGGAAGACATCAACTTGATTGCTTTGAGTAAGGAGAAGGGACTCAAGGTTACCTGCGATGTTTCCATCTACAGTCTCTTCCTCACACAGGAAGACTTCCCAGACTGCACTGTCTTGCCAACTGTTGAGGATCAAAATTCCCTCTGGGAACATTTGAGCACCATCGATGTCTTCTCCATTGGCACCATTCCTTATCAGCTTGCTGGAAAAGACGCTAGCCCTACTGTGGGTATAGCCGATGCACTGCCTTTGTTGCTCACTGCAGCTTCTCAAAACAAGCTGACCCTTGACGATATCACTACTCGTCTCCACGACAATCCCAAGAGGATCTTTGAGCTGCATGACCAGCAAGACGCTTTTGTCGAGGTCGAGATTGATCGTCCATATGTCTTCAACAGTGGCAATGTCTGGTCGCCATTCAATGGCAAGCCAATGAAGGGTTCCGTCCATCGTGTGGTCTTCCAGAACAAGACATCTTGTCTTGATGGCGAGATTCAAATTGAGGCCGCACAAGGTACAGATATGTCAACTCATCGCATTGTGCCACAGTCACCTTCAGTCAAGGCTTTCTCTCCACGAGTGCAGCCCAAGTTTGACGCTATTGAGCGTCGCTTCTCGAGCAGCACTCCTGTGCGACCCTTCCGTTCAAAGGCGGCTGATGCTGTTCCCAATGTTCCTGAGCTAGGACCCCCGCTCTTCACTCCTTCTTCCCAGACATCAACCTCTCTGCTTGAGCTTCTTTCACGCTCAAACTTCAAGCAGAAGCATGTTATCTCTGTCAACCAATTCACCCGTTCAGATCTTCACCTTCTCTTCACGGTTGCTCAGGAGATGCGCATTGGAGTTGAGAGACAGGGCGTCCTTGATATTCTCAAGGGCCGTGTTTTGTGCACATTGTTCTACGAGCCTTCCACACGCACTTCGGCTTCTTTCGACGCAGCCATGCAGCGTCTCGGAGGTCGTACTGTCGTGATCTCTACTGAGCACTCTTCTACAAAGAAGGGTGAGACACTTCAAGACACCATCCGCACCTTGGGTTGCTACGGAGATGCAGTCGTTCTCCGTCACCCTGATGAGAAGAGTGCTCACACTGCCGCCAAATTCTCTACTGTGCCTATCATCAACGGTGGGAACGGTTCCCTTGAACACCCCACTCAGGCGTTCCTTGACCTTTTCACCATCCGGGAAGAACTTGGTACTGTCACTGGCTTGACCATTACCTTTGTTGGTGATTTGAGATACGGCCGCACCGTGCATTCCTTGATCAAGTTGCTCCAATTCTACGATGTCCGCGTTCAATTGGTTGCTCCCAAGGCTCTTTCATTGCCGGAAGATGTACGCAAGTTGGTGGTCTCTTCTGGCCAGTTGGTCCGTGAATCTGAGGAGCTCACTCCGGAGATAATCTCTCGCTCTGATGTTCTCTATTGCACTCGCGTGCAGAAAGAACGTTTCGCCGATTTGGCGGAATACGAAAGACTCAAGGACAGCTTCGTTGTTGACAACTCGGTCTTGAAACACGCAAAGAGCCATATGGTTGTTATGCACCCATTGCCCAGGAATGCCGAGATTGGGGAGGAGGTTGACTTTGACCAGAGAGCAGCCTACTTTAGACAGGTAAGCCTCACTAGTTCATTTGATTACAAACATACTGACATTTTTTATAGATGCGTTATGGTCTTTACTGCCGCATGGCATTGTTGGCTCTCATTCTGGCGCCTTAAATTTTCCGACTCTCCAGTCGAAGGTTGAAGGATAGAAGCCATGGCCAGGATTTGGACCTTATGATATAAAATTCCTCTTGTTTTGTGACGTTTTTGCATGTACCAAAAGTTATTGTCTCTTTGTTTAACTATACAGAACGTAGACTTTAAGTTTGGATAGGAACAGATAGATTCCTAGATGATTATGTATAATGTGTGAAGATTGGCATTAATGGGTATTGTATATATATGGATTTATTATGATTTATGTGTTGTGTTTTATGTCGTGTGTTTGGTGTTTTGTGTGTCGTTTGGCGTTGCGTTTGGTTTGTTTTTTGCATAGCGTGGTTGGGATTGGTGTGGGTTATGTGTATTGATATACCATAAATTTATTTATTTTATTTTCTTCTTCTCATTATAATCGCCTAAATAATGTAGCCAAGTAGTGTTGTCAATCTCAAGATAAACTGGAGAATCAGATTCTGCGTGCTCCACTGCGCAGAGTGGATTGCTCGATATTGAAATTTCGTTGTGGTCTTACACCTGAGCATCTTGAAATGGGAGAGGGAAACTAATTCAGTTCATTTCATATAAAGTTGTTAGATTCATCTAGGCATGACACTTACCAAAAGAACTGGCTAATAGGAATTCAAAGCCAACCCCTAGCCCTAACTCCCTCGAAATCTTCATGCAACGAGAGAGGCAAGAACGCAAAAAAACACGGCTCGAATGCAGAAATATAATGATAACTGATCTCTACTCCCCATTAGTTGACAGCTTTCTAATACAATCAGCCAGCCCCTCTACATGTACATAACCCGACTGCGCCATCACCGGCATAGCCCTCTCCCACTCCTCCTCCAACGCACGAATCATCTCCTCCAATCCTTCAATACTCCGCCTATAACTTTGATTGAGTTTCCGCTCATGCTTAAGTTGCTCTTCTCTCTGACCCAACAGAAAGCCAAGGCGTTGGATGAGTTCCATTTGCAAATCGAGCTGTGTCTCATGGCGGCGGTTCGGGTTGATGGCTTGTTGTTGTTGGCATTGTTTCTGCTCTTCGCGTAGGGAGGTAACAGCAGCGTGCAGTCGCTCAAGTGAGCAGCTCAGAATTTCGAGTAGATCGATCAGGCCGGATGAGCCGAGGGCGTCGATACAAGAGGAAAGGTTGTTGTTGGATTTGGTTAGATGGGTGATTTCGGCGGTTAATATTTTGAGGTGGTTTTTCATGTCGAGGTTTGTTTGGGGAGGGGGATAGGTATTTTGTGGTGTTTCGTCAGGCATGAGGTTCCCTGTCTTTAGATTTGTGCTATTGGTTGTATTTCTCGACGCAAAGAACAGGCCCGAGGAGATGATGTCAATCTTTTCTTCTAGTCTCTCCATTCTTTGCACGATCACAGGTCCAAGGTTGAATGGTATCGTTTGTGGTGGCAGTGTCTGTCTCTTAAGTCCATGAGACTGCTCTTCTTCTAACTTTCCTTGTTGTTCGAGCTTCAATTCACTCGTTGAATGGCGAATACTAGCATCTGACCTGCGACACAACCATCTACATACATCGTCAGCATACCCCCTTTAATCTTCCGGATACTACAAGCCTCACTTGAACGGATTCTTCTCACCATTCTCCTTCTTCCGCAACGACGAAAAACTCCAAGCCTGCTTAAATCCCCGCTTCTGTTTCTGCACAGATATCTGGCTGTAATGACTACCCTCGCTCATACTCGTCACCCCCACAGAACTGTCGATGCTCTTCGCACTTTCCATGCTCTGCAATACAATGCTACTAGGCGCGCTCGTGTCGCTGCTCGTGGTTGTCGTCATATACACCCGTTTTGGGTTGTTGGTTGGCTCTGCTGGTGACGAATACACGGATGACGATGAGGAGTGCAGAGAGGGTGATTTTGTTAAACATGATCCGCCGACGGTTAAGCTGTGGTTGCAGTTGCCGTTGTTTAGGCTTGAGATTTGTTTCAGGGGCAAAGCATGTTCGTCGGTGGATGGTGGTTGATCGCGACATGAAGAAATGGAGGCTAATGGGAGGGAGTCGTCGCTCTGTTTGAGGTGTTTTTTGGTGAGGATGTGTAAAGGCATTGATGCAGTGTCCATAAAAGATATGAAAAGTGGCGTATACACATGTAAATGCTCAGATTGTTAGGATATTCAGTATGATCTTGAACTTTTGGTGACAGCGTGATATGGATCAGTATAGTACTGATAGCCCGAGGCTGATTATGCGATACAGAATTCTGCTCATCGTCAAACCACGAGAAAGGGTAAATATGTAGGCAAAAGTCTGATGTCATGGACTTCGGAGCCATGGATATGTAGATGAAGCATTCACGGCATGCCCTAAGACCCCCGAACCTTGAAGCATTCCAGAAGAATGGTACGACCAACCTTGGAAACTTTTATTCATCAATTGCAATGGCGAAAAAAAAAAAGTATATACTGGTATCTAACTAAGTTACTATAATCTATGTACGAATCTATATTGACATACCTGGCTTCTATAATCCCGCATCCGGCCAGTACTTCTTCAATAAGTCTTTTTTATTGACTTTACCCATCGCATTGCGCTCTATTCCGTCGACGAGTTTCAGTATTGTGGGGATTTTATAAGGTGCTATTTCTTGCTTCAGTTGCGTTCTTAGGGTTGACAATTCCAACGGTACGGCCTGTTAAAAAAGTTAGCTTATACTTGAGAGTCAGATGACCAGATCAGAGGTACTTACGCCATCTCTTAGTTTGATAACAGCGGCGACACGTTGTCCCCATTCTTCATCCGCTACACCGACAACGGCGACTTCTTGTATATACTCCAAACTCAGTATTTTCCGCTCGACTTCGAGCGCAGATACCTTGTAGCCACCAGTCTTGATCAAATCGACCGATGCGCGTCCCTGGATATAATAAGCGCCATTATCCTTCGAACGCTTCGCGACATCGCCTGTCTTGAACCACCCGTCAGAAGTAAATTCTTTCGCGGTGGCTTCTGGCTTATTCCAGTATTCGAGGAAGACGTTATCGCCCTTGATCTCGATCATGCCGTCCTCTTCGTCTTGTTCGATTATTTCGTTGGTTTCTTTATCGGTCAGTCGGACTTGAACGCCTGGCAACGGCCAGCCAACGCTGCCATCCAGTCGCTGAGAAACATCAAGACCGCAACTGATACCCATCCCGATTTCGGTCATGCCATACCGCTCCAGTAAAATCTGACCGGAAATTTCCGCAAATTTGGCTTTGATTGGCGTGGGTAGGGCAGCGGAACCGCTGATGACAAGACGAAGTGCTTTTGCGCCTTCTCTCGCACTTGCTTCTGCCTCTGTGGAGCGGATATGTGCATCAAAATAATCGACCAGGCGCGAGTAGATTGTGGGTACAGCCATAAACATTGTTGATGAGCCCTTGTCTTGCCATCTCTCCCATATGATTTTGGGATCGAATTTGGAATGCATTTCCACCGTTGCGCCGCTGAGGAATGACGCCGTTAGTCCATTAATGATGCCGTGGACGTGATGTAGGGGTAGAACGTGAATCAGGTGGTCCGCTGGTGTGTATTTCCATGCTTTGACGAGACAGTCGGCTTGAAAGGTGATGTTCTTATGCGTCGTGACGCAGCCCTTGGGATTGGATGTTGTGCCGGAGGTATATATCATGAGCGCTCTTCGGTTGAGGGGAAGAGACTCGTGGAATGGTGGTAGAGGAACTGTATCTAGATCTTTTGCGCTCGAGAGCGGACTAAATTCTGTGAAAGGTACGTCGTTGACTAGCTCGCGGAGAGCTATATCGACCTTTTCGAAAGAGGGATGAATCACAACCAATGAGGGCTGCGAGTCGCCGATTGTGTAGAGAAGCTCTTTGACGGGATGGGAGGTGCCTATACAAATGAAGAATTAGCCAATTGATTCAATTCAAACATAACTAGATAGGATGCCTACAAAGCGGAACACAAACGCCCCCGGCAGCCCATACAGCCCACTGCATTACGACATAATCATAGCCATTGGGAATGAGGAAAGCTATCCTCCTCTCGCCCAAATCGGGTAGTGACAGATGTTCCAACAGCCATTTCTTCATGTCTGATACATCTGATAGCAATTGTCTGTATGTAAAGCTCTCTCCCTTCGTCCGATCTATCACAGCTACCTTGTAGTCGGTGGTCGCATGCTTCTTGGCCTCGACAAATAACGGCAGGGAGGGRATGGAGGKAATTCCTGACGGCGGGCTAGATACGCCGCGGCCACGCAGTAGAGCCGCTGTAATTACAGGGGCAGTCATTACGACAGCTGCGGCAGCTATGAGCAGAGGCGTAGAATGTCGCCAGTTGAACAAGACCGGGAAGTTGATGGCCGGAGTGAGGTTATTAGCCGTACTCGCAAGAGATATGCTATGTGTTCATCGGCCAGCAGCACGAGCGTCACTCAATGAGTCAAGTCAATTGGGCGTTTATCTGATGACTGGCACAGGACACAAAAAGAAAGAACAGAAGAATAAAATTGAAAAGACTAATGGAGAACAGACAAGTGATCGGCTGCCGAAACGGATTGGATGACGGATTCCTGAGGCACCAAATCCAGGAACCCGCAAATCCGGTTCTACTTCTGGGAGCCGATAATAACGCTTCTGATTGGCTTATTACAATATGACTAAGCATCGCCGCGGAATACAGCCGGCTTGGCACGGCGATATCGGAATAATGTTTCGAGCTTGACTCGAGATTCGCAGAACCTCTGTTTCCATCTCAGCCCTTGAGCCAAACAGTCACGGACTTCAGTGCAGCAATGCTGGTACAGCCTGCGCTTCGACCGGGAATATTCGCCAGCTCGGTACCGCGCCGATTCCTGCGCCATGCAACTGCATCAGCGAAACCAAAAAAGTACCAGCAGAAAACGAATTTACACAAGCTCTACCAGCTCAAATGGCGACCGCTAATACTCATCCGAGAGGGAACCTTCTATCGTGACTATCCTGCTTCAGCAGAAGTTTCCGGATCAGATAACCCCCCCCTTTTAACTAAAATCGATTTTAGTCTCCCATCCAGACCGCCGCAATGGCCGGAGCTTCCCCCGCCGGACAGCCTCAAACAAGTGAAGGACCGTTATGAGAAGGACATGCGCAAGGAGCAATCAATACAACAGGAGGAGGGACCGTTTCATTGGGCAGTCATTGGCAATGAGAGTACAGAATTTTTCCATATTCTTCAAGGTCGTTACATTGCACAGCCGGCTAAATCACGCCAATGGCCGTATTTGATTTCTCGGAAATTCAGTCCGAAAGACCCCAGCAAGAGGTCACCGGAGAATGCAATCGCGTACGTGGGATTCAGTGGTGAAGGTTCCCAAGCAACTGGTGGTACACGAGGAGCCTATCTCAGCGCAAGGTATGAAAGTCTACGAGAGGATACGGATTGGACGGTACGGCAATTCCTGCTAGGACAAACGGAACTCAACCCTATGGAGGATGAAAATTCCGGGAAGAGATCTGTTGAAGCCCAATTCGAGAAAGTGGTCAAGGATTTCAGATTGCAAGAGCTTTTGGAATTGCCCGTGTCCAGCCTTAGCAACGGCCAGACGAGACGTACACGGATAGCTAAAGCGTTGCTTTCATCGCCGGAGCTACTCCTTCTAGATGAGCCTTTTAGTAAGTACTTCAAGATAAGACTCAACCATGTTCGAGACTAATCAATCTGTTAGTGGGCCTTGATCCTGCTACCACCGAGAGTATATCTTCTCTCCTCCGGGATGTTGCAATTCGTTCTTCACCCAGAGTCATGATCTCACTCCGGCCACAAGATACCATTCCGGATTGGATCACGCACGTTCTGATTCTCGACAACCACCGAATAGCATTCAGTGGACTCAAAAAAGATTTCTACAAACAGGCCACGAAAGCCAGTGGAATGTCTACAAGTGCAGCCAGCAAAGCTAGAATATCCTTACGATGGCTCTTTGCGCCAGGTGGTCTGTTCGAACTGCAGCGTTATCAATATATAGACGACACGAAAACCAAAGTAGCCCAGTTCTCAAAGAGCAATATAGGCGTTGCTGATCCGACAGCCTTGACACAGATCTCTCAGAATGGCAAGCCGGTCATTGAAATGGAAGGTGTACATGTCCAGTATGGAGAGAAAGTTGTTCTTGGAAATTGGAGGCAGGTAGTGCGAGGCAAAAAGGGGGCCAAACCAGGCTTGTGGTGGAGAGTTCGCCGGGGTCAAAGATGGGCGGTACTTGGGGCCAATGGTTCTGGCAAGACGACTTTGTTGTCTGTGATCACATCTGATCACCCGCAGGCATACGCCCAACCAGTTCGCATGTTTGGCCAATCTCGTTTACCCGAACGAGGAAGACCTGGTATATCGATTTTTGATCTTCAAGCTCGGATGGGCCATTCCTCTCCAGAGATTCACGCCTTCTTTCCGCGGCAGCTTTCTATACGGGCGTCGATCGAATCTGCATGGGCCGACACTTTCCTCTCCAAGCCAGTCTTAACCTTCAAACGCGACACAATCGTCGACGCCGTTTTGGAATACTTCAAACCAGAACTAGACCCTTCTGCAGAAGACAGCAATTCGACGGGCTCTGAAGGAGTCGACATATCATTTATACCTGAAACGTTTCGCGCAAACTTGGCAGATGCAATTCCCGTGGATAATCGAGCGACACCGAGAGCAGAGTATCCCCCAAAACACAATGTCGATTATGCCGATAATACAACCTTTGGCCAGCTCACTGTCGCGCAACAGCGTCTCATACTTTTCATTCGAGCTATTATTAAGAAACAAGAACTTATTATTCTCGATGAAGCCTTTTCTGGAATGCCGGCCAATATGCGCGAGAAGTGTTTTTACCTTTTGAATAATTCTGGACCCCCTGTCGACGGGAAATTGGCCAATTTACCCTTACCATACCTAGGACCTGAACAAGCCCTGATCGTGGTTAGCCATTTACCAGAAGAAATACCAGACACAGTGCGATTCTGGATGCGTCTTCCGTCTGAAGTTGGGGATGGTCAACAGTTAGACTTTGCGCAGGGCGTGTTGGCGGATGATAGTACTCTATCGGCAGACCGTAAAGCATGGGAGACAATCTGGTCTGAAAATTCATTATCCAAGGCGAGGTTTTTGTATGGAAAAGATAGCGAAGGAAAGCTCAATGATGGGGAGAGATATCGTTATGCTATTCCTCGCAAGACACAGACGAAGAATAGACTCAGGTCGCTGAATGAATCGGAGGACATGGAGGAGGAACATGAAGAGGAAGAGGAAGAGGAGGAGGAGTATGAAGAGGAGGAGGATGATGATTTCGAAGAAGCTGAAGAAGCAGAGTCAAGCAAATCGACTGCCTAGCCGATTTTGCACATACGATTGTATATTATGGCGATATTACTATACCCTACTTCTTTCTAGATATGGAACTATCTCGAAAAGTTCAATGACTACTCAATAGCAAATTCCTCACCTCTTCATGGGTTCCAACCACAGCCCAAAACAAAGGAGTCCAACCCGAACTATCCTTTGAATCAACATCAACCCGTTTCGTTTCAAGCAACAACCTCACTACCGCAGCATTTCCCTTCCTCGCGGCCCAGGACAAAGGCGTTGACTCTTTTGAATCCTTTGCGTCTACTTCTACCCGTTCATCTTTGAGTAGGAGCTGAACTACCATTTCATGCCCATTTTCTGCCGCGAGGGATAGTGGTGTTCGGATGTCTTCGTCTTCTGAGTTCACATTGACTTCGTCACGTTTCAGAAGTATTCTGACCGCTTTTTCGTGACCATTTTGAGAAGCATAGGCCAACGGCGTACGGCCATGAGAGTCATTTGAGTCTGTATCCACCCGTCCATTCTTCAGCAATTCCCGGACGACGGCGATATGACCATTTCCTGCGGCCCAAGACAACGGCGTTCGACCTTCGGAGTCTTCTAGATTGAAATCCAGCTGTTCGTTTTTCAGTAAGAGCCTGACTATCGCACTATGTCCATTCTCAGCGGCTAGAGACAGTGGCGTCCGACCCTCGGAGTCTTCTGAATTGATATCCACCCGTCCGGTCTGGAGCAACACCCTTACAACCACTGCATGCCCGTTTTCCGCTGCCCGGGAGAGTGGAGTTGAGCCTGTGAAGTCCTTTATATCCAAGTTCTTTACATCCCTAGCAAGAAACAGTCTCACCACTGCGTGGTGTCCGTTCTCGGCTGCGTACGAAAGCGGAGTCATACGCAAATCATCCCTCATCTCCAAATCCGCAAGGCCAGTATCAAGCAGAAGCTTGACTACAGTCTTGAATCCGTTCTCCGCAGCCCACGAAAGGGCCGTTCGACCATTCGAGTCTTGCAAATTAACATTCAGCTCTTTGCCCGTCCCGAGAAGTAATAGTAGAAACCTGATTACATCCTCATGGCCTTCTCTAGCGGCCCAAATCAACGCATTCAGACCAGAATCATCGACTGTCTCATTAATGCCACATCTACCCAGCAATATACTCTTCTCTGCTGTACCTCTGAGACCGTGTTTCGCGGCCCAGAGTAACGCGGAACCATGTCCGGAGCTCGCATTGCGTTGGTATAAGAGATGGGCGTAGAGGGAGTGAAGAGCTCGATTGACTTGTGATAGGGAGTTGATGTCGCTGTCTTTGTCGAGGTAGTTGGCGACTAGTGCCAGGAGTTCGGGGGGCAGGGAGAGGAGGGACATTTTGTTGAGGAGGATCCAGCCTATGCTTGTAAGGATACAACTTAGGAAATACTGATAGTCTGGACTTTTTCTAGGTAATCACTGCTCCTACTTATACAATTAAGAAGTTTATACTGTAATGAAACGCAGGCATTTCATCCATGGACACTTGAATTTTAGGGTTACGCCTCCTTAGGTAGTTCTAATTCTGCACTCCAGGATCACACTGTCTAGCCATATCCTACCATTCTAGGTCGTAGTTTCGAGCTCTAAGGGACTCCAAGGTATGATTTATCATGTCTCTAAAGTCCATAAAAACATGGTTCGTTGACTTAATCTATGTCACCGCTCGGGATGAGAAATAAACACTTCTGATTGGTTGAACAGGGGTCAAGAGTCGGTATAATCGATCCACTATGTCGTATAGGTGCATAAATTAAGTTAATATAGAAATAGCATGTATAACTAGTGCTAGTTTATACACGTTCATGGTCATGACTGCATTTAACCAGCTCCAATCTAATCACTGCCCCTCCGCATCCCCCGGCTCTCCAAGGTCCGCTCCCCCTGATCCGTTATTCTCCATCTCAACAAGACCCCTCTTAATTAAATCACTAAAATCGACTCCAACCTCCGTCAACAACGCCGCCTGCTCGTCAAGGGTATCCATGCATTTCTGCCAAACCTTCGTTCCGCGCTGTACACTACTCAACTGCCTGACAAGGATGGCATTAAACTGGTCCAAATGCTCCTTTGCCCATTTGATACTGGCGCTAGTCATCATGGGCGGGAAGCATTGTTGATATATACTGATGGTGTTTTTCACAAGTGTGAAGTAGACGAAGGAGATTTGAAAAATGTACAGTGGAAGGTCGCCTTCGAAGATGCATTGGCGTGCGCGTTTGTGGATCACTTCTGATCGGGCGCGGAGGTAGGCTTCGCGAGCGCGATCTTCGAAGCCTAGACGGGCAAGCCAGCCGACGTGCGTCTTTGTGGCAGCTAGGAACGAGTGCTTGTCAACCAAGGCACGAGATAGAATGCTGGCGAGATTGGTCGCTCGTTCGTCCACTTTCTGGTTGATGACGTCTTGGGCGAATGTGTTTCCTTTCAGACCGCGAGCGAGCTTCCTGAGTCGTTCGACGCTAGAGACAGCTTCCTCAAAGTGCTGTAGAGCAATGTCAATATCAAGCTCGTCGATCTGCCCTTCAACCCACCGCAGATTTTGCTGTTTACCGTCCACATCGATCCGTACTTCGGCCTTGTCTTTAAAGCTCTCGGGATTATCGAATATCCCAGATTTACGGTGTCCTTCCAGTTGGCTAAGAGTACGTAACGCATCACCTGCCCTGCCAGACGTCTCAACTTCAGACCGAAGCGTTTTGCGGAGATCTTCGACTGTCTTGCGGAAAGTCGCCAGAAGTTCATTTTTTGCCGTGCTGTTGCGTTGGTCGTATCGATAGGTGTATGACTGAGAGCCGACACGGATATTAATTGCGTGAGCCACACCCCTATGCTCCGCTTCGGCGCGCGCAGCACCCGATCCAAGATTTGCGCCCAAATCAATCATATCGATATCTTGAAGCTGCCAACATTCTTCCGCCACCAACTTGGTTGGCGCTGGGCCACGATGCTGACTGGGGCTATTGGGGTCGATCCGCTTGCGCTTTTTGGCAGCAACCAACAGGTGATCATTGAGCAAGACAATATGTACCGGACGACGTGGTTTCCACGTTGCTGAGTCAAGCTCTACCCAGTGGCCGCTTTCCAGGACTATGTGTCTACCCGGAATTGCTGGTAGAAACTTTTGGGATCCTTCAACTGTCTTCCATAATGTGTGCAGTTGAATGTTCCACATGTTTTCCAGGTTGGCAACAGAGCTGCGGTTACTGCGCTTCGACGCGCGATCATCAGCAGCCAACAACTGGTTCGATCCAGTAGCGTCATGAGTCTGGCCCAGTGTTGTGGTTAACTCCGACATGAGTGTACGCAAGGTACGCATTTCGCCTTTGAGCTTTTCTGCTTCCTCGCTGATTTTGATAAACTGTGTCCGGTTTTGGTACACATTCTGTTGCAAATCCGTCGATGTACGGTTTTTGACCCTACGTAGGCTCTGTTGGTAGTTTCGAATCTCCTCTTCGGAGGCATTGGCGAGGAGGCCGGTCACATCTATTGACAATGAGCTTTAAACCATGAACTCACAAATAAAGAGGCCGTGTTTCATACATTTTTCAACGGGCAATGAAGGGTCTTTTAATGCTTTTAGATCGACCTCTAGCGTGACACTCGGCCCAGCTTGCAATCCCCCAGGGATAGCGGACGGCCCATCGCGATTCTTGAACACTTGTAGATCGGGCGGCAGACTCGGTATTGGAGGAGCATCAAGAGTCGAGTCGGGAACCTGGTTGAATCGAGCAGAGTAGCGACGCTTGACGAGATCCGATGTAGCACCACCACCACCTGGCTGAGCGGCGGAGGGTCTCCTTTCTGACGGGGTTGGGCCGGCGATGGGCTGCGGCGCACTAATTTGAGGTCGTCGGCGCGATTTGTTTCGTAGCGTCAAACTACTAAGTTTGTCGAGTTGGGAGGCCATTGTCAGCCAAAGCCCAGCATGTAAAGAAGGCGGCTGCCAAAGAAGCGTTTCCAGTGCTGCCTCAGCTTGGACTGACGTTGTTGTCCTTCGGGCGGAGTCGAGCAACTGAAACGCCGCGGCGGAACAACAATGATCCACCTAGCTCAAAATTAATTTTAGCCGCGACGCATCGAGTCCGTTACTTACTTAACATCGCAATAACAACAACAACCATCATCTAAGCTGTAGCAACATCCTCGATCTATCTCGATTCTTCTCTCGCAATCTATCGCACACCCACACTGCCATGAAGACTTCGACATTGATTGCCCTCTCGACGGGCACCGTCATCACAGGTTTCCTCGGTATGTTGTCTTCCGAACAGACCAACACAATCTATGCATCCAGCTAACCAAACACCATCACCATCAGCATATGCAGTATGGTTCGACTACAAAAGACAGTCTGACCCCGAATTTCGAAAAGCTTTAAAAAGAGATAACCGCCGCATGGCCCGCGCCGCAAAGGAAGAGGCCGAGGCCCAGGGAGCTGCTCAACGGGACCAGATCAAACAAGCCGTCGACGCCGCAAAGGACGAAGGTTTCCCCACAGACCTTGAAGAGAAGGAGGCTTATTTCATGGGCCAAGTTGCCAAGGGAGAGAGCCTTTGCGCCGAAGGATCGGACAATGTCGAAGCTGCTCTTGCCTTTTACAAGGCGCTCAAGGTGTATCCTCAACCCAAGGATCTAATTTCGATATATGATAAGACTGTGCCCAAGGAGGTGTTGGAGATTCTGGCGGAGATGGTCGCCTTGGATACGGGATTGAAGCTTGGTTCTTTTACCACTGAGGGTGCCGGTGCCGGTGCCGGTGCTGACAACCACGGCGTCGAATAAGCGAATCACTCGCCTTGCCTCCAACTCACTATGATGAGGATGACTCAGGACGAACAAATAATAATTGGCACCGACTAGACTCAACATCCTTCGACTAGTATATGCATCGTCAACTCGATACACCAAAACTCCACTTCTCTACTGTACACTTCCTCGCATCTGTTTTATTTTTTCCAGGCCGGTTCACGAGCATTCCAAGATCAAAGTTCTGGCGCAGTATGATGTCGCATGTGTTGGGCGAACGTCGAATGTCCGGACTATGGGCCTATTTTTTGTTGTTGTATTACAAGGGCAGCTTGATGCTGGTACTGTATTTTTGTTTGCCTGCTTATAAAGACGCTTTATAATTGTATTTTATCGTGCGAATCATGATTCACTTTTATACTCGCTCGTGCTTATTTTCCGTGAAAATATGATCATTTTGACAGACTGGCAGGAAACACAACTATTGGGATTAACCGAGAAATAACCAGCTTGAACAACTGCACCCTCAATCTCGAAGACATAAGACAGATTACTTCCTACGCTCAGCAATTCCAATCCTATACGTCACAAACTCCTCTTCCTCCTCCTCCTCCTTCTCAGCATATCAGAACCCAAGATCAGCCAGCCTAATTCCAGTCCCAGAACCCAAACTACAACCGCAAACCCTCTTCCACTCCCTCAAATATGTCATCCCTGTCCACCACGTCACCACCATCGCAACAATCTCATACAACGTAACCCACGCCCGCCAAGCAACCATCTCCGACACAGCTGCGGATAACATCGACTCCGTGGATACTTCGAGCGGCAGCAACAGCAAGGCTTGATACCATGTTTCGGGCGTCCAGCTGTCGATGTTGTATGCCACTACCTGAGGTCCTGTAGGTGAAAGGGTGCGCGCGATGTCGATGTCGATTTTGTTATCGATGTCGATTTTGTTATCGATGGTGAGATACGTTACGGCTAAGACGTAGGTTAAGGCTGTGAGTATGAAGAGTACGAGGAGTGAGATGGCGATGGTGATGGCTAGGAGTATAACTTTGTGGCGCTGTTCTATTATTAGCTTATATTCCTTCGGGAGTGTCTGATTAGGGAAAACAAACCTGATGATACGCATCCCTCCGGAGAAATACACATGCCACCAGAGATGCAATACTCATTACAACGCCATATCCAGCCGCGCCATTGGTGACATGTCCCTGATTTAGAGAGAGTTTTTCAGGCAGAACGTGGAGATAGAAACCATTGCTGTCTGTTGGGCTGGTATTGGTGTTGAGGATGTAATACGTACCAATCTCGGTCTTTTGAATATGCAAGAAAGCGACCATGCGAGAGACGAGTGCGAGTTGGACGGTGGCGATGATGAGGAGGATTGCGAAGGGGATGTAGAGAGTTGTCTTTTGAAACATTCTGTTCTTCCTTTTCTTTTATTGCAGTTTTGAGTTCTTAGTTTAATAGGTATGGGGTCTTAAAAGGTTGATGTTGCCATTGCTAAACGAATAGGTCTTGAAGCTCATCTAGAGACTTCAGGTAGGGCTTGAAGTATATAGCATAGCCTCGCACTGGATAATTGACTGTCATGTGATGGTGTCGCAACGATTTTGTATATATACAACATGATATGAAAAATATTACCATTATATAACGGTTATATCCGCTTTAATACACAATATTTCTACGTAGTTATATAGGAGCTAGCCTCTTATAGCTAGCTTCTATCATATAATTTCAAGACATTACATATACCAGTGATGGCCAACCTACCCATCTCAGCCGCTCTATACCTACATCTACACCGAAACGGCCATCCCAAAACTCAGCCGCAAGACATGCAAGTCGTACATGTCTCTCAAGCGGGACTATCCAGAACAGGATCTTGGCGCGAAGGAGCGTTTCAGGGTTGTACATGCGATTCATCTTTCTACTGAAACCCTCTTAATCAACCAAGGAAAACAAATGAAGGTGTCTGGTTCCCCAGTTTGAAAAGATGTGACTCCAACAACTTCAATGAGGAAAGTGGCGTAAGCATTGAATCGAGAAATACGTATTCGAAGGAACCTACAGTCTACATGTATGAGTTTCCTGGCTCATTTTTGGATACTATCGGAAGTATACATACTGCACGAAGCATCAGCCTCATGCAAACAACCGTCGAAAGCGTAGTAGCACAACACAACATTCAAAAGACCACCCGTATGACGATGACATGGAGAGCGACTGCCGATTGCCATGCAGAACTCCATAAGTACATTGATTTCCTAGATAACAACCCTGGATCCCAAATAAAAGATAAATTCTCAGGTATCATTGTGTTTGGTTGTCCAAGGTACGTAGCACTGTACAACATCTGTGGGATCTGAGGCTTGTGCAAGTAGGACATTACGCATGTCAAGTGTTAAGTAAACTTCGATAAATCTCTAATCTCATAGATTAATATGCAAGTATGTATCCACGCAAGTATGCGATATAGACCGGAATCAAAGCGGGTAGCACGTTAAGAAAATGGTGCACTCAAAAATCAACTCAACGCCCTAGAGTGGGTATAGATGACAAATAGCCCAAACAAAACAGATGTATGTCAAAAAACGAAACATATGTCGTGATACCTATTCAACTGCAGCACCGGTGAAACCAACGGTGCGCATCGTAAGTCATTGCTAAAAAAGAAAAAAACCGAGTGCCAACGCCTGACAGCATTACGTCTGCCCCTGATATAACGCCCTCGATGTAGAAACGACTCCGTCCGAGAATGAGAAAGAGGACGTGAGGGAATATCATTTACAAGAATTCAAATTTTGTGAGGTATGGTATGAACCTACGGTCCGATCCATTTCAGTAGTACCGAAACCAGATGTTGACGATGAACCGGTTTCGCAATATAGTCATTCATACCACTGGCGAGATACAAATCAGAGTCACCCTTCAGCGCATTTCCCGTCATCGCGATGATGGGTACATCTCGACTCATCGCGCGAATGGCTTTGGTGGCATCTACGCCGTCCATGACTGGCATGTTGATATCCATTAGGATCGCGTTGTAGGAAAGAGGTTTCTGCTTGACTTTGCGGACGGCCTCGGCGCCGTTCCAGGCTGTGTCGACTTTCTCGAAGCCGATCATGTTCAGCAACTTGAGCATAATAGTTTGGTTCATCATATTGTCTTCAACAAGCAAAAGCTGTTTTCGAGGTGCCAGTTGTTGGATTTTTGCGTTCAGATCTGGGCCTCGAGCCTCGCTTAGACGTCGGCGGGGACGTGTATTGTCGACCGTGCCCATTCTGACTGATAGCCAAAACACGCTTCCATGACCATCAGGATTGGGCGCAAACCCGACCGATCCGTCCATAAGCTCAGCCAAGCTTTTGCAAATAGATAGACCTAACCCTGTACCTTGATATCTCTTTCGACTGCTGTCTGCAAACCGAGTGAATGGGGTGAAAAGCGAGCTCGCAGCGTCCTCGGGAACGCCGATACCAGTGTCGACAACCATGGTGGTTACTTCATATATTGAACTGTCTTGCGGGTCTTCAGTGACCTTGACGGCAACGTCAACACTACCCTCATCTGTAAACTTGACAGCGTTGCCGACAAGGTTCTGTATGATTTGTCGGTATCGGAGAGGGTCTCCTTTTAGATGTTTGGGCAATTGATCCGAATAACTGACACGCAAGTCCACTCCCGGCTTCAAAGATGATTGACAATTTCGACAAACGGCACCCACAACCTCTTTCACATCTACAACACCAGGGGTTATTGTAAAGGTGCCAGACGATAGTTTAGAATAGTCCAGTACATCATTGATAATCTGCAACAAAACAGAACCAGTGTCTTCAATGATGTTGATATACTCCTTCTGTTTATCATCCAGGTTGGTTCCAGCGAGCATCTGTATGGACATCAGCATACCGTGCATCGGCGTCCTAATCTCGTGGCTCATATTCGCCAAAAAGTCGGATTTGAGTTTGGAGGACTCCTCAAAAGCAGCAATCAGTCGGCTCTCGGCTGCTTTCCGTTCTGTCAAATCTCTCGTAACCTTGACAAAACCGACATGACGACCAGCTGTGTATATTGGGGTAATCATGACATTGGCCCAGAAGCGCGTGCCGTCTTTGCGATACCGCCATCCTTCGTCTTCTACTTTGCCTTCTTTCAAACACACCTCTAATTCCTTGCCTGGTTTATCGACTATTCGATCGTCTTCACCATAAAAAGCCGAAAAGTGGCGACCGATAATATCGTCTGAGCTGTAACCTTTGATCATGGCTGCACCGGAATTCCAGGTGGCCACACAGCCAGTTGTGTCGAGCATGAAAATCGCATAATCTTTCACAGTATCGACAAGAACCTTGTATGTTTCATTCATGTACGCCAGCTCTCTGTTGACTTTTCGGGCCGACGATTCCTTGGTCACATCATGAACCGACAAGACTACATAGAGTAATTTACCTTGATCCTGGATAGGTGTAATGTGGACGCTGTATACCGTATAGCCGACACCGTTGTCAATTGCAATGTCATCTATAATCTGCAGTTCGCCTGTCTTGATCGCGTGTGTGATTACCCGATGAAGACTGGTAGTGTCGGTCGCCGGAACCTTATGTGCTGGGAGGTCATAGATATTGTGACCTATAACTTCAGCACGAGCATACCCGCTAAAGACCAAATGACTCTCCGAGACTTGTGCCACTCGCAAATTTGCATTGAGCACAATCGTCGGCAGCGGAGACAAGGAGAAAATACGACCCAGATCTGAGTCCATGGCTGGAGAAGACGATTCAAAGGGATCCAAAGGCTGAATACTATGCGAGTGTGATCGGCGGGGGGACTCCSGCTTATGTTCGTTGACTCGTACAACGGACATCATGGTTGACGGTTCTTTGCTCTGAGGCCTCGATCCGACCGACTTTATGGAGAGGGGAGCGAACACATTGGCCAGTGTCTCATCGCCGCCTCCATTAATGGCCATGGAGGCTGATAGTTGGTGCATGAGAGATTGTAAGAGGCGGGAGATGTAGTCGAAGAGCGAGAACATTCGACTAGTTCTATTGTATCTGGTGTCTGAGTGGGGATTGCCCGATTGGGAGTGTATCGGTGATGTTATGCAGAGGGGCACTCTGCAGTCTGCACTAGCGATATCTCTCTCTCAACACCAACTGTAAAGACAGGCAGTCAACAATTGACTGAATGAATTCAAACGGACTCAGAACGAGAAAATGAGAAGAATTAACTGTCGGTTCCAAAATGAAGACTGCAAGAGTCCAAACAGTCCAGGATGGATGGATGTGGGGGACAGACGGTTCCGTCCCAATAGATTTGSGAGCCACTCAGAGCAAAGATCCAGACGCCGAAGGACGGCAGTTGCAGGCGTTCAATTCAGTGGATGGACATCAAAGCGTTAACAAGTGGCACCATTCTATATTTTTCTTCTTCTCACTCCTTCTTCCGTACTTTTCAAAATGTTTGTATGAAAGATGGAGAAGTCAGGATAATGGCGAAGAAAAAGTACAATGGCGAAGAAAAAGTGACACTGTGAAGCTGACGGAATCCGGTTTTGTTCCCAGTTGGCCGCTGAGACCAGAATAGTTTAGCCTATAGCAAACCGACTACGTACCATCATTGGTCCCCGAGTTCTGGTTCGCCCAGCGCGCTATGCCATGATAGGCCTAGCCAGTATCAGAGCAGACAATTGGCCGGGAGGAACTCCCTGACAGTTCGTCTTCTTTTCTGCTTACTCTTACTACGTACTAGTAGCTGTTGGATCTGCGCTCTCAGACACTAAATCGGCGATCTCTCTGGTATGACGCCATTCATCGTCCAGACTCATTCAGGGCATTCTATAACACAGTGCCAAGCCCTGGGGAATCCGCTGATCTTCAAGCATATTACATACTATGTAGTATGTTGCCTTCACACTGTATGTAGTGCATAGTTGTATTTTTTCTGATTATCACTACATCGATACTACTTGATTTCGGGACTATGGCTGAAACTTGTTGCGTATCAGTGCATCGTGTTAGCGAATGTCGCAGGCTATGTTCCGTATCCGGTCTAGCCTAGGCTGCGATCATGATCTCCGAAGACACTTCAAGAGCCAGGGGTGGTTACTATCTTCAGCCTCATATGCTTCTCTTATGTAGAGCAGTAGATCGTCACATTCTACCAATGAGATGGTCTGTAGGCGTAAGACGGATTGATATCTAAAGTGTTTTGCCAAGATTTTTCAACTCGTGTCGCAAGGCTTATCGTGAGTGTCCAAGTGGTTGCCTACACTCAAATCGGTGACTCACAAAGCATGTAAATAAGAAAAACTAAAGACTTGTACAGAGCGCAAACACAAAACAACAAGATATCAAAAGTTGATGCATTGTATATACATTTGAAAGCCTCGAAGCCTACACAATGGCTACAAACAAAGCCGGCTCCTCACTCTACAGCTACACCGTCGCGCCTCACTTGGCCGCTGAATATGACGTCCCCTTCGCCGACTTTGCGCTTGCCCATCCACAGTACAAAGCCTTTGTCATAGGAGGCTTCGTATTCACGCACCGCTCTCATGCCCAACATCTCCCGGACTCAGCATCAGACCGCGCCACCAAGAAACACATTGCTTCCTCAATGTCTGGCGAGGAAAAACCCTCACACCTAATGCTAATCATCCAACGCGCCCTCGACGACTCATTTGGTGGATACTGGGATTTCCCCGGTGGCTCGCTCGAGCGCACCGATCAAACTCTTCTTGATGGCGTGGCGCGCGAGGTCTTTGAAGAAACGGGCTTGCACGTTAGCAAGATCCGCGACATAGTTCGCGTCGATGAGTGGATTGAGCGTAAAAGTTTGAGGCCGGCGGGTAAATGGAGTTTTGTGGTTGATGTGCATGAGGCGGTTGACACGGTCGAGTGGGAGGAGAAGATTAGGCTGGATCCGAGGGAGCATGGGAAATGGTTGTGGGTAAACGAGGAAGAGGTTGAGGAGAGCGCGAGACTTCATAAGGAGGGTGCGCCGTATATGTTTGTGGGCGTGCAGGGGGGGACGGCGTGGGAGGCCTTTAGGGTCTATTTGAGATTGGAAGACAGGGCGTCGAAGGGAATTGCAAATGAGGATATTGCTGAAGTTGCGAAGGTGTAATTGCCTCTTTTTGTCTTTTTTAAACGACAGATGGGCATATCCCAGTGATAATTTAGATGATTTTACGAGGAGCCACACTACCTTGGTCTATGTTGGTGTATAACAATAATAATGAACTATACACTAGCTGAATCATCGACAATATAGCTCTATGATAAGTCGGATAGGCAATCTAACATAATGCACTCAAGTCTAAACAGAAATCATATCAGGCCCGAAAGGAGGTATATCATCTTCTGCCGGCATTACACCGCCAGCCTTCAACTCGAGCGCAACTTTCTCAACCTCGCCCCACACCCTAAGCAGATTTCCTCCAGCCACCTTGGCAGCATCCGAATCGCTGACTCCACGTCTAAGCAGCTCTGCAATCAAATCCGGGTACTTGGAGACATCTTCCAGACCCTTGGGCGTAGACTCGATGCCGTCAAAGTCACTACCCAGGCCGACGTGGTCGAAGCCAATGAGGTTACCGATATGCATAATATGGTTTGCAACATGGGCAAGGCTTGCATTTGGGGGATAGAAGTCAGGCATTCCGTCTTCGCGATCGGATGCGGTACAACTGATGAACTGAGGATAAAAATTGACCATGACGAGCGAACCAGTCCTTTTGACGAGTTGCAACGTCTCATCTGTCGGATTGCGAGGGTGCGGGCACAGAGCATAGGCGGAACTATGGCTGAAAATCACAGGTGCTTCACTACCAATCCAGTCATCTTTGCCGGCACCGAGGACATCGCGCATTGTAGCTTCGCTAACATGGGCCAGGTCGACGATCATACCGAGTCGGTTCATCTCAGAAACGATGATTTTCCCTTTTTCGCTGATACCATTCCACACTGGATCTGCCTTTTTGACTCCGGCGCCGGGGACTTCGACCAGAGCTGCATCGGCGTAAATATTGTGGCAATTGTGTGTCAACGTCGCGTATCTGACGCCAAGTTCGTAGAATGAGCGAAGATGCGCGAGAGAGTTGCCAATGGAGTGCAAGCCCTCGATTCCAAAAGGCGAAATGACTTTGCCTTGACGGAACTCTTTCAGGGCTGTTCTACCATTTGGCGGCTTGGAAAGAATATGCTTAAATTCCTGTTGAATTCTTGTCATGACATCAACCTGTTCGTAGGTCATCCTGACGCTCTCTGCATAATTCTCGCTCGAAAAATCCGCGCCGTTTGCAGGGCATGGGACGAACACACTCCAAAAAGTACCGCCGACTTGACCGTCGGCCAAGCGTGGTGCATCAACGTGGCCAGTCAAATTTCCACTAAGAAACCGCTTGACGAAGTCGGAGCTATAGATTTTGTTGCCATATATAGCTCGTACGAGTATAGGAAGGTCGTTGTGGCCGTCTACTCAATTAGCTAGAGTTTAGGTTGAAGCTAGTGTTTACTTACCGATAAGAGGTGTTTCGGAAAGAATCTCGTGAACGCGGTGTTCTATGCTTTTGATTGGCATCACTTTCTGGCCACACGTAAAAGATGAAGAACCCCAGTAAGCGAATGCAGTCAATGTCAATAGAGCAGCGAGCGCGAGTGACCACGCCCGAGAGCGGAAAGAGCGGCGGGGGGCAGTGATGGTAGCAAGGTCCTCTTTGGTCTCGAAGAATTCCGAAGAAGAGCGGTCTTCACAGCCTAGGAGGCCATGTTTTTCGTATTGAGTGTCCATCATGGATTGAACAATCCAAGATGAGATGAGATGATGTAGAGATGTGTTGTTGTTGTTAAGGTCGAAAGCACTCGATGACTTCGTGCCTCGGACGATAACGCGATAAGGAGGACCCACGTGTCTGGCCAATGAAATACTTATGTACGCCCCACACCGATCAACCACAGAGACGCAAAATAAGCCTCCTCACCACGACAGAAACTCAACGGGGGGAGTTTTGAGGCATCGTTTTCTATATATCTTCATAGCTCTACATGGAGACATACGCCCGCTTGGAACACACCATCTTGCCTGCACCTGCTATGCTGGCCGACTGAACAACATCGAGACACTCACGTGCCCCGCCACTATCCAGTCTAAATTTTCATCAGACTGAAATTCACCATCGTCACCTTCTCTCAACCACGAGAAAGGTTCTGGCTATGGCAGACTCTTCATTTGTGCCAGGTAGAGGGATGATCAATTCTGGTAGGCTAATGCCTGTGCTAATTGGTGTATGGCAGGTTTTCTGGCAACGTGGCACAGCTTTCGAGTTCCTATCATCGTCTCGCTAGCAGTCTTCTTTATTTTTGTACGGTTTTTCGGTACTAAACGGTCAAAGAGCCCACTATCTTCGTCACTTCCTCCCTCCCCGCGTCTTGAATCTGCCATTCCCAAGGAGAAACCCGTCGCTCCTATACTCGATCAAAAGTCAGTTACCGAGGTCAAGTCAACGCCAAAATCCGTCGCACCCGGCCCTAAGAGAGTTGTGGGCAATAAAGGTCGCCGTGGAGGAAAAGATACACAGAAAGCCGGTGAATTAAACGGACCGTCATACATCAAACCAGTCATATTCTTCGCTTCGTTGACCGCATCCACCCAGACACATGCGCGCTGGCTTTCAGAAGAATTGCGTACAGCGGCGCAAGAGAAATCACCCGGAAAAGATGAAGAATGGGGCCTTCTTCCTCCAGAAATCTACGACCTGGCCGAAGTTGATTTTGACGATCACTTCGTCACTGCACCCAAGCCACCAGCAAACTCTCCAAATACGAGATACGTCTACTGTTTCTTGATCCCAACCTACAATATTGATACCATCATTGACACATTCATTGCTCATTTGGATGAGACCCATAATGACTTTCGTATTGATACTGCGCCATTGTCGAGCTTGGCTGGATACTCTGTATTTGGATTTGGTGACAAGGAGGGTTGGCCCTCGGAAGAAGAAGGGTTCTGCTCTCAGGCCAAGGAAATAGACCGCTGGATGGCCAAGCTCACTGCCAAGAGGCGTGCATACCCTCTCGGTATGGGCGATACGAAGACTGATGCACTCGATTGCTTGAAAGATTGGACGAACGGGTTGGCTGATATTCTGCTCGAAGTAGCACAGACTGGTGGCTTAGGCGAAGGTGTTGCTGGTAGTGGCGACCCATTGGAAAGTGATGAAGAGTCTGCAGCAGAAGATGAAGATGAATCATCGAACAAGAAAACGCAGACGGTAGTTGACTTGGAAGATATCAACTTCGGGGCCAGGGCAAAGAAAAGCAAAGGCGACCCGATACCTGTTGACTTTACGACAGTATCCAAAGTTCAGACAAGCCCGACAACTTTGAAAGAAATGGTACCATCTACGTCACCAACCTACGCATCGCTCACGAAACAAGGCTACACAATCGTTGGGTCTCACTCTGGAGTCAAAATCTGTCGTTGGACCAAATCAGCACTACGAGGACGGGGCTCATGCTACAAGTACTCTTTCTACGGTATTAAGTCACATCTTTGCATGGAAACTACACCGTCATTGTCTTGCAGCAATAAATGTGTCTTTTGCTGGCGCCATGGTACAAATCCTGTAGGAACAACGTGGCGATGGAAAGTCGACCCTCCGGAAATGATCTTCAACGGCGTCAAAGAAGGGCATTACAAAAAGATCAAAATGTTAAAGGGCATTCCTGGTGTTCGTGCAGAACGATTTGCCGAAGCTATGCGGATTCGACACTGCGCTTTGAGTTTGGTTGGGGAACCCATCTTCTATCCCCATATTAATGAATTCCTCGGTATGCTTCACAACGAACAGATATCGAGCTTTTTGGTATGCAACGCACAGCACCCAGATCAATTAGCCACTCTTCATCGCGTCACTCAATTATACGTATCTATCGACGCGAGCAATCGTGAAAGTCTGCGAAGAATTGATCGTCCTCTACACCGTGATTTCTGGGAGCGCTTCCAGCGTTGTCTCGATATTCTCCGCGAGAAAAGACATGTTCAACGTACTGTCTTCCGCTTAACACTTGTCAAAGGTTTCAACATCGATGACGAGGTCAAAGAGTACGCCGACCTTGTTGAGAAAGGATTGCCGTGTTTTATCGAAGTCAAGGGCGTCACATACTGCGGCACAAGTTCCAGCGCAGGTGTAGGTCTCACGATGAAGAATGTTCCGTTTTATGAGGAGGTTGTCGCATTTGTGCTCGCATTGAACGACGAGCTCGAAAGACGAGGGTTGGGATACGGAATTGGAGCAGAGCACGCTCATAGTTGTTGTATTCTACTGGCCTCTGACAGGTTCAAAGTTGATGGCAAATGGCATACGAGAATCGATTACGATCGATTCTTTGAGTTGCTAGAGAAGGAAAAATCGGAAGGTATCTCATTCCGCCCCGAAGATTATATGAGAGAAACCGAGGAATGGGCTCTCTGGGGCAATGGAGGCTTCGATCCGAATGATCAACGTGTTCGAAAGGTTCGAAACAAAAAACCGAAGAATGACCAATCGGCTGAGTAGGTACGACTACCATACGCAATGTTCATGGAGATACCAGACTATTAAAGATCATGACATGTGATTATATGCGGCATATGTCGCTTCGCCGGAAACTTGATAAAAATTCCATATCAAATGCGATTCAAGGCTTAAGAATGGGAATGTGGAATCTCTACAACTGATTCTCATGCGAGTACTTTTCCGTATCACAGCGAGCTTATCCGAGTATGTCTATTTACGCTGTTTTATGGGATACTAAGCGCCAACAAAGAGTCGGACTCGTATTCGGCTTTTACCAAAACGACTGATGAGAACATTTCCATAGCCTTGATTTCCATGGCTTTCGAATCTAGCAATGAATCATATGACGCCGAGCTGGGTTAACCAGATACAGAAATTAAGCGGCAAGTTGGCCGCCGCAGCGTTGTCGAGGTTCATCCAAAACTTAGTTATTACCTGTCCTACTTGATCTCAAACATCTGATTATCGTTGCGACGGGGCTGGCTTGCGGAGAGAAGTCCGGAGATGCGGATCGCCAGAAAAGCGCTTCGGGAAAAGCCTGGGGAAGTGCGGGGTTTGCCTAATCCTTAAAGTCCTTGAACAATATTTAGTCAACTATTGAATTATGTCAAGTCATAGGCGTGTCGAATTAATTGTTCATATGAAGATTTTGGAGTTGGCGTATATCTTTCATCTTAGTTACTCTATGAAGTAACAACATACAGTACATCCAACCACTAACTCAGTACCCCTTAACAGTCTTGACATGCTGAATCCTCTCCCAAACCCACGGCGTCAGCGTCGAGCTAAAGTTATTACTAAACTTGATACTGAGATAATCGTATCCTTCATCGGGCACCCAATCAATCGCAAACTTGGTTTTTGCGTATTCTTCCAAGCCTTTGATGGTGGGACGGAGCGAGACGGGCATGGGCGTCGTTACGCCGTTTTTGTACCATCTTTTTTCCCGAGTAGTAGTTAGCATATGGATCAGGGGATGTTACAGAGAACTTACGAAGCGTAGTAGACGATGGCGAGCATGATGCGGACATCTGAGGTTGGGTTTGGCATGCCGGCGTGCCTATCGCCATAATTAGCCCTAACTAGTTCCTTCCATTCCTCCATCAAGGGGCAGATGTGTGCGTACCATAATCTCAAATCCCGCAAAACAATAGACCCCTTCTTAATTTTCGGATAACAAGGCGGCCTCACCTTTCTCCTCTCCTCCAACTTTGCCTCCGCAATCATCGGCTCSCCCMACTCTCGATGATAATCTAAATTCGTATTCTGCGTACCCAACCATAATTCTGTGGTTCCATTCTCAGGACCAACATCAATCAAACACGTATTAAAGGCGATTGCGAATGGGTGCTCAGGATGCTCAAACCGAATATCGGCGTGAACCACTTGTCGCTCTTCGGTTGCGAGGAGAGTATTGGAGCGGATAAAGTGGACTTCAGGGTTGGGACCGAGAATGTTGGAGACAATTCGGGCGCCGTGTTTGTTGGCGTAGACTTGAGGAAAGAGCCATTCTGTGAATTGTCGACAGGTCAGTCATGTAGATAGGGGTTGTAGAGGTGAAGTATTAGGACCTTTTTCCAAAGGTGGGACTTGTGAGAGGTTTCCTCCTGCAGACGCGCCTTTGGTGGCTGCGTTTACGTTCAAATGACTAAATTCTATCAGCTATTGCTCATGAAGTAGGGGGGAAAGTAATAACATACTTGAAATGTATCTCTCCATTCCCACTAAGCAACTTTTCCGTATCTTGCAACATCCTCTCATTCAACTTGTCGATGATCGTAGTATCGATGGCATTCTCGACCACGACGAGACCGTCGCTAAAAAATGCCTCGATTGCTTCGTAGAGCTTCATGTCGCTCATTACGCCGCTGTCTCGTTCTTCATCTGTGAGGACAATAGCCTTTGGGCCGTCGACGTTTGTAGCCGCGGACATGGTTGTGCGGCTGCTCGTTACAGGTCTATGCAAAGCTGAGTTCCAAGAAAGGTTCAATGTTCCTTTTTCATGAATGAAAAGTAAAGATTCTTCAGTTTCATTTTATTTCTTCATGAATCCATGGAATTGATCTTTCCAGGTTATGTTTTCCTAAAGCTCCACGGGGGACGTCCGGGGAAGTTATTCAGGGCATCGGCAAAACTATACAACTTGACACCAACACGACTGGATCCATGCTTTGAAAACCTGTATCAATCTGGTACTCAGCCGATCGCTCTCGCTCACAACTCCGATCCTGCGATAGTGTATGATCTATGCGGAGTCGAGTCAGTCCCCTATACAAGATCCCCCGCACTCGGTCATACTCGGAAGAACTCCGAGCTGGCCAGTGCAATGCTCTTGATATGAACAATCTCAATCTCCAGTTTACCTGAAATATTTCCTTCCTAGAGACATGAAAACTACCGAACAAAAATCGAAAATATGGCAGAACAACACGTCTCTTTCAAAATCGAAGACCTCTTCTCCGTTAAGGGCAAAGTCGTCGTTGTTACTGGCGGCGGTTCTGGTCTCGGTAAAGCTATTGCTGAAGGGTTTGCGGTTAATGGCGCAAAAGTGTACATTTCTGGGAGACGCAAGGATACGTTAGAGACCGCTGCGAAAGAAATTGGGGGAGATATTCATATGTGAGATAATATCTGCTTTGCATTTGTTGAAGATGAAACTGACTTGTCGGCTTTCTCAAGAATTCAAGGAGATGTGCAGACTGCAGAAGGATGTAAGGCTATTGTTAAAAGTATTGCTACCAAGGAGTCTCATGTCGGTTACCTTTATGAAAGTCCTACTACGTCGATTTTACATACTGACGGGATGATGGATTCATAGATTGATACACTCATAAACTGTGCGGGAGTCAATAGCCCCTGGAGAGTGACGGCTAAGGATCACAATGACCGTGCGGCTTCTTCTCATAAGTAGCAATAGATGATATAGAAGCTGACTTTCCCCAGCCGACCAAGTGGAAAATCTTCTCATCAATGGGTTGATTGAGTTCGTATTCATTGTCCATCCCAGTAGAAGGCGTGATTTTTGCTAACAGTACCTATAGAGAAGATTTCGACCGAAGTAATCAAAGTCAGAGCTCATATCACACCAAATATACACATCTCATTGACTAATTGTTTTCAAGTCAATGTCAACGGCGTATACTTCCTCACGGTTAACTTCATACCCTTGCTGCGGAAATCGAAGGACCCCAATGTCTGCGTGATTGCTTCGTTGGCGGGATTGGGGAATATCAGGTATGTAATATAGAAAATTATTCTTATGATAGTTGCTGACACTCATAAGATCTATGGGATCCCTGACGTATGGTGTCTCCAAGGCTGCCGGTGAGTAACCTTGACGACTGTGCCAACGACCTTACTGACCATCATACAGTCATTCATCTTTCAAAGCTTCTTGCCGGTCGTTTTCACCCGTAATTACCACTACATAATTCAAACTTTCAAATCCAAATCTAATCTCATTTAGAATGAAAATCCGTGTCAACACTATCTGCCCCGGTATCTTCCCCTCCGAAATGACTGGTGTCACTGCCGGCAAACATGAATACAACATCAATCATCAAGCCGAAAAGGCAGCGCTGCGAAGTACTGCAGGTCGTCCCGGTCGTCCCGAGGAGATGGTTGGACCCGTCTTGTTGTTGTCTAGTCCTGGTGGAGGGTATATGAACTGTGCGCTGTTGACGGTAGATGGAGGACGGTTGATGGGTGTTTCGATTAATGATGGAATTCGGATGCCGGATCATTTGTATACGTGAGTTCTCATTTCCCCTGCATTTGAGGTCGGGCTTTTTACTAATTTGATGGTCCTAACAGCGATGAAATCTTGGGCTAGAACGAGTTCTTATAGAAGAAAGGCTGGAAAATAGAGATACAAAGAGGATAGATAGACAGTCAATTACTAGCAAGTCGTATACGATTTTCAATTCTACTATCAAGGATTCGGGCCAATATCATCTTGGAAAATATCTTTCGTCGATACTTCGTCAGAAACAGAAGAATAATTAGTAACTCCTATGCGTCGACTGCGCAACGACATCGGGAGAATGGTCACCAGTACAATTATGACTTGAATGATAGTTTAAGAATTGTCCTTCAAAAGTCATGTTCGTCCAATCGTGTCGACATTTTTTCATATATGACTACATATATCATACTGCAGAGCTACATGTATCCTTGAGCGACACTGAATGAACATGGCGGTCCTCATAAAAACATAACAGCTGTTCGCCGTAGGTGTTAGGTATCATCGTCTTATATTCACGGACCGGTCGCCATTCGCCCATGGTAACTACCAGTTGATATAACCCAATCGGGCCTCCTGGAAGGTCTAATACCCCAAATAGCGCCATCCCAAATCGACTTGTTGCTGGGTGACGCCACTCTTCATGGCACGGCGTTGCTCTTCAGGAGTACCAGCCAGAAGCTTATTTAAGCGTCGGACGTGGATTGTGTAACCAACGATGACGATAAAGAATGCGGTTGCGCAGCCGATCACTAACAACGACGAGTTAGCACAGAACTTTGGAAAAGATGCATCGACAAGTAGTGGAAGACTTACAAGTTCCAAACGCAGCATAATAATGCGGCGAGCTAAAGTATAGATAACTCGTCCACACATTCGACAGTCCACCAATGGCATTGATCATGGCTACACCAGCGGCGCGCTTGGGATAAGGTCGAGCCATATGGATGTTCAGTGTCTTGTACAGAAAGATCTGGGGGCCGGCAACGACACAAGGCATCAACATCATGGCGAAGTATCGACCGCCGAGTTTGAGAGTACATATCGAAATGACGTAGGCGACTACTGCGATGGCGAGACTGAAGAGATGGACGGGTAGAATCATATTTGTGCGCTAATTCGGTCTCATTGTCAGTTGATTTGATTAGAAAAGAAGTACAGAGTGCATACATCACTGATATAACTGATGATGTAGAACACAATTGTTGCAAGGATGTAAGGAGGAGCAGTGAGCAACAAAGTAATATTCTTGCTGAATCCCAATGATCCGACAATGGTGCTGGTCCAGTCAGTAAGGATGTGTACTACAGTCAATATCCGGAAAATAACTTACGGAAAGAAGTTGACAGTTGAACCCATAGCCTGACTCATGCCCATGCACCAAACCAAAGCCCAGACCTTGGGGTCCATGATTGCGAGTTTGAATCCTTTGAGAGCAGTAGTTTCTTCGTGGGCTTCACCGGCACCGGCTTCCATCTCGATACGCCACACTGCATAGTCGCGTTCGATGGGCTTGAGAAGGCGTGCGTTATGTGGGTATTCCGGCATGAGCATGGCGGAGATGAGACCGCAACCAATTGTCGTGGTGCCCTCCCTGTTAATATTAGTAAAGATCCGTCTGAAGGTGATTTTGAGGAAGCAAGGAATACGTACACAATAAAGAGCCATCTCCAACCAGCAATACCATAACGACCATCAAGTGTCAAACACGCAGCAGCAATAAACCCACCAAAAGCACTACCAATCATCTGAAACATGAACAAAGCTCCAAGACGTTTACCCAGTTCGCTCTTGGTGTACCAAGCACTCATAAAATAAATAACCCCAGGGAAAAACACGGCTTCGGTTACACCCAGCATGACACGAACTGCCAGGAGGCCATGGTAGGATTTGACGGCGGCTGTACAGGCACTTACGCAACCCCAGATGGCGGCTGCGCTGCAAATATCTTTGATCTATCAGCAAGGGGTGCTGTGGAGTAATGGTATATAGTTACTCACATAGGCCGGGGCGAGTAATTCTGGTCATAAGCAGGTTCGAAGGAATCTGAAACGGAATATAACCGGCTGTGTGTTGTTAGACCTTTAAAGCTGGGACTTGACGTAAAGATATAGCCTTACCGAAAAGAATGGAAATAGCAGTCGCAAAGTCGTTGGTGCTCATGTGCAGATCGTCCATGATACCGTAAACTTTGGCAGCTGCGAGCGCAGATCGATCCACATCTGATGTTGTTAGTCAAGTTCGGAAATACTTGACGATCAAGGAGTATCAACTCACAGTTGAGAATATAAAGGACACCCATAATCGGCCTGAATCAATATTATCAGTCATCATTTAAGTCAAGAATAGAAATGGTCGACACCCAGACATACATAATAACCATGTCAATTTTGCGAACCATTCTGGTCTCCAATTGCTGAAGTTCTTCGGGGCTCAAGTCCCGAATACTTTCAGGCTTCTCGATCACATTGTCGACATCCTTGTTGTTCTCCTCAACCTCTAGATGAGCAATATCTTCTTTGACGATGTTTTCATCTGCACTGGCAGGGCGGCCAGTCTCTTTATAGGCTGCAGTCATGGTGGGCTGCTTCAAATAACGATACTTTGAGAAAAAGGAAGAGAGATGTCCGAGACTGACTAAGGACAAATACAATGGGAGAACAGATAAATCGCCGGGGGAATTGACTTGAAATAGAAGTCCTAATGGGCAACAACCAGTGAATTCTGCTTTAGGCCTAGCGACTATCGGGCTGGTCCCCGGTCCCCGGAAAACCCCAAGCAGACGATCCCCACGGGGTAAGATTGGACGGGTCAGCTGCGTCGTATATGCCAATACACTCTACTGCGTGCTAAAATATGGCCAAGACCCTATTCTGGATTGTCCTACCGTTGATTTGCAAAGCGATAGGCTCAATTTCTACTACTAGTAGGCGATTCGTTCGCTAGATTTCCAGTCTTGATATAGGATATAGCTTTGGCGTCTCTAAGATTGTCTTGGTTTTGACGCTAATGCAGCTTCGGACATTTGGCGAAGAGAAGTCTCGGCTTTGTCCGCGAAAGTTAAGCAGGGTGTTGGTGGCTGGATTTGGGTATGTAGGACGGTCAGATGAGGTTACCTAATATTTTGATAAGTCTTTTGGCTCTCTACCCTTCCATCTACCGTTCATTTAGACTTGAGCACTTCAAAAGCATGTCACTAGCTCACTGGCTCTTCGCCTTGTGCGTGGTCAAAGCTCAAAGAGACGAGATAAAAGCAACGGAGCATGTCCGATGCTTGCCGAGGGTCTGTTCACCCGGGTGTAATTACTTGCATACTGAGTGTTCTTGGGCTTTGCAAAGATTCTTACTCGAGTTCTATTGCTTTCGACTGACGTGCGTGATAAGCTATGATTCTGCTGTACAGAGTTMAGTACGGCCACCGAGTCAAGTTCGCATGACTTGGTATGACCTAGACAACTCTGATAGCACTGACCCAACAAAGACCTAATGCACCAACATCAGTAGATGTCATAACAATATAGCAACCGATAGCATACATTGACCGTGAGAGTATTCTATCATTAGATTAAAAATTTCACAGTTCGTTCCATCCTCCATCTCTCAAGGATTACCAAAAACCAGAAGGCTATGAATACTCACTTTATCAAAATAACGTCGACGCAAATAGTCCCTACCGCGATGAACAGGAAACTCCGCCACGACCATGATGCTGAATTTCTCCGCGTCGACGCCAGCCTTTTCCAAAAGCTTTCATACCGCGCACAGGGTATGCGCGACTAAAGGTGTCGCAAAGTCGATGCCACTGGTCTCGCAAGTCACGATCGCACCGAATTTGCGCCAGCGACCGGCAAAATGGCTTTGTAGCAGCGATGTGGTTAGGGTCAGCCCACTGCGCTGCCTAGAAATACCAAGCACGTCACGAAATACAGTGCCAGGACATGGGAAGTCGACTACTCGGCGCACGATATCAGCCAGCTGCTGTATATCTTCGTGGACAAACGGCAGCAGATAGCGTTCCGCAAAATCCTTGGCCTTTACATCGCCGGGCGGTTCATTGATCCAGATAAAGTTGGGGCGATACTTCGGATCGTAATTTTTGCTGCCACTAACATTCCTGTCGTCCTCACTACTGAAGTCCCCTGCGATTCCGCCGTTTTGGTTCACTGGTTTGTACGTAAACGTCGAGTAACACGCTGTCTGGCGCCGAAGGCGAAAAGGTTAAAAGTAGCGCCTGATCCCTTGTGTCAGTGATGAAGGATACATCGCATCAGAGTTTTCGTACACTACACTTATAAATGCTCTACCGGCAGCCGCGGTCGTTGCTGTACCTGTTCCTGAAAAAATGCGGCCAATGCCAGTCAGTGCTCTTCCTTGTAGGCACGATCAAGAATTAAGAGCCTAGGATTAGCACCGGTGGCTTTTACATATTCTACTTTGGTGATGTCGCTCATACTGACCACGCGTACCTTGAATCTCGTACGTCCAAACAAAAAGGCCCAGGCATTGGCACAATAGTCCTTGAAGGCACTGCTTTTGCTTGTGATAAGAATTATAAGCCTCGGCCCCAGCGACGCTTTCGTAGTTGGATAGGCAAAAGCCAATAAATTGTACGGGTGAAGGCTGCGTTTGAAAAGGTTTAATCGTGGAAAATTCGCTCCAAAAGCTTTCGCAGCGAGTGCGGCGTCTCTGGGGTTTGGTCCAAGATCGGCACTGCAGACTCCATTGAAACTTCGAACATAGTCACACCAAGATGCAATTAACCAGCGCCCCAGTACAAGTATGCATCCACGGAAGAATATCTAGGTAGCCGCCTAGCGATAAGTATATTGAAATAGAGCCCGTTTGGGTTAGTGCCATAGTGACTAACCGCGTTTGGGGTATATTGAACTCTAATTGAATGGCGCGTCAAGAGGCGGCCAAATTGTCGCGCTAGCCGCTTGATACACGCGACCTTTCCATTTTTGAGGCGGAAAGGCTGACATAACAAATTAAGCTATAGAATGGACTCAGAACCGGTTCAAATTCCTTTGGTAGAGGCGTACATGAGGATATTGTTGAGATTCCATGAAAATAGTCAAACACCGGTGAATATACCTTGTAATCTGCTGCAACCTGCACCAACGTCCTCAATGATTGATTTCGGCATTCATGAAGAGAACGCCTACCGAATAAACAAAGAAAAGCTTTCCATTTGTAATGAAAATTCCATTTGACTGGGCAATCCGTCTGTCTTGAGAAAGAAAAAAGATGCAAACGTACAAAACATCAAAAAACAAACGAGAGATAAACTGATTAAGCGCTGTCATTGGCCCAACAGCGGAGGTAGCGCCAAACAACACACCTTCGATGGAGCAAACAGAGCAAACAGGGTCCACAATGAAAAAACTCTGCAGCTCACCGAAAACACCTATCCCAAACCAGCCTAGCGCACCTGGAAATCTCGTCTATATAAACAGCCTTCCTCTCCTCGCTCTTTTGGCCTTTTTCTTTCTTTCTTTTTTTCATAGCGACTCTACTTCAAAGAATCATTTCATTAGTAGACGTCCTCCGCTGTTTTTTCGAAAATAGCCACATATCCCACCCTTGCTGATGACCTCCATGTCCTCGATACCCTAAAGTGAAATTTTGTTGGCATTCTGTTTTTTAGCAGTTTGTCCGTTTACTCCCGCCTCGAGAGTTGTGTTGAACTTTCTTGTACTGTCCTCCGGGATATACAGAGACGACGCACTTTTCTCCAGGGAGTGGTGATGATCTTTACCTTGTTTTGGCGTCTTGACTTCGGTCGGCTGGACTTGGTGGGTGTCGAGGAGGTCTGAAAGGCCTTGCTTTCTGCGTTTAGCTAGATGATAGTCAACAATTCAGATCTGTTTATGAACCATTTTGCATCAGTATCGACTACTATCGACTTTTATGTAATGATTGACTAGTTCGTAATGCTCGATCTGTATACTTGGGTTGCCGTACATTTCTTAAGATGCATCATGAATGGTATCTGTCCGTCTAAGGGGTATCATATTTCGTGACGATATTCTCTGCTACATACATCTACGATCATATCTCGCTACTTACTCCCTCAGGCTTTCCTGTATTTTCTCCTTCACCTGCTGCTTTTCCCTTTCCCCTGCCTCCTCGACTGCGAGGCCCCCGTGACCGTTTCTGATTTCCACCACCAGGCTGTTGAGTAGGAGGTGTAGGCGATGCCTGCAAAGCAGTCTCAACAGGTTTAGCAGCTGCCTTAGCTTGCTGTGCAGGTGGGTTCTTCCTCTCAAGAACCACGACCTGACTCTGTGCCACAGTCACAGGACTAGCTGCAATGGCCTTTTGGAGACCCTCTGCTTCGGCGAAATCGACATAACCAAATCCCTTCTTTTTGTCTATTTCGACCTTAGTCACTTTTCCAAAAGCACTAAACGCGGTGTCGAGAAGTTCTTCTGTCACGCCCTGTGATGGGTTCGCGTGTTTGAGGAATGCTTGTGTAGCGGTCAATGGTGCAGCAGCGGGTTTGGGCTTTTGTTGTTTTGCTGTTTTTGGTGCTCGAGGCGTAGTTACTGGGATGGTGCTGTCCGTTATCGTAGATGCGGACTCTATTGGTGTTGCTGCTGTGGTAGTCGCGGCAGCTTTCGTAGCAGCAGCTTTAGACGTAGTATCCTTGGCCGCTTTTGCGCTCGTTCTGGGAGCCTTCGGCCCTGTTGGTATCGTAGGTGTTGTGGGAACAGATTCTGCTTTCTCTTCAGCTTTGGCACGATCACCCTCTGTAGTTGCTGCAGCAGCGGCTCTTCCACGCCGTCGACCACCAGATGGTGCGAGACCCAAATCGCGCTGTAGAATGATTGCTGCAGCTCTCGCATCGCCTCGCTCCCTTTTGCGTTCAGTCGTCGATGTTTCTGCAGGTGTATGTGCTGCTTCTTTCGCGGAGGCTTGTTTCGTTTTGGTGGCAGAAGCTTGTTTGTTGGCAGCTTTCACGGCCTCCTTTGTAGCCTTCTCAACCTTTGCTGTAACTGGCTTCTTTTCTKGAGATGCTGGTATAGAGTCCGCTATTGATTCGCGGTCTGGTCTCTTTAAGAGTTTCTTGCTTTCCACCTTCTCGGTCTTATTTTCCTTCTCTTTGGCGCCTCGTTTAGAAGACTTGCCCGATGCAGAGTCTCTGGCTTTGCTTGCTTTCTTCTCTTTTATAAACTGAACCAAGGGAGTAATAGTAACCTCTTCTTCTTCTTTCTTCTCTGCTTCGCCTTCGACCGGAATGGGTTTCGTGATCGGGTTCGTCAAGCTTTCGAGGAATGCAACGAATTCAGGGTCCTGGTCGATGGTTCCTTGTCTTCCGTCCTTCCTTGAGCGGCTTCCTGGTACTCGTGCGTATGGGGCGAATTCGACTGATGGCGGACCAAGGAGAACAGGATCATTCGAGGTGTTTCGTGCATCATGGAACGATGTATCTCTGACTTTGTCCGACAAGGAACCAATAATTTCTTCTGATAGCACATGTACGTAGGCTCGGGCAGGACGAGATGGTTTGGCGGGACTAATAACGTAATGTTAGCTTCGAGCAGATGACTAAAATTGTCAAGTTGAATAGTAAGCGCACTCTTTTGAGATCTTGCCTGGTTTGAACTGAAACCAGTCAATCTTGCCTCGTCCTACTTTCCACTCATCGCCCAGACCAGTCTCGAATTCGGCTCGTGTAAGTCCAGGAGGAAGACGACGAACAATGAGTTTGAGTCTTGGTGCAGCGACTTTCGGAGCACGCTTTGCTGGGGCTGCTTTCTGTGTTGCTGATAGTGGCAGCTGGATAATGCCAGCTTCTTTGGCGATTGACTGTGTCATAGCAAGTGTGCAGGGTGGGGTACCAGAGTGTTGGGTATGTAGAATTTTGATCCTGTAAAATGAAATAACTAGCTTCACACTTCAGTAACAACAATAATTAAAAAGCCAGCATCACGTAGTAGGACAACTTGATCTTTTCTTGGGATGTCCCTCCAAGATAGATCTGATAGTACGGTGTCCGAAATAAACCAACTGTGCGGCAAGTGCCGTCACGGTTATTCTCCCCGCAGCAGAACAGCCTTTGACGACTCTCACTCAACTAATACCTGCACAGGCTGTTTATGTCTGGGGGCTCTTGAAATTCTAGTGCTTGATATTTCTTCTACTCACTTTTCACTCAATCATTAGATTCTGTGCGTGTGTATTACTGGACTACAACGTCCGCAACCCCTTCATAATCGCCAATTACTAAACACATTACAATGACCGACAAGACCATTCCAGCACCTGGGCCAGCCAAGTTGAAACGAAATGCTGGTCCAGATGAATGGCTGCAAGCAGCCAAAGACTGCAAATATCTATCAGAGCATCATATGAAGCAATTATGTGACATTGTCAAGGAATTCATGATGGAAGGTTTGTGCAGGATCACTTTCTTTTCTTTCGCTCGAGTCGCTCATTTCGGCAGAATCAAACATACAACCGGTCTCTTCGCCTGTCACGATATGTGGTGATATACACGGACAGTTTTACGATTTATTGGAGCTCTTTCGAGTGGCCGGCGGAATGCCAAATGAGACGAACGTCGAACCCCCAGCGAACACACCTCCGGTCATCACATCCGACGATATCGAGCCTCCCTCGACGATAACAGACCCGAAATTGCGGAAGAAAATCAAAAATGTAGACAGTCTGCAGGATGTCGATGATAGTGCTTCTGGCAGAGGCCGTTCTGGCAGTGGATCGTCAAAAGAAGTGACTGGTCCTCCTCCTGGCAATTTTGTTTTTCTGGGCGACTACGTCGATCGAGGGTATTTCAGCTTGGAGACTTTAACTCTTTTGCTATGCCTCAAAGTCAAGTTAGTCTTCTTTCTCGTCTTTCATCGCTTTGAGGATAATGTGCTGACGGATTAGATATCCCGACCGTATAACGTTAGTACGCGGAAACCACGAGTCACGACAGATTACGCAAGTTTATGGATTTTACGAAGAATGCTTTCAAAAATACGGCAATGCATCGGTTTGGAAAGCCTGCTGTCAGGTCTTTGATTTCATGACGTTGGGTGCGATCATTGATGGCAAGGTCTTGTGTGTGCATGGTGGATTGAGTCCGGAGATTAGAACGCTCGATCAAGTCCGTGTCGTTGCTCGAGCACAGGAGATCCCCCATGAGGGAGCGTTTTGTGATTTGGTGTGGTCGGATCCTGAAGATGCGGCCGACGTGGAAACATGGGCTGTCAGCCCACGAGGAGCTGGTTCGTTTTTCACTGCATATTTTTATGACCACCTACTGACTGTTTCAGGATGGCTATTTGGAAACAAAGTTGCCGAAGAATTTTGCCATGTCAACGATCTCAGCCTAATCGCACGAGCCCATCAACTGGTCAACGAAGGCTACAAATACCATTTCGCCAAACAAAACGTCGTCACAGTCTGGAGTGCGCCAAACTACTGCTACCGTTGCGGCAATTTGGCGTCCGTTTGCGAAATCCGCGAAGACCTCAAACCTACATTCAAACTTTTCAGCGCCGTCAGCGATGATCAGCGACACGTGCCTTCGTCGAGACCTGGACGTAGTGAATACTTTTTGTAAATTACCAAGAATGTTTGTGTCATTTGTCTGTCTCATTTACGCTGCCACGATTTTTCTACTGTCGTCAAATGAGGGAATCGGTTGCATGGCGTATGGCGTGTGCTTGTTGGCTTGGTGATGAACGTTGCAAGAGATTGAGGCTATATACCATTATGAATTTACGTTATTATATTGATCTATTCCGTATGTTTTGCATTTTTGTGTAGATCTTGTGGTTTGAAGATAAAACACATGACTCGATATATCAGCTGGAGTCTCAGATACGACATCTACTGCGCCTCGTCACGTGTACCTTTTTCTCTCTTCAACTGACTCATTCTTTATCCAAGTCGACTAACTTCCTAATCAGCTCCCCGACTCCTGTGAAGTATTATAAATTCAGATAACCGACATCCATGTATTCCCCTCAGCAACTGCGACATTCCTTATGACCCCGCATCACCATCACCATCAAACACTGAGCCAAACATCGCTATCCACAATTCACGAATATCGATGACAACAATCGTGCCATGATGTCTGTATTCTGACACACAGCTTGAGACTTTGGGCTAAAGGAAATGAATCAAGATGGGGCACTGAACCCAAAAGCATCTTCTGATAGTGGTAGACACTCTGGTTCCCCGCATGAAGAGTCAATCACGAACCACGAACAAACGCAACACACATTAGGCGATGATAGGAAATACACCAGCAAACGCAACACGCCAAACCTCCTCGCAACATGCGCAAGGAGCGACAAGGGCGGCGGGGTAGGACTGAATCATGAAGTATTCGCAATCTACTCAACGGCTACATTACCGCCTCTTTGGACGGATATCTTACACTCATCTGCCGGCGGGGATGAGTTGTCCAATACAATAGAAAGACTACGCGTCCTCGCAGATAGCATAGCTGAATCTCTACCGATATATACATCCTGGCACGACATAGCCCATTCACCACCAGAACACGCGACTCTGAAAATCCACTCCCTAAACACATCTCCATCATCCACCACAACCCATCCGGCCCATAATCTCATCCACCGCGAAATACCACATTTCCTCCTCAACGCCTCCCTCCACAAAAGCCACTGCATAATCGGGCAGCGCAGCAAGATAGAGACGTTACTGGTCATCCTCCGCAGACCATGGTGCGTTCTCGAGATTTGCGTCAGTAATGCGCATGATGTAGAGGTTCTGGAAGCGATACGAATGTTTGCGCGAGTTGCGCAGGAGGTTGATGCGGCGGGGKACGGGACGGCGGKGTTTTTGTTGGGTGTTGAGATTGATGCTAGACAGGGTCATCATTTACAGCGTTGTCGGACGGTCACCACGGACTATAGATGGAAAGATGGCTATCTTCACAAGCGAACGATTCTTTCGTCACGAGTCTACGAGCTGTGTAACGCGACAGTCTTCATACCTAGTCTGAGATCTTTCAATTCATTCTGGATACGGCTCATCTGTGTTTGCGCGATTGAGCTGGAGGTTAGCTTTTCGTGCATTATTTGTATGCTTTGTGATCAGCGACAAATGCCAGAAGACAATAAACAGGAAGTCAGACACTTCAAATCCGATATTACCTTTGCTGCGGGTATTGATATGGTTCAGTACGCTGGTCGAAGGCACTCAACATCAGAGCTGTCCTCCTCTCGGTTCACAGCCGAAGGTCATGATGGAAATATTGTCCAGAGGATGTTGGACTTGTATAGACATGTCTTGAGAAGGACGGAAAATTACATATAACTAGAGAGACGATAGACATGTTGTCATCATCCATGCTCTGGAAACCTACATCCATCAAGTACCTATCTTCATACATACAATGAAATATATACATCGCAAATACCACCGAATCAATACCTAGCCTACAGCCAGAAAAGCATCTACATAATAGACCTATTCAAATGATACTCGCTCTGAAGTCCGGTCTCATCGAATACATGTAAGTACTTAATTATACGATACATCCGTGTCCACAAGTGTGATAATTTCAAGCGTACCTAGGTTCGAGGGATGCAATGCCTGCAAGAAAGAGCGTTTCATTGCATATTGCTTACCAACCCTCCAAAATACCAAACACAAATACAGAAAAAATTGCTTTAACTCATACCGTACAGATTGATATTTTGATACATACTGATGTACGTACATACATGACATAGTGGGGTATGGCAGTCTCGGTGTAATGCTCTACCGAGCGCGAAGGAGGGATAATAATGTCCATCCGACGACAGCGATGGTTATGGTTCGGTGTTTCATTACGCCTGATAGCGACGGCGAACATAGGAACGATAAATATTCATTTTATTTTACGCAATGTGGATGGACTTGTATTATTTGGAGTATAGATATGGACATAGAAGAATCATATATTCATAATACCGAGAGGTAGCCTATCGTTACATGGAACTAACTATTGACTATTTTAAAACGTTCAACCAAACAGAGCATCGCCGAGGTGGATGCGCACCGACTTGATCTGAGTATAGTTCTCAAGCGCATAGGATCCTAGCTCTCGGCCGATACCTGATTCCTTGTATCCACCGAACGGAGTCTGGTAGTGGGTCATGTTGTACTGGTTGACCCAGACTGTGCCGGCCTTGAGGGAGTTGGAGACACGGATCGCAGTGTTGAGGTCGTTAGTGTGAATACCAGCTGCCAATCCGTAGGTTGTGTCGTTAGCGAGCTTGAGGACTTCCTCCTCGTCCTTGAACTTCTGGACAGTGCAGACAGGTCCGAAGATCTCTTCTTGGACGATCTTCATCTCGTTGTTGACATCGGCGAAGATGGTGGGCTTAATGTAGTAGCCCTTGTCACCGAGTCGCTCACCTCCAATAACCACCTTGGCGCCGGCCTTCTTACCCTCGTCAATGTATCCCATGATACGGTCAAATTGGAGTTGCGAGACCTGAGGACCTTGGTAAGTGCCTTCCTCGAACGGGTTGCCGACCTTGTTTTGCTCAGCACGAGCCTTGAATGCTTCCAAGAACTTGTCGTAGATGGCCTCGTGGACGAGGACACGGGATCCAGCACAGCAGCACTGGCCGTGATTAAAGTAGATACCAAAGTTGATCCAAGAGATAGCGTTCTCGAGGTTGGCGTCTGGGAACACAATATTGGGCGACTTTCCTCCAAGCTCGAGAGTGACCTTCTTCAAGTTACTCTTGGCGGCAGCCTGCAAGATCTGACGACCGACCAAGGTCGAGCCGGTGAAAGCAACCTTGTCGATATCCATGTGCGAGGAAATGGCGGCACCGGCAACACGACCAAAACCGGAAATGATGTTGATGACACCAGGAGGGAAACCAGCCTTCTGGATAAGAGTGGCAGCATATAAAGCAGAGAGAGGGGTCTGTTCGGCAGTCTTGAGGACGACGGTGTTACCAGTAGCGACAGCAGGACCAATCTTCCATGCCCACATCAACATGGGGAAGTTCCAGGGGATAATCTGACCGCAAACACCAATGGGTTCGTGGAGGGTATAGTTCAAGCTGGTAGAATCTGTGTCGATGGTCTGGCCCACGATCTTATCGGACCAGCCACCATAGTAGCGGAGACAGTATGAACCAGCCTGAATATCACCCTTGGCGAATACTGTAGCCTTGCCGTTATCCAAAGACTCGATACCGGCGAGAACGTCGATGTGCTCTTCGAAAAGATCGGCGAGCTTGGTCAACAAGCGACCTCGCTCGGTGGGGGTGATGTGTTTCCAGGGACCATTGAGGGCCTCGCGGGCAGCCTTGACAGCAATGTCGACGTCTTTTTCGGTGGCTTCGTGGACACTGGTAATGACCTTTTCGTCGTGGGGGTTAATGGTCTCGAAGGTCTTGCCGTCAACACCTTTGACGAATTCGCCATTGATGAACCTACGATAGACGGTTAGTAAGGCTCCATAGAGAAGAGGAAGAAAAACATACAAGCCAAGAGGCTGCTCATATTTGATCCCGTTAGGGAGACTGATTTCTTGTTTGAGAGACATAATTTTGTGGTGAGATCTGCAAGGAAGTGTGAAAGAGAAGAGATTCAGACTCAATGAGAGGGGGGAGGGGAACTTTATATCAGACAGAATAGAATTGTCCCGAAGGTAGGAAGGAGCTCCTACATACACATCCGGACTAGACTCCGTTACGTCAAGCCAAGAACTGCATGTGTACGGTATTGAATGGATACGAGTATGATGATCCAATGATACAGCGGAGTGATGCTGGAATAGGAAATACTCTACAACAGGGCGGGGTTGCAAAATGCAGAACCCCGCGCTATGATGCAAATATGGTACCGCGTATTTGCGTAATTACCATACATGTATTAAAACAGCGTGCTTGTTCCCTGTTGCTGAACCCATCATTAAGCTAGAACTTGTACTGACATAGGAAGGTCCAAGTTCTGGTGTTATGTAAAGTAGATCAACCTCATCTTCACAGGCATGCGGGGTTCATTGCTGCAAAACGCATAATTTCTCCCAATCCGTACTGGTCGCCGCGCTTTCTTTTGCAAGAACATTTTACCTAAGAACAATTCTGTCTAGCAATCGATGCATCCAATTCATTGACGCATTGTCCCATATTAATAATGCAGGCATAGGTAAAACGCTTCCCCGCACATGCAGGGCCGAGATCTCGCCACATCATGATTATACTACCACCTTTATTGTTCGACTAAAGAATAGATCGTGCGAAGCCACCAATCCGGGCAACGGATAGACTATCTCTCCGTAGTCCAATATCGAAGTATTCTGTACTGACATACGGGCGTATCTGACACCTCGGTATCTTATTAAAAGGAGTAATCCGATATCTAAGCGCATTAAGACCATGATCCCGAAGAACATAGCACTACCAATCGGACGACGCAGTGCTTGACAATGTCTGGTCCATGCATTCTTCTACCCCGCAAACTGACCTTGCTTTCCGATTACACAGTACGGAATGGCTCGGAATGTGCTTGGCCATGTTCCGAGATATATGAAACTCTACGCAATTTGACTTGGTAATTTTATAGCGTAGCTGGCGTTCTGTCGGGATGATACAAAAAAAAGGAATCGGGACGATCTCCGCGTGTGTATTGAATACCTAGGTAACTGTGGGGTTTGAGGACCACGTAATCATATATACCAAACCGTTAGACAATTTTCTGTAATCAATACTGATGGTACTACAGTTTACAGTCTCATCAAGACGCCCGTCTGTAACCGCTATGCAATTGACCGACACTTTTCATGTTGGAGTCTGTGTATCACTGTATCACTGTATCAAAGTTACTGGAAACGACCCACAAGCTCGGCATAGTTGCCTCGCGAACTAGCCCAGAATCTGTGCCGTAACCATGGTTCCAGCATATAGAAAGATAAACACTACCCATCAATATAGCAAGCAAATATATCCCGGATGATCATGACTCTGACAGCTATAGATAGTTCTGACTGTAGTCAGTACTTACACACCTGGAAACAAAAAAGACGTTGAAATAAGCAACCAACAATGAGGCGAATCACGCTACCGTACACTCTAGACCGTGCGCTAAATGGGCATCAATCGAAGACCTCAGCCGCACTCGGGGTAAACAAATCGTTCCCAACTTCGTTTCCCAACACTGTACATATCAACCACTACTCAGGATATACCCCCAATTCGTAAGAGGAGAAATGTCTTCATGGCACACAGCACTGGGCCTCATCTACACGCTAGGATACAATGTGGCCTCGGCGCGAGCCACGGGCGACCTACCTTTAGCCCAAAACTCCAAACCGGAAGCACACCTGAAGACCTCGACAGACGTCACCTTCGACCCCCTGGGCGTCGCTGCAGTCCTTCACAACCCTCGCGCCAGCCTTTCCGCCGCTAGACTCTACACCCAATTCGATAGAAAATTCTTCATATGGCCACACACCATGATGATGGGCGCAAGCCTCATCCCCGTACAATTGCTCGTGGAGCATCTCACGGCAACCTTTCAATCCATTCACCCGGCCATCACGCTGTGTACGCGAGACACGCAGTTGCTAAGCGTGGTGTCGAATATGGTGTTCAAGGAGCTGCCGTTGGATTTTGGGAATATGTGGTTGGCGGATGTGATTGCGTTCAAGGCTTCGAGGAAGCCGGCGAATGATTTTATGATTGTCTGTATGGATGATGATGACGACACTGCTCTCCCAACTACTGCTAGCGGCAGCATCAAAGAGAAAAAGGGGAAAGATGGAGGACCGTCGAAATTGAGGAGATGGCTGGGCTGTTCGGCGCTGAATATGATCTCCCTGATCAACGGACTCATCATCGTCGCGGGGATAGTCCTCGGTACCCTAAGTGCAGATATTTGGGCTCTTACGCTCTTCTTCTTCTACGGCACGCACTGGCTCGCCGGGCTCGCCATCTCGACTACATCCCTCGTCACACCGCAGAGAATCTCTATCAACCCCGACCCGACAATCAGGTACGCAATCTACCAACGTCCGGCCGGCGGAACCGTCGTTTTCAAGGGTCGTCAGGATACTATGGAATCATGGGCGCGAAGTACCTGGGAATTCAAGCGTACCCTCAAAACTAATTCTCTGCACTGGTTCTGGACGTTTACGGGGACAATGTCTGCTATTTGCTCAGTGGCATGCATGGTGAATATGATTGGGTACATGCAACTTGCATTTCTAGCATTGCTGGTTTATGCGTCCCTCGCCGAGATTGTGGCCACGAGGATTACGAGAGTGTTACAAGGCGAAGCAAAAGCGAAAAGTATGACATGTTTTGTGGACGATAATGCGTACAGGACGCAGGGAATTATTAGGGCCACAGTCGAGTTTGGCCCGAAATATAGGCTTACGGGCTTAGATTGGGTTGAGCTCAAGAGGATGCCGCCAGACCAATTATTCAAGGATATGCAAAGACTGCTCGCACGGTTGAACGAGTATCAGGAAGCGGTCGAGATGGGAAGGGAGGTTGTACCTGTCGATGGACCGAAAGAACATGACGCAGTGAAAGAGGCGCTTAGAGAGTTTAGGGAGGACAGACGTGAGGATCCGATTTTGGTGAAGCGGATTCAGAGAGAGGCGACTGATGCGTTGACGGAGTGGTGGGTGAAATTGAGTAAGGAGGATGTAGTCCTGAGTACGGAGACGAAGGCTGTTTCTCCTTGAAAACCTTCAAGCATGAATGATGATACGAAGCTAGATACCAATTGATTTTCGGACAAAATAATGAATACACTTTGCACTCCTAACAAAGGGGTTTATAAATTTACTGCATTGCAAAAACGCATGAGCGAACTTTAAGTTCTTTGAACTACAAAACAAGGTATACTATGCACCCGAAACGACATATACAAGAATCACTGACTGAGATATAGACTGACGCCAGGTTCTATGGTTTGGCATAAAATACAAAGAATGAAAACGAGGTGAATAAACAAATTACAAGGCCAAGAATGCCATGGCGGTCAAAGCACCAAGACCGGTCAGAGCGCTAGCACGAACCGATACGGCAGCACCCTTGGTCGATGAAGCTGAAGCAGAACTGCTGGTGCCGGTGCTAGTGCCAGAGCCCGAGGATGAAACGGTGCTAGAGTTGCTGGGAGTGTTGACAGTGCCGTTGGAGAGGACATTCAGCATCAAACCGGTAACAACATTGCCGTTGTTGTCGTACACGGTCTGGTTGATCTTGGTGGAGGTGACGGAAACCAATGCACCAACAGAGACATTGGTGGTAACGCCCTTCTTGATCATGTCATCAATTCCGGCAACACGGTCTGGGACAGCAAAGCTCTTGGTAATGTTGGAGGTAATTTCTTTAGGGTCGCAGACGGGAGCGGTAATGGCGGTCTGGCTGGAGTTATGGGCAGTGATAGAGCTGAAATCAAGCTTGCTGTACTGAGACCTCAAGTTCTCAAAGTCGATGAGCAGGCTGACGGTTCCGTTATCGTTAATGCTGACCAAACCAAAGTCGTTAGCTTCCTGGCTGTACTCGTACACCAAAGCTCCAGAAAGAGCCTGAGACATGTCAGGACCGTAGATGGCTTGAATCTCGCTAAAGACACGAGGCTTGACATTGTTGCAGCCGGTTTCGGAGAAGAAAACTGGAACAGTGATGTTGGTGAAATCTTCAGTTAAAACATTATATCCGCTAGAGGTGTAGGTTGCATCACCGCACCACGAGTACGAGTTGAGACCGAAGAAGTCAGAACGAGAAGTGGTGGAGTTGGTGAGGTTGCAAGTCAAGTAATAGGCGGAGTCAACCAAGAGCGGGCGGACATCAGCAGCGGAGTAGCCGACAGGAATGTCACGCTCAGAATTCTTGCTGATGTAGTCGTGCATGTCACGTTGGACGGCCTAAATAGTTAGTCACTATCATTACTGATATAGAAGGCAAACGTACTCGGATGTAGTTGGGAACTAGCTCCACACTGTCCTCGTTGATAACCTCGTTACCAGAGAAGAAACCAGCGGTGTTGGGGTAGTTCTTGAACGCCTCAATGACACCAAAGACCTGGGCCATGTAGATGGGGTTGTAGGACTCCCAAGGAGCACCACGGTTGAGGGAACCGTTGTCCAAAGGCGAGTTGACGTCGAGAATCATGTAGATACCGGCGGCGTTGAAGATGGAAGCGCACTCATCGTGGTTGGCAGAGGGAGCCAAGTTGTACACACGGATACTGTTGACCTAATCCAAGTCAGTGGACGTAGACCACATGAGAATAGTAGTATCATACACCAAGGTATTGCAAGATGGCGGCATCGCGCAGGCAGGCAGCTGAATCGCTCAGAGGGTCGGCGGTACCCTTGAAGCCAGAAGAGCCACCAGGCTGGTAGTCGACACCAACAATCTGGAATCGGTCGCCGGTGACGGTGTCGACAAAGTCCTTTCCTTGAACAACGACGGGGTTAACGGCGACGGCGGTGGAAGCCAAACCACACACGGCGGCGAAGAGTTTTGCGTAAGACTGATATCGATCAATTAGTATTCGAGTATTTTGCGAGAACACTGAATAGGGTAATACACACTGGAATCATTGTGATTGTGTGATATTGCTATTGCGATGAAATACGGAGTATCAAAAGCGGCTGAAATAGAATTTAGGGGAATAGAGACTGGCGGCGCTCTGAGCGCAAGAAAAGACTGAGTCGCTGAGCGACAAACGAGTGACTAGAAGATAATGATAACAGCTCCGTACGGAGGAAGTAGATGATACAGAAGGAGCGATGCTGAGACAAGGTGAAGAAAGAAGATGAAGCAGGAAGGAACACGGCCAATTAGTATGGGTGGTGGAAGTGTTGCGGCGGAAAGAGGGGATTGGCGCTAAATTAGGAGTACCACAGGTCTCCACCGTGTCTTTCTTCTACTCCGTCGTCTTTTGGCTCTTTCTTGCCCTTGTCCAGCATTGGCGCTGTTATTGGCACATTGGCATTTGGGCGGTGCTGGCCTCTTCCAGTCGGCGTCGGTCTGCTAAGTGAAACTCTGTCTGAGCACAGTTCTTGGACGGTGACAGTCGACTCGCTACGGTAATTCATCGGTGGGGAAAGAGCCCCGAACAGCCCGCATTCTTCATGACGCCAAGTGCAACATGGCTGGTTGCTTCGTATTAATTCGCTGCACTCAAGCCTCGTTTCTTATGCTTCTTGGCTGGGATAGGGGCACCGTGAATGCCCCGACAGGACAGACAAGTCTACACTTTACTACGTACAGTTGTGAAGCAAGTTCAATTGTTTCCTCGCTTCTTTCCTCCAAATTATGGGATCAATTGACGATGACTATCCCCCCTGTCGATCGGAATCTTGGCGAGTCCAGCTGTGATTGGCTAACAGCTCTTCCCAGAGTTTTCTATGTGAAACATCCATCAATGAATCATCACGTGAAAAATCTTCGTTTCTAATCGACCACCCAATCAGATCGGCAGACAGTCGATGCAAGAAATATCGAACACTTGATGATTTCATACTCAGCTGAATACAGCTCAACTGCACAACATGGTCGCCGTCATGAACTATGTAAATAAAATTCACCTTGATGCTGAAACAGGACAGCTACTCCATAGTATTGTATTGCTTATCGATACAGGGATAGTGATAAGCAGGTTTCGATAAGCAAGGGCTGGCTAATGACGTCTGAGCATACTTGGATATTCTCTAGCTACATAACCTAGCGAGGCATACATTGGGATACATAATATCTACCGACGTTTACGAGTAATCGTCGCTGGCTCAAACGCATCATCATCGTCGTCATCCTCAACATCGCTCATCTCCGTAAMCCCGGCCCTTGCTGTGCGAGCCGCATTCCGCCTGGTGCCCGTCGAACCAGCCTGCGATGCGAAAGTCAGTGTCGTCTGCTGCGTCGACTTTGCTCCTCCGCGACCGCCGCGTCGCGTAGATGATGCGCCTGCGGTCACCGATGATGGCGCCGGAGATGCTGCTTTTTTGCTGCGACTCTTGGATGCTGTCGTCGTAGTACTTGCCGCCGGTTTTCGTGCTGTAGTTGTCGTCTTTTTGGTGCGCGATTGGTGGACAAACAGTGCTTGCGAGTCATCCTCGTCTGAGACAATTGCTTCGGGCTCCTCCACGGAGTCTTCAACCATAATCACATCTTCGTCTTCATCGTCATCCGACACGACAGTTTTCTTGCCTCTGCCTCCGCGTGATGTGCCAGCTTTAGTAGTAGTAGTTGTTGTAGTAGTCTTGCGAGTAGTAGCGGCTGCTCCTCGTCCACCGCGACCCCTTCCTCTACCCCTAGTAGATGGTGCGGCTCTTTCCGTTCCATCTTCAGCAGCGTCCTCTTCGATCGGGTCACCGCCTTCGTTATCAGAATGAATCAATGCTCCAGGCTGGTCCTCCCAAGCACCATCAAACTCTGAGTCCCAACCGTCTGGCTTGGGCTTGAACTTCTTCTGCCCTCGGGTTCGTTTCACTGCCCCCTTGGCAAACATATCTTCCATTTGCCCGCGATACTTTTCCATCGCGTTCCGTAGAGACTGATGTGTCTCGTCCTCGTCTTCAAGGTCTGCGTCACGTTCCAACGTCAAAAGATGTTTGATCTGACTATCAAGTGACTCATTGACAAACATCTCCATGGCATGCTTGTCATCTTTGTCAACAAACTGAGTGACGGCATCACCGAATAAGTTTTGGGGCAGAATAGTCAGCGATTGCGCGGTAAGTAGCTCGCGTACTAGTTGTTCCACTTTGACCGTATCGAGGGTTGAAAGATGCGACATGGCTGCCTCGGCATCCAGATCATCCTTCTTGCGAGTCGTAGCGGCTTTCTTCTTTCGATGAAATTGCACTACATCATTGACATTGGCTACCTTGCCCACGAATCGATTGGAGAAGCGTTGTGGATTTTCGCAGTCAAAACTACCGCCTTCTGGTGTAGAAGTTTCCACACGGAGACGGACAAGAGGAAGAGGAATTTCTGGCTCTTCGTCATCTCCAACGTCATCTTCGTGGGTCTCTAGCCATTCTTGCTTAGCTTGCTCAATCAGGTCCTCCACGTAGGTCATCAGCAGACGTGTAATTTCAGTGCGGTTGTTCTCCTTTCGTGCCAACTTCTTTGCTGTTTTGTCCTCGGACAACACGATCTCCTTCATGACAAACGGACGCACTGTCTTTAACGGGATTGGTTCGTTCTTGAACTCCTTCCCGGTGATTGATAGAATTGACACTTGCTTAGTGACAGCTTCACCTGGAACTAAAGACGTAGCCACTGAAGAGCCCGGTTGCATGACATGGAAATTAGTCTCTGGATTCAGTTTTGGGTCAATAAGACACTCGTGTTCGTGGCCCCAGATGACCAGATCGAGAAACTCTGGGAGAAAGTTTTCTGGTAGATATCCCGTCTCCGTATGAGCGTGATGGTTTTGATGGACGCAAATCAAATTGAACCAGTCCTCTTTCTGAACCGAAGGCTGGAAGAATTTCACTTTGCCATCCCGAAACGTCCGAAACAATCGTTCATCACGCACATTACTCAGCCCGTAGAGCGCAAGTTTCGTCCGGCCCTTTTGTAATAACACAGGCTTGACCTGTATATTATCCGACTCTGGCGTTCGTCCGTAGTAATTCAATAACCCCGAAACCTGCAGAATATCCAATGCCGCCAAATGCCCTTCTCCCGACGGATCATCATGATTCCCATGAATCGAGAACACCGGAATCGCAACATTAATGTCCAAATCCTCATAATTGACATGGTTAAACGCCCCCTGAAAGTTCTCACTAGCGTCGCTCAATAGCTCTAACTCGCAGGGCTTGTCACCCAGACAATTTGCGCGTAAGGAGCGCATAACTTGATACATGGATTTGCGGGATGGTTTGTTTTCATGAAAGAGATCGCCGGCCAGCAGGACCATATCGACGTCGCGCTGTTTGGCGAGACACATGATTTCGTGGAAGCTTTTCCAGCTGTCGTCGCCCCGGATGGGGTCGCGCTCGTTGTAGCCGACATGGTTGTCGGTTGAGACGAGGATGCGGATTGTGTCGGCTTCTGTTTGCTTCAGTATCTCTGGTTGAATAGAACAAGTGTAGTAACTTACCTCCTAAGGGTGGCATTTTGATGGATATATTTTATGCAATGTTGAAGATGAAAAAGGAGAGCCACTCTTTTGATCGATGAACCGGCGGATGCTGCCTAAAGAGCCAGCTGCAACTTGATAATGAACAACGCCGCACTTATTTACATGTGACATATCATCTTGTTTCCGCAGACTGCTGAAGATACGACTAGGTTGCCATGAAGCTTCGTCGCTTCTCTACTAGTTTGAGACTGTCAAGTTTGCCACGACTTCGCGAAAAGACGCGTGATGCATCAAAGGATGCTTATCGCCTTATCAGTAGTTGCCTGAGGCATCAGATAGTATACAGGCTTTCTCTGCTTTCATCTGAATTGGGACTGGATTAAACATCAAGTTGGAATTACAACACGAAAATCGACAGCTTAATGCCTCTAGTTCCATATCATGATCTAATACATGGTTCATCACAGTCATATTCGAAGAGCTTCAAAGTCCGATAACAGGAGGTCCGATAACMCCCGCCGTTAGTCAGCTCCGCGTGGCCAACGACTGGCTTGACTCATTTTGGACTTCATCCTTTGCTCTACCTTTCATCTCTTCACCATCCATTCTCTCAAACTACAGGCTCAGTTCCTCGCTGACACGGCTTCAACGAACGCTAACTCCCACGCGCATCGCTCATAATCTCAATCACCGACTGACCCAGCAAATTCTGGTCAGTCGCGCTCCATTTCTCAAGTCTTATCTCGAAACGTTTATGCCCTCAGAGCCTACCATCGTCTCGCAAAATTTTTCTTCAGACGCCCGCACCCCTCAACCTACAACCTCTTCCCAGCATGGCAATGACCATCGTTGTGATGAAACGGTCTTCGACATTCTCTCACGCGAGGATGTCGGAGACCACGTCGCGTCGAATGACCCGCCATCTTCCCCTCCCGGAGGGGCGCTCGGCGATGAAGACTCATTACGACGATTGAACGGGTTTGACAACGATGTCGCAATTGCATCTTCACCATCGTCAATACCTGGCGGTGTTGAGACTGAAGGGTCATTAGATGAAGCATTTCGGTCTTCGCCGGCATCGCGTCGATCGAAGAAGGTTTACGTTCTACGACCTAAACCCCGCCAGGCTCTTGCGGACCTTCCAAATGGTACGCTAACGTGATCAGTCTTGACATCGCTGTTACTAACTTGGAAATGCAGAGGTTCTTACTCATATCCTTTCTCACCTTACGCCAGCTGCCCTCACAGCTATTGCACTTGTATCTCGTCGTTTCCATACGCTAGTCACTACCCCTCATGCCTGGAGGACCGCGTTCGGGCGTTACTTCCCAGGCCCCTACAGCATCGACGAGGATGTAACATCCGAAGGGCTGGACTCGTCAAGGCGCGCTTTTACTAGGTTGACTGCTTTGGCGTCCTGGCGCAGCGAGTATATTCTCCGAACACGACTACTGCGTTCTCTAGGTCGAGGAAAGCCGGCGCTACTCCCTTCATCTGGCAAATACAATTCTCGTGCAGGAGGCCCTCAAGGTGGATCAGCTCTTGCGACGTATACCTCGCAACTTCTGTACCCCATCACCCACATCGATGCCTTGTTCACACCAACCAATGCCAAGAAATCTCCTCTGATCATCCATGGGGCGGCCGAGGAAGGTGTTGCTTCGATAAGTGATCCTTCTGCTGGGAAGTCGGGTCCTTGGGGTCTATACGGTCATCCTCTTTTCCAGCATTTCGCAGATTTGTATTCCGGCGAAGCAGAGTATGGCTTGGGGTCGGGTGATATGGTCGGTGTGCCGAACTCGATGGATGTTAGTCAACCATATGGCATGATTTACGGCGAAGGATGTCCCAGAGGTCGCAGCTACTATTTATCTGCTGATGAAAAACGAGGTCGGTTTCTCGGTGGCTCCGAACTACATTCGGAGCCTGCGCTGGGTATTCCTGATATTCAGAAATTTCCGACTGGCGCTTGTTCAGTTTGGATTGCCAAGTCTCCAAACGTTTTGAAGATGACGAACAATATGTTTGGAATCTTATGTGGCTCCATATCGGGTGTATTGACTGCGTACTCTCTTGGAAGCAGTCATTTGCATGAACGTCGTTTCGAGCCCGGTCAGATTACAGCAAGATGGGTGCTCAGTCCCGGTGTTCCGATCATTTCCATCTCAGTTGATGAAAACTTTTCGACAAAGAGATACTCTACTCGTCGGATCTGGGCTACAGCTTTGAACGCTTTGGGCGAAGTTTATTATTTAACAGAGCTCCCGGCTCTGCCTGAGTCGAATCAAGCTGTCTTGCCTGAAGTACTGGAAAGAAGAGCATGGAAGGCTGGTCGCAGTGTTCACTGGGAACTTATCGAGTCTACACGCCGCGTTGCTCGTCCTGATCCATTCAATCGAGATGCGGTCGATGGTAGCTACAGTCCACGGTCTTCTACTGATTCAATGGGCCTAAGCGAGAGCCAGATCGCCGCTGAAACAAAAGAAATTGAAAAGTACTTGGCTTTCAAGCCTAAGCATTTCCGCAAGGTGTGCGAGGGTTGGGACATGCAAAGACAGCTCAAAGTCGACTTTGCTGGTGACGATCTGAATGGTGCTGGTGAACAGATCTTCATCATCAACTGTGGGTTTACTCAAGACCAACCTGCTTCAATTCGTCGTCATGTTCGTCAGAAGATATCAGGAGCGACACTCAGCTCTGAACAATTTCCGAATGTATCAAGTTTCAAGCCAGTGGCCTCTCTATTTGGTGGACCAAGCACGCCGCAGTCATCTCAGCCCACCAGTCAGCCTCGGTCTCGAGCTTCGAGCCATGCCAGTCATAGCTTGTCCACTATTGCCAATACTGAATGGAGAGCGACTGATTTCATTTTCAATGGGTTCAAGTTTTCTCGACTGACTTCAGTAGCAATCGACATGTCAACATTCGCACAACTCACGGTCGCCGAAGATCCTCTGCTCGGAATGTCAAGTGCTTCCAATCTGTCGTCACCCGCTTCTTCTCCGTTGCCGCATATGCAGGCTTCAGGCTCGGAAGCAGGTGTCCCTGGACAGCGAGCTCGTTTCCTGGCCGTAGGAACTGATTCGGGATCTGTGTATATTTGGAATGTGCGTGTTCCGCCGAGCCGCACTACTGGACTGATGAATACCGTTTCTCCCGTGCGGATCATTCAGACAGAGTCGCCTCAAGTCGCATGTCTTGCTTTGACTTCTCTCTATCTCGTACATGGCGGAAACGATGGACTGGTTCAAGCGTGGGATCCTTTGGCGTCAACGACTCGACCCATTCGTACATTGCACTCTAGATTCTCATCTCGCGCCCGTCGTCGTCTCATTCAGGCCGAAGCATCTATCCTAGGTGTTGGGAATAATTACTTTGCTGCGGGCGCCATCTGTCTTGATCCAGATCCAACTGTGTTACGTGGTGTTGTTTCTCTTGGTACGCATGTCCGCTTTTGGTCGTACAGTTCATCCGCTGCCGATGAATACAAATCTAACAAGCGTCGTCGTCGACGCTCTCACCGAGGCAGCAACTCGTCGTCTGAAGGACAGCGCTTTACTAGCACTGGTCGCGGTGCTTTGAAAGACTTTATCGAGGACGAGCATCATGAGATGAAACGACAGATTGTCGAGGACGAGAAACAGAGGGAACACCTGAGCCATCGCTTTGGAMCCGACTTGCTCGGMCCTGACGCAACTGAAGAGGAGCTCATAGCTTATGCTCAGCTGCTGAGCGAAGAGAGTTTGAATAATGACGCATTCAAGGAGAGAAAGAGCGGAACCAATACGAGAGCCAGCAGCGTCTCTAGTGATACTATAGCTGCCTTTGATAGCTCCTATCCACCACTTGAATTCTCGTCATCGTCGTCGCCAACCCTTGAGACTGTCGAGGAAGAATTTGCCCCGGACATTGCAGAGGCTATTCGTCTGAGTCTACTCGACGAGGCCCCACAACCTGACGACCAGTGGCAGGAGACACCGTCATCATCGTCGTTTAGCACTTCATCGATTCCGATCAAATATGCCAAGGGCGCAAAGTCAAAGTTCAAGCGTCGTCAACCCTCTAATTCTCCGCCGGAGAAGACCGCCGGCGCCGAAAGCAGCAATCAACAAGAGATGGATGATCTGGAATTTGCGATTCAGTTGAGTCTCGCCGAGGAGCAGAGCCGTGAGACTACTTATCAACAGGAGGAGTTTCCGGAATTGGTGTCTAGTTCATATGGCCGTTCGGACAATGGAAAAGGCAAGGGAAGAGCATAGTCGTTGTCGGTTTCTGTCGTTTTTGTATTCGTTTCGTGTTTCGGGGATCTTAATATCCTCTTAATAGTCTTCAAGTACCTCGATCTGTTCAACCATTAATGGAAATGATTCATCTTCATTTGATGCATACCTGCATATGCCGAACATATGTCCAACAGCTAACCCACATGTTCTGAACTTCTTGTCTAGCTATGAGCTCGGTGTTCTCAAAAAACGGCGTCTAAAATTCCATCGTTTTCTTCAGAAGCTCAACGTATAGCTAACTCGCGTCGGGTCAAGTGTTCGCATAAGGTCAAAAGCTCACACGGGTCCGTGACTTCCAACTCGCACTCCTCTCAATTTGATGAACACTTCCTCCGCCTTTTGTCTTTCTATCCATACAGCATCCTCAACATAGATTGGTGTTGTGGCACGCCAACGCGATGTCGTCGACCATATTTTCAGTAGACGCGTTTCGCGCTGTTCTTGCGAACGCCGATGAGATCAAGAATCCCCATCCTATTCATGGTCATTTCCATTGTCATTTCTTCCTCTTGAATGTTTACTTGAAGAAACACTGTTGGGTGTAGACGTGATTTATGGCAGGGCCTTGGACAAACCCGAACGGGCTCCTTTGGTATCCTCCCTCGATGGCCCCCGATAAGCAACTTTGGGAGACAAACATTCCCCAATCGTCGTTGGCAGGATTGATGGCGTATGTCTTCGTGGCGGTGGGAGCGCGTTACTGGTTACAAGACAGGCCCGAAGATTTCGAAGGAGGCGAATGATGAAGCGCCTGATTCGATCGACATTTCATGTTTCAATGGTGGAATGTCAGTTATTTTCCTCAGTCGTATGAAAGTTTTGTTTCACTGACATTTTAACGCTAGCTGTCAAGCAGTCGTTGACGATATGGGGACGATGTGCGGTGCGACTTTCAAAACCAACTCAGTAGTATGTCGCGCACACGTCTTCGTTGTATGATTTCCGACCAAAAAAATCGCTTCGTCGTCATCTGCGCACAAATCATCGCGGAAATTGTACGTATTAAATCGGCTCTAAATGTCTCGATAAACTCTCATGCTGATTGAAAAGGTCGATCTGCCAGCACAGTGACAGCTAGTGCCGCACATATGGCTGCAGCAAAATCGTATGTCTTACGGTTCCACCGGGTCTGAAGCATGTCCTTATTGAACTTATGCTGAACGATTCAACGCAGCCTTCTAAGACATAGCTGTCGAACCTATCGAGGCAAGGTTATGTGGGTCAACCCTATTAGATGGAAAGGGATACGTTTAGAGATTCACCAACATGAGTTCAAATAGACTCCTTGATGAGGCGATAAATAGTCTACGATGAACATTACTGACTGGAGACTGCCAGGGTTTGCCTAAGCACGTGCTCAACTATCAAAAACTACTATAGAACGCAGCTATCATTCTCTTCACACCCTTACTCTCTTGAATTGCAAAGTGTCATTTACAGATGGCAAAGACTATCGATTTAAGTTAGCCACCATCTTCAAGAACAATGAGAATGTACAAATCTCACCCGCAGCCCAACGACGTTATTCGAATACCGCTCAGTCACACCCTCCTCCAGCCGTATATCATAATTCATAATAATGTTTATGATAATCATCTTAAGCTCATTAGCAGCAAAGAAGCGGCCTGGACATGCGTGTCGTCCATATCCAAAGACCAGGTTAGTATTCGTCACGCTGACAAGCTGGTTTTGAGCATTGTTATGGTCATCTCCAACTTGCTGGTCCTCGTCGGTGTGATGTTGCTCTTCTCGTAGCCTGTAAAAGCGTAAGGGATCAAACTTTTGGGGCTCTGGGAATGTCACTGGGTCCATTGAGACTGCGTGCGCTGGTATCTCAACCAAGACTCCTGCTGGTACTACCAGGCCGTCGGACAAGGTGAAAGTGCGAATGACCTTCCGCCCGAAGACAGCTATGATATAGACTTAGTTCGATTAGACATCATCGATCTAATGTAACACATACCTATATTCTCGGGATGGAATCGTAATGATTCCTTCAGAAAACTATCCAACTTCTTCATGCTATACAACGCCTTGCTAGAATAATGCCTACCATGTGTAGCCAACACATCCCGAATCTCATCGCGGAGTTCGGCCACAAATTCCGGCATTGTAGCAAGCGTATATAGAGCATTAGTGCTAGCGCTCGTCGTAGGTTGAATAGCAGCAAAGCTAGTAGCCAGCTGTCTTCTTGCTATTTTGTCAACATCTACCTCCGCACCCTTGCTTTTTGCCAAATCAACGAACCATTGCAGCATATCGTCCGGCCGTTCCACGTCATCATCGAGTAAATGCAGCCGCTGCTCCACCACGGGCGTCAGGAAGCGCACAAACTTCTTCACTCGTGCTTCTAGCGTTCGCACTTCGCTTAGAAATGGGCATACGAACCACCGCTTCCACGGCGACACTGTCCATATAGCCTGTATGGCTGCTAGGACCTCGGATGCAAATCCGGTAGCTGCGTCAATCCATTCCTCGGACTGGCCGAGCTCGGGTCCGACGAGTATACGTCCGGAGACTATAGTGATGATACGAAGCATTTTGGGGTAGACTTTGACAGAGGTCCAATCGTCGCATGGCGGCAGCTCAATCTGGAGAGCATTCTGGACCTCGTTTGAGATCATGGGGCTAATTCGTGCTATGTAGCGAGCTTGAGTGCGTGGTTCAATAGTATATTTCAGTGTGTTTGCAATTACGTACCAAGTGAGGGCGTCAGTTTGCTCTTCAATATATGGGCTATCATGCCATCATGGTCGTGGATTTGTGTATATTTGGCTTGCGCTGCCTGAAAAGCGAGTGAGCAGCTTTACTTCAAAAGCAGCTTTTGTACTGTGGAGAAGCAAAGAAGGCCCTAACCTCGTCAGCAGCTTCAACGAAGCTAAGGACGTCATCTGGCAAAGCCCGAAGTTCCTTGAAGTATCTGGGTGGGAAAACCAGCACAGGACTTTCTGTCCCAATCATATATTGAATCAGCTTCATTGCAGTTGCGATAATCAGCAGGATCATGGAGAAATACTTCGTATGGTTGTTATACGAAAAACCGTGTTTCTAAACTGAGCAACCCTGTCAGCTATGCATCTAGATGGTTAACCTATTTCCAAAAAAAAGGATGAGCGTACTTTTTGCAAGCCATTGATGTACATATCATGGCCATTTGACATATATGCCGCACGACGCTTCTCGTCGCTTCCCAGTTCCTCGCCGACGAAGGGAATATCTGACAGTGTGTTCCTATGCAACAGCTGTAAACCTAGCCCTAATGCCACGAAACCGACTATAACAAAGGCAAACCCCCATTTTTCAGTGGCTAGAGAGGGCAAAAATGGCATCTCCATGCTGGTCTGATTATTGATATTATTAGGTACGACAGATGCGCCCAAATTCGGAACAGGAAATAGAAGCAAGAACCACTGTTAACAGCACAGAGGAATCGCTGGCTATTATAGAATTTTATTATTTCTTAAAGAGGCCCACACATTGTAACACTGCTATGTATGGTCGCAGAGTGACACGGTTAATCAATCATAAAGGACGAGTTTCTTGTCTAGTGCTTACATACAAGCGACCTACTTTTTAGTCCTGTCAGATTGGCTTGCGTTCCAACAAAATTGTCTGAAATAGGGCTCTTACTGGTTCTTGGCACATTAGCTTATCGCATGGAGTACCTACCAAGGTATAGTCTATGTAGCAGATATTAGTTGCTGATTGTAGATCTCAAAATATGGATATTGTTGCGATTAAATGGCTGGCGGTTATCCTAATCAACACTTTAATGCCCGTAAATAGCGTCGTTCGATGGCATATGGCTCTTCTGGGATGAAACTTATTTCAGAAAGTCTAAGATCTCGTTACTTTAGAAGATGCAGTGGTAATGAAAGAGAATAATGGTATAAATGGATGTTGAGACTATATGTGACGTCCACCTGTAAGGTGTCTGGCCTCAGGAGGTCTAATAAACCTACTTCCGACGTTATTCAAATGCAGTCACAGATACCTTCAACAGATCATATTACATCATCACAATATTGCGAATCTAGGGTTGAGGTCCACCGTGGAGTTCAACAAAATATTTGGATCCGTTGACGGTTATCATTGTCTCAACCAGGAAAAATGCATACCGAAACTGCAGCCACGGTGTGTTGCATACGAATGTATCGATGTAGAACGAAAGAGCAAATACAGTCGCCCATAGAAAGATGCCTAGAAACAGCGCAAATATCTAAACACTTTTGAGATATCGGTATTTGCATATATAGGTAGCTACATCAATGTGGTGTCCACTTCTTGCGAACCTGAAGACATCGCATCGCTCGGGAGGACGTCATTGGAAAGGATCCCGAGGAATTCGTGCCAGAAAGATGTCTATGAAAAGAAGCGGAGATTGAAAAAGAGTTCAAGGCTCGATACCAATGGATGAATAGAATGAACATGCACTGCGGATATGGAGCTCGAACTTGCCTCGCAAAGAACGTCGCCAACGGTGGTGTTAGGGTTAGGCAGAGGCTGCCCCTCAATTGTCCAGAAATTTAGTTAAACGAATTGAACAAATCAATATAATAATTATGATCCTTCTCTAAAGCAAGGAATTACAATTATTACATCTCTTTGGTTGGGACGAGAGTGATCGATGGCTTGGCAAGGAGGCTGTGCAATCCTTAGTGTCCACTCTAGACTCGTCAGGATCAAGACTTCCACGCAGCAAATGGGGCAAGGCCTTGTTCATGGAATATTTCCGATTCGATGAAGAGGGATTAATGACAGGCATTGACAGCACTTGATGGTTCCAACTTTATTTTGACCTCTTTCTGTTCCGTCAAGGCGTTATAAGTTCCTGCCGCCAGAGCAAGTTTTCTCGCAGCAGTGGCAGGTCATATACACTCGCGGTCACGTAAATTACTATTCAATGGCTCTCATTCGATGTATCCCGCTCAAATTTTCTGTTGAGGCAACGGTCTCTGGATGTGACTCGCCTAGTATCTCCTTTCTTCTGTGGGCAACGACTTCGAGAACTCTCTCTGCGTCGTCCCACTTTCCCTGCGATTGATATATGAAGCCCAGGTTAGCCATGACAGTAATAGTATGGGGGTGTTTCTCCCCAAAACTGCCTTGCATTGTCTGCAGCACTTGAAGGGTCAATGTCTCTGCTTCGTCATATCGACCTTGACTGTGATAAATCATGGCTAGTCGCGCCTGCGATGTGAGAGTGACAGGATGAGTTTCTCCCAACACCGCTATCATTGCGGATGCGGCCCTTGTCTCCAGGCTGGCAGCATCATCCAGACGGCCCTGACTCCAATAGGTGGACGCGAGATTGCTGGTTGTCATAAGAGTATTTGGGTGCTTCTCACCGAGAACGCTACGAAACCTGTCCAATACCATTTCTTCAAGCTTCGCTGCTTGTTCAAATCGATCCTGCTCACGATATATGGTGGCTAAGTTCGTCATTGACGTAAGTGTGAGGGGATGGTTGTCGCCCAGGTGGCTTTTCCTTTTTTCCAAGACTTCTGATTCTAGTTTTTCGGCATCATTCAATCGCCCTTGCTCGCGGTAGGTAGAGGCCAAGTTGGATTTCCATGTAAGAGTTGATCCATGTGTCTCGCCCAGCGCTATTCTGCCTTGTTCAACCAGCTCTTCCTCAAGACTCTGGGCTTCGTTATATCGTCCCATGCTATCGTATGTGGCTGCCAAATTTCCTATAGAGCTCAATGTCGACGGATGTTTTCGACCGTATATTCTGGTCTTGGTTCGGACCAATTCAAGCTGCAGCAATTCGGCGTCTCTCCACCGTCCTGAACCACGATACGCTGAAGCGAGATTCGACATCGACGTTAATGTTTGCGGATGCTCAATTCCAAGAACTCGTTTTCGCGCCGTAGTCGTTTTGTCACCAAGATCGATCGCCTCTTGCCAGCGGCCGAGACCGCAGTAGGCCGATACAAGATTGCCCTTCGCTGTTAGAGTAAGAGGATCTTCCTGGCCAAGTAACTCTGCCTGCGCCTCGATTAAGATCGTTCCTAGTTCTGCTGCCGCCCTCCAGAGTCCTCGATCTAGGAAGTCGACGACTAACGCCCCAAAAGGTTCTGTTGCGCCAGCTGCAGATTTCGCATTTCTTTTGACTGTCTCTACAGTCGCTCTCAGATTCTTTGCGGCTTCTTCTGTCTTTCTGTCACTCATATAAGCCACCGACAGCTCGGAGGCCTTTACTAGAAAGGTCTGAAGTGGCTGCATATCCATTGAGCCCCGCAAATCCAACGTCGGATTCGAAGTTACCGGTCTGAACTGCTGAGCAATATGTTCCTTCCCCATGTTGGACATTAGGGCTCAGTGATAATAATAGTACAAGAAAGTCGATTTATTGATATGCTTTCTAGAAACTTTTTGCTACAATTGTGATGCGCCATGCTAGTTACTCTTCATCCGACCAGGATTTCTAGTTCACAGACGATTTTAGTTCGAAGCAATACGAGAGGCACATCTAACTTGATCCACTGTTGATGCGACAACTGTGTTGGCGGTATTGAGAGGATCTGTCTTGTACTTTCGTACGATACGATAATACGCCTGACCATTTCACATAAATAACCGCCAAAGATTAGAGGCTAATCTCAGCAATCCTGTTGCCTAGAAAACCGACGGACTTGTTGGCCATGTCTCGGATGTCTCGGTCCAATGGCGCCGCGCACTTTTTCGTGAAGACGATATTTTATTACGCGGAAATCAACGCCACCTCAAGAAAAAGGCTAGCTTTCTTCTAGCCTACGGGCCAGATGTCCTAAAGCGAGAAGGCTGCATATACCTAATGCTCCTCGATTCCTGCAGGCGTTGTGGTTTGTGAAGTGGATCATTTCCTAAATCTAACCGATGTACGATACGGAGCACACATACTTATTCATAACGAAATCAGAGTCATCCCGCATATTCAAATTGCTACGTCTCAATCGTCTCAATCGTCTCAGAACTTGTACGTACTCAAATGGACGTACTACGTAGTATTATCGCTAATACTGTAATCTTTGCGGCAAGTTTAAGGGGGAATTTCACAGATGTTAATATCCGCAGATGCTTCTGATGCTAATACAATTGGATCAAGAGGTCAAGGCTCACTCAACCATGTAAATCCTCCAGAGCAAATACAATCACCACTCTTCCTGATTCAACTTTTCTTGGCTACTTCGTGCTAGATATGTAGACGCTCTTTGGCTGCTAAATATGGGACTTGCCCATGATCTACGCTAAATTACAGAAAAATACCACGATTCCTTGTGTAATTACCTAGCTTTGTACTGTAATGTATCGTATTGTGTGGTATTGTATGGTATTGTACTGCATAATGCTTGTTTCTAAGCACAGGCCTTTGTTTCCTTAGCCTGAAGATACATTTCGTGATTATCACCTCGCACAACTCTTCTGATGTTCAGATGTCCTAGGTAGTGTTGTGATGTCTTTAGATACAGCGGAGTCTATTGCTAGTGTGCCAGCGAGAGATTCTATCTTCAATCAGCAGAATGTGAGTCAGCTGAGGAGCCGACACTTGCCTATCAACAGTTCCCGACCTCCCACCGCAGAGTCCGAAAGCAGAATGGAGGCTGTCTCTGCTGCATCGTCACAATCACTACCGTCACCACCGTCAACTCCATCTGCGAGATCGCTGTCTCGACGGCTTACTTCCCTGGGAGAAGAAGTCTTACGGCGAGCACTCTATTCGCCTCAGTCTATTAGTGTCTATCAGCATGCCCGTAGAGCTCTCGCTTTTGGAGCCTACAGCAATCTTCTGCTCATAATTCTACCACTTGGTATTGTGGGAGGTCTACTGCACTGGCATGTTCTTCTAGTATTCATTCTCAACTTTCTGGCTGTCATTCCACTGTCAGCGCTTCTATCATATTCATCCGAAAAGTTATCCGACCATGTGGGTGACTTGCTCGGAAGCTTGCTCAATGCTACTTTTGGTAATTCGGTGGAATTAGCCGTTCGTCTTGATTGCTAGCCTACCTCTAGGAGCTTGCTGATTGTGCGACTTACAGGCTGGTATTATGGCGGTTGTCAGAGGACGCGCCGACATTGCACAATCGATCATGATTGGGAGCATTTTGTCAGATTTACTTTTGGTATGTAGCCCTGCTGTGAAATATAATTCCCCCTTCCTGCGTGGCTGATAAAAATCATATGCGTCTATTAGGTTCTAGGTTTTTGCATGATTTCGGCTTCATGGGGTAGAAATCTGTCACCGTTCAATGCCGCTGTGGCCGACACCTTATCCTCCCTGATGATCATCGCGACAATGGCAATCATCTTACCCACAGCGCTTGCCTCGACTTTGACAGCTGGCCATTCGCAAGTGACGGCCAGGATTGTGACATTCTCGCGCGGGACCGCCATCATCCTGCTGGTGATGTACGTCTGTTATATTTATTTTCAGATGAAAACACACGCCCACCTCTTTGAAAGGGCAGACAACGACCATGAGAGCAACACAGCCCCTCTTTCTTCACAGCCTGCACCACATGCGAACATTTACATTCTCATACTGATCTTGATCGCATCTTCGACCGGAGTTGTTGTATGCACCTATTTCGTGTTCCAGAGTATGGCCGGCGCCGCTCACACCGCACATGTTTCCATCTCCTTTATCGCGACCATCCTGATCCCCATTGCAAGCAACAGCCCCGAGGGTTCTGCCGTAATTGCGGCGTCACAGCGGGGCGATATCGACTTTGCGATTAGCGTTATTGTCTCTAGCATCTTGCAGATCAGCCTCTTCGTTATCCCATTCTTGGTTATACTCGGGTGGTTTGCCCATCAACAAATCACTCTGAGGTTCGACTCATTCAACACCATGATACTCTTCTTCTCCGTTTTGGCAGTGAGCTATATGCTGCGAGAAGGGCGATATACGTACATCCACGGAGTTATGCTTGTTGGGCTGTGAGTTTTATTCTATGATGGCCCAATCGATCAATGATCTAGAGAACTGACGAGTCTGTAGATATGTGATTCTTACTGTAGCCTTTTTTTATCGATGATCATTATTCCAAAATTCTTTCGAGATTATGTTCGTTGATAATGAACAATACAATCTCATGAGCCGTGAAGTGGTAGTATCTAACTTGCCCCGAATTCATACACGCATTATTTTAGAAGCCGTAGTACCCGTATACCCATACACATTCTGATATACCGAGGTGCTCAGAATAGATTACAATCAAATGACAATCAAACAAAGAGGACCTTACGCGGGTCAGGATTCAGTCCTCGGAGAACAATCGAGAGTAAGACCAATTGAAACGCCCCCGTAATTTAGCAAACCACATGTACTATGTAGGAAGTGATACGAAGACCATACAACTAAACTTTCCGGAATCATACTCCCGTCCCGTCTCCATATACGTGTTCCCTCTCACTCATACGTATTCCTTTGAGGACCTTGGGATCCAAACCCCGAGATAGAGGACAAACTGATGATCATGTTGGGGACATCCCAATTTTAGCAAAAACGAGGCCGTGGCACGGGACGCAATAGATAGGGGAATAGCGGCTGAAATTTGCGTGAATATGGTACTAGGATCTACGTCTCTTGATTGAAGCCGATTCCACCTCCGGGGTACTATTTCTGGAAAGGGGGGCGGGAAAAAAAAGCTTGACCAAGAGTTTAATTGGGGGCATGTGGTCACTAACGGAAGATGTGATATGATATGAGCGATTTAAATGCCTCACTCGGGACGAATGAAGCCCCTTTGAGCCTTTGTTCTCGATACCAGGGAGTTCGAGACCAGGCAAATACAGTAATGAGACGTAGCGCTGCCGGAAATCTGTGGGCAAAGCCGTACAATCTTCATGTAATGCATGCATATACGAATGTATTTTAAATGATACGAGGGAGCCTTAGTGCAGTTGATGCGTACACGCCTGTACGACCGCATATCATGCAATATTCGTGCTGGGAATCAAGTCATTTTTGCAGTATTCTCAGTGAGTCTAGGTAGTGATCTGATGAGTCATCATCTATGGCACGACGCCAGATTAACTTCTATATAGGCGTTTTTGGATCTGTCAGAGCGTGAACCATTATCAGAACATTGAAGTAGGTAACCTCACTAAGCCACAATGTGAAGTAATCGCTACCAGTGGCTTATGCAGGGTTTCTCAACCATTTAAATGACCCTAGTCGCAGTGATGCTGTCCAATCATTCGATATACTAGACTTCTTGCACAGTGACTAAGTATAGTGCTTGGTTGCGTCTGGCGAACCAGCAACATGATATACGCGCCGCCTCATGAAGAATTTTCTGTCGCAGAAACTGCTAAGAACAGTTCAACCTTCGAGAGTAGGATGCAGAATAGACATTGGTAGAGGCTGCGTGATATGTTTGACATATCTGCATCGATAGAGTGAAGGAGATTGCTATAAGAAGCCCCTGGCTCTACCTGAGAGGAATGCAAGTTCGAACGTTATATCAGACACTGAATCAAGAAACAGTCCTTCGACATATATTAATCATTCTCAAATTCTTTAATTGACCGGCCCCCTTACAATATTAAAATCATGGGCTTGGCGAAAGGTCTGATCAAGATCGTGCTTATTCCCTTGGTGGCATTGGTAGTCATCGCCCTGATAATCGTTGCTTTGATCTTTTGCTTACGAGCAAAGCGTGAGAAAGATCTGGAAACCGAAAATTCTTTTCAACCGCCACCCATTCAAGATTGGGTGTTTGGTCCACAGCAACAGATGCTTCAGCAACAGATCATGAAGCAACAGCAGCAGCAACAACAACAGCAGCAGCAACAAGCCTTTGTTGTTCACCAACAACGTCCGGACTCATGGCAGCACGAGGCTCAGTTACAGTACCCGAGTCCTGTTGCGGGAGCACCTCCGGGTTATTCGAATCGGATCACTCCGGTGACACAATGATACATATCCGACCTTGATCGAAGAGTTGTTCTCGATGAATGCCGACTGGACCGTAGGAGGCTTGAGAAAGAAAAGTAGGGCCGGAACCTGTTTTTCGATTAGCGATTCAGCGGCTCAATGGTCAACTGGTTTTAATGGTGAAAGAGACATCGCGGTATGCGTTCAAGTAGGGATGCTTAGTCAATTGGATTTATGATGTTCATGGAATATGCTCGTGTTTCAGTAACGATTTTGCTATTCTTTCCGACTTTTGTTTCTCGACACGCGAATTGATTGAATACCATTGATTTTCCTGCAAGTGTCTATTCAAACATAACCGACTCCACTCTAAATGCAAGGTCGGATTCTATAGATGTAATTATGCAAACACTGACATATGAAATCATCTAGTTGCGCGAATTTCACACTAAACGGCATTGTCTGCAGGGTGTGTGGTCGTGATTTTGGTATTTAAAGCCGTCAGGTAACAGCCCAAGATCTCTAGGAGAAATCTTTCTCGATACTTGAGCTGCACAAGCCCGTATTCTGTGACACAATCTTGAGCCATATCGAGAAGACGACGACTGACCGAATCATCACTGTTAGATGCCAACGCACTGGGGTATATAGTCACGGTCGTGCCCGAAAGATCGAAGAGAATGGCAGAAAGCTCCTTGTCTTTAAGGATACGCCTGCTAAAAGCGTCGAAAAGGTTGTGTTTTACCAAGAACTCGATAACTTCCGTGGTTGACTGTGGATCTGAGACCATGCTTGCGAGCATCACTGGTGTGGTGGAGCGGAGGAATAGGCGTTCAAGTGCTGCAATGTATACTAATTCCTCGCTAATGGCAGCTTTATCAAAAGTCGGCAGATCCTCCACAAATAATGGACGATCATAACCCAGCCGGTGACGCCAGAAATAATTCACTACCACTGAAATTATGATGCATGGAATCAGAACCACATATCCCCACCACATTGTCGCGGTAACAAGCGATGCAGCGCCGGCTACAACGCCCGTAATTCCGTTGAGAGTTGCGTGAATCCGGACAGATTCGATCCGTCCTTTCAAGAGCTTACCCACTGTCGGGTCCTTGTCAACTTGTGCAGTCTGTTTTGCATGGTAAGATATGCCGTGTCGACGTGCTCTCAGCCAGACGTATATCGACCAGCAGAGATTGGCCAATCCGTAGAGTGCTAAAGGCCCGTTTCCTATGTATCCTGACAGTAAATTGCTAGCCAGCCAGACGTTATGGTTCGCCCCGCCAATAGCTAAGAAGGTGCCAACTCCCACCATAGTTGCGCCAAAACCCATCAAACTATCCATGCATAAGCGGTCTATAATCTCAGTGCCTGTCTCCCGATGATTGACATCAAGTAGGGCCTTGACAAGGATAGAGAGTTCTCCACTTTGGTCACATTGTTGCTCTTCCGCCTTCTTTAATGTCCCTTTCAAGAATTGCCGTTCACACCGGAGACCTTGGAGATTGCGCCAACTCAACGTAGCGTCCCGATACGCAAAATAGGTCATGAACAGAGCAAACGTGCCACCAATAGCCATCAAGGCAATGGCATAAGCCGGTATAGGCACGGAATTCCATACATTGGCAGCGAAATCTCCCGCATTTGCAAGTTCGAAAAAGCCCACGGCGGCGAGAAGGCTGTTTTTGAGTTGATACCGTGGCTCTTGTAGGTGATATTGACCCTTGTATCTGATATATTTAAGATAATAACCTGTTGGAATGTTCGACTTTGTCAAAAGTTCCGGCGAGGATTCTGACGACGGCTCCGGTAAGGGTTCCTGCAGTGCATGCCTCACGCCGGAGGCTTCCTGCGATTTTTCCATTATTTAGAATCTGTTGCCGTTGCGTTCTCTTCCGTGCTGTTTTACTCTCTTTTTTCTTCCTCGACCCTTGCTAGCGAAAGTGACGAGCAAAGTTCCAGCGAATATTACTCATAGACTGGGTCTCATTCTAACCAATCCAATCTTTGGGATGCAAGACTCAGTATTTCCACCCAGAACGGGTTTGTCTTGCTGGCAGCGAAATTGAACGAATGAACACATCTAATCTCAGGAGACTCGTTAACAAACCGACTTCTAGGTTTAGGAGTAGGTGTTCGCGAGATAGAATCTTTTTTCGTAGAGGTCACATCGTGTGAATACAGGAGTAGAAAGCGAAAAAGAACTTTTGGGGAACAGACGGTTGACGAAGATGAGAGTGACGAAAGAGGTTAGTGACAGTCGTCGTAATTGTGCCCCGTGAGAAAGTTGTTCCGAACCGGGTGTGGATGACAGTTTCAGGTGATGCAAATCACGGTCTGCCTTGGGGAGGCCTGGAGGGTCTGTTGGAACAAGATTCTCGAAGCCTAATTTACCCGCTAACAATACGTGACGGTAAAAACTACGGTAATCTGTTTTTATCAACCGTCGTCCGGCAACCGACTGTATAATAGTTGCTTCTCCACGATGCCTTACCACTAACGCCTCATTAATACGTAGTATGTATTGGTTAGCTAATCAATCCTGACTGGTGTCTTTTACAAAGTCTGCTCCATTGAAGAGTGTCAAATGCTCGCCTCGATCACCTGGGCGTCCTCGGGATGAACATAAAAAGAGATTCCCACGACGACGTATGTGCCCACCAATAAAATACCTTCAAGATAGTTTGCTCGACCGTCACGCCCTATGTAGTTCACGATAATAACGGAGAATGCAAGGACAACGGTTTCAAATGTCGAGAAATGAAGCGACATTGGTTGCCCTATTATCCAGCCACAGATAACTAGGAAAGGGGTGACGAATAAAGAAATCTGCAGAGTCGCACTGACAATCAAACTGACCGCCAGACCCATCTTCCCTGCCATGGCGGCACTGACGGCTGCTGTAAACTCCCCGGCGTTGCCCACGATAGGGACAATGATAAGTCCAATAAAGGCTCGACTGATATGCCATGCATCTACGATGCCATCAACTGAGTCTACTAGGGCATCGGAACAAAAAGTTACACCAAGCGTGGCAAGGAGCAACACGATGCTGGAAGACCAGAGGTTGAGCTGAATTTCCTCGTCCGCGTTGCTGTCCGGGTCGGTATCACTACCGTCGAATATTTCGGCGTGGCTCTTGAGCTGGAAGTAAAGATAAACGATGTAAAAAATCAAGAGAACAATCGAAGTAACACGAGAAAGAAGGAGAATACCGCTTTCGAGCTCGGCATGTTTCCATGGTGTCATGGTCGCCAACGCAGAAGGAACGATGAGCGTCGTGCACGAGACAACCATGAGCGAGATCATGACGCCGATCACGTCTACATTGAATGTTTGCCATTCTCTGTTGTAGCATCCAAAGAAGAATGTACAGCCTAGAATCTGTTCATGTCGAGTCAGCAATTACAGACGGTGGGACTGCTTGACAAAACGTACCAAGAGTACTCCTGAGAGAATGCTGCCGACCATACTCGATTGTACAATGCGAATTTCCCCTTGTTTGACAGCGGTGATGCCAACCTGCGGGGAGCGGAATATTAATTCTGTGTTCTGCGCAATAATGCTTGCATGATGAAACTCACAATCATTTCAAGAGCATTGCCAAAGGTCGCGTTGACCAAAGCCCCAACTGTTTGTCCTGTACTTTTGGCCAGTTCGTCCGTGGCAAACGACAGCACAGACGATAACCCCAAAATGGCGAGGAAATTCAAACTGAAGATCGCGGATGCGTCCCAGTCATTGGCGCTTGCTGTAAGAGCCACTGGGACGAGAAAACACAGCCAGTTGACATAGCTCTGGAACAAGGTCACTTTGATGGTGCGGAGCACACCAGAAGGGAGTCGCCCGTATAATGGATATCCATGATTCTGATCTCTCGAGACCCTTGTGTGTTCTCCTAGTAGACGAGTAGTCGGACCAGGCTCCTGAATCGGCGAAGACATTTAACCTAGACGATTTGGGAGCATATGACCAGCAATATTCACTAAGAGCAGTTGTGAGTTCGAAGCAGGAAGGAGGAAACCCGTGATGAGAATATTTCGGCGCCTTCCCAACCCAGGACTTGAGGCTCATTGGCAGCTGACTAAGTGAGACTTTTCCTCGCGTCAAAATTATAATAGAGCGCACAAGCCTCGCCAATATGTACTCCGTATGGCGATCTGTAATTTAAATACCCCACCAGAACGCGATAGAATACGTAACGTGTATCGAAACGCGGTGGAATCGTATCAGAGAAATCATTTGCTTGATCTCCTCATAGATGTAGGGTTTGGATATTACGCTGTACGCTACCCCTAGCTGGATACAGTTACCATACGGTCCGGTACTGAAACGTCACGGAGCGGTGAATTCAGTGCATGCTCAGGTTACTTAATTGAATTGCAATAGACCTCCGCCAAAGATTCAAGAACAGCCGCTCTTCACAAAAATCGCATCCAGCCCTCGACTCGAAAACAGCAGAAAGGTATCAAGATGGCACTGGACGACACAGATCATAGCCACGAATTCGCTTCAGATGCTCCCCGTGTTGGAGTAGATCGTCAATCGTCGTGGCATCCGTATCACCAGATCTCAGCCAATATTGCGAACGGCTACATGAATCTGCTTCTCATATGTGTCCCACTTGGTATCTGCCTCGCAGTGTTCAAACTTCCACCCCTTATCGTGTTTAGTCTAAATCTGCTCGCTATCCCCCCGCTTATCGCCTGGATCACATATGCAATTGGCGAGCTATACTCCCCAATCGGCCGTATGGGGGTCGAGTTACTCAAGGCGACGCTGGGGAATCCAGTGGAAGTGCTGGTAAGTAGACAGAAAATCGAGCTTTTTTCGTCTAGGTTAGATGGCTTACGCATCGTTCTAGGTAAGCCTGGTGGCTATTAGTCAAGGCCAAATCCTGGTCGTACAGCGAATAGTGATAGGAAGTATTTTGCTTAATTCTCTACTGGTACTATGGCTATTTTGGATCGTTCGAAATGAATATGCTGAATTTTGGGCTCTCTAGGTTCTTGGATGCTGTTTTTTTGTCGCGGGCATTCGCCAGAAACGGGTCCAATTCGATCGAACCACAACAAGCATTATGTCGTCGTTGACTATTATTGTTGTTATTTCACTCATGATTTCAACGATCATGTCGATATTCCCGCCCACCGATGAAAATGATTCTGTGCGTCGTGACCAGAGCTACATCCTCCGCATTTCTCACGCCACCGCGATTGTCTTGTTTGTCTTGTGTCTTATCTTTTTCTATTTTGAATTCTATTCGCACCCAAATTTATTTCGCGTGGATGCTACCCAATCGCGGGTGAATGAAAATGCAGAGACACATCCCTGCCATCATGACAATCCACAAAGTCGTGCAGGCTTGAACCGTTGGGTCGCTAGTCTGGTACTCATCGTCGCGATTGCCGCAGTGGTTGGTTGCGCCCATTTCCTTCTCTTAACAGTCGACGAGGTCGCTCGCACCGTCGGAGTGAGTTCGGCCTTTTTAGTTGCGGTCCTCGTGCCTGTCCTAGGTAACGCGAGCAAGACCTTCACAATAGTTACTATTGCGAAACAAAACTCGGTTGATCTCGCGGTTCGAGCGGTCATTGGCACCAACCTGCGACTCCTGATTCTGGTTATGCCGGCCCTGGTATTAGTTGGATGGATCTTCGAGCAGCCACTGACGCTTCAATTTGACCCGTTTGATGCGACGATATTGTTCCTCGCCATCATGGTCATGAACTACTTGACCCAGGACGGACGCAGCAATTATTTTGAGGGTCTCGTTCTCATGGGAACGTAAGTTGTCTTTCTCTTCACATACGAGACAGAACAAAAAACCGAAACCTAACAACGTTATCGCAGCTATGTCATCATCTTGGTCGCTTTCGAAGTCCGTCCCATGCAACCGGAGAACGTGATCTACTTATCGGGTTAGTAGTTCGAGGGCAATATACAATTTCGAGATCTTCATTCAACATGTAATTTACCGTTATGTGTTTCGTTTTCCACCGTAACGGCACGTAAATACCAATGCGTGACGCGCACAGGCCCTCGAGGCGGCTGAAAAATACGCCAAAAGACTCCGTCCTTTCAGTCAAAGACTCGTATGGGCTGACGGGCAAACACAAAATGGCGCAGCCGCTCGTGATTTGGCACAAAGGTCCGAGTGATCTGGTCCCACCACCAGTCATTCAACCACGATCGTGTATCCATGGCGACTGGAGTCTGCCTAGCGTAACTCACGAGAACGCACTGCCTTCACTCATCAAGACTCAGAAAAGAAAAAGACCGAGAAAAAAAAAGAACGCGCAAATATCGATATGATGTAGCAATTGAAGAAACCTACTCAGTCTTGTCCATACCACACACGCCGTTGTGAGAAATGCCAGTTGGCGCACAAGATGGGACCGAGTCCCAGGATTGCGGCCAGCCCTTGCCTCCTATCATTACAATTAGTAATGCAGATGTACGTTGCTTTGTGCAAACGTTCAATCCGTATATTGTCTCACGTCTAACATAACCTTTCTTCTAATAATATAGTTGTCCTCTCCAGAATCACGGTCTTTGATTATCAATGAACTGTCGCTGGATGGTCGCCCACAGCCAGATCCGCTGCGGTCTGCATCCTCTCCCAATACTCTGGTCCTTCCGACTGGCGGTGGGAGACCACGAGTGACGTCCGTGACTTCCCTTTCAGAGACTGTGGTAGGAACTTCTTCGTCGTGCGCTTCCTATCGCACTCGCAGCGCCTCCGATGCGACTGCTTACTCGACAACCCAGGACTACCAAGAATATCATGATCCAGTCATCCCCGCAGCCGAAAGCGGCTCATTTGGAATCTCGCCCGCTGCTTTAGATGCAATGTTCGAGGCAAGATCGCTGGATGTTTTTTTCTCACTAGGAGGCTTATTCGGTTTGGCCCATGCCCTGCAAAGTGATTGCTCTCGTGGTATCAAATGGGAAGAGCATGAACTGTCGAAACGATCACCCGAAGGAAGTAGACCATGTTCCTTCTTTAACAGAGTGAAAGTCTTTGGCAGCAATAGACTGCCCGAGAAGAAGACCAAATCGCTTCTGCAGCTGATGTGGGAAGCGCTTCACGATCGAGTGCTGCTGCTACTCACAGCAGCGGCCACCATCTCTCTGATTCTGGGTCTCTACCAAACTTTTGGTCAACCTCACGAGTCTGGCGAACCCAAGGTGGAATGGGTAGAAGGGACTGCAATCATGGCGGCCGTTGTTGTTGTTGTAGTCGTTAGCACCTTCAACGATTATGAGAAAGAGAGACAGTTTGCCGCGCTAAACAAAAAGGTAGCAACACCCTCGAATCTAAACCTTTCAATGATGAAAAGTCCTTCGCTGACCTGGTGGGATTCCGTCTTTGATAGAAGAAAGACCGTACTGTGGCTGTGATTAGGTCGGGCCAAACTTTCGAAGTATCTACGTATGATGTGGTTGTTGGGGATCTTTTAAGATTGGAGGCAGGCGACTTGATTCCAGCCGATGGGATCCTTGTTTCAGGCTTTAATGTTCGCTGTGACGAGTCATCCATTACTGGCGAATCCGACACGAGGAAAAAGACACCCGCGAACGAGATTGGACGTCTACAAAAAACGGGAGCACACTTGGAGAAACCGGATCCTTTCTTCGTCTCGGGTTGCAAAGTCATCGAAGGCGTCGGAACGTACATGGTCACTGGAGTTGGCGAGCACAGTACACATGGCAGAATTATGATGACCCTTGTTGATGAGAATGAGCCCACACCTCTGCAGCAGAAATTAGCTACCATCGCCGATCAAATTGCTATCATAGGTATGACTGCGGCACTGATGCTCTTCGCCATTCTTACTATCAAGTTTCTGTTCCAGCTATCGAGGAGCACCGACACTGTGCTAGGCAAAGGGCAGGCCTTCGTGCGTATTGTGATCATCTCAATTGCCGTGGTCGTAATCGCTGTTCCGGAAGGATTACCGTTGGCCGTGACTCTTGCTCTAGCTATTGCAATAACTAGAATGCTCAAAGACAACAATCTAGTTAGGATCATGAGTTCTTGTGAGACGATGGGAAGTGTGACTACTGTATGCTGTGACAAAACTGGCACGCTCACTATGAACCAAATGACCGTGGTTTCTGGAACTATCGGAATGCAATACGGTTTTGGAAGTGTGGAGGGAGTCGAGATTCCAGAAATTCAAGACGTCGCGGCACCGGAACTTATTGCACGTCTCTCTGCACAAACAAAGTTTATTCTGTTACAGTCCATCACCGTCAATTCGACTGCCGTGGAGAGCCAAGATGGGACATACATTGGCTCGCGAACTGAGATGGCTTTGCTTTCTTTCGCTAAAGAATTTCTCGAAGTCCATCCCCTGGCCGAGCAACGTGCAAATGCTGAAATTGTTCAAATGATATCCTTTGATTCCAACAGGAAGTGTATGGCGGTAGTGGTCAACCTGGGAGGAATTTACCGAATGTATGTCAAGGGTGCACCGGAAGTACTGTTGGAACAATGCTCTCACGTTCTTGTCGACGAATCCGACGGAAACTCTAATACAAAGCCTTTGGAAGATTATCGAGGCCAAGTGACAGATATCCTTCGAAGTTATAGCTCACGCTCTCTGAGAATGATCGGGTTCGCATACCGTGATTTCCCTTCTGCCTGGCCCCCTATCAATATCGAACCTTTGGACAATGATCCCACATTGGCTCCTTTCGAAGAAGTCATGAAGGATATGACATTTCTAGGAATTTTTGGTATTCAAGACCCCCTGCGTCCCGGAGTCACAGCCGCTATCTCCAAATGCCGCAACGCTGGAGTCAAGGTTACAATGGTTACCGGCGACAATATAGACACTGCAAAGGCAATTGCTACTCAGTCGGGTATTTTGGATGCCGATGGTATTTTTATGGACGGACCGACTTTCCGCGGATTGTCGAAGAGCGAGCTTCATAATGTTTTACCCCGACTCCAAGTTCTGGCACGATCAAGTCCCGAGGACAAACGCAACGTGGTCAAGGGCTTAAAGGAGCTCGGCGAAGTTGTCGCCGTTACTGGGGATGGAACTAACGATGCCCCAGCATTGAAAGCCGCCGACGTGGGATTTTCGATGGGCGTTTCCGGCACAGATATCGCGCTTGAAGCCTCATCAATCATTCTGATGGACGACAATTTTTCGTCGATAGTAAAAGCTATTGAATGGGGCCGCACAGTCAATGATGCGATAAAAAAATTCTTGCAGGTTTGTCCTCCTTTCCACCCTCCTCTTTTCATGCATCTATGTGCGGTCCACAGACACAATTACTGACAATCATTATAGTTCCAAATCACCGTCAATATCTCGGCTGTAGCACTCACATTTATCTCTGCAGTTGCAAATGATAGTGTTGAATCGATACTTACTCCGGTACAAATGCTTTGGGTAAATCTAATCATGGATACTTTTGCGGCCATGGCGCTGGCAACGGATCCTCCTTCGGAGAGCGTACTTCATAAGAAGCCCGAATCAAAATCGGCCCCAATGATATCCATCATTATGTGGAAAATGATCATTGTTCAGAGTACCTATCAGCTTCTGGTGACTCTGATCCTCAACTTTGCTGGTCTTCGGATCCTTGGATATGATGCCGGGCGACAAGACAGTCTAGAAACGCTGGTTTTCAACACATTCGTTTGGATGCAATTTTTCAATCAATATAAGTAAGTTTGACGTCTTCGATTACCATTCAATGTTTAGTCAGGCTAACCGCGATTCTACCACAGTAACCGGAACCTTGACAACCGGTTTAATGTGTTTGAAGGAATTCATAAGAACTGGTATTTCCTTGTCATGAACGTCGTGACCGTTGTGGGCCAGCTTCTTATTATCTTCTTTGGTGGAAGTGCCTTGTCGACTGTGCGACTAGATGGTACGCAATGGATCATCTCTCTTTTTCTCGGAGCGATGAGCCTGGTAGTCGGTGTTCTCGCTCGTCTAGTTCCGGATTCTTGGGTGATGTCTCTTGTTTCACAATTTTCCGGATGGCATAGGGCCGAAATGCACGAACAGAGCCTTGCTGAGCAGCAGCAGCAGCAACTTGACGAGTCGACTCCTCTATTGGGAGATACGCACAACTCGCGACTACCTACTCGCTATCGAGACAGTGTGGAAGCCCAACATCATCAAGTTTGGCCATTTCGATCACGTTCAGGCTCGAGGCCGCACGTCGATATCGAAAGTGCTTGAGTCAGCCGTACAAGCCACTGAAGAGGTGGAAACTATGTATATTAGTAGCTCGTTCATAGAACCATGTTCACATAGACGCCAATAGATTAAAGCGAAGCATGTTACATTTTTCCCTGCTCTTAGATCATAGCAGACTCGAGTAGGCGTAACATAGGAGTCATATATCTAAATCACATAACGATCTAGCCAAGTCATTTCTTTATTTTCGGTCTCTTTTCCACTCTCTGGGTGTGAAGAGAAAAACTCCAGCCCGATGAGAATGAGAGATTTAAGCACGACTAACCAATTGGAAGCCAGGGCGCCAGGGATGTACTCCGCCACAATCGTGGAACCTCAGGAGCACCAAACCCCCCCTTGAATGAGTAGATAGGAGTCTGCCGCAGTCCAGTTAGTTCACTTGCATATATCCTTGAGAATCCCCACCAAATGTCTGGTTCTACTCTTATCATTCCGGGGACTATGTTAGCCTAAATTTCTCGGGGCAGGCACGCCTGGAAGCGCTCGAATGGAATCAACCTCGAATTCAGAAAGAGCCAAGGAGACCGGCACTAGTAATTTATCGACCACATGGACCACCTCGCAAAGCACTTTTGGATGCACTGCTCAACAGTTGCAAAAATTGATCGAGTCCCGGAATTTGGAATCTCTTCAAGCACTGGGCGGACTAGCTGGCTTGGAAGCATCTCTTATCACTAACCGGGATACTGGACTCAGCCGGGATGAAACTATCCTCAACACTGCCGCCCCTGACGCGAGGAGGCGAGCGTTTGGCGATAATCGCTTGCCGATAAGAAGGGACCCGAAATTCTGGCAATTACTGTGGATGGCCTACAATGACTACGTCTTATTTCTGTTGACTGGTGCTGCAAGTGTCTCTCTTGGCCTTGGTCTCTATCAAGCTCTGGGTACTCCTCGTACTCCAGACAACCCGCCTGTAGAGTGGGTCGAGGGAGTCGCGATCCTCGTGGCCATCGTTATTATCGTCCTAGCCGGCGCTCTAAACGATTTTCAGAAACAGTATCAATTCCGCAAATTGAACCGGAAGCAGCAGGACCGGAATGTGAAAGTGATCCGCTCTGGTCGCACCCAGGAACTTCCCATTCACGATGTGGTGGTTGGCGATATCGTTCAACTAGAGCCAGGAGATGTCATTCCTGCAGATGGGATCCTAGTACACGGGCTTCTTCTGCGATGCGATGAATCCTCCATGACAGGAGAGTCGGAATTGCGGCCGAAAGTGGCAGCTGATGAAGCCGTTCAGATTGCTTCTTCGGCTGATGAAAACCTTGTACAGAGCACGCCCGACGAAGATCCCTTCATCATTTCAGGAACAAAGGTCGCTGAGGGCATGGGCAGATTTCTGACTATTGCTACAGGCCGTGATTCCATCTATGGAAAGACTCTTGCAGCGCTGGAGACCGAGCCAACTCCTACGCCATTGCAAGTGAAGTTGGCTGGTCTGGCTAAGAATATTGCCATTTGTGGTGGCATCGTCGCTCTTATATTCTTTGCTATTCTTTTGATCAAGTTCTTGGCTCAGCTCCCGTCCGGCACAAGAACAGCCACCCAGAATGGACAGCTGTTCTTGAACATCTTCATTATTTCCCTTACTGTGGTAGTCATTGCTGTACCAGAAGGGCTGCCACTAGCTGTCACCCTATCACTGGCCTTTGCAACCACGCGGATGCTGAGAAACGGCAATTTGGTGCGATCATTACAAGTGTGTGAGACTATGGGAAATGCTACGAGTATATGCTCCGATAAGACTGGGACGCTTACTCAGAATAAAATGACCGTTGTTGCTTGCTGTATTGGAACAAGTGCTCAGCGAGCTAACACCGCTTCATCAGTCAGCGAATATCTTTCCGGCCTTCCACCTGGTGTCAAGCAAATTTTGAAGGATTCTATCATTATTAACAGCACCGCTTTTGAAACCGAAAGTTCTTCATTTGTGGGCTCTCGAACCGAGTCTGCTCTTTTGACACTGGCCCGTGAGGCCCTAGGAATGGGATCCGTTGAGCTTGAGCGATCCAACGCTGTAGTCACCTATTTAGTGCCATTTGATTCCTCAAGGAAATGTATGATTACTGTTATTCGCCTGAAAAACAACAAATTCCGGGCATACGTCAAGGGAGCGTCGGAGATACTCTTACGTAGCTGTGCGACAACTGTGGAAACCCCAAGGTATGAGCTACTTCCAACACCACTTCTTCATGAAGGGATAGAAAGCATCCAAGATGTTATCAACAGCTATGCAGCTCTCTCTTGGCGGACGATTGTACTCGCATACAGAGATTTTGACACATGGCCACCTCATCATGGTCTAGAAGGCAGTAGTAGCGATCATAACGCGATGATCCCGCTGGATCGAATCGTTCAAAACCTCACTTTTCTTGCGGTCATGGGAATCCAGGATCCATTACGAGACGGTGTTCAAGAAGCCATACAGACATGCGCACAGGCCGGAGTAACGGTTAGAATGGTCACAGGAGATAACATCATCACAGCAAAAGCCATTGCAGAAAAGGCTGGTATTCTGAACGAGCAGAGAGATGTCGCCATGGAAGCCGCAGATTTTCGAACACTGAATCAAGCCCAACAAATTGAGATAATTCCTCGTTTGAAAGTGTTGGCCAGGTCTACTCCGGAGGATAAGCGCACCCTCGTCATCAGATTGAGAGAGATGGGAGAGATCGTGGCAGTGACAGGCGACGGCACAAATGACGCTTCTGCACTGAAGGCTGCTGATGTAGGGTTCTCCATGGGAATATCTGGGACTGAGGTTGCCCGAGAGGCTTCCTCGATTGTGCTCATGGACGATAATTTCACCTCGATCATCAAAGCTATCATGTGGGGGAGAGCAGTCAACGACGCTGTATGCAAGTTTCTACAGGTAATGCCGTCAGGAGATTCCAGATAGTGTTGTTATTTCCAGTTTCAACTGATCATGTGTGTAGTTTCAAATTACTATCACCATTACCTCTGTTGGATTGACATTTGTTTCCGCAATAGCGAACGGCAACGAACAGTCTGTTCTGACTTCAGTGCAGCTTATGTGGATCAATCTTTTCCAAGACACCATGGCAGCACTGGCACTGGCGACTGATCCGCCTACAGTCAACATCCTCGATCGCAAACCCGTACCACGATCAGCTCCGCTAATATCAATCTCTATGTGGAAGATGATCGTTGGCCAGTCCATCTACCAAATGGCCGTCACAGTAGTGCTCTACTTTGCAGGTTCTTCTATATTCCACTACCATTCCTCAGAAGAAAAGGCACAGCTGCAAACGGCCATTTTCAACACCTACGTCTGGCTGCAGATCTTCAATATGTTCAAGTAAGACAGCTCAGACCTTATATTCCCATCTCCCTTTGCTTGATATCTATCCTTTCTCTATATGTCCCTTACTAACAGATCTATCTTCACGGCAGCAATCGTCAACTAGGGAACACTATCAACGTTACTGAGGGCATTCTCAAAAACTGGTTGTTTATTGCTATCAGCAGTATCATGATCGGAGGCCAAATTTTGATTGCCTTCGTTGGTGGACAGCCCTTTTCCGTGGTGAGGATGAGTGGTTCGCAGTGGGCTTATTCGGTCGTGCTCGGATTCTTGTCTATTCCGGTGGGCTATCTGATACGCCAGGTTCCTGACGGTCCAATTGAATTGATTGTGGCACGATCACGACGATTGTTGTCTAAGCTGAGATTCGTTCGGTATCGTCGAAGGGATCACAACATCCCGTGACGAGTGAACAGTCACAAGAGGAGTTTCTGCCGCACAAAGATCCCAAAAAAGTCCAGTCTCAGAATTCGTTGACTTGCAATGACCGTTGAGTTAATGTTCTGTCGTAAAGACGATGAAGTCGTGTGTTTGTACTCGGATCTAATTGGTTCGCTATTTGAGAAGCTTCTCAATCTCGCATTGACCTGATCATCAATGATTTGGAGCACTCCTTATGACTGGACCGGTATATTACTGGAAATGGCCTTAAATACGACTTGAATCACTAAGATAGAGGATGAGTGCCCTATGACGTGACGTGACTTCTGTCACCAGTCTTGTTGTAGAATTATGGACCTGGATGCAAAAAAGGCGCTAGGATCCTGTTGGGACCACGCGACAGCTTTTTTTGGTGCTTTGATAGTATATGTTCTTCATGCCCACCATATATTTTCCCACCACACGCTAGTTGCAGTTCTGACGTATTGACGTTAACATGACTCTGCTGGGCGTGAAGAGCTGTACTACCGCTCCTGCCTTGATGTCCACCGATGTGACTTGGCGCGCCCAAAAAATCCTTATCACCCTGTGCTCGAGCGTAGGTAGTGGTCGATGACGGTGCTGCAAGCTGCTCAGGAAGAATATAGTACGCGCGCTGCCCCCGTTAGAACATGATCTCCAACGCAATTCTATATTGATTCATCAGATATCCACGAAAATAGTACTACTGTCTCTATATTTGATTTGACATGTTTGCATGCCCATAGTGAGCGCCAATCCTCATAGAAGGACAGTCCATTCATGAGGACCTGTGCCTTTGCGAACTAATTGTCACAAAATACATCAAGATATTCTGAGTTGGGGAGCAAAATGATCGCAATCTTGTTGTTTGTAATTTTGATAAACATCTCATGAGAAAGAAATGCATGATACATTCATGACTCCGACCAAGCTGGGACATGAGCCGCTCGGTATTATAGACCGAAGACCTAAATAGAAAATATGTAAGTACAAGGAGAAAGCACCTGGTGGTTTCATACATAACGTACTTGATTACTTGATGGGTTTATGACAACCCTAGCTGCTTGAAATCAATGAAAACAGACGTCGCCAGGTTAACCCATCTCCCGACGGGTATTGATATTTAGTCCAGGAACCAAGTGCTTTAATTGAAGGAAACAGATGTCCGCGTGAGACCTACCGGCTGGATTACAGGCACATGCAGGAGATCATATCATGTGGGAGGGAACCAAATCATCTAATAGTTACCTTACGAATGAATGGACTTCTAATTGTTTTCACCCAGATAAAGCTGATCGTAATACCAAACTAAAGCTTCTATTATCAGATTGGCGAATTATGCTTATTTTCCTGTCAGTAGATTGAGAAGAGAGTCAATGCGCAGACATTTGGTATTATAGAAAACAACCATTGTAGTGGGATATCCATGGATCGTGTATCCAGATCTTTTCTAGTAGTTCTTCGTAAGGACGTGACCAAGAAATATAGACGACACTAAGAATGAGATACCAGAGCAGAAGCAAGCGCACTGTCAATTTCTAAGGTACTGGATGATCTGGATAAGTTGAACGAGCTGATTAAAGCTCTCTCCAGCACATCGTACAGCGTGACAAATACCGCAAAACACATATCAAACAAGTTGGCATACACAAAATTTGAAGCAAACAATAGCAGATATAGAGTATACAAATGTAGCAAGCAAAAAAATCCTGAGAGTGCTAAGACTTGAAATTTAGGTCTAACCGCACCATGATACCCTCTACACTGACCGAGTCTTGGTGAGGTCGATGTGGCCTATCGTCGGGTATATAAGTACATACTGTAGGTTTCTAATAAGCTTATAGACTGCGTTCGTAAGCTCGATCCCCCCTCCCTTCTCCGGCTCGTCAGTTGGCATGTAAATGAGCTTTATATGTCAAGTCAGAATCAGGCGATGGACTGTATCGATGAATCGAGGCACGCATTTAAACTGGGATTAGCTCAGCGAGTTCAATTTCAGGGCGCAGACAACACATATTTCCTCGCGCACTCATGATAGCCAAACAGTCCGAGTCTTGGTCTGCAATGTTGCCTGGAGCAAAGGAATAAGTATAGTATACCAGGGCACTGCGGTCGATGTTGGACATCAGTGTCGGAGCTAGAATGCCATGTAAAAGAATTGTTGGTGACGGTGCATAAAATGGACAAAGTCACAAGCGTGGAGTAGATGCTTTCAGTTTCGATAACTTCTCCTCTGCCTTGTATCGTGACTCTTTTCCCGACAACTTCTCGCGTCTATAGCTCATCATCGCTTCTCGTCACGCTTTTGAAATCAATGTCAACTCAGCCGGAATTCCTCCGCTGCTGAACCGCTGAAGCCTAAAACCTGGCTGTCTTGACAAGCTTCAAGTTGCCGTCATTGTGATGCTTTCGAGTGCTGCCTACATCCCAAAGTCCCCATTTTCCAAATGATCCCTGCCTTCAAAGGAAGAAATTTACTGCCAGATTTTCTTCTTTAATTATGAATTTAGACAAACTTGACCTCTGCCTTCAACTTCATTTCATCCATCAGCTTCCCAACTTTGAATTTCTGCAGAGCCACACCAGAGACGCGGACGAGACACAATTTCTACCAGTGGATGTGAATCGAGATTGTCACAACTCTTGACCGGTTACTTCATTTATGCCTTATTTATACGTTTCTCAATTCCTAAGTGCAGAGTTACAATACAAATCATTGCCTACGAGAGTGAGCAGGAAATTTTGGTAGCATGTTTTGCTGTCAATCGGGAAAACTCATATTGAAATCATCACCGTCCATGCACTTCTCGTTTTCGTGCCATTCGAAATAGGCATTCTATGACAAGACAAAGCCAAACTTCCCCTATCGAACATTCGTTTCCAAGAGCTACATGTACGGTAGGGCAGACACTTGTGGCTTCCCCGAGAAGTGATAAATGAAACGTTCCATGATATTATTTACCAGTTGTCGCCCAAATTCATTCCGTTATATCACGACAGATTTAGAAACCCAAAGATTGTGTATCGCAAACCGTCTAACATAAAGAGTTTGGATGCCATAGCGTGCAATGCCCGATACCGTTTATGAAGACCCGGAGAACAATCACCAAAATATGACTAGCTCGTTCTCTCGTCTTCCTCTAGAGGTTATGGTTATGATTCTTCAAAATGCACCAGATCTTTCATCAATCTACAGATTCATATGTGTATCTGCAAGCGCTAGTGCGGCATTTCAAATCGACCCAGCTTCTATTCTGGAAAACACCATAGAACGCTCGATTCCAGAATACAAGCATCTAGCGCGTATGATTGCTATTCTGGGCTCATATCTATCATCTAATCCACACTCAACGTTCGAGGAACTGGTCAACAAATATTACAATCTCCCGGATGATATTCTCACTACAGCCTCGGCATCGTCTGTTTTCAGAAGTGGGCTGGGCTCCCGCTACCTCGTACTCACAGCATACCGCATTGAGACTCTTCAACATTTATGCTTTGTCTATCTTCTCCAGAACATCCACGAGGTAGTATGGCCCGTTGAATCCACAGACGAGTCACATCTTTACCCATTAAAACATTCCAAAGACAATGTTTCTTTCGAGGCTGCTGCTTGGTGGTCTCCGTCAATTGTCGAAAAATCGCGAATCATACGAGCCCTTTGGAAAGGGATGATTTATTGGAACATTCGGGCGATCTGTCCACTAGGCATGGATGACTATGGGTTTTCTAGATATCGAGAAAAACTTGAGCATCTCAGCCCATACCTTGGACCTGATTTGCCGAATGATCGTGATGGAGAAAAGTCATTTCATGAAGTGGAAGAGATCAAGTGTGTATTGGCAGCTACTCATGACCTCTTGGATTACCCATATGAACCATTTACACCATTCACAAGCCATCAAACCTTTCACAGGTTCCGGCTCAAAGAATGCAAATCTCCCACTATTTTCAACGAGACTTTGAATTGGAAATATGAAGAGCCAAAACCAATGACTGGAAAGGAGGCCATAACATACGGCCGATGGGACCCCAGTGTGAACGAGATAAATTGTCTTTATAGAAATTATAATTGGCGGAGTTTTCTCGAAAAATGGGACGGATGTACCACACCCAACCCAGACAGCTATAACCCCCATTTCATAGACTACCTTGGTCTTTGTTTTTGGGACACAAAACGGCTAGGATACCTCGGGCTTGAATTCATATATGAGAAATTCCCAGGACGATACTCAGGGCCCATGAGAAACCCCAAGTGTTTCTTCGATTCGCTGGAAACACTCCCTCGATGGTCAGATCTAGTCATGCGAGAGCTGCTCATATTGCCAGGAGGACAGTTACGTCGATTCGCGAAGGAAGTGAAGCCGTTCACCAAGATAGCCTTAAGAAAATGGAATGACCTTCCCACAACCTGATAATTGTGGGAAGGAGAACAGTCAGATGGAGGTTTGTTTTGCAGTGGTATTTTCTACCATGTCTATGCGGTTGTATGATTGTTTATCAATGACTAGAGTACCCAAAGCCAAGAAACTGTGTTTTGCTATCTATGATCCCACTCATATGTTTCACTGTCAACATTAGTATTATCCCGTTTATCCCGTTTATGCACGCCAATTAGAGCCATGACMCCCGCCACGTCAGTTCGTAAATCATACGGTGTAGGACCATAGGCTGCTTCGTATCAGGTGTCTTATCAGGTGAGCCTGCATATCAGCCCCCCAGGTCGAGAAGTCGCACTGACGCCGAACGCCTCTTGATAAGTAGAGTGCTACTGCGTATGTCCTAGTATGAAATGGTCGCATTAAGCTAGCATGCGTACGCATGTGTCCTTATCTCTTTCGCAGCTCGCTATTTGACTGCCTCCTTCGGAATGGGAATTCAAACACCAAATGATCACCAAGAAGGGGAAAGTAGGGAGTCATGATAAGAAGCAGACCAAGCAGAAGAGGAAAACAATTCCCTGGGGACGATAAGAGGCGAATGAAACCCGATAAGAACGAAGCCCTGAACGGGTCACGTGAGCAGCCGGCGTTCTCCGTCCCGGTTTTTGTTTCGAGCCGAGGCCAGCGACCAATCAGCCCGGCCGCGAATGGGGCCTGAGGTTTCTGGCCGACACTGTGAGTGGCCAGCGGAAAGTCCTATGGCCACTATCTGCGTCATTGCACATGCTGATGGAGCTGACGGTGCACATTTTTCCCGAATGAAGACCAATGGTGTTTAAGCCAAGCGCGGAAAGTTCTTCGCGCGTGGAAATTTCATGGAAAGCTGCAAAGCCCAGAGGGAGAGAAAACTCTAAAGCGAAACGACCCTGGTCCCACTCTGGGATATTACAGCGACCGTAGTCCGTAGTTTACCTAGGTAGGGTCCAATCTGCTTACTTGCTGCCAGGGAAAAAAAATTTTCTTCTTCTTTATCTTGCAGGCTCTTAATTAACCCCCCTTCCCTGCTCCGTCTTGCAGGATTGATTGATCTGCATCCCAGCTCTACTTAAGATAGCTTCAACCCCGTCTTTGCTGCACAGAGTAGACTTTTTCTGCCAAACGCGACAAACACAAATATCTGATTTCGGCTAGTCCATGGACCAAGAGACGCTCATCGACCTTTTATCGCAACGCAAGAGGATAGTCCGGTACTTCAAGTGGCGGTAAACTGCCCACGAGGACGTATAGATCAGATTCAGTATCGACGTGTACTAGATATACGATATACTACGGTATATACGGAGTACTTGCTTAGGAAACACCGCACGCGACACACCTTCTAAAGCCCCACTGCGCCACGATCTGGTAAACACTGCCAACATGTCGGTTTCGAACACTAGCGAAAATCCGTCACTGGACAAGAATAATGCCGCAGTTGCGCGCGATGCACCGCTCCCAATTGAGAAGACCGAGAAGCGCATTGTCCAGCTGGACGAGATGAATGCTGCTGACAGGGCTCTCGCGGAACAGTTTGGTTATCAGCCGGTATGCCCAATGCAACTTTAAAACACAAAAGACAGAAAGTCTCTTCTGTTTCAATTACAATGTTAATAAAATAAACAGGTCTTCAAGCGCGAATTCGGTTACTTGTCCACCTTTTCGTTCGCCTTCAGTATCTCTGGCCTGTTTGCGACAATTGCAACTACCTTCTCATACCCGCTTTATGCCGGTGGCTCCGCCTCCGCCGTCTGGTGTTGGCTCATATCCGGCGCCGGATGTATGTGCATTGCCGCGTCTGTGGCGGAATTGGTCTCCGCATACCCTACCAGCGGTGGTCTGTACTTCACCGTCTCGCGTCTGGCGCCTCCGCGCTGGGTGCCGTCGATCAGTTGGTTGACGGGCTGGATTAACTTGCTTGGGCAAATTGCTGGTGTCGCTTCCTCCGAATATGGATCCGCGCAGATGTTGCTTGCTGCCGTCTCTATGGGACGCGACTTTGAGTGGGTTCCTACAACGGGTTTGACGATCGGTGTCATGGCCGCCTTGACTGTGCTCTGTGGTATTCTCAATTCGCTGCCTACTGGTTGGATGGAGAAGATGACCCGGTCATATGTTATTTTTCATTTGCTCGTCTTGGTGTCTTGCTGCATTGCCTTGCTGGTCAAGACCGAGGACAAGCATGATGCGAAGTATGTCTTTACGAATGTTGAGCCGGATTCCGGTTGGACGCCTACTGGATTCTCGTTTTTGTTCGGTTTCTTGTCTGTTTCATGGACCATGACGGATTATGATGCCACCGCTCACATTGCCGAAGAGTGAGTCCTCTACCCCTGAATGTGTGCTCTGTGCTAATTGAGTAGAATCCGCGACCCCGAAATCAAAGCTCCCTGGGCCATCTTCCTTGCTATGGGCGCCGTCTACGTTCTTGGATTCTTGTTTAACATCGTTCTCTGCTTCTGCATGGGCGATGTAGCTTCAATTCTTTCTTCCCCCATGCAACAGCCCGTGGCACAAATATTCTACAACAGTCTCGGCAAAACGGGTGGTCTCGTCTACGCCTCTTGCGCCTTTGTCTTGTTGCAGTTCATCTGCTTCACCGCCACCCAGGCTCTTGCCCGTACCGTTTTCGCCTTCTCCCGCGACCGTCTCTTGCCCCTTTCAAGTGTCTGGCGCAAAGTGAACTCAAAGACCGGTACCCCCTTGTACGCCGTGTGGTTCTCCGTCTTCTGGTGCATTGCCATCAATTTGATCGGTCTCGGTAGCTACGCCGCTATCGAGGGTGTCTTCAACATCACCGCCATCGCTCTCGACTGGTCCTACATCATCCCCGTCGTGTGCAAACTCCTCTGGAACCGCTTCGAGCCTGGTCCATGGCACATGGGCAAATTCTCCACTGCCGTCAACTTGTGGGCTGTGATCTGGACCGTGTTCGTTTCTGTCATCTTCTTTTTCCCTACCTCCCGACCTGTTACCGGTGAGACCATGAATTATGCGATTGTGTTCATGGCGTTTATTCTGTTGTGTGCTATGGTGTATTGGTTTGTGCGAGGAAAGAAGTTCTACGTTGGTCCGCTCAAGGAGACTACCATTCAGGGGGAAAGCAATGGCGGTATCTGGGAATCGGTTCCTGTTGAGACAGAGAAATGATTGAGACTCACACTTGAGGCACGGTTTGCGTGGAGAGAGGATGGACACTTTCAACTTACACATCAATGCTTTAGTTGATCTCTAATAACTTGCTTTGAGGTGCATGTAGTTAGTAAAGAAAGAGGAAAAAATTTGAAAAGTTGTTAATTTCACTTACTCGACCCGTATCTCGTAATCGACGCAATGTAAAAAGTCATTATACAAAAGTATCGTAGAATTAGATTCTTGTTCTGAATCAGATATCAAGATCGTCGCAGAACGTCAGTACCTTTAATCATCAATCCTCCATACTCTGGCAACTAAATCATCTATCAAAATACAATCCCCAGCCAATCACCGCGCATTTTGACATTTTGTATCTTAGGGCTACGGACTTAGCTTAACCCCACAAAATCCGGAAATCTCGGTCGGTTTATTAGCCCGACGCATCCCCACCTGACATCAGATCTTTAGCAAGCTGAGTAAAAGGAAGCTCTCTGAATGGATACTTCGTCAATGAGACTCCTATTGTATGCGGAAGGGATCGTCGACTGTGGTGGAATGATGTGATGGATGTAGAAATAGGTATTTAAAGGCTGAAGAGGGCCCATACCCTGACAGAGGAGGGTTTTTGTCATACGCATCGTTCCGAGAGTTCTGCACGTCAATTGATTTACCTGCAAAAACAAGATGCCGTCGTACAAGAATATCGATTCGTACCTGGATCAGATCCAAAAGGACAAGACTCCCGTCCTTGGATTGTCGGTCGGAAAGCATTCTGATGTGACACCGGGCGTCAAAATCCCTAAAGCTGGCATGTCCTCTATACTCTACCCAGTATTCGTACGCATAACTAACAACAGTTTTCAGACGCCCAGAACCCTCCCGAGCTACGTCTCCCCCAATCTCTCGCCTCCTCAAACGACACCTACCTCATGATCGCAATCGACATCGACGCCCCTTTCCCCTCCTGGCGCGGTCTGGGCCCCATCCTGCACTGGGTTCAACCAAATCTAAAGCCGGACCCTGCCACCGGCGCGCTATCAGCTCCATCAGCAGACTCCTTTATCGCAAACTACATTGGTCCTGCGCCGCCACCACCCAGTTCACCGCATCGGTACTGCTTCTTTTTGTACAAGCAGCCTGCGGGACTGGACGTGGACAAGTATGTAGCCAAACGAGGGGGAAAGAAAGTCGGGAATGGGGCGCGGATGTGGTTTGATTTGGAGAAGTATGAGAAGGAGTTGGGGCTCACGGAGGGAATTGTGGCGGGKAATTTTTTTGTTAGTAATTAACAGTAACGTTTCTATAGTTGTTATTTCGTTGATTTTTTCGTGTGTTTCGAGATATCCTTGTTTTAGGTAATACAGAATGATATGAATGTTTCTTGGTAATATGCTTCTTGATCCCCCAAAGTCCCGAGTCAAAGACGGAATGGTTCGCATTCCATGGCACCCGATTCACAAGCCCTAACGCGTCCAGACTCGTCCCTTGCATGAACGTATACATCCGACACGTTGAAGAACAAGAAACTCTATTGTAGATGCGCACTTCAATGTAAGAGTACGAGAGCAGGCCAACACGCGTCGGTCACAACCTTCATGTACTTTCAACAAACCGAGGATAGGATACAGAACTTTGGCTATATGCATTGCTCAAAATTTGGATCAATCACCCACACGCTCTCTAAGAACACCTCAATAAATCAAAAAAATAAGAAATGCTAGCAAAATCCCTCACTTTCATCCTCACCCTCGTCACAACTTTTCTATCAACCGCAATCGCCCGACCACTCCCTAATCCAACCGCCGAGCCAAAAGACGTAAGTTAATCACCACAAAGGATAAAATCACGACTTCAATGAAACAACCTTTTGACTCCTTGACAGGCTTATGGAGAGATGACAAGCTCAACCCTCGAACCACGCGATGAAACGGAGTCGGATGGTCTAGGCATCGCGCCGAAACTGCTTACGGCATCATGGCCTGTGATTTCACCATTGATCAATCTGATACCGACGGAGAAGTGAGGGATGAAGCAAGGAATTTAAATCATGGCGAATTTGTGAGAAACATGGTTATAGAGGAATGGAATTGGTGAGAAAGTGTGTTTCTTGACACGGGTTGGGATGGGATGCAACCATGGGTGTAGGTGGTGGATAATACATGGATTGCTCAATCGTTTATCCGGCGTGTACTATCCGATAAATTGAATATTGCAAGATATGGATTTATTCGCTAGGAGGCGATGCAGTGGGCATTACTCTGGCTGCCAGACATGGCATCACAATTCGATTTAGCGAGACACCTCTACATATTTTTAGGGAAATTGCAGATGCATCTGTCGCATCGTAGCTCACCTCACAGGTCTGTCGTGATTGAATATGTCTACCACGTATAAGTCTAGTATTTGAAAAGGCATTGCTAAGATCTGCCGACATTCAAAATCGAAGTAGTTGTATTGTGAGTGATCCACCAGAGTGAACTAGTTCTTACTCGAACTACCTTGCAATCGAACTGACCATTCTTTTCTAGTGATGATGTTAGGCCCTCCGTACTCATTTCATGAATAGCCAAGGAAAAAAAAACAAATGAATTCTACCTAGGTACCAGTGGATATATCTGGCTTGGCCAATGGATATGCTATGTATGTATTCAAAATATCAAGACACCTTCTGAAAAAGTGCTCCAATCTCAATCATGCTTTTTTCTTTTCATTCAACATGACCATGCTCTACGAAAGCGTCTGTGAAGAGTCTGGGATGGAGATTAGCATGTATACTGGCAACATTGGAGCCAAGAACGACTTGGCGAATCGTGGAGCTTCGGAACATTATTCCAACATTACTCTCACAGCTTTACGGTAGGGCTCTTTATCATGCAGAGATCTATACTTCAAACACGTCAGGCATCACTCCCCAATTGAGGCGAATAATGAGAGATTCAATCTTTTTTACAATAATTTGTTGCCTGGTTTTCAACATTATGTTGCGAAGTTGAGCACCACCATTTTTAGCAGATAAATGTTCATGTTGGTCGCCTAAGCCTCTTAGCTTGTATCATAGTCCACCCCGCATCTACATCTCTGCCTGCGACGAAATCCAGTGCTTTTCGGCTTTGCCATGACCTAAGTCGTCGTCGAATTTCAGTTGTATTCTGACCAAAAATTTCTACTGTGGAAAGACTTCAATATGCAACTTCCCACAGAGATCTACGATCTCGTAAGTCCCCTCAGCAAAAAGGACGATCATGCACAATTATAAATCATACTTTGCACAGATCACTTTCCATGTCCAAAATGCCGACTATCCATATGAAATAAATACAGACATCAGTCCCGAGAACAGGCCACGACGACAACTAGCAAAGCTGCGTCTGGTCAACCAAGCTTTTTGTCCTAGCGCAACACGGCATTTGTTTCGACACATTGTCATAAGACTCTACGGCCGTGCTTCTACGATCAGGGCTTTTCCGCCTTTGGTCCGGCTTATTGAAATTTCGAAAAGCCCGCTTGCGCAACATGTTCGTGAACTTGAAATTAAATTTGAAGGGCCTTCAAACCGGGTCGGTGATAGACCTGATCTCGAAAACTTTGCGGCAATTTTGTCGCCGTGCTTGGCTCGATTTACAAATTTAAAGAAACTCTCATTCGAAACACCACGAATGTTTTTCTCAAGGGAGGATCCGAGATCATATATCAATACTGTCGTTATGGCGATTTGCAATGTACCTCTCCCAAATCTTGTAGGACTTGTGTTGCATTTTCCGATCTGCCACGATTTCGGACAATTTTTCTCTTCAAGTTTGAATCCAGCACATATACCAATCACAACTATCCTTCGCCAACTCCGAAGCCTCGAATTAGAAGTCTGTGCGTACGCCAGCAGTCGTGGTCGAGGATACGCGCGCATGCCAGCTCTGCCGCAACATCTGGCATTTCCAAACGAGACCTATGCGTGCTATTTGCATCAAATGCTCGAACCCGCAATCAACCTCACATCTCTCTCACTAAGCAGTAAGGACATTTTAAATCTCGACCCCGTCCACTTCTCGTCTTCGCTTCAGCTTCAGTCCCTGAGTTTGTCTGGCGTATCCATATCCGCGCGCACTCTTCTCGCACTCATACACCAATCCAGCTCAACCCTAGAATCCATCTCCCTCAACCTCGTCAAATTAAACAGCCAAACATGGGAGGACGTACTACTCGAAATAGCCAAGTTGCAACACTTGACCGAATTCAGCGTTGAGTCAGGCGGATACTCATCAACAGGCGCAAGCGCTCATCTAGCGACGGGCACACCGCGTAGAAACCGCAAGCCTAACATCGAGACTCATAGCAAGGGTGACCTGGTCGCTCTCGGGGCGTTGCAATGCGCCGTGAATACGAATCGAGTCAAAGCTGGGCTTGAGCCTTACGGGACGAATTATTATATGTATATTGATACTGTTCCCGAGATAGATCAATTCCGGGCCTTTTACTTTTGACCCATCAGTATCAAAGTATTTCCTCTTCTTTACTTGTATCTATAGCACCTCATAGCCCATATTGTAGCCTCGGATAGTACATTGAATTACAATTCGTTGGCATCAGAACATAGAGGTATCGATCAATGCCCATTCCATCTGTCCGAATCACAGTTCTTATAACTCTAAGCTTAGTATATGTATTGTTCGTGTGTGTACTAGCCTCACTTCATGAGTAGTCTGACTTCCTGGGGCATATATCTCATGTCTTTCAAACTATTTAACATTGAGTTTTCGAACGATCTTGCGAGACCACGATGATTGTGACATTCTTTTCGCAGGTGCAATTCGAAATTGACCATTAAGATAAGATATCGCCCGCACGACTGAGCTGTGCCTTCTAACATTCGTTGACTGGAGAAACCTCAATTGCAGCCATAGACGAACCGATGACGATGATCATGAGTAAGTATTGTATTTCGTCGCTTGGCAGTTGGGAGCCATCCTTATACTTGTTGTGTCGCGAGCTTGGCGGTGTTGGGTGGCAAAGGACCAGAAAGGCTGATGACGATGTAGCATTCAAGTGACATTACCAGCACTATACGATTGGCTTCCAAATACGATCCGATATTCATTACCAGGCAATTGAGTACTACGTACTTTGTTGTGTTGGCTTGTTGGGTGGAGTGAACTTAATATTGAAAGTAAATGAGGCTCATGATAGTTGGACTTGAGCAATAAGAAGCTGTTGTGCTATTCTATTTTAGTTGGTTAGTAAAGTAACTTTAACTCAATTTTGTTTGAGAGTAGGTGATATTCATTTATATTTATAGCCAGGCAATAAAAGCCATTGTTGAGGACGCAGCCTATTGGTTGGAAAGAAACGGCGCAGCACAAAGAGAACGATACATTTCTATGAACATGCAATGAAACGCCGTCCTGTAAATTAGAGTTTGTTGGATGGATAGGAATCAGGGAGAGCCCAGTGACGATCGCCAACAGACATGATGTCCAAACACCGACCTGGGGGCTATTCTGGGCTCTTCCGTCCGTTGGGTGGAGCGAGATCTGCAAGACTTGACAAAAAGCCGCACTAGAAAAGCAAAGATGTGTATAGCTTCTTAAGACGAAATATGTAAGCAGAGAACACTGTTAGAGCTTCCCTTTGTAATCATGGTGTTTGTAATTGCCAGTTCCAGGTATATAAAGGTCGCTGAATTCCACCAAACTCCCAGAAGTATTATCTTTTTTCATTCATCCAAACAAGTCTATATATCCTCCTCGGAGTTTCCAAATTAACTTATTCTATCAAAAAACCGCGATTATGTTTTCTCACGTCAAATTGCTCTCAATTGCATATGCCATGGCCGTCGCCATTCCTTCTATAGCGGCAATGCCCGTTGAAAATGGCAATTCGAACATCAAGTTCGTTCATGGTATGGTCAATAGCACCAGCGATGATATCTCCAAACGAAGCAGCGTCCCACCGGAATGTTCGTTTGGCGGCCAGCGTTCCGACTGGTATTATCTCCAGATCACAGGGTTGGCTGAAGGCACTGCATGTCTCGGATGGGACATTGGCCCTTCCTGCGGAGCTGGGAGCTGGGACGACCCGGACTGGACAGATCTTCAAAAGGCTATGGCCGAAGTGGTCACCATGGATGGTCAATGGTCAGGCTCGTCTGAGGGTGCATGGGACGGTACTTTTTTCCTTGGGACAACGGCTTTTTCGAACCGCGATACCTCACTTTTTGATTTGGCCATGACACAAACCAAAAGTAAGGTGCCCGTTTATTACTGGAGCCGAGACGGTGACTTTGCTCAAGTCGTGGGCCACAACGACAATTGCCCTTAGAGGAGCTACTCTTTGCAGTATTCGTCGGTCTAGCCTACCTAGGCATTGTTCCCTCTGCAGGAAGATGAACTCGGGAGATGGTACTAGTAGCAATCTATGGAAATCCCGTTCATTCCGACATTTACAAGGCAACTACGACCGTTGGAGCGCCCAGAACATAGGACTCAGATGGCAACCCAATGTTGATTCTACAAGCACGTGTCTTGAATCCTTTATGTAACTATAACACTCTTCCGTTTCTATCAATATTTATTGTCATTGTGTTTGTATGTAGTCAAAAGAAATCATCTAGTATTGTGTACTCGTGGTTTACTTACTCTCTTCATCTGGTTGTACCAGTAACTTTGCACAATAACCATACTGACATAGCTGTGTCATAACAACCGCAGTAACGTAATTCACGGGTAAGTTGCTCACCCAGCAACTAGCTCAGCTTAGCCATACAAACTACATACAAAAAAAATTGTTCAATTAACTATCTAGCTAGATTTGGACGCCGATTGCGCCTTTACCCTAGTTCCTAGTAGTTACTATACCTAGGCGCTGCGCGCTAAAGCTCGCTATAAAGGCTTATCCTGATTAGTTCATGGAGACTCTCGATCTTAGGGCTTGATTGTGCTTAAGCGACCTCCTCGCAATCTTCCATGGCTGATTCTGGAACTCTATAGTGTTCACGTAAATTGACTCGCAATGACAGCTGGTAGTAAATGCAATGCAAACAAATCAAAAATCGAACTCGTGTCAATAAATAATGTAATCTCGAAATAATCAAACTCCTGGAGTAGACTCTTAAGCGTTTGATGGCGAAAATCTGTAACTTAAAAACTTAAATGGAGCGGAAGTACCTTCTGATTGGACAGGACAGCCGTCCCGTCCCCCATCAATTCCTCCGTCGACTGCCAACTACAACTCACCTACTCATTTGTGCTTTGTAGACATGATGCCCCGATATGCACTTCTATAGCTAAAAACTAATGGCTTGTCCGCATTCGGAATGGAAGATACGGAACGTTCAGGCTCCGCGTCTGAGGAAACGCACCATTATGTCTCGCACACGTCGCTCTCCAGCCCTGACGCGTATGCAGCAAACCCACGGTTTAGACAGTTACAGGAAGAACTTCGATATGTGCTATTCACAGCCGTGGCGAGTCATGGTCCTAGCAGATGTCCGTCTCCTACAAGAACAGGCTCTGAGTTGGTTGAGACAGCCGCATCAAAGTTCTGGAAACAAAGCCTCGACTCGGCACAGGTGCCGATACCCAAAGCCAGATTGATCTATTATTTGAAGAATTGGATTACTGAATGTGCACCTCATCTCGACAAATTCGACGAGAACAGCCATTTCGGCGTTCAAATCCCGATTCTTGCGCAAAATTCGCCTTCGTTACTGTATGCCATTCTAGCCTTTTCAGCACGCCAGTCCGAGCGCAAGGCGTGCTTCAAGAACAGTCGCGATAGCCTAGAACTTTACCAAGAATCGATTCGGCTGTTGACCCCCTATCTGCAGACCAGAGACCCGAATGTGCTTATGACAGCTTGTATCCTGGCGTGTATGGAGCTAATGTCCGTCAGCGCCCGCGGCTGGCGACGCCATGTCGAGGGATGTGCGGCTCTATTCGACTCATATATGATTAACGGATTTTCTGGGGGTCATCTACAGGCAGTCTTCTGGTGTTATGCACGTATGGAACTGTGCGGTGTAATCATCTCTGACGGGACGGAAAGCACGGTGCTTCCTCTTGATAAATGGGTCCCTCAGGAGGCCACTGTCGGGGTTTCTCCCGATAAGAAAGAGGATCAAATTCGAGATCTATTCTATGCAAAAGGCTCGTCTACGCCGGATATGCACGCTAACTGGGCCGTTTATCTCTGCACCAAGACATGCAATCTCACCTGCCGGCGATCGAGGTCCGTGGAGCTCGGCGAAGTGGACCAAGATGACCCGAGGCCATTTTCCGAGCAATGGGTGCGGCTCTGGGAGGAACTACAATTCTGGCGAGAACATCGTCATCCAGCCATGCTACCAGTCAAGGCTACATCAATGGACGATGAGCAAACTTTTCCCAATATTCTCTTCGCGCACTGGGCGGCTATCTCGGGCAATCAGCTGTACCATACTGCATGTATCATGATGCTGGAAATGAAACCTCTGAACATACCATTATCGTCATCTAGTCCGTACTGCTCCGCTATCTGGCACGCCAGGCGGGTATGCGGGATATCATTGACGAACCCGCATAGTGGGAGCCTCATTAACGCCATCCAGCCGTTGTATATTGCTGGAAAACTCCTGACGCACTGGGATGAGCATCTTGAAGTCGCTCGGTTGTTTAGAACGATCGAGTCTACGACCGGATGGGGTGCTTTGTGGCGATTGCGAGATCTTGAGCAGGCTTGGGGTTACGAGGCTAATGAAATCTTGTCTGCTATTTGAATAGAATTTCGTTCTGGACAATCACATCCAATGTCTCAAATATCAGTATATGTTTCTATGCGTGGGAATTATGTAACTTGTTGGGGTTGGTATTATTCGCAGGTTACAGTCTTCCATCACATCACGGGCTGAAGCGCGATACTATCGGATATTTCATAGAGATATTTACAACAAAGTCACGAAAATATAAATCGCAGATAAGACGAGTAGTACCAAACGGCTGCAAGCTCATATGCAAATATTACAGGAACTGTTATATCTCATTTGAGCCGTTGAATCATCGCAAAAATGACATGGGAGTACTGGCATCTAGCCACCTAGGGTCACTGTCGCCCAATGTTATTGATATGATTTATTTATTTCGTTTAGTCGTAGGGCGGGTACAATATATTATAGTTCACACCTCAAAGCTGGAAGATACGTCAGTTATGCTGGAAAAAAACTAGGTTCTAAGCCACCTGATTTCTACTGGCTGTCACATTACCAGAGATTAAGGTGGAACGAAGTAGGAGTTTTAATTAAGAATGTCCCCAGTAATGAGCAATTTGATTCCACTGTTGAGTATACAAACAAAAAATATGATACTAGAGCTTGTCGTGAATTCTGGGTTTAATATAAAGCAAGAACACAAAGCTCTCTATCGGAGACTGACAAGATTGAGCAAACTTCTTAGAATCTATATGACACAAAGGGGGTTCTTGAACCTTGATTCCCTCACCTTGAATTCCCCGATAAATATAAGGACTGACTTAAACCTGCTCGACATGATCCTCCTTCTCATTCGTAACTTTTTCGGGGCCGTCACTACTTTGTGACCCGTATTCGAGAAGTGCCGTCAAGCCAACATCACGCTGACATTGACGGAGCAACTCAGCGTCGCGTTCGCCTTTATTGCTGTTGAATACACGGTCCATCTCTTCAAGTGTTGCGTTTTTAGTCTCCGGAAGGAAGAAATAAACCCAGAAAATGCCGGCAAGAAGAAAAACGGAGAAAAAGATATATGTGCCCCATTTCCATGCCTGCAGCATTGGTGGCACAAAGAAAGCAATGGCGAAGTTGTTGACCCAGTTGCTGGAAGCGCCAATCGACGCTCCTTTGGCGCGGATAGAGAGCGGAAAGATCTCAGACACAAGGGTCCAAGATACGGGACCCCAGGTGGCTCCGAAACCAGCAATGTATAGCCAGATCAGTGCTGGAGGAAAAATAGAAGTCAGAAACAAATTATATCTATCAGTAATTAAGATGATGTTCTGACTCACCAACTGCTGTCCATCCGCCTGCCACATGAGCTGGCCAGTCATTGTGGAATTTGGCTACAATCACGCCAACAATAATCATACTCAAGAACATGACAATAGACCCAACTATCAGCATGGGTTTGCGACCAAACTTATCGATGACCAACTAATAACGGTGAGCATATCTCGAGCAAGAAATAGCAAACAAGCTTAAAAGAATGGACTGACCATAGCTGGCACGGTGCTGACAAGAAACACGACCCCAGTGACACCAGTAGCCAAAAGAGCGGTTGTACCACCAGTCAACCCAAGGCTGACGAATATATTCGACGCATAGTAAATGACTGTCATCGTCATGTTAACAAACTTTTCCAGTCGGGGCACGGTGGGGAAAATTGGGGGTGATCCTGAAAACACCAGACTTACTAGCATCGATTCCACTCCATTGCTGGAAGAACATGATCAGCCAGGCGGTGCACACACGTTTAAAATTATCCATTGATCGGACACAGTTTGCATATTGGTCGATTTGAATTCGGATCAGGCTTTTCTCGGCGGAGCCGGGAAAAGCTCTTTTCTCAAACAATGCCTCGGCCTTGATCTCTAGGAATTCGATCTGCACCAACTCATGTTCTTGTGGCAATTTTCTCACCCAGGCCAATGTTCGAAGAGCCTCTTCCTCGCGACCGACTTTGACCAGCCATCGAGGTGAGAAAGGCATGAACCAAATACCACAAGCAAGCGCTACAGCGGGGATCCCTTGGATGATAGATGGTAGGCGCCACGCGAGATCAAGTTGTGTTTCACCGGTTCCACCGATATAGTTGCTTCCATACCCAACCCAAAAGGAGAGCATGATGCCTAGGATAGTTGCAAACTGGTAGAAAGAAACCAACAGCCCGCGCATCTCCGGAGCCGCTAGTTCTGCATTGTACAACGGTCCAACTCCACTAAAAAGCCCAACACCAACACCAGTGAAAAAACGCCCGGCGTATAAAAGCGACTGAGTACCTGCAGATGCGCCGACATATAGGTAACTCCCCAGAATTACCCAGCAGCATGCCACAAACATGGTGTACTTTCTTGAAAATATCTCACCGATTATTCCTGCTGAAAGTGATCCTAAAATGCCGCCCAACTGCAGGACTGAAGTAAGCCACCCAGTAGCCGAGGAAGAGTCCACAATCGAAGGGAAGTTTGATTTAAACCGATACATCACTAGGGACTGTCCGAGAACGCCTTGTTGGTAGCCATATTCCAGACCACCGAAACTGTGGAATCACAGATGATTAGCAGAGTTGTCTCAGGTTCTTGCTTGAATGAGAAAAGGCTCACGAGGCGAAAAAGGCAATGAAGAGAACTTTGGGGTTGTCTCGCAACGATTGCCACAACGACTTTTTCGGTAGCTGTGCTCGATACCTTGAGTGACTTGGCTGTGGGACGGCAGATGCCTCCATGTCAGCAGGTACGACAGAGCCAACTTCAGCCATCTCAAAACGTCTTGGTCAAGACAAACGGGAGCAGATTGATGAAGTCGATGATTTCCAGCTAATAAAGCTGATTAAAAATGGGGAGATAAATCACTGGATTTATATATGTTTAATGTCAACAAGTCGAATTTAATTTCCTGAATCTAAGAACTACGCGGATTCTAAATGCGGAGTACTTCCTTCCAATTGCGGAGAGATCACCAAGAAACTCTTTAAAAAATGATGTCGCAGCAGAAAAAATTTTTGGGTTGTAGGCTATGATTTCCCTTTCGGTCCTGTCAGGGGTCAGCTACTGCTACTAATGCGACTTTTACCCCAGTATTTTGCCTTACCCCGAAAACTGTCTGGTCCCGCCAATGAAAATGTACTCGCTTTTGTGGGTTGTTGCTGTTATGATTGGGCTCGATCGCCGACGAAGCGACAATTATTTTACGTGATATGAGGGGGGGGTTAGCGTCAGCCAATAATTTTGTGGAAAGCTAACAGCACGGAAAAAAGACTAGTCCAACTTCGGGGGGCATAGGCTATGGAAAGGTCACACGACTATATGTCAAAATACTTCTCCACCTCGTAGGCTCTGTTATCTTAGTCTATTTTTTCCACTAGCGACTGTTGCTCAAATAAACGTCCGAAAAGACCCAATTGAGTTGTCGGGGAATATATGCATATGACAATGCCTACCAGGGGCACCACCCAAGCTGAGAAGCAGCGTGTCCGCACTGGTTGCTGGACCTGTCGGAGACGCAGAAGGAAATGTAAGCATCCAATACCGAGCCGTTCTACCGTGACATTTTTTCTGACCCCGTCTATTCGAGAAGGCGATGAACAAAAGCCTTGCTGTACAAGCTGCAAAACAAAAGGGTTTACTTGTAAATATCCTTCAAACGTCACATTTTTGCCCGTTGTGAATCCCTCTGACGTGCAGTCGAATGGAAACACCATCAAAGTAAGAGAAGTCAAGCCACAGTTGTCCATGAGTGTAGCCAACATTGAGATAATAGTTCATCAACCATGCAAATAATACCCCATTTGAGTTGCACCCGTCTCAAGAACGTGAAAATTCACGCTACAGCCCGGCTTTAACACCAAGTCAGAATGATATTTCTTGTCAATTGACTCCGAATATCGAAGGGAATGGGCAGCATGATGTTTCATCGCATACAAATTATTCCAACTCCGTCTTTCCGAATCAAAGGAATGATTTAATCTCTCATACATGTGGCGGTGGACCATGTTCAGCGCATCCCCCGGATATTGAAACGAGCCTGTTGCGCCATTTTTGCTACAACATATCTCTGTGCGTGGATGTAGGTGACCGAGGATCCTCATTCGGACTGAGCTGTATGGTCTGCGCTAGGAGCAACCGGCCTTTAATGGCTTCGATTCTTGCTCTTACTGCCTATCAAAGATCGCTCGTCGTACCATCTGGGACTGATATGGATCTGGCCCACAGTCGCCGATTCCGCGACGAAGCTGAGAACGGCCTAGCTGTCGAAGAAAACAGTTCTGTAAGACGGCTCGGCTACACACTTCTGAAGATGGAAGACTTCTTCGCCCATGGCCCAGCTCAGTGGCGAAAATTGTCGGATTACCTGCTTGGTAGCCTGGCTGATATTATCTTCCAACCCACCCTTGAAGATAAATTTAAGGAACCCCTATTCTGGTTGGTTTTCAAAATTGGTAAGTGGTTCAGCTTGAACGATCTTTTCCAACAAAGCTGATTAAGGGTGATTCAAGATCTTGCTGCATCTGTCATACGCTCCCAACCGCCACGGACGCCATTCCTCTCATTCGCACCGAATTCACATCCCCAGTCTGTCCACACCGAATATCAACGTGTTCATTTTCTTCTTGCTGAGACTGTTCGGTATTTATTCCAAGAACGGGACGCGGCTGTCTGCAGGCTTGATGGAGAGCAGGCAGAGATTTTAGAATCATCACAGGAATTGAGGTCCTTGTCACGATGGACATATCTATGGGCTGAGTGCCAAAAATGGTACAAGACGCTTCCAGTGCAAGCGCAACCTATTTTAGAGATCCGAGGATTAGATACCAGGAGGATTGAACCATCAACAACGTCGTGCTTCCCGATATTAATCTATACCACTCCTCTTGCTCTTGTTGCCAACGCCATTTATCATATTACATCTCTTTTGCTGCTAAATCATAGACCACGTCATCTCAATGCCTCACCATGGCCTCGGGGGGTTGCGTCGGCTACTTGGCATTCCCAATCCATTGCTGGTATTGCGACAAGCCATGAATCTGTTGGACAGTGGGATCCAATCCTGATTGCAGGCTTAATATTAATCACAAAGGGAATGACGCACAAATCTCAGCAGTTGACATTACTGGGCCAGCTCGAAAAAATAACAGCAATAACTGGGATCAATTTGGAACAAGAAATAGAATCTATCAAATCAAAAATCCACATTTCACGGCACAATGAAGACGACGTTTTGTGATCGAAGTGAACCTTGCATATTTTGATATAATTGTTCTATTCTATCCGGTTTTTGATCTCATAGGCAAACGGAATACTTTGTGCTGCACCTTGTCTCTGTACACAAACTGCTGCCGCAAAGTTGGCCTCCGCTACTGCCTGCTCTACAATCATATCAAAATCCTCCAACTTCCCTGATGATGTTCGAAGGAACCGAGTGAAAGCGACGGCAAAATAACCGACAAAGGTATCTCCTGCTGCCGTGGTGTCTACCACACTTTTCACTGCAATTCCTTTCACGATCCCGCTTCGGCCGGTACTAGTCGAGAAGAGTACCCCTTTGGCTCCCAGTGTGATGAGTACGACCCATACGTCGGCAACGTCGTGGAAGCGTTTCGCTAATTCCTGCAACCTAGGTTCATCCATTTCTGAACTCAAATATTTGACGGAAGAGCTCTCCCCGAAAATTGATCTCTCCATTTGTGTGGCTTCAGTCTCGTTCATGACGAGAACACTGGTGTGTGAAAGAGCGCGAAGAGGAACGCCTTCTGGAAATACGGGCGCGGGGTTGAAAATAATATGCGCTGAGCGCTCTTTTTGATTATTGAAATATTCCAAGAGCTGTAACACAGTCTCTCTTGGAATCTCTCCTTGCAGGATGATGACATTCGGAGTATTGGGTTGCCGTTGCTTGTGTCTGTGTTGGATGCAAGTAATGATCCTTTGGACATCGCTCATTCCTTCATGATTTGCACCAGGAACTACCAGTATCCTGTTTTCACCATCTGCCGCATCTTCAACAATGATTGTTGCGGATCCAGTTTGGCTCTCAAGCCGCTCCTCAATATCCACCGTGTCCACCCCTGACTGTTCCAACATCGGTTGGAGTAAGTTCCGATAATGACCATCCACGGAACCTACAGCTCCAATCATGCTTATGGTGACGTTTTGCTGAGTCTGCAAAGAGGGAGAAGTGAACAACGCTCGACCACAGGCGACGGCTTGATTTGCGCCTTTTCCTCCAGCGCTCACCGAAAGGCTTCTGGCCGTTATTGTTTCTCCAGGGCCGGGACACCTATGCGTAGTGACTGTAAAGTCAACGTTCAATGAGCCGACCACGCATATCTGAGACGACATTTTGATGTGTGTGTTGTTCACTTAATTGTAATTGAAGTATATGCATGTATGCGGAGGCATCCGGTGTGACTATTGCTGGCGTTGAAGGGAAATGGAAATATTTATGAAAAATTTTATAGATTTGAGACTGAATCTCTAAATTTGTCATTCTTCAACTTATTATTTCGTAGCCTCTGTTTTGAATACCGACGCAAGTCCAGAATTTCCAAACACGGAACCCATAGGCTACGCCTTCCACAACTTCCGTAAATGGAAGTCGATGGGGTTAACCCTAAGTACACCTGGCTCATTATTATTAATATTTATTATTAATAAAATCGGATTTCCATGTCGAATCCTGTACCGGGGGCTACGATGTTATGAATCCACCTCATACACGCCTTGAACGTGATTAGGGAAGGTGATAACAGGATAGGCTGACCCTATGAGAGGAAATTCCAGGCTAAAGCCCTCACTAAAGCGATAGGAAGCTATCCCCAACATCGACAAGTAGCTAGAACAGCTCCCTCATCAAGAGCGAATGTGAAGCTTCCCATTTCCATCTGAACTTGTGTGCGTGTTGAGAACTTATTCTTTTCTTCCTCGTTCCTCATACTAGGAACTCAATTCTAATACAGACCAACCGTTCTCACGTAGTACAACAGTGGATTTTTATCTCGAGGGCGAATGAGTGCGTGAAAAGAGGCATGTATCACACCTAAGACTTTGAGCCATTCTTCACCATTGTTCATTCGAGGCTCCCAGTGATAGTAATTAACGGTCGATGTGTTGACCTAGTACTGTCAGTCGTTTCTCCTGATAGTGTGTTGGATGAAGAGCACACATGTGTTAATCAAGTTCATTTTCCATATCGCGGTCTTCTAGCTATGACAAACATCTGCCCTATGGTCCCCCCACTTACTATGCCGGGAGCCCTCTTAGACTTATATTCACATAAAAATCGTTGAACAGAAAAAGCAAACTTTGCATTTATAACATGCCCGTGTTGTGCATATCTGAATTAAGGACCTCACATGAATTCGATACTCGCCCCTTTCCCCTCGGAAATATGCTCCGAAGAAATACAGACAGGCTGTCGGCTTCTAGCTGTTTTGATCCAAAACTTTGACATCTCAACAACGAAAAGGAATGTGCAAATGTAGATTATATTTGGGCACACCAACAGAAAATCAATTTGTTCGAAACCAGAACGCAAAAGGCGTAGGTTTCAGACATTACATGATCACCGCAAAGTGCGGACTCCGATCAAGATCGTCATGCGGATATACCGATATTAGCAGATGTCTTGAGTAAATGAGTAGATCTACGACTCTTTTATGTGTCATTTGATGTTGTACGACGGACGCATTCATATCAGATCAACTGGTAACACCCAGGAATAGACATATGTGTAACCTGAGACCGAACACGTGATGGTGGCAGCCCTACTTTCTCCTTTCAGGAAATMCCGTCGACTCATCCTGTCAAGCCGCTCTTTCAGCACCACGTCCTGGGAACTACGATTTCAAGATTATATTACAAAAGAAAACTGTGAATAGAGATTCAATAGATTGAACAAATAGATTCATTATTACAAAAAGTGTATCTTTTAGGTCAACTATATTGCCAAATATGACCAGATAACACCACCCGAGTCAAAAGTCAAGTCAAGACATTTTACTGGACAGGACTCTTGCAGGTGAAAGAGGTGGTGACGCTGTTTGCATATGCAGCCTGCAAAGTGACGATGGAAGAGTAAGCACCGAGACCAGCAAGAGCAAGAGCACCGAGAAGATAGAATATGTTGAAGACGCTCATGTAGAAGTACTTGCTGGTAGCGAAGCCGGGGAAGAAGAAACCGCGGGTGAAACGACGGAAACCCGAGTCATTACGGACAACCTCGCCATTTTCCGGCTTGAAACCTTCACCCTCCTGGAGGGCAAACTTCTTGGCCCAGTAGGCAACGGCGAAGAGAGGAGGGAAGGTGTAGGTGAAATGCAAGATACAGAAAGCGGCAACAACGGATGTCAGACCAGAGAAGTTAGGAATGGCAGCGGCGATGATGAAGGCAATAGACCAGTAGATAGGGATGAAGACAACCCAGGCAATCTTGCCGCCCTTGGTGGTGAGAGGAGGGAAGCGGAAAAGCTCGACAAAGATACTGTTGTACAAGACCTTGACACCAATGTTTCCGTACAGAGCTGCAGCAATGACGGCAGATAAGAAGGCGAAAACGTTACCAGCAGTCTGGATGCCGTATGAGCTGATGCCCAAGTAGCTGGGGTTGACGGTGTACTGTCCCTGGTATCCATACATGAAGAGACCATAGAACATGTACCAGAAGTAGATGAATAGCTGAGCAGCCCACATGCCAAACAGGAAGTCTTTGGGACGCTTCATTTCAGCCATGAACTCGGGGAAGACCATAGCACCACCGTAAGCAAAGACAGCTTGCATGGCACCGCTGATGGTGCCGGCAAAGTTGTCGGAGTGGGGGAGACCTCCAGAGGTTTGAACTGGTGGGAAGGAACCATCGGGGAGTTGAGTGACAGAGAGACCACCATTGATGACAGCACCAGAAGCTGAGCCAACACTAGCGTAGTTGGGGGGGAAGTGGGCAGCACCACCCATAGTAATGAACATACAAATCAAGTTGAGCCAGACAGCAAGATTGGCAATCCAACCAAATTTCTGAAGTGTACGAATCTGGCCAACGAGGAAACCAACAATGGCCCAGATCAAACAGCAGACAATAAAGCAGAGTTTGAACTTGGCCACCTGCGACAAGGCCTCTCCGTTTGAGATAACAATCAGACCAACGTTAAGGATAAGCTGGATACTCTGCAAGATGTTGATCAAGTGGCGCATCCAGGGACCAAAGAGACGGAAACCAAGGTCGCCGAAGTGACGAATGGGGTAGTGGAAGGAGTCGAGACCCAAAAACATATCCCAAAGCAGGTAACCAGAATAGATGGCGAGACCGGCGAAAACGGTATACAAAGCAATACCAGGACTACAACAGTTAGTATATGATTATTCACCATGAATGGTGTCACTCACCCCCAACCCATAGTTCCAAAAGCGTAAGGCAGACCGAAAGGACCCAAGATATCGGTGGTAATCAGGTAGAAAATGGCACCTCGGGTCGCGGTACGAAGAGCACGAGAGGCATTGGTCCACTCGTCGTCAGTGATAGTGGAAGTGACGGCCTTGTCGCTGGTGTTAATGTTGGCGGCATCCTTCAGTTCAGCACCATCCGACTTGGATGGGATGAGGAGGGAGAGCCAGCCACGCTCCCTATCGTGGTCGGTGTAGGTGTCCTCCTCAGCACGGGACAGCTGAGCGTAGTAGTTGTACTCCTCGAAGGTGACGGAGGTATCGTGAAGAGCACGGTGCTGAGGGCGAATGCCCCCGTGATGAGCTTCACGAGCCTCACGAATTTCACGGGCTTCGAGAGAGTCGACGAAGTCGCGCTCCTTCTCGTGGAGACGAGGGTCTCCACGATCACCGAGGACACTGGCAGGCTGGGCCATGATGATCAGACAATTGAAAGATGAGTCGAGTCACAGATTGACTTTGACTTAGGATGACAGCTGGAGAAGAGAAGAGAAGAGGAGAAGAGACGAAAAATAAAATGAGACGGCGAGGAGCTACCTTAATAGTGGTTGGAGGTAAGCACGACTAGAGACGACAAGTGGGGAAGGAGCGGCAAAAAAGTTGGGTGGGTCTGAAGACTCTCCAAAGTTCCAAACTCACCAAGACTCGAGACTCAGGACTCGGGATACACTATCGGGAACTTGGAAGGTGGTCACAGGAGCGTCCGATTGGTGCGGCTTATCTCATTGCACTATAGTGACTGCTTCGATGCTTTCGCGCTAGGTTTGCGCGATCCCACCTCATTTCGCCATTAGAGTTGCACTGCTCGCTGCGCGATTAACTGGGGAACTGCGAAAGCTTCGCTCGCGCGCCACAAGGCCTTTGGTGTGGATGGCCAATCATCAGGCAAGTTGATATCTTGGTACCTTAGTCAGCTGTCGCTTTACTCGTTGCGACAGTAGATTGCGCCATGTCATTGGCGGTGGTGAGATTAGAATGGGGCCATTTCATCAGACAAGCCAGTAGCAAAGCTTGTTTCCCCAGGACTTTTCTAGACGCCTCGGTGCTAGTTGGGAAGCCCTACTAATCGGTAGTAGTCACGGACTGTTAGCCTCGTTTTGTGCTAGTCTGCTCGAGAGCCACCGAGGCTCAACCGTGTCACAGCGAGCCATCGAATGTGGTTCGGCGAACCCCGGCCTGGGCATTTCTTGTGTGACGGGTGATCAAAAAAAGGGGCGAGAGGCATTGTCTCTATTCATTCAAGCAAGATTCTTTCGGTGCGTATTGAATACGCGATAACCACTGCGGCCAACACGGCCAACATCACACGAAACCTGAAGCAAGCGAGAAACAAGAGACGAAATGTAACATACTACTTAATACTCTATAGTATGTAAGGAGACATTGCCGCATCCGGCCAAACTCGACCCACTACGCCATGCGGGCTGCCCACCAGATGCAATCCGGCGGAACCAACCACGTCGCAAGACACAATACCACAACGTATATCCGCGAAAAAATTAATATCAGCGACTCTCGCCATTACCAATCTCACGCCAGGAATGTACGTACATCTTGCCAGATTCTCTGAACCGGGCCACAGGACACGTGGTGATGCCGCGAAATCGGCCTGACAGTCTTCTAGAAGGGGCAAAGAAGGTCGGAACACGGCAAAATGGTCCCTCACCTCTCCGCTGTCGTCGATGGTTCGCTCACACCGGATCCGATAAAGCCCTGTTTCACATAGAATTAACACATCTAAATTGCTAAAAATTGATAATTAGACGCTCGAAATGATCAATCGAACTCTACTTTTATTAGCATGGATTAATGGCAGGGTTGACTACGTAAGGCGTACGCATCGCACACGTCTCCTTGTCTGTAGCGTGCAAGTACCAAGGATCTCTTATCGCTCACCAATAGCCACCATTCCGAGGTACCCGTCTGCTTTTTGTCCATGACTAGTACTTGCAAACCAACAAGCAGAATCTATCGTCGACACGACGGACTGACGGAGTTGGTTTACCAATATTGAGCTCCGCAGTGCGACGCTATTTCTGAACCGGCCCTGCGATAGTCTCACACCACGCCACAAAACGCATGCCCAGAGTCCACAGCAAACGAAGCTTTCGCCAATACGGCGCCGAGAGGAGTCGCCAAAGCTTGATTATATAATTGACTTTTTGCTAAATTAAGTTAGGTTAATTTCCGCCCAATTCCTTCCACACCTTCCTTTTCCCTTCTAGCACGGAACTGGCGCATTTGCTTTGTTCGGATCCGCGCTGTGCCACTGCGGGAGATGCGTGGTCGTCTCTTTTTTTTTTTCCCCCTGCTTATCGGGCCGAAGAGGCCGGATAGATCTGATCAGATAGACATTCAACACCAGATCAGACGAATATACATCTATGTATCCACCGAGAATTCATTGTTCTCCAGATTACCTACCAAATTTGCTAATGGATATGGGGTAGATCTGTACGATATCTACAACTTCTCTTCAAATGCTACATTAATCTCTTTTCATTGTGCGTTCTTATCAGGCCGAGTGGCGAGCTATACTCAGTCGAGGATTTCATTACAAGAAAAAAATCTGATTTGCTCCACCGGTAACCGTGTGTAGCCGCCCGCCCTGTTGCTTCATCTTCCACTTTGCTTCAGGATAGGAAGGAGGATTAAATATCTCATGTCGTTGATATTGATGCTTTGATTCTGTTGGCTCCCCCGCATATCTATCTTGTTTCTGTTACTCATCTCTGACACTTGCATTACATATTTCCCACGTTTTATCAGGAGAACGCGCGGGTTAGGAGCGCGTGGGCCTGGGGAATAAGATCCATACTTCCAACGTTCGGAGGGCTTCCGGTCGCTGCCGTGCTATATCGAGTTGTTCATTACGTATTCAACGTTCAGCGTGCCTGGATTCGAGGTCAGTATTTTCGATAGTCCGATTGCTAAACGCCAAACCCGGGGTTCGCTCGATGGCTGCTCAAAGTTGAATTGTGTCAATATAGCCGAAATAATAGGCAGATGTAGGACTATGTAGATACGTATTTCCTGATTGAGAGCAAGGTACGAGTCCACAATCACATGTGCTACCCGCATGGATTCCTCGATTCGGGGAATGTTCCTTGCTACTACTGTATGGCTGGAGGCAGCAGCCATCGAGTTTCGACACGTTTGTATTCCAAATCCTGGTTGCATATCGGCGCTTCCTGATTTGTTGAGTCACCAGGGCCACAGGGTCGCATTACATGCCGTAGTGCAGCTACTAGCGCGCAGCAACAACAACAGCCGCATCGGTGATTACTAGCTGCATAATCATTAACGGATCAGAGCTGGAGGTGCACTGTGCGCTGTCTCAGATCCGTCTCGATTGGTGATAAGATTGACGATGCGCACCTCGTATTTTCGTGCAATTAAATGGGCTGAGCCAATCGCGGCTTAGATCACCTGATCCTGAGTTCGTATTGTTCAGCTGTCATACAGTGCCCAGAGGTTGCAGAGGCTGGCAACAGAAGGTGCAATTGTTGGCAGCTATGGTGAGTGTGAGCTGCCAAGCTGGAAGAGCCCCTTAATTGGCTCCACAACGGAGTGTCCGAAATCCATTGCTGAGCATGCTACGTAATATGCTGTTTGGCTTTTATATGCCAAGATGGTGGCCTCAGGCTCTGGATGCATTGCTTCACAATGACCTCTGAATGAAGAGTCGTCTACATAATGTTAATGTTAACACATGCTAATCTGATCGTCAAGTGATTTGCTTGCATTGCTCAAATTCAACCATCATATCTACAGAATCATTCCCAGATACTAATTTCTACTGATCACAACTTACCAGTCTTCTCATAAACAGCAGCTTCCACCTTCGCCCAGAGCTTACCAACCTCCGGGTCTGCAAACGGCAGCACCTGAGAAGCAACTATTCCAGCAACGCCCTTTTCCCGATCACACCACCAAAACATATTAGACATACCTGACCAGTGCGCTGTATTATCAGACCGACCCGTCACACTGGGCGAAATCATGAACGATAGACCCCATCCTTGAGGCATTTGAGGAGGCGCCAGTCCGTAGTATCCATCTGATGGATACACGAGCTCTGGTTCTGCGGCGGGKACATACTGTCGTGCGTAATTGGGGTTTTCTGGGAATTGGTTACGAACATCTCATCCACTGTCTCGAGTGAGAGTAGACGTTTTCCGGTTGTTGTTGATACGCCGTTGTTGAGAAGCATTGCCAGGATTTCTAAAGAAATCAGACGCATTTCCCCAGGATTATACTAAGTATAGGAACTTACTGGCATACTCTCGCGGACTTCCGAATAAACCAGCACCTCCGCTGCGTACTGTGTCGGGCTTATTGTGGTCTTGAACGTGGAGTGCATACTTCCATGCATGACCCCGCGCTTTCAGATGTCCATCAGGAAGCCGTTGCTCCATGGCCAAAACTCGCGATTTCATGTCGCCATCAGGAAAGAATGACATATCCTTGATGTCTAACGGCTCAAAGATGTAACGTTGCATATACTCGTCCAACCTCGTGCCGGTGACTCGTTCGACTAGGAAACCCGCCCAGTCCAGGCTGATCTGTGCAACTTGTCAGTCTAGTTGACAATTAGGAAAACACGCCAAGCTGCAATACCCCATATTCAAATTTTGCGCCTGGCTGATTGACAAGTGGTTGGTTCCAAAACTGCTGGCGGGCTGGTGAGATTGGAGGGTTTCGATTGCCTACCCAGTCACGTAATTTTTCGTTGGTGAAGGTGTATCCGAAGCCAGCTTGTCCGACAAGCCCTTGTCACCAAAGATATTCTCTATAAATCAAGGGAAGAAGGCATACCTGTATGAGTAAGTAACATTCTCAATGTAATACGACCCGATTTCTGCTCGAGTGTCCCATCATCCGCCAAATACTTGACGTCCCTCAACTCAGGACACAGCCTCTCAACCTGATCCGCATCATCGAGCGCTAACTTCCCTTGTTCGACTAATTGCATGCAGGCGATTGCCGTTACTAGTTTTGTAAATGATGCCATCCAATAGATCGAATTCTTTGCATCGACGTCAGTAGCATTTCCGGATAATAGCTTCGGTCGACCAGCTGCATATGCAAATACTTCTTCTGGTCGATCTGATTTCGACTCTTTGCTCACGATTACGACGGATGCAAAGCTGAGTGGTTTTAAATGTTTTTCGGTGGTAGTGCCTGTATTGACGCCGCAGGCCTGTTCGACGAGCGAGCGGAGTTTGGCGGTTGTGTCGTGCGACAGCATTTTTTTATTAATTCTACCGAATCTGAGACGTAGTTCGCTTTCTTCAATGTCGAAGATATTAAATGTATAGAAAACCGTTCAATGTCATGTTTTGCGGAACGACTCTTGCTGGTACCCCAACAAAACACATGCGAAGATCTAGCCGATGAGCCGAGGAGACACCTAAGTGATTGCTGATTGCAGATCCCCCTCATGAGCACACACCAAGAAATGAGAAGCAGACCCTGCATGCATATACTTAGTTACATATGGGACTCGTCGAATATGAATCAGAATTCTACCATCGATATATTCTATTACTTTCGCACAAGGAAATGAACAGGTTTCCACCTCTAGTACCTTGTCTGTAGTAAGCCAGCAGTAATTGAACTTTCTATTTCTCCCTTAGACTATGGTTATATACACAACGATCAGCATTGAAATACGATCAAGATTTAAAAGCCGATGGTTGAATGCCTTTCCACAAACTCAACAGATCAAGGCCGTCAATATCAGAGGTCCAATCCTGCGGTTCCGGTATAGAAATACTCCAACCATATTTATGAGTTTCTGCAAGCAAAGTCTTCAAATTTGATTTTGCTTCGGCCGGATGACTAGCAGATACAACGAAAGTCATCTGGAAAAATCGCGCAAACACAAGCTTCTTGTTAAGCACATTTTCGAGGTGTATCTGCCACAAGTGAGATGAAAACGGATGGTCAAAGGGCAGAGCATTCCACCGGTAGAGATGGCCTTCAACAGTTGCGAAAGCTGGGATCTCATCCGGTGGAGTCATTGGCCATGCGCAATAGTGAACGTGAAGTCTACCCTTTGCGAATACTGCCTCGGGATGCCTTTGTTTGACTGCTCGTGAGAAAGAGTCGAGACATCCGGAGAGCTGCTGTAGTGATAAACGCGGTTGCAAAAATAAGTTTTCAGCGGTGGGCTTGAGAATGTAGGAAATGTACAAGTCCTTCTGTCCGTCGGTACCGTCTAATAGAAGAAGACGACCACTTCTTGGTTCATTGCTTTTCATGCGTGAAATAATGCCTTTTTTCTCCATTTCGGACAAGATTTTGTATATTAAACGGCGGTCTCTTGTGACTAATTTTCTGTCGTGGAAATCGCGCAGGAAGCTTGGGTCTTTGTCTAGAATGTCCCACGCTCGAAGTCGGTTTCCTTCGTAATGGAGGTCTCCAATGTTCATGTTCAGAGGAAATTTCCCGTCCATTTTCACGGCTTCCAGCAATTTGCTTTGTTTCTCCGTTGGGAAAGAGCTTCGAATAATCTTTCTCATCGTTTCTTCCGGTCGAATATCGCCACTTATTAATGATATAGCGTCTGCTATATCGTCAAGTATTCTGAATTCCTGTGATGGCGCTTGTTCAATGATGATAAACTCGAAGTAGTCCTTTCTCATACCCCTTTCTTTCAAATTTGCGTACAAGGTTATATCGGACATGATGTTTTTGAATGACCATTCAGTTGTCCATGGGGCATTATCTAGATCGTCGCCGATTGCTGCTGATCTTGTGCGCGTAATCCAAGGGATATCGTCGTGCTGCTCATTGCGAGCGAAGACTTTACTAGTGCTCCGGTCATCGTCCTCCATTTCTAAAACAATGACGATAAATCGGGCAACGCGGTTGACAAGCTCTTGTATTAGTGGGTCAGCCAACGGGTTTCTTTTGGCCATCCTTCCAACCATGTAACACCGGGATTCTCTCTGCGTAGCAATACCATCGTTGACCACAATTGGTGCAATTGGGGGATCCGAGTACCCCATTGTAGCCGCTACGAATCCGTGTAGAATCGGAAAATGATTTTTCTGAGAGACGTGATCTTCTTCTACCCATTCGCGCCCGCTGGGCATGTTCTTATATCTCCCCATTGCGATAAGTTGGTGGATGAGTACGGCATCCTCAAAGTCAACGCAGAATGATTCGAGGTTTGACCAATGGACAACATTCCAAAAATATGCGTACAGGATATCCCACGCTTCAACAGTCATTTTGTGTCGTTTGTCTTCGGTGGTGACTGGCTCACCAAGGATTATCACGGATGATCCATCCGGTGTGCTGTGACGAGAGGCTACGTAGTCGCAAACAGCATCGCGAATAAAGTGTAGTGTGTCCGCTCTTCCCAGTGACTCGAAGAACTTGATCAAATCCTGCAGGAGCCATGGTACCATTCGAAGAAAATTGTCGATGTTGTCGATTTTCCTCGCTTTGAGCAGGACTTCCTCGTCAGCCTGCCATAAAATAAATTCACGGAGAGCGTAGCGCATGACATGATCACCAGCATCTGGTTCTCTTGTGGTGCCAGGCACTTCGGGATTGACAATAGTTGGAAGGGAATCATTGAGTGATGGGGCGATCTCGTAAAGACGCTTTATCCATTCTTCCGTGAGAGTCAACATGGTTTCTTTTAGCGTCCTCGCTGGGGAATCAGCTGGCAAATGGTCCAATGCAGAGAAGGGAATCTCGGGCGATAAGAGCGAATGATAGACAAGTCGTGGCTGTTGTCCGTCACTCTCTTCAGCATCTTCTGATTGTGCTGGCTGTAATTTCTCTTGCAATCTTTCGATTTCCTCGCCTAGCTTGTAGATCCAACGTACATGTCCCCTATCTTTAGGTGCACTAAAGAAGCGGAGGTTCATCTGGGTTCTTAGTTCCACAGTCTTCTTTCCCAGTGCGATTGCCTCTTTTATTCGGTCTTCTTCATCGTGTGATTCGTCCACACCGATCACTAAATCTTGGTATTGTTTCTCTGTATCCTTGTAAGTCTGATAAAGTGTCTCGTACTCTTGCTGATGGGTTGGACATCGTGAATGCCTCGGCTTGAGAAGAGCTCCATGGCACTCGGATCCCCCGGGTAATAGAGCTTGACAACATTGTTTACTCCTGGCTCTTTCATGGGTCTTAATCCTAGGTCTGTTCATCTCCGATTCTGTTCCTTGTATACTTGGACTTCAAGTTGCTTGAAAGAAGAAGACAAGTCGAGGCAAGTGAGAAGACTTGAATTGGTGGGGTAGCTACTGACCTGGCGCTGCAGTGCCAATTCATATAGCAAGAGACCCCGGCACAAAAGATCCAATGATAATGACTACGAGGCACATATTAGCGCTCATCTGCGAGTTAATGAATTTGGACCCCAAGGGCTTTCACAGATACTGGATGCATAATATCACAGCATGTTAATTTCAGGCTTTGAGAGGCAAAATTGACGTTGACGTTGGACTGACTGCCATGTCAATGCTTCCCCAGGCAATTGATGATCGAGGTGACATTTCTGGCATCTGAAACGCCAGTGAATCATTTAGGTACGATGTACGTTTCAGATCTGAAAAGCATTCAACGTAGTATCCTAGACCATTGAAAGTTAGGAATAGGGCCTGGAAGTAAGCTTTATTTTCAAGTGTTCCATATGGTCTCTAGGTAAGTCATGAGCTATTACAAATCACAAAAATACCTTATCTTTCACCACATTCAGTTATCGACTTGTTAAAGACCAAAATTTCAAATCTTGCCTGCATATAGTTTAGACAATATTACATATTTCTAATGTCTGTACATTGAGTTCCCTACCAAGTACTTCAGATGTTGATAAATAGACTCGCTCGGGCCTTTCTAACCCGACCAGCGGGCAATCTTAGGGCTTAGATACCCCGGATATTTGGACAGATGTAAAATATCCTTCAAAATTTCGACTTGACTACGAGGGGTTCCGTTACTTCCTGGTTTTTGTTATTCGAGGGCTTAACTCAACTTCATATAAGCTTGGCCTATGGATTTGATTGATGGAATGTAAATTTCCTTTTGTTACCCCATCCGGAGAGACTGGGGGATCGGCAGCTGGAAGGTTCCCCAGATATTGCACCTGCTCAGGTTCATGGTTCTAATTGAGATATTGTCTAGTTGTCTATATAAAGTACCGGACGCGCTTCACCCAGGTTTGATATCTCATCTGAACGCGAGTCAAACACAACCATCTATCCAGATTTGGACGGCAAGATGCTTATTTCCCGTTCTGTTACCTCCATTCTATTCCTGGCCTTGGGGCTATCTAGTCTGGTGACCGCAAACAAACCAGAAGACAAGACCAAGACATGTATTGTCAAAACCGGAGGAAATGCGGCAGTCGATGATGCGCCAGCTATATACGACGCTTTTCATGAATGTGGACAAAACGGTCGTGTTGTATTCTCCAATACTACGTACTACATTAACAGTGTGATGAACACGAGTCATTTACACAACTGTGAGATTGATATCTACGGTACTTTGTTGGTAAGACTCAGCCAGTTATAGTCTTGTATAGGAAAAGAAGCTAACTGCGACCTTCAGTGGGGAACGAATCTAACCTACTGGTTAAACAATTCTCTCCCAGTCGGATATCAGAATCAATCAACGGCATGGGTTCTAGGCGGGACCGATATCAAAGTTGACGGTCATGGATATGGAACTTTGAACGGTAATGGTGATTCTTGGTATGCTGCATATGGGGGTGTATCCAACAAAGCTGGTCGTCCGCTTGCATTGACGATTGCGAACACGACAAACCTCGACTTCAGAGGGGTACAGTTTATTCGTAGTCAGATGTGGTTCGTATGCTCGTATTTGTGAGCTTCTGAATAGAGTCTAATTCGTTGATCTGTCCGGATGTAGGAGCATGGCGATTATACGCACACACAATGCTGTGTTTGATTCGATCTATGTCAATAATACTTCCACTGCTGGGAAACGATACGGTATGTCTAGATTTCTTACCTAAAGAGCTATCTAATATTGTTCAATAGGCAATAGCGACGGAGCAAACACCATCTACAGCTCCCACATAACCTTCAACAACTGGACGGTCGACAACGGCGACGACAGCATAAGCCTAAAAGCAAACTCAACGGATATCTCCATCACAAACAGTAATTTCTACCATGGCCTGGGCATCGCAATCGGGAGTATTGGACAATACAAAGGTGCCTTTGAGACGATTCAACGCGCCCATGCAAAGAACAATTATTTCTACAAGACTACGCATGCGGCGTACTTTAAGACCTGGACTGGCGAGCAGGTTGGATATCCGCCTAACGGTGGCGGCGGTGGTCTGGGCTGTAAGCTTCTTCTTCTCCGCTAAACCCTAAAAGAGGATGGAATATGCTAACGATGTTCACGGTCAAGTCGCCTCCGACCTCGTCTTCGAAAACATGACCCTCAATTCCCTCTCCAACACACCCTTCACAATCTCGCAATGCACCACCTTCAGCGGCACAGCCGGAAACTGCTCATCATCCGAGTTTCAAATCAAAGACATAGTATGGGCGTCAACGACAGGAACAACTAGCTCCGTCGATGTGGCCAGTTTCCAGTGCAGTGCTGTCAAGCCATGCACCAATCTGACGATTGAGGATGTGAGTTTGACTACGGTTTCGACTGGCGATGTGACGAGTGCGTATCTGTGTGGGAATGTGGTGAATCCGATCGGTTGGAATTGTACGGGAAGTGCTTGTTCTGGGTCAAGTGCTACCGGGGGATGTTGATCGGACTTTTTCCGATGTGATGTCCGATTCAGTAGTCCTAGTGTAGGTGTATCCTCAAGTCAGCTGTACACTTCCCCAACCACCAAAAATTCAGATGGTTAAAAAAGATACACTCAGCGGGCCATATCTCCCCGTTAGATCATGAATAAGAGGATATGATACATGAATAGCTCCTCTTTATACTACGTAGTAGTACGTATCGGCGGGGCTTAACGCGGGGAGAACGCCGTGCGGGGATCCCCCGAAAACTTAATCTTGAAAGCCTTATTACATCGTCATCTATCTCGCTAGATTTCTAACATCATATCATGCAACAAGGAACGTAATTTCTTTTCAAAGTCCCTAAAAGAAATTGGAAATGGCATCCTACAGACCTCACGAAGGAAAACTCGGTATCGTCACCGGCGGCTCGCGAGGTACGTAAACAAATCCATACCTCTTTGTAAACATCACAATTGACAATTCTACAAAGGAATCGGCGAGGCAGTCGTTAGACGGCTAGCAGCCAAAGGCTGCAATATCCTGATCGTCTACACATCGAACTCATCCAAAGACCTCACAAACAAAATCTCATCCGAACTCTCAACAACACACAAGGTCCACATTTCCAGCGTACAAGCAGATCTTACTGATCCTGCCGGCGCAACCCCCAAAATTGTTGATGCCGCAAAAGAATTATACAAATCATACACTTCTGGTAGCGACAAAGAATTGCAAGTCGATATCCTGATCAACAATGCTGGTGTTGGATCCAACCAGTTCCTGAACGATGCGACAAAAGGGCCGATTGATGCCGCGGAGTACAATCGCGTGTACAATGTCAACGTACTCGCACCGCTGCTACTAACGCAGGCTCTTGCCCCGTTCTTGCCGACGGATCGCTCAGGCAGAATTGTGAATGTATCCAGTGTCTCATCCTCAATCGGATACGAAGGTCAATCCGTCTACGCCGGCACAAAAGCAGCCCTGGAGGCAATGACGCGTTGCTGGAGTCGCGAATTGTACGGCAAGGCTACAGTCAATGCGGTCAACCCTGGCCCCGCCTGGGGTGATATGTATGCACAGGCAGGCGAGAAATTTTGGAAAATTAATCAGCCTTATGTCGATGCTGCGCCTTTGGCTGCATATGATGGGGAAGAGGATATGTTGAAGGCCGCCGGTGATGATGCGGAGAGGTTTGATAAGACAGTTAGAGAAGGGATGGGTGGTAGAAGGCCTGGATTTACGAGTGAGATTGCGGGAACGATTGTTATGTTGTGCACGGAGGAGAGTGGGTGGACTACTGGTAGTGTGGTCTGTGCGAATGGTGGTATGAAAATGTCTATTGCATAGGTGACTACCTTATAAATGCGCGGCTTAGAGCATAGCAACATAACGGTTGTTTGCATCACATTTGGTACTCTCGAGTACTTTGTACATGTCTGATATGGCCATCTATGCCTGTAGAGCCTTTCCAGCAAACCAGATCCCATAAAAGCAGCTAAAGTTGTTCAAGTGCCACAGGATAGACCGTAAAAAGCTCAACCTGTGGTCCTCAATGTAGAAGTACGCCTGCACATAACCTATACGGAGAATGGAGTAGGTCAAGCCAACAAGATTGATCGTCTCAGCATCGAGTTTGGCCACGTTCATCAGAACGACTGCCATGTTGTTAGTATTTTACGTCAGGCCAAAGAAGGGGAATACTAACTGGTACTAGCAAACAAAGTATAGGTCTCGATAGAGTTGGCATGCGCCGATGCCGCTCGCTGGAGTTGCCCAAGCCGCTTGCGGGTCATTTTGCCCTCTGCGACGGCGCGTTCGCCATACTTGGCCAGGTCATAGCGCGGACTTACGTTGTGGTCGATCCCAGCGCGAAATTTAAGGGCGCGAGTGGATGTAAGCATGTAAGCGTAGACATAGTTCCAGAGGAGAAACGCGGATGTATAGTTTGTGGCCGTGAGGCCGAGGTTTGCGATTATGGAGCTCCTTCAGGATGCTTAGTTAGAGTTCCCAGTATGGAGCTGGAAATTTAGTGGGACTTACATTTTCACGTCACACTTTTGTCTTGGATGTCAATGAGTAAATAAGAGTTGAGAGAATGAAAGGATAAAATAGAAAAATAATTCTCAAGGGGCCAATTTATAAAAGGATTCGGCCCATACATGCTCATGCTATGCTTTTGTTGGGACCTCGGTCTTTCTTTCTGTCGTCTTTCCTATTCAGGGTTAGATGATCATTTTAAGTTTCAGTTCCGCGATTGCCCAATCAAAGACGCTACTGGAGTCTCTACGTCATACGCGGGCTTTGATTAGTCGGATAAAGATCGCTGGTGCCTGAGGCAATGCGTGAATCTTGTTGACTTCAAAGCGTCTGTTCCATAAATCATATCCACATTCATTCCATATTCGTTATCATCAAGACTTGTGCAAAGGCAGTAGCAAGACAGTTCTCTCCCGACTTTTGTATTGAATATGCAGCGTGCTCAACAAAGTCAACAGCCCGCCAAATACACACACACCAGCTAGAACTCGGAACTGCGACTGGGACAGTTCGCTCCCGGTCCACGCCTGTTGCCATTCAACATCATCCGTATAGCCTAGAATCTGTCCCTGCTGGTCCAGAGCCGCAACGCGGAGAAAATAGCGACTTTTGCCCTTGAGTGGTGGGACAATAAGCAAAGTCTCGAACCCGGTCTTTCTGTAGCAGCCAATCTCAAGATAAGGGGAAGCATCAGCTTCGGATAAGGAAAACTTTTCCTTAAGATCAAGCTGCCATCCAGCGACTTCAGTGGCTCCATTCCAGTGAACTTGCAATTTGTGTCCTGAAATCTTAATCACCGGCTTCGTCAGTGGCTTGCCGGTCCATGTGTGTTTGGAAGCACGGGATGGCGTAGTCATCAAGAAGTCAAAAATAGACAGCGGGTCGAGGAGACGATGGTCGCATAGTAGTTTACCGCCAGAGGTAAACTCACTGAGCGCACGACCTCCCTCCCAGCTAATGAGTACATTCCCTGTTTTCTGAGAAATTTGCATGTCTCCAGAGAGCTTCTGTACCTCTGTCGGGCCATTATAAGTTTCTTGCAGAACGGCTCSCGACGTATGCGGGKTGATCTCAATGGTCATGCCACGACTCCTCGTGACTGGTCCTCCTTTGTCCATCACCGTCAGAGTTTCATTTTCGGCCCATCGCGCATTATGCGGCCATGTGAAATCAACAACCGGACGGTCACCAAAATCCCTAAATTTATTTGCGTGCCCGCCCAGGTTCCATTGAACTTGGCCAGTACTGGCATCAATCGACATCACAGAGCGCATCTGCCCCGATGAAACGAGGTAGTCGCCTGAAGGGGCTTGATCGACACCGCTGATATGGAAATAATCAAACGGGTGATCCTCCGTTCCTTCACCATCATCGAGTAATTTGAATGTGTCTGTAATGGCGACGTGTTCCGCAGCACGCCACTCATACAGCAAATTTCCGGTCACGATGTCGATTTCTTGAAATATTCCATCCAGAATCCATCCTTCCTCAGGCCCACCGAGAGCGGAGAGATCAGCTCGGCGTTTGTAGTGTGCTGCTATCAGGGCAGTATCGTGGCCTGTTACTGTAAAATCGTGCAGCGAGTCAATTATCGTGCCGACGGGAGCAACGATATACCTTTCAGTATAGGTAGAATCAAGCTGACAACGAAGTTAGCACCGTCTCTTAGAGTTTATGCTGATGGTGGACTTACCATATAATAGCGACCAGGGCCAAATAGCTCTTTTGTCCAATATGTGAGGTACTCCTGACCGCGAAAGGTCTGCACGCGGAGGTTTTGAGTTAATGCATTGCGCTGTTCTTGCCAGATCAAGTCCCCGTTTTGATCGTAGATTGTGGGTGAGCGACCGTCTGGAATAGTGAAAATATATCCAGGGTTGCAAGGCTTATCGGATAACAGTTCTGTGCTAATTGATGAGACATGTGGCCTTATCAGATCAAAATCGTACGATCCGAAAATTGATGGCAAGCGATATTGCAGTAAATCTCGGGTTGAAGGATGTGGCTTCTCGTTCAACAGTACGAATAATGTCCCAATAATCGTCAACAGTGCACATGCTCTTACAGTCCACCTCCGCAGAATGGTCGGTTTTGTCTGCAGCCGTGATGCCAACATTGCTAACGCCGTCTGTCAGACTTCAGTGTTACCTTGAGCTTAAAATAATGAGTATTAATCTCAATTGTCTTCATGACGGAGACATGCAGACCAGTATACTCATACTGGAACAGACTAAGACCATAATCTAATCGGAGAAATAAAAACGAAGTTTACTAGGATTCTCGCATGCGGGTGGACTGGGAATAATAAATATTTTCGTATATCATTTCGGCAGTGACACTGTAGCAACGTGATAAACTCGGCCTTTGCCCGTTACGGACGTTGACGTGATACCACAATAGCCTAGTTAGCACGTTCGTACGTACACTAGTGAATTGTTTATTTGCTTGGCTCCTATGGGGAGTGATCATTTATCCCAGTCGAAAGATAGCAGATGACTAGCTTGGAATCAGTTTGTCCGAAAGGACCGAAACATGGCTTATTTTTATCATGCGGCGCATCAATAGTTGGACGCTATTCCATCGCAAAGTAGCGGGACCGACCACTAACTCCGCCGGGAGATAAGACAATGGCTTGATTGTGCAGGTAATGCGGCTAGGATCCTAATGGAAACTTGGAAGAAATAGGGTTGCACTTTGCATTTGCTTGAGACATGTCTTGTTGGCATGGAGCTAGTCGGGTAACTCTAAGACATTGGATCTTGGCCCATGATCGAGATGCGGTACAGTCTGGATTCGTGGTATAAGTGAGTCGGTGAGTGAAGTATTATGTGCAGTTGGTCCAATACCCAGCCATTGCATGAAAGCATAATCATGTTCGGTGTTTGTTAGAAGGGATCTATTGCATTGATCGCATCTTAGGTCTTTTGTTCCGTAAGTAAACTTCGGACTTGAGAAGACAGCTTATCGGTCTGGCCTTGAGGACTTCCTTAAGTGTAGAATTGTAAGAGATGAATATTCAAACCATCTCATAGAATGGTCAAATTTAAAAGCAGAGCAAAGTCGAACATTGCCTTCATATGTATCGAATTGTAGATCAGAATTCATAGCGAACGGAGGGGTCGGAGTACTTCGCGGTCTATCGTCTCTAATTTAATTTCGAGCTCCGCATTTAATCGCGACTTCGGAGTTCAACAACGCAATTTCCAACTCCGAGCGCCTTATCACGTCTTCCCAGCTAAGCATTTCACCCATCATCTCAACTTTCGACAGTCTCGGGGTAAAAAAATATCAAAAATAAAGATTCAAATCGAATTTTAAAATTTTTATGAGAATAAACCAACATGTCGACGACAAAACGGCGTAATGGCCAGCTTTCGTCCTGCGAACCTTGTCGTAAGGTAATTTTCGAACTCCGCACGCGAAAAGACAAAGTATATATTGATTTAGGGCTAGGCCAAACTCCGCTGTGACCATGCAACACCCATCTGCGGTCGATGCACCCAGAGAGGCCAAGGAAATACATGCGTTTATCATCCAGCTCCCATGACACAGGCTCGACCAGCAGTCAAAAAGTCGGATCTCAAAAAGAAAAGGAAACGGGAACCAACCCTGTTGACAGAGAGGGGTATAACGTCGACCAATTTCTTGCAACGATATCGTGTGCCTGCCGTAGATCGCCAGCATTCACCTCCAAATAAACGCCAGGCTTCGGACGACACTGATCAAAGCGACGCTGTACCTGATGGTAGTAACACTACTGAGACAGCGCGATTCAGAAAATCAGCATTCTCAACTGGGTTTCTAGGTCCTTCCAGCTTCTGGGCAGCATTTGACGAGCCCAATGAAAGTAACAGTCGCAGTCCAGCGCCAATTACTACAGTATCTACATACCCAACTCCCTCGCAGTCCTCGCCATACACGGAGTCACCACCAACCGAAACCATCATGGCCGTAGAGTCTGATTCCACAATCGCAGACGCAGATCAAATCGAGTGCGGAGCAAGAATCCTCGTGCTTTTAGAAGATTTGTCGCTATATGAGAACCTCATCCAGCACCGATTCACAATCATGGACCCTTGGGTCTTTGGTAAGAAATTAGTGAATGAAGCCCTCGCCGGGGTGTATTTGCTACGTCAACAGTGGCGACAAGGCAGCAAACTATCTCAAGCCAAGTTACTAACCTGGTCTGAGAGATTGTTTGAGAACAGCTCCAAGCCCATCGTGACACATGCAAACATGACAATCACAGAATATTTCTCGTCGGTAGCTGCGAGGTGGGAGATGATTGGAGTGGTGTTTTCGTGGGTTGGTGTTGCGGCGCTCTTGATTCCGGATGATCATGAATCGCTTCGGTCGGATGATGGATCGAAAATAGATATGCAGAAGTTGAGGAAACTTACCGTTGAGGTCACTGAGATTTGTCTGGGGTTTTGTGATAGTGTGGGCACGTTGAGTGACCCTTTAGTCTGGCTTCTTTTGCAGCAGACTATTTTACTTGGTGAAGTACACGGCGACAGTGGTGAGTTATGCGACCTTGGGCTCCAAGATCTGTTGGCTGATGAAATAATCTAGATTATAGACCCTGGCGCAAACTAGGAGATCTGTCAACTATAGTCTTTGCTCTAGGCTTACATCGGCCAAAATCTGACCCATCTGTCCCCTTGTTTCTGGTTGAAATTCGCAAACGTGCAATGGCAGCCGGATTTGCTATAGATAAGCAATTGGCTACTCTTCTCGGACGACCTCCTCGAATCGCCTATCAGTACTGCGATATCCAGTACCCACTAGACCTTTCATACGAGACAATTTGCATGATCTCTGAGGGGAAGGACGATCTTGCTCGATATATCGGGCCTGACGGCTGGAATGTAGAAGAAACCGTCAATTCCGGAACTCGAGCAAGGGTCAATGTTATGCTTGCCGTGATACGAGAAAAGGTTCTTGCTTTATCACTGTCTCCGCACAATGATGATTTAGAGCAGAGAGTCTCGTGAGTCTTTCCAATAATCATGCATAGCTCATCCCAGATATCTGACCATGGTATGAAACAGAGCCACCTGCGCCGAACACGACCAAATGCGACTATCACTCCCCTCAAAACTGGAATGGCGGCCAAACATCCAGAACTTCGACGAAGCTCAGGCCTGTCTGCTGGAGATTCTCAATCTCGAGTTCTTGCACAATGATTTCATACTCTATTCTGTCTTGATCAGAAGGACTGGGGAGCATAAAGATAGATTGATACGGGCCGCACGGAAAATGTTAAGTACATTGGTGTCGCTGGTTTCATCTCGATCGCCATCCATGTCGAGTACTTTCCGGTCTTCTTGGGATGTATGTAATGTCTTCTCCCCAGTTTTATTTCGGCATCATCATGTTATTTGAAGGGCTATAACTAACGTGAGATTAGCTCTGCTACATCGGCCTCCCATGTGCAGGCGTCCTCGCTCAAGAACTCCTCCAACGCTCGCAACGAAAACATCGTCAACCCGTACCATCTGCCGCCGGTAATACACCAACAACACCATTCCCGCGCTCCGAAATCATCCAAAATCTAAGCGTATTTGCGTCACTGCTAGAAACAGCACTAAACATCCGAGACGGGAACTACGAAATCGGGAGAAGAGGATTGGACGCAATTCGAAACATATTAGATCGTGTCTTGTCATGCGATGATGATGACGGCGCCCAGCACGAATCTCGTCGTCATGGCCAGCCCGAGAAGCAGCAGCAGCAGCAGCAGCAGCAGCAGCAAGAACAAAAACCGTATAAAATCATCCCGGATCCAGCTATGGCTGGTTTCGGTTCGCCCGCGGCCTCTCAGGGTCAATTTGATGCTATGCAGTCTACTCAACAGCTGCAACAAGAGATTCCAGCTAGCCAACAACAACACCCTTCCATTATGATGCAAGATACATCAATCACACCATCCTTCGCCCCAGCGCCATCTATCACGCCCGATGGACTCGCGCCTGGAGCTGGAGCAGTTGGTTCTTATAATACAGACGACAACTTCCTCCCCATAGAATTCATGTCGTGGCTCGACGGTTTTGATTGGGCGCAGGAATCGTTGTTGAATTATAGTTAATGTCATGATACTCCCGGCCGATCCACGCGTTGATAACTTTGTTGATAGCATGAACAATGATACCCATTTGTTTCACATTCAAGCCTCCAGATCAAGGGCTGGTGTCTACGCTTTTCTAGAAAATATATGTGAGCTTGAAATGAAAATCCCTCTGCACTTTCGTTTATGTGTGCAAGAAAATCGTATGATATAATATGACTATACAAGATTGCCTTACCCATACATATCCAATACACGCCACCAATAAATACAAGAATAGGCAAAGGGGGAATAGGGAAAATGAAAAAACAAATAGGTAGTCATGACAAAGGCAACATAACCAATGGGTATATGACAAGACACGCAAAATTGAAACAAGCAGAAAGAGGAAAAAAAAAACTTTATAGCCAAATATCACCCTCTTCGCCCTTGACCCAAGCATCCCAAACCTTTTCATATGCATTTTCCAAATCATTAACCCAACGCCTCGTGTCAAATAATCTGCTTTGCCACCGGTGCGTAAATAGCATGCGACGCAATTCGACCAGACGGCCTGTGCAGTTGCCATCTCTTTGATCGGATTGAGAAGGATGATATCGCAAGTCGCGGCAAAGACGGCTTGCCTTTGCGCGGTAGTCTTCGTCGGAGATGGCCACCAGTTCTTTACGAGCTTGAAGACCGGCTTCCGTGTCGGGCAAAGCGCTACTCAAGATACTTGATGCCATGCGCGAACACATTTTGTATTTATAGCGCGGAAATGTGAGCATCGGTGTGCCGCTCCAGAGTATGTCAGCTGCTGTCGTATGTGCATTGCATTCGGGCGTGTCCAAAAACAAATCAACCACCTGTGCCCGTGCAATATGCGCTTGTTTGGGAGCAACATCCGTGAAGATGATTCGCGACGCGATCTCTTCGTTGGCCCACTTGACGGCACAATCTTTGAGATTCTGCTCACCAAGTTCGGGAAATCGCAAAAGCCACAGAACAGCTTTTGGAATGTCTGAGAGGATGCGAAGCCATGTACGGAATGTTGTCGGTTCAATCTAAAACATATTAGTCCAAGTCCATTGACTGTCAGATGTAGTTAGGTAATACCTTGTAAAGCTGATTGAAGTTTCCAAGAATGATGGCATCGTCTGGAAGAGCCGGGAAGAGCTCCTTTCTCATCTTCCAACGTCTTTCTTGCTCACTGTCCCAACCAATATGTGGGGCGTCACTGTCTGGCGCGCTCTGTCGATGGTCACAGCAGAAAAATGTGGCTCGAGTATAAACGATTCTTTCTCCGTACATCCAATTCTCCAATTCTTCCCCATGATCATCTTCAAATATGCGATCTTCAATACGATAATCTCGTCTTCCAGGACTCAATGTGTCGCGTGGAATGGATAGCTCATCTGCTAGAATGTAATCGCACCATTCGGCTCCCAATGTTCCAGCGAATCCCATAAATGACATCTGTATCGGGGCGGGACGGGCTGCAAAGACCTCGTTCCGTGCACCTCGGGTATATCCATTAAGATTGACCAATATATGGATTCCATCACGAACAATCTGCTCTACTAATCGGTCAACTGGCCATCCACTGGCATCATGAAATTGCGGCGATTCGCGTTCGATCTGCTGACGATGAGTAGAGTTGTCACTAGCGGTTGTTGCGTAACAGTAGGCTTTGACTCGATTCGGATTGTGAAATCCAAAGACAGATTGCATAAGATGAGCTAGAGGATGGTTGTTAAAGTCCGACGAGACATATCCAACCTTGAGATATGGCTGTGGCGGCTTTGGAGGTGGGTACACCGTTTGTGGAAGCCAAGCTGAGCGGAGTGTAGCACTAGAGATTCGAAGGCCGTTACGCTGTGAAATATGCCGAATCTGCTTGGCGGAAAGAGGACATGTGAAAGTGTGGAAAGGAAGCACTGTTGGAGCGTTTGGTGCCGAGAGACCGGGTGGTAATTGGGGCCGCCTGTATCGAGATAGTGGATACTCTTTGCCATTGACATGAAGATCCTGATACCACTGCCAAGTGATAGATCGTACAATGCGTTCTACGAGTCTGACGATCCTTGACCCTTCCCATTTCTGACCGGCCCAAGATTTTAGCAGCGACACCAAATTCCGTGCGTTGCTGTTATACTGTGACATGGACGACACTTGCGCACACAACTGTTCGACAGCGGCCGACGTAAGTATACCTCGACCCCATGTCTCTCCATCCCTCAGTTGCTTATCGACAATGTCAACCACTCGCTTCATCCATCCAAAGCCAACTTGTATGCTGTCGACATCCCGAGGTAATCCCTTCTCGTCAACATGCACCTGATCGGTGAACCCGAATCCATTAAGGATACCACCACGACCGGTCCAATTACAGACGGAATTAAGCGCATTTGCCAGACCACAGACAGCTTCAGCAAAATCCGGGTTGACTTTGACGGCTCTTTTGTAGTAGACAATGGCATCGTTGATGCGACCGGCATCTTTGACAGCGTTGGCAAGGTTGGCAAGGGCGATGTCAAAGTTTCCGTCGTACTGAACAGCCAACTCGTACATGCGAATGGCGGCATGAAGTTGGCCAATATCCTTCCATAGGCTACCCAGATTCGTGTATAGGTGTGCATGTTTCGGGTCGAGAGTCAAGCCATACGAATAATATGACAAAGCAAGCGCGATACCGCTGTCAGGGGCGACACCGGGTATCTGTGGTATGGAATTCTTGCTAGAAATGCTGCGAGGTCGTACCTTTCCGGGACCATTGTGCTGAATACTTGCGAGGAGAATGCCGACATTGTTCGCGGTGGACGGACTTGGTTGAAGCGACAAAGAGAGATAGTACAGAGCCAGAATATCTCTCACACCATTTGTGGCCGCCTTCGAAATACCACTGGCAGATATATTCGACATACCATCTTGGTATATCTTAGCCAGGGAAAGCAGAGAATTGCTGGTAGTTGAAATGGCAGCTTTCCTCGATAGTCCCTCGGCAACATACTCAAGACCAGGAGGGTATCCATACGGGGGGAAAACGAGAGTTGCTGTCTGAGTTGCTCGGTCTGGTGGAAGTAGGAGCGGGTTCCTGGCCATGTCGTCTTCACCGATCCGGCCATATCCATTTCGGGAGAAAGCGTCCACAATCTGCTTGATCAAGCCTTTGATTCCACGACACCTGCGGCCTGAGGCAATCAAGATAGACTCTTCAAATGCGGCAGCGGCACCTGCATTGTCTCCTAGAGCATAAAGCATATTGCCTTTGGCATGTACGAGTGCGAGAATTCTCCCATTGTCCGAACCGGGGATCGCAAATCCACTAGAAGCGAAGCCAGTGGAAATAGAGTCGTTGAGGTTGATCTTCATGGATAGTACTCGGTCTAAATCATTGTCATAATCGAAAGCCACGCGATCATATGAATTTGTACTTTCGGCATCGCTTTCAGTTTCACTTGCGTGTTCGTCAGAACGGAAATACTCGCCATTTTGTGGTACACGCAGACTGTTCTCGACGAATTTGATAATGTTGACAGCTTCTCTTCCACGATGACTAGTGCATAACAGATTAATTAGGTGTTCAACCGCTTCAAAGTGGCTAGGGCGTAATTTGACTGCACGCAGCCAATGCTGAAGTGCCTCTTCTTTTTGATCCAATGCGAGAAACGTTGCAGCGAGATTACTGATAGCTTCAACATGCCTGGTGTCTAGTTAGCACGTGCAGAAGAAATAATAAGCATAATGACGAACCTGGCATCTCGAGCGATGATTCTAGAATACCAACGTGTCGCCTTTTGATAGTCCCCAAGGCCATATGCCAAGCAGCCACCAAGCAGCATGCCATCAATCCATTCCCAATTACTTTCACTGCACAAATGAGACAGCAATTCCAAAGCAGATGCTGCGCTTGCCATGGTCGTGCTCTCCGATGGAACAGAGCCCGTCAATTGAGCTAATGAGGCACCAGAAGATTTGCGGATAGTGTGGAAGCCATCATTGAACTGCGGAGTCGTATGAGAGCGTTGATTGAACATGAGCCCAGACATGGGCCTCTCCAATTGTCGATTGAATGACTGACGATTCGAACCATGGGGGGATAGGTCAAATCTGGACGAAGGATAGCTATTGTGACGTGGCATGTCGATATGAGTAGAGAAATCCAATCCAGGTTGCCGCGGTGGTTTGGGAAAGATGGCGGGCTTCAAATTTCGCTGTGATTTGCCATCTGCAGACGAGTTCGAAAGGCTATTCTTCCTTGCATGATGAAGGCTTGCTAGAAGATCGACATATACACCATGGGCCCATGACAGAACTTTTTCTTTAAATTCGGCGGTTTGTACTCGTGCTTGAGGATCCGACAGAGATGGAGGAGCGCTATAGTTAGTGTGCGAAAGAGGTCTAGCAGGTGCATTATTCAACCCGCTAGCAGCACGGACATGATATGGAAGGTTGTTGCGATGCTGGTCTTTGATATTAGTCAAGGAAGGATGATGGGAATGGCGTGGAGGAAATTTGGTTTGCTGCAGCAAAACATCATTTTTACTCGCGTTGGATGGCAATTGATTCCAGGAAAAGCCCGAATCAGGGAAGTTTGACACGGAGTATGAGTTCTGATTAAGCATTGGGTTCTGTAGGTCGAACAAGCGGGCGGAGTTCCCGTCAGGTGAGAAAGCAGACCCAGCGCCGAAACGAGAATCTCTCTGAGCAGCGGGACGATATGGTATATAGGCACCATCAGGCCAGTAAGGACCATACGGACCAGTACCCACTGGTGCGGTTGGGCCGAGAAAAGATTGAAGGGATGCGGGGAGAACGGTAGGCACTGAAGGGCCATTATGCAGGTAATAAGCTGGCAACTGAGGTATGGGTGGTGATTGATGAAGGACAGAGTCCACACCCGGCTGCAAGTTGAGAGACCGAACCCAGCTCGGTCCTGTGGCGGCGCCTGGCTGATATTGCTCGACGGACAAGCTGTTATTACCGCTGCTGTGATTTTGACCGAAGTCTTGTTGGAAAGCCGGGGGAAAGTTTTGGTAGCTGAGCGACGAAACCTGTTCAACAGGCATAGACTGCCACGTATAGCTGTCGACCGAAGGAGTGGGATGTGACGATGGATGTTGCTGTCGTGAATCGAGAGAAGAAACTATGATATGTTTTGCCGCCGGCGGCTGGATTGCTCTATCGCCTGGGGTGCCATCATACCCTGCCGCCAAAGTTCCATTCGGCGTCTTCCTTCTCAAGGTATGTTCAGCTGTCTTCGTCACTTTGGTAGCATCAGGAGTGTCTGGATTGAGCGAAACCGGTCGTTGGATAGGATGAGGATATTCATTTCGGGACCTCGGTACAGATGCGGCGGAGTCTCGGTCGAGGTCTTGTAGGAAGGAACGATGGTGAAGGTCGTACGGGCGGCCTGAATCGTAGCCAAAGCGGCGGTCCATATGATGGTGTGGATGGAATTGCGACGGAAGAGCCATGGTGGGTAGCATACTGTCTGCAGTCAGCACTCACAGAACCTGCTGGTTCTGCGGCGACTAATGTCAATGTGGATCGTCGACGTCAATATGTTTTCGCAGTCGAGAATTGTTATCGTAACACAGGGAGTCTTCGGGTGATAAGAAGATTCGTTTGAGCGATAATCGGAAGTGTACTGGTAGGAATTTTCCGAGGTAACACTCCTCAATCATTCATCCACAGGCGTGATCTTTGAGTCGTTTTCGACACCGCATCATGAAGTGGTCGGTTCGTGGGAAACAGTCGGCTTCGGGCACATGTCTGATGAATCCGTAGCTGGTCTGGTTACAGTCGTTTAGTTTGGCAGGTCGGTCTGTCAAAAAGCGAGATGTTCCAGAAGGTATGAAGAAAGTAGGTATGAAGGAGAGATCAAGCGAGGGTAAATTCCTGGCAGACAACAACGCAAGGAGGGTCAGCGGCTAAGGCATCGCAGTGGACCAGTCAGAGGGCGCGATGCAGGTATCCGGGGAAGATGAGCCACTCACTCGGTTGCAGGGAAGGCGATGCAGGAGGCGTTGCACACCGAGAATGAGATAAAGGGTCGAAAGCAGGAAAAATAGACGGAGTTGATGGTTTGTATCGTGGTTTGTATCGTCCAGAATAGAGTGTCGTTATTGCAGTTCCCCAATAGTCAGCTCACACAACAAACGGCGAGAGACAGGCGGCAATCGAGCAAACAGCATGGAGCAAACAGGCGAGCAAGAAAAGAATCGAACAGAAAAGAACACAATCACAAAGTCATGATGGTGTTGGTCGTTACTCGTTAGTCCGATGTACATGGAGACGAGGATGGGGAAAGAGAAACAACAACGGCCAGAGATCCACTGAAGACCCAACCGTGATCACTGATCCGGATCAGCCTTGGCAGAGGATATCTAGCACGTAGGCTAGTAAATAAATACAGGGCTGCCTGGAGGGACCGGTGTGATGGAGTTGATGCAGGCTGGAGGGGCGGCTAGTCGCTAGTGTGCCAGGCATACGTAGGCCACTGGACTGACAGGTCGATCCATCCAACAGCTAGCGTTTCCCTACATACGTAGTGGTACATACTAATAGTACGCTTTGTCTATGCAATCAACAGACGCAGCCACTTCTTATTCACTGTCATTACTATTAATTACTGGCAATTGTTCATCATGTCCAAAATAATATACAGAGTACGTACACTATCCTCTATCGAGGACAATACACGCTCACTCATACAAGAAATACTAGGAGATACTAAGTAATACCCCCCACAAGGCTAATGCAGGCTATTCCCGCGTCATCAAATGGGCGGCGATCGCTCCCCCTCGATCGCATGCGCCCGCCTAGATTGGGAGCTTAGTGAAACGCACTTATTCTTGATACTACAGATTTATACTCTGGGATGTTTGCATCTCGATATACATAGTATGGGATTCATAACTTAGTATGCAAAATCTCCTATGTTGTTCGTGCTGTGCCTTGATCTCTGCCTTCCTTCTTACTCTCTCTCTGTGTCTGTCTGTCTGTCCATAGCTCCTCTTTCTCTCTGCTCGTTTTTCTTTTTTGTCGGTGGACCCGCCATCCCCACCGCCCCACTCCACCGTCCATGATTTCGTTGTTGGTCCATCACAACGTTGATCTTCCTGACATCGTCCTTCTCCCCCCATTGTACATAGTATGTATGTCGTATTACAGGTCTACCCACAGACACACCGCGACAGATAAGTCCAAAGGCTGACTGCAGCATGACTAAGACGGAGTCAGAGAGAACACCATGTCCTCACTTACGTAGTAAGCGAGAGAAACAAGAAGTGAATACGTGTGGCGTCAGCCCTTGTGGAGGTGGGCGGCAGCCGATCCGGTCACAGTGGACGCTTGGCTCCCCACCATTGGACGCTCGAGCGGGTCCTCGGCCCCAGGACATTCTCTTACTGTTTTACTCACCGTATGTGCTACGTAGGAGTACAACTCTCCCTGAACTTTTTCTGAATGGTTGACTGCTGGAATGAAATATAGTATGTAACTATTGAGGCCATTCATCAAAAAGTGCTGAGTAGTCATATTGTGCCATAATCTGGGAAGCCGAAGAATCAGCCTCAGTGTCCCACTGTACTCCATATTACGGAGCACGCACAAGGTTCATGCTAAGCTCGTGTGGAGATGAGCAGAGTCTCGCCCAGCCACAGATCCACCGCGGGAGTACCAATTGATTCCTTTGATTCTTACGGAGTACAGAGTGCAGAGTAATGATTGAATACGTCCTCCGTAGAGTGTGCCTCCTATCATCATTCTGGACTCGGTAACGCATTCTGAGGCTTGAACTTTAATTGCATCGTGCGCCCATAACCTTCCCAGGAAGTTGAATGCCTAACGCACAAGGCAGCCACAGCCTCAGGCCACTACCCTATAACGCACAGCGTTTGATTTGACAGTTGTAAATTGTGACCATCGGAGGATTACTGGACCTACGCACATTGGCAGATACATACATAGGATAGACGATTGTACAACGCACGAATCTATTTTCGTTTACGACTAACTTGAGGAAATGAAGTGAGCTTCACTGCCGGGGTTACCATCTCCGAGACATCCCTGGAACATTGTCAAAGCGCACGCAACTCTTTAATATCGATGGACAGGTTTGCTGTCGCACGCACCTTGGCATTCGGCGGGTATCAAAGGGCATGGATTTTCAACTATTGCCCTGTTTTTGGTTTGTCGGGACGGAGTGTTGATTGATCACTACGTATTTTATGCCAGATGTTAGTAAGCACTCTCTCTGTAACTACAGTATATATCAAATGTTGATGATGCATGAGAAACCTGTTGAATACCTGACCCACCTCATTTCCCCACGCTTTTCGACGGATCTACATTGAAGTCATGGTAGTACGTATCCGTCTCCATACAACTATGCACTAAGTCTTGAGGTACATTCTGTGAGATATTCAAGAGACCAAGTAACGTAGTGCTACGGATTCTGATAGAGCGGTTCAAATGACTCCTCAAATGTCTCCGGTGGACCTCGCGGAACGTTATGTGGAACCTTATTTCCATGCATACCTAGCCCTAATTATGCTTCTTGGCAGGTATGCCACACCGATCAAGCTACGAGATCAAATGCCATTGGACTGAGATTGAGTTTTTGGTGCTGTCATAGGTATTTTGGATTTGTGCTGAGTTTGAGTCGTTTTCTGTCATCGTCGATCTCGGGGGTCTCGCCCTCCCAACGACATACAAGCATATAACATGTCGAAACAAGCTCACAGTGTACATCACGATCATTCTCGCTTGCAGCTTCATGCCATACTAGATCTTCTAGTGGGCGCGCAGCTTTTTGGTCGAGTTGGTCATTCCCATACAACATAATTGATCAGTTAGCTGCATGTACACCACCACATATACTGTGATTATCGTACTTGTACATACGGTCCAGCCGTATTCACTTCGTGGAGCTTTCACTTCATAGAGTCAAGACCGCCCGTAACAGATACGCCTCCGTTTTGAACACACACTCATTCAAACTCACCACACCCGGCTCCGAGAACATCAAGAAAACATACATTAGCGTCTCTGCAAGCCAGGAGGACTCCATTCGATCCTGCTTGGGCGCGTTGGGGACTGTGCAGTCATCATTCAGACCGGTATGCGCAACGTCTGTGATGCTGTGTTGGATGATATTGTTGAACATGGTCCATGCTATTTTGGGGTAGTTTAGGTCGCCGATTATGCGGTAGAGAATATAGATTGGGTTGATTTATTCGGGTCTTTGGCGTTGTCTCTTTTTAGTGCGTGTTCATGTCTAGATCAGGAGAAGGATGTGGTATTGTAATGTGTATCGTGCATCGCCGATTTTCGATACACCGGGTGCCAGGCATCGAGATGCAATAGTTTCTCAAGCAGTTTTTTCAGGAAAAGCACTGGCAAGCTCGTGATGCCATTTTGATTTATCCCAGGGACAATTGGTGCGATCTTCACAAGCAACCGTATGTATAATATCCGGCATATTTTCCAACGGTGCACTCTCTTACCCCCAGAAGCAACCATCCACCAATTTGCGAGCCACAGACATATTTTCCCGATATCCTAACACTCTTGCTCCTGAAGCGACCATCCCACCCGCAAAACAGCTAAGGTTTTGAGGCTTTGGCTCGATTTTGGGATGTGCCATGCCATCCTGGTCGTACCATGACACGTCACCGGGTAGGAGTGCGTCTCGTCCGTCTTTAGTTATGGGTCGAAAGAAAATATTGTGTTTCATAGATGCCAAAGCACTCAGATATAAAGTTTGATATTGATGCAAGGCTCCACCTAGGAGGATCTATTGCTATCCATCATCAACGAGTGAGACACACAACAACAACATGGCGAGGAAATCAACTAACCTCCGCGAAATACTCATAAAGCGAGTCCACCATTCCCCCCATTGTAGACCCCGAAAATTCATGAGAGTTTGACACCTTTACACTGATCACAACAAGCCACAGACCGGGAACTTTAGTATGTTCCTACTACTCTTCAAACATTTCCATTATCCGCGGAACTGCATCAAACCATCGAGCATCCTTAGCTAATTGACTAGGCCTCGTAAACTCCAACGTGAGAGATCCGATCTCAACAACAAGCACATTCTCGTCAGCTGCTTGCGGATATAATTTTTCGCATCCTTGAATTCCCATCGTGTAATGGGCATTGTGTTCGGGGCGTCGTGGAGCATTTGACCGAGTTCAGTTGCATTTTGGAGAGGGATGGGGCATCGCCCATTGCTGATGTCGTAGGCACCTAGGACCCCTTAGGTATCTGGTTATTGTTTCGAAAACTTTGCTTTCTTTAAGTGAGCATGTCGTAAAGTCCAACTTTGCGACGGCGAGAACAGCTTCTTCTAATTCATCCTTCAAGCCCATATTCTATAAAGTGTCTGTCATACACTATGCATTAGCTGAATACTTTCATGAAGAATTGGGCAAGATCACAAACCTACTATATCCACAAGCGTCCAGCCCATTTTTCAAATGGGTCATGCGCCTGACCAGATTTGGGCGCAACTTCATCACTCATTCATGCATAATTTCGTTAGCCATTATGCGTAAATTTGCCTTTGACGGCATCTCATCGCGCTTTTCGTATAGCGCGTGTAGATGGGTCTTCTCTCAGGAAGATTGTGTTATATTTTTCGAATTCTGTTCGCAACAGGAGATGGAAAAGGCAGAGGTTTCTTCGTGGGATACTTTTCAGGTAATTGCGCCTAGAGGTAATTGTTGTTAAGATTTATTCTCGGCGGCTGTTGTGTAGATGTTGACTGGAGGGCTAATATTACAAAGACGTCGTCAACAAAAAGGGGCTAGAAGTCTCTCTAGTAGAAGTCTCTCTAGTAGAAGTCTCTCTAGTAGAAGTCTCTCTAGTAGAAGTCTCTCTAGTAGAAGTCTCTCTAGTAAGCTTGCAAACCCGTCGGACTATTACATAGTGACTGGTAACCGTACATAACATTTATTTTTGGGAACTCGACGAGCTTCCTGTATTTCCGGTGGGGCTTGATGCAGGAGTTCATTTTTGATTTCTGTTATAGATAACATTTAGTGGCTTTCTCTGACTTTGCGGTACGTTCATGAAATCTTCTTCTCTACTTGAGATTTTCGATTTTTTCAGGCAGTCTAAGATTGGCTGTACAATCCACAAGCGAATAGTGACTAATTTTTGATCTTAGAACATATTGATTTCATTAGATTGAATGGTCTTGTATTCGAAAGAGTAGATACACAAAAACATATCATGAATGTCAAATATGAGCTCTACTTTTGACCTCCGCAGATAAAGCTTGACCAATACGAGCGTCCACATTGCTGAACATTGCAGCGACAGCAGCCCGTAACTGAGGAGGGACAGTCTCAAGCGTCTCTGCAACGTTGGAAATCCACAATCGTCTCTCCTTATCGTCAAAGACTCTAGTCCACAACTCGCGTGGCTGGATGTAATCCTCGTCATCGAGATGAATCTCATTCTGGGCCAAGATAGCGTGACTCTCGATACGCTCGGTGACGGCCGAATTGTAAACAGCCTTCTGACTGACCCGGCCGGTGCCCAGTGTGCTGCGTACGTAGTTGGGCTCGCCACCGTAATTACGGGTAATGGTTCCATAGCCATCACGCTCAAAGGGGGCAAACACAGGACAGATAGCACGGTTGGGTGGGAGTTGAGTGTAGTTTACACCGAGGCGATATCGTGCGGCATCGGCATAGGCAAACATACGCGCTTGCAACACTACATAGCCTGTTAGAAACATGTAGATCAAGAACTACTTATAATACTTACTGGGATCCGGTGTCATGGCAACGCCCGGGACCATGTTAGCGGGAGTAAAGGCGGCTTGTTCAATCTCGGCAAAGTAGTTTTCAGGCTGGGTTTCAAGGTCAGTGTCCAAGATTCGCTATACATTTACATCTGGACAACACAACCTACATTTTTATTCAAAGTCATTTTGCCGACTTCAATCAACGGAAAGTCCTTGTGAGGCCAGACTTTGGTGATGTCAAAAAGAGCTCGGCCGTAGTTTTCGGCTTGTTCAGGCTCCATCACCTGCAAGTAGAGCTTCCAGCAAGGGTACTCTCCTCGAACAATGGCGTCCCAGAGGTCCTGACCGTGGAAGTCAGGGTTGACACCGGCCATTCGAGCGGCATCTTGTGCCGACCAAGAAGTGACTCCAGCGGTAGGCTTGAAGTGGAATTTGCAGTAGCGAATTTTACCATCAGCTGCAACGAGCTTGAAGGTATGTACGCCAAAACCTGTAACGCGGCGGATAGAGTCTGGCACGGTACGGGAGCCGAAGACGTGCATCAAAGCGTGGACACTTTCGGGTTGGTTGACATGAAAGTCCCAAAACTAAAAAGTTTAGATCAGTTAAAACCATTAACGGTAGGAATATTGGTGTGATACTTACCATAGTCCAATTTGGACGGTTAGTTGCAGGATCACGCTTGTGGCTTCGGTTGAGGGATGGGAATCTAATTGGGTCTCGAACGAAGAAAACAGGCTGTAACAGAGCGTATTAGTACAAGCAGCTTCTGAAATTCAGGCCCACTGTAMAATATGATTTCCAACGATGTCGTGGTTTCCCTCCTCTGTAAAGAACTTGACAGCAAAGCCTCGCACATCACGAACGGTGTCTGCAGCGCCACGCTCGCCGGCAGTTGTACTCAACCGCCAGAGGACCGGAGTCTTTTTTCCGACGGTATTCAGGAATTTTGCACATGTGTATTTGGAGATGTCATTGGTGACTTCGAATTCTCCCCACGCACCGGAGGCCTTCGCATGAACGACACTACGCCATATTAGCTCAATACCATCTGGACATGTTAAGAGATTTCAGACTCGCCGTTCGGGAATACGTTCACGATTAAAGTGTGCCAAAGTTTCAAGAAGCACCGTATCACCAAGTGTTGTGATGCTACCCCCGCCAAATGTAGGCAGTGTGACACTGACAGAGGGGTCTGAAATTGGATGGCCTGGAAGAGTCTTAGAGAGGAATGTTCAAGATTGTATCAATTATCGCACCTTCAGCCGTGGTAAAGCTAGGTTCGGACATTATAAAGATGATATTATTTTTAAAGCGCCTCCTTTTCGTATCGTCGTGGCGATAATAACAGTGAAGTTCCGAGTGAGCAGGATGGGCTGGGAATGAGAAGGATTTTATTATCCTAAAAACTACTCAGCCTTGTATATTTTAAATGCAAACCTCTCATTGCGAAGTCCATACCCATCAGCGACGATAACCGTAGTAAATCCTCTTAGGGCAAAGCGCTTCCCAAAGAGGAAATACTATTCTGCCGTGCTTTCTCCGAAGCAATTCCGTAAACGTTTTAGGGCTTCCGTAACTTCCGCTAGGTCCTTGACAGCATAATAACTTTACTAATTAGCTCAGGATTTTAGTTGGTATCTTCAGCGAATTTTGTAAGATGAGTAAAAGACCAAGGATAAATCTTGACTAATGACTAATTTGGAAGTAGGATAACCGCCTATAACCAAAATTTCCACTATGATTCTTCCTTCGTATATTCCCTTATTACATATGCCTTTTTCGGAAACAGTAAAAAGTTCAATTGTTTGGTCGAACGTTTCAAACGGCTCGAACGGCCACGATGCTGCACGGCGCATCAATTGGCGATATGAAATGTATGACGAAATGGCTTCGATTATGAGAGGAGAATAACATATATAAACAGACTGTTGGTCATCTGTTGTCTGTGGTTTTTGTGCTATCACCAGAGTTAAATATCTTAAGCTCATCGAACACCTTGGAATCAATAATCCGAATCCCTTTCTACGACATCGACTTTCATACGAAAACGCAGTTTTTTCGATAATACAGATTTTATAAACAGATATGGCTTTTGTTGCTGATGGAAACACATTCGACTTCATCGTCGTCGGCGGTGGTACAGCCGGCAATGCTGTTGCTGGTCGTCTAGCCGAGAACCCACATGTCCGCGTCCTCGTTGTTGAGGCCGGTATCCCCAACCCCGATCAAATTGAGGAAATTACCACGCCATCAAAAGCCTTTACTCTAAGGGGCAGCAAATATGACTGGGCTTACAAGACGACCATGATCAAGCGCGACGACTACGAACGAATTGAGAAGCCTAACACCCGTGGCAAGACACTTGGTGGAAGTTCATGTGCTAATTACTTCACATGGATCCCTGGTTCAAAGCCTACCTTTGATGACTGGGAGCAGTTCGGTGGATCTGACTGGACCTGGGACAATTGCGTTGAATATCTTCGCAAGTGTGCCACCTACCATGACGACGAGAAGCTTTACTCTTCCGACCTCAAGAAGATCGGGACGGGCGGCCCCGTCAATATCTCCCATGCGGACCTGGTCCCTGAGATGAAGCGCTTCCGTGATGCTCTCACCCAGGCTTGGCTTGATAAAGGTGGTGTGTTGACTGAAGACATCTACTCTGGTGAGATGCGGGGTCTAACACACTGTGTCGACACTATCTACAAGGGCGAGCGCCAAGGTAGCTTTCTATACCTCAAGGATAAACCCAATGTCACCATCTTATATGGTGTCAACTCCAAGAAGTTGATCATTGACCCCGTAACCAAAGTCTGCTCTGGTGTTACCGTCATCAGCGAAGCCCACGGTACCGAAATCAGCGTCTATGCAAGCCGCGAAGTCATTGTCTCTCAAGGTGTCTTTGAAACCCCCAAGCTGCTATTGCTTAGTGGTATTGGGCCCGCATCTGAACTTTCCAAGCATGGTATTGAACCCGTTATTGTTTCTCCACATGTTGGACAACACTTGTTGGATCACCCCATTGTCCCTTTTGTCCTTCAGCTCAAGGATGGATATGGTCTCGATGACCACATCCTCCGCCCAGGTCCTCTCAACGATGCTGCCGTATCGACTTATAAAAGGGACAAGACTGGACCTGCTAGCTCTGGGTTCTTGGAACTTGTCGGTTTCCCCCGTATTGATGAACGCCTGAACAAGTACGCCGAGTACCGTGAGGCCAAAGTGGCCAATGGTGGGCTAGACCCCTTTGGACCTGCTGGTCAGCCTCATTTTGAGATTGACTTTGTCGGTCTCTGGAGCAGCGCCTTCCAATGGCACTTCCCTATGCCTGAAAAGGGAAGTTACATGACCGTCATTGTGGATTTGCTTCGTCCTCTGTCAGAAGGTCAAGTTACGCTTAATAGCACCAATGCTCTTAGCCAGCCCAACGTCAACCTCAACTTTTTTGGTAACGATCTGGATATCTTGGCCATGCGTGAAGGTGTCAGATGGACCTACGACGTCTTGACACAGGGTGCTGGCTTCAAGGATATTGTCGTCTCTGAATACCCATGGAGGATGCCACTTGATTCTGATGACGACATGAAGCGTGCTGTCTTGGATCGCAGCCAGACTGGTTTCCGTAAGTTCTGCTCGCCTGTTATCTTTATTTACACATGCACTAATGTTATTTGAGATCCTTGCGGTACTGCGCGTCTCTCCAAGAACATCCAGCAGGGTGTTGTCGATCCCAAGCTACGTGTCCACGGAATCAAGAACCTCCGTATCGCCGATGCATCCATTATCCCTGTTATTCCTGACTGCCGTATACAGAATTCCGTCTACATGATTGGAGAGAAGGTTAGTGAGATACTTTCACGTATTCATTGCTCGAGAACTAACTCATATATTTTAGGCTGCCGATATAATCAAAGCTGAGCACACGGACCTTTTCGCTTCCAAAAATGTGCCTTACTTCGTTTCTACAAGCAAGCTATAGGCTAAGATATGTTGCCTATTATCTGTTTAGATCAATGTCTACTCCTCTATTCAGCTATTTGATCTGTACAATTTGTTTTCTTGGTGACTTCTGTTCTTCGTTTATGTTTCATCCTTATTCTCTAAGCATAATTCGTACGATCACATATGAAATTGAACTACAATTAATTGAACTAATATTTTTCGGACGTGATTTTTCAAAGGAAAATTTCCAGTGATGGTCTGAAAAGGTCCACGCTGTACCAGTGTAGAATTTTCAAGTGATCATAAATAACGCTTGATAAGACTTTACTTAATTCATTGGAATATTTCTAGGAATGACTAGATTTCTTGATTGGTTCGAGGAATTCCATAAGGCGATCTGCAGTATGCCCTTCATACGACACCGGCACTGTCTCCGCTTCTCCATGGAGTTGTCTTATACATACGCATCGCGTCACTTTCGGCAGCCGTCTTCCGAGAAGGAGTGTCTGAAACTTTTGTGCTTGATGATCTACATGAAAAATACTGCTACCCATTGACATGCTCAAGAGCTATATATTGATAAGAACTTGGAGGTGGATAACATAACAGCACCCGTCCTAAATTACCTAGCTACCGATAAGTCCATTCAACCCCAAACCTTGAAAGACGCCATGGCCCCAATTGCAGTTCAAGAGCCTCAAGTTATTCAAGTTAATGAAAAATCAAATGAAGATCCCGCAGAGATATCCCCGAAGTGGTTGGAGCTCTGCAATAATAAACAAGCTGAAAGAGAAAGATCGATCCCAGCTGAGTGGAGGATTCCAGCAAGTCGTTTAACAACAGAAAAGAAAAACTTACTCGACGTGCCGGCGACTTGTGGTATTCTCACAGAAGAAGAAATTAAAATTACATCGGAGTTCAATGCAATAGAGCTCCTGGAACAGATCAAGAGCGGAAAATTGTCATCTGAGACTGTGACCGTAGCATTTTGCAAGAGAGCTGCTATTGCACAACAACTCGTGGGCACTTTCCTGAACTTGCAACTTTGACTTATGAAAGCTTTGAATGCTTACTGACAATTTTTCTATTAGGTCAACTGCTTGACCGAAATATTTTTTGACGAGGCCATCGCTAGAGCAAAGGCCCTTGATGAGGAGAGGAAACTACACCCCGAGTGGCCACTCAGACCACTGCATGGTCTACCAATCTCATTGAAAGACAGTTTTAAACTCAAAGGGAAAGATTCTTCGATTGGACTTGCATGTTTTGTGGGAAAGCCAGCAACAGCCAACTCTACACTTGTCGACCAACTCCTCTCCCTTGGCGCTATACTGTACTGCTTGTCGAGGTCGGGGATGAGAAACTGACTATTTTGCAGAGTTACCGGAAAACCATCGAAGAGACAGGCGAACCTCTTGTCCCATCTATGCAAAAAATAGGACTGCCAAACATCCCACACAGGAGCTTGGGAGATCTTGTACGCTTCAGTACTGCCCAGTTTACGGCGCGAATTGCATGGCATAAGATATGGAGGGCATTGCAACTAGATGCTATACTGATGCCTGTGGCACCACATACCGCTGTCCCAAAGGACACTTGGCGAGTCATCAACTATACGGGACTCTTTAACTTCCTAGATTATCCAGCCTGTACTATACCTGTTGGGCATGTGAATGAGCGGGATGTCCCTGATGGTGAGGCGAAATATGGTGCCATGGATGCTGCAGTCTACGGGCTTTGTAAGTTGTCTTCGATAAGAATCAAGTGATTTCTTTTGCTGACTGAACTATAGACACTGGGCCGGAGAAGTACAAGAATGTCCCCGTTTGTCTTCAGTTGGTTGGTGAGGCCCAGAACGACGAAGAATTTGCCGATTTTGCTGTGCAGGTTGATTCAGTTTTGAACCTCGGGGGCAACGAAGCGTAAAATAATGTTTTCATTAGTTCATGTCTAGTAAGCATTAAGAACTTGGATCTGAGTCACGTACAGCTGTATCATGTCGTTTTACAGATTAATTCAAAGGTTTAGCTTCTTTCAAGACACCATTCTGTACTGTGATCGCACTGAATGTGTAGCATTTGAACGACAACATGAAATCAAGACCTTCCTGATGAATACTCTAGGCACTAAAATCGAATTCATGTCAGAATCTTTATAGCTATGGTGGCCAATAAGCATACCTGAACGTCCCTGGCGACTACGCCGCATAGGGGCAAGATGAGCGCCCATATTTGTGGAACGCTCAAAACTGAGAGGGGTTTAGGGCCGACTGTTTTGCTAAGGCTACATCTGAGTCTATCTAACTTGTAGTGTTGCATACAGACCTTAAATATGACCTATTATTCTAAGTGAATAAATCTCAGTTTGCAAAAGCATTAAAAGGCAGGTATATCCAAGTGCTTGTCCTACTCGGTATCAATTTTTGAACAATCCCAAATCCACACACTTCCTAACCAAAAAAATGAAGTGTTTTTCAACAATTGCTTTTTTTAAAAACAAAAATAAAACCAAAAGAAAAAAAACCAAATGAAACATAGGCTCAAAGTGATAGTACTTTGCCTTCCGTACACTCATAGAATTGACAACTAGTGGCCAGCTCCCATGCGGAGTGGTTCTTTATCCTCCACTCCAAGAATTGCATCATGTCCCAAAGGTTGGTTAGTTGTGATCTGCTTATCATCAGATTTACCCAATCCAAGTTGTTCATCCGTCCAGATTGGTGGCTCAGTGGAGTTTAACGCATCAAGGATTTCAGCATCGACTTCCTGAGAAGTTAGCCAGTCCGTCTTTCTCTTGAGACCAAGCTCATTCCAAACAAACTCCAGGGCACTGATAAGTTGGTCTCTAAGCTCCGGTCCATGACCTGGGGTAGGTGTGACTCTTAAACGCTCTTGGCCAATAGGCACAGTTGGATAATTGATCGACTGGATATAGATGCCAAACTTCTCCAGCAACATATCGCTTGCCTGCTTGGCAGCCTTTGCATTACCCACAAGAATAGGAATAATGTGCGAAGGATTCTCGAGCACAGGGATGTCAATCGATTTCAAGGATTCCTTGACAGCCCTTGTATTGAGCTGTTGGAGACGCCTGTCATCGAGACACTTCCGCTGGTACTCCACCGAGGCCCGAGCTCCTGCGAGAACAGCGGGAGGCAATGAAGTCGTGAAGATGAAGCCTGGTGCTAGAGAACGGATGTAGTCGATAATTGATGCAGAAGCAGCTATATATCCTCCTATCCCGCCGTAAGCTTTCCCGAAAGTACCACTGATGATGTCCACTTGATCGAGGACTGTGCCTTTGTTCTGACCTGCTACATGTTTCCCCAGTCGAGGTGCTCTGCAACACCGGCGCCACTTGGTCCGTACATAGCTACGGCATGGACCTCATCGAGGAACGTGAGGGCACCATATCGACGAGCAAGCTGGCAAATCTCTTCGATCTTGCCTATTGAACCGCTCATTGAATACACAGACTCAAAAGCGATGATTTTTGGTTGGTCAAGTGGCAAATCACGTAGTTTAGCTTCCAGATCATCCAAATCATTGTGCCGAAAGATTTTCTTTTCTGCGCGAGAGTGTCTGATCCCTTCAATCATAGATGCGTGGTTCAATGCGTCGGATAGGAAGACGCAGTTCGGCAACTTGGAACCGAGGGTTGTCAGCGCAGCGCCATTTGCCACGTAGCAGGAGGAGAAAACGAGTCCCGCCTCTTTTTTATGCAGTTCAGCTACTTTTGACTCGAGCAATTCAACTTCTGTGTTGTTACCAGAGATGTTTCTCGTGCCTCCCGCGCCAGCCCCGTAACGATTGAGGGTGGTATGTATCGTATCGAGGACATGAGTATTTCGGCTCATTCCAAGATAATCATTTGCGCACCACACAGAGATCTTCTTCTCCTGACTGTTCTTAGCCAACGGGAATGAGTTTGCCAAACGATTGATGTTATTGAACGTTCTATAAGACCCGTCTCGTTTCTTCTGTTCGAGCTCAAGATCGCAGAAGGAGTCGTAGTCAAAGGTTTTGAGACATGATTCAGAAATTTCTGGGGCAACGTTTGATGCTGTAAAGTATCAATATAAAGCACATGAGAAGTCTATACAAGAAAAAAAAACTAACCATCTTTCCTTTGGGGGGAAGAGGCAATAGTGTTGTTTATCAATTCATTGTGCGTGCCTCTGTGTACTCTACTCAAACTTTGTTTCCTAGTATACTTGAGGGCACCACTACCCTGGCTCAAAGGTCTTGATTTTAGGAGTTTCCAGGAACTTGGGGAAAGTCGTATCATTTTGGCAGACTTTTATGCTAAGAAAGGAAGGAGTATGTAGGCCGTACCAACAATTCTAAGCCTACCATGAGCCTGGCATTGGTGGTTTAAGAAGGCATCAACATCACAGACATTTTACGAGCACTCAAAGTACTGCAAGTATTCAGCACGCCATCAAGTAAGGCGTGCAGATCATCTCTTCCTGCATTATTCCGAAGCCCTGTTCCGAGTGCCGGGGTGGCATTGCGGGCCTCGGAACAGCCATACCGTGACAACTAATGGGTTTGCAGAAATAAGAAACGACAACTCAAATTGGAATGACACCTTGTCACTAATGGATCGATATTGCTAAATTATTTCGTGTCCGATGCGCGCTGGTTCTATCATAGTCACCTCCGACTCCTCTTGTTCCAAGCTTAGATGTTATAATCGATATCAAGATGTTCTTCAACTTCTCCGTCACGATTCTCATACTGATTGCAGTGATCTCATTCTCATTCTACAAACTGGCATCATTATGGATTTTTCGCCCCAAATCGAATTCTCCTGGTCGTTCAATTCCATCTGCAACATATACGCTGCCTTTAGGTACGAATCTATTGTGTAGAGTCTACTCAACCTAACACTTCTAACCCGCTGATTCCTCGCAGGTATTGACCTGATGTACCGAGCATTCCAACATATGCGCAACCATACCTTGTATGAATGGACAAATGAGATTCTTCAAGTGCCAGGTCGGACAATCGAGCTGAACCTGATGGGCTCCCGCATGGTTCTCACTGATCACCCTGAAAATGTCAAGACGATCATGTCTACGCAAGTTCGTCTTGAATTTGATAAAATGTGATCAAGAACTCACAAATTTATAGTTCTCGAGCTTTGTCAAGGGAGAAACATCACATAAAATGTTTCAAAACGTGCTTGGTGATTCCATATTCACTGGTAAGATAGATTATTCCACTATTAAGGGGAAGGAGCCCTAACAGCTACAGCCGATGGCCAATCATGGCTAAATAGTAAAGATCTGCTTCGACCACACGTAAGAATTGTCTAAAATAATTCCACCTTGAAGTACCGAAATATATTAAGTGAGCCTAGATTTCTAAACAACGCCCGAATGATCTAGAAGTCACCGAAAAGCACTTCAAAATACTTCTTGCCAGGTTAAAAGCAGAAAAGGTTACCTGGACGTGAATTCTCTCTTTGACCGGTACCAGGCGAAGGTCGCGATGGAAATCTTCCTCGGACAACTTCCAGGCGTAATGGACAAGGAGAGCGAGCAGTTTACCAATGCAGTGAATAGACTATTGCATATTAACTCGATTCGCACGATTTTTGGGTAAGCAACAGACAATAACCCTAAGCACGCAGAGTTTTCTAACAGTGCATCTAGACCCATTGCTCTTCTCTGCCCTGACTGGGTTTTTGAGCCACAAGCCTACAAAGATTATAAAACGTACCTCGAGCGTCTTGTCTCTGAAAACGTGGTGCAAGACAAAGAAAGAAATACACTGAAGGATGGAAATGAGTTGAATCTCATGAGGGCGTTAATTTTGAATCAAGTTGGCGTCAAGGTAAGATGTATGATTGTAGTTTATCATGCTACAGATGCTAAAATACCGCAGCAAGTCAGAGCGCAGCTTGTAGCTGTGGTAGTAGCCGCAAAGGTTCGATCAAAAGATACACTCCCTAGGTAATTGCAATATAGTTTGAAACTTACAGGTTCAATCTAGGATCCTCCTTCCATTGCTATGTCGTGGATGGTATATGAGCTGGCACGACATCCGGAAGTCGTGCAACGCTTACGGGAGGAGATTCACAAAGTGTAAGTCTCATTGACTAAATCTTGAGTCCACAGAATAGATACATATAGCCGAACAACTGATATCATTCAGCGTTGGTTTTACCACACCTCCAACAGCTGGACAACTTAAGCAGATGCCCTTTCTCCAGAACGTTATCAAAGAGACATTACGTCTATACCACCCATGTACCTCCCCGATCAATATGATATTACTATGAATAAATACGCTGACTTAGGTTTAGTGGGAATGAACATCCGCCACGTGAAGGTTAACACATCCTTCCCGACTGGTGGCGGCCCTTCCGGCCGSGAGCCGGTGCATCTCCTGGCAGGTGAACGAGTTGGTATGGCATACAGCCGCACTTGATCATCATGTCCCAGGAACTTGTAGTTAACTCGAAAATAGCGTACTCTGTCATGGGTCTACAGAGAAATCCAGACATCGTCGGGCCCGACGCTGACCAGTGGCGACCTTCCAGGTGGGAGACGTGGACTCCCAGCACTTCAGAATTCATCCCTTTCAATATGGGGCCTCGAATTTGCCTTGGACGAAATCACGGTTTGCAACAGATTGAGTACGTGTTCGTACGGCTGTTACAGGAGTTTGAGAAAGTGCTATGCACGAATGAGAGGGCGCCAGGCATCAAGGTAGAGATGAATACCAAGCCAGCGGAGCCGATCATGTGTCAATTTAAGTAGATTAAAGAAATACAACGAAAAGTACGTAGTAAAGACAGCCCAGACATGGTTTTGTCTGATATTTGGAAACTGAGGGTATTTGCCTTTATTTCAAATGTCAAATTTTATTTTGCTCTGTAGACAAAACGAACACTCAAGCACCCGGAGCTGCCCGGAATGCTCAGCGTGTTCCAGGGGCTAACCAGCCAGGTCTCCCATAATTCTAGTTACCATCCCACCTTGACCAAAATTTGCCGAATAGCCAAGAAAGTAAGCATATAGTTTCATCAATTGATTTTAAACCCATTTATGCATAGTTTCAGAAGCCTCTACATTACGCAATGTTCGAACAAGCACCACGTCAGTAGTTTAATTTATGAGGGTCTAGTAAAAGGTAGTCTTGATCAGTATAGGCCATCAAGTATTTACTATGGTCCAGCCGCCTCTCTATTTCGGCCAGGGTCTTCACCACTTCTTGAAAGTGACTCTAGACTCTCAGCTACCGTAGACCGTAATATCTCTAAAGCAGATGTCTCCAAGGAAATGCCGGATTAGATTTGAGCCTAAATATTCCTCCCTGTGGGTTAGCTTATAAAGCCAATGAAACAACGTGCTTTAGGTGGTACTCTAAGTACTATGGCCAATTGTATTCGATTGTGTGTTCTCCTCTTTTTCTATATGTACCAATGCGATGTGTACAGTCCTATTTCAATCGGAAAGCCGGGGTGGTATTTAAAAGTGATGGATGGTTTGCTAAATGATGAATAATGGTTCCATTTAGAGATTTGCTTCACTTTACGCCGCTCTTTCAGTTCTTGCCTGGAAAGACGCATATATGTTATTCTTGTTGGATAATTCTTTTGTATTTTAAGCGTCCGAGCTATATTGTACAATGGAAGCTTTTGAGCGGTTCTATATTATTCGAAATTTACGTCGATTCTCAGGGAGGCTTTCGGTACACCGTAGAGATTGGACATTACAATACAACATAATTAGCGCCAGGTAAGATATATCTAAAATAGCCCATTTCGTTAGCAAGCAAACTCTCCCCATTTTCAGAGCTAGGGACCGCCTTATTGAACAAGAACTCAATAGGAAAGAAGAGAGATACGAAATATGATCCGGAATCTCATTTAAGGATTGATATTTTGCGGTACGTATCCGCAGGAAAACGAGTGACCAGAGGACGCAAAAAAGATGAAAAGTGTGTCAAGAACAAACCCCGAGAAATACATTCATTCCCCAATCCCCCGAGTCGAGATGCTTATCTACTCAAATTTATGTGTCGGTGAGTGATATTTCAATCCCTGACCTATAGTCGAATGCCAGAGCCAAAAAAGGCGGCTTTCGATACACCCCTTTTCATTATACCAGCGTAATAATATCGGCTTCATATAAAGTGTTCACAATGCCAGTGGTGAGATCCTCAATCTTCCAATCGAATCTACATTAGCTACCAACTAACCCCGACAAGAATCTTAATCAAAGAGTAGGCCATACCTCATAGCGGTGTCTATGAGTGACACCGGTATCTTCAACGACTTCCCTGACGATGCCGGTATGGTCGTGCATTTCTGAAATAGGTTGATCAGGAACATTGAACAAAGTGTATTGGACATTTCGAAATATCGTCACTTACCGCCAGCAGGTCTGAAGCGAACACGCTGTCCAGCGACGTAGGTGGCCATTACTGTGGATTAACTTGTTCGATTTTGTCGAGGTATAGATGGATACTGTAAATTTTTAAGTCAAAGCTGTTGATAATTCTCAGATGTCTTGAAAATATGGGAGACTAATCGAGTGTGCTTTTATAACCTGTAAAGGCGGTATTGCATCATGTTTCTGTTGGCAATGGGGTTGCCACTGATCAATATGTTACGGATGTTGCTCCCGGGCCTAGAATCTAGCCATGGCCTCTTTTCCCATTTGGAAGAAGACTTCCGGATTATTCGCTGAATTTCCATCGAGACAGCAAATAATTGTTACTGCCAATTCCCAACTCTACCGAAAGGACATGTCTGACGGAGACGGAAGAGCTGTAGATATTCGGTAGCACCTAGAGATCGGAAAGTTGTCCCGGCCACGAATCAAAATCCCGCCTTATCAACCAATGAACTAAACTACTCCCACTGGTCTAGTCTTTCAAGCCTTAAGTTGCTAAGACTGTATCTGCCCTGACTTATCCAGTCCTGGTTGGACTTCACAGTCTTGCCGGAATCCCCAGTCCTGTCAGACGAGGCCGATATCAATCACTATTCGTCTGAATATGGGACAGCCATTTAGTATGTATATTTGCTGGGCAGTGCGGAAACAGATCATATGCTACTAAAATATGTCAATGTGAGACGACAGTAAAATTCAGATCGACCATTCGCATCTGGTCACCCCTGCGACCTGCATCTGAGGACGAAGGAAAACTCCCAATACTACTCCTGAATGACAATGACAAGAGTCAATTCAGCAAATAAATCGACGTTACTGCTATCCAGGCTTTAAAATTTATAAAGCAATTGCAGAAATTACCTATGTCGTGCCTGTCTAGTAATTATGTAATTCATAAGGCGCCAGTCGGCATAGGATCGAAAGTTTTCTGGAAGACACGCGGCCAGCTGTAGATATGGATCTACGGCTATAAAAGTGCCGTGGCTTCTATAATGGTACTGTTGGTTATCTCAGCGGTAACAAGAAGGGTTGTAAGCTACTATACATCTGTTCGTGAAACCCCAAACTAAGTTGATTGATCTGGTTGTGACACCAGGATATTGCTTTCCTTAAATCTGGCATTGAGTCATTCGAGCAGTATCTCACGTTTTAACAATCGTCTGGTTTGAGTGCAAAACTACCAAGATATCTACGACAACTTACTTTAGGCTGATACTTCGGAGGAACTCTGTATAGAACCCAGTTAACAGGAGCAACATGCAGATAATGCAAAAAGAAGGGATATAGGTCAATTAATTCTAGTGTGAAACCGGCTGAAACTAACTTTATGAAAGGCACGGCGTGGATCCACGGCACTACAAGTGATGGGCCGACAAACAGGTTGACTCAAAAATTCGTCATCCCATCTTCAGCTGCACCGGCACCAGCTGACCGGTCGGGTCTCATGGGAGCCGCTGCTGCCAGATGTCATCTGGGCCATTGAAGTCTAGAGTGCCTTATCGGCAAAGGCAAAGGCAAGCAGTAGCAGCGTCACTACAAAGGGTAAACTCTCATCGTCACCCATGATGTTCGAATATCTATGCGTGGGTTAGTGGAGGCTCAATCGATCGAATTATGGAGCACTTACACAGACTTCTCTAGATCCCTATTGTTTTTCACATGTCGCGGGTCAGACGAGAGTCAAGTTTTCCGACTTGATGTGCATACGTGTGACGAGGATCTCGAGAAAGCTATTCATAAACAGATGTCGTATCTTCGTAGTGGTGATTTTCATCTGAGCCCTTCTAGACCCCGCTCCTACCTGCGAAGATAGTAAGATGGTGGAAATATCCTCAGCCCTTACTATCTGTGACTGGTGACAAGTCAACCTCGAGTCTGTAGGAAATGGGGTGCGTGTTCGGAGATCTCAGTGTGAGTGTTCACGTGCTTGAAGCGGCGCCGCCGGGCGGCCACCGCCACGCAAATCTGTTACCTATATCATATCTAGGTAGGGCAAGGGCTTGAACTTCCGAAAATTTATATCTTCAATGTTATCGTAAGACCATTTGAACCGCCATCGTCCGCATGCAATTTTGCAAGTTTTTCTCCAGCTCATAGAGTGGATTTCTTTTTGCCAAACCTGAAAGCTTTTGGTTTATCAAGCCGCCTATATACATCGAGTTGGCGTAGTCTATCCCCAGTAATGTCTAGTCTATGTAACTAATTTCTAGCGATATCGCCTTTTTCTCTCAACATTGAGCGTGAATTTTATTGTAGACGTTTGCAGGCTTATTCGACCAGCCCGGAGGCAAACTTTGAACGCGCGCGGATCCTTGGGCCATACGCAATCAAGACCCAAGGCACGAGACTAAGCAAGATTGCAACGCCGCCTAGCATGCTGGAACCTCCTCCCCAGCCCAAGCCTTGGAAGATCTGCCGAGTGAACATTGTCTAAATATCGTTAATTGTTGCAAATAAGGGCAATGTTCTGTTCGAGGAGTCTTATCTTGACTTACGAAAGTACCCCCAGCAATATTTCGACAGAACGACATGGCTGCCATGGCACTGCTTGAGTATTGATGGTACGTATCTGCTAGGTAATTCACCACTGCCAGAATAATTGAGAATATTCCCATGGTGAGACAAAAAATTGCAAGCGTAGGCACAATCCAGTGGATATCCTCTCTACTTGTCCATCCAAACCAGAAGAGCCCAATGGGTAGCAGAATACTGCCTATCCCCGGATAATATAGTCGCTGCTCAGGTGTGAAGCTTGCTCTACCCGTCCGAGTACGAAATCTTTCGTATGCGATACTAAGCATAGCGGAGACGATAGCGCCAATGATTACAGACGCGAATGTAGCTCCTTGCTGTTGCTGGTTAAAACCGTAGACATTCTGATACATGTCCGGCAGAGCGCCGTACATGATCCAAAGGATGGCCCAGGCGAATGCCATCCAGAGTGAGAAAAAGAAGACCACAGGTTCCGTCAAAAGCAGATAAAATGGAAGGTATAGCGATGCCTGGATCATTTGACGGATGCTCTGCCTTTCTACATCTGCTCTAACGCGCCAGCGAATACGTTCCCCATTTGGCTGATTTGTGTTTTGACTTTTCTCGATTGATACATTCACATCGACATCCATGATGGAATGCCCTGCGTCCTCACACGCCTGATACCAGCTGTTTAGTAGATCGGCTTTTTTTCTCAGAGTAATATTCCCTCTTGTCTCTCTGAAGAAAAAAAGCATGGCAATAACAACCCCTGCGAGTTCTAGGGCACTGGCATAGAAAACCCAACGCCATGACGCATTCTGAGAGATGAATCCAGAAACAAGAGGCCCGAGGCCACAACCGATAACCACAAAGGTGGTGAAGAAGGTCATTGGGGTGTTTCGATCTTCAAATCGGTACATATCCTAGCGTCAATTAGTACTTGATTATGTGCCGTATGGTTTGCCATATAGAATGGAGCAAACTGGAATACACATACGGCAACTACACCACCAATTATTGCGCTGAATGTCGAACCTGCACACCCTGCTAGGAAGCGTGCGATCATCATACCGGCGAACGATCGGGTAACACCACAACACACAGAAAAGATGACAAACAGCACTCCCGTGGTGAGGAAGATTGGTCTGCGGCCATTGATCTCGCTAAGGGGTGCAAGAATCATGGGGGCCAAGGCGAACCCCACGGTGAAGATGAGCAGGCCTGAGTCAAGAGCGGTCTCGCTCAAATTCCAGTAAGAGGCCATCTCGGGAATTGGAGTTGCATAGCAGCCGCCGGCATAGGCTGTGAACATGGTCGCGACACAAGAAAGCGCCACCAACGTAGACTTTCTTGCTTGGCTCCATCTAAAGGGATCCGTGAGAGAAGACAAATCAGGGGGCGACAGCTGCTTTTCGACTCTGCCTTGAATTATAATGGGCGTCGTGATTGGGGTCAAATGCGTATCGAAAGTCAGGTAGCGGTATGTGATACTGCCATCAGGTACGCCATTGCGAGGCGAGGTCTCTTTGCCTACACCCATCATATACACATAAACAGCGAATATAACTATATGTAGGTATAAAGGTAAAAGCCAGGTGCAGAACTCTATTTCTTCCAGTGTATTTAGATTCCTTTCTCAATTCTAGATAATGGGGTTCAGGCTCAAATAAAGGAAACATTTGATGGCATAGAAGAACATGTTTATTGCAGCCAGTTAGGTATATTTACACGCTAATTGTTATCTTTTCAACTTACATCTCAATTATCAATCTGTTAGTCAAATATCCGATTGGACGGGTTCCATTCGACTAAAGAAAGCCAACATACACCCAAGTAACCCAACCATGCACGGTGCTGTACAGAGCAATAAAAATTGACACTATATTGGTGGAACAACAGGAACCTTGACAAAAACAATCCTTAATACATCCAATCACCAGGGCTACCGCCGAGAGCAGTACATCGGGTCAGTGAAATCCGGGTGGACTAGCGAGCACAATACCTACTAATTGATTAACAAATTTCCACCCGGGTCTAAAACATTGGTGTATCATATTCCTCACCAATGGCAATGAGCTATTGCTGCCAAAGGAGCGACAAGTTCGTGCGAAACTAACCCAAAATAGCACCCTCGCACGAGGCACTCAGCCCTCATGCAGTCACTGCAGCACAAAGAACTAAGCATTTAATTAGTTTGAGCTTTGTTTTGATGCTAATTGAAGAACTAGCCCCCCAAAATGTTGGATTCGTATAGCTGTTCGCCACGCCACTTGTACTGTACACMCCCCGGACAGGCAAGCCGATGTGGGATCCCGGATCTGGACCGAACTGTGCCATCTATATGTTTCTATCCCTGACAATAGAAGGATTCAAATGCCTACATCTATACCTTTTCCCCTCGTGGGCAGAGCTAACGTGGCTGTGAGAGGCCAGCACCTTACCTCTCGAGGAAGCTTAATGACAACGGAGGGCTGCTGAAGAACCCGTTGTACTACGTAAGAAGAAGAAGAAATATTACGCAATTTCTGAAGAACAGGGGTCTGTAAACGAGAAAGCTATCATCAGCTTTAAGAAATAATATAATGCGCAATCATCCTATGTAACTTATACTATCTAATAACACCCTATGATGATCAAGAAAGCTTGATTTCTGGGCTAACACAAAAGTCCGTTCTTATTGACTAGACACCGCATACTTTGACGAAATATCATTATCCTCCGTTGTCGACTAAATTAGTTATTGAGTTAATAGTTGTTGTATCAGTTCGTCGAACAGCTCAGGGATCAACATGGACCCTCCTAGGAAACCAGTGAGTATCCCCTCAAGTGCTGCATTACCTGATACCTGAAATTCAAGCAGTATACTAATTCTCTAGATGTGGTCGACTCATGACCCTGCTTGCAGTCACTGCCGCGTCAGGAAGATTCGATGCGGCCGAGAGCGGCCTCGCTGTACAAATTGCCAGCGGGATAATGTGTCTTGCGACTTTTCAGACACCGGGAAGCGAGTCAATCACATGAAGCTACTGTGGGTTTTCTCTGAGAGAAAATTTTTTTTCAATACTTACTCTTATTCTCAGTGTCAACAACTTTGGCGAGCTTGAGGAGCGGCTCACCACCATCGAAAAAGGCGTCAACAAGCTCATTGAGCTTTCACAGAGTCCACAGCGGTCTACGCCGCCTGAAGTCCTATTGGCGAGCGGCCAGCTTTCTGAAAAATTCCACAGACACTCAGAAACTGCAGGCAGGTACATCATCCAGATCCAAGACGATGGTACCGAATACTACCGTGGGCCATGCTCTCTGGAGTCACTGTGCTGTGAATTTCGGACTTTTATACAAGAACATACTAATGACCAGCGACCCCGTTATGCGATCCCAGCTGGTAGGCCCCTTAATAACGAGTATCCGGCGGTCGTCGACCAGTATTAAGTTATTAATGGCGCCAAAATTGATTAATATACAGGCTTTAATACTGTTGGTAAGTTGTATAATTGCATTTTCTTTCCTAAATTTCTCAACTATTGTACTTCATTCAAACGTTTTAGTCAAAAGAACTTGTTATCTTCTTCTATTAGTACGCCCTAACTTCGCGTATCATCTGCTAACTAGGCTTAGAGCATTGCTGCGGAACAGCATCTTGAGCCAGGCACATCTGAAGTTTTGCTAGGGCATGCCTGCACACTCGCAAAGCGGATGGGTCTCCATCAACGCCTAAAGAGTCCCAGCGATGGTACTCCTGCCGACTACGAAGAGCGCATGAAGGTGTTTCGCTCGCTTTTCTTACGAGACAAATCCCTATGCATCTCCCACAGCGCAAATTGTTGGCTACCCAGCGCACATTGTAGCATGTACCTAGATCTAGGCAAACGATTGTCGGCGTCAAAGATGGGTTCCATGCGTTTGCACTTGGCATTGCTACAGGAGGAAACTAGTACAATTCTCAGTTCGATGCAAGGACCAGATTCTAATTTACATGGAAATGCGACACTGAAGAAATTAGAGAAAGCGTTTGAGGAATGGTTAAATGAGTATGCTGAACTGAACGACCCGGGATCTACAGTCTCAATTGATCTGGTCATGGATTTATACGCGTGTCGCTTGGCGGCCCTACAGCACAGTTCCGATTCCAACCACCAAACTACATTGCTCTCGGATGCTCGGACAATCTGTCATCTACTATGCAAAAAAATGGAATTGTTGGAGAAAATGGCGATAAGCGATATTCAAGCGCTAGTGAATCCATCCACAGATTCTAAGAATCTGGTTGAAAACCCATCAAAACAAGAAATTGACAGGGTCATCGATCAAAGTGCATATCCATCATTTCCTCTCCGCAGCTTGGCCGAGAGCTTCTCTTGTGTCGGTTACTTCACAATCGTTAAGTGTATACTTTCGACGGAGTCAGAGGAAACGTGTCGAGGTGATCTTCGTCTGCTCCAATCAGTCTGTCAAATATTCAAAAAGAATGAGTTAAATACATTGGAGGACAATTATACACAGAAAATCCTCCGCACTTTCCAGGCACTACTTGCGATCGTATACAATACCAAACCTGAGCTTTTCCAAGACCAACAACCAGACTTTTGCGAGGATATTTTCCTCAACAGTCTCGTCGGTCAATCAGACAATCCGACAAGTCACAGCAGCTCCAAGACTACTATATCAGAGTCGCCATCACCAAAGAGCGGTTTTGCTAAAGACAACGTTCAACGGTATCAGTCGGGTATCTTCGACATTGAATCGCTTTCGGCTAGTATGAGACAGAGCCCTTTCGATCTTAACATGCTAGAATCCTTTAATTTTGACGGAAAAATGGACTTTCAAGACGATACGATGGCTCAGCTTGTTGCACCTCTAAACAAGGAGTCCGGAAATAAACGACCGAGGTTATCCACACCCGAGACGACAATGCTACCTCTCACATTCTCCTTCCCGACTGACTTGAACTCACCGCTGATGACTGAGATGCAGAACACCATGCAAATGTGGCAATAAGGAGGATCAGAGAAATACTGCATTAGAGTAAATTCATATATGGTTCTTGGCTGTTTATGTCTGATGTTTCTCTTTTTCCTTACTAAGGTTGGCCTCGGCGATTCCAAGAACACGGTATTTGTTCCTAAGCCATATAGATTCATGTAAACAGCCACAGTGGTATCTAATCGCTATTGAGAAATAGAAATCTAGTTAAAATTCGGTTCATCGTGGCTGGATCATTGATGCTTGGGGTAGTTCCCTATACTATTGCTATCGTGGCTCCAACCAACCGGAAAATGATGAAGAGGCACGCGGAGCTGACAGCAAAGTCGGGCAAGAAGGAGGAGACGGCGGCTACTACCGCAGAAGCCAAAATACTTGTCAAGAAGTGGGAATTTTTGAATTATGGGCGCATGTTACTTCCTCTGACCGGAGCTATACTGACCTGGAGGGCCTGACGCAAGGGAAAACCGTTTATTCTAGGTGGAAAGTTGTAATCAACCTTGGAAGTTTGAATGGATAGATACGTAGGTACTGGTTAGACACATGTGCAAGAAAGAAGATGTCTAAGATGTATTTAGATGAGCGCGGAGCAGGAAACTATCATACAGAGGAAGATAATCTGTAGACTTGTTAGATTCGACTCGAATTTCTCAAATTTCTTCCCATACCTCAGATCATACAATAGAAATAGCTCACCCATCAATTCCCGGGTAATAACAAAGAGCTGGCAAGTTGATCTCATAGGGGAGCAGTTAGGGCTAGCATGCGATGGCCGGGCCGAGGGATCCACCTTGGATACCGCTTTAGGTTCTTTCGCGCGAATCATCCATTTCAGGATTAGTATGCTTTCCACTTTGGGTGATTTGGCTAAATAGGAGGAAGAATTAGAAAGACTTTTTAAATTGGCAGCGCGTTCGATATATTCAATCTATACAATGGTAAATATTCTTCGTCAGACTACGAGAACTTTCTGCCTGCTAGCGTTGCTGAGTCCCTACTGTCGTACTAAGTCACACTCTCCACCGTCCATTGGAAAGAAATGTCGGATTCTACCATCAACGACAAGGAATCTGAAATGGAGGCAACCCAGAACATTCTCTCGGACGATCCCGAAGTGGTGGATGAAGTTAAAAAGACGGAAGAAAGTAATGGCTCTCAAGTGGTTGGTTGGGACGGAGACAACGACGAGCTGAATCCGATGAATTGGCCAGCCGGTAGGAAATGGGGGACTGTTGCATTAGTCTCTCTAATGACGTTTATTACGTGAGATGATATTTACTCATGGCTTGATGTTTACATGATTCCGTGTTCTAACGTAACAATCAGTCCTCTAGCATCATCTATGTTCTCCCCGGGTGTTTATCAAGTTATGGACGAATTCCATTCGTCCAGCACCATTCTTAGCGAAATCGTTGTCACAGTGTACGTCCTCGGATTCGCTATCGGGCCTCTCCTTGTCGGACCTTTGTCGGAAATATATGGCCGCAAATGGGTTTACCTCATTTCGTGCTTTGTGTTTTTCGCCTTCACCATTACCTGCGCTGTCAGTACCAATCTGAACATGTTGATTGCTTTTCGATTTCTGGCTGGATGTGCAGGATCCACGCCAACCATACTTGGGGGTGCTACAATTGGCGACATGTTTACGAAAGAGAAGAGAGGAGGAGCGATGGCCCTTTGGGGAATGGGCCCGCAACTTGCTCCTGCGATAGGGCCTGTGATAGGAGGATTCCTGTCCCAGGAACAAGGGTGGAGATGGGTCTTCTGGTTCCAAGCTATAATATCAGGGGTTGTCATGGCCGTTGGTTTTGTACTGCTACGCGAGACTTATGCGCCTGTCATCCTCGAGCATAAAGCCAAGAAATTGAGACATGAGACAGGAAACCAGGCGTTGAGGTCTTCGCTTCACGACTCGACGTTGACATCACAAATATGGACCAGGGCTATATTCCGGCCGATGAAAATGCTTCTGTGTTCACCCATTGTATTTTTGCTGTCCCTTTATGTCTCAGTTTTGTTCGGATATCTCTATCTTTTCATTGCAACATTTCCGTTGGTTTTCCAACAGCAGTACGGCTTCAGTGTGGGCATCAGTGGTCTTGCATATCTTGGACTTGGGATCGGCTCTTTCCTCGGGCTTGTTATCACAGGCAAGACAAGTGATGTGTTATATGGCAAACTATCGGAGAAGAATGGAGGGGCCTCAGCTCCAGAGTACCGACTCCCTCCTCTCATGTTGACAAGTCCACTTGTGACAATATCCTTCTTTTTATACGGATGGTCTGCCAACGCTCGCGTTCAGTGGATTGTACCAATCATCGGCACTGCACTCTTTTCGATGGGAATGATTCCTGCATTCGTAAGTCCTCTCTCCTTGACTGCGGATCATGGCCTATGAATTTCTCACGCTAATCTTACGTCTCAGATATCTATCAACATGTACCTTGTCGATACATTTGGCAAATATTCTGCATCCGCCCTAGCAGCGAGTAAGGTTCTTCAGTCAATCGTTGGAGCGTTTCTCCCTCTGGCTGGAAAACCTCTTTATGACAATCTTGGACTTGGTTGGGGCAATTCAGTGTTAGGGTTCATCGCGTTGTCCCTTGTCCCTGTCCCGTGGGCCTTCTTCAAATATGGAGCGATAATACGAACGAAGTTTCCCGTCACATTTTGAAGGTTCGATCAAAGAAATTTTGAATGGCTTTCGGCTAGTATGTAGAGCAGTTTCGGGGGATCAGTGATGGTGTGTAGAGATGGTGGTCTTTTTTTCCTCTTGCTTCAACTTCATGTTCTCTCCACATAATTCCTGTATCACAAAAATATGCATAGTTTTCCGAGATTGTAACGCAGTCTACCAGACACTTTTGCTCTAGACATTTACAATAGCGGCAGGTATAAACCATATCTACTGTCGAAATTTTTCCTACCATTTTGTATCTATAGATTCGAAAAGATTCTCTTCTCTTAATGCTCAAGCAATTTTACAGCCAGAAGAAAAGAGTACACACGCGAACTAGTAGGCAGAAAGTTTGAAAAATATCTGGGGCTTAGATATCCTGTAGACATTCCCATTTTGTCTGGTGTAGAGTATTAACAGTCTAGATTATTACATAGCACTTGTTTAATCAGATAAATACATGAAATGATCGTAAAATAGTCCACGACTCAATTCAATACCCCAAGCCCACCTTTAAGATATTCACCCAGAATCTGAGCCTAGGTAATAGTTAGTAATGTAAAAGAGGGTATGAAAAGATGAATGAACTCACATTCTTATTCGTCATCATAGTAAAATGATTGCCTCCCATAACCTGGCACGAGATTGCATTCTGACCCAGTAACTGTGCCCATCCGTTGTCGCCAAAATCGGTACGCTTGTCGAGCAACCATTTCATTGTTTTCGGCTCATCTTCGTCAGCTCGAGGTCGTTCGGCGCCATCCATGTTCTCGCAGACTCCTTCCTTTGCCCAGATAGCAATTGTTTCTGGTGCATTTCCACTTGGCATTGGAGCAGGCTCGTACTCTGCCAATTTTAAACACTGTATTCAAAATGAGGGATCAACCAGGATGGTGAAGAACCTGTTCCGCGACTACCTAGGAGGCCTATATCGTCAAAGAATTTGAAAAGGCGTGTCGGTAATGGCTTCAGTGCCACCGGGCAGGGGGAGCCGATGAGGAAAAGTTTAGAAACTTTCTCGCCCAGCGCCATAAGTTGTAGTGTAACTTCATATGCCATAACACCTCCAGCCGACCAGCCTCCAATGTAATACGGTCCCTTGGGCTGAATACGTCTTACTTCGTTTAGAAATAGCCGGCTAACATTACGCACTCCAATGGTATACTCGGTAGGATTCCTCATGAATGGGCAGTTTAGACCATATACCGCAACTGAATAGTGTAATGGAGAAATATGCATGTACGAAGTTGCAGAACCAGAGCCATCGGGAAGGAGAAACAGATTTCTTGTTGCTCGTTTGGCGTTTCCTTGTAATAAGAATGAGGTTGCAGGTGGGCAAGTCGAGAGATCAACCATTCCAGTGTTTAACATACTGTCGGATAGTGCAATTTGTGGTTGAGCAACTTGTCTTTGTGTGCCTGTAGCTCCTAAAAGATGATTTTGGGATACTTGTGGATTTGGCAGGGGCCGCAGGTCCAGCGCCTCTTCAGCTTGTTTGATGGTTGTGTGTGTCAGGAAAAAGGCAGAAGGTAGATTGATGGCGGCACTTTCTCTAAGAGATCCGATAATCATCAGGCTCATGAGAGAGTCCATACCCATTCCTGCCAGATCTGCATCATCAGTCACTTCCGCTATATCAATTCCCAATTCCTGCGCAATTAATTGGCGAATGACACTTGGCCCAGTATTTCCAAAAGATATGGAGGAATCTGCTATCTCATCATTATCACTAATGCTCGACTCAGGTGTTGTATTCTTGATGGAATCGTTCCCACTGCTAAGTGGAGTATTTGCTGGAGACGCCGCCGAGCTCGATGGATAGGTAATGGTCTCTTGGTGTTGCACAAGAAAATTTTGCATTTCGCCAATCGTTGAGAATTCAATAAAAAGCGTCGATGGAATATCAATATCAAGCTCTTCGCGGATTCTAGTTGTCATGGTTAGAGACATCAGAGAATCCACTCCAATGTTTTCGAAGGCTGTCTCCGACGTTAATTCAGACTGATCTAGTCCGGACTCGGTAGCGAGTATATCCATGACTTGCGACGCAAGAGATAAATGCTCTGCAATTGAGATGACAGTTGAGTCTTTTGTGGGCTTTGAGACAGGGAAAGCTCTGTTGGGCGTCTGCGTTTCCTTAATTGGTCTGGAAAGTGGTCCCAAATCTGTTGGTGGGAGGAAGGTATTCAACAGCTTCCGGGGAATCTGCTGGAATTTGACACCATTGACAACACCCACGATATTTTCATCTTCGAATATATAGACGTCCCCCGCCCTTATATTATTTGGTTGTGGCTGCATCCGAACATAACTTCGATACTTCTTCTCTGGCGAGAAAGGTTTGGCAAATCTCATGGCATTCCACCCATGCGAGATGTAGACGCTTTTCGCCGAGTCAATGAGATCTGTAGCATTGACTACAAATCCAGATATGTGGCACAGACTATCAATCCAATATGGAGAGGAAAAGAATGTTCCTGATTGTTGGTCCGTCTGAAATGATATCTGTGCAATTGCTCCAGTTTCCCTGTCGTTCAATATGATTTCTTCCATTCCACGGTAATTCTCATCGTAAGTCACTAAAGCCCTGAAAAGCTTGTAGGCGACACCACGCAAAATTTTGTGAGCAGTCCCGCTTTGAAGCTTCTGGTTCAGAAGATCAACCTGAGTTTGAACCAAGTATTGCGTCATCCTCCACGCATCAGTCCAATCAGCGATGTCTTCGTACTTGACAAGACATTTGCCATGCTCAAGAATGAGTTCTCCTTTAGGTGACACGCTTCGGAATCGTAGTTGTACCTGGTTTACTTCCAAGTCTGCAGTACCTTCGACCTCGATGTTTTGACCTTCGGGGGGTGGAGGCACTTTCGCAATGAGCGGTTTGCTGACTTCCATGTTGCAGACATTCATACCAATTTGTGGACCATCTGGTCTGAGTTGTTTATAAAAATAATCCGCTATCGTGAGAGCCATGTCTCCGTATAATGTTGAGGGACACAAAGGTGAGCCATTAACTATATGACCAGAAATAACTCGAGAAAGCATAGGATCCGCGAGATCAGATCGAACTATCATTTTCCCTGAATAAGTATGAAGCTCCTCATACACTATCTTTTGGCAGCTAGTCGTTGAAGGTTTGGAAGGCTTGGCAACCTCTTCAAGTTTCCGTGCTGATGTTGGCGATTCGCCTTTGGTGAGACACCAATCATTGTGATAATCAAGCCAATATGTCTTGTTGTTTAAGGCATAGGTAGGTAGAGCTAATAGCTCGTGACAGTGAGAAAAAGCAGCATGGTATTCGTTGAAGTTAACGCCCACTCCAGCATTGTAGATACTGCCAATGTTGGATGATATAGTTTTCCAGTTATTCTCGCCCTTCTTCAAGGAATGGGCAGTATTTGGGGAACCTTCCAAAGAATTTCTAATCATGTTAGAACATATAGGGTGAGACCCAATCTCAAGCCAGACCGACTTTCCAACGCCAAGCTCGTCAGAAGCAAATGTAGATAAAGCAGCACAAAAGTCAACAGTTTGGCGAGCGTGGCGAACGAGATATTCTGCGTCAATAATGCCTGCCTCGCGAACTATTTCCCCAGTAAGAGGAGAAAGTATCGGTATTTGGGGCCTTTTGTATGTGACTGAGCCGGCCAAAACATGGTAAGATTCGAGGATCGGGTCGACCTGCGCCGAATGGAAAGCATAAGGAAGCTCCAAGAGGGTAGTCTTGACACCACTTGCATTTAACCCTTCGTTGGCTATTTTCAGGGCATGCAAAGTGCCGGAAAGAACTGTCTCTGTCGGACTGTTCTTGCATGCTATTTCTAGCATGTCTGCGCCTAATATATCCTTCACAGTTTGCACACTAGCCTTGATGGCTAGCATACCGTGTGTGAATTCGGTGCAATGTGTGACTAGCAATTGTGCACGTTGGCCCACCAGATTTATCATGCTACTTGCTGAGATCACCCCTGCAATGCAAAGGGCAGCATATTCTCCTAAGCTATGTCCGATCACAGCTGAGGGTCTTACACCCCAGGATTCCCACACATGTGCAAGAGCAACTTGAATGCATACAAGTCCCAATTGAACAACAACTGGTGATAAGTTTGACAGATCTGTACCAGTAATGAATGGCAAAAAACTGGGCAGTCCTTGTCTGCAGGAAAGCTTATCTAGCTGGTCGATTTCATTCCTGAAGGGAAACAGGTTCGTGTATAGATCTCTACCAATTCCGACGTATTGTGCTCCTTGTCCGGTGAAAACAAAAAACACTTTCGTTGGCTGGACTGAGACCGGACTGTAAGTCTCCTTGATTTGTTTGACTAGGCCGGCTCTAACATCTATCACGTCTGAAGCAGCAACAAATACCCGATAAAGGTGTTGAATACGACGAGCTGTGGTCGTATACGACAAACTCGAAAGCTGCAATCCAGGATTTTTGTCCAGATATTCAATCAAATTATTGATGTTTCTTTTGAGTGAAGAAATTGATCTTGCAGTGACGGTAACGATATGGTAATTCCGGGGATCTTTTTTCTTTGGCGAGGCTCGCATCGGCCCATCTTCCAGGAGGACCGCTGAATTTCCCCCAGCAGCACTGAAGTTGTTCACCAAGAATTTCCGTTTTCCTTCAGACTTTCTTGGTATCTCCACTTGTTGAAAGGGGATATGGAAGTTCCGCCCAGTAAGGTCTCTGGGAAATGTTTGGTTTAGAATGCCCTTGACACCAACATTTGGAGGTATCAGATTTCTTTGCAACATCATGAGACAATTGATCATTGCGCTAATTCCTGAGGCAGCTTCACCGTGGCCAATGTTCGCCTTCAGAGACCCTAAGTATAAAGGTTGATTGTGCTTCCGAGGACGATTTCTTGGGGCAAATACGTTTGTTACTGAGGTCATCTCGATATTATCCCCAGCCTGTGTTCCAGTGCCATGCATCTCTATATAACTGACTTCACGAGCATCGACACCTGCTTCAGCAAGAACTTTTTTGTACAAGAACTCCTGCGCACCAGCATGGGGGTGGGTAATTGATATCGCATCGGCAGAATGATTCGTACCAGCACCAAGGATGCACCCTAGGATATTGTCGTTGTCTTTGATTGCGTCTTGGTAACGTTTTAATATCAGCGTACCACATCCGTCACCCCGACAATAACCATCCGCTGCGTTGTCAAACGTCTTACAAGAGCCAGTCTTTGATAAGAATTGACCTTTGCTAAGGCCGGCGAAGATATCAGGATTAGTAAGAACATTGACACCACCAGCACATGCTGTATCACATTCTCCGGCCCAGAGGGAGATGCATGCAAGTTGGATTGCAGCTAAACTTGAAGAACAAGCCGTGTCGATGCTATAAGATGGACCGCTGAATTTGAAAAAGTAATTTATACGGCCTGGAGCAAACGCCCTTACTCCACCAGTGATGAAGTAAGTATCAATATTCTCAGCAGCATTGATCTCTCTCCAACCATCAGAGGTCTGCCCGTAAAAAGTGCCAATTCGATTTAGCTTTGTCGAAGGCGTTCGATTAGGCACAAAGCCTGACATCTCTAACGCCTCATAAGCCGTGACTAATGCAAGCCTGCCCATGGGATCCGTCTGTGCAGCTTCTCGAGGCGACATACTGAAAAATTGGGGGTCAAAGAGACCAGGTTCTTTAATGAAGCACCCGTATGGAGTATGACTTTTATTTTTCCCCTTGCCTGTGGGATCATAGTGCGTTTCGGGATTGAATCTGTCTTTGGGGATTGTTTTGTGTACGTCTAACCCTTTTGTGAGAATATCCCAGAGCTCATCGTGATTTGCAGCTTCAGGAAAACGTCCAGCCATTCCGACAATCGCAATCTTGTCACTTTGAGACGTGAGGGTAACTCTTGGAGGTTCGTCATTGCTGGAGCTGTATCCTCCTCCAGAAAACTCTCAGTGTCAACAGCTCTGATGGAAGAAAATAAGCTGTTGGACAAATTGTTCGCACCAACCGAGATAACTTTGCTACCACTTGAAGCAGATAACTTTATGTCACGCGCAATAGTTTCAAGTAACTCGGTCCAGTGAACTGTGTGATAGAGTATGTCACTGACAGCAAGATGGAAGAGTTTGAGGGCATTCGTTCTTGGTGGCATTTTCCAGTGCCTGCTGAATAGAATTTTCCATTTGGTCGGTAGCTATTGACGATATTTTGAATATCTTCGTCCAGTATCAGGTTGACGTCCTCTGTTGAAAATATATGTCCCGCATGGTATGGTGCATAGACTGGCAGTGTGACTTTATTCTTGAGCCTAAACTTTGCTGACTCCTGGAAGAAGCGATCTGAGGTTGATGGAGGACCACTAATCGTGACAGTTGAAGGGCCAGAACAACTGATATAAAGCCGATGTAGAGAATCAGTTTTTTCATTCTGGTGAAAGTCGTTGAGAGTGGCCTCTGTCACTTCTGCACTGACATCTGCAACTATCGTAGACCAGCTTTCTTGAACCTCAACGTCATCTTCTATCGCATCCGCGGTTGTTCCTGCACATAGTCCAGCCCTAAATGCAACTCTAACTGCCGCATTACCGATAGGAATCAAGTCTACGAGGGAAGTGGAACAGAGAATAGCTGCGGCTGCCAGCGAGCCAGTACATATGCTTACACACTGTCGAGATGTCGAATGTGGAATAGCATCAGGTCTCCCTTCAAAATATCTAGGAGTCATCAATACCCATGTCTGTAATATTGGCTGTTACCACTTACTTGATGTACCATGCAATCTGTGCTATGGTAGTTAAAGCCCCTTCAAGCTCTGGAACCTTTTGGCCAGCCTCTTGATAGCCAGACAACAATTCTGAAAGTCTAAGAAACTGGGGGATTTTTTGGCGTCTGTGGTATGGAAGTTTCTGTGATTCGTCACGTAGAAGAGCAGTTGATCTCTCTATGAAAGTTGCAAGAATGGAATTGTCCTTTTGGATGGCCACACTCCTCAAAAAAGATGTCTGGTCAGAAGTCTGATCCCCAAAAAGAAGTATTGCCATTTTTTCCCTTATCCTAAGACAGTTGATGTCTATAGAGATTAATGAAATCAGATACCGATGTCTGAGGTCAAGGCTCACATATATGCAGGTTCATTGTAGATGCTCAATTGACAACCGGGTCCCAACCAAGACCATAATATACCACATGGACAATTAGCATCTGGTTAGCGCATTGCAGTACATGTAATCTCTTCCAAATTTGATTTTCTAACACTCGGCTCAAGGCGCGCGTGCGCCGAATACCATGTCTTTCCTTGCAAAGTGCGCAGCTATCTCATTAGATAACGCATGAAAGCTAAAATTTACATGCTGGCCAGTGCATTCTAGCTGTAACAGAGAACCCGACTAGCTACCTCATTGCAGCATGCAGTTAATTCCATGTCTACGATTCAGCCGCATCACGGCAGCCGAGAAGCGCGTCCGTACAATTTGTCTCGTGAGGTTCTCTACCAAGGTGAGTTCCAGTCACCTGGTTTTTACAAATAGCAGGGGGCAAAACGTTTTCTATCTATAAATAATGTAGGTAGTTGTCCCCATGCAGCTTGCTACAAAGTGACATAGGATATTGTAGGTGCGTGTGCTAGTATAGTATCTCTCCAGAGATATTCAAGAAATAGATTCTTTATTTCAAGTCAATGAACTCGATAAATGCGCGTGCTTTAATATCTATCTTAGATGGTCTTGTGAACATTCACAGCTTTAGACTATACGCGTTTGTTGCACCACATCGTATAAATCAGACTTTTTTTAGTCCTCTGTAGTACCTCAATCAAGAGTTTGATGCACGTTCATATGTGTTTTGATATAAATTTGACCTATATTCTGCTACCTTTTCTGCTGATACTAATCTATTTAAGCTGATCCTCCATTGACTCGCAAAACTTGCCCCGAAATCCACGAACTTGGCTTTCCACTTAAGAAAAGAAGTACCTCGGCAGTCTCTTCTGGAGTCCCAATTCGTTTATCGTTTATAGGGACTGAACCCCGCGATTGTCGTTATCAACTGCTCCGATTTACCCTTATAGAATAGTTCTGTTGCTGTTGGCCCTGGAGCCATACAGTTCACAGCAATTTCGCGACGTCCAAGATCCTTAGCCAGCAGCCGTGTCATTTGCTCCACAGCTCCCTTTGTGCTGCAATAGAGTAATTTGTCAGGAGGCACCTGAGATGTAGTCAAGAGAGATGTAGACACTAGTGTTATATGAGATCCAGGAGGCATATAAGGAGCTGCTTTCTAGACTTTGAATTAGATTGTATGTCCCTTCAGATTTGAATTTAAATGCAGCAACAAACCTGGACGAGAAAGAAGGGACCTTTGACGTTGATATTAAATGCGTCATCAAAGTCGGTTACGGTTGTATTAGCAAGTTCCTAGGCATTTTATGTGGTTATTATTTATTTTCGGTCTGCGGGGGCTTGAGATAAGACTCACTATGGCAGGAGATATACCTGCGTTTGCGATGATTATATCGATGCGTCCAAATCTCTCTACCACAGTTTGGATGACACTCGATATCGTCAATGTTTCCTGCATTGGATTTAATGCCGAGCACTTTATTTTCTCCAACCTCAGTGACTAGCTTCGTACAGGCACCCGAATCAGATGCGTATGTGAATACCACTTGACAGCCGGTTCTAGCAAGAGCTATAGTTGTCGCTCTTCCGATACCTTTGCTACCGCCTGTAACGATTGCAATTTTGCCCCAGAAGTAGTCCGTAGTCATGGTGCGAGGAATGATACAGCGAGCTTTAATTTTCGTGAAAGATAATGAACGAATAGATTTTTGAAGGTTCTGTTCCATAGTATTAATGGTAAGTACTTGACTCAGCGCTTACAACTCACATAAATCTTGTTTTGGTTTTAACCCATATGCAGCACGGCAACCGAAAGCCTACATAACAAATCACCGAGAATCTACAATGTTAGAACTATAGATACTTTACGAAGATTAGGCACTGTACCGTTTATCTTAGAGGCGGATTGTCTTGAGACTACCAGAGTAAGAAAACCTAATGTTGTCAGCTCTAATCTTCTTCGGAAGAATCAGCCTTACAACATCAACTCGTCGATAAGAGATATTCACGAGTAGAATCCATAATCAGAGTAGCTGTTATGTCGTTGAAAAGGGGTATATTAACTTTTTTGTTGGGCCGTGCAGCGTCTCGCTTTACATGCGGGCATCGGCACACAAGCCCCGTGGGAGACGGCAACTCGTGGCCACTTAGGGCTTATCTAGGGCTTTTGATAGAATGTGGCAGTTTTCAATATTATCATCATTATCTTTTGCAGTAATTTGATTGGTTTTGTGTTCTTGATTCGAAAACCTACACTTGTTTATCATTCTTCTGGTTCCCCGGTATGAACATTTCCAGTATCTGTTGTCTTTTTACCTTTCACCAAGTTGGCGCAGCCTGCCATATGACAGTAACATATTCCAGGTTTTTTTGAAGCGCCCTGACGACCAAAGCGTCATTTCCGTCCAAATGCGCTGGCTAATCTTCTCGAGGGCAGCGGCGACAGCCTCGAGCCTATTGACAAACGCCCTGCCACAGAATGTTACCAATGGTACGTTTCACGAGTCTAACTAACCTAGAAGCTGTAATCATTAACAATCATTGACAATTTAAATCTAGGCCAAAGTGTTCTAGGCACCCTTGACGCCCCTTTGCTCTCAGAGTACCTTCCAGGCCCCTTGAGCCACGGATATCCATGGGGGAACAGGACCGTGTGGAACACTGACCCAACAGACTTTCCAAACACCGGTATGAATGGATACGATTCTAGCTTGATAGCTAAGCTGATATGTTTGATCAGGCGTCACTCGATACTACAAATGGGAACTTTCTGTAGGTACGGTTGCGCCTGATGGCGTTCCCATGAATAATACCTTGTTGATCAATGGCGCATACCCTGGGCCTGTTATCGAGGCGAACTGGGGAGATTGGATTGAGGTTGAACTCACAAACAATCTTTGCTGCGAAGGTACCTCTTTGCATTGGTAAGCGCACTTCGTCGAGATAGGGAAGAAGGAGAAATCTAAGTAGCATCACGTTCTAACAATCTCAGGCACGGTCTGCTCCAACAGGAGACACCGTGGTTTGACGGAGTACCAGGTGTTACTCAATGTTCCATTGCTCCCAACTCTACTTTCACATACCGATTCAGAGCCGATCAGTATGGGACATCTTGGTGGCACTCGCATTATAGTGCGCAATATGTAGCTGCCGCTCAAGGACCTTTGATCATTCATGGGCCTACCAATGTTGATTATAATATTGATCTGGGACCTATTATGCTAAGCGACTGGTTTCATGAGGACTACTGGTGGCTTGTCAATGTCACGATGCTTCCCAACGGCTTTGGATCAGCAGGATTCTTCGCAGCCGATAGCATTCTCATCAACGGAAAGATGAATTACGACTGCAGTTTGACAACACTGCCTTGCACTGACAATGCTGGTGTTTCCAAATTCCAATTTCAGTCCGGCAAAAAGCATCGTCTCCGACTCATCAACAGTGGCTCGGAACCAATCATGAAATTCAGTATCGATGGACACAACCTGACTGTGATTGCAATCGATTTTGTACCAACAGTTCCTTACACTACCAATGTCGCGACCCTCGCCGTAGGTCAACGTACGGATATTATTGTCGAAGGAACCGGAAGTGCTGGAGATAGCTATTGGATGCGAGCTGATACTAGCCCTGACTGCTCCGATGTTGGCTCGACTAACCTGACCGGTCTGGCTGCTGTGTACTATGAACATACACCGACTGACGAGACACCTACCACCAACAGCTCCGTCACAAACGACCAACTTACAACCTGCGATAATGATGATATTAGTATTTCAGTGCCTGAGTATGCGATGGCAGTACCTGACCCTTCCCTCACTATCGAAATTCACTGTGTGTTGTGGAATAATGGCACGCACAATGTCTGGTACATGAACAACGTAACATTCCGTGCTGACTACAACGACCCTGATCTTCTGGAAGCGAAGCTTGGAAATACCACTTTCCCCGTGTCCGAAAATGTGTATGATTTTGGCACCAACTCAAGTGTCCGGATGATTGTATACAATCATATGGCTTTGGCATCTCACCCAATGCACATTCATGGCCATAATCTCTACATCCTGCAGACGGGTGTAGGACAATGGTACGACAACATGACACTCATCAACCCAAGTAACCCGCAGCGGCGAGATACGCCGAATGTACGAAAGGCGGTTGCAACTAATACAACTGCCGCATCAAGTGATTATCAAGGAGATCCTTCCTATGTTGTCGTCCAGTTCGACATAAATAATCCAGGTGTATGGCCATTCCACTGCCATATAGCCTGGCATGTTTCTGACGGATTTGTAATGAACATTCTCGAACGGCCAGATGATATTGTGAATAATGTAAATATTCCAGGTATTATGGCTCAAACATGTCGCGACTGGGCTGCATGGACGGGAGGGCATGTCGTGGACCAAATTGACTCGGGTCTGTAAATAGTCTTGATATATACCCTGAAAATTAATAAATGAACGCTTTTGACTTTACTTTCATGTCATTGAGCTTCAAAAAAAGGTTTGTCTCTCTACATACACAGGTTTTGATGTCTGAATCGAAACTATCAACTAATTTAGGGCTTAGGGTTGACCTTTGGGAAGCTACTTCATCGTTAGACACATGGTAAATATACCTATCGAGCACCAAAAGGGCTGTATAAGATCAGAAATTGTCGCCTCCTGGATCTCATTGTTCTGAACCAAAAAAAGAACTCATACAATGCTTTTTGATACTCTCATTACTCTGAAGGAAAGGGGGCTCATATAAACTTTTTAAATGTCCACGGACCCCTTGCCAGACGAGCTTATGTGAACGTTCCCATTGCCATGTGGTCTAATATGTACCCTGGTCACATGCAGGAACTGGGATAAAACATAGATGGCGTGGCATAACTAATAGCTGCTCTATCGACTAGCCGATCGTCCTTGTACTTATTCGCTCTGTACTTTGCGCTGGATATAGTCAGAAAACTAACAAAGTGATATGTGTCATTTTTTCTACGGCTCTGCGTATGACAGGCCTTGCAGGCGATTTCTGTATTCATACTTGTATATTGTTAGGGTTTTGTCAATTGTTAGGGTTAGGGTTAGTTATGGCGTTTTATATCAGGCTCTCAGTGCTTAGGGTCAGCTAGGCCCATCAAAGAGATATTATCACTAGGTACTAAGGTGCTAAGGGCCTAAAGCCGGATAAGCTTTCAGGAGCTGAGGAAATGTTGGAGCTGAGAATTACTGGCAATTATTATACGGCTGGAATACTCTTCGTTTAGATGCTAATAAATAGCAACCCACTAGTTCGCTGCAGCTCTCATTGGATGATAATCCCTGAATAAAAAAGAATTTAACAACAGGTTTGGTATGACTGCCGGAGAGTTTATTCTTCTAGACACGTCCCACTCGATTGTAATTTTCACTTGTTTTCCAACATCGCATCACGAAACGGTTAAAGATCGCCCGAAGTCGTCCGTCCACACTGAACATAGAGATAGAGGTTGTTTTTTTTTTCTTTCTTAGAAATCCACCTTACCGCACGCAATCTTATCTCCTGGCTATTTATACCTCCATACTAGATCGTCTGGTAGGCGCGAAACTTTTAATCAAGTTAGTCAAACCAACACACTGTCACAGTATACTTGGCCGTGTCGTTGAATCGAAATGAGCAAGCCATTCCTTGGTCCGGAGGCGCGACGACGACGCCAGGCCACCGCATGCGCGTCGTGTCGGGACCGTCGTGTAAGCATTTGTTTCTGCATTGTATCAAGATCAAGGGCCTTGTTCTCTGATTTTGGTCCTTTTTCTTTCGATAGGTCCGGTGCGATCGGTCGAGACCTGCGTGTATGCGATGCCTCAGAGGAGGACGGAGCTGCGAGTATACTAATAGCGCTGCTTCGACTATTGAATTTGTCCAATACAGCAACCTAGAAAATAGCATACCATCAAATTCTTCATCTGAAACGTGGACATCGGTGATCGAGCAGCAGCTTACGGACCAGTCCCCCCAGGGCACATCGACTACGCAAGTGAGTATGGTCAATCGCCGCTCTCATACCAAGAAATTGTCGAAGAAATATGTTGATGGTGAAAGAAGCAAATCACTTCACAAGCTAGATGCTCGCATAATAAATTATTGGTGAATTACCCATTCGTGCCCATCAATTCTCTCGGAGATGCTTTCGTTTCTTCTGTTTTCTTCAAACTACCCTCGCAGGACGAATGTCAACCCCTCTTTGAACATTTCGTTCTCACCATACACCCTACAATCCCCGTCTGTAGTATCCCGACATTGCGAACAACATACTCAAAATTTTGGAGTGATCTTTCGCCGACCACATCCGCCGAAGTGCTGCTTTTGATTTCAGCAATTCTATACACTAGCACATCCAATTCGGCCGGTCTAGAAACAAATCCTCGCTCGTCGGCTCTTTATGAACTTTACAGTGAGCTCGCACGTGCTCTTGATCTATCCTCTTACTATGCGACTCCCTCGCCGAGCTCCATCGTGCTCCTCCAGGGGGTTGTTATTATGAACACTTTTCGGGCTGGTCATCTTGCTCCATTCACCGCGTTCGGATTCTTGCCCCTCGCCATCCGCTTTGCGCAATTTTTACGCCTGCATGTGGATCTGACTACGGGTAATGATGTGGATCGAGACGTTCAGCGAAGGCTATGGTGGCACCTAGTGTTTCTCGACGTAGAATCCACTATAGCGAGTGGATTGCCTGCCATTATCTCTTCAGGAAGCCATACCACAAATATGCCGTCTATCGCTTGGAGTGACGCAGTGGTGGGCGATGAGGGCAACACTCTCTCATCGATGATGATCGCAATGCAGGGTCACCGGGAGTGGGCGTACCGCATGCAAATATGGTACGAACGGAAGCCCCGGCAGCATGAGATAGCATATTTCAACAAAATCATCGATAGCCTATTGAAGATGGTCGGCGATGATCATGAGAGCGAATGGGCGCGCATTTATCTTGAGATGCTAGTTGATCGTGCGTACTGCATGCTGGGGTTGAGATTCTGGCAGCTAGATCTGTTCAAGGGTATGGATTGTCACAGTGAAGTTGTAAGGTATGTGTATATAACCCACTCTCAAACCTGGCGATGTTAAAAACGGCTACAGTACCTCTCGGTCTTTTCTCAAGAAATTTTTGACACTCGCTATGCTCTCTCAACCACTGGGATATAACTGGTTTATCCCAGGGGTCATCCAACCTCTCCACGCTTTGATTATTCTGCTAGTGCATTTGGATGGCTGCATGTGCCCTAACGAAGAGGCTCGTCTCAGCAGAGACTTGGTCGATCAAGTTTTTAACTTACGGTTGGGTCGCATCTTGACGGGTGATACTTCTATCAACCCCACGACTCCGCGATTTATCAATCTCAGACAGCACAACTCAAGATACATGGCTTTGATAACACTCAAAACACGCGTTTGGCAAAAGTTGGGCTGGTCAAACCCTTACATCAGTTCACAAGATGGGATAGACAGAGGAAACCTGGAGGGTATAGCAAAGGCGCCTGACGATGAAAACCTCGATATTGGTATTAGTCACGATTATTCCACCGAAGATGACTCGATATCAGTTTTTTGGGACACTTTCACCGCAGGAGCCTCTCTGGATGCGGATATAAGCAATTGGGACGAGTGGAATCTTCTCTCTACTGGATTTTCAAATGAATAATACATGTATTCACTTGATACGGACTCCATTCGAGATGACTTCATATATCGTTCTGGAAATAAAATTTAAATTCGAAGCAGCAAGCTGAATATGCAGCTTGGATGTGTCGCCGGCCTGTGCTCTTACTAAGAAGCGCCACTTTTTGATCTAGACGCAATTAAGCCTCGTAAAATTTCTACATCCCTAGACAAAGGAAGAATCCCTAGGTGAGATGTTATCGTAGACTAATACCCGTGACTAAGACTGCTTAGCCCCCAGGGGCCTTATGACAAGACAGAGGTCAATAGCGGAAAATCATAGATATTTGTAAAGGTCCACTAACGCCTGGGTGCCAGCACTATAATATTACAGCGAGCTGTCATCTGCCCAAAACTTGAAGACATGTGTGATTACTATGAAGAAAAAATATCACTAAGAACAGAAAGGTGACTGTAGGCTACGGCCGTAGTAAGGCTAGGTTAGTAGAGCTTCTAGTATATAATGGTAAAAATACTAAAATTTCTTATATATTTCTAAATGATACAGTGTATTTTCACATTTAATTACAAATATAAACCATAGCTTTAAGACGTGTCAACGCTACTAAATGCACACAATACCTAGGTTCCAAGCCCAATTTTGGTCAAACCAATCCGTACACTTGTGGGCTCACTGTAAGCTAAACGTAGATTCGTGCTCTAGATTTATGCATGAGTGTATTATAAGCTGATTGCGGGATTGGCTAACCAGATGCGACATCAAATTGAGGCCTCGTAAGTGAGATCGTTAGCCCAAATTCGTACATGAGCCCGCATCAAATAAAATGAGGGATTCAGCACCAAATTCGACACTAAAATAACATTGAAACTAGCAGATATAGTCGAGTTACAGATGATATGGGGCCTAAAATATGAAGAAGCAGGATTCATGTATTCAGCCTGTTGATGTTTGCATGAAGTCAAATAATAAGGCAGCTGCACCAGACGTTAAATAACCAACGAACCATAACATTTGAAGGCCTTACCCATGAGATTTAAGTAGCATACAGGTGTGTGCTTAAAGGGTTACCTAGTCAACATCAAAATTCGAAAGTCACTGCCTATTTACAAATTAGTATAAGCATCTTAGCGGTTTAAGACTACTGCAAGATTACTAACTTGTAATATGACTAGTTTTCGTTCTATCTATGTACTATGCCTGTATTGTCATACTTTCTACCTATATAGTTACTATGAGGTGTAACGTATCCAGATTTTTTAAATAGCAGCAGCCTTATAGAGCGCATTTCTAATCACTGTGCATTGACTGGCCTGTCACCACATCCTTACAACATACTATCTGCCGATATTGATAAAGGCAATTTTATTAATCATGCTACATTGGTGACAAGATGACACGACGTACATGCATTGATGTAATTAACTCTATTAATATTATGTTGGGAGATACGTAGGCCCCCCCTGGGCTCCAACAGATTCCAAGATTGCCCACTAGTTGATAAGTTCCAACATTATGCACTAAACGGCATAGGCTATACAATATAGAATACACCCTATGCCCTTTTTACCACACGTGCTTGATTCCGCGGGCATACTATTCATACTAGCAGCTGTCATCATATACGGCACTGTACCATTAGATGTTGGCTAAGATTTCGTATACGAGAGGTAACAAATGAATTAACTGATTTTTGAATGTTTGAGTCATGGTTGTGAGAGCTGAACAGCCCATTCTTCAGACACCGAGATGATAGAACCATTATTGGTCATCCATTCAATGTTACCGATGCCTATATCGACCATAATGACAAAACTCGTAATTCGCATAATGTACATTTTTTCAATTTTTTGATTAATGCCACAACTCATATTTTTCTATTTAATATTGACTTTGTTTAACAGAAACGGCTTTGGATCATACATCAATAAATGCACAATAAGCCCATATCCAGGCTCAAATATAGCCTCGAATATGTGCTTGAATCTTGAGCGCGAATATGGACGCGGATACGCACTCTGAAACATAGATGCGCTAAGCGCTTTAATACACAAAAATAAATGGCAGTAAGAGCTAGAGTTACATACTAAAAACCTAAAATAGTTAGTCTACCTGATTTATTATCATTTCTTTTTCTGAATACGCGCAGTGCTTTCTTTTGAGTGCGTATCTGCGTCCATATTTGAGCACATTAACAATTGTGGAGATATGTATATTTTGTAAAATACGAATTTTGTCTTTATGATCGATATAGGCACCGGTAAATGTGTATAACCAACTCTAACAGGAATAAAGCCGCTGACCAGGATTGGGTGATGATGACATTTCTCTGGTCAAGTAGCTGGATATAAGTGGTGATTAGGTAAAGCCTCATATCAGTTCTGAGGTTCATAGACGTCTTTTCCTTGAAGTGCTGACATCTCCTGTTATAGTCGGTTTCATCTTTACCGTGTAGAATCTGTTGAACCCGTTCTCTCTTATACTTGCAAGGCACTGGCAAAGATGCAAAATGTGACTAGCTGTGGCATTGAATCTACAAACATATCTCAGAGATACCATTGCAACTTCCCAGGCTGCCGGAAGTCGTTTCAACACAGGGAGCATCTTAACAGACACTCTCAAAGCCACGGTGAGGTGCACACGCATGCTTGCACTGTTTGTGGAAGGTCCTATGCTCGCAGGTTCGCCTATAAACGAAGCCCTCCACTGCTACCCAGCATTTCAGAAGGAAACTAATACTCCGTAGAGATGTTTTAACCCGTCACATCAAGCAGCATCTCGTATCTCCTCCAAAACGGACAAACGTAGCATGCGATGAGTGTCAGGCTCGCAAAAAGAGGTGTGACGAAGGGATTCCATGCGAAAATTGCGGGTCGAATGGCTATGTCTGTCTTCGGACTCGTCATTCTCGAAAGTCACCTAGGTCACAGGTAAACAATTTATATAATTCAGATCTAACCATCGTACATTCGGGTCTCTATGAATCACCTCTCCAGGCACGTCCAGCACAACTCGGGTACGACATAGGTAATATGACAGTATTCGACACTAATGAATCTTATTATCGAGGGTATTTTTACCTCAAGTTCATTTGTACCAATGCCAAGTCCCTTCTCAGGGCGCATCTCCCATCTCCATCGGGCCAATTTGTCGACAACAAGCTGCTACTCTACTCGTTCAACAACAATACCAACGCGGGAAACCGCCTTTCCTGCACAGGACACTAAGAAGTCGGGAAATTTATACATGTCTCAATGCCAGTATTCTATTTCAGTGACAATCTCAGACTATAGCCAGTTGGAGCAAATTCTCAAGAACAGGCAATATGATATGGCGACTCTGGTACTGTTGTATTTCGAGACGGTCCACTTCTTATGGCCAATTCTGTATCGTCCGACATTTGATTTACAGACAGTGCCTTGGATACTATCAGCATCGATTGGTGTAATCATGACCTGGTTCACTAATGCAGAGTGGCATAAGATTATAGCCCATGCCACGACACGAGTATTCTCGCAGATACTAGCTCATTCCATAGTGGGTGTTTTTCTTTGACACTTGAATTGGCAGTACACTTCCAAGCTTTCAGTCGTTAACCTCAGCTCAGAATCAAAATCAGAACCATACAAGTCTGTCCACAGAGGACCTTTTCGCTCTACAGGCGTTGATTTTATTTGTCTATCATTTACTAGTTTGTGAGGTGAGTTTCCACTGATTCAAGCCTTGTATACTTACAAACGCTGGAATAATTACTAAGACCTGACTAGGAGTGCGTGCCGTCAATTGGTCTCGCCATGCACCTTTCTACATGGGCAATATGCCGTATCAATTTGACCAATCTCTCTCAACTACATCACAATTCAGTTCTGGATGGCTCAAAACTTCAGCGGGGTTGGGTCCTAACAGAGCAGTGGAAACGGTATATGAACTCTCAATATTTCACTTGCCTCTTGCTTCTATATGCTGATTATCCTGATGTACTGGCAGACTTTATTTTGCCCTTATTCGGCTGGATGCCTATATTAGCGTGGTGACTGGACGGCCAACACAACTGCGGCATCATGCCACCGGTATTCCTCTGCCGGTCTCTGAAGAAATGTGGAACGCTGCAACGCCGGAAGAAATGCAAGCTTTGCAGTGGATCGAGCCAAGCGAGCGAGGTCAACTGCGATTTAATCACCTTATCCGGGAATTTGTGTTGGAACCAAAATACCATGTTTCTTATATTCCCTTGAGCGACCTGGATCACCACCTCGTCCTCTGTGCTATGCAGGGAGAAATCTGGGAGGTACACCATACATCAAGTCACTGTTGTCCCGTTGCTATAGCTTCGTCAGGGGCCAATACCAAAGATTGTTTTACAATGCGTCGTGAAATGTACGCTTGGCATAAGCATTTTGACCGATTCCTCGCCTCCTCCTCTGGGAAAGGCATAGTGGGAATGAGTGCAAGGGTTCATTCTACTGGAATCGCCAATTGTCAATTTTCTTCGGTTTACTTCACCCCAGTACTCTATCATCTCGTCCCCATCTCACTATATTCCCACTCGCGGAAGCTTCATCATGACACCGAATGCATGCTATGCTCACCCGCATTCCACTCGCTCGGCTCCTCCTTAGTCCACTCTAGTATTTTCTCGTGGGCACAGTCACCGTCTGCACGGCGGGTCATTTTCAGTGCTGCATCAATATTTTCCATTCTTTGGCAAGACGCATTAATGTCGTCTAATCCGGGTCGATTACGCGGCGGTCTCGCGCTAAACCCAATGTCTGCAACGGCGCGAGTCTGTGCTCGGAAAGAGCTGTTGGAATATGCAAATTCGGTTGCAACGTGCCCTTTTTGTTGTGGTCCGGACGAGATGCCAGCAGAGCCCCTAGATCTGTTATCAATCGACCTCGCTGATTTGCGGGTGCAAGAGTGGATTGCGAACGGGGGGCCTGCAGCTTTAGGGAAATTGAACATTTGTAAATGCAATATTTCCAATATTGCAGCTCTTTTATATACATAGATTTTAGATTTTAGGTATCGTCAACTTGTCAAGTCGGTAGATTCTATCTATAATCAACGTACCAGAGTGGAGAAAGATTTCCTCTGGTGATTTCTCAGTTTACCCTTGGAATGCTGCAAGTTACTCGCCTAGTATATAGATACGAGAATATTTGATACAAGGGTAAGGCCTGGACAAGGTGAGTGTCAGTATCAGCTCCTATCAAGATACTAGACAATATTATTCAAGCTACAGAAATGTTATAATGTATCAATAATGTGACCACGTGATGTGGTTCTGGTTAGTTCTTATTGCAAGCCCTTACTACAAGCCCTAATACTAGAGCCGACATGATATTTTCAATTTCGTTCTGCAATTAAAAACTGTTTTAGAGATTTATCAGCGCTTGATTATACACAAGAGCGCCACAAATCTCATTTTCATGTTTGCTAACTGCTATGTACTATACTCAGGCATTTTATGGGGAGTATTATCACATATTTAAGGCTTAATTCCTTGCCATTCCGCACGAAATTTTAATCGAGAACATTTACTACAACATCAGTGGCGGGKACGCTATGGGATCTCTGCGGATTGGTGTTAATGTGAGTAACATTGTGGAGAACTTCAGAAGTGAGCATTTCAAAAGATTCGATGTATGAAATTGTATTATAACTAAAAGCACAGGCCATAATAATGCGTATGCTCTTGACTTCGATACCGCATGGAGCAGTATGTGCACTATGTCCGGGGATAGTATCTCCTATAACAATGTGACATTCAGCAACTTTGCCGGCACAGTGGTTGATGGCAAAGAGCGTGCTCCATTACGAGTCATCTGCCCTCCACTACAGCCATGCACTGAAGTCTATTGCGGATGTGAACCTTTGGGTCCAAGAGGGAAGCTATGAAATATGAGTATATGAGAATGCATATGGCTCTGGCTATTGTATCTCGGAAAGTACGTATGTCACGGCGAGTTATACTACTACGCTTTGGGTCGATGTTGCACCTATAGGTTACTCCGCGCCTACTATGACTGCTGATCTGGTAACGAGATTTGAGATAACGCTTGATACAAAAGCAAACCCATTCATGAGCAGTACAAGACCACATTTCGTTACACAATAACATCAATGAATTAGACAAGTAAATTACAGCAAACCAAACCCAAACCAAAGCACTAATAATAAGATCAGAAAAATCACACTTGGCACCACTAACACATGTTTTTTTTTCTTTCCCTTTTGCGTCATAGTGCTGTCCACCATTGTCTCATCGCCAGTAGACATATCCAAGAACTCATCATAATCATCAATGTCACTATCAGTTTCATACGATTCCTCCAGCCATTCTTCCTCACTGTCGTCTTCTAGATCCGGACCACTGTCTTCATGATCATCCGAGATGCCTAGACCGGTCTTGTCTGAGCCCTCGGCTGGTTTATAGCACCAGTCTATGTTTCCCTGATTAGCCTTCCCATAAGAAAGTGAAAAGTACTTCTCGATTAAAGCAACTGTTATCTGCACATCGACCACCAGCTTTAGTGGACGCTCCGACCATAACGGCTGTGGGGGTAACAAGTCCAGTCTGCCAGCAGACGGTACAAACAACGAGAGACATTGATAGTCTCTTCCCGATGTGGCCCAGTCTTAGGACACTTCGAGCTTTCCATGTTCCTGATACGTTAATGAGTAAAATTTAAAAAGTAAAAGGCAATACGTTCATCTTACCTGTACATAGTGATCAATCGTAGAAGCGATCTCATCCCAGGTACGGCCGTGAGTATGATCGGAGTCCTGGTCATAAAATCTGGCCAAGTATGCAACCCAGAAGTCAAATGCATTGTCAAATCTCGATTAATCATATCTTCATGTATTATGGTCAGGGGGCATTCGCGACGCGTTAGTGGACTCGAGCAAGCGCGCAAGTTCAGTCTTCGAAATCCGGTGGTTGAATGTCGTAGGTGGAACCACCCATTCACCGCGTGCGTTGTCAACCGCCATTTCAAATATAGCATAATGTCGAAGAACATTCAGAAGCCAGAGTTGTACTCGAAATCCGCTATCACGACAGTGAAAGGCCTCGTTGTCCAGGATTCTTCAATGAGATCGATTGATCCCGTCCGAGGGAAACAATTCATCCCATTGTCACCCAAGAGGTGCGATGGCGATTCCTTCGTTGCAGATCCTCAAACGTGCAAGGGTGACGCTGGAATTTGCAGAGTTCTTAGCTGTTCGGTATTCTGCCCTGATGTTGTGGATCTCAATTGTTCTTGGAAGAAGTTTGCAGCACAGAACCTCTTATGTCTGGGTATATTTCCGGCAGGAAATGGTGCTGAACAGAATGGACAGATCGGTAGCCCACAATCCGTGCGATGCTTGGGCATCTAATCCCTTAGAATATGCTTAGTACAACAAGAACAGACCATGATAGGTCGGATGTGTCCTGAGCTTCGTCCGGCGTCGGTTTCGCGGCAAAGATAACAAGTAGAGCATTCCGTCAGATGACTCTCGACCTTCTCGGCCAACATTGATTGCCAACAGCGATAGCACCGACGCTATTTGCAGGTCTTTCTGCGTTCAGCATACTCCGAGTATGGGATTCGAATTTTACGGCACGTGTTGCAGCGGTACAATTGGCAGCTTTGCTTGTGGATGTCCTTTTCTTCTCGGGTCATTCTTGTTTTATTACAGCCACTGCACACATGTGGCCTAAATGGACAAGCCTCAACATAGGATTCATACTCATCTTGAGGAAGCCTCCTTCTACATCTGCCGCATATCCGGTAATCACATTCTTCCATTTTGTGCTGATGTCGATTCGTCCTCAAAACTGGTCTGTGGCACATCGAGCACTCGAACATCTCGCAAGTACGCAAGTGCTCATACTTTTCTGTGCGAAGAACGGTCTTATGACACCTATAACAATAATCCTTTTCGCAGACGCTGGGGTACGTTTCCTTATCTCTGAGCGGAAGATTTTGATGACACTGGGGACACCTGAACATTTGACATACTCTCAAATGTGCCTCTTGCTTCTTCTCCCACCTCCGAAAGCCTGCCTTTACCGCTGCGGCCTTTGAGTCCTTCGGAGGAGCCATCGTTTTGATAGAGCTATATTCGCGAGGAGGGTTCAGCGGAGATAATGATCCAATTCGGTATTTGGAATGGCAGTACTGGAGAGGTAGATGGTCGTTTATCGGCCAAATTAAGTTGTCTCTGCGTACTGAGTAGCGAGACGAGTATATTCGCAAGTGGAATGGTAAGAGTGGAGGTCAGAAAGCTCACATATAAATAAAGGAGGAACCTTTGTAGTGTGGGAAAATTGCCTATCTGCGCCCGGCACTTCGCAAGGCCGTATTAGGAAACCGCCGTTTGGAGGTGTTACCCACAAATACCTGCTGACATCTGGCTGGACGGGAATTCCCTTCATAATATCTATTGTTTCTTTGTCGTCTAGGTGAACAGCCTCACATCCCACCATGTCCTTTTGCTTTGCTTTGTCCAATCATCACCAACAGACGATGCATCAATGTCCTTGAGTATTGGCAATCGCAGTATGAGGTCTCGTACTACTCGTGCAGCAGAAGTACATGTCTTTAGTATCCGCCATTATGTCCACCATGAAGCTCAAAATTAATGATCCATAGGAGGGGTACTTGACTGCTCAATAGCATTCGTTTGCCGTCAAATGGTCATCGAAATCATTACCATTGCCCGATGGCTAGGCAGGGTTGTTGTGCCGTGGCATTTGTCACTTCTTATCTAGTAGAAGTACACACTTATGTTACTCATTATCGATATATTAGATCTACAGATATCCATGACTCGACGCAACGAAAAGTGGAATCTATGCTGTCACGCTATCAAATATCAATCTCCAATTCGAGCAAGCCTCCTACGAAGGTGTGATCCTTTGGCCATGTGAGAAAATTTCTGAGGAAGGAAAAAGGACTTTTGGAATACTTCAGCGATCAAATTGGAGCCGCTTGGACGCTAGAAACTTTGAATGTTGAGGTTAATTGCTCTTCCAATATCTCCAACACGAAAGCCAGTTTCTGGTCTATCCTCTTGTACGGCATACACACAAGCTGCGACTTATGGACTTAACCACTTTGTAATTTTTGAAACTCTTATCAGACCACATCAATCTGGGTTAAGAATTCGCCAGAGGTCATTGTATCGAAGCGTGAGGTTGTCGTGATTCTCCTGTTCGGGTAAGCCCCAGTTTCTGCAAACCCTAAATACTAACCTTAAACTGCCTAGCGTCGACTGTATCGACCCGCTCTTTGTCTGATTTTTGAACTCCTATGGTTACCGCTGTGTACTAGATATTGGCAATGCCTGCTCCGTGTATGGATATTTATACCGTTTATTGATGGTTAATATAAGAATGAAAAGAGATAAAACGAATCGTATTTCTACGCTCCTACGCAGATATTACTCGTAATGAACAATAATCGTCATGTAGACCATAAAAGATGGACCACTATATCCACCTCAGAAGGTTCCAAGAAAAGATATCGCGGTGAGTAGTAGGTCAAAAAGGGTTTATCTTCTTTGCGTCAAAATAGGCCGTTACCGTGGAGCTTGTAATTCCGATCGAAACCGGACGGTAATGGCCAGAGTGTGGCAAAGGTTGTTCTTCTCTTCGTCCTTTCGGAGGAAGATTGAACACCAGGAAAAGGGGGAAACAAAAAAAAATTGAAGCAGGGAAAAGACAAGTTTGAAGCAGAAAGGTCGTGACTCATTAGAATTCTTGTTTGTGGTATCAAATCGTCATCAATTCTCGTATCTAACACGCCTCAGCTCGCATTTTCGAGTGAGTTTGGTGCAAAAACTTTTTCTTGAAATTTTGACAACAATCGCTTACTCCTCAGGAACTGGAAACCAATGTTAGCAATTGATCACTTGAATTGAAACGTTTGCACAGGAAAAACGTACTGTCAATCTCGCCAGACTTGACATCATCGCTGACGTCCTTGGGGCTGCGTCCATCGACCTGGCATCCAACGCTGAATGCGGTTCCAAGAATCTCAAGCACACTCCCACGTAGTTCCTTAGCAAGAGAACGGGAACGCATGGTGCGAGCAATCTCGATGATCTCGTCAAGGGGGATGGACTTGGAGTGCTTGATGTTCTTCTCCTTCTTGCGGTCACGGGGGGGCTCCTTGAGGGCACGGATGACGAGGGAAGAGGCGGAAGGAACAACAGAGACCGCGGCTTGACGGTTCTGGATGGTGAGCTTGACGGTGACACGGAGACCTTTCTGTCAATCGCAACAATTGCGCGTTAGTGACCCGGTTTTCTCGATCGACGTCTTCAAGGAAAAGGAGCTGCTAACCCAGTCACCGGTAGCCTTGGCAATATCTTCACCTGTTCAGATAGTTAGCAACATGAAACCCCCTTTCAATAGACACCAGCAGCAGAGAATTCCTTACCAATCTTCTTGGGCGACAAACCCAAGGGACCGACCTTAGGGGCAAGTGCAGACTGAGCACCAACCTCACCACCGGTGGCACGGAGGTGGATAACCTTCACCTCATTGGGATCGAATTTGGGAGCTATTCAGAGAAGAAAAAAATTCTCACGTTAGCAATCGCCTGGCATAGAATGCCGCACCAAGGAGATGATACTTACGCATGGCGAAGGCGTAAGGTAGTCTATCGTCCTCGGGGAGAAAGAAAGAGAAGGAAGTGAATGGTGCTTGTAGGAGAGGCTCGCAAGCTTGAGATTCTTTAGAAAAGTTCGCGGGTCGGTGGGAATTTATTGGAGGGAGATGTTGTGTGCTAGCCGAAGCACGTGACCTGGTCGAAGAATTGGCGAGGCTAACCTCAAGACGTTTAGATCAGGGCCCACTCTTTAAACTCATTAAACATTGCTTAGATAATCAGCTTTTTGCTAGAATGCTACGCTGAGATATTGCACATGAACCATTTCTACTCTTATTTGCGAATAGTTCGTCTACCTGCGAAGGCTTAGGTTTAGGTTCAAGAACAAGAAATTTATCAATCGACTGTATCGTAAAGCAAATGACGGGTGAAAAAGAGCCGCTAAAGGTACACACAGCCTCACAAATTCATCGCAACTCACAACAGGTATTTGTAGGACTTCACCATTACACCGTGTTTAGTTGGTGCCCGAGACAGCAAGCCTAGTCTTTTGTCAGTACCTTGCCTATGATAGAAGAGGAGGAGTCGACTTACTTCATCAAATGCTCCATGAAAGTCTGTAACGACACATCGTCTGTGAAGATGGTTTGTGCCGTCACACCACCGCCGTATCCTCCAGTGGAGTGAGTTGTCGAGGGGTTCAGCTTTGACAACAGGAAACGAGCTTGTGAGCCACCGGCATCACAGATAATGAATCGGGGGAGTGGGAAACGGTCCGCAATTAGTTCCTAGATTCATAGGTTAACACTTTCCGGGAGTGATGGGGATGGCTGTACTTACTCTAGCATCCTCCTTTGGTTGTTCCAAAATGGCTTTGAAGTTTTCATAACCTTCTTGGTCCTGGTAGCCAGCTTTCCTCCATTCTGCCATAGTCTCTCCGTGGAAAATTAGAAGGTGGAAGAAGGTATCGAGGAGGAGAATGTGAGTGGGTTGAATGGAGGCAGAGTCAAGCAAGACAGGTTGGCTACCCTCCTGCTCCAAAGAGTATGAATCTAGAGTCGGCTGGATCATAATCAAAGAATTGCCAGTATCTTCATGGTTCAAGACATGTCGATAGAAAGCCGTTTCATCAGGAGAGTTGTTGAAAACTTGCAAGAACTGACTTCGGCGAAGATGGAACATAAACTGTGGGTAAAGGGTGAAGTTCTTTTCAAGTCGGAACGAGGTTGGGTCATCCTTTCTGTAATCAGCGAAGCGTGAGCATAGCCGAATCAGCATGCGGTCGACCCATCGAAGTACATCTGGTCCGTCATCAACCTCGGCCTTGAAGACAGCAATACGAGACATGAGGACTGCAGCAGCTTCTTGGTCGAAAGACTGAGCAAGTGCCGGATCACCAGCCGGGCCACTGAGGTTCCTGGCAATAGTCGTTACGCGAAGGTGGAATTGACCCGAAGAGTGTTGGTAATATGTTAGGAATTGCATCATGCCACGTTGAGGGCCTTGTTGCATCGGTGCTGGTCCGCCTTGGTTCGCAATCTCGAAATAAATGCCGTAGCTGGCAGCAGGATCAATGCCGCACATCTTCCATGCACAAGTATTGCCGATACCACACTCAGTCTCTCCGACGCTGCTCGATTTCTTGTTCAAGGAAATAGCGTGACCGATAAGACCTGTGACTTTGAGTTCCTTTGTAGTAAGGACCTCCAGGGATGCGTTGAAGCCCATGAGCAGATTGTCGTTCTCATCTTTATCGAAGACTCGGACAAATGATTGCTTAAATTGGGAGGATGTGAAGCTGTCGGTCAGCAGTATATGACCGCCAGTGTGGTTGGCCATGTTCTTCATCTCCAACATGCCCACTTGATCGAGACATCCAGCAAAAAGGTCAATTACGTGACCATTGTGTGCGGCGCGCTTAGCGAGGTTGTCATAGAACTAAACTTTTATTAGAATATACCATGGAGTTGTAGCGTACAGAGCATACCTTGACTGCCTTCTTGAAATATTTGATATTGTCTCTGTCAATGTCGTGATGAGATCGGATAGGCTCCTTCAGCTCTGGACCGACGACAATACCGGGGCCTTCGGTTGCTGGGCCACTGGCAAAGACCATAATACGCCCACCTGCATTCTGGAAAGACGTTTCCAACAATCCAACTGCAACGCTGACGGCGACACCGGTACATCTCAAAGCACGCTTATCATTCGCAACTGGCCAGGGGTCACGCTGCAGTTGCTCAAGGATGTTGGTAATCTGGAACTCGGCCTGCTGTACGGGGAGGAGGAATCGAGCCGCAGGACCCATGGGAGGAGGGGGCATGCGACCAGGCTGCTGAGGAGCACCTGGACGGGCACCAGCATTGAGCAATCCAAGCATCTCTTGCACCTGTTTGGCGGCGTAGTCCTTGCTTCCGCGGAAGACATAAGATTTGGCGCACTCTCCGTAACCGAGTTCATGAACTTGCGCCTGCTCGTCCGTTAGATAACCCTCATTCTAATATCTAGGTGGGGCGGTTCCATACCATAGTGCCGTATGTGATCAAACCAACAAGCGCATTAGGCGGGAGGAGAGACAAGCTCATGATAAGAGAGTCCTTGAGAGCCTGAAGACCGTCATCTTCCTGGCAGGTGTCTACAACGTACACGAAAATTGGCGGAGCAGGGGCAGGACGGGCCAATCGGTACTCGATCGTGGTGCTCTGGGGATGAAGCTCGGGAGGAATAGCATTCTCTGTAATGTCTTTGTAGTGTGGTGGAAGGGGGTTGCGCATCAAACAGAATGGGCAAATCCAGATTCGAGCTCGGATGTCGACATTGCTACTCGCGCGCACATGTTAGTATCATGATTGCGTTGTGAGTTCCGAAATCTCAACATACGCATAAGGGTTGAGGACCGCTTTGCAAGGAGCTTTGCAAGTTACCGGTTCGTATTGCAATAACGGGGTGTCGGTCTTTTCTTTGAGAGGCGTGTACACTGCTCCGATGGGGACAACTAAGCGGGATGCCTCCTGCATGGAACAGTCAACAACCACCTTCAATTATAGACAAATCCAACTTCCACTAACCATGCGCGAGCTCGGAAAGGTATTCCAGCTAAGTCTGACACCATCACGATCCTCGACATCGCTCCATTGGTCCTTCAACGCCTCGTAATCCATCTTGACCTTCTAAGAGCGGGAGCAACAAACAACCAGAACCGTGCGGACACAGGGAGGAATTGGGAGTCAACAATAAGAAAAAGGGGTGCCTGAAGCACTTAAAAGCTGCGAGAAATAAATATGGACGTGGTCTTTTTTCAAAGCATAATCGATGCCTGCGATAGGCAACGCCGTAGCCGGTTTGATATGTAGAGACTGGTGCTTCGATCAACCAGAGGGGTGTGGGCTCATGTTGTGGGCGCTCCATGAAGCCAGGTTGCAGCATTCATGGTGGCTACCGTCCGCCGTAGTGACTAAGTCCCCACACCATACCGCATAAATGACCTCGGAAGCTTTTTTTCTCTCCTCTTCTCTTCTTCTTTTCTTCAAAAACACCGCCGACACATAATTCACATTACTGTCGACAGCCTCATGCACTTTCATTTGCGAGGTTGTTTTCGCGTCGAGCGTAGACGAATATAACCCATGGCTGGGCACCTGGCTTGGAAAGGTCATTCTGATCCTTTTTGATGATTTGGGAATCAGCAGAGGTTACATCTCGATTACCACAACACGTACTTATTTCTATATATCAAGGATAGTCACATTATTTCGTTATCACAATCAAAACTCGAATATACACTGTTTGGTCCCAGACAACGCGTATCAATAAACTGTCCTGCCTGTTGAATCCGTTACGCCGCGTTCCCATGCTATTATATACGAAGGTCTCCTCGTCAAGCACTCTCCTTAGATGGCTTCCCCGAGGTCTTGAGAAGATAGCTGCGCTTGAAATACGTGTTGGGATGAACGATTGTATCCAAATCAGTCTGACTCCACGAGCCATCCTCTTTCACCCTCTTGATGTCTGCCTTGTGCGTCCACTCGAACACTCGGTTACAAGCGATGTGAAATTTCTGTTTTTCCACATCTTCTCGCACACCGCGTAAAAGATCTTTGTCGTGGACACCGGTCGATTGAAGCAAGGCGGTAAGGTTGTCAACAGAGAAATGTCGGTAAGGGCATCCATGAGTTTGCCCGGTGCTGGGAGCGCTTTCCGACAGGATTCTCTGGCACGAGTATGGTGGATAGCCGCGACCACGACGATTGGCGTCACCTCCGACGTCTCCGTAGCTGTGACGAACGTTGTATTTATATTTCGAGTTGAACTCGTCATCGGAGAATCCTTTGAATGACTGGCGCCAGAAGAGTATAGCCTCATCGAGACTGAGACCGATACCCTTGAGGAAGAGCGTATATTGCAGACGACCGAAGTGTTTCAAGTGATTGTTCTTCCGTAGTGTCATGTGCAGGCTTCGCATACAAAGGGGGAAATGTTGCGATAGGGGATCAATAGAGGCTGCGGTGATTGGAGCACCATCAACAACGCCTTCGCCCTCGGAGTAAACGGATTCGGCGCTTCCAAAGTTTTTGGAGAGATGATTCAGGATAGGAGTAAGACGGTCGTCCTCGTCCAGACGGGGTAACGCGCGGCTTGTCAACTAGATTTTATTTAGCATGTAATCTCACGGCCATTCAATTCGGTACGTACCTCCATAGCCTTCTCTAACCGTGCAGTAAAGTCTGCAATAATCATACTCAATTGCTCTCTCTGAGGAACGTAGGCCTTCCCCTTTCGGATAAAAACGGATCGGCGTTCAATCAATTCAGGTACTTTCTCCCAATCAACTTTGAACCAAGATTCATCTTCAGCACGCCGTAAGCCGGGTGTAGATGTAACCAGTTGTTCGGCGAATTCGGATCTCTCTTCTTCGCTCACAGATTCCCAATTCAAATTGAGGCTTTCAATAAATGAGCGTCGTTCCTTGCTGTCATCTTTCTGGAAGCGAAACTTGAATAGCATTGTCTCCGCGCGAACGAATCGGTGACGCAGTTCTTCGGTTGCAGAAAAAGCGAGTCGTAGGATAAAGTGCGAGTAGTGGTCCTTTTGTCGCTCATTTTTCAGTTGCTGGCTGACGACTCCGCCGGACGCTGAAGAATTTGACGACAAATTGAGATATTTCTTCAGGACAGGTGCGATATGTGCTTCTGTTTCTTGGGGAGTTTTGTTGCGATAGGAACAAGCTTCGATTTCGGCCAGCACTATTGAACGAACGATTAGTCGACGTGATCTTTCTCATAGCGACGTGGAGAAACACCAATGTACCTTTCAATCTATCAATAGCCCATTGCTCAAACTCCTCGAGCGTGATTTCCGACGTTGGAGGCACATCGTAAAAGTTGAGACGGTGGGGGTAGTCCTGTTGCTTGAATGAAGGTGCAGCAAACTGCTGTTTTTTGTGATTGAGAACAGCCCGTCGTTTAGGGTCAATTCTGCCGGATTCTTGTCGCATCATGGTGTATGTCAATCAGTACGCCAAGTATGAAGTCTCACAGACAGCATTGACGGTGTCAGTATGTTGTATGTTGATTGAGCACTATGGAACAAACGCGACAACGACGCCTCGACGCGTCTCGCCAGAACGGGTAGTATTGTTAGACCAGCCAATCACAGTCATTTTCTGTACTTTACTAGCTCAGGTAAGGAGCCGAGAAGCACTAGTCCGGAGGCAGTTAGTTCACTCTGGGGAACAAAGTCACGAGACCACGCTCGGAGTTTACGGCGAGCTTGCTTCTTGATATTGTCTGAGCTTTGGAGAACAAACGAATAGAACAATCAGATTGTAGAGATGAAGCAAAACCTTACTACTCGCCAGTGAAGACACAGACTGATTAATTCCCAGCTGTTGAATACATTCGTATCATTTACCCGCTCAGCGCCGAACCCTCCTTTGACAGCATCAGCGCAACAATAATTCATCAACAGAATATATCTCCGCTCACCGAGAGGCCCAAACGGAGAAGAACGGTCAAGCCGCGGGCAACGATTAGATTAGCCGTCCATGTTCCTTAATCAACATTAAAGCTACATAATTTATAATCATTCACGATAACACCCCCAGATTCCTCTTCTGACTAAAGAATATTTTCGCATCCACATCCAAGCGCGCAATACGATTACGTCGATTGACGTCTTCACATGTTTGTTGTCTCTTCCCCGAATCCGTCCGTGTTGTCCCAGAATTTCGCATGTGCCAACCACTTGTCGTACGGTGAAGTAAACGGCCATTGATAATCGCCTACTTCTCTGAGAGAATTCGTCACTTGGTACGCTGCTTGAAGCGCAATTCTACAAGTATTCATCATTTAGCATTGCGTCTTGGTAATTCTGATGACGTCCGCAAAGCGGCTCAAAAAAGCTGCTCGAATCATTCTCATCGGAGCTCCGGGTGTTGGAAAAGGTACACAAACAGAGCGACTACTTGCGCGATTCCCACAGTTGGCTGCTATCAGCTCGGGGGATTTATTACGAGAGAATGTCAGAAAGAAGACTGCGCTAGGTGTGTCATACCCCTCTCGTTCCTTAAAAACGATGGACTGACGGAAGTGAAACGATAGGCCTCCAAGCCGAAGCGCTCATACAAGCTGGAAATCTTGTGCCCGACGCCGTTATGCTCGATCTCATCTCCTCAGAACTAGTCACAAAAGGATGGCTGAAGCCCTCCGAACCTACATCAACACGGCAACCCTCATCAGCGTCTTCCTCCACGACAGCTTCCTCATCTTATAACCAACACAAACAACCATCACCGTCGATAGCACCATCCGCCTCATTCATCCTAGACGGTTTCCCACGAMCCGCCATGCAAGCCACAAGCCTTGACCGAATCCTACCTATAAATTTCGTCGTGCACCTCTTCACACCCCCCTCGGTCATTATATCCCGAATAACGAAACGCTGGGTCCACGCGCCCTCCGGCCGAGTTTACAATACAGAGTTCAACCCTCCCAAAGTCGAGGGTAAGGATGACGTTACGGGCGAACCACTGACGCAAAGAGCAGATGATTCGATAGATACATGGAAGCAACGATTAAAGAAATTTGACGAGTCTAGTAAAGCGCTTATTGAGCATTATGAGAAGCAGGGTTCGCTGTGGAGGGTCGAGGGGGATTCAAGTGATGAGATTAGTCCGAAGTTGTTTGCCGAGATTGAAAGGAGGTTTGCTTAACCTTCTTGCTCGTGTGGTTGATTGTAAATATATATATGAACGAAGGTCATTGATATCAGAGTTCGACGTTATGGAATGAGCGATCTTATTTGAATACGTCTCTTACATAGGTTCACTTTGAAGGGCAAATGAATCCAAGGATATCTTTAATTTAATGCTTACATATTCTAGCATAATCATTCACGTCATAATCAACATCAAGGGTATATGTTATTTACCAGCCTTGGAGCCAAAAGGCCAGACCTTCCTCAATAACGAGGATACCAATCCCGGACTCTTCTCCACTTTAGACGACGACGGCGACTGCTCTGCTGCCGACGCGTCCAGTGACTGCATTCTCGTCTTATATTCTCTCGGACTCTCAAAATTCACACCATCTTTCCTACCAAAATCCTTCCATAACCCTTGCCTTCGACTCTTGGCCAAAGCCTCTGCTTCACGATACTTGCGTTCATTCTCAGTACCGCCAAATTCGACTCCAGATTTAGCTTCGTACACCGTCGCCAATCCGCGTCTCAGCATTTCGTAGGAAACGTCCCGTCGTCGCAAGGGTGGAAAATCTAACCAACGGCGCACGTAGACGGTTGCAATGACACGTTTGTATTGATCGGGCCGATGCACGTAGGCGCGAACTCGCCGGTTCATGAGGTAGGACGTAAGCCACATGTGCGCTTCCTGGGAATATGGCTGAGCTGGACGGCCGAAATGAGCCAATTCTGGCGCATCGACCCCTGCAAGACGGATATGAACCTATCTCACGTCAGTAACCAGAAAGCATATCCATTGCGGTCCAGGTAAAGAACCTACAGTTTTATCTTTCAATTCCTTCCTAACAGTCGGCACCTTCATCCATGGCAACCAGCCCCATCCAACCAGTCGACCACCGGGCGTATGATAAATCCTGAAATTATCGCCATCGCCTACACTTGTAACGCGTCCCAAAAGTGATCTCGATCGAAAATAAGAGGATGTGATATCCGTCGCTTCGGGGAAGCGGCGCAGGTACCGGCGTTGAACGTAGACAACAAACAATATTCCGCCCGTCAGCAGCGCTGTCGGGATGAGGTTGCGGGGTTCTGTGAATTGACTCCAGTCAAATGCATTGAGGCTTGAGTTCCAGTCTGTGCTGTTGGATTTGGAGGTCGAAGAAGACGAAGAGCGCGATGTCAACAGTGGGGGGATGATTGATTGTTGTTTTTCTTCTTCTTCTTCTCGATGCCTGTTAGGTGGTTGCGAGTCATTGGGTTTGTTGTCTGAATCTGACTTGGATCCAGATGACCCGAATGACCACCATCCCATTCCAGACTTCAGGCTACGGGACCGTTGACTGGTAGTTGTGAAGTTGTGAGCAAAGTCATAAGAAGCTGTTGTTGCACAGGACGACCGCCGGAGATATCAGCGGTTAAGCTCGGTCGCAGTCTTGGCACCCAGTGCGAGGGTTATTACAGAGTAGGTAGGGTTGCCATACTGCGTCCTCCAAACACCCTCAGTTAGATTATTATTCGGGTGGTGATCCCTGGCAAAAGAATTGTCTGATACTTTCGATAGAATGACCTCTATTCTATGGGAAAAAGATTATCTACACCTCGACCCTAAACGGAAGAAACAGCGGGCCCGGATAATATATGTTGCAGCCAAAGCTGCATATAAACTCTACAGAAGTAAGAATGCGAAAGGAAAATTAGAACCACCCCAAAGAAAAATCACATCATTTAAGCGTAACGGGAAGGCTCGTCTTAGCGGTCGTGGCGGCCTTCTCTGCATACTTCTTCAGCTTCTCTTGCTTGAGCTTGCGAAGAGAAGCAAAAAGTAGAATAAAAGCAAGTTCCATTCTATACAGTTGTCAGTGAACAGCGTATATCCCAAGTTCGGAGGATCTGCTTACCGTTCTTTAGTCATCATGAGCAATCCTTGGACCAAAAGACCCTTCGTAATCTGAGGGCCAATGCCTTTGAACAAGCTCAATGGACCCTCGTGTTCGATGATATATTGCATGACTTCAATGAAACCCTTAAATGGCTTTCCCTGGCGACCTGGTGGAGGCTTCGATTGCAGACCAACCTTGGCCACAATCAATGGCTGAGTAAGTATTGTTGCCAGTGCCTTGGACATCGCTCCGAGGACTAGAAGTTTTATTAGCGTTCTGTTTCATCTCCGGTCCATAGAAGACTTCAATCTCACCGAATGCTTCCCACGGACGCAGATTGTTCTTTCCTGGAAACAAAATCTCTTTTAATCTTTGGTATGCGCCGTATGTGATGGCGGGATTGACAACCAAGACCAAGCTAGCCTTCAGACCTCTCCACAGCCCGGTCCAGCCATCCTCGCCGTCAATAACCTCGCGAGCAGTTTCGAGTAGTCCCTTCTTGTCTTCCTTTGATTGCGTCTGTTGGCGAGTTGTCACAACCGATACTGGGATGGTGAAAATTTGTGCAACGGCACCAGCTATGGCACCGAGCGATAACTCAACAGCTGTTCCGGGAGTATTTGAACCTCGACCCGAAGCAATATATGCAGCACGAACGACTGAATACCAGTAGAAGTACGCAAAGTTGGTGGATGCGACCCCGATCAGAGCGCCATTGATACCGTTGTATAGGCCCGTCAGTCCTTCATCCTTGAAGATTTTGTTGATTGCGTCTAACGTAGAATCATAGTGGGGAGTAGCTTCGAGGTCGGTGCTCGTCTCTTTTCGGCTCTTGACTTGAACCTGGATCTTGGTTTTAACACTAGATAGCGCTATGTATTAGATATTGAGGAGGTAGAGAGGACCAGCTGGGAATACCTCTTACATGTCAAGGGGATATACGAGCGCATTGGCGAGCACAGCGCCAGTTGCACCTGCAATGGCGCTTTCCCATGGGGAGAGTTTCGATTGTCCAGCCATGGATTGTATGTGAAGAGTATGAATACGGATATAAAAGAGATGTAAAACTGAGTCTTGTTACCGGCAGCACAGAGAAGTGCTCTGCATGAAGTTATTTATGACCGGCAGTCTTTAGACGATGACCACAACCGAGCACTGTACACGAACAACAAGATAAGACTCGAGATTCAATCAGCACGTAATCTGTTCGTTCCTTCCCAGAAGGAGATCAGATAAGTGCTCCGCGGGTCATTGCATATAAGAGATACAGCAAGACTCGAGCCTCGAAACAAAGAATAACATCCGGGACGAGACATAGACCTTGACCGAGAGAGAGCCGAGGCAAAGCTCTCTTACTGCCGCATGCCGTTCCGTCGGAGCATGTTTGCGCTAATTCATATATGGTAAGTACCGGTTTTATCGATAAGATGGATGACTCAGCTTAGTCTGATGTCACGTGCACGGCATCATCCGTTGGCCTGAGCGTTCTCTTCCCCTTGGCTTCATCTCTCGGACCGTTCGCATTCACTAGCAGAACAGCCGCTACTTGCTTTTTTTTATCTTTCCAATGCCAACTGTTGAGCCTGATATAGCTGGATGAGATTGTATGCTAGCTCATGTTGGTACCGTAGAGGCAGCTGGACCAGGTGGATAACGTCATTGTCTACGGCAGTTCATTCTCTGGATCAAATCTTGTTACGTTGAGTGCATAAAGATCTGATTCTTCACCTGTCTTTATTCATCTTTGCTCCGGTTAACTAGAGCTCAAAATTCCAGCACAGCGCATGAAAACATGACTCCCACGAGCGCTCCATTGCACAGTCAAAGTGGCTTGACTCAATTTGATGGAACTTGCCCGACCTGTAGCTGGTCTTCCTCGATTTTTGACTCCTGAAGATTTGGAACTCGCGCTCATGCATGGCCCTGATTTCACTTCTGCGATTTGTATTCGGCCTACAGAGTACTGCAGATTGAACCAAAATATGAGTGGAACCCTCCTAAAGTATCAGACAGTGACATTGCACCAGAATTTGGTATGTAACGAATTATGAAGAAGAACCTAGAGGCGCTATTGTCTACGATGTACAGTATGTATATTCCGAACTTATCGGTACCCACGGATCGCGCTTTCTGTCCTGTGCATTAGGATCTAGAATCCTAGATGCAATCAAATGCAACGTTTTGATGAGGCTGAATGACATGAAGTATAGTGCTAACTCATTTACCAATTGGAAGCATGTCTGGGGTAAGCCCTCTTTCTTAGATTAGTCAATATGCATCGAGAGATCCATATGTCATCTCTTCCACCAGAAATATGATGAAATGATAAAGGCTAATAAAAGCCTCAGCAAATCTAGATCATTGAACATCTGATTGAAATGCTTTAGCCTGAATGAAGACAGTAGTTCATGCAGCTCCCCGTAAGCATGGGGTAGATAGAAAATGAAACATGCTATACGCGATCGATTCGTGATCACACCTCTTGATGGGCTCATTTCCGATGAAATTAGGCAAAATCCTGATATTTTGATGTTGCATTTCCACAAAGCCACATGTCAAATATTTAAAGCTTTTATATCCCACGACATCTGGAGACTGGAAGATGATGATCTGCGCCAACATTGAAACAATTACCAGACCACAACAAGCACCACGAAATTTGAACAACCATCATGGTTGCTTTCTCTACCCTGCTTGCCACTCTCGCAGCAGCTGTCCTCTCAATCGCTGCTCCTGCTTCTGAAACCTCCGTTGAGAGGGATGTTGCACTCTCCGAGCGTGGCCCTCATGACTTCATTCTCGGAGCCGAGAATCGTCTCGATCGACGCACAGCTATCAATTACAACGAAAATTACACCACTGAGGGAACAGTGAACTTCTCACCATCGAGCACCGGCTTCTCCGTCACTTGGAGCAACGCCTACGACTTCGTCGTAGGAGTCGGCTGGCAAACCGGGACGAACAGCCCAATTACATACGATGGTTCGTTCTCCGTCAGCAGTGGCACCGGTCTTCTCTCTGTCTACGGCTGGACAACCAATCCTCTCGTTGAGTACTATGTCATAGAGGATTACACAAATCTTGCAACCCCCTGGGGCACAATCAAAGGAACATTCACGAGTGACGGCGCCACTTACACCGTCTGGGAAAATACACGTGTAAATGAACCTTCTATTGTCGGCATTGCGTCGACTTTCAAGCAGTACGTCTCTATTCGGAACAGTCCCAGAACCAGCGGCACCGTCACAATTCAGAACCATTTCTCGGAGTGGGCATCTCTCGGAATGAATCTCGGTACTATGAACTACCAGGTCATTGCCGTTGAAGGCTGGAGCGGCAGCGGTTTCGCTTCTCAGTCTGTTAGCAACACGGGTAGGATCTCTACCAATGGCACCACTGGCACTGGGGGTGGTGCTGTTGCAGAATAGGGTCAATGTGGTGAACAGGGTTGGACTGGTGCTAACGCATGTGTCAGCCCTTACACGTGCACTGTAATCAACTCTTACCACTCTCAGTGCCTATAGGACCAGCTACATGGATCTGTCCATTGGACAAGATGAGTACGTAGTCTACCGCAGGTTATCTTAACCATGTCAAGCGTAGAATCGGGCAAGTTCTATAGCCTGAAATCAAAATTTCTATGGATGATAAAGGTCGATTGAACGGATGTACTGTTACGAAAAATTGATGATAAGGTATGCTTCCTTGATACGTAGGAACAGAATTCTTGCTCGCTCAGCATAACAAGGCCTTTATGGCTGACTCAATTGTTTTCAAAGTTCGTCTACTTCGACGAGAGGCAGACAGCAGCCTCTTGATAGACTACCACTCTCATGATGTTAGAACTTTTATTCAGTATCAATTTGTTTGCAGCAAATGGTCATCAGCTTCTCGAATGCGTTAGTATACAAGAGAGAAGGGACCCATTCATGCCTAGACAACCAAGCTTAACAGGAATAAGATTAAGGGGCTAGCTCAAATAAGACATTCTGTGCGGAGTGTCGGACCGTCTGAATCAGCCACATGACCCTTGTATATCCCCTAAGAGAGTAAACCTCCATTTATCCGGGGCACATTGTTGCATCACCAGTCCCTGTTTAGCCTGGCATATCCCAACTTGTTCTACGGTCTACCGGCATGAAAAACGCGGGGAGATCGACAGGGCAGGGTTAATTGTTTACAATTGCCTCATTCGTCAGGATCGGATATCTATTCAGCTGTAGACGGAGTAGCTTTGCTTCTTCACGGCTAAATCCGTTTCAGTGGGACATGATCCGTATGTCCACGTATAACCTCAAGCTTATAATTTAGATAAATATGTGCTGTTGTCGGACCAAAGGAGGATTCTCGTGTCGATTTCTTCGAGTCTATCAATCTTTTCGTGAAGGAGCTTTCTAACTGTCTAGACTTTATCCGGGTACAGAGCAAGAAATTTCATATATGAATGAGCTCACCGACTGTTCTGATAAACCCATTTCTCCTTGAACAACAAGATAAATATTCTTTTCGAGCTTCATAGCATATTTTATTGTAGCAACCATGCTTTCTCGAGCCTTGACACTCTCCGCCCTTGTGGGAGGAGTGCTCTCCATCCCCGTTGAAAAGCGCGCGTGCCCTAACATCCACGTATTCGGTGCACGAGAAACAACCGCTTCTCCGGGCTACGGTTCCTCCATCACGGTCGTGGATGATGTGTTGAACACCTATTCCGGCTCTACTGCAGAAGCCATTAGTTACCCTGCATGTGGTGGCCAGTCTTCATGCGGCAGCATCAGCTATTCAAGCTCGGTTGCACAAGGCATCGCGGCCGTCGCATCTGCCGTGAACTCCTTCAACTCACAGTGCCCCAGCAGCGAAATCATATTGGTCGGATATTCTCAGGGTGGTGAGATTATGGACGTTGCTCTGTGCGGCGGTGGAGACCCCAATCAGGGCTACACCAACACGGCCGTTCAGTTGTCGGCATCTGCTTTATCCATGGTGAAAGCAGCGATTTTCATGGGTGACCCCTTGTTCAGGGCAGGCTTGTCGTATGAAGTTGGAACTTGCGCTGCCGGCGGTGTAAGAGCCTTCGATTTCCCATTTCTCAATTTTAGTTGAATCTGACAAACCAACGCGACTTCTAGTTTGACGAACGCCCAGCAGGCTTCAGCTGCCCTTCAGCTAGTCTGATACAGTCCTACTGCGACGCCTCAGACCCTTATTGTTGCAACGGCAGCAACGCGGCAACCCATCAGGGTTACGGAGCAGAATACGGCAATCAGGCTTTGGCTTTCATCAAGGGCAAACTTTCTGGTAGCACCTCTACTGGTAATTCCACAACTGGCACTGGGGGTGGTACCGTTGCAGAATGGGGACAGTGTGGTGGACAGGGCTGGACTGGCGCAACGGCGTGTGTGAGTCCTTATACTTGCACTGCGATCAATGCCTATTACTCGCAATGTCTGTAAGGCAGATGTGTGTTTGAAAGAGGGCAGTCGAGTGTGTATGGTATCTAGATACCTGTGAGCAGAACTTGCAAATTTTCGATCGAGGAGAGCTGCGCATGTGACTTCTGAAGGGTCTAGGGCTTCTCCGGCGAGTTTAAAAGTGTCGTCTGAGTCCGAATATATTTTAGCTATTGGTGTGTCACAATCCTCGGTTCGTTCAGTTGAACATGTACCATAATCCTTGTATTTCAGCCTGAATCCTTCCACCTTTTGCTCCCTGCCATCGAGTCGGGATCCAACTGGAGGTGAGCTCGATATCTCTCTGTCCATTGTAGAACCAGCGAATATTGTGGCCTAGATATTCTCCGGCATTTGGCTTCTCCATGGTTTATTCTGCGCAGGACTACATAAAGACAGCGGCTATCCCCAATGCCGTCATCGAAGCAGGCTATAAGTGATAATCATTTCTACCAGATGTGCAATAATATTCTGTTTGAAAGTTTGTGCTGGGAGGAAATCCGGAGAAACATCGATCCCCTCCACCTCTGCTTAGTCATCATTCTTATCGATAAGCCAAGCCACTTGGATCGTCTAAGCCTCACTCCCTCTTTTCTTCCACTTCATCTGACACTTGCTCATCAATCTTTTAACCAATTCTTTATCAAGGCTAGTGATCAGTGTCTATACAATTCCTGGATGGTTGGATGTAAAGATCATTCAGGTGGATGTGGTTGTATGTGATACCATGTCAGATCCCACCTCTAAGCACACAGCAAACATCCATCTAGACAGAGCTATAGTATTCCTTCTTCCCTCTCCCACACCCCTTGTAAATATAGGCTGATCTATTCAAACAGAAATATGAGCGCCAAGTATCAGGAGCGGGGACCCAGTCCGAGGCACTGGAAGCTGCAATTGCTGCCGCCGAGAACTACATGCGTGCGCTGAAATTAGCAGACACGCCTCGGGAGAAGCAATTGCTAGACGCAAGATGCAAAGATTGGATCTCACGCGCAGAGAAAATAAAACTTGACAGATCATGGAAACCAACTGCTCCTCAGGTTGAGAATCGCTCGCTGAAGGAGCCAGTATCGAAGCGCAAGCTTTCGACGAGAGAGGAAATCATCCTCTTGGATAGCGCTAAGCTCAATGGTTTTTTGTTTCCGCCTTGGAAAAATGACCCCAATCCGCAAGAGTTTGAATTGATTGGTAATGAAAGGCAATTTGAGTAAGTTGCCGTCATTGCATGCACCTTAGCTTTGATTGACTAGTTCGAACAGGGATAAGACCCTCAGGCTCTCTGTACCTCAGAAAGAGGTCTTTAATGGCTGGAAACGCCCAGCTGAGCTCATCGAAGAGCTTGGTCGTGGCAGTGTAAATCCCGATGCACTCAAACGCGCCAAGACCAAAGTGGTAATGGATCTCGTCCAAGACATCACAACAGACTGCTCTGTAATAGCAAGTATCTGCGCAGCAACTGCTCGGTTTGAGCGAGGTCATGGTTGTGTGCGTCATCCATCCATGTTGCTGCTACATAGAACTAATCGATCTTCGTTATAGCTATTTCACAGTGCGATATTCCCATTTGATTACATCAAAAATATTCCGCGCAATTCAATATCTGGAAAATACATATTTCGGCTTTATTTCAACGGCTGCTACAGAAAAGTCGTCATCGACGACCGACTTCCTTCATCCAAAACATCACGCTCTCTGTTCGCATTTGATCGAAATTCGCCGGAGTCATTCTGGCCAGCTCTGATTGAGAAAGCGTACTTGAAGCTTCGGGGCGGTTATGATTTTCCAGGTAGCAACTCGGGCACTGATCTGTGGGTACTCACCGGCTGGATTCCGGAGCAAGTATTTCTTCACCATGAAGATGTAGCGCCAGATCAATTGTGGAGACGTATATCTGGAGCGTTTCAGTACGGGGATGTCGTTTTGACTCTGGGAACGGGAGAACTCAATTCGCGCGAAGAGCACCTTCAAGGTCTCATTGGTCGACACGACTATGCTGTTCTTGACTTGACTGAGAGTGCTGGGTACCGCCGGTTACTCATCAAGAATCCGTGGGCAGATTCCAGCTCTAGAACTCCACAAAGCAGTAGTCGCGCTCCTGAACAAATTGCACCGGATGCAAGCTCTAGCCCTCTGCTACCTGGATCGTTCTGGATGGACTACGATCAAATATTCCAAAACTTTGACAACATGTACCTGAACTGGAACCCGGGTCTTTTCACCACACGCCAAGATATACATTTTACATGGGATTTGTCAAAAGCTCATTTCAATTCAATATGCTTTGCAAACAGTCCACAGTTCTCGATATCAACAGTAGCAGGCGGTCCCGTTTGGTTGCTGCTTAGCAAACATTTTCGCACAATAAACTCTACAAAATCAAATGCTAAGTCGGGGTTTATTAGTATTTACGTATCGAAGAAGGGAGGACAACGAACATTTATTAGCGACGATGCTTTCTACCGTGGGCCATTTGTAGACTCTCCCAACACATTGGCTAAGATTGACATGGAAGCAAATTCTACATATACGGTCGTGGTAGCCGAACAGTCACTACCGTTGGTACCCCAAAATTTCACGCTTTCCGCTTTCTCAAGGAATGAAGTCGTTCTCAAACCCGCCGAAGACAAGTACTCAGATACCTATCAATTGGAAAGTGAATGGAGCCCTGTTACTGCCGGCGGAAATACAGAGTCTCCCCGATACCCGTCCAATCCACAGCACATCTTGCAGATATCTGAGACAGCAGATGTCTTGATTCTACTGGAGACATCTAAACCAGACATGGCTGTCCATGCAAAGCTTTTCTGGTCTGATGGCAAGCGAATATCTACCGTGAAGAAACGTGATATTGTCACAGACAGCGGCCATTATCGCCCCGGTTGTGTGGTTGCCGAGACAGAACAACTACACCCCGGCTCATACACACTAGTCTGTTCAACGTTCCTCCCTGACCAGATCGCCAAGTTCAATATCTGGGTATTCTCTACAAAGAAATGCAACGTCAAGGCCTTACCGTCTGAAGCGGCAGGGAGACTGGCCGTCCTATCTGATGTGGGCATTTTACCTCCAGGAATCGATCGTATTTTCGCGCCCTTGACCGTGCTTCGCCTCACAAGACTCAAGCTGATTGCGCGAAGCCGAAACTCTACTATCGGAACACGCCATGTAACTTCATCTCCTATGCTGTTGACCGTTGAGCTTGGCCAAGGGCCGTACAAAGAGGTTCTCGCGTCGTCGGAAAATGGTGAATATAGTGATGCAGTTTCTGGGATTAGAGTACCTGATTTTGATGCTCGTCCGGAGTATGCGGAGAAGGGAGGGATCTGGATTGTGATTGAAAGAATTGGAGGACCGGTTGGACAGGTGACAGACTGCGTTGACGTGGAAGCTCTCGGCGAGGAGCGAGTTGAGATTGGTGAATGGATTACCAGTTAAATATAGCTCGATAATAGATTTCGCAAGCATCTTGTGAAGATGTTCAAAATAATCGATAATCGACATAGGAACATAGTAGTACGTACCATACTTACTTAAAGTGGTCAAGTTCTCCGCACGCAGTTTTTGGGTGGAACGTCATCCGCAGATAAATCCAACCCCACACCAGCTCCTTCCACGACTTACCTTCATCCTGTTACAACTCACAACCTACCCTTCACGACTGAATGCAACTCCTACACAATGGCGACTACGGTTCCCGACAGCTTAAAGTCCGCAGACATCGGGCGCTTCGTCACTCGAGCAGCGCAAATCGAGCGCGCAAAACCGGTGATTGCATATTGGTGTCGGTGCTCCTCGTTTCTTTCCTGCTGTGACCTTGGCTGACACGTACTCAATAATGGCAGGCAACTACTGGGTTGTTAATCAAATTATATCAAAGGGTCTCCATTCGACCGATGCAGAATCAACACAGTACACGACGGATCTGATGGATAAGTTGGAGCGAGTACGTGCTGCTTTCATTACGAATACGGATCATCACAGCTATGGCCGATAGACTGACGTATTGGTTCAAGTTTAAAAACGAAAATCCCGATAACGATGCTATAACCGATAACGTTGCTGGTCAAGCTTATGTTGAGCAGTTTGGGCTCGAGGTCTTTACGAGAGCTGATAATGCGGTTCGCGCTAACAAGGCTACCAAGTAATCTCCCCGCGTGTTCACGTTAAAAGGCATATGTTAACGAATTACTTCTCTAAACAGACAAACCGCCGATACGTTCCTCGCAGCCGCCACTTTCCTTGAACTTTGCCAAATATGGGGCGACGTCGATCCCGACATCACATCCAAGATCAAATTTTCAAAATACCACGCTATTCGAATTGCCAAAGCTATAAAGAATGGGGAGGACCCGAATCTGTCGAATCCCGTTGTAGAGAGCCAGACGCCGGATAGTGAAATTCAAGCTCTGAATCCGGATGATCCCGAGGTGCGAGCTCTCCAGGGTACTGCGGAACGAGAGCGGCAACCTTCTGTGGAAGAGGTGCCTGATGAAGCGGATCGTGTACAAAGAAGTCTTGCGCAGCAATCAGTACTAGATGAATCACTTCATCCGTCGCGATCATCCTCGCTCCCACGTCCACCCACCACTGATGCTTCCAAAGCTGAAGATCTTCCAGCCGTACCGTCGGCTCCTGAGCTTCCATCTGCGCCGTCAGATCTGTCGCTCCCACAGACCCCCTCCGCTCTGCCCGATACACCAGAGAAATTCACTAACCCCTCCGCCGAGTTTCAATCGTTCCCTCCACCTGCAGTCGTGCAGATGTCGAACGCGGCCGATCCCTCTGAACAACCGCCATTCATTCCTCGGGCTTCAGCTCCAGCTCCAGCGCGTGCACCCGTAGCTCCAGTAGCAGCTACTCCATCAGCATCTCAAACGTCGCGATATGATCTCACCGCGGACGATCAAGCCATCACACAAGCACAGAAACATGCGCGATGGGCGGTCTCCGCGCTGAGTTTTGACGATGTGCCAACGGCTATCAAAGAACTGAAGAATGCGCTTCGACAATTGGGCGCTGAATGAATGAAGTTAATTGACATTGAATGCTTTCGCTACTATTACGTATACCACTGTTATTTGCAACTGTATTTAGACAATCATGGACAAGATAATGTACATGTGAGTCTGAAACTACGATCCGGGTACGTGCTTGTACTAAGAAGAGGGGAAGTGGAGGAGCATGATAACGATCGTCAAACTCTGAGATAGTTAGCCTATTCAGTAGTACGTACGTATGCAGTAAGACGTATGTGCATACTGCATACGGAAAACTTTTGCGTACTCCGGAGCAAAGGAAAGCGTGCGTTAGTGGAGAAGCAGAGAAGTTTCTTGAATCAGGGTTTTATTCGTCGAGAATACCCCTGGTGGCGATCGATCTTTTTTAATGTCCGAGAGACGTCGGGTCAGGGGTTGGTCCTTTTGTTTCGTGTGTGTAGATACAAAATAAGGTTAGTTTCCTTTATGCTGCTGTGTACATACATGTAGCATGTACAAAGCAGAAGAAGTATTTGAATTTAGCATAACTCTCGTCAAAGGTCTCGCAGTTGAAGTGCTGTTGTGGTGGACGCAGAAAGGCACGTGGTCAAGTAATTTCTGCAGAATTGGCTAGAAGAAATTGTCCCTCTTAGCTGCAGGAATGATCCACAGCGTCATGATCAATACTGTAGCACGTACTACGTACATCGTCTGTACTACGTGTGTACATGTACCTGGAGTGTCACTACATTTGTTTCAACAAAGAATACGTAAACATCCAGTCACTGAATCCTTAATACATGGCCTGTGTAACCAGACAGTTACCAAGCACTTGTTGACTCTTTGTCTGCACACCATCTTGGAATCTAATTTTTTCTGCTGAATATTGTGAATACAAGTGGATTCTCGACATTCAGATTCGACGAAACTAACGGACGAACTAGCAGTCATAGTGTCAGCCTCCTTCGGCGTATAATATATTCATCAACCCGCTCAGACCTCCATTTTCTTCTAGCATTTAAATCCATCTTCCAATTTCTACTGCGCCGTCTAGTCTTCTTTCCTGGTTGATATTTCCGTCTTTGATTCTATTTGAAAGGGTTGCTTAGCATGCTTCTTGGTGTCGCAAAGTATTGCAACCTAATTTATTAATTACGGCGCTCCTATTACTGCATGATCAGCGCACAACAGCAGCCACCGGTGCTCGCTTATTATATCCATTTCTCTGCGAGCGACGCAAGTACGGACGACAGGTTCGTTTTTGAGAGGTTCTTTCTCTTCTGAACATACGAAAATACGAAAATTTATCAGCCGTCAATATGGCCACAGATAAGCCCGCAGTACTGATTATCGGCGGCCTGGGTATGTTGCACGTCCGAATAGTACTCAGGAAGTCGAACTGACTGTTTGGTATATAGGCTTCGTCGGCCGACACCTCGCACTCCATATTCATAAAAATAATCTTGCTTCCGAGCTGCGGATTGTAGACAAATTGCTCCCACAACTAGCATGGCTGGCCCCCGAATTCGAGGAGGCATGCTCCAAAGAACAGTTCGTGCAGGCTGATGCCAGCCGCGAGCGTACGCCCTCCGCTTTTCTTGCCTTACCAAAAAGAAAAAAACCCACTGACAAGAATAGAATCATACCCCCGAATGTTCGACCGCGCCGATGGCAAACAATTCGACTACGTAATCAACTGCGCCGGCGACCTGCGCCTCTCGCAACCGGAAGAAGTATACCAACTCCGCAACCACGCTATGTCCATGGGTCTCGCTAGGGAAGTCGCCAAACGCGGCATCGCAGTTTACGTCCAAGCCTCGACCTCATACATCTACAAAAGTGGCTCCAAACCAGCCAAGGAAGACGACAAGAAAAAACCGTGGCATTCACTCGCGAAATGGCAACTGCAAGTTGAGGAAGATTTGCCGTCTGTTGAAGGGCTGAATTGGGCGTCGTTGAGGTTACCGCATATATATGGTCCATATGATAGGGGTTATACGGCCGTGGCTATTGCGTTGGCGAGAACGCATCAGTATCTGCAGACGGGTTTCGATCAATTAGAGAGTAAGGATTTGAAGTTTAATACATTGCATGTCAAGGATGCGGCGCGCGCATTGTGGACGGCTGCTGTTTGGCGTGCGGGCCAGAAGGAGACGCCAACTGCTGGACCACACATTTTCAACGTCGTTGATCACACAGACACGACCCGCGACCAGATCGGTGCCGCGCTCGCAGAGGTATTCGGCCTCAAAGTCACGTTTGCGGGTACATTCATGTCGCATTTGGCTCGGCTCCGATTGAATGATATCGTTGACGAAATGAATGAGGATATGCTGCAGGCATGGGCCGAAATGTTGGAGGACAAGGGCATCACGAGACCTGGCCCCATCAGTCCGTTTATCGAGGTTGATATGCTTTCCGATAATGATTTGTGTGTTGATGGATCGCTGTTCGAGGCTACCACAGGCTTTCAGCTGGAGTACCCCCTGTTTACTTCGGATTCTATAAGAGAGGTTATAGCTTCGTATGAAAGGATGGGATGGTGGCCTTGATGTCCTTTCTTTTCGTTTCTGATCAATTGCTTCTTTCACCAACGTTTGTCATTTTTCTCTTTCTTCTAAATACTCGATCATTCTATCATGTGCATATTTGATATCACCGACCCCTATGTATTACTAATACTGTCTTCTACTTGGCCGTTTTATTCGTTCTTCTCACCGTCATTTGCTGATATACCAGATCTCTTCGTTTGCATAGCTTCGCCATTTTCCTCGATATGAGTTTGAATCAGGTACAGAATTACTATAATGAGACTGTCATTGATACTTAACTCGAGCTGGGTTCATATGTTTACATATTGATACTCTCGAGTGCTCCATGTCTATATAAGAATATTGATATTGTTCTATATGGTCTGCTAGATATAAGTCAAGTACCTAGAGAATAACCAAAAGAAAATAAGAGTGCTCTCTAAAACAAGTCATGGTCAAGCATTGTGCTGGCCACTGATCGTAGTGTTTCTGCCAATTCCTTCTTTTCTCCGTTTTTTGAAGCTTTTTCTGTCTTTCTGGTTGTCGAATATGTTGATACAGATGTTATGTTATATAGGTTGTCTTCGAGAAAAATCACCTCCTTCGCAAAACGCAGGAATCAAATCAAAAACTCCACGAAAGTCGAAATCTCACTGACGGTTCTTTTTAAAACTCCCAATTCTCGTCCACGGACTTGATAGCCCAGTCGAACTTTTCACGAAGAGTCTTGGAGAAAAACTTTTCAATAGGGACGTTGAACTTCTTTGTAAAGACCACGGTGAGACGAGGATCAATGTAATTCTGAATAAAGTGTTAGCTCGTGTCGGAATGACCAAAAAACTCTAGTGCTTACGATTTTGGAAGTTCCGAGAGCAACCTCTTTGTTGTTCTCTTTGTCTTCGGCCTGAAGTGACATATTCTCAATCCGCTGTTCGAGTTTGGTGACGTTGTTCTCCAGTTTCTCAACAGTCTGTCCCTTGCCCTCGACTTCCACTTTCCCAGTCTTGTTCTCCTTCTGGAACTTCTTCTCCATGTCCTTGACGACTACAAGGCGCTCTTCCAACTCCCTGGGCTTCATCTCCTTTTCCCCATCAGCGGCTAGCTTCTCGTTCTCTTTCTCGAACTTCTTGGTAATCTTCTGCCTCTGCTCCTCAACAAGGAATGCTTGGTGCTCCTGGATCCATGCCTGGTCAAGGTCGTCGTCTAGTTCAAAGTACTTGGCGCCCTTCTTCTTTTTCTGGGTCGGATCAATGTCCAACATCATCATCTTGACCCTCCACTTCTGATAGCGGAGACCTTTGATCTGTGAAATGTCAGTCAACCAGTAAAATGCTCGCAACGAGCAAAAAAACATACCCTGTCGCCGAGTTTCTCCATTTGGTTGGCATGGCCTGCAGTGACGGTCCGTTTGTGGTTACAGAGAATAGCGACCCTGCGATTGGCATCATTGTACTGCTTCACTTTTTCCGCCACTGTGCCTTCCGCCTTCATGTCCTTGAGTAAAGTCGCAAATGTGTAAGAGGCATTGTAAGTACGGAAGACCTTGGCGGTCAGGCCTGTCATGTAGTTTGAAAGATGCTTATTCAACGCAGATGTCTACAAAAGGGATTAGCAGATGCACAAACCACCAGTTAGAAAGTGCTTACCGTCAATCGGTCAAAGATCTCATCGCCCTCCTTCTTCGGTGCCTTCTTGAAGATTTTCAGATTCTTAAAAACCTGAGGATCGACTTCAACTTCGTCGTAGAAGCGAATACTATCTTTACCAAGGAAATCGAAAATGACAGTGTTTGGTGGTCGAAGTGAGATGTTCTCATACTTCAAAGAGCAACATCCAACAGTGTCCGCTTCATCTTCGCCCTTTTCATTTCCAGCACGAAGAGCAAATTTGTCGATCAAGTAAACAGCTGTTGCACGCTGTCGATCAGCCATGAGCTCGGACTTGAGTCCCTTTTGATAGTCGGCCCGGATCTTATCGATATGTTTCTTTAGTTCGCGAGCTTTCTCGAACTTCTTGTAGTCGCTCTGGCCCTTGACATCGGAATTTGCAGCAAGCATGACATATTTGTAATTGCCGTTGACGTTCTCTTGCCACATAGCCAGCCAAGTACCTTCTTGATCATGCCTAACCTCCTTCCACTTATGCCCCTCAGGAGGCGGAGGAACTTTTGCGTCCTTGCCGATGTTGATCGTGATTTGCTCGGGCATCACACGTGTCTTGACTCTACCGGTCTTTGGGTGCTCACCACGGCCACGAAAGAGGCTAGGAGGCTCGACACGGAAGTTGCCAACCTTTTGCTTGCGGCCATCCCACATACAATACATGTAGGGTGCTTCTGCCGCATCCTTCTCGGCTTTGAGCGCTTTCTTCTCTGCGGCTGACATAGCCTTTTTCTCAAGACGCTTTGCATCATAGTATTCGAAAATTGGCTTGAAATCGCACTTCTTGAATTCCTTGATATTGATGGGCTCGCCATTCTGCGCCTTCGCCCCACCAGTCTTCTTCAAGATAGCCTTGAAATCCTCGAAGAAATTCTTCTGGAAAGTTGGATTTTCGACATTGTGTGTAGAGTTCAACATAGAACCAAAGAATCCGGCAACTTCCTCAGCTTCCGGATGAAGAACGACAGGAATACCGTCGTACTTCATCTTGACATTCTTCGGCAAAGGCTCGTAGTCAGGCGGGAAGACAACGCCATTATGTTCCAGGGTTGTCCATTTGATGGTGCCATCGCCTTTTGCTGGATCCTCCCACCAACGATACTCCTCTTCCTCATCGGCTCCTTCAACATCTTCTGATTCCGCCTTGACAGGAGTTGCCTTGCCCTTTCCTTTTTTCGCAGGTGTCGACGGTTCCGACTTGATGACTTTCTTAGCACCCACGCCATTCTCACTTTTCACTCCGTTGGCTTTCGGCTTAGCCTTTTTCGTAGAAGATGTAGCCTCAGCTTTGCGAATTGCCTTGGCTTCCTGTTCAGCCTTCTTCTCGATGTTCGCTTTCTGCTTCGAAAGTTTCCGCTCAATAGGTATATCCGAATCTGACTCCTCGCCAATCGCGGTCTCGGAGGCTTTGGGCAGCCTGGCACCGTTTGCTTTCCGAGCCAGAGGAATGTCTTCTTCCGAGTCAGAATCGATCTGCTTTTTGACGGAAACACGGCGCTTTTTGCTCTGTTGGAGTAATCAGTACTTAAAGTATAATAAATCAATGTCAAGTTAAGATATAACTCATGCATACCAAGGGCTTTTCATCTTCGCTGCTTTCGGCTTCTGCGTAGAACTGTTTCCCAGAGCCGATCCGTGCCCTTCTCTTGTGCCCATTCACGCCCTTCGTGTCCTTCATCTCAACATCCTCATCGTCAACAGGTCCGAAGCGGATGGAAACGCCCGGGTTCAAAGCGCCAGTACGGCTGGCCTTAAGAAGAGGAGCGTCGTCGTCCGAAGAACTCATTATACGGATTGAGGTCCGAGTTCGGATTTGAACCGAGTAGTAAGAATTAGGAAATGATTTGGTAACGAGTAGCCGCCCGAGTCGCGGACGGCACGCGAACAGGAGCTGAGTGAACAATCGGCGAAAGGCAATCTTGACGAGACTCGATAGTTAGAGCGAGTGAAATTAAAGATTAGACCTAAGAATGAATGAAAGAAAGCCAAAGAGAAGGAAAAGAAGAGGGCAAGCTTGGGCTAGTGATGGAGAAGAAATATAGAGTGGCGGGAGCGTGAGAAAGTCAAATGCGAAGTGGAAGTGAAGAGAAGAAGACAACCACTCGGGGCTGGAAGAACTTCACTTCTTGGTTGCGCCTATCCGCACTCTGCCTGATTTGTGAGGCCGCCAAGAGTGATTATAGTCACGTGATGGGGCCAATGGAATGTTGGCTCCGAAGCAGCCCGGTAAGACCTCGTTCAACGCCCGCGACCGATCTTTGCGAAGTCTGGCATCAATTGATTCAGCTGCCCCGTCACTGCAGCTTCTCTCGACGTTATCTCGTCACTACTCACTCCTCTTTCACAATGCTTTCCCGCACTGTTCGCCCAGCCTTGAAGGCTGGCAGTACCGTTGTGGCTCSGTAAGTGTTTTTCTTCGGGGGGAGGGATCATCAATTCTCGCGGCACAGCAAATGCAATGACAATTGAGACCTATCCACGCTGCTGAGAACCGAGAAAAATCATTCATCTCCATTTACTGACAACAGTAGCACTGCTCCCACCAATGCCGCCAACTTCGCTACTCTCCGTGAAATCGAGGGCCGTCTCAAGTCCATCCGTAACATTGAGAAAATCACCAACACCATGAAGGTCATCGCTTCCACCCGTTTGACCCGTGCCCAAAAGGCCATGGAGGACTCTCGTGTCTACGGAACCACCTCCAACACCGTCTTCGAGTCCGCCGAGACCAAGCCCGAGGAAGGAGACAAGAAGACTCTCTACATCGTCGCCAGCTCCGACAAGGGTCTTTGCGGTGGTATCCACTCCGGTCTCAGCAAGGCTACTCGCCGCTTGTTGGCAGAGAACCCCAGCGCTGATCTCGTCGTCCTCGGAGAGAAGGCCAAGGCCCAGCTCAGTCGTTCCAATGGTCAGAACATCGTCCTCAGCTTCTCTCAGGTCTGCAAGGACATTCCTACCTTCGCCGATGCTCAGGCTATTGCCGACCAGGTTGCCCTCCTTCCTACCAACTACGGCACCATCAAGATCATCCACAACAAGTTCTTGAACGCGCAGAGCTACGAGCCCACCACTGTTGATGCTTACTCTGAAGAGGCCATTACCAACTCCCGTGGGTTTCCTTGATCACATCTTTTGCGCAATTCAACTAACAATATTTTCTAGCCAACATCTCTGCTTTCGAGGTTGAGGAGGAGGCTTTGACCAACCTCCGCGAGTACGCTTTGGCTAACAGCTTGTTCTGGGCCATGGCTGAGGGCTTGGCCTGTGAAATTTCTGTAAGTTGAACCTCTGTTAAACTCATCTATTGGCAGCGTCTAACATATCAACAGGCCCGTCGTAATGCTATGGAGAACGCTTCCAAGAACGCAGGTGAAATGATCCAAAAGTAAGTGATTTCCTTCCCAGCCTACGTTATCAACGAACTAACCTCATCTCTCTCTACAGATTCCAAATCTTGTACAACCGACAGCGTCAAGCCGCCATTACCGGCGAGTTGGTTGAAATTATTACTGGTGCTGCCGCTAGTGAAGACCAGTAGACTCTTTCTACATGAGCTTTGTCATAGCCGACACCGGATTTATACTTGTTCATATAAATACCTAGACCTGTTTTAGGCATGTAAAATCACTTTACTTCAGTATTATTAGTCAAGCACCATTTCCTTTGTCTGAATTTTCAAACAATTTCTTGATATTCTTCCATGATTGCGAGGTAACCACGTACTAGCTCTCAAGTTCTGATGGAAGACGTGAGCATATGATGTTGGAAGCTGGCCTACACATTGTACGAGGAGACGGATTGTGGGAAATGGTACAAGTCTAGTTTCTACAGAAAAATAAAGGCTCTAGCTACTATACATACAAATCAGACATTAAAACTTCAGGATCACCAACTGGTCATTATCGTTCTCGCCAATGATAAAGCGCTCATCGCCACAAATCTTGCCCTTGGAAGAAATCTCCCTGGACAGGTCCGGAGCTAGAGTCTTGATCGCGTGAGGCGTATGAATGGTGACCATGAGCGGGTCCTTTTCGTAGCCTGCCTGTGTCTTTGAGGATAGGTATGAAAGGCAGAACGATACACGCGCGTCCTCGTCGGTACTCTCACATATTGCCCAATAACATGCCCACGGCGATGTGACCGTCCAGGGTGCAATCTCCATGCAGCAGTTTCCGCGGTATGGAGGGTACCAGGTTGTTACTGTTCGCTGCAATGCGGGTCCTTGGCCAATGAATGGTATGGTTATGACTCGCACATGGGGAGCATGTTCCAAAACGTTGAAATCCATTCGTCCAGTGTCTCTTACTTCCGTGATAGAGATGGAGTTTGAGTTGCTGTCTATATCCATTCTCATGATCGCTGGGAAACCTCTTTGCCTTACGGAGTAGAAATCAAGTTCTCGAAAGGCAAAGCTGGCGACGTGGCGTGGTCCACCATCTATCGATCGACCTGTCGGGTCCTGTGATGGCCTGTATTCGGAAGCTGTGGAAACGTCCCAAATGTTTAGAGACTCGATAGGTGCGTCTTCATCTGCGGTGTAAAGACTGCGATTCGGCTGCCAGATATAGATCGCATAATGATTTCGAGTATGACTTGAGTAAAATCGATCACGTTCACCTAGGGGGTGACCCAGAAACATGATCTTCCATTCGTTGCGAAATACGATATCCCAGCCTCGGCCAACGGCATTGACTTCAAAAGACGTAGCAAAATGACGATGAACACTATCCCGGTCATTCAGCCAGTGGAATGCCTCACTTTCAGCCCATTCGATCAAAAGCAGTCGTTCATGCAGACGTATCCTTCGTATGACCTTGCCCGTAGTGACGAATGGGACCATGAACTTGTCCTCGGTTTCAACGTCCAAGACCAACAGGCAACGTTCGCGTTCGTCAGGATAAACAAGCAGTCCATTTTCATATGTCCAAAATGCATGCTCAAATAACATATCAATTCGATCTCCAGAATGACTTGAATGGTTGTCCCACGGTGGCACGCTGAAGAACTGATAGTCACTCCCAACCGTCTCTTTTTGAAGGTCAAACTTTTGTATCGAACGAGGCGAGCCATGCGCCAAACGATAATAGCGTTCTGTCACGAGATCGAAGATAGTTTGCCATTGGTTCGAGGGCTCGGTATAAAGCGATTCGTACGGTACGGGACCTTTGATCCGGCTAAAGAGCTCCCTTACTTCTTTTGCTCGAGGGAAACTGTCTCTTAGGACCTGGATGAGACTGACTGGATTTGTAAAGGCTCGATACCATGCAGAGGATACGCGACGACAGCGAACGAGATCGACGGGTTGTAGGTATTGGATGATCATCTGGAATATCTCTTGAGGGAGATAAGCCATATCCCCTGTGTCGGTGAGGGCCATAATCTGAAGCTCGTGATTCGGTACATCTAGTCTGTGAGTCGGTCTAGATTGGCAGTCGGGTTTGAAAATGAAAAAGAAAGATTCAAAAAAGAATTGAGTGTATGATCGTGTAGGATTGCATGTCAGAGCCTGTTTATCGGATGAGCAAAGCGCGGTGGTAAATGCGGAGAAAGCTCGGGTTTCCCCGCCAAGAGCTTCAATTCAGGACACCTTGCAAGACATACGTCAGGGCTGTCAGGCCACCGTATCCATTTCTCATTCCTTATTTCCTTCCTGCTTTGAACCATCTATACATTATGCTACAGCTATAGGAAAAAACTCATCGACCATCGTTGTTTGTGAACATATCACTGTCAGTGTCTACATACTCTACCTCGACATGCCAAACCATCTGCAATGGGCGCTGCTTGCTTCCCTGCTGGGAGGAGCATCAGCTGCTGGCCTATACACTAAAAGCTCACCTGTTCTCCAGGTGGATGCGAAAAACTTCAACTCGCTAATCAACAAGTCTAACCACACATCAGTATGAAATCTTTACAGTTTATACAGCTGAGCGGTAGCTAACGAGCGAGTGAACTTCTAGATTGTAGAGTACGCATTCCATCCGATCCACTGGGATTGAATCGACATCGATGCTAAATGCTAATAGATTCTACGCACCATGGTGCGGCCACTGCCAGAACCTCAAACCCGCCTACGAAAAAGCCGCCAAAAACCTCGAAGGCCTGGCCAAAGTCGCCGCCGTCAATTGCGACGATGAAGAAAACAAACCGCTTTGTGGGCAAATGGGAGTCCAGGGCTTTCCCACATTAAAGATCGTTGTCCCCGGTAAAAAGCCCGGCAAACCGCGTGTGGAAGACTATCAGGGCCAGAGGTCGGCAAAGGCTATTGTCGATGCGGTTGCTGAGAGGATTCCCAACCACGTCAAGAAACTCACAGATAAGGACTATGAGAGCTGGGTAGCGGCCGATGAGTCCCCGAAGGCCATACTATTCACTGAGAAGGGTACTACGGGTGCGCTCCTGCGTTCCTTGGCAGTTGATTTTCTCGGAGGTATCAACTTTGCGCAAATCAGAAGCAAAGAGACCAAGGCAGTTGACCAATTCGGAATTACTTCGTTTCCAACTCTTGTGCTCCTACCCGCCGGAGACTTGGAGCCGGTGATATATGAAGGAGAAATGAAAAAAGCGCCCCTACTCGAATTCCTCAGCCAAGCTGCTCAACCCAATCCTGACCCAGCTCCAACCGCGCCGAAAAAGAAGTCGAGCTCACCGAAGAAGCCTGCTTCGTCGTCCAGCTCGACCGTTCTAGACAGCGACTTGCCCACGGACTCCCCCAGCCCAGAGGTAGAAATATCGCCAGAAGAGAAGCCCGTCAAAGTTCCTATCAAGGCTCCCGAAGTCGCCCAGCTCGCCACCCCGGAAGATCTAGAATCGAAGTGTCTCAATTCCAAATCAGGCACCTGCATCTTAACCCTCCTACCAGAGCCAGAGTCACCCGATACTGAGCTCTCTGCGCCCGCAAAAGAGGCTCTGTCCACCGTCTCGGAGCTCTCGCACAAATTGATTGGACACCATCTCCCCTTTTACAGCGTACCAGCAATCAACTCTCACGCAAAGATTCTACGTAACGAGTTGGGCATTTCTGACACTAGCGCTACGGAGATAATCGCGGTCAATGGTCGACGAGGCTGGTGGCGCCATTATTCCTCCGAAGATGGATTTGGTCTCCACAGCGTCGAGAGTTGGATTGATGCGATTAGACTCGGTGAAGGGTCAAAGAGTAAGTTGCCTGAAGGTGTGATCAAGGCCGAAGAAGAAAATGTGGAAGAAAAGGTAGAAGAGCCTGAAGAGGAGAAAGTAGAAAAGGAAGTGCCACATGATGAGCTTTAATCGCTTATTATTGGGTAATCCTGTACGATACGAAGTACCATGTGAGTGAATCATCAGTAGTAGGTATAGTCTTCCAGTACGTGTATCGAGTATCTATCAAGTGCGTCACCAAATTTCCTGAAATATATATTGATTATTTACAATATGCAATACATATATGATAAGCGTAAACAAAGTACCTCTAAAATCTGTCTCAACGCCGAATGCTATATCGCACAGAAGAATAACGCCTATCATCACATGCAATGACCAGATCCAAAATCAAAACTTTTCATCTCCTTGCCAATCAATATTCACTTCCTTTTCCCCTCTGTCCCTTTCTTGATCTTCTTTTGAATCTTGGAATCGATCTCTTGCTCATAAATTTCTCGTGCAGATTCGCCAGCCTTGCGCTTAGAAGTCTTGGTGCTTTTGACGCTCACAGTAGCTGCACCGCCTTTTCGAATCTGTTTTTCGGCCTCTTCCCAACCGGCTGTTCCGTTATTGATCTCGTATCTGGAGACTTTTGATCAGTTATTGTTATTCTCCTGTTATTGAACCTCATACGAATATGAAGTGTGAAACTCACTTGTCAAGCGGAAGGGCATCAATCAATGCTCGTTGTTTCTCCCTCATTTCTTTGTCGATCTGTTCTCCGCCTTCACGCAATTCCTCCTCAAGGCCAGTCTCGAGCGGCTGGAATCTGTCAACGACGACATCGTCATGGGCACCGGAAACGTCAACGGTATTCAAGTTTTCTGGCAGTGTTGCAGCGACGGCGCCTTCGAGTAATCCACGGAAATGAGTAGAGATCTTCCTGACGATTTTGATGAACATAGCCAAGAGCTGAGACGAAGGGAGATTCAATTCTTTCTCCAACTCGTCAATGTTCTTTCGCTGGAGACCGACCGCGAGCAGGATGCATTGTTGAACACCCGACAAATTGACTTTGCCTTGGAGGCTACCGAGGAAATAGAATTGAGCAACGATGGGGACCATGTCCAAGATGACGTGGTAGTCGAGCATGTTGTTTGCGTAGCTGTCGAGACGCTTAAGATCGAACGGAGAGAAGGCGGCGTCGAGGACAGCCTTTGTCAAGGGCGAGGGCGAGAATGAGGGGTCTAGCTTAGATCCAGCGGTGGCAGACTCGCAGATACTAAGCGACAGAACAGACGGGAACTCTTTGAATTGGTAGGATAGGAGAGAGAGGAAACGTTTGTGGAAATCTCTGGTATATGCGCTGAGCCAGCTGATGTCGTTAGATCCTGCAGCCAATGCTCGGAGCATAACACATGAGTGTTCGCCTGTAAGCTCATTTGCGGTCTGGCGGAGATAGACTGGATTGAAGGATGAACGCTTCCAGAATTTGTGTAGCGATGGGGTCAATCCATAACTGACGCCGACGTAGTCGAGTGTGTCGGGCCGTTTCTCGGACAATTTACCGAACAAGGGAGGCATGGAGCGAATGTCTCGGACGTGGATATCATCATCCAATAGATTGGCATTCTCGAGTTGATCATCTGTAACTCGAACCATTTCTTCTGCAGCATACGAAGCATCCTCAGAGAGATTTGCGAACTTGCCCTCATAGAAATCAACAAGAAGTTCCAAAGCTCGTGATCCGTATCCCATGTTCAAGTATTCGGGATTCGTGGCTATGCGAACAACGCGGGCTCCTGATAATCCGGCAAAATCTTCGTCCTGGAATTGCTGACTGACGAGCCATGGGATAAGATCACCGCCAGCACGTTGACCACGGCTGAGACTGTTCATGACGCTCTCCCGACTGATACGACCTTCGAGGGCAACCTGGATGACACACAACGGCTCTGGAAGCTTTGTAGCTTCTTCGTCGATGGGAGGAACCAGAACAAAAAGCTGGTGGGCAGGTGCATCACTCATGAGCTGAAGATCGTTTGGCGAGTTTTTGTAGTGACTAGCCACATATAGGGCCATCATCTGTTGGAGGAATTTTTCAGAGACGGGATGGAAAGAGAAAAGTGTATCACGGTTGACGTGCAACAGCTCACACTGAGATGGATACGGGCATCCTTGAGTGTTCATCTTCGACTTTGGAAGAGTAGCGTCCAGGCACAAGACTTTGTTAAGCCACTTTTCCACAGAATCACCCGCGGCGTAACGGATTGGTTCGGATAAAGTAACCTCTCTCAAGGTTCTGCTTCCGATGAGACCTTTCTCGGAATTCTTTGTTGACTTTCCTGTTGAGCGATCGGCGATATCGGTATCGGCATCTTTGAGACTGGCTCCACGGCTCTGCTCGCGAAGCTGTTGAATGAGTTTCAAGGACAGTGATCGACCAGTGCCCTCGTAACCATTAATTGTTGAGGCCATGAACACCAAATACGGCCCCATAAGCTTTCGTACGAGAGGAAGAGGAATTGCAGCAGCTTCATCGATGACCAGAAGTTCGGCTTGTCCAAGAGCATAAGCATCTTGAGGTTGGATGTACTGAATGGTCTGGCGATGGTTTCGATGAATGTTGACACGAACAATAGCTTTATTGAAGGCTGGATTCGTCGACTGAAGAATGGTATAGTCAACATGATCCAAGTATCCCAAAGCGTCAAAGCCCTTGAACACAAACTCGAACAGAGTCTTCAAGTTTTCTGGGCTGGGGGATGTGATGAAGATGTTGCTATAACCATGGGCGACAGCAGCAGCTATAGCAACACCCAAAGCGGCGGACTTTCCTCGACCACGACCAGCAGTAAGGGTAACAGTGCTCCGTAGTGTTTTCTCGGCAATAGCATCGACGAAAGTGAGCAAAGCTTTCGCTTGATCAACGGTTTTGGCGAGTGTAACTAACGATCCCACCGGCTGGGAGTCTGCTAAACTGTCTTTGATTTCCTGTAATTCCTTCTGCGCCGGTGATTTGCTGTCCTCGGTAGGGTTTGGCGGCGGGAGAGGTGCTACATTCTTTCCGCCTGAGATAGGAAGAACATTCAGTTCATCGTCCACCACAAGGCACGAATCACAGCTTCCCAGTGACAAAATGAAACGTTCATTGAATCGCGCGACAACGTCGTCATGGGCTTCCGTTCGGTACCGCGAATGGATATCCATCGACAGTGTATATAACTGCTTCAAACTCTTCATTCCCTTCAATAGCAGCAATACAATACCACCACCCTCGACCGTCTCAATCGTCCTCGCCAATAAGTTCGGCGTTATAGCTTCAAAATCTTGCAAAATACACATTCCATATGTATTACCCAAAATCTTCTCGGTCTCTTTATAGTATACATATCGAATCTGATTCAAGCTGATAAACAACTCAAAAGCGTCCTCGGAGTTCGGTTCGCGAATGCCCCGTTTGATTTCCTTTTTAATCTTGGCTTCTCGTTTCTTGCGGTGACTGCTGAATCCGATCAGATCCTTCTTGTATGCCCACAGCACGGATTTGTTCTGCTTCACGTCTGCGCCGGACATTATCCAGTGGAGGTTGACGATGGCTTCCTTGGCGCGATCGCCGACGACGACGAAGAAGCTTCGTTTTTTCTCTTGAATGCCATTTCGAATGAGCGCGGGGATACGCGAGTCGATGGCTTTGCGCGGCATCTTCAAGCTGTAGCGACCGCTTTTGGTCAGAATGAAGTGTAAAGCAAAGACGATTCGTTGAACTTGGTGGACAAAATTTCTGCTAATCTTTTTTTACTGCCACTATCTACCGCTATCAATTGATGTTGATTAAAAATATCGGTCTCTTATTGGTCACTCTATTTTGACCGCTTTATCACATGACGTCTACAAGTCGATTGGTTGATATCTAACCCTAAGTCGAGCGCTTTATACGACGATTGCACGTTTGCACGCCAAACGAACTCAATGAGCATCCTTCATCTTTGGCAACATCTCCAGATTAATCTCACTGGCTGTCTGATGAATATGTTTACGTGTGTCTCACTAACTCTCGCCTCGACGCTGTACAGCAGTGTACAGATGATTATGTAGCAAGTGTGCACTTACAGCAATGAATTCCACCTGAGAGAATTAGGCACCAGGGCAATACCAGGGGAAGAAGGTACCTTTGAGAGTCAAGGATGATGCGGACCAGGGGTATCCCTATGGTAGATTCTCGTCGATAGTTGGTCTCGAGTGCCATGATGTTCCAAGATAGGTAGGCACAGAATATAGTGGCGAGGACTCGGAGGATTATCGTGGAGGTTGTTATCAGGAAGAGAGAAATTGGCGAGGCTACCTGTGGATGATTCATCAAGAGAATTTCAGGAGAGAACCGTACTTTACCTAAGCTAGTTTGACGATCAAGAGGCATATCGATCTGATAACGTCGGTGTTGCCCTCTCTCGCCATTGCCTGTATCATAGGCCTAGGCGCTCTACTAGCGAACACTGCAAACAAGAGATGTACCTACATAATCTTAGTAAATGGCTGTACAAGCGGAGGAATGCATGCTCGGTAGATAACAGATCTTTATACATACTCAATTTATGTATGTCAAACTACACCCAAGCAAACGCGAACAAATGGGTAAACATTATATCAGACGACTATGTAGAAAATTATTGGCATTAACAAATACCTCTACTGCACAAAAAGAGTTTATGTAAAGATGTATATGCATAAATGTAAAATTGGATTTATCCAAGTAGATGTTGAATATATACAACGAAGGTAAAGAATAAGAGAAGCGGCGCTGGGCCATCACCCGAGCTCCATTCTCCTTTTTCTGAGAAGGGAAGAGAAATTCAATGCGAAACACAAGGCGCTATCCAGGGTACGTATTGTTGACTTACACACTGATGTGTATGTATATAGTAGTCTGCTCAGGTACAAGCATACATCCTGTATAGGCCTGGGTATCAAATAGATATACGTAAACCACAAAAGTTAGGGTATTCAAGAAGCGAAGGAGGTGGCAAATTGACTTATGCGCAGAAGGATATCAATACGTATTTTCGGAAAGAGTCGTCTAGCTTGAGTAGACCTTGAGGGAGTTGATGAGCCAATAAGTATCGGTAAAGGCAGAAGGGTTGTTCTGGACGTAGTCATTGCAAGTGCTTGCCAAGCTGGAGCAAGTACTTGTGCTCCAGACATTGCCAGCCCAGTCACCGCAGAAAGTGATATCAAAGACCTAAGAGATGATTAATTAACTGTCATCTAGACAAGTAGGACTGCAAGGGGAAACGTACAATCTGGTTGGCAGTGAAGTGAGAGTCAATGTCGCAGTCACCCGCAAAGTAAGCTGCAGGTTCGCCCCAGGTACTTGGGTCAGGAGATCCGGAAGTCAGATCAGAAGGAGCACTGTCGTGGGTGAATTCAAAGACTTGAATGTAGTTGCTCGTCCATTCCATGGCGTAGATGCCGCCACCGGCGCTGTTGAACCCATCTCCGTAGGTGGCAGAAGAAGTCGCATCAATACCGCATCCGGCGTTGTTGCTTTGGCCCGGGGCCTGGGTCCAGCAATTGCTTGTCGATAGAGAACCAGTAAAGCCGGAATCGTTGATAGTGCAGCCCTCGCTCGTGTGCAGAGTCATGGCATTGTTGCTCTGCTGATTGACTCCTTCGATGATGTCGATTTCGCCGTTGTTTGGCCAGTCGCCTCCAACTGTCCAGCTAGTATTTATTAGTATCTATCAGCATCACAACCCTATCGGAGGACTTACAAAGCAGGCCAAGAGCCACAGACGGAACCTGGCATATGAGCCAGGTCAAGAACGAACAAGCCATGGGTGTAAGAAGCGGTACTAGTCAGGCGAACGCTATTACGACCACTGCCAGATGCGACATTTGAGGAATCGACTCCAATATAGGTAGCATTGCCGCTCGCATAGATCAAGCCGGCACTTTCGGCTGTACTCTCGTCGACATAATCAACATAGCCATTAGTAGGATCGGAATCCTACACAACGTTAGGAAGCAGCTCATTTGAGATCAATGCGAACGAAGGACTCATACGGTAAAAAAGGTGAACTTGGAGAAAAAGTCCAACCCAGTTGGGTAATCATCGTACAACGAGTAGGATTGAGCACTGCTCAAGCCGGTAAGGGCAGCTAGTTGAATGATAGTCGAAGTACGCATTCTGATCGAGCTGTTGTAAGGGGTAGCTGAATAGCAAACAGTTGAAATGTGTTTCAAAGAACAAAAAGTCAAGTATTCTTTTGCAAGGAGTGTAGGCCTCGTAAGAGGTGTCAAGATGACAACAATAGTAAGGAGTGAATTATCAGAGCACCAGGCTCAGATGAAATCTGAAGGAAGGAATGAATGAGCTATTCAAGCACAGCGTAGAAAGGTAGTGACAGGAAGAAGAAAAGAAGAGCATCGATTAGGCGAGGGTCTGGACCATTATATAACTTTTTTTTATACAGATACGGACTCATGCTTGGCCTGTTCAATAAGAGGCCAGCATCTGCTAGTCCCAGGAGACCAGGGACGAGGTGGGACGCAGGCCATGAGCCAAAGCCATGAGCTCGGGCAATATGACCAGGTAGTACCCCACAGAGAGCGTATGTATTGAAGAAACAGGCGACTCGAGCGATTGGAAGGCCTCGAAAGATAGAAGATAAATTTCCGGCGACTAGAGTACTAGCCAGGGGAGGGAAAGGCAATCTGGGAGTGGAGCGGGTCAGCAAGACGAAGTCGAGATACGTATCATCGGCCATAAGACTACTACGTACTGGGTACCAGTATGTACTATGCAATGTATACAAGCTAGTACTAGCTACAAGCCAGTAGGGAGCGTACGTCGTACTACTACAACATGCGGCAAAATACCGGACAGGCAGTTGACGGCTTTCGCATGGCCAGATCGGATGACCAGGGTTCTGGACCAAGGGGAGTCAAATTATCAGTAACGACGGCTCGAAACTAGGTCGCATTGCTAACGAAACAGAAGACGGGCCTGCAATCCGATTGCTCTGAAGCGACAGAAAATGCAATTTGACCATCTTGAAAAGAGGGTCCGGCAGTTGTCGAGTGAAAGGGCAGAAGTGAACAAAAACCAAAGAAGAATATGAGCGCTTGTTTCCTTTCCATCTGCCGTAGGCCCGTAGGATAGTTGGCCAATCGGGATGGCGAAACGTGGTTTTTGGGGATGTGGAAGCCCTAATTGCCCTGGATTTGGTGCCCTAAGTGTTCCTCAAAGAGGCTAACGCTGCGCAATGACCTCTGTTTGATCAGCAAGCACCTACAGCAGTCTGTAGTCTAGTACTGATCAGGTTTATATCTCCGTCTTTCTTTGCTTTTTTAGTGCAAATAGCTTCAAGGCGGTTAGCCGGCATGCTACATCCAATACGGGGATACGCTCGGAAAATTTGCTGATGAAACCCTAGAAATAGTGAGAGTCTAGACAGATCCCGGTAATTACTCGGCTTACAATGAACAAATATACCTATGAACAATGGTATGTAGGCACCTGATAAGAGACTAATCACACTAATTAATGGTACCTGAGAATTATGTATAGAAAGGCCACGATAACGGTGTATCTGGAGTACGCAACCGACATAGTCGTCTATTCCACTCGCCTGAGCATATGCTCGGTAGCGCGCGCGACTATGCATATACACTCATACGGAAACAAGTCCCAAATACAGAAAAATAAGAATATCTCAAGAATAAGCTATTTTCATCCAGAGTAGCAATGAAACGACATCAACTGGCTGAGAATCATTGTCGCGATATCCACCACACTGCAGCCACTAGACGCTACTTAGGATCGCCGGCATATTACTCGCCCTGTCCTTTGATCTCGATGGTCGTATCGAATAGCCAAGGAATTTTACGTACTAGGTGGCTTATAAACAAGCTTTGTTTCATGTAGAGTTCAGCTACATCTGTAACAGCGTCCGGCACATTTCGATAAAGGTGGCACATGCCACAAAACCGAATCATCTCCTGTCCACAACGTGACTCGAGACGTTCAATGCAATGGACCTGATCTGAAATTCTCCCATGTAGCACAAAATAATATCGATTCGCGCGTGGCTCTAGTACAGATCTAAATCTTGATCCTTGTAATCAGGCCGGAATAATCATCCACAGGTCATTTCATCGTCGGTAGGTGGTGTGAGCCCAAACACCCTCGCCCTGCGACCCATGATGAGGGCGTCGTTTGCGACGGGAGAGGCGTATGTCGTGTAACTCGTGGCGTGGGCAGGCGATGATGTTACGTTAAAAAAGATACAAAAAAAGACACGACAGTCCCCGTAAGTTTCTGATCTTTGTGATGAAAATTCGGGAAACCGAGAGATTACTGTACGTTGTGCCGCCTACAAAAGGCCTAGGGAGACTAGAGAGCGCTAATGTTTCATAGCACGCAAGCAGCAGGGAGAGTTAACCCTAACCGAAGTCTCGAGATGCCTACTTTCCCCGAATTTTCTGTTCTTCTACAAAATCTCTACTGTCATATTTCAAGTACGTACACATATAAGATTCATCGACATCTCATATCAGCAACTACTTATCAATCCACATTGGATGTTCACCGGTTGAAAACTCTCGGCATAACTCCCACAGCACTGAAACCATGCAGGTACAAAATAACGTTGCATCGGAGAGAAGAAACGGCTTCAACTAGCCAAGTACACGATACACACTACGTACTAGACGAAAGTTCGCTCTAGTCAGACGCTTCATGTTAAAAATGATCAGGTGCTCGGAAATGAGTTCTTTAGTCCTTCCTTTATCAATCAGTAAACCTTTGGGGATGACAGTGCATGTACCTGCATAAACTACCTCATCAACTACATACAGACAGTACTACGTTGGCTACATAGAAATTAAAGTCGCACCAAAGTCTTCAAGTGCCGTAGATAAATCAACCGCCAGAGTATGATTATGTACTAACTACTTAAAAAAGCCAGGTGGTCACCAATTGGTCCACTTTCCTGTTTAGGATAATGGATGTATCGATGTACCATTCGACACTCAGTTGGCGGTAAGTTTGGATGCGAATGTATGACTGTTCAATTGCAATTGCCGACATTAATCTACGTTCCTGCATGAGTCTGAACTCTATCACATGCATTCGTTTCGTCCTGTATACTATGTGATATGACTTGCCTAGCTTCACAAACAGATAAATATCTTGATACATCCAACTATATACAAACATATGCTAGATAGGTTACATTGTAATGTCGTGACACACGCACACACGCACACAACCATAAAAAATCAAACAGCCAACAGAAAAGAGGTATTGTCATCATGTACATATCGTGCAGGAAAGTTCCCGACTCGTTTCGTGTCCAAGTTTATTCATTTGCTGGTGTGACTCTAACTTGCCCTCTCTCGCGGGACCCAACTTGGTCACCAGACAACTTTGATGATAGAGATGGCGACATGCGAAGACTACTATCGGTCCTAAGCCTAGTCCTTTGGAGTTCTCGGTAGTGTCGTTTGACGATGCATTGTCATCACTATCATCAACTTCCGTTGCCGTATCGACGTTACTACTGCTGTTGTTGGTGACAGTCAGATTTCCATCGTCTTCGCCGCGGTTCTTGCTTGGGCCCTTGCCCTTGGAAAGTGCGATGCGGTCATCTACCTGCCGCTCGCTTCGTCGGCGGTCTTCATTGTCCTTCTTTTGTTCCCATGCAGTCCATAGAGATGCGCCTGCTCCAGGTCCCCAGATGCGACGGCGGCAAATCTCGCAAACCTGGCCTCTAGGTCGCCAGCCGTGTTGGCGGAGCTTGGTGACTTCGTTCACGTGTACGAATAAATCTTTATCAAGCATGCCATTGGCCAGAGACAGTAAGGATTCTTCGTATGTATATGCAGAAAAGATAGATGCGAGGACGGAACGTAGTTCGGATAGTGACGGTGAAGTAGTCGCAGCTTGGGTAAGGAAGGCTCGAAGAATGCGTAAGAACGACAGCCCCGTTCGTTCACTGGGTGACGGTCCGCCGGTTGTCGTACTGGTTAGTAGCGCAGTGAAGACTTTCTGCACCAACTGTCGGAATGAAGATATCAACTCCACGTCCCCATCAGATCGATCCTGAACCTCAGATGACAGCAAGGATTTCAGTTGATCTGGAGTCGACGTCTTTTGTAGAAGCGAGGAGATATTGCGAGCCATCCGAACAACTGCATCAATCAAGTCTAACCAGAGATTCTCCTCGAATGTCAGTGGCTCCTGCAAAGCCATCACAGAACCGCGTTTGTTGATTCGCACGTTGTCGTTGCCGTTGCGAAGAGGCTGCGCATTTTTTGTTTGTCCCTGGCACAACCATATTCCAACTCCTGAGTACTTCTGCACGCTCTCCAAGAGATCTCCAACAGCCTCAAACGTACCAGCGGCGTCGGGTGCCTCCTCTGCATTGGTCAGTATTCCCACCAGGCCGGATTCCAAAGTGTTCAAGTATGCTAGTAGACGGTCCATGGCCTTGCGAACCTGCCCTTGCCGCGCTAAGAGTACAACCGCCGCGTCAACAACACCACTTCCCTCCATCGCAGGCAGAACTTCGTCTAGCCGCAGGTCGTTGACCCGCAGTGTATCGACATAATCTGCCACGTGAGGTCGATTGTATCGACACAGTAACTGTACATATAACTCGACCATCGACTTTTCGAGCTCTGCTGGAGTGCCTGGAGTGGCAGTGTCCGAATCCTGTGGTTCAAGTAGCGTCGACAAATAATGATATTGCTTATAATCATCTTGCTTCAACGACTTCAAGAAGACTGCGTGCAATGAAGGCATGAGCTCTTGAACTGTGCGCGCTGTTTTCGAGACATTGATAAGCGCCAACTCGCCTGCCCGACTCTTGATCACCTGTAAAACATCCTCTCGTTGTTTACCGGTAAGCGCACTTCTTGATCGCAGACATTCATATATACAATTGAAGACATCCTCTCGCTCACTCGTGTCCTCGAGATAAGTGACAATAAGCTCAGCATACTGCTTCTCGGCGCGGTAGGTAGACTTCAGCACACGGTAAAACCCCGCTTCTTTGAAAAGAGGTATCAAGCTCTGAAGATCAGGGGGATGGTAGGTAGATAACAGATATTCCACACTGAGTTGACAATCTTCTGCAAGCTCTGGGGTAGGCCATTGACACAACCGCTCAAGCACTTGATACAATGTGGAGCCTGAGAGTAGAATGTATTGAGGGTACTTTGGCAGGTTCCTCGCAATGAACATGTCGAGAAAAATACTTTCGTCGGGACCAAACTCGCTATTGCCCATGACATCTAAAAGAACACTAACGAGGAATTGGCGGTTAATGGTCACGCCGGAAGAGCTTGGCTGTTGGGATTCACCATCAGCAGCATCAGCCGAGTCATTCAAGAAGCTATCTTCAAATGCCTCGTTCAGCATGCTCATGAAACTAGAGGAATCAAACTTGAGAATCGTACGAAGCGCGCCAAACGGTTTTTGCTTCGAGCCAGGAAGATGGGTTCCAGTAAAAAGGTAGGTGTACAACGTTTGCTTTGCGTTGACTGCCTGATCTTCAGTCATCTCTTCCCCGGTGGGATATGTGCGTCCGGTGAGGATGAAGGAAAGATACGGGAAAGCTTTCATTGCATTCTCATATTCGATCGATGCGACATTCTCGGTAGAATCCATTACGCGAGTCGCGAATGCCAAAAGCTCTTCCAACGGCCCAACGTAGTCCAATAGCACACAGTTCCAAACATAGATAAAGGCATCGTAAAGATTGTGTTGTTTACACAGCGTGGTCACCTGTTCGATGTCCATGGTGGTAGGGTCAAGAAGACAGATCACCTCTTCAAGACGCGTCGACGTGTATGTAGTTGAGTAATGGCTGATCAGAGCTTTCAAAGCTGTCGGGGGCATAGATCTGACTTTGTCGTCTCGTATAAAAGGTTCAAGGATATCCAAGAAGATACCCTCTGAATCATGTTCGTCATACCAATCATAGACCTCGTCCCAAAGGAAATCAAAGTTCTCCATGCATATACATGCAGTTATGCTTGCATCAGCAAGGGCTTCCAATTGTGACTTTTGAAGACGCTCGGTGCCTGCATCTTCATTCCTTCCAAAGGCAAACTTGAGAGAAGCAGATATCATCTCAAGTAATTTTTCTTCAACAACCGAGTGTCGCAGATCGTCTTCTTCAGGAAGCCCAACTGTCAACTTCTCCGCGTCTCCTTGGTAATATGATGTCGCTAGCCGGATTGCCGAGACAAAGTCGCCGGTTTCCATATACGCAAGCAAACGATCAGCCCAGTTAGACAGACTTCCCACAGACAAGTCATTGTAGCCCAGCAGGAAGAGACGACCCTTGTAGGCTTTTATACTTTGGTAAAAGGCATCCGCAACCACCCCATGCATGTTCGCATTCTCTTCGTCGTACTGTTCTACCAACGTATGGAGGTGAGATGAGAAGGAATCAGTGTGGTAAATATGTTTGTGGATAAGATCAAAAGAGTCTGTCACACGAAGTGTTTTGTCTTCGAGGATCAGCAACTGTTGAGTGATAGTCAGGACAGCCAAAACAGATCGACTCAACCATTGTACAGCAACAATTGCTTCGTTAGCCCGCCAGCGACTTCTGGGGCGAAACTCGAGGACAGGCGGGCGATCCTTGGACGGCTCACCATCCGCATCTGATTCATGGACGTCTAGTACGGTCAAGACATTCGACCAGCAGTAGACGAGCTTTGTATGTGATATCTCCTCTTTTCCTTTGAGTTTGATTGCAGGAAACCACGCCAATGCAGCGCTCATAACGCTGTGAGAACCAACTTCCTTTGGTCGGGGCGTTTTGAACTGAGTATGTGCTACGGGGGTCGTTGACACGATAACAAGTAGATACGGCGTAAGCATTGCGACCAAGCCGAGTCCGTCCGTCGACTGATCAACATTGCCCAGAGGCAGAGGCGAAAATGCCAACACAGAGCTAGGTTTTCTCGGCTTCGCTTCCTCGGAAGGGGGCTCCGGATATCGTCCCAGGATCCTAGTTGTCTTGACCGTTCTAGCAACTGCGCCCATGCCTCGAGTTGCCAAGTGCGAAAACGCCATACCGCGATCATCGGCAGAGACCAAGGCAGTTCGTCTGGTACCAAGGAAGCCGATGTGAACGACAGCAACGCCAGTTATGTGACCATCAGAAGCGCCTTGAACATGTTGAGCCATTGGCGTGGGCGGAATGTGGAGGAACGGTCGCGAAGCTCTCGAGATTTCCCATGTGAATATTTCGCCTTGTGCGTGTCCTACTGCGACGGTTGTGTGGTCCGCGGATATGGCTAAAGAGGCGACGGCGCCAGCTTCAACGGCTGTTACGGTCAATTAGTAAAGAAACACATATGAAGGAAAGCGCACGAACCCTTTGTTCCAGGACCAATAATCGTCTTTAAATTCTGTTGATAGTCGAAAACAAGAACAATACCCTTAGATGTGCCTAGCACAATAGCTGTCGACACACATATACAAGTCGGCCGCCCGAAATTCCGTCGACCAATTTCCGAGAATGCTTGCCCTGCAATCTTGCGCAGTTTTGTCCATCGTACGACCTCCCACGGAGCTTGCGGTGTGTCAGGCTCGAGTTCAGGTGTGGTGGAAAAAGGCGGTTGACTAGCAAATGAGGAGTTGCGGGAATGCGTGCGCAATACGAATGGAGATGATGGTCGGGGACTGCTAAACGAAGATGATAATCTCGATTGAAAGCGTAGGTCGAATGGACGGTGGGCGGGGCTGGGACTTGATCTGTTAGAAGCTCGAAAGGCTAGAGCACTGCTACTTGGTGACGATTGCAGAGAGCCCTAAGTTGTCAGAATGGATAGTCATATGTTAGGTTCGTTGTACTCACATGTAGAGATGGAGTATCGTCCGGTATGGACGAGAGCTCGTCGGCGCTCCCTGGTGCCTGCGGCGGGRGACGGGGAGKACTTTGATCTTGCTGATCGAACTCCTGATTGTCCACATTCACCGAGGGCAAGTCATCCGTCTGTTCCTCCGCATCATTGCGTTCTACTGTATCGTTCGCATACTCAGACTGCCCATTGACATGGGCAGGGAGGTCCTCATCTTCCTGGCCGAGATCAAGCTCATCCTCGCGGGCGCCTTCATCATTCCCCTCGTTCGTGGAGCTCATCGGCAACGCAGTCGAATGTTCATTGCTTCGCAAGACAGTACAGGTGGTGGCAGTACTTGGGACTTGTGGGTAGGTTGCTTAGGAGCTATGGTAACCTTGAATGTGGTTGGCTGATCGACGAGCTTGTTGTGGTGTCAATTGGTCTGTGACGTCGCCAACGGTACGGAGTCGGTCGCATCAGCCTTCGAATACCGTAAAGAGTATCTATTGCTTTCTAGCGGTTGACGTTTAATGGGACGCGGAGGATCGCTAACCTAGTAGCATCGACTGATGTAAACACCGATAGTGTTGTCTGTATAGGCAGCTGCCCGCTGGACGCAGCTTAGCCACCGCCTTCCCTTTCGGCTTGCGTAATCTCGGGTCGGCGGCTGTCCAGGGCCCAGCCACACCCAACACGAGCCACACCAGGTACCATCAGCCTCATGCCCCACAACTCTCTATTTACTTCGACCAGACTCTCAACATCTGAGTTACAATAGACTGCTAGTTAGGGATTATAGGCAGGGTCAGTATTATCGTTGACATACTATTATCGAGATTGTCGTGTCTTCTTGTCCCCCTCACGCCAGTTGACAGCGTCCGGCTTGTCATACCCTGGTACGGACCGTCTACGGTAGCATTCGGGCCAGAACACCTAAACATGAGGGGAATGACGATCATCCATCTCGATCCTAACGAATATCTAGCTAATCATCATCCTTTTTTTCTTATTCCTAGTTGCATATGTATCCTTGATACACTACGTATGTACCTACGTACGTGTATGCAAGACGGTAACATCAAGCTTCTCGCCGTGTACACATACATATATATCTCTCCTTGCACGTGTTTCTATTCCCCTGAAACAGTCACGTTCCATCTACCAATCGCCAAGCATATTTCTCACATGCCTCTTCAGATCCTATTTTGCATGACAAAACTAAACCTACCTAGGTGGCCATCATAAGCCAGGGTAGTATTCCACCCTTAGTTTGCATGTAGTATACATCTGTTCCTGTTAGCATGCCAAGTGACTGGTCTTGGATCGACATTCGATCCGATGATCCTGCTATTTTCTTCTACTTGCGTACGTGCTAAATTTATGCATGATATTGTTACATGTGACGCCCCGGAGCAGGGATTAATCCATGTGTAACCCTGCGAATGGGACGCGCGCGTGCGATACTGATTTGTTTCTATAGGTAAGTCAGCTACAAGCGCGTAGGTATATAAGGATGTGACTATATCTTGTGGGCAAAATGGGATGGATATTGGACTTCGTCAGCAATTATAAAGGCACCTACATTCCTAGGTAAGGCTGGTCGAGTACGTACCTAGGTAGGTCTCCAAATCTCTTCGCGATAGCAAACATCTAACAAACATCTAGTAAAACGCCAAAATGCATCTCAACAACCCCCTAAGCCTGCTCGCCGCCGCCGCAGCAGCCGCCCTCATCCCACTAGCATCAGCGCAATGCAACGGCAAAACCGCCTACTGCGACCGCTCCTGGTCCAATATTACCACCGTCGGCGCCCACGACAGCCCCTTCGTCGGCAGCGGGCTCAGCGACAACCAGGACATCAACATCACCGCACAACTCGAGATGGGCATCCGTTTTCTGCAGGGTCAGACGCACTACTTCCTCGACGAGCTGATGATGTGTCATACCAGCTGTCTACTCGAGGACGCGGGAACTCTTACGAATTTCCTGTCTGAAATCAAGACGTGGCTAGACTCGAATCCGCAGGAGGTTGTGACGGTGTTGGTTACAAATGGCGATAGTGTGGGAATTGGCAATTTCAGTGCCGCGTTTGAGGCCAGTGGTATTCAGGAGTATGCGTATGTGCCGAGCACGAGTCCTGATGTGCTGCCGATTGGGGATTGGCCGACGTTGCAGGAGTTGATTGATCAGGGAAAGAGGGTTGTTGCTTTCTTGGGTATGCCCAATTCTTCTCTCTCTCACATGAAAAGAAAAAACAAAGAATAAGGGGAAAGATCAGAGCTGACAAGGTACAGACTACGGCGCAGATATGTCATCAGTCCCCTATATCCTCGACGAGTTCGCCTACTACTTTGAGACACCCTACGACGTGACAGATTCCACCTTCTCGGACTGCAGTATCAATCGCCCTTCCGGCGCAAGTGCCGATGGTCGCATGTATATCGTCAATCACTTCCTTGATGAGGATATTCTGGGCATCGATATCCCCGATCGCGATGCTGCGGCTGCTACGAATGCGGTCTCTGGCACGGGTAGTATTGGGGCCCAGGCGGCGCTTTGTGAGGGTCTGTATGGGCGCGCGCCAAATGGGATTTTGTTGGATTGGACTGATTTGGGTGATCCAATTGGTGCCCAGAATGCGATCAATGGAGTCTGATGCGAAAGCGGAGATGGTGCCATGTATATGTGTATTTAGTATGTATATAGTATATACATTGATCTGATAAGCCCATCTATTTTATTCCTCGTCAATTTCAGCCTGCATTTGGCGTTCTGCAGCATGTTAGCCGGCAATAACGTATTCAGTAGAAAAACAAACCCACCATATATTTTATTCGCAGATGCGATAATCATTTCTGCTTTGCGAGTCATCTTCGCAGCATACCGTTCAGCCTCTTCTTCCGAATTTGGATGCGATTGACTTTTCCGAGATCGAGCCTGTTAAATATTAGTATCGCATACGTATAGGCGAAAGAAGGTGAATACCATTATCAGAACAGGAACAATATCCCTTGCGTCCGCATCCGCTAAAGCCCGCACGCTCCGAAAGCCATTTTCCCACAACAGTCTCGCAGTCCAACTCTTGACATGAGTAACTTGGGCCATCTCGAGAAGGTCATCTCTGGCACCCGCCTGGAGTCGATCACGCATATGCTCAAGGACAACCGCGAGCATGCCCCACCCCATTCTCTGACAGAATTTGACCATGCCCGCTGCGAAACCGTGACATGTCTGTGCCAGAGTCTGTACGACACCTCGTGGAACGTTATATCGCCTCGCGACAGTCGATAGCGGAATTTCGTTACTGAGATCACGTAGTTGGAATGCCGCGTATGCGCGACGGTATATTCTGGATAGTTGCTGCTGCTCTGGATCTTCTTCTTTAATATTTCGACCAGTTTGTACCCTGTATAATGATTAGCAACGTCCCTTTCTTTCTTTCTTTCTTATTTTTGACAACATACATATTGTTCACAAACCCAGGCTGCACTCCAACAAAAAGCAACGCCCGAATCCCACTTTCATCCAAAAGATCCAACTGGTCTCGAAAAATAAGCCAATCGATATTCGTATTCATAGCCACGCTGAGCGGAGTGAACATGTAGAATACGTGCATCTCGCCATCCATGACAAATGCTTGAAGAGCACGTTTGAGTTCCTCATACACAAATATTCCGTCATCAGGCGAGAATGATGATGCTACAATGGCAGCGCCTAGTTTTGTCGACTCATAGGAATCGTCGTCGCGAAGGCGGATGAGATCCGTGTCGACTAGTTCTTGTAAGCTGGTTTCGATCAGTTGTTCGATTTCGGCTTCATCGCGTGTCTTGCATAGAAGAGTGCATCTCATGAATTCATCGATCGCCTCACGGCCAGATACCAAACGTGTTGCAATGCCTTCTAATAGTGCTCTAGCGACATAGTGTCAGCAAAAGTCAAGTATATCAAAATAGATGACACACCTTTTTACTCCTTTGTTATCCTGTGCCAAACAGCTATCAACAGCTGGCGTCTCGGCATCCCAAATCTCAGAGATAGCTTCCAAATCTGCTCGCTGACAGATGAGATAGGTTTCACCAACGGTGTCCTTTCCTTTACGGCCTGCGCGTCCTCTCATTTGTCGTCTGTATTGATCAGTTCTCCTGTGAGCCGAGTATCCGCTAGATAAACATACAACAATGCCGGCCCGACAATATCACGGCCCATTCTGGCACCTTGCATGATAACTCGTCTTGCAGGTAGATTTACGCCTGCTGCAAGACTGCACGTCGCCACGATAACTTTGATAGTACCTCGGTCATATGCCTCAGCAACCAAATCGCGTTCTTCGGTAGTCAATCCAGCGTCTGGTGCAGACAGTCAGCAGCAGACTTGTAAATATGTTAATAGCCTGCTTACGATGAAATGCAACCCCTTTGATGATAGTAATCTTAAAAACCGGATCCAATCCGCACGGCAGACTTCCCAACTCAGCCAACAAATCGAGTCGCCTTTCCAAAAGCTCCGGATCTAGAGTCGACGGCGAAGGCATTGCCTCGCTGATCAACTGCGCACTCATTTGACAAGCATGTCGGCTACCGCAGAATACCAAAGCCCCAAATCCAGCAGTGGCCGTTTCAATAGCCAGAGAGACCATTGCGTTTGCGGTGGGAAGACTCAACGACTTATATGGGGATGAGTCGACCTTCCTGCAAGGCGGCACCGTATCCTGCACTGCACCGGACTGTAATTTCCTGGCTGTATGGAAGAACTCCTTGGAACTTATGGCGGGGKATATCGAATTATCGTAGACCAAGTATTCCTCAATCGGCACTGGGCGATGAGCCGATGCATGAAAAGAGGCATGAAGCCAGTCGGCAAGTAGTTGGGTATTCTACCCCGTCAGCCTGCTTTTATACTGAGTTGGCTTGTATCTAATTACTCACAGAAAGAGTAGCGCTCATGCCAATGATCTGAATGTCTTGTTGCAGCAGTAACAGCTTCGTGACCATCAATTCCAGGAGATAACCACGGCTGTCATCATCTAGCATATGTATCTCGTCCACGACCACTACTGCTAGGTCATCGATATTACATTCCTCGATGGCCGTATTAACCAGAGAATTTGCCTACACCGAGAATGAGAAAAGGAATACGAAAGCTCTACAGATTTGCAAACCCACCTTTTCAATTGTACATATTGCGATATCAGTGTCGGCCCAGGTGGCTCGCGATTTACTGCCTCCAAAAAAACCCGTTACACGGATTTCCTTTGATGGTTGATTCCATCGCTGTTTCGTCGAAGCCGAGGGATCGACATTCTTTTCAACATCCTGGATAATGCGACGGAGCCATTTGAGCTTCTCCTGCACCAAGGCAACGTACGGTAATACCAGGATAGCTTTGCGCTGGGGATTTTCTATAACTCTTTTGAGCATCAACACATCAGCGACCAATGACTTGCCGCCTCCCGTAGGCGCCGTGTAGAGCAGATTCTTTTCGGCGGTCAGATGGCCGCGGCCAAGCAGACACGAGGCCTGCCATGGATAAATGCTGTGGATGCCTACAGCCTGAAAATTGGCGACTAGTACAGGCGGCAGGCCATATTTAGGATGTTGAAGGGAGAGCAGGGGGTTATTGCTCGACTGGCTTGGGGCAGGCGGCGGCGCCAAGGGCGGGATCGCACTGACGGAATTATTAGCACTAAGAGAGCGAATCGGGCTAGCCGCGATGCGTATCTCGTGAGTGGCTGTCGACGCTCGAATGAAATCCACCGGCCGCCGTTTGGGATCGTTGCTGTGTCCGACCATCGTTGCATTTGCTGCTGCAGTGGTCATCGATGTTGCGACAGAGGCAACAGGTTCTTTGGAGACCGAGCTTTGATGCGATCGCTTCAGGCCAGCGACTGTCGTAGTCTGTTGACGGGCTGTGTCCACTGAGGTCTGGAAGCCATGACTCTGGAAAGGCCCAGACATATTATGCTGGCGCGCGACGAGATGACGAAAACAATTCAGACGTCAAAACCAAACCGAGTTCTCATCGAGTCATCATGTTGCTGTAAGAAATACTAGGATATGATCCTAGGTTCGTGTCCGATCAACAGATACTGCCTTCCAAATGGTCGTGTTGATGTCGGGGAGTTCCTTCCGCGATGCGGTCGGATATTTTGGCAACACTGGATAGACACCTGAGGCTGCCTCGCGGATGCGAGTAGCCAATCATGTAATGCATAACCCTGCACCTTGTTGATCTACTACGTCGTAAGTAGTACGTACTACGAATACGTTATACACACCGCGTAGTGTGGTGTTGAATAACGTTCTGTCTACGTTGGTTTTGATATACATGATCAGTCAAATTTGACTGGCAAAAATGTGGCGGTGACTGCCGAGAGGGGTGACAAGTGCTATGACTTGGGAGCAAGGCAGCGTGCCCATGCAGAGCCACCAAGCAGTCACAGTGATAACCGGTTAGTCTACAGCACTAACAAGTAGTGACTCGTACGAATGATAATACAGACTGAACAGTTAAGACTGCAAGAAGGACGAAAATGGCAATGCAGTGCCGCATTGCTCTGTTCGTATTCCGCTTGACTGGAATGATCTTGATATGAGTGGGCACGGGGCTAGTCTAACCCGGGCCCTAGCCTCGGTGCGGCTTCTATTGGTCTGCGGATGATACTCGACTTTACGGAGTATGCTCGGTAGCAGAAACAGGATGTATGCTGTGTGCGTGGTAATTCGATGTTAAGAGCAATTTAATCCTGTGCTGATGGTATGATGGCTGATGGATTGCCCTTTGTATATACTACGTAGTATATCAACATTTTAACGCGATCAAATCAATGCGTATGTATAAATCGAACTACCACCTTGATAGCCGCATTCTTTGCGAATCTGATCGTCGATGTCCCATATCCAAAATAATCGTCAACTGGGATGCAAGATTTTACTCTGTAAATGTTGGAGCGACCGCGATTCATAGCCCATCGCGATTAACCAGGGACAGCAAATTTGCCCATGCTCGCTCGATCCAGGTCACTTGACCAGAGCGATCAAATACTGACAAACAAACTTTGAAAACCCTTGATCCCAGACCCTCGTCACCACGAATGTGCGAAACTTATTACCATATACACAAATGCCGAAACGATGAAAATTCCGACCATCGAGTCTCACTGGAGTTGATGCGCGAACCGAACTTGACAATCCTTTGTAGAGTAACGCTGGTCTCCCGATGCTCCGTACTAGCCGACGTGTTGATAAAGTGCTCTATCGTACTCCGTGAAGCACTGAGTAGTGCTCAGTGGCAAAAGTAAAACAGCCGCCGGCCCGCCAGCACGGAGCAAATTTTGTGATTCGCGGGCGCTGATTGGACCGAGTGACCCGAGACGACGTGGTCAATGACCCCGGCTTGCCCTTGCCCCTTTACTTTTTAGTTAATAATTACGGAGTACATAGTACGGTTTTACTGAGCATTCAGCACCTCAATCGCTCCTCAGCCTATCATCGCCGCGCTCTCGGGCTGCTCGCCCTCGCTGTTCTCAGAGTTTCGCTGGACATTGACTTACGCACAAACTTACCACGTACTTGGATCTGTGGACCTGTCTCGAGTTGAATTCCCGGACTGGTAATGTCGGTGGGGATCGCTCGCAACTGATCGTGACTGTGAGTGTGTGACCGTTGAGCTCTACATCTGAAACCAACAGTCACCATGCTCGCAGTAGATAGCCTGAATACTCACCACTGTGCTTCTGCAACAGCTTCTACAAGACTACTATCCCGTATTCTGATTACATTAGTATCCGTTCTGTAGACAGTCACCTGCTGTGCATCCCAATCAAGCCACGGCCCAAATGGGGTGCAGAGGGCGATGGCTTGGCACCATGCAGGTCAATCCTCATTGCGCTCCCTCCACTCAGTCTTCGTCTTAGTCAACTATATATTATTCATTTCCAGCACAACAGTAAGAAAAAGATTGCCGCTTGTCGTCCGGTCGCGCGCGACAAACAATCGACTCGTCCGGCAAACGAATCCCACCAGACGGGGCCCGATAAACGTGTGACGGCTGGTCGTGCGTTGCTTTGGCATCCACTTTCTTATGCAGACATGTCCACCACAACCATCACCACCCTTCCATTCAATGTCGACTATTGTAGAGATCTCTATAGAATCCAAAAGTCCGCAAATTTGTCTACCTAATAATATCTCTTGACAAGTAGCTAGACCAGGATATAAATACCACAAGGCTCGCTATCACGAAGTCTTGGCAGCTGCATTCCTGGTTCCGCAAGACATACTACGATTGAACTAGTCAGACAGTCATGACTGGACACGAAAGAAGCAAAAAGATTCCTCCATTGTACCACCGCGCGTCGTGGCCCGTTATCGCGTGCCCAGATTCTCTTCATTATTTGAGACCTCCCCATCCCATTTTTTCATTCTATCTTCGTAGCCTAGGCATTTGATCGATATTATCTCTCCGGCAGCCCGGGTACAACCGTCCATTCACGAGCAAGGGACTGGGGAGCCAAGCTGGCCTATTTATTGCTCTTCCAAGGTTATCTTCATCGTTATTCTCACCGTTATTCTTCAATTCCTTCAAGAATACCACCTAACGCTGCACTCAGCCTGAGAAACGGAGGACACAGTAAAAGCCTTGATTAGTCAAAGCACTCCGTACGTGCTCCCCACTGAGTAAGTAAGTCATTATCGCACATGCCCTAGTTGGATAGTATGAGATTAAATCGAGACTATCGGGGCTAGACTGACTAAGGCTCCCAGGCAATAAGGCAATAAGCTCCAACGAACGCACGTCGAAGGTTGGGCGGAACTTCTTTCTATTTTATTTCCCTTGATCTGATTCGGCGCTCTCATGTCATTCCCTTCTTCACCTTCCTCCTACGTCTCCATCCATCCATCCTCTTCTTTCTCTTCACTTTCTCTTTTTACTTTCCTTCTTTTGAATATTCCTCTTCCCTCTTACAACCCTTCCCCCCGCGCCTGACTTTTCTTACCACGGCATATCCTACCGCATCTCCCAACTGCGCCATTTGTTCTTGCCCTCTTGGATTTGATATCCTACATCACGCCCACCTACGCTTTTCACTATCGCCAGTTTCAACTTCCAACTACTAGGTAATAATTTCCGCCGCAACCTGACTATTTGTTGTAAGTTACACCCGGACCTTTCTTCTCTTCCTCCCTTTCTTCGCTCTACCTGCGATCAACGCACAAGACTCCCTCCCCATACCTTTTCCTACTTTCTTGCTTTCTCTGTTGGTTCAAACCTCCTGCTTCGTTATTGTTCAGTCGCCTCTCTGATACATGTATCAACCTGCATGCGTCTGGCGATTCCATCTCCCCATCCTGTCCTTTCGCCTACCCTGATTGTCATCATTCATTGTTGCAGCTGTCCCTAGTCTGGGTTGGGTATTTTCCTTCTCGCCGCGTTCCCGCTCCACACGCGCCGGCGTAGATCAAACCCAAGCCGCTGGTGGCTTGCATTCTCTCGATCATTTTCTCATTACTCTGTCGTCTGTCGTGATGCTGCAAACCTGACAAGGTACACACTACTCGCGACTAGTACGACCTACCCAGTACTAAGTGGCTCCTCCTCACATATTTTTAATATTTCCTCCCGTACGCTCCACGCGCGTTCAATTTTCTTATGCCCTTTGTTCTACAACAGCCACGGCCTCCTGTTTCACTCGGCCTGTTCTTCTCTATTCTGTATCATCGTTGTCACCATCCTCAATTTTCTTCTTATCTCGGGCCCGCCTGTCGAACCTTTCCCTGGTCTCTGCCCTCGCCACATCTGAGCAATCATCTTACATACACATCCCTTCACCCGCACTTTCTCAACCTGCACACTTCTACCTGAATATCAACCTCATTTCTCTTTTTCTTTTGGGTCACTTCTCCGCCACCACCAAGCACGTTCAATTTTCCTCTCGCAAATAATTGTTCCCCCCCACATCGCATCGCACCTAATTTGTCCTTCACAACCCATTTTTACTTACTTGTACTTGACCCCAGTGTTCATGTCAGTGTGTCCATAGAGGACGCGACTCGTCATGTCCGAGGACAGTCAGTCCACAGAGTCGCTGCCGCCGTCGGCTGAGCAGTCCGACTCTGCTGGTCCTGGCTCTGGTCCCGCAAATGCCAACAGCGACAACAATAATGATTCATCACCGGCACGAAGCAAATCTCGCAATGCCGCCCCAGCCACCAAAACTGCAACTCCCACTGAAAAGTTTGAGGAGGCCAAGACCACCGATGCCACTGCTCCTACTAATGCCAATGGTGCTGTCGCTCAGTCACAGCCCATGACTGTCTCTAATTCCACTTCATCAGAAATGACCTCAATGACTGACGCCGCCAGCAATGCGGCTGCTCCTTACAGCACTCGCTCGCGTGGCCGTCGCGATGGCGCACCACGTCCGAACTATGCTGAGGATGTTGAAATGGACTTTGAATTAACAAGTCCTGCTCCCGGTACCAAATCTGCTGCAAACTCTACCAAACGCAACACCGCCGTCTCTAGTGTTACTGGCTCSCCCTCAGCGGCTGTAGACAGCGACAAGGGCCCAGCCGCCAGTACCCGGAAAGGCCAGTCGACAGCTGCTAATGCCACCACCAACGGTACTCAAGCGAATGCTGCCGCCAAGGAGCCTATTCCCGGTACTTCGACTTTTTCTGCCAATGCCACCAACAGTAACAATGCTTCATCAGCTTCGTCAGTGTCGCGAAAGCGAAAGCAACCGCCCAGTGGTGCTACTGGCGCCAACTCTACTGGCACTGCTAAACGAGTTTCCAGTTCGACTTCTGGGTACAAGCACGACATCCGACTGTCGAGTATGATGACTTTCGAAAACTCTGGTGCGCGCTTGAGGAATGGTAAACTGAAAGCTGACGACGGTACAACTCTCGAAGTGAACGGTAAGTCTCATGTATCAATGTTCTTTTCAAATTCGCCTGCTGACGCGACAAGATCACGTCTTTTTGATTTGCGAACCCCCAGGTGAACCATACTACTTGGGTCGCATCATGGAGTTTCTACCCGCAAAAGGCAACCCAACTGGCCCCGTCGAAATGGTGAGGGTCAATTGGTACTACAGACCCAAAGACATTCAACGCAGAGTTCCAGATCCTCGCTTAGTATTTGCTTCAATGCACTCCGACCCTTGCCCGCTTTCTTCTCTTCGAGGCAAGTGTACTATCAAGCACATATCCGAAATCGAGAATCTGGATGAGTATCGCAAGAAACGAGACTCCTTCTGGTACGACAAGATGTTTGATCGCTACATGCTTCGTTATTATGAAGTTGTTCCCACGAAGGAGGTGATCAACGTACCCACTCACGTTAAGCGAGTTCTTGACGAGAGATGGAGATTTGTGCTTTGTGAACCGGCTAGGAAGAAGGAGCTTACGGGTGCTGTCAAGACCTGTGTCAAGTGTGCACTTTATGCTGCTAGGTAGGAATTCGCCTTATTCCAACACAATTTTTGAAAACGTCTGACCAGGTTCTAGCGTTGACTCGGTCGACTGTGCCGTGTGCCACAACACATACCATATGAACTGCGTAAAGCCGAAATTGACCAAAAAGCCAGCTCGTGGATTCGCATGGGCTTGTGCTTTGTGTAGTCGTGCACAAGAACGCAAATTGGAAGCTCGCAACACTCCGCTGATCGGTGAGACTCTGCCGGAAATCGAAGAGGATCTACCAGAAGAAGAAGAGGAAGACCAGAACAATCATGCCGCCGTTGGAACCGAACGAAGCAGCCCTGCAGCGGATGATGACAAGAAGCCTGCMCCCGCCACAGCCGCTCAAATCGCGCAAGCGAAGATGTGGCCGTACCGATATTACGGCATTCACTGCCAGTTAGAAGATGCCCTAGACTACGATGACCGTATTTATCCCCGAGCGAGCTCTCGCATTGGTACTCGGCATCAAGCTATTGTCAGCCCATGGTACGGAAAGCCCGTCGAGTATATCAAGCCTGTTGACCTCAAGAAAAAAGCCAAATCGACCAAGAGTGGAAGCAGCAAATTGTCCAAGGCAACTTTGGCAGCTATCGAGGCTGAAAAGCAGGAGAGATTGAAACGACCTTGGGTTATGGATGAGCCTACGGGCTTCATTCGCCGAGGCGAGGATGAACCGGTCATGGTCAACGGGAAAGAAGTTCGTACGGCAGAGCTAATCTTTAAGATGCCTGAGCCCAATCAGATACCTTCTAGCCGAGGCGAGGATGACCACCCAGCACCCGAAATGAGCCAGGCTGATTGCGAAAAATTCATTGACGAATACATGGCCAAAGCTAAAGACGTGGCGGCGGACAGAGGCCTTCCAAAGTACCACACAAACTTCTTGGACAAGGCTCTCGAGTATCTTTATGCCGAAAAATTCAATGTTGAGAGTGCCCTGAAGCGCCTAAAAAAGGCAGATCTTTACAAGGATTTGAGAGAGCCCAAGCTTAGCAAAGAGCAAAAAGCTCTCTTTGCTGAGGGTGTTTCGAAATACGGATCTGAATGGATCAATATTCGCCGGCACATTGGAAACATCGAACACCGACACGTCGTTCGTTATTACTACATGTGGAAGAAGACTCCAGAAGGACGACGAGTGTGGGGTGCTTATGAGGGACGTCATGGAAAGAAGGAGGCTAAACGTGCAGACTCTACATCAAAGTTACTGGACGACATTGCCGACGAAGCGGACGACTCAGCATTCGATAATGAGAAGGCTAGCACAAAGAAACGCGGTTTCCAGTGCAAGTTCTGTTTGACTCGTAGTTCGCCTCAATGGCGCCGTGCTCCGCTCACACTCCCTGGTGCCACAGTGCCAGCCGAGCCATCTTCGAAGAAGGCAGATAAAGGTGGTCAGCTTGCAGTCGCATTGTGCCATAGATGTGCGCTTCTGTGGAGAAAGTACGCAATCGAGTACAAAGACGCCGAAGAATTAGCGAAAAAGCTTCAAGCTAGTGGAAATAAAGCTTGGCGTCGCAAGTTGGACGACGAGTTGTGTGCTCAAGCCTTGGTTCAGCAGGAGACGCCACAGATTACAACTGCACCGTCGACCGGGGCTGTCGTTAATGCTGTGCCCGTCACTGAGACTGCACCTGAGCCAGCCAAGAAAAAGCGACCGTTGGAGAAGGATAGCGCCAGTGCGTCAGCTAGAAACTCTGTCGAGCCACCTGCAAAGAAGAAGGCCGTTGAAAAACCAGTGGAGCCTCCTCCACTCGTCCCAGATCCACCTCGCGCAAAGGTCTTACCCTGTGCTATTTGCAGAAAACCGGACCCCTCAGGAGAAACCAGTGTTACGTGCAGAGACTGCCGGCTTACTGTTCACTACGGTTGCTATGGAGTGGGGCCAGACAGCTGCCATGCAAAATGGCTTTGTGATATGTGTTCGAACGACCGCAACCCAGTAGTTTCGACTCTGTATGAATGCGTCATGTGTCCTGTGACTCTGACAGAGCAAGAGTTGATGGAAGCTCCCAAGTCTTCGAGTCATAAGAAGAAAACCGAACGTGACCGAGAGAAGGAGAGGATGGAGAAGGAAATGGTACTCGAAGCCATTAAGCTCTACCAGCAGCGACAAGAGGCTGTCGGCAAGCCTATCCATCCGCGTGAGCCGTTGAAACGGACTGTGGGTAACAACTGGGTTCACGTCAACTGCGCAATCTGGCATCCCGAAATCAAGTTTGGAAAAGCCGAAGAATTGGAACCCGCAGAAGGATTTGGACTGATTCCACGAGAGCGATACCGAGAATCGTGCAAAGTCTGCAAGACGACCGCTGGAGCGTGTGTTGCGTGTCATTATCCGAACTGTAACGCGAAGTTCCATGTTGGATGTGCGCTTCAGGCAGGCTATACCTTTGGGTTTGACGTGACGCCTGTCAAAGGCTCTCGCAGGGACTCAACAATCACTATGAAGATGGGTGGAGAGAATGGTTCTGTTTCACCAAGCATCTGGTGTCCCAATCATGCTGTGCAGTCCGTCGTGCATGATATGAGCGAACCCACTGATCAGAACAATCTCACTGCTTTGGAGCTGTACGTGCGGACGTATAAGCAAGCAGATCTCAGCATGACGGGAACAGTCCGCAAGGCAGCACATGTCCAGCAGCAACAACAAAATGCTCAGTCTGTCTTCCAGAGTAATGGTCACGGAGCCCGCCGAGCATCTCTTATTAACAGTGCTGGTTCGGCAACTGCAAGCGAGAGAAGAAATTCGACATCCACCATTCAAGATCCGACCGAGGCAGTTCAGCCTAGTACACACGCAGAACCTCTACGTCTACAGTCTGAGCACAAAACCTGCGTATACTGCAGGTCATCTTGCAGTCCCCGGTGGTGGCCCGTCCATCAGTATCCACCTACAACCATTCTGAGCAATGGAATGAATCATTTGATGAATGGGGGCTCGCACTCACGGACCATATCGCAGGCATCAAACTCATATATTAATGGAGATATACGGCCCAATGAGCAAGTCTACGAATGCCACAAGTGCCACATCAAAAAGCCCGCGGCATCATTACAACCTTCTCCAGAGACGCTTCCTGCTGGGCCGTTCGCGACGCAAACCCCGCGAGGTAGTCTTTTACCTGCACCGCGACAGCCAGAATACACTCCATACACACATGGCAATCCTGGTTCATTACAAAATGTCTTGACAAGCCGTCCTCATGGCCCTCCATCGGGGCCGGTTCCTTCCGGGCCTGAATGGTACAGCAGTTACGACAAGCGTCTGGGTACTCATGGAGGTCCCCAGGCCAATGGATACGGACATCAACCTTCTCCTTTCCCTGGTGGTTCATTGCCCCATCTCAATGGTTATGCCAGCGGGCCATCGTCTGGACCACCAGCCTCTACAGCTACGCCTTTACCCGGGCCCCAGCCTTCATCCGCACCGTCGCATGCTCATCCCCTTCCTAGTTCTGGACCTGGTCCAAGTCCTCATATCCCCCCAGTGAGTACTCACCATCATCAGCCGCCAGGGCACTATGGACCTTTGCCTCCACCGCCGCCATCGCATTCCTACGTTGGCTCTGGGCTGGGCGTACCGTCGATACTCTCGCCGCGTGCACCGCCAGCTCGGCCGTTTGGCACGTCCATGTCACCTCCTGACTTGCACGCAAGTCTGCACCGGTCGCCACCGACACATGGACTTCCTTCTGCACGGCCGCGATTATACTCTATTGATCGTTTCGCGGCTCCTCCTTTAGCCAAGCCCCATACAGAGACACTGCCGGGAATTCTTGATGAACATGCGCGACCTCCAAGTAGTGGACGATACTCTGGCCCTGGACCTAGTGGTAGTGGTAGTGGAACGGGTGGAACGAGTGGCACCGGCACAAACGGCGGCAGCGGAGCCAGTGCAAGTCCATCTTTGAAGAACTTGCTTTCTTAGACACTGCTTCCTAGCAGGCTAGCAATTTCTGTTAATCAATTCCGAACCGCCTACCCTGAAGAAGGAAGGCGTATTGTACAATATTTCTGTCTTTTGATCTGTTTTTATTTGTCTGGAGCAACGGCATGTACTATGCATTGCGAAAAAAGATGAGCATTGCTTTTTGGATTTCTCTGATTCTATCTATTTTTATATCATTGTTGTGTCCACGACGAACAAGAGCTTCGATTTTTTCTTTTTTCTCTTTAGATGCTCGCAAGAAGATTTTTCGTGACCGATCTCTTTTAAAAAGTAAGACTAAGATCGAGACCAAGACACAGATCGTTAATAATTTCAAATCCATCTCATATCAAGAAAGAAATCTTATTTGACGTCATGCTCGAGATATATCGATTAATTGGCGCACCTGCAGAGTAACATCAGGTACAGCCAGTATATTGATTGTACAGATTCCGTGAAGAATCCTGAAGATTTCGTTTCCATACGCACTAGCTCATTCCAGGTCTAGCGCGAGATCCGAGTAAGGACCCGAAAGAGTTAAGTCTCCATTCTTGCTCGCCTAGCTTATCTACCCTAGAAAATGGAGGAGGAGTATGGGGGGAGAATCCACTTGCTTCAGTCTGTGGACCTTGCTAATCTAGGATGCTGCTAGTAGTGTTAGCATCGAGTCTGGTAAGTTAAGCTTGATATTTGACTAAGTAAGTAACGTACGTACTAGTAAATAAACTTGTCAGCTTTGTAGGCATGTACATCTATAACTTAGTACCTCGAAGTAATACGTGCCTTACGATGGAGTATGTTTTGGGATAAGGATTAGAGTTGTGCTTAACGTTTGATTATGTACGACTAATCTCGTCTAGTCTGCTTTGTTGTTGTATGCATGGAATACTCTGTAAACTCCGCGAGGAAGAAGCGATACCGGATGGGGCCGAAAGATTTACTTTTTTGTCCTTGGTTCTTTCGGCTTGAGCCTTGAAGACTAACCTAGGTGTGTTAGGTCCTGATAATATATGATGGGGATGCTGACAATTGCTTCTAGGTTTAGAAATAGGTACGTAGCTCGTCCTGTGTTTCACACATGTAGTGAGAGAGTAGCTAAGCACGAGTTTGATTATTTATTTTATCTCCCATCATCATGTCTAACCAGCAATCTTCAATGGCTCCTGTCCACCTAGATAAAGTTTCTATAAAGATGAGTCTTCTCTACAGTCTCGACATCGAAGCTGCTCCATAGCGCTCATTCACAGATCAACCACTGGGAGACTGACTAACTAATCCGGAAAACAGTGTGTATGGTAGATACTAGATAGGGCTGGGGGCCAAATGCGCTGGGTCCCATAGCAGCATAGCTAGCTACGTAAGTTCGTATCCGAGTGAGCGGAGCTGAGGACGGAGCATGGAGATTAAATTAACTTTAGCCTTTGGCTTTATTGAAATATGAGATTGTTGGACGGAGGCTCGCATTTTATATCTGTTTTTGGAAAGGTTCATACCATTACGGCATTTATGGGTATTTGGAGAGTAGGTTGGGAATATTTCAGTATGGTGATCATTATTACTGACCAGTGTGTGGGTTGTTTGGTATAACTTCAGGCAGGCGAAGAAGGTTTCTTGTTTGAAACTTCACAATAGTATGTCCATCTCCATCGGGAAATGAGTGAGGCCTGACATCGGGATGACTCAACATTCAACCAAACCAGACGACATCAACCATTGCAATTCTACACGGTGAACATGCTACATCCGGCCTAGTCAAATCCCTTGCTTTGGGTCCTCTGATTCCTACGTGGTATGCAGTCGTAGCAGAAAGATGGGGCAGTCATTGGAGGTTGGCTGAATCCATGTCTTTAGGGTTTGAGACTAGGTTTGACACCAGGTTTGATTCCACCAGACTTGGGCAAAGAACAAGATATTAAGCTTAATCTGTCCTATCATGCATATTGATGGTTTGATATGAAATTTAAATCACTGTATAAACGGTCTGTGATCGGATCGGAGATTGGGATGGGCTTGGACTTTCTCCCGTTGTTTCAGCATCTAGGTGTTGCTGTTGTTTTGGATGATGGATTTGAGGTTATACGAGGTGGAACTTGTGTATTTCGTGTTTGTTCTTGGATAGTACATGTATGAAAGTGGTTCGCGATGACTGATATCAAGATAGAGCTGAAATGGGTAGCGCCAGATGCTGACACGACAGTTCCGATGATTCCACCATGCGCAGCACGCAGTCCATCAACTCATTATCATTAATGAGTGGACGATATAAATATCCACAAGACAGAGATGTGTCTTTCGGCGCCTAATGAAACGCTCGAGCCTGAGCATCTCGCAATCACTTGACTTGCATCGAGTTGCATGCGCACCATGCAAGAAGAACCTAGCCACTAGTCAGCGCCAATGGCACAACATTCATCCGAACGCATCTGATCAGCACCAACAGCCTGTCATCCGTGGCACTGGTGACTGGCACCGCACATCTCGAAATGACGAGTAGAGAACGGTGCGGCTTKGCGGCCTTTTGSCCCCAAGCCGGCCAGCCCTAAGCCTGGTCAGTACGTACGTGACATTTACTGTCCACCACCGTCAATACCTAAAGTACGTAGGTGTAAGGGTAAGAAATACGGTATCGGCGAGATCGTCCAGCATGCAGAGTGCATATGCTTGGAAAGTCTAGGGTGTTTGTGACCCACCGAATCAGTCGGCAGAGCGTAGGCGTTGGAGGCGTTGGGGGTTCTAATTATATGCCATGGCGCGTCAAAGAGGCACTGCGATTACCCCGGAAAGCGACTCGGATGTGCATGTGAATACGAGAAGTTGATTGCTGAACAAGCGTTGATAGGCAGATGTGACCTGGTAGATGTGATCTGAATGTAGATGATAGATGAGCCTGCTGCTTGATGCACTATCAGAAGCCGCTTGTTATTTATGGATGACGCAAGCAGTCATCCAGAAACCGTACCTGGGCATATCAGTTAGTATGGACAGAAGAACGCGCCGGGCGCGCTCTTGCTAATAGACTCATCCTTAACTACATGTCAGCTAATACTCCGTAGTCCGTAGACCATGCCATTTTCCACAAATTTCCCTCAACTTTCCGATTTGTTTCTGCCAGACTAAGCGTCTAGCTGCATGGCAGGTTGCTTGTTCAGAGTACGTAACCACCTGTCTGCGATTGAAGATCATCCTTGCGCCATGTCCATAATATCCCGATTAAGTACTCCGTACTGGAGGGTTATCAGCCATATTGATAGCCTGCATAGACGTGACTATGCAGCGTAGTGTACATATTAGGAACTATGTATGCACATTGTCCCCTGCGTGCATCATGCGCTAGCCCACTTTAGGAAGTATCCTTGATACTACCTAATACGTACCTAGCACATCATTCATATTACATAGTTGCTGCAGTCATGTAGCATAGGTAGAGTCATTCATTTACAATACACGTTTAGATTGATTGCCGGTCACTGAAATTGCATTGCAACAACTCGAAATGAGTTTTAGAATACATGATTGGCCAGCACGTACACCGTCGAGCTAGATAGTAGATAGAAAGACCATTGTGTCATGTATGTAATAATAATAATATACGTATTAATTGCGTACCGACCATGTATGTGACGAATGCCTCGTGGCTGTGTCTGCCAATGATTGGACGCCACCCAGCCTCCAGACACAAAAACCACGATCTACATACAAGTCTATTGGCCATCCTCGGTTATATGCAGCATTAGCGTCTGACTAGCCCAGGCTAGAATGCGTCGATTGAGTAATGCCCTACTTGCGTTTCATGTAAATTACCATACCGTGTTTTTGGTCAATTCTCTGGAGGTTTTACTTTTGGCCCCGTGCGCGCTGAACTCTATGAGATTTGTCGCCAAAGCCCTACGCCGCTAGGTTTGGCAGGTACACATTCGCCGAGGGTACTGCTCGTGTCTGCACGGAACGCAGTTCGTCGTTTGTCTGTTGAGCATGAATTTATGATATATCGACCAGAAGCATGAAACAGTTGAATCGTTTGATCAACTCCAGTCGTGTCATATGTAGCACCTCAAAGCAAGCGAGGATATCATTCCTGCTGGATAGAACCGTAAGACGCAGGCCAGTGTTGCAAACCACATTCTGATCTGTCATACTACGTGCCAGTGTTTACTCGGAGTCACTACTTCTTACGTAGCATATGCTGTCATACCAACTCAATTCAAGTATGGAGCACAAAAACACGAATGTACAAACAAGGAAGGATTCTAGAAAGATTTTTAATCTTAAAAGACAATGAAAGAGTCAGAAAGATAGGAAAAAGAAATGAAAAAAACACGGCACGGGCGTACTGAGTAAGGTACCAGGACCCTCCTGAGTTCTAAGTGGATAAGAAGGAATATGCCGAACTCCACTCTATTTCGCTTCGCTTGATGCATTTGTTTCGTTTGATTAGGTGCTGAGGAGTCAGATAGAGGATAATTATAATAATAGATCAATCAATCGGACAGTAAGATGTTTACATGCTATCACATTGTATGAAGAAATGAGGGTCTATTGATTGTCCGCGCCTATTGTTGTGTAGATGGAGGTTGTTGACAATCGAGGCCTGTGGTGCTGCATTCCCCGTACGCACTCCGTACTGAATACAAAAATACGGAGCCCGAATCGCTGAAGCTTGTTTGCGTCGCGATCTCGGGCCCACTCTCTCCATATGGCATTCTCCAGTCTTGCTCTTAGTCTTAGCAGCGATGACATTATCGCATTATCAAATTATTCGCAAGTGACCATTCCTACATAGTCTGTACTGAGTGATTCATGGCCATCAGCTACCGGGGACTCCGAGGAACTAATCTATCCTTAATTTAACTACCCTTCTGTACGGGGTATGTGTTCAAAGTGTTGGTGTCCCTGCTGAAAAGGACTAATCGTCCAATTGGCTGGTTATTGTCTGGTTCTGTTGGTGCTGCAAATCCTCCAGAACAGAAAAATCCGCCGTGTTCGGGATTCCGTCATTCGAGTGGGCCTGGGGGCGATACAGAATTACAAGTGCGTATCATACCAGTCCGTCCACGGTCCCACGGATCACCACATCACACTACTATGTATGTACATACGTATTATGTACTCCGTAGTGAATGAATTAATGGATAGCATACAGCGACCGTCGAATCAAACATGCTGCACGAGCGTACGGTAACATTACACCGAAGCCATCCCCTGTCCGTCCGTAGCGTGACAAGCCGCGTCTTAGCACGTAGTATATTATAGCGTTAATACGGGGGTTACATAGTAAGTTATTCACACTAATAAAACTTACTATGTAAGTGTAAACTAGTGTATTAGCTTATCTTGCTGACCGGCAGCGGCCAATCACAGCAAGCGGCCCTTTCCCAGCGCTTCTAGCCTCTGGCCAATGGAGCCACCCAGAGCCCGCCCCGCCCCGAGACCTTCTGGAAAGTCAGCAGAAAACTTCCATCGCCTCCATTCTTTCTTCCTTCTGCCTCTGCGGTCCCCACCCTCCATCTGATCAGTCTGCACCTTCCCTGCAGCGAGCCAGCGACAAACCGAMCAGTCTGCACCTTCCCTGGCGACCTCTGAATGGGCCCGACCCTTCCTTCTCTTACGCCAGCGCTCTCGATCTCTCGGCCCTCGCTCTGCCTCATACTCACCCCCATCCATCTCTTCTTGACTCTGCCTACCTACAACAGCCTTGCCTTTTTCAATCTCGCTTGTTCTAGCAGGATATCCTTCCAGTTCATTACTAGCCTCGATTGCCTGACTGCAATCACTCCTCTCGCCGGATTTGAGTTTCTTGCCTCTTCACTTCAACCAATTCCAATATCGTAACCGACCAACGACCGTCCAGACGACCTACACTGTGCGACAAGACACGAATATACGCTCTTTACAGCCAATTTCCTATCTCAGTATATAGTAAGTGTTTACCTACATCTACGACTTGTTGGTCTCGGAATACTTCACCGGGTTACACTGCACACGTTCACTCTGGCATTCGGCGACCTTTCATTGTTTGGTGCGCTTACCCTGCGGCTCCAGACATCAACCCGACCACTGCCGTCTATATATATACACGACATCTCTAGAAAGACTGATTGCTGCGACACATCGGACGAATTGACGTACGGACAACAGCAAATCGTCTCGCCGCCACGATATATACTCTGCGAACAATACTTTCACATAGCCGCGACAGTACCGCAATGAACCGCAATCTCTAAACAACCATTCAGTATATCGTGGTGTGCAATCCAATAATATATAATTCCATCGACGTTGCATGAGAACCTCTCATCTGGATGAGTAGCGTCTTACATGTTCCTGTGGATTCAGCTACAGCTATATATACGAACGTCACTTGGTCAGCGTGGCCGCGAAACAACCTCAAACGATGTCTGCCGATCTGTGCGATGCGGTCTATATTGACGACCGATTCGGGACGGAAAGATGGGTGTATAGAGAAGAATTGATTGACCGTGAGGCCGCAGGTGAACTCTCCGTCATATTTCCAGATGAGCCAGAGAGGTTACAGTCAACAGTTAAAGTGCTGTTCAATGTTTGCAAGCGAAGTAAGTTGAACAATCGGATGTCGATATGATCTTCGGCTAATCGTATCTCGACAGTCTACCTTTGCCATTCCAATCAGTCATTTGCAGCTGCCCTTGCCGAATTGAGCGACCGAACTGGACCCGAATGCACGCCTATCTTCGCCTTTATTGACGTTGAGTCGACCGGTATCGCCGCTGCGCCCCGGCGACAGGAACCTCGCGAGTACGAAGGCAGTTTAACGTTGGATTCGGTGACACCTTTCTCGCGCCGTTTTAGCTTCTCCTCGGAATCCGCCGATTCTTATGGTGTTCAGCTAGTAGCTCTACTGGCATCGGATTTGCAACTACAAGATGGACCAAAACTCATAACACCCGTTGCCATGATGCGAACACCAGGAGGTCTAGGAGAGGAGGCTGAGAAAATGGAACTCCCTCAACTATCGCAGAAGATGTGCGCTACATCTTTAGCATTACCGAGTTTGCCGTCACGCTGCATAGATGCAGGCGCCGCAGATGTGCTTTGCCAGCCTCTGCACGAAGCCCGCGTGCAAGGTCTTCTCGTGCATGCTTATCGAGTGCGTCGAACTGCACGGAAAGAGCTGACTCGATTCTTGTCTATCAAGAAGGCCAGGAAGCAATCGTGGGTTGGCATGCACGCCGAAAAGCCGTACTCATATCTTCGGGAAGCGATGGTTTCGAAACTGCTCGAGTCAATTTGCCATCCCGAACAAGTCATTGAAGAATTCCAATACGGGTACGTCTTCATTTATGATGTTAAAACTACTTGTGCTGATGTCTATGTCTAGGGAGCTGAATATCTCACCCGAACGAAAAGAAATGATCGAACGCGAAGTCGGTGTATGGAGGTTCCCGGTTCATCACCTTACAGACGACGAACTTGTATACGCCGCATGTACGATGATTGGACATGCGATGACAATGCCCGAGGTAGGACCATGGCGATTGACCAAAGCCGAGCTTCAGACCTTTCTACTTGCCAGCCGATCAGCATACAATTCATTTGTTCTATATCACAACTTCCGCCATGCCGTCGATGTTTTACAATCGGTTTTCTACATTCTCATCAAAATTGGAGCCCTCCCCACCTACGACATGTCTAACACAAACACATCGCCTTCAAAATCTCCCGTAGCATCACTGATTACACCATTTGACGCCTTGACACTTCTCATTGCAGCAATCGGCCACGATGTCGGTCATCCCGGAGTGAACAACGTCTTCTTAGTCAAGCTGAACGCGCCGCTTGCCCAATTATACAACGACAGCTCTGTTCTGGAAGCCTTCCATTGTGCTGCTTTCTCCCAAATACTACGTCGCCACTGGCCTGCAGCTTTCCACGACGTCAATATGCGAAAACTACTCATCAGCTCGATTCTTGCAACTGACATGGGTGTGCACTTTACATTCATGGGTCGTATGGGTGAGTTGCAACGCAAATATGAGGAGAGCGGGGACACTAGCTTGTGGACGCCCCAGGATCGTGATACGTACAAGAGTTTATTGTGCGGATTGATCATCAAATGTGCTGATATCAGTAATGTGGCCCGACCATGGAAGATTGCGGAACAGTGGACCAATCTCCTACAAGAAGAGTTTGCTCATCAAGGGGAGATGGAAAAGGAAATTGGTATGGAGACGGCTCTCTTTGGTGGACCGCCTGAACTCGGCAACATGCACAAACTTTCACTCAGTCAAATCAACTTTATGTCCATTTTTGCTTTGCCCCTATTCGAAGGAGTTGCCGGTCTTTGCCCGGAGATCACCTGCACGGTCAAACATATCAAACTGAACAGGTCTAGATGGCAAGAGGTGGCCAGCTTCGAGGAAAAACGAGAGCCAACTACCATTAGCGCGGAACATTCTCCACGATCACTTAGTCCTGCAAGACGGGAGGGTCTCAAGGTGTCTACAGTACAGGAAAACGATGTATCGGCGGATCAAGATGCGAATGCTCACATCATCTTGGACCAACCTCCTGAATTCGAAAATACAGCACTGCCATTGACGGCCCAGAAGGACTACGCAGATGATCATATCGACTTGTCGCAAAGCACGGTCGCGGGTTTCAGCACAGCGGCCAATGGAGTACGAGAGGAACCATCTTCTGAGTCTCAGTCAAGCGATGATGACGATACCGGCGAGTCATCAGGGGTCACTTTAATGGCATACAACAAAAGCCACCCTGATCGGGCATCTTCTAGTCGTGGTTCACGCCCCACGAGCTCATATGGAGTCGGTAGGGACACTAGAACGCAGAGCGCAAGCACCACGACGAATACGGTTGCAACTCCTGTATCTCCAGCTACTAATGCAACCAGTTTTGTTTCATTAGACAGTGATGATAAGGAAAGTCGTGGAAGTGGATTGAGCAGTGCCAGTGACGTTTACCCTCTTGACGACAATCACTCACGCCCATCTTCATCGGGATTATATGGACAACGACTACAACCGAACGGTCATACTATTCCTCCAAAGCCCCGCTCGTCACAGGGTTTCGAGGAGTTTGGAAAATCACACCACCTGATGACGGCCATTCTAGGAAACGGTCGTAGTGGTCGCGATAGTTCGTTGGAGAAAGTGCGATCTTCACACCGTTCACACGAACAGCTTACATCAGCACCTCGTCACGAACTCCCACGAAAGAAAAGCCGACTACGATTGGCATTCTGGAGGCGGAAGTCTTAAATGTGTGAACGGATTGAGGTTTAGTCAGGATATGGGTTTACTTTGAGCGTTGAGCGTTAAGGAGTTGCGGCTGGTTGTTATTACGATTATAGAATTGGATATTGGTGTTGTCGACATCATCTGGACTATCGGTTCTGAACCGATATTACTTGACATTCTCTGGAATTTCCTTTTTATCAACTGCATTATTCACAGCGAGGACATCGAAAGGGTCCGTTGACGAACACGCAAACTATGTTGGATATTATGATTACGACGTGGGCTTGCGGTATGTGCGGAATTTGTACCATTTTGATATTTAAAAACAAGCAAAACTGGGCGGGTGATACCATTTCTATTGTTGTGCATTGGATGGTATTTCATGGGCGTTTTTCTTTTGATTCTCTGTACAGTGCCGAATCGGGGCGGGTATACTGTGGTTTGAGCGTGCATTTCGTGTTTATATCCCATCTTATCCCATCTTATCCCATCTATATAGGAATTGATCTCGAGAATTTTACATATAGAACTTCGTAATTCGTAGTACACGTAAATCCGAATAGTATATACAGCAGAAAAGATGGCTTATACTTATTGACAGTCCTCGCACACTTCTTGAGATTTGCGAGGAGGATTCACCTGTTCACTTGTCTGAGCAGCAGCAGTGGCATCAGCAACTTGCTGTAGCTCGGCACCACTCTCCGGCTTTGCAGGCTCCTTACCCTCGACCGTCGTCACATCCTCCTTTTCTTTCTTTTCTTTATTCAACGCCCTATCAACATGTCCCAGATTCCTAGTTGGATCCACGATATTCCGCACTAGGGCTTTGAGCTGTTTGACCTCTAAACCTTTTCAGCCCAATCCTTCAAAGTACAAGGAAGCGAACAAAGGGGCAAACGTACCAGGAAACCCGCCATCCCTCTTCCGGTCCCAGAGTAAGGTCTCTTCTGTGCTGGTATCCGGCACAATGGTCACGGTGAAGAGACCGCCTGTGGCTGGGCGGAGCGAGACTTCGCCTAGGGTTGTGCCGAATGTTGAGAGGAGTTCTTGGGCAAACTGTTTGTATATTACTTAGCTATTTTTTTTTTTTTTTTTTTTTTAAGTGTTTTTAGACATACATATGCAGCCCTTAGCATCCATTTGCATTGAGTGCAATATGTGATTGTGATTCGGGGGAAGGGCGTGTTCTCTGTCTTTGTGGGCGGTTGAGTGGTTTGCTCGACGGGGGCTATTGGTTGTGTCATTTTCTTTTCCTCCCTAGATGAATTTGACTCTATTTCGATAAGTTACAAGAACTTAATGGGTTGACAGGATGGGACAAAACGGCAGTGGCATGTGACGTAGACCCAGCCACCCAATCAAATCAGCCCGGATCATCCCACACGGCTCTCCCACCGGCAAAGATTTCACAAAGATTTGTTTGCATCTCCGAGCAGCGTAAGCAACATCTCAGCCTCGAGATAATAATAAATCCCCCACCGACACGATGTTGCCTCTACTAGCAAACCTGTACGCGGGGAGATCGAACATGTCGTTTCAGAAACCCCGGCCATACATATGTTCTGACCCTGAATGTGGCGCTAGCTATGTTCGCAGGGAGCATTTGCTTAGACATGAAGCGCAGCATAGTGCATCGCAGTCTCATGTATGCCCAGTCTGCGGAACTGGATTTAGTCGAAGGTATCTCTCGTCTTTAAACTTTTTTGTGCGGAATTGCATATTAATTCATGCATAGTGACTCTCTTCGTCGCCATGAGAAAACGCACACCAAAGACTCAGTTAAGCCCATCCCTAAGGTCTCCAAGGCCTGTGATCGATGCAATGCCCTTAAAACGCGATGCGACAAGGGGAATCCATGCACGGTCTGTGCCAAGAGGGGTCTTCAATGCACCTTTGACCGAAGCTTTAAGAGGGAGAGTCGGAGTGCGAGTATTCTGTCAGGGACTGAGTATGAGGAGATGCAGGTATGTATCTTTTTTTTTCTGCATGATTGATATCCATCAAATTGCTGATGTCGAGATAGGCTGGTAGAAAACGGAGACGTGTTGATCAGGATCTATCAGATCGGTTACTTGGTTTGAATGGTCTGATTGACGCGGTGGCTGCATCGTCTTCTTCATTTAATACGCCTACACCACCTCCACCAGTTCACGTAACCGGTGCACCTTCAAAAATTGATCAAATCCAGTCCCAGGCAGAAGAAGAGGTGTCAATGCAAAGCCTCCGTGTCGCTGTACGACAACATGAAGCTCAAATCCAGCATGATCTGCTGAACATCGGTGATGAGAATCAGCCAAAGCCTCAAACCCAGCAGCATCCACAAGAAGATTCAGATCACCTCATTTTCCGACTCTTAGACGTCTACACAGCATCGAAATCCTTCCTCGCAACCGACCACCACACTTCACCTAGCCTCGAATCCGCAGAAATGACTGAATTGATGCACCAACTCGACGCAAAATACTATATCGAAATCTACTTTATGCATTTTCACGGTCAATGGCCCTTTTTGACAAGACCGCAATTCAACCCGGAGACTGAACCGCCCATCCTGGTGCTTGCTATGGTGATGTGTGCGTTTCGGATGACCGAGGAAAAGAGTTTGACGAGACTTGCGTGGGCGATTCATGCACATTTACAGGCTATTTTTGTGACGCAGATGGTAGGCCCCCCAGTCTCTCTTTCTTTGTGCTGCTGCTGCTGCCGCCGTTCGCTGACGAGTAGATAGGATAACTGGACAGTGAAAGAATACTCATCACACCGCTGGCCAATAGCTACGTATCAAGCTATTCTGCTCTTCACCATTTTCGCACTTACTGCACATGATTATACAGAAGTCTTTGCATCTAACGAAGACGATGACGAAGACAACGACAACGACGAAGGCGACGAAGCAGAAGAAGAAGAAGAGGACGTGCTAGATCGTATATATCCTATCTTCACACGTCTGGTCGACACATGTCGCGTCCAGCGCTTACTGCATTATCCATCCATGCTCTCCCAAATCCACGCCGATGATCCACTAGTCTACAAACTAACCGCATCTGAGGAATTCAAATACTTTGCTTTGACTTTGTTTAAAGTTGATAATATTTTCTCGAAACTCATACAACTTGACAGAGACACCGTTGGGGACATTAACGGCAATGTCGACCAGCACGTTGATGGTGCATACACGCCATTGGCGATCTCAGACCTCCAATTCCCGCCGCCTATTAACAGTTATCTATGGGAAGCAGACGGGATTCGTGAACTGCTTCGTCGGCGCGCGCGGCAGTGTCGGGATCCGACGCGGTCGTCGGATGTGTATAATGCTGTCATGGCGGGCGATCGAGAGACGTCGTTGAATCGAGAAACCAATCCGTGGATATGCGATATATTGGATGTTGCGTCGGTCGGAGATGAGGAATTGCAGAGAAAGAAAAGTTTGGGAAGGAAGAGGAGAAAGGCTTGGATGAGTCTTGGGCCTTGGTTGGGATATTTGGTTGGATTGGATGCTGGCTCTGCTGTGATGTGACTTAGCATTGTCATACGATCATGGGATAGATAAAAAACGAACGATTATTCAACTATATCCTAATCAAATATTCATATCAACTGCAAACGTAACGTCAATAAGAAAGAAAGAGAGAAAGGTAAAGGAAATAAATCTATTATACAACGAAATCAATATGTAAAGTTTCAAAGAAGAGAAGAGTCGGGCGCCCCCTCGACTTTCGAATATCAGAAAAAACAACTGCCGCGGCCGTAAATGACAAGATAGCGCCCCTCCTGTTTATCTCGTTTCGATATTGAGACGAAAGTAATACCCAAAGCGAAGGTCGAAACCGGCAAGGACAAGAACAGAAGAAAAAAACCGTCAAAAGGTAAATCGCGCCTATGAAGTAGGCGGATAGGTGAAGGGGAAAGAAAGGTACATTTTTTTGCGTTATGTCGAATTATACAGACGATCAAACCAGCGTAACTTTCAAAGTAGTTCTATGACTTTTGGTCGGGATCGAATGTCTCGTCATCAAGAGGAAAGAAACAAGTGTTTCAAGCAATGGACGCCAAACTCATACCAATCAAGATAGGAAAAAGTAATAATTGTTGTTTTGATTTTGGATTGGGCCGGACCGTATAGATGAAAGGTCCAGAGATTCATTAGTCCATGTTGCATGCATGCATGCAGTATGCATTGATTGCATGATCTGGAAAATATCGATCGATCGTTTTATCGAATAATGCAATAACCAATCGAATGGATTGCAATGGAGGAATGCCAGTGTACAATTGTGAGAGAGCGATGAGAGAGAAATATTGTTATCGTCGCAAAAGGGGGTATGAAGAAAGAATCGAGGAAGAAGCGATGAGTCGCAGCACGAAGGAAAGCGAAAATAGGTCGAGTCATCATCATGGGGATGGGATGAAGCACCGACGGGACGGCCTGAGCCGTTTACATCACGGTACAGCAGCCACCGGATTGTTGAGGTGCATAGGGGTCTTCTCTCTTATCGACCTGAACGAGGTTAGTAGAGGATTCACTGGGAATTGCCAGATTGAAACATACCTGACCCCAGACGGAAGGGACCATAAAGTCACGGGTGTTGTTGCAATAATTAATGAGACTATTAAATATCGAGTCAATTGACGATTATCAAACCATAGTACAATGAATCGCATGCAGGTGGTGGTGGGGTGTTGTGGTAGCTGAACGACGCCAGGGGAGACTCACGACAGAGCAGCTTCGGACACCTTGACGCGAGGACGGTCCAAGTCTTCCTTCAAGCGACTATTCAATTCCGTCAACCGACGATATTTAAGATCTGCCATGCTCTGTTTCTTATTCTTGACGTCGCCGCCCGAGCGGAGTTCATAGGCAGGCATCTTGGAAGGGGCTGATGGTTGTGATGGCGGAAACGGGTGACGACTCTCTTTGGCGGCGTTGTGTTCCTGTCCCTCGGTTTGGACCTTGGAACTTATTATTTATCGCTTTTTTATTCTCCCACAACCAGAATTGGGTACAAACGGATGTGAAGTCGCTGCAATTGTCGCAGAGGAGACGATCGGCCTGACAACCGGGCGAGACAGAAGAAAAGAGAGTAAGGTGTCTGGGTGGTGGCAGGGACGCAGAGAAGGGAGCGACGAGGATAGGTAGGATGGGACGGGAGCGAGGAGACACACAACAGCGAACACAGCGAACACAGAGGAGCACACAAGACACACAGGACACGAGGTGGACCGGGAGACACACTATTTCTGAGACTAGTACGCACTCAGTCTAAAACGACGATGTCGATTGTGGTGCGGATTAAGCCGTAGGGGAAAGCGAGCGAACAGCGACAGTACAAGGGGGGAGGGAGAGGGAGCGAAGGTCGAGAAGGGGAAACCTCTCTGTCCGGCTTGCCTTGGCCCAGGCGTCTGGATGATGCACTAGGCCTGATCAGGAAATAGTGCCCATCAGAAAACTGGGGGCTGCGCTACCTCACTTCTAACTGTTTCTTCACTAGAAGAAAAGACACAGCTTTATAGTAAGAATACGTGATTCTTTATATATGATCGCTCTTCATCCTAACCTCATCTTTATCGAGGTATGTGCTTGCAGTCTTATTTCAAAAATCCCATCCGAATCCTTCGAATCCGAACCCCAATTCGATGCGGCAATGCTCCGGACGGGTCCTCGACCAATAACAAACCCTAAAAGCCACTAGTTCGGCGACTATGTCTGCTAGCGACATTTAGCCGATGTTACTACGCCTTCTAGCCTGGCCTGCTCCTAGCTCAACGGTCTCTAGAAGGGTTCATCTTGATTGCAGACTGCAAGACATGAGACAGTTTGTCAGGGTGGTGGATAAACATGAAACATGATCAGGTACAAGTAAACAATCGATTACGTATCGTCAGATATCAAGATGCATCACTGCTGTGCCTCTCACAGCAAAAGAAGATTTGACAGCATCGTCCGAAGAGCGCCACCGAGTACTTTTAATGTTTATGTTATTATTGTCCGAAGTACGTACGAGTTTACGAGAGTAAAGAGAGAGATGAACAAAGACTGGAAACTTTGAATGCGTCCGACCACAACTACTAATGTCACGTGATACAAGCTAATCAGTCTGATTAGGTAAAGCGCCATTCAAGTGTGTATAGTCACGTGATAGGGGTTACTCATCTTGAATCGGCATAGCGCAGGATTCGCACCTTGGCAATAAACCTGCCTAAGGCAGCAACACATTTTCTTGGGAATCGCACAACGCTATTCTCGGCTCCAGTTAGAATTTGCCTCAAGTTCCGTCACGGCCCTTCACCCCGCTGCATCGCTAGGTTCAACAGATTCATTTGAATCTCCAGATACCTGCTGCGGTTGTGTTTGAGTGCATCGGCTTGACTAAAGAGTTTATTTTCGATCGCCTTACTCAAAATCTGCATTTCGCCTAAGGGGCAGACTGCCCACCATGCCTCCACCACCTCATATCAAGCCCGAAAATGTCCTCAAGGTACGACTAGACCATCTCGCCATTTCTATTCTCGGATCTGGATGATATCTCCTTTCTCTGCAACATTTGGATCAGAAAGAACTTTACTGATAAATTTGATGTAGAGGGCTAGGGAACTCATTGCTGTGGGCCAGGCTCCTGCCGCGCTCACAGTTCTTCACGAACATGTCACCTCGAAACGAACTCGAAGCAGCCCTGTCGCGTCTTTGGAACCAGTGATGATCCTCTTTGTTGAATTGTGTGTCGATTTGCGCAAAGGAAAAGCCGCCAAGGATGGTCTCTATCAGTATAAAAATATCGCCCAAAATACCAATGTGGGAACCATCGAGGTAAGAAACTGAAACAAACCATGAAAGCGAACCAGTCTAATGCCTTTTCGATAGACCGTTCTTAAGCACTTCATCGAACTCGCCGAACAAAAAGTGACCGAAGCCCAAGCCAAAGCAGACGAAGTCCAGTCGTCGCTCGAGTCAACTGCCCCCTCGACCAATGTGGATGATCTCGAAGCCATCGAAACTCCCGAAACTATTCTTTTGGCTACTGTTTCCGGCGAACAATCCAAGGACCGTACCGACCGTGCTATCGTCACCCCATGGCTCAAGTTCTTGTGGGAAACCTACCGCACTGTACTCGAGATCTTGAAGAACAATGCCCGTCTCGAAATCATGTACCAGACTACTGCTCTCCAGGCCTTCCAGTTCTGTCTCAAGTACACCCGCAAGACTGAATTCCGCCGTCTTTGCGAACTTTTGCGCAACCACGTTCAGAATGCCGCCAAGTACTCTACTCAAATGCACGCTATCAACCTCAGCGATCCGGACACCCTTCAGCGCCACTTGGATACCCGTTTCCAGCAACTTAATGTGGCCGTTGAGTTGGAACTATGGCAGGAAGCTTTCCGCAGTGTGGAGGACATTCATACTCTGTTGAGCCTCAGCAAGCGCCCTGCAAAGAACGTCATGATGGCCAACTACTACGAAAAGCTCGCTCGTATTTTCTTGGTCAGCGAAAACTATTTGTTCCACGCTGCTGCCTGGAACCGCTTCTACAACCTCTTGCGCCAGTCTTCTGTTACTCTCGCCTCCGGTCAGGGAACGAAGAAGGATAACCCCTCTGTTACAGAGGCGGACATGACCAAGGCTGCATCCTTTGTCTTGCTCGCTGCTCTTTCTATTCCCGTTATCAGCACCTCTCGCTCCCGTGGCGCTTTGGTTGATGTTGACGAAGCCAGGAAGAACAAGAATGCCCGTCTCACCAACTTGCTTGGTATGGCTCAGCCTCCTACTCGTGCTGCTCTTTTTAAGGATGCTTTGAACAAGGGCTTGCTCAAGCGTGCTCGTCCGGAGATCCGTGACTTGTACAACATTCTTGAAGTCGACTTTCACCCCTTGTCCATTTGCAAGAAGATCACTCCTATCCTTCAACAGATTGGTGCTGATCCTGAGATGGAAAAATATGTTGTGCCCTTGCAACAGGTTATTCTCACTCGTCTCTTCCAGCAACTTTCCCAAGTGTACGAGTCTGTTGAACTCAAGTTCGTTTACGAGCTTGCTCAGTTCCCTGACCCATTCCAAGTCACCCATTCAATGATTGAAAAGTTCATCATGAACGGTTGCAAGAAGGGCGACTTGGCCATCCGCGTTAACCATGTTGCTGGTGTTCTTACTTTTGATTCCGACATCTTCTCATCTGCTAAGTCCCTGCACCCAGGTAGTGCAGCAGGATCCGCCGAGAGCGAGGTGGGATCTGTCCAGCGTCTACAGAGCACCCCGGCTGAGATTGCTCGATCCCAGCTCACCCGCCTGGCCAAGACTTTGCATGTCACTTGTCTTTATGTTGATCCTTCCTACACCGAAAGCCGTCTCCAGGCTAAGCAACGTGCACATGCCCGTGCTTTGGAAGGCGCTGCCAAGGAACATCAGGACACTTTGGCTCGTCGAGTTGTTATTGAGAAGAAGAAGGAAGCTGCCACAGAGTCTCTACAGCGCAAGCAAAGAGAAGAAGAGACTCGCAAGAGAATCCGCACCCAACAACTCCAGGAAGCCGAGAAGCAGAGACTGTTGGATGAACATCGTGAGCGTGAGAAGAAGCGTCTCAAGGATGAACAAGACCGCATTCGCAAGCAGGAATTGAAGAAGCAGCTTGAGGAATTGAGCGGCGTCAAGGGTATCGATATTAACGAGATTGATCCCGAGGAACTCGACAGCAACCGTCTTCGTGCCATGAAATTGGCTCAGCTTGAGAAGGAGAAGAACGAGCTTAATGATCGCATCCGTATCACAGCCAAGAGAATTGACCACTTGGAACGAGCCTTCCGTCGTGAGGAGCTCAAGCACATTCCGGAAGATTACGAGAAACAGAAACAACACGATATGGAGGTCTACGAGCTCCAAAAGGAAGAGACCTTGAAGGAAGCTCAATTGAAACACAAGGCTGATGTCGCTCTCAAACACAGATTGAGCCGTCTTGTGCCTGTTTTCACCGAGTTCCGTGACGGCCTCAACGAGAAGCGTCACGAGGAGTTTGAGAAGCGCCGCAAGGCCGCAGAGCGCGAACTTGAGGCAAAGAAGAAGCAACGCATCAAGGAGGTTGTGGAGCGTCGCCGTCGTGAGAAGGCTGAACGTGAGGAGGAGGAACGTCGCAAAGCGGAGGAGGAAGAACGTATTCAACGTGAGGAGGAGGAGCGTGTTGCTCGCGAGGAGGAACAGAGACGTGTTATGGCTGAGAGGAAGGCTCAGCGAGAAGAGGAGAGAAAGTATGTTACTTATATCTATCTAGTGCACCCGACCCTAGACTAACCAATTTTTACTATAGGAAACTCGACGAGATTGCCGCCAAACAGAAACAGCGTGAAGAAGAAGCCGAAGCTCGCCGCGCAGCTCGCAAAGCCGGTGTCCCTGCTGGACCTGAACCCACTCGAGCCGAACCTGCTCGCGCCGAACCTACAGCCGAGCGGGGTGAACGAATCGCACCCAGACTCAATCTCGCACCTCGTGCTGGTACTGGCGGTGGAAGCTGGAGAGAACGCCAGGCCGCAAAGGAAGCTTCAGGAGAGACTGCTCCCGCTCCTGTCGCTACTACTGGTGCTCCTGCCGCAGCCAAGGAAGAACCCGCTGCCCTCCCACGCAAAACCGGCGGCTACGTGCCCCCTGCCATGCGTCAAGGCGGTGCTCCAGTCAGGTCAGAAGCCCCTCCACCAGCAACAGAAAAATACGTCCCGCGCCGCATGCGTGAGGGTGGTCCCGTTGGTGCTCCCCCTCCTTCCAGGCCCTCTGCCCCTCCAGCAGCAGCAGCCAGCGAACGAACCGAAGAGAGCAAGTCAAGCGGCGGTAAATGGGTTCCTGCATGGAAGAGACGTGAGCAACAGTAATAACTTTTCTTCTTTCTGTCATACACGGAGGTTTATCCTACATAAACTTTTGGCATTTCTTTTTCTTTCCTCATGCGAAAAGTACGGTTTGCTTTCTTTTTTGACTTATGTTTTATGTGACCATGTCCATAGTAGCATCCATTCCACAATCTTCCTTCCCTAAATCTTTCGCTATTGAAATATGAGGATGGTTTCGGAAAGGAACCTTGATATCTCTATTTCGTCGTGATCTTTCTTCTAGAGATTACCCATCTACCCCTTTGCATATCACTTACTTTCCCTTGCCCCTTATCATGTTCTGTGGATGAGACTAGATTGATTATGAGAAGGTTGTCGACGATGAAGGAGAGTTGGAAAGAGTAGTAATGTACATCGTTCTCAATATACATCTATACGTCAATATACATCGATACGTCTAGAATGAGTGGACATGGTACTGCTTTTGAATCATTGTAAAAAGAAAACAAGTTGTGATCAAACAGGGGATATCTATGTGTATGATGTATGGTTGTAAACAGACGACAAAAAACAACGTATATCCGTCGTGGTAATGCAAATTGAACAAGATGGAAAGAAGGATCATCAAATAAAGCATCGTTCATGGTATCGCGATCTATATGCGGACAAGAGTCTGTCTCTGCGTGATATTCATTCAAATCAAGCAGCTGCCTCCGTAGCCGTGGCCCCGAATAACTTTCTCCTCCATTCACCGCAAACCGCCTCAAAGCCACTGACAACTTCGCCGCAGACCCGCCCCGCTTCGCGCTCCTTGAGTTTTCGATCCCATTGCCCGCTTTCTATCCAGCGATGCCCTTCCTCGCGGTCCTCGTCTTCGCGTTTAATTTCTGCGACCAGTTCGCGTGCTGATCGCAGGCGGCGGGATGCTGTGGATGTAAGTTGGCGGGATTCGTGGAGCGTGTCGCTTAGTGTGCGGAGGGTGAGGGTTAGGTCTGACGTTTGACCTAGGAGAGTTTGGAGCGAGATGAGCGGGTCCATGGATGCTGCTGTTGTTTGGCTTTGTGTTGACCGTACGGACGAGGCGGATTGTGGTCTGAGAGCAGTGGTATTGGGGTGTGTCGTCTGTTGGGTGGGAAAGGGAAGAGGCAGATTCGGGAGAAGGCCTTCGTCGATCAAGGGTATGAGGTCGTCCATGGACTCGGTGGATATCAGAGGGAAGTGGGAGAAGAGGAGGGGATGTATTAATGTTTGCAACGCTCGGGTTTGGTGCGTGAGATGTGACGTGATGGATGTATGAGCGGTTATCAATCTGAATGGGTGTTAGCACCATATCTTCACTCTCAAAACTCTTAAACATACCTCGCGGCTCCATTTTCAATCCCGCTCTGTGCACCTAGATCTCTGAGACCTTCTACAAATCGTTGTATAATCTGATCGTTTGAACTGCCATTTTCTTCTATACCCCGTCTAGCCAAACTCTCAATTCCCGCTAGTCTCCTTTCCAAGTTAGGAGAGAACTCGCTCCCTTCCTCAAAGTCCGAATCGTTACCATAATCTGAACCGTCGTATTGAGATTCCGTGCGTCGATGTCGATTCTGTATTGTCTTTTGCCTATTCCTCGGAGGCTGTAAACTATTCGCATGAGTAGGCGACGTCTGTTCGCGAGGTGTCTGTTCCCCGGACGAATGTTCGTCATCATGGTGTATGTTGTTCACTTGATCATTGACCTCTATCCCGGAAGCGTCGTCGTATCCCTCCCCATCACCCCATGCATCAGCCAGCTCGTCTGCTAAATTTCCAAGACCTCCGCCGGGTTCGACTGCGCCCATATATTCTGCAGACATACGTCGATCACCGATAGACGATATAGAGTGTCGCTGATGCTGTCCGTCCGCGGAAAGCGCGCCCGGAGACTGAGGGCTTTGTAGGTAGAAATATCCATTATCATGCGCATCGTTTATTGTTGGTGTCATATCAAGACTGGACGGGTGCCGACGATGTCTCGGCGAGACAGGCGAAGATGGTGCCGACATTTTAGCGGTCGACTGTGTACGGATAGTCAAGCAACGAATGAGTGTAATTATCGGGTTTGAGTAGCACGGTTACGTAGCGGTTTGCATGCCTTTCGCTCGAGACAGGTGGGCCTGAAGCCCAAGACCGGATCGACAGCGAATGATAGGGGCGAGATGAATTCGAAGAGGAGGGAAAACGAGTCAATTTAGAGCCATCTGTATGGGAGACGGACTGTCACAATGCAATGTCTTGAAGAAGGTTTCATAAAGTGGCACGTATGGCCTATTTGTATGATTCCGCGATCTGTATGAGATGTCAATATATGTCGGATTGCTTCCTCACGTCAGCTCCAAATGTCGAAGAGCGGCAGTGGTTTGGAGTGTTTATTGACGGTATGATGAGGAGGCGCTCGGTCTCACCATTCCAAGGCGGTCAGCCGCCGATTACCCCCGCTTTACTACAATTATATCCATATTCAAACAATACCCAAAATTATTGAACAATACGGAGGATAAACGCATTACTGGCATACTCATATTAATCTACAACGTTTGTCTGCATACGTCCACTCATTCCGAATTCTCACTATAACAGAAACGATCATCTGAGCAAACGCAAAATGAGTTATATCCGGCGCATGACGCCGATGGACATGTTCTCATTGAACTTGACCAATCTCGACGCTCTGACGGAAAATTATGACCTAGGCTTTTACCTAAACTATCTCATGCGCTGGCCTTCGCTATTTAGTGTGGTTCAGGATCGAGATGCCGGCATCGTGGGATACAGTAAGCAGAGCCCTCCCCTCCTTTTCCACCTACGAAATGCGCAAAGCTAATTGCCTTGCTATAGTCATGGGGAAACTAGAAGAACAGCCCGCCGCAATGCGCAATTCGGAACATTACACACCCTGGCACGGTCACATTACAGTTCTGACTGTTGCGCCTGCATGGCGAAGACTTGGATATGCGCGGCGGTTGACGGAGAGTTTGGAGCATTCGTCCGATATCAATGATGCGTGGTTTGTCGATTTGTATGTTCGAGCAACAAATCGGGTAGCGGTCGATATGTACAAGGGCATGGGGTACGTTCCTTCTTCCAAAAGAATTTACGGTCAGGGTTCGTGAGACTAATGGATTGTTGTATGTGTTTTCAGATACTCTGTCTTCCGGCGCGTTGTCAGTTACTACCAAGACGATCCAACCGGAATGTCCGATCAAGGCGAAGATGCATTTGATATGCGCAAACCCTGCAGTCGAGATAAGGATCTTTTACATGTCCGGGAAGACGGGGAGAACTTTTTGGTGAATCCGGAGGACGTTTATTGATGAGCATATTTCCGCAAAACGTTGCATACATAGACTCGTTTAGCAGGCGCATGGGGATGACTGATTTATGAAGTTCATGGTCATATTGTACATACATTTAATGGTGTTGGAGGCTTTTTATGTGGAACTTGAAGAAGAAGAACGTTTATGTAAGAATTGAAAGACGTGTAAACGCCTACTTAGGAAGATACATGAATCCAAAGCGTAGATTCCTAATATCTCTATACTTTTGGCTCGCACAAATGAAGCCAATGACCCGAAACCTGCGATCCAGCCACCCAGATGCTTCATGCAATGTATGGGCTCTTGCTGTCTATAGCCCAGAGCGTATGAATATATACAATATATGCACCGTAAACGTGCCATGCAAGTCGAACGAGAATACATCGAAAAGAGTCCGAAAAGAATAACAAAGCGCCGCCAACGTATGCTATGTGATCATCATCCTGCCTAGGCTGATGATCACCTGAAAAACTGGTTCAAGTCCGAACCGTCAAATTCCATCCAACACGAATGAAACGAATAATCAGGATCACCACCGCGCAAGCTGCAAGACAAAGTCCACAAAACAGTTGTACGCCAAGGTAAGAATTCCCAGCAGATAGAATCGCGCCACCAATCGGTGTGCCCACCAAGACAGCAATGGAACAAAGCCCAAAACACATGCCCAGTCGAGTTCCGAGATCTCGGAAGTCCTTCGTGATGGTCATCATGACGACAGGAGGTAAGGATACGAATCCTCCGGAGAAAAACCCATAAAGAAGAGTCAAGATAATGATCCCCGCAGCCGAGTGGACGGCAATCCAGCAAAAGGCCATCAGGGCCGTAATGCTAGCAGCCGGTAAGAAAATATTGAGTGGGCCAGTATAATCGGCAATCAGATTTGGTGTGATACGGCCAAAGATCGAGGCAGCGTTCAGGATCGAGACTAGATAGAAGCCTAGATTGGCGTTTACGACTCCGGTCTGAATTGCCCATGGCTGGACGTAGATAAGGAAGTTGTAGAAGCCCAAAAAACCCATGAACAGTGCGAGACAAAATAGCGTATACGAAACTTCTTTAAAAGCAGAGAGCTGGATCAAAGATCGTCGTTCTGTTGGAAGAAAACGTGCACGTAGAACGAGACATGAAAAGGTACATGTCGCCAAAGACACAAAAGCGATGGCACGAGTTGCCCAGGCGAAGCCAACTTGTTTCTGGAGCTGATCGAACATAATCGGATAGATCACACCGCCAAAACTGCTACCTGAAGCTGCAAGCCCGTTTGCTAGAGCTCGTTTCTTTCGGAAGTATTGCGGTAAAAGGGCCACCGCGGGGACGAATAAGAAGCCAGTGCCGATACCAACGCAAATACCCTGTGCCAGCATGACTTGATAGTATTCGGTGGCGAGACTAGTCATCATATAGCCAAAGATGACCATGAAACTGCCGAATGGCAGAATGACGTGGAGATAGCCGGCGTCGAACAGAGGGCCTGCAACGACCCCGATGAACATGAGAAGGAAAGACTCAATGGAACCTATCCAGGATATCGTTGACGCCGACTCATGCGCTAGGATTTGTTCTTCATAGTAAGTCTGGCGTATGTTAGTTGGCTGTTCAAGTAGATCATTCGAAGTGAGGGAAAGTCACCTGAAATGCACCCCATGTATTGATCAGGCCCCTAATCATGACAAGTCAGCTTTGTCCGCTCATATGTGGTAGGATAGAATCAAGCATAGGCATACCATGAATTGAAAAACAAAAAGAAAGACCCAAGCACCTGCAGCCAGGCCGCGAAGCCCGTATCAAACTCATGCTCTGCATTATTATACCCTGTATTATTCGCTTGTGGAGCAACTGGCTCTTCAGCTTTGGGAGCAGTACTTTCGCTACCGGTTACAGAATCATTTGACGTCACGATGGCCTTCTCAATCGACTCTGGCGTGTCATATGGTGCCATTTCCAGGTCGATCAAGACGCTAGTCTAACGCTTGATCTTTCTCTCGAGATGCTTGTACCGAGAAGATGTTCTTGTCGCAAGAGATTCTGATATATGCGGGGTCTTGTATGTTCTGGGCAACCAAAAAAGTCTTGGATATCGAGTATTAGTGACAGGGGCCGAGGCTCGGAAACAAGTCCGAATGATGTAGTTGGCTGCGACGAATTTTCACAGTTAGGATCGATTTGTAGTTGCGCTGCGGCGTGTTCGCTCACTTTCTTGAGGGCACAGATTGTGACAAAGCTTGATATTTCAAAACGAACGGAGAAAAGGTTCTCCGCAAGAAATAAGTCATCGAATAGGACCCATCCAGGGCACCTAGTGTAGCTAAGATTTTCTTTCAAACCCATCTTACTCCGTAGTAGATCCGGAGCCTGGAATAGCGTCCGTGCAGTGGCAGTATGGCACCACCAGTAAGCTGACAGCTTCATGACCAGTACCTTCCCCTTTGGGTGGCTTGAAGTGGTCCTAATGGAGCGGATATCGGCTCTTAGCGAACCACGCTACACTTTCAGTCGAATTGAGTGCTACGTCGTTGGTTGGAAGCGCGTGTGATAGGTGGATCTCAGACCAGTCGAGTTGGCGTTGGGAAAAGGTTTGCGGCGGGCTCCACGCGCTGTGCCGATTTATCCTGGGGGAGCGCTTAGTCAGTCTGATATGTTCTTGTTAGTTAACTGTACTACTACAGTTCTAGGGATATTGGCTTAAACTGATTACTTATCATAATTGACAATCAAAAACAATGCCTGTTCCGGGTGATCTGAAAATGTCACGTTTTGTGTATTGCTGTAAAGCCCATGACTCGTGAACATTCGACGTGGATTTCTAATCAGATCGATGCTTAATTAAGTAACCTAAATCAAACCAACTGCGTATGCATGGACGTACTGCGTATTGCTATTTTCCGACTAGAGTGTATATGTAGCACAGCAGCAGCCGTAGCATATCGTTGGCTGCATCGTCTCAACAGTGCCGAAATTGCTTGCTTACCGTAGTAGTTTCGATCTTGCGAATTAAATGCATTTTTGGTCAAAAGATTGCAGTTATATCCCGGAGGCCCCCAGCAATATATTTGATTTATTTAGGATATCTGTGTCAACAATTTAGAAATCAACCTTCTAGTTGTTTGTGGATTTACCGACTGTCAAGTATGGGCGGTCAGAATAACAGGGACGACAGTCTCTAGCCTCCTTGAGAGTATCAGAATTCTTCCAGTACCGAATTAAACACTTCTAAACTCGATTACTTTTGCCGACATATGACACATGACACATATACGCATGTGGTGAGCAATAGGTTTTTCCTTGCTAACGGGAAGCCTCCCAAACCATCATTGGCCTTGTGGCTAGATATGGGCAGTTTGAGATCGTTGGAAAAAAAGCCTATGTCAAAATCATGGCTGCGTTGTTACATACCGACAGGAGCTTAAAAATCAGACCAAGAAACATGTACGTTCTTTCAATTTTGAGACAGAATGAGGTACTCCAAACACGAAGAGAAAACAATGAAGATGCGCCGGAAACTATATCAAGTACAGTGTCTGCCTCTCTTTCCAACTCCAGTCTATGCAGATGAATGAGTGATAGATGATGGCGATCTGGTAAGGAATGGATGTAAACAACATAGAAGACGATGGGATATGTAAGTTAAGCTTGTGCGATGCCGAAATGAAATGGTCTGTAACAGGGGTATGTACGAAATAATCAGACCTTCGAATAAAAGAAAGGAGAAGGGTTCGTGTATTTTGTGAACGAAAAATCTGATGGTTAAGAAAAAATCGACGGATAGTGAGAATCAATAGCGCAATCAGTAGTTCTGATACTGCTGCTGATGAAAGTAATGATTCGAATGTTGCGGTGCAGGTGGTGGTGTTTGAGATCCTACATGGCCATTCCAGGCATGCCAATCCGAACTAGTAGCCGGACGGGGAGTCATCTGCGGCTGATTGTATGTACTCTGATTCAGAGCATCCCACGTGTAGCTTGCACCGGGCATGTTGTAGATACTGCCAACTTGTGGATGCTGCATCTGTTGTGCTTGCGGGTACTGCATTTGTGTTTCGTACATCTGTTGTTGTTGACGCTGTGCAATTGCCTGCTGAACCATTTGATTACTGAGGCCCTCCTTCATGTATCTTCTTTCGCGTTCGCGAGCGTCAATGGCTCCAATGAGACCACCGGGGCTAACGGCGGGCTTCGCGTTACTATTTGACAGGTTGAAGAATGATGACCCGGTCATGCGAGCGACGTGTTCTTGTTCTCTAGCTGACAAATGCGACGAAATATCGCTTTGGTTCAGGATTGCATTCGATCCACGAGAATTCGGACGAGGCGGCATCTCATTTTGGTTCAACAGCATCGTCGAGTTTCGAGAATGAGGCCGGACAGGCATTTCATTCTGATTCAGAATCATTGTCGAATTCCGCGAGTGTGGTCGTATGGGCATCTCGTTCTGATTCAAAAGCATAGTCGAGCCTCGGGAGTGTGGTCGAGGGGGCAACTCTCGGCCGTAAACCGGTTGGGATGCGCCAAGTGTCCAGTCTCCTGATCTTGGTCTAGCAGCTGGGCTACCAACAGAGAAATCTAGAGGATGAGAATTAGAGGTGGACCGATGATGGACAAATTGCTCAGGCGTGACAGTGCGATTCGCAGGGGATTCTGGGCGATAATTAGCTAGACCAGGCTGCCAAACAACGCTCCTGCGCTTCTCTTCACCAGCAGGAGATCGTGATGGTTTACGGGCATGACCATGCTCTTGGCCATCACGACGAGTTGGTGACGGGGAACCAGATCCGAAGTTGTTCAGCACGTCAGACATACTAGGACGTCGTGTGTGCAGGTTGTGCGCCATGGTTGGTCCGAAGTCGATCGACGGGATATCAGGGTTTTCCTTGGGTGCCTCCTGATTGGCGAAGTAGTGTGCATCTCCAATAGTGACTTCCTGCTTGTCCGTGCTGGAACCTCCCACCGTTTTCAAGACGCCCATTCGGGGACGAGGAATTGAGACTTCTGAGCGCTTCGTATCTGTCGACTTGCGACTTGCGTAGTCAGGAGTCGTTGAGCTATCATCATCATACACACTTCCAGTATCAACCCGAGAGAGTTGAGGTAGTTGAGCCATAGTCCTCTCACGTGCAAATGATGGCTGCATCGGCAATACCCTACTCAAAGCGGCCTCGTCAACTGTATGTTGTAAATCTCTGAAGCTGGGGTCGGTTAACGCAGATGCTGGTTCCTGAGCGGAGTCTATGTCAGAAGAAATGACAGGCTGAGAAGGAAGCGGTTTGCGCTTAACAGACTGCAAGGTGTCAATGTGTAGGTTTGGCGTTTCCTGGGCAGCCCGCTGCGGCAATTGCTGAACGTGGCTATTACTTGTCGTTGCATGAATTGGCACAGCCGGCGCTTGTTCTTGAATAGTATACACGTTTGCACCATATGAAGAACGTTCACCCATATGAACTGGCGAATCACTATCGTAACGCTCATCTGAATAGGGACTCTCCTGGATGTTCGAGACAGTATTTGTTGTCACACCACGTAGTTTACCCACTTCGGCCAGTTGGGCTAGAGTTGAACTAGACATGCGACTATTGGCCCGTCGCAATTCGCTCGAAGCTTGGGGCCGGCTAAAGGGAACTGCACCGGGTTGATGTGAAAAGGCTGGTGGAACAGCCACGGGTTCTGGAGAAACATTGGGTCGAAATTCTTGAGCAAGGTTCTCCGCTGGAGGGATAGCATGTAGCTGTGCATCACCATCAGAGCCACTTCCATCGGACTGGCGAGTTGGTGGGCGATTCGCAGCAGCCGGATCAACGATGTGCATGGGAGGCTCAGGTGGTGTATCTTGAATAGACAGACGCGAAGGAGTGAATGACGATCTGCCAGTAGAACCCATGGGAAGGAAAGCGCTTGTGTCCGATACTGCTCGATAATGTCCATACGATGGCCCGGACTCCGCTGGGGATACAGTAGTAGATGTGGGCGTTTCGATAATAGCCTCCGCAGATTGATTGAAGCCGGGAGACAGAGGAGAAGTCGGTTCTCTGAATCGAGTCTTTCCATGGCGACCAAGGATGCTTCCTCGTTGACGCGGCCGACCACCGCTGATGCTACTCGCGGGACTGTTGGCAGTTGATATGCGCTGCCCGGTTGCTTCCCTAAGTTGCCTCCTCCACTCCTTTTCGGACCAACCTTGACTCCCGGATTTGTTAATCAAATTTACCACATCAAGCACATCCAGGTAGCCATATGGTTGTTGTTTAGGGAAAGCGAACATCAAACTCTTCACATTATTCGTATCTGCAATAAGTCGAGTCGGTCGTCCATATAGACCAAATGTGTCGAACACAGGGAAAAGAAACCGTAACATGATTTCGAGACCGGATACGGCTGGGTGAAGCTCTGGCATGATGAAAATGAATCCTTCTGAACTGGACTGCGCTGGCGAATGGAAAGTGATGTTGCCCTCTATTTTGACCAACGTCGACTGGTCAATTAGCGCCGTTGACTGAGGATATATGGCAAAGGCTGCATATGCATCAGTGATGGTTGCAATTGGTTGTGCCTTCTTTGTCTTCTTCGTGTCGTAAAACGTGATGGTTCCGGTGACGATTGGCGTGGTACGATCGTATGCAGACCGCTTTTTTCCAGACTTATTCAACCTCTGAATGTCTTTTTCACTTGGTGGTGTTATCACAAACCAGCAACGGCGCCATGGTGTGCCAGCACCAAATCTGACACGTGCCCAGTCTTCGTACTTGTAGCGGGAGCGCTCCATGATCATTCGAATGTTGTTCAACTGTCTGCCTTTGCCGGCGATGATGGAGCCTGTATAGGCCTCGAGTAGGGATGTTTGCTCGAAAAGAGCAAGTCGAATACCGGCAGTCCATTGAGTAAGCGAATTAAATGAGTTGAAGTGAAACAGGTAGCGATTTCTGCCGGCTGTTGAAACACTCAAGATATTCTGCAATGGTTTGGCATTTTTGTCGTATGTTGGAAGCGTCTCAAGCTATACATCAATCAGCTATGTCCACAACGTGAGTCTACAACACCTAGAACGCACCATTTTGATTGAGGCATCCGTTAGATTAATGAAAGTAGGTGTAATATCCTGATTTCCTGCTGCGTCCAGCGCAGCAGCATCCCAGATCGACAGCACGGTTCCCGTAAGCACTGCAAAACATTCAACCCATCTTCGATCTGCACAGGGACGGCCCTCTATAGGTATAGTCAGCACACATTCCGAGATCAACAGTCACGAGAAACATACGAGTGTCCAAATCGTTCAGCTTGAGAAAGTACCCTTCCTGGTACATCTTGTTTGAGTGGCTGTTCATAAAAGTGAATATGGGTAGCAACTCCGGTAATGTGTCTTGTGCAATTTCTGTCCGCGGAGGTTGATACGTAAACACCATCGACGCTGGGCGCGCAAGACTTGAACGATCCGGAGCCGTCCATGTTTTCGCGGTGTTGAAGCCATTCGGAGGGGATTCAGTGGGAGGGGTGGTATGTGATTTGTTGAGTTTCGATCGACTGCTTGAATCCGAGTTTGAGAAGGACTCTGCCTCTCGGGGTTTTGTGTTCGAGTCGCCCTTCGAGCCGAAGGCCGTTATGAACGATAGCACTGTAAATCACGCAAGGGATACCCATGATCAGCAAACGGTTACGGGAAGGGGAAGAAAACGTGTAAAAGCACATGGATTTGTCGATTATTGCCTGGGAAGAGTAGGTTCGACTTACCACGCGAGCGAACCATGCTGAAAACAGTCGTGGGCTAGCCTTTGAGCAGGCTGCCTGTAGATCGAATTGCCACCGAACAAATATCACAGTTCAGATCCGAAGATGACGGACGATGTAATAAAGAAAAAGAGCCGATAATTGTTGAAAGAACGAATGGATTTGAGTCGTCAAAGGAAAGAAAGGAAACAAGAAACGATGGGCGTGTGAGGATTTAGGGGGTCCGTTGAAGCCCAAGATACTCGATCGAAGTAATGTCTTAGATATAATTATCCCACCTCCGTGCTGAGTGATCGACGCGTCCACCACCACAGACCGACTGAAGAGCGAAATGAACGAATGCTTTGCGATTTTCGAGTACGGCAGCTGGCGATTTGGTGTGTATTGTTCGCTCTCGATCAAACGAACGAGAGTGCAGTCCACCAGGAGGATAGGATGGGCAGGAAAGAACATATGCGGTAGTTGCAACTAGTCAAAAAAGTGATCTGGTCTGGCAGCAGCGGGAGCGAGCGGATGACGTCGCCCCCAGCGATCCACGGTAGGCTAGTACGTCTACCCTAAGAAAGCACACCATACGCTCTGCTGTACACCGCGTAAGCTCTCTCTGCTCATATTATTCGACAGTACTCAGTAGCAACGACTGCGCCCAAACTCAATCTGCAGTGGCCAAACACGAAAAAGAAGAATACACGTAGTAAATACTAAATGCTACAACACTATGTATGTTCCAAGCCTGATTTATTGTCGCATGTCTCACTTGTTCCGTTTGGCGCCAGCGGCCAAGGTGGTCTTTCACTTGACTTTCTCACGAGCGCGTATTCGCTGAACCAGGTGACCCTTTTCTCGGAATTCTACTCCTTTTTGCAAACTCCTAAAGCTTCCCGACTATTTAGTATTGAGCCACACTCTTCCGGCGGTCACCGGAGGGGATCAGGAAAGGGAGAACAGATTGCTTTTGCAACCGTGCTACGGTACTCGAAGGACAAATGCTACACGCTCCACCGAAACCGTGCACTAAAAACTAGGAAGAAGATAATTATGGGTACCGATGTAGCTTAAATACAAACCAGGTCAAGAGGAAGTCGATTGCTGACTTTACCCAGAACGGATATCCACACAGTGTGTCTCCATAACGTCAAACGACACTATTCGAGCAATTTGTGGGCTTGCAGTGTAGCGCTAACGCTGACGCGTACAATTGCCTGATCCTGAGTCTTGAACCAATGTGGCATCGTGAAGCTTGCAAAGCCTCATGTGGAATTTCCCCGACATTTATAAACACGTATCGTTTTGAAATGGGTAAAGCCAACAATGACTTTAGCCGTGGTAAAACCGAAAACAAATTTCGAGACGTGGCACAAGCTCTACCTTGCGAATAATCGCTCGCAACTAATTTGTCCCTTTCAAAGCCACAGACGCCACAAATGAATAGTGACAACAAGCCCCCGTTTGATTCGTTACACGAGATTTACAATGGTTGTGGTAATTTTAGCCGTTTGCTCTGCTAATGTCGTGGGGCTGGTGGATACAGTACATTTACAAGTAACAATAGTAATGTAAAATACACATTGTGCCCAATGCGTCAATGGGGCTACGCTACAGTAGGTATTCTTCTCGTAAAGGGGTTGTAAGGGTCGTCAGGGTTGAAATTTAGGGCTAGTCCATGCTGCCCCTGTCATACATTCAAACCGCTATGCATATGCTGTAGAACAAACATCGCGCTAATCGCTCAAAATCGTCAAATATATCAATGAGACAACGCCGGATCAACGAATGTAAAACCGTCATTGCTCTGTAAAGTATCTTCAGACACGAAACCGAAAGATGCGTTTCCTTGAACCGGTGCCATGCTCTCATCTAGTGAGGTGAAGAATGTGATGTCGTTCATTTTTTCGTCGAATTCATTAGTCATAATGTGCGAATCGTGGAACAAAGGCGGTGCAGTGCCTTCTGGTGCATCAGTAGGCGGAATCGGGTTGCCGCTGTCGCCAAGATTGTGATTGCTATCACTCTGAGAATCATCAAACTCCAGCCCGTAGATACCAAAGACTGTGTCCGTATTCTCGTGCGCCAAAAGGGCTCGTTCCATGAATAAGTTCTCGATATCCCGCTCCTCATGCCCATGCTTACTGCGCATGTGCACCCAAAGATCATATTCGCGATAGAAACGAAAGTGACATTCAGGGGCAAAACAAGCAATGTGTCGGCCACTTTCATCGGCATATCCCTCGCCAGTCAGAAGTGTCATGGCCGAAACATTGTTGTCTGTCTTGCGTTTGCTTGGTTCCTTATTGAGACCAAGTCGTTCTCGGCGTTCGGCTTTACTGTTCATAAGACCCAAGTGTGTTGTGCGGACGTGCTCCTCCAATGCGATTTTGCTACTGTATCGCTTACCACATGCGTCTACTCCAGTCCATCCTTCCACTTTCTTCGAAGATGAAAGGTCCGTCTCGCCACATGCAAAACGTTTCTCGCCGTCATGGACTGTCCGAACGTGGACGGCAAGATTACCTTTCTTCGTAAAGCTGCGCCCACATCCGGGAACCATACAAGGGAACTGACGCCGGTCCTCCAGACTGACATCACCGTGTGAAATTTCCAGATGACGCCGAAGCTCACGAGAGGTCTCACATTGAAACGAGCAGTGAGGACACTCGGGTGGATGCACAGACTTTATATGAGCCTGCAACTCCGCGTACGAAGCAAAACTCAATTCATCACTCATACACTCCGTGCAGGTAAACCGACTCTCAGAATGGACACGATTCTCATGACCGCGCAGATGCGCAGCTGTATCGAATGCCTGAGAGCATTTCTCGCCCGTAGTCGGATTGACGTATAGGCAGGGAAATGGTTTCTGTTTGAGATGTATAGACATGATATGTTGGGCCAAGGTTGCGTGCTTGCGAAATGTTTCGTTGCACGGTGGGTACTCGGTACAGCGAAATTTGTCTCTTCCATCGTGAGCGGCTAAATGTCTTCGAAGTCTGGTTCCAGTCACGAAAGCTTTACCGCAACCTGGACGATCACAGACGTAGTCTCGGACTGCAGTATGGGCACTTTTGATATGGTGGTTCAGATGAGACACTCGAAGGAACGTCTTTTCGCAGTCGTCGTATGTGCATTGGAAAATTCGTTCGTTATTGTGGGATCGTAAATGTTCCTGTAGCCTCGCGGGACGATTGAACGCTTTTGTGCAGCCGTCGAATGGACATAGGTGTGTCTTTAACTCTGATGGATATTTCGAAGATGTCCGTGAGAAGGGTGTAGCTGGTGTTTCGTCGTCGGGACCATCGTCCTCTTCATATCTATCATCCTCGCTATCGAATTTTGATGAGGTGTCTGAAATCACATATTCTGAATCTTTGAGTTTGTTAGAGCTGGATAAATAGATGATCAAAGCTTACTCACCTGGTGTATGTTTAGCAAATTTGGAAGGCAGCTTGACGGCTGCATCGCCGGCTTTACGTTTGACCGGCATCTTTCAAACGCTGGAGTCAATCTACCAAGTCACCATTCCACCGGATACACTCGAAAAGAGTAAAGACAAGTCGAGTTCAAAGATGTGCTGATTGATGAAAGTTAGATCGATTGTGACGTTGACAAAAATAATTATTTTTGTGATAGTGGAGGCGGTGAAAGCTAATGCGTATGTTGATTGGACAGCTACTAGTGCGATACGATCTTTTCTGGGCTCCGCGGACTGCGACAATGAGGAGTGATTCACGTCCTTTGAGCTCAGCTTCGCAAACTTCGACCGCGTCGCTTTCGACGACTGCCAGCTTCATACGCCATTGTTCTGCTTTCAGAGACTTCTGGGATTACTTTTTAGCGCTTTATTATCGCGATGTCTGATTTCGGTGACCACGAGGCTGAGGATACCGGGTGAGTCGCAGCTAGGAAAAAATTTCAACTCCCATAAAGCACCTATCTTTCATGTTATGCTGGGTTAAAAAACCCACACATTTTCAAGGCAATTTATTAACTGGAATCCTCTCATCAGCTATGACTACGATGGCGGTGAGCCAGAGTACGATGACAACGAGCCAGAAGACTTCCTAGAACCCGAAGACGTTGACGTGGAAGGTGATGAAGCCGCTGCCGCCGCCGACGACGTATACCAGGATGCAGTGAATGGCGAGCGAACTATCATATCCGGTGACCCAAATGCCGGTGGTGGTCGAGGCGTGATGGAGCAGCCACGGGAGAAGAAGATAGCCAACGATCAGCGCTCGACTACACCATATATGACCAAGTATGAGCGAGCCCGTGTTTTGGGTACTAGGGCTCTTCAGATCAGGTTTGTGCACTTGCCGTCTTTCAAATCGGTAGCAAATTGGTAGTTCGATGTATTAATAGTGTTTTCAGTATGAATGCTCCTGTCTTGGTTGATCTTGAAGGCGAGACCGATCCGCTTCAGATTGCTCTCAAGGAACTCAATCAGAAGAAAATTCCTCTGATTATCAGGAGATACCTTCCCGACGGATAGTAAGTTTACTTCTGATACACTTGTTGCAAGCATCACATTCATCTGACTTATCTGTCTAGTTATGAGGACTGGACCTGCGAAGAACTTCTCTAAAATGGTGTTACCAGGACAGTCATTCAGTCAGCTTCTTATATGCATAGCGTTTGGTGTTGGATGGTTCTCTGAAAAATAATACAAAAAATTCTCACATGAAAAAAAAAGATGTTATTGTATGCAAAGATAGGTTGAGGTCAAGCCTGAACTTCTTGTATCTAAAATATGCAGGACAACAGTCGACACAACTCGGTCAACCTGCGATATTGAGATATCTCATAACTTATTTTGCTTTACTCAACGGTTCTTCATGGAGTTTGATAAGATATTCAGATTGCTGAGTAAGTTCCTTCTCAGTATGGATCTCTTGAATCTTTTTTTCAGCGCTGTTGGAATAGTAAAATTGCTTTATTGATATCGGCGCACATTTTGTGCAGCGATTCCATACTCAAAATAGTATTGTAGGTACATGCATATAAGTCCATTGCAGGTTGCACGTACTTATGGATGAGCCAAACCGCCGTCTACGCCTAGAACCTGCCCGGTCAAGTAGCTCGCACCCGGGCTTGCCGCAAATGCAATTACATTTGCAATCTCCTCGGCAGTTCCATTTCGCTTAATATACTGCTGGGCTCTAAATTTCTGAGTCAGAGGTGCTTCCTCCGGTGGTGCATAGTCGGTGTCAGTCGGGCCTGCCGCGACCACGTTTACCGTAATGCCCAGACCACCAAGCTCTTCAGCCCAGGCAAGACTCAATGTATTCAGTGCAGCCTTGGTGCTGGAGTAGAGAGAGCAGTACTTGGCTCCCGTCCTGGCTACCACGCTACCGATATTGACGATGCGTCCGCCTGGAGAACTTAGATGAGGAAGAGCCGCAGTGATGAGCAACTGGGGTCCCCTGACATTGGGGTGAAAGAGGGCATCGAATTCCTCGATTGGAGCGACCTTGGGCGACTCTTGAAAGGTAGCATGCCCGGCATTGTTGACGATAATGTCAATCTTGCGGCCAGGGAAAGCCTTGACGGTGGCATCAATCAAATCCTCTCCGAAAGTCGGGGAGCCGGCGTCGGCTTGAACAGCAACGACTTTAACACCGAGGGCTTGAATCTTGTCAACAACACCCTGCACGGCTACCTTATTGGAATTATAGGTAAGTACAAGCTTTAGAAGAATGTCAGTATGTCTGTGATATACGTATTGTTTGAGATATGGTGTCTTACGTCGGCTCCGCCCTTCGCAAAAATCTGTGCCGTTGCATAACCAATGCCGTTCAGCTTTGAAGCTCCGGTAATGATGGCCAGCTTGCCCTTGAAATCGGCAGACATGATTGAGATAATAGATTCCGTATAGATTCCTAGGATTAAGAGTATTGTAAGATTCGGTGCCGCTTATGAAAGGTGGAGGGATGAACATGAACCCAACAAGCAACGGGCAGAGATTGGCTTTAAATAGTGCCTTTCTGCCATAGTGTAGCTTTATTCATACAGCTTCTTGAGCAACATCATCAATTCAGATGACAAATGCAATGCATTGCAGTATCTTGAACATAGGATGTAGTCTGGGGACCGACAACCGTATCAGGATTAGGGCAGAAACACTAGTTTCGGCGAATTCGCCGGCTTGATCTGATTATTCATCCAACCATCGAAACATGATTTGGATTCAAGTCGTCTGGATATCTTCCAATGATTATGTTTGTTCTGATTTATAATGTACCCCTTGAAAGGATGTATGACCAAAGAAGTCCCCCACCCGAGTGATAAGCTGCAGGCAATTGCACTTCACCCAGAGACCAAAAACGAACAATGGGTCACACTGAACAGCGTCGGCATCTTTTCATAAACTAGGTACGCAGGGCCTACCAGCGGTCGTTCACTGCTCAAAATATCAGGCAGCATGTGATGCATGACATCGGCCAGTCTCGCCGTAATAGGCGTTGAATTCATCAAAGAGCGTTAGCAATGACGGAGACGGAGAACGGGATTCGACATTCTAGTCGAGAGAGTATTTCTAATCGGGCAATACGACGCTGCAACTCTTTAACAATGTCCTGACAGTAAGTACGGTTTTGTCTTGACTGTCCTCAGTTTTGGCTACGGAATAGAGGCATTTGCGGCGTATAGACTTGCACTAGGGACCAAAGGTTTTGAAAGACAACATAGCAGTCGGTGCTTTTCGTTTTTGACAAGGGTAAGAATGCTCCGTTTTGGTAAGTAGACGCTTAGAGGAAGACCACAGGTAACAAAGAAAGGAGAACATCGCGGCCTACACGTGTGTGCACGAAGACATGTCAAAGGATGAAGATTCGCTAAAGGAGAGATCCCTTGAAGCACCGGACACTTATATCAACTATATGCTCTTGGGAAGTCTAAAAGAAAGAAATTATGCAAGAACATAGAAGAGCCCGGTACTTACCCATTATATGACAAGATTGTAGAGGGCCTCAAAGAACAACAAGAAGAGAGGCATGTAATTTGGTTTCTTGTCAAAAGAAGCTAAAGCACTACACAACAGGTATCCGAAAACAAAGCTAAAAAAATAAAAAAAAACAATTCCAAATGCTAAGCAGCTAAAATTTCTGTGGCGGAGGGAAATGCACACATGAACATTAAACACTCTCATAGGCTTTTCTGTATTTTGATTTATTCAGTATGGGCCGCCGACTTTCTAATCCTCCTCGATCCTTCATACAAGAACCGATCCACGGCGGCAGCAACCGTCAAAGTACCACCAATAACAGCACAAACACCAGTCAAAAACCCTGTGAAAGTCTTGGGGCGGTCCTCACGATTGACAACTTTCATGGGCGAGATATCATAATTGAAGAATACACCCGGAATACCACCCTCGGCGTGAACACGCTCCTGATGACCTTCGGCGGCGTCGTTGCCGCCGTGTAAAGAGCGCTTGTGCGATGTTACGGAGTATTGGTGTGTTTCAATGCTGCCTGCTGTACCGTGGACGGCACCATGGAGACCTAGGGGCGTGGATTGATCGTTACCGTGGAGCTCGTCGGAACGAGCACTATCCCAGCCGAGGGGTAGATAGGAGGTTGAGACGACTTTAATGTAGTAGTTGTAGTTGTAGGCGGGTTCATTTGTGGATTGTTGAGTGCCGTCTAGGGGGTTCGTGTGATGGTGGTCGGTCCATTGCCAGCGTTGGGATACTTCATCGGAGAGTTGAGGTCCGAATCGGAGCGTATGAATGATATGAGACATTGTGTGTTTCTCGTTATCCGCGAGCTCTTTGTCCAAGTATGTTTCCAAGTCGTGGACGTGCATGTTTCCGCTGGAGAAACTGCGGCCGGGAGCGATGTGAAAGTTTCCAATCACTTTGTTCACCCGGACATCACCTTCAATACGGCATCCTTCTCTGCGCTGGGCGTCGAGTTTGTCGGAGTAACCCTCGCGCTGACATTGTTCAATGTTTTCGCCCTTACCGAATGCCCATGACTTCATTGCATAAGCTTCCCTCACTTCTTCACAGGTGTTGCAGCAACCGGGCTTCTTTGCGTTTGCTGGTGGGGGCGCACCTCCACACTCGCCGCAGTATTCGGGGTCGAGGTGTACGGCGATTTCATTTTGGGAGTGTCTGGTTGAGGTCTAATCAATAAACGGACCAAGATGTCCGAATGATGAASGAGCCACTCACAATTCAAGCTTCGAAACGTCTATAACTTTGCCGCCCTCAGCAAGTGGACTGAGTCGTACTTTGTTCAGACCGTGAACAACACCCATCTGCTGCTCTCCCGACACGTCCATCACATCCAGTGTCAACAATTCGCATGGTAGTCGAGGGAAGGTCATGTTCAAATGGATTTCCATTCGTTCTCCTTTAGATTAACAAATTAGTTGTAGATCATAAATAATTCGATGCGGGGGGTATACCTCGCGACTTATCGACTATGAGCTCTGGAAGTACCACCACCCGGCGATAGTCGGCCCATTCCCCCCATACTAACCAGAGTATGACAACCAGGGATACTAAAGTAACAATTCCACCAGACGTTGTTCGCACACGCGCATCCTCCACCGTCTTTGCGAAGGCATCGAGCCTCGTAAATCGCGATTTGGCGGGCATCTTTGTATGACTTGACTTGTACGAACTATACCAACACAACGGACAATGAAAGCATCAGCTAGCTCCTACAATGAGGGCTTCTGGTAGAATTCACAATAGAAACACAATCATATAAGGGAGAGTTGATTGGAAAGCGATTGCAATCAACGGGACAGTAATGAGTGACAATGCGAAGGCGCAATTGAGTGCGTATGAAGAAAGTCTGGAGTCGGAGATCTGGCCAGCTTGCGATTACAGAATTCCATATCGGGAAGGTAGTGGGGCTTCAAGATCCTTTATCGGATCAGGACTAGTTGGACGTTTCAGGTCACGTGAGCGCGGAGGCCTGCCGTTGCCTACAAACGTCACTGATTCATACAGCTGCCACTCACCTTAATTTTCTTTCTGTTTCTCAAATTCCCATTCTATTCTTACCGCTTGTCTACTGCAGAACAACAGTATCTGCTTCTCTTATTTTCTACTCAAATACTCGAATGATCTCGACGTGAGCGACGGCCTCAGTTTTTCGTAGGGCTAAAAGCCTTCAAGCCCGCGACAAAAATCTGCAGATCAAACGACGCTTCACCGGATATATCCTCCACGCGTTGAGCGTTTCCACCAATATTTTACTTCGGTCTTCTATCTCTTCACAATCATTTCAGCATAATATCGCCCTAAAGACCTTCTAAAACTATCATCGGCGACCCTCCGATCTTCGTGAACGACCAATCTAGTCTCTACTTCTGACCATGCCTATGTTGGGTGTACCGTCAAGAAACTCTTCAAACATGGCAAGGTCTAAGGTCGCAGGACCAAGTCGCTCTGGTGGTGGGCCTAGTCGAGGCGGTATTCGGAAACGAGGTGTTACCACAAGGACGGACCGCGATGGGGATCTCGATATGGGTGCAGCTACACAACGAGGACGTGGCGGTAAACGTGCTCGTGGACATGGTCCCTCGCGAGACTTGGCGTCTAGGATGGAACTTGATCGCGACCGTATTCACAAAGCTATCAGCAGCGGCGATGCCACTTCCCAAGCCAACATCCGCCAAGGAGCGACCAAGGCACGTACTGAAGAGTTCAGCATCACCGGTTGGAAAGAGAGCAAAGCCGCCTCAAACTCGGACGGAGGCATTCGAAGCCTTCTCGACTGGCTCGAAAAGAAATCATTCTCAACGAAACCTGGCCGCAAAAACATAATCAAGGTATGTGCAACATCAGCATTAGCGGTCACCGATGCAGTATCCGCACAGAGTCGTAAATTTTCGGGGTGTACTAGTGATTACAAAACGGACATTCTCAACGACGATCGATACTTCTCGGGATTTTCCTTCACTTCCATCATTCGGTGACTGCAGCGTACGCATTCTTTTCCGCCTTACTAACGTTCGATAGCACCGCGTCGAAGGAGACACTCTTATAGTCACTGTTCGACCGGAAGTGGTGGACAGGATGTCACAGATTAATGGTTATACATTTGCTGGAGCCGAACTCACAGTGGAAAAATTTGATGAAACATCTTCGATATCTACAGACGAGATGAAGAAACGTCTGAAAGCTTTCTTGGCCAATCGGTTCTTACCTGCAAACAAAATTCTGAACCTGCAAAACCTGGCAGCAGATCCCATTCTTCTTGAAATGGGCCTCTTCAAGACTCCGACGAGCGAATCCAAATTTTACCAAGCTTTGATGAAAGTGTGGAGTCTGGAATTTCCATCTGAACAAGCCAGCCGAGATGCTGTGGAAAATCTCAGTCTTGCCAACAACGGACTGACAAACATAAATCCAATCACTACGCTCTCCCAAAACTTTCCGAATCTCAAAGCACTCGACCTCTCCAACAACAATTTCCAGGACGAGAAGGCTTTAGACAAATGGCGCTGGAAGTTTCGTCAGCTAGAGTTCCTTGACTTGACCAACAATCCTTTCAGCTCACTCGGCAGTTTCAAAGACACCATGATGAAGTGGTATCCGAAACTCAAGGTTCTCAACAACATACAAGTTCGTACGGATGAGGAGGTAGCCGCTCAAAGCAGAGCTCCGATTCCCGTTCAGCCGCCTTTCTTCAAAGACGAAGGCAACATTGCGGAGACTTTCATCCGCAACTTCTTCCTCGGCTTCGACAAAGACCGCAACGGTACCCTAAATTTGTACTACGATAACAACTCGTCTTTCTCGTACAACGTTAACCCCGTTGCTCCACGTTCGGCACAAGACATCGCAACGACACCTGCTCCCGGCTGGGACAGTTGGATCAAGGGCAGTCGCAACCTAAAGAAAATACATCATGCCCCTGCGCGAATGAGTCGTATGTACGTTGGTATTGAAAAAATTCGCGAGATCTGGAACACCATGCCACAAACACAGCACCCTGGTCTCGATCAACCTGCGCAATGGTTATTTGAATGCCATTTGATTCCATGTCTTCCGGACGCCACTGGTCAGAGTCCATCTGGCGTGGGAGGTTTTCTTATTACGATACATGGTCAATTCGACGAATCAAGCGGCGGTAAAGTTGAAACCCGCAGTTTTGACCGTACATTCATTCTGGGACCTAGTCCTGGCCCTGAAAACGTCAAGGTTATCAGCGATATGCTCACTCTCAGAGCATACGGCGGTTATACTGCCTGGGATGTCAACACCAAAATCGACACTGCACCCGCTGCTGGTGTACCAACAGCTCACCCAGAGGCACCGCAAGGTTACGGGATGCCAGCGCCCGGAAAGCCCGATGTCCAAGTTCAACAGGAACAGTTAGTTCTCCAACTCAGCTTTGCAACACAGCTGAAGTTGGAGTTCTCGCAACGGGCTCTCGTGCAGCATAATTGGAGCATTGAAGGAGCTCTGCGAGCTTTCGAAGAATCGAAGGTAACTATTATTCTCCTTACTGACCATACACAGAAGACTAACAACTTTCCTATAGGCCCAGAATCAAATTCCTGCAGAAGCATTTGTTGCTTTAGCCTAGATGAGAGGGATCTCCCATCATACACACAATATCTACATTGCTTTATCATAAGCAAATCTTCTTTGCTAATCTTGTTTTCTCTCGTACATGTGGCATCTTGAGCTAAGATCAATTATGGCGCTGGGGTGGTTTTATTCCTTTTTAAATAAAACATTGTACACATTTGATATGTAACATGACAATGATTTTGCATGGTTTGATGGAGCATGGTGAATTGTTTTATTTACTTCTTGTTACAAAAGAAACTTTGAAATGTAATATGATATCGCTTATTCCAAGCACATGTATATTGCTCTGGCAAGCAGAACTAGAAATCTCTTCTAACCAGCTCAATTCCAGTATTCAAGTAATAGAGCATATTTGCGAGAACAAATTGAACAGTAGTGGCTTGCAAAAACTAGAAACCAATCTTGAAACTTGTGCTATGACCGTTTCTTCAGCTTACGTAGAGTAGATTAGCTCGTGATGCCGCCAAGACCCTCCGCCGCGTCGGACATGCTCACCAAGAAGCTCCCCCGGACCATGTGCGTTTGTTAACAGATTATATTTCTGGGACCAAATTACATTCTGAGATGCTATCTGCAAAACGGAAATCCAACTATTCCAGTCCATAGCTGTTGATGCCTCAAGTGCTATATCCGCATATGTTCCTTGACCAACGACTATCCGGCTTGTGGAGGCTGTAGCCAGCTACAATCTATTGATATCGAGTCGCTCAACGTATGATCTGGTCGGACGACTGCCAGCCACATGTCCGCCAACGAGACGTCGGTTATTGATCCTCTGGATGCAGGTAGGCTACAGGATTATCAAGACGCTTCAATGGTTATCTGACTTTTTGCCAGTCGACTATGATCCCATTGCGCATCTAAACGGCATCTTCTCCCACCCGTCCAGCCTTTCCTCGGTCTCGCAAACCTCCGAAGCCCTCCGCAAATACCAAAATGAGCTGGACACCGATATCGCACGACTGGTAGAGGAACAGGTCACTTCCAATGCAGAGAGTGTGCAACGTATCCAGGCCGCCAAGGCGGACCTGTCGGAGCTGTTCAAGAAGATAGACGATGTGCGAGAACGTGCCTCTAGGACAGAGCAATCGATCACGGATATGACAGCGGATATCAAACAGCTGGATAATGCGAAGAAGAATTTGACAGTTTCAATGACGGCGCTGAAGCGTTTGCAGATGTTGACGACCGCCTACGAACAGTTACGAGCATTAGCGAAGACGAGGCAGTATCGGGATTGCGCGCAATTACTTCAGGCGGTGATTCAACTCATGGCTCATTTCAAATCCTACAGGTCGATAGACCAAATAGCCGTCTTGAGTAGGAATGTGGCGGATGTTCAGCGCGAGCTTCTTGAACAGGTCTGTGAGGATTTCGAGATCACATTCGCCAAAGGGGAAGTTGTACAGAGACGAGTGATGCTTGCGGAAGCGTGTCTGGTTATGGATGCTTTGGGGGATAATGCGCGGTCGAGATTGACAACCTGGTATTGCAATACCCAACTTCGAGAATATCGGCAAGTCTTCCGTGGCAATGAGGAGGCTGGATCTTTAGATAATATATCTCGGCGCTACTCTTGGTTTAAAAGGATGATGAAAACATATGACGAAGAGCATGCAAATATCTTCCCGGCGACATGGAGAGTTAATGAAGTACTGGCGAATGCTTTCTGTGAATCTACCCGAGATGATTTTAAGGGTATATTGTCAAGGTCCGTTAGGAGTGGGCAGACAATAGATGTCAACCTTTTACTTTCATGCCTACAGGAAACTCTGGACTTTGAGCATTCCCTAGATCGAAGGTTTGCACAGACATCAAGAGCTTCCATGGACACGGTGGCATCTTCGATTGAGTCCCCTTTCTCTATACAGAGCATATCCGAAGCTTTSGAGCCATATCTGGGGGTCTGGGTTGAAGCACAAGACAAGCAATTGGCTGCTTTGCTGCCTAAATATCGACAACAGCCGTTGAAGCGCGAGGACGAAGAATTTCATGCCCAGCTTGTCATTTCGTCCTCCACAGAGCTGTTCACTTTCTACCGACATTCACTTGCACAGTGCGCAAAGCTTTCTACGGGTAACAGTCTAGCCGAGTTATCGAAAGTGTTTGCAAAATACCTGGATCAATATGCACAGCAGGTACTTCTTCATTACATCAGTGAGCGGGCGACGACCCAGCCGCCATCCAAAGTACCTTCGATTGAGGATCTTATTTTGGTGCTCAATACGGCAGATTATTGCTATACTACTAGCACTCAATTAGAAGAGAAGATCAAGGGACGAATTGATGAGAAATTCAGAAACTCTGTTGATTTCGAGAGCCAAGCCGACGCTTTTATGGGAATTGCTAGCGCTGCTGTTCGAGGGCTGGTCCGAAAACTTGAAGTTCAACTTGAGCCGTGTTGGCGTGAAATGCGAAACTTTCCTTGGAATAAACTGGAGAACGTTGGCGATCAAAGCCCCTATGTTGGGGAGCTACTTTCAAAGACTAAGACGCAAGCAGAGGATATCTTACAGTCTCTTCACAAGCAGCAGTATGCAAGAGCATTTGCCGATAATACTGTCGAATTCATATCGAACACTTTTATCACTACTGTCTATTCATGTCGACCAGTTTCTGAAACAGGCGCTGAGCAGGTAATACAATCCCTATGCAAGTTATGATACTTTTTACTGCAGCTCTGACTTATTGATAATAGATGCTACTCGATCTCTATACTTTGAAAAGTGGCCTAACGTCGTTGCTTCCTTCTCCTGCACCTCCCGGTTTTGTGAAGCGAGTCAACTCAAGCTTCACAAAAGTTGACTGTCTTCTAAAGACAGTCCAAGTCCGTCCATCACCACCCGAAGCCTTGGTTCAAGCGTACCTCATCCACATTGCGGACCGAAGCGAGCCCAACTTCCGTCGAGTTTTGGAAATCAAGGGTATACGAACCAAGCAGGACCAGAGCCAACTCGTTGAACTATTCAACTTACACCGAGCATCGGACCGTCACGCCCCAAATCTACAGCAGAGTAACCCACTATTTGCCTTCTTACAGCCTTCGGCATCAGCGTCAGGCCCCAGTGGACCAGGCTTAACCGTCTCTCAGGGATTGAGCAATTTGGGTACGACTGCAGCCACATCGATCACCGGACCCGGTCGCTTTGATCCGTCCACTCTCGGCTCTGCTATTATATCTGCTGCAAGGGACGGCGTTGAACGATTCCCGCTTGGCTCTGCTACCGGGCACACGGGCTCTGGTCCCACCTCGCCCGGACCGGAGGGACAACGTGTAATCCATGATGGCTTTGACGTAAACGGTGCTTCTACGCCTTCTTCGGCAACTACGCAACTGAATGAGAATCTGAAGAATATTGGCAAATTCTTCCGACGTGACCTCGGAGGTTTTGGTGGGAGGTTTGGTCGATCGGGTGATGATTCTAATCGGTAATATGTACATGTAGCGAATATTTTTGCGCTGCTAGCGACTTGGAGTAGAGGTCTTTTGCTGCCTACATTCTATCATATAAATAATTATGGATACCAATTTCAATCCTTGCATCAATATGAAGTAGCAAATCCACGTAAATCCAGCAATCATGCTGGGCGATTTTCCTCCATGTCGCATTGACCGGTTGTAGGCGGAGATATAACGTCACAATTTGCCCACCCCATAACACATTACAAATCGACTTTTAGGATTGTTATAGCTGGATTTCTAATCAAATTGATGGTTCGCATAACTTTTCTAATTCGAATTGATGTGTAATTAGAACCGTAGACAAATATATATGTTATATATTATATATATATATACGTATATAAGATTTTTCATATTGTCGGAGAACTGCCATTTGGAAAAATCCTAAATCACCCACACCCTACCTAGGCAAGTCAGCTTAGACCAGTCAACTCATAACAATGGCACCAACCAAAGTACTCATTACCGGCGTAACGGGTTACATCGGTGGCTCAGTCCTCTCATCCTTGCTATCCTCCCCGAACAAAGCGACCAGAGACCTAGAAATATCCGTTCTCACACGCAACGACGACCGCGCGAAATCGTTCGTGGATGCCAGACTCAAAGTCTACACAATCAAGGACCTCGATGACGCTGCCGCTATCAAAATTGCAGCTTCGGAGAATGACGTGGTCATTCACACGGCATCTGGATACCATACAGCAAGCGCAAAGGCATTGATTGAAGGGCTGGGAATACGCCGAAAGCAGAAGCCGGATGCAGAGCTTTATTATATCCATACATCTGGCACCTCGGATCTTGCTGATCGTCCCATTACCAAGACCTATGCCGAAACTCGGACATTCAGTGATAAGGACTCGGATATTTACGAGTATTTGAAGAAGAGGGAGAGTCTTGAGGCGTATGCCCAGCGAACAACAGACCTTGTCGTTGTAGAAACGGGGAAGAAAGAGGGTGTGCCTACGACGATTATCATGAGTCCCACTATCTACGGGGTTGGATCTGGGAAGTTCAATCGTTTGACTATACAATATCCACTGCAGATGAAGGCGGCGGTTGCGGCAGGTCGACCGGAATATGTTGGTGACGGCGCCGGGGTTTGGGATTATGTGCATATACAAGATCTCGTCCAGCTGTACGAACTTGTTCTACTGGACTGGGTCCAGGGGCGAAAAGCTGTCCCTACTGGTGAAAGAGGTATCATATTCAGTGCTACCGGATCATTTACCTGGAAGGAAGTCGCAGAGGGTATTGCCAAAGCAGGCGTTAAGCTTGGCCAGTTTGCGAACACAGAGACTAAAAGTATTAGCCTTGAGGAAGCAGCCAAAAATTGGGTTGGTGGTGACGAGCAACTGTGTGAATTGGGGTTTGCGAGTAATTCCAGAACGAGGGCAGAGGTTGGGAAGGAGATAGGTTGGTTGCCAAAGAAGACACGGGCTGATTGGGAGCAGTCGTTCTATGAAGAGTTTGAGGAAATTTTGAAAAAAGATTAAATCGACTTAGATGAGGTACATCAATTATTATTCGTATGGGCACCTCAGGCTTTCACATCGAAGTATATACCATAGTGATGTTCAATAAATAATGCCATAAGCTTCCTCAATTCTCATATTACATCGTTTCATCCAGCAGCTGAACTCGAGTCAGACTTCTCGTGCCCTAGTGACGGCTGCTCCTCATCTTTCCCTCTATTCGAAGGCTCCTTATTTCTCCAATTCTGAACTTTGTCCGCAAGACCCCTTAGATCATTGGCGACCTCCTGCACAAACTCATCCATTGGCGGTCTGCCTTTGTAGAGCCAACGAATCAAAAGTGAAAAAGCAACCACCCAAAAGGACCGGAAGAGAAGACTGAGTGCTGTAGAGATGATGAACATTGCGCCCATGATTGCGCCCATAAAGATAATCGTTAGCGGCGCAAGGCATGTCAAGAGAACGAGCCGAAGTTCGTATATTGGACTTGGTGTGGATGACAGTGGCGAACGAGGGACGCTCGCCTCCAAGATAAAATCGTCGTCATTCTCAGCTTCAACGTTTATGGTCACAGAAAAGAGGAGTTTTTTGTGGTCCTGCGATGCCCCAGCTGGCCATATATTCAATTCTCTCCCGCCCCCTCCGTAAATCAGATCCAATGTGACAAGCGCAGAGTCACGATGTATGAAATGATACATCAAAACCGCATCCGCAGTGTCGAACCACGGCAGACTAATGCCATCTGTATCGCCCGCCGGTACAGAGATAGGAGTCATTGTAAGTCGTTCGTCATCGTAATGTTTCATTAACTCCGGAGGTCTGGTAAGCAAAACCCCATCGCTCGGGACACAAGTGGTGCCACAAATGAAAAGCGCATTAGAGGCCCTGTCTAATCTGAATTTCAGAGCGATATTCTGTCGGGGCTCATTGTTTGTAGTAAACTCGATATCGGCATTTGAAAAAAAATCTTGGACTCTGCACCAGCAATTAGCATCAATACCCAACTAGCGTCAAGAATGGTTTATACCCATAAACACGAGTCAGCGTTCTGCCACTCTTCAAGACACTAATTGCATATCCGGTGCCATCATCATTTCGAGAAAAGCTAGGTAGCCCAATATATAACATAGCAAGGACTTCAAAAAGTTAGTTGTTAAACATGAACATTGAACTTAGGAGCCATGACCTACCTAGCCAACTGATCGCTGCATATGAAACGAGCCGTAGCACGGTGCGAGGGCGCAGCATTTTGTTGAGCACTTTATCATTGAGTCAAATTTAGCAAGGAGTATAACAGTCCATGTCCTATGTTTCTGTACTCCGTTGTTTGAAGAGTATACTTAGTGTAATAAAACTTTGTAAACTCATCGACCTCGGAATGTCCTGATATCCCGTGCCAAATCTATTCTTAGAACCCACACTAAGCGAAGGCCTGGCTGCTTAAGCTTGAATTTTCCTATGCAATTTCTTACATAGCATCGTAGCAACAATTAGATTGAAAAATTCATTCCGTATTTGGAGCTCGAAATATTGAAAATGAGTCTCAATTGGCCAACAAGACACCTTCTCTCAAGACTGTTTGTATTAACAATTCGATCAAAATGCTCACCAAGCAAGATGGTGCAGTGGTATAGTACCATGGCATGGGGGATTGGCACAGTGGTAGCGCATCTGATTCCAGCTCTTTCCTGGATCCTGGGATCTCCAGAAGGTCGTCGGTTCAACTCCGGCATCCCTCATTTCTTTTTTTCTCCCTCCTTCCCTTTCTTCTTAAGGAAACCCGTCCCAGGGCGTGGGCTCCGTCAAGACTAGACTGGACTGAAATATTGCGGCTGATTCATGAACGTTCAGTTAAAAACTTTTGCTGAACCAGAGTCTTGCCTCTGTAGGCAATCAAATTGTTGTCCAGTGTGCACTAAGGATTTTTAGCCGGCTGGCAACTATTGACGAAACCATCGGCTCCAGTGTCCATCCGCAGATTTGCTTACCAAAACGAGTAGGGTTTGACATTATAAAGAGACGGGTTCGCATTTACAACTTTTGATTGTAACATCATAGAAAAGCGGTTTCATTATTTAACATTATAGGTTCAAGCTGCATTGCGTTTGTAGATAGCGATGTTGTCGACGCTGCTAAACCCGCTGCCATATCATATTCTAGCCTACGGGACATTTCTGGGCAGTCAACTCTATCAGGTCTGAGGTGCTTCCCTGTCATTATGGTAACGGACAAGTGCTGACAGAGTATGAGCAGTCCTTCATCAACACAAAGATATGCTACCGCTCCCTTTCCCCGCAGAGCTTCAATAACCTCAACAAACGCTTGTTCCCGGTTTACTTTCGCTGTCAGCTTGGCCTTGCGCTACTTACTATTGTCACAAAGCCGGTGAGAACATGGCTGGTGAATGATGCAGGGAATGTGTTCTTGGGGCTGGCGACGGTGATGGCCGGACTGAATTGGTATGTTTATGGGCCAAGGACGAGTGAGGCGATGATTGAGAAGGCGAGAGTGGTGAAAGGTATGTTCTTAACACAATCACCAAGCTAGGTACTAATGTGTCGAGTACAGAGGTTCAAGATGAGAAAGAGAAGAATGGTCCGGATGGCAGCAACATGGACACCACCGAGACAGACGCGCTTGTCACTAAGGTAAAGAAGGCTTTCTCTAGGAACCATGCCATGTCGATCCATTTCAACCTGATAGCCGTCATCGCTACCGTAGCATATGGCTTCGTTCTAGGTGGAAGACTGCGATTGCAGTGACAAGTCTTAATGTAAATGCAAATTCTCCATTATTGTATAATAACATATCTGCAGATATCTAGTATGCATCAGTACGTCTGAGCAAATATTGTATATGTCGTGACTGACAGAGAACAGTAACATGCTAAAAAAAAAACTACGAGAGAAAGCGTCTTGGTGATCATAGCCTCGAGAGGTCTGTACTACGAGATGGCTTGGTCGTCAGGTATTGTATTGGAAGGTTTTTCCAATCCTAGAATGATTACTTCTCAAATTAGCTAAGTCCTCACAAGTAAAAAAACAGGTGAAAATGAAGTATTTGGTGAAAAAGGTAGTAATTGGTTGGGCGTCAGCAAAAAATTAGAGTGTTGTTGTTGCTATTTTTAATCTTCATAGCTGTTGCAGAACAACAGCTTGGGGTTAAAAAGTTTTAATCATCCGCCGGGAGATCGAATGTGCTTGAATGAAACAAAAAGGAAAATAATGAGACGAACCTTTTATGAGATAATCGCATAGTCCAGTCTTACACTGAATCTACGTAAGTAATTGTTGCTGTTATGCTCGAAATATTTTTGAGTTCATTCGTTGATCTATCACGAGTATCGATTCATGCGACTCATGTCAAGTACATTTCATTCGTATCCCGTAACAAGAAATTGCCTTTTCAGGCAATTTAGTCGAAGAGACCACCGAAACCTAGAATTCGTTAGCATGGCCGTCACTAGGGTATAGAAAAGAGGTATCTTACCTTCGTCACCAGACTCCTCCTCGGACTCCTCCTTCTCCTCAGCTGCGGCAGGGGCGGCTTCACCGCTGGTGGCAGCAGCGGCAACAGGAGCAGCAGCAGCGTAAGCATCAGGGTTGGCAATGCGGTCCTTGAGCTCCTCAATCTCGGGCCAGCTGAAGTCAGTCTCAATGGCAACAGCCAAGACCTTCTTGTAGCTGTTGACGATAGAGTGGATGACGGAAGGTAGAGTGGGGTAGGAGACAGCCAAAGAGATGGTGGCGATGGTGGTAATAGCAGAGCCGAGAGCCTTGAGGAGTTGCTCGTCCTCAATGTCCAAAACCTCGGGTCCAAAGGTCTGGCCATCATCGTAGATCTGAGTGATGGACATACCGTAGGTGAAGGGGGAGATGTTCAACATGTTAAGGAGAACGGCCTCGGAGGCTCCGACCTTGGCACCAGCCTCGACGAGCTTGAGATCGGTGGTAATTTCAATGGTACCACGAGCAATCTTGGTGGGAACACCGAGAGCCTGGAAGAAAGAAGTCTTACCGGGTTCCATACCAGTGTTACCGGCAGGAACGAAGACATCGAGAGGAGCAACAGCACCGGCACGGGCGGGAGCGGCGACACGGTTGGAGAGAATCTTGGTACGGATACCCTTCAACTCGGCGTTGGTGAAGATGAAACCAACGTTGCCTGTTATGAATTAGCACAAACTCATTGAGACGGGTTCGAATCTGCAGTAGATATAACGCACCCTTGACGAAAGGAAGGAGACGCTCGTATTCGGGGTTTTCGGAGATGAAGCCCTTGAGAGCACGGCGGACCTAGACAGTCTCAGTCAAAAAGTATTCCAGCGTGGTCGATTGAAAGGAATACTAACCATGGTGTTCTTTCCCATGAGGACGACACCCTCGCCACGGAGACTCACACGAATCTCGTGCATCTGCTGGGAGCTGACATTGTCGACGGAGACGATGAAGATCGTCTTGTACTCGTCGAGGAGGCCCTTGAGCTTATCGAAGTAAGCGGACTTGCTTGCAGATTTGCCCCCCATGTCTTCTTATTGTTGTGAAGAGAGGATGTTTAAGGGCAAACGAAAATGATTGTAATTTGGTGGTGTCTCTTTGGACGGATGATGTTGGATCGGGAGAAAAACGTGTGTGGTCTGGGATTTTGGCAAAAGTTGTGGTGCTTTCGGCTAACGGGCCCACTCTGTCCGCAGTGGCCAATCATGTCGGATCGAGTGAGCTGCCGCGCCAAGAAATGAAATCAGAGCTTTAATTTTTGCGACAACGTTGATTAGAGTCGACTCTAGTTTGAATGACTCGATCTTGAGCATTGTTTCGCATATTCACGATAATCGTACTTAGTCCATCTAGTCCTCATTTTCAGAGTATCGACAGCGCAAATCCAATGCTTCCCACAGCGCAGTACCCGTTCACTTGCATTCGCTACCTTGGCGGGATTATCGTCGCATCCGCCGGGCCAAATCTTTACACCTTTTCTGCCACCGACGGTCACAAAATCTCGACATGGCCTGAGGACAAGTCCAGCACCTCTAAAGAGCCTGAGACGAATGAAGATTCTGTTGAGCGCAGTGAGGGGCCGCCAGAGAAGAGAAGGAAGATTTCTCCCACCAGTGCCGAAAACAAGCCTACCAATGCGTGGCAGTCCGTTCCCATTCTAGTCGTCTCTCCGTCCGGTCGTCATGTAGTTGCAGTAACTGCAGAGGACAAACATGTGCGAGTCTTTGAGATAAGTACGGGAGGAGTGTTGACGGAATCAAGTGACAGGTAAGAAGACATCAACTTAAGTTATTACTTGGTAGGAATGGCGGAACTAAGAGACAATAGACCCGTACCTCGAAAACCCTGTGCAGTGGCATTCTCATCCGACGGCGACACACTGATATGCGCCGACAAAGGTGGTGATGTCTTCAGCATGCCTCTATTACCCGGCGAAAGCGGGGAATTTGAACTGGTCGCCCGGACTAGAAAGGTCACCAAACCTGCAGCTAATCCTCTCGTCGTGCATACCAAGAGAAACTTGGATGCTCTTCGCCAGCAGCTTACCCAAAAGACCCCTGAAATCACTCCGGCAGCTCCCACAGCGAAAAGGGATGTGCTTTCGGGACAGGTCTCTACGCTTACTGATATGGCCTATGCAATCGTACCATCGGGTACATCGGCTAGTGGCTCGCACACCTATATATTGACAGCAGACCGCGATGAGCAGATTCGTGTGTCTCGTGGGCCGCCTCAAACACACGTTATTGAGGCTTATTGTCTGGGCCATGAATCTTTTATTAGCACTCTCTGCATACCACCCACGTTGCCGCACCTTTTAGTCACTGGCGGTGGTGATGACTCTATCTTTGTTTGGGATTGGAGGAATGGCCAAATTCTGCACAAAGTATCAATTCTTCCAGAAGGAAAGGATCAGATCGTCGTAAGGGGCATTTGGGCCGTGGAGATTACTGGAAGTTCGTTGGTTGCTATTTTCGTGGCTATCGACGGGTGAGTGAAGCTGCTTTGGTCACTGTCAACTGGGAATCAATCTAACGTTGACTGCAGGTCGCACGAACTTTTAAGCTTTGTATTAGAGGCGAAGGGTTTAATAGCTCCTCAGGATTCAATCATAACATCAGGAAACATCCTCGACGTGGCTTCTATAGACGAAAACGACAGTATTCTCGTTTCCGTCGATAGTTGCCATGAGCCTGGTTCCATCAAGGACTGGAGGAACAACTCCGATGAAGCTTCGGTGCTTGTCGAAGAATACATAGTTCGCCTGAAAGAAGGGAAGTTGGTGCTTGACCGTGCAGCAAGTCAGGTAGTCAATTACATCAATAAGCAGGGCACAGCAAGCATTCTTGCTGGTATGGACGAATCCTCATGGCCCAAGAGCCAGAAGGCATTCAGTGAGAGATTGTACAGCTTGCACAATCTTCGCAAAAGGTTAACGAAGGATCCCCGGTAGATACTCTGTTATAAATTAATACCTGCATGAAGAAAGAAAAAGAAAATATACACACGTAGTCAGATCTAAGGTTATCAAGATCTCGCACATTGACTGTTCTGATTGGCTGTAAGCAAGGGGTTAAGATAAGGGCTAACCCTTATCACCCCGCCCTCAGATTAAGATTCTCGACCTCGGAAGTGGTCGGTGAGCAGATGGGCCGATGGACATACGTTCAGGCTATTGCTAGTCCGTTGCCTCATAGCTTATTATCCTGTGATTCGATAAGTCTACTAAATCTGTAGTGTTTCGCAAGGTACCTTTCTAGTCGCAAAAATGCAGGAACAATTTGAGCCGTTGAAGAATGACCTCCTGTTGAGGGCCGCCAAAGGTAGGCACGAGCTATCCCAACCTTGTCAGAGCCATTGTCAATCAATACTAATATGAGGCAGGCGAAACTGTCGAGCGGCCGCCGATATGGGTAATGCGACAAGGTACGTTCTCCGGCTAAGCGCTTTCGAAACTACATGAGCTAATCCAACGATCCTGTACAGCCGGCCGATATCTCCCAGAATATCACGAAGCCAAAGGAAACCGCGACTTCTTCGACTGCTGTCGATCGCCCGAGATCGCCTCTACCCTCACCCTCCAACCCATCGAGCGCTATGCCGGACTCATCGATGCAGCCATCATCTTCTCGGATATCCTCGTCATCCCGCAAGCAATGGGTATGGTCGTTGAGATGATTGATAAAAAGGGCCCTTCTTTCCCCGAACCTCTCGTCTCTCCGGATGACGGGCAATACGAGAGAGTGCTCAAGAAGGATGTTGATGTTAAGAAGGAACTGGACTATGTCTACAAAGCCATTACATTGACCCGATTCAAGCTCAAGGGCCGCGTGCCCCTGATCGGATTCTGTGGTGCACCCTGGACTCTTCTTTGTTATATGGTTGAGGGCGGCGGCACAAAGTTGTTTATTCAGTCCAAGAAGTGGATCTACAAATACCCCAACGAGAGCAAGGCGATGTTACAGAAGATTGCAGAGCTGTGCGTTGAGTATCTTGCGCTACAGGTTGCTGCTGGTGCGCAATTGGTGCAAGTGTTTGATTCTTGGGCTGGCGAATTGTCGCCTGCCACATTCAAGGATTTCGCCTTGCCCTACCTTCGCTATATTTCGGAGCATCTACCGAAGCGTCTGCAGGAGCTTGGACTGGAGCGAGTTCCTATGACTGTCTTTGCAAAGGGTGCTTGGTATGCGCTTGACGACCTGTGTGAGAGTGGATACAATGTCGTCGGATTGGACTGGTTGCATGACCCCGCTGAAGCGTACAGCATCGCGCGCGGCCGTGTGACGTTGCAGGGTAACGCTGACCCGGGTATTCTGTATGGTGATCGTAGCGCTATTACCAAGACTGTTGAGAATATGGTCAAGGGCTTTGGAGGAGGGAAGACGGGATGGATTGCTAATCTTGGTCATGGTAAGTGAACCCCGGGATTACATACGCAACAGCATGCTAACTCAAATGATCAGGAATTACTCCATTTGTCAACCCGGATGATCTGAAGTTTTTCTTTGAAGAGATTCACAGACAATTTCGTTGAAAAAGTTTGATATAAATTAGAATAGATAGCCACCAAAAAAGACCATCGCCATGCTACAAAGCTCTCTCTAATCGATATCCTCTTAATCTATCTAGACCGCAATATCCTCATTCCTATCCGTGGAGTGAAATATTAGCAAGTACTCAAAGGAAAATAGCAACAAGGTAGAAGGTGTTTGACTGACCATAATTCAGGCTTCTCCCGAATGAAATCCGTCATCAATTTGACGCACTCCTCATTCTGCAGAACGACAACCTCAATGCCCCGGTTCTGCAAGTACTGCTCACCACCCAAAAAGGTCTTGTTCTCTCCAATCACGACGCGCTTGACCTTGTACAGGATACAGGCACCCGTGCACATGTCGCATGGCGACAGGGTCGTATACATGGTCGCGCCTTCGTATGCAGAGGCCGGGAGACGGCCCGAGTTTTCAAGGGCCGATATTTCGCCCTATGCCATACATCAATATCAATGATCGTCTACATGGGGTGACAAGGTAAGCCTACGTGTAGAGTAGCGCTTCCCTTCTGGGCTCGCATGTTGTGGCCGCGGCCGAGTATTTTTCCGTCCTTGGAGACGAGGCATGCGCCAATAGGCACGCCACCTTCGGCTTGGCCCTGACGAGCTTCTTCGACAGCAGCGATGAATCCTGGGTCAGTTTCCATTTTGATGCGTAGTATTCTGTCAGGAGCGGTTCAATGTGTATCTAGGTAGCGGGGTATGATGTCTGGTGGTAACCTCGGGAGTGTTCTTATCAAGATATGGGACTCTGGAAAGAGATTTATACTGGCTCCACTTCTACTTGATTTGTGGTGAAGTTCCTATTACGAGTTGTTATGAGCTATTGATGCGGAAAACGGAAGACAGGTACTATGATAGGAGATACTCGGATAGTACTCATTCAACCTTCAGATCTAGCTGAGATAGTAGGAGCACTCAGCGCTATTTCTTCACGACATTTCGCATAGTACAGTTTATAGTGAGCGATAATGAGAGGGGCAGCCTTATCGATAAGAACTGATACGGTGAACCACCGCACCGCCACAGCTGCGGCTGAGGTTGGCGGTAGATGGAATTCCGGCTGTTTCTCCTGACAAATGCGTGTGTCCCTGAATCGGCCTTGCTGACACGGATCGAAGAACAGTTAGAAGCACGAAAGGCGCTGCTCGAAATGCGGGTGTCCAATAATGTCCAAAGCGGAGGGCATAGAGTGGCGAGAAAGAAAGCTGTGGAAGATCGAAACCCATCGAATTGTTCGGAATTTGCCTGGAGCCCGCGCTAGTCCTCTTTGGGCGGTCTTCAATGCGATGCGAACTCTTGGACGGTCCGACGTGCTTCACATTATTTGATCTGGAAGGATCTTCTCTTTGTAATATATTGCCTTCAACAAAATCTCCTCTCTGTCGACTTCGTTGTCGTTGTTAAATAAATAATCATCAAACCCGATCCTCGTTCCTGAACTCCTGTCAGGCTCTGAAGGCGGTACGATCTACAAGAAGCTTGGCGCTCTCACTCTCACTGGACGAGCAAAACCAGACAGACTCAGACTCAGACTCAGAAAAATCAACCTCCCCGATCCTTCTTACCTGAGCGGCCCTTTATCTGTCCTGTGTCGCTACATCCATTTCCTTCTTTTGGGAGAATTCTGCGTTCGTCGATCGATTATATTTGATCTCCGTATATCGGTCGCTACTCGTTTCTGTCACTCTCACCTCGCTTGTTACCCGCCTTGTTGACCTACCGTTCGTTCGGCGAGTCGTTGTTCCGATCGTTTGCGCAAAATAATAGATAGCCAATATGGTGAAAGATTCGAAACTCTACGATGTTTTGGGGGTATGTTTATTGTTGCGAGCCTTATTCTATGGTTGAAACATTTTGTTAATTTTCATTCTAGGTTCCCCCTACGGCGACCGAGGCCCAGCTGAAAACTGCATACAAGAAGGGTGCCTTGAAATATCATCCTGGTATGTTTATGCTTTGCTCATGGGACGAGATTCAAGTGACTAACAGATCATAGACAAGAATGCTTCAAATCCCGAGGCCGCCGACAAATTTAAAGAACTCTCCCACGCATATGAGATTCTCTCCGACTCTCAAAAACGCCAAATCTACGATCAATATGGTGAAGAAGGCTTGGAAGGTGGTGCCGGTGGTGCCGGAATGAACGCCGAGGATCTCTTTGCTCAGTTCTTTGGCGGCGGCGGTGCTTTCGGCGGCATGTTCGGTGGTGGTATGCGCGAGTCCGGCCCAAAGAAGGCACGAACAATCAACCACGTTCACAAAGTCAGCTTGGAGGATATTTACCGGGGAAAAGTCTCCAAACTTGCCTTACAAAAGTCTGTTATTTGCCCTGGATGTGATGGCCGTGGTGGAAAGGAAGGTGCCGTTCGCCAATGTACCGGCTGTAACGGTTCGGGTATGAAGACTATGATGCGTCAGATGGGCCCCATGATTCAGCGATTCCAGACTGTCTGCCCCGACTGCCAGGGTGAGGGAGAGATTCTACGCGAGAAGGACCGCTGCAAGAAGTGTAACGGAAAGAAGACCATTGTGGAGCGCAAGGTCCTTCATGTGCATGTCGACAAGGGCGTGAAGAACGGCCACAAGATTGAGTTCCGCGGCGAAGGTGACCAGATGCCGAATGTCCTGCCTGGTGATGTCGTTTTCGAGATTGAGCAGAAGCCTCATGCTCGATTCCAGCGTAGGGATGATGACCTCTTTTATCACGCTGAGATCGATCTTCTCACTGCTTTGGCGGGTGGTACCATCCACATTGAGCATTTGGATGATAGGTGGCTTTCTGTTAATATTGCACCCGGCGAGCCTATCACACCTGGTATGTATTTTTGAAATCTCATTATTGCAGCCGACATACTAACCTATTCCCAGGTGCTATTAAGGTCATCAAGGGCCAGGGTATGCCCTCGTTCCGTCACCACGACTTTGGTAACTTGTACATTCAATTCGACGTCAAGTTCCCCCAGGGCTCCGATCTACAGAACCTCGAACTCCTTGAACAAGTCCTGCCACCCCGAACACAGCAGACTACACCTCCAGCAGACTCCATGGTTGAAGACTTTGGCTTAGAAGACGTCGACCCTACCCAGAGCGCACGTGCACATGGAGCCGCTTATGATGAAGAAGATGAAGACGGTGTACCTCCCGGAGCTGAGCGTGTGCAGTGTGCTTCTCAGTAAGGAGAAAAGGCAGTGAGAGATGCCGGCTTGAAGCTGTTTTCAATTCTTGTCGATACCAGTCCCGAGTGCATCCTGCGAGCGCAGCTAGTCTCGCTTCTTCTTCTTCTTCTTCTTCTTCTATTGAGTTGCAGGTGATTGTCAGGTTACCTGATTCCTCATGGACACTGCGCTTCAAACCTACGAGTGTGTCAAAGAACGGCTTTTCCCATGCATCTCGTTTAGAAACAGCATGTTATGCGAGTGGCACGATGCGAATACGTACGAATCTGATCCCTCGTAAAATTTCGGCTCAAAATACAAGCAGTTGGGTTAGCAAGCCCTGGGACCGTTTCGCTTCCTCTCACACTTCTTTCTTTGCTTTTCTCCATACCACAATGTCTGGAACTGGAGTCAGGGAATTTTCCATACTCCTAGTCTCCTTGTTATGTTGAATCACGCCGGTCACGGGTTTTGCTTTTGATGAACTTTTTTTTCCTTCCCATTTTCTCCCGCTGCCTACTACTTTTGCCACTTTCGCACTATTACTAGTATCATGGGCGTTTGCATACCTGTCTTCTTATCCTATTAGAATGCATGGCTTTGGGTATTTTTCAAGCTCGGTTGTGGTAGCCCAATTTCGCACAAAGTATTCGTAGCTGTAGCTGCATGATTGGGCATGTCTGAGTAAAGTATAAAACACCCGAGAGTCTGGATCGGTCACACAAGGCCTGGGATACCAGGTACTCACGGAGTTTGCCGTATAGCACATGGTTGTGATAATCTTGGTATGAGTATGAAGTAAATGTGTGCTTGGACCCTGATGCGATCTCTACCAAGTATTAAGAATCAGGGTAATTAAAGGAGTGCACTATGCAATGAGAGTGTAATAAGAGTGGTACGTACGCTAGGTCGGCGCTAGGGTACGCTTTTGACAGATCCAGCCGATCACGCAATAGCTTGTGCATATTGCTATTCGGAAACCAATGGACGGCGCGCATATGGATAAAAAGCAAGCATAAGCCAGCAGTTGCTATTAGATAATACGGGCGTCGGGGGTGGGTTAGGGTTGGGGCTAGCGTCATCTGCAATCCTAGCCTGCATATAAAAGTGTATCTTTACTACCCACCCAGTGTTCCAAGGTTGTTAGTGTGTGCGGCCTAGTAGCAATGCAGTAACCCCGATTATATACTATGTAATACTATGTAATACTATGGAATACTATGGACTAGTCAGAGTGACCTCGCCGCCTACTGGATGGTCCTGCCCTGCTTGTAAAACTGCTGGCAAATCAGGAGCCGGCGGTATGGCGCAAAGTACCATGTACCTCTTCCATCATCGGTGGAGTCGATCACGCCATCATGCGCGGCCGAATGAGCTTCAAGCTTGGCATCAGAGTTCTTCTCACGCTCACGTACCTGCCATAGTCTGCCACAGTCTGCCATACGGACTGCTGAATATCGGGCATTGGGAAGGTGCCATGCCAGGCCTGCAAGATGGCAACTGCACACGTGGATCCCCCGTTACATGCTCTCCGTCGTAACTGTACCACATCCATGTGTCGCTCCTCCTCGTCTTTCTTTTTCTGATTCTCTCATTTAATAAACAATCTATTCGTCTTCTTCACGACAGACCAACACTCCGGCCAACCAGCTGCATCTATGAGAGTTTTAGCTTCCTCCATTTAGAGCATCGCCAATCCCGCGCATTGACTCGGATTCAATCTCGTCCCTGCTAATTTACTAGCTCATTGTTATTTGCTTAGCCTTACACCAGATTTCGCTCCCGTCTCCAGTCCTGGGCTTGATCACGACATCGTTCGTCCGCGTCTGAGGCGGAAGCTAATATATTCGTTATTTTTCTAGTCCAACTACTTTTTCTTTTCGTTGCTGCATCTTGCTCACACGAGTCTGCATCCTGCGAACGGGTTGAAATAGCGACAGTTCTCCCACTTCGATTTCGCCATTTCGTCTTATTCTTCATCATCTGTCTATCACAGGATGACGGTATAGATTGGCTATCTCTGATTTATCCTGCTGATCCTCCATCCGCAACCGGACGCCTCCTTATCTGTATTATATATATTTGCATATATATACACATCAACATCAGCATCGGTGTCAGGAAGTCTACTCAGACGCTTGCCTGCGACACGATCTCAAAATGTCCAGCTCGACTTCCAAAGTTGGCCATACCCTGGCCAAGGGACTCGGCATCAAGATCCCCTACCGGGATCCTCTGGGCTCAGAAGCTGATCCCGTCACGCGAGGAGAATCCGTGTTCACCACAGGTACTGCGGACACCTACATTGAACCGGAACCTACTGTTGCTGGGTGGGTTCAAGAGCAGATCCCGTCTGTTCACGACGTTTTGAACTATTTTATTAGTTTGTTTCCATTTTTGAAATGGATCGGGCGATACAACACGCAATGGTTGATTGGAGATTTGGTTGCTGGTATGTTCTTCCCTCTCTTCTTCAAATTCATTATACTCACAAGGCTTCCGTTCAGGTATTACTGTCGGCGCCGTTGTCGTTCCTCAAGGAATGTCGTACGCTCAATTGGCTGATTTGCCGGTCGAATACGGTCTTTATTCCTCATTCATGGGTGTTTTGATCTATTGGTTCTTTGCCACTTCTAAGGATATCACGATTGGTGTAAGTGGACTTGATCTATTTCGCGATGACCAAGCTAAACATAATTACAGCCCGTCGCTGTCATGTCAACTTTAACCGGAAATGTCATTATCGCAGTTCGAAAAGAGCACCCAGAACTCGATCCCCATGTCATTGCTTCAGCATTGGCTATAATATCCGGCGCTATCATTACCTTCATTGGTCTAATCCGATGGGGTTGGATCGTCGAGTTCATTCCATTGACTGCAATTACCGCTTTCATGACAGGCTCCGCCTTGAACATTGCATCTGGCCAAATTAAGAACTTGATGGGCGAGACTGCCAATTTCAGCACAAGAGGAGCTACATATCAGAACATCATCAACTCATTAAAATACCTTCCTTCGACCCAGCTTGACGCAGCTCTAGGGTTGACTGCTCTTTTCATGCTGTACGGCATTCGATCTGCATGCAATTACGGTGCCAGGAAGCGACCACACAGAGCTAAGACATTCTTTTTCATCTCGACACTCCGAACGGCCTTTGTGATCTTGTTTTACACCATGATCAGTGCAGCAGTCAACATCCATCGTCGCGAACATACCGCTTTCAAAGTTCTTGGAAACGTTCCTCGTGGTATGTACACTACCCTGTAATTTCAAAAGATAAATCACTAATCATCTGAAAGGGTTCAAACATGCCGCTGTCCCAACAATCAACACTTCAATCATCAAGTCTTTTACCAGCTACCTTCCATCTGCAGTTATTGTCCTCTTGATCGAGCACATTTCGATTTCCAAGTCCTTCGGCCGTGTCAACAACTATACTATCGATCCTTCCCAGGAGATGGTTGCCATTGGTGTCACCAACTTGCTGGGACCCTTCCTCGGTGCCTACCCTGCCACTGGGTCTTTCTCTCGCACTGCCATCAAGTCAAAGGCTGGTGTCCGCACTCCTCTTGCTGGCCTCATAACTGCTGTTGTGGTGCTTCTTGCCATCTATGCTCTTCCTCCACTCTTTTGGTACATTCCTCAGGCTGCTCTCTCGGCTGTTATCATTCACGCTGTCGGAGATTTGATTACCCCTCCTAATGTCGTGTACCAATTCTGGTTGGTTTCTCCATTGGAGGTTGTTGTCTTCTTCGCCGGTGTGTTGGTCACTGTGTTTTCCAGTATTGAAAACGGTGTTTACACTACTGTCTGCATGTCCGCTTTCTTATTGCTGTGGCGTCTCGTCAAAGCGCGCGGTGACTTTTTGGGCAAAGTCCGAGTACACTCCGTCATTGGAGACCATCTGATCGATGAGCAAGGCAAATACGGACCCGTAGGACCTACACCTGAGCAGACTCTAGCGGAGGATAACGCAAATGATACATACCGCAATGTCTATCTCCCGGTCACACATGGCGATGGATCTAACCCACAGATTTCTGTTCAGCATCCTTACCCTGGGGTGTTTATTTACCGATTCTCCGAAGGATTCGTCTACCCGAATGCAAATAGTGAAACCGACTATCTTGTTCAAACGATTTTCAAGGAAACACGTCGCACGAATATTGCAACCTATCCTACTCTTGGTGACCGCCCTTGGAACGACCCTGGCCCACGACGCGGCAAGCCTGTCGAAGACCGGAGTGATTTGCCTACTCTGCGTGCTATCATCTTGGACTTTTCTAGTGTTGACCATGTCGATGTTACTTCGATTCAGAATTTGATTGATGTCCGCAACCAACTGGATCTCTATGCAAGCCCTGAGCCAGTTCAATGGCACTTTGCTAACATCAATAACCGCTGGACTAAGCGCGCTCTCACATCTGCTGGATTTGGCTGGCCAAGTCCTTCATCCGTTGATGGGTTCCAACGCTGGAAGCCTATCTTCAGTGTCGCCGAAATTGGTGGCAGAAGCTCTGCGGCTGCCGTTGCTGAACGCGAACGTCTCAACAGTCAAATCAAGGCTGATGATCTTGAAGGCGGCCGTCCTAAATCTGCTACTGTCCGCGAACGCACCGAACCTGAGGTCAGCAGCAATGAAGGCGATGACTACATCAAACAACTCGACACTACTACAGCATACAGAGCCAAGCGCAATAACATTGCTTTGGTTTCGGGCTTGAACCGACCGTTCTTCCACGTTGATGTGACCAGTGCTGTGCACAGTGCAATCTCCAACATTGAAGGATCTGGTTCTTTTGCCAAGATCATTGAGGAGTAGTTTAGCAAGACATTTTGGTTTATTGTTTCTTTTCGGTTTGATTCACAGCATACCCGCGAAGGTAGATTCGCATGCGTTGGAACTGGGTTTTAGTGAGCTATCTATGGATACTATTTAATATCATGAGAAGTTTCTTTGTACATCATAGCCGGTATATATTCGATTTGGATACAACGAATTTCCAATGATCTACCCCATTACATACATAATTCGTATTTGTTTTTGCTTGTGATTTCCTTGTCTTCTTGATAAATCCGGTCCGTCCCCGTGTGGAAAGGATTCATCCTATCGATGCTCTTATGTATGTATGAAGTATTTTGATCAAAGCAATACAGAACCATAAAAAGCTGTCTTCATATAAAACATTTGATTCAAAGGAGGAGACCTATTGGCATACACAATACAAGATCAAAGATATCTAAGACAACATATTCATACATAGGCATAGTTGATAGACATGGCTACTACTTCCAACAGTGAAGGTTCAACCAACAACACCAACAAGAAACTGTGCAACGCCATCCGGGGTGCTATACGCTCCATCCACGGTAGATTGACACTCCGAACCAGATGGCTGGCCCGTATACAGGGTAACATCGGCTTCGTTTTGCCCCTTTTCGCTTGCGACACAGGGCTCCTCAGGAGTGTTCCAAGCACTGAATTGTTGCTCTGTGTCGGTATCTGATACGAACCATATGCTCTTCGCTTGGAACCCGATTTGGACGCAATGGCCTACTGTGCCTTGGTCGCCTTGGAAGTCAGGCCCGCTATGGAATTGTTAGTTAAATGACAACAACATAAATAGGTGTTCGATTGGAATGCTGCGTGATTGTACCTGAAATCTGCGGCTCCCTCTGAGCAGCTATCGTCGGTATAGACAGTCAGATTGTAAGCTGTTGCGCAGGCAATCAGCGCTGGGATCGCGAGAAGAGAGAACTTCATTTTGGGCGGGATTTTCGGTGTTCTTGAGACTCGTAGGAAGATTTGATAGCAAAAGGCCGAGAGTGAAGAAGGCTGTTGAATGAGAATAGTTGAGGTTACTGTGTATGAATACCATTAGGATCCGAAGGGTGAGATGCTCTTTAAATACTATTTCGATCTGCCTGGCTGATTGACTTCTCAAGTGTGCCTTCGAGACACTCTGGACAGCCCATGACGTCCTGTATTCCAGGCACAACAGCGCAATAATAGGGCCATATTACGTGATGCTTTTCATTCTCTTAGAGGGTCTCAGGGATATGAAGCTGTATTTCAAAACGGGAAATGATAGATCGACACCCCACCGAACATATCATGCCTAGTTGGGAATCATATCAAGCTCACTAAGTGTTTCTGCCCATAGTCCACCTGCTTGTAGATCTCATAATTCTCTCTGGAAACCGAACTCAATCCGAATATGTATATAAATCTCTCGCAGGTTTTCTACAGATCTTGCGTAGAGTACCTGGGTTTTTTTTTTGTGTTGTGTTTCCTCTTCGGGCTGGGTGTCAATCTTTTTGATCGCTTCTAGAAAATACGGCCGATCTTGGTACCTGAAAATAGATACTGAATGCAGCTTGATGACATACTCGCTATAGCTTGGCTATCGTCGGTTGGTCAAGGGTCCAACATCAGCCTCAAATATCTGGGGGAGACCCCGTCAGCTGACGTCGACGGCTGAGTCCAATGTTGGGATCGACTTAGTTTAATGTTGGGATCGACGTAGTTCGTAGGGCACAAAAAATTCTTAGTATGCGTTAGCGTACATTCGGTGTTTATTTATAAAAGCTACCTGTTGGTCGAATAGGCCAATAATCTTCATGTAATATGGCCCTCTGTCGTTGGTTTTCAAAGAACTAAGATACCACACATAGAAATCACCAACACCAACCATCAACATCGTCCACTCATGCCGCAACAAATGCCCATTGCTCCCCATGATGTAATTTCAAAGTCTAAAGATCATGTGGTTTATGATCAGGACGCTCGTAGCATGTGCAGGATCTTCTTCCCTTCAAAACCCTTTTCCGCTAGGAGTGACGTGAGCTGATGCTTCTATGAAACACCGCCGCAGTATACCCGAACATCCCAAAGGATACAATCTGAACCAACAGCCCCCACAGTAATGACCGATTTTGCGCATGTATCATGACCCGTAATGCTCAATCCAACAAATAATCCAACGACGAGACTTCAGACTTCCTAATTGGGCAATAAAACCCTAATGTCTGTTGTGTGCACGGACCATATAAGAGAGACACCTTTAGGACCTACAATAAATGTTCCGGAAGCCGAAGACACTCGAGATGCTTCATCTTATGCGAAAGATTACACATCTGACATTGAATCAAGGCTACTGCTATCTCGCAAAACCTCCATCGGCCACTCTAACCAATCCTCCCAATCAGCACCAAAAGAGTCACAGATAGACTCTATCAAAAAACGCCCTCCATCTCCAAAAACCCACAGTTGTCGATACGTATGCAGCAGAACAGCGTAATGAGCGAGGATAATCAATGCCTCAGGTCGTCCCATATGGAGTGCATCAACGTATTCTTCAGGGATCATGACCGGCCACGCAATGACTGCACCGTACATTGATATCGAGGCTGAAGAAGTCGAAGTCGAGCCTGGAATTTCACATGCATTCATTATTGACTGCAGGTTTCCAATTGTCAATTTATAAGTCTTGGTCAGTGGATCGCCGAGTTTCGCGCTATTTATAAGGCTGAGGAGTTTTGTGAGAGTCGGGTTGAAAGTTGTAGGCTGGTCTGATAGTTTGAGTTGATCAGTGACCAAACTGCGTCCGATGGGTGATTGGGTTAGAGCATCCCATTGCCCTGAGACCACGGTTCGTATGCCGCGATGGATATGGATGTATTGTACAAATTTCTCGAGAAACCTAGCTAAGGTATCGTCGCCACGGTAAATTAAGGTATCGCATAAAAGATGGGCGCCGAGAACGGCAGAGAAGAAAAATGCGGCGAGGCAGGTATCTGCGTTGAGAATAGCGGGTTCCGCGTTGTAAATTGATAGAGCATGGGTCTGAAAATTCATTGCTTGGAATCGATAAGATTCTTTCGTGTGTGTGTCGCGCCCAACGACGCTTTTGTGTAAAGCTGCGAAGCCGAGAAGCTCGTTCATGAGATATGGGACCGGTAGACAGTGTTTGAGAATGTCCGTTAGAGAAATGTCTATAAATTCGTAGGTATGCAATGAGGGCAATGTCTCTGCAGTCAAATGATAAAATAAGAGCATGTGATGCATGTTAACTGGTGAATATGATTCGTCTTCAGCATTGTGCTCGCTGACATTTTGAGGAGATATAGGTGAAGGCTGTTGACGCGGAGTCGGACTTGCTGATGTATTGAAGCTATTCAGGGACGAATGTCTGAATACAGTTTTCGATACTGGGAATTCGCAGTGGCGATTGGCGTCTTTACAGTTTGAGCAATTGGGATATGATTCGTCGCACTATTTGGGTCAGAAAGATGATTCTCTGCTGTCGGGTATATGGTATGGTAGGTAGCAAAGCCGCCGGCATACCTTGATATGACGTCGTTTGCATACAATGCAGCCATTCCTTGACTTCTTATGAGCTTTTCGAGGCATAGCTAGCAGGATTACTAGGAATCGAGCTGAATTCTCGCATTCAGAGTAAGCAGAACAGAGTCATGTAGGTTGCCTCAATTTGAGAGCTCAAGAAATTTGTGGTCCGTGCATACGACTCAATACGAATGGCCCACTTCGCCTGTTTGTAGGATATCTTTTGTCGAATCTATGGTTCTACATCAAATTCACTTCTAGCGATCTATTTATGCAATTCGTATTCTGTGTCAGTTAATGAGATAGCTGAAAGATTTCTGCTGCCTAACGACACAGAATTATCATAGAGACGACTCGGGGCCACCTCCCTTACGGATCCAAACAGCATCGATGTTCATATCCAGCTTTCTTGAGACAAAATCAGCGACAATGAGACGGAACTATCATGATACAGACTCACCCGTCGATTCTATGCTTCGTGAACGGTTCTGAAGAGCCCGGAATAGGATTTCCGAATGCAATGCTTTTCTCCTGTTGCATGTTACAGAGTAAGCAATATGTAAGGATAGAAACGACAGCTTCAATAGCACCTCTGGGCTAAGTACTTACAATACCAAGGGTTAGATGAATGCCCGGCGGTTCGGACAGTATGTACTCTTCCAACGGTTCGTTACTTATAATATGCTGGATATTCCTCACAACGAGGGCTGCCTGTTTAGAGCCTCTGGAATTTGTCAACTTCAGATTAACGATATGTAACTCGAGTAGACGTACGGTTTTGCAGCTTTATGTGCACCGGTTTCGGCGACATCCCCTATAGCGAAGATGTTGGGATACCTCGCATCACTAATTTGTAGCGTTGTCGACGTCTGAATGAACCCATTTTGGTTTATGCACTCTGGTGAAAGAGATTTGATAATATCAGATTGTGGAGTCTGGCCAGTGCAAATAATCTGTCACCGGTCAATTTCAGCGTCATGAGTCAACGATCAAACGCAAACCTACCGCGTGATCAGCTTTCAGTGATGATTCATCCTCCAACTCAACATCAAAAACACTCCCATCTGTAGGATAAAATCCGTCTAGAGGCAGTTTAACTCGCGATCCTAACTTGATTTCAACCCCGAGCTCTGCACACCTATTTAAGATAATATAATTCAAATCTGGATGGAAGTTGTGCATAAGCCTGCTTCGGGAATGCACCAAGGTGACAGACTTAGCGGGATAGAGCTCTTTTATATCAGTTGCAATTTGAACGCCAACCGCTCCTCCACCGATCACAATAATTTTAGAGCTGCGCGCAACATTTTGGGCGTGGTCCTGTAAATAAGCCACGCCGGCTTGCTTATCTATGCTGATCATATTTGAGGGTGCAACTAATGAAGTGCCCGTGGCAATGATCTAGTCCACGTTAGAGTAGAAAGAATACAAAACAGAAGCAGTCGCCGTACAAGATATGAAAAAGAGATAGAGTCTACTAGCACGCCATCCAATGGAACTTCTCTATCCAATTGAACAGCATTGCTGTCAATCGTAGTGACTCGAGCCTGTAGAACTGTCCCAGAATTCGGAGGGCAATTGACGAATGCACCCGGAACGTAAGGAATGAATGCCTTTTGCGTCTGTACGCCTTGTGCTACAGAAAACCTGGGGAAGGCGAACAAGTGATTGAAGTGCGATCTCTTCTCAGTCAGTATGACATGGAATTTGTCACTCAAACTGGATGCGAGTTGCTGTGCTGCATTCAGACCTATAGGTAAGTCAGCAGATACATAGATATTGCATTAGTTGACCTAAAAACGGCTAGAACGAACCTACGTAGCTGCCACCGACGACGACAATGTAGGGTAGAGTCATAGCGATGGATTAGACCAATTCCAATCAAGTTACCTTGATGTTTGATAGCTACTGAAGGGCCTAGCAAGAGCAAATTTAAGGCTTATATCAAGTCATCTCATTTCGGTTTCTGTTCCAAGCTGGTGCATCGGCCGACGGGAACATCGGCCGAGTCATACTGTGTAGCACGCATCTTGGTGAATCTATTTCGCAAAGCATGGTAAGCGAGAATGAACCACCGCGTTAAAGTCGTTTCTAGGACCCGAATCCAAGTGATTATGTGTAGACCGGAGAGAGAGTAGCCTTAACCTGACCCTAATCTAACGTCCTATGACAGTGAAGAACACCTGCCAAGTACAACCACTGCAAGTGTAATCAAAAAACACGACGCATTTAGCAGAATTAAAAAAGCCTTGATTGCTCTATAATTAGTATTATGTTCACACCAATCGCCCAATGGCCACATGTTCGAAGCGTCCGCACCGGGCTAAGAACTTTTCCGGCCGGGCATGCAGTGATTCCCCCCTCTGTCATTAAATATTTCCTTTTGAGACACAATGACCTAACTTGATATTAAAACAAGCATGAAGCTTCTGGCTGCGCATAAATCATAACGAGTGAACTTTTGATCAAGCGGAGACTATACTCCAACATCGGCCGAGCCTAAGAACTTTAAAAGGGTCTAGTCCAGTCAACTATCTGGAAACATGGAGAACAGACATTTCGACCACGCGACTTTTAATAACCGGCCGGTATCCGTAATTCGTAATTACATACATCCCCATGGGGTAAATGTATTATTGACATCTCGGGAGTGATCTAGAACTCTATATTCAATTTCGGGTGGAAGGGAGTTGCATTTCTGTATATATACGCTGTTTTGCGTCACCAATATCCAGATGTTTGCAACTATAGTATTGGCGGTTCGCTGTTCAATCGCCAATTGTGTATATCATCTTGATTGTTGTCGATCTACTACTTGAGCGAACGGTCATGAAGGCCATGGACAACCCCATCGAGAAGGATGGTAACCTCTATCACGTCGAAGATGTGATCGATAAATCTGAGTCAAATGCCCTCAAACTCACTCGGAATGACTTTTTTGAAGCGCAAAATGATTCATTGTCTGAGGGCAGATCGCCATGGCCCGTGATTAAGGAGAATCTCAAGCTGTGCATGATTGTTCTCGCTGTCCAGGTTAGAGAAAATCAATCTCTTGCACCAAAAATGTTTAGCTTACAACTGTGGCTACAGACCAATGGTATCATTCTCGGCCTCGAATACACTTTTCTCGGAGCGCTTGTCGGTGTTCAAGCCTTTTGCAGGACTATGGGCTCCTATGACGAGGGCTCTGGAAGTTACGCCGTAGCCGCAAGCACATTATCGCTCTGGGCCGGGTTATTTGGTCTTATGTATGTTGGTCGATACCAAGATATGCTCATGAGCTTTGCAATACATCTAACATAGAAAATTAGGCAGTTTTCCGGACAGCTCTTTGCCGGTTGGTTCGCGGATCGTTACGGTCGATCTAAATGTATTTACCTGATGATATTCAACACCTATATCGGTGTCATGACCGAGATTCTCTCCCAGAACAAGAACGATTATACTGGCGCCAAGATTCTTATGGGTGTAGCAACCGGCATGATGCAAGTTGCTATTCCGACGTATGTAGCTGAAATCACCCCTCGTGAGATTCGAGGTATTACCATTGGATTGTTCAGTTTCAACTGTGAGCTTTTTCTTGCCTCTCTATTATCTATATGTGACAGAAAAGGATATACGCTGACAGTGAGATGATGCTAGTAACCCTTGGTTCTCTCATAGGCACCTTCGTCACCTGGGGCTCAAACAAAGCCTGGGGCGCTGATGCCCTAGACAACAGAGGCTGGCGCGTGCCACTTTACGTCGGTCTTGCAGCACCCACAGTCAGCCTCGTAGCTATGCTTCTAATGATGCCAGAATCGCCGTATTGGCTAGTTCTGAAAGACCGGGGCGAGGACGCCAAACGTAGTCTTGCACGACTGCATCCGCGACAAGCTTCGACAGAGATTGACAAAAAATACCATGAGCTACAGTACACAGTCATGAAGGAGGTTCAGTTCAAGGAGTTCACTAAAGATGCCACTTACATGGAGTGTCTCCGAGGCCCCAATTTGCAACGCACTTTCTCGGCCATGTTTCCCTCAACGTCGCAGCAGTTGATTGGCAATCAACTTGTACAATCTTACTCAACTTGTAAGTTCATCATTCAAGAAAACCCTCTGCGAGAGTACTACTAAGTATGTTTGATAAGACTTCTTCACCATTGCTGGCCTGTCGAATGCCCTTTTAGGCAGCGTCATCGTGGCCTGCGCTGGCCTCGCTGCGGGCTTTTTGTGTTTCTTCTTGATTGAAACCAAAAGCATTGGGAGATGGACTTTGGTTTTCTGGGGTGTCTTTGGGATTACTATCTCTATGCGTGAGTACATCTGTTGGGTTCTTAGAGATTTGTTCTAATACGCGATTAGTCGGAATCGGCATCGTCGATACTGTCGACCACGGAAAGACCAGTACCAGTGCTGGCGCCGCTCTTGTGGCTTTTATCGCTTTATTCAATGCCGCTACGGCTGTTGGTCCAGGTGTAGCAGGGTATGTCATTCTTCTCCAAAGCACTTGCATAAATTTAAGCTTACGACCTCTCTTATGTAGATGGGCCTACGCTGGAGAAGTAGGGTCCGTTCGTCTCCGCGCGAAAACCGCTACCATGGCGGTGGGTGTCAACGCCATCATCGGAACATTGACTAACATTGTGATCCCATTTGAGTTGAATGCCATTGGACCCAAGACCGGGTATATGTTCTTCGGTGTCGGAGTGATATGCCTTGTTCTCATCTACCTCTGGGTTCCGGATGTTACGGGCCGCACATACGCGCAATTGGATGAATTATTTGAGCGAAGGATTCCAGCGAGGAAGTTCAAGACTACTGTTTGTACGGGTGAGTATGGACAGGAGCATACTAGGGATCATGTGAAGGCTTGAAAGTGATGTCGAGGCATTTAAAAACATAATCCTGAAATGACGAGGTGGTGGAAAGGGGGTTTCATTGGTGGCACGTAGGGATCATAGTCGTGGGGTGGAGCAAATATTGAGGGTGCTTATGAGGAAGTAGTACGATAATATAGTTGACTAGGCTCGATTAATTCTCCCTATTATTTACCCTATTCATGCCCATCAGACGGGAATGCATAATGCCATACAAGATGCTGTATGGAGGGTAGCGGGAACAAAGCTAACAACAGGACTTTTGACGAAACTCGATTCGCAAATAAAAATCCGTTTCCTACTTTAAAAACATTTCCCATTACTGGTATCGCTAAAACCATCTAGCTAGTCCAATTGGCCCACTCTCCAGGCACGAACAGTGGATCAATAAAATCCGGTAGACAGCTCAACAAAGGATCAAGATTGCTAAAGTCACCAAGATAGGGGCCATCGTTGGGAATGTTACAATACTTATTCAAGCTCTGCTGGCTGTGATGTTGATGTTGATGACGTTGTTGCTGCTGCTGCTGTTGTTGACGAAGGCGATGCTTCTGGTGCAGAACAGGAACCATTTGGGGCAGTGTCGATGACCATTTAGCATTCATGCCAGACTCTGCAACGGTTTTGAGAAAGTTCTCACGTACTGCCCATGCTTGCAAAGTTAGCTCTCCAATAAGCAAATGTATGTCCGTGTCGCTTTCAATGTATTCGTAGTGATGTTCATAGAGTTCTTCGATTTGTGACCATGCGGATTGCATGGCTTGATCCCAGTCGCCGCGCCCAGCCAAAGTCTTTAGAACGTATACAGGGGCTCCCCATGGTATGAAAAAGCGCACATACCAGAGGAAACCACGTAGAGATCTGCTGGAGTGGATCAGATTGTCGTACTCTAGGTTGCGTGATGCTAGCTGGAATGGCTCGTTTGTAGGGGTCGCTGGTTGTGGTTGTCCCGACGTTGCAATTGGAGCTGCAGTATTTGCTGGTGGACGAATATCAGGCGGCCGTGCTATTCGATGTAAAGCCATTTGCATCAATTTGCAGATAGTTGATCGAGTGACCATTGTAGCCAGGAACTGCACGGGAACGACAGGATCACAAAAGCGAAGGTAGTTCTCTTCAAGAAAACTCTTGAGATCCGTTAGACTTCTCTTTAGACTGCCGCTACCGCTATCATTGCTACCAGTACCACCATCGCCTTTCCCCTCACCCTCGCCAGATTTACGATCAAGACTTGAGATAGATCCCCGTTCGTACAAGTACCGCACTATTTCATACTTCGCTTGACAGAAAGTCATTTCTGTTGCGCCCGATCGTTCAGTGGGCGCTCCTGTCATATCGGGTTCAAGATCTGCATCGTTGCAATTGCAGGGAAGCATAGTATCTGTGGATTGGGGCAAACAGCTCTCCGCACCAACCAATTCTGAGAGCCGTTGATCGAGGCTGACGATGTACCACCACAGACGGCGTCTCATCTCAACTTTGAACGGGGATAGCTCCAGACTTGCGCCGTCACGATGAAGGCCTTGTGACTGAGCCATGCGAATTGTTGATCCCATGACGGTCCAGAGCGAGTATCGATCAGAATTGTGGAACATTGAAGTCTGTGCATAGTCAATATCGGCTATCTCATGGAGACTTTTCATCTCATATATGAATGGCCACTCACTAGAAGGAGAACATGTGCACACAATAAATCGATATCAGGCACTCGCAAAAATGATGCCTCAGAAAGTGCATGTCTCGTAGCCGACTGGAAGGCGTGCAGCAACGCAAAGTGAGCTTCACCAAAGACTGCCTTACATTCTCTATCGGTAAGTGAGGATATAGCGCATGCGCAGATAGAGTATTTCAGCGCATCACTCGTCATGCTTGAGGTAGATGATAATTCTTCTACGCTGTTGTTGTTTGACAACATCAATACCTCTACTGAAGGAGCATGAACAACTTTGGTTAGGGGATGGACATTTTCCAAAAATACAAACCAATGTTGCGTCAGTGGGCCGGTTACGTGGGCAGCAAGTTGGAGTTGATTTGGAGATTGCGGCCCTAGCTGAGGGTGTGCCATACCTGGAGTTAAGATGCTTTCTGTTATGGTATTTGAGCCCGCGTTTTGTGAGCTCCAGTGATAAGCAACACCTTGTGAACTAACGCTATCGTTGGAAGGTGAGCATATAGGCTGTTGTCTGTACTAGGTGCAAGGGTTAATTGAGGATTTATTAAGATACCAGCCATGGTAGCTTACTTCTTGACCCATGATACCAATGAACCCATGTTCATAGTATCTTTTCCCACCATCTTCAGACAGGAGAACTCCACGATGTGGCTGTTGATGTTCTTGCTGCGGTTCTCCTTCGATTGCTTGGCGAATTGGGAATTTCGGTTGTGTTTGGAGGCGTTCCACGGCATTGGGAAGACCAGGACTTGAACTTATAGGCCGTGAATCTTGATGCCTTTTTGTTGCCTGAAATGAGTCATCTCTCTGATAGAATGTGTTTGGTAGTGATTGAATGGCCCCATTATCGAAAGTACCGGCATCATCTTTTGCTGCTGCATCATGCCCTTCATCGAAGCTCTGAAATGGAATTCCAGCATTCAGTAAGGCAGCCTCATGAGCTCGCAACCTCTCGAGCAGCGTCTCAGACAAGACATCGGACTGATCGGATCCGGCCTTGCGTTTTCGTCGCTGCCGTGACGGCGGAGTATTGCTATATCTGCATAGAAGCCGAGACCTGGAACACGCAGCACACGGGTGACACTTATTGCACTTTACTTTGCGTTGCGTGCAATTGATGCAGGCATACGGCCTGGTAGGCCCAGCGCTGCTCGAGTTTGTGGTCATATTGACGGCTACTGTCAAGTTGTAGAACTGGAAGTGCGAGAAGCAACTACGCACTAGTAATTTCGGAGCGATACCTGTGAACGCGGGGGAATCTGGGCAGTAGTTTTCTTGAACCTCAGTTCGTTCCAGCTTCCAATTCTGGACTTGAGTCTGGGGAAACTTCAAATCGGTTATTGGATCTTTCAACTGTACTGTAATAACGACACTGTCCTGTGACTGCCATTACGAGTAACATTTCTTGACACAGTCGACTGTACAAGAATGGCCGCGCGTTCTCGTCGACTAAAGCGCCCGAGGCCCCGAACAGTCCCGCCATGTTTTCCCACTTTTTATACTCTGGTTCGGCCGAAGTGTTGAAGCTATTGAGCCCTAGCGGATAATGCAAGCGGCCAATTAGCTTTGATCGCTTTTCATGATGTATATCTCTATCACTTGGTTGCTTCATTAGTCACCTCAAATCCTTACAGAACTAAGACATAGACACGATCAAACAAGGAGACGATGATTCAATTGACTACTATAGCAAATGCTCGCGTCCTCATCGTAGGAGAGGGCACTCTGGTAGATGAGATCGTGCGCAATTTGACGTCGTATGGTAGGCACGCCCCATCGATTTTGGAGTAGAGATCATGACGAATGCTGAAGCTTTTGTACAGGCATAAACAAAATATCCATTATAGGGCGTCCGTCAAATCTCCAGGAGCAGACAAAGTGCGAGATTATCGAACGGGCTAGTTCTCCCTGCACGATTTCGGACTATATTCTAATGATGGATTCTAGGATCCTGAACAGTTTATTGCCTTTGACAGCAATTACTTCAAGTCCTTTGACCTGGTACTATGTGCTGATCAACCTCGTACCTTCGAATTAGCGCTGGCGTGTTTACGATGGCCAGGTAAGCGAATTCGCGAGACATGGTATGATTTTGTTAATGATGATTTTGACGAAAGATACACCCATAATAATCATGAGAGGTGTCGCCAATAATTGCAAAATGCGATGCCAATATGGAGAGCTACCACGTATGCATCCCTGTTTTTCTTAGATACACACACAAGGTATCTAGGTAACACTGTCTGACATCGAAAACGAACAGTGACAAATGGTGAGAAATCGACTTTTATAACCCTAGAATCAGATCTACTTCCCTGGACTGATGCAAAGCGCGCATTGGGTAAGCATTCTTTTTTCATTCAACAAGTAAGCGAAATTCTGACAAAAAAAACACAGTACACTCCATCGTCGAGAATGCCTTTCATCCCCAGCAAGACTCTTCGTTTCGTGGCTACTTGATTGCAGCGCATGCAGCCGTCCAATTCCACGAAGTCAATGGACGCTGGCCCTCGGACTCTGTGCCGGAAGACAAGTTAAATTTTCAGGGTATGGTTCCGTCGAATCAACAAACTGAGCTTGTCAGCCAGTATATCGATGGCTTGTGAGTTATTCTGCGCATCATATGCTTTTCAAGTTTCTGCTGATGATAGACTAATATGAGTAGTCTAAGAGATGGGCTGACATCTGCTCATCAAACGTTTGCAGTTCTCGCACAGTTTGTGGCCCATGATGCTCTCAACTTATTGACTGGGGATGAGCAGCCAGTCAACAACACTAATTTGGATGAAGTTATCAAGATTGCAGTCAAGGGGTTGTAATTGTGCTTCATCATATCAATGGGCTCGGGGAATTCCGTAGCTTACGGAAGTAGTAAATCTGATAACTGTATCATAAATCCTAGGCTTTCCGGTAATCCATCCACCCATCTACTTATCAGTATCTAAAACACATACTGCATCTGCAAGACTTTCAATCATGAGACAAATTGTAACTCGTCGGATTGCTCCCCTCGTGCCCCACAAGTGACCGAATGTTCGGCCGATGTCTCCCTTTACACTGAATATCTCCGAGATTGGAGTAGGGTTAGGGCTATAGGTACAAGTCCTTCGGCATTATAATAAATCGAATCCTCCCTTGCCCTTCGAAAGTAGACAGTTCGGTATTCCAACCCATATCAGAACAAAGCCATACATGTGTCCTTGCTTAAAAGATGAATAACGCGCCACCTCACATCCTTGACAGCCAGGACCCGTGTTCACCACTCGCCATGGACGGCACCAGAACCACCCTACTTCTTCTTGACTTCCATAAATTCATAGTCTCATCACAACCGTCCTCCGGTCAACGTGCGCTTACAAAAGCAGTACATCTACGAACATGGGCACGAGCGCAGGGAATGCTAATAGTGCACTGTATGATCGATCTCAGGGCTGTCACCGCCCCTGAACGCAAAATGGCTACACGCGCAAACGGAATCAAGACCAAGATGAGCATCGCCGACCCAGGGAGTAGAGGTGAACCGGACGAAATTGCTGCTACATCTGATGAATACATTTTCTGGCGTCCACCAAGTCACGTCTCTGCGCTGGGATCGTATGGACTTCAGGAATTCTTGCACCAGCATGGTGTGAAGTCCTTGTTGCTGGCGGGATTTAGCACTTCTGGTTGTGTGATTAATACTGCAAAACAGGCGGCGGATTCGGGTTTTATTACTACGGTCATTTCGGATGCATGCGGTGACAAGTCAGAAGAGGCACATGGGGTTATTATGGAGAGGCTGTTGATTGGGCAATGCCATGTTGTTGAGGAAGAGACGTTCGTCAATGCCTGGGATGGGGACTTTGCAAAGTCTACTGAGAAGATAGTTATTACCAGCTCCTAATTCGAAAAATGTATTGCTCTAATTTAGCCGCATACTATTCTAGACGGAGAAACGTCAATTCTAGCATGAGATTCAAAAACAGCAAAGTACAGTAATTCTTCCATTAGACTACCAAGGTTTTTGAGCAGCAAGGAACTTCTTCCAGAATCTCACTCTACGCTCATTCGCAGCCAATGCTAAAGAACCACACTTATCGCCGAGTCCCATTATCCTCTCAGGGGTAGTAGTAACAAACTCATCCAATCCATCATCATTAGGGTTTGCGGTCTTGATGAAATTGGCCCAGTAAGTCGACATCTTCTCGGCCACCGCATAATCAGCCTCGCCGTATGGATATCCGTCCTGAGCATAAAGATTATTCAGCACGAAAGGGATTTCAGCACCGTGAAATGTGCCGTATCGGGACCCAGGTCCCGTCTTGCTGTATGTGTAGGTAGATCGAGGTACGTCTGCTTCGTAGATCCGCAACTTTTGTCCCTTCTTCTCGGTCTCAGCCTCTTTTTGCTGCGGTGTCTGGCTATCTGGACCAGCAGCACCAATTGCCTGACGCGATGGAGGTGCATCGGGACCTCCCTGGCGTGCAGGTGGTGCATGCGAGTAGAAATAGCCGTATACAGGGCTGTGAGAATGTTGATGGAATTGATCAGCCCACATTGAGACGGTAATACGCGAATGATCGCGGGCAGCTTGATTCCACGCCTCTCTGGCATCGATGCTCTCGGTGATAGGGTACAGCTCTAGAAACTCTTCGACAAAAGAGGCCCCATACTTCTGCTGTGCACAGGCCTTGAAATCATCCGCATCAAACTCCGGGTCAGCATAGGTACCTCCTTCGTCAGCGTTGTGGCCCGTCAAGATTGGAATATCGGCTTGGATACCCCTGTTGAGTGATTCTTCATAGTTGTAGGGAAGAACCCAGCCATCGATACAAGGTCGATAGAATGGTGGAACGCCCCATACATCATCATTCTTGTTATTCCCTTCCAAAAGTATATCAAGCGGTAGTTTTCGCAATTCGGCGATGTTGGATGCGCCTTTCTCTTTCAGCGTGGCCAGCCCTTGTGTTTCGGCTTTCTTCTTGGTACGATATGCCGGTGCCAGTCCACTCAGGAGAGGATCGCGAGAGTAGCGCCATCCAGATTGCGGGATCGCAGCACGGAAAAGGCCGCGCGAGAGAGGCGAGAGGATATGAATACCAGTCGACGCGCCTCCAGCTGACTGACCTCCAATAGTGATTTTGGTTGGGTCGCCTCCAAAAGCTGCTATGTTCTCCTTGACCCATTTCAGCGCAGCCTGCTGATCAAGAATGCCGTAGTTTCCAGACGCGTTATGTCCAGACTCTTCGCTCAGTTCCGGCGTGGCCAGGAAGCCGAGTATGCCCACACGATAGTTGAGAGTTACCACAATGATACCCTTTGACGCAAGCCCTGCGCCATCATATGCCTGTTCAGATCCCGATCCCGCGATAAAACGGCCGCCATAAATCCAAACAAAGACGGGGAGTTTGGAATTCTCATCTGTTGAATCCTGAACAGGAGTCCAAATGTTTAGTGACAAGCAATCCTCGCTCTGCACGGGGAGCACATTCATTGGCCCGAAAGGGATCTGTGGGCATGGAGGACCGAATTTATCTGCCACCAACACGCCTTCCCATGGTGTTCGTGGCTGAGGAGCTTGCCATCTGTTTTCGCCTGCAGTCGAAGCAGCATATGGCAAGCCCTTGAATACTTTGATCCCAGGCTTGAATTCCGAAGCAACGCCCTGCACGAGGCCGTAGGTGGTTTTAACGGGTTGGTTGATCATGTCGCGGAAGATCTTCACAAATTCGGTCGTCAAGGATGCTAGGAGAATATAGGTACAAAGGAGACAAACATTACCCCCGCGTGTCTCAATGTCCGTCTTCTTATATTCTCCTGCTTATCGGCTTCTGTTACCCAGTTTCAACTAGTTGCACGGAGATAAATTTGCTACACCGGAGGAAAGCCGGAGAGGGGCATCGACATGTCTGGAATACGTCCGGCCGAAGTATGGGGAGAAACTAGGGTTATGGGGTCATGTGACTCCACATCGGCCGAAGCTTGTTACAAGGTGTCACGCTAGTATACTCTGTAACTTTATGTTACCTAAACTTTCACGAAAATTCACGAGTGAAAGCAACTACTCTTCTTTCTGAGAGACGTAGTTTGCGTGTGGTGGCCGAATGTGGACGGTCTCTGTGGATTCATCCTCCAATCTTCGGACCCGGCAGCCTCGGCCACCAGAGACCCGAATTCCTTTGGGGAATTGATGAATTTATGAAAGTATTGCAAATGTAGTGGTGATAATGAATTAAAATAGAGCATTTTTTTAATTTGGCTATATTGAGTGTATAGTATCTTGACCTAATATCGCAKCTTCTCATCAAGTCCGTCTGCTTCTGCTTCTGCTTCTGCATCATGTCCTCAAAATCATTATCTACGAATATGCAAAGTGCCAGTGAACACAGCCTTGAAAAAAGGGCATCGACGTCTGCTATTGAGACTGCTCCCACACAAGCCGATGCTCTTAATTCCAAGGTTGAAAGTGATGATGCCAAGCCAGCATCTACCAGCGTTATTGCAGGTCCCAAATTCGAGGTGCCGAACTTGAATAAACTGTTTTTCAAGAAACTTGCGATATCTGCAATCCTAATCACACTTGTCTTTTGGGGTAAGCATCAAGCCCTCTCTCAAAAGCTCGTTTCTTGACTTAGCTAACTGCCTGATAATACAGTGAATCTAACATGGATGTTGGGTAGCTATTACGACGGCTCTCAATATGTGTACAAAGCCAAAATGCTCATAGTGGATTACGACGGTTCTTCAGCTGGCGAGGCGCTCCTCGCTGCAGTCAATGCAGCTAATGGGCCGGGTACGAATCCAACATATGAGATAGCATCATCGGACTCGTACACCGCGGATGAAGTCAAACAGGCTGTTTTTAAGGGGAAATATTGGGGTGCGGCTTATGCTACTGCAAACTCAACGCAGGTGTTTGGCAGCGTTATTGTCGGAACGAACACGTCAGAATATGTTCCCCAAAACGCCTACGTCCTTCTTGGGAATAGTATGATTTTTCCGATTTAGTGTATTACATTTGACTAACGTCGACAAAGGTGCCCGATATACCGCTTTTTATCCATCTGTGGTCTTGGATAACCTTGAAGCAATTGCTGCCGATGCAAAGACACGATTCATTCAGCAGACTTCGCTTCCGCTTATCACAAATGCTTTGTCAAATGGAACAACGCTATCTGAGGCCCAAGTCAGCACCATATTCGACCCAGTTGATTACACATATATCGATACCAGCTATGGGTCATTCACATTCGGAGACCGAATGGTATTCAACACGCTCATGATTGTGGTGGTAGTCCTTTGCCAATTCTTTGTAAGTCGTTATTCTGTCTGCCTACATGTGTCCTCAGATATGAAGATTAACCAAACTCATATTATCAGTTCCTAATGTCATTGAATGGTCTTACCATGGCCTTCGGCCGTTTACATACCATATCTACACTAGACTACTTTAAAGTACGCCTACCAATCTCCACAGCCTGGGCCTGTTTCGCGGGCCTATGTCTGACAGCATGGCAAATGATATTCCGAGAATCCTACCCCATCAATGCACGACTCTTCTTCTCGCTTTGGACTCTGTACTTGGCCTTTTCCATGATAGTGTTTGATGTACTGGACATTTTGACTGCTTTCGTTCCGCAGCAGTACATGTCTTTTTGCATGTTTACGTGGATGATCACCAATGGTAAGTCACAATCAACAACCCACTAGCGCCTCCAATATTAACGATCTGCAGTATCAAGTGCAGGGAGTCCTGTAGAATTATCCAACAACTTCTATCGTATCAGCTACTTCTTCCCAGCTCATTCGATGTGGCTGGCCGAGCAACACATATGGTCTCAGGGAGGTGCCTATCCGCTCTCGTTGAGTTTGCCGATACTAGCTGCCTGGCTAGTTGTGGCTAAGATGGGTACGCTTTTTACTCTGAAGCCACGGCGGAAAGCTGCAGCAGCAGCAAAAGCTGCTGGGGCTGGTGGACGTGGAGGTGGACGTGGGGGTAGAGGAGCTAGAGGAGCTTGAAAATAAGGGGCGTCTCTTGTATGTTGTTTTGTTGCTTTGTTATAGAATGTCGGCCATATAATCGTCTTGTTGTAGCTTTAGAAAATAGAATTTAGCGAATGGGGGTGTCGTAATCAGGGATTGTGATTTTTATTTTGCCTTTGAAGAAAAATTCCTGGGCCAAGCAGTAATGTGATTTTCCCTTCTTGAAACCATAGACTTATATATACATAAACAAACCCCTCTCAATCTACGCTTTACCTTCCTCTATCAAATCAAATCTCGAAAATAAATCACCTCAAAACACCACCCACACCAGCCCAGCCAAGCACAAATCCACTCAATGCCTCTCCCATCACACCACCACCCAACCAAACATCCCTCCACGCACCTTTCCTCTGAACAGGTTTCCCATCAACGCCTCCATGAGCCCGAATTTTCCCAAAGTCATCGATCCCTTCAATCTCACCACCGCTTGCGCCGGGAAAATATGCGCCTGCTCCGCCTATCGCACTGGAAGAAGATGGGCCGAGAAGGAGGATTTGTACGAGGCCGGAGACGAGAAGTGTGCCGGCGAAATAGAATGCGAAGCCAGCCGTGGATTGAAGACCGAGGATACCGGCTGAGATGCCTAGAATGAAGGCTGTGAGGGATCGGAGTTGAGATAGAACCTATTAAATTTTCATGTTTAGCGAGCCGATTTCAATGATAAGGGTAGACTGAGAGACGCACTCGTCTGTTATGTTGGACGGATTCGGGGACGAGTGGATGAATGAGGAGGGACAGCTCCTGTCTTGTGGGCGGCATTTTTGCTTATTCTTTGTGTATTGAATCAAGTCGAGATGTAAATTGATTCACTCCAATGAATGGTATATGTTTGTTGCACAATCCGTGGTTCGTGATAAACAAGCTGTTATTGAAGTTTCGTTGTTGGAGGACGCTGTCATCGAGTTCGAGGTTGAGGTTGATGGTAACTTATTTGCCAAGACCAGTATTGGTTTCCGATAATTACCCGTCTCATTACCGTACGGACACACGATCAATACGGCCGATCTGATCAACTACATCTCAAATCATCACTACTCAATAATAACATCATATACCACCTATTCTTTTCAACACATCAAATCAAATCCTACATGAAAACATCGAATCGAATTGGTCATTCCACGTCACATCTCATCTCATCTCATCACATCACATAATTTGGTCCAAATACAGGCAGCTCAGGTAGATACAAGTTGATTTTTGGTGCAGAAGACGAGCCTGACGAGGAAACCTTGAACGTAGCTCACCCTCAGTATTATTATGTATGCATGATTAAGCCTAAATCATGCGAAAACTCTCCCAGGAGAAATATCAATTCTTTCTGATCAACATTCATGAATTGCAAACCATAAATGTACGTTGCAAGCTTACGCAGAGGTTTCGAGCTTGCCATCGGCTCTGGCTTCCTTGACTTGTTCAAAAACCTACCATACTTATTAGCCTTCGTTCTTTGTCCCAAAATGGAAGAAAATACTCACCTTCAACATCTTGTTTCGAGCACCGAGAGCATTGACACCACGGTCTTCCAGCCCCTTGTCATCCAACTCAATCAGATCCGTCCACTTCAGATCTTTCAGGTTGTCCGTGTACTTGTGCAGACGGAGAGAGCGCAACCAAGCTGGGATATCCTTGAGCAGGTTGGGGTCAGTAGGATCTTCAGGTGGCTTTGAGCTTCCACGGCGGCCCCGAGGCGATCGTCCACGTTGTACCTCGGAGTGGTCAGAAAGATAGCCTTCAGACCCCATACTGTACTGCCCGAGTCCCAGAGAGTTCAAGTTATTTCCTAGTAAAGCATTGTTGGGATCATAAGCCGCTAAGAATCCGTTGTTCTGAGGGGATGTGAAGCCGATTTGGCCAAGAGGACCTTGCAATGCAATACCAGGAGAACTTGGGCGAGATCTACGACCAGCCAAGGCAGCTTGCTGCTGAGCTTGAAGGGCAGCTATTTGCTGCGCATTGAGAACCTGACCGGCATCATTGACCATGACCAAGTTCGCCCCAGGTATGCTAGGACCCAAACCTGGAGAAAGATGGCCGGCGTTGGAATTCTTTCCGTGGCCGTCGTTTGACCGCGCACGACGATATTTACGAGCATCGTCTAAAGCAATGCGATTGTTCACCGTTGACAAGGCTGCAAGTTTCATCGCGGTAGCGTTTGCAACCATGTCGGCTTGGGTAGCGCCGGCCTGCTGGGTATTGAATGTCGGTGCCATGGGAGTATTGGTCATCGAAGCCCAGCTGGAGTTTCCAATATTGTATGGCGACAACAGAGGCGGGTCGTGAGAGATCTCTGGAGCAGTAATGGTTTGATTCTGCACATTTCCGATATGAGGAGAGCGGAGACCTCCCGCATTCGGTTGGTTGAATTGACCCATTGGTTGTTGCTGCAGTTGTCCGGACGAGGATTTGGGACGAGCAATTGGAGGCTGTAACTCCGATGCTCGCTGAGCCCATGGAGAAGATGGCGGTTTGTTGTTGTCAGGAGCGGAGATAGTCGGTGCCACCAGGGATGAACGATCTCCGCCAAAGACGGCGCTGTTTCGGTTCGAAGCAGGAGCATTACCAGTCTGCTGAGTAAATTCAGCCTTTTTCTTAGCGATTGCTGCTGCAGCGTCGGGGAACATTGCGTTGATGGTAGAGGAATCGAGACCGGAATTTCGTTTCGCACCGGGCGAGGGGGGAGGGCGTCCCAAAGAATTACGGGAGCCGTCGGCGATGTTCAGTTTGGACATTGCATCACTCAAGCGGTTGGACATGGGATCTGGAAACTGTCAGTCACAAAATAATTGAATTTGGAAACAATTGCCGACTGACCCTTCTCTCCAAAGTTTGCCGGAGAAAGCACTCCAGACATTGGGTGGCTCTTTGCCATTTGTTGCAGAACTTGGATGAAAAACCGAATCTGCACCTGAGTGGTCTGTTGCAGCAAAGCATACAAAGCTGCAGTCCTTTCGGCCTCGCTCAAGACGCGGAACCACTGCTCGATAGCACTCAGTTCGTCTTTGAAGTCCTGATCAATGGTTGCGGCGGCCATTTCTTCCAACGTTGTCTCAAATTGATCAATATCGGCAATCCATTGCTGAGCGGCCTGATCCAAGGCATCATCCGCATTACCCTGACCTTGTGACTGCTGATTGAAGAACACCTCGGAGGAGGGACGGATGTTGCGCGTCGAGAGCGGGCTTGGGAAGCCAGACATATCTGCAGATGCCCGTAACTGATGAGAGCCGCCGAGATTACGAGCAGATGATGGAGGTCGCAGAGTTGCTTTGGACGCCTCTGGGGTGCTGTTTCTATTTCCGATAATGTGACTGGCCATTTTGGGATTGTGTACGTTGTCAAATTGTTGTAGATCTGTCGATTCTTGGAGGATTTCTTAGTTTTCGGGTCACGCAGTCGTCGGGATCAATCGATCGCCAGTAATCCGGGCAATAGCGCCTGAAATTTCTTTGCAGGAATTAGGGTTAGGTGCAGACCAGTCCAGTGGCTGCACGGAACGTATTAAATATTTGCACGAGATTAAGTCGAGCACTGGATGTTCGAAATTCGATAAAGCGAGGCAGAGACCAGGTCAGGTCAAGCGAGACAACGAGAGGCACCGGGTGCTGGCAGCGTGTGTCAAACACAACAAAATGCCAGTCCTCGGCGGAGATAAGGAGAAACACGAAAAGAAAAATAAACAAGCAGAAAAGAAGGAAGGATAATAAAGAAGTTGAGAGGATGACGAGCGTTGGGGGGGGAGAAGAGAAGAGAGGAGGAGGTAGAGGAGGAGAAGCGATGTGGAGAGGAGGAATAAAGAATAAGTTGCAGGGGGAAGGTGAGTGAGTGGTGGGTAAGAGAGGGCGAGAGTGCCGACGGAGGGAAATCGGGCGGGCTGAGTTTCGACTGATAAACCTGTCAACTTTCAACACTAGACGGAGCCACCCTCTTAAGGCAGCACCTATGCTTTTGCCAGTCGAAGGCCTGGATTCTTGACTTAGTCGTACTACTAGTAGTACCTACTCTCTAGAGAAAAGTCCTGAGACTGGAGACTGTGTCGATGTTTTCTTTGACAGTCGTGCCCAAATAAGGCAGGTTATCAACAGCGGGATTTGGCTAGTTGCTGCTCAAGAAAGAACTGCCATTATTCATTTTCATATCAACCACTGGTACACGAATTGCGCCTAGACAAAGTCATTCTTAGCCCTTAATCCTTCCATAGCGACTGTCCAGGCATTTAATGCTCTAGTCTAGGCCTCGCTGAACAGAGTCAACGCGACTTTTCGATGTGGATACCATGTTCTCGGCTGTGATTGGCTACCGCCGGACAGGTCTTCAAGCTTCCTTCCTTTTTGCGCTCATGCCAACTCCCTTCCAAATTATGCGCCACTTGATTCACTCGACTTCAAATGTCATCAAACCTCGCCCATCTGTATCTTACGCAGCCCCGGATGGTCAAGTGGGTCAGACCGTGCGCTACTTGAGCGATGGACGGCTATGAAAACTCTCACGGTCGCGTTGGCGACTACCCAGGCTCTTCATACCAGGAAGYCCAGCCGCCAATAGACCCCGCCATCGATCCTCGACTTTTCGACTCTAGCTATCTTGCCCTAGAGCCCGGCTCAGAGGACGTGGGCTTTGAAGACTCTGGCCAATATGCTCCCCTTGACACGACGTCCATGTCCATTGGCCAGCGGAGACTCCTTCAAGAGCAGGTCGATCTAAGCGATTCCAACGACGAGTCTGATGATGTTGATGATTACGATGACGATGAAGATCACGACCGGCTCTGGGACGAAGGGAAGGAAGTGTAAGAATATGATAGATCCAAGTGTCTTATGCATACGTGGTCGGCTCTAATTCGCTATAGATATGATGAATACTCTGCTATGAGAGCAGCTCCTGAAGACCCGGATTACCAGGCTTCTACTGATCCTGAAAGTGAAGAGGATGATAGCAACGACGCCAACGACGCTTCGCCCCGTCCGCGGAAACGGCGTCGCAGGGGCCATGGCCCATTCAGTGGTCGTTATGGCGCCCGAGGAGGAAAAGGCATCAAGCGAGGGCCAAGGCGGCCGCTTGAACCCAGTCCGGAGTTCAAAATGCTCCATTCACAGGCTACTGAAGCATTCATCGACGGAGACTATGAACGCGCAACTGAACTGGTGCAGCAAGCCATTCTTGTCAATCCTGAGATGTTCGCTGCTCATTCTCTCCTATCTGAGATCTTCCTCGCTCGAGGAGATAAAGATAAAGCAGTCACGGCTCTTTTCAGCGGTGCTCACACCCGTCCACGTGATCCTACCGTATGGCACAAAGTCGCAAGACTGATCCAAGAACGAGCTGGAGAGGACCGACAAAAGACCCTGAATGATATGATTTACTGCTATAGTCGTATCATCGAGATCGACGGAAAAGCGTATAATGCTCGATTTCAAAGAGCTACCGCGTACCGTGAATTAGGATACAATGGCAGAGCAGCAAGCGAATATGAACGCATTCTCAAAGAGCTTCCTCACAATATCCGAGCTCTCCGACATCTGGCCGAAACTTACATTGATATGCAAGACGTTCAAAAAGCACTTGATTACTATCTGGTTAGCATTGATTATTACATGACCCTTGACAACGATGAAAATATGGAATTCTCCTGGTCAGATGTGAACATATGCGCAGAGTTGTATGCATATGTCGGGGATCCCAGGAAAGGATTGCAACTTCTATCGTCAGTCTCAAGGTGGCTCCTCGGCCGAAAGGATGATACCATGTGGGATGCTTATATCGATGATGATCGAGAATGGGATGCTGCTGATTCACCTCGTCGTATCAAGACCGATGGTTTTATACCCGACACTTATCCCTTAGACTCATATGGGTTGGGACTGCCAATGGAACTGCGCATCAAACTAGGCACATTTCGCCTGAAATTGGGCGATCGATATTTTGAAGAGGCATTGGTAAGTTTCGTATTTGACGACCGTGATGAAGAGCTCTGTCAAATTAACAACTTATTACAGGCACATTTTGAGTGGCTTAGCCCGGAAGATGATTCAGAGACTTCCACAGTCTTTGACTACGCAGACCTTTATAGGGAGGCTGCAGATGCGTTGAAAGATGCAGGCTTATTTCCGGAGGCACTTCGCTTTTATCGACCATTACAGCTCACCGAGGATTATGCCGATGTCAGCTTCTTCCTGGCCATGGGTGAATGTGCATTTGCCTGCTCAGACCTCAGCCTGGCCGAATCTTGCTATCTCACAGTAGCGGAGAACGACCATACAAACCTACAGTCTCGAGTCAATCTAGCCAAACTCTATGAGACGATGGGCGAGAGAGACCAAGCCCTCTTTTACGTAAATCAGGCGGTCTTATTAGGTCGCGAAGCCAGGGGTCGCAATCGAAGGAGTCGTAGGGATCGTCGGATAGCGCAACTCGCTAAAGAATTTCAGGGTGATACTCACATCTCAACGCGCATCGTGCCTAGGCATTTGGCGAATGAGGTAGCTCGGCACGAAACCTTGCAGGACAGTGATGCAAACCGGCCGCAGCAGGTGCAGTATCTGTATTCAAAGATGAATGATCTACGCCCGAACATGCGGGCCGGCGATTCTGCTGCGACAGAGGACTGGCTTGACATTGCGGATGCACTGTTATATGATTTTCGGAGTAACCGCGCATTTTATCCTTTGCAGAAGCATATGATATTCCTTGGGTATTCTCGGGAAGAGCAAAAAGGCGGGAAAAAGAAAGGAACGGTCATGGATGAAGTGCAGGAGGTGGCTGACCGATTACAAGAATGGCTTGGTAGGACTTCAGAATACGTTCTAAGCTATGGACAGCGGACTAACGGGTTTCCATAGGTCAAACCAACCCAGAAATAACTCCGACAAGTATTCCAAACGATTATTACGGAATATCATTCGACGAATGGTTTGAGATGTTCCTCGAGTACGCCTTTGTTGTTTCCGGACAAGGCGACAAGGACGAAGCATATGATATTCTAGGCGCCGCTGTAGATGCCAGTGTATGGTATCATTACAAAGATAAAGTACGGCAAATTCACATTTGCTGGTTTAGTGAGTCAATTCGTGATAGTATTGTTCATTGAGCTTTGGCTAATGCCTGTGATAGCGTGCGCTCTTCGTGCATACGATGAGGAAACACTAGTCAGCGAAGCGCGATGGTTTACCAAAGAGTATCAATTCGTGACAGATACCTACCGACTATTCTCCATTTTGAGCCGACTGTGCGGTGATCCTAACAGATCCCTCTTTCATGCATCGCCAAGCATGAAGTTTATGCTCCGACAAGTCAAAGCCATGGACTCCACTTTGCCCGGAGACCATCATTTGACKAGGGCATCAACCTCGAAATCACTTACTACCAGACAGTCCACGGCAAAGGCAACGCGAGGCTCGAAAAATCCTCCAAGTCATGTGTCTTTGACTAACCGTCAAGACAACGGCGATCTCACAACAGCAGACAACATGGATGTTGCTCTTCTAGTTTTGTATGGCCATATCCTTTACTCAGGGAATAGTTTCTACCCGGCTCTGAACTACTACTATCGAGCATATGCACTCGACCCCGAAAACCCAGGGATTTTGCTACCCATCGCGCTATGTTATATACATCATGCTCTTAAACGACAGGCGGAGAATCGGCACTACCTCATTCTGCAAGGGCTATCATTCATGTCTTTGTATCGAAAAGTGCGTTGTCAAGGGAAGATCGATCAAGAGGCCGCCACCGACGGCAACGAGGAAGCACATATTGAGGACTCGTCGCTCAGTCAATGTCAAGAAGTAGAGTTCAACTATGGGCGTGTTTATCATTCCCTAGGATTGTTACACCAAGCTATACCCTGTTACGAGCGTGTATTGGAGTTAGGTGAGAGAATCCAAACTGCTCAAAAAAACAGAAACGCTGGCACCAAAAAAGATACAGGAAAGGCTCCAGATAGCGAAAAGGATAATACACAACACATTCTCGCCGAAGACTTCACGCCCGAAGCAGCTGTTGCTTTGCAGAATATCTATGCGATCAATGGGAACGTAGCAGGAGCTCGAGAGATAACTCAGAAATATCTTGTCATTTGAATTAAAATTCATGTTGGAGTAAACTTGGATTGGTTGGTTTTGATACCCCTGATGTACCTTAAGAAAAATGCAAGATGATGATATATTCAATGTCGTCCAATGCAATCTGAATACCCTCTTCAGTCTATATATACACATACATCATATCATACCAGGTCACTCAATCCCTACTCTTCGGCATCTTTGGCAAAAGCAACCAAAACCCCAACACAACAACCAACAACGCCAAAACAAAAGGCTGCAAAACCTGCACACCCTTCGACTGCGCAATCGCACCTACCGCGAAGGGGAAAATAGCTGCACCCGCGCCACCAAGGGCAGCGGCAAAACCAATCGCTATGACGTGGAGATGCTTCGGTAGGAGCTTTGTGGCTGCAACCACGGCGGCGGGGAAGAGGGGGCCTAAGAAAAAGCCTTCGATGGCGATTGCGACGGCCGAGACGTAGAATTGTGGGATGAGCCAGAAGATGAGTTCAAAGGCCATTGCGAGGGCTAGGTAGACCTACAAATACATTCATCAGTCGTTGAACTTAGGGCTGGGGCGAAAAGGGAGATGGATGGACATACGATAATAGCAATCTTCTCTCCAATCCTCGGCGTCACAAACCCCAACACCACTCTCCCCACGGTAATACCAATCCAGAACCCCGTCGCAGTCATACCACTCGCAAAAGCGCCTCCGTGACGCACGCGTATCATGAATGTCACAATCCATCCGCCTAGGGCGACTTCGGTACCAACATAGCCTAGCAAAAATGCCGCACAGAGCCATGTGACTCGCCCACCCGCCTTAGAGAATAGAGCCTGTTTTAGGCGGTTGTCTTTCTGTTGGTCAGGGCTGTTATTGGCGTACGCGGTGCGTTTGCGGAAGTCATGTTTGTCCGCTTTCCAGAAGGCGAAGAGTGTTAAGCCAAGCTCGAGTACGGCACCCCCGATCTATCTCCATTAATTACAAAACCCAAAAATGGAATTCTGCGGAGGGACAAACCATCAAGTAGTAGAATGTAAACCACGGCCACTCAGCCTTCGTAACCAACGAAGTCGCAATCAACGGACTCAGCACCGCGCCCAGACCATAAAGCCCATGCAACAATCCTAACAATTCATTCGCATTCGCGAGATTCGCAACCCAGGCATTCCACGCTGAATCTGCGAATCCATTGCCCAGGCCGGCGAACATGAATGAGATGATCAGCACTGGGTAGGGCGGGTGCACTGAGTTTACGACATATGCGAGTAAATGCGCGGAAGAGCTGAGCGCTGCCACGCCGCGTTGACCAAAGTACATGTGAACGGAATTGTTGAAGATGGCGGCGCCCGCGTAGCCGACGACGGGGGCGAGGAAGACGAGGGATATGATTGTGTAGCTGAGATTGTAGTATGTTTCCAACTGACAGTCTCCGTCATTACACAATTCTCAAAAGGACAACTGACTTGGTTGACTCACATAAGGGATCAAGGCCTTTACAAATGTTAGCTAGAACTACCAATATACATATGTATGTCGGGTGTCTTGAAAGATTGGGCTCACTCCATAAGCAGCATCGTTCGCACCCATGATCACAAAGGCCCAAAACGTAGCAAACAACCGTCTTATATTGATCGATGGCTCATTCCATTTCTCGATCGCATGCGCAACCACAGCCGGTGATTGGTGTTGTGACTCTGCTGATAATGTTTCGAGATCCGGTTCTCGTTCCATGTGCACATCTTGGGTTGTGGTGGCATTAGATGTTCCATTCAGTCTCTGCTCTTTGGAGCTGGTGGGAAAGTTTCTGGCCTGCGGCTCTAACTCGATCGCGCCGGTCACAGACCCTCTAGCATGACCGTCTTTCATATTCACTCGATATTTATGATTTACAGCTGTTAGATACATGCGGGTGGCTTTTTTCGAGATGAATTGACTGCATTGGCTGCAGCTCAATGAAACCGGCTTCCCAGGTTGCTTCAGATGACATTTATATAGAAATCTCGCTTGAATTCTCGGCGTTAGTCATCGACAGGAAACTAAAATGGTTCTGAGCTGTCCTCTTGGCGCCATCTACTAGATTGACACGGTTTACGTTCTAGATTGCAAAGCCAGCGAAAAGTTCAGCCGAAGATCAGCCGGGAAGGTGGGGAGGATCGTTATCGATAACGAACAGGTCATTCATACTTCGTAAGTTCATCAATCATAACATACACTATAAGCAAATGAGGTATCTGAACAAATGAAAAGTCAAGTCTGTAAGCGAAGGATTCTGGCCTGCCAGAAATAAAACATAAATTTCTTCCGATACTCCGCGATAATGCTGAAAACAGTCAATCTTGTGATGATTCTCACCGACTCTTCGAAACGCTCGATAATGCTTCTGTTTCACTTCGCCCATACTTAGAGCCTCATTCGGCGAGTTGATTTTGATTTGGTCGACTTTTTGCTCTTGGTAGCAATATGTTTGGTTTTCTTTAATTTTTGCTCTCTCCACCATTTGACAATAACGCGCTTTGCCCATAGCAGACGGTCACGCGCGCAAGCAACAACTGCACACTGCTCGGCAATCTCTTTGGCGAGCACACGACGCCTTGTATCTTTCTCGGCTGTCATACGCCGCCATGCTTTCTGGATGACACTAGCCGCACGAATACGTTTCGTTGACGACAGGAGCCGAGAACATAGGAACGTCAGAGCCCCTAGCACGAAATCTCGATCAAATATGCGAGATGCGGAAGTCGATCCGGCCACAAGAGATGCTGTCAGAAATTAGAATTGAGAGTCGAACTAGAGGCCTCCTTTCGACTTACCAAACTGAGAACTACAGCCCAGGGCTTGCAGGCGTGATTGCAATCCTTGCTGGGCTCCAGGCTGTTTTTTTGAAGACTCCGTTCCTTTCAGAAAATAGACTTCATACTCATCCACAATGCTTTCAAATATTTTGCCATCCGCAAAGCTAGTCGTGAGGTTGCCAAGCTGCAATCCTTTCAGCCGCGCGAGACTCGAAGCCCATTCGATAAGCAAGTCCTCATGTGATACAAGCTCAAGGTCGTACATTTTGATCACATTGCAGCTTTGATGGTCTTGGCCAAGAACAAGCTTCTTTTGCAGACGCACAATTTCACTCCTCACATCGTTCCAGTCTAGCATACCTCCCAAGCCCCATTTTCCAACCAATACCCACAGCAAGGCCATTGTCTTCTCGCGGTATCCGTCGACTATATGCTCCGCGTTGATGTCTTTCACCATCGCGTCGGTGCCAACAACCCCCTTAAGAGCGTCAAGCGCTATTTGAACGTTGAAAACCTTTGCCGCTCTGCTGATACAGGGAACCTTTAGAGTCTGAGAGAGTGGCCACTCTGTGGTTCCATTCCCTAACAATAATGTTTCATCTATGATCGTAGTGTCTGAGCTCTTTCTTCCTCTATGAGAAGGTGAGGACATTTGATATGACAGAATCTCGACGAGCCTCGTCAAAAGAATTCCATCACGCAAATCCACAGCTAGATTCTGGATGTGAAAGTCGTAATCCTGCAATTGATGTTGTTTGTAGAGTAAATTGCAGTTCAAATGATTGACTTGTCGATTGATATCTCCCATTGAAGGGAGCAACAAGTTAGCCAGTGCCTGCAATGCCGCCGATGAAGATTTGTGCGTAGAGGAGTCGATGAACAACCTCCGCGGTAATGAGTTTCCTGGTTTCATTCGGGCCCTGTCTAGAAGGATTATCATCATAATGCTCCGGAGAATGGTACGTTGGTAAGGACCTCCGACGTCATCCTCTCGAGTATCTCCATGCTCCTCCTTGTCCATATTTCGGATAAGGAATATATCCAAGAATGCCTCTATTGCGCGTTTCAATGCTTTTTGCTGCTTCAGTGATGGGGCTTGTGGTCCACTACTTATTCGGACTGACTGATGAGTTAGTTGCCGTCCGACTACAATTTCTGCTGCCGCCTTCAAAGCGTCCAAGTCGTAAGTCTCGGACCAGAAATCTAAGAATGACCTTTTCATGCCCAGATCATGGGGAAGACGACTGCCCCGGTCTAATATGTCCTTGGACGGCGCCAAAGAACCATAAAGTATCGAAGCTTGGAGACGCCTATAAAGTAAAAGGAACGCGTCGCTTTGATAGATGTGAAGAAGCTCATGTCGAAGTGATTCCGGGTCCTGTGGGTGCAGCTTTCCCCCAACAGAGTCGAATAGGCCATTTACGAGTTGGGTTATGATGACTTCTTGATGCGAAAGCCAGTCGTCTTCGTACATCGCTGGATTTAAGATGTCGTTATTGAGAACAGGATATTGTTGATCAATGTTCATAGGGTGAATCTGGGGCAGACCAAGCTGGGGAGGTCGAATTGAACGAGTTTCTGTCACCAGCGATTCCTTCGAGAGCCGTGATTCAAGGACGGAACGATTTTTGATACTGGTACGTCCGATGTCGGATTTTTTAGACGAAGAAGAGACAGCGACCTTTGATTTGGTCTCTACTAACAGAACCGCTGACGATTTTTGGCCCATAGGCTTGAGAACTGGCTCTTTGCGTTTTGACTGAGCAGTATTCGCTTTGATGTTCTGCAAAGCTTTCGATTTCATCTTCAAAGGTTCCCTTAATTTTGCATCTGATCGGGAAATCAATTCTTTAACTTGAAGTTCCTTGCTCTTGTCCTTGAAGCAACCCGGCGGAATGTTCTCCTTTCCTCCGTTCTTTCCCATGACATCCCTGACTGTTGTACTTTGTTGAGTAACTTTTCTGCTGGATTGCAGCGGTGTCCGTCCAGGCTTTTCCATTGTAGACTTTCGCGATTGTTTCTTCGCCGCAATACGTGCCTCCAAGCTGTACAGAGGTACTGTCTCATCTATCGAACTCGATCCGATGATGTTTGCGTCCGCCGATTTGACTGGGCTGAACAGACTCATAAAAACAGTTGGCACAGTCGTGTCTTCCGTCGGAATGTACACCGTACGGCGTCGAACGTCCTTCTTCAAGCTATCGCTTGCGGAGGACTTGTAATTCCGGAGTGCCATATTATCTGGTTGTAGGTTCTCTTCCAAAACATCCGGCTTCGTGCTTGTATCAATCACTCGTTTAGCTTGCAGAGAAGCATTATTTTGTACTTCTGACGAACTAATGCGCGGTCGCTGGAAACGTTGGGCCGGTTGAGCGAGATTCGATGAACTTCTATCCTGTGGCTTCCGTTTCAGCCCAGTTTGCCTTGTTGATATCGTGGTACCGCTAGTCGTGTTCGATTTGCCGTCTTCTTGAATCGAGAAAGATGTCGTTTTTGGAAGTCGTCGCGGCTTCGCTTTGGCCAGTGATGTGGTTCGCGGTTGTGGTGGAAAGTTGATAGCAGCAGTATATTCGAGGGTATCGAGTGTATCATCTTCCCACACGTTTGTCAGGCTGCCATACAGGCCATGGCGAGAGCTGGACTTGGATCCTGGGCAGGGGCTCTCCAGAAAGTCATTCATTGTCGCTGTGTTGTGGTGTCCATCCGGCTACTTGGTCGGATGCAGTATATTGACAGTTGTCGATTTGTACAGTAGAGTTTGGAGATGTAATAACAGTTGGCGGATGATATATTTGCAGACGTATTTGATCGCTCTTTCATACAGATACAGAATAAAGCACTCCAACGAGGTGTAAAGAGTCATTGTACGGGCATCGATCCGTGAGGAATGCTTGTTTGGGACTCGCACCAATCGGGACGATGTTTACGTGGTTGCCCACGCAACATGGCCCAGCACGATCTTCCGGCAGGAGCTCCCCGCGCGCCTTCCCTTTCGCGTCTACTACGTAGTAAACTTGACAGCACCCTCTTTCTTACATAGTATATCCTTAAGCCTCTTCCTCATTCTCACCTTTATTTGATGCATTTCGTCGTTTTGCACGGTGGACGGTTTGAGCTAAAAATACCCCTCTAGAGAAATGTTGGATCTATGTCGCAATGACGAAACAAATAGCCGCCGCCCTGTCAATTCAGGAGCCCCCTGCGTAAAGTCCAATCGGACAAAATTACAGCAGAATCGTATTCAATAAAAGTATCGCTACTGGCTCGCAGGKTTGAATCAGTCCACGCAAGGGTCATGACTAATTGAGCATGGCATATTAGACGATCGCAAATCGGAGGCAAGGCATGACTGGACTATGCTTGGTAGATCCTCCGAGAATACTCGGAATAGTGTGCGACAGAGACAGCACATGTAAAAGATGGGGAACGGTGAGTTACTGGCAAGAACATCAGATACGGAATTGATGGTGGCATATTTGCCACAAATACAAACAATACACGCTCAATACACAAATTCGCAGGAAAGAGGCTCACGAGATCTGCGCACGTGGCCAAATTTTGTACCATACTGTATGTACCAACAGTACCATAAAGTCGACGAAATGGCCTCTCGCATGATGTAATTGCCCTTGCGCCTCAAGCACAACTTCATTTCGAGTACTTGGAGCCACTGACCACATTGCTTCTTCTCGAATCTCCTACATATACGTACAACATAGTCTTTCATCGAGCCTCTGTGGTTTCAAATCCTATTCTTTCGCCGAAACGACTGGCCGCGCCGTTGCGACTAACAGGATCCAATTAGGCCTATTCCAGCTAGATCGTCGCCGGCTCCAGATCTCCCCTTAAACTAATCATTGAAGGTTACATACACCCCGGCATTGCCACTACTGCTGCGTGTTCTATTTGAGGATTCGGTGCATATTCAGAAGATATAGGCTGGAGAACACTTGATAAATCTATTGTCTTTTTCTTTTTGTTTTCTTTCTTGCATTCTTTGTTCCCGAATACACGTCAGCAAATTCGCCGAGGCTTCTCAAGTACGTGCTTGTCTGCGGATGGTATCGACAACGTCGGATCCGCCAACGTCCACGGACCATGGAATCCTTGGTCTATGAGGATTCGCCGTTGGCAGATTATCTCGAAGGTAATGCACCAATTGTAACCTCGGATTTCCAACAACTATTAACACCGTCTGATGTTAAAAGGTGAAGGCGAACGTGACCAAGATTGGGCGCCGCTGCAGATCGAGACGAACGGAGACGCACATTCCCAGAACTTCGCACCGAAAGGGTTACCAACGGTACAAACACGCGTTCGGGACGCATCCGTCGCAGCGAGCGACAGGAACTCCTCACAAGAGCAAGGAACCGGAGTGTTTGGCCGGATACATCACACATGCTCTGTATGTTATACTACCAATATTAGAAGGTATTTAGATCACAGCGCTGATTTTAGTAGTCGGCAGTCAGTTCGCGAATCGGAAAGCGTGATAATGAGAGGTTCCTGGAACAATTCGGCTACGTAATAGTCGCATCGCATTTGCTGGACGAATATAATGCTGCATCACATACGACTGCAGCAAAAGATGCTCAACCGAATTTACCTGGCCATGACGCGATATCATTCTCTACCACCGTCGGACTTACCGGAGCTGTCGTCACTGCAGTAACATCATTCTCAATAGTTGGATTAATACACTGGAGCCGGTCACGAACAAGTGCAGGTTTCAATCCACGGAGATTAGTGATACTTCTCGTCGTGTTACCCCTGGTTGGGGCAGTCTTCTATGCCTTTGCCAGGCGGCAGTGGCTGAGGTTTGTGCGACAACAAGCGGTTCAGGGGGCTTCTAACTTTATCAATGGAGCTCAAAGATTCGACTCACTAATTTCCTCGTCGGTGCTATTCATACAAGAGGTAGAACTTGTATCGCGTGGATATAGAATGTAGGATTCTTTCTTTGATTTAGAAAGTGCAATCCGTCTGACATATTCTTGCAGAAGCACGCCTTTACCGCCAGTCAGTCGTTTAGAGGAAACGACACACGTCCGTCGGTGCTTGCGATTACGCCGCGCTGTCTCCGAGGGTCTATCTCTTGTTCTTGATCGGTATATACAAGCACAACATACCATCGGACTCCTCACGGATTCATCTCACCTCGAGAAATACTATGACATCTACGAAATATCCATGGCGGAGCTTGCTGAGGCTCGTTCCACATCTTCCGAAACCATAGGTGAAGACCAGTACTCGCTCAAGTGGCTCCGAATAATGTTCAGCCGATTGTACACTATGAGGCAAAGCATACTTTGCTGTCTTTTGGCGCTGAAGGCAGATGGAAGCGGTAGTGACATTCCTCCGTGGACTTGTGCGGTCGAAGAAATGCGGGAACTCGCCACAGTAACCCACGAAGCCGCAAACAAGATTGCAAATATTTTGAACGAAAAAGACAGTGAGTTTCGTCTTTTTATGTTTACAACATGGTGTAAGAGTCTAACTTGATGCAGAACCCGTCCCACCTCTCTCACCTATACCCTCTGCATCCACAGGTCGTGATACCCTTCGAGCTCAAGCAAGACGATTGAACTCTCTTTCACAAGGTATTCGAGCTCTTCACGCCAAAATGCACTTGATGCGGGAAGAATCAGACGAAAGCTTGACGCAGGACGCAAGCGAGCAGGACGTTGGAGCGTCCTTAATGGCACAATACGAATCTATCGGTGCCGACATTCGAGGTCTTCTACAAGAATGGGAAGCAGGCAAAATGGCCCTGATCAGTTCCTTGGAACATCCAAACGGACTTCCCTCATCATCGTCTTATGACCGATTCTCACGGTCATCATCTAATGATTTGAAACTGCCGCTATCACCAACTAGCAGCCTCGGCGGCGTTACAGCAGTAGACGGAAGTCCCACTGCAGCACTCATGGCTCTTAACGGTGAAATAGCAGAGAACGTCGCCGACGCCGAGGCAGAAGAGATCTTTGAAGCAATCGTCATGCCATCATCCCGGAAACGGCAGTCTCTAACCAGAGAAGAGCGGATAGCCCGCGTCAAGGAAGATAGAGCGCGACAAGTCGCTGCGAGAGAGAGAGCAGACGCCAGCACGAATATGCTCCGAGAACTTGAGACGGTCATCAAACATCGCCCGACGCTGAAAAACAAGCCGCAGCGAATAACCAGCATCTAACCACCCTATCGACATCGATACTACTTTTTTCTTGTGTTTTATTTTCAGCCGGCGCACGGTGTACTACTAATTATACATCTACTTTCTCATTGTACCTGTTTGCCCTTCAGTTGTAAATAATCTGTTTTATGGTTGGCGTTCGGATGTACCATCAGGGAGCGATGTATTTGCATTCTTTCTCTTTGATTTGTTCATGTATGCATAGTACACAATCATTATACATAAAGTAATTTTATTGATCAGATCAAGTGCACTATACCTTGTGGAAATTCTGTATGTTCTCCAGAACACCTTCCGGCTCTAGGTCACATGCATCCATATTCATGACTGAACCAACTGATATGGTCAGCTGAACTTGAACTGTTTCTAGACTCGAATCTCCATTACGCAGAGTAGTATCACCTCTCGAAACTAAACTCATGGAGAATACCTAAGGGGCAAGTATATCTGCAAAGCAATCACCTTCACCGTCCAAGAGGATCCAGAAATGTGTTCATGTGCTACTGTGAGCACTGCAGAATGCCGACAGCATTGGCCAAATCGTCAGTTAATCTTATTGGACATACGCCCAGTTCTCAAGAATCGAACATTAACTAATGAACATGACTAAGCCCCAGACTAGTAAAGCATTACATCCCAATCTTAATCAATTTCACGGGTTGTTTTGCATAGCAATTAATGTCAGTACATCATTCATCTCCGGATGGCTCAGTAAACTCCGAGAGACAACAAGCCAATACCGCGTGATAGATAGCTAACGATGAAAGCTAATCTGATACATAATAACAGGCACTCGACTACAGTAGAATGTGCCTATGATGATATTGCTGTAATCCCAACCTAAGCCACATCATCGCGAACGCAGTCTGAACGCTTTCGTGGCCATACCATCTCTTCTCCAGTAAGTGATTCAATTTCAGACTTCACTGCATCGAACGGCACAAAGTATGATAGGTCTTCATCCCCCGACCCCCCAAAGAGTAGACCAACAATGAATGGCTGCGTAGATTGGTATCGAGTTTTGAGCGGTGCCTGTGGAGATGGCATTGGACTCGGTTGTCATAGTCGTAATATTCCCAGTCTGCAGTAGCAATCACAAATGAACCAGAATTCCCTTGACGACTGAAAGTTGTCCGTGTACTATAGGATGCAGGATTGGAAACAACCCACGCATAGTGCATTTTCTTGTTTTCGACGCCATTTTCCGTGAAAGGGAAAGTCACAACTTTGAAGTCGTGTACAATGCCAAAGGTATAGTCGCCTGTCCTGGATAACTTTCCGACAACTTTGATGTGGTGTTTACCGTCACCATCAAATACCCCAAGTGAATCCGTCTCCCAAGTGTCACATACTGCATAGGGTTGTATTGACAGGGATCACTCTACCTTTGTTACTCCGTGCAAGCCCTAATTTTGAGGCTCCCCAAGTAACAGATATTGCGGGGAACTTTGGGTACTTGGCAAGCGAACACTAATTCCTCTGCGATTGTGAGCTTGACACAAGCTTTTATATCCAGCGGATTATCGCTCAGTTCAGGCCATTATATTGACGGTACAGAAGTCCTAACTGTTTACTGGAAGAGGTATGAATCAAAATCAACAACTTTATAAACCCTGTCCTTGCACCATGAGCAGCCTCCCAAGAAGAATCACTTCGGTACTCAATCTCCTTTAAATTGCATTGCTCTTGTCATTCTCGGGTTATCTATACCCGAGACTGGAGGAATACGAGCAGGGCAGTTGCCTTTCTAGGTATATCCTCCTCCTCCACAACCTGATTCCCCGGACTCATGGAAGTTTAAATTCCAAAACAACGCTGATCATTAATGCGTGTATTATAGATTTACTGAAATGTTACATTTTATTCAATGCTTGACATTGTCCCGGGATGTAAGACGATCCAATACTAGCATCCACTAGGGATCTCCGTCCTTTTAAGAAGTCATTCGGCGCTTGATTCATTTTTTCAGGGTATGATGCTATTAAAGTCGCATTATGCATGTCCTACTTGGCAGACAAGAAAATTGAGGCCTTGAGTAGGCGACACTCCGCATATTGACTTTTGCTTTTGCGGAATTGAGATGACATGAAATTTTTCTGGGCATTCCCAGAAGCATTTCTCTCCATCTTAATACCTAGATATCCAGGAATTGATCCTTCTAATATTCGGATCACTGAAGAACGGTGCTATGTATTACAGACAAGTGCCTGGCGGCATTCGACATCTTCAGTTTCTTCTAGCAAAGTATAATGCCCAAGCACCCGAAAACAAGTGAAAAAGATATTTGAAATGCGGTTCTCTTTCCTCTTCTCCGTCCTACTGCTTCTGCACCAGGCTGCAGCCCAGCTTTCCGGTAGTGTTGGTCCCTTGACCAGTGTCTCAACCAAAAAGGCGAAGAAAACCTGCAATGTTCTTGACTACGGTGCCAAAGCCGATGGAAAGACTGACCTTGGTCCTCCGTTGCTAGCTGCTTTCAATGCTTGCTCCTCTGGTGGTCTTGTCTATGTCCCTTCTGGAAGTTACCTGCTAAGCACTTGGGTTACTCTAAGCGGTGGCTCAGCTTGGGCTCTTCAAATTGATGGAATCATCTATCGAGGGGGTACTAGTGGGGGCAACATGATATTCATTGAGCATACAAATGATTTTGAATTATTCTCTTCTCATGCATCTGGCGCAATTCAAGGATTGGGATATGAGTTTCATGCTCAAGGGAGTATATCGGGCCCTAGGATCCTGCGATTCTACGAAGTTACTAATTTTTCCGTACATGACTTCATCTTGGTTGACTCGCCTAGTTTCCATTTTAGTATGGATACCTGCCAGAACGGAGAAGTCTACAACATGGCCATTCGAGGTGCTAACGAAGGTGGCTTGGATGGCATTGATGTCTGGAGTGACAATATTTGGATTCACGACGTAGGTATTGTATTCAGCTGCTTCAAAATAAACGTGGTCGTTGCTAACATATTTTGACCAGGTTGAGGTGACTAATAAGGATGAATGCGTTACTGTCAAGGTGCGCCAACTGGTCTATCTTGCATTCATTCAAGGAAACATACTGATTCTAAATAGAGTCCGGCACATAATATACTTATCGAGGACATCTATTGTAATTGGAGCGGTGGATGTGCCATTGGCTCTCTCGGAGCAGGCACTGATATCAGCAACGTCTTATATCGATATGTCTATACCTGGTCTTCCAATCAAATGATGATGATCAAATCCAATGGTGGAAGTGGTTCGGTCGAGAATGTCATTTTCCAGGACTTTATTGGTACGCACGTTCGATCTGCATTCATCTGAAACACTAATGGAATCGTAACTTACAAACACCTAGGCCACGGGAATGCCTACTCTCTTAATGTCGATTCCTACTGGTCTTCTCAAACCACCGCCGCCGGGAATGGCGTAGAGTACAAGAATATTACATTTACCAACTGGCACGGTACCGAAGCCAATGGTGCACAGCGAGGCCCTATCCGCGTGATTTGCCCCGACAAAGTCCCCTGCACTGGCATTACTATCAGTGATTGGGCCATGTGGACCGAATCAGGCACTTCACAAACATACAGCTGCAGAAGCGCGTACGGCAGTGGATCATGTTTACGAAACTCGGCTTCCGGCACAAGCTCATATACTTCGACCACCACTGCGACTGCTGCTCCGAGTGGCTACTCTGCCCCTACCATGGCTGCCGACTTGAAGAATTCCTTCGGCACGACAGCTAGCATACCGATTCCGGCTGTCCCAACCTCTTTCTTCCCGGGTCGAAGTCCGGTTAGCAAGCTGGCAGGAAGTTCATAAGCAAGCGAGCTATCAACTATACCTTGGATGTTATGAGTTACTCCGTTTACTCAAGGGAAGGTAATCACTTAGACCAGTGATGTTCAAAGCTGTGGTGATAACGATAAATGGCAATTTCAGGAGGTTATTAGGGCACAGTTCCAATTAGGTTAAGCCTTGTCTATTCATGATTGTTCATCCACATTGAAAGCTTGCAAGCCCTCATAGAAGTATGTATGTTTGATTAGATGCCCAAGCTCCTTTTACTGCTCTCATAAAGTTTTGTAGGGAACTGCTAGGGGACATGGTTTATCCCTAGCCCTAATCCTATATGATTTCCGTTGTCGCATTAGTACTATTGCGAGCCGGAACACCATCCGGATCTTGCTGACAGCCCAGATGACCCCTCCGTTTACTATCAGTGCTCTTTCCTCCCAAGGAAAGACATACATTCCATAAAATTCTCGGACTGGTTCCAATATACATACCGGAACATAATTGAACATGAACAAGGCTAATTGTGGAAATAGAGTGCGGACCATGTCGCGCAACATTATCCAATGGCTACTTAATCAAGAGTATAGTCCGACAATCCTTGAAGTGGGTTCAAACTACTCTCGTCAAGTACAATCCTTTTTTGGGGTCTTTTGAGACATATCTGAATGACTTACCTTGCAAGTGTGTGCCGACAAAGAAAGCTCGTACAGTCTAACAAATTTGCTCAGAGGCATTATTATTCAACGTTTATATAAAAAAAATTTGTATTGGAGAATTAAATGATGAGATAGTAGTATGTAAGAGAACCAAAGCGCAGTGAGAGAACGAATGAAAGTTACCATAGTAAGAACAGGACCCAGTAGATAAGGCTTGACGCCTCTGGCTGGAAGCGTCTTGCTCATTTATTGGATTTTGCCATCATTGACTTGGAGGTTCTCACTCGGAACAAGTAATACAAAATAACTGCCCCAAAGATGTTAAAAACAAAATAGCACCAGAAGATGCCGTAGTTGCGCCATCGGTCATCATAGTAGATCTCTCGAGCAGCAAGATACTGGTCTGCAGAGCTCATGCTACAGTATTGGCAGTCGGACGTGGCATTTTCGTTGTATACTGAGCCACCTGCGCTTTCGACGTATTTCTCCATGTAATCTCCGCAGGTTTGACCAGATGGAGGGTTGAAGACGCTGAGTTCGGCGGCATTGCACTCAACTGTGCGACCATGCAGTGCAGCACCTGCAATGCCACCTATGTAGTACGTGAATGGCGAGACACGATACATGAAGATCCAGAATCCTGTTCACGGGTATTAACGACGGTTGACAAACGGCATATCATGTACAGAAGCTAACTTACGGGGTAGAACACTTGGTGGCTGCATAACACCATTGAAGATGAAAGACAGACCAAACATGAGAGTTGCGAGCATGGCGGCAAGAGCGGGCTCTGGAATAGCGGACACGACGAATTGAGCCATGCTTGCAGCGTAGATGTAGAATTGCACGATGAACAACATAATCAATGCACGGCTTTCAGAATCTTGACCAGTGCCAAACACGGACCAGTAGAAGGAAGCCCAGGAGCAGACACCCAAACAAACTTGCCAAGGTACCTCCACGATAATTTGTGAGAGCACAAACACTTTCCACGTGTAAATACGGGAGGGACGCTCGCGGACTTCGTACAGCGATCGCTGAGTAACGAAGCGAGGCATGATTTGGTTGACAAGGGTGTTGAAGATAGTACACAAGAGAAAAATGCTAAAAAGGACATTCTGGAAGCCTTGTTGAGTGTTGTCGGCCTTCCAGAAAGAGAATCCAATGAATAGGCCCGAAGTGATTGCGAGAATAAACTTTGCATAGATGTAGTCTGGTTGACGATAGTGGCCCTGAAAACAACGGCCAAGCACGACCGATAGCTGGGTGGAAAATGGCATGGCAAATTCGGCATTGTCATCATCGGACAGTTGATCATGATTAGTGTCATTGCGCATGTGATGAATTCGGTCGAGCTCAGAAATGACATCTTGATACTCCTGACTCGAGTTCCATACGGCAGGCCAGTCCACACCAGGGCAGCCCTCTCCGGCGACCATGTCGAGGATGTATTCGGCGGGATTCTCCAGTCCCTCGCATGGTCGAGCTCCGTGGTGTTCAAAGTACTTCAAGAGCGTGGATGACTGTTCGCCAATGTCACCAAAATATACTGTCTTCCCACCTTTCGCCAGAAAGAGTAGACGATCGAATGTTTGAAACAGAGTCGCACTGGGCTGGTGGATCGTTGCCAAAACAGCCTGGCCATGGTCTGCAAGCTTTCGAAGAAATTGGCAAATCGTCCATGAGCTCTGAGAATCCAGTCCACTCGTTGGTTCATCCAAAAAGATCAATAGAGTGGGCTTCGCAGCAAGTTCAACGCCAATACTTAGAAGCTTGCGCTGTTCAACATTCAGGCCCTCGCCAAGGGATCCAACTACCGCTTCAGCAAAGTCTTCCATGCCAAGCATCTTGAGAACCTGTTCCGCGTACTCATATTTCTCCTCTTTAGAGACACTCCTTGGCTGGCGAAGCATAGCACTGAAGCGGAGCGCCTCGCGGACAGTGGTCGTCTCAAGATGGAGGTCTTGCTGCTGTACATAACCAGTACGACGAGGAAAATTTGGCATCAACGGCTGACCATTAACCAAGATGTCACCAGATACAACACCAATAGACACCCGTTGGGCGAGGACGTCCAACAAAGTCGTCTTACCAGCCCCAGAAACACCCATCAGTGCAGTCAAGCTACCAGGTTTGACCCAGCCATTGACATCATCCAGAAGTCGTCGAATTCCTTCCTTCACCGGAATATCATAATTGATGGCCTTCCAAGAAAGAATGTCTTCTCGCCTAGGCATGAGGATCGTATCATTTGTCTCTGTTGCTTCCAACGTATTCATTATCACAGCGCCACCGTCTGCATCATTGGATCGGAGGTGTGCTGGGGCATGACCAGGACGGAAGACTAGTGCCTCAGCCTTTGACTTGTCGCTAGCAATGAACTCAGTAGCTACAAGATAGGTCGCATTGAAGAGAATCATAAATCCAATGAGGATTCCTACATATAGGGTCAGCATATGTACAGCCTTAAAAATTGCAAGGTTTTGTAGGAGTTGGCTTGTCAGGTACATACCGAGATTTCGCCACAGATGAGAGTAATAGTAGAAATAATTTTGTTCGATGAACGCATCTCCAGAGACAAATCTCTCGCCTGCCTTTGCACCTATAGAAGAACAGATGAAAGACTTGCCAGTGGCGTAACTCGGAATTATCGACGTGCATGAGTAGTTCTTGCCGTGAAACTCATTGGCAATAATTGCTTCAAAGGCATAATAAATCGGGTTGATCCAGCGAATCCAGGACAGCCATGGGTGCATGTACGGCTGTGGTAGCGTAAATCCAGTGTATACAACGATACACAGAACAAGAATACCGGCCAGTGCCATGGCCTGTCCGACGGACCTTGTCAATGCTCCAAGGCTACGAAATAGACCAGACATGGTTAGAACAGAAAGAAATAGGAACAAGTAGAAAATGAAAAACTGAGATGGCTCCCGGCGAAGGTTTGCCATAAAGTATAAAACGATGCTGAAGATGGAAAGTCGCACAATTTTGATAGGCAAGTCTACGACGATGCTTGCCAGAGCCTCCGTGAAGGGGTGAACAAAGGCATAGCCAGATTGTTTCTCTACAATTGGCCGCTGACTGTAGAGTTGCAGGATTTCGTTTATGGTGAGTAGGGCATTCATCAGTACAGCAAAATAGCACACAGCACCCTTTTGGAAGAAATATGAAGAGGTATCAGGCGTATTGTAGAAGACGGATCCAATAATCAAGGACAGAATCAATTGAACGACAAGAGGCGACAGCGCGGTAGGCAAGTCGTTGAGCATACGCTGATATGCTCTCCGAGTACACAAGCGGATTTGCATCGGCACAGATAGGATATATGAGCTACCAGAGCGGGTGTGTACAGCCTGTTGGTGATTGTGGTAGTCTTTGAATCTTCTGGCGTCCTCGCCATTAGGTGGGTGTTGTTGGTCGAAATCGGTGATTTGTTTCCGCAGACTCTGATATTCTGGGCTCCGCTTCCAGTATTCCGCGAATTCCTTCGCTGTGCGAGGCACCTTGTTCTCCATTCCTGGAATTGCCTTTCGCTCATCAGGATTGGTAATGGCAGTCAAAAAGTCACCGCTCACTTGACGATCCGGTCTGGCCCATCCCATGTCCTCAAAATAAGCTACTGCTCGTTCACAGGGGCCGTAGTAGATTTGGTGGCCCTCGTAGAGCACTACAACCTTGTCGAACAGGTTAAACATGCCTTGCGATGCTTGATATGCAGCGACTGCATGACATGACTGGGCCATATCAGCTGACAAACGTAGAGCACGGACAAACTTCAAGGCGGAAGCGGCATCTAATCCTCGAGTACTGTTGTCCCAGGCGCCGATACGACAACGCGAAAGAAACATCTCGGCAATGCTGACCCGCTTACGCTCACCACCACTAATTCCCCGAACGAATTCGCTACCAACTTCGGTATTGAATGTATGGGATAACCCAAAAATAGACATAACTACTTGAGTTAGAGTCTCCACATACTCATCTCGGGACATATCTTTGATACGCCGATGAGGAGCACGAGCGTGGGCAGCAAACGAGAGGGTCTGGCCCACCGTCAAGTGAGGGAAATGAAGATCAACTTCCTTATTGTATGCCACATCACCACGATGGTGTTTTATCATATCCTCGAAGCCGATACCTTTGAAGTGGATTGAGCTACTTCGTTCCATAGTCAGGCCGCCCAGATGTCCACAAAGGGTTTTGAGGAAGGTGGTGCATCCACTTCCCGGACGCCCCAGAACCAAAAGGAGCTCTCCACCCTCGAGCAAACCGTCAAAGCTGTGAAGAATTCTCCTTGGAGGAGATAGGCGACCCTTCATAGCTCTGGAGGCATACCGAAATAGAAGGGTAAGACTTGAGAGCAAAGTCTCCTGAAACTGCAGTGCTGAACCGGAGCCGCTAACGAAAAGATTAGAGAAGACAACACCTTGAGAAAGAATCTCATCACCGGCTTCATGAACCTGGCTAACGACATGTTGGGCCCATCGATGGTGATCAAACTGAGGGCTGTTGGGATCTAGTCTTGGGTCTTGGGACTCGACGCGGCTAGCAGACACGGATAGCTTTCGTCCAAGCTTGCTAGAAGCGATGCGGGTGAGAGATTCAATTTCCCGTTCGTCAATTGCACGATCTCTTATAGGCATAAGCTCGATTTCACTGTCGACCTTCTCCATGATGGGCACGTTTTCGCAGTGTATTTTGAAGAGCGCGCATGTTGCCAGCAACGTCGAGATGGTTGCTGCTTCTGATATTTATAAAGCTCAGAACATTGGTCATAGTCTCCTACCCTGCTCGGAATTAGGGGGCATTGAGACCGAGATGGAGGAGAATTATGAACATAGCTCTCGGATCCTAGCCACCCGACAGCTATAGTCTCCAACACAGGCGAGCTTGCGCTGTTCATCTGGTCGGTGTCGGCACTTGTAAACGCCGACTTTGCGACTCGTTGTTCGTCAAGCAAACTGGCAACGATACAAAGAAGAATCAAATGTTAACGATGTTGGCAAACTACTGTAGATATCGCCAAAGCCCACGAGGCCTGCAAACAGTGCAAACAGACGCGATTGCATAATTCTATCTTTCCGTAGATTTTACATAAGCAGCCAAATGGCGAGTCACGTGCCAAGAGCACGTGAACAATTACAATATTTTTTAGCAAGCTGTGTTCCCTCGACTATACAGCTTATCATTTTTATGCAGTATTGAACAGCGGACCTTTGACACACATACAACCAAAGTGCGTTCACGGACCAAGTTACAAGCACTTCATGTATGTACTTTCAGAACTCGCCCCTAGTATTACGGACGGCAGAGCACTTTGGCATCTGGATGCCACACCCATTCACGTCGATTAGTACCCAACACATTGTTTGTAATCATCGATACCAACGACCAAAATCCCGTACCTATAATCAAGCATCTATAACGATGTCAATACCATCATCATCATCATACCCTGGACCGTCTTCTGAACGATATGGTGCCCCCTCAGCCCTAACACGTTCATATCCGTGCAGCCGAAGGACCTACGTAAGTGGCCCCCTCCATCGGAAAAGATTCACCAGTACTCACCACGCTGTCGGGAATGTGCTGGCCAGTTAGAAAAATGGTTATGGGTATAATATTAGGTTTGCAATTGTAAGTACAAACATCATTTGAAATCAGTTTGACGCCTGAGTCGAGGGTGTCACCTGAGTAGTTTCGGGGTTGCTTTGTGGCCTATCGTTTGTGGTGGTGTGAGGTTTGTTGATCGATTAGTGTCTGATGCAGAACTTCACGTCGATATAATTGAAGTAATATACGAGGTGAATACCTTTGCGAGTAAAAGACTGCAGACTGCTTCGATGTTGAACTACAGTGTAGGTATAGTTAGGGTTATGTATGTGCTGCGTGGACTTGCCCAACACAGTAACCTTGACTGGCCGTCTTCGGACAGCTGTATGTATTCTACTACGTAGTTTAAAGGTCAGCGTCAAGCAGCTAGATAATACTGACGAATAACGAGGAACCGATTACTTAGCTTACCGTCCATGGATGGAAGACAAAAATCCCTCACAAATACAGGATTCACTCCGTCTCCGTAGTGTATTCAGAATACGCAAGCGAGGAGACTAATTTCCACGCCGCGTGTATGTGCGCATACATACCACTAGTCTAGTACAACTTATTAGTGAGTATACTATGATAGTTACACACTTAACATGCAGCATGCACCTCGCCCAAGACGGATTATCTTGGACCTGTAGAGTACGTAAGTCGTCAATATGATAGAAGATGACCTCGGGATTGTGATCGCGTGGTCTGGCATGGTTAGACACATGAATACATGACTAACTTGTCAATAATGCCGATTCTGTGGTTTCCCTCCCCATTCCCACTGTGCGCACTGCCCACAGTCCACTATCGTCAAAAATCGTAGCGATCAACCGAACTTGGCTTTCACTTGGCTTCCATGCGAAAGTGTGGACTGTTGAAGTTCGGTTAGTATGCCGACGAGTAATAATAGCAAGTAATAGTATGTATGTGCGTATACGGTCAGTGCGTAGTCGTATCACGTCAAACCAACTTAGTTACAAGCTTAATTTCGCTGTTTCCTTGGGCCAAGCCGTCAATTTCAGGGACAATTTTTCCTTACGTGCACTGGCAGTGGAGATTTCCATTTTGTTTCAAGGTCCTTTGAAATTGACCGCTTTTTCTCTCCCTTCAATATCCCGCTTTACAGAGACTTTTTACAAACCTACCTCATACTTCAACTTTTACTCAAGGATGTATTCTGCATATTCATCAAAATGACCTTCCATCATATACTCCCCCGCTTTTCAAAACTGCGCTTGTACTGCCAAAAGCAAAGCTCGTTACTCGACTTGGTACGTGCATTACTCACCTTCGCACTAGAAAACCTAGTGTGGCCACTAATCCACGTCGCCTGATGCAATGATTGGTCTGTTTGATGCATAACATGATCGATCGGCTGCTACAATCTGCAGTGCTTCTTACTACTACGGTTTGGTATTAGCCTGCTTTTGACCTCGAATTTTCCGTTCGGTTGTGTTTAGTATTGACCTAGTTTAGATGCTTGGTTGTATGCACCAAGCATGCAGATGCTGCATGTTTTCCTAGAACGGCAAGGAGCAGAGCTGCTGCTTGCCTTGCTTGGACAGCAGTTTTTCTCCGAGGTATATCCAGTAGCAGTGTTTATTGTTTAGGTTGATGAGTTGTTCGCACTCATAGTCTCTCTTAACTGTCTGATACTTCATGGTCGTCGACATGCATGCCAATACTGACTACGCAGGAACAGCATGGCATGTTATCGTAGCTGAGCTTTCTCCTAGAATTGTTTCTCGGTGAAGATGGACCATAGCAAGAACGAGTTGTATAAACTGAAAATGCTCACTGTACAGTGAAGGACAACCGAGTTGGGGTCGGGTCGAGGGAGCATGGTTTCACCGCTCTTCTGTCTGTATAACGTGATCCAAACAGTCCCAAGGTTCGCATAGAGATGTGAAACTGTTAGCCATCTGATTTCTGCTCTGCTTGATCCCTGTTAATCAATTGAATGTTAATCTGATCGGACCGTGCGTTTCGATGCAACAGTTAATCGGAGATCTGCTTCGGAGTATATTCTGCAATCTTCCTTACACTGGGCTTACAGAGTGGACCTTGAGGTCGTCCCTCGTGATGTCATGTTGTCACCATTCAGTTTTCAGATTTAAGGAGAATGGATATCTTCCTTGCTCGAGTAATATTCAGAGATGAGTCGCGTTTCATATGGTTACGCTCCAATTTACTTGCCTAAAATGGAAGGCTGCTGCATTCGGCGACCACGCGCGAAACCCTAGGCACGTAGCGGTTAGCAACGAGATCGACATCCTTCGTCTGCTTTGTGGCACGTTATTATCGTCTCAGATATAAACAGAACAATGGAATGAATCTGATCGGCCGTTTGTCTTGGTTGCTGACTGCTGACTCGTGACAAAATTATCCACCGCCTTGTTAGGCGCCGCACCAAAGCAATATACAAAAATAGCCACATACTTGGCAGTCAGAACGGACGTATTATTTACCACGTTTACGTACACAAAAGAAATAAAAATGAGGAACAGTGGCTATGACTCGAGAATCGGTGAATCCTCTCCAGCAGCTGAAAAGTGAAAACTACGCTGAGTAATAATCCGATGAGGTGACTAGCAACCATCGCTTAAATGACCAAGATTACAAGTTTGTCGTATTCCGAGGGTAAGAGCAGGTGATTACATAAGGCAATTTTCGTCAATTCACGAATCGCAGCGATGGACGGCCCTCCTTCAGGCTTGCCGCTCAGCCTTTGTGGCTGGKAATGTTTCCGTTCTGTGACAAGATCACCACGGCGGACTACGGTCATCCGTATGTACTGTACATGATTACATCTGTATGTATCACGTGACGTGTTGCCTGTTTGCAGGTTTTGATGAAGTATTGTCAGTTCCTCACAAGGAAACAGGGCATCTGATGGAGTAAATGAACTCTGAAATTTCTCCCGACCGAGCCAACAAAAAGCAAGCCATCCGCAGGAAAAAAGAATAAGAAAAAAGTGGACAAGTGAACGGCATCTGACAAACGAGAAAAAAGCCGCATACTGGAAGACAGAACCAGCAAGTCAAGATGGGTCACGGTACGACATTCTGAGTTGGCGAGTCTCCAGTTTTCTTTTGTGCTTGGTTTCCCATTGTCCAGGTACGTAGTTTACTATAGTAGACTGCTCAGTAACGGGACGTATTGTAAGTGGTAAAGTATGAAACGGATGGTAAGGAACGAATGAAACATCGGAAGCGGTCTGTTTTGTAAGCAGTACCATTGGTGGACGTCTCCGCGGGCCTTCCTGAACAGGAAAAGCGATCGGTAGATACGAGACTAGCCATATTGAGAGCACGAGGCATGGTGGCGATCCAGTTGTCTGTCTGTAAAATACACGTAAGAAAAATTCTTCCTACGTACTAAGTGGTAGTATGACTGTATGAGGCTTCCGTAAAGTTCCCGAGCGTTAAGCAGGCTGTGCCGCAGCACTAGGCAGTGCGCGTACGGCTCTCGTAATGATACATGCAGGGTGCATCGATTGCCCCAACTCGTTTTTACCACCCGTACTTGGCTCCGTACCACTCATTCATCATTCCTCTTTCCCCATCTCCAATCCTCTTTCTATTACTTTTTCTTTCCCAACGACCAAAAAACCCACTTTCTCCCTCTCATTCTACTTGCTCGCCTGCTGCTGGCTGTCTGCTCGGATCTCTGTGCTTTGCACATCGCTGCATATCCTTCGACTATCACCGCGTGTTGGAAACTTGTCTACCTCCAATTGCCTCTATTCTCCCCCTCTCTGTGAACTTCGACAACCAACCAACTCGACTTGCAAACCTCCTTCAAGATGTTGCCCTTCATATTATGACAATCTGCGTCCTGCTTGGGACATCCTTAAAACAAAGTCAACCTTAAGAATCTGTCGGTTCGGTTCGAGTTTGACAAATTTATCCAACCTACAACAAACCGACACATATAATCTGCACTTCGACTCTCAGATACACATCTCTGAAGGTCTCCGGTGCACATAATGACTCACCATCAACGCCGTGATCGCCAAATACCGAAACTACAAACCATCTTGAAGATGGTCTTTTCATCAGATCAGCCCGCAGTGTCTGCAGGGCAAGAGGTCGAGGTGGTGGACGACTGCGATGAGCCTCCCGATCAAAACCGTTTACACAACCGCCCCAATAACGACCAATTATATATCAAAGCACACCTGGCGCCGGAGAAGAAAGAGTCATTGCTCACTCGAGCTCTGAAGAGTCCTGAACTCGGTCCCGTTGATCGAGTCCGAAAAGCTTCCTATCCTACCAGCAACGCTAGCGGTCACTCTACTGCTGAACTGACTAGTGATGGCGATCTCACCAGCCCGACCTACTCGAATACCTCCAGCCCACCACATATCTCAACACTTCATTTGGCTCCCGTCTTGGAAACAAGGATAGCTTCACCACCTTCGGATCCCACCGAATCGAAAATTGAGGCTGATCTTGGCCGCAAGCGTTGTATCAGCTTTGCTTGTACAGCTCGGCAACCAGAACGACCCAAAGAACCAGAGAAGAAGCTGAAAATGCCCGAAGAGAGTGACGCGACTGACGCGCCTCAGCGCAAAACGAGATTGACTTTCGTTTGTCCTTCACGGCAAAGCGAGACCAGACCCACTGCCAGGAGATCTCCATCGTACACCTCTCGTGCAACTCGCTCGCCCCCGCCAACGTCCCGTCGAACGTCTCCCTCTAAACAAGTCGATGTTGCTCGTGTCGCAGAGCCAGCGCCTGTGAAAAAGCCTGGTAGCATACATATGACTGGTCTTGGAGAGTTCAAGCCGTCAGAAGAAACTCGCTTCCACGAATTCGCCAGTTCGCTCGACGAGGTCGACGAATGGGTAGCACAATCGACCGAGCACCAGGGGAAAATGACATTGGCCGATTGCATGAAGAAAGAAATGGCTATTCGAAAATTAGGAGAAGAAGCTGAGGCTGAAGCCATTGCCGAAGAAGAAGAGGAGGACGAGATGGAAAACGAAGATGACGACATGGTAGATCCGGATGACGAAGAAGAAGACACAGTCCACGACTTTTCTTCTGACGACGGCAACGAATCAGATAACGAAGCTGGTTTCGCCGACTCGGATGACGAGAGCGATGGCAATTCTGAGTACGAATTCTGGGCACCCTCGACAACAACCGCCGCGACAAGCGCTGATAATCTGGATATCGTGCGTCTTGCTGTTGATCGCCGGAATTCGAACACATCGATCGATTCATTGAAACACGAATATAGCCGACCTTCATCATCGATGGCCGGGTCTAGGAAAACCCGCCGCCCGATCAATATCCCTCGAGCTCAAACTCCCGACTTGCCGGACAGCACTGATTTCGTGTGCGGAACACTTGACGAGGACCGTCCGCTAGAGGCAGCTTACATGTCATGCATTGAAGAACGACGTCGCAAAAAGCACATTCCTGTCCCTCAAGATATCGACCCTAGTTTCCCGACCACAGATCCCGAGGACAACGAGGACGACGTTGAAGAGAACGAAGATGAGGACGAGGATGACGATGGCGATGACGATGTAGCGGTTGCTGCTCGAATTGAAGAGGATCTTTTGCGCGGCAGGTCCAAGGGGACAAACAAAAAGACATCCCGGACGTCCCCCCGACGCGTTCACTCTCCGGCTCCACGCGCACATGGACAGGTTTCGCCGAAACGTATGAAATCTCCTGCTCCTAAAGCGCGACATGTATTGGCTGCTGGATTACCTACAATTGCCATTCCAGTACGCAAGACTGGGTTCAATATCACAGGTCCCGTTCAGCGTCCTCATTACAGTCGAACAAAGTCTCTACCTCGCACGCCGAACCCATTCTTCAAAGGCTTAGAGCAATCGAGACTATCCGGTCAGAACATGTCCACCTCTGGGAACGATGTTGACGGACCAGTCTCCCGCAGTCGGGAACTGCATACGCGCGGGCCCATTGATATCATTCAAGGGCTGGAGCGCAAACGACAGAAACGAAAAGAAAAGTTCTGGCGCCAACATTGCCGCAAAGCCGCTGCCAAAGAACACTCTGAGCGACGTGTAGCGCGCGGCAAAGGCGCCGAACGTATGAAAGAGCTTGGTCTTGAAGTGGCCGAGCGATTCAAAGCATACGGCGTTGGCCAAGATACCCAATTGATGCTGTCTATTTGATTGGCACTGTCTCTGATTTTTACCTTTTTACTTTTAATGTACATACTAACATCTTATTTTTCTTATTCTTTTACATAAATTCTCAGAGCATGATGTTAGGTGACTACAGCATCGTTGATATGAAATAAAACATTCACATTACATTTTCTTTTCTTTGCATTGGTTGGGTTGTCTTCGCATTGCATGGTGGTTTTATGAGGCGAGCAATTTTCGATATATACCCCCGCATGTCGAGTATATAAGGATGTCCATGAATAACGAATTTGACTTTATAACTACTACATAATTCCTCTTTCTCTCTATGAATTTGAATAAATCTCGCCACATGATCGAGTGGCAATCTGTGAGGCCGACTGGCGGCGAGACGGAGCCGAGCACTTGGCTGTGATTGGCCTGGACAAATCAACGGCCGACACCTCGCTAGTACCTCAAGTAAACCTCGACTGAGCACTCCAGTGTTTCTCTTATCTTCGTCAGTCAGTCAACACAACGCCAACCAACGAGATTATTTCTCTGTTTGCACCGAGGCAACGCACACGCAAACGACGATTACACGGTTTTTACGACGGCAGTTTCTTTTTCCTGGAGGACAAGTAGCGACTAGACGGCATCATGTGGATTATCAACTGGTGTAAGTAGCGTCCACCACATCGACGATCTCGACATATCCGAGGTATCGATATTGTCACGGATGCAGAAAGAGAAATGAATGACTGATTGAATTTTGGCGATAGTCTACGACGTCCTGGCCTCGTTGGGCCTGCTCAACAAACACGCCAAACTTTTGTTTCTCGGACTCGATAATGCGGGAAAGACGACGCTGTTGCACATGTTGAAGGTACATCTGACGCCTGGCGCGAACAATATTTGAGTGCGATGAATGCGATACTGATGGTGGATAGAATGATCGCGTGGCTATTCTCCAGCCCACTGCTCACCCTAGTACGTACACCAATACCGATATAAACAAAGGAAGATGGCTTAACTGAAGGAACAGCATCCGAGGAACTGGCCATTGGAAACAACCGCTTCACCACCTTTGATCTCGGTGGTCATCAACAGGGTACCTCCCTTTTCCCTCTTTTCCTCTCTCCCAAAGCAATAAAACCAATGCTGACGCATCTGATACAAAAAGCTCGCCGCCTCTGGAAAGACTACTTCCCCGAAGTAAGCGGCATCGTCTTCCTGGTCGACGCCAAAGACCACGAACGCTTCCCGGAATCCAAAGCAGAGCTCGACGCCTTACTCGCAATGGAAGAACTCTCCAAGGTGCCCTTCCTCATTCTCGGAAACAAGATCGATCATCCCGATGCCGTGAGTGAGGATGAGTTGCGTCATCATATGGGTCTTTGGCAGACGACAGGTAAAGGCAAGGTTCCGTTGGAGGGAATTCGGCCTATCGAGGTTTTTATGTGTAGTGTTGTTATGAGGCAGGGTGCGTCTCCCCCTTTTTTTTCCCCTTCTTTTTTTGTCTGGCTTGATGAAACGAGTGCGCTGATTTTTGGATAGGATACGGAGAAGGTATCAGATGGCTCTCGCAATACGTCTAAGTTCTCGCCTCCAGCCACAGCTCACCTACAGTGTCATGAGTATTGACCCAGCCTCCGACATGACATCAAGCAGCAACTAGCTACCATAATCTAGATCTACTCCTCTGTGCCCTTGTGATACTCAGTCTTGTCTCTATTAACCTATTCAAACATGCAACCTTTCTTCATTTGCTCTGCTCTATTCTTATTGTTATTGTCGTCGTTTGAGAAGCGAGTCTATCAATCCAGCCATTAAAATGAAATAAAGTACACAAATCATATCAAGTCAGTCAAACAAATCAAGAAATATCAGATTTATGATCTCGTATGATGAAACAATACAGTACACAGAATAAAATGCTTGCCAGCTTCATGCATTGCTGTTTCTACGAGGTCAGTTTGATATTTTACTACGTAAAATCATTGAAGATGGTGACATGACAATTGGCGTTGATTGCATGACGTAAAAGGAACCTAAACCTAACCTGACAGTCGAAAAGAAGAGAGAAGAAAAAACACAACACTCACAAGAGGATAAGAAAAAAGAAACAGTCGAAGAGAGAAGAAAATGCTAAATCAGTCAAGAACCAGAGAAGAAAAAAACCAAGCACTTGTCCCCATTTCCTATCCTATCCTATATCCATGTCCATATCCTATGCACTGCATCGCATGGAATCACACAATACACATTGAGATATGAGATAAAAACACAATAAACACACAGCGCCATAACTTGCGGGTTCAACTGGTTCCTTTTCTGTCCTTTCTCATGATCGTCACCCCCCCAGCTCAATAACATACGCAACAATATCAAATGTTCATGCGCGGTGGTAATTCGTGTCGTGGTCAATGTTCATCGAAAGGAACGATCCGACTCTGGAGGTACAATGGAGGGAGGCGATGGTCGGACCAGATCCATGGAACGAAAATAGTAAAACAAGGTAATTAATGTAGATTGGTCCGGTCCGATCGTATCGAGATGCGAGGTCGAGTCGGTGAGCGTTGCTGAGTCGGTCAGGTCATGGCGATCGTTCGAGTCAAGGAAGTCGGGGTGTTGAACCGAAGTGATGTCAATCTGCTGTTCTATTTCCGTCCGAACCTGCTGCACATGGAAAAGCTCGTATTTACTTCTTCTTCTGCTTTCGCGGAGGAGTGATGGGTCTGCCAGTGCTTATACCCCCGTGAACGTACTTTTGTTTCTTTTCGGCTGGTTTCAGAATCTACTCAATTAGCTCATGTCATGTCATGTATTAGAATGGTGAGAAGACAAACCTGGAATGAACAGAGCAAGCTCTCATCCACACTCATCATCGCACCGGCGTTGTCGAATTCACCGCAGTAGTTGGGCGCACTGAACAGGGTCACTAACTGTCGCTTCGAGAAGAATTCGTAACCGTCCTCGACGACTTGGTGGGCTCGGCAGATCAGGTCCATGTCGTGTTTTTGCAAGAAACGAGACACAACGTCTGGTCCAAACGTAAACGAAACACCTCGATCATTCTCGCTCCAACCGGTGATGTCTTTGTCGGGATCGGACCAGAGGAGATCGCAGAGCAAACCGCAGTCGGGAATCTATTAAAGTCAGCATGTTAGATTGAGCCAAAGCTCGTCCTCTTATCCATAGTGGATATTCCTTCACAATAACCTGAGACCTGAACGAAGAAAAAGAAGACTTACATCAGTTGGACGCATCACACGGCGAATCTGCTCCATGGAGTTGAGATCCGGACTCAAGCCTCCGTGCATGGTGAAGATCTTCTCGTCGATAATGGCGGCAATGGGCAAGCAGTTGAAGCAATCGGTAAAAGTCTTCCAGAGTTTGATATTGTAGCGACGCTTGCACTCATCGTAGAATCCGTAGATACGGTTGATCGAGGCGCATTCGTGGTTACCGCGGAGAATGAAGAAGTTTTCGGGATATTTGATCTTGTACGCAAGCAACAGGCAGATGGTCTCGAGGGACTGCTTGCCACGGTCGACATAGTCACCAAGGAAGAGGTAGTTTGCCTCGGGAGGGAAACCACCGTACTCGAAAAGACGTAGAAGATCGTAGTATTGGCCGTGGATATCACCGCAAATCTACACCGCAACAATCAATCTCTGACATCATCGCCTGCAAACAAAAGTGACGAACAAAGAAACAGACGTACCTTGATGGGCGCTTCCAGTTCGAGCAGAATGGGTTGTGAAATGAAAATTTCTCGTGCCTTGGTACACAAATGACGAATCTCAGACTCCAGCAACTGCACTTGTTTTCCAGGCCGGCTGCCCCTCACTTCCAACAGTCTATCAATGATAGAGTCCAAATCCACGTCCTGGTCAGCCATGACGTGCGACTTTGAAAGAGAAAATTAGGCGGGGAAGAGGAGAGAAGCGGAGGAAAGAAACGAATGGATGGGGAGCGCCCGACTGATCTGTTGGATGTTAGTAAGTGGTCGGTCGGCTCGGATCACGCATACGAGGTCAAGAACACGACGAGCGCAATCCAGACGCGTTGTGACCGATAAATAAAACAGTAAAAAAATCGACTGACCTAGAAAATCGAGTCCCGATAGAAATGAAAAATCAAAACCTCCCAGATGTTTGTGGAGTCGCAGAGCACGCAACGATTGAATCGAAAACGTCGGCAATGATAGGCCAGTAGGCCTGCCTCAAGATGCAAGAACTTCCGCTCCCTTTCGATGGATGAAGAATCAATGTAGAAAGAGAAATAAGATTGAAGGTCTCGAGTCCCGAACGACAAGTAAGCAGCAGGCAGCCCAAATCAAATTTTCTCTGCGATAGACAGCAGCGAGACGGGTGCGACTAGAATTTTAATGTAGAGAATTCGAACGAGAGAATCGAATCGTGCGCCGAAGACGTGTGGTGATGATCACTTAGTTGTAGAGCGTGTTGACAAAGTGATGGTCAGTAGCACAAGGGAAAACCGGGTTGGATATCCTTTTTTTTCTTTCGTCTCGCTCGAGTCAACGGTAATAGGCCAATCTAAAGAATTTGTGAGAAAGCGAAAATTTTTCTCACTCTCAGATAACACTATTTTCGAAGTATCTTCACTTTTGGAGGCTGTGGGCGATGGAACGATCACGGTGGGTGGCGTGTTGAAAGAGTAAAAATCCACGCAGGCGGCAGAGTAAGAGAAGAGACTTCGGTCTGGTGGTTCAAGGGCGTCGCGCGCGGGTAACGGCGAAAGGGAGGCCAGAAGAAACGCGTGTTACTGCCCGACGTTAGGAGTCAGGCTAGCGGCTGATAGATATGATTTATTGAATTGGCTTCAAATTAAAAAGGGGAGCATGTAGTAATTGCAAAAGAGCAGTCAGTGATAAGGTGAGAAGCCTGAGGGGAATGAGTTTGCTGCAGACGAGGATAAGCTGAGGGGCGTGGATGAATAATGCATATAAATTGTGGTCGGCACTTGCCATTTCCCTCTTCCCTTCTCGCTACGACTCTACATACACAACACTTGTACTGATGATTGTTGCTATTACTATCCTCCGTAGTACTCTTGACACAATTGTCCAAATTGACAAAACACCCCCTCCGACATGAACAGACAGACAGACAACGTACACCTGTGTACATTCGTTACCCTAACGCGCAACCCATCTATCTCCATCGCGATCTAGATTCTGTTCCTCGACGACTGGGGACAAACAGCCCCTCTATCCCCTCTTCTGATGTACCACCTCTTCTATCCATGGCTTACAGAAATATGGTTCTAGAATCGATCGGCCCTTGAGTCACGACTGAATCATTGCTCTGGACAACCAAGTACCGTATGTTGTAGGGTGACGAATAGCTAGTTTTGAACTATAATAAGACACAATCGCTAGCTACCTAGCAGTTTTGAAATTTTGTTCAATAGTATATCATGCTAAGGAGAATAGACCGACTTGATTTGTGAATCATAGCCGCCGGGAGACAGCCACTGCACCCCTAGATCTTCCATGTAGCTCCGAGGTACACTTGAGCGTCAGTGCTTTTGTTATTGGCTACGTCTTGTTATATTGATACGTTCAAAATGCATCCATCATTCATAGCAATCATATCTAACATACAAAGCAATTCTCTGTATAAAAACCAACGCAAACAAGCTTACAATCAAATAGCCAAACCAATGACTTGATAAATCAAGAACCAATTCCACCGATGAGAGGAGACAGAACAAGAACGATGTCATGAACAGCGCCGCCCAACAACACGAGCGGTCTAACAAAAGCACAGAACAAGGCGAAACGATGTTTTTGTGAACAAAGACAATTACTAAATCATCAGAACATGCCCACCCAGATAAACGATAAAGCAGAAAATCAAACTCCGTTAAATGCATATGCAATTATACAATCAAAAGTCCAAAGACAAGGGTATAATGATTCTTCAAGACCACGGGTATATGTAATAATCGACGCGTCGATATGGGGTGTGTATAAAGCGTGTGTGGATCATCCCACTGTCCGCCCACTAACCAGCAAGTGGCTCTCAGGACGACTGACGGCATCTGGTCGAATCATGGATGCGTCAAAGACTGTGCCTGTACGCGGAACAGCCGACATGTTCGTCTGTTGAGTCTGCCAGTTCCCCTCGTGAAGCACGTTGAGCCAGCTATTGCTGCTGCTACTGTTGCTATTGTGCACAGCTTCTAGTCGTGGACGAAAGATGTTGCTCTCACCACCCAGACTAAAATTGGCGTTCCAATCTATAGCATCCTGCTTAGCTGGTACAACTTTCTGATTTTGAGATACAGGTTGAGTGATTGGCTTTTTCACCGGTTCAACATCAACAGGCGATATGGTAGCATCCTCCTTCCGTTTCGTCGGTCCGCTCGGGATGAATGGATCGACCAAAACAGGAGGATTGGGGGGTAGGGGTTTATTTTGAGATGAAGGAGAAGTGAAAACTTGCGTTACAGATTCTTCTCGAGACAAATCGACAATGCGTCGACGATTGCCTCTTTTGCGGTGTGTAGTCCCAGCAGTCCCTGTGGCTTCTGTTGCTGCTGCAACGGCAGCGGCGGTGGTAATGTCTTGCGACAAGAGTTCCTGACGCACTGGTGCTGGCACCTTGCTCACAGTCTTTGCTGGCTCGAGTTCGACCGGTCGGACAACCGGTGCAGACTCTGGCTCAGCAACACGATCTACCAGTTGCTTTCGTTCACTGTATCCCGGACCGGAAGCATCGATTATGATGTCTTCGGTGAATCCAGGAGTGCGACGGAAGAGATTAAATATCGTGACCCGATAATTCGAGTGGGTTTTAGTGAACGGATTGCCCGACACCCAAATCTCTCGTATTTCAGGGAGACCGGTCAACCGGGCGATTTCAGTAGGATCTGTCAGATTGTTGTCTCGAAGGTCAAGGCGCTCCAGCGAAAGAAGCCGCTCAATTCCAGCGAGCGATGACAAACGGTTTCCACGAAGGTTGAGAGCAGTAATGGCGGGCAAAGGATTCTTCGCAATCGACCGAAGTGAGTTGATCATGCAATTGGAGAGGTTCAATGCTCGCAGCGCCACCAAACTAGGTAAGCTGTCAGGGATTTCAGCAAACAGATTCGAAGACAAATCAAGTGAGTGCAACGTGTTAGCAACGGGCATAAAGCAGTCAGATGGCAAGGTCGTCAAAGAATTGTCAGCCAGTCCCAGATGGCGCAAGAAGCGCCATTTGGTCGGAGGCAATACCCCAGCTAAGAGGTTTGACGAGCTGCGGTTTCCATGGAGCGAAACTTCGCTCGAGTTTGAGCTGCCCGAGCTAGATCGCGCTACTTTGTTGATTGAATGCCCTCGAGAGTGCCGGTTTTGAGTGTGCTGCCTTGACGACGTCTGCGGTCTGGTAGGAGAGTAGCTGCCGGTTCGGCGGTGACCTCGTTCGCCTTCAGATCCTCCTCTAATCATGGGAATAGATTTGGGACTAGTACTAGTCGCCAGGTTGTTGCTAAGACTAGGGGAGCCTGGCGCCGAAACGGGCTTATGAGTGTTACTGGTACTACTGGCGTCGTCATATTTGTAGACTGGCTGCGGCGTGGTTGCCATGCTACCACCAGGAATAGGTGAAGGGTAAGATTTCGACGGGCGGCGTCGACGCTTGTCAACATCGTCCAGAACGATCTTGGTCAAGAGATCAGTCGGGTCATTGATGTTGGCCCGTTTCAAGGTCAAGGTGCGTAGTTGCTCCGACAGTCTGTCCCAGCCATAAAAGGAGCGATAGTCGATATCAATGATCTCAAGAGCACTCAAGTTCTTGAACGCATGCAGCGGGACTGCAGTATCCAGGGGAAACTCCTCGTAGCCGCGGATAAGGCGAGCTCGACGATCCGGAGCGAGGCGCAAACAGGGGATCTTAGTGAATGCGGAGTACAGATACTTCAGGTCGGCATCCAAAGCAGCCTTTGCCTTTTCGGATTTGGTGACGGAATCTTTCGAGCCGAGTCCAAAGGAGGACCAGACGGCACTCATACCCGACATGACACTACGAACGCTGGATACGGAATGGATAGAGTCGCGATCGCCACGAGTACGACGTGGCTGATTCAGGAATGACACATATGAGGAGGATGAGTCATTGTGGATGTTCTCCAAGCGAACATTCATCGAGCCCACCGCGATGGAGAGGTCCTCAAACTGAGAGAGCAGGTAGAACAGGTGGTGCGGGGTGAGTGTCAGCTTGGCTGGTTTCACGTTTTGCGAGGTGAACTTCAAGGCGCCAAAGGAGAGGGCGGCGGCCAGGGTAGATGAGGTAGAGGATGCATAGTTGTTGGAGGGGACGGACTGGCGTCTCAGCTGCAGGGCGTTGGCCAAGGCTTTTTCATGAGTTCGCACGAAGCTGGCGAGGTTCTATACCAAATATATGAGTAGCCGTCCTAGAATAGCGAAAAAAGAAACCCACCTTGATGAAAAGCTGACCGTCCTCCGAGTTGAGTTTCTCCATTATGAGAGAGATTGTATCTGCCTATTCCAACGCACAGGATCCGGCAAAGGGCGCTTGAAGACGAGCGCTCAAGGGAAACAAGAGATATGGTGGAAAAGTCCCGTCGACATTTTCGCTGGTCCTGCCAGGTGTGTAGGGCGTCTAGAAGAAGCGACGTTAGTAAGGAAAAGAAACAAAGAAGAGAAATGCAAAAAAGCAAGAAAGCAGAGAGGGAGAGAGAGAGGGTAGCAAAGGAAGGAGAGCGAGGCTGTACCTGCTTATAAAAGAGGAAGGAGCGCGGCCACGAGGTTCCTTCCGCGGCGGTTCACGAGACCTGCGACGTCTGGCTGGCTGACTCGGACAGAGTGTGATGTCTCAGCAAGGATGCAAATGAGACGTCGAATATGAATGCGATTATTGCTATGAATTCAGATGATGTTGAATCTGATGTTCGTCTCCTGTGGCTGACTGGCTGTGCCTTGATTTTTCGCTGTGTCGCCCTTGCAGTCGATATTTTCGCGATCGACTCGACCGACCGAAGAAAACAGGCGAGAGATGAGAACGAGAAATTACAATTAGATCGAAGACCAGATGGAGAATATAAAATAGCAAGAAAGGATGATCGAGAGAAATATCAGCAGCAAAAGCAGTGTACAGTGGTGCTGGTGGTGGTTGTTGCTTTTTCTCAGTAGGCAGAACAAACACGCTATCAAAGGTTGAGCAAAAACAAACGTCGGGCGAGTCAGGGGGAGGGGTTCTTTGGTTAGTCGCAACGCGGGCTGCAATGTGCGAATAGCCTGTGCAGGATGCGAGAGAAATGTAAGTATAATGTAATGTATATGCTGCAAAATGACAGTGATATGCAGTAGCATGGAAGTCTGGAAGAGAAGGAGTGAAGAGAAAAAGAAATCCAATTATCAAGATGCAGGATGGCGTCTGTCAAGAGTTACATTACAACTGATTACACTGATTACAGTGGTTGTTACTTGGTGCTAGTGACTACATAGTACGTACTCTAGTGGTGATGGGTAGCCTGCCGCTACTCACAAGGTATCCATACTTATCTGATATACTACTGTCAAGCACGTATTGACACTATCGTTGACTCCGTCCTCGGGATGCGAGCAAAATAATCGAGATGATGGCGTGCACACACCCCTCCGCCGCAGTAGTGCGACTCCACCGTGCTGATAGCGCAACACCGGCCATCTCGCTAACAAGCTAACCGTATGACAATACGCTGCTCAGCCTACCTCTGGCGCTAATCGCTGCACCAGTAATGGGAGGGGTGCCATCTGACTGCCTTCTTATTCGCCGGCTGTTGCGATGATTATTTTCTTTTTTTGCGCGTTTTGAGCAGATGCACCCTGGAAAACCCCGTGCCAGTGGTGCAAGGCCTGCAGCTCGCGAATCCTCCCAGTGCTGATCGGATGACAGAGTTTATTCTACTATGTTAGGTGCGTTTTGATGCTGGATGGTCGATACTCTGATACCCTGATATTCTACTTGTTCCCGTCTTTTGGAGATTGTATCTACATAGTACACAGTAGTGTTCCGTGGTCGGCTGCATCGGCCTTTGGTCGGCCGGCTTCTCTCTCTCTGCCGTACAATTTTACATTCCTCTGTCAGCGGACTTTGTACGTACTGACTGTTAACCTCCTATTAATAATCCAAGGGCGCAATAAGTTCAGCTTCTACTCTCGGGCCTTTGCGTGTTCATTTGATATACCGACTTTCTTAGTATCATCTTAGCATTCGGTATCAGCTAGTCAGTGGCCCTCCAATCACGGCAGTCCACTCGCCGATGTCCTCCTCGCACGATACTTTTTCTGTTCAGCCACGGTGGAACGTGACACATATGATTTCTTTATAGTTTGATATTGTCATATTTAGTTCTGTTTGAGTTATATAAACGGCTATTACCGGGTGCTCTTCGAAAGATACTTGAAAGAAATCAAAGAACACTTCATATTAGACACACAGGAATCATTTTAGAGAGGATCAGCTGTAACGGTTAAAGATCGGATCCATGGGTCAATTGATAAGATGCCGCCAATCACGCCGACGCCTGCCGACACTCTCACCGTCTCCATCCATCATACAAATGATCTCAACCTCGAAAAGCTTCAAAAATTTTTAGCAAGACGTCGTATCAGCTAGCCCCGCATAAAGCATTTCATTCCTGACCATCTCACGATCTATCCGACTCGCCGACTGGTCAATTGTGCCGCCTCCTAGCACCAACGGCTCGCCCGGTTCGCGCTGATTGGTCTGCTGTCTAGTATCTGAATGAACGCAGGCCCTGGCTCCGACCATCATTGGCCGCTCTCATACAGGTCACCTGCAGTCTCAGGTCTGTATCTGCAGCCGAAGAGGAAATGAAGATACTTGAATAGAAAGTGAAAAAATGCAGACTCGGAGATCGTGCAAGCATTGCATCAATGCATTTCTTCTCTGGCTGATACGTGCGTGCATAATGGGCCACAAGAGCCGAATTGTACCTGCCATCGATCGCCATCTCCAGATTGGTCGGTCCATACACTCCGTCCTGCTTTATCCATGCCTGGGAGTACACTCAGTACAGTATGCACATAGACAGAACTATCGTAGAGAAGTGTAGGAGAGTATGTATGCACCATGCACCTCCTTGGCAGGATCTACAAATCATATCCCTCGCTGCCTCATGCCGAGGACTTTTGCTTTAGTTAGCTGTTAGCGACTCAACTAAAGGGTTACCGTTTCATCGTCCTGCGTGTCTCATTGGTCTTTTCAAGTGTCTCACCCCTCCATCTCGGAACGGAAATATGTGCAAAATCTGGTAGGATATTTTAGTGAACCAAGGATCAAGCATTCTTTTTATGTTTTGTGTACATACTTTGGAGCTTTTAGACTTTGATGAACTGGCGGTGAGCGAGATTCCAGCAGGCGATAACATGTTGATTCCGAATTGTGGTTGAAGTGATTCGTCAGGATGGATTGCATCATGAGAGGTTTTTTTTTTGTATTCATGTCTCTTGTATATTCAGATACGTAAAGACATGAGACAATACTTAGGTAAGAGAGAGGACATTTTCCAGGTCTCGTGACCATATCAGATTGTCGTGTCAGGCGTGCACGTTCCAGGACAGCGACGTACTATGTAGTAGCAGTACCACCGCGGGAACTTATCGCGACTCACCAACCAATGAACGTATCGCGTGCCATCGTGGAGACAAAGCAGATCTTTTGTGCATGCATGCCCATGAGCTGATGCTATTACGAGTACGGAGCACATACGGAGTCGTCTTGATGACTTGCTGCAATCATTCCAACCTTCGCTACCTTTCCCAGTCTAGCACAGTGAATCAGTGGAGCAGCTAACCAACTTCTTTCTGGGAAGAGTTACGCTCAAGATGGCAAGCCTCAAGCCCTACTTTGTACAGTGCTAGTACGTATGATCAGATCAACAGTTCATCAATCTCCAGTTTTGATTTTCTTGCGTCTGTTTTGTGGGCTCAAATGTGAGAATAACCTCATTTATGACAACCAAGGTTTGTTAGTGCAATGGCGTAGAGGTTAGGGTCTCCGCAGTTGACCGGGATATTCCTTGATCTTATGTCGGAGCTAGTATCGAAGGATACGTACTCATATTCCTTGAACTTGAGTGGTTGATCCGTGTTATACCCTACCACATGTATCTAGTATCTGCTCTCCGTAGGTGAACTAACCCACACTAACGGATTATTCAAGCAGCCTGTAGGCGTAGGTATTATGATACATACTAGTGGTACATACTTGCATGATCGACGGTGTACCTCTACAACCCATACCTAGGTAACCCAGATAGGACGAACTCTGACGTCGAATCGCCACTTTATCTGTCCTTTACTTTATCAGAGTTTGATCGCAGCATGAACGAGTAAAAAGTCCTTTTTGTCGAAATAAAGTTGAGAGTTTCTTCGTACGGACAAGTAGAAAGGGATGTTCAACACACATGACCTGCGGTTCGTGTACATGCTTCAGCTTTTCGCCATTGCTGACTGTTTCGATCAGGTAACTACTTCGGTCACTAGAACCAAGTAAGTAGGATGTGTACCGATCGCCCTGCCATTCTCGTATGGTATCGACACCGATCTTCTTATCGGCGTAAACTTTGTTTGATAAGGAATGGAGGGGTAATTATCGGGATATCCCAGTTGAGTTTGACGCCTTGGATGTTTTTTGTGACTTCACATATTTGGGCCCGATAGAGTAATTCCAAGAGGAGTAACTCAATCTTATGCGCTATACCTATATTGAAGTCTTGTTAGGATGTTTGATATCCTCCCTGGAGATTGTCATAACCGCCGCTCTTATGAAGCCTCTGACGTAGCAACCAATCAATCATGACTAGCAGAATAAATGAAACGTCAACTTTAATCCATGACAGCACATCACCTTTGACATGAAGCATGTATATAATTCGACTTCATATTATTGTCAGGAGTAAGTTCGAATGACGCAGCGACGTTTCTGTTTGTAAGTACCTTCAGGGCTGTATCATGAGTATGACTCGACAGAGGAAAATGCTCAATGGCAGACAATTTAGTACTCTTCCAGATCATGCCTCGCATTTTGCTGGAGTCTACATGTATCTGCTAAACTGTATGAATGGCCTTCTGTGCACTCTTTCTGAGATAAGTTCTTATAAGTTTCAAAGGCGGGCCGCAAAGCATTACATATTCATTTTTACGATAATCTCACAATGTCGGTAGCTCTCCCAAGGCATCACAATGCGGGTTGACCATGCCGGGAACTTTCAAGCTTGCAACTTTTTGTAAGCCTCATTCAGCATGTAAATTAATCATGTGTTTGGAGTTGATGGGGGTTAGGGCTTAATGTACACTAGCCACACTTCAATGCCCTAGCTCAGGTGACTCCACAGAGAGTGGCTGGGCCCACATGCCGTGGCGCACCATGTGACGACGTCATGCCATTTTCACCATCAAGTCTGACATGGTCTGATCTCTCAGAACATGTACACGATACAAATCCATCGAGCATGGTCTACAATCAACACAATATGCTCACTAGCCTACGATGACAATGAGTTCCGGCGACAGACCCTCGTCTTCAACAACCTCACTGCAACGAAAAGAGTCCCTCAAACCAGGGTATGATCCATCTCTCCTCCCCGACTACGAGACTCCATTCATCACGGATGATGACCTTCGTGCATTTGAAAAAGCGCTGAGCGCTCCTGAGGTCGAACCTCTAGTCGCCATCAACGACTGGCGCCCAATCCGCCAGCGCGTCCGACGACCGTTCCGTTCCCGCGCCGTATCAAATACCACCAACAAACCACCTCGAAGAACCAAAGACGAGACGCGCGAAGGGTTTCTATACACGCTGCTCAAGTACCCATTTCTAGCGACTGTGTTTGCATGGATTGCGATCTTGAGCGTTGTATATGTCCTTACTCGGCTGTACATATATCTCTACGAACACTTTGTAACCTGGACCGGTCGACGGGAGAAGTTACGAAGGTCGCTACATTCTACGCGGAATTACGAAGATTGGCAGCGCGCAGCACATAACCTGGATACCTATCTTGGCAATGAGAAGTGGAAAGAAAACGATGAATACGCTTACTACGATCATTTGACGGTGAGGAAAGTGGTGAAACAGCTCAGGCAGCTGCGGAAACAAGTCGAGAAGGAGACACAGAGTGGAAGTGTACAGGACGAAGAAGCGGTTGAAGATCTTCGCTCGCTTTTAGAAGCTTGTGTCAAGAATAATTTTGTTGGGGTTGAGAATCCGAGACTTTACAGTGAAGCTTATTCGGGTACGAAACATCTGGTGCAGGAATATATTGATGAGGTGCATCTATGTTTGGAATGGCTACTCAACACACGGGACTTGACCAAGGAAGTAAAATACCGTCATTTTCGACATTTGGACACAAACTTTGGACGGACTGCGCTGTGTTTGTCCGGAGGGGCCACCTTTGCTTACTACCACTTTGGAGTGGTCAAGGCTCTTTTGGACAATGGCGTCCTGCCAGAAATCATTACAGGAACATCTGGGGGAGCATTGGTTGCAGCGCTAGTGGCTACCAGAACGGACGAAGAATTGAAACAGCTACTCATCCCGGCTCTGGCGTATCGCATCAGGGCATGTCACGAGAAATTTCCCGCATGGGTCAAACGTTGGTGGAAGACTGGTGCTCGCTTCGATACCCTCGACTGGGCGAGACAGTGCAGTTGGTTCACTAGAGGCTCCATGACTTTCCGAGAAGCTTTTGAGCGCACGGGAAGAATTCTCAATGTTTCATGCGTACCCTCAGACCCTCATTCGCCCACCATTTTGGCCAATTATCTCACATCTCCAGACTGCGTAATCTGGAGCGCAGTGATAGCTTCGGCCGCCGTACCCGGTATTTTGAATCCCGTGGTTCTAATGAAAAAGAACAAAGACGGCAGTTTATCTCCCTACTCTTTTGGTCACAAATGGAAAGACGGCAGCCTCCGCACTGACATCCCGGTCAAAGCACTTAATCTCCACTTCAACGTCAACTTCACAATCGTCTCTCAAGTCAACCCACACATCAACCTATTCTTCTTCAGTTCCCGGGGCTCTGTCGGCCGTCCCGTCACCCATCGCAAAGGCCGAGGCTGGCGAGGCGGGTTTTTAGGCTCGGCAGTAGAGCAATATATCAAACTTGATCTGAACAAATGGCTTCGCGTGCTTCGACATTTGGAGCTTCTGCCGCGTCCATTGGGTCAGGACTGGAGTCAAATATGGCTACAACATTTCAGCGGCACAATTACCATCTGGCCGAAATCGGTACCCTCTGATTTCTGGAATATCCTATCTGATCCTTCGGCAGACCGATTGGCTCGTATGCTACATGTCGGACAACAAAGCGCATTCCCAAAGATTCAGTTTATACAGAACCGTATGAAAATAGAGAATCTGATAATGCTAGGGTTGTTGAAGAATTCACCCAATGGCATGAATCATGATAAGTCACCTCTCCTCTCCCGCCGACACGACGATTACGACCGAGACGTTGGCGGAGAGAAAAGGGAAGGCGATCAACTCGACGAAGCGACCAGAATAGTCTCCTTACCGGGTGAGCCAGAAGAAGAAGATTTATCTTCCGATCGTCTAAGCGTCCCAAATACGCACTCGTTTCCGTCATTTTCAAATTCTCATCCTGCCCATGTACCTAATCATCATCGACGGAGCAGCGTTATTGATGAAATGCGCCGTCAGTCAGCTGTGTTCTTTGATGATTCGGATGTTTATTATGGCGAGGAGAGTGATGAGAGCACCGGCCTTGGTGGTGCGAAGGGTATCTGGGATAAGGCGAGGAAGACGAAATCGGCAGACTAATGAGATGATTTGATTTGAAATTTTATTATAGGCTTTGATACGCATTTTTGGTAATGGTTCGATGATGGCTTCTTCGAAGTTTGAATATACTACTAGACTCTTCTTCATTATCAAGCAAAGGTTGTATGTACTACATGTAAATTGCCTCGTCAATAGCGAAGTGGTTCCAGCTTAGGGGCAGTCTGGGCAGCATCCTCAATTCTCTTCATGATATCTGGGGTCAGTTTGGGCACCACTTCAATAGCCCGGATATTCTCAAATATCTGTTCAGGCTTCGATGCACCCGTAATCAAAGAAGAAACGTTCGGATTCTTCAGAGCCCATGCCAGAGCCAACTGAGCTAGAGTGACGTCGAGCTCCTCAGCAATAGGCATGAGATTAGAAACAACCGCGAGGGCCTTTCTCCACGCCTCGTCACCAAAGTTTGCTGTGAAGTCGTTGACGAAGCCGATCTTGCCATCACCAGCAAGTCGSGAGCCGGGTGGTGGAGCACTGACGTTGTTGTATTTACCCGTTAAGATCCCCTGCTTCAAGGGCGAGAAGACAGTCAATCCAAGGCTATGTTCAGCATACAGCCAACGGTACTCATGCTCAACTCTTTCGCGATGTAGCAGATTATACTGAGGCTGCTCAACGACCGGACCGATCAAATTCAACTTGTCTGCTACACGCCATGCCTCGGCGATTTCGCTGCCAGTCCATTCTGATGTGCCCCAATACATGGCTTTGCCCTGATTAATAACGTGATTGAATGCGCGCACACTCTCCTCAATGGGAGTTTGTCGGTCGGGCCGGTGAGCGTATACGACATCGACATACGGGAGTTGTAGACGCTGAAGGGAAAGATCTAAGCCCTCAATGATGTGCTTGCGGGACAAGCCCTGGTTATTGAGTGCTTCTTTACGGCTGCCGTTTGCTGCGCCCCAGTAAATCTGTTGCTTGTATCAGCATTGAACTCCTCATGACTTATTCTCGAAAGACGAGTCTTCGGTGTGCTTGATACCTTTGTAGAAATCACCAGATCCTGCTGCTTCCATCCAAACTTCTTAATAGCCTTGCCCATGATCGTCTCCGATTTCCCACCTTCGTATCCTTCAGCGGTATCAAAGAAGTTGATTCCGGCATCGTAGGCTGTCTTCAAACATTCATACGTTCGTTCTACCCATTCTTGAATTAGTATTTTCATCGAAAGCCTGTTCATCTAAGGGGATTAAAGATACCATCTTCGACGTGGCCGCCGTATGTGAGCCAGCTGCCGAGTCCGATGACTGAGACTTTGAGTCCTGTTTTGCCGAGGAAGCGGTATTCCATTGCAGGTAGCTGTAGGGCCATTTTTCGTCGTCAAGAGGAAGGGTTGCGTTAGGAGTGTGTGTGTATGTTTACTGGTGTCTTGTTGGGTTGAGCGAGGCGCTGATGGGAACCGACTTATGTAAACGTACGATTCTAGCAGGGACATCACCTTGTCGGAGAATCTCCGACAGCACAGACTGTGCAGGTGCCTGTTCCTTGTTTCTGGGAGTCGTATTTCAAATCCGTAGTGACATTGTGATCAAGAACATTGAGTCACGCCAGACAAGAAGCTAGGAGAAGAATGCAACTCTACGATCTTCGTCGTGTCAACCTGCATTGTCGAGACTCGGCGTCTCTCCGATGCTATACCTACACTGTGGCCCATTCATTTGCTGCTCATAGTACGAACACTATTACCCGAATCTTCTTCATGCGTACAATCATGGATGTGACATGGTCGAAGATAAGGAATATTGTATAGTATCTAATATCGCACCAATTTTTATCATTGCGCAGGCATCGTTTGCCTTTTGAATGAGCCATATTCACATCTAGGCTTGGTCTATTACCTGTCTCTCGTTTCAATCCACGAATTGTATTTGATTCATAAATTAGTCCATCACGTAGATTCAATGTTGGCCATGATAGACAACACAACGCAACCTATAAAGCCCTCGTGCTCGGTTATATTAGAACAGCCAAATTCTTTAAACCCTGGGGTAAATTTTTAACGGTATAAGAGGCGAACCGGTTGAATCACGCCGTGTTATATCGATATATTAGCCGCATTTCCCCTCGTTTCGCTGTTCTCGGAGTAAGTCCGGTTAGTATGATAATCGACTCAAGATTCCATGGCTTACAAAGCGAGCCATGAATGAACTTAAGTAAGATACTATGTATGGTAGTTTAATTGATATAGCTTTCCCCACATTGTTGGGGAAGCCTTGATTCACATAAAGAACCTTGAAAGGATGTCAAAATATATATTACCGGTCTGCTGTGTACAATAGTGACTGTGGTCACATAATATAACCATCATTTCCTCCCAGTTTGAACGCCTCGAACATCTAAAACCATGTATCCCAAAGTCTATCAATTTTGCTTGGCCCTCCTCGCTGCTTTTGGATCTTTTCTATATGGGCTACGATCCTGGCATCATCGCCTCGGTGGTCAGCTCCGATTCCTTTGCCTCTCAATCCCTAATACAGAACGAGTTCACTGGATCTGGCACCATAAACGCCTTGTTCATCGCAGGCAAGCTTCGTAACCTTACCCAGTCGTGTCTTCGTGACTCTAAATCCCTTCTACGTGCCCTCCTTGGTTTTTCTTTGCAGCAGGCTTCCGCGACCCTCTTGGTCGACGCGGATCTCTTGTTCTGGGATGCTTGCTTTTCATTGTCAGCGGCACTTTGCAAACTGTAGCCAAAGTCGTCGGCATGCTCTATGTCGGTCATTTGATAGCGGGCTTTAGGAAAATGGATCCTCGTCGAGGTTGTGCCGATGTTCCAGGCTGAGTGTGCTCATGCCAGCATTCGAAGAATTCTGATCTCCTTGTAACAAACGATGAGTGCCCTCGCTGCGTCATGGATAGGATATGGCTGCCTCACTCATTTGTAGAATACCGTCAGTGCCTTTGCAGTACACCTTTAACAAGGAAGAGATCTCTGAACAACGGATCTTCTTTCTCCTCTTTGACCGAGTCGGACGACGACCACTGCAAATCGGTGGAAACATGGCCTGCGCACTAGCCTTCTTTATTGGCACCGCTCTACTCAGTGTGTATCCCCCAACATCAACTAAAGATGCTACACACTGGGCTTTCATAGTAGCAAGCACATGGCTTTACAACTCTACTTCTGCGCACCCGGGACAATGTCATGGATTATACCTGCTGAGATCTTCAATACAGCGACTCGAACGAAAAGTGTCTCAATTGCCAATATGGTCTCCTTCGCATTCAACACGCTGATCGGGCAAGTCACACCTCAGGCCTTGAATGCAATTGGATGGCGACACTAAGTCGTTTTCATTGTATGCGATATCAGTAATTCAGTGTTCTTTTAATTCTTCCTTTCAGAGACTAAAGTTCCCACACTGAAAGCTATGGACCATCTATTTGCCAACTCTTCTTGGTACATCCTCGGCAGTCAGTGGACGCCGAGCCCGGAATATGATGTCAAGAAGGTAGGAGAGAAGCATGAAGCCATTGCCGAATCTCTTGCTATCAGCTACGGAGGACAGCCTATCATTATATTGAATCCAGCAAATGCCAATATCAAATCAAGAACTCCTGCCAGATCCGGTACATGGGTATAATATAATAAAAATGAATGAAACGGAATATCGAAAATGAGGGAAAAGGTTAATCTGGAGAGTCATGGATAGAGGAGTGCCATTAGCATCAGGAATATGCTGTGTGCTGGCTTGTTGTTGGCTGTATGTACTCTGAGAACTGCTATTTCTAATTGACTCCGTTGTGAACAACGCAGTATATGATTTCCTTGGGACACGAGTGTCCGGTGGTATATTTCGAGGCAATGGCTGTTTCATGGAATTTGCTGCTGTTGGTGCTGTTTATTCTGTCGAAGTACAGGAGTTGAAAATGCGTGATAAGGAGGTGGGAGATCACCCTCAAGTTCGGCGACTTCATTTTCAGAGGCTTCTTCTGCGTCCTCTTCCCCTTCCGCTTCACCTTCACCGTCGTCCACATCTTCGTCGTCTTGGTAGGAAGTGTTGTTTTCGGCAATTTTCAGCTGCAGATCGAGCTGAGCTAATGATTGAGCTAATTTGTCAGCTGGTAAGGATGTGGAGGGATTGAAGGCTTGTGATTGGCGATAGTCTAGGGATACGGGCGCTATATTGGTGACGGTGTCGTTCATGTTGTCATTATAGCTTCCGAATTGATCGTTGCGAGGTGATAATGTGGCTCTTGGTGGAGGAAATGTCGCTGACACTGTTTCCTCCTCGCGTTCACCTCGGTGCATATGAGGTGGCGTTGCAGATCTACTACTTGGGAGGCCTTGCTCCAAAGTCCCAGGCAATTCATTCGGGAGTTGCTCGTACGTGGCTGAAAACCAAGGAGATGCAGCTGCCGCTGTAACAGCAATATTCGAAAACGGAGATGGCACTGGAGCAAGGCGACGATGAGGTGTAGCGCGAGGGACATGTATGCGCGAATCCTGACTCGAAGATACCAATCTCTCATCCATTGACGATGCTGGTGCGGGTTGTTGCTGACGAGTTCTCTCGAGTATTTCAATCACCTGCCTCCTCCGATCCGGAGGAATAGTTGCATCTGGGGAAAATCCTAATAGCCCCGACGTCACACCAACAGTGTCCGGTGAGAAATTAGTAAAGTCCAAGAAAGAGAGCGCCGAAGGCTCAGTTGCTATTATTGCTTCTAATACTTCTGGATGTCCATAGTATGCCGCATAGCGAGCCGGAGTCCAGCCTATTTCATCTTTGCTCAACACAGAGGCCCCATGTCTCATGAGCACTGCCACAACTGATAAATAGCCACCTTTAGCAGCCAAGCAGAGTGGCGAGTCTTCGTGCGACCGCATACCAAAGCGTAATTGTAATGGAGAGCCAAAGTCCAACAGCGTTTGTACAGCAGCGACATGGCCGTTTCTGGCGGCAACGCATAATGCCCGATCTCCTTCTGCGTCTCGAACTTCTAGAGATGCGCCCTTTTCGCATAGCAATTTTATTAAACTTACCGATCCGTCCTTTGATGACAAGTGAATCGGTCGCTGCTGTGTCATGCTAGTCTCGCTCTCAATTCCCAGTCCAGAAGTTAGGAGCAACCGTGCAATTTCAGCACTATCAGCCCTGCATGCGTAGTGCAGTGCATTGAAACCAGCCGCACATCTGGTCTCCAACGGACATCTTTTTCGCACCAGAAACTCGACAACGGCAAACTGTGAGTTAATGGTCGCGAGATGCAAGGGTGTTCTCCCTTGGCCATTGATTAGTGCTAATGAACTGCGTGACTGACGGATAAGATAATCCACAACCTCGACATGCCCATTAAAAGCTGCCCAGTGAAGAGCGGTCATCCCATCCTCATCTACACCTTTGAAATTTGATTTCCGTTTCAGAAGCAGTTGAACAGCTGATAATTGCCCGGCCGCTGCGGCGCATATAAGCGGCGTTCGTCGTTCACTCCCCGCCACGTCAACGTTCGCTTTGTTGTTTAGCAGAAGCTCCATGACTTTCACATAGCCACCTTCGCTTGCATAATGCAAAGCCGTCATCATGGAAGCGTCTCTTGCATCGATGTCAGCGCCATAACTTACCAGCAAGCTGGCGATTTCGAAATCTCCTTCCCGAGCTGCGACATGCAGTACAGTCATTTGATTATCAGCTCGAGAATTGACCTTGGCACCTTTTTCGAGCAGCATTTGCGTTGTCAGCAAATGCCCATTGTTAGCTGAAATCCAAAGAGCTGTTCTCCCGAGCCGAGTTTCAGCCTCGATATCTATTGCCTCCATGACAAGTAGTTCCACCACATTAACATGGCCACGAGATGCGGCAAGATGAAGTGCCGTTGAGCCCGATGAATCAGAGCGATTTAATTGTGCATTGTTCTGAATCAACAAATCGGCGATGTCGTCCTTTCCACAATGGGCGGCGACCATGAGAGCATTCCGCCGGGTATGCAGATGCAATTCTTCAATATTATGGCCACTCCCTATCAGTCTTTCAACATCGTAGCGTGCACCGGACTGTGCTGCTTTGACTATATCTGGAGCATTGCGACCAGCTTGTGTATTTAAATCAATGCTTGTGGTAAATTCACTTTCGCGGCCTCGTCGACCTCTTGTCGATCCCACAATGGGGCCGATGGCTGGATTTCGCGATTGGAAGGGGGCCAAATTTGCTCGACTGGAAGTGTTCAGCCGGGTCAGGTTCAACTTGGACAAGAGTTTCTCCCTTTTTGAGCCCGTGGGCGATGGTAACGTAGCGGCGTCATTGGTAGATACCCAACGACGAACGCCAGGGTTTTGCTGCTGATTTCGTTGTGTACCAAAAGAAACACTGTTACTGCGTGCATTAATTGGAATGATCGAATCGTTCGGGCCCAAGGAAGGACCTCTACGTATGGACGTGTTCAGCGAGAGTGAATGACTAGGCGTCACATTGCGACTAACGTATCCTTCGTCACTCGCAGTATTGGATACTGCCACAGACGGTCCTCGACGCAATCCAACATCCTCTTCTAGATAATACTGGGATAGAGCCGATTCAATTCGAGCTCTCCGGAATTGCCCCTGTTGTCGTTGATATGCTAAAGTACTCCTTAATGCACTATCGAATTCAAATTCCGTCTCGCCAACAGACGACAGTTGTCGTCCGTTAATCGAAAGACTGTCAACTTGGGAGCCCGCAGCGCTGCCAATTGTACTCCGGAGCGTGATAGTATCGTCGGCTACTTTTTGAATTATGTGCCGATTTTCCGCCCGGCGAAGAAGTTCAAGTTGTTCGGTGGAGGTCCGACTATTAATGTCAGAAAAGACTATGAATGTAATAATCTCAAATCTCACCATTGGCAAGCTTGCAGTAGCAAATTTAGAGCACGAACTTGACCACGTAGTTGCTCTTGCAAACTACTCATCAGCTGCTCATTCCAGAGTACTTGAAGGCGAGTTCTGAAGGCGAAGACGGACAAATCGACATGTCCATTGACATTGATTGTGAGCTCAGCAACTTTGCCCGATAGCACTTCCATAACCTCACTGCAACCGATAATTGCGACAGTAACAGACTCTTCATACTCTCTGGGGCTAGAATTGACTTCTGCATTATATTTCGCCCAGTCATGCAATTGGATGAGGGCGGCCTTGATCGTAGTCAATTCACCTATCATGGAACGAATGGTGAGGTCCGCATTTTCGTATTTTCCTCGGAGAGTTGACAGCCCAGCGATCGTCTGGCCGATGACTTGAGCGACTTGTAGCGCTGCGCTGATGGCACCCAAGGCGGACAGAGGATCCATCTCGTCGATGATTACCAGTAGAGGGCAGACATCAATTGTTCACAAGCCTTGCCGTTTCATAAATTACTGCGAACGAACAGAGAAATTAATATTTAAACTCCCTGTTTCCAAGACACAGAGCATCGTGTCAATGCACAACGTTTTCTCCAACATGATTGATCGCTCATGGCTGACTATTTTCTTTTGGGGCTGTGCCGCTGTTAGATGCGAGCTCTGAATGGCTGCAATTAGATGGCCCCTGTTCAAGCTGAGGCTGTGCTTGAATTGTGGTTGTGCACTACGACATGACTAGAGCTTTGGGTTTGACACAATTCAATTATCGTAGATCTATTAGAGGAATTTGCTACATAGTATGATGGAATTGAAATGTTGAGGGGTAGAACACCAAGGTGGGTGCTAAATGCCGAGAATAACCTAACCTGTGGCCCTGAAACGAAGAGAAAGCGGCCTGGTAAACCGGAAGTGAACGGAAAGGCAAGATTAATCTACGTTATTGACCTTTGCGAGATTTACACAGATCGATGGTATTACATCAATTGAAAATGCCGGATGAAGCATGAAGCAGGCACAAAATGATATCTTGCAACGGGCACGGCGTAGTGTCACTGTGTACTTTTGGACAACGTACTATAAATAAGGCTTTAGAACAATTGTTTATATGCGCCGCTATGGAACCCTCGCTCATCATTATTGATTTCCCCTTTTTCTCGCTACCTATATGTCAGGGCATTCTCATCTTTCTAACCTTGGACCAGCAATTCCAAACTCGATTGGGCCTAGGCTGGGTTACCGGCTGGKAGGGKTTACACTCCGGCGCCTGGCTCCATCAGCTCCAACAACGCCCTATAAATCTGCGTGCTATGCATGATACGTAATACCAATCTGCACCGCCGGGATTCGCTAGTTTTTATGCATAATTTTGGCTCTTTTCAGATAGAAACAAGTTGGAACAGAGCGGTGGGTTTGTTTCATGGAGAGTGCCAAGCTTGAGCTTCGTAATGGTTGACGCGGCGATCTACCAATGACAAGACATCAATTGACAACATCGCTCGGTATTTGTCCACTGCTTGTCGTATTCATAGCTACGACGCTTCACAGCGACTGCCTAGATGGAGAGACAGACACGGGAAACAGATGCCATCATGACGCGGCAGCTCAAAGGGGATGGAGCAGAGGATAATCAGTGTAAATACCGACTGTCTAAGATATAAAAATCTCATCGATGCCCGTCTACCAACAGTATTTGCTTCTGCATCGATTCTATCATCAAGAAAAATCACCAATTTCCTCCCCTTTTTGTCTAGAAAACAATATTAAAAACCAGCAAGATGGTTGGATTCTCCAAGATTACCGGGTTCGCTATTGCGGCTGCCTGCCTGATCTCTTCTTCTTTCGCTCATCCCGGCGAGACGCATGACGCCGTAGCAATGAAGCGCGAGATCCATGCCCGCAATGTCATGGCCTCTGCTGCTAAACGCTCGTTGGGTGCATGCTCCGACAGTCTCGCGGCTAGAAACCTTCACGCGCGCAATATTGCTCGCCGTTCAAATGTCGCCCGTGAACTACGTCAGAAGCGTAATATCAAGTCGAGTACGTTGGTCCCCATACATGCCATTTTCTATTCCAAAAGCTTCGTTTTGAGCTGACTATAAGCACAGAGGCTAAAAAGTTCCGCCGTGACCTTGCGACTCTCGAGACGTATGAGGCTATCAACCACAATCAGACAGGCACCTACGCATACACCTCGGACACCGCGGAGACCGCTGTGTTTGCAGCTAATACCAGCTGCATCTTGACCCCAGAGGTCACCGATGGACCATACTATGTCTGGGGAGAGATGATTAGGAAGAACGTCAAGGAGGACGAATACTCCGACGGAGTTGACCTCTACCTTGAAGTTCAATACTTGGATATCAGCACCTGTCAGCCTGTGCCTGATATTTACGTCGATATCTGGAATGCCAATGCAACTGGTGTCTACAGGTGAGCAAACCATATATACGAATTGTCGGAGATCGTTACTAATATCGTAAAACAGTGGCATCAGCGAGAGCGGTAACTATGCCGCAGATGGATGGAATTCCACCTATCTTCGTGGCATCCAGGTCACCGACGAAGATGGTGTCGCCTCATTTGAGACTATCTTCCCTGGTCATTACGAGGGACGAGCAACTCACACTCATCTCCTCGCCCATATGAACGTGACTGTCAACAATAATGGCACCCTAGCCCTAGACAGCGGATCAGTCACACACATTGGCCAACTGTTCTGGAACGAGGTGCTCCGCTCAGCCGTAGAGGATACCTATCCATACAACACCAACACACAAGCCATCACCACGAATGCAGACGACATGTGGAGCATTGTGCAAGCTGAGAACGACTACGATCCTTTCCCCGAGTACTTGTACCTTGGCGACGATATCACCGATGGCTTGTTCGCGTGGATTCAGATCGGAGTCAATGTATCCGCTGACTACACTGACAACTCCTACTACAACATCGCTGCATACCTGGAGGCTGACGGTGGTCATGAGAATGAGAGCTCAGGTTCCATCGGTGGTTCTAATTCAACGTCTACCGGTAACGGAACCATGCCATCTTCCTTCCCTTCTGGCTCTGCCGTGCCTACTAGCGCCTAAGATGTGGTCATTAGAGGGAACATCAACTCCTTGCCATAGAAATAGAGCTGGGTGACTGGAATCTCAAAATTTGTGTTTGACTTTTTTTCTCATGTTGCGGGATGTCGTGCTTCCAATTACCCGAAGGTTCAGCGGATTAGACTGAGATTTTCGTCATTACTCGGCTTTTTATAAACACATTATACTGCGATGAATGAGCTTTTTCCATACTAAGTGAGTTAACAAGCCATGTGTATCTTCCGATTTGCTTTTCCCACAGTGATAGGTCTCTTGTTCAGTTTTGGTATCAAGATAAGTCAGAGTTGGACGTTCGACTTAGCCTTATAGTAGTATTTGGTTATCACGGTAAACTGCCATAGAATACTAAATACACTATGAAGCTTATATACCCGGTCTCTCTAGCGTCTTAGGCTATATACTGTATACCATGTACTTCCATATTATCTCTTATAAGTAAATAAGTGTGCAATCCTTTGCAATCCCAGCGCTCTGTGTCGTAATGTCATACTTGTATTCATCATAGTCACAAAGGGACTCCATCACTGGAATTCCTCCGCCATTCTCCTAGAAGCAATCATTCGCACATTTGGCAGAAGGAACGTCATCGCATGGTTCACACCATGCCTCAAACATCGTTGGCTGATACCCCAAATTGATGTTGTAGCATCCACTGCCATAATAAACGAGACAGGCGTTGCATTCGTCGCTATAGGTGATTGCGAAACAGTTTCCAGGTCCGCATGCATCTGTCACGTCAACGAAGTGTCCGCCGGGATATGTAGTTTCATCTGTCCTTCCCAAAAAATCCATGACGTACGTTGCCGAGTGATCTCCGTAGCACTCATTGTCGTAAAAGGAGTACGAATCGTACTGCGTAGCCCAGCTGGGACGTGCGAGGAGAAAAGAGAGGCCCGCAAGAGCCATCCAGCTTTGACTCATCATTTTGACGACGAAGGTATAGAGATATCCTATGCTTTATTTATCAGTCACCAAGGGTTGAAGACTTGAAAGGATGTTCTCGCACCGAAAATAGTATAGGAGCAATGGATTACAAGTCTCTGAAACTGATAACGGTCTTCTCTGTTGGTGGCACAGTCGTTGGTAGTAGTTTTTTCTCCTTCTGCTGTCTACTTATAAGCGCCCCCTGTCCCATTGAAGACTTTCCATCATACCACTTGCTTCCCCCATCTTTCCAATCCAGCGACCTAAATTCTCCATGTCTCAGGGTCATTACTTCATAAGCAATGAAAAAATGCCTCTGAAAAGTCCCCAGAGCTGAATTGCTACGTGGTCGTCATACCAGACAAGGAAAACCCTTGTGACAATGATAGCATGAAATATGCATGGGGTATCCGTAGAACACCTGCCAACCAGCGAGGTCATGACTCGAGTTGATACTGTTGGGGATACACAAGCAGCCCAATCACGGGGGCTACCGAGCCCTAAACCACTATATCAAGCCCTCTATATTTAGCCGCTTTATTAGCTTCATAAAACTCTAAATCGAGTTAGTCCAGCAATTACTACCACCTAGCCGCCGATGAGACATTGCAGCGCCGCACTAAACTATAACCTTCCATCACTGCCCACTTCGCTCGGTGACAACTCATTCAATCTTGATCTTTGAAACTAGATATTTACACTCGCGGGGTCCCGGATCCACGCCTCGACAGACAGATCCTATGGGGAGCAATTTGTTTGGGCAACAGAGAAGACTACACCGATGAACAAGATGCCCAAATTTGAAGGAATTTTTAAGAGCAGAAAAAAGGGCCTCCACGCCAAACAAGGGTCCCTGAAAGGGGCGTTCTTGACCCCGGCCATGAGTCATGAATTTGTTCATGTTCCAGTATAACTGTGGATTACCCGAGGTTTCCATATTCCTTATGGCTAGTCCTTCGCCTCCTCTAGGCTGGCAAACAATTAGGACGATCCACCAAAGACTTATTAAAATTCCGAGACTAGCGTCAGATCATCCACGATCTTCAAATTGCGATTTACGGAGGAATAGTAAATTGCACTTGGCATAAGGTCCCGAGATGCGGTCCAATGTTTGAGATGTGGCACAGCAGTGGCGACACACGATGGGACTCGACGGGACCATCTCGGCCGCCAGGATACGTAAGAAAGCAAATGAAGATATTCCAAATGAAGGTATTGATGTAACACCATGCAACACACGCGGTCGGTCTATACCTTGCTCGACTCCGAACGGAGTCACGGCATGTCACAGATTTCCTATTTGGGAAGGAACTGGAGATCGCTATGCTTGACTCCGAGCAAGACACCACGATGGAGTAACCGAGGTTAACATGATTCCGAATAGCAGGCTGGAGCCTAACAGCTCATTGAAGAAGGGAATCTTGATTAGCTACAACAGTATACTGAAAGCATAGAGTTACTGGAATGCGGTGGTGCCTTTGAAATGTAATTCTGATTTTTGCAATTGATTCTGCTTCTAGGATCTAGCACGGTTTCTACGGTAAGGACCTAGTTATCTGTAGGTAATTGGGTCCTTATCAAGTACGGAACTCAACTAAATAAATCAATGGAATCTAGCTATAGAAAATAGGTAGAAGATGATTTCATGTTCAAATCAACCCTATATCGGATTATGATAAACTAGAATCAAATGCTACTTTCGTTGATCACTAATGAGATCAATTCGTAAATTGAATGCATTCTCATTCCTATATTGACATATTGAAGCGAAGGGAATTTGAAGTCCAGAATCTAGAATTGGACGAGACTCCATATTCGTGATACATGGTCGGGGTTTACCTTCATTGTGAGAAGCTCTATAATTTGAACACCATTTCACTTCGAACCTCTCCTTTAATTTTGGCCAGTCCTGTCTTTCCCGAATCATACTTGACATGCGACAGAAAATAAAAAAACACGGATGACTTATCGCTTTCGTGTTCGCAACTATCTTATAACGGAAATGCCGTCGTAGAAGCGCATCTGATATACGGCGTGGATCTCGTGAGGGTTACGATAGATTAAATTCAGTACGGTTCCATCGATATCGAAGAAGCATGGTAAAAATCAGAGAATTTCATAGTCATCCTGAAGGCAAAGCATTAATCAGGAATAACGATGTCCGCGGATTAGTATACCTACATCAAAATCAACAGAGACAGCCTGGCCGTCAAAGCTCAGTTGATTACTATGCTGCAGGACTAGACAAAATTGATTTTTTGTGAAGACGGAGACATCCTCTATCTCGTCATTGATCCTTTTTGAAAACTCTCACGAATCGGTAGGCCCTCCCGCTCAAGTGGGCATATATGAGCCGCTTCGAAGGCGCGGTAGTCATTGTGATGCGCAACTATTTTTGACAGACCGGCCAACACACATGTTCCATCGAGTTGACGGACTTGATATTGGAATGTGTCGTCGCATCCACAGATATTGTAAGACAGAGTCCGTGGTACACAGACTTCTTCAGTCAGCTTGATAGATACTTTAGGTGTTAGTCAGACATGTATGGCCAAGAGCCAACTAGATGAATCCCTAGCACGGGCCCGGATGCGAGATTCGCTTCGCTTCGCTCAAAGAGGCGACAACGAATGTCGGCAACACGTCGAGACCATATAAGCAGCATATAAAATGTTATTTCCAGCGCATACCACTGGTGAATATGCCATGGTCACTGGATTGGAACGAACTGTTAGTTGTTGATATGACCTGATGATATTGTGATCGAACTCTGATTCCCTCTGAAGCAAATAACAGAGCATCAGTCAGCATCGTGAAAAACAGTTCTTCAGACGCAGATCCGTTCTAGCACAAGCCAATCCACGCAAGAGCTTGCCTGTAGCACCATTTTAAAGTGGAATTTACCACCCTGATTGCGAACCCTTTGAATAAAATCGACCGATATTAATCTCGGTGTCAGTAGCAGAGTATTTAACTGACCTAGTAAAGAACGGGTAGGTTTACAGCCTACACCTGTCCATTTGGACTTTGTGTAATCAAGGCAAGTCTGACACTGGGATAGGAGGGTAAAAACGGAGTGACATGGATTTGACCTGAGTATAATACTGTCCATGTTAAATTCCTCCCTTTTCTCTGTTGAAGCCATGAAGTAAAAGAGAAGGTGATAGGAGAAAGGGATTGGCTATAAGATCACGAGACGCTAGACCTAGAAAGGCAACATAGGAACGACGCGAAACGCGTCGCACCGCCAAAAGGATCCCCACCAAACGCGCCCCTCACGTTATTTCTCTGCCATCTCGTTAAGCTCGACTCGACATTCGCAGCTACCAACTACATACACACTCACGACCTATTTCTTGCTTTATACCTGCAACACAGCTTCTCACGAACGCTACGAGTATATTTCTCAATAAATCTCGATTACTCATAGCTACACATCAAAAGTCAGTTGCGACTCCCTGGTTGATCACCCACAATGCTCAGGACTAATCTGTTTTGTAGTGTTTGAAGCACGCTTAGAACAGGCCGGTCTCCTCAAAAGGGTGCGTATATCTCATACATTCAGGCAAAGCAAAGACTGACAATTGATCAACCATACAGGTCGTCGATGCCATCAAAGATCTCGTGCAAGACTGCAACTTCGACTGCAATGACTCCGGCATCGCCCTCCAAGCGATGGACAACTCACACGTTGCCCTGGTCTCCATGATGTTGAACGCAGACGCCTTCAGCCCCTTCCGATGTGATCGCACAGTCGCTCTCGGCATCAACCTTGTCTCGCTCACCAAGGTTCTGCGCGCTGCTCAAAACGAGGATATTTTGACATTGAAGGCAGAGGACTCCCCAGATGTGGTCAACCTTATGTTTGAGAGTTCAGAGACCGACCGTTTGAGCGAGTATGACATTAAGCTTATGGATATTGACCAAGAGCATTTGGCTATTCCTGAGACGGATTATGCGGCTACTGTCTCAATGCCTTCTGCAGAGTTCCAGCGAATTTGCAGAGATTTGAATGCGCTGTCTGAGTCTGGTACGTCCCTATCTTTTTTGTTATTGCTATCAAGCTAATACCGATTGTTCTCTGCAGTTGTCATCGAGGCTACAAAGGAAGGCATCAAATTCTCCTGCCAAGGTGACATTGGCAACGGTGCCGTGACTATTCGCCAACATACGAACGTCGAGGACCCCAACAAAAACGTCTCTATTCAACTCACTGAGCCTGTCGCTCTCACCTTCTCTCTCAAGTACCTCGTCAACTTCTGCAAGGCCACTGCTTTGTCTGGCCAGGTCAAGCTTTGCCTTTCTCAGGAAGTTCCTCTGCAGGTTGAATATAGTCTGGCAGGAAGCAGCGGCAGTGCTGCCAGTGGTCACTTGCGATTTTTCCTTGCTCCAAAGGTAAGCCTCACCCCTTTGCCCCTTCAGAGCTTGACTAACACATGATTCGTAGATCGGCGACGAGGAATAAACGATTTCATTTCCGCATCGGCGTAATGGTTATTCTACGAAATATCAAAAGACTAGTGAATAGGGATGAAATGGTTCATGTCGGGATTGATAGTTTGTGAGCTAAACCAGGTCACTAGTCATGCACTGTCTGTTGTTGCTATGATTCCAAGCGCGCTGATACTTTGAATTTGGCGCTTTATTTATTTTATTTGATTCATGAACACTAGTATTCCGAAGAATTTAGGGTATTAAGATTACTTAATTAAATACAATCCGTAGGACATCCTTGGCACGAAGAAATAATTAGTAGCATTCTGATGACAAGATTCCTCCCTCTCCTCGCTCAAGAGTATAGATAACCACTCACATCAAAAAGAAAAAGGTGAAGCGTCGCCCCCAACAGAATGATCGGAATCGAATGATATCCAATCCCCCCAATTCAGCTATCCAATGAATCCTTCATGACAAAGGCAACAGTTGAATAGGTATGAAATAGGCAGGACATAAGCTGGATATGCTGCGTATTGCACTAAAGTGTTTTACGGACACAATCTTCGCATCGGCTCTCCCATGAAGTAATTCCTCCAGAGGAGAGAATTCTTCGAAGTTTCTGATGCCGAGATGCGAGCGCTACCTATCGCGCTGGACCCTCACGGGCAGTTCTACTCTTTCTTTCGCCCTTCTCTGTTCGAGAAGACGGAAAAAGAGTTGATATAGGTTGAAGAATACTCCGAATTTCTCATTTGCATAGTGTGCAGCGTGTAAAGAAGCCGGGAGACTTGAATTACTTCTGTTGTTTGTAGCAAAGAAACGCAGCATTGAAGGGGGCGACGCTTAAGAGAAAGAAGAGGAAGAGGAAGTAAAAGGTGAGTCAGTCAATCTTTTTTGTAGTGTGATATTTTTCTGCCACTTAATTGGTGACCGCTCGACCGGTCTTAGAGTTTTCATTGGGTGGCTCAAGCGACGCAAATTGGTTAGTTTTACTGCCTCAGGCATCAGAGGTGGAACTTCCAACAAAAGTGACACGTGAGCGCAGAAAAAAGGGGCATGCTGTGTTGCCGTTTACGCGGCTTCTGCTAGCGAAAAAAAAAATTACACTAACTTTGAGATGACCATGAATGCGCGAGGTAATATCTGATGAGTTGATGTTAAAGTGAGATACGTAGATATGTAGTTGACTCTACTGTGGCTATGGAGGCTGGAGCGAGGCATAGTTTAGCCTTGCCATGAATAAACACATGTCACTAGCCTTCGGGGTGGCCTGGCCTGTCTTTGAGACTAGGAATTGAATGATGGATTACTGTGGCGCATTTCGAACCAAAGCGTGGTTCATGGTCTGTTCTCGGAGCACCCGAAGAGTCCAAAGCAATGCGACTTCAAGCCTGGTCATACATTACGTGCCTGGTACCTCGTGAATGTCCGACTTGGATTCTGATTTTCACGAGATATGTCGCACAGACTAGACGTGAATGGCAATGCAGAGTAAGACACACAGCAGGCCGAAAAGAGCGATTTTCCAGAACTCTGATTAGTCCTGCTGGGCCATGTCACTCCAACTGTCTCAGCCTCCCCCAAAATTGGTCGATTGGGGCAGGCATTCCAACAACACCCAGCCTCAAGCCTTCGTCTCATCATGCATCTGTTTGATGTGTCTATAAAGGACGGTTCTGCTGTCTATCTTGGCTTCTGACCGGTGCATGATTAATATTGCTAAGCTGACAACTTGACACTCTTGACTGTGTGAAGTCCAGGAACCGGAGTACGGAAGGTCAGAGAGTGGGACAAAGGCCCACTGACCCACCGTCCCCTTCCACCGCCTGAGGCAGTGAGGCATCCATATTCCATAATTAATTTGTTTGACTGCTTATTTCTGGCTTCTCAGACTTAGCGCGGTCCAAAACTTTTCTCCATCTTCAACTCTTTGCTGTCGTTCATCGTCCTTCGTTATCACCAACATTGTTCATAGTACTCATATCACAGGCATTCCTGTACTGTGATACACGACAACAACAACAACAACGGAACCTTCGCATCAATCCGTGTCGTCGCTCGTTCCCCCAAGAGTTCGTCTCAGTATCCGTTGGACTGTCTCCCCGCATAGACCACCCCGACCGTTGTGCTCCATACCTCTTGTTTCAGACCGACGGCTACCGGACAATCTGTCAACAAAGCACAAAAACCATCCCATCTTTCATTATCGCACTTGGAATTGATACACTTTTACGGCTACAACCATAATCACCTTGTGTGACTCTGATCTCACTTGACTTAGTGGGATACCGCCAAAACGGCCGCCTCTACCCTAGACGTTCCTCTTAACGGATCTGGCTCCGTGTCGACGGAGCAAGTTTCCAAAATTCCTTCATCGCAGTCCCGAGCCTCGTTGCTCGGAGGAGCGTACGACACTTCCTATCGTGCCTCAGGCGGTCCATTTCCCGAACGTCAAGGCTACAGACAGGTCCATGGACCGGAGCCAGTAAGCAGAATGTATCTTCCGAATACAAAGTGGACATGGCTGTTTGTTGTGACTTCTGTGGTCCAGGCAGCTATCATCCTCGGTCTTGAGTCGTACGTTTCTTCATCTGCGCTACACTGATCTATGTACAGAGTATACCTAGGTACTGACGGGTGCTACAGCTATGTTTTTGCGACCTTCCAAATCAATCATGCGCACTTTGACAACTCCGCCAGTTCTTCCAGAACCCTTCCGACGTTTCTCTCGCTGTACCTTTTCGGTTTTATCTATGAATTAGTTTTGGTCTACGACGCTTTGCGTCTCAAAAACACAATTCAGATCATTGGAATCTGTCTCTGTAACGTCGGCTTGCTCATCTACGGCGCTTTGCAGATCGAACAGGTATCCTTGGATGCGGGCCTCTATCAGCAGACCAGACCAGTCTTAGTCGCAATCCCTGTTATAATTGCGCTCGGCTCGATCATTTTAGCATTTTTGACCTGGAAGCTCTATGACGAATTTGCGTGGACAATTTATAAGCATATCAGTGCCGATTTGCGTATGAAGAGGCGGTATTTGACTTACCAGGTATTTACCTTCGTCCGATGCCCTCTCTCGCAGCTTCCTCCTCTAATGCACAATAGATCTACATTGCCTTGTTGAAGTTTGATTTCTTCTTCTTCTTGGGTTTCACCGTCCAATTCGTCGTTATCGTAACTGGGAAAACCGATGTCGAATTTGGTTTGACTCTGGCTGCTATTCCAGTGACCATCTTGATTTTATTCTTTGCTGCAGTCTTCACGAGACGAGAGAACACACTCGGCATGTGCGCTGTCATTGTGAGTTTCAATCATGCATCACGATTACATTCTGGGCAAATATTTACATTGGTTTCTAGACACTTTATATCGGTGGCCTGGCCTATTTCCTATTCAAGCTCGTACGCATGTACCAACCATCTCGATATTTCGAGTATATTGCCGCTCGACGATCATTGACCTTCTTTGCCGTTATCACCATCCTCTTGATCATTGCAACAATCGTAAACGCCATCGTCTGTACGGCGAATTTCCACAAGGGTCTGAAACCACACATCATGACACGACGCAAAACTGATGATGACGAAAAATCTACCGAGTTGGGCTCCAGAGTTCATGGAGAGACCCTGCCTAATCGTATGATGATTGATTAATTGATTTTGCGATTCGTCATTCGAAGAGCTCAACCGCCGTCTGCAGCATGGTACCCCGAGCTTTTTGGGAACAAATTCCTTGGAACACATACATATACCCTGTACGCTTTGCAAATTTACATAAATGAACACACTCTGGCGACCGGCTCACCAGTTTGCCTGATCTGACGGATTCTGATACTATGATACCACACTACTGTTTATACCCTTTTCTGATGGCTGCGATCGGTCATTCAATGTTCCTGTATTTTCCCTTTTCTTTTCTATTTCTTTAGAAAACAGAAAATATACTATTTTTTCATGACGAATGGTGTTTGATGGTATTGATTTGGATTTGACCAATGGATGATGCTTTCTGAGTACCGCGAGCCATTGTACTTCTATAACACATGTGTAGCAAGTATAAAATTCTTCCTACTCATTTCGGACTCTTGGTTACACCATTTCCTCTATTCATCTTCCACAAAATGCTCAATCAAATCGTCGCACATCACGGGATGTGCAGAACCATAGCGACAAATTTTTACTCAGGAAAATAGGAAAAATCACAATATAACGAGAAATTATCCATTTTCATATTGACGATCGATTCCATGATCGACGCTAACCTTAGCCTGCGGTTGATACTCGGATGTCGCCCAGGAACTCCATTTTTGGCGCGCTCGACCCGCCCTGTTTTCCTATCTTACCTTTGCATGCAACACCAACTAGCTTTCAACCGAAATCGGCATGTCCTGGTCAAATAATGACATACTTTGAGACAATGAGCCAGGGAACGTAATTATGGCACGAAGAAATTCAACTCCTAGCCAGGATGATCAGCCACAGAATGCGCCCTCGTCTTCAAACAAGAGACGCAAAGTCACCCGCGCATGCGATGTGTGCAAAGCAAAGAAAAAGGCATGCACCGGTGATATCCCGTGTACTTGGTGTGCTCGACACAAAATTACATGCACATATCAATCGGCCTACAATAGGGGTGCGCCCGTGTCGCCTCGTCCGTCTTTGCGGATGGATGCAACTCCCACCACTACCCGCAATCGAAGCGATTCGGTGTCTGCTATTCTTCTTCAACAGCAAACTCATACTCCAGAACCGACTCAGAGAACTCCAATGATAAACACGGTTGCGATAGAAGCTCCGGCAACGGATCCCGCACTGCGTCCGAATCCTGGCATAGAAGAGTCCAATAGTCGTGGTCAACCAATTTTACAGCCATCGCGCGGCGTGTCCCCCGAAGCCAGAGAACCAAGAGAGATCGCAGGCCAATATTCCGGTCCAGCATCAGCGCATTCATTTCTGTACCGCGTAGTCGAGAAGTTCCACCAAAGCGAATATCGCACCACAAAAGCTCTCGCTTCAGGGGATTTGCCAGCTGACAAGTCGATTTTCACGTTTGGAGACGCGCATTTCTCCGATCTTGATGAATCGCAAGATTATTTCCCGGATCGGTCTATGACTCGGGAATGCGTGCGTCGTTACTTCGAGTTTGCGTCTCCGACGTACAGGATTTTGCATCAAGGTACGGTTGAGCAGTGGGTGGACAAGATATACCAACAGGCTCCTGTCTCCGAGACAGCAAAGGCAATTGTGTTAATGATATGTGCAACTTCATGTCTGTACCATGGGGAGTCTATCACGTATTGTTCAACGAACCATACAACGGCAGATCAGCAAGAATGGCGACGAAGCGAAGCCTTTTATACCATGGCACTACACATAGTGGACAATGAAATTGGGTCACCATCGCTACAGTCAATTCAAGTTCGTTTCCTTATGGTTCTTTATCTGCTCAGCTCGTCGCGGATGAACAAGGCTTGGTTTACATTTGGTACTATGGTGCAATTACTGATGACTCTGGGGCTACATCGACGCCGAAAACCGATCAGGACGCCTTCTTCGAGCGTGTCGAATGCGCAACGTGTTCAGCATGAATGCCAAAAGCGGATACTGTGGTGTTCGTTCACGCTGGATAAATATTTAAGTCTCATGCTCGGCAGACCGCGACTCTTGCAGGAGGACGATATTGATCAGGAATTTCCTTCGCCACTCAACGATGAAGATCTGGTCTGGAATGAAGATTACAAGTCGAAGCCGGCCAGAGATACAGTGATGTTTGCACCAGTTGCGCATGCGCGTTTGGCTCAGGTATTGGCTSGAGCCGCTAAAGAGCTATACCCAATTACCCCCATGTCGCATGCGAAACAAATGGAGACGATTCAGGACCTTACTTGTCAGATTTCTAACTGGCAGAAACAACTACCTCCCATATTCTCCGGTGAAATCAAACCGAGTAGCCTGGTTGCGATCTTTCGGAGACAGCTTACCGTGCTACGACTGGCATATTTCCATGCCGTGATGTTCGTGACAAGACCATTGTTGTTGAAGAATTACGCCAAGTACAATTTCCGTGACTACAACCGCCTCTATCGGCCACATATCGATGCTTGTATCACTGCGGCTCGTGATACTATGGAGTTAGTGCTGGAATTCGTTGACGAGAATCAATTGTTTACCGCATTCTGGTATACGCAATACATCACTTTCAATGCCTTGTCGATCATCTACTTGTATCTCCTACAAGTCAAAGGTAGTCGGATTCAGGCGTTCAATGCAAGCTTCGAATCATATGACGCAACCGGTACCAAGTCAAGCGAGTCTCATCTTCAAGAACTAGCAGAAACCACGTTTCATCATTTAGCTAGAGTCACTGTACAGAACGCGCCACATATGCGTTATGCTGCGATACTGGAAGGACTACGAACAGAAGTCAATAGCAGTAAGCTGACTCCGCGTCAAGCGCAGTTTCCGCAAGAGGGATCTGATGAATTGAATTGGAGTCGGTTTCTCGAGTCTCTGGGCCCTACAATGCAAAGAGATTATGCAGATACTGCTGGTGACGATCATGTTGAGCAAACTGAAGCAGCTATGCCGCATGAATTTGCGACGTATGAGCAGGCGTCACCGCTAAATTATCCGGGCGATGTTCCTGTTTATGACGTGTATGCAGCACAAGCACAACAGCCGGAATCGTTGGTGTCAGCTTATGATGATCTGGGTCTTGATTTCTGGTCACAGATGGACAGTCTGCCTATTTGTGAGTATTGCTTCATTATTTGGTCTATATGTCTGTCTAATAATGTCTATCACAGCTTATTCGAATATCCAAAATATGTGAAATCATCATAGTCCCACAAATATCCTCTATGGATCTTCCAAATTCTTGTTCCAGTGTCTCAAAGAATGGCTACGCCATTAGGTGGGCTTGCTACTCCACCAGGAACCTATAGTCACCATTAGTTAGCCACTACGTGGCTATAAGATGAAGATTTTACTCACCTTCAATGGCACACTACTAAAGAAGAACGACCACTTTCCTCTCTGCCGACACTCCTCACTCAACCGCTCCAAATCAAACAGCTCACCTATCGGCAGTCCCCAACCCGCCAGAAACCATTCATGCAGCCAAAAGTCCGTATTCTGGCAAGGCCATGCCTCGAAACTCGGCTGATCTCCTGCAACGGCTGCGAAACCTTGCTCCCATACCCATTCGAGTGTCTCCTCGGATGACTCGACGCCAATTGCGGCCGGATTTTTACTATCTGCTAATGCTTGTCGTACTTCTATTGTAAGCTGGTTGTATGCCTGTATCCAGCCTGTGCGAATGAAGAGGATGTCGCCGCGTTGTAGCGTCGTGCCCTGTGATGCTGCTATTTCTTTCAATTGGGAGACTGTGATGGAAGTTGTTGAGAAGCAGTCTGTGCTCATATTATGAGCTGTTGCCCATGCAGCATAGTCCAGCAATACACCTCTTCCCACAATGCCACCGTTTTCTACCCACGCTATCAATAACAAAAAAGCATGTCAGCTTCGACCATCCTTCCAATTCACAGGAACGACTCACCATGAATGCCATTAACCTTCGTCGCCAACAAATCCTCCAACGTATATCCATTATAATATAGCCTCTCCTTTTGATACCCATAATGCCTAAACCCATCCCACTGCGAACTTATCTGCGTATTCAGCACAAGAACATCATCATTCACAGACCTTGGCGCCTTGTTGACGATGGTCTGCTCGAATGGTTTGCGCCCGAAACAGGGTTGTTGGAGCATGCTGTCTAGAGACCAGTCGGTGGATATGCGGATGCCGTCGTGGATTTCGCGGATTGCGGACAAAGTGGTTTGGGGGTCGAGGAGGTTGAGGCGGCCGAGGTTGTCGTTGGGGCCGTAGAGACCCCAGGCATTGCCGTGTGGTCCGTCTGGACGTAGAGGGAGGGACGAGAAAGGGGGAGTTTGGCGCGTGGACATCTTTTTGGCTACGGTAGTTTCTTAGCTGTTTGAATGATATCCAATGTTTGGTGTTTTGGAGGTTTCACAGTTGGCGATGAGGTAGTGACTGCTCCAGGCGTGCAAGGGGCGACTGAAATCTAGCCTGGGATTATCTAACGGGAAATTATCCTGTCGAATGAATTGATTACTAGGCTAAATCTTGGTTTCAAGTGAGAGAATGATCACCACATCCGGGGTGCGTGGTATGTAGCTGTAGCTTTTTCCGCCGTAATAAAGTTTCCGCCTCGGATAGAAGTCCTTTTCCGCCATATGTCCCACCATGTCGATAGACGATAAAAATTGGGGAACCTTGCAATATTCCTTCTTTTAAGGACTCAAGACAAAAGTTTTTGTGAATTGGTTTGTATTTGCTCACTACACAAAATATCAGAACCTGGTAAATACCCTCGTTGATCGTTCCCAACCACATCGTTTCCACTATGGCCGCGACACTCCCCGAAACATTCACACTCAACACCGGCGCCAAAATTCCCGCCGTCGGCTTCGGAACATGGCAAGCAGCGCCCAAAGAAGTCGAACGAGCAGTCGAAATCGCGCTTCGAGAAGGCTACAAACATATTGACTGCGCAGCTATCTATCGCAACGAGACCGAGGTTGGTCAGGGAATCAAGAAGTCTGGAGTACCTCGTGAGGAAATTTTTATTACGAGCAAATTGTGGAATACAAAGCATCGCCCCGAGGATGTTGAGGCCGCGCTGGATAAGACGTTGAAAGATTTGGGCGTTGAGTATGTGGATTTGTATTTGATGCATTGGCCTGTGTGAGTATTGCTTCTTCGGAATTGAAATATCTTCCCTCACTAATAGTCTGGATTAGCGCTTTCAAACCTGGCGACAAATGGTTCCCCCTTGACGACGAGGGCGTCTTCCAACTCGACGACATAGATTTCGTCACCACTTACAAAGCTATGGAAAAACTCCTCGCAACAGGCAAAACTAAAGCCATCGGCGTCTCAAACTTCAATATCCGCCGGCTCAACGAGCTTCTTCCACAAGTCTCCGTCGTGCCAGCCGTCAATCAAATCGAGGCCCATCCCTACCTTACTCAAACGGATCTTTTCCAATACTGCAAGGAGAAGAATATTCTGATTGAGGCTTATTCGCCGCTTGGAAATAACCAAAACGGCGAGCCTAGGACCGTCGATGATCCACTTGTTCATGAGATTGGTGTTCGATTGGGTCTTGATCCTGGTGCAGTTTTGTACAGTTGGGGTGTCCAGCGTGGGACCGTGGTATTACCTAAGAGCGTGACGCCGTCACGCATTGCTTCAAATCTGCATGTCAAGGCACTTCCTGAGGATGCCATTGCGCAATTGGATGGTATGGAGAAGCACAAGAGGTTCAATTTCCCGGCGCACTGGGGATATGATATCTTCGATGAGGCTGGTGAGGAAGCTGTGAAAAAGGCTGCGCGCGATGCTGCGCCGACGAATAAGGTTAAATTTATCGTATAGATATTTTTTTTATTTGGTTATACGTTGCAGTTGATCGTGAAATGAGAGTTCAAGTCAAGCACTGCGCAATGATGGTTGCCTATTTTGGTTTAGCTTTAGGGCTTCTGTAACATCGTGTAGCCTCGGTCAGATAGTGGAATTATCTGTGGGAGGAATTCGAGACAATCATCAATACGTAGCGAACGATCACTCATAATGCTGAAAGAGTGGATTAACCAATGTACTCTATCTTCTCAGTAGTTTTGCCCAGATCGAGTACCAGGATTGCATGCGACTAGGTGCAAGAACACTTCGCTCCAATGACATCGGCAATGACAAGCTCGTTGGAAACCCAACTAAATACATGACTACAGATATTGGGCATTTTCCAAGCACAAAAACAAGAAATGGCAATTTAGAGTTTGAGTCGTAAAAACATCATGGCGGACTTCTTCATCACTGCTTTCTCCTTATCCGCTACTAAGTTTGCCCCCGCTCCATTTTCCGCTGTTAATCCGCCATTGGTCTCTTCGCCCCTCATTGCTCGTCGGAGATCTTGTATGAAATGATTAATCTTTGATGTTTCTCCAAGAACTCCGATTAAAAATTTGGAGTTGGTTATAATTATATTCGATTCGGTACTTTCTGTATCTTGTGTGCCATAAGTGAACATCAACAATGGCAACTGTGACGGCTCCCCTAGAATCGCTACGGCCGTTGGCTGTGCCGTCGCCCATGACGAGTATCGCAGAAGTCAAGCCAGTTACGATTAGCGCACAGGCTCCAAGCACTATTGATGAATTGATCAAGCTTTGTGCAAGCCAGCCAGAAGCTGACGAGCCTATTATCGCTTATCCAAATAATGACATCGATTACGTCTACTACACTCCGCGACAGGTATGTATATTCTCTACCAGTCCGCTCTTACCTATGACTAATTTCATGACTATTCTCTAGCTTAATGAACTAGTTGAGCAAGTCGCCATCCATTACTCGGCATTCATACCGCAACGAATAAAATCTTCTGATCAAGTGCAAGTTGTTGGCTTACTTGGCCCCTCGGACTTGGACTACCTCATCACTCTCCTGGCAGTGACTCGATTGGGACATACGGTGCTGTTCCTCTCCACGAGGATATCGGAAGATGCTGTTGTCAGCTTAGTTCAGGCAACCAAAGCCACCACATTATTATTCAATGAGAGTTATGAGACACTCGCAGCTGGTGTTCAGGAGCGTACCGGCGCATCCACAGGGCTTATACACTCTCCGACACACGATAAGTCAAGAATATCAGCTGAAAACCAAAGACTTCCACAACATCATCTAGACGGCGCAACAGAAAACAAACACGTCTGCTGGATCATTCATTCCAGCGGTTCCACCGGACACCCGAAACCCATATTTCAAACACACTCTGGAGCGCTCCGGAATTACGCCAACAATTTCGGTCTTCGCGGCTATATCACGCTGCCTCTCTACCACGCTCATGGCATCAGCTGCGTTTTCCGAGCAATACATTCACGCAAGATTATCTATATGTACTGTGCCAAAGTGCCCCTGACTGCTCACTATTTGCTCGCAACTTTACAAGCGCATCCCGAGATCCGGGTTCTCTATGCTGTGCCATATGCTCTGAAGCTGCTATCAGAAAGTCATGATGGCTTAGCCACCCTCAAGAGCCTTGACCTCGTCATGTTCGGTGGATCTGCCTGCCCCAAGCCTATCGGTGACAAATTGACGCAAAATGGAGTCTTACTCGTATCCCACTACGGAACTACCGAAACTGGCCAACTGATGACCTCCTTCCGTGACCGCTGTGATACCGCCTGGGATTACTTGCGTGCTGGACCCGAACTTCGCCCTTACCTCCGTATGGAGGAGAGAAGTCCCGGGATATATGAGCTGTGCGTTCTTCCCGGATGGCCATCGAAAGTTGCCAGTAACCGAGACGATGATTCGTATGCAACAAAGGATCTCTTCGAACCACATCCTACTATCCCCAATGCCTGGCGGTATTATGCTCGTTTGGATGATACGTTGGTTCTTGAAAATGGTGAAAAGGTCAACCCTTTGCTTATTGAGGATGTTGCTCGTGACAACCCCAATGTGGCCGATGTGGTCGCCTTTGGAGCCAACAAATCCTATGTCGGTGTATTCTTGGTTCCTGCCAAAATTTCCACTGTGAAAAGTGACAAAGAGCTGGTCGACTTGATTTGGCCAGCTATCGAAGCTTGTAATAAGAAAATGCCAGCATACGCCCGCGTGATGAAAGATATGATCAAAGTCTTGCCATCGACTGCACAGTATCGGACAACTGACAAGGGAACCGTGATTCGATCTGCATTCTATCGTGATTTTGCCGGTCAAATTGAGGATGCCTACCGTGATGACAGTATCAATGAAGCCCTCCCTGCTATAGAAGGACCGGAACTCCTGGCTCATCTACGCCAATTATTGGCAGAAGTCATAGTGAGCAATGGCGCCAGCGCTGATGTGAAAGATGATACAGACCTTTTCAGCTTGGGTATTGACAGCTTGCAATCTCTCAGATTGCGAATGTCAATCATGAAATCTATCAACCTGGCTGGTGCTTCGCCTCCTCAAAACTTCGTTTTCGAGAATCCGTCATTGCATGCCATGGCATCTGCATTGACTCGGCTGCGTCTTGGACAAGGGGCTGGAGTGCAACCGGATATTGAGACTCGTATGACTGCATTGATCGAAAAGTATGGTACATTTGATCAATCATCTATCATCTCCAAGAAGGGGGACAGTAGTATTATCGTCGAAACGAGTAAAGCTGTTCTTTTGACCGGAGCCACAGGATCTCTCGGCGCACACATTGTGTCCCAATTAGCATCATCCACGGAATGCAAAGCCGTGTACTGTCTGGTACGAGCAAAATCTAAGGAAGCAGCAGCTAAACGTGTAAGACAGTCGCTACAAGCTCGCAACTTATATCACAAAATCTCCGCTAGTATACAGAGGAAGATAGTTGCTTTACCCGCCGATACAACTGACCCTCAACTTGGATTGAGCGAGGAGACATATACGTTTCTGAAATCCCAGATCACCCATGTCATACATTGCGCGTGGTCAGTGAACTTCAATATGACTCTCGAGAGTTTTACGGACTGCATTGCCGGAACACGCCATCTTCTCGACTTTTGTCTACAGGCAGAACGACCAGATGGCGCAGCTTTTGCATTCTGCTCCTCAGTGAGCACAACGGCAAGGACACCAGGCAACTCAGTGCCTGAGGCGCTCCCTCAATCGTTGAGTTATGCGCAGAACATGGGCTACGCGCAATCTAAGCTCGTCACGGAGTATGTAGTGCGTCGTGCTGCTCAGAAGACTGGTTTGACAGCACGTGTTCTTCGCATTGGTCAGATCATTGCTGATACCAGATACGGTATCTGGAATGCATCCGAAGCTATCCCAATGATCTTTCAAACCGCAGAGACCATACATGCACTGCCCAAGTTGAATGAATTGGTCTCTTGGACGCCAGTTGATACCATCGCTTCTAGCGTAATTGACCTGACCGTGGCCCCGTCCGATAGTGCAGTTGAGGTCGTGAATGTCACAAATCCAACTCTTATCCACTGGACGAAGGATTTGCTACCCTTGCTTCACGAATCCGGTCTCACATTTGACGAATTGCCTGCTCGCGAATGGATTGGCAAACTTCGGCATTCGGAACAAGATCCCGTGGCTAACCCGCCTATAAAACTGCTCGAGTTCTTTGCTTCCAAATACGACAACGACAACGCACCAACTGGCAAGCGTGTATTTGAGACGGGTATTGCTCAAGCTCATGCGTCAAGTCTCCGTCAAGCAGGCGCTCTTAACAAGACTCTTGTTGAGCGTTTTGTTAATTACTTCCGCACTTCTTGCTGGTTGACTCCTCTTGCAGTTACAGAGAAGCAAGAGCGTCGCTCGATCATTTTCCTGACCGGGCCATGTGGCTCTGGTAAGAGCACCGTTGGTGTAAGCCTAGCCGAAAAGTTAGGACTACCACTCATCGAGGGCGATGACATTCACACCCGAACTGCTCGACAAAAGATGCATAACCTTCAGCCTCTTGATGACGCTGATCGATTCATATGGCTCGCTCATATCCGTGGTGCAGTAGCAGACAGAATCGCGTCATCTAGTGCTCCGGGAGCTATTGTGACATGCTCTGCACTTCGATCTACATACCGTGATGAATTGCGCAAGCTGTCGGAGCTCTTTAAAGAGGATGTCGAAGTAATTGTCCGGTTCATCTTCCTAGATACGGGTGACGACTCAGATTCTCTAGAGCAACGCCTACACATGCGTCAGGGTCATTATATGAAACCCGATATGGTAAAGTCGCAGATTGAAATTTTGGAGCGGCCCACAGAGTCAGAGACCGATATTATCCCTGTTAATGCTAAGCAGAGCAAGGAGGCCGTTTTGAGAGAGGCTGAGGAAATTGTTAGAGAGATTCTAGAATAGAGTCCTTGAGACGTGTATTTGGGAGATATTTCACTGTTAAATAGACTTTCATGTCACTAGGAAGGCTTTTCAATAATAGATTCGTAGCTATTTGTTAATGTTCATACTTACAAATCAACAATACCGTCAATTTTTTCACATTACTAAAATTTTAAGGGTTGTAATAATGTAGTAGGTAACTTTTTACAGAAACAATCGTGTAAACCTCTCACGATTCTAGTCCTACAACATACAGGACAACACGGAAGACGCTTCCAGGGCTGTACAGGAGTTGCACCTCCTCGAAGTAACTCAAACATTTGAAATCCTAGGGGTCTGTCATGACTAGAACTTTTGGAAAGCTAGTTTGCGCAGAAAGGGCTTGATTGATAGTGTCATGTTATCTAGATGAGAATGTAGACAGTAAATGGCTCACTCTTTTACAGCAACAACAACTAAGATAAGACATCGGAAAAGCACGATATTACACAGTCGTTCCCAGTCTGACTCCAAATCTCACTGTAGAGCTAATAGTAGTAACGGAAATAAGGATTTTCACGATCAGTTTGATCACTGAAACCAGCCGCAATCCGATCAGTCTCATCCTGTCCCAAACCCGTGTCTAGGGCTTCTTCCTTTTTCTTATTGAGATAAACCATGTATGCCGCAAATGCCAGCATTAAGACGATTTCGGCACAATACGCGACGAGCATAGCAATGATACCGGATGCGTATTCGGGGGCTTCGCTGGGTTTGAAGGCAAAGGGGCCAACGATGTTTCCGGCGCAGTACGAGACGAAGAATACGGCGTTGACTATGGAGCGTTTGGTTGAGCCGGCAGTGTTTGCTGTAATCAGGGACATGATCATTGAGAATGATGCTGTGTATGTGCTTGTTAGCTGTGAAATCTGGTTAGCCAGGGGTTTGAAGTATGATAGAGACAACAGATGTACCCAGTAACAAGCAAGTAAAGCCCCTTTTGAGCTCCGAGAAATTGTATGAATGCCCACGGTTCCAGCCAGCGAAGGGAGTACATAGAGACATGCAACAATGCATCGCTTCTGGCCGGGAAGCCAACGTTGGAGATACATGGCTGACAGATTTGAAAACACAATGATAAACCCGTACGGAATTTGAAGTAGAGTCGTCTCGAGACTAGAAAAGCCGAAGCCCTTGATGATCAATGAGCCGAAATTGCTTGCGGCACCATTAACTACTTGACTAGCAACGCCCAAGAGGAAGAAGATCCAAGTCTTGGGATCCGTCATTGCCTCGATGATCTGGTAGCGCTTGACTTTCGAGTTTTTGATGCCTGTCTGATTGTCTCGTAGTCGCTCAATAGCCAATTTCTTTTCGTCCGCTGAAAGCCATGAACTATGACGGGTGAGTGGTGGTTAGCTTGACATTTACAAGTAATCACTTGAGTTTTGGAGAACTCACGCAGCTGTGGCATTCTCCGCAAAAGTGAAGAACATAATCAAGCCCCATAATGAGGAAATAGCACCAATGATGATGAACTGATACCGCCATGGCTCCCCCAGGGCACCGTGGATGTGTCCGATCAAGTAACAAAGCAGACCACCAAAAGCATTAGCAAGTCCCAAAAACGTGGACCAGTATCCAATGCGAATCGGCTGCTCTTCAATACGATACCACATGGCAGTAATGAGTAAATAAGCCGGTGTCGAGCAAGACTCCAAGGCACCCATGACGAAGCGAAGAGCGGCAAATGATGAAAAGTTTTCGCATCCTCCAAGAGCCATTGTGATTCCTCCCCAGATGAAAAGATTCGCGGATAACCATTTCGTTACTGACAGCTTCTGCATAGCAAAGCTTGTTGGGTATTCGAACTGTGTCCGTTTTGTCAGTGTTCTCCTTCTTCAAGGAGCGTGAACACGAAACATACCGCCAAGTAGCCGAAGTAGAAGATACTTCCTATTTTCGAAATAGTCAAGTCAGTGAAAAGCCTGCAGAGTCTGATAGACGACTCACCGAGCCAGCTGTATTGCGACCCCTGGAGGTGCAAATCAGTCTGTAAACCAAACACAGCCGCATAACCTAAAGTAGCCTTATCGATGTAGGTCACAAGGTAGGTCACACATATGAAAGGGACGACAAATGTGTCAATCTTTCGAATGAGCTTTCTCTCAGCAACAGGGTCAATGACCGAAGCAAGGTCCTCCTTTCTGGAGAACACTGCCAGTCCGACATCACCCCTTTCAGCGTCTTGGCTGGTCAAGACTACCTCAAGATGCGAATTCTCTGATTTAGACTTGTCGATCTCCATTGTGGTTCCGATGTGTAATAGTAACCCGTGATAATATCATTTCCTTCCTAATGCAACTTGACTTGGAAGGGCAGACGGGTCTCTTTAACCCTCGGGTCATCAAATAGAGTTGGAGATTCTGGAGACAGCGGATAACGGGCGGAAACATGGCGGAAAAGGAGCGGATACGCATTTCCCCACGGGGTTTCCCCATCTTCGTGTTTGTCCATCAGGCCTGGTCATGAAATATATTGGCCTTGGTAGTGCGAGTCCGTGCAAGGCGACGTATGGTATAAAAGAGGAAGATCGTTGCTTACTTGATCGAATATGTAGTAACAAGTGGTTTGGAATTCTGTGTTCTTACTAGCTTTGTGATAACCTTTAGTCTCTTCTCTTCCTTGGGCAGTCAGCTTGTCCTTGAAAATTACCGAATATGGATATGGATGAGAAGAAATATTCAAGCAGCATTCACGTTGAGACCCCGGGGGTGCAACAAGCTGTGTGCTTCGAAAACCTTTCCGTTGCTGAGACAAGTCAACTAGAGAAAAAATGTATGAGCAGACTTCAGGATCCTGTCCCATTATAAGCTAAGTGATTAACACTAATAGTCTGTCGCAGTGGTCCGAAAGATTGATCTCCATCTGATTTCTGCGCTTTTTTTGCTCTTCATTTTCAACATCCTTGATCGCTCCAACATTGCAAATGCACGACTCGGCGGTATGCAGACCGATTTGGGGTTGAACGACACTCAATATCAGACTACAGTGGCAATCATGGTACGTTTGTTTTATTTTATATCCATGGATGCCAACTATGGGTCTACCTATAGGAAACTCTACTGACAAATATTTCAACAGTTTGTCGGTTACTTGGTGGGCCAAATCCCTAGTAACATTATCCTCACTAGAGTGAGACCATCTCGTTACATTCCGGCCGCCATCTTCGTATGGGGTGCTATTTCGACATGCACTGCTGCCGTTCATAACTTCACTGGTATCATGTTGGTCCGAGTGCTTTTGGGCTTTGCAGAATCTCCGTTCTTTTCTGGTGCCCTGTATGTTCACTAGCCATATCGTGACAGAAGCAAAATGCTAACGGGTAGAAAAGATTGTTGATTAGCTCTTGGTACAAGCCATCCGAGATTGCACCGAGGGTTGCGATCATGTACTGTGGCAACAGTATCGCCAATGGCTTCGGTGGTATTCTTGCAGCAGGTGTATTGAGCGGTCTCGATGGAGCTCATGGTCTTGCTGGTTGGCGGTGTGTCCTATTCATCATTTGCGGCTTCAGACACTCACTGACTTGAATAGCTGGCTGTACATCATCGAAGGAGCCGGTACTATGGTCGCCGGTGTTCTTGCTATTTGGCTTCTTCCAGACTTCCCACGCTCTGGCAAGCGAACATGGTTGACAGATCAAGAACAACGATTTGCCGAATGGCGTCTTGCTCGCGATGCCAACGATGAAATTGACGAGAATGGGTCTATCAAAGAGGCTCTTAAAGATGCATTCACGGACCCAAAGGCATGGGCATTGGTTTTGATTCAGATATGCCAGTTGTCATCTCAGACATGGACATACTTTTTTCCTGTGAGTGGTGCCAAATCCCAATCTAGCACTAACTATACATGCTTGACGGAGAATCGATGAGCTGACTCAATCAACTAGACAATCGTCAAAACGCTCGGCTTCAGTACTATTGTGACCCTCCTCATCACTGCCCCAGTATACATTTTTGGCTTTTGCACTTCGCTTGGAAACTCTCTAATCGCGAGTCGCACAAATTACCGATTCCCCCTAATTGTTTGGCCACTATTGATCGACATTGTAGGCAATGTCATGGTCATATCAAGCCACAGTACTGCCGTCCGGTATACAGGGATGTATCTGATGTGCGCCGGATCATACTCGGCGTTCAATGTGGTCCAAGCCTGGATTGCAAGCACGATCCCTCGTACCAGAACAAAGCGAGCCATTGTATATGCATTGGTGAATGTGTGCGGCAACTCGTCTAATATCTATGGCTCTTACTTCTTCCCCAGTCGGGATGCACCTATGTTCCGGCCTGGAGGTATTATCTTGTCCTCCTTTGCTGCGGGGGGTATGGTTTTTGCTACGCTGTTAGGATTGTACCTGATACGTCTGAATGCCAAGGCAGCCAAAGAAGAGGAGCGGGATGGCGTACTCAGATATAGATATCTCTGGTAGGTGTAAACCTCCAATGTCATGTGCTGGTACACATAGACATATAAGTTCGAGGAATCTATTATATCTTTTCTTTACTGAGTCACTGTTGAAGTGGAATGATCTACACAATAAAGTCTGTCACGTTACTAAGTTAGGTAGGCAGAGTATATTATATAAGTCAAGTTTGCGCTAATATCTGGGGATCTTATATCCAGGGTTAAATGTCTATGCCAACAATTATATAACCCCTCATTAGCCCGTAAGTCCGCGCATTCACCTTCTATTACGTAGTATGCCACCGAGCAATGCTCTCCGACTAGCACCAGACAAGCTCGCCAAACTTCTCCAGAAACAGTGTTCGTTGTCATCAAAGTAGGTATGAAGCTTTCAACTGGTAACTCCACTACATGGGTTTGACATATTGAAGTATAGGCCACGTACGTCACAATCAAAACTTCCCAACGTACCTTTATTACCGACCCTGAGGGATGGCTGGGCCAGAGCTTATACTTCGACAAACTCTTTTCTGGAAATTGGGGCGACAAACAGGAGGATGGCTCATACTTCATTGAAAGTGACGCCCAGATCTTTGAACACATCCTTCGGTATCTCCGTACTGGAGTTCTTCCGGTTTTCTATGATAGGCTGATGGGTCACGATTTCCGACTGTACCAAGCTTTACTCGAGGAATCAAGATATTTCGCGATTGACAGGCTACAAAAGTGGTTATGCGAGAGAAAATATCTGGACGCTGTTAAGATCCATTACTTGGCTACCGAGACTCGAGATCGTGATCGTGCAAAATATAGAAGACACACCAGGTCATGGCCCGATGGTCGCACATATATGGTAGATGATCACTTTGTTGATATTGAGTCAAGCAGCAATGTTGAGGTTACGATGGTCCCAATAACACAACAGAGGAACTCATTTTATTGCCCTAACGCAAAGCATGGCAAGAGTAGCGAAGAATACTGTAGGAGCTGCATTGGTCAGGCAAGGGATAATGGAATCCTTAGCCTTGGTGGATGGAGAACGGAGGACGATCTTATGTGGTGTGTCATGCAAAAGGAAGTCTTTTTCGATCACGATCTCTGTGTGAACGCATTTACAGAGGATGATTAGATTTAATACATCGACTACGCAGTACGACATATTGACAGGTCACGATGTTCTCGATCTAGGGGGCGCTGCCTATCCCGAAGTTAGACTGGCACAAGAGACGGGATATCGATTTGGAGCCCGAATTCCTAATCTCTATTCGTCTGGTTTGCACGACTAGATTGACTGTCTTTTGATTTATGTTTCTAATAATGAGTTTGGCCTTTCGGAGACTCAACGCTCACCTTGGGCCTTCTATAAGATTAGTGTATGGCATGATATTCATAAGGTTTTCTTTTCACTGTTATCAAGAGACCATGCGTTAAGTACTACATTTGTTTGCAAATTCGAAGTACAGCATAAGTTGAACTGTTGGTCATGCAAAGGGCGGTGCCATCCTATAGGATAAAGCTCCATGAGGTTCTAGTGACTAGTAATCTAGAAGGAAGCAACAGACAGGACTCGTAAATGACAAGATACCCAAGTCCAGACGCCCATACGAGCGTAGTAAATCTGTGAATGTGCAATACATTAGGAAGAACATGACTATGAGCTAGGGTGGTTCCGGATGTAGCCCCATATGGACTAGGAAATCATTATCGCCGTTTCAGATGAAAGAGAAAAGAGTGTTACTTATTACTCTGAAGGTGCAAAATACTGTTCTAGCTGCGATGCGCTGAAGAATTCGAAGAAACTTACGGCATATCCGTAGATGTCTACGACTCGCACTTTCGCGAAGTACCGAAGAACATCATTCAAGTCTTGAACCAACGAGGCGATTTTTATTTTCTTCGTGCTTACACCAGGAGCTCGCATCACCTGACGGAGATTGCTGATATGAGGACACTTTGTGATGAAATCATGGGCTTGTGGATAGCCCATAACGGTGCGACCGATGAAGAAATCATTGCCAAAATCTGTAGAGTCAACGAGCTACAAAACCTGTGGGAAGAGGGGGAGTCAAGTGACGAACTATGCAACATCTAAGTTACCTGCTTATAATGTACATACATATCCCGTCCGCTGTATCTGAAGAACGGGCAGCGCTTGGACGAACTCATTTTCTACAGGTCGATAATATCTTGATCTATGACGCACGACAAAGTTACAGGTAATGTGTGTAGGTAACCAAATACAGCAAATGAACTAGAATCCGTTTAGTATTAACCAGAGAATAAGAAGATCGAATGCTCAACAAATAGTTTATATTAAATAGAGTTGATGAATTGTTGAGGGTATTTTCAGCACCAAATTTGACATTGAGATATCTCTGATAGATGGATGTCTTAGGTGCTATGTGGTGCGGCAGACATATTTCTTCGTGCCATCATCAAGCGTAATACTCCTCCAAAGTGCCAAAAGGCTAGCAATATCTCCTCTATCTAGCCAGTTACGACTTTCCTTTGGAGGAGCGAAAACACAAGTGCAAAAGAAAATATACACTCCAGAAACACGTCGATCGATTTCGCTAGATAATTCTGCCCTTATTTCGTGACTGTCTTAGGGGCATCAATAGAACGAACAGAGATTGACCACTTATCACGGTTAGAAATTCCTGAATGAATGAATGAAAGGAGAATTGGTTTACTGTTAATAACTCGTGACACGTAAGTGAACATGGACCGTTACATTGGCTGATGAATTGATTAGGTAGCTACTTGATTGCCCTTACAGGAAAGGACCATGTTTCCTAGCGCTATATGGTGTCGATTTAAAGGTCGATATCTCAATAGTTCTGTATGTTTCGTATAGTGTCTAAGATGTTGACTACGATCGGACCCCACTAAAGATGATTTTTAATATAGCGATAGCGTAACTTAATCTACTACTGATGTGACACACACCACCGAGCGACGCAGCCTGAGTTCCCATACCTAAAAAGGTCACAATCACGCTTTCCCACTAATTCCTATAAATTAGCCATATATCAGCCTGAGCAGGTATTTCAATATGGTAAGTTCGAACTGACATCTACCCATGGAACAGAATTAGCAGCAACTTGTGTTCTCACAAGCTTAATTTACACAAATAATACCCAGCTTCTGACTTCATCATGTCCTCGGGAAATAAAGACGATAACTTCGACGTAATAATCATCGGCGGCGGAACTGCAGGTAGCGTCCTGGCAGCGCGCCTCTCCTCCACCCCGACCCTTAACATCCTCGTCCTCGAAGCAGGTGAAAACCGCAACTTAGATCCCAAAGTAAGCACCCCAGGTCTTTCTGGCACGTTGCTTGGAGACCAGAATTACGATTGGGGTTTCCGGACTGTGTCGGAACAGGGGTTGAATGGCAGAGTCATTCTGCAGCCACGTGGCAAGTTGTGGGGTGGTAGTAGTGCGATTAATTCACATGCCTTGGTTTATCCATCAAGGAGATATCATGATGCGTGGGGAAGTTTGGTGGGTGCTGGGAACAGTTGGGACTGGGAAGGCGTTGGGAAGTATTACAGGAGGTTTCAGAAGTTACAAGCGCCCAGCGAGGAGGTAAAGCGGGAGCTAGGCATTGGAGATTTTGCGATGGAAGGTGAAGGTAGTGCTTGCAAGCATGACGAGTACGAGGAAAGAGTTCAAGCCTCCTACCCCGTTACGGTACATCCGATGCAGAAAGCCTGGGCAGATGCGATCCAAGATCTAGGGTACAGTTCGTCAAAGAATCCAGTCGACGGAGATGTTCTTGGAGGGTCCACGACGACAAATGTTATTGACTCTTCCAAAGGAGAAAGGAGTCATGCTGGGGTCGCATTTCTGGAGCCATCAACGGAACGATACAATCTTGTTGTCAGAAGTAATGTGCTGGTGAATAAGATCATCTTTGGAGAGGAGAAGAGGGACGGTAATCTCGTTGCAAAGGGTGTTCTTTACAGCCAAAAAGATGGGAGAACTATGACTGCCTACGCGAAGCGAGAAATCGTGCTATGTGCTGGAACGTTTGGATCACCAAAGGTACTAGAGCTATCCGGTATTGGGCAACGTGAAAAACTCGCTGCTGCAGGTATTAAATGTCTTCGTGAACTCGAAGGGGTGGGCGGTGAGGATGACTGCTGGATAAGTTGAGTTTGTCTGATGCTCATGTGGTGAAATAGAAAACCTCCAAGACCATCTGAACTTTGGCCCTTCTGTTGAAGTACTCGACAGTATTGAGACATCAGACGTCGCTGCCCGTGATCCCACAGTAGCCGAAGCCGCCAAAAAGCTGTACGAAGCCAAGCACGAAGGCCGGCTAGCACAAGGGGCTGCATATAGTTTCTCCTMCCTGCCACTAAAAGCCTTCAACTCCGAAAATGAAGAACGCGAATTGACAGCTCTTGTTAACAAGACCCTCGAGAAGACCTCATTCACAGTCGACAAAGGATTAAAGGCTCAGTACGATATCATCCAGCGCCTAATCCTTGATCCAGAACAAGCCTCCGCAACATGGGTCATGACACGCAAGCAACGATACACTCCGAGCATTACACCCGCACCAGGAAACTACATGACTTTGTTAGCTATGCTCTCCTACCCCTTCTCACGTGGAAGCTCCCACATCACATCTGTCGACCCCAGCGCGTATCCTGAAATCAAATTCAACTACCTTAAACATCCCCTAGATGCCGAAATCTTATCTCGCCACATAATCCAAATTGGTCAAATGCTGGAACAGCCCAAAGTGTCTGCACTTCTCAAACCAGATGGCAATACCTTACCGAGTGGATTTTCTCGCCATACCAAAAGCGTGGAGGAAGTGACCCGCTTTATCCGCCAATTCGGAGCGACAAATTACCATCCTGTGGGAACTTGCGCTATGCTGCGTGAGGATCTTAATGGGGTCGTTGGCGAGGATCTGGTTGTGTATGGGACGGCGAATTTGAGGGTTTGTGATGCGAGTGTCATCCCAATTGAGCCTCGTGGGAATATCTTGAGTACCGTCTACGCGACAGCAGAGAAGGGAGCGGATATTTTAAAGAGACAGCTTGGACTAATAGGTACAGATTTTAAAATTAAATAGAGCCAGATCGAATCTCGACAAGTTTTTAACCATTAAGATTCATTTACTCTCGGTTCTCTTCCTCCTGCGGATTCCCATTTTACCGGTGAATCAGGTTATATGCTCATTTTTAGGCAGATCTTGATTTCTTCAACATTCGCAACGAGTGCCGCAAGGACTGAGCTCCATTCCCGCGTAACGATGCCTTACCGTTCTCTAAGGAATTTCACACCTCCTTTAACCGCTTTATTCACCTCCTTTTTCCTAAACTGCATTAATGTTCTCATCAGTTTTCCACCTTTAATTCACCGAGCTAACCGCCACAAAACGCTCTTTATTCTACCCAGTGCGCAAATAACACCGATGAAAAAGACTCATAAAAACAGAATCCATTTCTTCAACAATTACTAGGCAATTGTGGATTACTTATACAGCCTGCAAGGAATCCAACTTACTATATCGGCTGGAGTATATGGGTCGTGCTGGAAACTCCTACTTTGGTATACAGGATATATTATCTAAAAATTAACAAATATTACTGTCGGACCGTCGATATTAATACTGATATCCGAACCTGGCATCTAGCAACCATTAGATAAAGGCCTGGAATAATGAGTCGTTCCTGACTTCATACGTAGTAATGATTTGAATCATGATTATGAAGCCATATCTGACAGGGTTATTAGCTAATGGTTGTTGCAATTCATAATTAGATTTCACATCTTTTCCCGAATGAATAGACTGCACTATCGAATCACCAGCCATAACCCGGAGGCAATAGTAGTTAAAAGCAGAAATCCCGAAAGGTGACTTTTCGTTGAGTCACTTTTGGTGTATCCAATGTTCGCCGGATTATTGTTGTAGCCAACAGTACGTAGCCAGGTCGGTGTACTAGTATCATTCTGTAGGATATCTGAATGATACTCATCGATGACAGCTGACAAAACCAATCTAAATTCTCCAACGTACAATCTGTCCTCATATGTCAGGCTACCCTCGGCATATCCCTGCAAAGTAAGTTTTGCGGTCCAGCCGTCAAATTCTAAATTGATGGTTGGTTGCGTGAAATTGTCGCTCTGAAAAGGGCCACTGTAGATACGAAATCCCCAAGTGGAACCGTAAGCGCAAGATGTAAAGGTTTTGGCAGAGAAGCCTTTCGAGTCCTGATAGCCTTCTGTTACGGTACCGGACAGATTGTATGGTGAGCTTGTAGTATTGCTGAGGGACCAATTCCAGTTGTTTGTGGCGTTTCCGGTATCATATTGGTAGAAAGGGCTAAGCGACGGCGTTTAATTCATCATTTCTTCAAAGCTTGATTTCTGTATATGCATGACTCACTCGGAAGAAAACAAATAGAAGTCTAAACCAGAGTTGTAGACAATGGCCGAGTTTAGGGATCCTGTGAAGTTGAAATCCAGAGGCCAGAGCGTTAGAAACGCGTTGATCGGATCATCAGCTGAGTTGAAAGGACCGGGCTTCGTGAGCCCTAGTCTTGCAGTGTAGTATGTGGTGAGTGCTGGACAATTAATCTGGATTGAACTTGATACATTATACGGTTCGAAGTCGACTTGTGCGGTAGCATTGTAATACCTGTTGTTGTGATCAGTCTCGTCTCTTCTAGTCGGGCTTCAGAGGACTTACGATCCAATCCATGTATACAGACTAATTAGACTTGCGCTGATGTTACTGGGTCGATAGTAGAGAGAGGCATCGTAACTTGAGTCGGCTTTTACCGTAGTGGCAGCATTGAAGAGAAGCAAGCTCAAGGCCTTGGGGAAAGAACGCATCTTTGCCCAAATCCAAGAAGTGCATCATTTTACATCTTCAAGTCTAGCACGGCGTTGCAGCTCCTATAAATATAGTCTTGTAATTTGGTGGCGTTGCAGACTTGATTTAGTGAAAATGCGGCACAGTCAATGGGATGAATGTGGTGTTGGTAACTCCGTAATGTACGTCTGCGACTCGACCGGAGGACCCTTATTCGTGGCTGCTAAGCCTTGTCCTAGGCTACATAGCGCAATCTGTGGACAACAAGAGGACTCAAATCATTATCGCGTACACTCCCCACTAACCCCTATGGTCCTAGACTCTTGAATAGTGTGCATTCGTTAGCGCTTAGCGAGAATAGGCCTCGTTCTAGTTCAATGTACCTGAACGCTGTTAATCCTTATGGTAGAAAAGCCGCTCTTAAGATACTAAGCTCTTTCTGGTGGATTAATTATCAAGAGGATGATGACGAACTATGCAGATTTACTGGGTCGAGAGGAGCAATAGACGTAGGCTGAATAGGAATTATGTAGAACTGCTGGAGACCTCTGGTTGGGCTCAGGGCATCTCCAGACTCGAGTGAATGATGATGATGAGTCGTTTTTGTCCTACTGGACTTGATCTACTATTACGATATTTATTTGGGTTCCGGTGCGACTGAGAACAGCATAGAAATGAATGTCCATGATAAGTAACAGTTCCTCTGATCAGTCCCGACGCCCTCATGCAAAGACTATAATACATACAATTGCAGAAATATGATGTGGACGCTGCGTTGACCTAAATATGAATAAATATCTATACTATACATGAAACCCGTAATACTCATGCAAAGGAAGAATCGAAGTAATAGTACAAAAGCCTTGAACCCGAACGTAGGCCTAATCTAAAAACTGGCCATCTCAATATAAGTACTGATAAAGTTCAACTTCTTCCCTTCATCAGTATTCATAATCCGGCGAAATTCATCATAACTCAGCTTTGCGCCGCCACCGCGAGCAAGGACCTCGCGTTCTCCTTCGTCTAGAGTTGCCCAGTATGCGAGTTGGCGACGAGTAGGTTTTGGCGGTGGCGCAGGAGTAGCTCGTTTGTGTGATGGAGGAAGTCTAGGGGATTGATGCACTGGAGAGCCGGTGGATGGGGTAGGTTTGAGAACAGGGGAGAATTTGGGTGCTGTTGCTTCTGCTCGGTTGGAGTTGTCTGGTTGTGGGACGGGAAACATTGTTGAGTTGTCGAGGCGAAGGTGGAGAGACGAGGCGGCGGCTGCTGCAGGGCTGGGTATAGGTGCTTCGTTTGGTCGGTTTTGAGGGAGTGTTGGATCTATTTGTTCGACTTGTTCGAATTCTTCGATATCCTCCGTCTCTTCAACTTCTTCTGCTTCTTCGGGTTCCTCAATTTCCGAAGGTCCGTCAACAGTGGCTTCCGCTTCAGCAGCATCAATCACAGTGTAACCAGAGGCATCTAGTAGTTCCTCCAAACTGGCACCCTCATAGTACTTCACGTACTCCAAGTCGCCAGGGAGAAATGTTTCTGGGCCATTCCTTTCTCCGCGTTTGCTCGGGTCTTTGAACCTCTCTATTTCGGCGGCCCATCGAATACGGTCGTCGCGAGTCCTACGGAGCTCCATCACGAGATCCTCCTTGGCCTTGAACAAGACATCCAGGAGCTCATTCATTCCTTCTTTGGTTGCTTGATAAAGAATTTCCTTGCCAATGTCCCTCTCCGGTTCAGGGACCTCGAATCCGCCCCACCGCTCGCCGACTGAGGTGGAGCCGTTCGACCGCACATCGTAATCGTCATCTTCAAAGCGCACTTTTGAAGAAGAGCGTGACCTCAGAGACGGAGGTCGTGAAGACTGCTCCGGATAGATAGATTGATCCTCAGACTCATTCTCATCAGTGTCTTCTTCGAACCCTTCTGGGGCTGTGGCCCCATCTTCTTCGTCTGTGTAAAACTGGCGACGGCGCCAACGCTCATGAATTGCTCTGCTTCGAGCTTCCTCGGCAGTAGAACGTGTAGCGTCGTCTTCTTCATCCTCGGTGTCTTCATTGTCATCTTCCTCCGCAGTCGCTTCAGGTTGGGCTTGGTCGCCTTCCACTTCGACCTGGGCTTCACCCTCAACGTCCACACCACCAGATACCGAAGAAGCAGGGGATACATCAGTAGGGATTCTGGGTAGATCTTGCCTTTGTCTGAATTGTCGGCGAACAGCAGCATCGGCTACAGCAGTATACGGATCACCGTGATCCATACCATCAGGTCGCAAAACACCCACGCCATCCACGACCACCATGTCACCTTCGAGGTTGGTGCGCTTTCCTTCTCCAGTTCTGGGAGTCTCTGCGTTACCGAAATTACCACTGAATGCCGAACTGATAGGACGTGTACCCAGAACTATGTCGCGTGCAGCGGTTCCATCACCGGGGCCAAAATCTTCCTCCCAAGCTTGTACCAAATCAGCACTCAACTCTTTGATAAGTGCATAATAGGCACGGAACATGCGCAAGAAGTCCTTTCTCTCTATGAAGCCATCGCCATCAACATCATAACCTTTGAAGATCCGACACATCTTTTCGTCTATTGCTTTGTTGTTGAAACTGGCAATGCCCTTGGCAAACTCCTCGAAGCCAATGAGATTGTCCCCATTGGTATCATAGAATGCAAACATGCGATCAAATATTAAACTCGGTGGCGGAGGTCGAGAAGATGTATTCGGAATGAAACAGCGATCGAAAGTCTTGCGGTCAATAGCCATGCCTAATCTATTAGGGTCTGCAGGCCATGTGGTATTAGCCAGACACCGGTACTGGTCCCACAATGCGTCGAGCTCCGTGTTTTCAAATGTTGTTTCCTTTGCTAACCGACGAGCCAATACTGGTGGCAGATTCTTCGGAAGGTTCTCGGGTTTACCAGGATACCACACCGGCCGTCCTTGACGTGGTATGCCCATGTACGGTGCCGGAATGCGAACTTTGAGGAATATATGGGTCTTGTTATGTACCTGCTGAGCTTCGCAATTCTCACATAGATCAAAATCAACGCAATTGTCGCATCGATATCGGATCCCTTGGATCGGCATCATACCGCAATTATTGCAGGTTACGCCACGGTGTATGTAGCCATCTTTCTTTGCCTGATCTTCCGCAATATGATACAAGAGATTAAGCAGATTCTGGCCCTCGCGAGCTGGTTCTCCGTCTGCGTTATCGTTGCGCCAGGAAAAGACACTTTCCGTCTCGCCAGCATCTTCCACGATTGGGTTCACTTCTTCAGGCTCTTGAGCTGGCGTATTCGCAGACAACGTAACTCTAGTACCCAGCTGGCGCCGAACACGCAAAGCCTCACCGAATGCGGGGTCTGCATTAAAATTCTCAAGCGCTCGTTGGATTCCAGCATGCGAGATGCCACGCTGACTTAATTCCCGCGTCAGATACTCTCGCTCCGCCGAGCCCTCTGGTATCGTATGACTAGGCGGGAAGTCAAGAGCGAAGAATGACTCCAGAAAAGTATCTTCCATCATATCCCGCATTCGTTCCGCGTGCGATTCCGGCATTCCAACCTCTGCCATGAGTTGATTGCGCGTGACGAGTAACGAGGGGAGTAGACCACTTTCCACCATCCGCCCATCCTCCGTTTCAATTCTGAACGTTCCGTATGCTCCATTCTCTCTCTCAAGCTGTTCCAGATGTGCTATTGCCCTGGAAGACGGGGTGTCGGTCACGTCGGTGGGAACATTTTCTCGACGATTACGACGGAGGACGGCACCTCGACGTTGAAGCTGGGCAGGGCTGCTGGTCGTAGCGGTTGTGTGGGAGTGGTAGTAGAATATGCCGCCTAGTAATGCAACGCCTGCAGCTGCGAAGAGCGCAGGTCGGTATCGGGAGTATTCGTCTAGCATCACACTGACCGCCAGAGACGATGGGTTCGATTTCTATATGGCGTCCACATGGATATCAAGTATTGAATTATAGAGATGATCGATCTTATAACGGTGCGGGCATGTCAGCGCAAGATAGGCGAAGACTTGAAATTCAACTGTAAGAATTAGCTTCGGCCATAAAACAAGAGGTGTATTAATCACCTTGCGACCTCGAGATCAAGCTAGATAGCTAGTTGAATAAGTAGCAATTATTTTCTGATAGATAAATCAAGCACTAGACCAGACGAATCAGGTTGATCCAAATGCTAGGTTGATTAATGTGGAGGTGTTGTTTGTGAAGCTCATGAACAATCCGCCGCACGGAAAGTGCTCTACCTAAGCTCCGAACGCACTATTCCAAATTCGGAATTACTATATTTGTGTCTGGATCAGCAATATTTGCAAATCGATACATCAGTTATTCTATCTAGAATATATATTGACGAAAAAAGTTCATTCTTTGTACATGCAGTCTATATATATAAAGATATGTAACATGGATATGGATCGTCTATACGAAGCACGACACCCCGAACTTGCTTTGCGGTTCGTCGAGTATAATTTTTGGTATCAACTGCCCTTTCACTTCAGAGCTTTGTCTCCTTGATGAAAAACGCACTAACAAGTGCAAAGAGCGTAATACCCATCTGAACAGCAAACGTTATGTTCGTAGACCAACCATAGGCTCTACGAACGACGGCTTGTACATCAATGGGCAAGGTCTTGATAAAGTCGAGAGATTGCCGTACACCATCCACAATGCGATCAATATCCTTGCTGCCGTGGAGAACAAGTTGGAGTCTGTCACGGAGGAGTTGTTGTTCGACGGTAGATGCGAGTGAGAGACCAAGCACGCTACCGAGGGAGCGGAAGAGATATGAGCAGGCGGTCACGACCGCTTGGTCTTCTGAGGAGGCATTTGAGACTATTTTTTGCGGTTAGTAGTTTCTCCTTGCCTAGTATGCAATCTACGGCTACTTACTAAGTCCGATCAATGTTGTAGTGACGCCTATTCCGTTTCCGAAGGCAGATATCATAGCTCCCACAATCATCACCTGATATGCATCGGCAACGGCACCAGAAAAGAGGAATAGAACGAGTGAGCCAGCGAGTAAAAGCGCATATCCAAAGATAGTGAGCCCGTAGTACGTTCCAGTCCGCTTCATCAAGTATCCAGCAGCCAATGAMCCCGACACACCAAGAATAATTTGCGGTAAAAGTCGCACTCCAGCTACACTAGCCGAAACTCCATTCACAGCTTGAAAGTAAAGCGGAATATAGAAAATAGTACCCATGAAACCCGCAAAACTGAAGAAATTGCACGCATAACACGCAAGTAGGTTTTGGTCGAAGATGAGGTGGCCAGGCGCAAATGGCTCGGATGCGACGTAGTTCTCAATCAGGATGAAGGCCACGAACAAGACTACCGAAACGATCACAGAGACATAGGTCTCCGGAATGGTCCAAGAGACGTTGCTTCCTCTATCAAGACCGACAGAGATGCCCAAGACGGCTCCGACGAGAACGGTGGCGCCGAGGAAGTCGATGCGTTTGAGCTTTGCAATCCAGTCTCCTGAGTCGGGGCCAGGGACGTGCAGTAAGAAAGTGACAAATAGGAATGCTAGGAGACAGATGGGCGCCTGCACAATGAATGCCCTGAACGGATTATCAGCAACCTAAGTCTTGGCAGTCGGATACTTTGACTTACCAGCGCCAGCCGATGTAGTCAGCCAATATACCACCTAAGTTCTCGTCAGTATCTCTAATATGTACAGTCTGCCAGAAATTCCTACCTAGCGGTGCACCAATTCCCGATCCAGTGGCGTATATGATGTTGATTATCCCCTGCCATAGGCCTCTATCACGCAAAGGCACTATGTCACTTATGAGAATGCTGACAACAGTCGTCATACCTCCACCCCCAATTCCTTGATAAACCTAGTATGATATTAGTATCCTCCTGTTCCCGGCAGGTAGAAGATCAGAGTATCGTACCCTCGCAGCAATTAACTGATTAATATCCTGCGCCAACCCGCAGAACAAACTTCCCGTCCCAAAGACGGTATAGGCAAATAGCAAACATGCCTTGCGCCCAAAGATATTACACAGTTTGCCGTACAATGGCTGAAAAGAAGTCAAGGTCAGAAAATACGAAGTCGCAATCCAACTTGTCAAGTTGAGGGCCTTTAGATCGCTGCCGATTTTCCCGTAGCTTGCGACGATGATAGTTTGGTCGGCTGCTGCTAGGAAGACCTGGTCGATCATCAATAAATTATGCAATACTCAGGATATTCGAGAGGGACTTACACCAATTGAGATAGCAGGAAGAATATACCTCAATTGCGTAGAAGTAGACGAAGGACCCTTTTGCGCTCCATTTTCCTGCAGAGAATCGTTGGAGACTTGCTCTGGATCTGTGGTGCCATTGGTGTGAGTTTCGTCGCGCAACAGGGGCGTATTCTCAGTTGGATGTGTTTCTGCAGCGGCCATCTTTGCTGCTGAAGATTAAATGACTTTCGGACAAATCCCGACGCTGTGCTCCTGTTTGCTGTGTATATAAATTTCCGAACGAGAGATCTAGGCACATAGTTGTGCAATTGACTGCGTTGGTGGGATGATATGTCACTTACTCGGGCCAATATATTACGAGTGAAAAGCAGCCATGACACAGAAGAAGAAGAAATAAAGTCCCAATCTTGCATCTGCATCGACTAGACTCACTAGTTAATTAATCCAGCTTGCGCAAGCTGATAGCGAAATTATTAATCGGCCAAAGAGATAAAGCTGGCCAATTATGGGGGAGGATTTTAGGGCCCCTCGGCAAGTCGGCATTCTCCGCGAGCGTGTCCATAAAGATTCAGTTGTGAATATTCAAGGCATTTGTTGATCAATCGACGTTCTGATCTGGCTAGGTGAAGTACAGTACATACAATATACATAATGAGAAGTAGTAGGGCATAAAATAAGGGTATTCAACAATTAGAGTCGTAATATTTGCTAGCGCTATGCAATCAGAACCAACCGCAGTCGCTATCATGCAGGTACGTATATAATTCTGCTATTTTTGCATCATCATCATCATCATCGTCATCATGCTGCCTGAGCAGCCTCCGGCATTGGAACAGGACCACCGGGGGAGTCCGGGAAACGTGCCGTCAAGACTTCGACGCCGTCCTCAGTCACAAGAAGGGTGTGTTCAAACTGCGCAGACAAAGAGCCATCCGCCGTAACACTGGTCCAGTCATCCGGCCAGGTCTTATCCTTGTGTGTGCCAATGTTAATCATGGGCTCAATGGTAAAACACATTCCGGGTTTGGCAGCTCCGACCGTCTTGTTCTTGGCGTAGTGAGGAATATTCGGTGCGCAGTGGAAGAGTTGGTTGATCCCATGGCCACAGTAGCTCTTTACAACACTGCAGTTGCGCGCCTTGGCGTGTTTCTCAATGACATTCCCAGGGTCTCGGAATAGCATGCCAGGCTTGACAAGCTCAATCGACTGCTCCAGACATTCTCGGGCTGTTTCCACCACTCTGACGGCATCTGGGTTCGCTTTTGCCTTATCGCCGACGTAGTAGGTTTCATTCAAATCACCGTGGAATCCGCCGTGGTACAGAGTCACGTCAATGTTTACAATATCGCCGTCCTGTAGCGGTCGCTGATCGGGGATACCGTGACAGATGGTTTCGTTTACTGAAGTGCAGACGGATTTCGGGAAATGTACGTAGTTGAGGGGGGAGGGGTATGACTATAGTAACCAAGTCAGCTTCGGTCAAACCAGAGAAAGGGAATTCGTACATCACGTTCAAGGCATGCCTTGTGGACGACCTCATCAATGTAATCCGTTGTAACGCCCGGCTTGATTTCTGCTGCAGCAATATCCAACACTTCTCTAGCCAAACGGCACACTTTCCTCATGCCTTCTTGCTCTTCCTTATTCAAAATCGTAATATTATGTCGACCGACAAACTTCTGCTCGGATCGTGGAATACCATCTCCGGCATAATCGGGGTGCGTAATGGACTCTGGAACGGCTCGGCGTGGTGAAAGGGGATACACTGGCCGAAGGGAGCCGGTAAAAGGAAACGTCGGGAAGGGATTGTATTGACCGGTAGCTGGATCTGGTTCAGAAACGACCTTGGGAGGGAACAAATTGCTGAGGATATTACTCTTGGTTTTGTGGGCTGTCTTGTGCGAGGCCTGATAATTGATGATTTAGCTCGGGGTACAGGGATGAGGAATTGTCACACCAGGATATGTGCGTACCCAACTACGCTTGAAGCAGTCTTGTGAGCAGAAGAAGCTATCGGTGCCCATCTTCAAGCAGGTCGGACACTGTAAGGTTCCCGCATCGTTGGCGCACTCGAGGCCAATGCATTTGCGCGGCGCGACGGCTGCCATGGTGATAATTCCGGGATAGGCGATGGAGATACGGGAGTGAGAGGCGACAAAAGGCAAATTGGACAGAATGCGGTGCAACGTTTGTTGTGCGTTGCTGTCGTTCTGCGATAATCATAAGGTGGACGGTGGTAAAAATGGATAAAAAGATCTGCTGCGGCTTTGGCTCCGGTGGGGAGCGTTTGCCCGATTAGATAAGCTCTGGCGGGGAGTCACCCAGACAATATAGTTATACTTCGACGTCCCGCGCCTCTCCGGAATATTCTCTTTTTCTGACCGTATTACTCTACAATTTGACTTGAAAACTGCCAATGCGTACATAGCATACAGGTAACATGGCAGCTCCTACACGCCAAAAGGTAGTCATAGTGGGCGCCGGACCCGTCGGATCATTGGCCGCTCTCTATGCAGCCTCCCGCGGCGATGATGTCGAGGTTTATGAGCTGCGTGCTGGTAGGCTTCTTCCGCTATGCTCTTCAAGGTGTAAATGCTGATACGAACACATACAGATCTTCGCGATCCCACCACTGTCCCTCTGAACTTTACAAAATCAATCAACTTAGCTCTCTCAGAACGCGGCATCCACTCCATGCACCTTTCCGGCCGCGAGGATGTTGTACATAAGATCATGAGCCAAGCGATACCCATGCATGGTCGAATGATCCACGGCAGAGACCTGACGGGGAATCTGTGGCAGGCTGCTCAAGCCTACGATGTCCACGGACAGGTACGTGCACATGCAATTGACAAGGCAGAGCATCGTGCTGACAAGTTAGGCCATCAACTCGATCGACAGGGCAACCCTAAACAATGCACTTCTCGACGAACTCGAGAAAACACCCAATGTGAAATTATTCTTCAACCACAAACTCACTGGAGCCGACTTCCACTCGCGCAAGGCCTGGTTTGAGCGCCGCATACCCGAAGATGAGCACAAGCCAGATCATCCGCATCCAGATGAAGCCGCAGTCGACTTTGACCGAGCACCCGAAGTCGAGGTAGCATTCGACTTTCTCATCGGTGCTGACGGTGCGCATTCTGCGTCGAGATATCATATGATGAAATATTCGCGAGTGGACTATCAACAAGAGTACATTGACACGCTATGGTGCGAATTCCGAATCGAGCCTACTGAAGAGGGCGACTTTAAGATATCGCCTCATCACTTGCACATCTGGCCTGGCACGGAATTTATGTTTATTGCACTCCCGTCTCCAGACAAGTCATTTACATGCACACTTTTTGCACCGGCGGACCACTATGCTCGTCTCGGAAACACGCCCGAAGCATTGTGCGCGTCGTTTCAACAATACTTTCCCGGCGTGTCTCCCGAGTTGATCTCGCCGGAGGACCTATACCGACAATTCACCACCAACCAACATCTTCCACTAATCAGCATCAAATGTAAACCTCACCACTACAATTCCAGCGTCGTCATAATCGGCGACGCAGCACATGCCGTCCTCCCATTCTACGGTCAAGGCCTAAACGCTGGCATGGAAGACGTTCGAGTTTTGTTCGAGATTCTCGATTCCCACGGCGTATACGACGCCTCCCACGACGCAGATTCTAGAGACGTGGCTCGCAACGAGGCCTTTGAGACCTACACCAAAACACGAGTTGCAGACGCACACGCCATCAACGAGTTATCCAAAGGTAACTTCATCGAAATGCGCGCCGGTGTCAATTCACGCTTGTACAAGTTCCGCAAATTTATCGAAGAGAATCTTGATCGCTACATGCCGCAGCTGGGTTGGCGCACGCAATACTCGCGCGTCAGTTTCAGTAATATGCGCTACTCAGAGATTATGAGGGCCGTTGAGAGACAGCGTCTACTTCTCACTACCACTTTTGGCACGGCGGCTGTCGTGGCGGCTGTCGTGGGACTTGCTATTGGAGGCAAGGCCATGTTGAAGCACCCAGTCCACTTTAATTTGCATCGAGCTGTAGGATATTTTCGGTGATCGTCCTGAATAAATAGAAAGTGGTGGATTGCAGGTTTCGATTCACCATATTGTTACATGTACTATATTACCATATAAAAGTTCTCMTCTTTTTTGATCTTTATATTTGGATTTGTAAGAATGATGTGTGGTATTCAATGACTAATGATGATAGAACGCTCTCAGTTCAAGGAAACAAAATGAAACATTCGCATACATATCTGAGACATAAAACAGATTGCTAACAAATCGGCCGTCGCACCCCTGGCTTAGGGTCACGAGCAAACTAACCAATCTTCTTCTCAATCCTCTTCAAAAACCCATTCACTTTACTATCCATCCGTCCCAATCCAGACTCAATCTTCGTCCCCCTCGCCGACGATTTGGAGTTGTGAGAAGAGTGTTTCGATCCCTTTAGTTCCGCTTCAGTGGGGATATAGATGTGATTGTGAATGTCGTATTCGGTGCTCATGGCGCCGTATTGCTGCTGGACGGGTTGGGAGTAGGAGTAGTTCGAGTAGCCGCCTGCTATGGCAACGCGTGGGTCTTCCGGGGGTGATGCCGTGGGGTCTTGAGTATTGGTCTGAGTCCGAGATTGGGATTGGAGGTAGTCTGCGTATTGCGGATGGTGCGGGTGGTGCGGGTGTTGGTGAGCAATAGAGGCATGTTGTTGCGGGTTGAAGGAATCCTGTGAGAAGAGATGCGCGTTCGGGTTTTGCGGTGGTGCTGCAAAGGTCATGCCGCCTGCTTGGGTGGGCGGTGGACTGGCTACGGGAACGGCGGTGTAACTTGGTGGTCCTAATCCAGCGCTGGGAGGCGGGGAAGTATATCCATATTGTGCTAGAGAAGGATTTGCGTACGCCTGCGGGTGAGAGAAGCTACCAGCAGCAGCATGTCCCGGAAGATACTGTTGAGTTTCGTCCGCCACAGCAGCTGCGACGAGACCAGTACCATCTGCGGCGTCCTCTGGTGGAGGAGTTTCTTCCCTATGTTTGATGGGTTCCGGAGCTGCAGGAGCAGCTGGATTATATGCCAAAGGGGTGAAGTCTGCCTTAGCTGGTTGCGTGGCAGCAGGCTGAGGCTCTGTGCGGGAATCTCGAGTCTTGCCGTTCTGGTAAGCGGGATCTGTAATCGCTACATTTTCCAACTTTTCCACAACCCGGCTCACTGCGGGCTCTGGAGCAGTCTGAGGCTGTTGGGCCTGGCGGTCGGTCTCCAGTTGCTGAGGCGGGAGAACCCGCGCAGCTGCATCCAAGAGTTGATCCGCGTCTTCCACAGTCCAGAAATATATATCCAAAGTATGCAGTCGATAATTGTGTTTACTCTGATCCCTCGGATCCGTAAACGGAAGACGCCATGCGTCCTGATTTCCGACCGGGCTATGCGCCGAAACAGGTGAATTCCCGACTTGCGAACCAACGGTCACAGTTACCAATGTCGGAAATCTAGTCGAATGGACCATGTGAACATGATCCAGAGCTACCACCACAACTTAGTCTGATATACTCGAGCAACATGTTTGTATGTGGTAGCTAACCTCCTTGAAAAGCATCTTGATCGTTTGTACCTGGATTATTCGCAATCTCTAGTCTGGCGCTACCCCGCGCTGCATCGTGGTATACGTAGAGATAGGAGCCTTTATCGAAGCGGTGATAGGTGGGGTTTGGCGTTGGGTTCGTGAAGTAGTAATGGACGTCGACGAAGCTGCGACATGTTAGGTCCTATGCCTTCTCGCAATAAACATGCCTGCACTTACAGCGTCAGTAAACGGTCTTCACCTGGAAATGGCGGCATGGCGCAGTTAGATCAGTAAGTGTTCGCAAGTGACAACAAAAAAGACAGTTCAAATTGCAAAGCACAAAGTGGCTTTACATATATACATTCAAGTCGCCTGAAGGGAGTAGCGGAGCAGACGAGAGACACTTACCTGCGAATCAGTAGCATTACTTCCATCCCGGTAGCACGATTGGGCAGCGTGAGGGGAGTGAGCGGCTAAGGAAGCATGCTGGATGGACGACGAGGCTGCTGCCAATGTGATTTGCTTAAGCTTAAATGACGCTAATAATGCCGGCGCTTGGAGGGTCCCGTGATTGCGGGCTGCTGATTGGGCAATGGATGTTGGCTGTTGTCGGGCCGGCCTAACACTTTTTCCGCGAACTCCGGCCGTACCTGGAGAAAAAACACCATCAAGACATACAGATCAGTGAATACGGAGCTCTCTTCATTTACATCGCCGTTATTGCTGTACTTTGTCAATGTGAGCCATACACCTGTTCCTGCAAAGATTGATTATATCTCCAGCTACAGCAATACTGACACTCGTCTAACAGCTTCAATCACATCTACCACCACTCATATCGTCCGCAACTTCGACACAAGGCCACCGGCCTAAATACTCACCATGTCCCTCTCACAACTCGCACACGTGTGCTCTCACCTCAACAACGTCACCAAAGCTCGTCTGGGCCTCACATCTATCGTCGACACAAAAATGCACCGCAGCCTAATCCTCGCCATGCAACAACAAGGTCTAATCGGCAGCATCGTCCGGGGCGGCCGCTCACCTCCTCCTCCTCATCTCCTTCTCGGCCAACCCACCGCAACATCCGCCACTGATGCTGCCACCGCAGCAGCAAGCGGCGTAATTGAAACCGAACCTGTCACACAAGCCAACGTCGCGTCAAGACGGCTCTGGCTGGGCCTGAAATACTGGCAAAGCGAGCCCGTGCTCGGTAAAATCACACCGGTTAGCAAACCTACAAGACGAATCATTATGGATCTCCCGGCTTTGCGTAGAGTCATTCGCGGGTCAAGAAGTGGTACCGTCGAGGGATTGCGGTCGCCGGGCGAGTGTCTCTTTTTGGCTACGGATCGGGGCATATTAGAGGCCAGACAGTGCGTTGAGAAGAAGATTGGTGGTGTGGTTTTGTGTCGGATTGAGTAGATTGTACTATATCTGCTGAAAATACGTGAGACGTATCTTTGTTGGGGTTTCGTCTCTTTCTGCATCGATGAGGAGTTTGGTTCGTTCTTTTTGTAGAAGTCTTACGTTTGCGACTTCTGATTTCAGAGTTTATATTTATATACCTCGCACTGTATTCTATGTATAATATACAATTTCCTGAATCGGATCTCTTTCCACTACTACACACATCCAATTGAATGGTTTAAAGATTGGAGAATTACTATTGTCTATATGCACTATATACATGTATACCTAGGTATACTTTTATCAAGTCGGTCAATAATCTAAAGTTTATATTGCTTCATCATGCAGGCTAGATCTTGGCCGTCAAACTGACACCCACCAACCTCACCCTCAAAAACGCCATCCCCGTCGTCGCAATCGCAAAACACACTCCCGAAAACACCGCAACAAACGTATAACTCCCATTATCCGCCGCCAGTATCGCTCCAGCCACGGGCGCTCCAATCAACGCACCAATCGACGTAAAAGCCATAAACACACCCATCCTAAATCCGATCTCGTGCATGGGTGAGATGGTAGCAATCAGACTGGGTCCCAAACCGATTACACCGCCAGAACTGAAGCCGAAAAAGGCGGCGAAACAGATTAGCGCGGCGTTGTTGTGGCCGGGGAGCCAGAGGGCGAGGACCAGGATGGCGGAGAGACCGGACATAATGGTCATGACGTTGAAGCGGCCGGATTTGTCGGCGATGTAGTTGGGAAGGGTTCGGCCGATGAGACTGCATGGATTAGCAAAAGACTGTAAAAGGAATAGACAGGAGGTAAATACCTAGCACCGTTCAAAATCGGGACAAGGCCCCAAGCCAAGTACGTGCTCATGCCATATCTGATGGCATCAGTGACAATATAATTGAAGGGGATGAGCATCGCCACTACAAATTATCAGTCTCTGTCCTCTTTCCCTACAGAGCTAAGAGGAAAACTTACAGAACATAAAGAATTCTGAAGCACACAACACCAAAAAGTTGAAGTCTTTCAACGGCGCAATGTATTGCATAATGTGAAAGGGGCGAGGTTTATGTGGCAGAGCCGAGCTGATACATGTATTCGCGATGACGAGCATGCCCAGGATCAGGAATGCGCAAATTCGCATTGTCCAGCCGAAGCCGACTTGGGGCAGGAGGTGTTGCACCATCAGGGGGAAGATGACGCCTCCGAGAGAAGAGCCTGCTACACTGAGGCCGGCGGCGACACCGCGGCGTTTGCGGAAGTATGTTTGTGGCTATATATCAGTTAGCTAGGAATCTACAATATTAGATTTAGGGCAAAGGGGGAAGAGGGGCGTACAGCTGAGAGTGCCGGAGTAAAGATAAAACTTGCGCCGATACCAGAGACGACGGATTGACTGAGAAAGAATTGATAGTAGTCCTTACACAGACTGGTCATCATAAGACCAAAGACATGCGCAACCGATCCTGCGAACAGCGGGACCCGGGGACCGTAGCTATCGAATATCTTGCCTGCCACAGGAGCCATGGCCAACATGAAGAAAACTTCCCTCGTCAGCTCCTCCCATATTCAAAAATGAAGAAAAGGGGAGGCGGAAAGGCGTACATTGCACCGACGTAATCCATGAAACAGTCGAACTCGAATACTCCTTCAGCTGATTCGATTGATACTCATCCTGAAACAAGCCAATACAATTCGTCCAGCCAAAGGATGTGAACAAAGCGGCGGAAGCTCCGAGAACAGATAACCAGGCCTTTGTGCCACCTTCCGGTGCTTCTGGAGGTGCGGCAGCAGCAGGAGGTTGCGCTTCTTCGGACTTTTGCAGGTCGTCGTTTTTGTCGATGGCGTCTTGTGGAACCTGGTGTTTCTCGAGGCTTTCGAGGTCGACCTCTGTGTGGCTTTGGGTATCTGTGTTGTCTGCCATGATGGGTTGCGTAGTCGTATACCTAATATAAATGAGTGTTACTCAGATATCAAAGCAAAATACATGGTACAAAGCGATGAAACTAGGAAATTTGCAGAATTTAAAATAAATCATTACTAAATGAAAGTCTACACAGCTACTTGATTTACTTACCTTAGCTACTCGATTTGCTTCCCCGACTCAAGAAAAGCGCGTTATCTCCGTCCACAACTGGCCGAAAGCTGAGTTCAGCTGCGCGACGTTGTTTTTGAGCTAGACTGCTGGGGTTTAGCAGGCTCGCGAAAATCGGATTTATGCTGGCTTTACTGCTCCGAGCTTGTTATGTCCGCTGTTACGTACTTACTGCTGGCTCCATATGGCGGGAGATCTTCAAAGAACAACTTAATAAAGACTAACAAGGACACTGTTGAAAATGGCCTATTCGCTCGGATGTAATAACAGCCCTAACTTTACCCCTTGTGGAAGTGCCGACCGTTTACTCCGATATGCCCGAGAACAGCCAAGACGGCGCCGACTGCTGTATTCGGTTAGCGTTGCGCGCTTCTTGTGCAATGCTGTCAGCCATTCAGGCTCATCTCGTCAATCAGATGCTAATTATCTGATGCACTGCTGAAGTCTGAAGAATTAATATTAAGAAGAAGAAGGACGATAGTGGTACGGAGCTCTGATCCACCTGAGTGAAGGTCAGCGTGTCTGGCACTTATTGGAGACTTCGGAGTCTTTGTCGAGGCAGTTGGAGTCAGCATTATATTCCTTGACTTTCATAACTCATGGCAATCTATCAATCTTTTAAACAGTGGTTGATCTGGTGTAAATTGGACGACGAGACGTACATACAATTTGGTTCGCTGACTCGTTACAATATCGTTTGCTAATCCACCATCAAGCTAATTCTTTCTCTTCGTTCTACATACATTCTACTTACAACAGGATTCATGATGAATTCCCTGCAGAGATGCAAACCAATTAGGGTTATGGAAGCATTCAGGCGTCAAGGTGTCGAGGCCTCAAGGCATCAAACGTCATGATCTATGACGAACACAATCAGGCAACCACCTTCCTCTTTTATTACTTGAAGGATCCGACCTCCTTCAAATTATCTCTCCAACGCTGAGAAGACCCAACAGCATAGACCCTTGAACAATGGCTAAGACTGGGTTCAACAATCTGCCTCTCGAGACAGTCATCCAGATATTCACCTCCGTTGACAATGACATGGACCGTCTCTGCCTCGCCCTGACATGCCGTTCTCTACTAAACTTTCTCGACAAGAGCAAGGCTCTACAAAGCTCACCCAGATACAGAGGATTCAAAAACATGTCAATCCTCCAAACCGGCAAACTGGAATCTGAGCGGTGGACACTTCTTCGCAAACTCGAGGATTCAAGATGGAGGTGCTGTTTTGGCTGTTTCAAGCTCCATCCAGCCGAAGAATTTTCTGGTCGGGACCTCGTGACGGGCAGTGACAAACGGATGTGTGTTTGTGGACCGCTAGTCGGCACCGTTTGCCTATGTCCCTGTATGGAGATTACGTTTCGAGACAAAATCAAATTGGTGAAGCTGCTTTCAGCAAAACCGGAACGGCAAGACCAGAAACAAAAACAAAATACTTCGAAGACAACGGGTTCAGATTTGAAAGATCTAACAAAGCTTTACACAAATGCTCTTACTTGCCCAAACCGACAGAGACAGACCCATTCAGGACTGCCAGGGCTGGACTCAGCTGCCAGGTGGAACTCTTTCTTGAAAAAGACGGGAACTTGATGGCAGAGACCAGATACGAAATAACCAGCAACGAGAGTCCATCTCAGTACCTCCTCAATCACGACTTGTTGATATGCCCGCATCGACGACTTATCAGCCAAATTTACCAGATCCAACGAGCTCACAACGCGCCTGGTCCTACACGCAAGTCAGTGACGGAGATGAAAATTAATGGGACGTGGTGGAAAAGGTCGCAGTATTCGATCGAGTGTTCAAATTGCACGACTACTATCTGTGAACCAGAATGGACTTTTCAAAAACGGAAGACTGCAAATACAGTCCAAACAGAGAATGTCTTTATTTTTGAAACGAAGAGATGTCTCGGAAAAGCTACGGAACAGGCTGATAAGGTATGGTATCAACAGACTGAGAATAGCAGGCCATGAGGAGAACTTGTCCTGTTTCTCTGTCTTGTCATTATCAATCAAAAGTCCTTCTACTATTATTTTCTAACCAACACTCTCTATACCCACAGGATCATCCCCTCTAACCCCTCTCCACCACTCACTTTGTCTCGCCAGCTCTCCTTCCTCCCCACCCAATAAACTCCAATACTTCCTCAGGAACCACTCCTTTGCCTCCCAACTCCGAGAATCCCACGGCGTACCGGTAGATATATACCCTGTATTTTCCTCTCTATCTCTTTTACCCGCCGGACCCGCATTACCCCAACATACTAACCCCGCAAGCACATCCTGGAAAAACTCATCCTCATCAATCCGGTCTTGCTGTAAAATGTAATTCTTGCGCAGTGTTGGGAAAGGTAAAATGTCAATTTGCGGATGATGCTTGATAGTGATTTGTTCCCTGCCAGGTCTGAGATCTGGTTTGAGTGTGCGGAAGATTTGTTGCACTGTGTTTATCATCATATTGTTCCTTGCTATATCATCCTTCTCCGGGTAGTCTATAACGCTGAAGCGGTAGAAGGGCGAGAGGCTTTCATCAGCGCAGATGATTTCTTCTGTCATACCGACGTGTAGTCCCAGATCTACGAGGGCGGATAGTGTGCAAATTGTGTCGAGGCGGAGATTATTCTGATACGGATCTGTTGTCGTGATCAAAGTAGAAGGCGGTGCTTTAAATCTGAGAACCCTAATCTCGTCGAAACTGAATGGATCAGGTCCTTGGGTTTTAACTTGGAAGTGTGCATTCAGACAGCCGCAATTTATGGTCGTGGTCCAACGTGAATTGTGGCTGGKGCCATGGTTGTGTTTTATGCGGATCAAGAGGCGTGGGTCGACTGCTATTGTAGTATCCCATGTATTTGATCCTGAGCATGTGGTCTTTATTGCGTCTGATGTGTTTAGCCTGGAGGTTGATTGGTCTGGACCACCAATCACAAAATTCCATATCCCCGATGTCAATGATACACCATCTTCAAGCGAGATAGTGTCCCTCAGATCCAAGGTAGAGGGGAGCTCCTTGGGTTGATCACCTGAATAAGAACATTCATGCGAAGTCAGTCCACATGTAGAAGAACTATTGTCATGTTCTGCTGAATGATCCGGTCTAGTTTGAATTGCAGAAGTGCTGACGGTTACGGCTGTGTCTGCAGTCATAGTATCCCATGGCACAGCAATCGCGGCAAACGCCTCGAGCTGATCAAGTCGTTGGCGCAATTTTGCTCCTGAACAGAGAAATTAGTCGAGCTTTCTTCACGGTACTATTTGGTTCTTGAATCCGTCGAATGCTTACGATACTTTCTTTGAGCCTGGATATTCTGTTGCCGTCTCTTCTCCAGGTCTCGACGTACTGGTTGTTTGCGTTTTTCTGTTGTTATATTCTTATCAGATCGGGTTTGCGGTGGCATGTCTGATAAAAAGACAGTCAAGGCTCGATATCTTCGTAGTTGTGTTGTATCCGGATTTTACAGACTACAAAAAGTCAAAGAGAACCCAGTTGGTACAAAGTACAGCTCATTCGCCAGATTTAGCCAGGTGGCAAAAGCTGACAACCGGATGACCGACTAGGATAAAGGAGAGTCTTAATTAAAAGACATATGCATCGCGATCTGTAGACAAACATATGTGCAAGATTCAGATTGAGTACATATCAATAGTAACCACCGTAACTCCATGGCGCTAAGTCCAACCAGGTAAATATGTGACCCGTTCTCCGCCGAATTCGGCCGAAGCGCGGAGATCAACAAGTAGACAGGCAACCCCCTCATAAACTGACTTCGAAAAACGTTTGTGGCCGTAAAAATCTCCTCTAACGGTCTCTGAAAAAATGTCAAGCGAATTACCTGGCGAGCCTCGGCGGAAAAGGGTCCGCAAGGGTACGAAAAGTTGCTGGGAGTGTAAGGCTTCCAGGTCCACATCCGCAACCAGGCGTGAGATTGACATTGAGAAAACAGGCAAACGAAGAAAGGTCAAATGCATTCCATCGAAAGACGTATCGGTGTGTGCTAGCTGCCTCGAGAGGAGCATCTTGTGCCTCAGCCAGGAATATGCAGACGAACCATCACTACAACATGACAGCGAATTGCCGTTGACCCAACGCATAGCAAGGGTCGAATCCTTACTGGAAACCTTACTAGAGCGTATGACGCAGAGCCAAGCAGGTCAATTGACCACCCCATCCGTCCTATCGAAGTCAAATGAATGGCAACCTCTGTCTCAATCGCTGTATAATGAATATGAATCACAGGGCGAGGTTGGCTGCCCGATAGGAAGACATGAGGCTCTACGTCAAAAATTAGCTGCACTTTTGCTTCAATTTCATCAAGATGACGTCGACTTTTTGCTTGCTTCGAGTCATGGATGGTGGCTTATACAGCAGCATATAACACCTTATTCATTTAGCGCAAACGAGAGTGACTTTGAAGAACCGTTCAACATCGCAGCTATCTCAAAGCTCCCTCCGATACCAATCACCAGGACACTTCTTTGTCTCGCAGTTTGTATTCAGCAATTATCTCCCGAAATGAATACACGGAACTTTCGGAGCAAAGCGCCGCTTCAAGAGATGATGCGGAGCATCATGGACTTTGTCGTCCAAAATGTCACCTCGGATGATAGTCTGACTGGAAGTGTTCAAGGTATTGAATGTCTTGCTCTTCAGGCTATATATGAGGTCAATGCTGGCAATCTGCGACGATCATGGGTAACGTTCCGTAAAGCCATCACAATAGCTCACCTTCAAGGCCTGCATAATATGACTGTCAACTCTTCACCAGAAGAGCGAAACGTGATGGAGATAAAACAGCATCATCTATGGTATCATATTGCGAGAGGAGTATTTACTGTTACATGATTTTTGGTGACCCCGGCTAAGATCTACTAGGAGCGCTACTTGTCAACTTTACTCGGCCTACCGTCCAGTACGGGCTCAGCGGCCTTCCCAGCAGATGATGACGACTCCTGGCTTTCGGCGGAAAACGTGTATCACAAACATCTATACTACATATCTGGTCTTATCCTCTTGCGTAACCAGAGCGATGGCACTCATACATTTTCCACAAGTCAGCGAATCGGAGAGCAGCTAATGTCGTTTGCGGAGAAAATGCCTCCAGCTTGGTGGGAAGTGCCCACAAGCATACCCAAAACTCGCTCAAAAGAAGCATTTGCACAGTTCGAGCGCGTTATGTGTCAGATCTGGCATTTCCAACTAGAGATGCTTGTGTATCTGCCCTTTATGCTACGCGCAGCAACTGATCGACGGTACGAGCATTCACACATATCTTGCATGAATGCCAGTCGCAATCTCATCAAGAGATGGATTTCGATACGTGAAAGTAACACTACAATCCTCTATTCCAATCTTCTTGAATTCGAAGCTTTCATAGCAGCAACAACTTTGCTGTTAGGGATTCTAGCTTCGCCGAAAAGTGCAAGTCCAGACGTTCTGAAAGAACGGTGCGATGACTCTCAGCTCGTCCAGACGGTTGTTGAGCATCTTGAAAGACTCAAACGGCAGGGCGCCGGGATGTCTGTTGGTAACCAGAGTATTGATGTGATTCGCACACTCCAACAATTCGTACATAGTCGAACTATTCCCAACAGATTGCGTCTCGAAGTCCCGTTCTTTGGTATTATTATGATTGCAAACAACGGTGCTGTGCAGCCTCTTGAGGGTGAGAGAATTTTTGGGGCGAATCCGAGCAGGGACTCTTCTTTGTCGCGGACTTTGCAAACTACCATGCCTTTACCAAACTTTGAAACAAGTTCAGTGTCAAATTTAACACCTGATTCTGGTTTCCAGCTCCGGGATACGGTTATAACTAAGGAAAGCTATTCTTTATTTGGAATGGGGGATAATGAGCCTGCACTGCAGGCTACTGGTGGTCATTTTCAACTCCCTGAGGCGCCAGGGATGCAGGATATTTTTGACTCCACTGAATGGTTGTTTCAAGAAAGCGATATCATATACTTTAACAGCTTGATGGACACGGACTTGGAGGGCAATTGGACATTCTAGAGCTTTTAAAGATATAAAGATTAAAAGTTTAACCTCGAGGTTTGGCATGATGCGTGGTCTCTGTATACATAACCTATTCCGTAGATTTTATGGCACTAGATTTCTAGCCCATTTACTATTTACCAGAAAAGTTCCGGAATTTTTCTATTGGGGCCATATAGTATCGATCAGCTAACCCTTTTCGATTTGGCCAGATGCTGGATACAAAAAATCGGCCGAATTGACCGAACCATATGCGGACATGCGGCGGAATTGAAGCAACTTTGAAGGGTCTCCTTCTTAACAACGAAGCCCTAGAGGAATATAAAATCCCGTCATCTGCACTTGGAAGACTTCCTTTTTTTTTCCAAGACACAAAACAAACATTCTCCCTCCTGCATCCTTTTCAGAAACCTGTCCAGCAAGTCATAAACCAAGTCTAGAGCATCATGGCTATAATCAAACAAGACACCACGAATATCCTCGCCGCTGCCGAGAAATTTATTCACTCCTATGCAGTCGACCTCAGTTCACCCTCTTTCAAAACATCATCTGAACGTGCCGCAAAAATGGCTACCTACTACCTTCCGACCGTCGTCTCCCTTGTCAACGGAAGCATCACCGAAATTTCCGGACCAGCAGAATTCGGAGCCATTATCCGTACAGCTCTGGACGCATTGGGGGACCTTCCTGAAGTTACAGGACACAAAGTTGACGCTGTCAGCGTGAACAGTGCAATCATCTGGCTTTCGTTGCGGATTAAGGGGGTGGAGATGTCGAATGTCTATTTCTTTAGAAAGATGGAGGACGGTGCTGAGGGTTTTGAGGGCGGTATTTTTGATGGTGAATCGTGGTTGTTGGGTCAACTTGGAAAGCTGTAGTGCAGATGTAACAGGAATATATTTCAATTTGTGAGGTCAGCATCTACCATAGATGTCAATAAATTAACTGGTACTTTTCTGTTTCATTCTTATTTTCCTCACCCTGATCATTATGACTGCGCTTTCTCATTTATCTTTTATGTTTCAAAAATGGAACCTCAGTATGATAGACCATACCAAAATCCTTGATATTCACTGAAGAGTGTACAATACGATATTAGACGTGTCTCTTACCGATTGCTTGATTGATAGATCGTAGGTTGATTATAAGATGTAAGTCAGGCCTTGACAATGTGGCATATTTTGCATATTGAGCGTCAAAAAATAAATGGAAATTTTCATATTCCCTCCTGCAGCTGTGATACGAGTAAGCCTTATGCATGTGCGCATTTCATGCAGCCCCGCTCTGGGCGGACTCACTATTTGACTAGGTTTACTTCCCTCCTCTAGAGCTTAGCGTGATGTGGTAATAAGTCATACTTTCGCTGGAAAAGTCAGGTCTATTCCTCCTTACAGTCGATAGTATCAATATCAACCTTAAAAATACAAGCCCTTTTCGGTATTTCTTCGAGGACCTGATTTCGAACTCGTTTGTTAAGTCCGATACTCATACCATGGACGAGCTAGTTAAAAAGGCCATTCAAAAGGCGGAGGCGTTCAAAAAGCTCCCGAATTCGACGTCATGGAAAGATGACGAACCATGTACCCAACCTTACTACATTTGGATCGAAGAAAGGAAGGAATGGCAAGCAAAGTCATCAAATAGTGACTCGCAGACACATTCTGCTGGTAGCTTCACTTTAGTCTTGTTTAGCTGGAATATTGACTTCATGTTGCCGCTGCCCGACATACGGATGGATGCCGCATTAGCTCATCTGCACGAGCTTACGGGACAGCTCCTCTCGACCCCAAACACGGCCGTTGTCATACATTTACAGGAATGCGTCCCATCTGACCTTGTCAATATCAGCCAGAAACAGTGGATTCGAGACAACTTTTTTCTGACCGATATAAATGCATCTGCCTGGGGGAACGGGGCATACGGCACGACCACGCTAGTTGACCGTCGCTTGAGTTTGTCCTCTTGTTTCCGGGTTCATTATGCCAAAACCCGTATGGAGCGAGATGCACTGTTCGTCGATGTCGCTATGCCCGCTGCTCTCAACAACAACAACAAAGGCAAGATATTACGTTTGTGCAATACGCACCTTGAATCGCTTGCTCTTGAACCACCGTTCCGGCCAGCACAGATGCAAGTCGTAGCTTCACACATGCACATGGAAGATGTCGTGGGGGCAACAGTTATGGGTGACTTCAATGCTATTCAGCCTTTCGATAGTTTGCTTCACTCGGATAACGGCCTGAAGGACGCATACCTCGAACTTGGGGGCCAAGAGAACAGCAATGAGGGCTGTACCTGGGGTCAACAGGCATTACCTGAACTACGGAAACTCTTTGGACTTTCACGAATGGACAAGTTATATTATCGAGGAAGTAACCTAAAGTTGCTTGATTTCCAGAGATTCGGCGCTGGAGTCGAAATTCCTGAGGGGAAGGATGATAGGGGACAACTGCTGTCACTCGGGTTTGAGAAGGCATGGATTACAGACCACTTAGGGATTAAAGCTGTGTTTCACGTCATGGATAATGTTCAGCCGTGAGAAGCATTTCGATATTTGATCTGTCTGTATTCTTGGCAAAGGGGTAGCCTCATTATCACTACAATTGAACTAAATATCATATATCTTTAAATGCAAAGTCATGGCGGTTCTGGACAGACATTTATGGCCTGAAACGACCGAATAACAGTCATCTCATCATCATCATCCTCCTCCTCCCCATGCCAGAAGGTCATGAGCAGACCGCGGAGGGCTCGACTGCATCCATTTTGCACTAAGACAGTGCCTGGCTACAGACTCAGAAGCTTAGTTATCCTCCATATACCGACACGCCTAATAGTGTGACATCGTCTCTTCGCACGATGTTCGTCTAGTTTTGTATTCAGGGAATGATCGATACTCTTATGAAAGCCGAAGAGCCTACTTGGAGATCCAATCTACCTGACTGTTCCTCTAGCGGGCAGTTCCACAATTCCACTCATGTGAAGCATCATACTCTTTCCCAGTATAATGGTTGCTCACACTGAACTCGACCTACGAACATCACAAAAACCAAAGACCGATAACCGTTCTATGTGTCTTCAAATCGAGCTAAGTATTATTTTTTCAAGGCATGGGAGAGTTTCCAGAACAGCAATAAAATAGAGACGAAACGAAGGAAAGGGGAAAAAAAAAAGAAAGGCCCGAGCTGCGATTCGAACGCAGGACCTCACCCATTCTCTAGTGTTATCACTAGATGGAATAACAATATCCCGAAGGGTGCATCGTACCCCTAGACCACACGGGCTCTAACTGATATTTGCCTATCAATGAAATATAAAATCATTGGCTTAATTGCTATGTCCACGTTATCTCGATCTGAAGTTGTTATTGACCGAGATACGAAATTAAATGCACATACTATCTAACAAGATAAGACCTGCTTGTGAAGATGCATTGAAAATATTCTAGATGGTTTTAAACTGTGTTAAGGTTCAAAAAAAAGTTATTAGATTCGACCATCCATAGGGAGATCTACCTAGGTTTTCATTGGAGTACATGGGTAACAATAACGCATATTCAATAGACGAACTTTGAATTTGTAGCGACTCTTATGATTTATTCCTTCCACTCATCTCTGCCCAACTTGACAATTTCATCCATTTCCACAGTCCAATATTTTGCAGGCGCCTTGCCCTCTTCTGCGATACGAGCAGCTGCTACCGCAGCTCTGCCGATGACGGTTTGATCCTGGCCTGCATTATCATAGTCAGTTATCCAATCCCTAGACTATTCATGTCACAGCATCCTGGATCATACCCAAGCTATCTTGAATACCCTGACTTATCTTGTGAAGATTCTCCACGATCTTCTCAAACAGCGGAGCCTTGGACTTTTCCCGGCCAATAATCATACCCGGCCTCAATATGATGGCTTGTTCGAAATCAAGCTCTTTTATGGCATCCTCCACGCCAATCTTCATTTTCGAATAAGGCACCTGGCTTGAGAAGAATTTTCTAGTACCCGCGCTAGAGACAAAAACATATGTCTTCACACCTGCTTCTTTAGCTGCTCGGGCATTCTCAATGCACAAGTCATGGTCAATTTTCCACTGATTCTGAATACCGCCGGCTTCTGCTCTGGTGGTACCGACTGCATTGAAGACTACTGATGGCTTGGGCGACAAGGAAGAAATCATAGCGCTCCATTTTGAGCTGTCGCTTTCCTGGAGCGCTTCCAACTTGGGAGACTGCGCGGATGGAAGTCTTCTTGAGATGGTCTTGATGGATGAGAAACCATCGGTGGCGAGAAGAGTTGCGAGGATTTGAGAACCGACAGCTCCTGTGCTGCCGAACACTGCTGCTGTGGTCATATTTGTTGGTCTTTTTCTTAGTATTGATGGTTTGTGTTGAAAGAAGATAAGGGTCGATGTGGCGAATTATTGGGGTCAATAAGCGATGGCTTTGTTATCGTCTAGGATGGATATATGACAGCGGATATGTACTCGGAAAAATGGTTGAGATCGGCTAGGGTTGTTAGGGTTAAGCACAGCCCCACAATTTGTCTACACGCCTGACGCCTCTCCGCGAGTCTTCATCAACTTTATCAACCATGCTCAATGACTTCATCAGGCAGCTGCCATATAATGCGATGATTACATATCTTATATAAGTTTGCTCGAGACTGCCGCGATTGAGCTAATCGAAAGACTCCCGAGCACAATTGCCTGATTGACGTCCAACAACCTTCATGATTTTCCTTTTATAAGTGACATGGAGCCCCCAGCGCAATCAAATGGCACGATAAAACACAAGCGTAACCGCACTGCGCAGTCATGTGTTCAATGTCGCCAGCGCAAAGTTCGTTGCGACCGAGGATACCCATGCGCTCCTTGTTTGAGATCCAAGAACTCGTTGGAATGCTCCTACGAGAGGCGGCATGCATCGAGCGAGAACTTTTCAATCCTACAGCATCGGACAGGGAGACCAGCTGTTCAAGAGATGCCTCCGTCATCATCAACAATTAACAGAACAGCTGGAGATGCCACTGTTGTCTCTATTCAGCCTGGAGCAGCAGCACACAGCCAAATGTTGATTGAGGATCTTCAAGAACAAGTTCAACAATTGAGAGAAGCAGTATCAAGCAGTGTATATACTACCAGAAATCCAGGTCCATCCGGGCCGCTTGTAGGAGATAACAGAACCGAAGTTCAAACAATCAAGAGTCCGACATCTCATCTACGAAATGCATGGGATAAGACCAAAATCTTCGGCCCCAACAATTGGATTCACACTGCGGAACAGGTAATATTTACTTCATGATTTGGCCCTAGAAAACTCCAGTGCTGATAGCCAGCAGTTCCAAGTCCTTGGGGAGTTAGTCGTATCTGATGTGTCGCTCGCAGAACGATTCAGCGATAGAGCCGAATTGGTTAATCTTCTGAAGGAGTGTATCGGTCTTAGGAAATTGTATAAGAAACACAATTTCGATGACGATCCTCCACTCTCCTCGGATATATCCAGCACCTTTCCTCATAAATCTATTTGTGATGAGCTTGTTCAATGTTATCTGAAAACATTCGAACCTATATACCGAATATTGCACGTACCATCCTTCAAAACCGAGTATGAAAACTTTTGGAGGGTACCTCAGTCAGCTTCAAAACATTTCAAGATGAAAATGGCATTAATATTCGCCATCGGTTCGGCTTTTCATCCGTTCCAGGATGACTGGGCCTATTACGAGAACACCGTGCAGAAATGGGTGTATGCAGCACAATTGTGGCTGGCCGGCCCATCGAATCACGCCAATTTCACCAACGATGGACTTCAAATTGGCTGTCTATTGATATTATCTCGTTTGAGTGGTCCTGCTAGTACCCCCACTTGGATATCGACAGCATCTCTATTGCAGATGGGCATGATGATGGGTTTACACCGCGATTGCATGCTGTTTTCTTCATTGACGCCCTTTCAAGCGGAGATGAGGTGTCGTCTATGGACCACTATCATTGAACTAAGTGTCCAAGCCTTGTTGGATTCCGGCGTACCGCTACCTCTTTCACTAGATGAATTCGACAGCCGTAGTCCAAGCAATATCAACGACCAGGATATCTTTCCAGAGAGCAAGGAGAACACCCGACCTAAAGATGGCCACGTATTTACCGACTCATCAATTCAGATAATACTAAGCAAATCAATCAGTACGAGGCTTGAAATAGCCCGCTTACTGAATGATCCGCTGCGCAAGAATCTCACATTTGACAAAGCCATGAGGCTTGGGCAAGAATTACGTACTGCTTGCCGTGAAATATCGGCGTTTTTTCAAACAAATATTTCCGCACCACAGGGACGGAAGAGTGGTCAAATGGAGTTTCATCGCAGGTTCCTGGATATGTACCTCCATCGGTATTTAGTCTTTCTCTACCGCCCATTTATGATCGAGGCTCGTAAGGACCCTCGATACTACCTTGCGCGTAAGATGTGCGTTGAATCTTGTCTAATCATTGCATCTCACTGCGAGGTTGTCACGGATCCGTCAATCGAGATGAGCGATTACCTCTGCCGGCTTGCTCGTGTAGGCTCTGGGGCATTCAAGGGACCATTTTGCATGGACGTCATCGCGGTATTGGGCCTTGAGCTTGTAATGCAAGTTGAAGAAGAAAATTCAATTCGATTCTCAGGGTTACCGATGACAACAGCAGTTGACCCTCTCGGCGAAATGAACAAAGCCAACCGGGCACCACTAATTCGATGCTTGGAACGCATAAGAGATCATCTAGAACAAATAATTGTTGCTGGAAGGGTTTCGCTCAAACGCTACATTTTTCTCGTGGGAGCTCTCTCGTTAGTTCGTGCTATGGATTGTGGTTTACCGATTCGACAGACTATTATCGAGGATATAACCGCGACGATAAGAAAGTATTATTCCTATCTGAGTAAAAGCGCTTCGAACCAACAACGACCGGAATTTATGGGTGAAATAGCAGTTGATCCTGGTGACATGCCTGATCTTTCCGCGTTCTTTTCTATTGACGACTGGGTATGTGTCTTTCAACTAATGTATGATCAGGTAAACTGCTTACTGACATTCACATTATAGGATCCTTCTAGCATTGTATTTCCAGATTTGTTCAACCTCTTAGAGCCGTCGAGTATGAGGTGGTAGGATCCGAATATATAGCATTACGAAATGTATGATAAAACTTCCCACAAGCAGAATGCGTGGTCTTATGCAATATAGCCAGGGCTATGGTGTGGGCTAAACGTTACAACTCACGACGTTCATGAGAAATGTGCTTATGATTCTAGGAAGTACATTTCAATAAGCAATATACCTAGGTATGTAATAAAAAGTAACGGATATTGTCTACAGAAAGAAAGAATGAGCCTGGCACTGTGTAGCATGTATTCTTCTAGCACATGTTGTTATACTCGAGGTCCATGACATACTACGTCTGAATTATCATTCTGAAACTAGTGTGACCGTGGTATCCTACTCCATGCGTGGTCAAAATCTGGCAGGCACGTATCAATTCTGTGGGATGATAGGAAAAGAAAGCGGCCCCAGCCCCAAAATGAATATTTTACTGACCGGCGAAGACTGATTCAGAGCTATTTGCCGTTACTTAGTACTCTTTCGAAATCTTTGTTACCATTACGTCTAATATGGAATGCATTTGCCGATCAATTTTGGAAGTATACTTAACAATCCACACCCCTGAGTACCGCCAGAGCTAACTTCGAATATCTATTTGCCGCCCTTCTCAACGACAACATACGTTAGCCACATCTCGACACCAATCTCGTACACTTGGCTATCCTGAACAGGGTGCACATCGGTCGAACAAAATTATCGGCAAGGGAGATAAGGTCAGTTACGAGGGTGGGAATCATTTTTTTTTTGTTTAGACCAGCCCGAAGCCAGCCCTTGGTGACTGGTACGCTATCGCCTGACGAGCACATGTAGGAGAAAGTCTTCGTTCCTTTCGGATGATATATGGCGCAAAGTCAAGAAAAGATCGATGTTTCGTTTCTTGCCATACTCAGCGATAGCGCCCCTACTTTTTGGTATCAAAATGATCCTGATATGCTAACGCTTCTTAAGATTACCACTTCTTGCGTGCTATTGCTTCTCCAGCCCCGAAACTGGTAAATTGTTGAGCCAACCCATCGACAGCCAAATTAAGATCATCAATCAGGTACCACCTGATATGCTTGGTAAGTTCTACCACAACTTGGAAAGGTTTCGAGGCGAGATTGGAACTGATGAATGTATGTATCAAATTGCATGAAAGAATCTGACTCGCGTTATCACAGTGGCGTACCCTGATATCTCGGTCAACATAGCCTAACGTGCTAGCGAACTCGTGTATTCATCACCGACCAGGCAAGCCCTGCCAGTGGCTCGCCCTCCATATCTTGAACATGCCGTTAGCCTGTTAGCTAGTAAGGTAAATAAATGTCTGTTAATTCGCAGCTGCTCTCCTAGGCCTTAAAACGACGGCCTGCATTGGAAATCACGTTAGACTAGCAAAATGCGTGATCTTATACAAAGTAATTAGGGTCATGGTATGGCTTAGGTTTTATAAGTATTCCATGTAATATTGAAGACTATCCATCCTCGACCATAGGTATATAACTTTGAACCAGTGGACAATAAGAGGAACAAGTACATTGCTACTGTACTATACAGAAAATATCTCATTGGTTGTTAATCTCTTTCTACCCATGTCATGGTGAGCCAATCATTGGAACGAATTTTAGGGGTTGTGCAACCTTGGGAACACCCAGATGATCTTTCACGGAAAACTTTACTTGCAGTATCTTGATAGCTTCATTCTTGTAAAGACCGTTTTTTGTTGGTTTATTAGCGCAGTCTATCACCTGCGATAAAATATTATGACACTTCCAGACGTCCTCATCACAGGCGGCTGTGGCTTCGTCGGCGCAGCGATCGCCAGAGCCATCTCAGAAAAGCACCCGGAGTGCAAAATCTCCATCCTGGACATCAACGCCCCTGGTCCCAGCCATCGAGTTCCATCTCAAGCTATTTTCGTGAAAGTGGATATCACTTCCACTGCACAAGTCGAAAAAGCTATGCGCCAGATCCGACCCGCTATCGTGATTCACACAGCTGGCATTGTGCCTGTATTAGCGGAGCGGTTTGGTCGGCGGGTGCAAAGCGCGGTATGGAAGCTGAATGTCGAAGGCACAAGGATTATGCTCGACGTCTCGAAGAAATTGGGAGTCAAGGCATTCGTATTTACGAGTAGTTGTTGCGTGCTTATAGATGATATGCGCCTACCATACAGGAATGTTACCGAAGAGTGGCCCACCTCGCAAAATTCACTGATTTATGGCGAATCAAAGGTTTGTATATCCAGATTCATGAATAAGAACTAGCTTGAATATGGTGAGCTGATTTATGAGCTACCGGTTTTGTTTAGGCAGCTGCAGAAGCACTAGTTCTCCAAGCCTCTTGCGCCGAAATGGCGACCTGTGCACTCAGGCCATCTGTCCTAACGGGCCCCGGAGACTACCAACTCCTCCCAGCAATTCACGCTTGCATCGCCAAAGGAGAAACTCCGTGGGTAGTCGGCAGCGGCCTAAACTACTGGGACGTAACTCTAGTTCAAAACGTCGCAGATGCACATGTCCTAGCGGCTGAAAACCTGGTTTCGTCAACCAAAACAGCGGCTGGAGAAGCTTTCTTCATCCAGAACAATGAGCCCATCACTTTTCGAGATTTCTGCCTGACGATATGGAGGAACTTTGGACACTTCCCCCCTTTCACGGTGCATATCCCCGAGTCGCTTGCTTGGCTAGCCGGCTTGATAGCTGAGTATTATACTTGGTTTACCGGGACACCTACAACGCTTAGTAGAGGCAGTGTTCACGACGCATGTCATATGAGATATGCAAGTGGCGAGAAGGCACGGCGTATACTTGGCTATGAAGCTACGCTGGGTCTTGAGGAGGGGATCAGGCTTAGCTGTGAGGTACGTAAATCTTTCTGTGAACGCAATGACAAATAATTGTTGTGGCTTTTTAACTGCTTTGTTGTCTTATGATCTTATCCAAGTGCGGATGAAGTCTGACGATATTTTCCCTTGCCGCTCTTTCCAGGATTATGCTCGTCGACTAGGCATCAAGCTACCCGACGCCCCAGGCTTTCGTAATAGCCCGGGCGCAGACACGAAGAAGCTATTGTGAATAGGAGTAGTAAGTTCTTACTTATCGGCCACTGATGTTCGCTTATTCGGCAGTAATTTCTCCTGGGAGTGTGTGTATCTTGCATGTCTCTGTTACGTGATTATTAACCTTTGATGAACCCGTTGCCCAACCTACTTAATTAGCGTACAGTGAGGCACTTCTACGGACTGTCAAGCTGCAGTGTACATGGTCGGTCAATGTAAGGGCAATGCCTCGATATGTATCAAATTTTACTTACTACTATGTGAATCATCTTTTACTCGCTAGTTAAGCTGTGCAAACGAGAAATCTCATGGTTACAGGCGCTAAGTATTTGCAAGCAAGGGGTTTATACGTGGTCATCAGGATAAGGGTCACCTGGAAAGATTCTGTTGATTGATCTGGTTCCTCTCACAATTGATTAATACGTAGTTAATTGGGAAAAAAGGGGAAGCTAAGTGTGTAGCAAGAATAAAAAATTATTCTCACAGTCCTATTAATTCTTTGCCAGTAAGATTCTCTCTTACTGCCCGTTAAAGAAAGTCAAGTGTAACGAATATTTCCCAAAGCGGCATGTTAGGGCAAGCACGGTCATGCTTTCTTTTGGCCTTCGGGTTGGGCTGAATGGGGTCATACTCGCCGCTGACGTCCATAGCAAAGCAACGATCGAATAAAAATTGAAATCAATGCAAAAACAAAGTCTCCGAGCATTCCGTTTATCACATGAATAATCTCTCCATAATTGAAACGAGGAGGTAAAGGAACTTCTATTAAATCTAGTGTACAGGCCAGAATAGAAGGGATTGGGGGTTGGGCACGCCACGTTGCACGCATTTATGCCCGATGCCCAATGGTCGATTAGTCCAACGCTCGATTCGATGTCCACTTTTGAATATTAACGCAACCAATGGCACTAATGTACTCCACGATCCACTCAAAAGCTCGAGATGTATGTGCTACAGCTTCGGTACATGTGCAGGAGTTACTATGGGGTTGGCTCATGCCCGATTCCATGATAAATACCTTCTTTCTTTCTCCCAGTCTCGCATAGAAATGACGATCTCTTCTCATTTCTGATCAAGTAAAAGCCTTTTATTGGAATAATTTTAATGACAATAGATAAAATGTGGATGGAATGTCTGAGACCTAATATAATAATTGCGTGTGTGGCTTGTTTACGCCCCGGAGTGGTATTGGGACATCTACTATGTAGTAGATCGATGGATTGCCTGTACTAATTACTATTCAGTGTGGTAGTAAACACGATCTCATAATCGCAGCTAACAATTGGCCAATTGCTGCCTTCAATCCAGCCAATGAAGAAAATATCTAGATTACGACTGGCCTTGTGCCACCTATCTCTGGCAGCAATCGATTAGCCCTACCGTGTATCCATGTTCGTCAACCGATGATCCAGAAACATTATATATGAATCTAAGTTCGTTTCATCATCGTCTTTTCAACTAAGTATACAAAATGAAGTGCTGGCAATTGTTGCCACTGACCACCGATGAAGATCGGACATTGTACTCTAGTTAGCACCAGTTCTAACTCTTTCCATCGATCCCGGTCCGGATTGCTGCCCAAACCCACGACCGACTTTGATCGTTCTAACAAACCTTAGATCTGTTAATTAAAACCCTCACCAAACACTGTTCTTGCCTTATCCGTCAGTAATCAGCAAACGCAATCCCGGCGGCCAACTGGGGCAACTACCGGGAACTACCTTTTTCCACAACTAGGTTCATCCCTGATAGAAACGCCCTTCCTGGGGCAGAGGATCCGCCATCAACCCATCTACTTGTGGACTTTACACTCCACTTAGCCCCTTTGATACATTATCATGCCATCGGAGGACCCCCCCCCCCCCCCCCCCCCCCCTCTTTCTCCCAAGATGGCGGTGAAAAACAGAGTGTGAGGACGTTGGACAGCAAAGAGTTCTCGAATATATGTGCCCTACCCTAGGTATTCCCGTGGGTTGCGGCCCACTCGAGTCCTCGAAGAGGATAACGATCACTGCCGCAATTCGCCACCAGTCATAGATGTAAACAAGAAATCATTGTGCATTATTACTGATGGTGGAATCGGCTAGTCAGTGGTAATGGGTCTATGCTCCAGGAATGGACAGATAACCCAAAACACAAAGACTATGAAATTGAAATGTTTTGCAACCACTTATTTAAAGACTGATGACGGACTACCAAATAATCTGCTTGAATTTGCTTCTAAGCACGAGCCTTCACCTATTGAATTCGGTTTATAATACATTGATTGCCTTGCGTTGCTCTGCTTTTGTGTACCACACGTCTGTTCCTACTTCTGTGTTACCTATTCGTTTTTGCTACATGTAGACGGATTTTCTGAACCTTCCAGCTATTTTTTCTCGCCTTATCCCTTTCGCTTCTCTAATGCCTCCAGTTGTTACACCTCGAGTCATGCCACTCTCAATGGGTTTTCACTCCCTTCCAGGAGCAGCAGCGTCCATGGTTGATCCTTATTTTCCTCCCACTCCAGGAATGGATGGGTTCTCTCGACATGGGTAAATTCTTAGTGCTCATATGTCAAATTTGGTGTCAACTAATGCAGACTTCTATAGAACTTCATCTTCATCTTCACAATCTTCATACTTCGGGGGCGCTGCTCCTGCTCCTCTGATCTACCAACAAAGGTGATAACCATACCTTTGAGATCCTTGGTAATGAGCAACCGACTGAGTACTTGTTTTCTTTTAGTGGAAGTCGTGGTTTTCCAAATTCGCGAACCTTTACAGATATGGACGCCAACAATCGACCCATAGCGCAGGGTACTCCAATGGACTATCAGACCTACTATGCCCAGCCAGCCAATTCGTCAAGGAATAGACGCTATTCCAGCGCTTCTGTCGCTCAGGCCCCTATTGGACGATCACCCCACCATGTCTCAGTGCATTCCGAATGGGATCCATCCAGGATCTCTCCAGATGAGTACATGCATGATGTCGACTCTCCTCGATCCTATGATACCCGCGAGTACTTGGTAGAGMCCAGCCGATCTCGTCACAGCGACAAGTTCAGCAAGGCAGGTAGTGTAAAGTATCATTCACAAAGGCGCCCATCCAACCGCGATGAATTCGACGGACCGCACCAACTTCTTGAACCGCCATCGCCAAAGACCATTGCGGCTCAGGAACGGGAGCTGCCCCCGCTCCCTACTAACCTCGATGTCTCAGAGCAAGACCGTATCCTGTGTGAGGTTAATGATCGCCTCTCTCAGTGTGCGTTTGACTTTGTCGCCAAATACCAGTTCCCAATTCCCATTGAACCGGATAAAAGACAGGTGAGGGTACCAGCAGACCGGGAATGGACCGAATGGGTTTATTTGTTGAAAAGATTGGCCACAAAACGCCGGATCCCTGCCCGGGTACTTCATAATGGCCAGATCAAACAGCTTGTCACCGTTTTGGAAAATTCCCTGGAGATGCGTCATGCCGCAAAGCATCAGTCCAGGCCAGTAAAGGATGACAGGAATGTATTGCAACTTATTTCCGCTGGAACCCAGGTTGCTAAGATCCTCAAGGATGCCACTGCCATGGAATATTTGGACCGTCTTTACCAGGAAACCGAACGAAGGATCAAGGAACGACAGAACCGTCGTGTGAAATTTGCCTCTTGAACTTGAACGGGAACCGTCTGGATTGTTTCAACATTGTGGAACATTTCAGACATTGGAACCTTTTACTTCTACCAAGAGGCTGTTATTATGTTTCTGATTCTTGCAAATTTCCTATATCTGCCGCCGTTTTGATACCTCTCTTTTACTGTCTCGTGCTGTTGTTTAACCATTGAACATGCAAAAACTTCATGAGGGGAACGAAGAAGGAACGGTCAGTCATTTCGACCAAAGCCAGTGAAATGACGTCGGACAAGATACCAGTGCAAGATATTCATCTGCATGAACCATTCGCCAATCATCCAACAGACCAGAAGAACAGAACCAGATATCGAAGGAGGACAGACTCATGCATGCATGCATACATGACCCAATTTCAATGTTGATGATTCGACTAGCGATTTAGTCAGACCAATCGACTTCTCCAAACCGACATGGAAGAAATCTCATGTCAACCTGACCTTATGTTATGAGGAGGATAATGATGCCAATAATGAAAGGACTCGCCATTTTCGGCTTATTTTATTTTCGTTTGATTTTTGAACCACAATTGGAGGATCCCAGAATTTCTGTTTTGTTTTTTTTATTTTCATTTACCAGTTACTGCCAGGAGACAACGAACAACATTGCCCTTTGGAATTCCGTCGTTACCTATATCCTGGCGCCGTACGTACAGAGCTAGCATCGATATATGTAAGAATCAGTTTTTGTCATTCACATGCAGGGTCCTACGGAAAGTACTAACTAGGATGAGTATAAATTTCATTACTCTTTGGTACTGGGGCCAGTGTGATTGACTCCAATGATACCCGCCATCCAACTTGACATCTGGAACATTAGAGAAGCAAACTCTGCAGACAGGGCTCCTTACTCGTAAATGTTTTTCTATCTCCGCTTCCAAGGTTTTTTATTCTTTTTTCTCTATCTAACCCAGTTGAATATTTTACCCAATTTAATATTCTTCAGAAGTCTCACGGTGAATACATGCCTATCTGTGAAACAATCAATGAGGCCCGTTCTCTAGAAAAAGAGGCCAGCATATTGGATTACTAGAGGACCTCGAGACCTGAAAAACTTATCGCATGATTCGTCATTTACAATTCTTCTTCATTCATTATTATGATGTGTAACCCTACGTACGACAATGCATCAAGTGGTGATTGGTCACTGCCGAAGCATGTCAACTGGCCGATCTTTGTATGTCCATCGTATTATGGATAATGAACCAGAAGCTACTCTCTTCAATACTCGCCAGTACTTGAAAATTCCAAGTAAGATGAACATAAATCACTCATTTACAAATATTATACACTTAATCGTGCGTCATACTATGACCAGTACATGAGACACTAATCATGATTTAGGGTAGACTCTCCAGGCGATTTTCAGATGGGGACTGGATGACTCGCTTTAATATTGATCAATGTGTACTCAAGATATGACTACTTACAATCGCCTAATCTCTATACTGATTAGAGTCATAAGTACAATATTTCGTCTCTAAGGGTTCAAGACTGAGACATGAGGCGATTCAACTGCGGCAGTGTTCGAGGCTTTCTTTAGCACTCATAATATTCTGAACGAGGGTTATCCTACAATATTCGAAGATAATGGGCTCGCTTATGAATGGTCGACCTCTGATCTTTTCCAACAATTGAAAGATTCAAACTTCCAATTCGAGGCTGTTGACGATCATGAACTCAAGCAAAAGATTATCACTACGCTTCGAAGTCTGGCAGAGACCCTAGAAACGCTCAAGGAACAGCTAGACCAAGCTCACCTGGAAAACTCAATGACGGAGAATGGGTGGGAAAGGGTGTCAGATGGAAATAACGATCTGAAAGATCAAGACATCAAGATCCGAATCCGTATCAAAACTCTTGAGTCCTATATCGAGACGCCTTTGTTTACAGCGAAAACGAGAATGAAGCAAGGTGATTCGAGTCATCTGGCGAAAGTCGAGCTCGGTAACCAGTAGTGGGAGAAGCGATTACGCGAGAGGTCATCACCGGAGATAGAATTTAGGGGAGATCCAAGAGCTGAAAATACTTTTCTCTTTGAAAGGCACATCTACGTAACTATCTGTCAAAGTGGGAGCTTGAAAACTATCACATCAGCCTTGATCCGGCTTATCAAATTTTGTGAGATTAAAATAGATATCCATTGGACCTAGTAATCATTATTTTGACCCGTGAAACTGTGCAAACCGAAGATAGAAACATTTTGGATATCAGTAGGTAAATAGTCCTCTGAACATCTAAGGAGGCCCTACCCAGCCCTCTAAAATTGTCTGATGTCTGTGACCAGTTCATCTGTTATCAAGGTATGACTCAAGAATTTATGGCTCTATTAATTCAATGACTCCTCTCCTTCTTCTAGCGATATATGTAATGATGCTCTTTTCTCTGTCTAGGCGCATCTATCAATCAGCACCATCAAATTTCCATATATCTATATGAATTGACATACTTTGGTACAAGATTAAAATTTCAACGACGCGACAAGTTTGGAGGATGCACAATGAATGGAATCACCATTTTCGACAAGCGTGCACAATTGGCACATCGAAAAGACTGTGAGCGTCTCTTTGAAAGCTTGCGTCAGGAACATAAAGTACAGTTCGACGGGAGAACAGTTTCAAAGAATCGGCCAAGGAGTTCATACAAGAAATGGGGTGGGTGGAGCCGTCAAAGCCAGTGGGCAATGATCTCAGGGATTTGGAAATACGCAACAGAATCAGGAAAACTATCAATACCTTTCTTGAAGAAACTGAGAAGTTCATGATTCGACCGGAGCTTTATAACAAGTAAGAATAGAGTCTATTGTCTCATGAGCTTTTCAATTGTGGTGTGAAGAGCGGAGAGGAGGCGGCCATGGGATTGTATCTATAGGAGATGGAAACGAAGGCCATGACGGACATTAAGAATCTTGATTATATCCTTCCATGCATGATTGTAGTCCTTTCGGTAGGAATATAGAAGTGTAGTCGACTAATCACGACCAAATTTCTAACATGTGTTCAATTCACTACGGCAGGAAACTTCCAGACATGGATCTTGCAACTTAGTCATCTAAATCATGGTGGTGGGTTGACAAAGAGTATTCAAAATGTCTTTCTTTCTGGCTTGTAAGACGCTAGCTAATGTTAAGGCAATGCAACCCAGCTATGTAGGGTAAAACAATCCCAACCACTCTCAAAAAAGAGACGAATCTTAGAGTAGAAGACAGAATGAGGAATGAGCTTGAGCATTAGCTGAAATACACGGACCACATACAGCACGAAGTCGGATAAGAAGCCGATGATATAAAGACGAATGTAAGTACAAGAATCGAAATGAATCCAAAATACAAGCAATAGCAGAGTAATGCAAATTGGTTAATGAGAAGTTGCTAATGTAACAGGGTTGATGGAACGATATGAACGTTCGAAAAAATAAACAGAACAAAACCGCTGAACAGGAGTATCGATGCAAAGTGAAAATTTCTAGGGTGAAAGGTTCAAAAAATAATGAAGTATACAACTTGTGCTTCCCAGAATAGAACACCGGAACAAGATAAACAGGAAAATGGATAGCGAAAAATAAAGAGTCCCTATTTGTGGTGAAGAAAATGAGGTAAGATGAAAAAGATGGCTGGTGTCAAAGCAAAAAGAGAAGTATGAGGAAATATTCAATCAGTTGTCATCTTCAGCTTTAGGCTCTATCTTTTCATCTGCCTTCTCAGCAGCAGGTTCAAGAGGCTCTTCAGCTACAGTTCTCTGCGCTGACTCTTCCGCCTTCTCGACAGCTTCAGCATGTGTGCCCTCTGGAGCGGCCGGCACCGACTCTTCAATGGCCTGTTCTGATTCGGGAATATCAGCTTCAGGGACTTCCTCAGCCTTATCCGAAATCTTTTCTTGAGGCACGGTGACTTCTGCGGCGAGCTCAGAAAAGGCATCTTGTGCGTTGCCGTGAGGTTTTTCAGCTTCCGTTTTGCTTTCTGGAACAGCTTCTCTTATCTCAGTCTCGGGCTCTTCAGGGACTGTTTCCGGAACGGATGCAAGACCATTGTCAGCGAATGCATCTGGATCCTCGGATAGTGTAGATTCGGTCGGTAGATCTTCGGTCACATCCTTGATGCTCGGCTCAGCCAATGACTCGGTTGGAGTAGCTTCTTCTTTTGGTTCCTCGACAATCGCCTCAGCAGATGGTTCTGCTGCAGATCCAAGAGCTGGAGCTATCTCAACTGAATCCGAAGAGGGTTCCACGGCGGAAACTTCAGCTTCCTTTTCGGTCTCTTCCACCGCTGACACTGTCGGTCCCTCAGCTTGATGGCCTTTTCCGACATTGAACTCTTCTTTAATAGCAGTCTGACCTGTTGCCACCTTTTCAATCTTAACTTCTGGTGTCGCAGGCGCTGAGTCCAGAACGGACTTTTCATCTTTCTCCTTCTTATCCTCACCCGTCTTGGCGGGAATGTCCTTCTTTGGGCTCAACTTCACGGCCTTTCCGAGTCTCGGCGGGCTTCTCGGCTCAACCTTGTCATGCATTTTGCTTGCAGAGCTAGCAGTAGGGCGCATCATCCGGGCGAGGAAACTCTCTTCGCCAGGAGCACGCGAGGATGTGGTGCTCATACGAGATCTTGGTCGATCAGGAATGGTATGATTTGCTAGTCGAGATGTATCTGGCCTGAGAGTTGATGGTTTTCGGGAAAGAGGCTTGGCCGGTTCTGCTTTGGGTGAACTTCGTAGGTTTATGTGGCTCTGGGAGCGTCCCAAAGTCCCGGTCCTTGCAGCTGAGGCAGCCGTGGGTGTGACGAGAGACGCAGGAAGGCGCACAGGCCGGGTAGGAGACTTTGAACTAGATTTAGTCTTGGGCGACGGCTGGACAGTAGGCTTTTTGGTAACCTCGTGGGAGGGTGTGCTGGAACGCTCAGCGCGAGCAGCGGGAGCTGAACTTCTGACGGCGGTCGTTCGGGGGCCAGCAGGCTTATCCGAGTGCGCCGTAGGGCGTGTTGTTGTGGTAGCTGACCGTGTAGGTGTAGAGGTAAGTTTCTTTTCTTTTGTAGCTGCACTTTTGGTCGGGTTCTTGTTTGCCGATGATTCTTTCGCAATTGACATTGTGGATGCGCTCTTCTTGATCGCCTTCAAAGGTGCCGCCTGCTTGGTGGATGCAGCAGGTGTGGGCTTGGTCGCTGCTTTCTCAATGATTGCAGGCTCTAGCAATTCAGGTTTGGTCTCCGATTTTGTCTCTGGTTTCGTGTCTGATTTCTCGGTAACATTTGGCGGCTGCATATTGTCCTTCACAGCGAGTGACGCAAGCTTTGCAGTAACACTCTCAACTCTATCGCCTTGGAAAGCAGCAAGTGCGGTACGAATTTTGTGAGGAGACGGGCTAAACGGGGAGGCCGAGGCGGTTTCGAGTTGACCTGTCGGTGACACGGTGGCCGATCTCTGATTCGAGTCCACATCTGTATTGTAACTTTCGGTTCTTCGTAGTGCGCCGGGTGTAGGTGAGCCCTGGCCATTTCGTTCTACAGAGACGAAGCTTGCTCGCACTTTAGACAAAGGTCTATTAGTAGCGTTGTCTTGCGAGTCGGCGGAGGATCGGCCGCGGGAAGGAGACACGTCAGGGTTGTTATTGTTATTATTTGAGTTTTCGAACTTGGCCAAAAGGCTCCGAACGCCGCCAGAAGCTGGAAGAGCGGCCATTGTATGTGACGCACAATATATTGTCGACACGAGGTTGGTGTTTGTCTGGATCAGCGAGGTAACCTCCTACCGTCGCACGGACCGGGGGGGAGCTCGACGAAGGGGTAAAATATGTGGATGGATAGTAAACAATGCAAAGATAACGATGAACAGGAGTGATGCGTATGTCACATACTATCCGTGCGAGAATAGACAAGGGAGATATCCAGGCGCAAAAGGTCCGATACGAACGACGTGTCCACGTTGAGTTGAAACATGGAGGAATATGAAAGAGGGACGCCGTCGCCAGGGGCATCGCGGCTAGACTATTTACTAAGAGTCGGATAATCCACTCCCGTGATCCAGGGGTCTTCCGCGGCAGATCTCCGGCCTTCCCCACTTGGAGAACCATTACCGTCGCACTGGTTCTCTCTTAGTCTATTGTTCATCAAAGAACTACACTAGCTGCGGGAATCAAGGTCATTCAATTGACTGCATTGAGATATACGATGGACATTGATTGTTGTATGGAGAAGTATTGCGTTGGGGGTCCTGAGCACTGAGCATCAGCTGACCCTCCGTACTAACTGGGCTAGTAGTGAACCAATAGTCGAGCTGAATCGGACACTCGGAGGGTCTGGAGGCAAATGACACATCTATTTCGATATTCGGTATCGATGATGGAATAAAAAAATCCCTCAATCATACGTCCGCATGGCAGTCTGGGCGGTGCACACTCGGAGTTCCAGACTGGTATCAGATTCATGCATCCTCAAACTTCACCATATACTTATCCAACAATTCCTTCACCCTGTCGACAGGCAATGCCGGCTGAGCACGTCCTCTGAACCCTGTCAATGGTTCTGCCCGGCACATGGAGTTCAAGATAGCCTCTTCCGTCGCCTCGGAGGTTGCATAGAACAATGAGTCAATCACCTCGTTCTTGAGTGTCTCTACTTGCTGTGTTTCGAGTGGAGGAAGGTAATCGAATCCGCTTGATGATGTAGCCAACTCATTGGGAGAGGTTCCCGTGGAAAGAGCAAGAAATATTTCACCGGAAAAGTTTCGTCCAGCAGCGTGGCCTCCAACCTATCGGCAGTCAAATTCTATTGTCTTAATTTCGAGTTTGAAAGCCTTACCTGCGTGACACCCATTCCTGCGTGTTGTGCGATGCGACGCAATTGGTGTGGAAGTAATGGTGCATCGGTACTATGGGTGGTATCAGCAAGATGCATTCCATTTAAATGGAATTGACGACCATTGCAACTTACATGACAACGATTATAATGCCTGTTGCATATTAGCGCGGATCTGACACCATGACAAAGAGAGAGAAAAAAAAAATTAAAATACTTACTTCCTTCTGCTGCCTTTCCTCCCCTGGGAAACTGCGTCTCCTCTTTTTTCGACGCAGCTCGAGCCCGAGCTTCTTCCCTAACTAAGAACTCTCCAACCGGCACATTTCCAATTCGGAGGTCATCCTTCTGCCCATGATTTGCTTGTACAAGTACACCAAGTGTGTAATCCTTATCAACCCCAGGAACTATTCTGGAACTAGTGCCAGTACCTCCTTTATAGCCATGACACCTCATTGCCGTGCCTCCACCGTAATTTCCCTCCAGAATCTCTGTCTGGGTTTTTGATGCCTCAATGGCGTCGTAGACTGCCTGCTTATCAACGACTGATGCACTGATATTGTTGAGCAGTCCGTCGAAGGTCTCTGCCACAACGGGGATGCTGATCCGGCGCATGGTTTGTTCTTCGTTCTCTCCTGCCAGGACGCCTTGTTCTATTTGCCATAGAAAGAGGGCGTCATATACTTTTCCCACACTGACTGTGTTGGTTAAAGCGATGGGCTGTTTGGACTGATGTAAGCTAACTATTTTCCAAGCTTGGTGGAATGTTATTATACTGCACTGATGAAGCCCCACTCAGTCAAGCCATGGGTGCCTGTCATTTCACCCATTCCATTCAGATCATGAGTCGCTGCATAGCAGGGCAGCAGGCGTGTTTTCTCAATCCCACGGGGAAAAATCACAGTAACCCCGGTGTGTATATCTTGACCTTCGTGGATGGTTTTTTGACCAACAGTGACTCCTGGAATTGAGTTAGTACTTCGCTATTAACTAAAAACTGGACTTAAAAACACCTTCAACATCGAGTAGTGAATTCGTTTTCCCTGTCTTGAACCTTCCGGGGCTGTAGCCCAAGGCTCGAATACGAGGCCGCGAAACCATTGTTCTTAGTCTATGAATTTTTGCTTTGCTGCTGTTATAGAAATGCTTGAATGTGATGATTGTGGAAGATATTCTTTCCCCGAATATATAGTACGTAGTTTGGTCAATGCGGCTGCCTGTAAGCTTGATGTTATCAAGATCGATAACCGTCCTCACTCCACCGTCGGGTCTGATTGTTCAGTTCCAGTTATGCGCACAAACAAATACCAACTTGGATTTTTTGGTAAAGGAGCATGATTGGACGACATTTAATCTATTCTGGTGTAGTATCTTTTAGGGCGGGGTTGGTCCAGATGTCGTGGTTGGCCGGAAATACGACAACGTACGAGCGTGAATATATAATTCTCAATCGACAGCCGATGCCACGGATTCGATAGGCTCTCAAATGTAACGATAGGGTTTGGTTAGGTCGCAAATTCAGCTTCAATCATGCCCTTATTCCAGTCAACTATATACTACGTAGTAGGTACTAATTTCATGACCCTTACTAACTATTTTGTAGGTGTTTCGTGATGAATTGCTCAGCGGGGGGGGACAAAGATTATTTGTGAAGTACAAATTCCGTTCAGCTTCATGAAGTCAAATTCTGTTTACCTATACATCAATCCTCAGTGTGGTCTACCGGTCATGATTGGCGCTTGTCACTGCAATAGCAGCAACCCGCGCTAGAACAGGGTTCGACTCCCTGCTGGGGAGGATTTTATTTTTGTATTTTTTCGAATTTTTTTAACATCTCCTACAAGCTCTGACCACGATTCCTTCGTTTCTCATGTTTCTCTGTCGTTTTTTTGTTGTGTGAGAGGGCATTTCCACAGCAAGGATGTCCTTGCTTTGTTTACTAGACTAATCGGCAGGCGGATATACGATAATCCGACAAAAAAAAGTGCGGGCAAATCTTCCGTGATCGCGACAAGCTCCGAGAACGGACTTCATCCTGAATTCTAGCATTGCACACAACAGGAGCATAACAGCACTACCATGGCTGCCAGAACACTTAGAATAGGTCAATTTCACCCGGATTTATTATATCTGTACACTGGAAGCTAATTGGGTTTCTTTACAGGTCTCATTCCCGGAGACGGTATCGGACGGGAAGTCATTCCGGTATGTGTCACACCCCATGTCGAACAATACAACAATTGGCTATAGTGGTATAGACTGACGTTCTTTTTGCTTCATATAGGCCGGTCGACGACTTTTGGAATCTCTTCCCACCTCATTGGGTCTGAAGTTCTCTTTCGTTGACCTCGATGCTGGCTTCGATACGTTCAAGCAGACCGGTAGTGCGCTACCCGACAAGACGGTCGATACCTTGAAGAAGGAGTGCGATGGTGCTTTGTTCGGTGCAGTTAGGTATAACAAACTCCCCGAAGTTCCCAGGATCGAGCGAGCTAGATAATTGACACTGGACAGCTCCCCAAGTACCAAAGTCGCTGGCTACTCCTCCCCCATCGTCGCCCTCCGCAAGCGCCTCGACCTCTACGCCAATGTCCGCCCCGTTAAGACCACCGCCGGCGGTAGCGCAACCGGCTCCCCCATCGACCTTGTAATCGTCCGCGAAAACACCGAAGATCTGTACGTGAAGGAAGAAAAGACAACCGAAGGCCCCAACGGCAAGGTTGCCGAGGCTATCAAGCGTATCTCGGAACGCGCCTCTTCCCGCATCGCTACCATGGCCGGAGAAATCGCTCTTCGACGACAGAAGATTCGTCAGGTGTCTCCCGGAACATCGCACTTGTCCAAGCCCATGGTTACTATCACCCACAAATCGAATGTCTTGTCTCAGACCGATGGCCTTTTCCGTGAAACTGCCCGCAAGGCCCTCGCAGACTCAAAGTATAGCACTGTCGAGATCGAGGAGCAAATCGTCGATTCTATGGTTTACAAGCTCTTCCGTCAACCTGGTTACTATGATGTCATTGTTGCCCCTAACCTGTACGGTGATATCTTGTCCGACGGTGCTGCCGCGCTTGTCGGTAGCTTGGGTCTCGTTCCCAGTGCCAATGTTGGTGATGGATTCGCTATTGGTGAGCCTTGCCACGGAAGTGCTCCCGATATTGAAGGAAAGGGTATTGCCAACCCCATCGCTACTCTGCGTAGTGTGGCGCTTATGCTTGAGTTCCTTGGTGAGGAGCCTGCTGCCGCCAAGATTTATGCTGCTGTTGATGGCAACCTTGATGAGGGCAAGTATCTTTCTCCCGATCTTGGTGGAAAGGCTACTACCCAGGAAGTTCTTGATGATGTTTTGAAGAGATTGTAATTATAATAGCCCTGTATAGTTAAGGTCTTGAATTGCATGTTAGATAGGTGCTCAAAAGTCAATCTTTCTATAAATTAGGTACAAGTATGAGTGATCGCTTGGTATACAGTGATACAGAATACAGAATAAAAGATATCAACTTATCCGCGTTAGGTAGTCTTCTCCCCCTGATTTGTACTCTTCCTCTTTTCCGACGAGGATCTTGGACCATCCTCTATTCCATCACCAGCAGACGAATCTCGTTCCGTGATCTCCTCTTCTGAGCCTTCCACCAACAGAGTGAACAAAACAACGAGAATCTCCTTGTCTAAATTCTTATTTTTGAGTGTGTATCGTAGTTTGTGCTTTCGCGCGTCGATGTATTTTGCGACATGGAGATGGAATCCAGGGAGACGCAGGGTGAAGTCTGTCATTTAAAAAAAAAGTCAGCAATTAGCCTACTGTTTAAACAGGGGGCTCAACATATGGACATACCGTTAAACCCCAAATAAGGATTCCCAAAATCAACCAAATACTGCCTGCCCTTTTCAAACACAAATTCCTTACGCTTATTCTCATCCAGAAAATGCTTCTTTCTCTGCGCAGTATCACCCGGAATCTGCAACTTCTCTCTCTCAGCCTCTCCACTCCCCTCACCCCCTTCCTCAACAACCGCAATCCGATCATGCCGATTCCCTTCCCCCACTTCTTCACTCAAATCAACCTTCTCCCCAACCCGGAGATAATTCCACGACGCCAAAGCAGGACTATACAAATACGGCTTATCAGCATACGGATCCCCATCCAGACCCGGATCAATCGCCCATTTCACTAGTTTGAGTGCGGTGTTGAAGCCCGGTGGGATACTGTCGCGAATGGGTTGATTGAAGTCGTTGCCGAACATGAGGTCGTTGCCGCTGATGTCTTGCTTGGGGATGAGGATGAAGGAGATGGAGTATTGGTCGGATTCATGGAGGGGGTGGGTGAAGTAGGGACTTGACTTGGGGGAGTCGTTTGGTAGACCTGTTCATACCTTTGGATTTAGGCGTCTTTTTTTGGTTCAGGGAAGAAAGAGGATAGCTTACCGGTGTAGTCTTGGATGCGCACGCAGAGATAGGTCACGGCTTGCTCATTTTCGATGCGTAGAGTCTCGTCAGCATTGACGACTACGACTCTGTGTGTATTGAGGTCGTAGCTTGGTCCTGCAGTTACCCTCAGGCGGTAGTTTGTTGTGCTAGTTCCCATGTTTCTCTTCCCAGATTCGTTAAAAAGGTATCCGAGCATGAATTGATAGATCTCTGAAAATGTTGATCTGTCTTGAGAAAGGTTTGGGGGAAGTATATGATAGACTGAATCTGTCAGATTTATGTCAGAGTATTTGAGATCGTAGATATAAGTGTAGATCTTAATAACATATCAAATTCCAGAAAAGAACAAGAAAATCGCCGCATCAGCGACAAAGGCCAGTGCGGAACAACGACGTCATGCCGCCGATTCCCCCGTACTTTCCGCCGATCGCCCCAAGCTTAAATTTGCACTGCGCCTTGCCTAATCAGGAAGTTCACAAAGATGCCTCTTTAGGAAGTTCGTAGCCCTACTTTGGACTATGGTCATGAGGAGATTAGGAGATCACGAGGTTATGTGTAAATATAGCTTCCATTCTGAGGTAATCGACAAAGCTGACATAGTAAACAAAMCTCCGCCCGTCACACCTGACAATGCAGTTCAAAGAAAGAACAAAGGAAAGTAACAGTGAATGTATACAGAATGTGTGCAGAAAGAAAAGAATGACGCTTCCTAATTGTACAAGTAATAAAAAAGACAGATAAAGCCCCCGAAATCGAGTAAGGGAAAATGTCCACAAGAAAAGAATGGATGAGTACGTGAAACCGATAACGTGTGATTGAGGTGACAGAGTCGTCCATGTAAAACCGATGATGTATCATCATGGTGACCGAGTTTTCTATGTGTCGATAGAGTAGAATTACTCGATGTTCTCGTCCTCTTCTTCGTCAATGGCATTCAAGAAAGCATCGGATCCAGGTGCGACGGTCTGTGATTGCGCAGTCTCAGAGCCCCCAATGCCGCTATCAAGTCCAAGCCCGCTAGACAAAGTGCTACGATCAGAGCCACGGCCCACGCGCACATTTGAACCGAATAGAGTGGCCTTAATCGGCGAGTTCGAGGGAAGGCTAGGTTCGGGCTCGGCCTGCATGTGGCGGGCGCCATTACCCGTGAGAATAGCCTTCGTAACCGCATTCTGTCGGTCGCGCTCACGCTCGACATCGAAGGTCTTTGAAACTTCCGTCATTGCGGTATTAAGAAAGTTCTCGATACGGTTGCGGGCGTTAATATGCGATTCGTTCTGTGTCTCCAACATGTCGTTGAGTAGTCGAGTCTGTTGAAGATCGGCTTGGGKGGACTGAAGCTCCGTCGAAACCCCTGCGTAAAGGGTATTGAGACGCCCAATTTCCTGCTCGCGCTTGGTGTAACGGTCAAGCAGTTTTGAATTCTCTTGAATAAGTTGATCAACCTTCTTGGAAAGGTTCGTGACTTCCTCTTGTTTATCAACCAGCAATTTTTTGAACTCCTCCAGCTTCTTCGCTCGATCGTCCGCAATGTTCGTGATTTTGGTCGCCGCCTCGTTCAATTCGGCGATGCGCTGCTCCGATGTCCGATGCTCTTCCTCCACCTGTGCGCAAATATTCTGGTAGCGGTCGCGTTCTTCTTCTACAAGATTGAGGTTTTGACTGAATCGCGCGATTGCAGTTTCCTTCTCCTCAAGTTCCTCCTCAAGTGCTTGCAAGCGCGATCGAACATGAATCATATCGTTAGCATCTAACGCTCGGCTTTCCTCCAACTTCTTGACTTTATCCTCCTCATCGGCGAGAAGCTCAGAGATGTGGTAATATTCTTCCCGCATGCCCTTGTAGCGGTTGGATAAGTCCTTGAAACGTTGGTACTCGTTCATTAGAGAGATTGAAATTTGCTGAAGATGTTCCTTTAAGGCTGTCAGGATTTCTTTGCCATTGGATTGGGAGGGCAGTCCGTCCTTGGGAGGACAACGCTCGAGCTCCTTCCATGCTAATTTGAAGCTCTCACGCATATCGGCGAGTCTATCGTAGAGGGTGGCACCTGAGAATCCCAGCTGATCAAATTCTTCTTTAGTCGTATCGAGAATAATAGAAACATTAGCCGCTGCTGCAAGAGCGCACTCCAGTTGAGGTACAATTTGCTTCATGAAGTCAGCTGGAGGAGCAGTGTCTTCTGCTTCGGCCTCAGCAGCAGGGTCTGCGTTCAGCTTACGCCACTCGTTGAAGAGATCTTGCTTCTCCTTCCGCGCAGCGGCTAGGTCTTCTGCCATCAGGCGCAGTTCCTCCGAGGACTGATCATTTACGATGGAAACTTGTTGGGTGAATCCCGTGTGGGGAGTAATCGGAGACGTATCCTCTGGGCTCATTGAGTTACCGGTGCTAAAACCACGAGCATCATGAAAGCGGTAGAATGTCGGAGAGTCCGACATGAGCATAGTACCATCCATCGCAAAGTCGCCGACGGGCAAAGTCTCGTAATTGTCGTCGATATTAGTGTTGTTGTGTGCCCCTGATGCCTGTTGGGATTCGTAGACCTCCAACTTTTTCTGAAGAGATTCGATCTCAGCCGTCGCTTTCTTGAGATCCTTCTTCTCGCCCTCAATCCGATGCATTTCCTCGCTAAGACCAGATCGCACGAGTCGACGGCGAGTCCTAGGATCCAGGGCCTGTTTCAAGGGGCTGAACTGGACATTGATGGGCTCATTCCGCACAATTACTGGATCCATCAGTGTATCCGAGAGGAAGACTGGGGCCGACTGTCGACGAACAGACCGCGAAGAAGGTCCACTAAGGCCCGCGAGTCCCATGGCTGGTGTCAGTCCTGTAGTTGTAGGACCAGGTTCAGAATAACGCGTACGCTTCTGTCGAGGCTTAGGCGTCTGAGGCGAGCCATTTGTCTGGCTGTCATCTTGACGCGTTACAGCACCTGCGTCATATGAGCCCCATGAAGTTGAACGATGCTGTGGTTCCGGCGAAGCTGCATGGCCACGCTTCCGGCTAGCCATAGCTCGAGTCTCGGGAGCCATGGTCAAATGAATGTATGCAGACTTGCTACAATAAAAAATGTGTTGATGCTATTGATAAGTCAGTGATTTGTAGACATGTTCATGAAGAATCTCAACATACCGATCTGAAGAATGATTGTGAACTTGTGAGACCGTCTCAAGAAGGTGTTAGTTTCTTATTGTGCGACGCTGTGAAGAGATTGATTTAGCTGGGATGGATAGAGATGACAATTTATTCCAGATCATCAGCTTTCGAACAACAGCAGTGGGAAGGGGAACACCGCGCGTATAAACAAACAAATAGCCCTAACAGGAAATCGCGGTGCCAATTATCAAATCAAACAGTAAAATGAACCAGTTTGGATGGCATCGGGCGTGACAGATATCCCAAGATAGCACCGCAGGGCACACATCCAAGAAATTATAAGGAAAAGACCGTCAACTTCAAGACTGTCGAGACGCGTGCGATGGTACACAAAACAAAGAGCCAATGTTTAGCGGGCAATTCAGATGTATCCAAAATAACCTTACTAGTTTTCGTCCTGCAGCAGGCAGCAATCCTGGCTAACTTTACGCATTCTACAGGAACTGCCGAGTACTGAGTCTCCATATTGCGGTTCTTACAGGAGATACACTACGAAAAAGCACGGGCATTGACCAATTGGGAAAAAGTAAACAAACTCCTCCAGGGGCCTTCTCCACGAACCATGTGGGCCGTGTTCGAGTATCAAAGAAAGGCCAGGCATTGTTAGCCAATCGATTCAAGTGCAGTGTCAAACACATGCCATGCGCTGATGCTAGTGCTCGTTGTCGAAGCTCCTTCAGTCGGTTTGTTTTGCAGGATCGATATACAATTGTTAGGGCTTGAACACGCTGATTGGCTCGAAACGCGTGTTGACGTTTCAGGTTAGTCAGGACAATTACTTTTTACTGAATGAGGAATGGTCAAGTAAGGGCGCGAATCACAAAGAAGATTGAGATAGGCTATACCATAAATAGATTAGTGCACCTTATCGGACAGACAAACAGAGCAAACTGGCGGAACATCCATGATCAGAACCGGCTCTGATCTAGATCTACATCATGTAAGCGTTTCTGGCATCTTCTTCTTTTACATACTTATGAACAGGACTGCTCATTCAGCTTAGCGCCCAATCACTGTCGTTGTCAAGACAGGTTACAATGAGTTTAAGAAGTCTCGTACCGCTTACTTGAGATGAGATCAGCTTATCTTCGATATATTGGATAGATTGGCTAGATTGGATAACGAGTTGAACCGGACAGAAACATTAGAGCTTAATGCTAACCGATACTTGTCGCATTCTCTACTGTACAAAATGTGTCGGCTGACGGATCTGCCTGATGAGCTCCTCCAAGACGTGCTCTCGCTTCTCCCCGCGGTAGACTTAGCATCTATCTCCGCAACCTGCCGCACATTATACCGCCAATCCCAAGATGAAAAGCTATGGCAGCGCCTCGTCAACGCCAACATTCCCAACAAGATTACCAAACCCGGCATATTCAACACTTTTCGAGACCTGTATTCCGCTCATCATCCATACTGGTTTCTGCCGAGAAATAAGGTCTGGTTTTCGGACAATGAGTCTACCGGCACATTAATTATTAGCCGCTATGACAATCGGCGCGGCGTTGTTGAAGCTTTTCGACTCGTGGCTGAGCTGGGGGATGAGATTGCCGTGCCCTGGCAGACTCATCCGGATGTTGAGATTCAGCCGTTCAATCCGCGTCTGCGTCTATGGCTTGATGATCCGGTCATTGAGCTTCGAAATCCTGAGCGGCTGCCTCTTCGGGACAGGCAGTATTCGCGAGATCAGTTCAAGATGACTATGGCAAATCGGACCGCTAGAGTCTGCAGCTCCTTTGCGTTATGTAGAGGAAGTCTTGGCACTACTCCGAGAATCAGAAACGACTTTCTATGGCCACCCGTCACAATTCCCGGCGAAAGATCAGTTCGGAAACATCACGAACTTCTCATTGACGAGACATCAAACACATACAAACACCTTCAAAGAATCCGTGAAAATCCCGACAGAATATCAGAAACGAGCTTCTACCTACTCAAATGGCCACATTTCGGCGTGGGCCAGCCGATTTTACCCAGACAGCCCGTAGATCAAACATGGATATTCTCGACACTTGACCCCACACTATACACCCCAACAAAAGACAAACCTTTTCAAGGGATATGGGTTGGGGATTACAATTTTCACAAATGCGAATTCTTATTGTTTTTGCAGCGAGATCCGGGCGAACCCGCGCCACTGACGAATAATGGCAGACGACATTTACGAGCTATGCTGGGCGGTGCACGACTTTTCGAGGAGACGCATCATAACAACGATGATATCATCAACGATGAAGATGAGGCTGGGATAGCGGCAGCGGAAGAAGAAGTCGTCTTGCTGAACGGCCAATTCGAAGATGCATTTGAGCGCGCAAGTCTGCCTGATACACAACCTAGTAATGAAGCTGAGGAATACAACGGTGTGAGGTTCCAAGGTCGTCTGGAAGGGATCAAACTGACTGGGGACCCAAACATTCCGCGGGGGGAGATATCGTTTGTGGCGGAGGATATTGGCCCGAAAGGGTTGATGGGTGTTTCGCAGGATGAGGAGTTTCGAGGTGCGAGGGTAGTGAAGAGTAAGGGGCATATTGCGTTTCAACATTATACGGACGGTAAGTTACACTCACTGTCTTTTATTATGTCGTAGAGGAACGTTGCTGATGATGTTTAGATCAATGGGTTAATACGCAGTTATTCCTCATATCGCCGGATTATGTGGCTCAGTACTGGGAGCCGATGAATCATATATCGTTCTTCCGCCGCGTGAATATTGATGAATTTACCAAGGTGTGATTGATATGACGTCTGGATAGAATATTGATTTTTGCATTGTATAGCGAAGTAGCATGAATACATATACATTTCCATATTTCTTCAATGACGATTCAAACCTGTGAGATTGTTCAATTGGCTGTATGTATCAATAGTGTAAAATTTCAATGTTCCTGTCCGTGGAATAATCACACACAAAGGCTGTACAAGAGAACTCAGAGAACATGAAATAGGACCTAACGCCGAGGTATATAAGTTCATAGCGGTTTCATGGGGAGGTAGAAGTTAGGTCGTTGCGGATTGGTTATCTCTCAATTGGCTCCTCCGGTCTCTTCAGCGAAATGTTTCTCTTAGACGAGCTCTCGGTTGCGCCACATACTTCTCTGCCATTTGGATTCAAGACGAGCTCATGGAGAATATCGTAGCCGACTTTCGCTCCATTGAATAGACACCAAAAACAAACGAGATCGAATTGGAAAGAGTGGAGGTGGAGAATGTATATAGTTTATCGTCGTCGCTCAAAGTACGAGGTCGATCCCAAGACCGCAACGGACTGATCCATCACCCACTCTCCGACACCCAAATAACTCTCTATCCATCGCTTGATGTCCTTGCTATCGGTAATCTTATCTGCTTGGAGACTGGGGCTGTGCGCTTAGGTCCTAAAGACATCAATCTATCCTTGCTCCCTCAACGTTCTTCACGTTTTTTAACAGGTTGAAAGAAGATTGAGGGAGTCAAGGGTAGACCAATGTTTGGGGCGGACGTGCGAAGATTAGTTCTCTTTTTCTATCGATTCGTTTCGCAGTCATAGTGGTCTCATGGAAGGAGGCTGTATGGTACATACGTGAGGCCGGTCGATCGCTTTACGCCTGCCAGGAACGCGGAAACTGGGTGCATGTTAGCTTTGATGCAAGAGTCGATAAACTTCGTGTTTCGTGTTTGTACATACTCAATACTGCGTCGAACGCATAATGTGTCAGGCGACCGAGCTATGTCTCCCTGTCAGCGCCATTCGTTTGGTGTTGATTTCGGAGGCGATACGTACAACCATCTTGAATGTATGTGTTTGTATAAATTCTCGATATGTGATGCGAAGGACAGAAGACCGAGATATGTGAAGTACTTCAGGTAGAAGTGTTGCAGATCATCAGCAGCCTACGCGGTCACCGTCACGGGGCAACCAGTCAGGCAGCTCGACCATGTGATTCTGGGTCATGTGATCATGCTGGATCTGGGATGTGTTATCGATAAGCAGAAGAGCTGCAGCCAATCACTTGCAGAACCCCGCCCCCACCTTTTCTACCAGCGTACTTTGATAAGTGTCAAATAGATCTGTCTACCGAGAAAGGACTACCGATATGAAGATGGTATAAATATGGAGATCTACATAAATATGTATACGTTGGTCAATTCGTTCTGTCAAACCAAGACCCTCCCACATAGTAGCCCGGACCCCGATTAGATGAACCCATCCGGTCACTCCGTACGAACGGGGCCGGAGTATAAAAGTCTGATTGGCAGCTGTCGCGATTAAATAGTCCCAAGCAGCCAAGCTCGATGAGCCTGATGGTCTGATACATAATACATGATACATGATACAGTGTACAGTGTACAGTGTGGTCTTTGTATGGAGCTAGCTGATTGTAGAGTTGCACAGTCACCGCGTTGACCGTACACCGGATTCGGGGTGGGTAGCGGAGTACTATCCACCGTTGGATGTCAAGAACTTCATCGAGACTCGAGAGAGCATTGTATGGGAATTTTTTCATCATTAATGTAAGCAATGGCAGTAATTGTAAAGTATGGTCATGTCCATAAATACTATGTAGCATAATAATTGACGGCAGTAATGAAAGAGGTAGGTAGGGGGACATCGGAGATAACTAAAAAAGAAAAAATCCCGCGCTAAGCCCAGTTGGGAGCTGGACCACTGGCATTTTTGGTAGCGCCCACGCTCGTTCTTTCCCCTCAGCAGCAGCTTTTCCTGACCTTATTTTTCTGGCTATCTCCCTTGCTTCTTCTTCTCTCCCATAACTCAACAACTCACCTTACATTCTCCCTCCTGCATACGTTTCCCTCTTGGATAGATTATCTCTGTCCAAGTATTTGCAGCAGTCCCTACCTTCTGTCATCTACTTACTTGCTGAGCTCTTCCTCTCCGAGACCTTCATACACAATGGCTACCAACGCCTTAGACCACCTTTCCAACCGTATGAAGTTGGAATGGTATTCCCAGCTTAATACCGAGATGGCTCCAGAGGGCAACTACCGTCGCACCTCCATCATCTGTACCATTGGTATGAGCGCATTGTGCTTTTTGGTTTTCTCTGATCGCTGCCGATAAGCCGTGCTAACAGGTTTCCCCGCCAGGCCCCAAGACTAACTCCGTCGAGAAGATCAATGAACTCCGCAAAGGTACAAACCACCTACCTAGGTTTTTGATACAAAACTATCGTTGTGAATTGCTTCCTGACATTTTGCCATACAGCTGGTCTCAACGTTGTTCGCATGAACTTTTCTCACGGCTCATACGAGGTTCGTAATTCTCGCGATGTTGATCGTACAAACTGATGCTCACTGTCGTCTAGTACCACCAGTCTGTGATCGACCATGCCCGCGAGGCCGAGCGCACCCAGGCTGGTCGCCCAATTGCCATTGCTCTTGACACCGTAAGTTGCCTTGAGGAATATTGTTGTTCGAAGTTTTGTCTAACGACCGATCGATCACGTATAGAAAGGACCTGAGATCCGTACCGGAAACACCGTTGACGACAAGGACTACCCCATCGCTGCTGGTACAGTGTTCAATGTCACCACCGATGAGCAATATGCTACTGCCAGCGACAACAAGAACATGTATGTCCTTATCCAGCATTGTGACATTTCTAGAGGCCAAACAATGCGTAGTTTGGGCTCACTGTAGACCACCACTAACCATATTCAGGTACGTCGACTACAAGAACATCAGCAAGGTGATCGAGCCCGGCAAGCTCATCTATGTCGATGACGGTATCCTCTCCCTTAAGGTCCTTGAGGTCGTGGACGAAAAGACTGTCCGCGTTCAGTGCCTTAACAACGGTAACATCTCTTCTCGCAAGGGTGTGAACCTTCCCGGTACTGATGTCGATTTGCCCGCTCTTTCCGAGAAGGACAAGAACGATTTGCGCTTCGGTGTTAAGAACAAGGTCGACATGGTCTTTGCTTCGTTCATTCGCCGTGGTGAGGACATTAAGGAGATCCGTAAGGTGCTCGGTGAGGAGGGCAAGGAGATTCAGATCATTGCCAAGATTGAGAACCAACAGGGTGTCAATAACTTTGACGAAATTCTTGACGAGACCGATGGTATCATGGTCGCTCGTGGTGATCTTGGTATCGAGATTCCTGCCCCCAAGGTGTTCATTGCACAGAAGATGATGATCTCCAAGTGTAACTTGAAGGGCAAGCCCGTTATCTGCGCCACCCAGATGTTGGAATCTATGACATACAACCCTCGTCCCACTCGTGCCGAGGTTTCCGACGTTGCCAACGCCGTTCTCGACGGTGCTGACTGTGTGATGTTGTCCGGAGAAACCGCCAAGGGTAACTACCCCAACGAGGCCGTTAGTATGATGCACGAGACTTGCTTGTTGGCCGAGGTTGCTGTTCCTCATTTCAGCATCTTCGACGAGTTGCGCACTCTCTGCCCTCGTCCTGCCGATACTGTCGAGGCTATCGCCATGTCTGCCGTCAGCGCCAGTCTGGAACTGAATGCTGGTGCCATTCTTGTCTTGACCACTAGGTAAGAACTCTCTTTCCCTTGTATTTCGCTCGTTTCAGATCATTGACCTTTTTATCAAACAGTGGTAAGACCGCTCGTCTCCTCGCCAAGTACCGCCCCGTTTGCCCTATCATCATGATCACCCGTAACGAGGCCGCCTCCCGGTATTCGCACTTGTACCGCGGTGTCTACCCCTTTTACTTCCCCGAGAAAAAGCCCGACTTCAACGTCAAGATCTGGCAGGAAGATGTCGACCGTCGTTTGAAGTGGGGTATCCACAACGGTATCAAGCTTGGTGTTATCAAGAAGGGTGCCAGCGTTGTCTGTGTTCAGGGATGGCGCGGTGGTATGGGTCACACCAACACCATTCGTGTGGTTCCTGCCGAGGATGACTTGGGTCTTGAGCAGTAAATGCCTCCCCTCCCTCGACCTGGTTGGTTCCTTCTCGTCATTTCTGTAGCACCAAAAATCGAAAAGAGCCATATTCGACCACCCCCCAAATTGACCGCCAATAAAGAGATTCACGTAGTTCTGGCGTCGCGGACACATCATCTCTGTCCGCGCGAGGAAACAGGCTGGTGCAGGTAATGATGAACATAATGAAAGCTAGCTGCAGCATCGTTCACCTGCTCTCGTCTCTCTTTTCCGAAATATCTTTCGGGTAGAGAGTTTCAAAAACGAAGCAACATCTGGATATAGTTCGCTTTTTGCTTAAATTCTGCTTTTTTGGTTTCTCATCATGTTTTCATGTCTAGAGGATTTATGAATTGTCTCGCTCATTTGCATGCTTCATTTCCGTATTTTCGATTTCCCTTCTTGAATAGATTTCTCGAACCACATTCGGTTTGAAACTTCCTATATAGACAAGTCAGCATGATTTATGTTCGGTTAGTTCTTCTCTTAGAGTTTTTCTCTCTAAGTCAAGACGAGAATGAAATTCAGTTCTCAAATCTCTGCACATGGTGGAAATGCCGACACTTTCAATGTCGGATCAAGCACCGACCAGATGAACTATCAGCCAGTAGCATCACACTGAACTGCATCCGAAGGACCCAACTATGAACAAGACATTTTTCCGACAATCTGTTTTTATTGTCAAATCGAAAGGCATGTGCACAAAACTTCTTACAGGGGCTGGAGAGGACATATATAATACTAATAGCCATGCTCCATTCGGCCATTTTTCAACCGAGGTCCCGAATCACACTACCGGTATGGGGGTTGGTTCCGATATTCGCCGATACTGTATATCTAAATGGGACCTAGCCTGCATGTATTGCCCTAACCTCACTCTCAGTACATCCATTTATGATAGTCTTGGATTTACAGATCTGATTATTCAATCTATGGCTTGTTCACTTTGCTTTGCGATGAAAGGGGKGATGTAGTATACATTAAGGCAAATTCATGCCTAAGGGAAGAGATGATTTATCAGAATTGTAGTAAATGAGATCGAATGTATTCATCTAATATTCATCATGTCGTATGTAATTCTCCCGTCAACGGAGCTAGGTACAATAAGGGTATCGTGGCTATGTATGTAAAATGTATGCTATGCTCTGTCGTAAGGAACGAAATAAAATGATTTATCTGTCGTCGTAAAGTGTAATCCAAACCCCAAAAAGGAATGAGTTTATGCATGTAGCAGAATATCAGAAATCTATTCGCTGTTCGTGTGAACGGTCAGTTCGCTGGTCTCTATCTCGAGCGGTGTCTGCATGTGAGAAAGGTGATTTTCAATACGCCGGTTGTCTGAGAATGTGGAATGGAATTCGTGCCAGCAGCTGATTCAGTGTTAGCAAGACATGTATTGTAGGGATAGAGAGAAGGGGAGCATACTTCGGAGCTTGAAGAACATATCTAGCCATCGCTTGTCGGAATCGACTCTTATACTCCTTCGGACTCGTTACGGTCGGTCTATTCTTGCCGCCACCTGCGAAGCCGCGATCCTTGATCCAGGATTCGAGTTTCTTGTCCCATGTATACGTCCTGATGCAATCAATGATGCCAACGACGAGTTCTTTGCGCGGTTCGTCAATTGCAATCATCAGCGAGTAATCCATGACGTTTTGTCGACCGAGAAATAGTGTGTCGTTCCACACGCTCTGGCTAAGAAGTTTCTTGGAATGCTCGCGAGTGAATAAGGGTGTCTCGTAGATAAAGTCAACCATGTTCTCGTCGAGAAGGACTTCGTCGCGTTCACCGGTGCTTTGGACTTTACGGTTGCGCATTGAGCCCTTGAGATCGAATATGCGAGTTGGCACCCGATCATAAAATAGGTTCTCCATTAGAAGCAAGTACCAATTGAACTCGACCCCGGTAACTGGGTTCTTGATGATGACTTGGTAGAAACCAAACATCTTGGCGATTGCTGAAGGAAGCTCATGGAATAGAGCCTCGGACATGATCTGGAAGTAAGCAGGAGCAAACTTCAAGAAGGCTTGAGTTTCAATCTGTGATAATGATTTGAGCACGAAACGGTCATCAAGTGTCTTCAGGAACAGTGATTTCGTCCTTCCGCCTTTGGAATCCCACTTGGCGCAACGAGAAAGTGACTCGACGATGCGATCTGCCACACCGCATTTCCTACGCAATGCGTCAAATTGCTCGGCATAGAATACCTTGCAGAGCATCTTGGCCTGACCTTCTTGGAATTGGTACTTGAGATGGGTTCCAGTTGGGCGCAGAAGAGCGCTCTCCACCCTAGCCTGGTCCCGCGACTCAACATTGTTGTGTGACCACTCTTCCTTATCGTAGTGTTCCTGAATGCTGGCCAATTTGTTTTTGTAGTCTGAAGAATCTAAAGCAAAGGCGATTAAAGAACTGGGCTCATCTTCGCGAACAATGATATCACAATCCGCAAATACGTGGTCGGATACCTTCAATGGGTAATCGAGTGCTTGCCAGCCACTGGCAGATCGTTCAGCCCAGAAATTAGCCAGCAATTTGACCAAAGTATTCCGTTCATGCTTGGGAAGTTCTTTCAAATCTAGTTCATCTTCCATCTTCATCGATTCCTCAGGAGATCCGGTTAATGTCAAACTTTGATCCTCGTCGCTTTGCGCATCTTCTGCCTCTGAAATGTTTTCGGCTATGGTGTTTGATTCATTCTCTGGGCCAGCTGAGTCTGGGTTCGTAGGAATGTGCTCTTTATCAGTTGTAACTTTGCTCTCAACTGTAGGTTCTTCACCTATCCTGTCGGCCTTACTCTCTGATGACGATCGTCCTGTGTCAGAAATGAGATCTTCGCCTTCGCCTTCTCCGGGTGGTTCTCGCTCTTCAACCGCTTCCCGTACGTTTTTATACACCTCAACAGTCGCTTTAGAGGATATGATGGGATACGCCCGCGAGTGCTTGCTTTTAGCTGCTCTTTGTAACCTCTCACGCTGTCTTTCCCTTTCAAACTCCCTGCTCAGCTGTTCAAAATGCCTTGCTAGACTTGACACACGAGGACTTTTGTTCTTTGGTGTGATCGAGCGAGGAATCAAGGAATGACTACTGGCGGGKTTGTTTTGTTTCAAAGTAGCTAAACCGAATCGATCCGAAAACTTCTTTTCGCCAAATTTCGGTCTTTCATGACCTGAAGGACTAGGAAGAGGACTTTGTTTTTTGCTCGAGCTACTAGAATTCATTTTCAAAAAATTCCGGGACCCGTTAGCCCCTCTTCCTTGCAATGCCTGTAGAGGTTGAGACTGAGTTCGGACTATCGGGGGAGATCTCGCTTTCCCACTAACCCTGGCGCTTTGCTCAGCGAGCCGAGGAATGCCCGAGGAGGAAGGTATCTGCTTAGGGCTGGTGGTAAATTCTGTGGGACTTCTTTTTCTGAGTCCCGAACTCGGGCGACTGACTAATTCGGGAGAGGGTGTCATTCGGCCGGAATCCGGAGGAGATGTGGCAACTCGTGATATTTGAGGAAGATCTATAGAAGATTGGCGGGCAAGCTGAAGATCCTCCGAGATGCTCGTTGGAACTGCAAGATCAAGATGTTCTACTTCTTGACTGGTCAGATCTAAGTTGGGCGCGTTCGCTGGTCCACTATCCGGGATAGGATCCACGGGTTCCGTGACTTCATCCTGCGCCTCAGGCTTCCCGGAGTGCTCTTCTACAACCGAGACAAGTACGTCTTTCGCTTTCTCCGGGGATAGCGTCATGCGCCGCATTGACCTTGGCCGTTCAGCTTCTTCTTCAACTGCAGAGGAATCCTTCTCAGTTGGCGTGGTTGGCGTCTCTTCGGTAGACGTTAGAGAAGTGGCCGAGGCATCCTTGTCGAGGAAGATTTTTTTTAGTTGCAATGAGGCCAAACGTCTGATATCTTTTTCCGAGGGGAAGAAGTTTCTCTCGAAATCCGCAAAAGCAGTATCCCATTCGACAACCTTCTCCTGAACGGCACGAAGAACCTCGTTCAACGGAATGACCTCCCAATAACGGGAATTCATGTATTGCTCTTGTAAGTGCTTAATCAAACCATTGTGATCATCATTTGCCTTTTTCACAAGGATTTCAATCTCCTTCCTGCAATCTTCCACCTTTTCGGGCATGACACTCTCAACATGGATGCTCTTTAGTCGGTTCTTCACGGACAGCATAAACTTGGAGATTCGATGCTCAAACTTGGTGTACACCTCATTTCTCAGGCGCAAGTCGTTATCGACTTTCCAAGTGACCCGTGTGCGAGGCACGATAATGTCGAGTAATGTAATAGGGTCATAATGAATTCGCAAAGCCATGTCCTTGAATCCAAAAAATCGCAAGTAATCGCGATGAATGTCATGCTGACAAACTCCGGCCCGAACTCGGAGATTTCTGCTCCAAAATGACAACTCGAGATATTTTGCAAATGAATACCTCCATGTGTTCGCAGACATAGGAATCACTTGCGTCTCATTGCCACATATCTTACAGCAACTCCACATCAGAATCGTGTCTTGCAGACCACGCAATTTTGAAGGATAGGGCTGCACAAATATACTAATTTGTGCCTCCCCATGAACATACTGTCGGTGATGTTCATGCATGCGGTTCTCGCATCCGTTGGCAGTGCAAACAGCATTGGCTTCAAGGCACAGATCTTCCACGTATTGCCCCAGCGTAAAGTCAGGCTCGAAGACATGGTCATCACTTTCGTGTTCATTGTAGAAATCTAGTGCGAAGATATCGGGACCTGAGCATGGTATAGAGGTGGTGGTGCACACTAGACTGTAAAGAACAACAATATTTTGATGCGCGTATGGATCGAATAGGTTGGAGTTTCCGGAAAGATAGGCTTCCCATTGACGCTTCTGTGTCAGATAGTTGTGCATAGCTCTATCCAATTCCGCTTCATGCACTGCCCGTAGAACCTCTCTTACTTTCGAGGATGCATTATCGGGATTTTGGTGAACGAGCTCGGGTGTAATCAGCACAAATCTCTGAGATTTATTCTTTTCATCGGAGTTTTGAACGATTCTATCGCGCAATCGTGCGAGATAGGATACTCGTCGCTCTAGCTCTCGTGCTCGCATGAGCGGATGAGGGGGCTCGAATTTAACACATGGTGAAGCGGAGAGTAATTTCGTTTGGTGTTTCTCGACTATGTCCTCGTAATAGGTGGGCATTGGCACATCATCAGGCACTTCCACGGTAGCAGCGGTAATGTGATGATGCGCATTAGATGCATCTTTCGCATCTGTTTGAGCGGCATCTTCATGGACAGTAGCAAATTCGATGATAGAAGGAGCCTTAGCACTTGCAGGTTTCTCCCCAGTCATTGTAATTGCATTGCTGAAATCTTCAACCGTAGGCAGTTTTGCGAATTCGTCTCTCATCAGACATGTTTCCAGTTTCAGGTTGTAGACAACGTAGACCATGAACTCTGTAATACGCTTGACTCTCGACAAAATCTCGCTGTTCGCACCACGTAGCACAATGGTACAACCGAGTTCTTTAGCACAGCCGGAAATATACATGTAAGTTTTTCTCCTACCGCCATAGACGTAAGTCTTCAGGTCGAAACTGTCACAGTGTCCTGTATGTGTCGGGATTGTGACTAGCTTATCCATGGAGGTAATTATCCTCGTCTGTGTGCATCTCGACACGGCTTCTAATACAGAGGGCTTGACATTGTAAGCCGTGGCGATATTTGACTTTTCAAGAAGCTCAAGTGCTAATCCAGAGACGCTCTTCTCGACAAGTAGTAAGTTGGGTTGTAGTGCCGCAATTCTGCTAACGAGATTCTCAAGGAACTCTCGTTCTTGGCGGATAACCGGCTCTAAGCTCATGAAATGTTGTTGATGACGGGCGTATTCAATGGCGAATGTTATGATGAGAATCCTTGGTTGAGGGATACTACGTGGCATACTCTTCAAAGCGAGGTTTTTCGTGAAAACCAACCCAGACACGTAAGACGTATCACCGGGACGACCACCAGGTATTTTCTTGAGCTTCACGTAATGGCGAATGTCCATATCATCACCACGCTGCACATCAGGATCAACATCATCAGTAGCTCTGAGGAGGATCGGTAACAGAGCAGTCTCCCAGCTATTGGCGTGCGGTATTGAAGAATCCTCTAGGAGTTGCCGAAGCAACTTTCGAACGTGTTCCAAGCTCAATCGGTTCAACTCAATAGCTGGGGCACTAGAGCCTCTCATAGACGAGCTTCTCGTCATTTTAAAGCCGCTCGTCGATGACGGGTAGACTAGCTGAGAGTTGTTGTGCGTCTGATGGTCATGAAGTAATAGGGGGTTGTCTTTTGATAGTCGCGGCGACGGTCGTTGATGAACGCTACTAGCAATGCTCAGATTACGTCTTCGGGAATTGCGTGGTAAGTTGACTGCCTTGGAGCTGCTAATACTCGCATCATCAGCATCCCGTATAAGTACTGACCCATTAGCAGTACTGCGGTCACTAAAACGGGAGCGACCTTTTTTGACAGCCGCAAGAAGTCCACCAAAAGTAGCTCGTTCATGTTCGCCGCTGCTTTTAGCGAGGTTATTATCAGCAGCAACGCTAAGTAGATTTGGTTGCTCATCACCACTGGAAGCATCATCCGATAAGTATTGAGCGAGATCTGGGTCAATAATATTGTCACGATGGAAAGCTGGTAGCCGGTCTGTGTTATTGACATCTACTAAATGACGACGTTGTTGGAAAGGTGCCCGCTCCTCATGATGAGGTTTAAAGTCACGAAGTTGTTGCCGTGAAAGATGTCTTCTATGCCCTGGGTGAGGTCTTAAACTTGCCGATGATCTCAATGACCTAGACGAAGTTGGGCGAGTCAACGGTCGTTCAGATCCAATCTCTAGGACAGCAGACCGACGATTGCCGTTCTCGTTGACACGCCGTGTTGCAGGAATCGCCATGGTTGGTGTTTTCAACACATGCTCTATGGATTGAGATCTAATCGAAGAGGCGTCATCCTCATCCTCTTTTGAACCATTGGTTAGTGGTCCGTTGAACAAGTCCTTGTTTCCCGGGGTTGGAGATGTTACAGGACTTTGCTCGATATCTGACAAATCGGATGAGTCGTACTCGCGCGAGTTAATCATATCTTCACAAGGCTTGCAGACTCTGACGGAGCTGCCTTGACCAAAGTAAACTCCCGGAATAAGAGATGTACATTTTGAATCGAAAATCTGTCCACAAGTTCGACAATGATGCTTTCGACGGAAAGTAGTAAAAGGCTCTCCGCACAAGAAACAGTCCTTGGCATTTTCATCTCGCATCCAAAATTCCTTGCTCAGCAGTTTGCTTCTCAGTTGATTGAAAGTGCTATTTGGAGTACTCGTGCCCTTGTTTGTAGCTTGTTGACGGTAAGGCTGTGAACTATAACCCATTACAGCCGAGTTGGTGGTAGCTGTTTCACTGGACGATGCTCTGGACATAACATATCCCGGTAAACGACTAGTACTGACCCGGTTGACAAGTTTTTCTTGAGGTCTGTCAGTAGAAAGTTTTGAGGGAACTGGACTTTTCACATTGCGGTCCTCAAGCGAAACAATAGAAGATGTTGTGATCGAAGGGTGTCGGCTATGCGTGGGTAGGCGGTCATCTAACTCGTGTGCCATGATATCACCCGCAGATGTTGGGGCCGTTGACCCATCACCAGTAATAGAGCTCGAAGATGTCGTAGTGGTATTTCCGTGTGCTGTGTTGAATACCTCGTCACTGCTTCCGGCCTGCTTTACGTTTCGAGAACCAGCACCGACAGATGTGTCCAATTCTGTAAGATCTCGTCGATCAAACACCCTCCCTGACTTCTCATTTGCAGACACAGTATTTCCAGAATCTGACTTGATGTACGGGTCCTTCGGGCTCGAGCTCTCTCGATGAACGTTGGGTTGTTTCGCGGTCAAGACAGGAGAGTAAGACCGCCGGCTTGATATGCCATCTACTTGTTCGACTTCATCGAACCGTAGAGAATCATTGTATTGGGTGACAGCTGAATCTATGTTCAGTGGCAAATTCCCGTTGCTTGTTTCAAAGTCCCGGCTACCATCGTGAGGAACGTTCGCATTCAACTCGGTGACTGTTGGGTCTGTCGCCTTGGTGAGTGTTGGTACGGGAGATTTGACTGCGGGAGTGGAAGACAGTGATGTTTTGGACGAAGAAATACTGTTCGGTTTCGACACGAGTTTGCTATTTTTGAAATTCTGAGCTGCGTTGAACGACTCTGTCGCTGGTGACAAAGTTCCCACTGAAGGCGTATGTATTTTGGAAGCATGAGCCGAGCTAGGATTTGAAGCCTGAGCATCATTCACAGCGACCACACTATCTTCGCCGGCTGTTTGTTTGTTGACTATAGACGTGGAGTTTCCTTCGACTCGTCGTCCCGAACTACCGTTATCCTTTGCACCACCCACAGACGCTCGCAGTCGACTATACAATCCACTAAGTCCACTCTGCGAATCATTCGACACATTGTTATTTTCGACAACTGCTAAGGAAGTAGGGGGATTGGCAAATTCGTTGAAGACTGTAAGAGAATCGGATTGATAGGCCGCTGAATGGATCTGATCCAGTGCCTCTGTTAAGGTCTCGCGTTCGGCTTGGGTTGACAAGGAGCTGCGGGAACCTCGTCTCCCTAGAGGCAAGAATATTGACGATGCAGAAGGACTCGGAGGTTCGTTAGCTTTCTTGGAAGCCATCCTGGGCGAGTCTAGTGAAGCCTGTTGAGCAGATGAACGACTCGAGAGGTGAATATCATCCTGCCTCTTTCCGGTCGTGTCTATCGAAGCGTACAGTTATAGAATTTTTCTCGGGGTTCTTTCTCCGTTTGTTGTACCGTATAATAACGCTGAACGGTAGAAACACTGGCGAGAAGTGGTAGTTGTCTAATAGAGAATGAAATTAAGAAACAAAAGTCGCTAGGCGATGATATGATGCGGAGTCACGAAACCCATCAACTGCCCAATTGACATTAGCATGTGATGACGTGGGGTGGCGCGTGACTGCTGTGGCTTGACTCGCGCGGGCACAAACACGCGAAACTGTGGCTGGTGCTGGGTAATGTTGCCTGGTTAGGCTTAGCTTCGGTGCAAAGCGCGTCTGGCCGTTCGGCCAAAAAAGAGTCCATTCAAGACGAAAACATCAAACCAGCTGCCAGCACAAGGGACTGGCTCTGTTTTCTCACTCCGATTTCACTCTAGTGAGTCAGAAGCGTCGCAATTCAATGTGCTTTTGACTGATGGCTTTCTAAATTTGCGCTGCGACCAGCTACTCATAACTCATCCTAGACTCCACGGCTTCGCGTTTACGGTTCTTTTCTCGGGCATATAATCTCAGTCTGGACTTCTCTGAGGTTAGTGTCACTGGATCTTTGTCTGATGGTCAGTCTGATGTCCTGATATTGGAAACACTTCTCTATACAATTTTCTCCCTTTGTAACTGCTATGTTCCTGAGGATTTCACCACTGATTATCTATAATTTACAGTCGATATTCTTGCGTTCGGCTTGCCTTGAATACCACTTGTGCATGACCGATGATAAAACCAACGAATACGAACAAATACAAAGCGGTCACCTCCTAGGACAAACTTGAATCGTTTAAGCTTCAATCGGCGAACACGGAACCCCGTGAATGGAGAAGGCCTCAAATTATGCGAAATACATGTCCCATGGAATGGATGTCTCGCCGTACGACTCAGTGGAAATAACGTATATTCCGATTCACAAGTTACATAACCGTCATGGCTAGAGGCAAGGCCAACGATGTGAATGCTGCCCGGACGTCGTTTGCGGCCGCTGGAAAAGATTATGGCAACAACTCTGGATCAAGATCTTACCGGAAGTTTTCTAGCTTTGATACGCAGGAGCCACTAGCAACTCAATTCTCAGCAAGGCCTCCTTCGAGAGAGTCCATAGCATCTCAAGATGGCGACGTAGGGGGCTATACAGCCGCCTCATCCGAGTCACAAGAGGACCTGGCAACTCAATTTCATCCGCTAAATACCCGCCAGAACAGTTTCAAACCAGCCCCTACTGAAACTATCATGTCGAAACATGCGTATAATAAGTCTATGCTTCTAGGGCTCCTTGACAGAGGTAGTCGACAGAAACCCTTACCAGAGCAGCACTCACAACGATCAGTGGTCGAATCCTCGTCTAGACGCATCAGACAAAACCCCACTACAGGTTCAGTTGCATCCGCCACGCTGAATAATGTGCGGGATGGGAGATCACCTTTCAAAGATAGTATCCATGGCAGTCGACCTAAACCTTCACCAAAGCAACAATCACAACGCTCAGCAAGCGAATCGTCCTCTCGACGCACAAAGCAAACACCTACTCCAGACATAGGCGCATCTACTACGTCGAATAATAGGCGAGATGGACGACCGCCTTCAGAAAAAGTCATCAATGGTTTTCGACAGAAATCATTGCCTGAGCGGCGTCCATCATCCCCTAATTCCACAACTAGCTCAAATTCGGGCACGAATGACGTTATGATACCAGGTGAATCAAAAAATGCTACAAGTTCCTCTCAAAGCCAAAGAAGGTCGATCAGTGAGACACGCTCCTCTCCGAGGTTCAATAAGTCTTCTGAACAAAGGGTTGAAAGAACGGACATGAATTTAGAAAACGAAGTCACCAGCTTTCAGGTTCAACTTCCATCATCTTCAGAGAACACAGCACCTATGACAGAGAACAGCCGTAAATCACTCGATCCTCCAGAGAAACATTCAAATGTGACCCGTACGCGGCTTACTGAACCAGCTCGAAAAGAGAAAAGCTCCCACCGTGATCCATGGTCTGGTATGAAAACGCTACGTCGAAGGGATGTCGTTATTCCTGCAGAGCAGGAAGAGCTTCTTGAACGCAAGGATTGCTGGATCCCTCCGGATATAGGTCAGCCTTATCCACAAGGACATGTGCCCCCGACCTTACTCCGGGAATGGAATACGAAAATGACCCGACTGTTTGCCAACGCTAGGAAGTCGCATGCTTCTAGTCAGAAAGCTGAGCCATCGCGTGAGCAAGAAGATGAACAACCATCTTCGTCAAAATCTATACCAGATGAGAGTGAATCGGAATCGGAAGCTGAAGTCCCATGGTCTCCAAGCCCTCCACGAGATTTGCCAAAATCCGTAGCGCCGCCAGATAGTCCGACTCGACAGGATCATGACCGAGAACTAGCAGATATTACTGAAAAGGATATCAATGGGATTGCGGACCCTATGGATGGAGTAGACCTTGAGACTCAGACGCCCCTATCAGGGTCTCAGGTTGATCAAAGTAACGAATCTACCCACCGCGCCGATATCTCTGTTGATGATAATCAAGGGCACAACTCAAATTTGTCCTTAGAACCTCGTTCTACCGTCCAGTCGCCGTCTGTAGCTTCTCAAAACGAAGCTGTTGAACCGAGTGATGACTCCGACATGGAGACGGCTATTCCTCAGGCTTTACTTGTGAGGTCTCAAGATATTGCCAGCCAAATAGAGTTCTCGGAACCCCCAGCTCCAAGTTCATCTATTGCCAATTCCGCTCCTGCTGGTCAAGTTCAAATACTGGACACACCAGCAGCTGTTTTGAGGCGTGCGGCTGCTAAAAGAGCGGAGAATGCGCTCACTCACTCGCAAGATTGGCCAGCTCAGCAAAGCTCCTCTGAAAGCAATAAATCATCATTGCAACCAATGGCCAGCTCCCTTCATAACACCGAAGGCTCGTCCGGCCAAGAACATCAATCTCAAGATGCCCAAAGACCTCTTGTTGGCGATTCGCAGATTACAAATGGTGATCTACAAGGCTCTAGCCTTTCGTCTCACCAGGACAGTCAACGTCTACTTGAATACATTCCAGAGAGCTCGTTTCGGTCACCCGGCCCGCATACACAAGTACGTTCGCAGCATCACGAGCATAAAGAAAGGGCTGAGATTGACCCCAGTCCGTCGAAGACAATGGAGAACAGAAATGATCTTAAGCGGAAAGCAGCAGAACCCGTTGACCAGGTCACTGAGGAAAGTCCTTCCAAACGGGCTAGAAAGCTCCCCAATAGGACTATTGATGCCAGCAATATACAAAACACGGTTGACGTGTATCACGACACGTCTAATCAAGGCATTCACGAGTATGTGTCTCTGAACAAGGATGCTTTGAGGGTCTACGACATGTTCAAAAGGTCATATCCCAGATATGCGGGTAATTTTGACCATTTCCAGGTCCTGTGCTTCGATCTAGAGTCATTACACCGCCGCGGACTATTGGAAAGGCCTTTGTTTTGGGATGACTTCATAATGAGACATTGGGTCGACTACGGAACGCATGTGCAAAAATGCATTTCCTCCGGCGAGGATTACGAGAGCTATGAAGACTTCTTTTGCCGACATTTCACCAGGCCTTTCTGCCGAAAACGCAATCTTACGCCTCGTACACTCAACATCGTCGTCTCATCTTGGCTCGGCTCTCCTTTACCAAAGTCTGTAACCGTTGAGAAAGGGATGCAAACTATCGACGACAGTCCAGTGAGTGCCTCCGTCACCCGTCATCCAACGTTGGTTGCAGAACAGGTATCCAATTCCACGTTGGAGAAACCAAACACACAATTAGCCACGTCTGATGTCATCGTAGAAGCCGACCGTCCGCACCAAGCGAATATTGGCGTTAAGTTGAGTGCATCTCCAAAGAAGCGCTCAATTGTAGTTGGCGGCGGCATACAAGTTGACCTCCAACCACCTACTCCTTCCCACGAACTTGATGGAGAACCAGAACATATGCGAGATGAAGGCAGGGCGGTAGCAGAAACGCCGCCTCATGCTGCCATCGTCGATGATGATATAGACCACGAGATGAGAGAAAGTAGTCCAGAAGATTCCACTTCCGAGTACCACGACACAGCTAGTGTCGAACTCGGACTCGAAACGATGGAAGAAGTTCTCATTTCTCATCAAGACGATGAGCATGAAAACAATCCCAATACCGCTGAAGCAAGATTCGAACAGATATCAAGAATGCGCCGAGACGACGTTCAAGCCATTCAAGCACTTTTCACAACAGACATCCCGCTTTCCCCCGAAGAAGAAGATGCGAATACACCACTCAAGACGTGGATTCGTGACGATTACAACATCGTATCCGAGCGGCGGCGACGAGGCGGCTACGAAGTTCCTCTTGATAAGAATGGGAACATCGTCATTGAGGAGTTTCCAAGGGTGATAGATGATGGAAACGAAGAGAGAGTATTACCGCCATCTAGAAGGTGGCTTTGGCCTCGTCAAAGCAGGAATATTACTTGATTGGGAAACCACGAGCGTGTCGTTATGTATCTATTATGATATTACTAGGAGCTGTATATACCCCGTACATATTTTCATCTACCTTGAATAATCCATAATCCTGGTTTGATTGACCTGTTAAAAGAGTCGTTGAAATCTTAAACACAGTCTTCTTTTCGACTTGACCGGGGTTTCTGATAATGATTGGCAAGTCAAAAAAAAACTCTCAGTGCCAGTGTTGCTTGCTAATCATGAGGATTGGGAGATATGTGGCCAAATCAGTTCTCCCATCAGTGAAAAGATGCCAAACGTATAGAAAATCTCCGAATTCATTCAGAAGATCGTTGATTGCTTAAGTCACCCCAGCGCCATAGAGAATCTTAGCGATTGCTGCGTGCGATTGCAAGGAGTATAGAGCTTCGGATCTCTATATCCTCATCTAACGACTTCTTAAAATTCACCAGTCTATTAGCTGGCAAATAAAAATTAATTATTGCGCTAAGTCTTTCGACTCTTGTGATCTTGTGAACATTTTACTCGGCCCCCTCTACTGGTCAGCATGAATTCGAAATTCTTCTCCGGTAGATCTGCATAGCGTTCACCGTTGTTTCTAGTACTAATCTTAGTTCGATAACTACATATTCCATATGATTAGACATTTAAATTACGTTCTTGGGTTCATTGATGGATTGGGGGCTGATGACACGCTGAAGATCAGTGTGTAAGGCAACGAGAGTGGTACATTCACTAGTTTCTACAATAGCTATGTCCAAGAAGAGATTGGAGGAGGATGAACTTACTTGGAAGTAGTACCAACTTAAACAAATGCTTAGCCAGAGCAACGAGGTTATCCTCATTCTCCTCGATATATCTGCATACGACTTTGCTGCCTCGGTCTGGAAGGTGATTAATGAAACCATTCAAGATACTGACCATTTTATCCTTCTCTGAGGAAGGTTGAAGTTGAGAGGTTTTCTCCCGGACTGCGCTTTGTAGTAATTCTAAAGAGCAATCAAAATGAGAGCTTGCTATTTCACTCAAGGCTAGGCTTAGTGGAGAGTCTACCAGTTCGCTTATTTCCTGGTCCATATCCGTGTCCATGTGACGATGTTGGACGAGAGTGCTCCCTTGACACTGATTGTTTGTGTTTGAAATGATTCAGGGACGAGCTAGCTATATTATCTGAAATCCAGCTCAGCTGAGAGTTTGCCCGCTCGCCCATTTTAACATTGACGTTCTTGTTGTGGCCTGGTGAAATGCAGAGATGTTTCCGTTGGTGCCTGGTTGTTATACGCCCTGGAGGTTTAGTGCTTGGCCAAGGTGACGATAAGAAATTGAGTAGGCGAAAATCACAACCTAGAAGCCTAACATTTGCCTGTTACGAAATCGTATCAATACAGAATCTTGATTGATATGATAATGGCAAGGCCTTTCGTCGATTATGGACAAATTCATCCACTATACAAGCACAAAAATTGAAAATAGTCCAAGTTTCACTCTTAATACGCCAGCGCTGAGATAGTTACATAAGAATCCAACAAATTAACCTGCAAAATCGAATGCTCATCATTAGAAAACATACAAGAATTGATCTCATCATTCACCATAGTATTCTTCGCGCATCACAGCACATGTTTGGCAGCGACAATTAGCATGATCATTGCTGTGTCCAGCGTAGGAAACTCTGTTGTAGTCATAGCTTTCTCCAGCATAAGGATAGCCTCGATAGTAATTCGAATATGCATATGCTGCTGGATATCCATAACCCTCATAACCCTGACCACCTGCCTTCGGCTTCTCATACTGGTCTTGATAAGCCTTATAATATGATCTCATTGCATCCATTCTGCTGTCTTCACTGGGGTACTGCTGCACAGGTTGACCCTTGGCTTTACTCTTAGACTGTGAAGGGTCGTGCGATGAATGTTTTCGATGATCTCGGTCTCGAGTTTTATCTTCAAATTTGACATGTGGTGATGAGGTAGGCTCTTCTTGTGCGACTTGATCTTGCTTGCTTTCTTTAACTTTCTCATGCACTTTTCGAGGCCGAAGACTGCCTCGGTGTGGCTTCTTGACCGATGGTAATGGTGCTTTGGTCACCTCGCGGTCTACCCTAACGTAGTCGGGATCTTCTTCGCTCAAGTCGCTCTCTTCCTGGTCCTCGTGATGTTTGTGCTGTCTTCTATTCAGACTTAATTCCAAGTCATCAGCTCGCTCTTCCAGGGCTTGCGGCTGGCGTTTCTTGGGGCGATACTTCCTGGCAGTTGGACTTTCATCGAGCGAGTACATCTCATCTGGAAGAGCTGCCAGTGAGATCTCTTCCAAGTGGCGTGCCATATGTGCCGCAAACTCGAACCATGTCTTCCAGTTTTTTCGTCGACAAATACCACAAGGGAACGAGTTGAATGGAGCAAGAATAAATTTCTCGGTGTCTAGGGTTGCGGCGGTGCGTTCGGCATCACTCAGGTCCCAATGATTATAGACCAGATGCTCCACAAATGCATTGCGCGTGGAGGTTCGATCCGTGCTGTTGATCTCGGAGTCGCAATAGAGACAATACCGTTTCAGCCCTGGAAAATGACTGGTCAAGACATGCTCTGCCCACAGGTGATAATACTCGAATGATTGGTCGCACAATGGGTGGATACAGATATATGCTTTCAAATCCGCATAGACATGTATCCTGCGCATCCTTAGTAAAATGTCATATAATATGCAGGACATATGGCTTACATCCATGCTTCATGGCCTCTGAGAGTAACAATTTTCTTGCACAGTGCGCACTTGAACGGTGCTTCAAGCCGTACTTGCCATGGTGCTGGAGGCATGTAGACATTGCTCTCTTTCCGTCTCGGAATCTTCGAACCATTGTTGTTGGGACTCCAATCGTCGCCATAATGAAATGGTATTGGAACATAAATTTGCTCGTTCGACTCGTCGAATGTAACGACGCTGTTGAAACCTGACACTCTCACATGTGTTTTAGCGGGCTGCTCGGCCTTGGGCACAGTGGAGTGCTCGTTCAGTCGACGACGATTGCTGAGATTAAGTTGTCCCAGTTTCTTTGCGAGTGTTTCATCAGCATTTTTATATCTATGATCGTGTCAGCAACCTCTAAACCATCAGGGAGGATTGTGAATATTCTATGTTTGCGTACTGATCAAAGATGTCGTTGACAAAGGCTTGAACTTCTAACGAAGAATGGCCATCCACTTCCACAATGTCTGCTACTTCAGGATCAGCCTATAATCAAGCTAAACCAGAGAGACTCGCGCTTGAGTTACTCATCACTCCTCTGACAAAAACCAGATAATTATTGGCGGCACAATATATTGGTCCTGAATCGGTCGTTATGGGCGACTATCCAAAATTCCATCAAGATAATACTATCATGCAATCCGGGGCGCCAGAAAACAAGAAAAGGTGGGGGTAGTGCATCTTTGCAACGTAAATGCTCAGCCCTGTGGCCGGCGCGGATTGCAATTGGTGGCCTCGAAGATACGAGTTCGGAGGATAATATTCATTGGGTTGATATTTCTGTGTTGATGAACTTGACGAGATGGAATAATTCAAGTCGTTTCGGATGTTTTTTAAAGCAAAGAATTACCTTCCTCATGCCCAACATTGCCGGGATGTACATTTTAGGAAGGTGCTGCCTATTCGGGAAATTCACAGGTACTTGCGCGTAAAATCTTCTCATGCCACCAATCGTCCATAGATTCTCATAGATGAAGACATGGCTTTCTTGGCTCACGTTTTAAGTTTTGAATGTTATAATGTAGGCAAGTCTCAGGACTCAGTCTATTATCCATGGCTCACCTTATCAATCCATCTTATCTCAGTCGCCAGTGGTTGCTTGGACTCTGCTGCCGCTTCCACGCTTCTCTTGTCTAGTCGCATATCGTTAGGAATTTCCAGTGGCCGCTTCATCGTGCGCGACGAGTATGTGCTAGGATCTGCTCAGTCCATCGTGAGGCGCTGTTCTTCGCAATGCTACGTCTTTGAGCCACCGCGTCGCTGTAATTCATGGTATTCGCGATGCAGCAATTCTTTTGCTCGGAGGATGCCCTGCGAGGCAGTAATCGAGAGGGTGTGACACAAGTCAAGATCAAGATATGACATCAATTAGGGGCTATATATGTCAGAAATACTAAGTACTGCACACTAAATATCTATACGTATGACTAAATCGCCATGCCTTGGAGCGTCTCCCATGTCACACGCCGCCTGCCGCATTTCGCGTGCTTGGCGCCTAGGCAGACGGGCACCTATCCCTCTTCTTTGCGTGGAGCCGCTGGCGCTGGACAATCTCCTTCTGGTTTCGAAATCTCTTCCACTTTCTGTGAAAGTCGTAGCATACGATGCAGCACCGCCTGCCCTCGATATTGTACCGCGGCCCCCTCAGTTCGACAAAGGGAATGTGGCAGCTCTGGCACGCGGATACGGCCCTCATGGCTTGCTGGACTCTCTGGTTTTCCAATTCCTCTGCAGTTTTAAATCGTCCATGGGTGCGGAAGAACGTGCCACAGGCATCACAGCACCACTTGCCGTCTTTGGATCGTTTGTATCGCGCACCCCGCAGGTCACAATTGCACACTTCACACGACGTGACGTCTGGCGCTTCTCGTCGTCGTCGACGCCCATCGAGCTCCTCACTGGTTGGGAATCGTCCTTTGTCTTGGCTGAACCTGGAGCAGGGATGGCAGCACCACTTGCCATTCATGTAGCGCCTGTGGATGTAGCCCTCGCTCTCCATGACAATCTCTGAGAACAAATCGCCGCAGACCTGGCAGGAATCGTGAATTGCCCCAGTCGCAAGGTGGGCCGCTCGAAGCCGCATCTGTTCGATTTCCTCTGGCGTGGGCAGCCTTCGTTTTGAATTCCTGAAGCTTCTACAACTGTTGCAGAGATAGCCTCGTCTAGGGTCCTTGGAGTCAAACGGGCGTCGGGTCGTTTTTTCGCCCCTTGGTAGATGGTGACTCGGATAGGTCATCTCCTGGCATGAAACGCATGGTAGATCGAGATGCGACCAGGGATGTGGCATTCCCTGGTACACAGACAGCGCCATATTCAATCCGAATAACGGCGAGGCGATCCCTAATGATTTCGAAAGGCCATAGAGTGAGTCGTACAGAGTCCTCGGATTCCACCGGGTGGCATATCCTGGGAACCTCACTGTCCGGAATAGTATCATGAACAGGCTTTCCATCAATATAAGATATTTGGTCTCCAGGCTGTCGTCGAAAGTTGCCAACGTCTTGTAGCATGGCGCGTCAACGGCATGAAGCGCATGCTGGTAGTGTCGCGACGGGCGATGGACCTCCGGCAGCCGTCCCTTTGACTTCGCTTCGGCAACGATCTCTTCATGGGCTTCGATGCGATCTGCAATGCATTGAGAGTAGCCAACGTACCCCATCACTCTCAACTCCCCTTGATATTCGCGCCGAAACAGATGCATGTACACGCCCCTACTGCTAACTGCTCTGGCATCAGGAAGACATACAAGATCGTCAACAGACCAATGCTTCCCTTCGAAGAGGGCCTGTACTGGCCGGGGTATCGCTTGGAGATATGTGTTTAGCACCCTGTCAGTATCTGATTCCACCTCACTCAAGAGAGCCAGGAAAGCTCCGGTATTTGGTCCACCGTCGCAGCCTGGGCCCCATGCAATAAGACTCTCGAGCATGCTGCGCATTGTATGGGAGAAGGGCTGTCCCTGAGAATTAAGGCGGCCATACGACGATACTTGTATCGTTGTATGTGCTTCAGATGGGTCTACGAGGACCCTGAATGACTCCACCGACTGGCGGTCTCCTACCATCTCATCCTCGACAATCCCATCCCCCCTGGGCTCGTCGACATCATCGAAAACCAAGCCTTCCTGAGTATAGCGAACTAGGAAGAGATCCTCGATATCATCGATCAAGCCGCTCTCGGCGACATCGGCTGATGGGTCGGCTTCTGGAGGGTCGGAGGAGTCTCTCTCGACATATGGTGAGTCGTCGCTGCTGACTTGCTCAACCTGTAGAACAGGAATCGTGGCCAACGTGCTGTCGTCGTGGAGGCCGTCTGACACTGCATACGAAACGGTGACTGAGGCCATTGCCAACAAACTTGATTTGACTATCGCCTTCAACTGAGTTACATGAAATACTGTCTCTAATAAGGCTGACGACTTGTGCATTTACGATAGTGGGTCGTGACTTCTTTTCCAGACCGTGCCTTCCCTTTTAGGATGCGCCTTCCCCATGGGGCCTCACCCGCCTTCCAAGTCGCTCCTTCCTCCACAGCCGTATTTCTAAAAGACCATGCCTACCCGCCATTTGCGCGCACTCAATGCTCTTCTAGCGCCCTTAGGCCTTCGCCCACCATCGTGTGTATTCCTATCAGGGCGAACTTGTATGTTTCAGGCTCGAGAAGAGCCTCAGTAGACATGCGCCTCACTTTGTGACAAAGGTCGAGACATTCATCGCCATGGGCCGCCAATTGAGTGCGGTATAGAGAGCCAATGCTACTTTAGAGGGTGCAGTGTCAGGGAAGGCAGCCATCACTGGCGCTGGTGGCTAGGTGAGATGGCGTGACTTACCAACCATGCCGGACGTTAACATTTCAATTTTCTCAATCCGTGATGCAGCCTATACCATGTAGCACTTATCCAGTAATTTGACATCGCCCATCGGCACGGTGTGGACTAGGAAGTAGAAGCCATTGCGTTGCCATACTTATCTAGGATAGGCATGGCGAGACGTTCGAGCAAAAACCTCGATGTCTCCTGGGGTGTTCTAGTCAACCCAGCGAAAAAGCCGAAGAAACGATCCAGTGAAGTTGTGACATGGTGTGACCTAGAGCCTTATGTGAGAACGGTGGTGTGGCTAAAGTTGATTCTATTTAGCTAGTCTAGTAACCCGCTCGTCAAGTACGCGTGATCGTGTGCGACGGTCGGTCGCACGTGACTGCGTATGAGTGCGATCGTTGCTAACTAATGCTATCTAGATAAGGCTAACTAAAGTAACGTGAAAAAGTCCCTCGGTTCAAAAATGAGAGCACTGTCCGCAGTGGTGATATCGTGAGCGAGGTAATACATGAGAGCAGGGCGCTACATGATAACGAAACCAGCCGAAACAAGCCTGAAGCAGGATGAGTACACAGAGCAAAGCACTGGTAGCAGAAGCGAATTGCAAGAGAAAGACGATAGATGATCATGACAAGCAACGAGTAAGCAAAGCAGTGACGGCACGCCAGAGAAAGTCTCGGCGGTGGAAGCGATTCGGCCTCCCCGTCGCTGCAAATACTATAAACTGCTTCGTCGCCGGTGGCATGGAGACCCACGAGCGAGGTTAGTCGTCAGCTGCCGACGCGCGACGACGCTTCTTCTTGCGTCGCTCAAACTCTTGTAACCCGTTGTTGTAGATACGGTCAATGACGTCGCGATGAGTGGCGCCTGAAGCCGTGTCGTTAGTGGCGTCCAACACCTCGTCTGGATCCGCGTCCTCAGTCCAATGCACTTGACGGACGTGAACCTGCGCGAGGTGGAACATTGCGAGTTCCCATCGTTCCCGCAAGGGTACCCATGCCGTGACCTGAGTACGCCACGTTGCCAAGGCCGTGACGTTGCGTTGTTCAGCCTCTTGCAGTTTCTGACTCGCGATCTGCCGAAGCTGAGCTTCAGGAGCATTGCAACGCACGATGGGATAGTTTCCTTGCCATGATAGTCGCTTCCCTTTATGGTCAAATTGGAAAGAACCCTTCCCATTCGGCGTCTTTCGGGGCATAGCCTTGATTGTCATTCCCGCTTCGACGTCTGGATCTCCATGCAGGGTTACTCCCGCGTCCCAGGGCTCAGCCTGACTAGGTTGAGGCAAGGGTGGTAGTGGGGGACATGCCGGGAAGGCGAACGGGAGTGAGTTGAGCAGCCAGAAACGGAGAGTAGGGCGAAGAAAGTAATATCCGTCTGGTTCATTCTGGTCCTTGATGAAGTGAGTGAATAGCTGTCGCGGACGAGAGACGTTCGTTGGTTTCTTCCACAGGCTGGAGAGGTCTAGGCCTTCCGGGTTCTCCACAATGTGTTTTACCAAGTCTGAAACGAACGACGTCTCGAGCGCTGCGGACAACTCGTAGAACGCAATCTTGTGTTGGACGATGTAGGTCAGGGCTGAGGGAACGTCGGTTATCGCCTTGAGGTCTTTGAGGACCTTCGAGCGTGATCGCGTCAATGTGTTGGTCGTCAGCGGTAGTGGTGGAGTCACGGTGTTTGCCGGATTGGCGGGKGGTACGCATCCCTCGGGAATCTGCAAGAATGAGACGTCGATTGATTGTTCTCTGCCTAGCTTGAGGAGCTCGTCGGTCACGGACTTCAACTCCTTGTCGGCAAACACGGCGAACATCTCGCCGTACGAAGCTCGGTGAAGAAGGATCAGGTTGATGATCACTGTCGTCGAAAAGTCCCACATATTCTCGATCACTGCATCGCGTTCCTCTGCTGACAGGGTCGCTTCGCTGTCGTCCCTAATTGAGTCCTTCCAATATGTGATCGCGCTTTTCTCAGCCGCGTTGAGAGATGTGGTGAGAGCGAAGTCAATCTGTCGAAGCTCGTCCGCAGTGAAGGTTGTCGTTAACTCAGTGCGTGAGATGTTGTTACGTATGATTGCCTCTGCTGCCTCCTCGGGTGTCTTTGGAAGGCTGTCGATTAGTGTTTTACGGAGCAACGCGTCGTTGTTACCGGCGTTTGTATCAGTTAGCGGTTCCTCGTTGCCGTTGGTAATGGCGTTGGTAGGCGGTTGGGCTCTCTCGTTGTTGTTGTTGTTGGGCTCGACCAGTGGTTGCACTGTACCTTGGCTGCTGTCGCTTGTGAAGGTGGGTGACTGGGCTTGCTTGTCGCTGCTGCTGTCGTTGGCTGGTTGGACTTCCTTGTAGAAGAAGGCGATGTCCAGTCGGTAGTCAAACTTCCCCTTCTGAAGCCAGTCCTTGACATTGGTGACAGTTTCGCTATCCAGTGCAGAGGCTAATTCGCCTTTCGTGATCTGATAAAGGAGAACGTAGTTGATTATCTTCGACAGTTTGAACTGTCGAAGATCCTCCAGCAACTCTTGTCGTCTCTCTGGCGCGATGCTCACTGCGTCCTTCCTGACGGCATAACGCCAGTAGCTAAGAGTTTGGCGGTCGATAGAGTTGTGATGCTCCGTGACTGCTCTGTCAATTTTGCAGACCTCGTCAGCACTGTATTCCTCTGCTAGCTCAACATGAGCAATGTCGTGGGTACGAATGCTGTGTACGATCTCCTTCATGGACCGACCGTGCAACTCTGCTAGGAGCTTTTCACGCTCTGTTGGTGTTGGGGGTTCCTCAGCTTCCTCGACGCCGAAGAAGCTTATGTCCACCTGCTCTCGTGTGGCGTAGTCCTTAAGAGCTGTAACTAACTTGAGCCATTCTTTATGAGAACCGTAGAACGATACCTTTACCAAGTTCCAGGTTATCTTGTACTTGACGATAATCTCTGGCCATTGCTCGTACTCGTTGTCTTCAAGAGCTTTGAGACCCTCGATCTCAGGGTCTTCATGAGAAGGTTCCCGCAGCCTGCGCTCGCGGCCAAGGGAGGCCATCATGACGTTACGTGGTGATGGTCGTGAGGCGTCTATGAGGTGACGTAGATGAGAGTAAAAGGACGGAGTTAAGTGAGACACGTAGAGGATAAATATGGCGAAGTGAAGTGAGAGATTGGGGTACTTAAGTCGCGTTTGCTACGCCCTGGTGGTCGACCAATCAGGTAAGTAGTGATCAACAACAATAGGGTAACGAAGACGGCAGTGACGCGCGTGACATACATTGATAGCTAGCTGGTCTAGTGTTATTGTGATGAGTGGGGTTGGGTTGTTAGAGAGAAGCCTTGTAGTTGTCAAGAAACTCTTAGCAACCATCAAGGTCAGTTTCTCTCAACCAACAGTCATCCTCAGGGCCGTAACCGATGTAGCGGACGCGGTACCTCGTGACGAGTTGTGAGCTTCGTACACTTGTGGGTACTTGGTTATGATTAATGATTTGGGACACTTCCCTCAATTTGTTGCCTTCCACGTCCACGGCGACTTCCTCAGTCTCGGCGTTGTCTCGGTAGCTCGGTGGGCAAGGTTCGAGATGTGCCACCGATTGGACTCGGTACATATTACTTTTCAGGAAGGTCAAGCTCGTACGCCAGACGTTCGACGCGTTTGACGAGCGTATATGGTCCGACGTACTAATGGCATAGCTCGGGGCTGAGCTTCGTGTGTCTATCAACTGGAATTTCGTATCCCGATTGAGTCGTATGGGAACCGTTATCACCGGGCGTGAAGCAGATCCACTCATGACCTCTATTGAAGGTCTTTTAACGTCTATTGCTGCAAGCTTGACGCATTCACGGGTGTCGATTCTGGTAGAGAAGTCTTGACATCGCTCAAGCTCAGGATTGAGCAGGTTCGCTGGATAGGCAAGCTCCACGCCGTACATGAGCTCGTGTGGTGATATCTTCATTGGCGACTAAAGATTACACCAATGTAGGCTACGATGTCACCAATCTGATCCAGTCCGGAGCGTCAGGTTCCGCGTTAGCGGATGGTAGTCGAGACAACGCGTCCGCGACGATGTTGGCTTTTCCGGGCTTGTGGATCAATTCGACATGAAAGCATTGAATATATTGTGACGCGAGCACCAGACGTAGGTTGGACTTCTCCGAGGATGTGGCCCGTGAACTGGTCTGCATGGCGATCATCAGGGTGATTGAGTGATCAATGTAGATGATAGGCGCCTTCTTGGCTGCCTTGATGAGGTGCTTGGTCTTGCGCAGCACCAATACCAAACAGGCGGCTTCTTTTTCTGTGGCCCAGTACTTCTTTTTCAGAATAAGATATATGAGGAGACATATATTAGTGTATAACACCTTCATTAAATTAGCACTGTAGTGTTAAAGTGGGATATCCGCTCCACAAATTAGTCAGCATATTATCATCCATATGATTGGTTGATTTCTACAGCATTGCTGCAACGTTCTGAAGTTTCCAAATCTACATCAACAGGCACGAAATTTTCTTAGCGTATTATTCCAATTCAGTAATAAGGGGAGCTCCCCATCTTGAAATATCGAATTTATTGGATACAATTGTCTACGAAGGTGCTCCCGATTCCTATACAGTCAGCATACGGACTGATATGCCACACCTCATCAGTTGTGGCGCCGAAAGCAGTTCCATAGTCGCCTCAAGGATCTGACGTGCATCTGCAATGCTTGTCTGATAGACTTCCTCGATATGATGCCGTGCTAAGCGGAATATGACCCACTCCCACTTATGTCGCTCTCCAGCCCAGTTACTGAGTTCGCGTTTCCATACAACCTCAGCCTATGAAGTTGTCTCCTCTACTACACTCAATTTCTCCTCAGCCATGGTCATGAGACTGGCGTCTGAATACCGCGAGAGAACAGTGAGCTTGGACAGTAATACAAAGACAAGAAAGTTGTTCGTAGTTGATATCGTGCTTTGGATAAGTTATCGAGAACCTCATCGCACATGAATCCATGATGTAAAATTTCCCTCGCCTGTTATAGTATCTTTATAGAATAGGAAGACGCGTAGATTGAAGTGCAGCCGTCATGTCAGCCGTTCAAAAGGAATCCGAGGGTGAATCGTCTCATAGCCTGACATCGTGCCTCGTCGGACAAGTTGTCCAACATCTAGTAATGACTGGCATGTCACTGAGGCTGCAGTCTGCAGGGACGGGAGAGGACATGGGACAGACAAGAAAGGCTCCTGGATGAATGAAGGCAATATCTGAGGCGTGCAGCTGGGCTGCTAGGGTCTCACCTAGTACTGCGCTAGGCCCAATCTGGCCGCTAGCGTCAAACTGGGGGATCCCGCCACTCCATATTTGGCTATATTGAGCACGTGACTTCGTGACAACCTCGTGTGTGAGAAATGCGTCATCTTCCGTCGGTCTACCTTCTCCATCTACGGTCTGTACCGTCCCATACTTGCCCTTTCTTACTGAGATGATCATTACGTCGACAAGTCCTATGGGTAGCACATCCCAACTATGGGTGTCACCGGACTCTGGACTGTAGTCCAGCCCTGCGCTCGTCCCGTCAAACTCGAAACTCTCAACCGCAAACGACTCGCCGTCGACGCGTCGATCTGGATATATCAGTTTCTCAAAGCCGTTAGAGATAAAGAGGGAAATGCACTTAGGAACGCGCATGTCGTCGGATTCTTTCATCGAATATGTAAACTTCTCTTCTTTGGCATTAAGCCCGTGTTTGTGTTCGATGGCGGGGCGCCGGTTCTCAAACGTCAGACTATCGCGGCACGAAAGAAGAGACGTGAGGGGAGGAGAGAGGATGCGGTGAGGACGGCTGGGAAGTTGCTGGCGATACAAATTCAGCGACGGGCAGAAGAAGAACAAGCTAAGCGCGCCGCGGGGGATGAAGATGTGGAAGAACAAGAGCCGTTGGGAGCGCCCAATTATGTCGATGAAATACTCATGACGCCACAAGAGAGGATGCGAAATCGGAAATTTCGAAAGCAGGATCAGTATCATTTACCTGATCTTGAGACCGATTTGAGCCAAATGGGAGCGCCGGAGGATCCCCGAATTATGTCTCAGGAGGAGCTGGAAGAATATGCGCGACAATTTCACAATGGCGAAGATATCAATTTGTACGACTTTTCGAAAATCGACTTTGATAGTATGTTCTTCATGAGCTTACCAGCGACCGATCGTTACAACATCCTCAATGCGGCCCGAATTCGCAGCCGTCTACGTATGGGTTACTCTAAAGAACAGCTTGATTCGATGTTCCCTGATCGAATGGCATTTTCAAAGTTCCAGATCGAACGGGTCAAAGAGCGCAATGATCTTACTCAACGATTGATGAATCTTAATGGCATGAATGGTGCAGATGTTGCTTTCGACTTTAACTCCGGTAGACGTATTGCAGGAGAACGCGGAAAAGAGTATGTTTTAGTCAAGAATCCTGACGTTGAGGGTGGATGGGCACTTGGTGTTGTGGGCAACAAAGAAGGTTCGGCCGTTGATCGACCAATTGATGTTGATGAGTACGGCCTACCTGATGTCCTTCCAGCGAAGGATGATGCCTTTGAAGATGTGCCTATCGAAGGTTTAAATAGGCTTCCTAAGCTACCATTTTTGCAAAAGGGCGTGTTTGATGAGTCTGTAAGACGAGCAGATATGGGTCGAAGAAACGGACTTTCTACGGCACGTCAAGTCCAAGGAGAAGATGAAGATGAAGATGCTTTGTTCTTTTCAGCACCTGGAGACACCGATGATTTATTTGCAGACAACGAGGATGAAGAGCTTCAGAAAGCGATAGCCATGTCTCTAGAACCGCATCAGGAAGATCACGCAGGAAAGGCCTTTCCTGTGGAATCGAAGCCGACTACTGCTTTTGATTTTGAACCAGAGCTTACCCCGGAAAGTGATGACGAAGACATGGATTTTGCAGCAGCTTTGGCGCGATCCAAACAAAGTCGACCAGAGCCCAAGCCCAACTCTGCAAGACCAGAGGTTGCACCTGAATACAAGTTTAGTGGACCACTGCCATTTGAGTCTCTCAAAATCAACAAACGAGCGAAAGAGGAACTACCACAACCTGCTCCGCTCGACGACGAGGCAGGAGGCTTTGAGAAGCCGACTGAAAGTAAACAAAGCAAAGCAAAGAAGAAAGCCGCTGCTCTTCCGCCGTGGTTCAGCAAAGAAGATGGAATTAAGCAAGACTTTATTGCTGATGAGACTGAAGAGGAGCCTGAAAAGAAATCCTACGATGATGTTATTTTCAGTCAGGCAGCGGACTTGAAGCGACGATCGTCGCCCGATATCATTGATCTTGAAGAAACATCAAATACTAAACAGGTGATTGATCTTGAGTCTGATGTCGAAGCTGAGGAAGGAATTGCTTTAGATGTTGAGCCAATTCCGGAAGAAAAGCCAGTATTAATGAACGATATTGCTGAGGATGTTCGCGCAAACCCTCCAAACCCACCTGTTGAAATTACGGTACCTCACGTACCTCCCAAGGAGGATTCTGTAACGGATGCTTCCGAGAAAGCGGTTTCTGACTGGGAACCTACAGATGATGAGCGAGATGCTCCTTTACAGACGGAGATGATGAACAGCGTTGCCTCTCCAGCCAAGGGATCGACGATAAAGCCAAAGTCACCTTCGCCAGAGTTGGAAGATGAGTTTGAGGATGTTCCGCTCCCGCCCACTGCAGAAGAGTTCCCAAACAATTCGGTGTCGACAGAACACGATGCCGCATTATTTGAAGATCAAGATCATACTGTAGTCGGCAATGATGACTACTCTGATCCCGAAGAGGAAGATCTCATGCTGCAGCTCGCGGCCGAGACAGAAGAACATGCGCGCTTTGTTTCTGAATTTAACAACAAGACTCAGATTGAGAATGCCCGGGATTTCGAGCAAGAACTAAAACAGCTACGGAACCAACAAAAGAAAGACCGAAGGGATGCGGATGAAGTATCTCAGATCATGGTGTCGGAATGTCAACAGCTGCTCCGTCTATTTGGCCTACCATATATTACTGCACCTATGGAAGCAGAGGCACAATGTGCTGAGTTGGTGACTTTGGGGCTGGTTGATGGGATTGTCACAGACGATAGCGATACATTCCTGTTTGGAGGCACACGAATTTACAAGAACATGTTCAATCAGAGCAAATTTGTGGAATGCTTCCTTTCGAGCGACTTGGAGAAGGAGTACGCTTTGGACCGAGTCAAACTAATCCAGTTTGCTCATCTTCTCGGAAGTGATTACACCGAAGGCATTCCCGGCGTGGGCCCAGTCACTGCTCTAGAGATCATCACCGAGTTCGATAACCTCGAAGAATTTCGCGACTGGTGGATGCAGGTCCAAATGGGAATGGACATACCAAATGACCCTCATCAGGGGTTCCGTAAAAAGTTCAAAAAGATGGCGACCAAGATCTTTCTGCCGCCGTCGTTTCCTGATCGACACATCGATGAAGCCTATATCCAGCCCGAGGTCGACAATGACCCGTCCGAGTTCCAATGGGGTGTGCCCGACCTCAACGGGCTACGAAGTTTTCTGATGGCGACTATTGGGTGGTCTCAAGAACGCACCGATGAGGTGTTGATTCCTGTGATTCGCGACATGAATAAGCGCGAACAGGAAGGTACGCAGTCCAACATCACCCGATTCATGGCCGGTGCACTTGGCGCCGGAGCGTTTGCGCCGAGAGTGCGGGCCGAGGGTAAGAGTCGGATGGATAAAGCATTTGGTCGATTGCGGTCTGAAGCCGAGAGTCGCAAACGCGGTCCGCCTCGCGTAGATGAGGCTGCACAATCTGAGGAAGAGGATTCTGGTTCGTCGCGCAAGAAGCGCAAGAGAAAGAGCCAGAAGAAGTGATTGGTCAATTGTATATATGCACGCCTACATAGTACGTAGTAACGATGAGACGGTACAAATGGCACGTTCCTGAAAATCAAGTAGTGCGTACGAAGAAGGAAACAAGTCACGGAGCAGACACGGAGATGCAACGATCAAGCGCAAATCGCAGATGCAAACTCAATCGAGCACCAGCACCAATCACCTCTCCACCACAGGGAGACTAGTACTACAGACTAAAGGCTTAAAGTAGGCGATCATATTCTCTTTTGGGTTGAGAGAGAGAGAACTATACAAATCAGGAAGGAAGCTTGGTGATTCAACGAGGAAGGCGCGAAGGGGGTTCTGCCCGAAAGGGGAAGGTGCCAAAGGGGGCTGTGCATTTTGAGGCGATTTCTACTACTATGTAGGATGTAGTATGCCCGATTGTGGCTTCTGCGCTGACACCGGTCGATGACGTACTATGATACTATGCAGTGCGTTACCCGAGCAATGCCCTCAGTGATGACGCAATCACTTGGAACTTTTTGTACCGCGTACAGAGAACGACGTAGGAGAGGATTCACCGTGTAGAATGACTCTCTCGATAGCTGTCGAAGCAATGGGATGGAGAGAATTGACAAGTTGTGTTCCTGCAGATGCATGTAATAAAAATAAGCATCGTAGGGAGGCTGATCGTACCCATCGTTCGCCGTTCTCCATTCCTTCAGATCTTACTATGTGTGTAGTGTGGTACTATGTATGGAGACCGAGAATGTGCCAATAGCACAGCATCGATCAGGCAGATGAAACATATTGTGTGTGTTTGAGATAGACGGTCCGTATTGACGGTCTGTAAGGATATGGGGATGAGCTAGACACAGCCAATCACCGTGCACGATTGACACAACGACGTCACTGCACGAACAGCTGCTGACGGAGCTAAGCTAGTCTCCTCGACTGTTTATAACACAGGCACGGTCATCGACAATTTATTCATTTTTTCATTATTCCTCCACAGAACGAAAAAAATTTATACACCCTCATCTTGTAATTATCCCAGCGAATTGCGTTGTGTTGCGTTGTCAGGTATGTCCCCGCTGGCTGTTCTCAGCTGTTACTTTTCCGTCGCTGCCCGCTTGTAGTCACATCCACGTCACCGCCCAACTTTTCTTTTGACCGTAGAGATTTATCTTACACTACTCTCCAGAGATAAAGAAGTGCTAATTGACACAGACAGAGACAGACACTCGGTTATTCATACCTCGACAGTCACCATGCATCGCACCTACTCTATGCGCCAGTCGCGAGCCCCGACTGCCTCGCAAATCGAGAACCCTCCCCCACCACCATCTAGCACCAAGACTGGCCGACTATTTGGTCGCAACAACTTTGGTACGTTTCCTACATTGTCTCTTGTCACCATATATCGCTATAATCGCACCCAATTGAACCGCAGAGAACTCGAAAACGTACAACCAATAAGAGAAGCTAACAATGCTCCGTCTAGGCCATGCCTTCCGCAAGAACGCCGCAGGTGCCTTTGGCCCCGACCTCGCCAAGAAGCTCTCCCAGCTCGTCAAGATGGAAAAGAACGTCATGAGGAGTATGGAATTGGTTGGTCGGGAGAGGATGGAGGTTGCCGTATGTATCCTTTCTGCAAACAAGTTGACAATTTGCTAATTAGCACAGCAACAACTCTCAATCTGGGGCGAAGCCGGTGATGATGACGTTTCCGATGTCACCGACAAGCTCGGAGTTTTGATTTACGAGATTGGTGAACTGGAGGATCAATTCGTTGACCGATACGACCAGTATCGTCTTACGATTAAGAGTATCCGCAATATCGAGGCTTCCGTGCAGCCCAGCAGAGACCGTATGTCTACCAAACCTGGGAGATGAAAAATGACTAACGGGGTATAGGCAAGCAAAAAATCACCGACGAGATTGCAAAATTAAAGTACAAGGACCCCAACTCTCCACGCATCGTCGTTCTCGAGCAGGAATTGGTCCGCGCGGAAGCCGAGTCTCTTGTCGCCGAAGCTCAATTGTCCAACATTACCCGCGAGAAGCTCAAGGCCGCATTCACCTACCAATTCGACGCTCTTCGCGAACACTGCGAGAAGATTGCCATTATCGCTGGATACGGAAAGCACCTCCTCGAGCTCATTGACGACACTCCCGTTACACCCGGTGAGACCCGCCAGGCATACGACGGCTACGACGCCAGCAAGGCTATCATCCAGGACTGCGAGGACGCACTCACCAACTGGGTCACCTCCGACGCCGCTGTTCGCTCAAACCTGTCGACCCGATCACGCACATTGTCGCAGCGACGCAGAAACAATATCAAGCGTGGCGTTGAGGATGGCGAGGAGCTCAAGGATCACGACTCCTGGGTTCCGGCCGACCAGCACGCTGGTTACCATGAAGACGATGTGAGCGAAGACGGTATCCCAGAGGACGACGGCAGCATTGTGCACAGCGGTGCCAATGGCGAAATCCGCGGCCGTGCCGAAGAGCGCGAGCCTGTCGCCGCTTGATCGTCAACAGATAATATATCCGAGTCGTGTCTATAGCTTGCGATCTATACCGTTTCCTTTGATTCTTATGTGATGGGCGGGGTTGAGAATATCAACACCAGAAGGCGTTTCGTTTTGGACGTACCCATTTTTTATTCTATATTTTTCTCACCCTTTGTTGATGAAATTAATGCTTTCTGTACTGCACTACAGGTGACATGTACTGGCTGTACGATTTATTGATTGATTGTCTCAAGACCTGTCACGATTATCGATTGTCTGTCTTGTCTGGCCCGATTATCTGTCATTGCTTTCTTCGCTTCCCTTCACTCTAATTATTAATAATATGAGAAGTTATCTTTCACCATGTAGGTCTACGGGGATGATGTGAACTGAGCAGAAGTAATCATCCATGAGCCAACCCGACAACCATCTAGCATTCAATCAAATTCGTAACCGTCGTTATCTGATGATAGTGACAAAGGAAATGATGAAACCCCAGCAAACCCTCAACAAGCAAGCAACGAACTCCATTCCATTTCATCCGTTCCGAATAGCGACACACGAGAGGAGACACACGAAGGAAACTAGAGGACTAAAACAGAAGAAAAAAAAGAATCGATCATTGATCATCATGATCAGTTCCCACGCCAACAGTCGGCGTCGGTTTCGGTTTAATCGGCTTTCTCCCGGACGACGCCGTATTCGCCTCGGACTTTTTCGAAGCAGACTGTTGCGTCACGGTCGTGGACGACGAAGTCGACGACACTCCACTGCTTTCTTGTTGCTGCTGAAGCTCCAACTTCTCCAGATCCGAAGGCTGCAACGCCGCCAGTCTCGATAGCAGATTCTCATTCTTCTCGGTCAGCAGATTCTTCAGCCACCGATTCTCCATCTCCAGCTGCGTGACGCGCGTCTCAAGTGCCGCTTTGACTTCTGTCGCTTCGTGCACGGCACGCTCTAGGGCTTGTTCGCGCTGTTTCTTTTTCACGCGAAAGCGTGCGCTGGCGGCTGTGTTGCGGCGTCGTTTGTCTTCTTCGACGGCTAGGCGGTTCTGTTCTTCGATGCTGAGAGCGCGCGCCAGGCGCTCGCCGGGTGGAATTGTGCTGTATTTATTGTTGCCGATTTGACCGTTGGGTGGACTGATGGAGCTGGATATGTCGGATGGGGTGCGGTCTCCGCCGCCAGGGCCGGAGGGCCCGCTTGCGCCAGAGCGAGATGGGTAGCTACCTTCTTCGACGGAGTAGGAATGATTTCCGGGGTAGAGGGAGCTGGCCATGTATGGGACGTCATGTTCTGGGGCGTGGTAGTTGATGTGTTTGTCACCTCCTGTTCATATTAGCTATCGTCTATGATGACATGTTTGAAAGCACGGACTGAAAGCATGGATTGAAAGAATCGATTGAAAACATAGCAAAAGAACAATGGAGGACAGAGGAGAAGATGAAGGTATAGATTGATTGATTCACTCGTAGCATACATGAAGCCCATCATTTAGGAAGGGCATAATGCTATATCATACGGAGATAGAGAGGGTCGTCTTACCGTGATAAGGATATCCACGCATCGCCGGATCTATACGGTCATCATCAATGCTATCGTACGAGCTGACCGAGATCCCACCCAGCCCCTCGGTCTGATCATAATCCACTGGTGGCAGTGGAAACCGCTGAGTCTCAGTGTCCGTATCAAACGAATAATGTCTTCTCTCAGGACCTGGAACAGATGGATAATGCTGCTGCTGAGTCGTAGGTGGTACAGGCGGATGTTGACCAGCCGGAGTGAGATAATTGAAATGCTGTAGCCGGACAGAGCTGAGCGAAGCTTGAGAAGTTGGAATTGGCGGTGGATGAAGCTGATGTGGCTGCGGCTTCTGCTGATGATCCTCTGCCATGACGGATACCGCAAAACACAAAAACTTTATGATCCGAATATTATAAAAGAAGAAATCGGACAATTGTCTATTCTATAGATGGTTGTGCGAGAATTGGCACGAGACACTCTCTTCTCCAAACGTGGTAAGAGTGCGTAATCACGTTATTCCCCGGCCGTCTGTCGACATGTATATTATGATTCAAACCCACCGTCGATCCTGATCACGATACCGTACCGCCCGAATATATTAAGAGGGGGGTTGGAACTAGCAACACCAGGGTAGGGTCTAGGTACCTGACAAAGCGATAAAATATGAAAAATAAGGGAAAAGGAGCGAAAAAGAGCAAAAGTGATGCTCCCAGGTTGCGACGGCGGTTTGTCCATTCATGTCGCTCGACACAACAGCTGCCCCCAAGGCTAGGCTGTTTTTGGCGATTGACAATTTTTATGGAGAAATGTCGTGATTTTGGGCCGGACAAAGCCAATCGGGCTTCGAGTAATAACCTTATCTTACCGTATCCAACCGGTATTGGGGGGGGGGGTTGTATAATACCGTCTATGTATCTATGGCTTTCTTGATGTCATGTCTGCCATGTACCTCCATGTACCTTTGGTCTGTACTATAATGCCAGGCCGTATGTGGTATGTGGTAAGTGGTATGTGGTAATCGCGGCTGAACAATATTCATTTTGTTAGCTAATTGATTGGTATCGTCCCTGGTGATTTATACCACGTACCTGACCGTTTATACGTCCTATCTATATTACACATGGTAGTGTTACGAGGCAAGCCATTTACGTCCTTCCACGGTTCGCCTGAGCCAGTATCTCGGCGACATCCTCAACTTCCTTCCCTCTTTGTCTTTGCCCGATTTTCTCTTCTCCCAACACCGTCTCCTCTGCAACGCGTCTGTAGATCTCTGCAAAGGAGTCGAAAACATCGCTTCCAAGCCCACCCCAATGTCCCTCGGAATCAAACGCTTCGCCAATTGCGCGCATCTCTTCGACCCATCTGTACGCTTTGGGAGGCATCGCTACTGCTCCATTTGTAGCTAGCGCGCCCGTCTTGGGCGAGTACTCGTTGAGATGTTGCAGCAGCTCGGGTAAGACTCCCTCGGATTGTGCGGTTGTGAATGACAATAGCGACAGAGCGGTGAGGCCCTTGGTGAGTGATGCAAAGGACAGTTTGAGCGCGGATGCAGAGCCGATTTTGGGGCCGACTATCTTCATGTTGAGTGTTGAAAGTAGTGATGGAAACGTAGATGGTAGACCCTCCACAGGACCCGAGATGACAATACTAGGTCTCTTCCATTTCTGATCAGTCTCGGTGTACACCGGAGGACCGCCTATGATCCCCCCATCTAGGAATTGGACAGTCGCTTCTTTCTGTTCAGGTACTGAGAGGCTAGCAAATAAATCGTCAATCTCCCGCATGAGTCGGGGAGCAGTTGCATTCAAATCGAAAAAGTAAACTTTCGGCGAGCCGCTCGCGCGTAGTTGTGCCCTCTTGGAAAGAGTGTCTGGTAGTTGCAACGCTTCAAAAATCCGTCGCGCTGTCGCTAGAGAATCTCGCGGCGGCACCACGGACAAGATGTAATCAGACTGAATTACAAGATCTTGGTCTGTGGGCAGCGCTTCAATGGAGGCTGCTTTGATGCGGTCTAGAGTATCTTGACTGGTTCAATCAGCTATTTGTCACATCGGTGGATACATGAATATACATACCTCCTCCCAGCTCCAACGGTAACAATTCGATACGCATTCGCTTTCAATAACCGCGCAATTCCCATCCCCATGTCCCCGATCGAGAGTATACCCACCGACACCGTCATCGTATCCGGGATTGCGCAAATAATAATTAGCAAGTCTGTAATATTATGACAGTATGAAACAGTCGAGACTGGACAGGATGATAATCCTTGCGGGCAAACCTAGAAGATGCGTGTATTGATTCATGCGGGGTACTGAATAGAACATTAAAGAAAAGATAGACTAATCGGCTGCTTACATGCCTGCGTGCTAGTACGACACTCTAACGATTCTCTACTGCTGTACGACATACGACATACTATGGTATTGGCTAGTGATAAGATGATCCCGTTAACGGTAATTCCGTGTATCGTGCCTAATCGATCAGTGTGGCGAAAATGCCCTTAATCATGCATGGAGGCAGATAGCCCTACGATAGCTATGTGAGAGGTCCAAACACCCTTTAGGTGCGTGCTTGGTATCGAGAACATTGCAATTATGCGCGATACTGGTGTATGCCCATCTTGTAAATAACTTGATAATGCATCAAAATCAAGGCGTGGATCATCCATCAACGTCCTCGTTACATATATCCTACGCTCTCTCCACCTAACTCCCCTGTTGGCATAAATAATCTTTGTGTTGTTTCTGCCATACGTTTCCGCCTTTGTATCAGATTGCTACATACACAAAGGCAGGTTTGATGTTTGATACAACTCTTTGACTAAATTGCAGCATGTGAGAGTTGCAAGAAATTGATATTATTAGAAAGGAAGTATTGGTATGTGGCCCACAAGCATAAATAGGTAGGGTTTCCCACAGCTAGTACAGAAATTAGTTAGATAATACAATCATGCAATATTTCTTCCCTTCTTACAAAACTTTCCACGTCAACATCCCCTAATCTCAACCCGCATTCGACACCTCCACATCCATGGATATATTTACGACCCCATTTGTCCTCTACAAACCTTGAGTCTCACAAGTCAATTCGATTTATTCACGCAATGCACGAGTCTCTAAGCGGCTTGTTATTGCACAGATTTTTCTTGATGTAAGAAGAGGAACTCGCAAGCCTGATCGACAAGTCTGGAAGGCACTTCATCTAGAAGAAAAATCTCAAACAATGCCTTAATCCGATCGACATACTATGGCATTGTTTGGTGATCAGCCACCATTCGACGATCCTGTGCGTTGCCTAATTGAGCAGGTGGTGTGACGAAATAGCCCTAATCACTCGTGGACGACATCCATCCAGTCCTTAAGGATGCCTCATTAGAAAAATTGTACATGAGGAACCTCGAGAAAAACTTAAGTTCGATAGAAAGAGGATGGAGAGGAGAAAGTAGAAATAATTTTAGTGTTGAAGACAATAGTATACGCATACTAATTTTGCCCCTTTTCGAGCACCTAAATCGAGATTCCTGGACTGTCTTCAATTTTTATAGATTGGAACTTAGATTCCGCATAAGGAGTGACCAATTAAATACTGCTCTAATATGAAATCGAACCGGGTTCATTTTCTAAGTTTACAGTTCTTTGTTCGCATTTATATGTCAAAAATGGTCGAAAGTTAGTTTGACTCGCCACTATCATCATCGACTCAGCTAGAATCAAAAGACGCTTTGAAACATGTTCCCTTTCTTTGAATGAATGACTTTTCTGGATATATATATCCTGTCAATTAATTTTCATTGTTTGACTCGATTACTTCCGTCCTGAAGACCAAGACCTTTGCAACCTCAACTGTCAACTACTTGAAAATGTTTACAACGCAGGAGCCTTCAAACCGCGACTTATCAATGATGAATAGCGAGGTATTGCCTTTAAAATACCACCGAAATCTTTGTGATGAACGAAACAAGTGCAGGAGTGGCCCCTCCACCGCCCGGTGTCACACCGGATATCAATTCTCGTCCATGGCTACTCAACGCGAATCGAGTCGCAGTCGGAGTGGGCGTGACGCTTTGTACGTTGTCGCTCTTGATGCGACTGTATACCAAGGTGTGTATAAGTCGAAAATTTTGGTGGGATGATGGTTAGTTTTCACCAATTACGCTGAGATGGACTTCTACGTTGACTGGTCGCCTCTAGTGTTGATCATCTTTGCTTGGGTATGTGAAGAATGTGTCGGGAAAACAGCGACGACAACAGTAGTGACTAAATAGAGAAAAGGCATTCGTTATCGGGGCTCAAGCAATCATTCTATGTAAGAGCTCTGTCAGCAGCATCATGACCCTCACTAATCTCGTGGATATAGATGGCTATGCCAACGCAGGATTCGCAATCCATATCTGGAACATGACAGTACCTATTCTCGGTGCTTATCGAAAGGTATCATCCAGCCAGCCTCATTATAAGTGGAGACCTTCTCTGAAATAAAAATCAGACCCTCCTTGCATTGGCCGTTATATACGTCGTGGCGCTTGCACTCGCCAAACTAGCCATAATCATGCTCTACTATCGCCTCCTCAAATCATTACGTACGTGGAAATACGTCCTCTGGGTTCTCGCCGGCTGCATCTGTATCTCTAGCACAGCTCTGGTGTTGGCTGTCATCCTTGCCTGTCACCCGATCCAGGAAGGATGGAGTGACAGTCTATCAAACACGAATGCCTGCAGTCGCCGACCTGGTATCCAGCTCGGAACGGCGATCGCGAATGTGGTCAGCGATGTGATGCTGATACTGGTCCCGATTGCGTCCTTGTGGAGACTACATATTCCATGGTTACAGAAGATTGGGGTTATATGTTTGTGTGGGATTGGCTGTTTGTTAGTCCATGTTCAATTTGTTCTATGCCTTTGAGGAATATTACTAACAATTTTGGCGCGTTCTGTTAGTACTGTGATCATCAGCATTGCCCGATTAGTAACTTTGATCCCCTTTTCCGAGTCAAATGATCAACCGCACCAGCTTGGTCTCACATGTCTTCTCATGTCAGTGAGAACGTGCTACCCAATCACTTCCCCCTCTTCTAATTTATCAATTCACTAACTCAATTTAAATCCACAGAGTCATAGAGCTCAACCTCGTCATCCTATGCGGCTCTCTTTCCTACCTTCGCCAATTCCTACGCTACCATGCTCCATGCCTAATGCGCAGAGACGACCATCTGGGGCACCACATTATCCTCTCAGCGCACTCATTACCTCATGCAAGAACACCTAAGCTGAGGCCCGTTACATTGGAGATGGTACAACAAAACGATGTCGAGCTGGCCACGAATGATTTTTGTGATACTCATAATCCGGGGTCCTTGGAATTTCATGATGAGTGGATAAGGGATGCTTAAACACGCCAATATGCGGTTATAAGTTCAAATGTCCAAGAAGAGCATTAATTACAGATCGACATCCTGTGCTGGCTGCTTCGGCTGATTGAATTGCATGAAAGAGATTTCTAAACTACAGTACTGTTGCACCTGAGAACTAGGTTTCATTCAAATCATTATGGCATCAAATGATTTGTATATTATTTGTTTAAATCCATGTGATCACATCGAGGTATCTCGATACCAGGCCTTACCTCCGCGTGTTCACATGGGGTCCTGGGGTAAGTAGACAACATAGTTTACCAAAAGCCGACCCAACTAGTGTACGATTAGTCGACGCGTACTATTTTTATAAGAAATAGTCACCTATGCATTTGCTCAGTTATCAGGCTGATTCGCATGTGAAAGGTGTTGAGGTGGTCTCCGATATTGTTGGGGTAGCGCCGATGATTGGTGGCAGGTTCGAAGGATGATAGATCCGCATATCCTCAACGGTAATAATCAAGCTATAATCTCGATTGAAAGGCCAGAACTCATTTCAGTCAGTAAAGCCGAAACCCTCCCCCGCATATTCTCCTTCTGCCGGGTACGTCGCCCATGAAGACGCGAATTCGGCTGGATGATTATACACCCATGCATTCGATGCGTTTCCCATGTTTCCATAACCATGTTCCGCGCCAGCGAAATGTGCATGACCTAGAGAATGCGGCAAAAACGACGGATTGGACGGTTCCTGCATACCTGCAGCGACAAACGAGCTAATCTCAACCGAATCCTGAATACTATTTTTGGCATTCGACGATGAAATCAAATGCTCTATCCTCGCAAACAGGTCTCGCGCGACACTAGCCGCACTACAGGCTATACCGAGATATTTCCCGATAATATCAAAGACATCGATGGCGGTAATCAGTGCGTCCTTGGCTGGCATCGTTAGTGGTCCGTTCGGAAACGCGAATATGAACCCTATCAATGTGATGGTAGCGTTCCATTGCCATTGAAATGTTTCATGAAATCCCGCTAGAAAGTTCGACTCTTTCAATACTTGGTATACTATATTCGTTATCGTGATGGCATGATTCACACTCAAAACGGCATTCCCATGGGCAAGCGGCGTGTTGTTGTTGTTGTTCTGCGGGAAAGAACCGAAGCAGATAAAAGCGCGATATACGTTCATGGAGAGAGTGTGGAATAGCAATTCGAGGAACAGTCGTTGCCGGCTCATGCCTAGTGGTATACTCTCCTTAAGATTGAGCGCTGATCGATCTGTTGATAGTGGTTGGCCGCTGTTGAGTCGCTTCGTTTTTAATGGTTCTGGCAGGTCTTGTCGCCATGTATGAAAATTCAGTGCGGCTGCTGATGTGACTGCCTCTGCTACCATTTCTAGTGCTGCAGGGTTGTCGTAGATGCTATTACTGCTGCTGTCTTGGCCAAGGGCTTCGGAGCATTTTCTCTGAAATGTGGCATAGACCGTTCGGCCAGCGAGCATGAGCTGAATAAAATGTTTGTTTGCCGTAAACCGGTTTGTGCCCTGATGCGTATACGGGTCTTCTTGATGACGATCAGGAGGGGGACAGGGGATCTGCGACATGGTCACCGCCAGCGGCCGACCAAGATCTAGCGTCATCTTGAGTTCTAACGCGTACACCGTCCACCATAATCTCTTGCGAAACTCGGCTTGTTGATCCGATACGCTTTCCGGCGGGTTCCAATGAAGACCTAGTATTATACCGGTCCGGACAGCCATTGCCAAATGACCATGAGCGGCGTTGTGGAAAGAGGCATTTGAGAGATATATCACAGAGAAGAAATGGCATTGTAGTGTCGTGATGGACGGTCCTTCGAGCTCGTCCGTTAGTAAGAGTTGACAGCGCCGATAGAACTTCCGGCCTGTGATGGCCGCGTCGATATTGACGATTCCCTCTATACTATTTCGCATCGCTGCATAGTCACGGGGCATGAGTGCGTCAGCGTACTGCATTGACAAAGCAAGTACAATATCGACAAGCGGAGATGACTCTCTCAACGTTGGTGACGTCCACAATGACTGGTAGTGTTGCATGAATCCGGCATGATCTATAACCGGATAATAGACATTGTAAGACGGGAAGAATAAGTGTAGGAAATATTCTTCCTGGGCTTTTGACAAATATACTTCTGTCAGCGACACATCTGAATTTAGGGAGTTCTTTAACGACTGTGCTTCTGGGTACATTTGCATCAGTCCGTCGGGTGTAAGCTGATTAGGAGATATGCCAAGATAAGAGCTCAGGCGGCCAATGAAATAGAATGAAGATGAGCGGCCGTAACAATGTCGCTGCTCAGGATGAGCAGTTTGTACATGAATGGACTCTAAGTGTTTTCCGCGCCGTCCGCTATATAATGACATCTGATTCAAATGCGGAGACACAGATGGCATCGGCTCAGTCTTGACTTTCGCCTCATGACTTTCGCGGCTGGGATCGTCATCAACAGCAATATCGCCATCATCCTGAATGTTGGACTTTGCTATCTCAACCTGCTTCTCAAGATCTCTGATCCGATCCTGCAGGACCGCAATGCGACTATGCCCGCATTAGCATCCCAACACTTTCAACGTTTGAAAAGAAGAGAAAAGAAAATACCTAATAGCCTCGTTACAATTCTGCGCCGCATTCGCGCCTCTGATATTACAGGTCCGCCCTTTAGCCTGACAGTTCTTGCATGGATAGCGGCTGTCGCATTTGATGCGGAGACTGCGACACCAATCACATGCCCTAGAGACTTGCTGTCTTTTCGGAAGGGGCTTTGATATAGGCTCTGTGAAGATGAATTGAGATTGTTTCTTGGGAGCAGGAGATGATGATGTCGTTGGTTTCATTTTCGCTTCGCTTCGGCGAGGGCGCTTGGACATTAGCCGACGGAGTGCCCACCCATCAGCTCAGTGAGAATCAAGATAACACTAAGGACATGATGAGTCTATCTTATATGGCAGGAGATAAATGCGAATCATCGTCTCAATATGCAGAGATATGTATGTAGAAAGGAAAGATGTTTGGACAAAGTTACTCTTCTTAGTGTGTCTTGAACTTCAAGTGATTTACGACCTCTGATTGGCTACTGACTACTGGCGCACGCACTCCGACAGAAACCTAAACACACGTGCAGTAAGTTCCATGACTAATATTGTCGCAAGATTGTTTGCATTGATGACTCTTCTTATTGGATCTGGGCTATGTACTAAGAGAGTCGAGACATTGATATGTGAAAGTGTACATTTGTGATAGTAGACTCGCATGTTCTTTCAAGGCAGGTTGTTTGCTTGCTTGGTGCAAGGCATCGTGCGGGTGACTGTAGTTCGGTGCATTGGCCAATGATAGCAATCCAAAAAACAGTGCCCATTGCGATCCATGGTAAATGCGGTGATTTCATTCGTTAGACCGGTATTCGGTCGCTTTCAGTTGATGCTTCATGGACTGTTAATGGTGCAGTTCGAGACGACTTAGTCGTTCAAGGCCTGCATAGCGAGCCGTTTGGGATTTCTGAGCCCATGCGGAACCCCCGTTGCTAGTCGAGTACTTGCATTGAGCCGTGGAGTAGGAAAGATAGTGAACGACTCTTGTTATTCAGCCGTTATTGTTCCACATGTACTCATGTAGCACGTCATTGGCCATATTCTGATCGTACTTTCCTTGCATAGAAATGTTGCCCATAAAATCAGGCACGGCCTCCTGTCCCCAGAATTCGTCCGGCACCGGTGCCGTCATATATGACGGGAAATCATATTGGTACAGATTGTTATACATCTGCGAGTATGCATTTGTCATTTGTATGTCTGGGTCTGACATGGGGATCATGTATGGCAAGGCACCGTCCTGTAGAAACACATTCCCGAATCCCGCCGGAAAGGTCCCATCAGCGACTGGATCGCTAGAGAATGGTACTGACGAAGCGAGGTCAGGGCCTACAATATCGTTCGCCTGCTCAATGACAGGCGCCGTTTGCTCTCTTGGCACCGATGAGACTGTTTCTCCCTTTCTCCTATTTCCGGCTGAAATATTGACCTCTTTCAATGCTTTATCGATTATTTTTTTCGCCGTACGCTCGATGATCGCGCTCATCCTAGCCATGAACTTGACCGATTTAGAACGTCCGTGCATCGAAGCCAGCGTGGAAAAATAATTCGTTGCAAGATTTAACATGCCTAGATTTTCTTCAATGGACCCGGTTTCAGGCATGAGAGGCTCCTCGACGATATGCGTGAACAAAATCGATGATGCGTAGAAAAGGAAATCCAAAAGTGCCCTAATCTTGAATGAGCCTATTGAAACAAACGCAAAATTGAAACGTGACTCACCAACTGAATCCAACATCCCTCCATGGTAGTCGATCTAGCAATTTCAAAGAGTCTCGTGCAGCATGCAAACATATCAAGCTGTGATGTCGAGAGGTCGCCGAAACGTGTTTAATTGCATCGCGCTTAGGATACGTTCGTTTCAGCCCAGCAATTTCAAACAATAGCGGCATGCGATTGATCAAAATGATTGAATTGAGGTAGCTTAATTTCTCGGAAATATGAGCGACAATCTTGACCTCCTCCTCTCTATTCAGGTCTGTCGAGTCTTTAGACTCGGGTGGCGTATACGAGAGACACGAGTAGTCTCGCTTCCATTCACGTAATTGGTCGCTTAACTTGCTGACCGTCTTGCAGACCTCGGGAAATGATTTGTAAAATGCTTTGGTAGCGTACAGCTCGCGGTAGATGGAAGAGACGAGAACGGCATGAGTGCACGATGAGCGGAACAACTTGATGCTCCACACACATCCGTTTTGAAGATCGTTAAAAGCCTGTGGATCTTCCCCAGGTAAGTCGACATCGGAGTCGTCCGGATGTTGCAAATATCCTCTCCCGGTCTTGATGCCAATTCTAGAGATTGTGAGCATGAGTAACGACATAACGAACATGTTGGCTCACCCTTGATCCATGATAAAGATGCACCACCACACTCGCCTCCTAGTCTCTAAATCGGAAGCACTAATATTGGGGCTTAGATTTCGCCTGTGCAAACCTAAAGCTTGGGCCGACTTCATAGCAGCAGTAATTAGGGGAATTGCCAGCTGAAGATGGCCATTGACCCGGGCAAAGATTGCCTATCATTCATCGTTAGTAGAATTGCGGTACTCACAGATGGTGTCTTTTACTCACCATAACCAGCAGAGCCTGTATACCAAGAACATCATTAGGCCGCAAAGACAGCTCTGTATACACGGCGGCCGCATTTTTCCAATATAGCCAAGCTCTTTCTGTATCCTTTTCAGGACGCGGGCCACGGTCATCCTTGTATCTAAAGCTGAGAGCCAACAGAGCGTTGATACTCGCCCATCTACCGACATCAGTACACTTTTGCTGAGTATACTGCCACTCCACCATTTCCATGAACGTCTCCTCGTGAATAATGGGAAATATGCAGTTGATGGTGCTGAAATAGTTCCGCAGCAGAGAAAAAACTTCAGATCGAGGAGGGAGCGCCTTGTAAACCCGGCATTCAAACAGATCGGTGTATATGTTGACGGGTAAAGGTGAAAAGTTAATAGATGACCAGCAAGGCTGTTCTAGTAGGCCATGGGGAAAATCTTGCACGCCTGATTTCTCTCGAACAAATCGAATTCCTTCTTCGGACAGAATGTGGAAACTCGACGAAGAGCCTTACAACGTCAACTTTGACGTATATTCAGATCTTTAGATATCTTACCGAAAAATATGCCCTCTCGGCCTCGGCCTCTCTTTAGGATGACCGCTTGGCTAGGACTTTCAATGCTACCACTGGACGCAGACTGCGGAGTTGTAACCGATTCAAAACTCTTCCTTTCTTCCGGTGATGCCGATGAGTTATCACTGCTCAAGTGTTTACTGCTATCACAATCATCAACATCGGACTGGACCTCATCATCATCATCATCATCATCATCATCATCATCATCATCATCATCGACCGGTTCGCTATCAAGTACGCTTTTGCCAGGATCGATGCCAGCAGATCGCAGTATATCCTCCATTCGTCGAATATCGGCTTCTAAAGTTCTCGTTTTTTGTGATCTGCGCAAAATGTCCATCGTTTTAGCATGCGCTTATTCCATCACCATCATCACCATGCAGCCAGAACTTTAGGTACCTTTTCATGGACTCGACTTTGGTCTTTCTAGAACGACTACTACAATTTGTGCCGTGCATTAAACATTGCGTGCATACGGGAACAGCGACTTCAAAGATACATCGAGATCTCCTTTGGCGACAGGAATCGCAGATCTAATGATTGTGTCAGCGTCCCTCTATTCACCATTTGATAATAGAGCGATTTACTCCTCGGTGACCAGATTGCCTTGTTACTTTTGTATTGTCCTGCTCATTCCAATCATGACGGAGGTGCGATCGTGCCCCTACATGGGGGTCTTGGGTGTTGTTGCCGTACATTGTTGTTATTGTCGGGTTGTTTTCGTTTCCATTTGTTTGTCAACAATGTACCTCGGTCTGCCTTCCCTCACCGCCGCCGTCAGCACGCCTCACAGAAGTGTCTTTCTTTTTCGATCGTAAAATCGTGTACACGGTGCAATCGGACGCAAGTCGAACGGAGGTGGTATCCGGCAGGCGACGTTGAAGTTATTCCTGAAGGCACGTTTACTACGTAAGAGCAGAGCGAAGCGGCTGGAGTGGAGCAAACACCAAAGCGCAGCCTTAGAGCAGGTGCCACTTACAGTCTAGCGGGCTAAGAGGGTCGCACTAAAACCATTAGCCCGAGTTTAACAGCTTAATTCTCTGCATTATTAAGCGTACGTACGGCCTGATATCTCTCCGATCCTGTCGTCCTCCTTCACTTTCAGTCACTTTGAGAGAACAATGCTTTTCCTGACTGCGCCTCGCTCGTTTGATGAGTTTGCAACCGATCTTTGTTGCCGCGTGGACGTGGACAGCGACTTGCCTCTTCATGGGAGGGGACCACGGAGTCGGATATACACGCTATCTCCGATTCGATGGAGCTGAAGCCAGTCGCCTAATTGCAGCATCAGACCACGAGAAGCAAGAAGAAATATCGAGTCAGGAGATGTTCTGAGCCTCTCGATCATGGTCTCAACGACATCAGCGCTTTGTCTAGACTCTAGAGTGGCATAGCTTGGTGGTACATACTGGTCACTTTGCTGCGGATCCATTGAAGTTCCGGGTTCCGGACCATATTAATCCCAAAATGGTTAGCGTGTATTACTAGATCTACAAACCCTACTATGTAGGTCTGGGTAGTCCACGAGTAACCATGCAACTTATGTACGTATGTCGCTCAGTAGTATAAGCTTCTAGACGTCTGATGATATACTGAGTACTGAAAATTAGCACCTGCCAGGCGCGAATTACGATTGTGGTAGCGTTACTACTACTGCTAGATCGAAGACAAAAGAATATACATATGTATTACCTAGTAGTGTATCCCCATGCTCCGGACTCCGATGATGTACTATACCGCATAAGGCTTAGTTTACGCGATATCAACATCCATGGGTTCCAACGCGGATATATCATACCAATTCCTTCTAGAAACGACCCATTCGCATGCATTTTTATGCGTGCGTGTACCTTTACTCTACGTAGATGTACCATTGCATTATCAATACGCACATAGCCGCGTTCGTCCTACTCTTTCGCCTCACACTACACATATAGTAAATGAGAGGGATTCGTGGATATCAATGGTCCGTGCTGATCAGCGGAGATCCGCGTTTGTCGGAGGAATGCTTATACGACGTATCCGAGGTCCTAATTTCCTCCTTCGGATACTCAGCTAGCGTGCTTGGCCAGCTTCCTGCCCGCGATCCTGGCTAAAGGGGATGTGATATTAAAATTAATTGGTGCTACGTAAGATTCAAGATCTACTTGACAATAACTATGTGCATTTGGGTTGCCCTGTGAAGATGAATGAAACGGACAAATAAACAATACTCATTGTTTTTTAAAAATTAATTGCTCGCTTAACAGATGCGCCGTCATAAACCTGCTCCGGGGTAGTCCGATAACAATACACAACACTCCTAGGAAAACACTTTCAACGCCAGTTCTTGTACTGATTTGCCCCAACTGCCCTGTCCTAGATCAACCGCAAGACCAGAAGTCGCGTCAGCTCCTTTGCCTTTGTAGCCCAACTTTCGTAAAATGACATCTCGCATTTGTGCGTCGGACAGGGTCTTCTTCCGCGAGCCTTCTTCAGAAAAACCGTATACCTTGCTTACAGCAACATCCGTATACAATCGCAACTGCTCAACAACGACGTCAGAATCGGTTTCCTTCACACCATCCACTCTAGGCATCAGTCGAAAGTCAACGTCAATTCGAGCCTGTTTCGGTCCTTCTCCAGGATCAAACGTTCCGATGAGGATACATCTGGCGCGTGAAATCACACCGACATCGGTAGTATCTGTAACTGCAGTCTTGGTGACACCATGAAAGTTGAGGGCGCGAGTCTCTTCTTCGATCCGGTATGTCAAGTCCCAAGCATTAGAGAGAAATCTGAAGACCTGACTCAGAGGAGTTGAAGGCGGTATCGCCTTGACTGCACTGAGTAGATGGGACAAGATAAGCGACTTTGCAGGCGGAAGACTATACTGCCCCCCTTTAGGTGAGTTATATGCAAGCTCAAAGGAGGCCGAGCTTTTGTCTTCGTTTGTCTCGACTGACTTGAACAACTTCGGGTAGAATTTCACCACGAGCTCGTCTTTGTACCTCAAAGTCATTCCAGGCCCTGAGGACTCTTGTGCATGCATAGCTGAGACAATAGMCCAGCCAGTCTGGACCTCCAACAATTGCACAGAATCTAGTAGAAAAATTAGTTTTACAAGGTTTATAGATGAACAAATAAGGCTTCACTTACCCTTGAGAGCATTCACCTCTTTGATACTCCAGCCCCTACACTCCTCTCGTACTCTTTCCGCTTCACGAATCTGCTCCAAGAACTCAGTCTTCAGCTCGGCCCCTGCTTCGATAGTGTCGTTCTTGTTTTGTAGATCTTCCTGCATTTCTTCCGATTCTCTCTTCTTGCGTTCAATCTCGGCTTCGACTTTGGCGAGACGTTCACGAGCCATTCGCAGTTCGTTCGGATCAATATTTTCCATCTCGTCTACAATTTCTTGCATTCTCGACGCCTCAGAGTCCAGCACGGTACGCTTTTCGACAAGCTGGGGGACGACGCTTTGCAAGATAGCCTCCTGTTCTGACAGCAGAGAGTCATCGGCACGCATCTCTTCTACGTGACGGTCTAACCCTTCCTTGAGCCCTTCAAGCAACTTCATTCGCCATTCATACCACATGGCCTTGCTGAGGAGTCTAGCGTGCGTTTTCACATTGCGGAATTGATTGTCCATAAGAAGTCGAATGTCGGGTCGAGCAGTCACATATTCGCGGAATAACGGAGGATTGTCTGCCAAGGTCTCTTCTTCAATAGAGTGAATTATTTGACGCCCCTCAGAAATATATGACTTCAGTTCGCGGCATGACTAGGCAGTGTAAACTCAGTAATTGTTTCATGGTGCTCGCGTAGAAGAAAATACTCACATGCTGATACAGTTCAAGCATTGGTACAGTGCAGAAGCCTGCTGCAACACAATCCTCCAAGCTGATGCTTCCTTTTTCTACTGAACGAGAACCTGCGCGGTCGGCCATCCTATCATTCCCTGCAACGGTAGTATGCCTTCGTTTAGTAGTGGTCAGTTCCATAAAATGGATGTTGGTTAGATTCAAGAAATCCTGCAGCTGAATAGGCTCCCAATCGGAATCTTCGCCAGCGGCGTCGTGAGCTTCATCAATGATAGGTTCTCCTTCCATTTCCTGTTCTTGCGTCACTTCATCCTGTCCGTGCAAACTTCCAGCAGGACTCTTGAGCTTCAGTGGACTTTCCATCCTAGTAGGAGGTGGTCCTCGTGGAGTAAAGCTACCTTGTTTGACAGGCGAAAGTTCGAAAGACTTGCCCATTGAACCACGAGTCATACGGCGCACCGTCTCATCTTTAGATGGAGGCGCAGGAAGTTTGATCGGCTTGACAGGGCTCTCATTAGCGGCACGTATTCGTTTAGGGGATTCATCTTCCTCGTCGTCATCAAGCTCAGCTGGACGCTTTCCCAATAGGCCCCTCGCGGCACCAACATGCAAGCTCTTTCGGGCCTTTCTCTTCTTGGGCGTCAAGCTTGATATGAGGTCTCTCAAATTTGACGTAGGATCTAGATCGGATACCTGTAGGGCGGATGAGTTTCTTTCTTCTCTTTGTTCCTCTTCCTCCCTCTCTCGGTCGACTTCCTTGTGAATCCTGATAGGATCTTCAAAGCGAATTCGCTTGGGTGATTGCTCCTGGGGAACGAATTCCTGCGCATCTTCGCCTATCGAGCGTCGACGATCAAGTATTTCAGCTACTTTTGGAGAACCGAGGCCTTCTTTATCAATGCCTAGTCCGGAAGACTGCCTTGGATGGGGTCGTAAAATAAAAGCTGGAGTTGAGTCTCCATTTGCACTGGCTTCAAAAAGGCTTCGACGTCCGGGCGATTGTGACCTCGATGCTGACGCTTTGATCTCTGCCCGAAAAAGCTTCTTGGGAGATGCGCTTCTGAACGATCTATTGCTAGAGGGTGGGGTTTTTCCAGGAGTCGTGGGACGAGGGGGCTGAGGTGTCGCTTGCTTTGACGGCGTGCGAGGCTTGTTCTTGTTAGGGGTGACTTGTCGTGATGGTGACAGGTGGATCCCAGGCGATGCAGAACCTTTCCTTGTGCGACGTGAACGAACACTAGCAAGGCTAGGACTTCCAGTTTCAGAGGCGATCGGAGCGATGTGATGGGCCGGTAAGGGTTTGGGAGGAGATACTGGCACCTGAACTTGAAAAGGCGAACTAGCCAGCTGCCCAGAGTCGGACTCCAATTCCATAAGCTGTTTCGCCTGAGCTTTGTCGGAGGTAGCTAGTCCCGGCGGAAGAATTCTACCTACTGCTGCAGTGATATCCATACCAGCAGTATGTCCGTCTTGAGATCCTGTTCTCTCCTCCATGATAGGTGACAAGATCCCCCCAACCGCGCCAGTAAATTCCATATCCATTCCTGCATCATCTTCTCCATCATCACTGCCCCATTCAGAGAAATCGCGACTGGCGTCCTCCCGACCTTGGGGCTCGGCAACTATACCGTCGCTGGATTTTCCGGTGCTGGGTACATGCTTGCTAAGGACTCCACCAACAACAGACGTAAACTCCATTGTCATTTCTTCGTTCTCTTCCATGTTGCTGTCAATGTCTGATTTTGCAGGTGATTGCTGCTGTTCGATGCCCCCAACAACTTTGGTCAGCTCCATCGTTTGCTCATCGTAATTTGTCTGCTCGCTTATCGATTTTCTAGGGTTTCGGCTGTTCTGAGAGTTGCCGAGAATTTGCCCGACAGCAGTCGTAATCTCCATGCTCAGCTCCTCATTATAATTCTCCTCAATGTCATCACTTGCATTATCGTGTTCGTAAGGATTTAGTTGTGGATATGAGATGACATTCTCTTGGTCGTGAATCGCGCTCATATCTTCCATATCAAAGCTTATTCTTTGTCCCTTTTGAATCCACGGCTTGAATGCACCGGTTATTTCTTGGTCCGCGATTTCCATCGACACATCATCATCCTCTTCAATACCGGCGCCTGAGGTCCCAGCTTCTCGTGCTGCTTGTCGCAACGCTTCATTCAAGCGCTCACTTGAACTCGTAGCATCATCCATAGGCGCTGTGCCACTCGTCCGAGCGGTAATTTCATCTAAACTCATTGCTGTACTTTCGGCATCAAAATCCTCGCTATCAGAGTCTGCATCATCCACATCCTTGACCGGGCTCTGCGTGCCATCACTGCCGCCAACAGAGCTACCACTAAATGGGCTTGAGGATAATTCGCTGGGTTGTTGATGTAGTCCAGGTTGTATGGGGGAGAACGCAGCATCCGGATCTTCCTCTTCTGCTTCTTCTGCTACTTCTGCTTTCGGTGCTTCAGTAGGTGCCTGGTTGGTAGAGTTTACCGAGGAGGATGCACGTCTGGTCGAATTGGCGGCAGATGACGATGTTGAGTCTTCTATAAGTTCTACAACATTCCATGTATGTAGTGTAGCTTCCGGCGCGAACGACACTCTGCGACTAGCTAGTAAATGTCAGTCACAACACTCGCCAACGCAGTAACCATCACTCACCCATAGATTTCCGACGAGCTGCTCGCTGTTCCAGAATCGCCTTCTTCTCGCGCTCCTTTCGTTCTTTTTCCTCCCGTTCTTTCGCATCACGAATGGCCGACGAAGCATTGAATCCGTCGAATGGGTTGTCTAGTTGTTCTGTTCCCGTCACAGGGGCTTTCGCTGGTGTAGAGAAATCGATCAGCATCCCCTCGTCAGCTTGCGATGATTTCGCCGCGTCTTTCTGTCGGCGCGACTCGTCAAACGCTGGGATGTTACGGATCGGTGATACCGGTATGGTCGGCTTGAGAATGGATTTGAGAGGAATTGCCATGGTAGACTGAAGTATTCACATGTTAGTAAGTCGTACCAAAACTACTTTGCTCATGGTGTGAGGATTGATGCGCCTTCGTACCTTTCGTCGATTGCCACTCATTGACTGAAGGGCGTCTAAACCTCCAGGCCCCAGACTCTTACTACGAGACTTCTTGTCCCTCGTCGGACCTCTTCCTTCGGTAGCGAATCGCTTCATTGCGGCAATATCGGTTGTAACATTTTCTTGGTCCATGCCCCTCTGCACATGGGCTATTGAGCGACGAGAGCGTGGACGCACGCTCCCCGCCTGGTCGCGCGACGCCATTGTTGCTGCGGTGAAAATGAATACTCGGAGTATCAGTATAATGACATACTTTGTTTGTTGATATCCTCTCCTGAGTCGCGTGACTGAAGTGGCTGCGAGATAGTGGTTGCATCAACAGCGAACTTGAATGTATACAAAGCAGGCGCGTCTGGAAGCAACGGCGCTGACCGCCTTCGGAGACCCGCGCCTGCCCGCTCTGATGTAAACAAACTCCCAAAATGGCTAAAAGCCCTAGCCGAAGTACGCTATTCTTTATCTGGCTTAGCGCCCCCATCGCACACTTCCCACACTGAATATCCGAAAAGGTGACCCTACCAAATCGTCTGGGCTCCGCACAAAATCTTCCTTCAATTTCGACATCCCTCGCGACGACACTCACCCGACTCGACAACTCCCGAAATTCAACAGTGTCGGACTGAATTATCGCAACCATGGCGACCGAGTTGACCGTCCAGTCTGAGCGCGCTTTCCAGAAGCAGCCTCACATTTTCGCCAACGGCAAGACCAAGGCCAAGAGCAAGAGAGTTGGAAAGGGTGGCCGAAGATGGTACAAGGACGTCGGTCTTGGTTTCCGTACCCCCAAGAACGCCATTGAGGGCAGCTACATTGGTATGAACGAACTCGACAAGATTTCTACGTGGAGAATTGGGGGTTTGGGTGTTGAAAGGGAGTCTTGAATCCGTGGTCTACACAAAGGAATACATGAGATTTTGAGTATTTGAAAAAGGCGGAATTACAAATATACGGTCACTTCAAATCACTACTCTTCATCTCAAAAAGTCGCCAATTTGTGTTGGAAGCAGATATTCAAGATTTTCATCGGACCTACCAACTCTCATGAATTCACGTTATTCTGATACAGCGAATACTAACCACAACTCTACAGACAAGAAGTGCCCCTTCACTGGTCTCGTCTCCATCCGTGGTCGTATCTTGACCGGTACCGTTGTTTCCACCAAGATGCACCGTACTCTCATTATCCGCCGTGAATATCTCCACTACGTCCCCAAGTACGACCGTTACGAGAAGCGCCACAAGAACTTGGCCGCTCACGTTTCCCCTGCTTTCCGTGTTGAAGAAGGTGACCAGGTCACCGTTGGCCAGTGCCGTCCTCTCAGCAAGACTGTACGTGACCCTTTTGGAGTTTGGCTACTGTTGTCGAAATTGTCTTTTTCTCGGGCTTTTGACTGCACACAATAATTTCTTGCATCTCGAACCAGCAATTATCCGTTATAATCATACTAACATTGACATTTCAGGTCCGATTCAACGTCCTCCGTGTCCTCCCCCGCACTGGCAAGGCTGTCAAGGCTTTCAGCAAGTTCTAAAAAATCTTTTATAAATCCAACAATTGCGGTGTAATGGGTTTTTTTGTGGGGTATCTTTTTTCACGACCATCAATGCTAGGAAAACATGGAGGGAAAAAGAAGGGGAAATGAAATGGAAATAGGTAGCGGAGGAAGTTTGAGAAATTCGCTTCTTCATCGCATAGCTTGGCTACGAGAAACAAAATAGAATTCCCCCATTTTTCATCATTGTATGAATGGACATTTGGCGAACCACTTTCTGTGCTCAGGTGTTTCTTTTCCCTCTTTTTGCCCAAGAACTGTATTTCCAACCTATGATCGATTATCTGGTTGCTGGTATAAGTAAATGATCTTGTTCACATCTATGCATTCAACAATGAATTAGCAGTTCGTTGTTGTTCACCTTTTCTGCATCTTTCAGTAACTATTATTGAAGTTCGACAATGCTTGAAAGCACTATGTTGCAACTCCGCTCGACAGTGCGGAGGGAAATTACAGTACTATGATCCAGCTGTATGATGAAACTTGATCTTCTTCCATTGATGCTAGTTACGAAAGTATTGCTTAGAACAGGATATCGAGAGCCTGTTTTTGCGAAAGAAATACATGCTTTTTTGATCTTTTCCCAGCGACACGGAGAACGAAACTTGGCCAGGCGCTGTCCAGCATAACGAATGAAAATGGAGAATGACACAGAACTAGAACGAAAGCATTCTGATCCAGCTCCTCGAAGCTGACTGAGGCTATGGGTAACCAGGATTTAGAACAAATTCAAGGGAAAAACTCGAAGACTATATGTACCACTCATCCTAGGGCATGCACGAATAATGCTCCACTGCCAACCATCGGACGCCAGCTCAAAATCACTGGAGGGGAACCAGTCTCATCTATTGACTGCCGACTTGATGTAGTGAATCCCAAAAAGTTGGCCAGTCATAACCTAATACCCGGTTGATATGTGCGCGTTCTTGAGAGAAGCGATGGTGCGCGACTGGGGTTTGTGCGCTGATAGTTGATTCACTGCTCTGACTATAGCTCCTAGTATGGTTACTAGTAGGAGTTGTAGGCATTTCTGTTTTGATCTGCATAGTTTCCCCATCAACATCATCATTATCATCTGGAGAGCTCGAGGCGGGTAACACATTTTCAACGGACTCTGCGATGGGTGTAGTGAGGCGTTGCGTCTCAGGAACCATAACCCATGATTCAGATTCTGGTTTAAAGACTGATATTCTGCAGGTCGGTGTTGTCGTTGCAATCACTGGAGATGATCGATTGACTGTATCATGTTGATGGTCAAAGAATCCCTCAGCATCGTCGTCAATACTGAAACGGTCCATAGATTGTCTAATATCGTGTGCAACATCTTCCTGCTGTGGATAATCGACTATAACGTAGTCTTGAGAGTCAACATTATGGGCAACTTCCTGGGTAACATTATCAGAAGTACTTCTATCCTGGCTTTGAATGATTGTTTCCTGACTGTGAAACGTGTTCTCAGGCACATGAACAGGTGACGATGGCGCCATGGTGGTGTCAAATCCGTGTTTCACGCCTCGAGTAAATTCAGCCGTATCCTCCGCGACTGTAAATGACCAAGACATATTCAAGGACTTGGAAACATCTTCCAAGTAGACGGGGTGTAAACGAATGATGCGTAGGAACTTGCCAACAGTCTTTCCAATTGCAAAGTCACTCTCGAAGGTCTCCAATGCCAAACGGTTATGAAGTTGGCTTTTACAGTTTGGAGAGGCGGAGATGGTATCCAGCTGGAAAGCAGCTTTAATATCAGAATGCGAATTTGCGATCTGAATAAATTCGTCAGCCCTAATCGATGAGATAATCGCTGGTCGACAGATAGTTCCCCAGACAACATATTCCTTGGCTCCTCGGTAACCAGGCGTGTAGATGTTGTATTGCTTCATTAAATCCTTCATATAAAAGATATTTTGAGATTCGATCTGGGTTGAGTCAATAATTGAAACAATGGCGTTTTGGCCTCTGGTAAGCGCACGATGGACCGCTACAAGCGGGTCAGTCGACGTGGAGATAAATGGCGAAGGGATCTTGCGTGGCCTCACATGGATCTCCAACCATGTGGGAAATTCCTCAGCTCGTTCATCTGGAGTGGGAATATTTCCAATCTCATTAAGAAAAGCATTCGCGATATAGCCAGAGCGATGATTGATTCCCATGGAATCATCGTTCGAAAAACGCCAGAGTATGTTCGGCACTTGGGTGGGTCGAGTTGGTTGCTTTTTATTGCTAGCCAGAGCAAAAGATCTGATTCTTGAAACCACCTCTGTTGGAACTGGCATTTTTGACGTTATGTCTGTTGGGATCGCCTCGGAGGCTTGACTCGCTTGTGGTGTCTGGCTTGATGATATCAGGGTTGTTTGAGGATCTTGATCGATAATAGGACTGTGTAAGATGGTGTTCTGAAAAGGAGCCCCGGGTATCTCATTTATCCTGGTGTCTGATGACATTCGAGGAGTATGCAACAGTGGAATTACCGGACGTCCTTGAGGAGTCTGAACAAGGTCTCGTGCTCTTGCCACGAGGCCAATATGCAGAAATTGACAAGCATTTCTGATTATTTGCATGAAATGATGGTATATTGAGGGACCTTGGTCAAAGCTCACATCATAGTGCACCGCACGCCAATCTTTATGACCTCGTCTTCTCATATCTTCCCATTGAGTGTTGAGCGTTCTTGTAGGCAACCCATCAGGAAAGCCTTCAGCGCGGATTTTGTTGGCGTATATATGACTGAAGATCTTGGCAATCTCGTTGTACTTCAGATCAAAGAACCTTCTCGCGCAACACAGAACAAGTCGCTCTTCCTGCGTCCATCTATGTTGTGGACGTCTATACATGGGATTGATAGCAATAAGTCGAGGACGTGGAACCATATTGACAACGATAGCTCAAGAGGAAAATAGTACAAGAACGGGATTGACAGAACGGTTAGCTTGACAATCAAGCTTCAAGGAATGTCGGGGTTCTAGTATGAATTGGCTAGATGGGAGAGATGATGGAGAGAGCATTCGACAAAAGATGAGATGAGATGAGGCCTTCGAAGATGATCCTTCGTGGGAGCTAGGTGACTGGCAATTGATGATGAAATAATACTAGAGTAAGGAGGGGAGAGAAGGAAATTGGGAAAGAGAGGTGTGAGGATAAACAAGAAGAGGGGGAAGAGAGTTGAGAAAGTAGGAAGGTGGAATAGACGAAGAGGTGTCATGAGCAAATGAGCAAACGAAATGAGAGCCGGGCAGCAAGGAATCAAAGCCATTATGCCAGCCACTCCGAGCTCAGATCAAGGTGACTGTCACGAGTATTCACGCCCAGGTGACTATTCGAGCCACCAACCATGATCAGATCTCGGTCAATCCTTGGGTTCGTTGCACGTTCTGGTGAATATTCGAGAATATAGCAGTACAAAGGCTTATTGGTGAGATATCTATCAGCAGTAGTGACTTGATTTAAGCTTCTTATGGACATTTCTGAATTTGCTCAGGGGTAGGTAGCTAGGTACATGAGCCATCCTGCGTGATGACGTCCTGTTGAACAGGACAACGACATCCCACAGTAGATCAGGACAAGAGCCGAACGAGGATAAGATGGATCAATAATATCAACAAGTTAAACCACTGTTCACTTGGGAAACGTAGAGCCACACAAGTAGTCGATATGTACTAATCAATAAAATTTAGATAGTCCGGATAAGTTGAGAGCGGATGAAAGAGCGGACGCGGCGCCAAGAGATTTCGGAGGGTCGCAGATCCAACGGAGCATATCTCCAGCCAGCTACGTACCATCTTTAATTCAACTTCAGCTGATCCCTTCTCACCCGGCATTCGCAACCTCCTTCTGGCACACGAGCGACTCATACTATTGCGCTCTTTATTGTCGTCTGAACTTCGATTGCGATTTCAACCGATCGTTCCGCCGTACCTCTGGGCAGAGGGGCCGCCTCATCAATTACGACACGCCCAACGACGTATTCAGCCATGGCGGCTTGTGCTAGCCACTCAAGCTAAAATCCCACCTGTCTCGATCTTTATCCGACTTACAGAGTTGGACGTACGAATTGGGTATTTCGACAACTCTGCAATAAACATAATATACGCGTCGACTCTCCACTCCACCTTAAGGAGGCGTCTGAACAATGACACACAACTTCGAAAAGTCGGTCAAGGGGGCCACCAAGATCAAGGTACATCAAGCTCAACACCACTAGCATACTTCGTACAAGCTTTGTCTAATTGATTCATGTGCAGCTCGCGCCTCCGAAATCAAAGTACATCGAACACATCCTAGTAGCAACACGTAGCGGAGAGGCCGGCGTCGGTGAAATCTTTCGAACCTTACAATTCCGATTGCGCGATTCAACATGGACGATTGTTTTCAAGTCTCTTATTGTTCTGCATTTGATGATACGGGAAGGAGCAGAGAATGCGACACTTGAATATCTTGCAGATAATCCCCGCAAGGTCGCAATAAGCAGCTTTTCAGAAGGCAAGTCGGGCCGCGACCGAGGAGGGAGCGCTTATGTTACCGTGCTAACATCGGTGCAGTTCAAGCGCAAGGACATAATATCCGGCGATATTCGGATTACCTTATCACTCGCGCCAAAGCATTTGCCGATACCAAGATCGACCATGTACGAAGCGGGCAAGGCCGATTAAAGAAGTTGACCGTCAACAAGGGTTTGTTGAGAGAAACAGAAGTCGTGCAGAGGCAGATCAAGGCATTGCTCAAGTGTGACGTATGTCTATCCTCCGCTGATATCCTCGGGTTGTGTACTGACCGACTACCAGCTTCTAACGGACGAAGTCGAGAATGAGATCACGTTAACGGCATTCCGGCTTCTGACCATGGACTTGTTAGCTCTCTACTCCGTTATGAACGAAGGGACGATCAATGTGCTAGGTATTGGCTCAGCTTTCGTTGCAAAGTTCAATGCTAATGTTTGACTAGAACATTATTTTGAAATGTCCCGCCCTGATAGCGAGCGTGCCTTACAGATATATAAGACTTTCAGCGCCCAGACAGAGGAAGTGGTTAAATTCCTTGGTGTCGCTCGACACTTTGAATATGCTACGCGACTTGAAATTCCAAATCTCAAACATGCTTCAACGGATCTCACGCAATTACTCGAGGACGATTTGAAAGATCCAGATTTCGACCAGAGGCGCAGAGAGTATCAATTGCAAAGAGGCGTAAAGACAGCAGGTCGAGCTGGTCCCGGCTCCGCTGGCGGCAGGTCGCCCGTGTTGAGCAAAAGAGAACCCATTTCCAGTTCTTCTAACAGGCCTCAAACAGCACCAGCGCCTAAGACGGAGACCAAAGCTCCAGCACCAGATCTTATCGACTTTTTTGACAGCATTGAGCCTAAACAGCAACAGACCATGATCCCGCAGATACCTCAGCAACAAGCGCAGCCAAATTTCCAACAAGCCGGATTTGGGCAGCAAATGTTCCAGGCGCAACCAACTGGCTTTCCAAATCAACAGGGAATCTTTGCGCAGCCGGTGCAACCGGCGCAACCAGCTCAACCGGGTTTTATTCAGCAGCCGACTGGGTTTGCAGGGGGTTTCAATCAACCCAACACGAATCCGTTCAATCAGATGCAAGCGCAGCCTACACCACAGCAACTACAACCTCAAGCCACAGGAGCCGGATTTGGTGGATACGGACCTCAATCTTATGGCTTTCAGAATACGTTGTCAGCTATCCCGCAGGAAGGAGTTGCGATATTCCCTCAACAACAGCCGGTGGCGAATGGAATCCAGCCACAGACTACGAATCCCTTCCGAGCATCCATGTTGGTCACAAATCAAACTGGTACGGCCGGTGGCTTTAATCAGCCAGTACAAGTCACTCAACCATTGACTCGCCAAAACACCAATCCCTTCGCTAAAAGATTATCCACTCTTCCACTATCAAATCCCCCTCCAATGCCCTCATTCCAACCAACCCAACCTCCCGTACAGTCACTACAACCACAACGCACAGGAACCAATCCATTCGCAAAACAATCGCCATCTCCTCAACCCAACCCGCAGCAGCAAACCCTTCAACCTCTTCAACCCAACCCGACGGGCAGCACTAATCCCTTCCGTCAAAGCGCTTTCATCAACCAGCAGACAGGTCAGGGATGGCACGTCGGTGGACAACAGGGTACAATGGGTGGTCTTGAGCAGATGGGAACAGTGCCAAAGTTTCCTCGACCGGGAATGGCATAATCGCCTAGTTACCAAAAAGAAGTAGTACATAGTGGCGCCAGTTTTTTTCTTCAACATGATGGGATATTGAAAGCTAATTTGTTCTGTGTCGTCATCTGCTATTGATTAGCGCATGCATTTCATCGCTCCCTTCGCCATGTGTTTTTTTATTCTGTTTAATTTCTAATGTGTATACTTCATTGCTCTTCTCAGAGTATTTTAGACAAATACATACTTGCAACCGCCATCCATACTTCAGCGCTTATGCAATAGATAACCATGTTTCCCGTACATTATTCTTCAAGCCACTGCTCCCAAGGAACGACCACCGCGCCCTGCGCCTTCAACTCCTCTTCAACATCAGCCTCCAATTGCCTCGCACTCTTCCCAGCATCATCATAAGTTGAATGCGCTCCTTGCAAAAGAATCACGTTGAACCCCGCCGCGAGCGCGCCCAGCGATGTCTCGCGAACGCAGTATTCGCTCTGGATGCCACACATTACCAGTGTAGTGGTTCCCTGCGCACGGAGTTGGTCATTTAGGTCAGGGTTGGATTCGAATGTGTTACCTGATCGATTTGTCAGACATGTTTCATGAGGAAGGGTCGGACATACATGTATTTTTACTAATCAACCTCTCATTCCCCCGCGGCGAAAAGACAAGCTTCCAAGGCTCTGTGCCTCGCACCAGATCTCCAGACTCAGGACTCTCTTCGTGCTGTACGACGTATATGTCTGGTCCTCGTTCAGGTGAAGCATTTCCGCGCACAGTCTTGAGAATCGTTTCGGCGGCTTGCCGGATGCGAGATGCAGCTGGAATCTCGGTAGTGGAATTGGCAAGGCCGTTTTGGATGTCGATTACAAAGAGGGCGGTGCGAGACATTTTGATTATTTACATATCAACGATGTATGATCAGAGTGTCGTGCATTCATGAGCTTGAAGTTCTAAACATACAGGTATCTCCAGGCAACAATCGGATTTAGACGAATCACCTCATTACGTAAATGCGGAGTATACAACCCTAACGCCAATAGATCCGCCAGCCCTACAATTGATTCCTTTTGTTCATCATGCTAGAATAGAGTACAGAACATAGCATATCATGTTATATCTCGGAATTGGTATTCAAATCGATCAACTGGCATCGAGGAGATGCCTCACGGCTATACCTTCCTATCTAGGCAGGTGATACGCCTATGATAAGGTTGGCGATTTGCGGAGAACCTTCATCGTCCTTCAAATTCGTGTATAATTACTCTCTCATCTCCTCTTCAAATCTGAAGTAAACAATCTGTGGTTTCTGATCAAAATGTCGGAAATGCCCAAAACATGGCTCATCGTCGGCGCTTCTCGCGGCATTGGTCTCGAGTTTGTCCGCCAGATTGTCGCTCTTGGTCACCATGTCATTGCGACAGTACGCAATCCAAACTCAGATATTGATACGCTGGTACAAAGTGCGCCAGGAAAAGTACGGGTTTTGACGTGTGATGTTTCTCGTGAGGAGAGTATCAATGTATGCTTCTTATCTGTGTGGACAAATGAAAGAAATGATAGACTGAAAGCACCGGGGTAGAGCTTTATTGAGCAGTTCGTTCAGACCGAAGAACGAAAGATAGATTATGCGGTCATCAATGCTGGTGTATTGAAATATCCGAATGTAAGATTCTTCCTGCCTTTGATTAATACCTAATCATCGAACTAATCCATTTCAGCGAACCCTTGAGATGTAAGGCTCGTCATCTTCAAGATCGGTCATGGACGAGTCTGACTAGGTGTATAGGACATTTAGTCACTTTGCAACCCACCTCCACACGAACACCATTGGTCCCATAATCGTAGCGCAGAAACTGCTACAACTCAGCAATGTTGCCATTAGCACCGTGGCTTTTATGTCGAGCGACTCGGGCTCGACGACGCGATTTCTTGCTTTTGAGGATGGGTGGGCATTAACCCTTTCTTTGTTGAACCAAAAGAACAAGTATCATACTGATTGTAATAGATTTGCTGCATATTCCGCATCGAAAGCGGGCCTAAATCAAGCTCTGCGGGTATGTCAAATACCCCTTCAGACTATATGCGATCGAATCGGCTAATATATGATAAGCACATGGCCGAGGAATTAAAACGCAAAAAAAGCAAAACAGTTATAATAGCATTGCATCCGGGAGAGGTGTTGACGTAAGTATTCTTCGACTGGCTACTAAGGTAGAAGGACACATGCAATGGATGCTAAAGGCTTGCAACAGGGACATGAGCAAAATCGATATTGCCTGGGAGATCGACGGCGGACAAATAACGGCTGAAGAGTCGGTGGTTGCCATGATCGATGTGATACAGAGCAAAAGTATTGAACATACCGGGACATTTTGGACGTGGAAGAATGAGGTTAGTTCAATGTTGGACTGTCGGCAAAAACGCTGGTTGGTTCACTGACAATACTTGTGCAGGAATACCCGTGGTGATTATATTTTACTGCTGTGAAACCATTAATTTCTACGGCGGGAGATATAGCACATATCAAGTATAGACTGTAACGGTAGATGTAGATGCATATTTTTAGCATCTCAAACATTCAGCATCTTTGGTGCAATGATGAAGCATCAGTATGATTGGTCGACGTGGCAATTTGAACCCTGTTTCATAATGCTGATTTTCTACATACATAGTACGTACTCCGTAGTATAATTCTTTCCTATCCTATCGACGCCCCACAGTTCGGAGTCGAGAAAAACGGTGAAACGACAAGCATTTACGGGGCTCCATGTCTACAGCAGGCAGCGCCAAATAGAAATACGGCGTATACGAGAAGATCCCTTAGGGCTTAGTCAAGGCAGCGAGGCACGAACGGAAACGGGCCTGATTGGGTTAGTGCCGGTCTCTGAGCGACTTTGGTCTTCCTTTCCATGTCTCGATTCCATGACTACCATGTATACTATGTAGTATGAACACTGCACTTCTGGCAAATGCATCACAGCTGAAGAAAGATTTGTCAACCGTCGCGGAGATTCAATGCACATGGTGCTAGCATGTGCTAAGCCACGCTTCAGATCGCGCATTCGACATAGCGATGACACAGCCGCCTTCCTATCACTGGCTGCATTATCATTATGATTAAGCACTAACAGGCTAGTTATAGCCAGGTTCTGAATCTCGACTGCTCCGATGTCATAGGAAAAGGAGAAAATTCATTTGTCACGGCTCAATTCGCGATTAGCTCCGCTCACAAATTACTATTGACTGCCTAAAGACTAACCTCAGGTCGCTAATAATTCAAATCACGGCCGCCACCAAATTTCAAGAGGAGCCATATCCACCATCGCAGGAATTTTGTCCTCGCAACTACAAACTAGCACACGCAGTCCCACGCAGACTTCTCGGCATTTCGCCTCTGTTATCGCAGATCGTCCATTAGCATTGGGTTTCTTGCTCGTCTGAAGTCCGTGAAGTTCAGATCAGACTGGCTACTCCGGATGGACGCCAAGACGGGCTCGGTCGCATCCGACGACAGTCTGCGTGCTGCCCACCCAAAACAACATTCATACGAACAAGTCTTTTCGACCTTTCCCACGTCTCAGCAGCCTCGATTCGTTCAGTGTAAGTATTTGATTCTTCATGCGAAAGGCCTGGGCTAAGTAGCGTCACCAGCGATATCACCGACTCAAGATGAACCCCCCGCAAACAAAGATAACGCCGATGATAAGGATAAAATGTCGCAACCACAACAGGCAAAAGCCGGTAAATCGCCTCTGTTCTGGGTCAATTCAGATCCCCAGACGGTGCAGAAGGGCTCCAGGGAGGAAACACTTAAGCGCATTCGATCGCATGTGATGTCCGAGCACAACCGCAAGAAACGATTAGAGAATACACGACGGTACAATAAGAGCAAGACATGGAAGAACCTCGCATATCGACCGGAACCGATTGCGACGTCTAAACTCTCTCGTGCGCTTGAGTCCTCGATGTCGTCGCCGTCCTCGTCGTCAGCCTCCGATAGATCTAGTTCCAAGAGCTCCTCGTCTCCGGAAATTCGAGAAACCTCGCCACCGGACAGTCTGAAGACGTCAAGAAGTACCGGATCATTGGCATCAGAGACGTCTATAGCATTTTCGACTGGCCAAGACTCGACGCTGGACTATACGCAAGATTCGCCGCAAGATCAACAATTATCTATCATCAGTAGGCACGAATCACATAGTGTACCTACTGCGCCTTTTGTAGGTACGGACGATCTACTAGATCCGTTTCAAGCGACACAAATACGGCTGTCCGAGGCGCAATATCAACACTTCAAATATTGTATGTTCCGGTCTAGTCGTTACGCAATTCTATAAACGTAGACACTAACTATTGCAGTCCTGTACGACCTGGTCCCGCAAGCAGCACCATTTATAAAACACGGCGTCGCAAAGTTGCGCAGACACTGGGTCTCTCTTGCACAGTCAAGTCCATCTGTGTTATATTCTTGTATCACCTCGGCAGTTACGAATAAGTCATTGATGACTGGGGATTTCTTCGCAGATCCGGCCACGCAGCGGAGTAGTTCTTTGATCCTCGACCGACTGCGGAATCGGGGGGAGACGATCAGCTTGATCAATCGAGATCTATCGTCTGTGTCGTCGGCAACGAGTGATGCGTGCATTTCCGCTGTTTCCATGCTGATATCTGTGGAGGTATGTTGCCCTAACATGCGTTACTACTCTCTCTAATTGTCAAAAGGTTACGGGGAGCAATCCACAAGATATAGCGCCTCATCTCAATGGGCTACGAAAGATGGTCGCTTTGCGCAGAAATTTTGCAGACATAAATCCATCGGTACGATCGCAAGTCGAATGGTTCGTTTTGGCTCATGTTGAAATTAGTATAAACACTGACTCGTTGAAGGAACGATATTCGATCCGCATGCAAGACCATGACCAAACCCATCTTCCCATTCATCCGCTACACCATGCCATCCCACACTCCACGAGAAGTCAGCGTCGAAAACGCAGGCAACCTGGCCTCTACATTGCGCCTCCTCGCCCGTATACCGGGTGTATTCGGCGTCGAAATGTCCCGCACAATCGACGACTTGACGTCTCTAACTCTATACGCCGAAATCTTCAAACTCCAACCTGAACTCGCCGCAAGACTATTCGACGAAGAAATAGAAGAATACTTCAACAACGAAGTCCTCTACACAGAATACTGCCTCGTCAACGACCGCTGGATCACAACACCCCTTAATAATACCGACAACAACACCACCTCACCAGACAGACTCCGCGGCGACGACACAATCGAAGGCGCCGTCCGCCTCGCCAGCCTCTTATTCCACAACACAACAATATGGCCCTTCTATCCCGCCATCGCCCCTTTATTTCCCGTACCAATATTCTGCCTCGAGACAGCGCTCCGCAACGGCATCGCAGCGGGGACATACACCTACCTCCCGGACCTTTTGATCTGGCTCCTCTTCATCGGCGCAAGTGCCGGCAAATATCTCCCCACGACGCGGGGCTGGTTCATGTCCGAACTCTCCAAAGCCGTGGACGCATACAACAACACCTCCTCCTCTTCCACCACGACGGCGACGAAAAATAACGACTTTTATATAGATAATAACAACGAATACGAAATCGGCCCGTCGCAACCGCTGCTGGGCTCAGTCAACGATTTTCGGGATGTATTGAGCGGGTATTTCTATGTTGATCGATGCTACGCGGCCGATGTGTCGGAGATATGGAATGCCTTAATGGTTGATAGATCAGTAAGTCGACATTGAAGACCTGACAGATTATGATATAAGAAATGTTTATGTTGTATATATGTATATATATATTATTTATGTGGCGATAGCTAGTTTATATCCGCTCCTTCCCTGCACATGTGTATAAAATGTATATGATTTACGTGACTTTAATTGTCTCAAGGGACTATTCATTGTATTAACTAGTACTTGCATTAAGAGCTGAGCATTACGAGTGGTATCATCCACAAAACCAATCATCAAATATCATAGTATCGATGAGCCACATGAACCAAGAGGATGTTTCGATGTTTCAAAAAGAAGAAACAGAGGACGGTGCGAGAGGGTATCTGAGGGATAGAAAAAGAAACATGTAGTGCTTGCAAAGTTTCCTCTCCCATTTTTTTTGTGTGTATCGTTGAGAATTGAGCATGTCATCGCGCGTAGAAGTCTTCATATCTAGTAACTCGACGGCCGAGACTAAGAGATTAGACAGTATCACGAGCAGCCTTGGCACGACGCTCGCGTCCCTTCTCGGACCAGGGGAAGTGAGCAACAGGGATGATGAAGAAGCTGTTGCTAGAATCGGCGATACCGGCCAGGGCATTGTACCAGGCCAGGAATGCAGCGAGGAGGGCAAAGAAGCCGCCTGCCTTGATGATGCTGGGGGTGGGCGCACCATCAGTGCGGACAAGGTAGCCGATACCGAGCAAGAGGAAGGCCATGTCCAGGGAGAAGAAGAGGGAGAAGAAAGCCACGGTAGAGCGGAGGGTGCAGATAAGCAAGATGAAGGTGAAGATGAACCAGCCCTGTGGATGTCAGTTGGTCATACGAAATCACGAGTATTTAGAATCGGGACGAAGAACATACCATCAAGAAGAGACCCATAGAGTCGAAGAACATGGCAGGGCTTCCATTGTCGGCAGTCTCAAGCGCGCCCTGAATGTCGAAGCCGCCAGGAGTCAAGACGATAGCAAAGGCAATCCAGAAACCACCATAAGAAGACAGAGCGGTGGCACCAAAGGTGTTTCCAACAGCCATTTCCCTATCGCACGTCAGAAGAAGTCAGATATAAGAGACGGGTTAGGCGTTGACATACCACATGCCAGCAAGCAACTGGACAAGACCACCATAACCAAAAGCAAGGCCAACGACGATATTAGGCGAAGAGATGTCGCGGGTACCCATGTTGATGCATCCAAGGACAAAAGTAGTCAAGGCGAAAGCGCTCAAACCAAGAGGCGCAGGATTGGCAATCTTGCGGTCGGTCACGGGGCGGTACAAACCAGGCTGGAATTCACCACCAAAGGCTGGGAGACGAGCCTCGAGGGTGTTGACCTGAGCAAGAGGGCCGTATCCAAAGCGGGCAGCGGCGCGAGCTACTTCGTGCTCCTCGCGCGACATTTGAGGGTGGGCGGTGCCGCCATTAGTGGCGGTACCGGCGGTGTCGTAGTTGGTAGCCTCCTTGTCGAGAGCAGGGGCGTTGGCAGTCGTCGCGTCTGGTACTGATGCCATTGTGTCTGTCTGTATCGTTAGACGATGCAATGATTGAGCCAATGCGATTGAAGTAATGCGATTGAGTATCTTGCGACTCGGAAGATGAACAGGAGAAGTGCAGAGGGGGGGAAGGTGAAGAGTTTTCAGACAGATGGAGCAAAATGGAGAAGGGAGAAGATCAGCAGAAATAAAGCTTCGGTGAGGCAGCTTCCTTTTACGGAAGTTTGCCTAGGAGGCAGCTGCGGGTCACACTGGCGCGTTCGTTGAAGCTTGCATACACGTTCGGCGCCTCCCAAACCGAAGTCCGACCTCTTTTTTTTCCTTTATGATTCCGGGGTCGAAAGAAAACAGTATACGAACCTTGAATCTAATGATGATTTGTAATAGTTTAAATGTTTTGCTGAAATGGAGACAACCGTCTAATCCGCCCGTCTAATGTCGAAGCAGGAGGTAGAAGTAGTTGGAAATGAGACGTGTGAAACAAAATAAAGGGCGTAATACAGCTGAAGAGCGCAGACCCCCAAATATATATTCTAGTCGTGAGTTTCTAATGCCTAGAAAAACTAACGACCGACGCAGCTAGTCACAGAATAAATAGTCCCAATTAATAATACGTACTACGTAGTTTCAGCCGTGCGAAACGAGATGCGTAGCTACTTCTTTTGTCCGGCTTGCTCGGGGATCTGGGGATGGAGACTGGAACCGGCGCGGGGACATGGAGCATGGGGAGAAAATTGGGCAATCCCTTCTCCGTTCTCCTTTTCGTGCCATCGACGACTCTGTGCTCTGTAAGCACTGAGGGGCAGCTGGGATTTGAGATAACCCAATTGCTTGCATGACATGGGTTCATCCCATTAATTAGCCTACGGTAGCCAGTCAGGGAGCTGCAGAGGTGGTCGGTCGCGGAAATGAGGGGAAAGAGTTGTGCAGCAACCTGGAAGACATTGTGCTGGAGATGCTGCTTGACGGGGGAGTGATTGGTGGGATTACAGCGACCACACAGTACAGTCACCACAATGTACATCCTGACGTGTAAGCATGCGGAGGAATTTTAGAGCTGTTACGTATGTGCATGGCAATTCAAGAAACAATTTAAGCAGCAGCGCTAGCCCGACACGGGAAGAGGGTGGGGCCCTCATGGAGACATGGGCTGCTGCACGTACGGACTTTCTGGGGTAGCCCCTTGCATCCGCCAATCATAGGCCGATATTCCCGATATGACAATCCGAATACGGCTTAGTCGCCTCCAATCTGCTGTGCGTATTTTATACTTCATACCGTGTAATTTTACTGTATTTTATTGTGCTGCTTGGACGTCATACCACTCGACTCCTAGAGCACGGTATTATGCATGCCGATCTCTAGGTTCGTCACATTTTCAGGTCTGATCAGTACTGATGTTCCCAAGACCATGGCTTGACACTGAACGAGTCCAACATTTGGGAGAATTTGAATCCATCGATTTAAGTCTAAGTTTATCGTGGCATGGCATGATGTATCCCGGTCGCTGACACCAACCCCAAAACTAAACTAATACCGACGCCGCCGTACAACGATGCAGATCTGGCCCTGTCTGCAGTAACTAGGAAGCTCGCGGATAAACGGATATTTACCACATACGACGGACTGTACTATTTGTGCTAGCCCTCTTTGGGACATACACCGAACGATCAGACCTGCCATGGGGGCTTACTAAGTATTAGCTTGACTCAGATGTCAAAAATTACGTGATAGTTTGAACTTTATACTGCATATGAATTTGTTCGAGACTTAAGAGTTGAGCTAGAAGAATTCGTATTGTTCTCGTAACGAGATACAGTTTAGAGTCACGGGATATGCTTTGTATTCAGCCAATTCGGCCGATCAGGTCCACTTCTTTATTCTGTGTAGGACAGATCCCAACAAAGTACTACGAACGCTCAATGATTCCTCGTCTATTATAGTACGAGTAACACTGCATATGCACTCTAATCTAGTCTACTTAGATAGAATTGAAACACACACACATATTACTTCAAATCAATTCGGCGGCTGAAATCAACCTACCAAAATAGGCTGAATGGCCGTCCCGCCAAGCTTTTTCCTTGCTCTTTTCTTTTTTTCTTCGGCTTTTTTTTTAGGCTTTTCACGTGTTACCAAACTTACACCATACGTATGTACATACGTTAGCGTGTGTGTAAGTGTAAGTTAGTCTCAAGTTCTAGTCTTGAGAATATCCACCGCACTACTACATAGTATGTAAGGGTATGGAGCTGGTGAGGACCCTGCCAAGACTCGTGATTCTGCTCATCAAAACAGAAAAATCGAGCGGTTTCAGATAGATTTTTTGCAAGGATCGCTAGAATAGGGACTACTTGCTTTGTTTCAGAATCACTTGACTTCAATAATTTCTCGTGAGGCTTGTGCTATCAAATTTGGTAGTCTTGTCTGTACTAACCATACCTGATTCTTTCATCCCAGAAGTATCGTATGTTCCACATCCAACCACCGCTTCTTCTTCGGTAAGTGGTAAGAACCATCTCAGGCATGTACGGAGCACGTATTCGGTCCGGCGGAGCGGAAATTAAACCTTTTTTTTCACCCTGTCGCAGTGTCTCATCCTTTGTTCACAACATTCTCCGTAGAAGGAATTGAGGAAGAGAAGCCGAGTCGCAAATGCCGATACTCCTACGGATACGTGCGTAGGAGCCAGATCGCGATGCCGAATCCACATCGCTAATCCAGCCCCTATCCACAGTCCAGTTTCAGTATGGTTTGTATCTATCGGTTATACCTCATTCACGTAAGGTTCGGAATGAGTTCCGTCGTCCCGTACTTCGTAGGACTAACATCGTACTGTACATACGTACCATACCTGGCGTTGGCGTTGGCGAATTCCTAGAGCCGCACATAATCAACATTCAGCCTGTTTTCAAGTACTGGCTAGCAGCTCCAGTGGCTAATACTGTAATATGTGGAGAACTCTACGGAGCAGTTGCTGATCTCTGGTTCGGTCCTGCGGAACCCAGTGTTTGAACCTCTACCATTTCGGCAATTGGAGCTCCCCATTCTCATACAATCCTCATGATCTTATGACCGTTTACCCCGGTTATCGCTCTGGATTCCCCGGATTCGTTGGATCTCTACGGAGTGGATATGGGGGCGATGAGCTTCGTGATTTGGCGAGTGTGCTTTTTTCGCTGTTTGGGCAAGGGACCGGACGAATGGATAGTTGATGTATTGGATCGAGGGAGAGGAATGCTGGGATGGTGATCCCTTCTAGCCTCTAGGGGCTTGAGCGTGTGTCTAGCTAGGCGAGAACTGCATGTGGACATAAGCTAGCAAATCAATGCCATGATGGTTGCAGGGAGACAGTACCTGCATTGCATGGATGTCGAGTAACAAAATTCAATTCTTACCGTCGTATCAACCTAATAGCCATAGTACATATCAACACAGGTTGTGAATGGACTTTTTCAAGTGCATGACATTGAGAGTCGGGTATAAACTTGACATATACATAACGCTACTCAAGACTCGACAGTACAGATATCAACGTTCTAATTTCCTCGCCGTCATCTCCAACTGCGCATTGAAAGCCTTGACCTGACTCAACAATCCGCCATACGACCCGTCAGCGGCCGAACTCACATTCTCCGAGACGCTGCGAAGTAGAAATTCGAGACCTGCTACACCACTGCCTTCGTATACTCCGTCCTCGTCGTCTACCCTATTGCGATTTCGATCAAGCGTTAGGTCGAGGTTGTGCAGTGTGTTGTTGATAGCGTTGCGAGACTAGACAATGAATCAGTATTGTGAGAACATGATATCAAAACGAGAGACTGACCATCTTCGCATTCTCCTCCTCACCATGTTTCCGTCGCACAGCATCCATGCGTAGCGTAATATCATGTCTCTGCTGGCGTACTTCCAGTAGCCGATTCCGCATCTCAGCAGCCTCACGCCTCGCCTTTTTCAGCTGCACTCCCAGTGAGAAGTTGCTATCCAGTAACTCGCTGAGCTCAAATAGTCGGCCCTCCAATTGCGTCCCGTACGCTTCGATGGTTTTGCGTTGGCGCGCATATTCAGACCTTTTGGCTTGATTGGATGCGTCGTTGGCGATGTTGTTGTCTAGTGTTGTTAAATGTTTGTCTAGTATCTCCTTGCAGATCTGAGACAAGACGTCGGCTGCGTTGACGCCGTTGCGGCTGGGGAACTCTTTGCCTACGGCCTCGAGTTCGTCGGATGAGTCCTGCTCATCGTCGGACGGGTCTGAAGTTGCATGCGTAGAGTCCAGAGTGTGAGTGTTTGCGAGACGGTGGACGGTGATTGCTACGGTACCTTCGCGTCGGCGTGGTTCTTGACCATCATCTTGTTCTCGCCGTCGCGTGGTACGTTGTCCACTAGTCGTTGTGTCCTCCGTAGCAGCGGCCGATGGTCTTCCACGGCGTCGCTTTGCTGGTTGATCTGGCTCGGTACTCGCTTCAGCTCTCGTCTCTGTAGTTTCTGTAGCTGCTGCTTCTGGCTGAGGCTCTTGTCCCTTGCCGAGGGATGGACGACCCCTGCGTCGGGAACTTTCGCCGAATTCAGGTGGTTCTTTTCTCCTTGCTTGATCTTTTGACTTCTGGGTCTTTCCAGCGCGCTCATGCGTTTCATCAACACTGGGACTTTCATCAGGTTCGACTTCTCTATTCTTCCCTTTGCGTTTGTCTCTGGTTTGCACCGTAGCTTCCTCTTCCTGAACCTCCTCGGCTTCAACGACCTCTGCTGTTGACGGTCTGCCCCGCTTCCTTCTGCCTCGTGGAGCCTTTTGTGTTGGTTCGTTGTCTTGTTCTTCATCTTGCTGTTCTTGTTCGAGTTGAGGGTGCTCTGGTCCCTGACGTCTGCGTCCACGTTTGGTCGAGCTTGATTCTGGTACACTGTCTTTCTGTGCAGGTTCTGGCTCAGTTCCCGCTGTTTCAGGTCGCTCTAGCTCTTTGCGCCTTCTTCCGCGTTTCGAAGAGCTTGACTCTGTTACCGTATTTGCCTGTTCTAGTTCATCGGCTTCCGGCTCAGTTTCTGCCATTGGCTGCCTTTCTAAGCCTCGTCTGCTTCTTGCCCTTGACACCCTCTGCTGACCGTCTTGGTTGCTGGCATTTTCATCGGGAGGATCCGACCCGTTGACTTGAATTTGCCTGCTTGAAAGCCTTCTTGTTTGATCGGCGGTTTGTTCTGGACTTGCGATTCCATTTTCTTGTAACCTTGCCGTCTTGGGTCTTCCTCTTCTACTGGCCTTTGCGACTGCTTGAGGTTGGGCATCCTGCTCAACAATCTTCTCCGGTAGATCCGCAACTCCAGCCACATCTATTGTGGGTGCGTCTGGGAGTTCTTCACTCTCATCAACGCCGTTCTGCTCATCGTTATGCGTACTATCTTCACGTATAGCCACGGGCGACGGGTTCACGATCGGTTCGAATTCTGTAGCCGGGCGAATTATATCATCATTCTTTGTACCTAAAACTATCAGTAAATTGTAGTCGTAGGCTTGCTGCTTATCTTACTGATCCTCCTCCGCTTACTACTGCGGCCTTGCTCCTGTTCTTTGGTTGTGTTATTCGGTGTTGAAACTCTCTCAATCGAGACCCTGTTCGACCTGCGCGGCGATTCGGTGGGAGTTATACTATTGCGCAGTATCCTTGTCGGCGTCTCTCGTGTTGGCTGTTCAGTGCCCGGCGCTGTCGCGTTTGGAAGCGCAGTATCGACTACTGACTCAGCAGCATTTGTATTTTCAGGAACACTTTCAAGTTGTTGTGAAATTGAGAGTGCTGGAACACCACCAGTTGGCGATCCGAATGAAAATCCAAAATCGACCGCTTGAATTTTGCGTGTACTGTAAAATAGATAGTTCGTCAGTTGTTTTGGTCCATAGTCGCGTGCGGGGAGAAACATACCCAGCACCGCGCTGGCGCATCTGCAGACGCTCTTGTCGATCTGTAGGAACAGAAATTAGCAGAAGGTTAGTTACTCAAAAATTGGAAGCTATCTTACTGGATGCCATATTGTGCCACTGCTCCGAGTAGGAGCTGTCGCGCAATTCACGCGCTTGTCGAGAGATGAGATCAGACGCGGGCCGTTGAAGGTCTTAGTTAGGGATTACCATTTATGGCCTAGTGTGGACAGCTCCGGATTCTGTCCGCATTTTGACTTCGACGTCGACTTGCAATCATCAAAGACGACCATTCATCTACATACGTGCGATTGATCGATACTCAGAAATTGATCTGTTCGAGTGTGTTCATAGAGTCCGATATCACAATGGGCTGGTTCTGGGGCTCGAGCGGACCAGAGGATCCGACGAAAAAACTCGATCCGGAGCTTCAAGACTACCTCAAGAAAGAAAGACCAACTACATATAAGACGACCGTCGAACCCTCCAGAGAAACTCTCACTCAACCTACACAAACACCCTCACAATCGACAAATACCACAGAAGACAAATCAGCAGTCCCCGCAGCGTCTCTATACCCCGACGGACGATATGCACATCTTTGGAAAACCTACAAGCCTCTGGCCGAAGTCGAGGCCGCAGACAATTCGACCACGGCACAACGAGTGATTGAAAAATTCAAACATCGGAAAGACTCGGTCCATTCGGCGGCTATGGAGAACTGTGCAATTGAACATGAGGGTCTGACGACTTGCTTTAACAAGGGCGATTGGTTCACGATGGTCAAGGCTAGAGCAACCATGTGCTCGGATGAGAATAGGAAATTTTCGCGATGCTATACCACGCAAGCCGTACGTTTTAATCTTTCACACATGATCTACATGTGCTGACTTTCATAGAAATTCCTACAAGCCCTTGGCTACGCTAGTTCATTTGAATACGACGAAGAAAAAGAGGAGCGTATCCAGATGCACGCTGATAAGCTCTATCACCAAATGCTTGACTACGAAAGCCGAGTCGCAGAAGCCCGAGCGGCGGGACAGGAACCTCCCCCGATCACATCTCTATTCAACCCAGACGCCAAACCAGTTTCATCAAGCGATAAGATAATACCGGGAGTGGACCAGCTTCCCGAAGGAATTAAATTACCGGAAACGTTGGACAAACTCAGTCCGCATGAGAGAGAGCTGGAGATCCAGTCTATGAAGGCTGAGCTTGAGCAAAAGAAGCTGTATTCGGAAGAGGCGGCGCCGTATATCAAAGCTCAGCAAGAAGCGCAAACGAAGCGGCAGGAGAGGGCTAAGAGTTGGTTTGGTGAGACGATTGGAAAGTACATTACATGAAGTTGTTAGTGCTTCTATTTCTGCTGTATATTATTCAAGATACTCCTAATGAACTTTCGATTGATGACCGGAGATTCTGCCTCAGCATGTATACTTCGTATCTTCCCTTGCTGTCGCAAGAGTCAATGTTGCGATCGATTGTGTAGAGATTGCATCTATCATGTGACTCCTCTTTACCCCTTGGTGATTGTAAAGCGACAGGTCGAGACGAAGTGTAATGGAGGCATCGATTGTCCACGCATGTCCGACCCAAGATAAAGTGATACATCAGCACACTAATGCCACACACGGGACAGCCACGATGCCAATCAGCCGATAAGAACAGAGATGCACGTGACTGATGCGTTGGCAGAGGAAGGTTAAGTCGATGGTTGAGATCAGAGATAGCCTCTCGAACTTCTCCCCTACCATTCATTGCCTGCGATATGCTCCGTACAACCAGGGCCTATAATCTCGTCACGAAGACATGCGCGCAATCAGCTTCTTCTCGTATACCTAGTCTACTAGGTAGTAAAACACTCTGCCTGCCTGTGAATTGATTATGTGCAAGCGACGTGATTGGCTCAGCCGTCTGAACGCGCGTTAATTCGCGACAACGCGTGGAACTAATTAATACATGTAATTTACATTAATTTACACAGCTCTTCTCCTTACTGCTGGCTGATCCTAGCAATGGTACCGTATCCAATGGTTTCGTAACCGAACGCGGAATATATGCTACGGCCGTCCGATCACACCCTCTGCGACGATACACTGACTGATCCCATTGTCAATGATCATTGATTCTGTCCCGGTTGCAGTCAAAGAGATTGTTGTATCATTGTGGATTCTTCCGTATCACTCCCTGTCCCTTCCGGAATCGATCGTTGGTCAAGTTGTCTGGGTTACAGCTTATCAGACTAGGCGTATCGGTGGCTCTCCTGGCGGCTGGCTTGACTTCTCAGACGACCAACCAGACTTCATTCCTTTTACGTACGACCGAGCTTCTCAAATTAGTCTCACCTTACAACTCTGCCATTGTCTCTTGAGCTGAATGACTTTCGAACTTCCAACAAAAGGACATCGACTCTAGGCATCTACATTGAACAGTTTATTGGGACAATTCAAGCAGTGCTCTGCGGAGCACTGTACTAACCTTCCATCATGAAAGCTGCTCCGTTGCTGATTGCCTGGCACAACGAGAACGCCCCCATTTATTCAGTACATTTCGATCCGCATGTCAAGGGGCGATTTGCAACCGCTGGAAAGTGAGTTCATCTATAACTTTATAGCATTTAGTCTTGTTACTGACCATCACCCCGCTGTAGTGATAATAATGTCCGAGTACGTCGTACCTCTATCTACCATCGTCGCATTCTCTGACCATAACAGATCTGGAAACTCGAAAGTACCGGGGAGGAACGAAAAGTCACATATTTGAGCACATTGATAAAGCACACCCAAGCTGTGAATGTGGTTCGATTTTCGCCAAAGGGTGGGTCTATAGTCAGAGGGATATAAACAAGTACTGACAGGTTGCAGGTGAAATGCTCGCTTCAGCAGGAGACGACGGAAATGTCTTGCTCTGGGTACCGTCAGAATTATCCATGACACCGCTTGGAGAGGATCATTCGGACGATAAGGAAACATGGCGAGTGAAGCATATGTGCCGGTCCTCGGGAGCTGAAATCTACGATTTGGCTTGGTCACCAGATGGTGTATTTATCATTACCGGCAGTATGGACAACGTTACTCGGATCTACAATGCTCAAACAGGTTGGTCAAGCTCAGTAGTCTGGATGTCAAGAAGCTCACAACAATTAGGACAAATGGTTCGACAGATCGCTGAACACTCACACTATGTTCAGGGTGTGGCTTGGGATCCGCTCAACGAGTTTGTTGCGACGCAATCTTCTGACCGATCCGTGCATATCTATAGTTTAAAAACCAAAGACGGACAGTTCTCTTTGACCACGCACGGCAAATTCTTGAAAATGGATCTTCCTGCTCGCCGAATCCCAGCAAGCAGTCCTGCTCCGACTGACACCAAGACTCAACCCATTACCAATGGTTTGTCGATTGCATCGCCAGCACCGTCCACACCAGGTACTCCAAAAACAATGACTTTGCCGATGGATCCCCCTCCAGTGTCTCATAGTCGGCGATCCTCCTTTGGGTCTTCTCCTTCGATTCGCCGGTCAGCTTCACCGGCTCCGTCACTACCATTACCTGCTGTCAAGCCAATAGAAGTGTCGTCGCCAAGCTTATTTGGAGGCCTGGGAGTCAGAAATGCAAATCTCTATGCAAACGAATCTTTTACATCTTTCTTCCGTCGGTTGACGTTCACTCCTGATGGTAGCTTGTTATTTACGCCGGCGGGTCAGTTCAAAACGACGCAGGGATCTACCAGCGACTCAAGCAAGACAAATGAAGAAGTCATCAACACAGTTTATATCTACACTAGGGCTGGATTCAACAAACCACCAATTGCACACTTGCCTGGTCACAAGAAGCCGTCAGTTGCAGTGAGATGTTCCCCAATATATTACACACTCCGCCAAGGATCTCGGCCTACTACCCACATTACGCTTGATACGTCTTCTGGGGATGACAGCTTTCCAGCGCTGCCAGATCCTGTTGTGAGTACAAATATCACGAGTCATCCGTCAATGGAACCACCGCCACCTTCCGGTGATCAATCAAAACCCTTGGCATCTCCTAAAGCCGAAAACGAGCCATCTAGTTCCGCGTTTGCTCTGCCCTACCGTCTTGTCTACGCGGTAGCCACGCAGGACGCGGTGCTGATATATGATACACAACAGCAGACGCCATTGTGTGTTGTGAATAACCTTCATTTTGCTACATTTACAGATTTAAGCTGGTAAGTCATTCGAGTTATTGATGATTACTCCTTGCTAATTGATATAGGTCATCCGACGGCTTAACGCTTATTATGAGTTCATCTGATGGATTCTGCTCGACTCTTTCATTTGCCCCGGGAGAGTTAGGACAAGTCTATACACATCCCGCTTCTTCATCAAATCCAGCAACACATCACCATACTCTGTCGACAGGTTCGTCATCAAACAACACACCTCTACCCACACCCACAAATACTGCGTCGCCTTCTTTGACCAGACCGACCCCAGTACCTGCTCCTGGGCCGATCGGCTCGGGTCGCGCCGCCAGCCCTGCACGATCATCTTCGGCCTCTTCTATCCAGACACTTCAAACATCACAATCAGGCAATGTTGTCAACAACCCAACACCGACTCTCGGCACTGTACCACTTGTGACTGCTACCAATTCATTGCCTCTGACTMCCCCGCCTCAAACTCCATTGCCAGGTGTATCACATAGTGCTACCAGTTCGTTCAGTAGTACTGTCCTGGGTAAGCGCGATATTGGAGCAGCCAGCGAATCTGAAAAGGAAGACAGCAAGCGAGAAACTGTCGAGACTGAAAAGCCAGCAAAGAAGCGACGGATCGCGCCTACACTGGTGTCGAAGGATTCAGCAAGCTTTGCCATTGAGGCTGAAAAGAAGACCGAAGTGGCACAGTCTGAGAACATCGAGCCTGCTCTACCTGCTGACAAAGTCGATCAAGCGGCCGCTCAATAGAGTGTGATAATATGCATACCACCGTCTTTATGAAGCATGATGCAATGGAGTTGTGGGTGTTGTTCGTCAGTTCGGAAAGGCTTTTTCTATACTTTTAGGCACGTTACTTCTTTTTCTTTTCGCCTTGGTGTCACTACCATACAGTCCTCTAGGGGTTTAATGTTTTCGAGATACATGTATGAATAGACTTGATGAATTCAATTATGATATAGTCAAATGGCCATGTTATATACTAGTATATAGTATCTAATCTATGTACATCACGAGACCGCCTAAACAATGCATGCTATATAGGAGCTAATGAACAACCAGCCCTTAGACTCTAGATCAAGCCTTGACATTCACAGCAAATCCCTCACTAAACGGATAATCCGTATACCCTCTGGCCTCCTTCGCATTATAAAACGTCTCCCTGTTATACGGCGTAAACTCAAGCCCCTTCTTTAACCTAAACGGCAAATCTGGATTCGCAATGAACGGCCTTCCGAATGCAAGAATCACTGGATGATTCTTATACCGCGTGTCAACTGCCTCCTTTGCATTATCGGCTTTGTAGCCTCCCGCCAACACCAAGGGTGACGCATCGGCGTATGCGTCGATGAAGAACTGGAGTGATCCAGTGGGATTCTCGACATCCGTGTTTCCGTTGATTCGCGGTTCGACAAGATGCACATACGCAATACGCAATTTAGCGAATTCCCGTGCGAGATAGGAGAAAGTCTCCTCGCGTTCGCCGTCCGGCATGCCCATACCCTGGAACGTGCTAAAGGGGCTGAATCTGATTGCCGTACGATCCGCGCCTACCGCTTCAATGACTGCTTTCGCAACTTCTAGCGCAAAGCGGGATCTGTTCTCGACACTACCGCCCCATTGATCCGTGCGCTGGTTGGCGGTCGTTTGGATGAATTGATCAATTAAATACCCATTTGCGCCGTGAATCTCGACGCCATCGAAGCCCGCACGCTCAACTGCATTCTTGGCCGCGGTGGCATAGTCCTTGATGTATTGCTGAATTTCGTCTTCTGTAAGCGCGCGAGGCGTTTCGTGGCCCTCGCCCAGAGAGACGGCGCTACTGCTCACGACGTCGAATTTCTCGCCGCCGGGTTGAGCTCTCATGGCATTGGGGTCTGTGGTTCGCCCCAACGCCCATAATTGCGAATAGATGTAAGACCCCTTTTCGTGTACGGCGTCGGTGACTTGTTTCCATGCTGCAATTTGCTCGTCTGACCAGATACCGGGTGCGTAGGTGTATGCGCCGGCCTGCGGGGAGATGAGGGTTGCTTCTGAGATGAGTAATGTGCCTGGTTCGGAGGCGCGTTGGGAGTAGTACTCTTTTACGAGCGGTACGATGGGCGCGTGCGTGGTTTCGTCGTTGCGGAAGCGGGTTAGGGGTGCGAGGGCGATGCGGTGTGAGAGTTGCACACGGCCGACTTTGAGGGGGGTGAATAGGGTTGTCATGTTTGCTCTATAAATTTTCTATGTTCAATGTTCGCGATGAATATGGGGTTGTGGAGGATGTCTGAGACGATTGAGCTACGTCTTGCCAGGGGCAGACCAGGTATTTATACTATTACAATTTCATGGAAATCATATTAAAATTCCAAACTTTATCATGATTAAACAGACTTGATTAATAATAATATCCATCGTCAACTTGGTTAGGATCTTAAATCAAAGAAGACCCTGGAAAAGCATCCATCTGACTGGGACGGCAACTAAACCCTTTCTAGCAAAAGTGCTTCGGGGAGAATATCTTTTTCTGCTTGGTCATCATCTTTTTTTTTGTCAGCGCCACTGTTCTCATAGGCTCAGATTCCATGTTGCACAACAAGTTTCCGGGATTTGCTGCGAAAAGCAGAAAATTGCTCCGATCGATCGAAAAATTCGTCATGATTCTGTGGGTTTCTATTTCAATGTGGCTTCGGTGATGTAACCAGGCCCACTGCATCCGAGGCTTGAAATCGCACTCCTGAACGTTTTATATCGTTCTAACCGATGTATTATTTGATTATCTATCCTGCCTACCGCATTAGGAAAGTGGCACACTATATTCGTATATGTATCACCATGCATGAATCAATCAAATCGCCAAACCAGCCAATCCATTAATCAATGTCTCATTATCATCCAGAACAGTCGCTGCTGCCGTAATCGCCTGAGTACCCATCGTGACACTAATGACATGCTCGACACTACCTTCCCGCTCAATTCGATTTGCCCATCTAAATAGAGTCTCGCCGCCGCGAGAGTTGCCCGCAACGAACAGAAAGCCCGGCGTGGCATTGATTCGTTGTAGAGCCAGTTCCGCGGTAGTCGCTTTCGTCACGTTTGTAGGTTCCACGGTCACCGCGCCGTCTGTCAGAACGGCACGGATAGGGATGTTCCCGCGTGAACCGTTGATTTGATCGCTCAACTCAGCTGCTTGGCGGATAGCAAGCTCCTTGTCGACGGCAGCTTTGTAGTTAAAGGTAAGTGAGAAGCGTCGTTCTTCGATTGAGGTGCCCTCTGTGCGTTCTTGAAAGTATTCCATGAACTTCTGGATGCCCCGGCGCCAGTCTCGAGTGTCGCTCTCGTTAAGTAATTGCTGCCATTCGGATTGTCCAGGCTCTCGTAGGAACGCCCCATTTTCAGCGATGAGTCCGATCTGCGGGGACTCGGCTAGTAATAGTTCAAGTTGTTTCGGTGTACGTGAACTTGTAACAAAGACAACGTTCTTCGGGTCTGAGGAAAGCGTTGCCATCATTGAGAGTACTTTCCCATTCGGACTGACTGAGAAATCATCTCGTTCCCTTAACGACGGGAATATTGCTTGATCTTCAAGAATAAATACTCTGCTGCTTGATTTGTTGTACTTTTCTCGAACACTGTCCATGGATAAAGATGAAATAGTATGAACCTCCCGTGATGACTGCATTCCGTAAGCTTGTCGAAGGGCTTTCAGATATGTATCGCACCACATGGAAGCAGTGTGTCTCGCCATTCGGTCCGATAGAAAATGCCAATTCTTCTCTTTATCTTTGGCTGACATGAGTAGAGCACGATTGATCGCATCCGCGCATTGCACATAGTCCCATGGGTTGACAAGCAACTCATGACCGCTCCAGATAGAAGCGCTTCCTGTAAACTCACTCAAAATGAGTGATCCATACTTCTGAGGAATACCCGAAGTACCATCTTGACAAACAACAAAGTCGTGTCCTGAAAGATTCATGCCTTCACGAAGACTGGTGATGATGAAGATTTCGGCAACAGACATCAAGGCAAGGAATTGAGCGAACGAAATGTCTTGCTTTAGTAAGACGAGCGGTTGGTGGGTTAGTGTCGAGTATTTCGAGTTGATTCTCATCGCAATCTTCGTTATCTGGGTTTCGAGATCTGTCAAGTCAGGCGCAGATGACGATGCAACTTGGACCAGGACGACCTATTCAAGTTAGTTTTGCACAATGTGTCAGGAGGAGTAGTGAAATACATACGTTATCTCGCCATTCTGGATATCTCTTCAAAAATTTTTCGTAAGAAAGAAGCTTCTGTTTGACACCACCTGCAGCATCCAATCGATCTCTCCCGACAATCAAATGCTTTCCTTGGTATCGCTCGCGAATCTTTGATACCCACTCTTTCACCTCGGGTTGTAGTCTCTGGGTATTCATAAGATTCAAGTCAATGCCCATCGGAAAAGCCTTGACAGGCAGTAATCGGTCAGGGAGATGAACGCCTTCCGCAGAGACCTCCAACCGTAGGATGCGGCTGCAAGTATGCAGAAAGTGATACACATATTCGGCAGTTTGCAAACCAATTATATTGGCTCCAAGCAGGCCTTCCAATAAGGTTTTTCTCGCGGTCAGGCACCGGAAGATCTCAGAGGAAGGGAATGCGGTATGCATGAAGAATCCTATCTCAGCCTCAGGCAGTTTATCCCTCAGCATCCGAGGAAGTAACATGAGATGATAATCGTGAATCCATATACGGTCACCTGGTTTCCACTGAGCGGCAATCGTAGCTGCAAAGATCTCGTTGAGTTTGACGTATTGTTTCCAAGAGTGATCATCGTACTCCTTGTGGCGAGGACTTTCTTGCATTTGATAGTGAAAAGCTGGATAGAGGACATTTCGACAAAAGTGAAAGTAATGTCCTTCAAACTCACTGTCTCCCACAAATACCGCAAGAGAATCGAATTCCTCTTTCAATTGCAAAGCAATGTTGTCGCGTGTGTGTTCTTTAAGTGAGTCTGTCGGCATACCCAGCGTTCCTATCCATACTGCTTTATCCACAATTCCAGCTTTAGCAGCAGCGTCGATGGCGTTCCGGAGACCGCCATTGCCCTGAACAGCTGACTTTACCACCCAATCATCAGATAACAACACTCGCGGCGTGGCTGGTTCCTCTGACTCGAGATCAGCGGCCTTTCGATCTACATACGGACCTGTAGAACTAGGACGGCTGAGAATCGACGAATCTGGTGGATTTGTTGCTTTTGACATGGGCTGATTGAATTTTCTACTGGAACCCCACGACTCTACTGGGACCTCGGTAGGCGCTGGCCCTTTCGGTTCATCTGAGGCTGAGTCTAGGGCATAGAATGGTTTGAAAATCTTCTCGTGCTCTGTGGTTGCACCAGGGGTCATTGAAAGCACTTTTGGCAGTGTTTCTTGATGAAGCTCTGCTAGTCGTCCTTCCACCTCGTTGGGAGGGGGGTTCGAGCCATCGAAATCACCTTGGCCATGCCGAATGCCGGCGGCCTCGAAATCTATGGTGTATGGAAGGAAACTAGACTGTTAGCTTTAATTCGACCATGGCTAGTTGATGCTTACAGAGAAGCTACGTAGAGAGGCATGGGCGCAATCGCTCTTGCTATTGATCAAGCAATTCCACGGTATCAACAATTATGGACAGTCTCATGCAAATAGAGTCAAGCATGAAGTAAGTGTGGTGGTCGCGGATAGGTGTTGGTTAAGTCGAGGGATGAGGGATTTTTGCAGGTTCTTGTTCCACCTTCGGAAAATCACATCGTTTCAACTGTAAGGAGACTGATATTATCCGCGACACTCGAGGTGAATGCAAGTGATACTTCACATTACATCAACAGCTGAGGCCGAGAAAGGAATAGAATGTTCTGGCGATAGCTAAAAAGGGCATTCCGAGTAATGGAGTCCTTGGAATGGCAGGKGAAGCTCTGGCGGGAGATGCCCCGCAGCCAATCATTGGCTGAGTTGGAGTCTGTGCCAAAAGAGACAAAATCAAGGAAGATCCTTTAGGCTGGGATTATGGCCCGATTTCTTTCGTTGCATGCTTGGATAGAACATCGCCGATTCCTTTTCAAGACTCAGCCCGGTCCAGACTGCCGTGGCAGGCCGAAATCCTGGATATGAAGCTTTTCGACGCCGTTCGGCTTTTTTCTAGGCTCCAGCAGACGTCACCTGATTGGTCAACTGGGCATATCCTTTGTTGACGATGGTGTCAGAGACGCACTTTTGACAGAAAGTGGGAAAGCGGGTATCATTTACGAGAATGTACCAGCACGATAGAGTAGAAAATCGAAGAAGAATGAATAGAGACAGGTGGTGATGGTCACATAATGGACGTAGTAAGGTTGGAGGCTCCACCCGCTAAAAAGGAAGGCCTCCTGCTCCCCGCCAACGAAAAGCTCGGCTTCCTTGCCCATGACATAAGCCTGTCTGACATCAGTTGTTCACCAAGAAGTCTCACTTTGTTTCGTTTGACAGTTTTTTGCGATTTGTTTCTTCTGTTCTTCTGTTCTTTCCTGTGAGAGTCTCACTCTGGCGTTTAGTTTACAAAGTCAACCGGTGAAGATAAAAAGCGCAGAGATAAGAGACATTGTTTTGGTATCGGCATCAACATGTCGCCCGCGCCTACTGTGGCCGCACCTGCCGAAGGTGGACGGCTGCTGCTCGTATCAAACCGACTGCCCATCACAATTCGACGCTCAGAAGGTGGAAAATATGAATTCTCCATGTCCTCTGGAGGTTTGGTGACTGGTTTAAGCGGTCTGGCAAAGACCACGACATTCCAATGGTACGGCTGGCCTGGTCTAGAAGTACCAGAGGACGAAATCGAGACCGTGAAATCAAGACTGAAAGAAGATTATGGCGCAACGCCAGTGTTTATCGACGACCAGCTTGCGGATCGCCATTACAACGGGTTTTCAAGTGCGTCAACACTTTTGTATTGGTATTCGAGGATGATCCGACTAACCTCAAACGACAGATTCTATACTATGGCCTCTACTTCATTACCATCCCGGTGAGATAGTCTTTGATGAATCTGCCTGGGTGGCATACAAAGAGGCCAATGCACTCTTTGCGAATACTATCGCGGATGAGGCTCAAGATGGTGACATGATCTGGGTCCACGATTATCATCTCATGCTCCTGCCTCAGCTTTTGCGAGAACGTTTACGGGCTCAAGGCAAGAAAAATATCAGAATTGGCTTCTTCTTGCATACGCCGTTCCCGAGTAGCGAAATATACCGAGTCTTGCCTGTTCGGGCTGATCTCCTCAAGGGAGTTCTTTACTGCGACCTCATCGGATTTCACACTTTTGACTACGCGCGCCATTTCCTGAGTGCTTGCACTCATATTTTGTACGTTGATAAGCTTACCTGTCGCATTTCACCTACATGAAAACTTACTTATAATGACAGAAACCTTAACACAACCCCAGGCAGCGTCCGCTTCGAAAACCAATCCGTAGCAGTGGGTGCATTTCCAATTGGTATTGATCCCGAAAAATTCCTCGAAGGTCTCAAAAACCCCAAAGTGCAAAACCGAATCGCAAGTCTAGAGTCGAAATTCCAGGGAATGAAATTGATGGTCAGCGTGGACCGTTTGGATTATATCAAAGGAATTCCGCAGAAGCTGCACGCTTTGGAAGTCTTCTTGTCGAATCATCCGGAATGGGTGGGCAAAGTAGTGTTGGTGCAAGTGGCAGTTCCTAGTCGGCAAGATGTGGAAGAGTATCAGAACTTGCGGGCCGTGGTGAATGAATTGGTGGGACGGATTAACGGCAGGKTTGGTAAGTCGAGAATAAGTCATATGCGAAGACAAAATGTCTGACGGGAACAGGAACCGTGGACTACATGCCCATCCACTTCATGCACAAATCAGTCAACTTTGAAGAACTCCTCGCTCTCTACGCAGTCTCCGACGCATGTATCGTCTCCTCTACACGCGACGGCATGAACCTGGTCTCGTTTGAGTACATCGCAAGCCAACAAAAACGTCAAGGGGTCTTGATTCTCTCTGAGTTTGCTGGTGCCGCTCAAAGCCTGAACGGAAGTTTGGTCGTCAACCCATGGAATACAGAAGATTTGGCCAAGGCATATCACCAAGCTGTTTCCATGGAACCTGAGCAACGGGCCGCGAAGTATCAGAAGTTGTGGAAGTATATTTCAAAGTATACGAGGTTGGTATCTGTGACTTTCTTTCGGGTTTCGTTTCACTGACTGTGATATAGCGCGTTTTGGGGACAATCCTTTGTCGCCGAGTTGTCTCGTTGCGTGGCTCATGAATAATGACAATTTAAATAGATGGATGCGTCGAATAGATAAATGTGGCAAGGACTTGAGAAGGATGTTTTTAGCGACGACCTTGATGATGGACGAGGTTTACGAAGAGACGTAGCCAGATGTTATACATTTTTTTCATTTCCACTTAGCACAATACATGCAGCAGATATCCGTTTGTTTCGACGTAATGTCATCTCCTTCTTTAATGCAATTATTAATTAATTAAATCAAAATTGTATGGTTGGTTTGAGTTGAGAAGCCTCTAATAGGGTAAAATCTTGAGGACTAATGAAGACAGCAAATCAGCTTATTGCTTATTTCATGATATCTGCAGAATCCGATTGGATCCAGTCAACCTTATTTCCCTCCCCTTCCGAGACATCGTTTGGTATCTGATATGGTGATCGTACGTGGTACTAGGTTGGAAATTCCAGGAAAATCTTGCTGATGACGAGGTAGATAGTTCATCAACTACGTAACAATGCGCTTCATAGGCGCAATATTAGAAAACCCCTGCATATAATGCCGGAGGTTCACGTAAACCCTTAAAAGTACCCATATACCAGCGTGGATGTTGTGTCACCTCTGTACAGAGAGACTCGCCTCGTTCACGCAAGTACATAGTATATATCGACTCTAACCTGATCAGGAATATGCGCCAAGTCAACAATATGGCTCGCGCAATGCCAAGACTACTCCCCACTTTTTTTCCGCTCAGCTTGCGCGTCTCCGCCACTTCTCCATAATCCTTCACGTACACCACCAACCAGTACTTACGCGTACGTTGGTGACTTGACCATCCGTCGGAGCATCGAAAAGGATTCGGAATATCTTCATTTCAGCGAGATAACCTCCCCGAAACAAGCCCCTGCGATTGGCGGGGAGATGACCATTCAGTGTCGCATACCCTAACGCTTTGTACTTGTGTGTCGAACCCCTTGATGCTACAGATGAGTGGTATAAGAATAGTCTTGACGTGCTACATACACTAGGATCTTTGTAGGAGCGCTACGTAGACGACCAACGTAAGTTGCACTCTATAGAGTACGTACGACGGCTAAGCGGTGGCAGACGTTTCGTTTATCGCGCATGCAGGACAACCTCACTTGCATCCTCACAGATAGTGTGTATTTCTGCTGCGAACCACGTACGCAGTAAGATGCTTATTGTATATTGGCCGCGTCAGATAGGTCGATAGATTCCGGACGTGTTCTTGGCTCTTCGATATGATCATGGCGTCGATGAACACGTCAGGTCAGGCTTCTGAACAATCAATGATATGGAGATAAGATTCGCATACCGCCTATTGTTCGAATGCAGCCTAGCTTGAAAGTGCCAGTCAAATTCGGTGCGTATGTATCAGATTGACAGATTCAAGTCAAGTGTATGAGGCTGTGGGATAGGGTATACGCGGCCCAGGTGCTGGTACCCGCCCTCATTGGCCAGGACATCTCCATGCTGACGACGCTCCCACCAGCCAGCTTGCGTGTTCAGCGTCCCCTAAATTTGCTCCGTATCTTTTTCCCTGTAACACGTATTCTTCGCTTATCCTGATGGCGTTTTTTGATTAATAAAAATAAGGATGTTCAGATGATCGGTCTTACCAAGGATCGCGACATTTGCTGCGTAGGTCTATGTGTAAGCTGTGTAAAGTGTAAGCAGGGCCTGGATTGTTCCGTCTGCGTGGGATGCCAAGACTCATCTGATGTGCAGTGGGCTTGGCAACAATTAGATGTTGGCCTAACAATTCCTGTACACAGCACCGACTTTGCTAATTCGACTCATAGCCATGATTATCCAGTCAATATTTAATAATTTCCAGTCACTTGTCTGTCACCGTCTCATATATAAACTCTCCGGCCGGGCAGAATCTAAAATTAGGCTGAGCCCGCTGGTCACTGCCGATCTTGGCGCAGCCCTAACAGGAAAAGCGTCGAACGTCGAGGCGTCGTAATGAGTCTGACTTCAGCACCCGCGCTTTGCCGTATCCGGTTAGCATCGACCAAATGACCCATCCAGCCCGCCAATCCACGTTGGGGTTTACGTCTGCTTCGTTCTCCCTCCGAGTCCCCATACTCTCGCTCTCTTCTCTTCTTCTCTGTAATTCCTGTTATCCTTTTTGCTCCAACGCTTTTGACTTTCAACAACTACGACGACGACATTCGGTGTTGCGCGTTCTGCTCGTCAGCATCGATTCCCTCTTGTGTACACATAAGACTTGCGCACCCGACCTAAGACATTCGCTCCCTCACCTTGCCAGCAGAACCCCTAGCGCCAACGAGTGGCGCCGCAGACGTCCGCTCGGTCGTGAATCTTGCCCTCTCGCTTTGCGGCACGACGATATAGAGAGACTGCAAAGGAATAAAGGAGAAACACATTGGATCAACGGATCACAATCGGAAAGGAGTAGAGATTTGTATAAGGCGGCAGTCAGAAGGAACTCAACAATGTCCAGATCACAACGACCTACCGGGTCGACAATGGCCGATTTCGATGCAACAGAACTATCCAAGGACTTTGAAAACTTGATGCGAAGTAAACGATTCAATGACTTCCAGGAACAATATTCGCAGTCCAGATCCCGAACGGCTTCTCCAGCCCCTTCGCAATCCGCACTCTCCTCAGACTCGACACAGACGACATCGACGATAAACCGACGACTACCTATTATGCCCCGCCGTCCACACGATAGCGCTTCAGTGAAATTCTGTAATTTGCTACATGTTTTGTCGGTGACTCCGACCAAGTATGAGAATCCGGGCTTGTTGGATGATGCTTTGACCGTCATTCCACTCGATCGCTTGTACTCAGAGGCAGAGAACGAAAGTCAAATACACAAAGCTCGATACGCCAGTATGGGCAAGAAGCCGCAGTGGGGATACCAAGATTTTGTCATCCGCTCGCTTCTCAAGTAAGTGAAGAGTGCAAGTATATGCATGTGCTTGACTAATTGTTTTAGATGGTTCAAAAAGTCATTCTTCACCTGGGTCAACAATCCTCAATGCTCCAAATGCCTTATGCCGACAATCGCTCACGGAATGGTTCCTCCTACCCCGGATGAGACAGCTCGTGGCGCAACACGGGTCGAGGGGTACAAGTGTTCGGGCTGTGGAGCGATAGAACGGTTCCCGCGGTATTCGGATGTCTGGCAGTTGCTGCAGACTCGATGCGGTCGCGGTGGTGAATGGGCCAATTGCTTTACGATGCTTTGCCGAGCTTTGGGTAGTCGAGTGCGTTGGGTGTGGAACTCAGAGGACTACGTCTGGACCGAAGTATATTCTGAACACCAACGGAGATGGGTACATGTCGATGCTTGCGAGGGTGTCTGGGACCAGCCGCGACTTTACACCGAAGGTATGTTTCAGTCATCTACAAATCACTGAGTGAGATCTGACCACGTATACAGGCTGGAATCGCAAACTCTCATATTGCATTGCATTCTCTATTGACGGCGCAACTGATGTGACACGACGATATGTTCGAAGTTCTTCGAAACACGGGGCGCCACGAAACCGAGTTGCAGAAGACGTACTGTTGTGGGCGATATATGAGATACGCAGATTGCGACGTGAAAAACTTTCCGAACAAGACCACCGACGGTTGAGGAAAGAGGACGAAAGAGAAGAGCGAGAGCTCCGCATGTTTACGACCTCGGCCCTTGCAGCAGAGATCACCTCTCTATTCCCAGGCTCACGACGATCGGCTCGGGGCGACGAGCAGAAGACGCCGTTAACCCAAGACGAAGCTGCAGCACAATGGATCAATGGCAGACCGCAGAACGAAAATGAAAGTCAAGGGCCGGATTCTCAGCGGGATTTTGATCGCCGGTGACCAAACAACAATTTCTGTTGAATAATTATCACGATGACACCTCATCCACTATTCGAACCGAGTCAACTAATCTCGACGTCACGTCGCCCTGCATCAGAGGAGCGAAATAGAATCTCTCCGTGCGTTGCCTACCATCAATAGCAGCGCATCTCACCAAACAACGTCCACCCTTGGCTTGCTGCCGACTCACTCGACTCGACCAGTCCTCTCTCTATATACCTTTTCTTCCATATTCATTTCTATATTCACTTCTTGTGTATACTTGAAAGCTCCGGCTTTCTTTTTCTGTTCATACCCTTCGTCCTCACCGGGCATTTTTGATAACGTCTCACGTCTTTTTCTTTTTCTCAAGACATTCATGACAAACTTCGGACTGGCTCTTTTCCATTCTCACTACTTATATAACATCATTGGCGGCGTTTATCCTCTGCAAGGAGAGAGTGATGGGTTCTACAGGACTTTTGCTTTAGGGCTTGATGCATTGGGGTTTTTTGGTTATATGACATGGGATTCAATCAACTTTCTTTTTTTTCTCTTCTTTATAGCTATGGCAATGGAAGGCAAGAGGCGCACGTCATACATTGATAGAGAAACCCATATCTTTTCTCTATTTTTACTTCTTAACGGGACGCGCATGACCGGCATGGGATTTGCTCATCTGATTTATGTGATTAGATATTGCATGACATATTCAATATAAATGCTCATCATTCTTTACTCTTTTATTTTAGGGTATCATCAATACATTAATCTTGCAAACATACACAAACAATCCGAAATCGATCGAACGTGGCGTTCTAATCACGATACTCCTCGCTCGCCTCCTGCCCACCACTACTATTCGAGGAGGTACTTCCATTATTCTTACGCACGAACTTCAGGTCCGACAGACCATAGAACACAATCGAACCCAGACCCAACACGGCCGACAACACGGTAAACGTCATCGCAACAATACCCCTCGTCGTAAATCCATCAGGGATCCAGCCGGGCTGCACATTCTGGCCTGCGAGATCGGTATAATCGTTTGTGTTACCCGCTGCATTCCCTTCTGATTTTACGCCTGCAGCGGCGCAGGCGGCCAGGTGGTCAGATGGGAGAGTCATTTGTTGCTGGAGTTGGGTGGGTGCTTCGATGAATACCATCCCCAAACCCTGCGCAAGATGCCAGTCGATGTGGCAGTGGAAGATCCAGACGCCTGGATTATCGGCCACAAACCGGATGACGAAGTGGCCCTGGGGTGGCAGGACGAGCACATCTCGTCTTGCAGGGTAGGTAGGGAATGCGGAGTGATTTGATGGATCGTAAGGGACGGGATCGCTGTCGGCGAGTTCGTAGAAGTCGGCGCCATAGCCGGGGTAGCGCGTCAACACCTGAAAGTTGTGGCCGTGTAAGTGGAAGGGATGAGAGCCTTTGTCGTTGTTGTTGAGGATGATTTCGACGACGTCGTTATGACCCAGAATCATTGGGTGGGTAAACTCGCCGTAGACGGTTGGATCGGTGACCTGGTCCCCTGAAGACAAGACGGTGTAGAGAGTAGGCACCTTTGGCGCGGTGTAACTGATGTTGTTGAGGAAAGCGTAGCCGTTTCCATTGTCGAGGTTCTCCATGACGACATCCAGCTGGATTGACAGCGTCGGGTTTTCCAGTAATGGCATATGGTCGTAGGGGACAAGTGTGCTGTCGTCGTATGGGACAAGGTCCGATGACACGGCGATCATGATATTGGCCTGTGGATGGTCCGCCGAAGCATCGTACTGGAGCCAATTGGTATTATTGAGACGTAGATTCGAGGGAATAGTGTCAAGCAGCGTCGAATCTACGACAGTGACAATCGGGTAGTTCTTATCAGTCGTATTTTTCGTCGTCAACAATACCGAATAACGCTGCGCAACTGAGATATACAAAGTATCGGCCTCGGTAGGTTCGGTGTAAACGCCATCAATCTCGACGATTGTAAAGGTGTGATCTTCAATATAAAAGTATTGTGCGACGAAAGCGCCGGTATTTATCAATCGGAGCAGATACGTCGTATTGGGTTTGACGGTGAGGCTGAGATCGTGAGTGTCGTTGAACAGGAAGGAATTCGGAATTGGTTCGGATCCCGTCGGATGGTAGACGCTCATGAATTTGGGCTTGATGTCCTCCATCATGTCGTGGTACCAGTCCGACAAAGTGACCGCAAATTCCTCCTCATATTGGCCGGCGAAATAGGATGTGTTGTCGTGGACAATTAACGCTTGGCGGTAACCGTCCGGATAGCAGTATTCCTACCGAGACTCGTCAGTCGTGCAATTTCTCTGAGCCATTAGTTCTACTTACTGTGTGGCAGTGATACCAGTACGTGCCTTGCTGGTTGACTGTGAAATTATATGTAAAGCTCGATCCCGGCGGAATGGGACACTGGGTCACCATCGAAGCGCCATCCATATCATTCGTCCCATTTTGAAACATGCCATGAAAATGGATGCTTGTACTCTTGTCGCCCAGCCCATTGTACATATTAACAATCAGCTGGTCGCCCTTGTCTACCTCGATGATCGGCAGCGGCCATTGGCCATTGATACCCACGACTTTGCGGTCCGCCAGCCCATCCGGGTTGGCAGTTACCCAAGTAACGTTGAAGTCATAGACGACTTCTTTGGCAGCCGCAAATTCCCCAATTGCGAACAGCAGGAAGACGAGAAGGTGCAACATGTTGGGCAGCAGCTACACAATCTCTTGAGCTGTCATCCGCTCTCGTGGTGGGAGTGCAACTTATACGGATGGAGGGAGTGCCATGCGCGAAATATCTCGCCTGATCACGATTACCGAGCTGGCTTCGGGATCTGGTGCAGTGAGTGCAGTGAGGTAAGTGCAGTGACACGTAGCGAATCACGAGCTGGCGATGACCGACTTGCACCCGGCAACATCCATATCAGATCCGTCTCAGGCGCGAATCTTTCGACAGACGATCCAATGCGAAGAGACAAATCCCAACACGAGGGTGCCTGACGAATGAAAAATTTGCATCAGATAGGACGATGCTCCACTGGCAATTATCTGATGGAGGCGGCTGATTGACGGACTGGCCATACAAGGTTCCTTAGCGTGGGGTTAGTAAGGGACTGAGCGTACACTAGACCCGACACAGCGAAGCCGCCAGATCAGATAAGATGTCACCTGATGCCCGATTGGCGAGGGTTTTTGCCCGGCTTTCCCCTGCTGTCACTTTTAACATTCCTCTTCATGCTCCCTGGTGCCGCTCCCTGGGCCTTCTCTTTTCTACGTTTCTCCTAGTATTGTCAACATGGGGTCGTCCAAGGTCTTTGCCGTTCAGGTCTTCTTCATCGTTTTCCGTGAGTGCCTTGAGGCCTCCATCATCATCTCAGTGTTGCTCTCCTTTCTGAAACAAAGTTTGGGCGAACCACACCATGATCACACCTTATATAAACGATTAGTCCGACAAGTCTGGTACGGATCATTCGCAGGCATACTCATCTGTCTCATTATTGGAGGCGCCTTTGTGGGCGTCTTTTACGGGCTCGGCCATAACATCTGGACGAACGCGGAGAAGCTATGGGAGGGTATATTCTACCTGATTGCGTGCATCATTGTCACCGCGATGGGACTGGCTCTTTTACGCATCAACAAGAGCAAGGAGCAGTGGCGTATTAAGATTGCCAAGTCGTTGGTCGAACAGAGCAAGAATACGAAAAAGTCCAGATTGTTTGGCAATTGGGCACGGCGTTATGCCATGTTCTTGCTCCCGTTCATCACCACTCTGCGAGAGGGCGTTGAGGGCGTTGTTTTTGTTAGTGGTGTCTCGCTGGGCTACCCGGCTACTGCGTTCCCGTTGCCCGTCGTGACAGGCATCATTGCGGGATTGGGGTGCGGCTTTTTGATCTATCGCGGTGGTAACGCCATGTCTATCCAGCTTTTCCTCATCGCCTCGACATGTGTTCTTTACTTGATTGCTGCCGGCATGTTCTCCAAAGTGGTTTGGGATCTTCAGTATTATAGCTTCCAGAAGGCTGTGGGCTCCGACGTTGCCGAGGCAGGAAGTGGTCCAGGATCATACAACATTCTCGAAACTGTTTGGCACGTCAACTGCTGCAACGCAGAGACGGACAATGGCTGGGATGTGTTCAACTCTATTCTGGGATGGGAGAATACGGGTACCTACGGGTCGGTCATTGCGTATAACGTGTACTGGATCTTTATCATGCTTACTGTCGGATACATGCTATGGGAGGAACGGTCGGGCAAGCGTTCGCTCCGTGAGCGTATCCTTATGGTATTGGTCAAGGTGCCTGGCTTGAAGGGATATGCCAAGGCAAAGCTCGATGTGCTGCAAGAGAATCCAGAGGATATTGTGCGTCAGGTGCACAGTGGGATGTTTCATGACGGCGTGGTCGAGCAGACTGTGGAAATGAAGTGAGCATGTCAACTGCTGAATAAAAGTTATGTATATAGAAAATAGGGTTACTGGCGCTGGATTGCGTTCCTAATATTAGACATCATGATAATGACCTCGTTTAAGTCCATCATAGTTATTTCTTACGACGTGAGATAATCTAAATCATGAAATTGTTTTTGTTTCCCGCAAATCTATCTCGTCGCGGAAGGTGGGGCGACAAGAACATTTTGCAGGCGACATGCGGGACTGACATTTCCTCTACGTAGCACGGTCCATACATATAGGAAGGCAGTTAGATAATATTTGTTTTCTCGGAGTTACTTCGCCGAAAAATATTGATCAGTACAGAAGATTGCAACCCATGTTGCGTGCCACTCAATGTCGTGTTCAGCAGAGGTTGGTATCAAAACTTTTTTTTCTTGCAAGAATGTACTGACGGTTCACTTTATAGCACTACGATGGCTGCTTCCCAGTCACTGCTTTGAAAGAGATCTATATCGACTCTTCAGAGTATCTTCTCAAAGGCCAAGGACCTTATGTCTCTGTGATCGATGTCACAAGCGGGGAGACTATACACAAACTCAGGGTTTTCAGACGAAACAATGTCCACGGATTCATGATTGATGAGCTGCGATGCAAAGAGCAAGATACTATTAGTGTGCTCGCATGGGGCGGGCCTTCCTTGCGAGCTATTCAGATACAGCAAGATGAGAAACTTCGACTTCGGATCGTTTGCAGGACGCTTGAGCATGCTGCTCCCGACTGGATATATGATATCTGTCCAGCGCATATTGAAGATAATTCGAGTCTGGCTTACTTGATCACGGGCCACAACTCTGTGTTGTCTATCAAGTTGAAGGAAGTCAAAGATTCAAAGTACTTCAACGCTATACAATTGAGACGCTTGATCAGTGGTGTCAAGTCTACACTCTATTCTGCCGATATAGTGGTCCTCTCCTCTTCCCATATCCTCATAGCAGCTGGTACCGTCTTCGGTGAGATTATCGTCTGGTCTTGTTTCAGAGGCACAGATGCAAATACGCCTATTGTGACATCTTCAATTCACCACTTTTTCACCGGCCATGACGGCTCAATCTTCGGAGTCAGCATTTCCGACGAACTACGACTAACCAAAGCTGGGAAAGAGCATCGAGTGAGGCTTCTCGCAAGCTGCAGTGATGATCGTACGGTGCGAATTTGGGATATTTCTGATTGCACCCATACCACTGCCACGGATCGCGCGGCATACGTGACGGATGGGTTTGACTTGCGGAGCACAGGCTTCGGAAGTACTGCACCCCAGAACATATCAAGTGGCTCGGAGTCAGCTGTTGCCAAGGGCTGGGGTCATAGCTCTCGTGTATGGGGTGTTTACTTTCTACCTGTCAGAGGAGACTGCACAACAACGGTCAATCTCATCTCGAAGGGCGAGGATGCTACAAGCCAATTGTGGCGGCTGGACTCAACATATTCAAAATCGGATGAAAGTCTTCAATACGAGTTGAGCAATATCTCGTCTCTAAGTCAGCATGCAGGGAAGCATATTTGGTCATTAGCGTTTTCTAAAGGAGATGGCGATTCACAGTTACTATACACGGGTGGTAATGACGGTGCAGTCAGGACATACGAGTTGACTCATATAGAGAGGTCTGACGATAAGAAAAAATTACCTACCGAGTTATCGCCTTACTGTCCGCGGACGTTACTGAAAGCGGAATACTCCAAGGTCGACACTGGCAGTATTGCGCCGCGAAGCTTTGATTTCGTGTCGAAAGATACTCTTGTCGTGGTTAATGCAAGTGGTCTTGTACAGTTGGGGACTTTTACGAACGCTCCTGGCACAATCAAACCGCAGGTACAGTGGGAAACGCTGTCAACAGAGGAGGACTTGCGCTCTCTTTCTACAATATCTTCCCTTCCAAGCTGTGGTCTTGCAGTAATTGGTGGCTCAACAGGAACGTTGCGTCTATACAACCATTCCACCAAGCAATTGACGGATTTCGTACAAGTCCCTCGCCGTCCTGTGAAAATTGTCATGTTAGACGCCGAGGTCGATGATGTAACAGGCCTCCCACGAAGCTTCAAATTCCTTGTGGGATATCCCCAGCATGAAGAGGCACACTTATTTAATGTTGAAATGACAGCAGACGGATATGATGTGACAAAAACGAATTTGGTAATACCACCATCATTTGCAATCGCTACGGCGTCTTACGTCTGCCAGGGCAAATGCCTTGCTGTTGGTGGTAAAATGGGCCAACTTCTGTTATATTGCCTAGACTCGGACAAAGAAAAGCTCGAGTACTCATATGCTATGTGGCGAGCTCATGGAAGAGAATTTGTGAACTTTGTCCAATCTATGGATGATGAGACTTCCGATACGGGATATGTTTTGACCGGTGGCGGAGATGGCCATTACTGCGTCTGGCGTTTATACATGCAGTCAGATGGTGATGGAAAATGGAGTTTACAACAAATCCACCGCTCATCAGCGCCATTATCAAAAATAGAAGGCGCTTATTTCGATGACCAAACTGGTCAATTTATTCTCTACGGTTTCCGGGGCGTTGCTTTTGTCCTGTGGAATGAGACTACGCAGACTCAAATCTTAACACTTGATTGCGGTGGTGTCAATCGAGTATGGAAGTTCATGCACAATCCCGTCAACCTAGGAGCGGGTACGATAGTCTGGATCCAAGCACGAGCGTTGCACGCCGTTGTTGCGGATTCAGTCCTACATCGTCCTTTGCAAATGGGCAGTCATGGGCGCGAGCAAAAGACTTTAGCGGTATCTAAAGCAGGCAACCATGAAGGTCCACTTATAGCTAGCGGGGGCGAAGATACAATGATACGTATTTCAGTGCCGTTGCCAAGATCAAAAGACAAAAGCAGCACGTGGAACTCTGTGCAGTGTTTGCGTATTATGAGCGCCCACGTTAGTGGCTTGCAACAAATCAAATGGTCGGATGACGGTCGATTCTTGTTCTCGAGCGCCGGAAGAGAGGAATTCATGGCATGGAGACTGCGATCTGTGCCGAGATTTGGTGCCTCAGCATTGTTGGAAGCGGCATGTCCACGAGAGGAGCTGGATATAGAGCTTCGCGTGACTAGTTTTGACGTGCTTCGTATGGAGTCATCGGCTGATGAGGATAAATTTTTGATGGCTCTTGTATATTCGAATTCTACCATCAAGGTGAGCCTCCTGCTTTTTTATGATAAACTTGGCTTACACGAACAGATATTTTCCTATATAAGCTCGATGGGCGCACATACATATGAGCTCCTTGGAAGAGGGACCTATTCCACGAACTGCTTAACGGAGGTCCATTTCATGGTTCGAGAGTCCAAAGTCTTCCTGGTTACAGGAGCCACGGATGGATATATCGCTGTCTGGCCTGTGGACTGGATAACGCCCAAGGAATCTGGGCGATTCTCTGTGAACATGACCTCCGACGTCCAACCACTGAAATGGGAATTGCATCATGCCGTCCATACCAGCAGCATAAAAACCTTGGAACACGAGGAAATCCTTCCAGGTTACCAGATGCTCCTAAGCGGCGGTGATGATAATTCTTTAGCAGTCACGCTCGTCAAGCTGGATGACGTTCGCGTAGTCAGCAGCGTATGTGTTGCGAACGCGCATGCATCTGCGATCACGGCAGTCAAAATCTTGAGCTGTCGCACAGACACCGCTACCACGATAGAAGTCGCATCGTCAGGTAACGATCAGCGAGTTAAGTTGTGGTCTGTTGTTGTTGATCTAGAGAATACTCGGTCGCAAGTGCTTCGCATTTCGCTGCAGACAGATCGGTACAGTCCTGTGGCGGATATTGCAGCAATGGATGACATGGAAATTATCGATACTGCGGGCACTACGAGGAGGGTGTTGGTTCTGGGAGGTGTTGGGATGGAGATATTGACCATCTAGAAATAATAGAAAATAGTACAGCCTCAGGCAGGAAGGCAGCAAGGCAGCCAGGCATCGAGCCAAGGATCGACACGTCGGCCAGTACGTAAGCAGGAAGACTAGACCGTAAAGAGTAAAGGCAATGAACATCGCATGGAGTTCCAGAAGAGGAGAATGCTGCGATGACGTTGGTGTTTCACTTGCAGAATGTCAGTGCCTGGAGTCCTCAAGGCGAGAAATTGACTTTGTACTTCCGATAGCTTTACTCTGTACGGAGTACGGAAAACACGCAAATTAAATCACAGCCTCAGTGCGTGGCATTCGCTCCCACGTAAGCCCTGTGTAGCTACCAACTTAACGATGCAAAAATAGAAACACAGAAAAAATTAAGGCTGGGCCAGGTTGAGGCTGGGTGAGGGTGGTGGAGCCTTGCGTAGCATGTACTAACACTTGACTGGATGTTGGCCGCTCAGCCACGCTTCCTCCGCCAGTCACAATACTTTCTACACGCGGCTGGATGGAGACCGTAATCTCAGCACTGACCTGGCTTTGTTTATTTAAGACTCTGTCTGCCAGCGTCATTCTTCTCTCTCTTTCACATTCATCTTGCATTCGTTCATCGATTGTGTACTCTTCATTGCATTTGCGTCGACCTTCGCTATTTGTAACAACTACAAATAAACCGCCAACATGACCTCCATCGGTCGCATCGCGTGTATCCTCTTCCCATATGCCGCTACGGTCGGGGCACTGATATCACTTATCTTCGTCGGTATCGGCTGCACGAATTCCAAATCCACCACCGAAAATGATCTCTACTTCTTCAGAGTGCGTTTCCCCGCCCATTTCCGATCAATGAATCATACTAACAACTACAGGCCGATATGAGCAACCTCACTAGCTCAGGAGGCAGCTCCCTCGCTGACCAAGCTGCCAGCGCACTCGGCGATCTCACCAACCTCGGCAGCTCGTCCCTTGAAACTGCCCTCGCCGAAGCCATCGCCGCCAACACCATCCGCGACTTCTACGACATCGGTCTTTGGGGCTATTGCGCGGGCAAAAAGACCAGCGCCGGCGAGTACAAAGTCGACTACTGCTCCAAGCCCAAAGCCGAGTTCTCATTCGACCCCGTTGACGTGTGGGGATTGAACAGTACCAGCGCTGCCGGTGCCGTGGACGATATCCTGCCCACCAACCTCCATAAGGCATTGAATACGTACAAGTCTGTCTCGAAATGGATGTTTATCGCCTATATCATCGCGTTTGGCGCTACCGCTGTGGAATTGATTGTTGGTCTGTTCGCGATCTGCAGTCGTCTCGGTAGTCTGGTGACCAGTCTCATCTCGGGTGTTGCATTCCTTTTCACTGCCGCCGCCTCAATCACTGCAACCGCCATGTTCGCTGTGTTCCTAGGCACATTCAACACTGAATTGAAACAGTACGGCATGCACGGCTCAATGGGTAAAAACATCTATGTGGCTACATGGATTGCGACTGCGTTTGCGCTCGGCGGCACATTTTTCTGGCTCTTTAGCTCCTGCTGCTGTGCCGCGCGATCCCCTTACCACGGTGGACGCGGAAACCGTGGCCGCGTTATGGCCGAAAAGGCACCGTATACCTATGAGCGTGTGAGCAGTCCGTATGCCGGTAATGCAGCGCCTGCTGGTCCTGCGGCTCCTTATTCTCAGCAGCATAATGTGCCCATGCAGACGTTCCGACAGGATGCGTATGAGCCTTTCCGTCATGTATAGACTAGTTGGAACTATTTCGTTTTTTGTGTGTTTTTGCATATGTGGTTGAAATCTTATGACCTAACGATTGGGGATGGCTATGAACTATGCGGATTTGTTTTGGTTTGATCTACGATGATAAATTCGATACCCAATGAATTTGCTATATTTCAATATTCACGATTACCTTATCAAATCGTATTTTTGTTCGTGTCTCATGTAATGCCATGTATGCATCGTAAAATGTACGAAAACTTTTAAGCTAGAATGAGCAATGCAATGTAGAGTTCCAAATGCTCCAAATAGGAGGAAGGGATGTGTACGTACGTACATAGTTCGGAATGGAATAACTATTTTCCTGCTGTTGCTCAACTCAAGTTGAACCTCCGATGAACCACAAGCATCCTTGTTGTTACTCCCAATCACTAATCATGGAAACATCAGGTGAAAGGCTGTGCTATCGGCGCTTAGTTCTTGTCAGTGTCAATAACTGACATGTCCAAGCAGGAAAATTGGAATGATTTAGTCTTTCAGAGCCTTCTATCTACATTCTCGTCCAGCAATTGATTTCACAACTACTTTGTGGTACATTGTCAATTCAGCCTCACCATTTCCCTTCTCTTCTCCAAGATGGCATGGAACCATACTACTTATGTCCATCGGTCAGACCCATATCCGACAGCGAACGGATTCTGCATCTGCTCAATGATCACATGTGCAATACGCATAACCTATTATCTTTTTCCCTGAAGCTCGTCAAATTATTCACCGTCTTCAAGCGTGCCGGCACGTGTACAGGAACTACAGCCTTGTTCGATAAACCTGCTTGCTTCGTTGGCAAGATACCGCCTTAACCAATGACTGATTTTGTCCCTCCACCCCAAGTTCTTGCTGCTCTAAAGTCATGCTGCAAATCACACATCATGTTGCAGGATATATTGCGGATATACCGGAATCTCTATGCTTTATCATTTGTTGCGGTGAGCGTGTAGATGCATCTGTCCCAAAAAGAGGAAGACAGAGACACGAAAAGGGGGCTTCAATTGAGGCCGTTGATATCCGCTCTATGTCCATACGCATTGCATCGGCTCGGGTCACGGCGGTCATGACCTTTGGGGCCATTAGGTTTTTTTGTGCGTGCAGGAATGTGAAAGAAAGTGTGGGGAATGCGTTTGATCCTGTGTTAGAGCTCTGATCGAGTTCAGGTCACTCCGCGTTCTTTATTCCCTGCATAGTCGTTGACCTTTTCCTCCCCCTTTTTCTCTTTAAATACCCCTCCACATTTGTCCCTCTTTGTTCTACTTCTATCATGAAACTTACGTTTTCAACACTAATACTCAGTCAACAATAAGCTGATGCGGACAATCTTCGTTCCCTCGTCTCATCTAGGTCCTCACCATTATCTCTAATCTGACCATCATATATCTCATCCGCCATGTCATCCTCCGCAACAGATAAGCACAAAGGGGCCCATTTAAACACCAGAAATCCAAAGAATCCACTCCAGCATCTGAATCTAAAGTCTTCGTCTTCTTCTGCTTCTTCTACTTCTGCTTCACTCTCTGTTTCTACTCCTGCATCGTCGCTACGGTCAGACTCGCCACCGCCGCAGTTGACAAGACCAATGCCTCCCTTTACGATCGAGATTCAGTGTGTACAACACGCATCTGATACCCAAAGTAAAATTATGCCTGTGACGATTATTGTACCGAGCCAATCGAAGCTTGTCTTATCATTAGAGAATCTCACTGATCAGCAATCCAGTGCAGTGCAAAAGTCTAGCGAACCGGCGAAGGAGGAGAGGAGAAGCGATGAAGCGCAGACCTTGTTAGATGCCGAAATAAAGAGACTCGAGGAGAAGGTTGAGCGCTTATCAAAGAGAAATGACGAATTGCAGGAACGCAATTCCGAAGGAGGGCGGGAACAATCTCAAGTTGCCAATACAAACAGAGCTCTTCGAGAAGGCATAAATGACGCGACTTCTATTTTAACGAATCTTCTTGATAAATATGCTTTTCGGAGATATGTTTTTATGGAGTGGCATAAGAAGAAAGCATCCAAGAAAGGGGGTGACACGGATGGGGAGTTGATGGAAGACCTAAATGAAGTGTCCTTAATGATTGAAAAGGATTACTCGTCGATGCGGCGGGAGAATGAACAACTAAAGAAGCGATCGAAGGAGCAGGGGGATTCATACCGGCAACAAGGCGAAGAACTCAATGAATGCCGACAGCAAGTCAAAAACCTTGAAGCCAAAAATCGAACACTGGAAGATCAAGCTGCTCGAGGACGGGCTGCCCGAGCTGCCCGAGCCGAACGAGAAAAAGCTGAACGAGAGCGAGCTTTACAACAACAAATCACACAGCTCGAACGCGAAAAGCAAGACCAAGTCGCAGGCGAACGAGAGATTAGAGAACAAGCCGAAGAACAAGCCCGCGAACGAGCTGCCGAAGTACAAAATTCCCGCCAAGAAATTACACAGCTCCAAGGTCGAATTCAAACAATGGTTGATCAAGTCGCCCGCGAAGGAGAGCTTCGGAACCAAGCTGAAGAACGAGCCCAAGAACGAATCACACAGCTCGACCGTGAAAAGCAAGAATTGAGTGACCAACTTACCTTGGAACAAGAGACCCGTGAAAACGTCCAAGCTTGGAATGGTATTCTTACCCAAGATGCCAACATTTTAAGAACACAGGTGGAAACCCTTCGGAACCAGCTGACCGAAACTCAACAGCGGAATAATGCCTTGGACACACAGAGGCAAGGTGATATTGAACTAATACTGGCTATTCTTGACACGCAACAGCTCCGAGAGAACTTTCTGATTCACCAACACAACGAAGCCTTACTACAACACGCTATCACGAGGGAGGCTGGTGAACAACTTGTACAGGCTGTCGGAGATACGGACAATCTCCACGAGGAAGAAATAGGTTTTCTTCTTTATCAAATAGCCGAAATGGATGACGCGTCCTGTTCAGAGGCAGACCTTCAGAGAGTCATTAAAGCGCTCAACCGACACTCCCGATCAAGCAACAGGCCCCGTTTTAGATGGACGCGAAACAGACGGACGCGGCAATTAGAGTGTGTGACGATTTCCCCTTGACTTAGCTCTACATTGCAAAAGGCATTCACTGACATTTTGCCAGGTACATGACACTAAATGGTCAGTGGAGACAACTGCAAGTCAAATTTTCAATTCTCCGACATTGACATTGGGCTTAAGTCAACAGTGCGCAATGTTTCCGCCTTTTTTTGAAACAATAGATTGTCATTATGTGTCTCCTATATCATGTCATACATCTTCTATGTTAGTCTTCTGCTAGACTCTAGCTTTGCAGACCTAAAAGTTGAATCTTTGGAATTGAATACCCTCGCTGACAGATGCGCTCTTAGCTTAATAACGATGTTCAAATTATAATCTCATGGAATAATCTCATGAAACAGCTGGAGATGAGAAAATTTCTAGACTGATCGCAAGTGTACTGCTGGATATTGCCCAAGTCGACCAAAGTACATGAACCAAGGCACATGTTACGATAGTTATGGGACTAAAGATTATGGATAAGCACTATACGTAGTAAGGTTGAGGCCCTCAGTACGGTACCGCCAGGGCTGCCACAAGTACAAACAGAAACACAGCCTTCAGAAAGGTCGTCAATTATGTACAATGTCCTTGAGATGCTCAATTATTAATAACTCAAACCCATCAGTCGCATGACAATTCATTGACATCGGCAGGGCAATACAAGTTGCCAACATCCTAGTGGGGTTCAACACAAAAAAATGGACTCCGATTAGCTCAGAGTCAAGTTAGACGAGAGGCTCAATGGCTCAACAACGAGAGACCGCTCAAATACCTAACCGTAGAATATAGGATGTATCCCAGCGATATTACCCGATACAACGTTGATGTAGCCAACCGAACTTGTGCAATGCGCATCTTCCTTGAACCTTCAACGCCAAGGCGCGATGTGAAGTGGCCATTGTAGAGCGTATCTGGATAGCGATGGATTTGCCTGATTAGGTTGATTGTACCGAGCTCGAATTTAAAAATAAGAGCAATGTATCCACAAGCCAAAATGTACTCTGTACTGACTGTAAGTTTGTTAGTACTTGATTTGCTCATCTCTCTAGAAAATATCGAATTTGCCGCTGTGGTACAGAGGGAGTACAAGTGGCTTAGTGCAGAATAAAGTTATCGAGTCCGCTAAGCTCAGCCTCATATGGGGCCAGCTCGTGTTTGCAAGTCTTGAGCCCCTTTTGGCCTGCTCCGCCCGTGTTACAGGATGAGATACTCTGATACTGTATTGGAAATACTAGTATATTCTTCTCGAGCATTACATAATAAGTGATGATTACTCTTTGATTTCTTTCTACAGACGCATTCGTCAGCATCCCGCCAATCAGCATGGGGCGATCCGACCCGAGTTTCAAGTCGTGGCTCACCGTAATTTACCCAGTAATTTACGGAATATATACCCGGATGGTCAGCGGTTAGCCCGGGTTACCCCGTGAAAACCCTGGGGCGTAGCGTATTTTAAGTAATGTTGGTGTAAGGTCAGCCTAAAATAGACAAAGACCAAGATTTGATTCGTCTGCGTCATTTCATGCAAGCAAGTTAGCGCTGCCTGCTCGTCTCATATATTCTCGCGTGTCCTTTCATTCATTCATCCTTTCTTTCACAACACCTCGACGATATACCACCAAGACAAATCTCGACATCACATCATCAATCATCATGTCGCTACGCAGCTTCGCCCTTCTGGGTCTGGCTGCCGGCGCCCTTGCTGCCGAGCCCAGGGTGCTGCACATGCCAATGGCCCGCAACCCAAATGCCAATCGTCTCGCCAAACGAGGCGCGGCCTCTGTTACCGTCACAAATGCCATGAGCGAAGGCATTTACTTTGTGAACGCGACGGTTGGAACACCCGGTCAGCTAGTGCAGTTGGTCTTGGATACTGGTAGTAGTGATGTCTGGTTCTTCGGTGCTAATTCGTGCAATACGACGACTTCTGATTGTCTGGGCGGAGAATGTACGTTTTTTTTCTTTTCATTCCTTACATTCCGATGCCATGTGGTTACTTGGCACGTGAGTTTTGAAGATAGCTAACCGTCGATCATTAGATGACCCCTCAAAATCTTCCACTGTCGAGATCGCCCAACCTAAAGGAACATTTTCCATTCAATATGGCACCCCCGGCTCGAATGTCACTGGCAACTATATCAAAGACGCATTCAGTGTTGGCGAAGCCAACGTGACAAACCTCACCATGGCTTACGCTACCTACGCGGCATATGTTCCTACCGGTGTGATGGGTATTGGATTCGACACCAACGAGGCCATCACAGCGGAGAAAAACGGCCAGCCCTACCCGAACTTCGTCGATGTGCTTAAGTCGGAAAATGTTATCAGCACCAAGGCGTACAGTTTGTGGTTGAACGATCTCGATGCAAGCACTGGAAGTTGTCTGTTTGGTGGCTACGATACCAAGAAATTCTCCGGTAACCTCTTGACGGTGCCTATTCAGCCCGACGAGTCATCCGGTGAGCTGACCAGTATGACTGTCGCATGGACTGCGCTCGGAGTTACAACCAAGTCTGGATCACAGACAATCACTTCCTCATCTTTCAAATCACCCGCGTTGCTCGACTCGGGTACCACAGTGAGTATCGTGCCGAATGATATTTACGACGCATTGGTCCAGTTTTTCGATGCAACGGAGGACCAAGCAGGTGACGCGATTGTCCAATGCTCCCTTCTTGATAACTCGGGCACTCTTGACTTTACATTTGGTGGATCTGACGGTCCAGTCGTCAAGGTGCCTTTCTCTGAGTTTGCACTGCCTGCAACTACCTCCACTGGCGCGCAAGCGACCTTTAACGATGGGTCATTGGCGTGTTTTCTTGGTCTACAAGGAACCGGCTCCGACCCAACAACACAGTTGCCCGTTATTCTCGGCGACACATTCCTTCGCTCTGCTTATGTGGTGTACGATCTCGACAACAAGCAAATCTCTCTCGCGCAAACTATCTTTAACGCGACAGACAGCAACGTCGTTGAAATCACCTCCGCCAGCCCTATTGCCAGTGTTGTGAGCGGCGTCTCAGTCGCCCAGACCGCAACTGGTAACCCCAACCAAATTGGCGGCCCTACTGCTACCGCCGTCCCGACCGGTTCTAGCACCTCAACCGGCTCAGGCAGCTCAGGCGGTTCTGATCTTTCCGGCAGCAGCCTCACCGTCTCTCTTACTCCTGCCACGTCGACTGGCTCTTCATCCTCATCTAGCTCCGGTCAAAAATCTTCGGCTAACCCCGCTGCTATGCCGGACTTTATGAGCACTGCTCTCGTTGCGGGGGCATCCATGTTGCTCGGAGGTGTTTTCTTCGTCCTTCATTAGATATGCTGGACAGTTGATGATTTACGGCTCTTATATGCAATAAGGTGTACATTTCGCTTGGTTTTTTTCGGCTTGACAATATCTTTTTTCTGCCATGCATTCTGAATATACAATAAATGTCTTAGTGGATAGATTGAATGTACATATCATTAATACAGCTTGATCATAAGAATCGTTGATTTAGTATATGCAATATGTTAGGAGAAAGTTTTACTTTGAAGTGTCCCAACTCGTCTTCCCAGAATGCAGATACTCCTGCCCTTTCTTCAAAACCTCACTATTCTCTCGCCCCAGCCACTCCGGCTCCAACGCCTGGATTCTATCTTCAATCTCGTAACTCTTCCCCCCACCAACCCAAACAATCTTTCCCGAAAACGGCAACACAGCACCTTCATGCCGTTTACTTTCTGACCGATTCGCAGTTGCGCAAATGAGGATCGCGTTTGCGACGTCTTCGGCTTCGTTAGAGGGCAGGCCGAGGTTGTACCACCCTTGTTCGATGCCAGTAACCATTCTCGTTTCTACATAATTAGCTTTTCCCATTATAATTTCTTTGAAGGGGGGGAGGGAGAAAAGGACATACTGGTCATCCATGGACAAACCGTATTAATCCTGATTCCTTCCTTCGCCGCCTGCAACGCCAATCCTCTCATCAACCCAATTACGCCATGCTTACTGGCCGTATATGTCGTGAGGCCTTCACATTCTTTGAAACCCGCTATACTCGACACGAGGACTATATCCCCTTTGTGTGCTGATGAGTTTTTGCGTAGGTAATGTAAGCCCAGCCTAGCGGTGTATAAGGGCCCCTTGAGATTAACGTCGATTTCGGCGAGATTCGGCGCTGAGAGGATTGCGTCGTCGGATTCGTGCAATGGAAGGAATGGATCCTTGTGGATTGCGATTGCGGCATTGGCGATTACGATGTCGATGCGCTTGTGGAGGTTGTATGCTGTTTGGAAGAGGTGCAGTTGGTTGGCGTAGTTTGATGTGTCGCAGTGGACGAAGTGTACTCTCTCTTCTGTATCCTTGCTGTTTAGAGTCGAGACGAGTTTTGTGGCGAGTGTGTCGTCGACGTCGCCGAAGATGATTTTTGCGCCGGCCGCTGTATGGAGTCAGTCTGGTAGAGAATGGAGTTGAGGTTTGAGGAACGGACAATGAAGTTGTTGCACGACACTCTGGCCTACTCCTTGTGCGCCGCCAGTGAGTACGACGACGAGGCCATTCAGACTAGATGAGAACAAGGACTGGTTTGGGGTTATGAGAGACATGTTGGCGATTGTTTTGTTCGTTTCTTCGCGCATACAGTCCCAGACGGAACAGAAGAACCTCACCTCCCCCTCTTAAGAGAGATGAGAAGTCTCAGGCCCCACATACCAGTCTTCATATTGAATTCGAGCAAAGTATTCAGTCTCGAACCAGTAGAACCGTGAATGTCGCATCTCCTCCCCGCGCTCTGGGAATCCCCCGCATCCCCCTTGTATAGCCCTAAATTTGTAATTACAAGGGCGTTCTGATTTTCAGCAATTTTCAATTTTTGTAATTACACAACGCCTTCCCTAGGGTCAAACGAAGTAGGTTCCTGCTCAAGTCTCTACGTAGAACATTGATTTCTTATATGCCAACGCGTCAAAATGCCTCCTGGTCTCGGAAGGATCTGACTCGAAGATCGTGGCGCTCAGGTAGATCGGTCAATGTGTTGTAATACAAAGGAATCTGATGCCCGTGACGCCTCGCGGGAAAATCAAGCAAGAGCCACGCATACTCCAGGTGATGAGCCATGTGTTGACATTCACTGGAGATTCTCGATCTTCGAAGGTAAATATGATTGGAGATGCGGGGTGTTTCTATCATAATACTGCCGGGCGGTGAGGGCCTAATGAGGCGATCAATGAAGAGATCGTGGGGCTTCGCCCGAACACCCTTCATGAGGTCAGCTCATAACAATAGCTCTCTGTAGCTTTCAGCTACTTTATATATAACTGCGTAGCTTCTTGTTAGATTCTAATTAGGAAAATATAAGGATAAGGAGATCTTTCTCATCATAGCTCCTAGAGCTTACTGTAGGGCTTCCGGTAAGGAGCCGCAGCAGCAGCTGAACCAACCCGTAGTCAATGCAATGACATAGGGCGGTTGGACCATCCTTGCTACGAACTCTATGCTTCGTGATATGGGATTTATGAACTAATAACTATAAATAGATATATCTGCATCCTTGGATTCAGTAGAAAATCATTATCACTTCTACCTCAGTTTAGGGTTACAACTCTAGAGAAAGGTTAGCGTGCTATTGTATAATGAGTTGCTGGAAACTTTACTCAATCGAGTCAATCCTATAAAGGGCTAAACAGACTGAAAAGTATCGTCAATTTGCTGACCCGCGAAAAATTCAAAACCCCATGTACTCCAGTCATTTATGAAGACACTGCTAGAGTTCTCTGGCATCTCTCCTGCACCCAACTCCTCGTGGCGTATCAGCTCATGATGACTATCTGTCACTGTTTGTCCACTTGGTCGCAAGAAGTCGTTGCCGGCGTTATTGTGTATATTCGTCATTGGAGTCATTGGAGGAGGCTGTTCTAGTGCCCATGTAGCCACATCGCTACGTTCGTCTTCGTCGACACCGTTATAATGGGATCTAGAAAAAGATCCATACTGTTCGATCATCTTTTCCAAATAGACGATGTCGCTCTTGTGTGGCGAGTAACGGTTCCCGGATGTGACTTGACTGTATATTTTTTGAGTCTGCCGGGCTAATTGGAGCTAACAAGGAGCAACACAAGGTTTTTAGTAAGCACTGGATGATTAAAGGATAGAGGTTAAAGAGACTATAGGGTCGAAGAAGTGAACTCACCCAAACCTTTCCCAAAGGCCACATTTTACAAAAATCGCTAAGATACTCTAGATCATGTCGCGAGAGTCGAGGGGCATCAATAGTTTCACTTGACCTGGGATGCACCCACGGAAATGCGGCGAGGTAGGCATTCATGCTTACTGCAGATAAAGCACTATAGCCCACAATTGGGGTCATGAAAAGGACATTCGCGGCCTTTAACTCCACCAAAAGGGTTGATATCTGCGCGGCTGCATTGAATAAAACCGCTAAATACTCACTCCACCACCCTGGGGGCGCTTCTCTGACCAGCAGGGGGGGTTCGACTGGCCCTTTCATATCCACGTTTAGGGGAATAAACGGTATATACTCCCTATGAAGAATGACCACGCTATGAAGCACTGAACTCAGTATTCGTCTCCTTAAGGACGGGCTTAGAACCAGATTAGACATACGTTAGGTAGTAGATCACGTTTATAAAGGCAAAATGCTCCCCCTGACCCCTACGGACATATAAGCTGAGAGGTGTCTCGGGATATTTCAGTCGAATATGCAGAGCATCCCTCCACTTATCCAACTCCGTCTTGATTCGATACCATGTGGAGCCCGGTTCCCAGGGACAGGTCCCAAGAACAGGTACCTGCCGGCGCCCTCCGTCGGCTATCCACTTACACGCTTGTGACCAAATATCGAGACTTCGTATCGTGACCGTGTAGTAGTCAGCAATGGTAAATCTCCTAGTCACATCCGTCAAATTCCTGTCCAGAAGCTGATCGTACATCAAGTACTCAGATGGTGTTATTCCAAGATCAAAGTCATCTTCACTCGCAGGTAGGTGTATTGTCATTGCAGTCATGCCCAGCATCGTTGGGCGGTTCTTACCGCAACTCATTGTGCGATCCATGATGAAACAGGCCCAAAGTGTTCGTCGCTGGATTTCACGCTTCCATACCATCTCCCGCGTTAGCGTAGTTTGAAGCGCATGACCTTCAGACGTTAATGCCATATCTGAAGAGGCCTCTAAGCCCTGAACCATGCGAATGGCCATGCCTAGAATATAGTACATCAATTGTTAGAGTGCCGTTTTATATGTAAACTCTGTTTGGGTGTTTGAGCTGAGGGATGCTTGCCAGTATACATCCACGCGGAGAAGCTGTTCCCTTCTCCCCATCCATATTGCGCAATTAAAAGGAGACAATGGATAATATCAATCTCCGGCTCTTGCGTAATTTGCGGCCATAGGTTCTGCTGGACGAAGGCGGCAAAGTGCTGGCTGGTCGCTTGCCGATTGTTGTGTTTGTTCGATAACGAGGGAATGAACCTGGCACACAATGCAAAGATAGCGGCCAGCTTCAAAACGGGTGTTCGACTTCGCGAAACTCGTAGTTGGTCCAGGAAATTGGCAATATGTATGAAGTTGAGTTCGGGAAACTTGTGTTTGAATGTCTCGACCGCTTCGGTCACAGCGTGGTCTGGTATGTGGTGAAAAAGCGGTTCATCAGAGTAGGAGTTTGACTGCGAACAGGCGGGACTGGCCTGTAGTGCAGCGCGTGACGTGGGCGTTGCTGCTGGATTATCAGTGACTTCTGGTGAAGCAACATGACGTTCTACTGCCACGAAGGCTTGTCTGCGTCTACTTGACTTTGGAGGAAGCTCCTCCAATATGCATTGGTCACGTGAGCGACCTGCCCGGAGACAAAGCCGACAAGGATTTTCGCCATCATGTTGTGAACATTTGACTTTAGATCTCCTGTTTGCATGATCCCCTTTAGCAAAATAGGGACTCAAAGGTTAGAAGTGTCTCATACCGGCACCAATAGCACGAAGGCCTAGATCTCATGTCGTCTTGGGTCGTAAGGTCCCACGCTGCTAATCAGGAGTTTTGGAGTATAGCATGCGTGCTCGAAAGTGCTAGGGAGTGGCATCTCGAGATCTGATGCGGGGAGATGCTCACTAGTTAACTTACAGTCGTCCATCATAACTTAATCAACCACCGAGTGGTCAACTTCGCAACTACCTGTCACCCCTCATTACCGCTATCCTATATGCGGAGTAAGAAACCCAAAAAACCACTATTAGGCATGTCTTGGGCCTGATTCGATTGGTGGTCCACAATCGTAGTTATATCAGCGAACAAACCCCGTTACTAAAGTAGTTAGCGCCTACCACACCTGCACCATATTTTGCTCGCTGCACAGATGCTTTCTGCTTTGAACTTACAACTAGGACTTCTCGTGTGAGCAGAACTTCCACCTTTCCTACAGGTGATGTGCGCAACTCCATTGATCCCTCCCTGATGTGGTTAGCATATCTTCACTCGGTTTTACATTCAGCTCCGTACCATCTTAGTTGGATACATCGCTTCCGATTCCCACAATCCCAACAGTCCTCTTTGATCTGGTCCGAGCGTACCATCATAGTTTAGTCCGTCGGGATACGTAAGCATTCCGATCATTGCGAAGCTTCCGAGCTTCGGAATGATCACAGTTGATAGCTACAGTTTGCTGTAGTGGCCTTTCTTTCTTTCTTTCTCGCAATGAGGACTTTTTGCCCGCCGAGAACGTGTTTTGCGACACGCTCTCCGTGGTCATAGCCAGACAACTCGTTTAAATGTACCTTTGAATCGCGATCAACCGTTCCTGGCGACTTTTGGCGGCATAGTACCTGATTAGTCTAGGTCTTTACATAAGTTTTATGCTATATATCGGCAGTGATTAAATGGTGCTTCCGTCAGTATAACTAAAGGGCTGCCTCCTAAATCATTTGTACCTTTGGTCTCATAACACCCTCCGAGTATCCTCTAGTATCAGCGCCGACCACATTGACTCAGACCGAACTGGAAGCAGGAACAGCATGCACATCCAAGCCGATGCCACTCTTCTCGAGGTTCGAAAACGATATGTTGAAAATAATCCCAAATCCCACGCGGTCCATCAACAGGCTCTTAGCTACCTTCCCGGAGGTAATACCAGGACAGTGCTTTATTCGCCACCGTTTCCTTTGAGTATGGTGTCGGGAACCTCTTTTACGGTTACGGATGAAGATGGACACATGTACCGGTTCCTTTCATTTTTGTGAGCCTGCCAATTTATACTGACTCGAACATGCTAGATACACGGACCTCGTTGGAGAGTTCTCAGCAGGTCTTTATGGCCATTCTGAACCTACCATTCAAGAAGCCCTTAGATCGACCGTGGAGAGTATAGGCCTGAATCTTGGTGCGCATACGAAATACGAGGTCGAATTTGCTTCTCTCCTCTGTTCCAGGTTTGGATTTGATCGTGTACGATTTTGCAACTCAGGGACAGAAGCGAACATCCATGCAATAATGGCAGCACGTTATTTCACAGGGAAAAGAAAAGTCGTAGCTTTCACTGGGGGATACCACGGCGGAGTTCTGACCTTTCACGATAAGCCTGCGGTGAACACAATCAATGACACGGATTTCGTAGTCATTGAATACAATAACACCGCAGCCGCGATCCGTGCAATTGAGGGCGATCCGGATGTGGGCACAGTGCTTGTCGAAGCAATGCAAGGTGCCGCAGGATGCATTTTGGGAACGGAGGAATTTTTGTATGCTCTGCAGGCGTCTACGCGAAAGGTAAAACATCAGAGGATTTCCAGCCCAAAGTCAGTTCAACTGCTAAGTATTGTGACTTAAATTTGCAGATGGGCGCTGTACTGATTATAGATGAAGTTCTGACGTCACGGCTCTCTCCTGGCGGGCTTCAAAGCACCCTGGGCTTACAGCCTGACATTACTACACTGGGAAAATACCTGGGAGGAGGTCTCGCCTTTGGGGCATTAGGCGGGAGGAAAGACATTATGGACGTCTTCGATCCCCGTATCTCGAGGTCCCTCCCGCACTCAGGGACATTCAACAACAACACCCTAACGATGCGAGCCGGTTATACTGGGTTGTCGTGCGTCTACACACCCGATAAAGCAGTCACCCTCAATCGCACCGGTGAAGTACTACTCAGCCGTCTCCAGGAGATTTGCAAGGGGACGCAGTGCTGTTGGACCGGGCGCGGATCGCTTCTTGCATCACACTTCACACAGACTGGGTCGACGGATATCCGGTCCATTGCCGATCTCCCCGAGAACGAGTACTTGAAGGAGCTTTTCTGGCTTGAAATGATGGAGAACAACTTCTGGACCACGAGGAGAGGGTCGATTGCAATCATTCTTGGGACTCCTCAATCTGAACTAGATCGCTTCCTTGCCTGTGTCGAGCAATTTCTGCTACGACACAGAGATTTAGTTGCCCTGCCCAGACGCCATAATCATGCAAGCAAATTTTGATAGTTAGTATCCATGATTAAGCTATTTTCTCTCATCTTGTCACATCGACTCCCGATTACTGTATAGAATGTGATGAGTTAGTCAATAGAAATAAAATTGAATGATGAAAGACATTCTTGGTGTCAAACACACCTGGGCACCATTCAAGACCATGCACCACCAATTTACGGTTCCCGAACAATCTCCCGGTAAGCGCGATCTCGCTCTGTAGAATGTCGATGTAGATTTTGCGCCTCTCTCCCCCTAAAGGGCCGTCGTATGAATTCGAGAAGTATGACCGCAAGCTCTATGCCTTTAGCGTTGGTCCCAGCGACCAGTGGAGTTTTTTTGCTCGCCATATTGGAATTCAACCATCTTAGGACAGGAAACCCGTCTATTACCGGGGAAGCATGCCAACCATGGCCTCTGCACGGATGGAGAAGCCCTCCATTCATGAAAAACAAATGGATCTTGCCTTAGCAGCGGGATGAGAATGGTTTGTACTCGAATCATAAGGATTTTGGTTGACCAACTCTTGGCTAGTCTAAAACACTATGCAGCTTTCTAGGGCATGACGTGATTTTAATCTAGGAACACTGGAGCACTCGATTCGAACTATCGATTGCGAGCTTTTAAAGTCTAATCGATGGCTGTTTCACAMTTCTATACTAAGAAAAGGGAAGAGTCACTAGTATCAGATTCCAAGCCAAAGTACTGAAATATCCGCAATGAATGTGCACTATTGCAAGTCGTTGTATTATACCTATTCCTTTGCCTAGCAGGTAAAGATATTGAAAACCGAATCATTCCATCAGTTCAATTATGGGCCCCTCAAAGTGTTTGCGGGCATGCACAAACCAGTTGCCGACGCAGATCAGCACTGCTATAAAGACCACGACAACGGCGTAGTCTATGCGGAAGGTCCACGTTAGTGTTTTTCMCAACGGAAAGCCCCTTAGGTGAGAAGGGAGGGGGGGTGGGGGGGTGTCATGGCTTAACGTACTCATTGACGATGGTGTCACTGGAAGACCTGGGGGGAACATGAAAAAGATGCAAATAAATATCGTCCAGGAAAGGGAAAGAATGTAGCAAAAATAGCCGACCGGATCTGAGAGACGGAACGATCTGTCGTGCGGCAAGTATATTTCCGATCGTCTTTGCCATAATAGTAGAGCGATGGGAATCCCAAAGGAAATCTGTATGAGCTGAGCCGCAACCGACAAAAACGAATTGAAGGCTAGTGTGAGGAGAAAGAGTCAGCTTCTACAGTGATTTGAGGAGCTGCATAAAGAATCCCCTTAGACGTACCGACGGTTGAGGCTAAGTATAAACAACCCAGAAGCCCTACGACAACCCCGTTCGCAATCAGGGAGCAGACTGGGACTTCCAGCTTGGGATGTACTTTGGCTAAATAGCGCGAACCGAAGAATGCGTTGTCTCTTCCAAGTGCCCAAGTGAGGCGGGAGCTTGTTTGTGCGGTCGCGATACAGACAAGCACGTCGATCGCGAGGAGAAGGGCGACAAAAGCAGTTGCGACGCTAGTAGAACGCGTGGCTTGGATCCACAACTCATAGATTGGAAGCCTAGCAGAGAGACACCTATGGTTAAGTCCAATTTTCCAGTTTCTTGGGAAGTCAAGGTGAGTAGACTGTACCTAGTCGGAGTTGACACGATGAGGTCGATATCCTGTATACAATACACCATGGCAATAACAAAGGGCAAAGCCGTGATGATTCCCATGCCAACAGTGTAGCAAATGGCTCGCGGTACTGCTGTCTTTGGTTTCAGACTTTCCTCCACCAAGTGCATGGTCGAGTCGAGACCTCCAAAGGAAAATGCAGGGGTCACGAGCCCGGTGATAAAGCAGATACTGTCGGACCAACCAGTCGGGTTAGTGAACTGTGTCCACACGATTTCGCTAGGTTGCTTTGTCTCAGCTCGAGCGAGACAAACGATAGGAATGACTAGGACGCCGACAATAGAGAGCAGAACTGCGGGAAATATTAGCTACCGAGAAACTAATGCAGATGGATCTAGGCTACTTGAGATAGCCGGGGGGTTACTGACAAGCAATATTATAAATGCCAGGGGACTTTTTAACCAAATAGACGTTGTAAAAAGTGGCCACGATATTCGTCGCTTGAAATATCATAAAGTAGTGCCAAGGTTGTGGTTCAAAGCTCGGGTGATATTGAAGCACAAGTGCAAGGACAACCTCCGTGGTGATAAGGTATGTACCCGCCATTATGGAGAACCAAGCGCAAAGAGAAGCCACGCCACTGATGTAAGAGAGTAATTTGCTCCATCTGGGCGGAGCAACTATAGAAGCGAAGTGATACTGGCCACCAGCTGTTGGATAGACACTGATCAACTCGGCTAGGCTTAAGCCCGTACAGAGGTATGGTACCGCAACGACAACAGAGCCATAGAGCAAAGTGACTGTGCCCCCCTGAACGATGGCGATGAGTGACGACAGCGACAGAGCTGCCCAAGAGCTACTCAAACTGAAACCGAAGCAGATCAGGGTGATAACATTCATATCACGGCGGAGGTCGGATGGCCGGAGATGAACAATGGCCCGGGGTTCTTCGACCACGATGCTGCCATTGTAATCCGTCCCAGGATCCTGGCTCTGGTCATCCGATTTCTTCATGTTGCCTTTGATTTCCGCATGTGCTGTCTCCATGACTGAATTTGGAGCTCTTGTTTAACAATTGCAATCGTGGATGCTGCCATTGGGGAATTCAATGCAGAGATATACCCGACCAGATATGTGACAGAAGGTCTGTTCTGGTCTGTGTTGCGGAAGTCTCTAACCACCGCGTGGTGGGCATATCTCAATAGAACCTAGATTTATGGGGCACCGGAATCGAAAATGCGGGGAAACCAGAAAGATAAGATAGACTTATCGCATGACTAGAGATGTTTGGCATGTACTGATAGGCATGCAGGTGTCGAGAGATAGAAAAGATAGCCATGAAACCTCGAGGCACTCGGCATGTTCGGATTGCCTCAATATGTTCTGGTGCGGCCACAGATCCTTGTCATGATGTATGTTACGTCCGATTTTAGGCTACGCAGAATTCATACCTAGTTCGTCATCACATCAATTTTGCCGACGAGGGGCCGGGCTGACTCCAGAGAGAGTCTGGTCTCTCGCTCATGACTAGTAATGCAGTGGCTGCCTTTTTCGCCGAAACCGTCGTCGGCGCCACAGCGGGCTGCGCCTCTGCTCCTCGAGGATACTTTACTGCAGTGCGAGAGTTGTGCGACAAGTACGGAATCCTCCTCGTACTCGACGAAATAATGTGTGGTACGGGTCACACTGGATCTTATTTTGCGTTCGAGCAGGAAAATATACGGCCTGACATTGTCACGGTGGGAAAGGGCCTCTGAGGCGGCTATGCGCCAGTAGCAGGTGTGCTGATCAGCAAAAAGGTCATTGACGTACTCCGTCGAGGTACAGCCGGGTTCAACCACGGTCATACATACCAGGCGCATCCTGTGTCGTGTGCTACAGCTCTCGCGGTGCAGAGGATTATACGTCGGGACAAGTTCGTTAAGCGATGTGCAGTGATGGGTCTGCAGCTGGAGGCATTGTTACGGTCCACGTTCCACATCTGCAAGTATGTGGGTGAAATTCGAGGCCGCGGTTTGTTCCAAGCGATTGATTTGTAGCCCCGATTGAAAGAGCAAAAAACCCCTCGAACCGAGTCTCCTTTTCGCGACGAGGGTTCAACGGGCTGCCTTCAATAGAGGCGTGGCGGTCTACTGGTCCGGCAACGGCCGAGGGCTCAGAGTCGGACCATGTACTCATTGCACCTCCGTATACCATTAGTGAGGGGGAGATGAAGATCATTGGGAATGTGCTTGAAGAAGCATATGATGAGGTCGAGGGGCAGGTAAATTTGCTTTGAAATGTGGAATATCGTGAAGAATATACCCCAATTAAAAAGGGTTAATATGGACCTATGTAAACTCTTCCTTAAAAACAATACATACACTCTTGGAGAAGCTAAATAGAGAGATAATTCAATTGTTTTGAATGTAGTGGAGAGTTCTGCTTTCGATATCGATCGTTGGTTTCTAAATTTGCTGCTGTAATCGTCMACTTACAGTTGGCCGAGAGGTGAGTGGTAAAATGAATGGAAGAGATATACCAAACTCTCTTTAGCCCTGACGGTGTGTCTCGTTCAGTCGAGTCAGGACCATCATTAAGCACTTTCTAATAAATTCGTCCTATACTCGTGTAGTAATCATTAGGACCTCATTGTCATTGTATCTTATACTGAGAATAGCAATCAGGATGCTTAGAGATTGGAAACCGAAAGGTAGTAGTAGGATCTCAAAAAAATGTTTAACTGTAGCACTACGAATATTCAATTCTATGAATGATACTAGTAATAACGGCTGTGAAGTTTCGGTGGACAATTTTGCGACTCAATCTAAGACTCGCAATGGAAAAATTGTCCAAAAATCGTATTGGGATGCCCCTACCTCTTGTTAAGAGCGAACAGCACGGAACTCGCCAGAAAAATCATTGCACAAGAGACCGTCATACCCCCGAGGTACAAGTTGCTCTTTTTGACCTTCGAACGCTTCGCATCGTAATAAGACCAATGTGACCAGGCAGGAAATAGACATCGCCTCCAGAAGTCTAGAGGCGTCCACGGATAAAGTGCTGTGTTCCATCCCTTGGAGTTCTCGAACCACTGGACAAAGATGGCCGGTTAGAAAACTTGCTTCAGTGAACATACAAGAAAAAGGGGTTTGTCGCCTTAGCCATTGAAGCAGGGTAGTGAGACAGTGGGTGGCAAGATAAGGAGAAGAAGGAGGTGGATGACTGGAACAGACAATAAATGGAATATGGAGATACCGCTGGTACTTACGTTGTGGCATGTCCCCTTGTGCCATACAAGCTTTCGAAGGGCCTCTTGAATTCTCATCACGTAGTTCGTCTCGGCCTCTTCTTTCACAGCGACACTCTGTGCTTTTCCTTGAAGCACTGGCTTCAGGACTCGGAGTGCGTGATATATTTGGCTAGAAAAGCATCATCTATCAGTGATCTGCGTAATTACCGCTTTATACAAGGATGATAAAAACCTACTTCTCCATCGGCATAACAGCAGATGTATGACCAGTTCCCGAGTTCGGTCCCAAAATGAAGAACAAGTTTGGAAAAGGCGCCACAGCTGTTCCATTGTACGCTCCAGGTCCGCCGTATTTTTGCCAGTAGTCTGCTAGATCGCAATTATCCTTTCCAACGACTACGCCCCTGGGGAACGGGGCGTGAATATTGAAGCCATTGGCGACGACGACAACGTCAGCCTCGATAACACCATCGTCAGTGCGGATCCCGGTCGAAGTGAATTCACGGATGGGACTGTTTGTCAAAGTAACTCTAGAGTCGTGAAGAGCTTGGAGGTATCCTGAATCGTAAATTCGTCTCTTACAACCAATCTCAAAGTCGGGAATGAGAATATCGTGGTATTTAGGAGGCGCTGCGGAACGCATGTATCCCTCGACAAATTTCCTCCTCTTCTCGCGAAGTCGGGCACCTTTAGAAGTCATCTGAAACGTCGGAAGCTCTCGTTCGGCATAAAGGAATATGTGGAACCGATGCATCTGTAGAGCAAAAGGTATATTCCTGAAGCACCATTGCATGAACTTGTTGTAATGAAAATCCAATGAAGGGTAGATCCACTGTTTGCTTCGTACAATATTCACGACACTGGCAACCTTTTCTGTTCTTATGAGAGCTGGAACGATCTGCGTGCCAGTACAGCCATTGCCAATGACGATAACCCGTTTTCCCTCGAGACTGACGTTGTGATTCCATTGTGCTGAGTGGAAGATCTCGCCTTGGAAAGTCTCCTGCTTGGGGAAGGCAATTGGGTTGGGAACCACCAGGGCACCACCGCAATTGAAGAGGATTTGGCAGACGTGTTTCAACTGTTGCTTGGTGCGAAGGTCTCGAAGCCAGAGAGTCCATCGCTGAGTGGACTCGCTCCAAACAAACTTCTCGACCTCGACCTCGAAACGCATTCGCTCCCCAAGTTGATATTTGTCGGTTACTCCATCCAAGTAAACTTTGAGCTCCTTTTGGCCCGGCAAAAGCTTGGTCCACTGCGGGTTCTGTTCAAAGCTGTACGAGTACAACGCGGATGGTACGTCGCAAGCACAACCTGACACAAAATATATGAGTCCATGCATCGAACAAAGCGATTCCAGTGCACAGCATGATCAACTCACCAGGATAGCTGTTGGCAAACCATGTTCCGCCGGATGAGGCTCGTCTTTCAAAAAACTGAATATCGGTGATCCCGTACCATCTATACAAACTGGCACCGAGACCGATAGCGGAGAAGCCAGCTCCTATGCACGCAATACGAGAGTATGTAGTTGCGCCAGGAGACACGTCACCTAACAAATCGGCGGCCTGCTTTTCCATCGCTATGTATCTTGGCTGAGATAAAGAGCGAGAGCAATGCGAACGTTTTGGACTCTGATGCTTTTTGGAGTCTTAGGAGAGAGTAAGAAAGTTCTGATAGTTTTGCTAGGTGTTGCAGGTGTTCGGCGTCTCTTAATAAGTACCGTACATAAGGTGCCTTTTTTGTTACTTGCCCCCAATAAGGTTATTTGCTAAGAGTCGGCGCTTATCTCTGGCTCGCCTCCAGAGCGATAAAAAAAAACTGCCGCAGTTTTGAAGCCGAAAATTTGATGCACAGTCCTCCGTGCTCGAGCGAAAATTGACCGTCGTTTAGCTAAATCTCCTTCCGGTGGAGCGTCTTTGCGTTCGGGGTTGATATCGGGTCATTGCGAGCATTCCGACAAGTCCTTATTGCGAGGAAATTCCCCCCCGCGATATTTCTTTTTGGCTTCGGAAATCAACATCGGCAGGTCGCAATCCTCTGATTTGATGATTTTGATCGTTGGAGGGGTCAGAAGAGGCCCGTGTCTGTTGATAGCAATGATGATTTAGAGATAGCAATCAGAACAACGCTGCTGAGCCAGTCCATAAAAATCACAGTGCGGGGTTTTGGAGTGTGAAGGACCATTGAAAATATCTCTCAAATCCAGGTCATAGCTTCAATTCTTTAGTAAACTGTCAGACTATAATCGAACTAACAAGCTCAAAGACGTTATCGAAATGCCTTCCCTACAAGGCAAAGTGGTGAGTTCGAAGCCGACCTCACGGACATTGCCCTCATCACAGCCTACGTTCACACAAGGGTGGTGGTAGTAGTCCTAGTTGCGAAGAAGGCAAAATTAACTAACCTGTTAGATCACTGTTACCGGAGCCGCCTCTGGCATGGGGTTGGCTATAGCACAACTGCTCTCGAGCCGGGGCGCGATACTTTCACTTGCAGACCTTAACGAATCTGGCCTGGAAAAAGCAATGAAAACACTTTCTGGGAATGGGCATATTTACGCTGTTGTCGACGTACGCAAGAGTGATATAGTTGATAGTTGGATCGAAAGAACAGTTCAGGAATTGGGCCGGCTTGACGGGGCGGTGAATTTCGCCGGCGTTGCTACCGGTGCCAAACTCCTCGATACGACAGAAAGTGAGTGGGATTTGAACATGAATGTGAACGCAAAGGGAATTTTCAACTGCCTTAAGGCTCAAATCAAGCGAATTCAATCTGCAGGAAGTATTGTAAGTTCACTTGTTTCTGTGACGGCGATCTCCTGAACTACAGCTGGACCTGACGTTTTTGGATTGATTGGTCTTTCACATTGTAGGTAACTGCTGCAAGTATCGATGGGCAGATAGGGTGGCCAATGCTTTCTGCCTATTGTGCTAGTAAACACGCTGTTATCGGCTTGATGAGGGCTGCAGCAAAGGAGCACCCACACCTTCGGTTGAATTGCGTCGCGCCAGGTAGGTTCAATCTGGATGGTAGTCTACTTGACTTGAAAATCTTTTTTTATTGACTTCTTGTAGGTTGCGTTGACACTCCAATGGCTGGCGACGACGAAATTTGCGCGTCCGAGATAGCTTGCCAGACTATCAAGCGTAAAGCAAAACCCATCGAAATTGCGAACATGGTTGCTTTTCTCTTGAGTGATGAAGCAACGTTCATCACTGGAGCAGTCTACAACGTGGACGGAGGTTGGCTATGTTGAATTCGACGGGAAGATGGATTCCTTGCCTCAAATGCGATCGGAGATGGCCCCTCTAAACAGACTGCGTCAGCTCCATTCGATTCTTGACGGCTGTGTTGCCGGTTTCAGGGTGAAATAGTAGCGACGGCTGTTTGCCATGTTTTGTGTAAAGTATTTGACGGTCTACCCATTAAAACATTTAAGCCTGGAGGAATCAATTTAAGAATGTCACCTTCAAGTTCGAACTTCATAGGTCTCACGGCATGATAAATTTTTAAAATGGCGTCACGAGCTGCACCTCACATTTTCTAACTGGTTGATATGTATTTTCTTCTAACTCCGCTACACAGATACTGCTTCAATGCATCGTTTTGGAGGGAATGTCCCCTAAAGCTCAGATCGAGTTCCTGCGGGTCTGTAATATACTATTTGAAGCTAAAAATCTTTCTAGGTATACTGTACATCTCTTCCAGCCTGCCTTTATACCGTCCAGCATCGTTGTACTCTTTTTTGTCACACCACACAGTGTGTCAGTTCCTACCACCCAGTCCTCTGCCCCCTACTACATTTGGCCCCTTTCAGAACTCTTTCACTCTCTCTTAATCCCGGCATAGTAGCAGAAGATTTCGGCCTGCTAATGCTGCAGATAATTATTCATATGCCACTACACTATCTACATATACTATAAACCCATGATGCCCCTCAGACACCCGCTCTACGACCCCTCTGGAAGGACTCACACCTTCGTCCTTCCAAGATCACTCTCAATAACAATTGCATACACAGAATTCTTCCTCACGCCGCCAAACTTGCTGTCCACGGAAACTTGTCCCACTATACCACTAATGATTCTCGCGCTTCCACATGGTCACTGTGAGCCGAGTCCATCAACCGCTGAAACCGAGAGCCTTCGAACCTGATCCACCCCTTAGACTAGGCATAAAATATGAAAAGACATGGCCTTTACCCCAGAGAACTGCCCGTCCAGTCAGTATTACTGTCCATTTCGCCTTCGGTCATCGATCCAGGCTTAACTCTACGTTTCCATAAGGAATTGACCCTATAGTCATCTGAATTCTATCATATAAGACACAAAGTGTGTCACATTTGAAAGGTTATTTAAGTTTTATAAGTTTGATAGGGGCTTGGTAAAGATGAGGTACTCTCATATGTCGTCATTTTCGGCACAACAGGGATTCTTCTATCGAAGCAGAATATTCTTTGATACCTAACCCTTGCAGACTTCTACCCTCTCTTCGATCTTCATAAAGACAGTATAATTCACGAGGACCGCTTAGACTTTGGCAGACTTCCCATAGCAAGGCCCGAGTCTGGACTTCTATTAGTTATGAAACACTCGAAGTTAACAGGAACGTGTCACCTACCAACTACGATCTCCTGACCTGTCATAGAAGTGTTCTTGGCTATGCTGACAAATTGATATGCGCAATCCTCCAAGTTGGTCTAAAAAATTTAACACCCTTGTAAGCCGAATGAGAGGTACAGGTTGCATACCTCGCGTTTAAGAGCAGCCTGTTCTTTCAACCCAGCAATTGCTTCCTCAGGGTATTTGTTACCCTAGTGGAGATAATGTGAGGATTCAAAGTTAACGACGCGAATACAAACCTTAGGAAAACATACCCAGTCAGTCAAAAGTAGTCCCGGCAAAACTGCATTCACACGGATCTCAGGTCCCAAGATGAAGGCAAAATGCTTCATCAGGTGCAAAGCTGCGGCTTTCGTCACGGAATAGGCGATGCTGCTTCCTCCCGTCACATGGCCCTGCAAGATTTTAGAGAAATGTTTCACTCAAAAGTAGCAAAAGATTTGACGTACTGCTATGGATGAAGTAATGATATAGACACCTCCATCTGGGTTGTTTTTCAAAATCGGACTAGCTGTTTGCATAAGTTGCAAATGTGCCAGAACATTTACCGTCCAGCACTGTTGAGTTAATATCATCATCGACTGTGAAAATAGCGGTACAGACCTTAGTCCACTCCTCATGAGACAAATCATAAATATCACCAGGTCGAGCGAACCTGGTCCATCCGGCGTTTCCAATGATGATATCCAGTCCAGTGAGATTATCAACAGTCTCCTTAACAATACGCTCATTATCCGAGGCAACTTCGGCATCCTAAATACGCAGAAATAAACGGCTGCTGCCTGTTAAATTATAGTTCAACATACATACTCCTTGAATGATACACGTTTTGACCGAGTACTTCCGTCGGATGTCGTCGGCCACCCGCTGGGCAGCGTCGGCATTGGATATGTAATTGACAGCAACATTACATCCTTCTGCAGCAAATTTCTCGCAAATGGCGGCCCCAAGTCCTCTGTTGCAGAAGTAAGCTTTGTATATCGGTAAGTCAATGGAAATATGTCATACCTCGACCCTCCGGTCACGAGCACGTTCCGACCTTTCAGTGCGTAGGGCATCTTCAGCGCGAAATAGGATTAATTTGTTTCTTATTCTAAAGAAATCCAGGACCGGAAATAGTAACCCGATGTAAAAGTTCTCAGAAAGCTATGATCGACAGTATCTTAGTACAGTGATGTGAATTTAAAAGACTCCAAGTCCGATGCAAAGTAGAAGATATTTGGTGCTAGTGTCTTACCTTTCCTGCACCCCGCATCCCGATCGGGAAACGGCTAGCCCCTTAAGACAAGGCAAGTAAGAAATCACGGGCTCATTCATTGATGATTACTGACTTTCATGGGTCATCTGGTTACTGACTTTTTCAACAGTGATAAATCTCAGGATTGGGCTCGTTGATCAAGTCTAGATCTACAGCCATGTATGTCATAGCTGATAATAGATGTTATGCTAACATGCCGATATACTCGTCTTAGTTTGGTATAATTGCGAGAATTGCGATTTAGACATCCCGAAACCCACTTTAGGGTACCAGTTAGAGACGACAGATTTTCAGGATAGACCCGCTTTTGATTTGATATGAATTGTTGGCATTGCTATCTACCGAAAGCCCACTTTAGCCATGCAGGGTAGATAGACTTGACCACGAAGCTCAGCAATGGCAAATCTTGCAGGCTGAAAAGGCGGGATCAAGCGGGGGATATCTTGCACTCAACCATGTGGATTGTCGGACTTTCCGATTGAACCAACAACTAAGCTACGGAAATTACGGACTGTTAGGAAGTGGCAGAGCCGTGGCTTAGCATGAGCAATATAGAAAATAGAATCGATCCCGCTTGGAATGCGTTCTCATTTCGCATCGGTTCCAGCTGTAGTACAGAAATGACCCTCTTGTTAAGCTTCTTGGGCACAAGCTGGGACTCTACTACAGCGCATAGTCATACTGTGGGGGGTATTCCTGCTCTTCCTTATATGTTATCCAAGGGATTAGTCGAGGTTACGAAGTGCAATGTACCAAATTCCGGCAACAGCAATGCAGCAAGATCATTATTGGGTATTGTTCCTTTGGACACCCATCCAGATGAGGTTCAGCAGCGCTCCCTGGAGCAACCTGGGAAAATGAGGTTGGAAGAGTTTAGATCTTCACGCAGTTTGATCTCATTTCTCTCCGAGTTTGGAGACATGGTTATGCTGCGGGAAATGCTAGAGACAGGTGAAGATAAGGAGTATGAACACAAAAGGTCTCGCAATAGGTGAGATAATCCTCTTTACTACGCTTCATCAGAGGATGTCGTGGAGCTTCTGATATAATTTGGGCGAGACATTGGTCTATTCACCATTATCGACCAAAATGGTGCTGTAACTCATGCTAGCATTACGGTGGGTGGTGAATCAAGTAATACGCTCCTCTTACCGCAAATGATCGAAAATTGGCCTCTCTTGACAGAGCAAACTCTTTTGCAATATACGGCCGAGAGGGGATTTGAACGGTTGGCAAAAATTGCTGTCGGACAGGCAAGTCATGCTGTCGACCAAATGAACTCGAGAGGACAAATTTCATTTTTCCTTGCGACTCAAGGACATATCAATCATCGTGGCCGGCAAGCGGTTATGAAGTACCTGCATGAAGCACACGCAAACCCAAATACGCCAGTCATTGACGGCAATACACCATTGCATCACGCAGCGGTGACACCGTTCAATGATGAGATTATTCAGTTTCTATCATCGATGAGTGAGGTCAAATTAGAAATTAAAAGTCACATGGGGCATACACCGCTTGCTTCAGCCGTCCTGAAAAACCGACTGGGATACGTCCAAATCCTTCTTGTTGCTGGGGCTGATCCCATGTCACTCTTGCGGGACAGTAGCACCATGTTCATAAGCAAGGTAATATGGGAATTTTCTTACTCCTATTCAATGATCCGAGGTGTGAACATGATGCTGTTGACCGCGATGAGCGTACAGCACTCTCATGGTGCGCCACAGTTGGCGACGAGGTAGCAGCTAAGATGATGTCAAAAATTCTCCAATCAGAGACAGTGGACCCTAATTTGCGAGATTTTGAGGGTTGCACAACCTTGGAGAGGGAAATATGTGGTGCTCAACCTGCAATGGTAATGGTGCTAAGTATATCCACCCCGTCCCTGGATCTCAAAAACAGATTGGGAAAAACCCTGTTTGGATTGGCGGTTGCTCGTTGTCGCGAGCAGAATTGCCTCCAGTTTCAAGAAATAGCCAGAATATTTCTTGTATCAGGACATTTCAAGCCTCGCTGGAAGAGGGGACATCGCTATCCATTGCTAGAGCTTTGTGAATCATATGGTTCGAGGGAAATGACACATATGATAAGAACATTCCTAGAAGGCGGTGATTCAGGCCCACCAGGAATAGAATATCATGTTCCAATGTACTACTTTCATTAGATGAGGAGGGAAGTTTAAGTATATCAGACCTAGAAGTTGGAAAATTAGTCAGAAAAAAACTATGATCCATTTGCCCTTAACATCTCCCTGCAAATGATGATAAACAACTCATCACATTCTGTCTAGATCACCTTTCTGTGATCAAGGCTCGACTTGACGCACTTCGACTGGATTACAACATGGACATAGAAAGTCTTGAGCCATGCCCTAAGATTGCCGGATTTGGTCATTTGCACAATGACTATATGATGGTTAGCCCTAGCCCTAGCCCTAAACAGCCGCATTGATCTACCTCACTTCAAGAATTGCCTTTTTTGAATTCACCTTTTACGGCCACTGATAAATAGTGAGACAAAAAATTTTTTTTCAAGAAAATCGAGGTACCCCGAACAAAATTTCGACTATGAAAAGCCAAAAGTGCCTAGGTACCGTAGGAATCGTCGAGCGCACGTGGCTTTGCCACGGATTCGGAATACTTTTAGGCGGCGCAATATGAGGGAATTGTTTCTACCACCCAGGATATTAACCAGATTTTCACCAGCAAACTGCAACAATAGTCTCTCTAAAGTTTGGTCAAATTTATACCGCATTGCTTGATTTCTGTTACCAAATTAATTGTCACAAATGAGCGTTTTATTTTGAGTATCTGCCTAGATGGCGAGACTAGGTAGTACGGTGTGTTGGCTGGTACGATACGGAACGCAACTGACTTGGTGGTACATTACTCTCAGCATTCAGGAGAAATCTATAACTATTTGTTGCCTCATTGTTCATTAGGTAATGGGTTGGTTCGCTTCACCTGGTATGAGCCAAAGATCATCATTCCTCAATCATGGAGACCGACTAGGTCTTGTACATGGTAGTGGCTTTGAAAAAGACTGAGCTGTCTTTTTAGTAAAAAGTTGGGTAGATGGACTTCCATGGATCTGCGGCAACGTACCCCAGAATCGTCTCGTGTCACGACCGCCAAGCTCCATAGCATACCAGCCAGTGGACTTTCACGTATTACACGCGTCATTCCATCAGTTTGGACTGACTGCCTAATGCAAAGACACCTCTGAATAAGACATGTAACCTTGAAAACATCCCAGTATGGTTTTCACACACACACATTGTTAGTCAGTTTGTAGGCAAGGGTATGCCGAGCATACCAGCTTACAGCCCATGAGATGAAGGTATATGAGGCATTTACGAATGCCATTTGTTCTATGATTCTTGCAGAAGACTCATAGATAACCTGAGCGTAGCCTAGTATCAATCCGTCCAGACGGACTGTCGGCAGACTACTTTGTGGCTGTTCCTGACCGACTCTTATCTACGATTTAGCTTATAATCTCTTGCTTCACTCGAAATCAGAAATCAGAAATCAAATATCTGATTTAAACTCCATGGCTCTCAGTTACTATTCTACAGTGAAAGTGTTCTCCGGATATTCCAAAATTCACATGGAAGATGACAAACAGAAGCTCTTGACTCCAACTGGTATGGACTCGTCTCATCCACCGAGAAGGAGCTCAAAAAGCTCGTCAATTACAAAAGAAGACTATATTCAACGATATACTCGGCTACAAGATGGCAACCATGAGCACGGCCTTCCTTCGTCTTATCAACCGCGAAGAAGCAGTCGGGGCACTCTGAATGGTGATCCGGATATGAATCGTCCCTTTGACACCGTTTTATCAACATCATATTCTTTGCTCAGGAGGTTGAGCGCGAAAACCCAACAGGACGAACAAACAATCTCAGCAAAATACAGTTATCACCAGGATCTTCTCAAAGACCCTTCGGACGATATCAGGATATGTCTAGTACAAGAAAAAGCCACATTAAAAAAACTATACGCCATCAAGATTTTTGTCCGCCCCGTGCAAAACAATGCCTTGAAATCATATACAGGACGAGTAACAACCGAGTTCTGCATTGCACACTCCTTACAACATCCTAACGTTGTCCGCGTCATGGAACTATTACCCAACGAAGCTGGCGATCTGTGCCAGGTCATGGAATACTGCGACGCAGGCAGTCTTCTCGACCTTTTAGAGCAAGTCAACAAAATCTCACACGACGAAGCAGACTGCTTCACGAAACAACTTCTACATGCAACGCAATACATCCACAGTGTTGGTGTGTCGCATCGAAACCTAAAGCCCGAAAACATACTTTTGACGCGGCAGGGGACTCTGAAAATTACAGATTTTGGCTGTGCGGAATGTTTTAGATTACCATGGGCGAAGGCGGCGACGCCTCCAAAAACTCTTTCGGTGATTCAGACTAGTCAGCAACAGGACTTGAAAGGGACGATTGCATATATGGCGCCAGAACAGTTTAGGAAGACGGCATTTGATCCTGTGGCGGGAGACATGTGGGCTGTCGGGATCGTGTATTTTGCCATGAGATCTGGCCGACTACCCTGGAAAAGAGCTACAGAGGAAGATTCTTTGTACCGCACATATTCAAGGGAATTGGAGAATGGACGGGGGAACAGATACATGGACCTTGTAGCGGGAGTGAGTCAAAGCGTGTGCACGAGAGAAAGAGAGATGATGAAGCTGACACCTCGGGTTCAGGAAATTCGCCGAGATACACTCTATTCAATATTGCAGCCAAATCCTCAATGTAGGTTTACAGCTACGCAAGCTCTGGACTCGGACTGGATCAGAGGTATCAAGCTATGTGCAGCCGCCAGCGAGAATCATACGGACGATTGACCAACACGACTAAATCAACCAAGTCGATAATAATCCTCCGATTAGTCTCCAGATTGAGGGGTCTTCATGTGTCTCTCTTCACAACCCTCCGATGATCTTTTCGTATTCAATATAATCAATAAAAAGACGAATTACGTACACGTTTTTCTGTGTGCAGTCAGCGGTGAGTATATCCTATCACTTTGCAGTAGTATTTGATTATTTCCTTGCGTATAGTAGTAGTCAGTGAAAATCGGAGGGAAGCGACGGTGGAGTTTCCCCAGCTGAGATAGCTTATCCCTTTTTTTTTATATGAGAGATTAATTTGGAGCAACCACAGTGCACGGCGGCGTTCCCGCTCCGCTATCAACGCAAACCCTAACCTCACCACGAGGGATTTTTTTCTACCAGTCGCGACTTATCTTTTTCACGCATGGCATATCACTTTTCCATGTGGTCCACTGCATGCAACTCAAACGGTTAGGCAATGGAAATTCAGAGGGAAAAGAAAAAAACGTACTGTTACCGTACAGACAGCCCAATCCGGCGAATCATTGTGTGGCGTTGCTTGCGGATTCTTGGATTCGGTATCATAGTCATTCTCAAAGAACACCTCGGATCCATTCGTACTGTCTCGCTAATTGCGCGGATGGCACGTTGATGTTCTTTTTTCTAAAGAGATGGCGAAAATATTTTCTTTTTGAGGGTTTTTGTACGGCATGTACCTTCCTGTTATGGTCTACCTTACACACCCTCCGGCCTACATAAGGCCTTGAGAGACTGCATATGCCCAAAACTTGAACATTCGATTTTTCCCTTACCTTACCTTTTGCCTTAGCTTGCCCATAGGCTTGACTTTTTTCCTACGCGCACAGCATCATCTCGCTTGCCCGTCGCCATCTTCGTTGGCACCGAAAGTCTTGCACTGGGTGAGGAAATGGACAACAAGCCATTGGAAGTCGAAAAAGATAGTGAAGCTACCGATGTCGAAGCAAATCGTGCTGGTCGCATCACTTTCCTCCCGGATGAAAGAGACCATGTCAGCCGACCCCGAACACAAGACAGAGGGAGTCGCAGTCGCCGCCGTTCTCTAAGCCGATCTTCTATTAACAGCACCCGCTCTCGCTCCGTTTCCGAGGTCCCCATCGAATTTCGACGTCTGAGTTATCAGCTCTCAGAATCTCAGAGAACTCGTGTTGTGGACGATGATGAAGACGAAGAGGAACCTCATCTCGAGCCTGTCGATCGCAGCACCAGCAAAAAAGACACAAAAGTCGACAACACTGATGAGGCCTTTGCGAATCTCGAGTTTCACAGTCTGCCTCCTGAGCTCCTATGCAAGCAGCTCGGTGTCAGTGATGCAGATGGCCTCTCACCCTCCGCGGCCGCAGAGCGTCTTGCCCGTGACGGTCCCAACGCTCTTCCTCACCGACGTGAAAACTACCTCCTCAAACTCCTGACTTACGTCTTCGGCGGATTCTGCTCCGTCCTCTGGATCGGCGTTATAATCTTCTTCATCTGCTGGCGCCCACTCGGCGATCCAAATCCTCAACCCTACAATCTCGGTCTCGCTATCCTCGTCCTCATCGTTATTTTCTTGCAGGCGTCCTTTTCCGCCTTCCAAGATTGGTCGACTGCCAGAACAATGAAGGCCATTTTGGACCTTCTTCCTGCCGAAGCTCTCGTCGTGCGATCTGGACAGTCCGTTCGTGTCCCATCGTCCAGTCTAGTGGTGGGCGATATAGTCAAAATAAGCATCGGCAATAAAGYCCCCGCCGATATGCGTCTGCTTACCACCTCTGGCGACGTACGATTCGATCGATCCATGTTGACCGGTGAATCTGAAGAAGTCGAAGGAGTCACCAACCTGACCGATGAGAATTTCCTCGAAACCCGTAATGTCGCCATGATGGGAACTTTAGTTACAAATGGTACAGCCACTGGAGTTGTTGTACTGACAGGCAAGAACTCAGTCATGGGCCACATTGCACTTACTACAACATCAGTCAAGAGCCAACCTACCCTCATTCAACTCGAGATCAGCCGCTTTGTCAGGATCATTGTCTGTATGACTATCTTCCTTGCTGCTTTGCTGTTGTGTACTTGGGCCGGCTGGCTGCGCAAGGATCATGCCGCTTTTATGAATGTCATTGCAATGCTGGACGATGTCATGGGTTGCGTGGTCGCGTTTATCCCTGAAGGTATGCCGGTGGGCGTTGCTCTGACGTTGATGATGATTGCTCGGCGCATGAAGAACAACAACATCCTACCCAAGGGTCTGTCAACGGTTGAGACACTTGGATGTGTCAATGTCATCTGTTCCGATAAGACGGGAACATTGACTGAGAACCGCATGACGGTCGTCACAGTTGCGTTTGTGGATGAGCGTATGTCTGCAGATGATGCTGCTGTTGCTTATAGAAGCTCAAATACAGAGCCAATCCGCGAACTGCTGAAAGCCGCTGCTATCTGCAACGATGGCACCTTTGAAGCCTCGACTCTCAACATGCCAGCAAAGGACCGCCTCGTTCAGGGCAATGCCACCGACGGCGCATCACTCAAATTCGTCGATACGGTCGAAGATGGTTCATGCCAGAGATTCAGAGATATCAGCCCCCGCGTATTCGCCGTTCCTTTCAATTCGTCCAACAAATGGATGCTCACACTCCACAAATCTGAGTCCACCAACGAAAAGGGACACGAAAACCAGATTGAGCAGATCGACCGACCAAACTATCTGCTGCTTGTTAAGGGTGCATCGGACATCCTCTTACCGCATTGCACACATTACTGGTCCTACAAGCAAAATAGCATTCAGACTCTCGACGACGACGCCAAATTCCAACTCGCAACTCTGCAAGAGAAGATGTCTCGCAACGCCGAACGAGTTATCATGCTCTGTCAACGAACAATCACACCCAGCGAAACTCTAGGCTCAAATGCCTTTAGCGACGAAATTCGTGAAGATGGACTTTCAGACTTGACGCTTATCGGTTTACTAGGTATCGTTGATCCGCCACGTAAAGAGACTGCATCAACCGTGGCATCTTGTCGTCGGGCTGGTATCCGTTTCCTCATGGTCACTGGAGATCTTGGTCTTACCGGAGCAGCGATCGCGAGAGACGTTGGTATTTTCTCCGGGTCCGCGGATCCAGATACTATCCACACAATTCTCAGCAAACGAGATGATGTCCAGGAGAGCAGCAGCACCGACGTCAACAGTGACTGGTCCCAGACGAGCCTCCTGCTTGAAGGCCCGTCTCTTTCTCAGCTCACGGATGCCGACTGGGACATTATCTGCGGCTACCAAGAGATCGTCTTCGGTCGTACGATGCCCGAACAGAAACTGCGCATTGTCAATGAATTCCGCTCACGCAACTACGTCGTCGCTGTCACCGGTGATGGAGTCAACGATGCACCCGCCATGCGAGCCGCAGACGTCGGCATCGCGGTCGTCTCAGGTAGTGACGTCGCCTTGGAAGCAGCCGATCTCGTGCTCATGGACAAATTCGACTCGATCGTCGAAGCCATCCGCCTCGGTCGCCTCGTATTCCAAAACTTGCAAAAAGTCATCAGTTACCTCTTGCCTGCTGGATCATGGTCCGAGATCTGGCCCGTGTTGATGAACGTGTATTTCGGTGTTCCGCTTCCACTCTCTTCATTCCTCATGATTATCATCTGCGTCTTCACCGATCTGTTCCTGTCGCTCTCCCTAATCATGGAACAAGAAGAATTCGACCTCCTCGACCTTCCACCCCGCGATCATCGCAAAGACCATTTGATTAACATCAAAGTCTACATCCAAAGCTACCTCTTCATCGGCGTCATGGAGACAATCGCAGCACACGCCATGTTCTTCCTCTATTTCTACAAACACGCCGGCATCCCCTTCCACGCCCTCGTCTTCGCATTCGAGTCCTACTCCGACGGGTTTTATGGCTACACCGCCGACGAATTGACATACTTCAACACCGTAGGCCAAAGCGTCTACTTCATCACCTTACTCTTCTTGCAATGGGGCAATATCCTCAGTGTACGGAATAAGCGTCTCTCAATCCTTCAAGCTGACCCTATACGCAAGGAGCGTCGCAATCCGTGGTTGTTGGCTAGTGCTATCATCAGTCTTGCGATTGCGATCTTTGTCACCGAGGAGCCTGGCTTGCAGCAGATCTTTGCGACGGCGTCGGCGCCGATTGAGTTTTGGCTTTATCCGATTCCGATGGCGTTGGGCATCTTGATGATGGATGAGATTAGGAAGTTGGTTGTGAGGATTTGGCCAGGAGGTTGGCTTGCGAAGATTGCGTGGTGATCTCATTCACTTCCCAGAGTGGGGATTAATTTTTTTGGTTGAAGGATAAGACGAGATTAAAGAGATAGACCTAGATAGTACATAGGGTCACGAATTTATGATATCTTTCCTCAAAGTCGAACATGTACAGAATTCACCAACATGATTGTAGCTCATTGTGCCTCCGGCCAACAGCTCACGATACCCTTATTATCCCCATCAACAGTCAAGACCACACTAGCTCCATACTCCAATGGATTTCCTTCCCAAACCACAAAGTCGGAATTCCTTTCTGCACCTTCAAAGCCAAGGATATCGTCAATCTTGCTTGAGAATAATTCTACAGCTTCCTCGTCGCCGAGACCGGCTTCTTTAGCGATTGCGGCTGCTTCAATGGGCAGGTTCGCAAGGTGCCAGTCGACTGTTAGCAAGGCAATGTCAGTAAGAAGTAGTCAATTAAATTCACGAAGCAGAGAACGTACATTCAGGGAGCATTGCAAGCGCAAAGGTGACATTTGACTCCTTCAGAACTTGCACGGCAGAAATGGTCAATGGCGGGCCAACAAGGAGATCTTTGCTTTCCCATGCCACTGGTGCTGAGTGAGCAGCAGTGAAGATTAAGGGAAGCCCAGCAGCGGCGATTTCATCGGCGACCTGACATCGTACAATTTAGTTTTGCTTCAATGTGTCAACTGGGAAAGGACTCACGCTTGGAGCCTCAGCAGCGCCATACACCACCAAGTTGGCTTTGGGGTAATCTTTCTTGATCTTGATGATCTGAAGAATGTCGTACTAAGCGCTGTTAACCTCATAGTCAATACATTTGGATCCAACTTGTAGTACCTTATTGTCAGTATGGACGACAACGGCGATCTTGCCATCAGCAGCCTTGCCATATAACGTATCCTTGGCTTTGTTTTCCGACAGGATTCTGCGCAAGGCGCTAACCGACTTGGATACTGTCGGAGTTTGAGATGAACCTATGACTGAAGTTAGTCCTGCCCAGGCACGAAACATTGAGACTTGGCGTACCCTTCGCTTTCTGCCCAACTACAAAATGCAAAGCGACATCATCCTTGTAAATCCCTCCATTGAGAACATTGCTGCCCTCGGCTATCTTGAATCCAGTGCTGACACCCCTCAAAAACCCTTTGGAGTACGGATATGTAATTGAACGAGTGACGCCACCAATTCGTGCGCGATCAAAGGCTTTCCCTTCGAAATGAATGCCATATTTGGCGTAAACGGCCGACTCAGGGTCGTATATGTTGGCATTAGAATCACCGACTCCATCAGAAGTGCTTTTTTCTGATTCTATTTCGATGATACCCAGTCCGCTGGATACAGTGGTCAAACCGGGTAGGACGTGCCCATTGCGGAGAGAGATGACTTTGTCGAATGATTTTGTCGAGACACATTGGTCGTGTTGTCCTAGGCAATCGATTTTGCCATTTGCAAGAACCATTGTCAAATTACCTTCCGAGGACTGCTTGATATGTGTATTTTCCAGGTAAGAAGTGCTGATACCGGTAATGAGCACAGTGATATCTTGCTTCGATTCCGAACAAAAGGCTTCGACATCTTCGGGTGCAGCTTCTGCACGCATTTCAGGCTTCTGAACTCTTGCAGGCTCTGATCGCTCGAGCTTTTCTTCTAACGTAGGTCTGCCGTCAATGTATACCTGTAGCGGTGATGCGCCGGCTGATAACGGATGGGCATTCCAAACAACCAAATCTGCGTCATAACCGGGCTTTGTGTAGCCAACACGATGATCCACTTCGAGAGATCTCGCGGGGACACTGGTAACAGATTGTAACGCAAGGATCTCCGGAAGACCAAATGCATGCGCAGTGGCGGCTTGGGTTCTATGCTTCTTTTAGCAACTTATACACAACCTTGACTTGAGCTTCAACTCACAAGAGATATTTCGCATTAGTGTTAGGCTCCACATGGTCCTATCGTTGATCAGAAAACAGTTACATTTCGATAGACATGGCAACTCACCGATTTAAAGGCCAATGGCACGCCATGCTCAGCCAGGATTTTGCCGGCTTGCAAGTTCCCTTCATATCCTTCCACTTTGTATAGACTAAATTCGGCAAAAGTTGCGACTGTGATGTTCCTGTCTTTTGTTAGTCGTGCCACTTTCCTAAAAAGAATACTCAACGTACTGCCCACTATTCTTGATCAACTCGGGCACTTTCCAAGCGCTCAATGCATGGTGGAATGCCTGAATGTGGAAGCCAAATTCCTTGCTATGAAGAAGCATATCCTCAAAGTCTTCCGGCTCATAGCAATGCACATTAATGTTAATTTTCCCTCTCAACATGGCAATAGTGGAATCAAATTCAAGCTCCTCCGGTAGCCCTCCCTTCCCAGCCGGGCCATCAGCAAGTAGGCTTGCGGCGGCAGAAGTATCTCTATTCTGTCTCGCAGTCGTAGCAGCAGCACACCATGCGTCTTGATTCTCCCGCAGATCTTTTGCTCGCGCCATATGCTGACGGAATTTCCATGCATTGCCCATCCTGGTATGGTGGTACACTCTGCGCGGGTTCTCGCCACAAGCCATCTTCAAATATCGGCGTCGATCCTGTTTAGGAATACCGTGCTCAAGAAGCATATCTTCGACAACTTCTTCGCCGTGCTCCCCAGCTCGGAGCAAGTTTTTAACGGGGAAGGCTTCACCACCCATGATGTTTGCTGAGCCAGGTAGAATTAGCGACGTGGTCACGCCGCCGGATGCAATGATAGTAGTGGCGATGTCATACGGCTTCAAGGAATCGAGAGATCGAACCATGGGTGTCAAAGGTCCCGTCTCGGGGTTGACTTCATTCTCGTCAGCAGAGACACTGAGAATGGGCCAATTATAAGCCAGATGATGCGAGTGCATGTCTACTAGGCCTGGCGTAACAAATTCGCCATTGTAATGACGAACGATTGTGTTAGAATCAATTTCAATCTCATTGGCACTGGTAGGTGAAATAGACCTAACGACGCCCTCTTTGAAGATGATATCCACTGGCTTCGCAGAGATGCTATCTCCGTCGAAAAGAGTCACATTCCGCAACACTGTGGTTTGCGACTGGCCAGACACAGCGTTCCATCGTGGATTACTACGATTTGCAGGCACCGGGAACGAGTAAGATAACGATGGCTTGTTGTACTCTTCGCATTTCGCCAGGTGTTCATCTAATCGATCCCATTGAGATTGAGCGAGCTGCGGATCGCCGTGAAACTCAACAATGTACTTGGATTGGGGTGGATGGTAGGATGTGAACCAGAGGAAGCCTATCACGATAAGAGCAGGAAGGAGTAGACGGCCGACGCGAAACCCGCGACGACGACGAAAGGGCGTTGTCCCGACAGTGTTTAATCCTTTCATTTTTATACAATATGAAGTTCAGAACATGAATCTAGGAGACGTTTAATGGCAGCAGGTATTTATACCCTTGCAGCTGCCTGTTGGTCAATTGAAGCTAAGAGCGTGGGGAATTGACGTGCTTATCTCGTGCTTAGTTAGGAAGCTCAATAATCATCGGAGTTCGGAGTAGCGCAGATCTCAGTTGTAGCTGGATAGAAATTATCTATCTACGGTGAAGGTGGAAGACATTGTTGGAAAGGCCACGTACAAAAGCTAGACTACGTCGCACAGCATGACGCTGGAAAGAACACGCACATTGGCATGGGAAAGATCGTATCAAATGATGGCTCACGGATGTCGTACGAATTCACCGACGAGATAAAGCTGCGATTACGAAGAAATCATTCCAGCGACCCCTTTACGAACTAAAAATAAGACACAATGAGGCATCGAATCGAAGGCGGTATTCAGCTTTTCAAATTCGTCGAATCCAAGCTACATACACGAGAAATTCCGCATACAAATGATGCCCGCCGGAAGGAGAAGCTCGTGAACAATGATCATATTTTGGGAACGTTTCTTTTCCGTAGAAAAGAAAAATCATCGAGATGCAATCAAGCCATTTTTGAAATCATTAACAAACACCCGAACCCAATGTAAAACCGCGCCAAATTGATGTCGTTCAACATTTACTCGTTGATTTCGCGGAGACGGCGGAGGGTAGAGCGAGCAGCGGAGGCGGCGGGGGTGCTAGACAAAGATTAGTCGGGTTGATGAAGAGACTGTGTTGTCGTAGAACTCACGAGAGAGTGTAAGCACCACCGGTGATGGTCTTCTTGCAGCCGGAGCAGTTCCAGATACCGACAGAGTGACGGCGGACGGTGTTACGACCGCAGAAGGTGCTATGCAAATATTAGCATTCGGATCGTCAAAACCGCCCTGCTATTTGTTGTATTCGACGTACCAGGTGTATCGGGCGTGCTGAGCAACTTCGAGACGCTTAAGCTGCTTACGGAGAGAGGCACCGTATCTGACACCGTACTTTCCGGTAATACCGACCTCTGGAGTATGAGTTAGCAGGTTGTTCGAGTGAATCCGTTGCGGTGACAAAAGGAAGGATTTCATCAATCAACGTTCATATCGGTCGCTTGACGAAATTTGACGATGGTGAATCGAGGCGAGATCGGAAAGTCTTACTGGTAGTTCTCTTGGCCATTTTGACTAGCTGTAAAGTCGAAAAAAATCAGTATTGTGTTTAGCGATGTGTATGTGTGTGGATGGTGAAGTTTTGGTATTTCTCGTCGGTCACAATCACGCAACCACGCAGAGAAATTCAATCGACCGGGGAAAAGCGAGGAGAATAGTTCGGGCGACACGGAATATCAGATCTTGAGTATAGAGACGTACCTGTGAACTTGATGTCGGCTAAAGACAGGTTGTTGGTTGCTGAGACTTGACGGTGAGTGTGGATAGCCTTGAATTTGGCGACTGTGCGGTGGTGAGCCGGTCGAACCTTTTTCCGGCTGCTTCCGTGGTGCTTTCGCTTAGAGAAGGTCACGGGATGACATGTAGATTATTGGTGGATAAACGACCCACACTGCTCTTCCATTTTCTCTCCATACTACTACGATGTATAGAGCATACTCCATAGCCCGGCCGTTACTCCGTCATCCGAACCCATTTCTCGTCCAGGCTCGTCCAGGCTCGTCGAAGTTCGTCCACTCTCACCCGGCTAGAGCCTAGACATGGATTACTGGTGAGTGCATCAGAGTCTTGGTATCTTTACACTCATTGAGAGCATCTGGCCAAATTCTCCGCGGTGGCCAAGTCTGGCTGATTTTATCCTACTGGCTGATTAATCTGCAGGTCAGCAACCTAAGTTAATTAATTTCACTACGCACGTTCCAACTTCCCAGCTTGCGAGGATTAATCACGCATCGCATGATACGTAACAACTTATTAAGGAGGCTCGTGATTTCGCTTAAACCCTGGGATGAGCTATAAGAGCCAGTGTATGGTCAATAGCGACATTGTTCGTTCGGGAAGATTGCTGAGTTCATCACGCTTGATTGTTGTGCTGGAGCTATATCCTGGACGGACATTCCACCTGAGTAGGGAACTTATTGCAGTGCATAAACAATAGACAGTCGATATTCAATCATCCACATTGCCTATTCTAACGAGAAAACGGTAGAAGAACAGAACGTGGGAAATGCTTGCAGAGATTCAGACCGGGGTCCAGAATGAATTTGCGGGGAAAGAACGGCCAGTGAGACAGTCAGTAGTCGGGACTCCCGTCACTCCGCAATTGCTCACAACGGCCAGCCAGCCAGATCCATGCTCTCACAACTACCGATCCCTGTATGCCTCCTAACATTTTCGTACTTTGTCAATCTCGTTCTGTACACTACACTGCCATGCTGCCTTCCCTTTCCCTGCTATCTGCCTATCTAATTGCTTTTGATATGCGATAGACACAACCAGTAGCTCTTCACGCTTGGTGACCCCCGTACCAGCACCGGGTTTTCCCGTCGAGAACTGAGCATTCACCTTCAGCACTTCTAATCCTCGGCACTCTCCTTTCGCCCCTTGACTGCTTTCGGGCAGATCCAGGTCCAGAATGTCAGCCGAAGAAACAACAAATGCAGCCATGGACGAGCTGATGGACCAAGACGATCAAAGCGTCGCTCCGGAGACGACCCCGCCCAACGGCGTCAAGAAACGATGGCGCCGGAATCGCGTCGCTTGCGATGCCTGCCACACTCGTCGCGTAAGATGCGACCGCGCTTTCCCATGCTCCAGATGCGTCGCAAGCCAGACACAGTGCGAACTCACTCGTGAGAGACGCAAAAGAGGTCGCATACCTCGTAATGACTCGTCGCGCAGAGAGAGTACTTTTGCGCGCGAGACAACGGGAATAGCTGACGAGAAGAAACCTTTTACGGGAAGAAGGTCGACCACTACACAGCAGACCGATTTTATCAGCATGGTCACGGATCCCATGCCCACCGAAAAAATGGGACAGCCAACCAATTTCCCTCGTTCTGCTCCTACGTCGCCCGATCATGTGCTTCACGCGTCTGCTCAAAGCAGTGGTGAGCACCTGTCTCGCCGAGATACTTTACAACCTTCGCCGAGAGAGACAGTAGGAGGAGGAGACAGAGCGGTTGAGGATTGGATGTCAGGCTCAAACGGGTTCCCTCAAGGGCCATATCCTTATCCAATGTTTGGAAATATGGCATTCTCGGATGGTTTCTTTGATATCCCTTTCGGGATGATGGGCTTGAACAACTTGAATGGGTATCAATTGTCGAGATCTGTATCTCGACAACAACGGAAAAATGAGCAACCAGGAAAGCCAGCAGAAGCTCCGCTAAAGTACCCAGTGCTAGCGCCGTTGATGCCTTTTCTCGAACCGTATCTGTCGCGCAACCTGGTCTATGATCTCCTTGATCTTTATTTTACAAGTGCATTTTCAACGGCCATGCATCCTGTGTGTCACCACATCCATTGCTATGTTGTGCGAAAAGCATCTTTTCTCAGTCACGACAATCCACGAAATACAAGTCCTGCCTTGCTTGCAAGCATGCTCTGGGTTGCCGCACTTGATGATAGAGCTTTTTCATTATCAATCTCCCCGCCAAAGCGGAAGAAGCTCTGTCAATTTCTGTGCGCATTGACTGTGCGACTCTTGAGGCCACTCATTCATGTCTCGTTCAAAGATGACGAAGCTCTGCCTATTATCGATCACGAAAACAGCTTCTCTCTTGGCGGGCACGACCGCACTCATTCGTTCGAAGAAGGTGGCGATGACCGAGGCTTGATTGGGCCGGCCGGATCGTTGGACGATGTGATTACCTATATTCACGTAGCTTCTATTATATCTGCTAGCGAGCAAAAGGCAGCTAGCATGCGATGGTAGTCCCTCCTTCGAATCCATTTCATGATATCAGCTAACATTCATTGCAGGTGGCACGCGGCCTTCACATTAGCAAGAGAATTGCGACTCAATCAAGAAATTGAAGCAACGTCCAATCTCAGCAGCCCAGTCGACGAGTTGAATCGGCCATTCGAATTCGCGGAAGGTACTGGCTATGGAACAAATCATAGCGGTGCTAGTGGAAACTACTTTCTTCCCGGCGGACGAGCGAATCTGAATTGCGTATGTACAAGACAGCAGCAACGGCCGAATCTCATGACAGAAGAGCATTTTCAACCCCGAAACGGAAGCTTGATTACAGAAGAGCATCGAGAGGAACGTCGTCGAACTTGGTGGCTTCTTTACATCATGGACCGACATCTCGCACTATGCTACAATCGACCTTTAGCTCTACTCGATGCGGAATGCGATGAACTTCTTTTGCCGCTTGAGGAGGGCCCATGGCAAGCTGGTGACGTGCACAGCAATAGTTCCAAAGCCGATGGACCTCAATGTCCCGTTTCACCGGACACGAACAGGCGACGTTGTTTCCCGAACTTTGCATGCAACGACCACTCAGTCTTTGGCTTCTATTTGCCATTGATGGCAATCACAGGAGAATTGATCAATCTCAACCAGGCAAAGAATCATCCTATGCTAGGCACTCGTCTGCAAGTTAAGACCGCATGGGACGTACAAGTAAATGAAGTCTTGCGTCAACTGGACACATACAAAGCGACATTGCAGGCATTCTCAACTCATTACGCCGCAGCAGCTCCTCCTCCTCCTCCAGCAGCAGGACAACCTTCATCTTCCACAATACCACCGACCGGCCAACCGTCAGGACTAGGTCAACCTATGCAACCACTCACCCTATCTCCGCCGGTCCTCAACGAGGCAGGGGGCATCGATGACGCAAACTACAAATCCTACCACTCATGGCACACCCAAACGGTCGTCGCATACGCTTCCTACGTCGTGCACGTCCTCCACATTCTGTTAATGGGAAAATGGGACCCCGTTTCCCTCCTCGAAGACAAAGACTTCTGGACCTCCTCCCCAACTTTCGCATCCACAATCTCGCACGCCCTCGAAGCCGCAAACGCGCTTGAGCGAATTCTGCACTACGACCCGGACGTCAGTTTCATGCCGTATTTCTTCGGCATTCAGCTCCTGCAGGGCAGTTTCCTATTGTTGCTGATCGTCGAAAGACTTCAAAAGGAAGCAGGGGAGGGAATCCTCAAGGCCTGCGAAGTGGTGATCAGAGCAACGGAGTCGTGCGTCGTGACACTCAACACGGAGTACCAGCGCAATTTCCGACAGGTGATGCGCAGTGCGGTGGCGCAGGCGAGAGGAAGGCCGGTTAATCATAGCGAGATTCGGCATCGAAGGAAAGCGGTTTTGGCGTTGTATAGGTGGACGAGGAATGGGACTGGGCTGGCTTTGTGATATTATCTTATTTACGTCTTTTTTTTTTTTTTTTTGCTTTGTATATATTGTACATATTTCATTATCTGTCTATATGAAAAGTTCTTGCATTATTCAAAGACATCTCAAGTACAGTCCAAACTAAATCCAGCCTTTCGTACATCCTGCAATCCATGTACACCAGCTGAAGAAGCCTGGATATTCATAACGACCAGATGCCCATCCCCACCCTCAAACGCAACGCCACCCTTTTCAGCTCTCTTCATCATTTCTGTGTCCGCTTTCTTTATAGAGCCATTCTCACAGTTCCATACCGATCCTTCCTGGAGCCATTTCCAAGAGAGGTAGGCTCGTAACTCTTTGTCTTGAGGCAGGACTCGTTTCCACTCTGGTTCATAACAGACTTCATCGGCTTCGGTTGATGATACTGGCAGTTGGTTGTAGCGGAGATGATCGCGACAAAATATCCGCCACGAATCAATCGCATACGCACCCACGCCCGGTAAATGTGCTATTTCCCATGCCACTCTCGTATCACATTGCCCATCGCCGCCCTGGTCTGCTTCATCACGCACAACCTCGTCCGGCGCAACGTCCGCTCCATCCCGTTTCAGCGGATAATTCAATTTGCGATACCTCGTCCCTCTTTCTGGCGGAGACTSGAGCCACTTCCGCGCCAAAGCGATGAATTTCGTGGCTCGTTGGTTCTGAAAGCCCAAGCCACGGATTATGGATACTATATCTTCGTGGTTTGCAGATGCCATGTCTTCGATTGTTGGATAGAGATCGAAGAGTTTGAAGAGGACGGGAATTGCTACTGGTCCACGCGTTCGATTCAGGAATATCGTGGCGATGAGAAGACGGAAGGGGGAGAGGGAAAGTTGTTCTTGGATTAAACCGAAGGTGGGTGCTGCGATGGGTGGGAAAGGGAGACAGGATGTTTCGATGAGGGGGAGTGGTTTGGGGAAATAAGGGGATAGTCTTGGGGGTTGTTTGCGCGGGGAGGATGATCTCGGTCTTTTTTCTGGCCGGTAATTTCGTTCTTCTTGGTGTTGCGGAAGTGTTTCTGCCTCAGGGTTGGTGCTATCATCATCAGTATCCCCTCGCTGGACGAACTTCCCTGCGTTAATTGATTGGAGCGGCAGGKTTTCGGTCTCTACATGAGTATCAATCGGAGCAGCTCTAGCCTCTGTATCATCCTGGTTCTTGTAATCCGTCCTATCACTTCCATCTTGCAGCTGTGTCTGAGCTGCCAAGTCCAAGTCGGACGTCTGTGCCCGCTCCAATACAGACACATCCTGACATGACGATGAACATACACCATCTCGAATTGGCGATGACTCCTCCTCTAAAGCATGAATCGTAATTATTTTCTTCTCATCAGATTTTTCATCTCGTTTCTTGACTTGTTCCCAAGTCTTCGATAAATCGCCATCTCCACATTTGCGATTGTTCCCCCTTGATCGGACGAAATAACTTGAAGTTTTGGCTGTTCTTTTTATGGCGGTCACATTGCGCTTTGGCATGACCAGTCCCAAGCGCAATTGGTACTGGAAAGGATAAAAATAATTAAATAAAAAAAATAAAACTAAACGGATACCAAAATGTAAATGATGAGACGGTGGTAAAAGATGAAGTCCAAAATTGTTGGAGGGGATTGTTGATAAGGAAGCCCCAGATCAGGCCGCGCTAGTTTATCGCATCATCCTTGCTAGCACATGCCACGGTCATAACTCAGGCTACTCAGCACCACAAGAGGGGCACTACCACACTAGTCACGCCGAGACCGACAGTGACGAGGCTGAAAGGGCATTCTCACGATGGAGTCGATATACTTTCAAGAATCTGCGGATTCTATCACCCACAATGAACGTATAGTCCAAGCCTGTACTATGTCTCAGAACTTGTACACGCGAAACAATCGGACCGAGACCAGACGATCACCCACCCAATGACTGTATAAACAAACGAGAACCGGATACAATGCCGCCGAAAACCCGCGATGAATTCGAAATAGCCATCATCTGCGCGCTGCCTCTCGAGGCAGATGCAGTTGTAGCCTTATTCGACGAGTACTACGACGCGGCTGGCGACAGATATGGCAAGCTGCCAGGTGACGGAAACACATACACAACGGGGCGAATAGGCCAGCATGATATCGTCCTTGTCCATATGCCTGGGATGGGCAAAGGGAGCGCTGCGACAGTGGCTTCAAGTGCTCGCATGAGTTTTGTCGGAATAAAGCTTGCGCTGGTTGTGGGAATTTGTGGAGGTGTGCCATTTGCATTCAAGAATAATCAACAAACCGAAATCATCCTGGGCGATGTTGTTATTAGCAATGGTGTTATTGAGTACGACTTTGGTGCGCAATATCCGGATGGGTTCAACAGGAAGAGTGATGTGAAAGACACGCTGGAACGTCCGAATCGAGATATAAGAGGCTTTCTCGCCAAATTGGAAACAAGCAGGACGAGAAAGCAGTTGGAATTGAAGCTGTCGGAATACGTCGATCATGATCTTCAACATACCAGCGCAAACTATCCCGGCGCTCAGCAAGACATATTGTACGAATCCTCCTACCGACACAAGCACCGCAACTCCCCCGGCTGCACATGCACAAGCAACAACTCTTCTCAGGATCTGGTCTGCCCAAAAGCCCTCCAAGAAGACTGCGAAGTCCTAGGCTGTGGAGGAAACTTCATACCACGGAAACGTCTACAGGTCAAAGAGCGTCCGAAACCAATTGTCCACTTTGGCAAGGTCGCCTCGGCTGATACCGTGATGAAGTCGGGCGAACACCGCGATACCCTTGCTAAAAAGGAAGATGTCGTCGCATTCGAGATGGAGGGTGCTGGAGTCTGGGATAGTTTKCCGTGTGTAATCATCAAGGGGATTTGTGATTATGCGGATTGCCATAAGAATAAACGCTGGCAACGGTATGCCGCAATGACTGCGGCGAGTTGTACAAAAGCCTTTCTTGAATATTGGACTCCAAGAGCCAGGGTGAGCAAAATGATCCCTTCTCTATAGTCAAGCGAAATAAGTTCTAACGCTGAATAGGTGCAAAGTGTCTTGGTCAGCAATCACTTCATTTCCACGGTGCCCATGATCCGGAATAGTGGTTTTCATGGACGCAAAGAAATCCTCGAGAAGCTTGATGAAATATTCGGCCATGCATCTGACCGCCAAGGACGCGCCGCTTTGTCTGGGTTAGGAGGTGTAGGGTGAGGAATCAATCGCCCGGGTCCCTCTTTAGTAACACCGAGGCTTACTTGCGTCTCTTACAATAGGAAGACTCAGATTGCCCTCGAGTGGGCACATCGAAACTCCTCATCTTCCCATATTCTCTGGGCGAATGGTAAATCGATCGAAACGCTACAAGAAAGCTATCTAGAGATCGCCAAAAAAGCAGGTATCAATCTGAATGTGACTGCTCAAGGTGAAGCCGTTGGTGCAGTAAAGAATTGGCTTGATTCGACAGCTTCCGGTGATTGGCGACTGGTCATTGACAATGTGGACGACCAGCACGTGGAGTCAGCATCTATCAGACCGCTTTTACCTATAAGGAGGGGAGCAATATTGTTCATTGGTGCACGGACAGATGATATCGATCACTTGGTGGAGGAAAGCTCACGGATTGAGGTGCCGCCGTGGACACAGGAGGAAGCCACAATGATGCTTTTGAAGCTCGCAGGTCTTACGAAAGAACCAGGGACACTAGATCCCGAGGCACAAATGCGATACAAGAACGCAGTTGATCTGGCTTCGCGGCTGGGTTGCATTCCTCTTGCCATTGCTCAAGCCGCTGCTTATATCAAGAAAAACAAAATCTCAATACAGTCATATACCAATGAATTGTTTTCATCGCAGACGTCGGCCGAGGTAGAGCGGTCCAAACTCTTAACTCGCACTATTCACGGGCCCTCTGACCTTATGCCACAAGCGGTCATGGTTACTTGGGATTATTCATATGAACGCTTGAAGAAACATACGCCTGCAGCAGCCAAACTTATCCAGTTCTTCTCTTTCTTATCGCCAGATGGCATACCATTCAAAATGCTAAATCAATCGACCCTACAGAAGATATGTGACGCGGGACCTGATTTCAGCCTGATAGAGGAGCTAGGTCATCTCCAATCATTTGCTATGCTACAAATGACTTCTGCGTCGGAAAATGGTGGGCCGGGTTCTATGGTTATCACAATTCCAGCTTTAATTGCCACATGGATAAGAGATACCAAAATTGCGAGCCCAGATCGAGCTTCTATCATTGACATTGCGTTCCGACTTGTGGCCGAGCAGTTTCCTCTAGCCAATAGGTATACACCAGCTGCTGGCTCGCACTTAGTCTCACATGTGCGAGCAGTTCAAGGTCATCGCGACACTATCAAAGCTGAGAAGGACACGCTTTCTAAACAGCTAGACTATAGAATGGGGCGACATTTGTTCTACATGGGGCAGTATAGGGAGGCGAAGGAACTGTTAACGACTCATTTTCACTACCTCCAAGAGACAGATAGCGACACTCGTGAACAAGCAATTTGTGGACATTATGTCGCCTGTTCACTCGACGCTCTGGACGATCAAGCTACCGAAGAGTGGTTTGATCGAACCATTGAACTGGGAAAGGCTTTGTCTAACACGGACGAGTTTGACGCGTGGGAGACTCTCACAAGGAAAGCAGGCCGTGCCTTCAAGAAAGGGAGCCTACCAAAGTCGAAAGAAATTCTGAACCAAGTCTTGAAAGCTCGGAGCGCGTCGTTGCCAGATGGCTACGATGAATCATGTATCTTTCCCTTGAAGTTGATAGCTGGTATATGTCAGCGACTGGACGAAATTGAGGAGGCGCTCGAATTCTATTCAAGCGCCTTGGATATTGCTGAACGTGAATACGGGATCAGAAATGGACTGACCATGAAGCTTCTTTTTGGAAAGGTCGAAGTGCTTAAGGCATTAGAAGACAACGGCAAGGCTGAAGAATGTCTTCAGAAGTATCTTCTCAAGTTCTTCGATCAAAAATTCGCCTCGAACCATGAATCTTCATGTTTGAGTGAGACACTTGAGCAAGTTTTCCCCGTGCTGAGAAATTTGTATCAATACCACCCCCAGGACGAGATTGATCTCAAAGATTACATTGCAGATGTCTACTCAAAAGAAGGCAAGCATTTCCGAGCACTCAATTGGCATACAGACGCATACGATCAAGCTAGGAGCTCTTTTACCGATGAAAGTCTTTACACTGCTTTTCTTCGTGAGCACTTGGCCATGGCTCTGTCGAAAGTTGGAGATTACGAGCTTGCTATCACCCATCTGCATGCTGTGATCAAAGTCCGAGAAAATAACAACGCTGATGAGATGGCGATTCTCAACGCGCAGTCCGCGGAAGTATTTTTCCTTCTCGACAGTGGAGATGGAGTTCGTGCACTTGAACTTGGTATCACAATCTATGAAAAGTACAAAGAAATCTGCTCTGAAGAGCATTGGGAGACTATCAATAGTCTGACCAATCTGGCAAACATATACCAAGAAATAGGCTTTCCAAGCAAAGCCCTGGAACTCTCTCAACAGGCTATGGAAGCTTTCGAGGCCACTGACTCTGCCGAGGATGAAGATACAGCTTTCCTTTCCAAGGTACGGGGTCTAGCTCTTGCGGACCTCGGCAAATATGATGAAACCCTTGCAGCTTTGAAAGTGAGCGTCGAGAATTATCAAAATGATCCATATGAATCCCTGCTTGTCGAGATTGAAATGGCCCGAGTACAAAGCAAGCTCGGAAATCCAAAAACAGCTCTTAAATCATGTCAAGATGGTCACAAGCGAATCAATGAATACTCCGACGACCCGGCCGGCCATCCATTGCGATGGCAAATTTTCTTCGCCGAAGCATCAATATACATGGACCTTTCCGAACCCGACAAAGCACTAACCGCGCTCCGCAAAGCCGAGGACATGGCCCTAGCCCATTTCAACAAAACGCACACATCCATGTCCAAGATCTTCCTGGCGATGGCCCGCGCCGAAATGGCGTTGGCCGAGAAGACGAAGCCGAAGAAAAAGGGAAGCCCCTGGCAAGAATCGAATGGCCATTTCCAGCGCGCTCACGACTTTTATGCGCAGTCGGCAGAGGGTTTTCGTCGAAGCTTTGGAAAGGAGAGCAAATATGTGGGTGAGGCGACTGATGGAATGATTATTTCGGCGAAGCATATGGCGGAGTTGCAGCTACAGAATGCTCAGGCGCAGGGCGGTAAATTTCGTAAGGCATTTACTTATTTTTTGTAAACACTCGATTCATGTGTGAGTGGATGTCAATATTCACAAACTGGAAAGACATCGAGCGAGTATCATCATCAATCACACCAGCAAATCTCCTTTACCATACAAGTCATTCAAGCCATTCAGCTTCAAAGAAACAGTTTTTAAAGCGTAGGTAGCAGCAAAGTTCGATACCCATCCACCCTGACATTTCCCTCTCATACCGACGGAGAACAGACCGATGAAAAACAGGATCACTTTCCCTCAACATCCTCCGCTGCCGGCGCAGCTTGCTCACCCTCGTCGGAAACTTTCACGCGCTCGTTGTTGGGCGACGTCGCCGTCTCACCCGCCGGCGATATCTGACCATACAAGTACGAACAATTGTCGCAGATGTGGTTGCACCAGCCACAGGGGCGTTTGTTTGAGACGCGGCGGCAATAGCACTACATATACAACCGTTTAGGGCTCAATGCTGTGTTTACCGGTAAGGGAGGGGGGAGTGGGAAAGAAATTGGGCTTACGCAGGCTTCCATATTCAAATCGTTGAAACTTTTCTATGCAATGTCTCAAAAGAAAAGGAGGTTGAGTATCTGAATATCTGCTTTCGTGCGACAGAATATCCCCTCGTTTCCTTCTAACCGACTTTATACCACTTCCCCTGCGGGGTCACGAGGGGCCAAAGCATGATTGAGGCTCAATAAGATGAGCTAGGCTATGCACATCTAATATCACATACAACAACATGTGGCAAAGCTGCCAAGGTATGAACATTACATGAAACAGTAGCGTATGCACGTAGTGCCTCTACCCAAAAGAGGCTATTGGCTACTCAGACGAGGAATTGGTTTTGCCGGGGACTACTAACTACTAGCTACTTACTAGACATGTGAGTTGCTGTGTGTATGGTGATCGAAATGGGTATCCATATTCCAGGTTTAGGCTAGTTTTTCTTGCACTGAGGTGATGAGGGAAGGTGATTGGATCTCTTGTTTAGGAGTGGAGGGACTGACTCCTCTGAAGTAGGAAGGTTTTTGTCATGACTCATGTGTAGGGTGGATAAAAATGGAGCATGAAGGTCGATTATATCACGAAATCAGAGATAAACAACACGCCAATACATCAGTAGTATTATACATGAATAAATTTATGAAGCGAAGACGTAATGATGAAATGTATAGATTATAAGAATCAATGATTACCACCCCCCTTCTTGTTGACCATGAATGTCGTATAAGAAGGGAAGATGAACAAATGTGTAAGAAATGAAAAGAGGACACGGACCTCTTGTCTATCAAGACTGGACTTTGCCAGCCTCTCGTACTTCATTCATAAAACTATCCTCGTCGCCCGCCAGACTCAGAATCCAATATTGTCCAACGCCGGCGTTGGCAAATTGACCGCCTCCATATCCCATAATCGGTGTCGGGGAGCTATGGCGGGTCTTGGTGTCTCTTATGAGCGTGCCCAAGTCATGCGGTCCCCAGCCCACGACGTGCTTTAATTCTTCGCGGGATTTCGGTTCGGCGCCTGAAAGGCCTAGTAGTTGCGTTTGTAGGCAGCCCAATACAGCGACTCCGGCTCGGATTATGATACGGTCTCCTTCAAAAGCCCAGCAGTCCCAAACGCGACTGAGGTGTTCCAAGTCCAGGCCGTTGGTGAATAGAGATCGAAACATTGGACCCCAGATGTCCTCGTCAGTGAGCTGCGCTGTCTCGTAAAGATGGGCAAAAAGTCGGGGAAATTTATATCGCAGTGTGGCCGAAGCGAGACCGTACGTTCGAGCAATCGCGGCACGGTCGTACGTCAAAAAGGCAAGAGGGAGTGGGCGGTTGAGAGCATTGGCCATGGCAATAAACGCGGAAGCGGCAGTAGGAAGTTGAAGGACAAGCAGAGCGGCAATAGTCTGAACAATATGTTAGCTACATCAACAATGTAGTGAGAAAGAACTTACGTGAAGGCCATAGGTGTATCCAACATCACTGCGATACATGGCATATGCTTCTAAGACATCAATCAAGGTGTCCCGTAAAGGTCCACCCTCCTGGAAGAGATGAAGTTCGGGGAATGCGGATGAGACATCTCGAGAAATGGCTGCAAACCACTCTCGTATCCTTCGGCTAGTATCACTAGCATCCTCATCTCCTCGTGCCTTGACGTCCTTGGCCCGCTGAAGTGCCTTTTGGTACGACTCGGGTGTCAAGGATAGCTCGTTATTGATTGCTCGTTGCCACACTGCTCCACGGCACCGAGGTGTTATGCCTCGCCACCACAGCTCCCTCGTGCGAGGCTCTGCAACAGCATGATTCCAGTTAGGCAGGACGTGATCTTCCCAGATTCGTTGTAGCGTCTCCCTGGTGTTGTCTTTTTCGCACTGCGCGGCAGCGGCTTTGGCGGCTTTCTTCTTCTCTGCAATCACTGTCAGTCATGGATCTTTAGTTAGACTATTGAGTCACTGACCTGCTTCCTTGGCTAGAGACATCATCCTTTTATACTCCTTCAAATGTTTCTTCTCTTCCAACGGATCTTTCGGCGGCAGCCAACTAGGGCGCGTGCGACTAAGAACCTTTTCCTTCTCCTTACTGGCAGGTAACGGGTCAATCATCACATTGGATTTCTGCACCGGCGGTAAATCCTGTATTCCGCCAGAAAGTCGCTTAGATTCCACACTGGAGCGTTCTGACGAAAGACCACTCTGAACTCGTTCTTCACGTTTGCGACCAGCGTCGTCGGCGTGGTACTCGAGTGTCTGCGTCAACACCTTGGCTTCCTCAGAAAGCTCAGCCATGGCGAGGTTGTAAGAGTATGTACGTGGATCGCGCGGAGAAATTTGGCCTCGTTCAGGACCCGCGGACGCAGACCGAGTGACTTTGAGTCGTGAATTTCCGCCGGGCGAATGTCGGGAGGAGTTTCGCGATTTGGACAAAGGCGCTACATGCTGTTCCGAAACAGCATGCGACAACGGTATAGGCTTAGGGCTAGTGACTTGATCCGGGCTGGTACTGCGCGAGGCCGGACGTTCTGTAGGTGGTCGCGGAGACAGTGGTACATTGAATAAGCTAGCATCATCTGGCAAGTCGTCATCAGAGTCATGATATTCAGCCTCAAGTTCCTTGACCGTTTTTCGCTGTAGCGAGCCCCGTCGAGACGAAGGATTGCGAGGAGCCAATGGCGAAAGACTCAGGCTGGAAGCAGATGGCGAAGGCAACGGTCCTGAGTTCGACAGAGGAGCAGAAGATGGGGACACTGAGCGGGATCGAGGTTGGCGGTATGGTAGAGACGGAGTTGATGCGCTTCCATGCTTTGACAATCGTCGACCGCTCTTCATCATTCTCGGATCTAGCGTTCCCCTCGAGGGTTGTCCAGGTATGCCCTGCAGAGCTCTCGATGATGGCGGTGTAATCTGTCTCCTCTGACCAGAGGTCAATTCCCTGCCAGACTTGGACGGCGGTGTCGTCGATATCATACTATTCATGCTAGCGACCTGCGATATCACACGATTTTGACTGGAAGCTCGAGAGCCAGCTCGGGAACGAGAGTGAGGGTATGAAAGCTTCGCCGGATAGGCATGCATTTCAGAGTCATCTTCAAGACCGATATCTTCGAAATTGGATGTATCTGTAAAATTGACATTGGGGTCGGCATCGTGCGAAGAGGAATGAAAGGACGAAGATTTAGAGGATTTGGAGGTGGTGAGTTCCGGGACCGAGCTGGGCGATGTCAGAGTAGCCGTCGCCATGACTTGTCTGTCAGCCACTTGAGTGGTCTTGTATGTATTCCGGGTGAGAATTGGTTGGTTGGATAATGGAGTCGCTTCAAAAGGTGTGTCGTGTGCCTGCGGCGGCAGTCTTGAAACCACAAGCGGGTGCAGAGGGTACAATCCCTGCAGTTGACGAGCGGAGGATGACAGCGCTAACGAGCAATTGTTGTTTGAGGATTAGAGCAGCACACAGAAATAAGGTAGACCGTGATATGACGGAGTTTGCAGTCAATATGTTTGTTGCCTCGTCTCGGTCGGCAAGGATCTGTCAAAGGAGACAGACAGACGGAGAGGAGGGGAAGAAAGGAGTCAAGATAGAGGGAAAAAGGAGGCGCCGTCTACCTGGACGGAATCGAGAGAATAGATGCAAACAGCGATGGTAAATAAGGTAAAAAGAATGTATGAGCAAACGAATGAATATACAACAGGAAGACGTAATGGTGCAAAGCGAACGGCGAGAATAACTGGAGAAATAGACAAGCAACACTTGAGTGAAAGCAGGTCGTTCAGGGCGCTCAGCACGAAGGAGCAGGCCGAGAACGAACGATTGATTAACTATTTCCGAATTGGGAAATCTTCTAGCTGTATTCGGTTAGGTCGCTTATTGCGAACGCCGGCGCTGTGGCTTGGTGCCTGAGGCTGAAACAATTTCTCTTTTCTCAGCCGATTCGCGTGTACATAAACACACATAGTATACACGCTGACTGTCATCTTTGATTGGCAATGGACAGCAATCACGTTGAGAATTGCAACACTTATATACCGACAGTTCTTCCCACAGCATACATGTCAGACTCGAGAGACAGATACCCAGGCACGCTACGGCACCCAAAGTCAGCAAATTAAATGAAAACGGTGCGCTAACAACACGCCACAAGCTTGGCTTCATTTCCGCCTTTTCTCACTATCAATGCTTATTCTGCTTAGCCTCGTTAGAGTGGTCGAAAAGTTTGGTACATAGCTTGTCACTCGACAGCAATACGAGGTTGTTGATGTTGTTTGCGCATTCTGAACATCGAAATTCAATATTCAGACAGGTCTAGATGCCCCCTGCCGAAGTAATTGACTTGTGGCGCAGTATGGCCTGGATTTCTCGCCCTTACTTAACGTCGAATACATATCCAGCTCTGGATAGCTGCTATCTCAGAGAATTTTTCTGGAATGGAATGTCAAATTGCCATGCTGAATACTAAGGACGTGCATACCTCGTACTTATTGTTTCTCGGTCAGGTCATCTCTCATATACCATTAGTCACCCTCACAGCATTAGGGCTTATTCAACAAATATATACATGACATATCTGGTATCTAAATATACATCGTGACCAAAAGTAGTAAAACATTGCCAAACATCAATCACCTCAGAAGATATCCACAACTCCAGATAACACCTCAAAAGTTTCTTTTATATAGATCAGTGGTCCGACCTGCCGAATCCATGCAATCCACACATTTCTTCATTCACAGGCCCTTTGTTGCGACTACTTTCACACACTTGCTTGAACCAATTGACACGACAATCCTCGCCGTTCAACCAGTACGTGAGTGGAGTCAATTTATTTGCTTGACATCCATGACATTTATCACTGTTCGGGCAGTTGCTAAAGACACTGTGTTGATATCCAATATCGCGGAACCAATGAATCTGCTCATTGGCCGCAAAGAGGCCCAACGCAACGCTGTGCACAGGTGCGTCACCCCAGCGTTCGTAGAAGAAATTTCCCGTTTGATCGAGATAGTCAAAGTAGTCTCGGTATGTTTGCGAGCGCCAGAAATCTAGATCGCCGATTTCAAAATTGCTCCAGAAATGGCATGTGCTGTAGCCATTGGCTCCCTTTGTGTGGTCGGGACGCGCAACGGAATCCGTGAGCCAGTAGTAGGAGTTTTCATCCGGGCTGAGGGCGTAGCTGGGATGTTCTTCGAGGAAGGCCGTTGTTGTCGGCCAGAGCGTGGGTATGGTTTTGGGGTCATCGTAGATATTTATAGTGAAACCATAGGTCTTGTTATGTTGGGCCATGAATTGGAAAACGTCGTACTCAATGTCGCAGAAATACCTGTTGTACAACAGAAAGTTAAGTTAAGGCAGAGGCATCGATCCAAACCAAGGGATAACGTACTTGACATTTGGCTCCACGCGCCAGTAGTACTTATATTTATCCAAAGCAGGATGCCGAAAAAAGAAGCCCGAATACCAACGACACATTTTATGGTAACTCAATTGAGTTGCGTGCATGACCCCGTTGTCGGCCATATTCTTGAAAGCTTTCTCCATCCGCGTCTGGTCGATCCAATCTGGCACATCCCAATGCTCCTGAGGTATGAGTTCTATAAAATTTTAGTATTTCTTGGTGACTAGTGACCTAGACGAACAAACTGACCATATGTACACGGTGCGCTTGTCTCCGCCTGTGTCTTGTCCTTGAATTCTTGCGTGAATTCGACATCATTGAAAAAGACCCATGGATAGTTGAACTTGGCGTTGAACGACTTCTCCATATACCGCATCGACGAGACTATCCCATCAACCTCCGAGTTGCGGACGAGGGAGATAAGCGCGGCATTTGCGCGGGGTGTAGAATTTGGATCTGTTGAAGGAGGCTGTTTCATAGCTGCAGAGAAATCCAACAGTTAGTCCACATAATTATCAAGGCTTAAGCAGTAGTGGCATGCGCATGTGAAGAATGTAGGGTGTAGGATGCGGGGGATCGTCGAGAAAATGTTGTACGAGCAAAATGCGGAGAGAGGTCATACAGAGACGCATTTGGGCAATTGCCCTGTCACCCGACGAATTATACCATGAGTCGCGGAAGTAAATAGCCAATATAAGGAAACATGCCACAGCGGCGAAGAAGTAGCGTTTGAACTGTTTGCGCATCACTGCGGCGAAGAATACCGTCGTTGTGTGGGTTGACTGTGGACAAGCCGGCCCGATAACATCCAGCAACGTCGATTAAGGATCAAGATCGAAGGAGTCAATAAGTAAATGTATGGAATCGGAAATATATAAAAAATGGGAATAAGAATAGATCAGAAATATACGAGATCCTCCTCCATGTGGATTCAAATTGTCGTCGAGCGTCACGCCGCCCCTTTTCCAGCAGGCAGCTGGGTTTTCAGGCGCCGATCGAAACGAATACGAATATCGTGGCGGCAAAAATGAGCATTATTATTGGGCTTTTTCGAGTCGGTGCACTATTCGGATACAGACATGAAATAATGAGCTAAGCATATATCACCATGAAGGTATATAGATGTGTGCCAATGTAGTACATCAAGCATGGGATTCGCAGGACAGCAAAAAGGAAGATAGCGATATGATTCAAAGGTCTGACTTCGCCTCTCCAGTCCAGCGGCCCACTTTCCAACGTGGCTCCTCTTCAGGTGGCCTTACCGTATTGGGACACATAATGTGCTCCATGATTGGCCGTTGAGGCTTCTTTCTTGGGGCCTATGCATAAGACAGTGATATCATTGGTCTTTGGGTCCCCATATTAAGCAAGATCTAGCCAAGCGGCTGATCGGGATTCCACGCCATCGTCCAATCATGAAGGATATTTCTAAATGACTAAGCTTTGCCGTTGGGTCAATGCAAGAGCCCTGATTGGGCCAATAGTGAACAAGCCTCGAAGGTCTGAGGGTTCCTGACCGATATGGGTCGAATAGATGCTTAATGGCTTTGAGTAAGGTATGTCTTGACACTGTGAGCTTATGTAGCTTAATGATATACAGAGTAAAGTAGGCCCTTAGACATTGTGCGAGCAACGGTTCGTGGGTTTAGTGTCAACTCTATCTTCCCAAGTAGCAAAGTACCACTCGGGTCAACTGGTAATATGTATCCTCAAGTGAGTGAGATACATCCTGACATTTATAATGAGATTTCAAGGAACCTTAAACAAAACACATAGATACCCGCCAACATTGAATGCACCGGCAGTCACAGCTCTGTATCCTGTTTTAATCGTTGAAGAACCGTCTGGTCCTAAGTCTGGGGAGATACACATGTAGAGTCATTATTGCAGTCGAAAGCCTACCTTGGTACTCTCGTTGGCTATATGTTCCGCGTCATGCAGCCGACTACCTTGATAACGATTCAATGTTGAGTCTACATTCCTTTCAAAGACAAACACATTCAAACAATCAATGCGAGGACTTGCCGAGGCCTCGCGTTGATGTAATACATAGCTTTGCGCGAGTCATTGCACGACGTGTGCCCAGGTGTAGCACCTGCTGAGGATTATACACCGAAAGATAGCTTACTCATGTCCCAGGTCTCGGGGCGATTCAGGATATTCAGGATATTCAGATAATTTCTTATTCTCACCGTACAAGGGATGGAGGATAATAAACGTCCATCTATGGCCGATCAGACGCCCTTGCCCTGAGCCCTGAACCCTACCCTCTGGAGAGCTTCATAGAAAGGAGGAACGATTGGACAAGATCTGCGCAGCATATTACCGAGTCAAAATTACAATAATTACATCGGGGCGTATTGTGTTACCAGATTCGCAGCCATTCTGACGGCACTTCTGGTAGTATTACCACCACGGCTAAATACGTATCGGCATAGTTTCCGTCTACGTGTCCGTCGGCGTATCGCAGAGTCCCATTTTTTTTTTTTTTTCAGATTTTCTTCTTTCCACGCCCTGTTTTAAGAGGGTTGCAAGTAAAAGCGATTGGCAAGTGGGTAACTCTCTAGTAAGAAGTATCCTCACCTCCATTCGAATTCTACGTATCATATTTTGCTACAGGAAAATCCCAGCATTAAATCTTCAATATCAGATTAGCCGGGGAGACATGCATCTCGTCATGTGATAGCATATGAGGCCAGGATGGTTGTTAAGGCGGGAAACCCCCGACAGGATTAGCGTGGGCAAGGCGACAAGGCAATCAATAACAGACTCGGGAGCTGCCCGATGTGATCACCGGTGATCCGGAACGCTGCATGATGATGTTCCTGGGTAGAAATGTACGCTTTTTCCACGCAACCACCTTACATACGGTTCAAAGTGAGCGAGTCCTCTGTAGAATGCAGACTCGAGTCGTTCTGCAAATTGTGCAAAAAATTTGAGAGGCCTTTGTGCTCATGGTGAGGAAAAGCGTCAGGTTAAATAGGCCGAGGTCATCCTCGGGACGACTTTTTTTGGCGTCAGAGTGCATTTTCTAGCGTCGAAGGCCGGAGTATTTCAAGGCGTGACGAGTTCTGAGATATGTACTGTACAGTGTACAATACCACGTATCCGCGAAACCCGCAGTCGTCTGCTGGCTTCCTTGACGAACATTCCAAGTTATGAGGTCGGTGGGCGGGATCCACAATCCGACGCCGCCGTGAAGTCACCCTGGCGATTACCGGAATTTGCTCTTTGCTCTCTTTGCTTTTCTCATGGCCGTACTTATATATACCACGGCTTCACGCAGGTACAATCTCTTGTGATGTGTCTGCAATGCGGAAATTGCACAGGAAGTGTATCATATGCACAAGCAGTCCGGGAGTCAGCCTGCAAGATGGAAGCGCAAGGAGTCGGTAAGTTGGTATGGTAAAATTACTGCCCACATCGTGCAGCCTCTCTCCAGCCGAAACAAGAGAGCCGTGGGTCACTCGGAATCCCGACGGGGCATGCTGTGGACACTCCACCAATAGAAATTGGTTGTTGGTGGATCATTCCTCCCGATCCGGTCCGACTTAGAGGATGCCGTTGGCCCTCGTCAGAAATGGCCCAATTTGCCCTTCCTATTGGCTGTCGGGAGCTGGCTGCAATGGATCTTGCCAAGGGTCGACCTCTGTTTTGGTGCAGTTTTAGTCTCCACTCTCCCCACTGCAGCTCAAGCTATTGGACAGGGCCCCCATAGCTCGTTTCCGAACTGGGAGACTGGTAACTGACGTCGAAAAATTTTTGCTTGTTATCTCGTCACCACTCAGCCCCCAGAAAGCTCTGAATAGTGCGCACCCAACCTACTATTATGGTAAAGGGAATGGAAAGACTTGTAGAGGAAGGCGTGTAGCTTCCATTGAGCCCTAGAAACATTGTAATAAAATCCCAATGATTCTTCTGGCGGCGTGTATAAAACCCGGGCTGGAACCCCGAATAGCTTCTCACCCACCTCCGTCATCCGGCCCCATTAATACAGATTACAGATTCCCTGCGCAAGTCAGTCTGTTACGATAGGACGGACGACTCTGATTGTAACAGCCGTACACTCAGCAGACGTGCTCATACTGCCTTTTGGTGCTGGCAATACCCGAATCGACCCGACAAGACAGTAATCTTGTACGCTGTAACACAGTTTGCTGCTTCTCGCAGAGAAACAGCTAGCAAAAGTCTGAAACTGGCTGTAAAATCACCGACCCACTGCGTATTTTTTCCCAGTTACTACGGCCACAGTAACAAACAAGCAGCGAGCTCCTTTCCCTTCTAGCAACCGACCCCTTCCCCCTACCCTCCTTCCCTTTTTCTTCCGCTGCCAGCCAAGGCGAAAAACCGCTCTAATTTTTTCTCGTCATCAACAAAAAACATTCTTCCTCTCTTTCTCCTCTTCTCTCTCCCCTTCCCAATCTCCATACCTCAAATTCCATCCTTCCTTTCTCTCTCTAACCTCAATTACATTTAGAGATTCACTTCTCTCCTCTCACACACACATACACAATGGCCTCCAAGATGTTCGCCAACCGTATGGCCACCATGGCCTCCCAGAGCGTCGCTCGCTCCACCGTCCGCAGCCAGTTCGCTGCTGTCCCCAAGCGTACCTTCACCAACGCTGTCCGCCCCATGGGCCAGCGCTCTGCTTTCCAGGCTCCCAAGCGCACCATCCCTGCCACCGTCGCTCGCCAGGCTTTCCAGGCCCAGGCTCGCCGTGGCTACTCCTCTGAGATCGCCAACGCCCTCGTTGAGGTCTCCCAGAACATTGGTATGGGTTCTGCTGCCATTGGTCTTGCTGGTGCCGGTACCGGTATCGGTCTCGTCTTCGCTGCCCTCTTGCACTCCGTTGCCCGCAACCCTTCTCTCCGTGGTCAGCTCTTCGCCTACGCCATTTTGGGTTTCGCTTTCGTCGAGGCTATCGGTCTTTTCGACCTGATGATTGCCATGATGGCCAAGTTCTTGTAAACTATTTCACTACTACCGACGTCTTGAGGGTCTTGTGGACCCCCCGTTTTTACACGCCACATTTTTTTCTTGAAATCAAAAAACGGAATACCGATAATCGATGACCAACTTTGTGTGAATTTGACCATGCCGACAATCGTTCGATCCGATTCCTTCCAGCTACATCTTGATATCCTATGTGGTTGGATTCTATTGCCAGATCGATACTCTCATAATCATTGAGACCGGAGAAATTTTTTTTGAATCGAAACATCTATTTTCTTTTTTTCTATCTGTTTTTCCTTCTTACCCATAGAGAGAGAAAATTTCTGTTGCATTTACTAGAGGTATAGAGGTGGTGAATGTCTTGTTTTGGATAGAAAGAGAAAGAAGAGGGAAGGGATTATAGAATCTGGTCTCATTTGATTTTTGTTTCTTTTTGCAACTCACAAACTTTACAAAAAAAAGGGCACGACAAAATTCCCAAAAAGTTGGACAACCGATTTTGGCCGTGGGTGTATTATCATTGTGTACTACTTATTTAGCATCACTCATCATCATATTTATTTCATCCTTTCCTTTGTCAATTGTTTCTCGGGTATTCTTCTCTCTTCGATCGTCCTGTACTGTATATATGGAGTCGATAAGAGTGAAAGATTGTCCGTTGTGCTTTTCTCATTACGTAGGTATGCATTGAACTTCTTGAACGAGTCCGGGGTTTGACACATTCTTACCCCGGATTCATTGAATTCGTAGCTATAGAATTGGCCATGAAGCTGGTCAATTGGCCGTCATTGGACGCATTCATAGAGCAGGTATGCGCGATGATTGGCCCTGTACTCAATGTTGAGCATACACCTCAACCCATGATAGATGATACCACTTCAGTAACCAATCTATATATCTATGATTCGGTCTCAATGGAACAAACGAGGAAAGAAAAATCAAAACTCTAACCCCATGAAAATCGTCCCCTCCAGTGGCGTCTCATAATACCTTTCAACCTCCCTAAAACCGTACCTCTTATACAACGCCCTCGCACTCTCCATATACGGCAACGTATCAAGCCTCATCCCTTTGTATTGACCCGACGCTCTGGCATGCTCGATGATCGCTTCAATGAGCTTTGTGCCGAGACCTGTTCCGCGGGCGGATGGGGCGAGGTATAATCTTTTCATTTCGCAATATCCTTCTCCGCTGTGATCATCTGAGTTGGAGGATGGGAGGGCGCGATAGGCGACGCAGCCGACTAGTTTATTGGCGTCATCGCGAGCCACGAGGAGACAGCCGCCTTGTTCCGGGGAGTACTTTCCAGGTAGGGAACTGAGTTCGGTCTGGTAGTTTTGGAAGGTGAGATCGATGCCGAGGGCGGCGGTGTAGGCTGTGAAGAGGGCTGTGATGGCTTGTTTGTCGTCGGGGAAGACGGCGGGKGTTATTTCATATGTTGGCATTTTCTTTTCTTGCTTAGAGATTCGATGTTGATGTTGGAGGATTACCTACCAGTTGACATATTAATGGATTGGATAATGGGATGGATGATATATATAATTCTTACCTATGTTAGTGACTCATTTCGGACCTGCATATAAATATAAAGCACCCGAACGGCAACGTCCGTGGCCACTAAATGGTCAGTATCACTTAGCTTGCATACATGCTTGCAGAATATATTCCTACAAATTATCCAACTCAAGTGATATCTACCTAGGTACTCTCACGCTGGCAGATCCCAACATTTGCCCAGCCTCTTACCCCTCATCCTTTCCCCCTCCGTCGTAATAAGTAATCAATAATCAAGCGCTATCTACATATATATATTGACTTGCGAGGAAACTGTTGTCAGCATGATCATTTATACTGTGTAAATCCAAGTATTGCCCAAGGCAGCATCGTTATATACAGCTCAGGGTGAACGAGTTAAACGATCTACATCCACATCGTGAGATCCAGGCAGCTTTGTTTCGGAACTCCGCGTTGGGTTAGTAATACGTATATCGTCCGATTGCTCAAGATATAAATCTAGTTGATCCTGAACATTTTCAAATTCGCTGATCATCCATTTGCTATATCTCGAAATCTTGTTGCACGTGTATTCTACCGCACCATATCATGGCAGTACAAGGCACCACCACAGACGCATTCAAATCTCTCAAGGAGATTCTGCAAAGCAATCTCGACAACGGCGAAGAACTCGGCGCAGCCTTATACGTTAGCTACAACGGAGAACCCGTTGTCGATATCTGGGGTGGCTATGCCGACGAGAAACGAACCCGGCCTTGGACCGAAGATACCATCGTCAACGTCTGGTCAACAACCAAAAATGTCACTGCGCTGGCTGCTCTGATCCTCGCCGATCGCGGATTGTTGGACCTTGACGCCCCGGTTGCGAAGTATTGGCCCGAGTTCGCTGCCAATGGCAAGGAAAAAGTGCTTGTGCGTCATGTCCTTTCTCATACCTCTGGTGTCTCCGGCTGGGACGAACCATTCGAGTACTCCGATATCTACGACCTGGAGAAATCAACTGCTCGCCTCGCTGCCCAGGCACCCTGGTGGGAACCAGGAACAGCATCAGGCTACCACGCTGTCAATTACGGCCACCTAGTCGGCGAAATCGTTCGCCGCGTCTCCGGAAAATCGCTTCGAGACTTTGTTAGAGACGAAATCGCGCGTCCACGAGATGCAGATTTCAGTATCGGTGCACCGGAGTCTGAGTGGCCTCGTCTTGCTGAAGTAATTCCCCCTCCTCCCATGGATCCAGCTGCTTTCGCAGCACTGGATCCGCAGAGTATCCCCATAAAGACACTATCTGTCGGATTGGCTAGCGCGACTTATCCCAACACCGCTGTATTTCGAAAAGCCGAAATCGGCTCTGTCAACGGTGTAACGAATGCGCGAGCCTTGAACAAGATCTTTGCTCCGTTGGCGTTGGGCGGTCCCGACAGTCTTCTCTCTCCCAAGACTCTGGACAGAATCTTTGAAGTTCAGGCTGATGGGCCCGATTTGGCGATTTTTGCACCCTTGCGTTGGGGAATCGGGTTTGGATTATCGCATCCTGCTAGCACGCCTTATATCCCGGAAGGAAGGGTGTTCTTTTGGTTTGGATGGGGTGGATCCTTTGTGCTTGTTGATGTGGATAGGAAGTTGACAATCACTTATGTGATGAATAAGATGGGCGACGGGGTTATTGGGAGTCCGCGGTCGCAGCAGTATGTGGAGGCTGTGTATGAGGCTGTTCGTAAGCTGTAGTGAATTCGACCCTGGAAAAGATGAGTGAAGCTATGGATGTTTATATTGACTTTGCCCATATACTTTTGTGTATATTCAACTTTGGAAGTTATTGACATGATTAAATAGATGCAATCTTGGCATCGTACAATTTCCTTCCCTTCACTCCAACGTGACATTTGAAGACTCCGCCATGCCATTTCGCCGACTCGGGATACTTATCAGCTTCCGGGTCTTCTTCACTCGTAATATAGACGTCCTCGCCCACAAATGCAACAGCCTAATAATTATCAGCACAACGGCAAATTAAGAACGGAAATGCGACGACATACCGTAGGACATCTAGTCGGCACCTCAATCTCTGCAGTCACTTTACCCTCCGGCGAAACTCTGACAACCTTCCAACCACCCCAAAGAGCAACCCACAAATTTCCCTCGACATCCATAGCGTGGCCATCCGGACCACCTACTTCGGTATGCCAGAAGACACGCTGATTCGAGATGTTTCCAGTCGAAACATCATAGTCAAAGGCATAGATGTTGCCCGTGGGAGTGTCGGTCCAGTACATGGTTTTGTCGTCCAGGCTGAAGGATATGCCATTGGGGATGGTGACGTTTTCAAGGACGCGGTGTAGTGTGCCGTCCGTATCGAGACGGAAGAGGATGCCTATTCCCATGAGCATTCAATCTGAATTACACAAAAAAGGAGGAAGAACGCACCGACAGGATCAAATTTCCCATTTGTGTACGCCGGATCATTCATAGCGCCAACCCAGAAACGTCCCTGTCTATCAATTGCGCCGTCATTGGCACGCATGATCGTCTCATAGTTTTTAGAGATTTCGGCCTCGTGCCAGAAGCGCTTGATGTATTTATATTCACTGCTATCGCGTTTTGCGATGCCAATGCCATGTTTACCGCCAAATAAGAATGAGTCTGTTGACGAGGCGAGGTTTGCTGTAACACTAATAGGCTCATCAGCAAATGCAAAGTTAGCTGCGAAATAATTGTCTTACCCGAAAGAGATATCGTATTCAATCTTCTTCGCGGATGATGGTCCCTCGCGCAAATCAACCCACCAGACATGCTTTTTGACAATGTCAATGAAGCGCAGTGTATGGCTGGCTTCTTCGTAGAAAGGCCCCTCGGAAAGCCCACATCTGATGTCGAGGAATGGCTGGTTGGCTCATTGTTAGTGATGGACATACAGACAGTCCCAAAAGATTTTGAAAATACCTCTGTGATAGTAAACTTCTCCATTTTTGCCTATGTTTTTCTACACGAACGAGGGGCTTTGCACGTTTATTTACATCTGTCGTTGACCGGCGAAAGAGCCGAGATTTAACCATTTATTCAGTTAGATTTAGGTGTCGATAAGATAAAGGACGGACACAAGCGACAATCCGCTCCCCCACCCGACCCGACATCTTCACTTTCTCTCATCTTTCATTCTCTACTCATTGATATCAGACGCATGTGACTACTGAACCACCTTGTTGTCAATAGAGTGACCAAGCCGCTGCGACTCGTCGAGTCTTGACCGGCATAAACGCCCAGACACCGACCATCACGATCCGTACTGCGCCTGAAAACCACACAGCTGCTTTTCCCGTACAGGCAAAAGTTACGATGATACACGCCACTAATACGAAGAGACCATAGCAGAACCCGGACAGCGCAAGTCCCGTACCGCGAGTGGTAGCGAGGAACACTTGGACGGTATAGACGATGATAATGGCGAGCAGAGGAATTGCAAGAGTCCCATGACGATGCACTCGAATTCGAGAAGAGCGTTTCGGGAGTGCGATATGGTTGAGGCGAGCATGAAGACACCGATTAGTAAAGCGTTGATGGTGCCGGTGTAGTTACGACCTAGGCCCTTGGCTTCGACCATGGCTGCTGCTGTGATGGGACTGGGGATGAGCATATGGCGACGTAGACGTAGCGACTGTATAAGTAGGGAGTTGTAAGGTGGTAGCATTGACAGCTGCAACGTCCTGACCGGCAAGACAATTACTGTTAGATATCTTGTAGAGAATGAATGGCAGTCTCACGAAATTCTACAACGCAAGTAACGAACCCAGACCCAAGACACCGCCGGCCTTGGGCACGATCTTCGCAATGAAGGACTTGCGTTTGTTGCACATCTTCAGATCCAAATGTCGAATCAATTCGGGCGAATGAAGACTCGTTCAACCAGGTATCGCCCCGCCCTTGTTGTATGCTGCAATATCCTTGACGATCTGAGTTGCTTCGGCATCTCGGCGACGCGAGAGCATGCACTTTGGTGTCTCACTGAATGCGGTGAACGTGAAGCGGCAGAGATGAAAAAAAAAAGTGACGCAGCCGAATGTCCACCAAACGTATCACCATCCTTTGTTGCTGACATAGTGGCACAAAGACTCCGAGGAGCTGGAGCTGCCGGAGCCACCTGCGCGCTGGAAAAGCTCTTGCTGGCGGTGCTCTCCGTCAGGACCTGTGCCATTCGGCAATGAAAGCCCTGGCACTGTCGGTTCATGGACTCTAGAGACCTACAATCCATTCGCATAAGCGACCAAATACTGCTTTGAAGCGGGCAGAAATCCAATAAGAACTATAGCATCCGCCGCCTGGTTACCAGCAATAGCCAGACCAACCACAAATCCAACAACACACAGACCCGTGAAAGCAGACAAACCGGCACCAACCAGACCTCCCATACCAATTAGTACTCAAGTGCTCGTGAACATCCATTCGCGTCCGAGACTGTCGGCCATAGCGAGCCAGATGGTGCCGCCGAGAGTGAGACCGACGAACAAGCTGACGAATAGCTATGTTTCACGGTTTCCGTAGTAGAAGAATTGAGCCTCGTTGGTCGATGAGGGGGCGATCATGGTGAGTATCGGGGTTCAATGGTTGATCCATAAAGATTACCATAATGCACTCCAGACGGGTCTTTGGGAGTAGACCGGTGCAGCTTTTCAGGTCAAACCACGAGGGTTGAAGCAAAAGCGCTCTGTGCTTCCGCGTCAAAGTCTCTTTTGGTGGTGGGTGGACTATGTAGTGCATAATGCATATAGGTAGAGACACTAGATTGATCTAGAGGCGGAGAATCCTGTGAGTAGTTGTTGATGAAAGTTGAAAAAGACTTGAATCCGAGTCGGTCCCATGATGCTTCTTCTGTTATCTCCGCAAAGAGGGTTTGGATGAATTCAAAAGCATAGTCACATGAAATCAAGCACCAGGGCGTCTCAATTCACAGATAGAAACTGCTCTTTGCAAAATATGGAAGTGTTCTGGACTGAAAAGAAGTTGAAGAGAAAGTGAGTATGCATATATAGCCCCACCCTTACATGTACAGCTAGCCAATCATAACGGCAAAGACCGCGGAGATAGCACCAATTTGATCTGATGAGAAAAGCCCTAACTGTAGCCCCAAGTCAGTCATCAACAGCGACGTCGGTCTGTATTATGAGTCTCGGCCTGAATAAATGTTTGTAAGGTGCAACTTTTTGGTTCTTTTGTGTCTTCTGAAAGATCTGGTCTTGTGGATCCTGCATCCGCAAGTTCCAGCAATAAGCTATGAGCACAATGTGGATTTGGCAGTCTGTGGATGGAGCTTAGTGGAAGATAAATAGTACTATTGGGTAGAGAAAAACCGAATCCCCTTTTATTCTTCCTTTCTCGATGTTCCAATCTAGCAAACCCTTGTCAACGACCCCAGAACCGGCGCGGGCACCGGGCTGACGGCCAAATTCGCCGGCACCGCATCGAAACGCTCCCAATACTTAAGAAATTAAATTCATGATAGAGCGTCGACTTTTGATCCTCATACTAATCTTTTCTGATCCTTCATTTCACCTTCCAATATCGCCTATCCGAAATGGCCGATATCAACGAAAAAGGGCCGCAGTCTTTGGACGCGACCAACGTCTTTGATGACACCAATGGGCACTTGAGCTGCGGGGACTCGTCACCAGACTGTTCGAAGGAAACCGTTCTAGTTGAGGACGAAAGAAACAAGTACCGGTCTATCCATGGCGTCAAAGTGAGGATCAGATCACGTAGGGTATTCAGCAATTGCTTATGATTCCAGTGGTTTTTGGCCGTCCTGGCTATTTTCTCGTCTGTTTTCCTTTTCGGGTTGGACACGACCGCAGTAAGCTTCGAGTGCCACATTGAATTTCTGTATCACAATTATTCATTCGAATTTGTACTTATCAGGTTGCGGATATTTCCCCTGCGATGATCAGTCGGTTTGGACAGCCTGATTTGCTCCCCTGGTTGAGCTCGGGCTATGCATTGGGAGCCATGAACATTCTTCCTTGGGGCAAATCATTCGGTGTCTTCAATTTGAAATGGACATATATCCTCACTGTTGCATTGTTTGAGGTGGGAAGTGCCATCTGTGGTGCGGCGCCGAATATGACGGCCTTGATCATTGGACGAGTAATTGCGTATGTCTCGTTCTTATTCCTGTTCTATTAATGTTGCTAATAAGATGACTAGTGGAGTTGGAGTGGGTATCCACCGAGTTAATGGGGGGATTTGTCTTGGAAAGGCTAACGAACCTAGGGGTCAGGCATGTATCTCGGTTGCATCACATATCTCGCTATGACGACCAGCCCTCGGGAAGGTCCGCATTACATCGGGCTAGTGGGGTTCGTCTGGGGCATTGGGACAGTCCTGGGACCAATTGTATGTTTTCTTGAACCTCGTTAATAAAGGGTACAATCTAATTCACTACTTAGGTCGGCGGTGCATTCGCGGATAGCTCAGCAGGCTGGCGCTGGACCTTTTATATTAACCTCTTGATCGCCGCCCTATTTGCCCCCGTATACTTCTTCTTGCTCCCTAATATCGACGCGCAGCCAACGGCGACTTTGATCCAGAAGCATAAGCAAGTGGACTGGGTGTCCATTGTTTTTCTGAATGGATTCATCACATGTTTCGTCATGGCCATCAACTTCGGAGGAGCCGTGTATGCGTGGAATTCCGCTCGAGAAATTGTTCTCTGGGTCATGACGGCGGTTATCTTTGTCGGATTCCTCCTTGTGCAGTATTTCCACCCGCTTGTAACGAAAGAACAAGTTCTCTTCCCTGGTCATTTGCTGAAGCGCCCCCTCATGCTCAATTTGACCGTTCAAATGTTTTTGTCATCAGGCGTGCTCCAGGGTGCTATTTACTACATTCCCTTGTTCTTTGAATTTGCAAAGGTATACTATTGCCCCTTTCACTCTTGGTCTACATCGATTTTAACAGCCGAATTCCAGTCGGATGCAGCCCTCGAAGCCGCCGTGCGACTTCTACCGTACGTTTTCATGCTTGTCGCTGGCTGTTTGATCAACGCTGCTCTTATGGTCCGATTTGGATACTATATGCCCTGGTACTTTGGCGGAGGAGCGCTCGTAGTAATCAGCTCCGCATTGATGTGTATGTTCTCAAGTCCATGGAATATTCGAATCCGTGACACAGAGCTGATGACATGAATAATGATCAGGTACTGTCAATGCGCATACCTCCAACTCCACCGTCTACGGATACACTGTGCTCATGGGAATTGGTGTCGGCTCCTACTGCCAGGCAAGTTACACTGTATCTCAGCAGCTGGTACCAATGACCGAGCTGACTAATGTCATTGGCTTGATGAGTATCTGTATGTAAATGACCACTTCTTTCGAGCCTTGAAACCGGAAACGCATACTAATATATTTCTTTGCTAGCGCAATTCCTCGGCATCCTATTCTTCTTGGCTATTATGGGCACCTCCTACCAAAACCTTGTCATCGAGAAGATTCACAGTATTCTGCCGAATGCTAGCGATATCGATGTCCGTCAATTCATCGCTGGAACCAGCTCCTCCCTCAGCGCTAGTCTGACAAGCGCCCAATCAGCCGCTGTGGTAAATGCAATTGTAACGGCCATGCGATCGGTGTGGATCTTGCTCGCTGTTGCAGGTGGCATTTGTGTAATTCTGTCTCTCTTCCTCGGGGTATGTTATGAAATTCCAGTACTCACGTTCATGAGCCATATATTGACTTGTGCTACTTTTACAGAAAGACAAGCTTTTCACTAAGGACGGCGTCAAGGGAACCGCAATCGCAGCATAAACGTGGAACTTCGATTGACAATGGTCAACAAACTCGACCGCCAAATGCTTGTCTATTCAATTCCAGGGCACGTCTGAATTGAAATACCCAGGTCATGTACAGACTTGCAGCGTGTATGAAACTGTTTGTTACCGCAACGGGGTTCAAATTGACTCTTGCCCTTGGAGATAGAAAAGAAATATGGATCCGATCTTTGATATTAGGAGGAGACGCAGGGCCGTAGATAGATGTATGTTTTTTTTTTGCGGGATGTTCATGTTATAATACACAGGAAATGCAGCAAACATTTTATCTTTCCTACCTCATATGTCTGCTAGTAGATGTGCTTTCTGTGTACGACCTTTTTAAATAGTCTTCAAAAAAGAACACAACCCCTTTTTTCCTTATGTCGAGATGTTTTTAAACGCCTCCAAATTGCTAGCAGCAAACGCCCTCTCCGAATCTAACTTACCCGCTTGGGCAGGTAGGCTTGTAAATGTATTCCCATACGATGCCGAAGTCAATAACTCATTCACGGACCACCGGCATTCTTATATGATCAATTGATCAATATCATCTAGATGCCTCAATCTGAGGTGGACCTTGACGATACTATGGATATCTTCTGAATTGTTCTATGTTAGGCTAAGGCTTTTAGAAAATCTATTTTGAAATTTTGATAGATCACACATCATATTAAAAATCCTGAAATATTGAATTATGTTAGAACCAACCAATTAGTTGCAGGCATAAATACTGGGTCCATTTTTCTTGATAGAAATCAATAGGAGGCAGCTGTAAGTAATTGCTCTATTTTTCTCGATAAACTACTTATAAGTCTGTTAAAAGCGCTGTAACTCCTAGAGGCCTTCCTTGGCTTATTTTCCTTTGAAGAAGGTTCTTTTGTTGTTATGCGGCGAAAGTCGCCGATGCGGTTGATTTTGTTGGGTCTAATTACTAATCGCTCTTTTTTCTTTTAACTTTATATGGCTTTAGCCTCGGGGTTGCTCACCTACTTCTTGATACTTCATTATACTTCATACATACATATTCTGTGATGATCTACTCAGAACTACTAGTTTAGCCGATCGACCCCCTGGAGATCCTTCCCCTTTACTCAACTATAGTTAAGTAGCTGGCATGTACTTGTGTAGCCTCTGCTCGAAGCCATTCAAACAACGTACGTTCATATTGTGACTTATCTCAGCTGCTACTATTGAGGGCCCCAAAAATTCACATAACTAATCTCTTCGTAGAGTCCTCTAGGAATCGGCACCTGGAATATTGCCGCCAGGCACAAGACCGACCTCGAGTGCGAACTCCGTCGTGTCGCGCCTGTAGCGCGGCCAAGACAAAATGCACAAGCTCACACCCATCATGCACCCGGTGTCTGCGACGCGGCATAGAATGCGTATATGAACAGCGACTCGGTCGGCGGCAGCTACCCAAACAAGGCAGCGCTGATGAGCCCGTTTCCATAGACTCAATCATTACTAATATAGACGACAGCAGTACAGGGAGCCTGGTGGCCAACCTAGACCAACTGGCGGATGATTTGATTTGGGACGGACAGTCGAGTTCCACGGACTTTCTCATAATAGATCCAAGCCACACTGTCCCCAAGAGCACGCAAGCTGCTACCCCGACGATGACTACCGCACCGGTGGTAGACACTACTCCTGACTTATTCAGCTTGCAAGGCTGGGACACGGATCCATCGGAGCTACTCGCTGCACTCACCGCGCCGCCAAAGGTCTCGCCTTTCGCTGATGCAGCGTTTCTCACACGGTTACCTATTGACGATCCCATCGCACAGCGGCACGCTACTTATTTAATTCAAATTCTGCGACCTTTTCCGCAAATGATGGCCCGAAAAGCCATATTCCCACCCTTTATCCATCAAAACTGGCACCATGGAGATGGGACTAAAGCACAGAAGACATTGCCCGAGCCGATTGGTAACTGCATGAGTATCGCACAGATTTTCGCTTCCAGGACACCTGATACGAGAGCTTTTGTATGGAATGCTATTAGGACTGAACAGCGGCGACTAATGGTCCAGGTAAGCCTTCTTAGTATTGTTATTGTACGGATTCACCGAAGCTAATGGAGTTCACGCAGTCCGAATCATTCGGGCCGGAGGACTTGCTTGCCTCTATACAATGTTATATTATTTATATTATCATGCGCGTAATCGATGACGCGGCATATCATAGCGAGCATGACCTCGATATGCTGCTGACCTTCGCAGTATGTTTTTCATTCACTTTTGCTTCGTATCAGGTCTTGAGAGCTGTGCTAATGGAGATGCAAAAAAAATAAGACTCTCTGCAAACGCTTCCGCGCGCTTTGTCAAGGCCCATTTAGTCTTCCAGAACAAACACACCCCAGCCGGTGCTGGCCGGACTGGGTATTCGCCGAATCTCGGCGCAGGTGCGACGATTCATTTTCACCCCCTTATTTCAACTACAGGCTGTCCTAACGAAAGTAAATATTAGAGTCGCATGCATCTGGTTCCTCATCGGGCAAGTCGTAGTCACCAAAACGGGTATACCTTGCGACACGTCGGAAGAATACCATTGTCTTCCCCTGCCGGGTGGTCGATCCCTATGGGAGTGTCGAACAAACCAAGGATGGGAAGCGGAGTACAGCGCAACGCAGACAACTATTCCTGGGAGACAGCTTACGTATTTTGGGGACTTGATGGAGGCTCAGAAGACGAACAGTGATTCAAGCATGATTCAGAAGATGGATTCCTGGAATGCAGAGGCTGATACACTGGGATTTATGCTTACTCTAGCTACAGCAATGGTCTAGATGATGAATTAATATTACGACCATTTGGTTGTACATATGTGTGCTTCACTAGCCTCGATCCGAGATATGTTTGTGGTCTGGTAGCTATAGTTTATCCAAGAATCACCACACTTTAACGATAAATGAACAGAAATATAGAGCTAAATCTCCACTAGTCAACAGCTAAATAGCCATCTAATGTAAAAACAAGTCCCCTTGCGGGTTCTGCCTATAGCAGAGAGTGATGGTCCACGAGGCTCCATTAGGGGCCATCCTCCTTATGTCTTGACTCTTGAGGCTCTGGGAGATGCCAAGACTAAATAGCGGATCGACATAGCCAAATAATCAATCAACACAGACTTGCTTTGAATAATAGAACTCTGACGATCATCATCGAAAATGCTTCACACTGCCAACAGCTTTTCTGAAGATAGAATCATACGTACAAGGCCATACTTTCGATATATCTAGCTATGGGAACTTTATTCGAGTATTTTATTTATCGAGCAATATGCTATCACGCCATTCATACGGAATTGGAATCGGCTGATCGACGTAAAAATATTGGCTCGTCGTTCGTGTGCCGGTTGTTGACCGTTGTTAATTGTTTTAATTACGGGATACCGAATAGATTAATAGCGGGGTAGTCGATGCACAGGATTCCGGCCAAATATTTTCATCCCTCCAGCTTTCAGACTTGAGTTAACCGATCACAGCAATAAATCAATACACAAGATGGAGTACAAAGTTGAAGTTGCTCAAGATGCAGATATGGCAGAACTGGTAGCAGTTCTCTTTGACGGCTTCGAACGGCCGTATCAAGGCATCTTGCGCAACTTTTTCCCCATCTTCAACAACGATCGCGAGGCTTGTTTACTCGCAGGCATCGAAAGCCAACGAAAGGAGTACAAGAACTCAGATTCGGAACTCATCTGGTTGAAGGTCACTTATCATGCAAATGACGAAGACACCAAAGGCACGATAGTCGGAGGCGCGAAATGGTATTTCTATCAAAGAAACCCATTTGTTCCAAAGGCAGGCTCGGATCATGACCCTACCACTGAGGAGGCTGTTTGGTTTCCAGAAGGACCGGGTAGGACGTTTGCAACAGCGGTTATGCATGGCATTGACAAGCCGAGAATGACCATGGCTCAAGGACCTCATGCTTGTAAGCCCAACTTCCTTTTTTTCGGCATGCGAATTGCTTTTTTCCAGATCAGCTGATACGCAAGCGCGCATTTCAATAGTTCTCAACATCGCATTCACTGTGCTCGAGCATAGGCGAAAAGGAGTCGCCAATCTCTTCCTGAATTGGGGACTCAACCGTGCCGACGAACTCGGCCTAGAGGCCTGGCTCGATGCATCTGAACATGGAAAGCCGGTTTACGAGAAGTTGGGATTTCTTTCGTACAAATTGAACAAAGTTTCTCCTGTCATGCCTGCGTCATATACTGCGGATCAGAAGGCGGAGTGGGAGAAACTGGAGAAAGAAATTCTTCCCGTAGAAGCGATGGTAATGTGGCGGCCGGTAAAAGGCACGTTCATTGAAGGTGAGACAATTAAGCCATGGGATCGATGAGAAAGGGAAACAAAATCATTGAAACAGAAGAGAGAAATGAAAGCTCGCTATGACTCAAGATGCAGCCATTCCTGAATACATTATTTCATAAGACTGACCATGACTTGTTTGTAAAATGCACTTATCATATTTATTTAAAAACTAGTTGGCATCTGTAAGACTCTCAAAAATCGCCCCGCTATCTTGTTAATTGATCATTCAGCCTGTTCACACTTGAGCTCACCAGATGACTCGTCTACAGAAGAGGTGATGATGATAATGAGGAGACTGGGATAATGACCAAGGTAGTAAGGTAGTAATCCAGGTGTTGCCAGCCATTGAGAAATTTAAATTGTTGCTGCATACAAAGATGGATGATGCATCCTGAAGGCTCAATCATTCAGCAATCGTAGCACTGATACAGCGCCTTGCAAGTGCGGCTTTACATCAGTTGCAACTCTTCGACTCTTTCTCAGCGCCACTCCCACAATTTAAACCATATTAGGTTTAGCCTATTATTTCAGTAATTTACACCAAGTATCGAATATAACTATACACAAATCAGTATTGCTTTCTGTATCATAAATATGTAGAATTTTCTAGTATATTCTATATAAACTAAACAAACTCTTAATAAAGAGACAGGTTTATCTCAGTAAAATAGCTAGGTGTTATTCTCTTGTCTCTTCAAACACCTCTGAGACAGGAGTGAGTGAGATCAAAGCCCTTATGTATTAAGGGCACAACCAATTTTTCCTACTATCTATAAAGTATTATGGAAGTAATTACTGATTTGACGAATATGAGTTTAGATTTACATCTAATGTATTCTGTTAGGAGCACAGGCTGCATAATTACGAATATTAGCGCTCAGCTGGCAATGCACGTAATGTAACTGGTTGCTGGTAGCCATCTAGGAAAAGTTAAGAGATACTGACCGATAAGGCTCAATAGTTTAGTGTGGCACAAAGGCGACCATAGTTAATCCAACCCTATAGGAAGCTTCCCTGTATGACATATCTTCTTGATTTGACACGACTTCTCCATATGACACATCCCAACTGTGGAATGCTCCCACCCCTGGCTTCCCCAGGACGCCGCGCTCGCCTTCCAACTTTAGCTATGTGAGCTCTCGCTACAATCCTCAGGGAGGTTACTCCACCCCATCTCATATGCAGGCTAGGCTTCCCTTACTAGGCCTGGATGACTGGGAGGAGAGAAGGACATACGATGAACAGCCCCCTGTCTACATTCACTACTTAATCAAGTGGAAGCTTGCACTCAATAAACGTTTTATAACACGCGATACAGAGCAAAACTTGGTATTAGCCCCCAGTGCCTACTAGGACACATTCCTTAAACCCAAACTAGAAAGGCTTATTGCGTAGAAAATTTCTCATAACTAGTGTGTTCGTCCTGATGACACTAAAATAATTATTACAATTAATAATCGCTCTAAACATAACCTTACTAAGCGGTTTAAGAAAACCAAAATTGATTAGTCTCTCGTAGAAGATCAGCTAATGAAGTAGGGCGATTTATTCTATACTAGAAAGAAACTCAGGCTAATTATTACATTTTATTATCTTGGGGACAACCAATTATGTCTGAAAAAGAGAGAAAAAAGAGGGTTATTAGCGACTCAAAGGATGCGAGGAGAGATGGAAGATCAACTTAATGCTAAATGCACCTCTAGCTCGCCTAGTTCTTAGCAGTAGGTCTATTAATTAATATATTGTTATGACAACACCTATAAGCAAGAAGTATATTACTTTGAAAATCCTATAATCTATAAACACTACTTATTGATTTAACATTATCTCGCAGCTCTTAGAGATTTTGTTAATAATAATAGTATATTGGATACAGAAGATGACATCCCTAATTGGTTTTAAGAATAACTAAAGGCGGAAGAAAGGGTGTTAAAAATAAAGTCTAAGAATAAAGATTTATCTATAAGTAAGGGCACTTACTCTCTAATTTAGATTATTATACTTATATAACTGCTATTATCCTCTGCTTCAGCCATAACACCTATAGGAGTTCTAGATGCATTATCTGCCAGTATACAGCGTTGCAAATGACTAGAGATTCTGGGACTTTGAGATATAGTACTCAGGAACTACAGCAAGTGGTATACATCCAATGTAGATAACTATAAACTTAAAAATAATTACTGGAAAGCATGTTAGGTGATACTTGAAAATGATATTAATTTATAATAGATTTTCAATCGCCTAGATTAAAAATTTTTCACTAATAGAAAGATGAAAATAGGCACAGCTAATTATTTTGTTAACACTAATGACATTCTCGACTAGGTGGAAAATTATATGGATCAGTTTTAGTTTGATTAATGCTGATTACCTGGGGGCGTACATCTTTTATATAGTTAGTACTCTATAGATATCATTTTCATCTGATTTCTTTCGTATTGTCCTATATATATCGCAACTTTCTCATAACTATACATGTAACACACCTAGACTATAGATGTTTACATCTAGTCAATTACTAAGCCGGCATGCTAGAAATAGCCTACCGCACTTTACATCTATGCTTCTACTACGTCAACACACCACTGAAGGAATTGCTAGAAATTGCGGCCATAGCTGTTCATGTAAAGTTCCCAGCTGTGCTTAATAAAGTCCTTAAGCTTGGAGAAAAACTCCTTAATCAGGTTCAAATCTGGTGAGTAGGGTGGCAGGTATAAAAGTTTTATTCCTGTCTCCTGACATATTTGACTGATCTTCTAAGAGTGATAGAAAAAAAATATTATCTATTATTAAAATAGATTTTGCGGCTAGCCATCTTTTATAATAATGGAGAAGCTACTTAATAAAATCCTCGAACATGGCTATATTAGTTGAACCTTAGTAGATCCTAGAAAGAACCACGCCATCCTAAGCATAAGCTGGTAAGATATAGTACTGCTATCCCCGCTGGAATTCTGATATTTAAACTAGAGCCACCCCACGTAGAGACCAACCAGTCTACCAATGTCTAACCCACTTGTCACATCTCAATTCATCTATATACACAAGGTGATAGGATTAAAACTGAGATAGATTATAGAGGTAGAAATCTTATAAATCTACATCGCGTTGGGTTGACACTTGATAGATTACTTTTTTAGACCAGCTATTTTCTGTAAGCATTCTGCTGATAGTGCTCGGAGAGATAGCTATAACAAAGCGTTGCTCAAGAAGGGACGCTATTTCATCCAGAAAGAGATAGGAACATTCACGCAGCTGGCTAAAGAGATAATCTAGCATCATAGATGTGATGCTTTGCCGTGGGCCCCTCTATTTTAGTAAGAGTTCAATTTCACTATAGCGCTTTATGTTTGAATAAATATCACTTATAGTTTAACTACTACACTTGGCTTGACCCACTATATCATTAATGCTTAGTAATAAGTAATTTAACATATCTTGAACAAGTCTTCGTTCCTAGAGAGGAATATTCGGCGCCATCTTAACTGCTAGAGGTTAGCGATTTCTCGAAAGCTCTTTGTCTCCCTATTAGGTGTCGGATAAGAACAATCACAATTACTAACTAGGCTGGAGGAACAGGCAGCCATCAGATAATAGGAATTTCCGATCCAACACGTTTCATTTAAGTAGGTAGGATGTAGAAAGCTTTGTGGGGGCAGTACAAGTTTCAACCAGGGACAATATATAAGTCAAATAACTTAACGTCCTCCTAGTGTGGATTCCAGTCTACAGACGTGGTTGACAGGAGTGACTATAGATAGGCGACCTTCGTGGTGTACATGACGAACCTGGCAATCCTGCGGTTCCACGTATCTTACCCCTCCTCCCCAGCCTGATGGATTGTGCATTACATTCTCCCACTCATCATGAACGAGGCCTCACATTCCAACCTGTCATTATCTTAATATCAATATAGGACTTGGCCTGATCTAGCTTGTTTCTTTGCTTAGACCAGTAATGATGTCTTTAATGTATAACAACTACATGATTACATAGATATGCGCATTACTACTAGAGGCTGCAGCGGCCCGCCTCATACTGAACCATATCTATAGTCTATTACTAAATCTATCTACTAATTTAAATACTTACAAACTCAATAAATTAGATAGCTACTATATTATTATTACTTATCTTTTAGCTAGCATATATGGGACAGTGGCTGCTGCGAATATTGTGACTTATATATATTCTATATTTCCTCAGCTCTAGTATGGATTGATGGTGGGTATTAGAGACAATGTCCTAGGTAATAATAATAACATTTAATTAGGAGATATAGTAGTTAGTAAACTAGGTCTAAATTATAGTGGAATAATATAGTATAACTATAGAAAGATAGTTTAGGGTAGATATTTTCAGCAAATAGGTATCTCTAATAAACCACTATAGACTCTTTTAATCTATATCAGTTAACTAGAGGTGAAATAGATTATTAGAATTAAGAGTGATTTGAAGAATATAATGGAAGAAACACTGAAATGAAATCTTAATATAGAAGGAAGGTTTTCCCTTTTAGAGTAGATTTTCGATTTGTACCGGCGCGGCCGGATTCGGCTGGCCTTTCGGGATCACCAACTTGGGACTAGCGGTTGCCTGAACGGTATTAGTGGCATTACCGATCCGGTATAGGGCAGATGCTCGGTCCTCATATAGGAAAGTGTGCGCGAACTCCATCTGCTCGACTATATAAGCCCCAGTGCGTCGCGCAACCACTGTCGTCCGTGAAATCTTCAAACCTTCCCGGCGCCTCGTCCGTGACGCGTCCCCTGAGCTGAAAAATTGGCCGGTCATAGCGTTAGGCAGAATCATGAAAGCTCCATCGTTACATCGAGCCTGTGCACTCTCTACATACCAGACCGATGCTTCAGGGATTGGGAGAAGCAATGAGATTGAATCTCTAGTTCATCGAACGGTGCAGTCTATGTCCTGGACAATGATCGGGAGGTGTTTTTCCTACAAACCTCGTGTTTCATTATTCTCCAGCCTACTTACGTGGGTATTCGCGCAACTGTTTTCCCGCTCTTCCTGGCTAGTTCTGTGCGACATCTCTGGACTGTGCTAAGACCCATTGTGAGAAGATTAATGCAAAATAAGTCTCAGCTGACGTCTGATTTCACATGAGAACTTAGCCAGCCCCAATGCAAATGGTACTTAGCGTGACAATCGTGAACTAGCTGTCTCGCTACGAAGACAAGGTTCTTCCTGATAAGCTACCCGACTGGGCAACAGTATTCAAGATCCACCAGCGGGTGCAACGAATCTCTTTATTGCATCAGAAGGAAGCATATTCGCGCTATAACTAGCGTTCTGTTTGGGCGCCAGTCAAGACGCTACATATGACTACGTGGATCGGATTGGCGTCGACAGTGGCTGAGTATTGCCTCCTTTCGGTTCCTTCCAAGTCACTATTACTAAATCTAGTGATGTCCGATACTGACTCCCGGATCATGCAGCGGGTAGTAGCCGCTCATGATCAAGGTGTCGAAGCACTAGCTTTGAAAAATTTTCGCCGCGGCTCCAATGTTGCGTATGAAAGCTTCTCTTTGTAAAGAAGCACGACTGATCCAAGAGACAAACTACCCGGGCCACAATGGAAGCACATTCTGAATTCTACGTCTCTGCTAGAACCCGCGGATGCAATTGACACCTGGGATAGATAGGTGTCCCGTCCCATTCTGTGCTGTACACTTTGCTGACTGAGTTGTGACAGTGACATCAAGATATCAACCCAAGAGATTTCCAATGGAGGCTGTGCTAGCGCTATGGAATCGTTCTTATCGTTGCTATGCTGCTGTAAGTGGTTATACACCAATGAGAAAAATGTCTCAAATCACAACATATCACTGGTGTGCACGCTAAGTGGGAATGTTTCCACTGTTGCCTGATTATGTTAGGGTGGTCGACCAGGATGGCTGCCATGCAAGATCCGTGTATAGTACTCCCTTTGGTCACTTTCCTATTTTAGGCATTACCTTTTCTGTCTATTTGGACTGAGAATCGATGTAAGAGACTCGGTGTGCGTCCTACAAAGGCTAGACCTACAAGCTGAATAGGTTCCTGCTTCTGTTTCCTATTATGGCATTGCCGAACTCGTATATTCTCTACATCAGGCCGCTCTCAGCTCGGGTATATTAATCAGCCGTCGGCCACGAAAAATGCAACGGAATGCGCATCTTGCTTGATGATCTCCTATCCAACCTCAGCCATGGCATTTATCTCTCTTGACAACGTGGTCGAGTACCAATATCTTAAGACTAGGAAGCCATCCAAATTGCCTCTAATCCCCTGTGGAGCTTCTTCGTTTCAATCCACCACCGAACCTTTCCTTAATCGTTCCACGTCTGTTGATGTTTGCACAACAGTGGTATCGCCTCCTCCCGCTAGCGAGAAACCGTCCTCTTCGGCAAATATCAGTGCTGTGGCTAAACAGGCTCAAATTTCAATTGAGGAGTCTTGCCCACTGCCGGCAGCCATCATCGTCGACTCTGACAGATCCGATGAGAAGGAAAAGAACAAATATCAGAACATATGTGAGCAGAAGATAGAGCAGGATGCGTGTCGAAGTCGTAAGTATAGACCCCGTCGATGCTACTATACAAGAGCTAAAAGAAAACATTACTTCCAGCCAACGGACGAATCCGTGACGACCACTACATCGAAAAAAACAAGGATTTCTCTGAACCTCTAGATGCTACAGTAGCCTCATCAGCGACAGATGCTACAGTGATAGAACCTCTGGAAATAGAAATGTCGCCCCTTGTTTCCGATAGTGGATGTGAGCAACACCGCAGCACTGTCTCTGACACTTCTATCGAAGAAATGCCGCCAACCGCTCTAGATGCCTCATTCGGCTCAGCTGCTCAGTCTGAAACAGCCGGTATAGATCAAATGTCAATGAGTCCTATCAATACTCCAACCGTCGACGCAAGGTGCCTTGACACGCTAGCGGATAAGGATAAGGGCAGGCAACCATCTGTCTGTCAACACTCTCCAATTGCTGAAGCGGCAGTAGCCCAGTTTGCGCCCACTCAAACCCGACAGCTCAACGACAGCCAACTGGGACGTAATTCTGCAGCAGAGATGCCTTGCAAATCTCTATCAGTGGTAGTCCCTCATCAACCGCTGCAGTCCAGAAAGTTCACTCGCACCGCTCGTCAGTCACGTCGTTCTCACTTCAGTCCAAGTGCAGAAAGTGATGATCCAGGGGATAGTGACTATCGTGAGGACAGCCATCTAGAGAGTCGAATAGAATATGATGAACCAGCAGCTCGTCCAGTCAAGAGGAAAATGGGGATGAACACCAGTATGAACACTTCTCAGTTACACAGAAAGAGAGTGCGGGCACAAACCTATTCAAAAAGTTCGCCGCCGAGATTGGCGGGKCCTGAGTCCACGGTCCAGAGTTCCACAAGTCCAGAGACGATACGAATCCGTGGCCAGTTTCTGCGCAAAGTCTCTTTAAGCCGCATTGAGTATTGCTGCTGGGTCACGGAAGATACAAACTCGGCCGCCTCCGGCCCTGTATCATCTAACACTTGGGCATCACTCAAGAAGCTGGCAGACGAGGGGGGGCAGTCAACTAGCATGTCCGACTTTCAAGCTATTGACATAGAAGGCTTATTGACCCGTGACCTTAAGCCATGTGGATATATATGGAGTTTCAACTTCAAGGAGAAGCATGCGGAATCGCCGGAATATCATTCCCCGCCCAAGGAACGACGGGTATCACCGACTCTAGATGACCTTACGATAGACTGCCAGACTTCCCCGCGGGCGGATGAGTCTGCGTCTCCGAAGGGAAAGGATTATACTGCCGAAGAAGATGCACTGATAGTTCATCTCAAGGAGACTGAAAAGCTTTCGTGGTCACGCATTGCAGCACGCTTTCCTAAAAGAACACAGATGGCCCTGCAGGTTCGATACTGTACCAAACTGAAAGGAAGGCCGCATCAAACTCGGTCAGAAGGTCTTATCGGACCGAGGACTGGCCAAGGGCAGACTACCACAGTAGCTTCTTCAAGGAATACTGAGGGTTCTCGTCGCCAGTATAGCTTGCGAAAATTACGACATTCCCCAGATCGTTTTATAGCCGGGTAGTTCAGATTTTAGAGGACTTCGAAACACGTAAGGGACGACTTGTCAGTCGCATTTCAAGTGTTTTAGAAGAATATCTAAATGGGATAGTCAATCTCCGCAATCTCATTGATACCGAATACACGCTATTCTAAGTCAATTCTTGGAAGTTCTAATTTCTTATGTTCAATAATTGTGTATATTCCACCAACACTCACACTGGAAGGAAGTCGTACAAGACGAAGAACAAGCGAATCAACGTCTTTTCAGAACTTCCTAATGCCCCCATAGTCGGTTGGTTGGTTGGTTGTATTCATACACTGACCCCTCGCCGAAGCGATATGCAGGTGGAGCACTATCTAATCCTTGTCTATCTTTATGTACAGTAATCCACTACATCAAGACGAATTTAGAGCCTCGTCGCGGCCTCTGGTGGCCAACATGCCTCGTATTCTGTCAGCAGCCCTGTGGTGCCCGGCTTTGAAACCTCTGCGATGCCTCTGCAAAGTCGAGTACTGCACCTATGATGCTACCGCCTTGCATATCACCCTCCTTACCTTGCTTACCGTGACCTCCTCCTCCCAGCATGTCCGAAATATTGTTAAATGCCGTCCCAATCTTCGTCCGTAGTTCTTGTCGTATGGTGTTCAATTTGGGGCAGTGAATCAGGACGTGAACCACTGTTTCTATCGCTCCACATTCACACTTGTCATCCTCTCGATGTCCATGTAGTTTGCCATGTGTTGCTAGCCATGAGTGGCCCGTGCGGAGTTGGGTGAGCAGGTAGGCTCGATTGCGTGGCAGCGAGCCATACATTCTCCGGGTACGAACTGCGGGTAAATTTCTATCGACTCGGCGAAGGTGGCCACCCTTTTTGGAGGTTCTCCATTCCCGCTCCCATTCTTCTTGGATTCGGTTGCGAATGAAACCTTTTTCTCGTGAAAGAAGATGTTGGAAGGGGTGTTCTTTATCTGGGCCGACGGCTTCTTTGGCCAGTCGATCGGCCGCCTCATTTCCCGGGTCACCACAGTGCCCTGGTACCCATTGGAGACGGAGCGGAATTCCCTGTGCCTTTAAGTCCCGAGCTGATTGCTGAACCGCTTGAATAATCCTCTGACCTGACTTGTTCCGTGTATTCGAGATGGCCTGGAGTGCTGACATGCTATCACTGAGGATCGTTGCCGGTTCCTGTTGGCTTGCTCGGGCGACCTGATTTTCCGTTGCAATCTTAAGGACAAGGCTGATGGCGTAGTATATTGCCATGAGCTCTGCTGCATACACCGACCAGTATTCCATCGAGCCAATGCGGGCTTTCCGGTGCTGGATGATGTTGTAATTCTGGTCTAGCGCTACTGCTGCGGCTCCTAGTGTGTTCTGTTGGCCTGATGCATCGGAGAAGACGGTGATGCCCGATGTTTTTTGTCTAGCAGCCGCGTTGTCTTTGGCTTTATCCCGGTCTGGTTCAATGTCGACTTCTACAAATGCGGGTGTCTGCCATGGTGGTTGGGGTGCTGGATCAATTGTCTCCAGAGCCTGGAGTCGAGTGAGGTTCATTGATCGCAGGGTCTCCGCCAGAGGGAATCGAGGTCCATTTCCCATATGGTTGCTCCGCGTTGCTGCTCGGGTTACTACTGTATGGCCTGGGTGATCCTCTGGAAGGGTGCTGAGGCAGGCAGCCACGATCTGGGCGCGTTGTTTGAGTCGAAGATTGGTTGGCAGCACATAGGCTTCCACCTCTAAGGCTGCCGTGGATGCCGTCTTGAAGGCAGAGAGAATGCGAATAAGGGTGGTTCGTTGCACGGTTCCCAGCGTTCTCAAGTGTATCTTATCCTTTAATGGGTTGTGCCAGACGGTGGACGCATAGTCCACGATTGGTGTCACGCATGCTTGGTAGATTTGTCTCATCTGCTCTGGTCGGAGGTGTCTCAGTCCCCCCAGGGCGATATTCACCTGGGTTGCTCGCTTGACTGCTTGCTGCACATGTTCCTTCCACCGCATCTCCTTGTCAAAGATCACGCCTAGGAGCTTTACCGTATCGCTTGGCTTGATTACCGTCCCATTCATTATGATCTGTCCTACCCCGTGCTGTCTTTTGGACCTTGTTAGATGGATTAGTTCTGTTTTCTTCACGTTGAACGAGGATCCCGTTCGTCGGGCCCATGCCTCGATGCGGGGGATATCCTCTTCCTGAATCTTTCTGATATTGTCTTCTGCAGACCGGCCAGCTCGCCATCGAAAATAGTCGTCGATAAAAGCTGACGCACCACCGTGGTGGTCGACTGGCTGGGCGACCAGGTCGGAGTTGAAGAACCCAAATAAGATTGGGGACAACGGGGATCCCTGTGCCAGACCAGCATGCTCGAGCGGGGAGATCTCCGTCTGAAAATCGTCGAAGGAGATGCTGGCGTACCGGCTCTCCATGAAGCTCCGGATCCAGCGTCTGGCTACGGTTGGGATACCTTTGGCCTGTAAGCGGGCATCGAGGCTCGAATCGTTCACTCCATTGAATGCCCCCGTGAGATCGAATGCCACCAGCGTGATCACCTTTGACCGTAACCATGCGCGATCAATCGCGTTTGCCAGGGTTAAGAGCGCTTGTTCTGTATTGCGTCCTGGCCGGCCTCCAAACTGGGAGTCTGGTAAGAGTTTATAGGACTCAGCCCAGAATGTCATTCTGCGAGCCATGACGGCCTCTAGTATCTTCCCCAATGTATTCAGTAGGGAGATAGGTCGGTATGCTTCTGGTACCCCGTAGTCTGGCTTCCCGGATTTCCTCAGCACGATGATGCGCGCTCGCTTCCACTGGTGGGGATAGTGGCCGAATTCCACTGATTTTGCAAAGATGTAGGTGATCGTCTTCCGAAGATAGGGCCATAGATGCTTCCAGACGAGGGTTATAATCCCATCCTCCCCTGGGGCCGTCGTTCCTTTGGCGGCTTGGAGTGACCGATGTACCTCCAGCTCCGTGATTGGGTGCCATGGTATTTCCTCTGAGGGTGGTACTGGGTCTTCGTTCTCTGGGTCTGCCATCTTCGGAAAGAAGGTTTCTAGAAATACTCTGGCCTTTGCGTCGTTCTCAGTGACCTCCTCAGATCCCACCTTTAGTGGAGGGATGTTGGTATAGGAGTCTCGTGGGCGCATGTATGTTGCCGCTTTCCAGAGGTGGCCTTCCGGAGCCTTGTCCAGGAACTCCTTCCAATGGTCGGCTTTGACCTTTTCGATGGTTCTAGTCCATTCTCGTCGTTTCTGACGCATGTCGTTGAAGAGGGATGTGGTGTTGGGATGGCTGCTGCCTAGGATAGCACAGCTGCTCTGCCATCTCCTACGTACTTGGTTTACTATGACCTGTTGGGACTTGAGCTCTGGGGTGAACCATCGTTTCGAGTAGGGGGATGGCCTCTGTAGAGGGATGTGTTGGTCCAGGACTGTCGTTGTTGTTTCCACTAGTCGATGAACTTCATAGTCAAGTTCTGCAGCAGAGTTTATCGTGAGTCCTTGGCCAAGCAGCTCCCGCAAAGTGGAGCCGACTTTATCCCAATCAGCTCTGTCATATGCTCTCTTGGGCTTTGGGCTTTCGTTACGTTCTGGTCGTAGGTCCCATTCCGAGTATGTTCCGCGATGGTCTGATCCGTAGTTGTCCCGATAAAGCTGGCATTTGATCAGTTTTGTGGGTTCGTTAGTGAGTGTCAAGTCGAGAACCGATGCCTTCCCTGGGAAGCTTGGTGACCAGTATGTTGGGGTGCCTGGAGGTAGGCACCATTGGAGTTGGTGTGTCTGGAAGAAGTTGATCAACTCTTCCGCTTGGGAGGTAAAGACATGGTGAACGGGGCGGTGGCTCCATGCCGGGTGATGTCGATTGAAGTCTCCCGCTAGAATCAGCCTCGTGGGTTTGTCAGACTCCTTGGTGTGCTGTTTGATGGTGTTTTTAATCTCCCTCAGTGCTGATTCAGCGGAGGTCGTGTTTGTGGCTTGGTGTACATCTAGTGGKGGGATATAAACTGAGAAGATCAGGAACTGTATCTCTGCGTTCCATAATTTGATTGCCACCAGATCTGGGTGGTTGCAGTGGATTTGGCGGTGAGAGGAGGTCGAGATTCTTCTATTCACGTAAAGAAGGCTGCGGAATCGGGTAGATTCGTCGGTATTTGGGTAGGTTGGTCGATAGAGTCGCCATGCACTATGATTGACATGGGTGTGATATGTGGTAATCGATGGTTCCTGGATCAAGAGCATATCCAGGTTCTGGCTGTGGTGGTCGTTAATAAGGGCTTCCATTCCTGCCCTAGATTTCCACACGTTCAACTGTAGTAGACGTAATGTTGATGACATTATTGGGGGGCATTCGGGTCAAGAGGTGCTTGACATCTCTTATGTCCGGTAGGATGTTCCCCATTGCAGTCTGCACACCTTGGCCTGATTCCTGGAGGGCAGTTGCGTTGATCATGTTGGCCGCTGCAGTGGCCGCATTTTACCTGTTCCTTGCATGACCAGGCGAGATGGCCAAACTTCTGGCATTGATAGCATCTCTTGAGTTCCACTTTGTAGGGTTCCACACTTCCAATGTATCTTTGTCCAACCAGGAGACCATTATTGATGATTGATTCTGCTGCCTCTGGTGTGTTCAACCAGATGCCCATGGATGCAGACTTTCCCAGCGGTCTGTCCTTCTTCTTTAGCCATGCAATATCCTCGATCGTAAATCCCTTCTCAGTTAGATCGTTCTCTTCCATGATCTTCTCAATTCCTTCTCTCTTTTCCCGGTCTAAGTCAAAGTCTTCTGTTGGCACTCGGTGAACCACAATTCCAAATCGGGGTTTCACCAGCTTGGTTTCGTTCCCCAGTTCTTCCAGCCACGCGGTATTGTTTCGGGCGGTTTCCGCCGACTGCGCATCTCGGAACCTGATCACGTAGCCGGTCTTGGTGGTGCCGACGCCGGCTACCTGTACCTCTTTGGTGAGTTCCGTGTTGGATAGGGCCGTTCTGATATGTTTGTTCGCGGTATCTGTGGGTAGGAATCTTGTAAAGCTGTCATCGTTGTTTCCATTGTCATGGGTTTCGACCGGCCGTGCGGTGCTGATTCGGACGCAGTTTAATTCCCTTTGGGGCCGTCGGGTGGCGTTCGTGTCTTGTGAGTTGCTGTTGGCGGCTACTCCAGCCCATGATCTTGGAAATGGATTTGCGGTTGTCTGCGCCTCGATCTGTGTGCGTAGTGCCAGGATTTCCTCTTGTAACTTTGTGTTTTGCTCTCTCAGAGCAATTTGTTCTGTTTTAACCTCCTGTATCTCCGCCCTTGTCGATTCAATTATGCTGGTTTGCTGGGTGATGACTTCCTTTAGGCTGTTAACAAGGTCTGCAATCATTTGTGTTCCTGTTTCGGTTGCGTTCGCGTCAGGGTTAGGGTTAATCGGCACGGCGGCCATGTTGCCTCGGAGCGTTGTTGCTGGGCCATTTCGTTTGTGCCCGAGATGGCTTGTCCTGCTTTCGTTTTCTCTTTCCTGCTCTCGACTGAGGTGCCCCGGTCGTTTGATCTCCCGACCTGATTTGCTTCGCTGTATTTCTGGTGGTGATGTTGGGGGATCGTCTGGGTCTGGGGTACGCGTCGCGGAACGACCCACAGCGGCGCGGGTCGCGGCTGGCATGTTGACGTTGCCGCGTCCACTCGTTATACCACTCAACAATCGGTTTTCCGCCTTATTATACTGGTATTTACACTTCAAGCTTCTTGTGTCATATGGTACAGTAAGTTGCATAATCCGCCGTAGTCCCCCATAGTCTTACTCTGAATCGCCGTAGGGCTAAGGCTATGTACACTATTCTTAAAGCGGAAAAAGCTACCTATGGGTTTCACATGCACGGACCACCAAGCGTTACATCATGTGATTTTCCCACGTGATTCATGAGCCCTAACATAATATGGAGTAACTAGGGTTATGTTCTTCTTGGCGCTGCTCATTGTCATGTGCCTTAATGTTAGCTAACTACCTCAGGACGGTATCATCTACCAATACCGAATGGGCACGCATACTGACACAGGATACGATCGTAGTTGTCAACGGAAGATTGTTGAATACACCATCAAATAGGATTTCTCACATCACTAGTTGGTGTATACGACACCAAACTGGATTTCTTACCCCACAAGACGGTTCATACGCGACCAAACGGGATTCTTTACCGCTCAAGACGGTTCATACGACACCAAACGGGATTATTTACCGCTCAAGACCGTTCATACGACACCAAACGGGATTTCTTACCGCACAAGACCGTTCATACGACACCAAACGGGATTATTTACCGCTCAAGACAGTGCATACACCACCAAACGGGATTTCTTACCGCACAAGACCGTTCGTACGGCACCAAACCGGGTTTCTTACCGCACAAGACCGTTCGTACGACATCGAACGGGGTTCTTTACAGCACCCATCGATTTTAAAAGGTTGGTAGCACCAAGCTACACCAAACGGATCGTTACCAAGATTAAACAGGAATAGTACCAACATCGAAACGCGCAGAAATGAACTATATCCATGTGATCAAATCCCTAGAACCAAGGAGTTTATTGCAAGCGCACGAGTGTCGGAAGATAGCTCTCTACTGAACCCGAAGAGCTCCGTCTGATGTATTAGATTGTTGGGTCGTTCCCGTTCGATGTCGGTGGACCACTTCGGTTTGGGGTCGCCCGGTTATTTGGGCAGGCTTGAAATTGTAGACTCTCGTTTATTTTTGTCTTTATAGCAAGGCCAAGATTTACTCAGTTCATGAGCCTTGAAATCAACCATATAATCCTCCCATCTCCCCACGCCCACACTCAAATAATTCCTAGATCCAGATGATCCTAGCCTACTCAAAATGAGCGTGCAGGGTGGAATATCTCTTTCCGAGGGCAAGGCGTCCCGTTGCCCGCCAAATTTGGCTCAAGACTCCCAGAACAAGGAAACTCATTACGAGAGAAAGACTACTCAATTAGTAGGGTTCAAAAAGTGTTCATGTCCTGCATATCATCCTATTGTCATCAATTTCGCAAGAAAGAATGGAGAGTACTTTGGAATGCAAATAGGCGGCGTCTCTTGCCAACCAACCTCTCTCCAAAAAATGAAACGTGATACTGTGGAGGGAAGATTCCATTCTCTGATGCGAACCAGTCACCCCAATCTGCTGAATCTCCTAGGTATTTCAGCTTGTGAAGGTGATGTCCTTCTGCATTATGAGAAGCCTGGAATACCCTTAACCCAAATCCGGCAATTTAAGATCCTTGATCGAATTGAAGTGGCGACAATCTGCAGAAAGGTATTCAAGATACACTTCCCACATCAGAAACAATGACTAATATTGCATAGATATTACACGGGTTAATCTATATTCATGAGGTTCTCAATATTGGCCATGGCAACTTGCATTGTGATAACATCTATCTTCATGACGATGGTGAAATTAAAATCGGTAATTGAATTTCACCAGAGACGATTCACTACCATTCCGCTGATGCCTCAAGTAGGGGATATTGGGAAGAGCATGCTCCAAGTAGGAAAGACAAAAGATGTTTCTTGCGACGTGCAGGCGGTTTACAGGATCGCCGATCAGCTTCTCAATCTTAATAGCAGTTCAGATGCGACCAGTCTGTCATTGACAATGGCTAGGAGCTTCGTCGCTCAGAGGAGCGATATAAATCCTCGAAGTGTTCTACAGGTACGAAACTTTAGCAATGGATTGTGCTTTATGGGGCTGACGATTATATAGCATCCGTTTTTTAGAATAAGTCAGGATTCCTGGTATCTGTCAGGGCTCTGGACAATGTTTGCACTTACTCAGGCAACAGCGTTAGATGCTCGAGATTCGGGAAACTGAACATCAATGAACACTGATGAAGAGCCTTCTTATACCTACCATGTCAGAACCTCCATGGGATGCATATTGAGATACTATTGCGGTGAAGACCTCGTATTTGGTGGGAATCCATATTCACTTGAAGACATTGTTTGGCAGTGAGTAATGAAAGAATCCTGAAGCTTGATAACTGAAGAGAGAGTATGGGCCAATGTTGCCTGATGCGACGGTCTGAGTACATCTGATATGCAAACAAAGGCATGACAGCCGATGTAATTGCTCGTAGAAAGGCTTCGGCAGCTAAGGCCAATGTCGCGTAAATCGTATACGAGTCGGCAATGTTTAGCCCTGCAGGATCGGTGCTGGCACGAAAATTCTTTATCCAGCTACGGAGCGAGGTAACACTACTAAGTGAAGACAAGGGATACAATAGATGAATAAAAATAGTTTCACATTAGATCGCAATCATCTTTAGGACTCTTTGGAAACCCGTACAGTCATGAAAACCCGTACAGTCATTATAGGTTCGCATTGGTACGAGTTGAACTCAGTGCGTGCCGGTGCTAATATCAGCTGCCATCAATATAAGCTGGTGTTTGTAGTGGTTTAAAATTATAACTCAAATATCAAATCAAGGCAGAAAGATCCTTGTTGCATATCGAGTGTGATCCAGCGGCCAATCGAGGCTGTAGCATATCAAATTGAAGTATCAAAGAGTGATCGCAGAATTTATACCGCCGCCATTCTCGAAATCGGGTTTATTCTAGCATGTGGTTATAATCGTACATCATCGAACACCAGTTGTAATAACTCAGTACGAATATCTATTAATGCCTTTCTTGCTTGAACTCCGCGACTTAGACTCGTTGGCGATAGTGGTGGTTGGATAATTGACATGGTTGAATAGTTCGATGTATCGTTAATCACGTATTTAGTTCCCTTATTATTCGGGTTTTGTTCCAGATCTCCCGAGGCTAATCCCAAGCCTGTCAACAAAGCCTTTAGTAGAGATATTTCCGTTCCGAGGTTCGGTCAGTTTGTGCAGCAAATTCGGGTCGATGTGTAAAATATCCGGTATGTGATCACTTTCTGGGATGTGCGAGTTTCGGTGTGAATGAGAAAGATTATCTAGTAGTGCCACCAATTAAGGCCATTATACCACACATTGGTAAGAAAATCATCTATGACATACCATTGCATTGCAAATCCGAAGAACGATCTGTTATTCCTCCGAAGAAATACGAATTTATCTCGTTGTTCTCATCAGCGACACGAGCTAGCCTCCGACCGGCTGTGTCGAATTGAGATGCCGCATCCAAGAACTGATATACAGCCAAAGCATGCTGGACTTTGATCAGCAGGAGAATTTCTAACATTTATTGGAACTGACCTCTGGATTTTCTCTGATGGAACGCAGGAGATACTTTGGAAGTGGCGGTCCCATGCTTAATTTACTGTGATCTGGGCGTCTATCCCCTTTGACTGGAGTAATAGGTAGTTCAGAATTTTAAGTACGAAAAATATCCTTGACGACAGAACAATAAAGGTCGTTCGGTGGTGGGAAAGGAGACTACAATGGGTAAACGAGGAAACGAACTGACAGAGACCCACCCTGTGCATTGGGAAGGGTTCCGAGATGCGAGCAGTCACCGGAATGGCATCAGTGTAAGAAATCCCGTTCGGCGTCGTAAAAATCATTTGGTGCTGGAAAGAATCTGTTTTGATGTCGTATGCACCGTCTTGTGCGGTAAGAAATCCCGTTTGGTGTCGTATGCACCGTCTTGAGCGGTAAGAAATCCCGTTTGGTGTCGTATGAACCGTCTTGAGCGGTAAGAAATCCCGTTTGGTGTCGTACGAACCGTCTTGTGCGGTAAGAAATCACGTTTGGTGTCGTATGAACGGTCTTGTGCGGTAAGAAATCCCGTTTGGTGTCGTATGCATTGTCTTGAACGGTAAAGAATCCCGTTTGGTGGCGTATGAACGGTCTTGTGCGGTAAGAAATCTCGTTTGGTGTTGTACGAGCCGTCTTGTTCGATAAATTTCCCATTTTGGATTATGTGAGTTGTTCGATGATCTCAGAAATCCCGTTTGGTGCCATATTCAACGATCGTCCATTCAAAGCAACGATTTCATCTCGTCAATACGAGTTGGTGCGGGACAGGTTGGTGTCTGCGCAAGCTGCTGTTTTGAGAGAATGTTTCCGACTTGCTTGTTGCCTGATGCTCGAAACGAAAACACTCACCAGGTTAGCCATCTCAATCTAGTCATAAATCAGTCAAAGAAAATGTAGTGCACAAACAACATTGTTCTCGGTCTTTCCTAGGGTCTGGCAATTCAATTGCATTTTGCTCTATGTCTGATATGGTGCGCTAGTTATGTTTTTATCTATTACAGTTTTTCGAGTCATTGTGCCTAATCTGTTAAACCAAAAGTGAACAGCTGAGGTCCGTATTAGTCTCTCAGCGATCTTTATCTTCCTCTACAGCCAAGGTGCCTGGAACAGAGATGACTACCTAAGTCCAGGCAATGACATGTAACTTATGGGCGTATCACATCTGCAAATGCCTGAAGCTGTTTCAGAGGGATTAGAAGAGAATGTTACTTGTTCCTCTGAAGGCGCGTTCCTCTGTAGTAGATATTTTTCAGATAGATACCATGTGTGCTTCGTCCAGGTTCTTCCCTTTGTTGCAATTGATTCAATTTGTCCAAATCTCGTACTGTGATCAGAATGCAAAAGCATATAACTATTAAATATAGGACGTTCTATGACCCATCGACGATGCTTCGAGCAACTTAATCGTAGTTGTAGCTGTTGCCTCTAGTACAAGCGTGGGAGACCTGCTTGGCGGGTTGAATCTGATGTCCACATCTTCTGGTGATATCCTATACATTTATATCAATGATCTGGAAATCTAACTGACCATCTTGATACGTACGAATTTGCAGAAGAAAATCGAAGATCTTCCTTCATGAGATACACTGGCACAAGTGGCTGCAGGCACATTGCAGTAATATTGGCAGCATTGGAGAGATGGTCAACGTTGGCGATCGTCTCATTCACACGGGTCAGTCCATATTGAAAAGAGGAAGTTGGCTCAGCATCCTCAAGAGGTGTGCTCATTAGCCCCAACAACAAAGGTCAGTGATACTTACCAATGCTCTCGAGCGAGAATTTCGACCATCACGGAGGTGTGGCACTGACTGTCTGATACCGCCTTGAATATATGACGTATGGTAGGTGGACTTACCATCTTGTCGAGGCTAGCATCGTAAGTCAAACACCCAACAAGAAGAATGGAGTGGTAGTGTGCCTCGAAGTAGAGAACGCTAAGTGATCCACAACAGATGTTCCCCACCCTAATTTTAGCGGCCACCATGGGCGGGAGGCTAGACTGCAAAAGGCAATGTAGCGCTTACTCGAGTAATGGCTCCTGCGCGCTAACTGGGCCTAAATGATTGGCCGAAAGAGTGCATGAGGGCCCATGTAAGAACAATTGTGCCAGTTCACTAGCCGCCTGACTTTCTGCCATCATTTCTACCCCACCAACCACCAATAAAGGGCTCGAATATCCTCTTAAATCTCTCATGAAAGTCTACCACAGTCTTGTCTTATTTTGATCATTGTCTATCCAGAAGATACAACATACATACTTCAAGACACTCTCACTAGCCTATCCCTACACTGGATCTATCATTCTGTGCTCCGTCAGAATGGCAGAAGTCGTCGTGGCTTCAGGGTTGCTAGCCCTGGCGTCCTTCGCTTTTCAATCTAGCGTCACACTATACGAGACTATCAAAGATTTCCATTCGCACCCCAAGCGTGTCCGTGATCTGGTTGAGGAGTTGGAAGCCTTGATCGGGGTCCTGGGTCCGCTCAAAGACATGGTCGCTTCTCCAGCGGGTACATCACTTCCTGCCCTTGACCTTCCTTTGAAAAGATGTGGCAGTGCATGTAATGAATTCGAACAGCAAATTCTGAAATGCTTATCACGGTCTGGTGGGGATAGAAAAAGCTTTCGTGACTGGGCTCGTTTGCAGTATATGAAGGACGATATTGATGGATTTCGGCGGCTACTAGCGGGTTACAAGCTGACTATCAATATTGCTCTCACTGATGCCACCCTGTAAGCTTGTGATTATGCTAATATGACCACTCAGTACTGAAATAATAACAGTCATCGGTCTACGATTACCGCTGAAATTCTCGAAAACCAAAAACAGCTGATTGAGGTCACCAAGGATGATCTAGAGGCTCATCTTGAAAGCATCAATGAGAAACTGGAGCGTGCACTTGAACAGGCCGCTGCAAAAACCGAGCATGATACGTCAGAAATGCAAGTGATGAAAGAAGAGCGGCTGAGCACCGAAAGGTGTCTCCAAATTTGCGCAAATTTATCCGAGCATATCGAGCAAATTCGGCTCAAAGCTAGCGAATCATCCACCTCAAATGCCGTACCTGAGTTGATCGTGAACCAAGGGCTGCAGCAGTGTAAAGAAAACCTTGCGTCTACCGCTATAAAGCTAGAGAAACATATCCAAGACATTATGGATCGGATGTTTGTGACGTCTAAGTCAAGCCTCAAATCAGAAGATGATCTTGCGGACTTGTCAAGACTACGAGATGAGTGGAAAACGACTCGAGAATGCATAAACATCTGCTCGCAGGCAGACAGACATCTCAAAGAAACCGTCACTACTGTGGAGAACTATGGCGCCGGTGACGCTGTTCAATTCATGGTGTCAACTAATGGACAGGTCATTCATGGAAAGAATCGAGGCGTCGGATGGAGAACTAGACAGGTTGGTGGTCATCTCAGCGATGAGTCGGTCCAACAATTATCCCGGGACATGACAGCCATCAATATCCAGCGCACGAATGATGAAGACTTGTCGTCTGCAGATAAACAGCAGATGTACAGCGAACGATACGGGCGGGGATATCAACTGACACCCAAATCTTCGCCAGATGAGACACCAAACTCGATGCATTCTTCAGATGGGAAATCGCCCAGAAGATGACATTATGGTTTCGAAACACTAGGATGATATTTACCGTAAACTTATAATTCGACCTACATCGAGTTTGAGGAATCCGTTAGTATACAGAATGTTGGTATAATGTCTAACCTACTCTCTTAGCATGTCGGCCATATTTTGGAGCTAGGCTCGATATGGCACTCGCGCGAGAAGCTATCTGACATTTTGGGGCGATTTTTACTACGCTGCACTAGGAATTCTTTGCGGACTCTTGTGCGGACTTTTTTTGCGTCTTCAAAATTGTTGTCAACAAGATTTTGTGGGTTTCGTTGTATGGGATTGCATACAAAAAGGGATTAAAATCGTCAATTAGCTATGTTAGAAGAGGTGTCAATTCAATCAAGCTATTCCTCTATATCGTGCCGTCCCCGGACCTCATTTCCCATTTGCTATCTGTAGATCATGTCGTTCTATACTTAAACTGAGACCAACCCATCCGAGTACATTTCGTGCTTGTTGAAATTCCAACAAGGTCCTAGTTCCCTTACAGTCTACAATCTCATCGTGTAGTAGTCGACAAACATCTGTCTAGTGCTATAAGAAATTTCTCCTTGATTCTATGCGTACCCTCTAGTCTGGTGCCAGCGCGAATTGTATCGGTACACGCACACGAACACTCCTGGTTACTGGAATAATCTAGGCTGGTGATGGGAAGGTACAGTAAGGGTTCGAATCACCCTGTCAAGTCATACCGCTTGCGCATGTAGCTCTTGAGTTCCAAACTCCGTTGTAGCATTGCTCTAGGACATTGCTATTGCATCGCCATGTCGCATCGGAACATTGGGTCAAATTCCCCGTTGTTTCGGTAGGAATTTCAACTATGGAAGTCGTCAGAGTTGAAGGAGGAGATGAGGTGGGAGGAGAGCTAGCCTGACTACCAGGGACAGGGCCTGAGACAGGTCCCTGTGTAAGTCCTGAGCCAGTACAGTCGAAATCATAGAGAGTCTCGTCAACAATTTCCCAGGAAATATCGATGTGACCATCAGCACAAGCAGCTCCTCGCGATAGCTCATTAAGGACTTCGTAACTGAAGTCCAAACCAGGCGCGCCTACCGTATCCCAGGAAGTGGCGGTTGCGGAACCAGTGCCGCAGCGCTCGCAGCCATCACCGATGAAGAGCGGCAGGTCAGAGGGTTGGCCGTTAACTGAGACAATGACTTTCTTGCCACAGTATAGGGGCATGTCCGACGACAGTTGCGTATTGTTCATAGCAACCAAATAGTTCGAGTTGATCTGAGTCAAGCTCAGAGTCGTCTCTAAACTACAGTGAACACCACCCATGTTCTGATACTCAAAGCTAGTGCCGCAGGCATCTATCTCCTGAACATCATAGTAGTAGGTTCCGAACCCAGAGCCACTGTAAATGGTGTTTTGGCCATAGACCCCCAGCACCATGAGCAGACGAGCTGCAAGAATGGTAGAAGCACTCATGCTTGATTCCGAGTTTGAGGGATTATTTGTATCTGCTTTGATATGCAGTGAAAGGAATGACAGGAAGAGGAAGGGGTGTTGTCGGAGAACAAGAAACATCAAAGGTAGATGTACCGCCTTCTTATATAGGTCAAAGCCCCCTACATGTTTCGATCCGTKACCTTGGGACTGTGTAAACTGGACAAAAGTACCGATGTCATTGCACCAGCCCGGATCGGGTGGGAACCGTGCACTATCTTGCGCCAGAAATGGAACCTGAAGACTATGACAGAAAAGTTGACATTTGGGCGAGTGGTATTGTTGGTACTGATATTTTCTTGGGCCACCATCCGTGGCCATTGTCTGTAAATCCATGGCGCGCTGGCAAAACTTCAAAGATTGAGGACTATAAAGCGCATCACTTCGAGTTTCTGCAGTCTTTGAAACAGTACTCGAAGAGCCAAAGGGACTTYATCCGTGTTGTCCCTGGTTGCAGATATGTTGCAATAGGAACCCTAATGCAAGACCACMATCTCAAAACGCATTGRTTCATCAGTGCTTTCTAGGTATAACAGATC